GATTGCAGCACCTGAGTTTCGCGTATGGTCACCCACTACACTACTCGGTCAGGCTCTTACCAGCTTAACTACAGTTGATCGGACGGGAAACGGTGCTTTCTGGTAGATATGGCCGCAACCGATAGATAGAGTGAAAAATGGATATGATAATTGCTGGTGAACGGTGAAGTAAGCCAAGGCATAAAGAAGCGGGCTACACGTGATGGAACCAAAGACAAGACGATGACGTTGAATAGAAGAGCAGTGGTACTCAATCGCGTAAATATTGGCTTTGTTAAGGTTGATCGACGCCAGTGGTGAATTAGTTTTGTTAATTGTAAATTTAATTTGTTCGTAGTTACTGTGATTGTACAGTTTATAGGGGGATAGGGGGAAGGAGAGTATATCTGTTCGTGTTTATCTTAGTATTGTAACCGCTTCGAAGCTGGCTACATGGTCCCATTCTGTGCAATTCTTCCAAAAGCGTGTCCATTTTTCGTTGCTCGCTTACAATTAGAGGATTGCGTTGGAAGGAGATAGCGAGAAGGTGATATGGTCAAGTTGCAGTATCACGTGATTGGAGTGACAGAATACAGTTAGAGAAATGGACAGTGGTTCATGATCAAGATGAAGTCATAGGAACCCAATGATTCCAGTGATAATCATAGTATCCTCCCACTCCGTTATCACCGCAAGAGTGATCTAATGGGTGATGTAATGCTGACTCACCGTCAATCTTAGAGAAATTAACGGATCCTGAAGTTGGAACAGTCTTACAAAAACTGCATAAAAGAGGCCGATATGGCCATGATCGTGGTGGACATGGTCGCAAGATAGCCACGAATAGATCCATATACTAGACTCCTTATCAGCTTCACAAGTTAAATCAGCTATGAGCGAATTTAATGAACAGTTAAGAAATTTATCAATCACGGACAACGATAAACCTCGATAACGACATTCTGCTTTATACAATTTTGTTTAGTCATTTCCATTTATCGTCGGTCAGTTCGACCAGGATGCACAACAGGAATAATTTTCCCTTTGAACCACAAATGCCATACCAATGGTGACCTGATGGAAGTGTTATTTGTTGGAAGGAGCTGGCGAGTAGATGATATCGTTCAACTGCATCATCACGTGATCGATATGACAGAATAAAATTAGAGGATTGGACAGACGGTTCGCATTCCGCGAAAGAGCTAGAAGCCAAAACAGGTCCATTGACAGTTCTAGAATCATCAGAACATCTTGATCAGATCATATGTGGTATGATGAATGACGTATGATGAGAATTCACCGTCTAGTTTGAAGAAAGTAACGGGTTCCAAATTTGGAACAATGTTACAGAAATTGTATAAAAGGAGCTGATATGACCAAGATCGTAGTGGTCATGGTCGTGAGGTAGCCACGGAGAGATATAAGTACTCAATTCCTTATCAGCTTTATTATTTAGATCAATTATGAACGAATTAAATAAACAGTTCAGAAATCTATCAACCACCGACAATGATAAACCTCAACAGTTTTAGCCTAAGCTACTTATACTTAATGGTCGTTTCGCTTTCAGCTTATTGTGACGAAAAATGAACTGCTCAATTTTATCAGAAACAAAGCACAGCTTTGGACGACTGCGGTAAGATTAGTAATGATACCTGAAGTATTGGTTCTCAAAATCTGTTTGATCATTGAAGCCATTGATTATTCCTGCTCTTTCCGTTTCGGGATTGAGCTTACCAAATTTAGAATTCCTCCCTTGGTTTCTGCGAAACATGAGCAAATAATAGACTATGCTCAGAAACATCATCCCTGCGTAAGATCCAATAAGACCCTTCATACCCGTATTATACCTTGGTGCTTCTTTAGCATAAAAAATTTTGGAACCAGTGATATTTCCGGCGGTATACATGAGAAACCACATTATCTTAGCTGTTGAAAGCTTTGAAGATCCAGCGACAGTGACATTCATCAGAATCCAGCACATAATAACCGGGCCACCAATAATGTATAACAACCAACAACAACCCACTAATGCCCATTTATGAGATAATGGAATCACATGAATTCCGATAAGACCAGCTAAGGTAGGTATGCACAAAACAAAGAGCAGAATTGTACGCACGTTTCTCTTGGTAAAAAGTGCAATCATACCAGCAGAAAATACACAAACCAGCTCTATCGCTCCCGTTGGAAGTTGCAAAAGTGTGGCATTCAATCCTGAAAATCCAAATCCTTTAATAAGTGACGAAATGAAGTTTGAAGTGCCACCATTCACAACACCACAGCCTAGTCCAATTAAAGCCAAAATTATGGTATTTAAATCAAGGAGCGCCTCTTTAGCTTGTACAAATTTGAATTTTGTATCTTTAATACCGGTTTGATTTTTTGATACCCTTTCAATGACTTTAAGCTTTTCCTCATGAGTAAGAAATCTGGCACTAGCAGGAGAATCAGGAGCCACATACAGAAAAATAATTGCCCATGCGAAATTCATAACGCCAATAACTAGAAAAATCAACTTCCAGGGTTTGAGTGCAGAACTTGTCGAATGACCGAGCCCGTATGCCAGGAGTGCACCAACCATTGTGGCAACACCGTTCATACTTAGAAAAGTGCACATTCTAAATGGCTGTTCTTGCTTGTTGTAGAACATACCACACATCATCATGTTCGAGGGAGAGATTGATGCCTCCATTAGACCAAGCAAAAACCTCAAAGCCATCATGCTGCTATAATTCTTCGCCCCAACATGTGCAATCAAAAGAATAGCCCAAACAAACAGTGCACAACCTGTATATTTTGCCACAGGTAGTTTTTGAATAATCCAGTTACCGGGAAGGGATCCAATCAGGTACCCCACATTGAAGATTGCGGCAATGTTAGCATAGTCATTCCCTTTGAGGCCTAAGTCTTCTTTCATGGAGTAAGCGGATGCATAATTCAAGGAGAGTTTATCCAAAAACTGAAGCATGTATGTAACACATAGAATAGGCAACAACCACATGTCAATTTTGCGTCTAATCGGGGCATACTCTTTGTCTGAGGTATCTATTTGAGCGTTAAGGACTTCTTCAAAGAGCTCAGCTCCCACGACATGCTTATCGCCCGAGACTGCTTGCACTTGATTGCCTTCATTGGACGATATGGATCCATTGCTTTCTAATATTTCACCCTCAGAGACATCGTATTTCACTTTGGAAGGATCTTCTGATATTTTAGCTGACATTCTATGAGGTCTGGTGGTTGGATAAATTTCGAAGTCAGATTTAAGCTGAAGCATAACATGATGAGTCTTTATACAAGATATTTATCTATTTCTTTTAATTGTTCGAAAGGGATCGCTGAATGATTTTTCCGTTCCACTTACTTAACTTATCCAGATGCTATCAGCAGGGAGAGTCTTTTCTCATCAAACCCTTAATGTACATGAACAGTGCGTATTCAATGACTCCCTTTGTGGTTGCCAGTGGATCTCTATAATGGCTTATCTGTTCCTATCTGTGGCAGCAGGTAAAAATGATATCAACAATTGTGAAGGTTGTTAGCGGTGGCCATTTTTTGATAAACGCGACAACCACAACCGCGTTTAAACAAGACTATCGTTTGAAATCAGAGTTTCACTGCAGAGTTCTTCTATCGTAGTTCTCAGATCAAATGGAAGGCGAAGCAAAGAAACACCTCTGAGTGCTGTGAGACTATTTATTTGCCCTTACGAAAGTAGCCGATCTACATCACAGGAAACTTTTGTTAAACTTTAGGTAGAAGGCGTCCTGGCACATCTGCAAAGGCTCAAACGTTAGAAGTATCAAAATATGATAACGTGTCTTAACCTGTGACTGTTTGAATCTTGTCCAGCAATTACTTGAAGATGATTGAAGAGGGGGTCATTACAGTATAAGTTGCCGGTATCTCAGGCTTGCAAAACTTTTGCGCGCTTACAAAATAGTCTATTTTCTTAACTCTTGCCAGAGCTGTATTTCGGGTTGACCCGGATTACAAAATAACTACCCGGATACCCGAGAGCGGGTAGTAAACGGGTAGTAGCCATGTACGGATCGAGTAATTCTTGGGTATATATTTTAATATTTTCAACTCATTTAAGGATATTTCGAATGCATCGTTCGGATGGAACGCGGATAAACAACTTGTTAGTTCAACAAAGCGTCCGTAAATCGAGAGAAAAGCATTGATCTTACCTAAGTAGTGTTGAATTAGATTGATATGCTAGCTTTAACTATTGAAACTCGAGATCGTCGTCATCTGATTGAGAGTAGCATTCTATATAGTCATCATCCTCATCAGAATCTTGGAAATTGAGTGTTAATTTCTGGTCGAGGAGGCCCCAGCCCTTGAAGCGATTTCTAAGAACTAGCAACCTGTTAAAATTTAGACTGCTCATACTTCTTCTTTCTTTACGAAGAACTTTCCCGCTGATAGAAAATGCTCTCTCCAGACCGCTTGTGCTAAATTTTGTGTATAGAAGGGCCACCGCAAGCCTGAATAAATTGGGATATGCGCCACGGCGTTCGTACCACCATTGTATCAGATCCTCTTTGAAGTCCAAGGTATGTTGCTCTTCTGTTTTATATTTGTCCCACTCACTGACTGCCTGATTGCACATAGAAGCCTCTGCATTACGTGAATGCTTTTCGCGCCGGTTAATTGTGGGTAATTTGCTGACTCGATGGCGCGTGCCTCTAACAGATCTTTTGGCAAGTTCAGTTGATGTAACGACCTTTCGCGGTTCGGACTTCTTGAGGTAAGACTTCAAATACCTTTCCACTTTGCTTAGTCGAAATTGAGCCTCGTCCTTCCGTCATAAGGGTTGTTGAAGCACTGATGTTTGGACGAAGGATCCAAGAATGCAGCGACAAAATACAGATCGTTTTCCGTGAAGTACTGGAAATAAGTTGTAAATTTGTTTCGAGTAGAAAGGACAGCATCAAGTACCGTTTTCTTCATATCTAACGGCGGGTTTTGAGTTCCATTGATAAAGGTGAAATCAAATGCTCCTTCTGTCGGTAGCTCTATAGTCTCCGTATGGGCATCACCGCATAAGTCATAATATTCCAGAAGTGTGTAATAGAAAGGTACCGCATTAGAGAGATGATTAAACGAAACTTCTTGCAGAGTGTCATTCAACACTTTGAAGATTGAGCAACAATCGACAAAGTACTGCAAAAGATGGACTTCCTCAGGGGTTTGCTCGAAACACTTTTCGATTTTTGAAGCAGCAGAAATGTTCTGTGGTGACTTTTTAAAGTTATTGAACCACGTCAGATACTGCTGGCGATATTTCAGAAAAGTGGTTACTTGCTTCCAGATATACAACCACCGTGTTTCCGATGCAGCAGGCACCAACGGGATTGAAGCTTTCATTAATGAAGACCTCAAACAGAAGTGTGCTTCATCTTGTGAGCCAACCGTGTGATACGCGCCAGTGCCAAGCTAAACTTTGTGTTTGCTTTCAGGTTTTTCACTACATCTTGGAAAAGAATGTTCAAAATATGGTTTCCACACCGGAAAATATGGAAGTTTCCCAGACGATCGAACGTCTTGGATTTGCATTTCTTGAAATGGTCATGGACAAGGTGGGAATGCATGCATATGTTGTTTGTGGCATTATCACAAGTAATTGTTGCAACTCGATCATCTATTTCATACTCTTTCATCACATCCCGAACTTCCTTGAAAAGATTTTCCCCGGTGTGTGGTGTGTCGCTAACATCAATGAAACCTAGGATGTGGGTGTTGTACGGAGCGTAATGGTTAGTTAAGAAGAGCCTTGCTGCTGCCAACATCAGTCAGCATAGCATCATTATAAGATTGGGAGCAAATGATGCGGCTACAGCTAGATATGATCTTCCATTCCCGCCGGACCAGATATCCAGTTCAATGTTAATGAAGTCAGTTTTACTCAATACTTTTTTAAGTGCAGTATTGAAGTGATTGGTATAGTTCGATAGCCTGTCAATGATCGCTGGACGAGATTTTATCAATTTAATACCAGAGCAGGCTTCGCTAATGACGTTCCAGCTTTTGCCTTCGAAGAAGGAGAACGGGACTAACTTTTCCGTCAAAAGCAACAGAATACCAAAATCGCCAGGGCTATGCTTCCATTCTGCGGTTATTGCAGCTGGCGGTGGCAAGGAACGACACTTGACTCCTAATTGGCTGAGACTCCTAGATTTTTCTTCTTCTTTTCGACCGTTTTGGTATGCTAGAGGATGAACGTTCTTTACGTGTTTTGAAAGGTTTCCTGTGGACCTCGCTTCCTTGAATTCGCGCTTGCAATGAACACAAGAGGCAATCTTTAGTCCATCCACCTCTGTAACATCGAAGTGGCGGCGAAGGGCTGATCGATCCATCCATCCAGTTACTTTAAGTTGTCTAGTAGGTGTAATAGGAATGGAGGAGCCATCTGCCGCATCTACTGGGTTTGAGACACGTGGCTCTGGGGTGAGAGTCTCACCTTCCAAATCTGAGGTTTCGTCGGAAAGCTCTTCAATCTGATAAGACTCTTGGACCGCTATCATTGTGTGTCAGCTGAGTAGTTCGAACCGGGGAGCGGTTGGTCTGGATCATGTATGTTAAATATTTGAATTTTTGACGCCAGAAATTTTCTTTACGCGTTTCGGTTCTTGAAAGGGTATCCAGTGTTAAAGGACGCGGGTTGCTGGCGGGTCGCCTATTTTTTTCACGCGAGTAATAGACGAATGAACGTGACGGCGCACGCGAATACTATGTGGGTTTCCTGGATAAGGGTTACCCAGCCTAGGATGGTACCCGAAATACAGCTCTGGACTCTTGCGGACACATCACTTCAGACGAGTTGGATAATTTTTGGGCAGCGATTGAAATCAAGACATACTTAAGCTCTCCTCGGCCTTTCCCCTTCTGCAGGAATGAATAACAAGCCAATTAGGCATCAGGCGGCAGGACATGATGGTACCTACACTGATGAAGCTGAATTGCTAGTTTTTAAACCTACCAATGATACCGAGGTTAAATTCTATGAAGATATGCAAAGCAGAAACGCTCAACAACCCAGAAAAGAAGTAGGTCTGCAAACTTGGATGCCTCTTTTCATTGGTACCCTTCTAGAAGGGTTACCAGCGGATATGCAGGGGAATCCGCTCACTTCAGTGCCTATTCTGGATGGTAAAGGGCCTGAGAAGCTTGCGCAAGGTGTCAAAACGGGCTCGGGCCGCCCAATTGTAGTTCTTGAGAATCTTCTACATGGTTACAGCAGACCAATTATAATAGATATCAAATTAGGAAGGGTTTTGCATGATGACTTGACTGATAATGAGAAAAGAGAGCGACTGATAGCAGTTAGCGAATCTACGACCTCCGGAAGTCTAGGCTTCAGAATTTGTGGAATGAAGGTGCAACATAAGAAGCAAATATGCGATTTGGAAGAAAGGTACTACGAAAAAGATGATCAAGACTATTTCACAGTGAATAAACACTATGGGCGGGATCTGACGGACCTGACCGTCATGGGGGGTCTGAAGCTGTTTTTCAGCTCTGAAGATCTTTCCTGTGAGCGACAGGTGAAGCTAATCAGCATCTTCCGTTCACGATTGACGCTCCTATTGGACACATTATTGAAAGAGGAAGTACGCTTGATCTCCAGCAGCCTTTTTTTCGTCTATGAGGCTGATAGCAAGAGGTGGGATGAATTAAAGGATGAAGACACTCTTTTAAGGAGCACAATGGACGCGGAAGAGATATCTGATCTCAGTGACGATGAAGATGAAGCTGAATCCATGCATCCTCCAACACCGCTGAGTTCTCTTTCTTTGATCGATTTTGCACATTCTCGCCTTGCTCCTAATGAGGGGAAGGACGATAATGTGATCTTCGGCTTAGAGCGATTGATTGAACAGTTTGATGAACTATTAAAAGGATCGAATGACATAAACTAAAAATTTTAGATATCCATTTGAGTGGCGATGACTTTGGACTCTTTACAGCGGATAAAAGATAGCATCAAAGTAATATTATACACTGAGTTGCCTCAAAAATGCAGTTCTCACGTTTATGAAAGAACTCAATCCAATAGCTTGACGATTTTTCCAATAGCAATGGTCGTTCCTTGGTCTCTCAACGTGAATCTTCCAAGTTGAGGATAATCATCATATGTCTCAGCACATATTGGTTCTTCAGTCTCGATGACAGCAATGATTTTCATGCCCTTCTTGGCAAAAGCAGGGGGCTTCTTAGATTTTCTGTTCGTTCCTTTCTCTAGTTTGTGCAATAAACGCTTGATAGTAACTTCTTCGATCGCTGTGTGAACATGCATAACACAAGAAAAGCCAGCAGAAATGATAGATTTAAGCTCAACGATTGCGATTTGGGCAACGAATCTCGTGATATTTCTAACTGGATTTTTTGGAGAAGTTAGTACAAAGCCCGGCATAATGTCTTCCTCCTCAACACCCTTCAAGCGTAATCTCACTTGTTCACCGCAAATGGCCACATCAACCTCATTCTCGGTCTCATTATAGATGGTCGTGATCTCAACAGGGATTCTGTTTGGCATGAGGAGGGTGCTGCCCCCCTTCTTGATGTGACCTGATTCGATTTTGCCCTCTACTACGGTCCCGAGATCTTTCATCTTTGAAGCGATGGGCAACATGAATGGAGCGTTTATATGACGGTCGACGTGGTTCATTCCATCCAGATATTCCAACAAAGAAGGACCCTGGTACCAAGGGCAGTCCTTTGCACTCACATGTTCTTTCAGTCCGGCACCCGTGTAACCCGAGACTGGCATGAATACGACGTCCTGCTTGACGTTATATCCAATGGCCTTCAAAAAAGCGGATAAGTTCTTCACACAAAGATCGTAACGTTCTTTATCCCAGTTTACGGTTGGATCATCCATTTTGTTCACAACGACTATCATCTTGTTCACACCTTGAGTTTTCGCCAGAAGAGCATGCTCTCTAGTCTGTCCACCCTTTTCAAAACCGGTTTCATATTCACCTTTTCTGGCAGAAATCACAAGGATACCAACGTCGGCCTGACTGGCTCCGCCTATCATTTCAGAAACATACATTTTGTGGCCAGGGGCGTCCAAAATGGTATAGCGCCTTTTCTCAGTTTCGAAGTAAGCCCTTCCAACCTCGATAGTCTTACCATCGTTACGTTCCTCTTTATTGGTGTCCATAACCCAGGATAGATACCAACCTTGCCGCCCAGCATCTTTAGCTTCCCTCTCGTACTTTTCGATTGTTCTTTTGTCGACAGAACCTGAAAGATATAGCAAATTACCACCCATGGTAGACTTCCCGGCGTCAACGTGTCCCATGAAAATTATAGAAACATGATCTTTACCACCGAACATGTCTTGCACAATTTCTTCATCTACCTCGTCTTCTTGTTCTTTAATGATGGCATCAGACGAATTGGTTTGACCTTGTAGTGGTGTGTCCTTTGCCTTCTTTGGAGCGTCTTCACTTATTTTCAACTGGTCAACTTTTGGAAGAGGGTTACTTTCTTTCTGAGAGATTTCCTCGCTATCTGGTTCAACGTCTTTCTTATTAGAAACCTCTGCTTCATCCTTGGCATCATCTTTCCCTGCTTCTTTCTTCCCCAAAGCTTCTGGCTTCTTAGTCGCACCGACTAACTTTATTCCAGAAGAGGACGCAAGTTTTAGAGTCTTTTTAGGTTTTGCTGCAGCCTTTGGCTGGGCCGCATTGCTCTGTTTATTTTGAAAATCTTGCAAGGTCATACCTTGGGACTGCTGTGCGCCCTGATCATAAGCCTGAAAGCCTTGTGGGGCCTGAGCACCACCGTAATTTTGCCCATAACCTTGATAGTTCGAGCCATAACCTTGATAGGCGTCATAGCCTTGATTATACCCATTGTTGTAGTAGTTGTTACCTTTGGAGACATCATCGCCTTGGCTGTAGTTCTGATATCCGAGGTTGCCATACGTCTGAGGTTGATGACCTTGAGTGCTCATCTCCCCTCCTGGTTGGAAGCTGCCTGCCTGTTGAGCATTGTATGGCTGAAAATACGGTTGATTGCCACCTTGCTTTTGCTGAAAGTTCTGATAGTACTGGTTGTAATAACCTTGCTGCTGCTCACGACCCCCCGACATTACAAAGCAAATTATGCGCTTAGCAATAGTTGGAACGATGTGTAGATAGTTTCCGTCAAACTGGTAAAATTTTTTTTGATCACTGACTTCAAAAAGTAGTCTTTTACGACGAATGAAACAAGCTATAAGTTTACGTGTCACAATTGTAATAGAGAGTGCCATAACAGATTCACACTGTAGGCTCAGGATTGGGGTTCCCTTCGAATAACAACTCCTCATCGGGAAGGTCCTCGATAACAATCCTGCGTTTTGGTTTGGGCTTCTCTTTACTGCTCAAAATTTTTGGTGCTTTGACTTGCAGCAGCCCGTTCGAGTACTTTGCCCTGATTTCCTCGTCCTTGATCCTAGGCAAGATGGGAAACTTAACAGATCTTTCGAAAAACCCCTCCTTCAGTTCGGAAAAACGCAGATGTTTAGAGTCTAGACCCGTCTTGTTATCTATTTTCCCCTTTATGGAAAGCTCGTGCGATGTTGGATGGAAATCAATTTTAAAAGAGTTCGATGTTGCTCCTGGTAGTGCCAAGACGATCATATAACACTCTGGAGTGTCATAAACATTGAGGGTAGGAGAAAATGGAACGCCCATCCCTCCTCGAGGCTTGGAGACTTGAAGAGGTTCGCGAATTGGAGAAGCCGCTTCGGACCTGTCGAGCTCAGAAACCCCCCCGGGGTTCTCCCCAGCGGGAGGATTTGAAACAGAACTATGAAGGCCGGATGGCTTGGCCACATTTTCCTCTGCTCTCAAATTAGGCGAGAGATCTTGAATGTCCTCGGGTGTAGCCTGGAGCCGTCCTTCCGGAAACTGGTCATCGCCCACTTCCCCTGAGGAGGATCCAATTGCTTCTCTTGATTGAGTTAGAACTTCGTCATCAGGAAATTCAAATGATGTTTCTGGTGCGCCGCTTTCCTGCTGCGTGTTAGATTGGCCCACCAAAGCCTTGAGAAGCTCTAGAAGGTAATCAGATTGCTCTGGGACCTGTTCACTTGATTCGGCCATAATATCGTAGTCATCCCCGTAGGAGTAGCCTGGGTAATAGTAGGAGGTCTCTGGCTGTAATGCGTAGTAGGAAGGCCTGGCTCTTGAAGTGCTATCCCATCTTGAAGCTGGTCTCCGCGCGGCGTACTCGGAATGCTGACGCCGTGCAGGATGAAGGCGCTCTTGTCTTCTTCTGTCCACATTTTGTGCTGAAAGAGCTTCAAGGACGTCGTAAAGAGATAAGGATGGCTGATAAAAACTCATAGTAAACCCAATTCTTGAACAAGCACTATGCTCTAAGTTGTGGTGTGTACTCTCAAATAAGATCTAATATATCAAGACCGTAATGTAAGTCAATAAGGGGATAGCATGCTATGAAAATTGCGCGATCCGTGCCAGTAGAGTAGATTATCGTCCTTAACGCCGCACTATAGAAAAAATTAGGGTTCGGTTTTTGCTAGAATGTTCGAGAACTTGAAAAATATGTTACCTTCTTATTTAGATCCTTGGCTGTCATGCCAGTCGGTTGACATAATTACTGGCGGATCAGACAAACACGCAGGCCGTCTTAAATTGGTCACTGTGGTAAAAAAGGTCGACCTTATGTATCTCTTTCAAATAAACAGTATATATTCTTTTTCTCTAAATAGTTTACACGTATAGAAACGCCCCGCGTAGTCCAATTTGTTCCAGACAATGTTCATAAGCTGGAAAGTTTACTCAAAATTGTCCCAGCTTCTTCCCTGGACGTTTTTCAACTCGTCGTTTGTCATGACGGTGCCATTTGTGAAATATCCTGAGTGAATCTTAGCATCGATTTCGACACGAGAATCAGGTGGGACAAGTTCGTCTGGAATTGGGATCCGCTCAAGAATTGGAATGCCTTGTTCCACAATGGCATCATGCTTCATGTTCGACATAGACAGCATCCTGTCAATTTTAGAGATTCCTAGCCATTTCAAGATGTCGGGCATTAGCTGCTGAAACCTCATGTCTCTAACACCAGCAATGCATTCAGTTCTGTGAAAGTACTCAGCAGCAGTGTCGCCGCCTCTCTTACGAGCATTGTAGACAAGGTACTTAGTGACTTCACCTAAAGCACGACCTTCCTTTCTGAAGTAAATCACAACACCGGAACCTCCGTTCTGGGCCTCTTTGACGGCCTCTTCAATCCCGAAAATTAGGTAAGGGCGACAAGTGCAGATATCCGAGCCAAAAACATCTGATCCGTTACATTCATCGTGAATTCTAAGAGCCAGTTTTTTGGATGGATCCGAAACAAACTTTGGGTCTCCGAAAATGTACACAGTGAGACCTCCAATAGGTGGCAAGAAGACCTTAATGTCAGGTCTGGTGATCAATTCGGGGTACATTCCGTTCGTGTCCTCGAAGAGGGCCTTTCTGAGCTCACTCTCAGTGATGTTAAATCTCTCGGCAACACCTGGTAGGTACCAAACAGGCTCAACAGCTACTTTCGAGACATTAACGTCACCGTTCGAGTTCTTGACAATCTTGCCATCGACTTGTAGTCTACCTTGGGAGACGGCATCCTTCAATTCAAACAGCTGCATGGTGGCTTTCGTAATTGCAATGGTAGGCCGAATTTCAACATTTTCCGATTCGGAAACTTCGTCAAACAAGTAAGGAGTTAGATGGCCAAACGGATCCATTGCAACGATGTCCTTCTCATTGTACCAAGATTTTTGCTCAGGAATAGAGAAAGCTGGCTGAGAGTTGGTGTAGTCAGCCACGTGCTCAGGGTTCAACTGCTTTGAGCCGACAGCGAGAGCATGGTAGACACAGTACGAACCACTGTGAGCACCGATGGTGTTGTGCTTATCAAGCCCGCTCCTGTATTTGGACGCAACAACAGGGCCTCTCGCCTCCGCGGAGGCTGCGCCCCACGCCAAGTTGATGGGATGCGAGTCCTCTGGATAGGTGGTCAGAGTGAAACCATCAACGGGACTTGACGTATGGTATTGCTGCTCTTCAACTTTTTTAGTTGGCGCAACATCTGGAGTAGCCTGGGGCTGGGCGACAACGGCGATAGGGGACATGGTTTTCGATTCAGATAAAAAAGGTGTTACTCGTACAATGAGGAAACGGATAGTGTGATGGTTGATTAGTATTCAACTCGAGGTTTTGAGAAAACGATGCGCCCTTTATATAGTATTGTCTCTTGGATTTTCGGCACGTCCCCGCCCCCCTCCATCTCCCACATGTTTAGATGATTACGACGCTAACAGCCATTTCCGTCGGTCTCCGATGGAAAACAGTATTTTGTGTGTAGGACTTACTGCCTGTGCTCAAGACCGTCGGAAATCAAGGAGGGATATCACAAGATGAAATAATCTTATGTAAACAATCCGGAAAAAAAACAACTCCGACGGCGAAAATGAACCTATATCTTTCACTTCAGGATACAGACAGAATTAAGCAGTAACGCTATACGAAAAATTTAGTATGCTTTTGTACGGTAAAGTCGATACTGTTAGGTCACATGGAAGCTCTTTTTCTTACAATGCGGGTATAGGGGAAATAGCCCAAGACTGAACGACTTGGCGTTGATAACCCGAATAAGAGCCTTAGAGAGACTGCCGATGGAGTCAAGCGTGCCGGCCCACATCATAGAGGCCTCAACTTTGGGTTTTTCTAAGGATGAAGAGATTGCCAACGGTGATTCGAGGAGCTCAGAAGGGGATATATCTCAGGCTGTAAACGATACGGCAAATGGATCTTTACCACAACAAGATCAGCCCGTCATGGAAGAAAGCAAGGCAGCGGGGCGCGAAAATTTATTATCAACGTACAACCTGTTAATAATCACTTTTCAAGCTATTTTGAAGACTAAGGATATCAAGAAATATGGTAGCACGCAGAAGGCATTGGAACGCAGTGTGCAAGCCCTGAAGGAGATACTACAATCGACCAACAACGAGCCCCGGTTTTTGGATTCGATCATGGTGTTTGAGGCATTGCGCTCTAGTTGCCGAACAAAGTCAAGCCCAGTAGTTATACAGGCTCTTGACTGTCTTTCAAAGCTATTTTCTTTTCAGGTGTTAGACCACAACATTTTAGTCAACCCACCTGATTCCATGGCATCTAATGATCAACAGAGCTCTACTGCAGCAGGAATAACCCCTCCTCCGAAGCTAAGACTGGTCGATGCTTCCATTGACACTATTACAGACTGCTTCGAGGGTGAGGGTACAGACGGTCGAATCGAACTCCAAGTTTTACGCGCGCTAGCTGGATGTGTCCTTGCTGATGGGACCGGGACTTTTTGCCATGGGGGCGCCCTTTTGAAGGCCATAAGACAGATCTACAACATCTTTATTTATTCGTTGAACTCTTCGAATCAAGGCATTGCCCAGGCAACTTTGACGCAGATAGTCCATGCGGTGTTTGACAAGGTCAGTGCGTTATCCCAAGTTTACCATAGATCGCAGTCTAGGCTCAGCATGAGAAGCGTTCAACCAGATTCCGATACGCTGATCTCTAATCCGGAAAATCCATTGACTCTCAAAAATCTAGACAATCTAAACGATGAGCAAGAGCGGAGAGTGGATGAAGATCAACAGGAGGAAGAGGCGGCGGATGAGAAAAGTCTCCTTGTGAAAGACGCGTTCCTTGTTTTTCGTGCGATGGCGAAGATATCTGCAAAGCCACTCGATGCTGAAACCGATATGAGATCGCACTCCGTGAGATCTAAGCTGCTTTCTCTACACTTGATACACTCTATCATAAATGACCACATTGACATTTTTCTTTCTCGTGACATTGTCTTAAGCGGAAGGGACAAGTCTCCGTTTGTTGAGTCTATCAGGCAGTATCTTTGCCTTTCGTTATCTCGCAACGCTGCATCCCCTATAGCGCCCGTCTTTGAAGTCACTTTAGAAATTATGTGGCTTTTAATCTCTAATTTAAGGTCAGAGTTCAAAAGAGAGATACCAGTCTTCCTGACGGAAATTTATTTCCCAATTTCAGATCTCAAAACATCCACTCCTCATCAGAAAAGATATTTCCTGAATGTAATTCAAAGAATTTGCAATGATCCTCGAACGCTGATAGAGTTCTATCTGAATTATGATTGTGATAGTCGTTTGCCAAATGTCGTCGAAATGATAATTGATTATCTGACGCGGATGGCCCTCACCAGAGTAGATGCTACACCTTCACAGAGAGCTTATTTCGATGAACAGCGCGATTTACCACTGGCAACATATAATTTGTCACAACTACCTCTATTGTCCATCTCAAACCTGCATTATTCAGCGGTAGATAAAAACGATCTTCCGTACCCCGTGGAGTTTGCCCTCAAAATGGTATCTTTAAATTGCATGGTTGCTGTTTTAAGATCTCTAGGCTCATGGGCCCATAAGGCATTGAATCCAACCAGCTCTACTCTCGAGAGGTCGACTTTTCTATCCGCGGCAGTCCTCGAAAAAGGGGGAAAGTCGTCTTCTACACGTAACTCTGTTGGGGATTTGAATTCAGAGAGCAGCTTTAAGGTAAGTGCGAATGGCGAGTTCTCCACCTCAGATCATCTTACTGGTGAAACAGATGATCCTGCTCAATTTGAAAGTTTAAAAATTAGGAAAACCGAGCTTCAAGATTGTATCAATTTGTTCAACATAAAAGCAAAAAAAGGACTTCAGGCGCTGCTCTCAAAAGGCTTTTTGTCTGATGATTCGCCACAGTCTGTTGCCAAATGGATTTTAGATACGGAGGGTCTCGACCTTGGGGCGGTAGGCGACTTCTTGGGTGAAGGTGATGAGAAAAGTATCTCCACCATGCATGCATTCGTTGACAGTTTCAATTTTGAGGGTCTCTCTCTGGTCGATGCCCTACGCGTCTTTCTTCAGCGTTTTAGACTTCCTGGAGAGGGCCAAAAGATCGATAGATTCATGCTCAAATTTGCTGAGAGGTTTGTTGACCAAAATGTTGGCATCTTCGCTAAGGCTGACACTGCATATGTTTTATCTTATTCCATCATAATGCTCAACACAGACTTACACTCATCCCATATCAAGCACAAAATGACACTCCAAGAGTTCATAGAGAATAACGCTGGAATTGACAACGATAAGGATCTTTCCGAGGACTATATGGTGAACCTGTATAATGATATTGCCAACAATGAGATCAAGCTCCAGTCTGAGCAACATCAAGCCATGTTATCAGGAGACCTGAACGATCCTCAACAACAACAGCAGTCCGCTTTCAATTTTTTCAGTAGCAGGGATCTGAATCGTGAAGCATACATGCAAGTTTCGAAAGAAATATCCTCAAAAACCGAACAGGTGTTCAAAAACCTCACGAGAACACGAAGTAAAGCGGACAATGTGTTCTATGCGGCGTCCCATATTGAGCATGTGAAGTCCATCTTTGAAACCCTTTGGATGTCGTTTTTGGCTGCTTTAACTCCGCCTTTTAAAGACTATGATGATAGAGAAACCACCAATATATGCCTCGAAGGAATCAAAATATCCGTGAAAATTTCGTCCACGTTTGGCATTGATTACGCGCGCACTTCATTTGTTGGTGCTTTAGTGCAATTTGCAAACTTACAAAATATTCAGGAACTGAAAATAAAAAATGTTGACGCAATTATTGTATTACTGGAACTTGCTTTGACTGAAGGCAACTTTTTAAAAAACTCTTGGAAAGATGTCCTGGTTGTTGTTTCACAAGTGGAAAGACTTCAACTCATTTCGAAAGGTGTTGATGGCCAGACATTGCCTGATGTTTCGCAGGCAAGGCTCGCCAATCATCGCAGTTCTTTCGAGTCAACTAGGTCAGCTCGCTCCGGATCGCTCAGTTTTTTGGACAAATGGACGAAAAGAGCAACGCCAATCGAGCTGGCACAGGAAAAACATCATAATCAAATTCTGTCTCCGGAAATCTCAACCTTTATTTCCTCCAGTCAATTAGTGGTACTTATTGATAGAGTATTCACAAGCAGCGCTCTCTTATCAGGTAACGCGATTGTGGATTTTATCAGAGCATTAACTGACGTCTCATTCGAGGAAATTGAGTCTTCTCAAAACACCACGAGCCCAAGGATGTTCTCGCTTCAGAAAATGGTTGACGTATGCTACTACAACATGGATCGTATAAGAGTCGAATGGACACCAATCTGGGCTGTGATGGGCCAAGCATTTAACAAAATTGCCACCAATCCTAATTTAGCAGTGGTGTTTTTCGCAATTGACTCCCTGCGTCAGCTCTCTATGCGATTTCTAGACATAGAAGAACTATCTGGCTTTGAATTTCAACACGATTTTCTCATGCCTTTCCAATTTGTCATTGCCAACACATCGAACACCGAAGTACAGGAAATGTGTATTGAATGTTTCAGAATCTTTGTTCTCACTAAAGCAGGGAAAATCAAGTCGGGCTGGAAACCTATTTTGAAATCTCTTCAATACTGCTCGAGCTCTTCATCTGAGACAATCTGCGTGAAAAGCTATCAGTTAGCTGCAAACGAAATTGTGAAAAGTCAATTTGCAAGCGTTTTTATTCAAGACTCGGCTTTTCTTGAACTTGTTGCGGTTTTCAAGACCATCACCAAGAATCGCAAATTTCAGAAACTATCTTTACATGCCTTGGAAGTGTTGAAAAGGATTACAAATGAAGTCGCAACGTTGTGCTTCGCCTCTTCGGATAAATCAATGCTTCACGGAAAGAGTTTGTTCGATGACATATGGTTCCCACTACTTTCAAGCTTCAACGACTCTATCATGACTGCAGAGGACTTAGAGGTGCGATCGCGGGCTTTGAACTACATGTTTGATGCTTTAGTGGAATATGGTGGCCATTTTAACGACGCATTCTGGACAAGAATATGCACGTCCCTTTTATTTCCTATATTCGGAGTTTTGTCGAAACATTGGGAAGTCAATCAATTTAACAGTCATGACGATCTCTCCGTATGGTTGTCTACCACTCTTATTCAGGCCTTGCGAAATATGGTAGCTCTGTTCACTCATTACTTTGAGAGCCTGAACAAAATGTTAGACGGGTTTTTGGGCCTGCTGGTTTCCTGCATATGCCAAGAAAATGACACCATAGCGCGTATTGGCCGTTCCTGCTTACAGCACCTTATTATTCAAAACATGTCTAAGTTCGAGAAGAATCACTGGGATGAAGTCACCGAGGCTTTTGCAAAGTTATTTGAGCTCACTACGGCCACTGAACTGTTCGAGCATGACCCCATGCATCAAGGTCGTAGGTCGTCTAACGTGGAGCAGAAGGACGAAAAGGCTCCCACCGTTGAAGAGGAAGTCGAAAGAGCACATAAAGAAGACAGTGGCGAAGACGTCGGTAGTGGTTCTGCCGTTGGAGAGAGGCCCAGCAAAAGGTTGGTCAACACCAAAAGCAGCGAGGATCTGCGAAAGCGCATTTCGGTAAAGAACGCAATCGTTGTCAAATGCGTCCTGCAATTGCTGATGATTGAGTCCCTAAGTGAGCTTTTCGAAAGCGAGGACTTTTGCAATGCAGTACCTCACGCAAATGCAGTGCTACTGATCAACTTGCTTGAAAAGTCGTTTGAGTTTGCTAAGGACTTCAATGAGGACTTTGGTCTGAGATCCCGTTTAGTGGATGCCCGCGTCGTAGACAAAATCCCTAACCTACTGAAGCAAGAAACAAGCGCCAGTGCGGTCCTCATCAACGTTATGTTCAAACTATATCTAAATGCTGGGAAGGACCACGTGGACGATGCGGAAGCTCTCTTAGTACGCTTGAAAGCTATATGTGTTCGTATTGTCGAGCGCTACGTGGCTCTCGACGACAGAACCATGGAAAGGAACATAACCTCGTGGCGTCCGGTTGTGGTTGAGATTTTACAGGGCTACTACGAATTCGATGATAATGACTTCAAAGGGCAATGCCCGGTCATGTACGAACTCGTGATGCGTATTTTGGACAAACCAATGACAGTCGAGTTACGCATGGGTATTAAGGCTTTCCTCTCCCGTGTCGGCGACCTTTACTTGTGAACCATCTAAGCCTAGCTGAACAATCCTGGCGTCATACAATAGCTGTGTATATTAACCTATTAAATGATGATATCGGATAAAATGAGGTAAGCTTTCCTTTCGTGCTAAGCGAAAACCGCTAGTGGCTGCACGAACACCAAGGAACCAAGCGGTAGCATATAGTACAATCACTATACACGAGCCGCATCTCGTTTGACTCTCAAGACGTCGGAAGACGTGACCTTGCATAATCGCCGATGGTTTCATCGGCGACAGACTTGATTCGCCCTTGTCGCACAAGATTTCCAGCCTTGAAAGAATTCTTGATCGAACTATCTAGTATATGTGAAATAAAGCCGATATAAAGCCGTCACCGAAAATGGCGGTTCGCGGACTCCCTTGAATTCGGAGCGCAGCTGTTGTCAAACTGGATGTCTATCGGTGGTGAGTGTTCAGATCACGTGATTCAGTTGCCTAGCCGTTGTCCACATCCGGCCAAATCCAACAAAATTTTTTCGTACAAGAACTAAAGGCATGCGCGAAAGATGAATCCCTTCAAGCCGATGTATGTGTTCCACTTGCAAACCACAAATCTTTAGCTATAACAACGGAAGATTTCTGGAAGAATTGTCCGACAAGAATTGCAGTGACACAATCCAATCGCACCAATTCAGTGGTTATACAATTTGCCGTCGTTAAAGGTTTAGGAATTCATTAATCGTGTTCAAAAACCGGCTTGAGCACTGCGGAACAGACAATTGAGCTCCTTTCGCCCGAAACTTAGATATAGAAACAATGTCCTCTGCTAAAGCTCATAAAGTGGTTCACGAGGCCCACAACGTTGAGGCTCGCCATCCTCCCGCTCACTTCTACAACTCGCAGCCTCGCAGCGGTCACGTGACCGATTTAGCGCACTACCAAGAGATGTACGCGAAATCGATTTCGGAGCCCGAAGAGTTTTTTGGACCCATGGCTCGCGAGCACCTTCACTGGGATAAGCCATTCACGAAGGTCTGCTCTGGATCGCTTGAAAATGGTGATGCTGCTTGGTTCTTGAACGGTGAATTGAACGCCGCATACAACTGTGTCGACAGACATGCGTTCGCCAATCCTTCCAAGCCAGCTATCATTTACGAGGCCGACGACGAAAAGGACAACAGAGTGCTAACGTTTGGTGAGCTCTTGCGCCAAGTTTCGGAAGTCGCCGGCGTTCTACAAAGCTGGGGCGTGAAAAAGGGTGACACTGTGGCCGTGTACTTGCCTATGATTCCGGAAGCTGTAGTTGCAATGTTGGCAGTTGCTCGTATTGGTGCCATACACTCTGTTGTTTTCGCTGGCTTCTCTTCCGGGTCTTTGAAAGATCGTGTCGTGGATGCCGGATGCAAAGTTGTGATTACATGCGACGAGGGCCGTAGAGGCGGTAAAACCGTTCACACCAAAAAAATCGTCGATGAAGGTTTGGCAGGTGTTGGCTTGGTTTCGAACATCCTCGTTTTCCAAAGAACCGGATCCGAAGGCATTCCAATGAAGCCAGGCAGAGACTACTGGTGGCATGAAGAAACTGCCAAGCACAGAGGTTACCTTCCATGCACTCCTGTGAACGCGGAGGACCCGTTGTTTCTGCTTTACACTTCAGGATCCACGGGATCGCCTAAAGGTGTTGTACATTCCACCGGTGGCTATCTCTTAGGAGCCGCTTTAACAACGAAGTACGTCTTTGACATACATCCTGAAGATGTTCTATTCACAGCAGGAGATGTCGGCTGGATTACCGGTCATACCTATGCTTTGTATGGTCCATTGACTTTGGGTACTGCAACAATCATTTTTGAGTCTACTCCCGCCTACCCTGATTACGGGAGATACTGGAGAATCATCGAACGCCACAAGGCTACTCATTTCTATGTCGCCCCAACTGCTCTACGTCTAATTAAGCGTGTCGGTGAAGCTGAAATTGCCAAATATGATACTTCGTCTTTGAGAGTTTTGGGGTCAGTCGGTGAACCTATTGCGCCAGATCTATGGGAATGGTATTTCGAAAAAGTGGGCAAGAATAGCTGTGCTATTTGTGACACTATGTGGCAAACTGAGTCCGGATCACATTTGATTGCTCCTTTGGCTGGGGCCGTACCTGCCAAGCCAGGTTCAGCCACCGTTCCCTTTTTTGGTATCAATGCTTGCATCATTGACCCTGTTTCCGGAGAAGAACTAAAAGGCAACGATGTTGAGGGGGTCCTTGCAGTCAAGAGCCCTTGGCCTTCAATGGCGAGATCCGTTTGGAACAACCACTCTCGTTACATCGAAACTTACTTGAAACCATACCCTGGATATTACTTCACGGGTGACGGTGCAGGTAGAGACCACGACGGGTACTATTGGATTCGTGGTAGAGTTGACGACGTTGTAAATGTTTCTGGCCACAGATTGTCTACTTCCGAAATCGAGACCGCTCTAGCAGAACACGAGGGTGTATCCGAGGCTGCAGTAGTTGGGATCTCCGATGAACTTACAGGTCAGGCTGTCATTGCCTTTGTTTCTTTGAAGGACGGCTATGTGCAGGAAGCTGTGAATGAAGGGGACACTGCCCATATCACACCTGATAACTTACGTCGTGAGCTTGTGCTTCAGGTGAGAGGCGAAATCGGTCCATTTGCCGCTCCAAAGACTGTTGTAGTAGTGAACGATCTTCCAAAGACAAGGTCGGGCAAGATTATGAGAAGAGTCTTGAGAAAAGTGGCATCTAACGAGGCGGAAGAGCTTGGCGACTTGTCAACTCTTGCAAACCCTGACTGCGTCCCTTCTATCATTTCTGCTGTCGAGAATCAGTTCTTCGCTCAAAAGAAAAAATAAGAAATCAAATGAAAACTCTTTCTCTGCCTTAGCGCCATGAAGGCTTAGAATAGAGTTGCTAGTAAGCATTTTCAAGGCTATCTAACAAGGTATAGAAGTCAAATTTGTCTTTCTCTAGATCCTTGCGGACATTCGAAGTTTTCGGCAAGAGCTGATAAAGAGCTATGCGCCTTTCAATAAGTTACAAAACAAAGGGCATATACAGTAGTAGGTATTATTCTTTCAATTGAAAAAAATAGAGCGACTTCGTTTATGAACCTTGAAATTACAGAGTGGAGCTGTTATGCCGCTAAAGACTATCGGGGTACAAACCGGTAAGCATTCAAATAAAGCGAATATAAATGCATAACTTTCCTTTATCTTCCAGGAAAGTCTTGGCTGAATTGCCTGGGGAAGTAAAAAGGGATATCAATACGTCCTACGTCCTACGTCCTCTTGTTTTATGTAATATTATTTCAAGCGTAACCGCATTGCTTGCATTGTTTCCCCACGAAAAATGTGATTCATACTAATCTTTAACGATAGGAGAAAAGTCCGTAGGAATGAAAGTTGCAATCGCACTCGATGAACTGTGAGTTCTGGCAATTATTGAAATCGATAGAAGATAAAACAAGACGCCTTTGATTGAATTGTTTATCAGCACTTGATATCATCGTTTTTCTTTGGTCTACGGAGCGCCTCATGAATTGATATCTTTTTGATGACGAGTATCAATTTGGGAGCGGCAATTTATGTGGCCGTCAAACCGGTACTGAAGATCTATGTCATCATTGCAGTTGGCTATCTGCTTGCGCGATACAATATTGTTACTGTAGAAACAAGTAGAGGTGTTTCGAACATGGTAGTTAATGCTATTCTACCTTGTCTTACGTTTAACAAAATCGTCGGTAACATCTCAGACAAGGACATCAAAGAAGTTGGTGTCATAGTTTTGACAGCTCTGTTAATGTTCTGTACAGGAGGCGTTGTTGCGCTATGCACGAAGTGGGCAACAAGGGCACCTCAAAGGTGGACTTGGGGCCTACTCTTCGCAGGAATATTCCCAAATATCTCAGATCTTCCGATAGCATATGTCCAGTCCATGAATACTGGCTCCATTTTTTCCACCGATCAAGTTAACAGGGGAGTTGCTTACTGCTGTATTTTTTTGGCTTCTCAAAGCTTTCTGATGATGAACTTTGGGATGTTCAGACTAGTGGGTCTTGATTTCAGAGAGCAAACAAGCGATGAAGAGCATGGAAGTCAGGGAGTAAGTGACAGTTTAAGTTCGCATAGTCTTAGGCGTCTTTCTTCGAAAAAGGAACCTGATGCTCCTTCTTCGCTTAGAGAGCAAAGCTTTCCGATACGCGAGAATAGTCTCTCTGACAACGAGACTGGGGGGATGAAGTGTCGCGACTACCCACATCGGCTACCTCTGGCTCACACAGCCAATCGTTATTTCCCAGACCTCGAACCTGAACGAACCGACACTTCTGCCGTTTCGACTTTGTCATCAGAGAGCTCCATCTCGTGGGCCCCTTCTCACAAGACGGCTCCAGCAATATTACACAATGTTACAAAGGGGCAAATGACTCGTTGTCGGTCGTCTACATGGTCAAGAGAAAGAAGAGGAAGCATTCCTCAAACAACAGAGGATATTGTCAACGAGTACAGTGTTGCAAGCAGAATGAAGTCAGGAGAAGTGGACCTTTCCAAACCTTTGTCGCTTACTCAAGAAATAGGAGCCGTCGGGTCCCGCTCGCTGGACGACAATTGTGATTTGTGCGAAAACCTCACTCAGTCTGGAGGAAATATGTCCTTGAGGCAGACGAGAAGTCAGCTGGCGGCACAACCTGGTAATAACATTTCTAAGCTCGACTCGTTTATTCAGAAATATAAATTAGGATGGCTCATGTACATTCTAGTCAACTTCTGTCGCCCAGCTTCGTTGGGCGCTCTGTTAGGCATTATTTGTTCAATGATTCCGTGGGTTAAGGCGCTATTTGTTCATACCGACGTACACATGCATCAGGCACCAGATGGACAACCCGTGCTTAACTTTTTGATGGACTTCACAGGCTACGTGGGGAACGCTTGCGTTCCTCTCGGTTTGCTTCTGCTTGGTGGTACCTTGGCAAGATTAAAAGTGACGAGTCTTCCAAAAGGATTCTGGAAAACAGTGGTTGTTATGACAGTTTTTCGACTAATGATTTTACCAATAATAGGCGTCGCTTGGGCTAATAAACTTCGGCAAGTCAACTGGCTTGAGAACGAAGTTGCTGTGTTCATAACAGTCCTGACTTGGGCGATGCCGAGCGCCACTGCACAGGTCTATTTTACTGCATTCTACACACCGCTAGAAGGAGATCATTTACAGATGGACTGTCTTTCTGTTCTTTTCATGTCACAGTACCTGGTCCTCTTTATCACACTTTCCTTCGTAGTGACCTACACTCTGAAAGTTACTCTTAAACTTTAAAGCCAAACATTTAGCTAATGAAACATATAATTTGCATTTTGGACAGGACACGTCTTCTACATCGGACACGCAAACACTTTGATGCTAATATGTTTGGAGCATGATGTTGAATTCAGAGAAGCTGCTAACTAATCTCCGTCGCTTTAGGCAAACTTCCGGAAGATTGGAAACTTCTTTGTGGCCCATCAAAAGACGTGCTGCTGTTCTTGTTCTGCTGTTCATCGGGTCAAGAGGAGAGCTCAGGGTACTACTGACGAAGCGATCTCGAGGTCTCAAGAGTTTCTCGGGACATGTTTCTTTACCGGGGGGCAAAGCCGACAGTGAGACGGAAATGTTGGAGGAAATGGCTCGCCGAGAATCGGAGGAAGAAATAGGATTACCTAGAGACGATAAACAGTTGTTGGGCAAGTATGGAATGAAGATAGATAAGATTTCTACAAGGATGCCCTTTTTTCTGTCCAGAACGTTTTTGAGCGTTAATCCGATGGTTTGCTTTCTTTATAGCAGTCAATGCAATGAAAGAGATAAATATTTAAAGCCCCTGGATGGACTTCGATCTTTTGGCAAGTTAAATCCAGGAGAGACTTCTTCAATTTTCTCGATTCCAATCATTGATCTCATCGCACATGGGGACAAATGGAAAGATTACTCCCCAGAATATCTGAACTTCACAATTGCAAATCGGCGTTGGGGAGGATTACCATGGGAAGTGCGCCACTACTTTTATCCTCAAGATAATATGAACGACAGCAAATGGCTCAATGACATCTCCGATCAAAGTTCGTGCGATGATGAACACCTTGGAACACCTTGTAAAATTGTGTGGGGGTTAACGGCCAAAATACTTCACTCATTGGCATGTATCGCTGTGGGAGAACACTCGCTAAATTACGGCCATAATGATTTGATCTACGCACTATACGAACTTGGCGACCAGATGAAAGACACTGAACGCTCCCAGTGGGAAGTAGGCATGAGTAACGGTGGGAAAGGTTTCAAATATAAAGATGTGCTACCACGATATTACCATGACGCACTTTTGCAGAGAGGCTACGCATTTTAGGTAGTGAACAGTTGTTTGTAACGATTCAATTTTCGATTTCGACTTAGAGATAGAGTTGTCAGGTATGACCTATATATGTGGAAGCATCAAGGCTTAAGGGCTAACCAAAAAACCAGCTCTAAAACCTTGAAGGAAATCCTTTTTAAGCCAAAGATGGGAAGTTTTCGGCGTTAACAACTGGCTTCTTGTCCGCAGCCTTTGGAGCACCTCTGGTGTTCTTTGGCTTACCACCACGTCTTGGGGCCTTGTTTTCGAAAGATCTTGGCTTAGGCTTGGAGTCGGCGAAAGTCGCGTCGAAGTCCAAGTATTGCTTAGACTTTTGCTGCTTGTTCTTGACCGCTTTGACCTTGGTTGGTTCAGCGTAAACTTCTTCCCTCTTGACCAAAAGCTCGGCTTCCAAGTTCTCAACGTTCTTCTTGGTAATTGGGGCTTTGTTCAATTCATTGTTAGCTTGCTCGTTCAAATAATCTTGCAAAGACTTTTTGTTGGAAACTGAAGTCTTCTCGGCGGATTGGTCGTCTTTGAGTTCGGCTTGGGCGTCAGCTTCACCTTCGGCTTCGGCAGCCAATTCGGCACGGTCGTCACCCCAGCCTTGTCTGACTCTCTTTTCGGTGTCAACCTTGCCACTTCTGTTTTGACGGTCGGTGGCTCTTCTGGCAGCGTGAGAGGTTTTGGCAGCGGTAGACTCTGGAGCGTCCTTACCTTTGTTAACTCTTCTGCCGTTGGATTTGTCTCTGAAAGCACCCTCGTTGCCAGATGGCTTTGGTCTGTTCTTGTTGGCCCTGGAAGGGTCGGCAGATGGAGGAGGAACATCAGCCTTCTTGGAAGAAGTGTTCTTCTTCACAAGTTCCTTTGGAGGAAGTGGAGCCACAACATTGGCGTCCTCAACATCGTTACCTAAAACGTCGAATGGGTTTTGGTCCTAAAAAGTGACTGTTAGTATTTGCTTCTAAACCCTTGACAAGCCGTTCGGTACCATTGCCCGGTGTCGTTTCATAAAACTGTTAAACTGCTTACGTACAGACATAGTTCAATGCTCCCTTATGGTAATCGAACAGGCCCTGTAAGATATTTGTTTCTAGCTCCTACACAAGAAAACTTAACTAAAGTATCTTAACTACTTGTATGTTATGGAGTGAATTGCAGACAGAGACGGGCTCACCTGCTACCGTCCAGCCTTGCCAGCGAAACGATGTCCCGAAAATTTTGAAAAATTTTCTGGGAATCAGCGCGTGAGTAAAATCTGGTCCGGCATCGCGAAAAACGTAGTCTTTGCGAAAATCATCGAGATAACTTCAAAACAAGCTTTAATCACCGCCCCGGGGGATAAGTAGCCTCATGGGACTGACCGGAGCTAAATTGCGATCCACAAAACGCTAATTTCAATGGCTCGTACATTGTCTTTGTATTTATGTTGTCGTTTTATACGAACTAGCGGACTCATCTGAAGGTCTTTCGTGGTGCTACCGGAAATCGGTCACTATCTCATGAGTCTGAGTGACACCGTTTTGATGCCAAGATTCAGCAATTATTGTAGAAGTTCTCCTCCCAATTTCTGTTCCAAATGTGACCTAAGGCGTTTTTATTTAGTTTACCTGGTTGAGAGAACACTTAACAACGATTGACGATTACGAAGTCGAATGCCCGCCTAATTAGGTCGGTGACGACAGTTGAACTTCTACTTCTTGTTCTCGTTTTTGCCGGATTTTGCTGACTTCTCGGTGATAGACGTTTATCATACCTTTCTTAATGTTCTCTAATCTCTTGAAAACGTAAATTGATTATAAGAGCATTAGGTGGGAGTGGTAGCGACATAGCGATAGAATGTATTGATCATGAGAGTTACTGATTCCTTCGTCCTCCAAAATATTCAGAAATATAGTCGAAGTTCAAAAGCTTTAGCTGCGGGGAGAATGTTGTGCTTTTAAGAAAGCCCCAATACATACATATATATATATGGTATTTTGGTGACTGACGGTTTATTTGCTAATGGAGAAAGTCACAACCTTAAAATAAACTCAAATCCCAGCACAACACTAAGTATCAAATTACAGTATCTTCAGCTCTTAGTACATCTCTTGTCATTGGCATTGTTCGTGATTACCACCACACCATTCGCCCACTGACATTGTTCCAACGCCAGGGAAAAAAAAAAAGAATTTAGTTAGAAAAAGCTGTTTACGATCATCGCGCCGCTGGTTCTCAATTCACTATATAACAATAATCCTGGTGTCTTTAGGAGCGAGATACCCTTACGCCAATGGATAAACACGAGTGTTCGTAATGGAAAGGCAGGAAGGCTGTTCAACGTAGAGCTTTCATCTTCATGTTGCGAAGGGCATCCCTTAGTACTCTCTGAGTGTAAAATTTCAGTTTTGTTAATACAGCGCGCCGTAAGAAAACGAAGAACAACTTTCAGCGCCAGAACCAAAAGGCGCCATGATCGTTTTCGTTTTACCGCTTATGATAGTTTTTTCACATAATGGGCTGTGCTTGTTACATTGCTAAGATGTCGAGATGATCTTTAAGAAATGGCGGTTTCCCAGTCCCAACAGGAAAGATGGGAAACATGTGAATCTTGACAACGGTCAAATCGAAGATCCGCATTGACCCAAAAGGTCCTTTCTATTGATGGTTCCTGCCCCTCCAGACTTTGGCGCGTGCTTAATTATTAGAGATTGAGGGGAAAGACGTTATAAAAAAAATTAAAGTTTGAAAAATGCACGCGCATTAAAGTCTTCATGCAAAGAGTCAGCTAGTAGTTTTGGCCAAGCTAGCTATCAAATGAGCACTAAAGGAGTATCACCGCAGGAGAATGAGGCCAAATTGGCAGCAATAGGGGAGGAACGTTGGACCGCGCGCCCAAAAAACGATATCGTGCGTGAAACGTCACACAAGGACACCAAGCAGTCGAACGTGGCTCAAAAAGTCACGCCTGAAATACTTTCGCAGTTATTACTGATCAAGGGTCCATTGGCCATCCGGTTCATTACGCAAGCACTTGCAGAAGCGATCCCCGGTTTCAAAGCGCTATCGGCCTCGAAGCAGAGGCGTGTCATCATGGGCGTGCTCGAAACAGGGGATGCACAGAATGGAGTAGTTTTTGCCAAGATAGGGTGGGGCCAGTGGTCTGCACGCAAGGTCGATCCAGAAGTGTTCGAAAAAGAGCGTGAAGCGACAAACATAGCCAATGCCAAAATAAAAGACGCGGTTTCGCAGGAGAGACGACGCAGCAGTAGCAGCAAGAGACACGGCTCGCGAAAGGAGCGTGAATTCCTCTTCGGAAGCGGGTCCCAGGCAGGGTTCCTATTTGATGAGAATGCGCTAGCGTCTGAAGAAGAGGACGAAGATATTGACGCCGATGAAGAGGACGCATCTCATGCCACAAATTATGATGTAATGAAGAGACGGAAATCGAGCGTCGTTTTTGCAGACGCGCCGGAGGACCTCGATAATGAGCTTAAGTGGCCCTCTATCCGTCCGCTACTGAAAAACAATCGGCGCCGGTCGTCATCCAAAGTGCGGGCTCAGTCAATATCGAAACCGGGCTCCTTTAGGGGGTCAGTGGTGAGCCTGGGGTCCAGTGGAAGCACCGAACTAATCACAACGGCGGCATTGGACTTGAAAAGTCGCAGTTCGACGGACCTGCAGGCCTCGGTGGACCACGACCAGGACCTGGGCGCCAACCGTTTACACAATAGGGAGGCCCGGATGTCGTTCTCCAAAGAATCTTCGATACGATCAACGTTACTGGCGCATGCCAGTCATCGCGTGAGTCCGCTTCAAAAAGCTGTCGAGAGTTTACCAGTTGGTGGCGGAGAAAAAGTCTCGCACAGCAACTTCAGCAGCACGTCTCCTCAGCCACTGCGCGATCTTGACCAGTCCGACACGGACGAAGAAGACTGGGAGCGCATAGGTGCGGCCTCCTTGAGAAACAGTAGCGATCGCTCAAGTGTACAATCCCCTCAATTAGAGCCCACTGCTCCGTTGCAACAGCCACCACGCATGGCATTAGCCACTTCTCCGAAGCTTCCAACAGCGGATACAAGCAAAAAACGGACACACCGCGGTGCTGAAGACCCAGAAGACGCAGCTTTCCTATTGATGAGCCTTAAATCTTAGATGGGTTTAATCCGAAGAATCACGTGACTCATTTCCTCTTCTCCGCATAAAATCATGGTTTTCTTTGACTCAAATTTAACGGTCAAGGGGGTGATTGATACACGTTTAAGTCATGGGGTCTTTCAGAAAATTCAAAACTCGTAATATTTAATTCTCCAACTAGCTCTTAATAAAGACGACTAGACTAGTGAGATCTACAGAGAGGCAAAAAGACACTTGGATTTTATTCCACTTTTCTGCGCTGCATTTGAAACGCTAGTTTTTAATACCAGCATTTTTTGCTATACAAATGACTATTGACCATGGTGGGGAGGGAACTCATGATGGGGAAGCTTTTGCTTCCGAAAGGTTATTCCAAAGTTATATGATGCCTTCCCTAAAACTGTTTGATACACGAGTCTCTATAAATCATTGGCAGTTGAGAAACTGCATAAAACACTCATCAAGGCATCCCGGGAAACTATACTACATTTTCGATCACAGCATTCGAGTTTTAGACACGAGGCCCAGCATTTCGGCTCCATCTAAGACAATCTATCAGAAGGGCCGCGAAAAAGTATCCCGTGGGAGGCGAAGCAGCGTTCCGAACCGGCCGAAAGGCGAGGAGCAACACACACCGTCCCACAAAGTCGTTGAGCTCGATTTCAAATCGCGGTGTTTCGATGAAAAGAACGGCCTGATTGCATCCGGAGGATTGATGGGACCAGACGACAATGGCAGCTTGGGAGAAAGTCGACATGTGGTCACGCTGAGCGATCTGACCGAAAGCGACTCCAACTCGCAATCTCAAAACGTCGAGCCTATTAGGATAGCGGATCCGAGCATTCTAAATGAACACTCAAGTTATAGCAACGAAGCATCCTGGAAAGGTACTCTTTCCCTGTACAACGAAGACACAAATCGTTGTTTGACATACAGGCTGGGGCAGTACATCAACAACTGCGTTACAATGTACCAACGATCAAACCAACAATATGATTTATTTGCATGCAACAATGATGCGCATTTATATCAATGCGATATCAGTAATCGCGGCGTCCAACTCACAAAAAGATACTCGGATCTAAAATTTCCGTTGAACAATGCATGCATCTCTCACGACGGCCAAACACTCATCACGTCGGGAGATTCGAGTAAGTTTGCAGTATACCAGCACAACGAAGCAACGGGGTTTTTTTCCCTCCAATATGACACCCAACCGGAATGGGGCAGTTCAGTTGTACGCATGAAAAGGATCCCTAGGTACGCAATGCCGGATTCTTCAGGTTTTGTTGATCACATTTATGAAGCAAGTGGAGGCGATCATGGTTTTCACACCAGTTTTAGTGAAAATGATCTTCTATTTGCCACGGTATTCCAGAATGGGACTTGCTTCTTGTACGATATTCGCAAGATGGATGCTCCTTTGACACAAATTTCTTCCACCAGAAAGCACGCTCAAAATGGCGCATTTAGGGTATGCAAATTTAGCCGGGGTTTAGACGATTTATTGTTTATTTCAGAACATCAAGGACGCGTTCACGTTGTTGACACGAGAAACTTTTCTAATCACCAGGTCATCATTGTACCAGACAGAATAACCACGAGTACAGATCAAAATTTTCCACTTAATGCAAGGAGAAGTTCGTTGCCTGCCCAATTTAGCAACCGCTTCGTAACATCTGCGACTCAAATTCCGGTGAGCGAAATGGCTCCCATACTCCTCCCTTTCCCCAAAGCTGTCAATTGTATTAGCAATAATTTTATGGAACCGTTGTATCCCCGAGAGACTCAAGAGGGAGATAACCTAAGGCAGCCTTTTAGAGTAAGGAGAGTTTCGACATCTCAGCCCTCTGCATTTGCCTGTTTAGACTCCATCGATCCGACGATATTAGAGGCGCGCTATTCTGAACAAAACTATCGTGCGGTAGACAATTATAACTATCTTTCTTCCACTTTGAGAAGAGAAAATACTTCCAACTCTTCTTCCTTGAGCTTTAACGATAGTGAAACCGATGACAGCTCCTCTGAGGTTGTACACGAGTCAGCCGAAGCGTACGCAAGGCCCAGAAATCATGTTTTCGAACCAGTACTTGCCCAACAGGGAGTACTCGCGTCAAGACAAGGTGAATTTTCATCACCTCTTGAGACGGATGCGCTATATCCGATGGAGGAAAACCATATTTCGGGCATTGATTGGATGGATGATGCGGAAGGAAGCGCTTTAGTCGTAGGAACAGGCTATGGAATTATGAAGTGGAACATCAATTCATGGGCTCGTAGAAGCTTTTCCAGTTATGACTTCTGCTAGTTAGTGATATATGTAAAATCGCATATTGACGTTATGGTATGATAGCAAGCATCAAATGAGATCAAGTCCGCTGCCAAAAAGCTCTCAACTAATCCACCACGTCTGATGTATTAGTGGTACCTTCATTTAAGTCTTCCTCAAGCGGCTTTGAAACATCCTGAGCAACGTCTTCACCCTCCTCCAACTGATTCGCATTGCGTTCCGACTCGTACTGATCCTGCAATTCCTTGAATTCGCTTTCATCCTCAAGTATGGCATTTATGCCAATGATACCTCCCTCATTGAAAATATCCAATACACGCTCAGCTTCCTCAAGTGACATTTCAGAAAATACTTCATTTATTTGATCGAGACTCTGTGATTGAACCGCCGTCTGCATTTGAGTTGGCAGTTTGTTGAAAGCTTCACGTCTTGCGACCTCTTCAGATGCCTCTGAGTTAAAATCAGGTAGATTGATATGCAGTTCTGTAGAGTCATCAAGGGACTTAAGTTGAATTGTTTCGACGCCTTCTTGAGGCGACTCGTGCTCCATAACTTTCACGCGCTGCTTTACATGATCAAACTTCGCCTGAACCGATTCAAGAAAAGAGGCCCTTCCGCGGTCAGCAGACTTAAAGAAAACCCTTTCGAAAAACATTTTGATAACTTTGGTCATTTCGCCTGCCCTCAGAAAGGGAATTTTTTTGATATCATAAAGCTCTCTGATGTAAGCCAAAAGTTCCGATTGATGAATCGCTTGATAGGCCTTGACTTCATCACCTTCCATTTGATGTTCAAAAGCAGTCATCATAAGAGCGTCCTTTTGTTGTTCGGATATGATAGGTAAATGCTGAAGGAGAAATTCTTCAGATTTTTTGAGTTTGTCGGGCGCGATCTTGCCAAAAGCCAAGGTCTCGGGAGCCAATTTCATGGCATCGTCTTTGAAATCAATGAACTCCATCGGAGGCGGCGAAAGAGAGCCGATTAGTGATGTCTCGGATGCTGGTTGTTTAGGTATAAATTTAGACGCATCCTCTCCCTCGGCCATCTTATTGACGAAACTCTTGTCGAAACCTGTGTGAATATCATCCGATGATATAAGCGAGTTTTTCAAGCGGTACAATTCCGACAGCTTGTCGGTAGCTTGTGTGTTGACTTGGTCAATCTTCTTCCTGTGCCTAAGAATCATTTCTCTAATAACTGCACCGTCTTTGGGATCCTTACCTTCCTTTTTCGCATTAAGTTCCATTTGTTCAAAAAGATCTTCCACCATCTCGTTGTATGTAGGCATGTCGGGATCAACGTGGTCACCTTGACCTCTCTCTGTTTTGTCGAAATTGGCATTTAAGAACTGCTGGACGGAGTCCATCTTCAATAACTCCGAATCGCTCAGCGTGTTCAACATCTTATCGACACGTCTATTAAGCCGATCATTCATCTGCAATTGAAACTCCAAATTCTTGATGTCCTGGTTTCTTTGTAATCTTTGCTCATGAATGCTCTGCTGCTTCCATTTGATGAATGACTTTTTGTCTACATTTGGGTGAACCTCGATATCAGAATCATCAGAAAGTTCAATTTTGTCCCATTTAGAATAGTCGATTGGCATTTCTTAGGCTTTAAGTTGAAATGAGTCGTAAACACTCTTCTGAAGGCGACTTTTACATAGTGGACTTAATTCCTGTCAGAGCTTATTATATTCTAATTACCTTAACCCATATGAAAATTCTGGAAAGGTCTCCATCAACGGTAAAAATCAGGTCTCGTGACATTAAGACCATACTCTGACACAGCGCTGCTGAGATCATTTACCGTCAAGACAACCTTATTAGCTTTAGTTTTTTCATTTTGTTGCTGCTGTTGCTGGGTTAATTGTCCCGGTTGCTGCTGACCCAATATCAGCTGTCGAGCTCTCGCTTGTCCATTGTTCGAATTATGCACAGTGATAGCGGATCTGATACGCGAGTATTCATATGCGTCGCCAGCAATATCGCTCACGAATTTCTGTGTGGCTAGGGCCAGCAATCGTTTAACTCTGACGTCAGAACAATCAAAGCCGTTTCGCGTCAGGTAAAAATCTATCACTGCATCAGGTATAATTGGTGGGTTTTCCTCCATCATGTCCAAAATCTCATTCAACGTTTTGTCCTTCCTTGTGAACTCTGGGATGTCTAGAAGCTTTTCAGGTATGCCGCGCGCCGATACGCCGTTAGGAACATCCTCATTTTGTATGTCCTCCATATCTTGAACGACCAGATCTTCCTCATTATCATCAAATTCTTTCAATTCTTCATCCTCAACCAGGCTCTCTTCAACGTGCATTTCTTTGGATCCCATCACTAGTTCTCGTCCAGTGGCGATGAGATTGACTTTACTACTCATTTTGATATGTGCATCTATCTGACTACAACAAGTTCACCAAATGAACAAATGGGGCTCGTTGTGGTCACATGATAGTCACATGATACTGTCTCCAGATCAACTGATTAGAACGAGCACGACAGAATGAACCCCAAACGTCTCTTGAGGACCAACCGAGCCGTAGCGAGGTCTGCAAATCAATTAGACCTTCCATGCCTCCAATGAGCCAGCTTTAGAAATCAAAGGCTCGTCAATTGTATTAATTTTTATCACGCTGCACAAACAGCATTTTGTTGAGAGCATCTCATCAAGTTCGGCAACCTTAGCAGAGGTTGGTTGGCGTACCAGCGCTTTCTGCATCGATTCCAGTTTACTTTTCAAAGTAAGCTCTGCTGACTGCATGATCTCTTTAATGAGACAGTCTCTATGAAAGCAATGCCCGCAGGGGAAAACGAAAAACTTCCGCGTTTGCAAGACCATGCGACAGCTGTCACAAGATGCTCCGGGTTCCAGCACACGATACTGGTCATTTAAAGCTTGAATGTCATCCGTGATTTCTTTCTTGATTTTTATAGTACTTTTAATGCTCTCCGAAGTTGCTGCCATGGCTGCGTTATGCCGTTCCAGAGTCTTGACAAGCTCTTCTTTTATGTTTGCAATTGTCGTGAAATCTTCGAACAAAGGCAGTAAATCTTTGAAAGACAGAATATCCTCGGAGTCTCTCAGAATTGTAGCAACAGCTTGTTTCATATCTGACGTTTGCTTAATAGTAAAATGTGCTATCTTCTGCCACAACTTTCGGCGAAGATCGGAATTATTTTCCAAAAGCTCGTTGCTCGCAATAACTTTTGCAAGACCCAATTGGTTCTTTTCGAGGGCCAAAGAAACCGCGTCTTCATATAACTCTAGTTTGGAGTAAACGTGCACTGCGACACGAAAGCGTTGGAATCGTAAACTCAATCTTAGAACGAAAAGCATGTCATAACTGTGGATGTGTTCTTCAAGAAAGTCAATGACCTCCCCCTGTGTGCTCCCTGCGTCTGATCCAACCAACATCATGTAAATTGCAGTGTTGTAGACAATAGGCTGGGCTCTTTTGTTGGTGATATACCACTTTAGATATACCAATGCATAATTGTTGTGCGCTTGCTGGGCACCTTTTTGCTCAATATAACATGAAAAGTATGTCAACAAAGACTGTATGAGCTCCGATGCGTCTAAATCTTCTATCTGCATCCAGGTTCGGATAGTCGGATCCGGTGCATTGATCAAAAGCGTTGTTGCACATCGATAAATGGACTGTGGATCTTGCAAAGCTAAAAGCGTCTTCAAAGATTCGTTCCAATTTTGCGCTCGTAACCAGTACAAGAGCACGAAGTCGAAGTCTTTTATTGATTTGGCGTATTTCAAGACATGGCTTTTGCGGTTCTGATCAAACATAATTTGATAGGCGGTAGCTTTGTCCAGAAACTTGCCTTCGGCCTTCAAAAAATCATCAAGATCTTCTTCGACCCGCCTTTTATGTTCGTGCAAATCTTTTATCTTGTTAGGATCTCGTTCAACATTTATCGTCTCTTCCACTTCATTAAGCAATTGTAAGAAAGTCCATAAGATCCAACTTGACAAGAGAAATCCTTTACTGTGATCTGAAAGATCTAGAAGTTTGAGCTTCTCTTGCAGAAATTTTTGAAGAGATTCTAACTTCGCAACGTTCATGAACTTTAACGCAATTTCAGAAACAGACGAGATTCGACTTGAGCCGTAACAGCTGGCGGCCTCCTGATAATGTTTTTCATAAAACAGATAGTTCCCTTTTTCTCTTAAAACTTCATCCCTGTGGAGCTGTGTCAACGAGTGGAGTTTCAAAGCATCATCAAAGAGCTTCTGATCACACATTACTCGCCATAAATTATGTTCCTCATTCTTTATTATGATTTCATAAATGTTGCCAGCCGAGTAGCACCAATACGTTGGGGGCTGTTGTGAATAGTCCACACAAAGTCCTAGAAGATGTTCATTAGTTTGAGCCCATATAGTGCTTTTATAAACGATCTGGGTTGTGAGCTGACTAACGACAACAATTTCGTCACCACGTAATAAAATTAAATGATAGTCAGTAATCAAGATATCGCGGATGGGTAAATTCGAGAGGCCTAACGAAACTTTGAGCAAAACATTCGCTGAGCCCAACACATTGTCTCTATCAACTTTTCCATAAATCACGCCCGTATCGACTATCCAGGCAAACATGAAATCACGGTGTGCAAACTTGGTCCCCGATTGCACGTTGGACTGCTTGAAATGCTCAATTTCATCTGGCGGCTGATTAGCGAACAACTTAACTAGATCTTGAGATTCTCGCCAAAGCATCAACTCTGACTCCGCTGCGACAATTGTACATTTTTCCTGCCAGCAGGCCACCCCGTCAATCGCATGCTCGCAATGTAGCAATCTGGTGGGGGTTCCACTGCGAGCAATATCAACAAGATAAATTTTTCCTTCGGATGTACCACATATGACATGATGGTCATATATCCAGTCAACGCTTTGTATATCACAATTTCTCTTGGAGAGTTTCTTTAAAGAGATGATTTGTGGGATTTCTTTTAGCGCTGCCTGAACTTCGCAGCAGTAATATTTCGCAAAGCTAGTCTTGATAAAAAGGTAAGTACCATCGGGAGCCATCCATAACTTCAGAAGCCTCTCCTGATTGTTACTCAGTAAGGGCACGCTAAACCGGCGTACCGTTGCCGGCACCTGCAAATCGATGACAAAGACCTCCCCGTCTTTCGAAGCAAAACACATCACATTTTGCTTGACTTGCAAAGCACATATGTTGTCTTCGAAATCCTTCAAAAACTGAAGCTGTATGTGTTCAATCACTACATCCATTTTGGTGATTTTGCTTAGCTTGACTTAAATAAAATGTTGTTCAATGAGGCATCTAAATATCAAAACTTCAAAATAACCCAACTAAAAGAAAACAAAAATGGGAAAGCTAGGCATCCCTGTCAAGCTTCTGAACGAATCTCAAGGCCACATTGTTTCGTTGGAACTCACTAGCGGCGAAACTTACCGAGGAAAGCTTATTGACAATGAAGATAACATGAACGTTCAGCTGCAGGACGTTACAGTGACCAGCAGGGAAGGAAGCGTCACGCATATGGATAATATATTTATAAGAGGGTCACAGGTTCGATTTCTAGTTCTACCAGATATACTCAAGAATGCTCCTCTTTTGAAGACGGACTTGGTTTCCAAACCTCCACCACCAATACGAGGACCTAAAAGAAGATGATCCGACTAAAAATGGACAGGGGAAGTATTAAGGTTGCTGCTCGTTTTGCGATGCTAGTCTTGACCATATTGAAGGCCTTCTTTTGATGTCAGACGCTTTGACAAATTGACGTACTCGGCCAAAGGTGTTACCATCACAACTCTGTGGGTCCTACGTGTTCAAAGTTTACGCTACGAGGATATGAAGACATGGCTGACTGAAGATGCTGCTCGCAAGGGATACTAGCCGTGAAAATAATCACAATTGGATGATACAGACTCTAAAGAAGACAAGCCCTAATTTAAAAACTACCAAGCGAAAATCTTGAAATTAACATCCACGAAAAAGTATGCCGCTTGAAACCAAATTTATCACGAGACGCAGGTATTTCACTAACTAGATGGTTGTCAAAAGTAGCTGATTATTCACTTGAAAGATCATTTTTGGGGCTTCTGCCATTCTCTTTACCTCGTTACGCTAATTCAACACACTTTCAAGTCAACCTCTCTCTTAAGTAATTAAAATGTAATTAAATTCTGGCTGAATGAGCAACGATTCGAATGGTGGTTACCATGCTCGGCGTCTTTTTCTCCTCCTCAAAACTATAATAATTTTAAACAAAATGAGCCATAATTTTGAAGTCTAACACCTGAACGTTTTGCAAAAATAACCTCGAAAATGAAACATGATCCCTTCGGTCTATCAGATGTTTCTGTGCTGAAGTTTTACAACCTAAAAGATGCAGATCCGAGCACTTCCTGGAAAGAGGCGTCTATCTTGAAGCGAGATTTACCTACTCGGGAGAAAGATGGCTCTTTATCATCATCATACGCGATACTCAGCGAGCTTTTGAGCCAAGAAAACGCTTTTGAAGCAAATGCTACGAACAAAATTGAGACGAAAGACCTAAGAGATCCACTCGAGTCTCAAAATCGTCTAGTTACCTTGCTAGATAACAGGCAGATTGCCGAAAGCGAAAGGAACAAATACTATATCAATGACAAAAAATTCCATTCCAAGCTGTTCCTCAAAAATCTCCATAGCGATGACAGCTTTGAAGCTTTATCGAGTTCATTGGATCACCTGGATAGATCTTTAAAAGACCAAAGTGATCAATTAAGGGAGCTCGTTCAGTTTAACTTCGCTAAGTACGTGCGGTGTAAGAGCAACCTTGACCGCATCTACGAGCAGTTCAGCAAATGGTCTGATGGAACGGAGGGAGAAAAGGGACTAGAAGTTCTGCATGTCAGCGTGGATGATGGTATGAGAGAAACAATGGTTAGGTTGAAACCATTGTTAGATGCCGGCGCAAAGAAAGAGCAGCTACAAGCCGCGATTACGTACGTCCAAGAGAACAAGTCCCTTTTTAGCCTGCCAAAACTCTTAAGAAGGCTTTTAGATCAAAAGGATTATGCCAATCTTCTGTTCGAGTACAACAAGGCTCTCAAAATTCAAAACCGCTTCAAAGGTAGCCGTGACGGAAATCCAGTTACCATGAGGATTTGGAGAGAAGTTGATAAAATAATGGGCGAATACAAGCGAGTTACTTGGGATAAGCTTCTGGCCTCAGATGCAACACAATCTCCGGAAAAGTTTTTATCACTGATGTCGAGACTTCTCGATCTGAAAGTCAGTGAAAACCCCATTACCAGCTGGATCAATGCACGTCTCGACGTCTTTGATACGTCACTAAGCCAGCTTATGTCTCAGCTGTTACCGAAGATAGTAGCCGCTCAGCAAAGAATTTTGAGAGACGGCTCTGAGGAAGATGTGGATTTAACTTTCTATCCGAAAATCAAAAACCTGACCACCAGCTCTTCGAATGCGGAAGGTATTCATACCTTTCAGTATGCTCAAATGAGCGAACTCGATCTTCCCGATACTCCTATCGTCATTGAAATGTGGCTGCTAATACTGAAACTTATTAATCGCCTAGTCGACTTTACGAAAAGCTTTTCCGAATGCTGGGAGAGCATTGAGAAATTCTTGGATGGCACATATCAGGCGTCTATGGTTAATGATAAGCACAAAGATAATATTTTGGGAACAGGCACACTCATTGGTGCTGGACATAGCGATTATTTCAAACTAGAAAGGGCCGAGTCCAGTGCCGTAAAAATACGCGGCGAAAGCATTGTAAAAAGATTATGCGATGATTTACTGAAGCTCTTTCAATCTTCGCAAACCTCTCTTAGAGCCGACAAGCCGGCTGAGAAAGAGGTTGGCGAGCCAAAAAACTTCGGATTTTTGCCTCCTAGATCTAATTGTTTGGCCTGCATGCGTTATTTACCTCGTATCGTGGAGCCTATTTTGAAGTTCACAACCGAAATTGCTCAGCTCAAGATAAGCCCTTCTTGTATCGACTGTCTGAGGAATCTTGACCTTATCATAATTGAAAGGTCAGTAGGAGCCATCTCGTCAACTAAGCAGAGAGATTTGTCTCAGTTCCATGCAATGGACGAATGGACATTGAGAAAAGGAGACGATGAATTTTTCAAATCCACACAGTTTCCTGAGATGGTTTTGGCGCTTCAGAGGCTGAGTATTAAGACTTTGAGAGACATTTTGTTCTCTCATGAGAAGTTTCCCATTTTGAATGGGGTATGTATCATAAGCCATCCATCCCGAAAGCTTTTGACAGGTATTGAACTGCAACAAATTATTTCGATGGAAACGGTCTTGGAGTCCATTTTAAAAGGAGCGGCAAGGAATAAAGACAACCCCAGAACACCGGAGACTATCATGACTTTGGCCAATCTTCGATATCTACGCGAAGATGTCTTCCCATCCGTTTTGAGATATTTTGACGACTGCTTCGACTGGCAGTTGAGCAAGAAAAATTTGGAGCTCTTCACTTTACTGAACAAGATGGAATCTTCAATCTTAGGGAATTACTTATCGGACCTGAAGGTGAGATTGAGAGATATTTTGGAAAGAGAATTCAATGAAATAGATTGGACGGAACACAGCTCAAGTTCCTTTCGCGTCGCTGACTATGTTATTGAGGTTTTGATGGAAATTGTAATCGTTCACCGCGAAACGTTTAGGATCAGCCCACAAATAATGAATAGGACCCTTGAAGATAGCCAGATCTTCATATCAAAGTATTTGTTCGAAGCTTTCAAGCCATACATCGGTAATATTTCATCAGATGGAATGCTCCAGGCTACTGTGGATTTGCAATTTCTTCAAAAAGTGTTTGGAAATATGCTTCAGAAGGACGCACAAGCGACCATTTTGGCATGCCTGCAAAACTGTTTTGAGGAAGACACAGCACGAATGGAACGGTGTCTGAAAGATACGGAGCCCATAGTGAAAGCAAATTTAATCAAAACCCATTTGCAATTTGCCCCTTTGAAACTTGAGACGTCAAAATAATCAAAAAAATAAAATCTCATATGGTATTTTCCTGGTCGACGGCCAGGCTATCGCGATCGCCATCACCATATCCAATCTGGCAAAATTCGTTAAGATCATCCCTAGCCTTTTGATTGATCATCTTGAAATCCGCAAATAGTTCGTCAATTTCCATTTGTAAGTTCTGTGATTCATTAAAAAGCTGATTCAATGCTCTGAGTTTTAGCAAAACGCTTGAAATGGCCTTTGCCGTTTCAGTGTCTATTTGAGGTGCTCGAACTGATCCATTAAGTGACATAGGTAAGCCTTTTTTTCACTCTTTCCCTATCTCATCATGCTAACAAACGTTACTGCAACGGGCGCTAAGATATTTTTTTTTTCGCGATACAAACAAAAAAAGTTGAACCAAGTTGTACATATCTACAAAGGGCGCGCGACCGCTTCTTTAATGCTCTCCTCTCTTTCTCAGGCATTTCAGCTGGTAGAGGGGATATATCCCTTCTTCTGTCTCTACAGTGAGATTCTGTGAGACCACACTTTCTACTATACATTTGTTGAACGCATCGGTTTTGCCAACAGATTTACGGAAAAGCCCATTGTTATAAGTGTAAAACTCCGCAAAATTGTCCTCGCTCTTCCTGCTATCCATCGTAACACAAAATGTATCAGATTGAGAGCAGTCTAGGGCTATGACGTGGGAAGGAAGCTTCACTGTTTGCAAATGAGCGAGCTTACCCGAGGCCCCGTCTAATTGACAGACAAAAATACAGTTCGATTGCTCGATGGAGAAAACAACGAGATTCAACTCCCTGAATGTCTTTATCTGAGCCACTGTAAATTCAACAAGATCACCTTTTTCGTTCTGGAATTTTTCTGGTGCCAAATGCGAGGAGTTCAAATGCGGCCTTAGAAGACTGCTAAAGTCAAAGGAATCGAGCAACTGGCCTTCTTTCCAGTCCCACACGCAAATGAAAGCATCACCACCACCGCTGAGTAAGAGGCGAGGGTTCCATTGCGGAAGACATAAAGAAGTCACGAATGTCTTGTGGCCAAAAAGCATATTGTCTATAATGTAACACTGTGGGTAATGACTAACCCGAATGTGCTCGTCTCTGTCCGCTGTGATGACATATTTCCTCCCATGCTTGTCCGTTGCATATGCAACGTCCGTAAGTAACGAAACATGCCCTAGAATGGGCTCGATTTCAGATTCTTTTACAGCGGGCACATTAGGATCGACGCTGACTCGATATACGTCTCCGAACTTGTCAGCCACGAGCACAATGCTCTCCTCGCTGGTCAAGGATATAGCATTCGGCCTCTTTGGAAGACTTTGACGTTTCAAGAACTTCAAGCAGTCTGTAGGGTTCTGAAGGTCAATTCCTAGAGTTATGACTGATTTATCAGAATCAGTGCAAGCGAAAAGAAGCAGCTCGTCGCTGGATAAAGTAAGTCCACGAATCATGCTGTAGAAGGCTGGGGCACCTTTTCCAGGCTGAGGAACCTTAGGCACCTTTACATGAGACACGATCGCTTCCCCAGTCTTTTGCCTCTTCGCATTGTTTTCGGCAACTTGCTTGGAGTGCTCTTTGAGAACTTTCTCTTTGATCAAAGCACTCTTGTCCGCATCATCGGTCCACCGTCCTACAAGTGTGAAATCTCCTCCCCCAGAGTGCCCCACCCTGAAAACTAAAATATTATTTTCAACAACACAAAAGACTAGATTACCATCATTTGTTGTCAGAACCGCTTGAAGTGGGTGGATCATCATCACGGGTGAGCCCTTTTCTAAGATGTCTCATCGCGATTTGAGCATAAAGCTGGCGGATAATCTCCAAAAAAAAAATTTTCTTTAGCCGTGATTCATGAGACTCATCGGTTCGAAGTCCAAGAAAAACAGGCGCTATGAGAAACCTGCAATGTATTAGTACTGCTTATGGTCCAGGTACTCAACTAAATGGGAATTAGTGGCATTAATGACGGATGGTTCATCGAAATGAGTGATCAGAGCTTCGCGGGTCAAGCGCGAGCTCTCAAAGTGAAATCATTTCTTCACCATGGTCGCAGTAAATTCCAAGAGGTGTTGGTATTTGAGAGCGAAAGTTACGGCAATGTTCTCGTACTCGACGGCATAATACAGGCCACGGAACGAGATGAATTTGCTTACCAGGAAATGATCTCACATATACCGCTTTATGCGCATCTTAATCCTTCGAAAGTGCTCGTTATCGGTGGTGGTGATGGAGGAGTTTTGAGAGAGGTGGTCAAACACAACAGTGTTAACAGCGTAACTCTAGTAGAGATTGACGAAACAGTCATCACACTGGCGAAGAAATACTTGCCATCCATGTCTTCCGCTTTCAACCATCCAAAAGTTGATGTCAAGCTCCAGGATGGGTTCATGTACTTGAGAGCGGCGGCAGCTGCTCACCAGAAATTCGACATAATTATCACGGATTCCTCTGATCCAGAAGGCCCCGCAGCCGCGTTTTTTCAAAAAGAGTACTTTCAATTACTGTTCAATGCTTTAAACGGCACTGGTATAGTCATAGCGCAAACCTCGGAAAATGTCTGGCTTAACCTCCAATACATCAAGCAATTGATGACGACAGCGAGAGAGGTTTTTCCCGTTGTAAATTATTGCTACACAACGGTGCCGACGTATACATCAGGCCAATTAGGCCTGATCGTTTGTGGGAAAAAACAGGGAACTAACCTAGTCCAACCAATTCGTCAACCCTCAGAGACAGAACAAGAAAATATGCGATATTACAATTCCCAGATGCATTCAGCTTCATTTATTCTTCCAACGTGGGCTGAAAATTGCTTAAACCGATAAACTAAAATCTTTATAGAATGCTTTGTCTCTTAACCAAAAATGTCATCAATTGCAGACTTCTTCCGCTGGCCCTTTTTCTTCTTTTTCTTTTGCTTTATCTCAGTCTCAGGATTTCTTTGCCCCGTCTCTTGTATGACCGGTTTGTTCGTGCTTAAGGTCTCTGCAATCTCTTCGCCAAAATCTTCAACTGTTAACCTCCTCAAATCCTGCTCACTCATGCGCGGACAAGCGAAACCCACGCTTTCGTCAGCCTTTTTAGAGCTCTCTAGATCGAGTTCTTTTTCAATTCTTAGAAACAAATCATATACTCTAGCCAAAATCCCGACAAGAACTATGCCAAGCGTAACAAATTGCCCCAAACTAATGATTCCATTGAAACTATAGTAAAATTTTCCGGCTTGTCTCCCAGTAAATCTCCCTACTAATGAGCATAGCTCTTTTCTCTTTTTCGCTGATGAGGATTTCCCCCGTTCAATCACAGCGATAACATTCGAAACACATCGCTTCAGTTGGTTAAACTGAGCCCACCATATAGACTTCCGATGCTGATTTTTGTTACGATGATAGAGTAAACGAATCACACGGTGTTCTTGGTTCAAAGACTTGAGGTAGCTAGCGTCTCGATTGATCATTTTTTATTGCCCAACGGTTTCATTTTCTTGTCTCATCGCTATTGGCATATTAATTAAATTTGTTGAACATGATCCTACCAGCTAGACCAACACACTTCGGGGATAATCCGACCACAAGGACATCCTAGTAAGCAACGCTATTGATGTTAATACGTCGATGTACTGTATTCGGATGAAGAAAAATTTCGACTTTTAAGTGTCACAAAATTGCTAATCGGTCGTTTTTGAGCCATTTTACATAGTATTAGAACTAGTCCTTGACAGAGGGATCGATTCTTCCAAAGCTCACAAGCTGCTACCTTAATAAAGTGGCTTCCAGAAAAGCCATCTAAGAACAATCATAACAGATTATCGAGAAAAATAACATAGAGGGTATGTCATATCGGAGACCAGCTATGCCTCTGCCGCGGAGTAGTGACAAAAACCTGAGAGCGGAGATGGATGGCTTGTCGATCAAGCCTACTCCGCCACAAATTCCACCGCGGAAATATACGCATACAATTACTGACTCCCTTGACGTCTCACAAAACGGAGAAGAGGCCATTATGTCAATACAGACCGCCGCCAACATTTTCTCATCAGCACTTTCTTTATCTCCACCGTTGAACTTGTTTTCATGTGTAACCCATCCTGTGGAAATTCCTGCGAATGTTAATACTCGAAATGCTGCGGTGAGTACGAATAAATTCTATGGTAATCTTTTATTAGGGTCGCAAACGAACCCAGCATGGACTCATCCTTATTCGTTTTTTTGGTCGAAAGACAGCTACCTAGGTTTAGCGGTTTCTTACGTTAGAGAGAGGGACAGAGTTTTTGGTCCTGGGTCTCCACCCCAATACTTTTTCGGTCCCGTTGGTATCAAGTCTTTTGTGTTTGGCTCTGCAGACTTTGCTGACCAAACCCAAATGTCACTGGGATTTGAAAATATCAAGCATATGTCGATTGAAGTTAAGCTTTTCAAAAGCAGAGATCAATTTATCTCCTTCCCGCTAGTGCAGGGAATGGGTTTCGCGACTGCAGTATATTGCAATCTGATTCCTACCTTATTTTCAGCTGTTGGATTCAAAAGCGTGGTGGCACAAACTTCACCTCGGTGGGGACTACAAAAATATATCATAATCTTAGAAAATGATGTTACGTGGACTCTCTATGTTACTGTACCATCTGGCCAGTCTCTCTCGCTTTCACTCGCCAATCCTAATCAGCTCGTCGGAGACAGACGAGTAAATGGCTGCGTTTATCAATTGGTTGCTGATACAAATCCGGCAATTGATGCAGCTGCTGGATGTTATCCGACGGACTGTGCTTTGTCGGGGTTGGTTTCTGGATCACTTGGGAAATATCAATTCGTCTACAACGTTAGGGGTTCATCAAATACAGGCAGAACACTTATGTACGCCTTGCCTCATCACGTCGCCGATTTTACCCCTTCCATGAACTGTAGACGGATCAACTCCTTTTTGACTTCAGTTACTTGTGGCAAAATGGTTGGCTATCTCACAAATATCTTTGATCTTCAAGTGGAAGTTCCAAAAAACGTCGGATTTGAACCTTTTACAACCATTCCCGGAAAAAGTACTCCAAAATACTCGGCAGCTGTCCTAGAATCGATCGAAACCGCTGCCACAGAAGAAGTGGATGCTGATGTTGTTAACGAGTCGAATCTTGATTCTATGTATTTTGCTGGTAAGGTGCTAGCGAAATACGCCTGGATTCTTTACTGTTGTCAGTATGTCATCAAAAAGCCACATCTGGTTCAGGTTCTTATGCCAAAATTGAAAGCGGCCATTTCGAGGTTTACCAGCAATCAACAAATTTTACCACTGCACTACGATACTACATGGAGAGGAATTATTTCCTCTGGGGATAGCTCACAAGATTTCGGCAACTCTTATTACAACGACCACCACTTTCATTATGGTTACCACGTTATAGCAGCTGCGATTGTTGCTCTAGTTGACCGAGACTCTGGCGACTCTTCCTGGCTCAAAGCGAACAGAACCTGGGTCGAGAATCTAATCAGGGACTATTCAAATCCTAATGAAGACGATAGTCGTTTTCCGGTTTTCAGATCATTTGATTGGTTTGCTGGTCACTCTTGGGCTAAGGGTTTGTTTGAAAGCGGCGATGGGAAAGACCAAGAGTCTAGCTCTGAAGACGTGAACGCTGCTTTGGCTCTCAAGTTATGGGGTATAGTTACCAATGATGTCAGACTTCAGGGCATAGGTAACTTAGAACTCGGTATCATGAAAACATCCCTAAACAGCTACTTTCTATATTCGGACGACAACTCGGTCATGCCTCCAGCTTTCATCCCCAACAAGGTGAGTGGTATTCTGTTCGAAAATAAGATTGATCATACAACATATTTTGGCAGTTTACCACAGTATATTCAAATGATTCATGCAATTCCAGTTACACCAGCGTCTTCATTCATCAGGTCTCCCACGTTTGTCGAGCAAGAATGGAAAGAAATGCTTGCCCCTATAATCGATGAAATAGAGGATGGCTGGAAAGGAATAATGATGCTCAACGTGTCACTATTTGACCCTGGAGCTTCCTACGAATTTTTCAGCAGTCCAAAATTTTCCAGCAAATATTTAGATGGTGGACAAAGCAAGACATGGTCTCTAGCTTATTCCGGTGCTTTCATCTAGGCGTTGTTTGAATTAAGCCGATGCTTGAGCAAGGCGTCGCAATCATCACTTGCGGTCAAGCCCTGCAAATCATCTAATTAATAAATTTTGTTTGAATTTATTTGTAGCCGACATTAACATAAGTAATGTGTTTAAATGCCTATATAGATAATCAATCGCGTTCTTCCGATTAAAGATATTGTCAAGGTTGGTGCTTCGTTCATAGACCAGTACACACGTTGATGATGATTTACATTTAAGTTCGGTGAGGAAAGAGTCCGAACGCCGGAAAGCCAAAAGACTGATACATGAGAACGAAAACCAACAGCTACTAATTGAGGTCAAATGTCTAACCTCATCGAGTTACAAAGAAATTGTAAGTCCTTGCATTGCATTTTTTTTCAACATTGATCGCGAACTTTAGAACTGACCCTGTGAAAAAGATGTTCTTTCATTCATCAGCGACATTCAGACCCAGCATAATTTGAAATTCTTAATCATTGACGAAGCGGTGGATGATCTTCTGAGTTACCTGTTCTTGAAAAGATCAGAGCTTTTAAGTTATGTTACAGCCATTGAGAAAATTGACTCCAGAGATCGGAAGGGCCAGCCATCTGTGGAGGCGATCTACTTCCTAAAGCCTTCAAAATTCAACATAAACTGCATGGACGCTGATTTTAGTAACAGACCACCAAAATACAAGGCAGCGCAGGTACGATTTCTTCCTGGCTTTGAAGATCACCTTGTGAAATTCTACCATTCAAAGAGGTATCTTACCCAGTATACCTCCAGCCTAGCTGAAGTGAGGTGTGCTTTTATTCCGAGAGAATCACAATTCTTTCAAACACTGGGAATTGATCAACCACTGCTGATGTACTATAATCAAAATTGTCACGATCTGATTGAGCGCAACATAAAGAGGGCAGTTGAAAGTCTCTTAAACATTTGCATCATCACCGGTGAATATCCAGTAGTGCGCTATTCACAGCCCACTTCTTTAGTATACGAGACCAGCGCTGCAACAATATTGGCGAAGAAGCTAGCTTTTGAATTTCAAAATGCATTGGATGAGTACGCGCGAAACGACGAAGATTTCCCACCCCCATCACCTAGACCGCGATCTATCATGATTATTGCGGATCGATCAGTGGACCCATTTTCAATGGTTCTGCACGACTTCACCTATCAGGCGATGGCGTATGACGCCGTTCCCTCTGTTGATACTGCTACTGATACTTATCACTACGCTGCAGAAAACGAATTAGGAGAACAAGAAGAGAAGCATGGGCTTTTACGAGAACTCGTGGATGCAGATTGGATTGCTTTAAGACATCAACATATATTGGATGCAAGTGAGTACTTGAGTGCCAAGATCAATGAGCTCATTGCGAAAAATCCTCTCTTGGTGGATCGCACAAACGTCAAATCGACCACAGACATGCTCAGTGTAGTAGCACACTTGAAAGATTTCGATGAGGATAGAAGACGAGTTACATTGCATAGGAAGCTCATCGATCAATGTCTCAAAATCAACGATGAACGACATTTGGCAGAATTGGCAGAATTCGAACAGAATTTGGCAGGACTTGGGCTAGACGCTAATGGGGAGCGTGTTAAACATTTAACAGAAGCCTTATTGCAAGTCCTTATGGACAAGCATGCGAACTTGACCGATAAGGTTCGTTACATTATTAGCTACGCCTTATATCGTGGCGGAATTATTGAGCTCGACTTGGTAAAGCTCTTATCATTTATGGGGGTTCCGTCTGGCCATGCATTTTTCGACCATTTTTTAACGCTTTTCAGAAATTTTGAGTATTTAGGGTTCAAGTTGGTGAAGAGTGAGCCTGGTAACAAATCCTTTAAGAAAGAATGGTTTCACGAGAGCATTGTTAATGATCCAAACGTTTACAACACTTCAAGATTTGTCCCAGCAGTAGGCAATAATCTTTCCAAGATTATATCAAACCCATTGCTGTTGAGCGAGGAAGCATTTCCTTACGTTAAGGACAAACCTATAGAAGTTATAAGTCCTGAGATTGCTGAAGATTCAGCGTTTTTGAATTCATCGTCCTCGTTGAAAAATCCTAGACACAAGGCGTCGTGGACCAGAAGCACCACCCAATTTCGGGCTCCGCGCCAAAGATTCTTTTATTATTGCATCGGCGGTATAACATATTCAGAGGTTGCCTCCGCATATGCCCAAGGATTGCTCAAGAACCGGGACGTTTTTGTTGGTAGCGATGGAATAATGACACCGTTGGAATGCATGCAGGCGATTGAAAAGCTGTCAGAACCACGCAATCATTTAGGTCTGAAGGATGATCGGCCCGAGAGAGAGGTCGTTCCTGAGTTCCTTTTTGATAGAGCATCCACGGTACCGGCTGCCTCACAACATGTGCATACTGTATCGCATCAGCGCGCTAATAATGATTCGAGCCCTGTCATGCCAGCTCCACCGCCATCAAAGGAGAAAGAGAAAAAGCGCAGTAAGCTAGCCAAAATTCTAAGATCGAAATAGAGGACGTTCTTATATCACCAATCGTCGTTACACTTAAAAGGAAATATATGGATTCTCATTACACCAAATATGACCGTCACAAATCATACTTCTTAGCTAGACTTTCCATTTTCTTTAATGCCTTGGGCGCTCTTGGGGCTGAAGTATTTTTTCCGGCCTTTTGGACGCTATCTCTGGGTGGCAGCACTCCGGAACGTGTTTTCTTAGGTGCATTGACAGCATTCGGAGAGAACTCTCTTGAAGGAGCCCCGTTTGAGCTCGAATCTGTGCAACTAACTGCCGGAACATTGGACAACGGGTATGCTGCTTCGAAATTCGCACCATACGCCAAGAACTGCGACTGTGAGAACTGAAAACGTCCTAAAGCATCTACGTGAGACGGAAAAGGCGAGATTTCGGGATTGGCCAAATTTCCTCGACCTTCTTCACATGGAAGATTTGAAAATTGATGTCTCTGGTTCGAGAAGTGCGCAGGTTTAAACTCAAACATTGATTTCACAATTTCCGTGTTCTTTCGCACTTTTTCGGCCAGTTCTTGCTTGCCGTCGTCGCCGCTATGTCCAGCCATGTTCATACCAACTCTCTCATCCTTTAGTTCCTTAGTAATAAGATCGTCCATGGTATAGTGCTGATCATGAGGTAATGCGCCTATCGAGGTTTTGCGATTCGCCGCCTCCAGTATTCCATTTCCGTTGTCGCCTATCTTATATGCAACGCCCGCTCTCTTCAAATCATCGTAATCTGTGCATGCTGCAAGAATGTATGCATCGTCCACCTCGTCTAGTCGGCCACAACTGAAATTCTTTTCATTTTTCTGATGCCTCTGAGAACCTTCACGTATCCTCTTTTCAATGTGATGCCTTCTGCCAACAAAGCTTTGGGGATCTACTTCAGAATCCTTCTTCTGTCGGAAACTCAGCAGTTTTTGAACATTTAAATTCTCGGTGTTGATCACATTCTTCCCGTCATGCTCGCTTCCGGCTGTTAGGAAACCTTCTATTTTACGCTTCATGAGGCAGTGGATAACCTTAACTAGTTTCCATCAAGTCGGTTTTGCTTCAGTGAATCACTCAATTGCCCAGAACAAGATATTTTTCAAAAGGTTCAGTCATGATACCTGTGACTACATTATTTTATATTAAATAACCAGCTGTTGAGTTTGAAAACCTACTGACCTCTCATTTCCTTCAGCATCGTAAACAGCTTCCACGTAGTTGATTTCAGCTCCTGGAATGGAAGTGTCATCAAAATTGGAGCGTGGATCGTAGAACAATCTGACTTGGAAATTAGAGCTAGGAACTGATGGTAAATCTTGAAGATCCTCCAAATCGAAAAACCCCGAGGAAAAAAGTCTAACATTTCTGTTGCTTTCAACAGGTGTCTCGCATATAGAAAATTTCGACCAACCATCGGCTTGTTTGTCTTGCACTTCCCCTTGTTGGCAATCGTTACCGGGGTCGTCATTGTGACTATCGGACGTATAGTCTTTGACTCGCGTTAATGTAGAACAGACGGTTCCGACCCACTCGCATAGAGCATTCCTGGGAAGACTTGAAACTTTTAAAATTATCAATTTCTTGCTACCTAAGGGTTGCTTGCAAAGTTTGGACCGCTGGTACGCCGCCCAGGTCTCAGTCACAACAGGAACCATGAAATCTTTAGAAATGTAGCAGACCATCTCGAGATCGTACGAGGCCTCTATCGCTTCTTTAACTTTGTGAAAATGTCTTAACGAAAGGACACTTTGAGAAATGCTTGGGCATATTGTGGCGGATAAGGATTCGATCATTTCCATCGATGCCGGAATGAGGGCAATTTGACCGCTAATAGTAGTGACTCTGTTCTCATCAGCGCCACTCCATATCGCTTGAGAATACGGCCCGATGTTACATGGTGCCCAATATGAACGGCTCTGCACGTGAAGGCCGTTTTTGTCTCCCTTGAGAAGGAGTCCGACTCCTGCGTCTACTATCACGGAGAGTTGAACCGCGCTCTTTTCCGGAAGCATATCAGAGGCTATGCAGCTTCGGGATGGTGGCAATGGCCCAATTTTGGACACGTTAAAGGACTCAACGTATCGGTCGTTAACTCTCTTGAAATGAGCCATATCTTTTAAGGTCAACGTCGAATGGCTAACGTCCGAAAGGTCCAGATTACGCCGATCCAATTCCTCTCGTAGACTACCTAGTATATCATCAAGTTGCCTTTCTACGTCACCTCCCGCTTTTGCCTGTAAATTAGAAATAAAAAGACACCCGCCAACTCGCTGGAAAGATACCGGTACTCTTTGTGCAGATATCTCATTCATATAAGCCGATTTGTTCCCTGAAGATATCGTCACTTTCTCACTCAAGCTTGTTGCAATATCCCACCATGCGCTTTCTAGCAATTCTGGAACGGGCAAACTTTGCAATGATGTTTCCAAAGAGATCGGAGCCTCACGTTCCTTAAAATCGACAACCATCTTCAGCGTGTGCACCCCGCCCTCGCTATGCACATTGTCCCACGTTTCTGGGCGCGGTTCCAAAAAACCTTTAGTGAAGAAAGGAGCATCGAGAACCATAGTCTCAAATTCGCCGCCCTCGCCACAAACGTGAACATCATAAAGGCTATTGAGCCTAAGAAGGGCAGGGAAAATTTCAGGCAGGGTTTTCCCCAAGTGTCGATCATCTAATCCTGCCGCTGCAACTTTAATTATTCGGGCATCGAAAAGGTTGACGTCTTGGTTGATTGCACTTTTTGACATGACACACATCTCTTTCATTAAGTCCGTTTGGTCTCGCTGCCAGAGATAACTCAAAACAACAAGGCCCAATCGAGAGCAAACATCTTCAACTCTTGTTCTTTGATAAGAGGATAATATTGCTCCGACGTTGATGGCACCCAAATCAGGAATTTTCTGTTTGGCTTCTTTCAAAAGTTCGTACAATTCTTCAATCTCATCTCCCTCGGTCTTCCTGTAATTTAGTGAGACATTCTTGGACGAGCTCGAAGAAATTGGGCGTCTTATCAAGGGAAGCCCGGTGCATCTGGAATACAAGGATACGATATCGTGTCCTACTGTTTGGAACATCAAACTGTCCAATTCCTGAATTGTTGTATCGGCAGGATACAAATTTCCAAAGGCAACTAATTCATGACCCTGGTATATACTATGCAAAATACTGTAGCATGAATCTTTCCCGCCTGAAATGAGCCCCAAGAACTTCATAGACCGTGTGCTTTGTTTTTTTTAATTTTGAAGCTGAACATCTTACAAAGATTTCAGATTTTAGTTAATTTCGAGATGCCTTTCAACTATTGAGAAGGCTCAAATTGCCGAGAAAACCAAACCAATCAACAAGAGGTGTGATATGCATCATGAGGTTCTTTACATGCATCTAAAATCCTTATTTATATATCTCAGTTCCCTACAAATGCTCTTGCTACAGCTTTAACAAGTGGCCAGCCGTTATCAGCCCTAACAGCATCTCCGTTTTCTTGTAGTCTTCTCAAAAGGTAATCTTTTGTCTCCTTTGGTGGTCCCCATGGAACGTATTTTATAATGTTCTTTGCGCCATGGTTATTTATTAGGTCGTACGTCACATTGTCGGACATCCCCAGCAGTTGCCCTAGGATGATATTTGACTTTCCAATCTTGTTATCCTGACCTTCCAGAAGTTTGGTAGCCATCATTTGAGATGCGTAGTTATGCGACGCGACGACTAGATGGCCATAAGTTGAATTCTCGCCTTTTTCGAGTAAATCTTCAATAACTTGCTTCATAACAGTGTTGTAGTTGTCGTCGGTACCTTTTTGGTCAGGGAATATGATTATGTCTCTCTTAGGTTCAGAGTGTATATAGGCGCCACGCACGAGCTTAAGACCAAGTTTGTAGCCACCCGCTTCAGCGAGTTTTAAGTCCTTGGCCAAATCTGCTGCTGAATCCGTCAGGTAAAGCTGCCATGTCCCTATACAGGAAACAAATGGCGCCGACTTGGGGTTGAACCTTTCAAACAATAATCTTTGAAGCTCATAAACACCAGCCTTCTGCAGTTCGTATTTCTCAGCATCGATGGTTGCGACAAAAAAAGGAGTTTTCCTCGCGGGATACTTTTTAGCTAGCTCTTGGTTCAGATTGAAAGCCTCTTCGGTGATGGCAGCGCAGTTTTCGATCAGCTTGCTTCTCTGTTCGTTCCAGGCAGGGTCGTTAAAGTTTAAAAGCACTTCGTGCGGGTTCGACACTAGTGCCGATGGCTTCAGAGCAATGTAACCAGGCGGTATGGAATTGACGTCTGTGGTTTTAGCCAGTAACTCTTCTAAATTGGGTTTAAGGATCTCTTTCAAGGAACGCTTTGTCTCGTGTACAATATGGTCGATGTCAATGTTTTTGACGCCCTCTGCATCCTCAATCGTCAGCGAGAGCATCATGTTATTGATTCCTCGCTCCTGCAGTCTTCTTCCGGTTTCGCGCACTTGTTCGAAGTTGTCTCCACCGCAGTAGAGCGACGACACCGTGAGCTTCATCAGCCATATTGGTACAAAGGGGAAGACCTTAATGACCAGGTCCAACATCGACTTGTTCAAAGTCGCAAAGCCTATAACTCCGAGCGAAAATAGCTCATGACTTGAAAGCGATTTCAAGTGTGAATCTGAACTCGGAGTCTTAAATTCATTTATTTGCGTGGGGACATTGTTTTTACTCATTATGACAACAGTCTGCCTAGCACCCGTTTGTGTCACGTACTTTCTTGTCATACTCGAAGAGCAAAATTTTACTCTCGAGATTTTGTTCAAAGTTACCTGGTATTTCTTAATCCCCGGAACACTTTGTCTGATCATGTTGTTTGAATTCGATTTCAGCCCAATGCTTTCTGCTGACTTTTCCATGTTACGATTAAAAATGCTCAGCATTTCCCCCGTTTATATATGCAATATATTTAATTTTGAATGGGCCGATAATATTAGATTTAGGGCTTCAGATCACTTCATTATCTTTAAGGATCCGGTTTCACTTTGCTGGACTACACTGATAAACGTTGTCACCTTCCTTTAAGTGACATGTCTTGCGGAAATCGTATTCCGTGAAAGATTTCTCGGAAAGCCAGTTCCGCAAAAGTCATGTGATCAGCTTTGCTACGTGCCCGAATTCTACTCAAACTGGTACTCACGCAGTACTGACTTGGGAATCGCATCAGATGCTTGAGGTGGGACCGGTTTGAGATCATAGTTGACCGCCGGAGATGCAGCAGAGAGGTACTGCAACATGACATGCTGGTAGATGGCAGAATCTTGAAGATCTTTGCTGTCTGTATTTTGCTCTTCAAGATAGCAAAGTTCGAGCTCCAGAGGGTTATCTAGCTGGTTTTCTAATTTGTTTTCGAAAAACAGTTGAGCGTCAACTTTTTTCCCTGCAAGGTTGTAAAGCTTCCTATGTGGGGGGCTCAAAATTCCCTGTTCCTCCCATGGCGAAGTCTCTTGCTGTGCCAAGAGAGAAGGGTTCTTAAAAATCAAGTCTTTATTACTAGAGTGAGCAGCCAGAACGCCTGCCAGCACGCCGTTGGCGATGTGACTGGTTTTAAACAGTTTCCCCTTTTCACAGGTGAGCTTGAATTTTTCCAGCGCCAATAAAATCGTCTCTGCAAGCGTCGGCGCCATGAAGCCTTCTTCTCTCATGGCCCAGATTCCGCCAATCACGTCTTTGTGCGTTACGAAATGCGGTAAATTATCCAGGAGCTCGTGCTCCGAGTTTCCCGTGGCAGACATGTTGGAGGTGTCAGTTTCCATCGCATGTGTCAATCGGGCCAGCAGCGCCCCTTGGTCATCGAGTTGCTCTCTTTCAATGTGTGGTATATGTAAATTAGGCAAGACGCAAAAGTACAGCAGTCTTCTTAAGTATCCTTTTGCGCACTGAGTCATGAATTCCATTGCGTCACGCGAGAATTTCAACGGGAGCCTGCAAGCCGGCTGCATCTCCTCAATGCCATGTTTCGAATAGAGCGGCGACCAGCGCTTATACCAGTTTTCGTTGCTTATAAGTGTATCGTCCAAATCTTGAGCAGTACAAATCTCTTCGGGGCTTTCTAGCTGAAGAGAAAGACTCAAGTCGTCCTCCAGCTCGCAAAAAAATTCGTCCATTTCATAGGCTATTGGAATATCTTGTTTGGCCAAAATTCGGCCGTGTTTCTTTGAGTCGAGCCTCTTCAGCAGCGTCAAATTTTCGTCAAGAATCGAGTAATATGTCAATATTTCAAATCTGGACTTCGTGCCGATCTTGAAGTGCCATTCGTCGAGCCTATGAATTGAATACCGGGACAAATAATGGAAAAAAAGCTGCTTTTCCTCTCGACTCCAAAGCACACCCATATCAATGCCTTCGGCATCATCTTCGGCTTCTGGTATCATTACCTGCTGCTCTTTCTCGAGCCATCGTACTCTACTGTTCACATGCACATATGAATCGTCAAGGTCAGCGCTACTTGCCAGCGGATCCATGAACTGCTCCACTTCAGCATTATAGATTCGGAAGTAGTTGCGTATGGCTCCACATTCATGCGGCTCCATGCCGGACAGATCTACACTTTTTATCTTAGCCATCGTTACCCATCTCAGTTCTCAAAATTGAAAAATTTCGACAGTTCAAAACATAATATAATAGGATTTAATATTTGAAATAGATTGGCTGTCAAAACCCAGTTGGCATTCTAGTTAGTATTCCGAATGGCTTCAAATGCGCATTTTACGTAAATATGACGTTTTCAAAGCAAGGTCCTCACCGATGAGCTTTCGACCTGGAATGGGTGTAAGAAATATTCCATCGCAGCGGCAGTTTCTGTCAATGAAGCCAGATGTCGAAACGGTTACGGACTCAATTGAAGACCCTAATAATCAAGAAGGGCTCGAAAAATTGAAAAGCACGAGAGGCAAGAAATTGAAACCTTCAAAAAGCCCTATTGTAGTTTTAAATCCCAGGGAAGCGGGACTATTTCGCAAGCGGAAAGTTTCCGGTCATTTTAGATCTCATGGAAGGGTGCGAGAGAAGTTGAGCGCTTTGGATGGTGTCTATTTGGAGAGAAACAAAACTGGCGCTGGTTTTTCGTCCAGCGATCTCCTGAAAGAAATTGAATCACAGCGGCGAAAACTATTAGTTTTTAAAAGCCCTGTAGCCAGAGAGCAAGTTATCAAGTCGATTCACGATCTTCAGCCTCCAGACGATAAAAAAATGATGTCTCAAAAAAGATACGAGCAGTTGTTTGGGATTTTGAAAAGTGCCTACACTTTGCCCCAATTGAAGGATTTTGCCAGGTGCTTCTTCAATACCCCAGCCAACTCAACCATTCCTAAAAAATTGTTAATTCCAAGAATTCTTAATGACTTCTGGGGCTGCACGGTAAGTGAAAGAATAAGTGAGAACGATGATTTGATTGTCGAACGTGTCATCGACGTCGAAACGCGGGACATGTATTTACTTCTATTGACGAACAACGGTAAAATCATGCAAAATTTCGCAAGACTGGGCGCAACTGTCGCTGTGGCTCTCAACGAAAATAAAATCATAGTCAGAGGATCTGGTTCTTTGGTAAAATATGTGGAGGTATCCATTCGAAAGATCTTAGCCAATGTTCAGAGAGAAATCCTTCCCATGAACGATATAATTTCCAACCACACGCCAAGAAATGAATCGCTCAAAATTAGCGTCAGCAAAATTTTGGAGCTCATTCAAAAAGAGTGCGCAGTCTTTTTCGAAAGACTATTGGAGGACGACTCCAATAGCTATCTTGCAACCGCTTTTGGGGCTCGTCGCGTTGAAAAGGCCAGGAAACTTATTTTACGTGCGCTCGACTATTCACCTCAGAAAAGTAACTACACGAAACTAGTTACAGCCGAGAATCGCAAAGAATACAAACTCTACCCCTTCGCAGACTATCAATGTCTTGATTGGTTAAATAAGAACGAGAATTGGTTCAGGCTGCAAAAGCCTGTCTTCAAAGGTGCAGAGCTGGAGAAGACATTTCCAGGGCCGTCTCTGCTTAACGAGGATATCATAAAGGAGACCTATGATCATCTGTTCGACAAAATTGATTCTAAAATATTACTCGCTGAAAAGCCAGAAAGCAGAATTCTAAGCGCTACTTTGGGCCAGCTCTTGAAGACAGAAGACGGAGAGCATACCATATTCCAGCCTAGAGTTCCTCAAATTATACCCAAACTCAAAAGATTAGCTTTGTGGGATGAATATGAAATTGAGAGCGGTGAAATAGGCTCGGATTACCACGAATATTACGTTCAATTGCGTTTTATTCCCAACCTTTCGAGTTGTCCTAATCTGGACTACGTTCCACCAATTGAGCTCTGGTTCGATCTCGATGAATCCGACAGGGCAGTTGGCACAAGCCTCCGTTGTATCTTGCACACTGAGGATAGAAATGTTCATTTGCAGACTCCCGATTTAATGTACGATTGGCAGCTCAATGTCGACAGCTCTCAAGAAATCGTAGAGCCCTACGAGAATAATCCAGAGACGTGGCTGAAGGATCAGCCAGGTTTGAAAGAGTTCCTGCTCAATGCGGATCTCACTTTTGGTGCTCAAAGAAAGCCTTTCGTTCCGAATTCGCTGTCTTTAGATTTAAAATTTTGTCAGGAAGGGAAACAACGTCTAGTAAACTTCGATTATGTGGATATCAAATACCGTCGTGTACTGAAGTTGAAATATATGGACAAATATCTGGTCCAGCTCTCGGATGTCAGAGGTGAATCAGAAGGAGCAAAATACACTCAGGTCGATATCGTTGGTACCGGCGTACAGGAGATCGACAAATTTGAAAATTTCATTCGAGATGTGATTGAAATTCATTGAAGCGCTACTGCCCCTACCTCTTCTACCGCAAATGGCGGCGCATGGTTATCATATATTATCCTGTAAATAGAAATGCATTTTATTTCCATTCATTATTTGACATTTTGATCCATAAACTTTTTATGATAATTGCTGTTGAACGAATCATTGGTGTTCTTGTTTCTGCTGCTTGTAAAAGCTTCTTTGCTGGAATGTTTTTGCCGTTTAAACACCGATTGTTTTCGCCAATTTGAACAAGAACTGCTAGGAGCCCCTTCTTCATCATTTTCTCTCATATCTCCACTTTTCATTTCACAACGGTCCCTGTTCCTTCGTATTTTGAGCAAATCTTTCAAAAGATCCTCATCATTCGTTTTAGTACCATCGGTAACGCTTTCGGAAATGCTCTCCTTTTGGACTTTTGCCTTGCTGTCGCCCACTTTGGCCTTGGTGATAGTATTCAACTCTAATTTCAAAGTACGTTGCTCTTGGTCCGTCAGCTCCAAAATTTTCCTTTGCGACTCATCCAGTGATCCATTTCCTTTCGAAACTTGACTGTTTCTTGGTCGATATTTAATCTTTAAATGACCAGGAAGCAATCTGGCGTGCCGTATGCTCGTCGAAGATCCATCTTTCTTAGCTCCGTTTCTAGCTTCAAGCTGAGGCCTATGTGAGGTCGTCATCTTCAGTTCCTCAGTTGATCCACTGAGTATGTACAAACGGTGTTGATTTTAAGTTTAGCAACATTTTTTGGAATGCTAAATTAATTAGAAGAGGTTAAAATCAAGGACTTGATCAACCTTGACTATATCTCATCAGAATAAAACTAAGAACTTGACTGGATTCGCTCAAGACTTTGTTAAGATATACATTTGAATATTAAGCTATAACTGACTTAATTTGCGAGATTATTAAGTTAAAGCATGGGTGACATCAACACGAATTACAATGAAACAGAGGACGAATCGATTGTTGGTTACATATCGATCAAAGACTTTGCATACGATCAATCAAATCCATTGCATTTCGGATTCTTCGATAGTGTGAGTGAAGAAGGAGATGGTGACAGTGATGACAGGGAGACAAAAGAAGAGGATATTAACAAAAGACAAAGTATAATTCTACCAACAGATTACATCATAAACCATAAAGCAGTTGCACTTTTCGATTTTTCGCCAGAGAACGATAACGAACTGGAGTTGAAAGAGGGTGATGTTGTTTACATTAGTTATAGGCATGGTCAAGGCTGGTTGGTGGCCGAAAATACCGGGCGCACAAAGACTGGCCTGGTGCCGGAAGAATATGTGTCTTTCCTGGAAGACGATGAAGATGACGACGATAATGGACCCGAGGAGCCTCGACCTTTTTATCTGACTCGAATGCTAGCTCAAAATATGGGTGCAAAGTTGGGTAATGCAGGTGATGACGACGAATGGGAAGACATTCACGACGTTGAAACAGAAGTGGCAGACAAGCTGAAAATATGAAAATTCACACAGTGGGGCACAGTGGCCAATTAAAATAGGCTCTATGGTACAAAACGTATATGCTGATATTCAGAACTGACAGATTTTTAGCATCAGACCTTAAGTTCTAAATCTACTTCTTCCTCGTCATCCACCTCCTCACCTTTTCTTATGTCATTCAACTCACGGACATCTACTCGACCTCCAATCTCTGGCAGAATCACACGTGCACCGGAAAGAAGCTCTTGAATGACGTCGTCTATATCATTCCGATTTTCCGCAAGCTTTTCCAACATGGTCAAAGCTATGCGTGCCTCCCTGATATTGCTTTGAGTTGGTTCGTGGTCCAGACTTAGTTGCTGTTGTTGAAGGTTTTCATTGAATTCATAAGCATTCGCAGCCGTAATTACCACACCGGGGTTAAGTGCTGCAAATTGCTGTCTTTTGCAAATCATGTAATGTGAGAATCCTTCAAGGTAGTATCCTTCCAAATTGTCCTCGTCAATGTCTCTCACTGCGGCAAGAATCTCGAGGGAAAGATCATATATTCCAAGCTCGATGCACATTTTAGCTAAACTTAAGAGCGGTTGTAGCAGCTCAACAAAGTCTGCAAATGTTCCTCGACCATTATGAAGATTAGCCTCGATCGATTCTTTCTTCTCTTGGAAAAACTTCCAAGACGATGCAAATGCAGAGGCTGCTTCTAAAAACCGCTGTTGCGAAATTCTTATCGACCCTAACATTGACCACACCTCAGGCGATTTATCATCGGAAACTTCCATTGCCTTTGAAATGAGCTCTTCGCATTGCGCCTCGGCATTGGGTTCCATACATAGATCCGTCATCCATATCTCTATCATAGACAAAAGCCCTCTAACGATCATATCTGCTTGTTCCGCTTGCAGCATTTCGCCAGCAATCGCTGAGACGCTCTCGATTCCCTGCATAAGAAGCTGAATACCTTGTCCTCCACCCATGATCTGACCCAATGTGAAAAACTTCTGGGAACCCCCCGCTCTACCATCAGAGTCAAGCTCACAGGCTTGAGTGAGAAGAGGGTAAGCTTTGTCGACCTTTCCGGCTTCCAAATAGGCTTCTGCAAAAACCTGCTGCAGTGCAACGTTCTTAGAGTTTTCGGCCTTCAAAGACTTTCTGAACGGTTTTAAACGCCTCAGAGCCTCTTGCACATTATTCTCTGCCAACAAACACTTCGCCTCCGTAATTGCATTCTCCAAACCGCACATTTGATCTTTACGAAGACAATTCGCTCCAGGGATTATAATTGCATCTCTGCTCATCGCATTTCATCAAATTTTTTTCTTGTTTAAAATCGGTTTCTAGAACATCCACGTGACGAATTTTGACAATCTTTCTTTTAAAGAGCCTGAGTACTCGGTGTGTTCCTTCCAAATAGTCCGATCAATCTCACGCCTTCCACTGTCAAGATCCAATTGTTCGAGTTTTTGAAGTTTTGATGTTCTGAATAACTTGTATCCGATGTAACATAATCCGAAAAACATGAGTCCTCCATAGGATGAGAAAAACATCTTCGTGCTCCAAAAACCATTCAAAAAGTTGATAAATCCCATTAGAATGACAATCATCAACGACCCGACTAACCCATAACATGCCAAAAAGGGTTGAAATGGCGATTTGTAGGGATAGGTGGAATCATCTCTTGAAATGATAGTGGGTCTCCTTCGTAAGGCGTAGAAAAAGCGTAAAAATGAAGTGTTCAATCCGATCCAAATAATTGAAATTGTAGCACTTGATATGTTAGCCAAAGCTTGAAAAGCCGTGAGTGCTGTTTTGTCAACCGCCAAATAGGCCAATGTTCCAAAAGCTCCGCTAAAAAGAACAGCTAGAACTGGAACACCTTGATGAGTACAACGTTGAAAAACCTTTGGCGCCTTTTCTTGTATTGACATGGAGTAAAGCGTACGACTCGATGCGTAAAGTGAAGATAATCCGGCGCTAACGCCGAAAAATACGAGAATACCATTAAAAACTGATGAAAAAGTGCAGAGGCCAAAACTTTGCAAAGCAAGTACCCAGGGGCTTTGATTGCCATTCGTGAAGTCATTGGTGCTGACAACTCGGCCGCCACCACAAGCACCATCGATTTGCCAACTTGTGTTCAGTGACTCTAATACAATCCCTGATGCCCGATCAGCGCTGGCAGTTGTGTAATACCTGAGAAGACGACCATCTCCACTATAAACATTCATACCAATCATGAGAATAGATGAAATGTAAAGGAAAACGATGGTTATAAATGTTCTTTTGGTAGCCGAAGGAAGGGTTTTGCGAGGATTTATGGCTTCTACGCTAGCCACAAACGCAAGTTCCACGCCGCTGAAGGAGAAAGAGGAAATGAGTACGACCACAATGACAGCCAAAAATCGACCTTTAGGTCCTTCTATGCCGTCAAGACTGCCCGTTCCCATATCTCGGAGATCGAAAGTAGGTCTGAAAGCGCCGTATGTCAACCCTTCTGGTGATTTTGAGGAATCCCAGAATCTAAATCCAATCGGGGCATGTTGTGTCCTACCGACACCAACATTCAAAATTATCATTACAAGAATCATAACTCCTGTTATGACCACTTTGCAAAAAGTGCAAGCATAGGATATTTCGGCAAAGATACGCACGTCGATAAGATTAGACAGAATTGCAATTGCCAGAAACAAAGTGACAAACCCTGCCGTAACTTGACGGCTCATGGTGAGATTTTCGAAATAGCTAAGCATGTAGACGCTGGCTACTATCTGGCTGGGTAAAGCAAGTATGAAAGAAAACCAATAAGACCATCCAAGAGCAAACCCGAACGCGTCCTCGACAAATCGAGATGCTAGCCCTGAAAATCCCGATGAAAGGGGTAGTAAGGTTGAGATTTCGGTGAAAGAAAGCATAGTGGCCAGCACTATGCTTCCGCATATGCAAAAACCTATTAAAGATCCTAAGGGGCCACTAATTGACAGTGCCTTCCCCGAATTGAGAAAAAGCCCGACTCCTAACGTGGCTCCGGTGGCGATCATTTGCAAATGTCGTACCTTCAACTTTCTTTGAACGAAAATCCTGTCCTTTCTGTCTTGATCTCTGCACAAAAACTCGCTAATTCTTCTCAAATCATGCCATTTGATGTTTTTGCCGTCCTGGCCTTTGGATTCCAATTCACTGGGCGATAAATCTTGCCCTTCTAAAACTCGATCGATACTTCTTCTCAGTATATCTGCGCCTGCTTCTATGATCCAATTTCCATTTTCCAAGTCAATAATTTGAGTATGATTTTCGGCCGAATCGGCTTCTGAGTACTCCGCGTTCGGTGAGGGTCCTAATTCTTCGGCAAGGACATTTTGAAACTTTTGTCCTCGTACTTTACTAAGCAGACTCTGTAAATTCTTTGGCCCTACCCACGACTTTCGATTTGTAGTGATATTCTCATCCCCAGCGGTATATTCAGTGCCTAAAGCGCCGAGTTCCAAAACTTTAAGAGCCTGATCTGAGGGCTCTTCTAAGATTTTTTTGAGCTTTTCACGGAATTCATCTTCGCGCTGCACTTTGAGATTGTATAGCTCAAAATCGCTCAAGTCATTATGGTTATCCTTGCTGTGCTTGTTTCGCGCCAAAATCTCATCAGATTTTTGCGTCATGTAAAACCGATTCTCTCTGAGTTTTCGTTTAAAAGCCAAAATCGAAACATCGCATTCTTCTTGAAGAATGCTCTTAATAACTCTTGTGTTCGCACTTGATTCCGTAGATTCGCTAATCTTGCTCTCATTGTTTGACGATTTCTCTTCGTAGTTTGATGAAATGTTAAGATTGAAGCTATCTGGGAAAAGCTCGGTCTGTTTCTTAGTATTTGTCATAGCATCACAGAGAGTTATACCCTTTAAGATATCCTTTAACGCATCTAACTCAAATTCGGTCTCAAGCCAACGGTTCTTGAATTGTTCTTAATGCTGCTCTTTATCGGAACTGTCTCTGTACTTCGATCTGTCTAATTTGCCTAATTCCACATTTTCAAAAAGTCATGTGCTCTTCTGCGAATAATAAAACTGTCATCAGTGGATATTCAATTCCTATTTATTTAAATAGACAGAAGCGACAGTGTATCATCCCACTGCATAAGTTATTTGAAGTTATATTGTTACCACTGTCATTTGAATTTAGTCCAATCCTCTGTTATTTATGCGTAGTAGTTGGGGCATTTTACGTACAATTGGTCTTTGTCGAGCTACAAGTGGCCCGATTAGATGGGTGCAAATATGAGTGACAGGACCCTGCTCGCTGGTAGGTGCAGTTACATCGCTAAAATCATTTCAAAAAAACAACCCTATATTACTTTTGAATTTCTGACAACATTTTCGTCTGACAGCTTCCTGGGAACTAGGGACCCGTTAGTTTTTCCAAGATCAAAATAAACTATCATGACCTGTCGAAAATACAAAAAATAACAATTCCCTTAACGATATAATCGTACTTAAAATTAATGCTTACATGTCCTGGAGCGCCTCACTTGTGTAATGTGCGTTCTAGCGCGGCCTTTACGCCACCAACTGTCGAGTCCCTCTCTTTCTTCGGGCTCTCTGGCATTGCAAACGTAACTGGCGGCGATTCTTCCTCATCATCTTCACGTCTGGGAGCCGAAACATGCCCTAATGCCGTAAGTCGACGAGCTCTCTCAACTGCAGTCTCCGGCTCATCATTGGAGTCCGAGTCCTCATTTTCAGACTCATAAATTTCATCTCCGTCCGAATCCCAATCGCTATCCGTTCCTTGTTCTTCCTCCGACTCATGCTCGGATTCTACTGGAGCAAGATTACCTTGAGTAGGAGCAGGTGTGAGTTTTCGGTCTTTGAGTTTAGAAAGTCCCAGCGGTTCAATGCCTTTTTCGCCGCCAGTATCTGGCGCAGCAGATTTTCTCGAAAGTCCGACCGCCGATAACGCCTTGGCGACAACTCCACTGTTGCCACCCTTTTGCTTAGAGTCGTTTGCAGTCGACTCGTGGGTGTTGATTCTGTAACGCCTCAAGACATCTCCGTCTTCGTTTTCGATTATCAATTCGTTGTCTATCTTGTATGCAAAATATCTGTTGTGATTTTGTTCATCGATTAATGTACTTTTCCTTGCTCCTGGCGGGGTTAAAAACTTTTTCAGCGTATTGGCCGTCTGACTGGAACGCCTGCTCAACTGTGATGATAAACCGGACCCGAGTGACTCCTCTTCGTCCTTCGGACCATGGTTGAGCGTAGCTTGGTCGATGATTTCGCCTTGACGGTTTTCTATCAATATCTTGTTGCCTTCGGCATATGCGATTGCGCCCTCTTCCTGTTCAGCTTTCTTCTCCATTTCACCTTTCAAATGATCAAACTTTCTAACATAGCTGTCAGTAGTGGAATTACTTCTTTCTATCTTATCTTCATCGTAATATTCATTAGACGAAGATGTAGTACCACCAGCCGGAAAAGGTACACGATCTTCTGCAAAAGTAGGTTGAGGAGATAGTCTTGAGGTCTTCCCAAGCCGGCTTTCAACTGACTCTGGATCAGGTGTGGACGTATTCGAGGCAAGTGCATCGAGATGGCTAATGGCCTGTGATGCTTCCGATCTATCCATAACATTAACTGTTTCCTGAATTTGCATGTCGCGATTTTCTGACTTGCCACTGTCATCGAGTTCACTCTCCCCATAATTCTCGTCTTCCCGCAATTGAGAGCTCAAAGCGAAAGCAGCAGCCTGTGCCTCTTTCTCCCTTTGAATTCTTTCACTATCATTTGCCTTATCCAACGCCGATTCAGGATCACGCTCCCGTCCCTTGAAGAGATCTCTGCCCCTTTTCTTGAGTTTATTTTTACGCCTCGCCATTCCTCCGGCTGGCCTTGCCATTTTACCATTATTTCCTATGGTACTCTGCCTCGAAATAGAATTGGATGGGGCTTTAGTATCAATTCGCTGTAATGAAAATGAACGGCCTGACTTCTCTAAAGAGGGTAATCTCTGCATCCACGAAGTTCCTTTGCCATTTGTGGTATGCGTAGTAAAGGTTTTCGTTAATGTGATGGTATTCAGATGCCTTCCCAATGTAATAACAGCGACTGATGAGCCATGAACGATAATCGACGTGACAATAAAAAAGCATGTAATGGGCCAAATGCAGGAAATTAATTGCCAGTATTTCGTACCTTTTGCTGGCAACTCTTTAAGAGGAGTCTCCTCACCAGTGACGCTAGCCTCAAGTTCAGATCTGGCCAAGATAGCCGCGAACACAGCACCAACACCAATCGGACCAAAATGACCAACGAAAATCGCCTCTCTCCAAGACTTGATATCCGGAACGAAAGGTTTGATCACCAAAACCGCTGGAATTCTTCTAAGCCCTATTACCACAAAAGCTAGAATGATAAGCCTCCAAACGTTAGTCCCTATTTCCGGGTCGTTGAACTGTTGCCATGGAATTATTGCACCAAAATAAACAAAATATGCCAAATTTAATAGTAGATCAATGACTGTCGAAACCTTACTTTCTTCTGTGCGTTTAGAGAACCAACCATCCCACGCAAAAGCAGAGCCAGCGGCGAACGAAACTAGAAGATCATCAACGCCGAGAATGGATCCAAAGCCCGCACACATAAATGCAAGGACGACATAAAAGGCTAAAAACGACTCTCGATCAATAAGCTTTTTCTCTTCCGCAAACCGGATCGCACGCCGGCCGGTGTAACCGATTACGCAACCTAAAATGCATCCGAAGATACATTCATATAGAATCGTTATGCAGATCCACTCTTTTACGATTTCTCCACCATTTCCATGATGAACGATGAGGTACAACGAGAGATAAATAAATGGGAAAGCCATACCATCGTTGCAGCCACTTTCAGCGGAAAGTAAATTCCTCAAATGACCTGGCACTCTTTGCGCAAACTTACCTGAAACAACAGATTGGGCCAAGATAGGATCTGTTGCTGTAACGCAAGCGGCAATAAGCAGAGAAGCAGCAAAATCTAAGCCAGGAATCAAAATCCATACGAAAAGTGCTATAAGAAGCCATCCAGCAGTCATCACGGGGAGCAGAAGCATCGAGATGGACAGCCAGTGTTTCAACATGTACTTTTTTGGTAGCTCAACTGCTACCGCAAAAATTTGAAGACACAGAACGATTCTTGTGATTTCCAGTGTGATGGAATCTGAGTTTCCCCACGTCAATGGATTGAACCAATTTAAACAATGCGGGCCCACAATAAGCCCAAAAATGGCGGCCATAGTCGACTCGCCAATGTAAAGCCTCTCTTTAACAAAAAGAGATACCAGTGAAAAAATAGAGGAGAAAACACCGACGCAGGCGTATGCGACATGCGCTTTGCTTACCTATTACTCTTTGTTAGACGACATTTATGGATTCAAAATAGCAAACATTAACGGGGCTTCAACTCCCCGAATTTCCATACCTCCAAATGGTCCCATACTACCATTATGACGAAAATGTCTGATAACGGTGTCACTCCTAGATGGGAGCTGTTTTGTTCTTCGACGACCTTTGAAAGAGGATGAAATCTGGCTAAACGTTGCGATTTTCGTATCATGCATTATTGCCCTCACTTAAATTGGACCCTTTCTGTGTTAAGTCGGGTAACATTATGTAGTCAATAGTGATCTTTACAAGGCGATGCCATGAGATCGACGTAGGTCGAGCTTTATGAAATAGTGAGACCTTGAATATTAAAGTGGATTCGTTACTGCCTTTGCAATTTTGTCTTGACCGATTTAATCAATTTTTGTAGTTCGAGAATGGTTTCGGGAACAGTCTCGGGTTGTCCAGTTTCTAACTTTAAGCGGTCATTTCCTATGGCAGCCGAAAGTGAAGTCATTTGTACTTCTGCGGGGGGGTTTGGTCCAGGTTCTTCGGACACCGAGGTTGATACCTCAGAGTCAAATGTGATGTTCGACATGCCGCTTATGTTTGCTGATCCATGGCCAATCACCGACGTCAACGATGGCGTGTGTAAAACGGTGGAATTTGGAAAATGATCCGTTTGATAACGAGAATGACTGGGCGTCCCTACGAAGGTAGAGGGATTCTTCAGCTGGCGACCAGTGACTGCCTCCGGTCTCGCCTTTACCGCCAAGTAGGAAGGAAGAGAAGTTACGGATTCCGAAGCGCTTCTTTCAGTCGAAGAGCGCACTCTTTTGGGAGTCTTGAATTTTTCTCTGTTAGAGTCGGAAAGTAACACAGAGAGCTTTCGTGATCTCATTCGTGGCGAGGCCGAAATATGGGATTGCAAGCGAGCGTACACGTCGTTCCTGTCTTTTATCGCGGGACGTTTGGCCATGTCCTGAACCAGCGCTTTCTGAAGAGACTCATCGATATTTTTCGCTGAATCGAATTTTCTCCGCGTTGTTATTACTGCTGGCGTGTGGCGTCGATGATTCGTGCCCTTTTTGTATTTTCCCCGCTCAGTCAATTTGAGCGTAAAAGAATTGGCTATCGAAGTCAGTCCCTTAGCGAGGGCTGCGTGAGGACTAGTACCGCTCATTCTGACGATCTCTATGTCGGCAAGAACAGGAGCAAAACCCTCCGCAATCTTGTTGAGTCTCAGCAACTCCATGATCTTCTTGATAGACAGTGGATTTTCTGCTGACTCCCAATAAACAATCATCAAAGAAAACACATAGTTGGCTTTGAGTGCAACCCCATGTATTAGTTCGATGAGCCTCTCGCCGTCCTGCTTTAGCTTCAGTTCTAAGTCAAATATGTCATTGTCCGTAACGCCACTATTATAAACAAAAAGTTGAAGATCTTCAGAAACGTCTGAAGTGTCCTTGTCCCCAACCGCGTCGAGCCCTAGGACGAAGTCACTTTGACTAATCCGCGAGCGCTTTGCTTTTGAATCGAGTCCAAACTTTGCGAGCAGCCAACGCGAAGAAACTGCTTCCCATTTTCGGGAGTATAATGAAATATTCAAGATCTTGCAATTTTCTTGGACCCACTGTGCGTTGAGGCTGTATTCTGTCAGTTTCGATATCAACGGCATCAAATAAATTTCCTTTAGACTTAAAGGCTCCCACACTTGTTTATTAGTCTGAATTGTCCTTTTAGAATGACTTTCTTCGTTCTGCATTGGTGTCAAAAATATGCTGTTTTCTGACTTCACGGGAAATGAAAACGTCGAACCTTCATATGAATTGGACGCTGACGACAGTCTAGGTCTCTTAAGATTGGGCACCCCGAGCTGACGACCGGTTTCTGCAAGTTCATGAATACTTTGAAGTTTTTCTTCATGTTTTTTCTTTCGCTTGATGTATCTCATTCTCCATGCGTTAAATAGCCGCTTCGATATCATCTCGGAGTGGAAAATATCAGCGCGACAATCTAAGTGGATAAAATAGAGAAGCTCGTGAATAAATGATTCATACAACTCCGAAGATAGAGCATTAATTTTTCGCGTTTTCACATCCATAGCTGCGATTTGTTGTTTAACGACATCACTTACCAATGATTTGACATGCTTTTCAATTACGGTTTCAGCTAGTAGAGCTGTTGCGCTCTTTGTTATCTCCTCTTCCTGATTTGCGAGCCGTCGTTTCTCCGCCAATTCATGGTTCTCCTGTCGTAAACGGGCAATATGTTCCTCTCTCTCTTTTTTTTTGTCGATTTCCGATCGTTCTCGACTCTTGCTTTGCACCACAAGATCATCGTTTTGAACTTTTGGTAGCATTAAGGCATTTTTTGTTTCGTCGTTATTTTGTTTTTGTTTGTTGGCCTCTACATTGGAGGCTACAGTGTCCGGAGTATTGTTTCCAGATATATTAAATGCAAAACTGTTTGAAGGATTTCGGGGTCTAGTTAGTTTGCCCTGGTCATCTTGCCTCTTGACAACTGAAGGCACTCTCGAAGGGTATTTGAGTTCGGCGGATTTCTTTGACTGTTGTTGAACAGCCGCTAACGGGCTTGGCTCAAAAAGGCCATTGCCGTCAGAAATTCGGCTACTTCCATTGACAAGGTCGATTATTGAACCATTTGGTATCTTTTTATCAACACATACCAAATAGCTTTGCTTCATTGGCTTCGTCTCAGGCAAAATATGAGAATGATGTGCCAATGACGTGATGATAATACCTTCGGTATTGGTTTCTACCGAATAGTACTCGCAGAAGTTCTGAAGCTCGTCAAGATTGTTGAATTGGAATATTTCTATCACATATGCAAAGGGTATCGGCTTATGCTTTCGATTAACAGAATGTGCAAGGGACTTGAATCCATAAAATCTGATCTCGTTCAGGTAAACCTCCAAAAACGAACACATGAGAAAAGGAACTTCCTCGGATTTAAGAAGCTCGAAGAATCTTAGGTAGAGGTTGAGACCACTTTCAGTTTTGATATGACCTCTTTCACTGAAAAGCGAATTGGAAATTATCCTGCGAAAGCATACAGCCAGTTGAACAAGCTTGTTGCTGAAAATTTCTATTGGCATTTCTTGGATCATTTTATCGTATTCTGGATCTCGCACTCGACTCAAGAGGGAATATGCGCGGAATTCCGCCTCGTTAGGCGCGGCTTTCCCATTATTACGAAGCTCATCGTATATTTCTGATAGGGTAATGAGAGCTTTGTGAAGCTGTTCCAGCTCTTGCTGTCTACTGTACTCTTGGTTAGACACAGCCATTACGTGCAAAACCAGTAGGTGAATACGCACAATTCTCTCGTTACAGTCAACAGCCTCTGGACCACTATAGTTCTGGAACGTAAAATCCTGTCTGATAGACCGCATGCGATCCCATAAGAATGCCTCGCAATCTGGAAGTTGATTGAGAATGTTATCCACTAGGTAATCTAGGGTTTTGACTAGGACGTGCGGAGGCCTGACATCAGATGGCAATGGTGGGGCGGCGGCAGCAGCAGGTCTTGCAAATACCTTTAAAGCCTTGGATCTGGAAGCTCTTTTACTACTTTGGTCTTCTTTTTCATATCGCACGACGTTGTTCTCGACGGTCCGTCGCGTACGTTCAAAAATCGGGCACATGTCTAAGCACGTACCTTGGAAAATGATTGCTTCCTGAAGATTCTTGGCCATTTCAGCTTTGTCTACCAGACCTTTCTCTTCCATAAAGTTCCTTTCAGTTTCTCGCATTTTTTTGAAGGTTTCCCACAATTCTGTCACGTCTGTTACAGTTTGCTCCAAGCCGAGCATCTTTTCTTGATTATTGCGGTCCCAAGGATCCTGAACAAACGGACGCGGGGTCAATTGAGGTATTTGCTGTATGAGAAAACTAGGTAAAGGACGAGACTGGTGTTGTAAGGGTTCGAAACCCAAATGCTCAGGTGATTGTGAAACTAGGGCTCCAACATTGATGGTTCTCAATAGATGAGGAGCATTGTTGGACGCTGCACTACCATCTTTCATTGGAACTGTATTCAAATCACCGTATTGATTTTCTTTGGATCTTGTAGTGGCATTCTTTCTTGAGCGCGGTCTTGATTTATTTCTTTGTTGATCTCCTTTTTCCTTGTTATTACTTCGAGAAGAAGGAGTGGATCCGACGCTTTCAACAGTGCTGAAAAAATTGAAAGGAAGAGACGAAAGCCCAGCCTTAGGCCCGCTGCTCATCATACGCTTTGTAACTAGGCAAAGTTAATCGCCGTTATGGATATATTAGTTTGTCAAGATTCTGCCTTTTGAAAATTTCAAGATTTGCAGTGATGAGTATATCATGATATATAGTAAAAGCCGAATCTCGTGCCTTGGATTGAGTGATCCTCTAGAGCCAGCACCTTGAGATTATACTCAAGGACGGCTTTTTCAAGAAACTGCTCTAACACGCCCTGTTCTCGCAATTGTATGCCCGTGATGCACCTCACTTGGTGGCCTTTGGTGGAATAAAGCTTCATGATTTTCGACAGGGTCTGCAGGAATGGATCTAAGATATACACATTGTAGATCGCATCCATGGCGAAGACGTGAAAAATTGAGGAGTCCTGTGGCAGTAGGATACGCAAATCTTTTTCATTCTTAGCGTCGAAATGTTCCCGATCGAGTGCAAGTAAATGAAGGTCCACACGAAGCTCTGTCTTTCTGGTCTTTTCTAGACCCATAGTAAATGATTTGACAGAACGTCGCGTGATTTCGTCGATATTGTCTTTGATATTTTTGCTGCGCCCAGAAATCAGGGCTTTTTGGTCCGTAGCGATTACCTTGTCAACGTGGTTCGCCAACACCACTGGAAGAATACCAGCGACGCCGGAACCGGGCTCAAGAACGCAATTCTTCAAGATATTTCCGACATCAGTATTACAGAAGATCGGGGGTGTTTCTAGCTGTTCAGATGTTTCATTAACTGAAAGCTTTGAGCCTTGAGCTTAGCGACGTCCGTTGTCAGAATACAACAGCCAATCCAAGAAAAACGGTGTGGTGGACCAGACAACAAAGCCTGTGGTTGAGTTCTAGTTGTAGTGCGCAAAAGATCTTAAACACGTAAGCGACTGCTTGATCTCGAATTGAAATGCGGGCTTGTTTCTGTCATTATTCGGGGGCGTAAGATTAACTTCGATCTCGTTGTCTGAACGCACATGTATTCCTAGATCTTGTTTCAAACCCTCTGCATTTGCCTGTTGGCCTGAATATCTCTCAAAGACGGCCTCGAAGATCGCATTTTCGCTGTCCAGTCTGGTTAAAGTCAGTAACATGTACTAAGAATACTGATATATGGTCTATTCAGTGGTTAAATTACTTAAAAGTATCGAAAAATTTGTTCATTAGTAGGAAGATGCGGGAGGCCCCGGTAACCGATGTCTCTAGATGTAGTTTTTCGCCAGTAGAATCTCAGCAATCAATATACCGGCGCCGGCAGCACCGATAACGGTGTTGTGAGAAAGGACGACCATCTTGAAATCCAAGACCGGGTCTTCTCTGACACGTCCCACGCTGACACCATAGCCACTGTCTCTATCCCTGTCGAGTCTTGGCTGAGGTCTGTCGTTCTGCTCTAGCACGTGGATGGTCTGTTTAGGAGCCGAGTAACATTGCAGCTTTGCCGCGTCGCACACGTAGTCTCTGAGACACTGCTTGACTTGGTCGACAGAAGGGGCAGGTCTGTTCTTGAATCTCAAAGAAATGCACTCCGTGTGCCCGTCGGTGACAGGGACTCTGTTGCACTGCGCGGAGACCTTGATCTCGTCGTCAGATAGCAGATCTATGCTGCGCTTGTCCTTGGCGATCGCACCCAAGATCTTCTTTGTTTCCCACTCCATCTTGTCCTCCTCGCCGCCGATGTAAGGCACGATGTTGTCCAGGATGTCCATGCCGGGGACACCGGGGGAGAACCCGGCACCAGAGATGGCTTGCAAAGTGGTTGTGGTCAAGGCGTCGATGGGACCGAATTTCTCGACCAAAGGCTTCAAAGGCGCCACGAGCCCCGCGGTCGAGCAGTTGGAGATGCACACAATGAAACCGGGTCTGTCTTTGCCCTGCTGCTTAGCAGCAGCGAGTTTTTCGCCCACCAGTTCCAAGTGCTCTGGGTTGACGATAGGCACCACCAACGGCACGTCCGTTTGGCGGCGGTAGTTTTTCGCGTTGGAGACCACACTCAGACCAGCCTCGACGAATTCCTTCTCGATTGGGCCCGCGTAGTCGGCGTCGAGACCGGAAAAAACGACGTCGCAGTCTTTGAACGCCTCGGCGTTGCACGCGGTGACCAGGATATCCTTCGCAAACTCTGGAAGCAGGTTTGTCTGCTTCCAGTTGACTGCGTCTACGTACCTCTTGCCCGCAGAACGTGGCGATGCACCTAGTACCTTGAGTTCGAAGTCTGGATGGTCAGCGAGCAGCAGAATGAATCTTTGTCCGACGGAACCGGTCGCGCCTAGGACACCGGCGACTTTTTTAGCACACATAGTTTTTTTAGTTACCGCTGTTTGATGGTGGCAATTGTTTGATCACGAAACTGCTGTGAAAGTGTCGTTTTACAACTTCAAACCTGTTCTTGTGTCTGCATAGATATGTATTTCTACTATCGTATGTAAGTTCGGCCTTATTATACCTGTACAGGCCATTGAGTCATAGAAAAAAAATTCTAAGATTGAAAAATTTATGAAATCCTGGCGTGAAAATGTGCTGGCAACACCAGAACCACGCCAAATGCCTTTGCAGTGGCCTCAGACTCAGAGGCCACTGCTGATCTGCTTCCTTGCAGCTTCCACACCTTCTTGTTCAGTAGATCACTTCCACACAATTTCGTCGATCTAATGCATCGAAGTCTGCTCACGACTCGAGAACCGTTGGAGGCAGGCCCTTGAAGTCCCGTTCGATCCTCCGTAACTGTGCTAAGGCGCCAGACGTGTCGGCGTCTGCTTCGTCCTCACGTTCTTTGATGAACGCAGACAGAAACTGCAGGATCTTTTCGTCCGAGACGTGCTCGCTGGCGCCAGCGTGAACCACGACAGGACTGTTCAGCGTGTTGTTGGCCGCTCTTCTGTTCTTCATCATGCCCGCGATGCCTTGCTCATCTGTCTTACAGATGGAAGAAAGTAGTTTTCCAGCTGAAAAATTTAAACCAGGCAAGAGCAGGACGTGGGCTACGCGAAGAAAACCAGCCAACAACGGACAAGAGTAAAAGTCAGTCGTTATACCAGGCATTGCACCGTTTTAAACGGTGCAATGTCTTACTTAAACTCTGGTTGACCCCAAATGACGTGGATCCTGTCGCTCTTCACTTTCGCACAGCACCAGAGGAAACTCCAAGACTCAAGAGTATAGTCGCTTTTTACGGGTCTTCGCTTCAAACGGATCTCATATAGGAATTACCGCTGCACCTCTCCTGGGGAGAATTGCCTACTTAGACTCAATCTCGTTGAGAGATGGTTGACCTGTCTGAGGACATAGCTAGTCTTTTACCCTGCGTGTCGCATCAACGTTGGGGACTTCGTAACTTCTTTGGTGCTTTTCAAGGGCACTATTGACGACTGGACTCCTCTCCTGCATTCGCGCAGCACTTGGGATACTCAGTGCTGCCTCATTTGCTGTCATTTAGCCTCGTAGACGAGCCAGACCACTGAGGGCAAGCCGACTTGAATCTAGAACCAACACTGCGGAATCCAGAAGTTTGAGCTACAAAGCCAGTCATGTTTTACGAAACTTATTTTCTTGCCAATTCGATGGATTGCTACATAAACGTTATCCAGCTGAAACGTAACTATTTGGCTTGCCCAATCGCCGAGTTCGTATAATTTACGTTGCCTCTGCTTATTCTTCTTACGAAATACTGCGAATCCATAGGCACTACAGACGGCCTATATTCGTCTCCAGAGCTCTCCCCAGCGCTGTCCGCGGTGCTAGCTTCCATTTTTTTCGCAGCCTACGGAAAAGAACAACGTGGGATCAACAGGGTGTGTATGTAGAGGATGCTATCTTGGGCTACCAGTAGTAGAGCCACATACCGTTACCCGGACTTAACTTTGACTACTAGCGTATAAAGACAGCATAGCAAATTTTCGCCCTTTAACCTTTAACGAAACTTCTAGTTACTCTTTAGTATAGCAAGCAAAGTTCAATTACTATCAAAAATGTCCAAGGTTTTCTTCGATGTCGAGGCTGACGGCCAGCCAGTTGGCCGTATCACTTTCAAGCTCTACAACGACGTAGTGCCCAAGACCGCTGAAAACTTCAGAGCGTTGTGCACCGGCGAAAAGGGTTTCGGATACTCCGGCTGCCCATTCCACCGTGTCATCCCAGACTTCATGTTGCAAGGCGGTGACTTTACGCACGGCACCGGTATTGGCGGTAAATCGATCTACGGCGGCAAGTTCCCAGACGAGAACTTCGTCAAGAAGCATGACAGACCAGGTCTATTGTCCATGGCCAACGCGGGGCCAAACACCAACGGTTCTCAGTTTTTCGTCACCACTGTGCCATGCCCATGGCTAGACGGCAAGCACGTCGTGTTTGGTGAGGTCGCTGACGGGTTTGACGTTGTTAAGAAGATCGAGTCTTTAGGTTCTCCTAACGGTGCTACCAGAGGCCGCATCATCATTGCCAAGTCTGGTGAATTGTAAGCGTCGCCCCCAGCGTGGTTTAGTTAGTCTGCTTAGTTTACTCTGTTTATGATCCAAAAAAAAAGTATAGGCTTCGAGAAGGAGCGATTATAGCGTCGATCTACTAGTAGTGCTAGTATGGTATTGAGTAGCACCATTTTTCTGGTCGAGTTGGACAGCTCACTGCCTAACTTTGTGAGTTCGGGTAGGTTTCGGGTAGGTTGGTCTTGGCAAGTCGATGTCATCACTGACGGGTCCCGTCCAAAAGCCCCTTTCAGTTCGACAAAAAATTGATATTTCATGAATTCAACGTAGATCTGGCGAATTAGACACGTCAACTCGCTAGGAGGCCCTAGAAGTCGGTAGATATTGGCCAGTTCAAGCTTGGTTGCAGAAGAATTAGTAGGAGGTTTGAAACATGGACTCGCTGTCGAAAAAAATTCAGAATTTGGGTATCCACGACATCAGAAACGCCGCCCGATTTGCGCAGAACGTGATAGTGCAATATGAGCCTTACCAAGTCGACATTAGACGTGCGACGAATACGGACCCCTGGGGTCCAACACCGAAGCATCTGTACAAGGTTCTGCGCAACAAATTCCAGGTGCCGTTGTATTTGATGACGGAGTACACGCTGAAGCGTCTGGTGGACCACATCGCGACGCGGCCAAAAAATCTGTACGAGAAGGCGCGTAAGCAGTACGTCAACTACGGGAACGAATGGCGCGTTGTGCTTAAGTGTCTTGTGGTGCTCGAATATCTGCTGTTGAACGTTGATGGCGGCAGCGAGCTCGAACAAGTGACGAGCTGTCTCCAAACACACAAGCACATCCTGTTGCGCGATGTGATGCAATATCGCGTCGAATTTAGCAGTGATGGCAAGATGGAGGTGCATGAACGCGGGATTCGGAAAAAATGCGAGCAACTAGTTCAATTTACGGAGGACGGTGCGTATCTCAAGCGCGAGCGTGCCAAACACGTCAAAAACACGGCCAAGATCCACAACGGGTCCATGGCCGTGCCGGCAGTCTCCTCCTTGAGGGATGGCGATGTTTCCGGTGCGGGGCGTGCCATTTCGAGTTCGTACGCGGAGGCCGTGTACGGGTCATACGACGATGACGACGACGATTTCGAGGAAGCCCCATCAAGTGTATCGCCACCGGTGGCAGACCAGCGGCAGCGTCGGTCTCAAGCGGTGGAAGATCAAAGACGGCACAAGCGCGAGTTGCTGCGCGAAAAGATAAAGGCAAGCGAGCTGCAACGCAAGGCGTCGCTCAAGCGCTCCCAGGAACCGCAAGTGGATCTCCTCGACCTGGATGATATGCCTGCGGTGAATAATCAAAAAGTATCTGGCGACGCAGTCGACGACAACGATGATGAGTTCGGAGAATTCCAGAGCGAGGGTTGGACCACAGCGCCAACAGTGGCACCAGGGACACGATCTGCATTCACGCCGGCAGCTGCAACGAACAGCTCAAATAAAGGCCAGGGTTTTGATCTACTGGACTGGGACGGCTCAGCAACCACAACAGCTCCGGGCCAGGCAAACACCGCGAACGGTGGTAATACGGAACAAAAATCTGCTCAGGGACACGACGCTTTTGCAGACCTATTCTCCTACTCTAAATCCCACGCGTAACTGCATCTAGGATTTTATATTGTACATTTCTAAGGAGAAATAAAAACTCATATTTAGCATGTTTCAAACGTTGGCTCCTGCATCGTCGAGGTCTTCCTCGCCGTCCAGTCCTTGTTCAAATATCTGGCGTCCAGTGAGTCTCCCACCATGAGCAACTTGTTTCCGGGCCTCGCCACGCTCTTCGAGTCCCATTTCCTTGCGGAACTTATTTCTCCATTCGAGGTAGGTTTCGCGAGTCACTTTAGTACCATGAAATTTCTTCTGCTCTTCACGCTCTTTTGCCATGAGTTTGCGCTCGTGTTCGCGTTCCAGACGAGCTAGCTCTTCTTGAAACCACGTCTCGCACGATTCTTTGATCCACGCAACAAATGCAAAACACATTTGCATGCCTATGAGCATCTCATCTTCGGCCTGTTGCTCGACCTGTGACGTCAGCCGCAATGCATAACCCTGGAAATGGATTTGATCTGGCAAATTGGTTAGCTTTGCCTCAATGGGGTTCCCGTTCTCGTCGTACTCAATTTCTTCTTCGTCTTCGTCTTCTTCGTCGTCGTCGTCTTTCCTGGACTCTTCGATGCATTCTATCTCGAGTTTTGGTGCAACGTCTGGGTAATTCTCAGGAAGCGAAAACTGCAGGTCTAAATAGTGGTCGTTTGATAGCGAGTCCGCGGTAAAAGAACTGTCCGGAAAAGGTTGTGGCTCGACATTTATTCTGACATTAAACTTTATTCCTGGGTATTCGTTATCCAGACAGCTAAATTCATCAGGATATATGGACTCGATAACTTCAAGCTCCTGCAATTGCTCTTCTTTATAGTCCATAGGTCGCTTGGATCACGTTGCTGGCCTGGCTCGCTGGGTGGAAATGCGTGAGGTTCTGCTCCAACCCGGTAGACTAGAGTCGAAATTATCAATTAGGCCAGTTGAAGAACTTTGAGATGCTGCTTACATCATCCGAAAAAACTCTGTATCGCCTTGTACGTAAACAAGGCCCAATCAGGATACTTCACAAGCGTTGCGCAGTACCTCCGACCCAGTATTGGCGGAATCGCAACAAGGGCAGCACAGGGAAAATTAATCTCGCGTTTTGATGCTAGTCCCGCCCACAGTCGCAATTGGTACCTTATGGTATTTTATGTCACGTGACCGCAATCCTTCTCACCATTTTGCCCTTTTAATCTTCATAGTATTTTCCTCTGCAAGGCCTAGTTCTCCCTTCAGTAACGCATACCTCTTCGAAAACCGTCCTACCAGACCCATCTAGCAGTCCGTCTACTAACTCTCACGGGCTTTCATTGCGTAAACTTCGTCGCTATATACGTGATTTCCAAATTCAAACTGTCGTTGGTGTCAGGTGATCTACAGGTAGTCAAGTGTTCGCCTCTGATTACCGTAGGACAGATATTTGGCTACGAAGCAACCATACCGTTAGCAGTCCGCCTGCTTTCCGGCTTCATTTATTGACTTTTTGCCAATTTTAAGGAGGTCTCTCGGCTTGGCTACGAGGTTTTTGAACCCTGCGGCACTCCTGAACTATTTTCTGTTTCCCCACGATTCTACCAATAACTTTAGCTATGGTGTGTCAACTGGCCACAACGGGGCTCTCGCCATAGGCTGACTATTCAATGCTCAGGGAAATTAACCGAGGAAACCCGACGAAATGCTTGAGGGTGTTGTGGTCACAGTATACGAAATCCTCTGACAAGAGCTTGAAACAGCTTCTGTGACTTTTAACATCGTGATGACAACATTTAGAAACCCAGCGGCTAAAGAACAAAACAAGACGGATGCATTCATATCGCAGGTCATGATTGAAATTTCAAAACGGTGGGGATGGTATTATGGGTGTCTCTCGCTGCTTCTCCGTCGAAATTCTCGTACCTGATGGCTTGTTTCTGTGTTTTATTAAACCCTGTCAGTTTTAGGCGCCGCGCCCAAGACGCTGGTGGCGACAGCGAGCGGCGATAACCCGCTGCTAACTCCTATCATTTCCTCCGTTCATATCCGATCACTATCAACGACAAACTGGGTGTTCCCGAGGGCGCGTATTTGCTCACAAGAAAAAGAAACAAAAGACGTATTGTGGTTAAGTCACCAAGCCGGCAGGCGATGATTATGTAAACATCGCTTTGTCTCTGGTGACCTCGCACCCATTTTGAGCCATAGAGCACCCAGGTTGCGTAGGTGCGCACGGCTTTCGCAAGCGTATATTTAACGATGGGGATGTGAAAGATCCCATGCCCCGCTAGGGTGATTTGTGTAAACCCAGCAACGGTGCCGTCTTTCTAGTCTGCAATATTTCTTCCACCGGCCCCAGGAGTCGAGCCACCACGGTCAAACATTTACACTACCCGCGCCGAATATGCAATACTTGAACAGCGACAACTTCTCCTCGCAGTCGACGCAGACGTCCTCGATTTTTTCTGCCGAAGATGAGGACGACTACGGGCTGCGCATCAAAGATATCGAGGAATACTACGTGCGCACTTTGCTGGACGAAGACGTGGGCGAAAAGGGGGATTTGAAGCAGCCCACCGCACCAGCGGCGACAAGTGCGCCGCTGATGCCCTATTTACCCGCGTTTGCGCATCAGGTGCCCTTTTACAGCGGGCTTAGACCCGGGTTTACCGCGCCACAGCAGTTTAACAAACAACAAGCTTCGCTGGAAGTCGAGATCAATCCCAACTATAGTCCCGCGACTGGGATTTTGCCCTTGACCAGCGAGAACTTGAAGCTTTTACAACATCCAAAGCTCACGCCGCAGCGACTAGAGTGTGCGCCAGTTGAAATCACGAACTCACCGTCAGCGGGCATAAAGCGCCAAAATAACAACAATAAATGCAATAGAGCGCTTTACAAAACAGAACTTTGCGAGTCATTTTCGACCACAGGATACTGCAAATACGGTAAGAATTGCCAGTTTGCACACGGTTTTCAAGAACTCAAATTCAAGGAGCGCGACAACAAATTCAGGACCAAATCCTGCGTCAATTGGGTCAAAACAGGAACCTGTCCATACGGCAAGCGCTGCTGCTTCAAACACGGCGATGATCTCGATATTAAGGTGTATGTTGATGCCGGTACAATTCCTGCACCGATCGAAGAACGTATGATTCGTCGGAAGAACACGCACGCTAACGTGCAGGCGCTTGAGAAAATGGCATGGTGAAAAAGATAAAATCTTATAAGATCCCGAGTCTAGGTGTAAATCGTTTTCCAACGGTCACGGTCAAGCACGTTCTATTTATTGCGTCTGCTATTGACAACAGGTTTTGTTAGTGGCAAGATTGATAAAAATAAAAAGCCCATGTAACTTTCAAATAGTCTTCCCTGAGCTAAAGGAATAATGAGTCGAATGATTGGCCAAGTTCATTAACTATGAGAACGAGTGCTCTAGATGGCGAGCAAGGCCTCTGATGCGCTCCACCCATTCGATGAATGAAGCAAGATCGTCATCATCAAGAGCCTCTTTCAAGCCAGGGAGGGCAAAACCCTCATAACCCGTATCTCTCCCCGCGGCATAAACGATATGTTTGAACCACGGCCGGTCTTTTAATCCTTCTTCGAAAACGAAGTTCCTTTCGAAAAATCTGAGCTTGTAGTTCACACCCTTGATTTGGAACGCCAGACGGAGTCGTTTCCAAATAGGTAAAAGATCTCTGTTGTCCCATTCCAGTTGAAGAGTGCTTGTGTATTCGTCGAAAGAAACGGCATTCCTATCAAACTTGATTAACCTTTCTTTGGTTTTGATAATCGCATCTAGTAGAGATCCCTTTCCAACAGGGGCCTTAAGCCAGCCTTCTGGAACTTTTTCTGCCAAAGAATTGAAGTAAAAACCAAGTTCGGTAGCATAATCGCTGATTTTCGTTGGTATTACCTTAGGTTCTGTGAGCTTCAGTGCTACAAGCCCCAGATATTGAGCCAATGCATTGTGAAACTTGAATCCTGGATCAGCCATCGTGCTCATCCAGTGATATGAATCATAGTTCGAATGGTAATGATACACTGGATCGGTACGTCCGTTCGTAAAGCCGACGTCAACAGAAGCAATTCCCAAATGTTCCAGAAAAACGGTATAATCAGAGCCGCTACCAAGAATCCCGAACTTCTTCTTCTTTTCGAAATAGTGATCGTAAAGCGTGCCGCCTAAGGGATATTCTACTTGGGTCAATGCTTCAGCCAGAACGTGATTGAGGAATGGTGATGCCTGGATTTCGAGGTTCTTCCCGCTAACAGATACGTCGACATTTAGATAGGCTAGGCATTGAGCGCTCAACGTTTTGCTGTACTTTTCGCCAAACTCGGTGGATCCGAGCAAAGCATACTCTTCGCCGTCCCAAGAGGCAAAAATGATAGTTCTTCTGGGCTTCCAGCCTTGTACTGAGAGTTCATGGAACGCTCTGATGATTTCGAGCATGGATGCAGAACCACTGTTAGGGTCAGATGCTCCACCTTTGATCCAGGCATCTCTGTGGTTACCAATTATGATATAGCCCTCTTCCGGATCAGTGCCTGTTAAGTTACCGTAAACATTGTAGATCGGTCTTATGTCGTAAGACTGGTTGTTGTACAGGTTAATAGAAAAGTCAGGATTAGGGCCAGTCCAATAGTTGAAACCAGGTAAGTTGCCGATCCACTTTTCCCCACCAAACTTCGAGCAATCAAGGCCGTAGCCATTCAATTTTTCCAAAATTGGTTTTACGTCTTTGAATGAGACTGGTAAACTTGGAATCTTTGGAATTCTGCTGGAAGGATCCTCTCTGGTCACATTACCTTGAGATGCTTTGCCAGGTGTCGTTGGATCACCAGGTGATTGACTCAAAAACTGTACCGACCCCCGCTGCAAAGACGAAGGATTTCTGGCAGGTCCTTCGGGATAAGCCTTGTCCCCCTTTGCCTCTTGGAAATAGTCATCCCCGGGATCGGAATATAATATGACTCCAATGGCACCTGCCTCCTGGGCAAATTTAACCTTGAGACCTCTAAAGATGCCACCGTATCTGGCAATAGCGATTTTGCCCTCAACGCTAACTCCTACTTCTGAGAGCAGTTTGAAGTCGTCTTTTGTACCGTAGTTGACGTAAACGTACTCTCCTGTCACATTTCCAGAAGCGCTATAACCATGAAAAGCTGGAACAAGGTCATCACCATCGGTAGTGGGATCTTCGGCCAAAACGTCTTCCTTCAAAGAAGCTTGAAACTCCAATTTCGTGCCATTTTTCTGCTTGGACAGTAACTTGAGCGAGTTGTCTAAGGGATAGTTGAGGTAAATATCGAAAGCTTCAATCTCGGTCTTTAACCCGTATTCTTCGAATTTTTGAGCAGTCCAATTTACAAGCTCTTGACCCTGACCAGCAAGATGTGGAACCGCAGTGTATTTTTCTAACCAGTTGCCCGCCAAGTTTGTCTCAAGCGATTTTAGAAATGCCGTTTCTATGGGATTACTTCCATCTAGTAATCTTGATAGCCCGCAAATACGAGACGCGATGTTCCAAAAGCCTAAGACAATTATTAAAGTAAGTATGAGTAATCTCCGAATCCAGGTCTTGCAATTTGCGTTTTGGTGCCCAAACGACTTCTGGATCATTGAGATCTCAGCATCTTTCTCGTCCAAAATCATGGCTTATAGGAAGAGTGAGATGTTAATTGTTTGAAATTTCGATTGGCAAACAAGCTTTTCCTTCAATCTATTTTACGATCCTCGACTTCTCTATCTTTCGATGCTTTCCTACATATATATATATATATATATATATATATATTCGCTGGCTGCATCTCGTTCATGTTGAAAAGGACTCTAAGCTGATAAGCTTACTGAACGGAAATCACCGTGAAATTATCATAATGTCCCCGTACCAAATGGTAAATAGAATCACATATGCTGACAAGCTCACGCCAGTTTTAAAGATTGCTCCTCTTGTTTTTTTGACTTTTAGGGCGTTACTTTAATTCAGAAAGTAGTAATCCCGTAACTTTATTGCGATGTCCGTAAGGACCGAGTAGACCTGGATCGATTTTTGATACGAAAGGAAGGCATGGGTCGTCTAGTAAACGAAAGCCTTCGATGAGCCTGCTTGAAACTTTCACCTGGAAAATTTGATAATTGAGAATTGTTGTTATTATCCATACCGTGACTCTCTTTGCTTCTTTTCAGTAAATACCTCAGCGAGTTAAACCATATGTTGTGACGTTGTTTTGTCGGACATGTTATTCTGAGTGGCTTTGTCTCTGTGGTGATGACAATTGTCCTATTGTAGAGTCCGGTAGGATACGGATTTAAGTCCTCGACACTCTCGACTCCCAATATAGCCACTGCCTTCGCTCTTGTGCTGGACGGGTTTTCGAGAACGGGATTTGACGTTGACCAGTAGAGTGTCAAAGTGTAAGGATGTATCCAAAAGTATCTCTCGTGGCGCCCCTCTGCTTTCAGCAAGGGTCCCAATCGCCGAAAGTACTTGAATAGGTATTCTCCGATGACTGTCTGCGTAAGTGCTGGAATGATGCTAGGTTCATTTAACGACGCGAACGTTGCAAGAGACGCCGTGGCATCGAAGGACTTTTTGGAAGGGGTCCGAACTTCGCGCTCTGGCACTCGGTTAGGTTGTCTGCTCATCGATGAAGAGCGCGAAAATCCCACATCCTTCAAATGCTGATGTTCATACTCCGAGTAGGCAGCAGAGGCTGCTGCCTCAGCAAGACTTCTTCTGGCGGTTGACTCATTGGAGCGGGTTGAATGAACCGTATTTTGCCGGGTGATTCGGTCTTGAGCTAAAGGAAACCAGGGTGTACCTTCCTGGCGTTGTACCAACTGCAACCCTCGATGTCTTACTTCAGCCTGTAACTCCTCGTCGGTTACTTCTTCCCAAGTCTGCTTCGCTCTTAGACTTAAGCTTTCGTAGTAGGAGGCCGGAAGAAGAACGACCTGACTTGGATCTGGGAAGCTCAAAGAAGAGGTAGGAATAAAAGCAGAACTAGGTATGCAGATAAAACCAAAATTTTTTGCTGCCTTCTGAATTTCACTTCCGGTCAATTTTAGAGGGCTATCGGCATTTTGACTTTGGTTTAAATGTGGTTGTGGAGTTTCTTGATGGGTGAATCCGTCTGTAGCATCAGGATTGGCCTGCTCACCCAATCTACCAGTCAAGCGCTCATATTGGTCGTTCTCAAGGGTAACCAAATGAAAATTTTTAGCGTATTCTTGTATTTGGCGCTTCGTTAGCGTTGGGTTTGACAATTCCTTCTTTATTTGCTCGAACTGCTCTTTATGTATTGGAACCAAATCGAGCTCCGTGGCTTTAATGATAAGTTCATCGAAGCTGAAACCATGGGACGTTTTCACCATCCCCGATCTGACATCTCCCAGTTTTCGCACATCCAGATTAATCAGCTCATGGGATTTCAAAGTTTCGATATCATTAAGCGACTTGGACTTCAGAGGAATTTCAAACGCTATCGAAGCCTGTCCAAGCGTAGGACTAAACCTTAGATCCACGACTTCGCCATCAAAGGCACCTTCTGGGTCCTTACCCTCTTCCTTTTTCGTCGGCTTGATAGGCTCAAATTTCGATTGGAACGGCTTATTGCTTGCGGCAAGCATTGCGCTCAGATTACTATCTGAGGTTTCATGCGAATGTTTTACGTTAGAAGCCTCGGTGTATTCTGGATCAACAGAATATTCGAGCGATTCCGTTGGTGATCCAGGATGATCGCCCTCAATAACACTATCCACAGACTCAACTTCTCTCACCTTCCCGGTGTTGGAGTTATCTCTTGAAGAATTTTCTTCGGTATCGTTTTGGGGCTTCTCGTCAAGCGCCGAGCTCTTGCCGAGACTATTCGATTTTTCTTGGCCCTCTTGGAGAGAACTATGTGAGGCAGCAGAACGAGATCGTAGAACTCTTAGCCGTGCATCTTCAATCGGAACTAATTCATAGCCGAGGTCTCCGGCAAGGTTCTTTATAGAATCTAAACTTAAGGAAGACTTCTCGCGGATGGTCGATGTTACCGAAGTTGAGTCATTACTCTTCCGAGGTTCTATGGCAACGGTGTGACCAGAATGGGTTAGGGAATGGTGTGATTCTGAATCACCAAAAATGAAGTTTGAAGGAAGGCCTCCATTCACTTCAGAAGAAGAGAAATTACCGTCATTGGCGGTAATAAAACTTCCCTGTGTTAAAGATGAAGATGCTTCGGAAGCACTAAAGGAGCATATTGTCGGGTTCCGTGCCAAGGTCGTGCCCTCATTCTCCTTGTTTCGTCCGTCTGATATCGTAGCAGCTGAGAGTTCCTCATACTCGCGTAATGACATAACAGCAAGGTTAAGGTTTTCAGCGGCACGATAAATATCTGTCATCGTCAATTCGGCTTGCTCGTTGCAGGAATCCCCTTGTTCATTCTTGTCAAAATTTGGAGGGAACGAAGGTTGTGAGGACTTCAATCCGGTCTGACTGATTCCCTCCTTAGGTTTAGATGTTTTATCAGCGTCAGCAGCGTCAGCAGCGTCGACAACAGGCTTCCTGAGACCGCGAGGGAAGTGCTTCGAAGTTGCGCCGTCTATGCTTGATGCAAAGACCGTAGGGTTGGGCCCTGTATCCTTGTTGGAAGATGAAGGGCTTTGTATATGATCGTCACGAGTGGGCTCCGTGAGGTTCGCGCTTCCAGGAGCTGAGCAAGTATGTAAGCCATCAAAATTCGGTTGTCTGGAGTGGCTCGAGAGAGTTCTAGTGACATCCGTGATACTTTGTTCCGATAAGGATTTGTCAACGTTTTGTAAAGTAGAATATTCGTCCTCTGAGGTTAAATGTTTACCGTGCAGCTGCGCTTTTTCTACAAGATACTCCATTGAAGGATTTTCCAATTCAGCAAGAAGGTTTCGGTATTCCTGTTCATCAACAATAAGCTTGTGGGCTTGGGTTGCCTTCGCCTCCAAATACTCGAGCAAAGGCTCATCAAAGGCTGCCTTCATTTCTTGAAGCTGCAAACGACTAATAACAACGAGGTCAAAGTCGGCGGCTCTCGTTGTGACGACTTCTAAATTAGGTTTATCTTTTTCTTGCAGAAGATCTTCATATCGAGATCTTTCGAAAATTACCATTCCTGCATCCCGGGCTTTTTCTTTGAGGTAACTTTCACTAGGGCTGGCAAGTAACTCATTGAGATTGTCGAGATCTGCTTTCTCAATAAGAGCTAAACCCTCAGCATCAGCCATGTTCTTCAGGTGATTAACAGGAGGTCGCTTAAAATGTTCCTCCATCTCACGAAAATACGATTCATCGATAACTAGCTTTTTCAGCTGACGACATTTCTCTTCTAAGAAGATTAGCTTTGGTGTTTTCAAGCTTATTAATAGTTCTGCAAGAAAGGACCTCGATACCATAAAGGCTTGGAGTCTGGATACTTCAAAATTGGAATAAATAACATCAAGTTGAGAAAGAAAGTCCGTGCTTAGCTCAAGAAACCCAGTTTCCCAGAAAGCCTTCGTCGAAGATCCTAAATGATCAATCATCCACACAAGGACCTCATCAAATTTTTCGGGGCTGAGGGATTCAAGAGCAGCTTTTAATTCGTTCAGAGTCGGATCACAGGCACGTTTAAAAACAGATTCCAATAAATTTCCGTCAGTGTCTGACCAATCTTCATTGGGAAAATAAAGTTGCATAAAGTTGTTCACCTGGTCTGACTTTTTTCGGAGCTCTGCGAAAGTGTTGACAGGTATGATCTCCCGTTCATGACCTCGAATTTTCTTTTCAAGCTCCTCTAGAGAGGGATGCTCCAGAGCGTCAAGCTTCTCCGTCGAGATTATGGTGCAGTTAAAACTGTATGCCATTTCCTCGATCTTTTTTCTTGAAGGATTGATAAGGTCACTGTATTCATCTTCGGTCAAGAGCCGCTTCTCGTAAGCTGAAAAAGCCTCCTTCAATTTATTGAGTTCAGTCCCATGATTATATCTGAGATCTTCCTTAGGGATCATTAGATACTTCAGCTCATCGGAATCTACGCTGCTCCTCTCTGACTGAGGATCATTCAATGGGTTTGAGGATGAATGCGGGATATGCTGGACTTTCTTTTTGTCATGAACGTCGAAGTGCGATTCTGAAGGCTCAGCCTTAGAATTGATGCCTTTTTCACACCAAAATAAATATCCCTCTGATTTCAACGCCTCAGAGAACTCTTCGAGGAGAGAGTTGTGAGAGTTATTATCTTTAAGCTTTTCCGGAGAACTTTCATTATCCTGAAGTTCCTTCTTAATTATCGACATGAAAAGATTCATTAGCTCCTGAAAAGGCTTTTGGTTCCTGAGAGATAAGAAGAACTCATGATCGCTTGTTTCGATAATTCCCTGATATTCTTTGAGCTGTTCCACTAGACAATGAACGACTTCATTGGCTGTTGGCGCTCCTGCTGTGGCCAGAGCTCTGTATTTGAATGATGGTTCTTGGGGTTCTTGCGTAATAGTTTCTCGTTCAGTAGATTGATTTTGGGGATCTCGGTTCTGGAGGTGGTCTTTCCGATTGCTGTCAGGATTTGTAATTTCAGCAGCCGATTGCTGCATGAAATCATCATAATCTTCCTTCTCGACCTTCAAAATATTCAGCTCTGCTCTTGTTAGCTGAAGTTGCGAATCATGATTACCCTTTTCCTCGGCGATTTTTTCCTGTAAACGAGCTTTAGAGGAAGACAATTCGTGAATTTGTGCCTCTAGATCCTTCGCCTTAAGGCTTGCAATCTCAAATGCTGCTTGTGTGCCTCGAAAACTTTCTTCCAGCTTTTGATAAGATTGTTTCGAAGCTTGAAGTTCGTTATCAATCTTTTCATTTATCTGTCTCACTTTCTCATTTTCCGAATTCAAATGCTGGTGTATGGTATTCAATTGTGTATATCTTTCTTCTAATCTGTGGGATTCTTCGATTACAGCCCGCAGCTCGAGCTTTTTCTTTTCATTTTCTGCCTGGAGTTTCCGGCACTCCACAAGCAAGTTCTCGCTCAATCCAATGACAAAATTCATTTCTTTTGCAGAATTGGATCCCACAATCCCGCTATGAGAACTGGAGCCCATTGATGGCGGCATTGATTTTCTCTTATCTCTTTTACTCAAAAGATCTGTGAAAGACTGCCTCTTTCTGGTTTTTCGCCCTGATGTAAGGGCCATTTCTGTTTCATCGTTTATTCTTTGCTGTATATCCTCTAGTTGAGAGAGTATACCTGAATTACTCGAAGGGCTGGCATCACCGGGGTAGTTGGAAGACATGGGACTTTTATGCGAGTGGCATGGGGCTTGGGGCTTGTTGAACTACAGAAAGGGTCGACGGTTAATTTACGTTCGTGTCTAATTTGATTTCGACGATGCAGCTCGTCATCGTACCGAACGAAACTGACATTAGATGGAGTGGCCTGCTTAAGAGCGACTGAACAAGATCTTTAGCTACTATGTTCTTGGATATGAAGGCATTACACGCTCTGACCTAATGGTGGAGTGCCAATTTTTAGACGCAATATCCGCTTCTGGACAACTAACCACACCGTTTGACCTTCTCTTTATCTATAAAACTTCGGCGTGCTACTGTTATCTCTCATTTTTGAATGGTAGGAATCTATTATGCAAGAAGATGTTCGATGAAAGTGCTGGATCACACAATCTTATCCCTCGTTAAACGGTCATTCCGGCGCAGCGGTTAAGGAAATGCCCATTCGCTCCGCCCAGTCTCGCACAACCACGTCTTCGATATCGTCCATGAAAGGGTTTTCCTTGACAAGAACCCTAACGAGTTCGGACAGTGGTATGGGCTCATAAGTGTAAATCCTGGCGAAGAAGTCCGGAAGTTGTTCGATGGTGGACAAAAGTTGATCATAGATTTCTTCGCGTCGTTCTTCGTTGCTATTACCTTTCAGATGCTGAGATAACTGCTGCATCTGTTTTACCATCTCTAACCGGGTTCGTTTGGGTTTAAATCCCATTTTCCTCAAAGAACTTCTAAGCTCGTGAGCTGAAGTTGACATCAAAGTAGAATCGTCTAGCGATGTGATTTTAGCGGGTGGTGTTTCGAACACACCGCTTTGCACAAGTTTGGCAGCACTTGCCGTCGCTAGTCTTTGAACAGGAACAGGCCTGGGCCTTATTTCAAGCAATTCATAGCCGTCTTCTTCCTCGCTGTCAAGGACTGCATGATCGCTGTCCAAAAACCTCAGTTCAAGAGATTTTTGGAGAGCGGGATCTTTGAAGTTAACACTTCTCCCAATATTGCGAAAGATGAGACGCCTTTCAGCGCCGCATCCCGCATTCAAAGTCGTAGTACGTGTAGCCGGCACCTGCACGTCAGTTTCTAATGGAGAAATTAAGCTCTTCACCACCGCAAATGAGTCCTGCGTGAGGTCGATGAGATTGTCGCCAAAAGTAGCAGGGATCAAGGGCGACTTGTTATTTTGAAAAGTGTTCAGGTCAACACTGGGAGGATGCGATTGCGTAGAGTGAGTGTGAACTGATTCGTCGAATGATGGGCTCAAGTGGGTGTCAAGCACTGCTTCCAAATCTGCGTGGAGCATGCTTCCAGAACCCAAACTTTCCAATTTTTCCGCTGAGATACCCTCATCTCTATGGTCGTCGATTCCAATACGAGAACCGAGGTCCATGGACGAATTGGAGATCTCGCTACGAGCCTTCTCATCCTCTGAAGGAGCAGCACGATTGCGAGCTTGCTTGACATCCATCACTTGCGATAAGGAGAACACTAAAGAATCGGCAACGGGGACGGAAAGTGAAGGGACGTTTGCAGGTAAGCTGCTTGCCATATCTATACTTTCTTTCTGCTCCTGCTGCGTTGGAGGCAATTGGGAAGAGCACCAGATATCTGGACCTGAGCCGTATACGTAGTCCCGTACTTCTCTCATTTGGGCCCGCGGGCATTGCTGGAAGTTGGCTTGTAGCAGCTGCAGTATGTGCTGCCATTCGCGTTCGTCGTAAGTAGCAAAACGCGAAATGCTGGGTTCGTGAGCGTCCTGACGCTTCAAACGGCCCAAAATGTCTTTAACTTTTCGTTTTTTGCCTGACAGCAGTGACACGACTCGTTCTGCGCGCGAAAGCTGCTGTTCGGACTCGAAATTATCCGTGTTGAACTGCGTGATGCTTTTGATCTTCGTGGCCGTTCTTTTTCGCGTAGGACGCCTTGTGTCTTTCTGACCCTTGGCACGTTTAAGAGGCCTGCGTTTGGTTCCTTCCTGCTGTGCTGAGTCCGTAGCAGTATGCTGCGTTTCCGGACTAGCCTGGAGCGCAAACCGAGTCAAAGACCGACGTACGTCCTGCTGACGATCCAATTCATCCATTTGAGCTTGGATTTGAGTACTCAGAAATACTTCCTGCCCCGATTCATCAGGTATCAGCGTCGACGTTAGCGACTTGGCGAGCTCACCTTCGGGAGCCGAATCCTGGTGGCGAGCCTCATCTAACAGCTCCAGATGCCGCTCTGCCCGCTTGAATTCCATAGCCACGCTGAAAGAGCCAACATCAATCCTTTCTGTAACTTATTCAACCTCTGTAAACAGTTAAAAACCGGAAGCCTTTGAATATCGAACCTCAAGAAGACGTGACTGGTAGATTGCCTAATTAACTTTAAATTCCATACGTCTCTTGTTTTGGAAACTCATGTACTCATGTACGGCCCGCCGTTCAACACGAAGGTCTTCATAGCACGGCCAAACTTGCTGAGCACGTCCGTTTTGCTTAGCATCGAGAACCGAGATCAATGCCCTTCGCATCAAGACGTAACCCTTTTTGCCGGCTGTCACAACAAAAGCGCGCTCAACTATAAATTACCAAACTCTCTCCGCGGTTCCAAATAGAACATTGACTATCGCTTTATCGGCTTATTACGTGTCAAATGATGATAATCTTCTCGTCACAATCGAGTTCTTTTACGGAGTAATTGTAAACGGCTGCCATGTCTCAAGATTCACACAGCTTGCTTGTGGGGAGGTTGCGCCATTAGAGGAATTTTTTCCTTGACGCGGCCAGCGCCTGTTTTACGTACATAATGCTTTCGTGACGAAGCCTCCAGCCTATGCTTGACCCACTCCTTGAACCGTTTGCAACTATCCTAGATTTTTCACGTACACAGTGCTTTCGTAGATAATGTTACCTCCCAAGCCGGAATATCTTACATCAGCAGACTCTTTTTTCGACTTCGGCTCCGATGTCTTCCATTTTGCCTGAAGGGAATTGGACTGGAGTAAAATCAAGCAAGAACCCTGCTTAGGGAACACTTCATTGATAGCCACTAAGCTTTTCTGTTCAATCTATATTGATCAGACGTTTGGAGCACCGCAATACAGCTAAATAGGCTTCGAAGGTTTGCAAACAGGAAAACAAGAATTTCAAGCTCAAGTAAGAGAATAAAGGACAAAAATGCTTTCCAGATCTGTGCGTACACATAAGGGAGTTTCCAAGCTCTCGGCGACTCTTGGAACCACTTCAAGACGCTTGATGAGTTTTTCGGCAGTCAGACTGCCGCTGCAGACTGCTAGTGCTCAAAACTGTACGTTATTGGGCGGTGCGAAGAGCATGCCGAGTTTTGAACAATACGGGCTGAAGCGCGCGTTGGGTGTGCGTCTGGAGTCTACAGTAGTTAACGTGCCTCCTATGGCTGAGTCTCTGACGGAAGGGTCTCTTAAGGAGTTCACAAAGCAAGTCGGCGATTTCGTGAAGCAGGATGAGCTGCTTGCGACGATCGAAACCGATAAGATCGACGTTGAGGTCAACTCACCCGTGACCGGTAAAGTCACCAAGCTTAACTTCCAGCCGGATGACACCGTTACGGTGGGTGAGGCGCTGGCCGAAATTGAGCCCGGCGAAGCGCCCTCTGGCTCTGGCTCGGAAGCGGCCTCTGAGGGGACCCCAGCGCCTCAGAAGGAGGAGCCTAAGAAGGAAGAGCCCAAAAAGGAAGAGCCCAAAAAGGAAGAGCCCAAAAAGGAAGAGCCCAAAAAGGAAGAGCCAAAGAAGGCAGAGCCAAAGAAGGAGACCAAGCCAGCGCAGGAGCCTTCAAAGCCTCAAGAACAACCGAGCTGCTCTCCTTCGGCCTCCACGGGCCAGTTCTCGCGCGGTGAGCGTAGAGTTAAAATGAACCGCATGCGTATGAGAATCGCAGAGAGACTAAAGGAGTCTCAAAATACCGCCGCTTCTTTGACCACCTTTAACGAGTGTGACATGTCTGCCGTTTTGGAAATGCGCAAGTTGTACAAAGACGAAATTATAAAAAAGACTGGTATCAAGTTTGGTTTCATGGGTCTTTTCACCAAGGCCTGCACTTTGGCCGCCAAAAATATGCCTAGTGTCAACGGGGCTATTGACGGCGACCAAATCGTGTACCGCGACTACTCCGACGTTTCCATCGCTGTTGCCACGCCTAAGGGTCTTGTTACGCCCGTTGTTCGTAACGCTGAATCTCTTTCCGTGCTAGAAGTCGAAGAGGAGATTTCGAGATTGGGCAAGAAAGCTCGTGATGGTAAATTGACTCTCGAAGACATGACCGGTGGTACTTTCACGATCTCGAATGGTGGTGTGTTTGGGTCCCTCTACGGTACTCCAATCATAAACATGCCTCAGACTGCCGTCTTAGGTTTGCACGGTGTTAAAGAGAGACCAGTCACTGTGAATGGCCAGATTGTGTCAAGACCAATGATGTACCTAGCGCTAACCTACGACCACAGACTTCTTGACGGAAGAGAAGCCGTTACTTTCCTAAAGACGGTTAAGGAATTGATTGAGGATCCAAGAAAAATGACTTTGATGTAAGTCTCGGAAGAACCTATCTCTGTCTAATACTATATTCACGATTTTCTCATTATGTTTGAATGCGAAAACTCCTCTCACTCTCATGAGAGCGATCAAGTAAATTATTTATTCAGTCAACGCAAACTGTTATAACTTTCTTATTGAGATAGTATATCGAATGCAACCTAAGGTTCATATCATATTGACGTCCAAATATTTTAAAGATATGTCAGGCAAAAGCTCCTCTTTTTTTATTAGGCCGAGCTGTACTAGATCTCCCCAAAATAGACGCATTTTGTCAGCAGAGTAGAGTAAATTTTGGAAGGTGTCAATATCCACACCATCAATTACATCGGTATCGGGCATGAAATTTTCATTGTCCTCTTCTCCTTCCGAAGTTGTTTCGGCTGTTGTAATAACATATTTCTCTCCGAGAGTCCCCGTTTCGAGAACCTGCACCTGAGGCTTCTCTTCTAGCTCACCACTTTGCATGATTCCCCATAGACACCAGTGCAGAGAAACGCTGGGGCGCTGTTTTATGACTTCATTGTACGTTTTCCGGACCTCATCGTCAAGGCAACTAGCATTTAAGTCTCTTTTATGAGCAACGTAGGAATAAATGAAATTCAAAATCTGCTCTTTATTTGGGTACTTCTCGTCAAAGCTTCTATACGATTGGGCACAGTTATAATCACCCATCCATTCACTTAAGTGATTTGCCAAGTCGTAGGGTGCAGGGCCAGGACCCGAATATTCGAAATCAATGACAACTAGCTTGGAGTCTTGCGATTGCTCTTCTGCCGAGGGACGGATAATGGTTTCCACCGAAATATTTGAGGATGTGGGGAATAGCGAGCCTTCGGTATCGGCAGAAGAACTTGAAACAGGAGTAGCAGCGACTGAAGGCCGAGAAGTGAATAGAAGATTCCCGCACTGGGCATCATTGTGACAAAAAACGTCGTTTTTGTGGAGAAGCTCCTGGATTTTTAACCACTTTTGATACCTAGCCGCTAAATGCTTGAAAGTTTCCCAATTCTCGACCAGAAGTACTTGTTGCATGTTTTCGTCATTCTTGGACCATTGAGATTTCCCAATAATTTTCAACCATTTTTCGATTCTGTGCCAACAAATGGACCCTTGCGCTTTCTCTGCCATGGTGAGCGGCACTCCAACATGTAACTCCTTCATTCTTCTAGCTATACGCTGTGAAGTGTGCCAGTCTCTGATATCGTTATTCGTCAGCGTCGTGGAATTTTCTAGGAACTGTTCGAAGCGTCCGTTCGTGAAACACCCATACAAGGATGGACCCACACTGCGTGAGGAAAGACGCGCCAGCACTTGCAGCTCGTAGTCTCGATCAATGATGCTATCGACGTTAGGACCGTACACTCGCAACAGCAGCGAAGGTAACGATCGATACTCAACTTTGAAAATCGCATTTGTGAGTGCGCCTGTAATACGCGTCAGTTTAAGCTGTTCTGGGTTCAAATGGGCCCCGCCAGACTTCTTGGAGTGCCACTTGGGAATTTTGAGGGCCTGGGCAATTTTTATTACGTCAGCGCGTAGATAATCCTCTGGCAAAGAAGGGTCCAAGTGGGCCTTGACAAACGGAACCTCGATGACCTCTTGTGGGTTCCCATTCAAATTGAGATCTTGGATTTCTCGCGTCAGACTCTCTGCACTAACTGTATGCATAAGTCTGGGAGAAGACATTTTTCTCGGTAATGGCTTTCGAGTTCTGCTCGCAGACCGCGCCCGAGTTGCGCTCTTGGTGTGCTCATGGTAACTGCTCCGTCTTTCGTGCTTCGACTCTAACAATGCACCCATTTTGACGACCTTTAGATCTCTACTTCAACTCGATTGATAGATTTAGCTTACTCTAGATATAGCTTATTCTAGAAGTTGATGTCTTTGGAGCTTGTCCAGTTTTATCTAGTGAACGATGTACATGTGAAAATGTTATCTTGAGTTGAACCTCTTTTTTTTCCTTGGTGATGTATCGACGAAGAGAACTCCATGCACGAAGCAGAAGTTAGAGAGATCAGGACATGGAGCTGCTCCAGTCCAATTATACCAACAACAGTAGTAGCAGTGGCTCTGAGGACGAGAACTCGGGGGAAACGATTAGATCTGAGCCTCTTCCCAAGCCATTCGAGGTCTTTGACAAATATCAGATCACGCCAAACGTCAAGAAATACATCACCAACGCTGAGATGAACTTCACCAAGGGGAGATGGACAAGTTTCGTTTTCATTGAATTCCGAAACAACGCGACACAAAGAGCTGCCTTAGATAAGCTTCTTCCCCGCATTAACGAGTTGCTGAGACCCGTTGATGTGGAATTCAAGTCTCTCTACACGTCTGAACTAGGATCTCCACAACCGCTGCACATTTCGTTATCCTCGAACATCGAGTTTTCAACTTCAGCTGAGCTAGACAGGTTTTCGCGCATGCTTACGGTGGAGCTCCGACAAAAGCTGACCAAAGGGTTCGACGTGGCTTTCGGCCCTCAGTTACGGGTGCATGCCAATTCAGACAAGACCGCGCTGTTTCTCACGATGGAGTGCGTTGACACCGTGCGATGTAACCAGATCAGTCTCATCTCATCGGTCGTGCATGAAGCAGTCGACTACTGCGCGGCAGAAGAGCCAAACTCAAAAAATATGGGCAAACTCGACCCCGCGCTCGCACACATGTCCGTTGGCATTGACACCACAAGCAGAGCAACTCGAAATTCTACACTACGCGGCGGGAGTTGGAGCGATTTTTTCGGGCTGAAACTTACCGAAGTGAACACCGCCCTGGCCTCGCTCTACCTGGATGCCGATTTTCTTCGAATGTTCCAATTTCACTGCGGGGGTGTCAAAATTACAAAACAGCGCGCCAATATTTGGGTACCTTTCGAATGACGCCTTATTTTTTATTCTCCGGCCGAACAGGCACCCTTTCCTGTATATAGGCACCAACCGTTGAATTACTTAAGCAAATGGTGCATGATATTTTCACTGTTTTGAGATTGCTCAATCCGGTAAATGGAGTGTCGGTGTCGATCATTGACCAAAACATAAGAGTCCAAATCTGCAGAGCACAGTATAACCTCACGGATTACCGTTCGCAGTCTGCTAGACGAAAAAACTCCGTTACACTTGAGGAACATTAGGAAGCTACAGGTACCGGGACAGATCGTTTGTACTGAGGCTTTCTTGCAGGCAATTCGGACACCGGTAACCTCTTCGAAAGCCGACGTTCTGGTGTGGACAGTAAAACAACATAGGACTCAAAGATAATTTTAAACTCATCAAAAACATGGCTTCCACGGAAGACCAGTGGTTCAACCCTTCTGACATGTTAAACCTGGGAAGCTCCGATCGTAATTCGCCGGCATTTGACCAGTTTGAAGGAACGCAAAAGACCGAATTCAACAGCGCATCATCCATTGCTAACGACAATGTATTTAACAGCTTTTTGACAACGAACTACCAAGACGTCGACGAATTTCTCACCCAGGAATTAAAGGATCTCGACATTCCAATGATGCCTGAACGTCCGGCCAGCATTGACGGTGACGTAAACTACGATGCTGTCTGGGATCAAGGGTTCGAGAGCGTCGCAACACCGCGCAAATCTCACAAGCGTGGCCCAAGCGGTACCGCCATTTTTGGCTTCACGAGTCACAACAGAGAACTGAGCATAACTAAAACTGCGTACCCCGAGGAAAATGGTATTTTATTGGAGAAATATGCTCGAGACGATGCCCTCGAAACAGCTGCTGAGCACGGTGGTTGTCCACCAAAGCTTCCTGATAATTCTACCCGAAACTTTAACACAGCTATACTAAAGCAGCAGGAGGAGCTCCGTGTTGCACTGGAAAAGCAACAAGAAATGAATAAAAAACTTGAAGAACGATTGCGTCAGAGCCAATTCCATCAACAGCAGCTTCAGCTGGCTCTGCAGGAACAAAAGATAGCCTCTCACCAGTACCCTTCTGCACCATCTTCGCAGGTTCGAGGGAATGACCCTTCGCTCCAAAGGCCAGCGAGTAAAGATGACCCACTGATCGTAACGAACAATGCAAATGGCGCTTATAAGTTTCCACCACCACCTAATACAATCAAATTTGGAAATGGAACTATGTCACCAATGTCGAGAACTTCCATAAATGGATCGCCAGTGAGGAGAAATGATAGGGCCAAAAGGCACGGGGTGAGTCCAGATTTGAAAGTTCCTCAATTAAACCTATCTAGCCATGTGCCAAGTCCCGATTCTTCGATAAGAGGATCCTCCAATGGAGAAAATCGCATTTCTTTCGCGACCATACAGAAGATGTCTAAATATTTTGAGAGCTTGAATAATGAGCACCAACAAGCGCATGGAAGCGCTTCTGAAGAAACGAGCAGGGTCGAAAATGCCCCCATTACACCTCAAAATCGAGTACAGGGGTTCTATTCTTCCCGCTCCCCATCCCCTCGGGGAGTAAAACATATGACAAAAGACTCTATATCTTCAAGCGCTTCAACAATACCTCAACTTCATGACGACGAAGAGCATGACCATGAGCCAAATTGTTTGCCTAGGTCTACTACAGGTCTTGGAATTCGTTATAAGGACGGAAAAACAGGTGAGAAGTTTTCTATTCACAATGCTCCGTACCTCGCAGATCTTCCAACAATTCCAGGGTCTACAGACAATACACCTCATGGTCAAAGGATTATGATAGAGGGAGCCTCAGGAGGACTTCCTCAGAAACACATGTTTCAGCACACCCCCATCAAAAAGAATAATATCAACCATTATGCACTTAGTGCCTGCGCCAGCCAACATACGGACATTTTAGACTCTCTGAAAGAGGATCTCAGGCCACCAGGCTCTGTTAATCCAAGTCAAGACTTCGAACCGGAGAGCGAATTTGTTCAGGCTCAAACTCCATCTCCGATTTTAAAATCCCAATGCGTTTTTGAAGGTGAGACGCCCGTTCTCGAGCCTACATATCTCAGCCCTATGAAGATTACGCGAAAGCCTACTACGCTACCTCCTGGAGAGATTGATCGATATGTTAAAGAACTTCCGGACAGAACTTTTGCTTGTCTCTATCCACATTGCGGCAAACATTTCAGGCGACGTTACAACATAAGGTCTCATATTCAAACGCACTTGGAGGACAGACCATATATGTGCGATTTTGAAGGTTGCAACAAGGCATTCGTTCGGAATCACGATTTGATAAGGCATAAAAAGACTCACGCCGAAAAATGCTTTGTATGTCCGTGCGGTAAGAAATTTGTAAGAGAAGACGCACTTCTCGTGCACAGATCACGAATGATATGTGTTGGTGGAAAAAGGTTCGAAAACGTCGTCATCAAGAAATCTCCTCGAAAACGTGGCAGGCCGCGCAAAGATGGACTAATTAGCGTCAACAGCAGTCCTGTCAAAGAAACTGTTGAACGCGACAACACCGGAATGGTAGCTTTGAGAATGGAAGAGCAGCTCAGGCGAGAACTGATGGATCACGGACTTTTAGATCTTTCGCATTCGTCAGACGCAGAGTCTATGACTCCAGCCTAGAAAGAAGAACCCATTGTAAGGGTTTTGAAAGAGCCATTATTTGAAGGTGTTTGATATCTATCGACATTCCAAACATATTTTTATATTGGCGGATTAATTTTTGAGGAGTTTAGAACCGTCAATGGACAATTCTGATTTACGATCGAGTTCGTATTTTAATTAACGCAGGTACCTCAAGAATATACATACAATTGTAAGTAATAAACCTCAAAATATTGGTAGGGGAAAGCCGCGCTGAACTTCGAACATGGTCCGATCGTTCATTTTGTGAGGTAAGACCTCACGGATGCAAGCTAAGATATTCTGTACATGGAAGTAGAGTAAAAGGAAAAAGAAAAAGAAAATAGTCAGAAGAAACTCGTTCCGGTTTGAAGTTTTCCCGATTGAGAGTTTTTCCGAAGTGATGCTCTTTGTCCATTTAAGCGATGTTTCCAAAAACCCTCTTCTTGGTTTTGGACTGCTCGTGCTCTTTCTGCTGATAACTATCAACGTATTCAACATCATGCTTCAAGGCCCACTGTTGTTGAACAAATTTAAGCCCTTGTATATTGAAACCTAAATCGTTCGACTTCGTCTCTAGTGCATTGCGAAGGCCGTCCTTCACTTCATTTATCTGCTGCTTCAGTTGTGGATTTTTCTGCGCGACCAATTCTCTATGATTAGACTTGACAACGAAGAGTAGGTACCTGCAGATCAAAGGCAACCTTGTCTCGAGTAATTGGATATCCTGAGTGACCAGTTTGATAAAGTCAAGTAGCTTCAAAACGTAAGAAAATGGTAACACCAAAAGAGCGTCCTCAAGCTGTGCAGGTTTAATTTGCACCAAGGTGTCCATAATGTACTCTGTTGGAGTCTTGCCGATGGCAACGAGAATCCCATTAGGATGAGGCTTGGTAGGAGCTTCTCCGCTTTTCCTTTTTTGCCATTGTTTTAAATCCTTTTCATATTGTTCAAAAATCTTGATCTCCGTCATTCCTAAATCGAGAGCATCTATTAGTTTTTCGCTTGCCTTTAATGACTCTGTGGTCTGCTTGTGGACATCGGTAGCTTCATCTTGGTCTTCAACGGAATCTTTGCTGAACATGTCGTCACCATTACCACTCTGCATGGAATTGAGAAGAGTGCTCTCATATTGCTCCTCCAAATCACGTTCCCTCTCTTCCTCCAAGAACACTTGGTCCTCGGTCTCTTCCCATACTCTTATACTATGGTCATGAGAGGTCGACACGAAAAAACTCGCGTCGTTGGACACTGCCAAGGACCATACTTCGCTTTGATGACCTGCAAGTTTTTGTATGCATTCAAACTTGTCTCCATCCCAGTATTTCAATAGCCCATCTTTACTGCAGCTGACAAAGTGATGAGTCTCTGGGAGGAATTTTACATTCATGATAGAGTCGTTATGAGCGAAAAGAGACTTGTGGCAATCACCAAAATCAAGCCCCCATATTTTGATGTTCTTATCAGCTGAAGAAGTTATTAATATCTTGGAATCATAAGAAATGTCGATGGAAAGTACTGGCAACTTGTGCCCATACATGCTGAGGAAAAACTTCATAGTGTCCAGGAAGAAAACTTTCACTGTGTTGTCAAGTAATGATATCGCTAAAAGCTTATCATCAGGCGAAATCTTCACAGCCAGTACATCATCATTCATTTCAAGAGTTGTGTCGTGAATGACCTGGAGTCTTGGTAAAGATTTTTCAGTGGATCCGTGATTGGGAATATTTCTCACCTCAAATGTCCAGAACTTGACTGTTTTGTCGGCTGATGCAGTAACAAGCCTCCTTCCATCACCCGTCAGATCTAACGACCATATCGCACCATCGTGGGCAGCTTCTTTGGATTCAACCAAAGTAGATGATGCTAGATCGTACAACTGAAGTTCCCCGGATTTTGTTCCGACTATTACCAGTGATCCGCCCGGTAGAAACTTGCAGGTCAAACCATACCCACAGTCAAAAGTACGTATACATACCTTATTCTTTATGTTCCAAATCTTCAGGGTACCGTTCGACACACTGCTTAGGAGTTTATTGTCGTCACTAACATCAATGGCCCTAATATCTTGATGATGTCCTTCACGCTCTAGTGTGTACAGCTTTTTTGGCGCTGGAAGAGTTGGATCTCTTCTACTGTAAGGAATGGAATAGTATTCAATGGAGTTGCCGGCCGTAGTGATCACAAGCTCAAGCTTTGAATTGGTGACACTCGCCCAGCTGACAGATTTTACTTTGAAAGCGGACCTAATCAAGTCAAAGGGATGCATCACGAAGGACATGTAGGAATCTTGTATGTTCTGCTGGATCCCATCATCACTCATACCTTTATCCTTTAACCTTTTTTCTCGTTTCTTCACAGCCTTTTGCTTCTCCTCTTGCGTTCTGAGTCTGAAGATTTCAACCGTTCTGTCCGCATTCTGAATGCAAAAAAAGCACACGCCCTCGGGACTGACAGTGAACTCAATGCTTAGTCCCCTTTGTTTGCTCTGTTTCAAATACGCACCCTTTTCGATAAGTTTCGAGCCAGAGGGTTGATCAAAATCTAGCTTCCAAGCTTTGATCTGTGCATCGTGACCCGTGGTAATAGCTAGATCTTCGTAAATACCAAGACTCCAGCATTCTCCAACGTGCGCCATATGAGTTTCGATGCATTGCTGGGTCTTCAGATCCCATATTTTTATCAGCCCATCCTTTGATGTGCTAACTAGCCAATCTTCGCTTTCGCACCAAATGCCAGTAATCGAGTCTTTGTGTGCTCTAAGCTTGTACAGCCCAACTTCACCGACCAAATCCCAGACAATAATGTCTGAGTCTCTCGAACCCGAAATTAAACGTGTACCCGTGGCGTCAAATTGCAAAACAGAAATGGCACTTTTGTGACCATTAAAGTTAATAATTACCGATCTCGAAAGCAAATCCCACACTTTGATAGAGCCATCTGAGCAACCCACTGCCAAAAGGTTTGTCTCAGCAAAATATTCGAGACAGGATGCAGCTGCAGGTTTGGAAACCTTCGCATCTACTGATCCTGGCGGTAGACCATCTACAAGGGTGTCAACAAGCTCACCTGTCTTAATATTCCATATATTAACCCTTTCAAGTGCGCCGATGATAATTTCCCCCGCAGAATTCTTGTTTTCACCAGCGAGCCACACCGAATTTGTGTTGCCGGCTACAACGCCAAATACTGAATTCTGCTCAAACCTTTGATAAGATTTAACCATTCCTGCTGGCACCAATTCAATGAAGATTTGATTATTGAGATGAGCTTCAGCGCGATGAGATGTCCCGCGATGAGCTTAAAATTTTTCAACTTCGAAAAGAATCATGTGATCACATTGGAGCAGTCAAGAGGCTTCGGCGTTCACTACATAAACGCTAAACGGGCTCCATTACCACCTGGAACCAGAGACTATCACCTACTCATTTATAGATACACGTAACACATACACTAATTCTCAAATTTTAAGATGGAGCTGTCTCGCACGACCTAAAAGAAATCACGGTAAAAAAATCCACAAGGCGCTCATTGTTCGCACGACGTTATTGATACTTCGTTGATGAAAAAAGAGTGCTCTTCGGAAAACAACCATTTCTGTGTTAATTTGATATTGCATTGTTTGTAACCTTCATCTGAAATCACATTTCTAGTCAACGGAATCTCAGGAATAAAGCTGTTGTCAGTGGTCGGTAATTCAAAATTATTTTGATGGAAACTGCGCGGAAGGGAATCATGTCTCAATGGTTTTCACCTTTTCGTATGCATTCTGTTTTTTATTTGGGAGATTGGCCTGATCCTGGCCCGCCACGCTCACCTGCGTTGGAACTTGATGAAAGATTCGCAGCGGTACCGTGTGCTGGGTTGGCACTCTTTGATGCCTTCGCAGAATTTATGCTCTGAAGTTTTTGATTATATGACGGAACAGGATTCCACTTTCTGCTGCTGCGCACCTCGTCTGCAGCGTATCCCGGTATTCGGATATTCCAATTTCTCTCTAGATGCAACTGGATGTCTCTTACATCCAAATTATCGGACTTACGATGCTTAGCAAGTCTGCAGGCAAAGCTTGTCACATTAGTTATGAAGTCATCGGCTAGATCCAACAACAACTCCTCGACATCGCCATCAATGGTTGTCTCACCATCGCCCTCGTCAATGCCGACCGTTTTGACGAGTTCCCTTAACTTTCTTTTCGACATTACCCTTTCGCTGTCTACCTCATACGGAGGTAGCTTTGTCATTACCGGGGTGTTCAAACTTGCAGCATTCATGGCACTGCCGCCCGTTACGGTGGGTCGATTGGAACGATAGGCAACCGAAGAAGGCATACGCTGAGTAATCGTTTCTGAGATCGCTACCGATGGATTTGGTTGTTTGAAAACCGTCTGCCGCCCACCATTGTTCGCATTGCTTGCTATGTGAGCAGCAGCATTGACAGGTGTGACATGGCTTGGGGACCTACTGTTTGCGACCGACTGAAGAGGAGTTCCATTGTTTTGCGATCTATTTTGAGAAGACTGGTCTGCCGCCGGCACGGCACTCGTAGGCCCTGTAGCTGCTACCGCTGGGGACGCCGTGGCCGATGAGCTGGTGTTTGCTCTTTGCTGTTGAGTCGTCGCTTGGAGATACCTTTTCAGATTGGGATTACTCGCAGCGCACTCGATGTAAAATTTCTTTCTGTCCTCTCTGAGCTTTTGATTCAATGCTTGAAAAGAGGCGTTGAACTCTCCAATCCTGCTGGTTAGTTCTGCTTTGTTTGTTTCGATCTGTTTTACTGCTAACGGGTCGTGTTGTTTCTTCTTGATCTCGGCATTGAGCAACTCAATGTTCCTCTTCAGATACGCATACTCGCTCTTGATTTTCTCCCCGTTTTCGTTGAAGCTTTGAATAAGTCTCTTGTGGGCTTCGCTTTGTTCTGGGGTCAGTAAAGCCTGTATATTATTGGTGATATTGTTCGTCGCGCTAGCGGCTCTTCCCTGCATAGGCATATTGGGAGAACCAGCCTGTCCTACGCCGGCAACTCTGGTTTGCGCCATGTTCTGTGCCACCTGCTGTTTCTGGCCGTTGTATGCATCGTAAACAGCCTTGATTTTGGCGGCTCTTTTCAAAAGTTCCTGCCCCTGTGGCGTGTCTTCACCCACTCTGCGGGCCTGACTCGTATATTGATACAGCTGAATCGCTAGCTGTTGAATTGGGTCCTGTGCGCCTGAAGCGTTTGAATGGCCCTGTCCAGACCCTGCAGAAACAGGAATAGACGAGTCGTTGCCAGAATTATTGGCAGACATTTTACAAGGATTTGACCAAAAAATATGTGTATTCGAAAGAGTTAGATTGTGTCCAAGCTTGGAAACTGGCTATTCTTTCAACCTAGTCTTCGACTTGACAAAACCGTTGTTTTTCTTTCAATTAAAGACTCCAATTCCAGAAGCAATAAACAAACTGTAAAAATTTGAACTTGGGCAACTTCTCTCGATCTAATAAGAGGTTCAACGGCCCTTGTCAAGCTGCTGTTCCACGATTTTAATCCTGTTTTATCAAACGTTTGAACGATTCTGCAGAAAATTTTGAGTATATCCAAGAACTTGATAATAGATGTGCCAGAGTACGAACCGCGAGTATGACCAACCTCCTGACGAATATCTAACTAATCTAGCAAACCCGTCTCTTCCAAATGTTCGTAATACTCATCAATAAGTACTGGCCAGGCCGCCATTGGATTATATGAGCTTTTCAGAAGCTCATTGGTCGGATATTTAATGATGAAAACTAGAAACTGTTGCCATGCATCTTTCGTAATACTTTCCACTGCGGACTCGCTGACGAATTCTATCCAAGATTGTATTCTTATTGGGTCGACTTTGACCGCGTAGTGTGCCGTGGAAAGGAAGAGCAGTTCCCAATATGCCACAGCCGTGTTAATACTGACAGATTTTCTACCCCGGTCAAGAGCCAGGTCAAAGGCTGAATTGTAAATTCTTGAGAAATAGCTGATATCTGTGCGCATTTTCTCTTTACAGGCTTCAAGATGGCTGCGCATGTGTTCTAATGTATAGCAATTGACTTGGGCCCAGTGGGACAGAAATTCTTCCTCAGAGATAGAGTTTTCAAAAGACTTCAAGTCTAGAAGGTCTGCAAGACAAAGAACGGCAGCATCCTCAGGATTGTAATGCAGACTTTCAGATACAAATTTGACAAAATCTTCAGGTTCTATCCATGGACCATTTGTGGTTTGATTAAGCTTGAAAACGGCAACCAGTTCAGGTGGGTACGTCGCTTCTACAAATGTTCCGTGTTCCGTGTCGTAATAGTCATTTAATGCGTAGTCCATTGCCCATTGGTTTCTGGAAAGATAAGAACGTGCCGTTGTTCTGTTGCATTTGGTGAGCGCAATGAACTCATTCTCTAGAGACGAGTGCGACTTCAATCAACGTGTTAGCCAAGCGTCTTGAGTGATAGAGTCGACCTACCCTTGCCTATCATGGGACTCTACAATGGGCGAGGTAGATCAATGATAAATATGGCACATACCATGTCTTCCTTATATAGGTTGAGAGACACAACTTGTATTTTTTGTGCTTAAACAACTTCGATCAACTCAGCTGGTTAATATTAATCAATCAATCGTGACGGAAGAGAAAAATTGATGATGTTCATCGATGAAGTTCAGCAATTGGACTATGATCTGCATAACTCCATCAAGGAGTGTGGTAGCGCGCTTAACGACGATCTGGAGGGGGTTTTGACGTGGTTGAACCCGAACGAAGCCGAAAGTAACCATCAATTAAGGCCGCCTAGTTTACGCATAAAGAGTGGAATCCGACATTTGAGTAAACAGTTCGAAACAAAATCAACTCTCCCCGACTTACTCAAGACTTTTATGGTGCTGAACATCCGGGTACATTTTTTTCGTCATTATGAAGAGCTCTGCAATTTCAAGCAGGTGCAGAAGCTAGAGAGATACTATCGATATCCATTCAGATTTATAAAGATAATATCTGACCATGAACTTAACATGGAATTCAAGCAAATGCGATGCTATCTCGTTTCTAAGCGTCCTGTCTTATGTGAAAACATCGAGGAGCAGATGCGATTACATTTCATGGAAGATGACTTCGATATAGCTGAGGAAATGCGGGATTGGTTGTCGCAGGCGATGGACAATTCTTGCATGGATCTCTTCCTGGACATGTTGCTGGAACGAATCCGAGTGTTTTCTGAACAACAGATGAGAGGTTATTGGAATCAGAATTCGTGCACAGCGAAGACGTACGAGCTTTTCGTCAAAAACCAGTGGCCAAATATCGCCAGGTTTCTGAACTGCCCCGAGAATGACAATGAACTTCTCTCTCAAATTCTGGAGTGTTTCCAGAGCGAATATGTTCGCGTGTGTGCTTCTGATATTTATGAATTGTTTGTCCTTCAATATCCAGCGTCGAAACCCGCATTGGTGGAGCTCCGTTCCATCATAAAAACTCCATATGGTCACAAAGAGCTCATTGAAGGTTTTCTTCAGCAATTTAAGATGAAAGCGCTAAACTCTAGTATCACGACGGCAGAAATTCTTTTATCATATGTGAGAGCTATCAAAAGCGTGTTTACGGTAGACGTTTCGGGAACTTATCTGCCAGCAATCACGGAACTTGTAAAACCGTGTCTAATGGAGAGACATGACGCTGTGAGAACTTTTCTGTACGCACTGTTGGAGCTGAACTCAGAAGAGATACAAGATTCATCTTTCACGGCAAGTACCATGAGCGTCCTGGCTGAGTTGTCTAGCGAGCTTAAAGACAAGAGATTTGCTTCGTTTGATGCCCCCGCAACGGAGGCGAGGCCTTCGATTGCAAATGATTTGGGCGGCAACCTTTTGCGACCTTTCCACGAAAAGATTCTTGATCGGTTCTTAAACTGGACTCCAAAGCCTCTGGAGTCTGTAAAAACTGATTCTGACGCTCTTCTAATGAACAAGAGTTTGCTTGATTTTGCATTTGAGGTTTTTGATTCCAGAGAGATGGTGTTTGCCGAGTTTATTGGCATCTTCACCAACAAACTTCTCGGATTGAAGGATTACAAGTTAGATTCCAAATGGGTTAAGACGCTTAAGGTTTTGAGAAAGAAGGCGGAATTCAAGTCAGTTTCTGGAGTTCAAGAAGTGTCAAATATCAATAACATAGATGTGATGTTGCGTGACATGCGGGACAGTAGTCAGCTTTGCGAACAACTGCACCAATTAGAAGGACTGGACAACAGATTCTTTCCCAAAATTATATCATACTTGTTTTGGAAGGTGGAAATTGATCTCGTTTCTCCGAAAAATGAGGATTTCGAGATGCCCGTGTGGTTAAAGACAGAATTGAAGAGATACACAGAAGCATTCTCTCGATTGAAAGTAGGTCGCAAATTTGTGATCCACAAGCATTTGTCAACGGTAAGTTTGCGATTAAGTTTTGAAGATGGCAGAGTTATCAAATCGGAAGTTGATTTTGTGAAAGCCAGTGTAATTTCTTGTTTCCTTTCTTCAAAATCAGATTCGGGCCTAACTACGCACCAAATTGCTGATCGCACTCGTCTTACACTTGCTGTCATCGAGCAAACGTTGGAATTTTGGGAAAAGGTGGGGGCCATTTACCTTGAGCCGGGAAATGAGTGCTATAGGATTTTAGAGAACTTCGATAGCCTCAATGCCAGACAAAATAAGTCAAAAGAAAAACTTTCCACTGGTGAGAGAGACGCAAGAGAAACTGGAGCGCGTGCTGATGATGAGCATCAGGCTTTCATGTTGTCCATGTCCAAGGTGTGGCCGTTTATCCAAGGGATGTTGATGAATCTGGGAAGTCTAAAAGCGAGTAAAATTCATTCTTTTCTAAAAATGGCCGTACCATCAGAAATCGGCTTTTCGGCGACACCAGCTCAACTCGAGTCGTACTTGAGAGCTTTGGTCGATGAAGAGAAACTGTCTGTCGCTGACAACGGAAGTTATAAGTTGGTTCGGTAGTCATGAAGGCTTTCTCCAACAACAATCTGTGACTTCCATGCGCCTGCGTTTGGCAAAATGAGACTGAAGACTGTTTCGAATACATTTACTTCTGACTCAATCAAATTGCACCAGTGATCTTGACACGGAGTTCACTCTTAAAAGTCGTGACCTTTACAATGTTCGATTAGCGAGACCAACTGCCAGAAGAGCGGCTGCAAAAAAAAACGCTGAACTTTACTCAGCCTACTAACGAAAACGAATTCACCGCATTTGACTACAAACGATAAAAGCTGGTGAGTGAGTTTCCAAGCTGAACTACATTGCCATGGACCGAAAGAAGCTTTACTAAAAACTTCTTCGAAATCAGTCGACGATTGTTAATTTCCAAATGCTCCTAAACATCATCATAGCTTCTAAATGTCGTCAAATATTGAATCACTTTTTACGTGTATAAACAAACCGCCTCACGCTCTTATCGATAGGAAAGGATCACAATCGATGGTCAAGAAGACTAGATTACCCTATAACATAGTTGAGCTGGGTTTTTAGGTGATTCGGATTTCAATTGCGTCGCAATGGGTGAGAAAAAAGTGATTATTTTGAACACGGATCATTTCAAATCATGTTTTGCCAAATGGGGAGACTTTGCAGACATGGCCATCAAGATGTTTGAAGCCTCCAGGTTCGATTTGCCGCCTGTAGAGTATAAAGTGTTCTGCATTTGCGAGAATGACTTTCCCAGCTTGGAAGACCTAGTTTCGAGCGAAGTTCTGGGCGTCTACATCACGGGCTCCGCGTATGACTCATTTTCCAACGAAGTTGAGTGGATCATCAAGTTCAGACAATTCATAGCCCAGTTTTTGGCCATTGAGAACCATCCGCCATTAGTTGGCGTGTGTTTCGGTCACCAGATCATCGCGAAAAGCTTAGGGTGCGACGTAGGACGGAATCCAGACGGCTTTGAGGGCGGTATTACTCCGATCACGCTGGCTTCAGAGGCCATCGAATTGGGGCTATTTCAAGAGGATGCTGATGTAATGAGAACTACACTCCAGCTGTCAGAGACCCATAGCGACATTGTTAACGAAATTCCACAGGGCTACACTAACATTGGATCTACTGCTAAGTGCTCTATTCAGGGACTCTACTGCCCCAAGAAGGTGCTGACGCTGCAGGGACACCCAGAATTTGAAACGGATGTGACCAGGATATGCGCAAACCTCCAACTCGAGAAGGGCAATGTCACTTCCGAGGAAAACAAGGACATGCAGAATCGATGCACGAGTCTCTCAAACGAGGGTCTTTTGGTTGCGAATTCCCTATGGAAACTGTTTTACGGCGCCATCTAACGAACGGAAAGCAATTCGAACATGCCAAGTCGACCGTTCCGGTGCAAAAAAAAGCACGTTTTTCACTTTTTTTTCTTAGAGGTCATCTTTGCAAAAATTACCAAGTTTTGGATAGAGAAAAACCAGATGAAGTCGAAGTTTTGATTTCTCCGGAGTTTAGACAATAATGAATAATTGACGATTTGGCAATTATGGAGGATCAAATTGGACAAAACTAGGACACATTTTTGATCCAATTTTAAGTCCGAACACCTTAAATTCTCATCGGGTTTAGAGCTGCTTTAGGCGAAAATGACAGGGGCTTTGATTTTCGCGACTAAAAATAAAAAATTAAGATGAAAAATATTACGTGGCTGAAGCAGCCCCTATAAGAACAGGAACGCTTTTGAAGTTCCGGTGGCAACGAGACAAATTTACGCCCGTCTGTCAATTAGACTTCCTCGACAGAGTTGTAGGCAGTCGGAGCTAAACAACTCTTAATCTTTCACTGCTACTTTTTGGAGAAGTAGAATGAGACTTTTTACCACTACGGCCGTGTTAGCCGGCGCTCTTTTCACTCAAAGTTTCGCCGAAGGTGATGAAGTGAAAGAGGCCGGGGCCCACTATGTGAAACTAGGGTTTGATAAACTCAGGGGCGATAGTTATGAGGATGCGACGCCGTATGCTCGTCCCCTGGCTCGTCTGATGAAAAGAGGCGACGGATATGAAGAAATTGTGATCGAAAACCAACAATCGTTTTATTCTGCAGATATAGAGTTGGGGACTCCGGGACAGAATGTGACAGTGTTGGTGGATACGGGTTCGTCAGATTTGTGGGTTATGGGCAACAACAATCCATACTGTCAGTCGTCCGGGGGCAGCAAGCGTGCTGTCGTAGGCAAAGCTCAATCCGCCGGTGGAACTATAGTCGAAAGCTCGGTGGCGTATCCGACCAGCGTCGACAGCTCTCAGGCCACCATGACGTGTTCAGTTTACGGTACTTATGCGACGAGCTCTTCGTCGTCGTTCAAGTCGAACAACACCGTCTTCGAGATCAGCTACGGGGACGGGTCGTTCGCGCTCGGTACTTGGGGCACGGAAACGATCACCGTTGGCAACATCAAAGTCGAAAACATGTCGCTGGCGGTAGCAAACGAAACTAACTCTACTGTGGGTGTCCTTGGCATTGGATTGGCAGGTTTGGAATCTACTAGCACTGGTAGCTCTAGCACGTCCAAGCAGTATGACAATTTTCCGTTGGCTCTGAAAAACAGCGGTGCTATTAAGCAAAATGCGTACTCTTTATTCTTGGACTCTCTAGACGCCAAGAGCGGCTCTGTTCTCTTCGGTGCAGTGGACCACAGTAAATACAACGGCACGCTTTACACTGTTCCGCTGGTTAACACTTACGGATACCTGGGAGCCACCAAGCCAATTCAATTCGAGGTCACGCTTCAGGGATTGGGAATCTCTGCAAATGGCACAGAATCGACTTTCACGACCACCAAGATACCTGCTCTGCTCGACTCGGGCACAACATTGGCCTATTTCCCGGTCTCTTTAACGAATGCAATTGCGAAAAAGCTAGGAGCCGTCTACTCGAGTAGATTGGGCTACTACGTGGCATCCTGTAGCGCTTTGGATAATGACTCTGCTCTTGTCTTCGATTTCGGTGGCTTCCAAATCAGCTCGCCTCTTGAAAACTACGTCATTGGCTCCCAAAGCGACATATGCGTCTTAGGAATTCTGCCGCAATCCGGAAACGGAATCATCTTGGGTGACGAATTTTTGACATCTGCGTACGTGGTTTACGATCTTGACAACTTAGAGGTATCCATGGCGCAGGCTAACTATAACGGCGGAAGTGAGAAAATTGAAGTGATATCTGGTTCCGTTCCAAGTGCTCAACGTGCTCCAGGCTACTCCAGTTCTTGGTCAACATACAGCTCCATCTCGACGGGCGGAAACATCTTCACCATCACTTCGAACAGCAGCTCCCCTCAAACTTCCGGAAGTGGTTCCACCAATTCCAGGTCCACCAGTGGTTCCAGTGGCTCCTCACCATCATCCACCACCACTTCAACGCCTAAAAAGAATGCGGCCGCGGCCTTTGCTCCTTCAGGCATCACTGTGAAGGTTGTACTATTATCTACAATCATGTCGTTCGCCGTTTCATTTGCACTTTGAAATTATACAACAAAAGTTAGATTGCAATCCATAATCAGTTCTCTCAGCATATTCCCTCGCTAATTACTACGTAATGCACTATTCATTCTATTCCGACTCTTTCTTCTCACCTTTTCTCCCTTCACGTGAAAAGTCGTTCATTGGGCTTTCATTTTTCAAGAGTTCTTGGTTTTCAGAAATTAGGAAAGCTGTTCGTTAGGTTTTATGTTTTGGCACTCAAGCGCAAACGGGAAGACCTCTTTGAACAGTAAAGAAGTCACATATGTCGCCGTTGAAGTATGTTTTGGCGTGTTAGCCATTTCTTTTGTGGTTTTTACGATTATTTGAGAATTTTATATTAACGATTTCGGCCCCAGTGCTGGCGGTGATGGCAATTTATCAGCAAGTAACGAAGGACCCGAATCGAGGGGTCCAGACCAGAACCGATCGACGAGAAACATTACTGTTGCAATTCAATATGCACTTGTGAATGGGCTTGCCGTTGGAGGGTCTCGTGAAAACGGTGCCGCTGAATCAGCCGGTGATGGTGGTGCAACGAACCAGCAAAGACTAGGTGGTGGTGCGGCTGACGGGGTTTTCGTTTTGAATTTTACCGACGTTCCAGAAACTACGACTCGAGAAAGGTTTGATGAGGTGATCGCGTTGGCCGCGGAGGTGGCAATGAACCGGTTGACGAGACGATTAGGCAGGATGCGGGGGATCTCGAAGGAAGCGTTTGACGCGCTACCCGTATTGAAGGCGAGCCAAATGAAAGACGAAGTTTGCAGCATATGTTATGACAGTTTTGAGGAAGAGATGAGCAGTAGCGAGGACAAAGTCGAGAACGACGATGATGACGAAGGGGTCATGAAGCGTGCCCGAGAGGAAGACGAAGAGGCAGGTTTGACGGTCAAGAGATCAAGATCAGAACCCGCACAAGAAAGTATAGAAACAATGTCATCAGAACAGCGTCCCATCGACACCACGTCCGCCGACAATCAAGATACCAATCACATTGCAAGAGAGGCTAAAAAGTTGACCACTGCCCCTGAATATAAGCATTCTCCGTTGCAACTCTCGTGTGGACATATTTTCGGTAGAGACTGCATCAGACAGTGGACCAAAGAACACAATAGCTGTCCCATTTGCAGATCGCCTATCGTTGGTCAGGAGGGCCTCAATAGAGACGTTGGTGAAGAGGATGCGGAGACAGGCATATCTTTCGACAGAATTGGCGCCTCGGGCGGCTTGGGAGCCGCAAACAATAACTTTCTATTCGGAAGGGACTCACCTCTGAATAACGATAATCCCAGTCGGCCAGAACATGCTGCGGTTCCCACGCCGAATACTACAGGAGACCAAAATGAACCTCCCGCGAGACCTGTATTTAGAAGACACGGTTTCGGTTTGGTACCCATCACATTTGTGAATTTGCATCGTGCTCAGCGAGAGAGTCTCAATCTGTCTCAGGATGACGTAGCGGGCTCAAATGCTGAGCCCGGAGCGAATGAGCCAAGTGCTGAAATTCAGCGGCAGCCAACCGGTGGACAGGAAAATGATAGACTTTTCAACATTCTCGAGCATCTCTTCGGATTGTCTAACGCACACAGACCCCAGTCTGCGTTTCCAACCGCACCTACGAACTCTAACGATACCCAAGAGCCTAGGCAAAACTTCGGGGAGCAGCCAGAAAACCGAACTCATCGAAGCCAAATTTTCAACAATCTTTTCAGATTTGCGCGTAATTTGAGGAACACCTACACGTCTCCTAATCAGCAGCCGCATGCTTCTGCGGATGGAGCTTCTGAAATATTCAACACAGGCGTTGCGAGCTACAGGAACCCAGGTGGTGTTTCTACTCTACAATTCAATCGCGAGATGCCAACGCCAGCTGACATGCCTCAGCTAAATTCAGCTCGCGGAGATCTGAACTCACAGCAGGATTCGTCACGACCTGAACGTGAACATCCAGACGATTTTTCAGGCAGTAGTCCAGAAACTCATCAGGATCGGCAAGGCGCCTAACGCATTAGAGCCATTATTAATACTTTATAATGGCGATCTAGATGGTATTTCAATAGTATTTCAATAGTGTTTAATAGTTTTCCAGTCAGTTTAATTTGTTGCTGCTAATCCCATATTATTGTCTGGTCTCTCAATCATTACTCTGCTTGGTTATGTTTTGTTTCTTAACTGGAAGAACTTAAAGTTGCAGAATGTGGACTAAATATAAACAGTCTAATCATGAGTCAACTGAACATATAATTGATAACAACGTCTTGAATGAACCTTGGATAGACCCTATTAATCCTCACAAGTCATGTTGCGCTATCATATGAAGGGCCACAGTGGATATGGCGTTCAGTATTCGCCATTTTACGATAGCAAATTGGCTGTCGCTACCGGGTCGAACTTTGGATTAATAGGGAATGGAAAACTATACATACTGGATATTGGGAAGACCGGTGAGATTCAAGAGTCTAATGTTTTTCTAACACAAGACGGGCTTTTTGACGTGGCTTGGAATGAACTACATGAGAATCAAGTTTTGGCAGCACAGGGGGACGGATCTCTGCGGCTCTTCGATATCAAACTGAAAGATCTCCCGATTGCGATCTTTAAAGAACACGAAAAGGAGGTCTTTAGCTGCAATTGGAACTTGATAAATAAGCAGACATTCGTCAGTAGCTCTTGGGATGGGTCTGTCAAAATTTGGTCACCCTCAAGAGCTCAAAGTCTCACAACGCTAATCCCTAGGCCTACAGGTACGCAATACTCTGTGGCCCGTCATACAGATGTTCCCATGTCAAATCAACAGCAGCATTCTTCGCTATCGAAGAACAAACAGTGCATTTATCAGGCGCTTTTCTCACCTCACGATCCTAATGTAGTGATGAGCTGCGCTGGTAATTCTTACGTTACCGTGTTCGATCTCAGACAACCTGCACAAGGTAATCAGTATAACTTCATGGCCCATAATGGAATGGAAACTTTGACGTGTGATTTCAATAAATATAGGCCCCACATTGTTTGCACAGGCGGCGTAGATAATATGATCAAAGTGTGGGATTTGAGAATGGTGAGGAAAGTCAGTGCCAACGCTAGACAGCCTATGAGTATCAATGAAATTTGCGGACACCAGTTGGCCATTAGAAAAGTGAGTTGGTCTCCACATCATTCTAACATGTTACTTTCTACCTCCTATGATATGACCTGCCGAGTTTGGCAAGATTTGAGTGATAACGGTGGCCGACCCACAGGAAAGACCAATAGTGTTGATCCTAGAAATGGATGCAGAAAGATATTCCAATACCATACGGAGTTTGTGTTTGGCGCTGACTGGAGTTTATGGGGCGCACCTGGATACGTTGCCACAACGGCTTGGGACGGTAACGTTTGCATTTGGAACGCTTACGAGATGTGAGACAAATAAGCAGCGAAAATATAATGATTGAATATTACATAACTAAAGCATACATTCATTTTGATACGTACCCGGCCTTCCAGGTATCTACTTTCAATCGAGATAGATGGTACTTGGTCCGGGATTTAAGATAGCCCTCTAGAAATGCATCGATATCGTCGCATCGTTTCTGCTCTGAAAATCGGCTTGTACTATTCATATCACTGAGCTGGGCCTCAAAGGACCTCAAAAGAGCTCGCATGTCAAACTGAGCCTCCATTAAATCTTCTAATTGCTGGCTTTTTGTAACATACTCTTCTTTTGATGTCGCCATTTTTCCCATGACAAGTTCAAGCTCCTGTCGCTCTTGACCGAGTTCCTTGAATTCCTTTAAAACTGTCTCCAAATCTTGTTTACACTGCCGTACCGTACCTGAGCAATCCTCAGTATCATTAAACCGGAGAACAAAGTTTTCAAGATGCTTCCTATTCTCACTTATCAGTTCTTCAGTAGCTGACGAGGGGAAGCGTTGAATGTCTTTAGGAAGTTCGACGTAAACAGGATTCCGAGAAGAACTGGTTTGCTCTTCCTTGAAAGAACCCTTGGGAGGCAATTCCGGCCTGTTCATGCTTTAACGAGAGACTAGTCCTTCGTTTTCTTCAGTTTCTTTACCTTAATCTAAAACCGCGACCCTATCTTAATTAGTGAATTCTTCGACAACCCGTTTCTGAGCTTTATCCATTAACTAAAGGGCGACAGAATTGACAATTACCAACATGCCAGGCTTGAGTGCGGTGAGAGTTGGTCCCGTTAAACAGCCTGCCAAAAGTGCCGTCATCTTTTTACATGGTCTCGGTGACAGTGGAGCAGGGTGGTCCTTCTTTGCAGAAATGCTGAGAAGAGACACTGCATTTAGCCAGACAAGGTTTATTTTCCCAAACGCTCCGATCACGAATATCGTGGCAAATGGCAACTACCCGATGCCCGCTTGGTTCAATCTCTATGACTGGAACGATCTTCATGCGAAACAGGACACTGTCGGATTTCTGAAATCTCTGGATCAGGTCAAAGCTTTTGTCAAGGAACAAATAGACCTTGGAATTGATCCGAAAAACATTGTGGTGGGGGGTTTTTCGCAAGGTGCAGCGTTGGCGTTGGCTACGGTCCTGGTCCTTCCAGTCAAAATTGGTGGAATCGTCGCTTTGTCGGGTTTCGCCAACGCTAACGTTGATTTTCTCAAAGATCAGAATAGTTTGAACCTTCAGACACCAGTTTTCCACGGTCATGGTGATGCAGACCTCGTCGTTCCGCTTACACTGGGCAAACAGGCTCGTGGGTTGTATTCAAACACATGTGGACTACAAAATTACGAGTTTCATGAATATCCTGGCTTGGCTCACAGTTCGTGTCCCGAAGAGATCTTGGACACAATTAGGTTTATCAAGAAGATAATTGCTTGAATGGTTACAGAGGACGAGAGCCAGCGGGCCAATCGCTCTCGTCGTTCTCGTCCGGTTATCCCCCCGTCTGAGTTGATGGTGAACTTTATAGTCACGTGATAAGTAGTCATTTCTCAAATCGATATACTAGTCGAACAAAGTAAAGAACCGTTTCAATAGCATGCTACTTCAGAAGGAGGTTAAAGAGCAGGTTATTGGGTATGTCGGTACCGCTGAAGCCTATTTCAATTGATTTCAGCGTCAGACAAGTGGATTCCAAACAGAAGAAGTTTCACAGCCACGTACAGAAGGCACTACAGCATTTTGAATCTGTCACAGAATGGGCGGATTATATTGCCAACTTGGGCAGATTACTGAAAGCTTTGCAGAGTTGGTCACCGCAATTCAGCAATGTTAAATTCTATATTCCATATCCTTACCAAGTTGGCAGAGAATTGTCATCGTCGCTGTCGCCCAGCTTACCGTCAGGTGTCCATCTGAAGGCCCTTGAAGTGTACAGCTACATTTTTGACAAAATTGGGCTTGAATCCATCAGCAGAGAATGCAACATTTGGACCCCTGGGATCTTTAGACTTATGTCCTACGCGTCCATATCGGTCAAGGGTCCCCTAATTGAGCTTTATGAACAGTATCTCATTCAACTGTCACCACAGGCTTTGAGGATTTTGATCAAGCCAATGCTTGCAAGTCTTTTCACTGGCATCGAAGACGAAAGCAGCGAGTTCCAGGGTGCAACTTTCAATTTGATAGATGCTCTCAAAGAAAATTTGGCCGACGATTTGCTCTTTTGGCAGGCTGTCTTCCTGATAATGATATCCAACAAAGATAGAAGAGCTGGTGGACTGGTATGGATTACGAAACAACTACCGTCTTTGAATGCAGTCCCTCACAAAATTTTGGAAAAAGTGATTGAATCCGGAAGTGACCGCGCAAAGTCAATCAGTATCGGAAGAGATGAAGTTAAACAAAAACGCGAGGCTGCACTTGAGCTTTTACTGCCGGCAGCCCGCGATTTAGTTCATCCTGAGCCTGGACTCTTGGTCAGATGCCTAGTTTCCTGCTTAGCAGAAGAAAACGAGGTTTTGGTGAAGAGAGGTGTATTGGACATTTTGACCCAACGCATTCACTTGAGCTCACCTTTCATCCAAGTTCTGATACCGGAAAATGACCGAAAGATGCTCATAATGGCTTGTTGCAGGACAATGTTAAACCGCGAAATGTCCATAAGCAGAAGAGTGTGGAATTGGTTACTGGGACCTGCTTCAGCTACGCAGACCTCGCCAAGGGAAGGCTCTACAACCTATTTTTCAGAAAATGGTCTCGGCGCGCTGTTCAGTGGCCTTGAGGAGATATCGAATGAGCCTAGCGGCATAGCTGACGTATACAAGATTTGTCTGTCACTAATGGATAGGTGGGAGATTGCCTGCCATGTCATCCCTCAGGTCTTCATACCGTTGATGAGAGCAGCCAAGCGACTGAACCTGCCGGCCAGTGTTTTGAAGGTTGCGTCTTCTTTTTTCGATTCGGTCGAGACGAACATTATCTGGGGTAAGCTTTTCGATGCCATCTATCAACAACGTGATAGCGAGCTTCTGCTTTACGTGCTAAGAAATTTCAATGTGGCTACAGAAGACGAAGTCTTGGTAAGGCACCTCCCTCTTATTTTTCTATCTCTTTTAGCTTCAATGAGCTCTAAAGTTAGTCCCGGAGAGTATGAAATTCTAATGTCTTTATTAACTTTGATTCCAGACAGAGCATACTTGCCAGTAGAGCATTCACAACTCGACGAAAACGATGATCTTGATAAAGAAGGGGTTTTGAAAAGCATTTCGAATTATTACAAAGCTAGTTCCGATATGACGCTTTCTACAACTGAGGATAGCACTGGAGCACTTTCGCCCCCATTTTCAACGGAAGACATGACTTTCCTGACTATCCATCTCATTCAAAGGCTTCTCATTGAGCAAATCGATGGCAATTGTCATGTTGGCCAGATAGCTAACGTTTTCTGTTTATTAATAACAAAAATTCCTCAGAGTGAAGATGAAAGTTTGCCGAGCGATAAACGTAAAGACCAATGGGTCTATTCGAAGCTTCAGGCTGCGATTTTAAATCACATCTCCGTTATGCATTCAGCGGTCTCGGTTGGTGTCTTTGGATTAATCAAGCTGTATGTGTGCTATCTTAGCTCGAAGCTGTCCACGCTGGAGTCTATCAAACTTTCGAAGAGCCTAACTACTGCACTTTGGGATTATTTGATAGATCCGAACTCGCAAATGGAGGCTATGGACTCCCTAAAGTTGCTAAAGAGAAGCGCAGGTGGGGATTATATTGAAAGAGCCCTCGTGTACTGCTTCTTACAGGAAAACAACATGCGAAGTAAGGTCGTTGCACTCGACGCTATGTGGACACATTTGGAAAACGAGGTTTCTTTGTTGCGCCGCCCATTAGAAATCCTTTTAGATGAATTGCGTGACGAACAGAACTCTAACTATTTGATTGTGTCAAGATGGGTTTCATCGACCATACCCTCGGGATCTGTCAACAGACTGTTTCAATTGCTACTCGAGAATTTGTTGGCTTGCAGTTTTATCAGGAAAATGGAAATATCATCACTTGACGATATCGAAGCCTTCGTATATTCCATTCAAATGTTGACAAATGTGTTGAAAATAGATCAAAAAACTATGGTTAGATCACTCTCTACTGAGCTGACTTCAGTTCATTCGCTTGACATATGGGGCGACGAGGATATATCGACCTACAAAAACTTGAGCATAGCTTTATCCTTAAGATTTTTGAAGATCGAGAACGAAGACGATTCCAGTATACGGAGTACGGTCATTTTTCTCGATACCGTGATTGATGGAAGCGAGGAGAACTTTAAGTCTATCGTCTCATTTCTGCTTCAGCTGTCGAATAAATTCATTATCTCCGAGAGCTCCAAATATGAGTCCATCTCCGTTTCACTCCTTGATATAATTTCAAAGGTTCTTTCGCTATCCCATCTTAAGGGTAGAAAGTTGGATATTTTTGAGGACGATGACTCTCATTTAACATACATTGACTTCCTCGTGACCGGTGTGACGACCATGCGACAGCCTCTCGTCATTGAGTCGTATGTCAAGCTTCTTTCCGAGACGCTGCATTACTTTCAAGAGACTCTGTTTTCAATTGCTCTACCTTTGACAACTTCGATGGTTAATTGCATCAAACACCTGTTCGCAGTGCATGAGACAAAAGGTGACTCTTACAGTTGCATCTTACATTTGATGAAAGGCTTAGAGGAGGTGTTGACGGCTCTGCATGGTTACCTCACTGCGGAAGAAAAAAGTTCACAGACGAGCAACGCCTTAGGGAGAACTGATTTCCTGCAGAGTGTTGTTGCCAATGTTTTTGCGAGCGAATCAAACTCAGTGGAATCCAGATACTCCTATGAGAGAGAAATCATGATTCAATCATTTAGAATTGCTGCTGAATGCTCCTTAAAAATGTGGTATTGGGCTCGAGGAGAGTCCTCCATAAGCAAGCATAATGAAGCTGTTGATGACGGCCAAGATCGCTTTCAAGATTCACTCAAATATCATGCGTTCAAATTCAAATTTAGGACCAAAAGGTTACTGAGTGCTCTTTTCGCCCTAGAGCCTCTGGAAGTTCTGGAACAGCTCATCTCTGGAAACAACAACAGATATACGCTTACCTTAATCCACGTTCTCGATGAAAACCGACCTATTTTGACATTACCGCATTTATTCCAGAGCATAATATTCCGATGTGATAAAGCTTCGGCAGTCACGTTTTCTAATTCTTGGAGCATGAAGAACGTTTCCAATCCAACCGCTTCGAACGATTTAAGCGAGCAAAGCATCCTGAGGTTCGTCATCGATTATACTAAAAGCCTTGAAAATGCTGCTGTCGAGGATTATTTTGGTGACTTCATGATATTGTTTCGCGAAATCGCTTTAAACAGTTCAAACTACAAGCATTTGTCTGCCCTTATTTTCGAATTAATAACTGTTACAGGCGAGAAGATTCATTTTTCGAAGTTTGGCGAACAAAAAAAGATCAAGAAAGAGTTATCAGAGACGTTTTCCAAATACCTTGGAAGTACCCTCGCCGCAGAGGTTGACCCACGAGACTCTAGACTATACGAGAACTTAGACCTTCTTTGCCAAAAGCTTCATTATATCGTCGATGAGCCGTCTGGTGATAAATTTCACAGCGTGTTATCAGTTATCACGCAAAGCGCCATCTCTCCTGCGTTGAAGAAAAAGACTGAATTTAGCCCTCCTAGTTATGTTGCTAAATTGGCAATGACTATTGCTAAAATAGGGGCAAAGAACAAACTTTGGAAATCTCTGCTACTAGAATTCTTTTACAATGATAAGCAGTTCTCTGCTCTTCTTCATAACGCTCTTTTATTTCCCGTCTTCCAGGAATGGTCACAGTACCCTGATATCAAAGATAAACTTTTACCAGAGCTGATTACTTCCGTTGGATCGAAACACAATTCTCTGGGACCTGCTATGATACCGTTCAATGGCTGGAGTGATACAGAGATTACATTAAAGAAGCAGAACTTGAAGCGCATTTCGTTCCTTTTGATGATTTCTTCAAAGGATACTTATCTTCTACAACTCAGGTCACTTCTGAGCCAAATCGAGCAAAATTTCTTGATAGACGATTCAAGAGTAAAAGCGTTATGGTGTTTGTTACTTCGCAGTGTTTTACTAAGATTTTCTGCCACACATTTCAGCAATAGTTGGAGTTCTTTGGTTTTCTACTTACAGACCAGTTTACAGCAATTCCAAGAATCGCTTCAGATTCAGCAGGGCGCAGAAGATCCTACCATCCTTCATGTGTGCAAATGTTTAGATTTGCTACTCACGCTCAATTTGGAAGAATTCACAGCCGCTTATGAATGGCTTTTCATTATCGATACGATGAACTGCATTTATAAAAATGATCCATATATGAGTTTGGTGGATGAAATTAGTGACTGCAAGGAATTCCTGACCAAAGGTAATATTCAGGACATTGAATTGGCGGATAACTCTCTTTCGAGGGTGCCACTTCTTTTTGGGGTCCAAAAGATAACGAGTTTTATTCAACTTCGACCATTTTTCCATCGCTTGAGCTACGTTCATTACGAACAAGTCTACGGACTCAAGGATGTTGATGTTTCTGCATGCGACAATGACCTTTTTGGCGATCTTGCAGTTGTCGACTGATGGGAAAAACTACCTCTATCTCCAGAATTTGTAAACGCTCAACACTTCCCAACCGGCCTTCCTTTTCTCGATCAATTGTGCATTCCAACCTTTAATTTGCATATACTCTTGCACCTTTTCGGGCCAGTTTCGCGCACAGAACAGGACATATGCGACTCCATGCGATGAAAGAATGTCTTGAAGTCCATCCAACAGTTTCCTCGTCACAACCATCCCATCGTTTCCGCCCAAAAGCGCGAGATCAAGCCAGTCGTCCTCATTCTTGTCATCCAATGGCATCTCCGGTATTGTTTCATTAGGAACATAAGGGGGGTTAAACACGAGAACGTCTACTTCATTTTTTTTCAGTCCTGCGGTCAAATTGGCTCGCACAGGTGTCAGATACTGTGCGCTACACCCATTCCGTTTAGCAGTATCCATTGTCGCCTCCAGAGCCCACGGGCTTATGTCCACCGGTATATATACTGCGTCTGTACTTGGAATTTTGTTCTGCATCATGAACGTTGTCACGATTCCGGATCCACATCCAATCTCACATACAACACCAAGCTTGTTCCGAAACATTGTCCGAAGCGCATCCTGCTCGCTTTCTAATACATCTAAAAGAAGAAAGCTGTCTTCTGATGGTTCGTAGACCTTATTGTAGTCGCAATTGACATATGGTGTCGGGAACATGCTTTGGTTACGTTTTTCATCGTAATCATGGATGGGTATTGAAATTTTGATTCAACTATGGATAAGCATTTTGACAATCACCAAAACCTTGGACAAAACGTACTGCAGATGGAACTTAAAGTCAAGACTCTTACGGGCAAGGAGATTGTGGTTAACGTGGATCCCGACGACAAAGTTTACCAAATCAAGGAGGTTTTGGAAGAAAAAGAGGGCATTCCTACATCCCAACAGAGACTAATTTTCCAAGGAAAGCAAATGTATGATAGATTAACGGCGGGCGACGCCTTCAAAATTGTGTGAATCTTGAAATTTATACTGACTTATTACCAGTGATGATGAGAAAACTATCCAGTCGGTCAATCTCAGCACTGGCATGCAATTGCATCTGGTTTTGACTTTGAGAGGGGGAAACTAAATAAATTAAAATGTCTATGCGTGAGAAATGAATGTTACAGTAACTGAATCAAATGGGTCAATCTACGGGATGCGACATTGCGCAATGTCAGGTTGATTCTGCAACATTTTGGGCTCCCAACAAGATCGTTTTCAAGCTGTCGAGCTATGTATCGAATTATCACAGGAGTTGTCCAGAGACCGTACAGATGAAGCGACGGTATGCTCAGTTAAGAATTAGACGTTAAGCTATTGATACTACTTTTGGAAACTGTTGATCAAGATATTTCATTAGCTAGGAGACAATGATTCATGAATTTTTCGATCATCACATCCCATAGTATACATTAATAAATAACCATCAAGATGATCTTGATAAACTCATCACTACAAGAGATCTCTATGAAAACATAATGGAAGACGCTAGAATAGACATAACGTCTGATTTCATATTGCGAGGTAGGCTTGACCAGAACCGAGGTGTTAGACCGAAAGTTGGAGTCGAGATTCAAGATATAGAAGAACTTGAAGAACAACAGCGTCGGAAAAGAGCCGAGTTCGAGGGCGTTTTGAAAGTCAAACGTCATGATATTCGCCAATGGATGAGATACGCCAAATATGAGCTTGAACAAAAGGATTTCAGACGTGCGAGATCGATCTATGAAAGAGCTTTACAAATTGACAAAGCAAACGTTCCGTTATGGATCAGATACATCGATTCTGAACTGAAGGCTAAAAATGTAAACCATGCTCGCAATCTTTTGGAAAGGGCCACCACACTTTTGCCTCGAGTTGATAAACTATGGTTCAAATACGTTTACGTGGAAGAGTCCTTAGGAAACGAGGAAATCGTCAGAACTTTGTTTAGCAGATGGTGCACGTTGGAACCGACCGAAAATACGTGGAATGCGTTCATTGACTTTGAAATAAGACATCAGAAGCTGGAGAATGCCCGTCTTGTTTTCAGCAGATACGTCTTAGTTCATCCACAAATCGACACATGGCTCAAATGGGCAGATATCGAGGTGAAATACGGCGATGTCAACACTGTTCGTCAAGTGTATTCTTTGGGACTAGACACTGTTGCATCCTACGACCTCTCGAAAGAAGGCGATGTCGCAAGGTTGATTAACCAGTTCGCCCTATGGGAAGCGAGCCAAAGAGAAGTTGATCGCGCAAATGCATTGTTTGAAGTAGCGTTAACCAAGTGGCCCAGTAATCACAGCTTAGAGGCGAAAAAACTTCAGTTTAAGAAGATGTTTGGTGTTGACAAGGACGTTGAGCGAGCTCTCATTTTCAAAAGAAGGCGAGAATACGAACAGCGCGTCTTTGAAAATGCGAGCGACTTCGACACTTGGTGGATCCTGCTCGATCTTGTTGAAAACCATTTCGAAAAGGATGCGCTTTCTGTTTACTCACATTGCGTTAAGAGAGCTCGACCGTCCTCCTCAGCCAACGAATTGGATTGGCGGCGGTACATGCAGCTGTGGCTGAGATATGTCATCTATATGGAATTACAGATTGGTGATGTGGTAAAAGTGAGAGAACTCTATGGAAATTTGCTGAGCAGCGTTATGCCAAAAGCACTCGACTGTTCTGAGATATGGATAACGTTCAGTCAATTCGAACTTAGGCAGCTTAACATTGACGGAGCGCGCCGTATTTTTGGCAAGGCAATCGGACTTGCTCCAACGAAACGCATTTTTCATGAATACATTGATCTCGAAATCAAGCTAAAGGAATTTGACCGTGTTCGCCTCATCTATGAAAAGCTAATATCCTTTGATCCTTCTGATGTATCTAGTTGGTTGTCTTTTGCAGAGTTAGAAGAAAATCTCGGGGACCAAGAAAGGTGTCGTGCCATCTATGACCTTTCTCTTGAGAAAGACATACCTCTGACGCAAGAATCTCAACAACAGGTTTTTGAAGCCTATATTGAATTTGAGGCTGGACTCCAGGGGCTTGATAAAGTCAGAAAGCTTTACCAAAGGTACTTGTCAGCGACACATTTCGATGCTCAGGTTTGGATAAGTTGGGCATTCTCTGAGACCACCTTCAAAGTTAACAACCAAGAAGATTCATTCGATGTAGAAGCTTTAGAAAGTTCAAGAGACATTTTTGAAAGGGCGATTGAATATTTCAAAGATAATGGCGACCCCGACAGCAGAAAAGCTGTCTTAGAAGCAATGCTTGAATATGAAGAAACCTACGGCGATACTTTAACACAACAAAAGGTCATAGAAAGGATGCCCGAGATAGTCAAAGCAAATCGCGTAATTGATAATGTGGAGAGAGAAATATCGACCATGGAGTTCCCAGAAGATTTCAAAGAGAGGACAGGCCCGACGAAACCGATTTCTAAGCTATTGAGTCTAGCACATGAATGGAAGAAGAAGAAAGCAACCGGACTTGGCAAAAACGGTCCATAGTCATACACTTTCAGAGCCCAGGAGGTCCACTGAGGGCGGGAGCGGCCCTCGGCTGCTCTTTCGTGTCATTAATGTTTTCGCTGCTATTAGAACTATTTGTGGAAGGGGTCATTCCTGGCGGTGCTTCCAACACCGGTCCCGCCGAAAATCCTGGTGGTACACTCATGCCTAGTACACTTGAACATTGCTCAATACTGCTAGGCCCACCCAGCCCAGGTGTTGACGTTGACTCATCCCTTGCGTCATCGATGGAATCATTAGTGTCATTACCATTCGCGGCGAAAGTCATTCCTGGTGGAGCTTCCAATACTGTCCCCAAAGAAAGTCCCGGTGGGGCACTGATGCCTGATACACTAGGATTTTCACTAGTGCTAGCTTCGCCTGGCCCATATATTGGTGCAGATTGTTCAATGCCTGGAGGGACATCCAAACCGGGTGCAGGCGTCATTTGTTTATGTGTTTCGAAATTACCCACTTCTTGCCCCTCAAGGCCCGGTGGTGCTGAGAGCATATTGAGAGTATTTTCTTTGCTTTCGAACGCTGTCTTATCAGCCACGTATCGTGACCTTCTTGATTTATATGTGGAAGGGGCTGCTAAAGGTTCCATGTTCGCGTTCGAACTTAAATCAAAATCAAGTTCCCTATCAGTATTCCGTCGTTTCCAGTCGCTTTCCGGTGCACCGTAACTGTCTTCATCGAATCGGCGCTTAAAAGGCTCTCGGGCGTCCATATTTCTTTGGTAAAGCATAGCAGGATTCGCTGATGAACCCTCCGTCGGATTCGGCATACCGCCATCGGTGAAAGTGCAATCTCTGGTTACATGGCCTGGTCTCTTGCATCGCTGGCATATAACACGTTGTGAAAATGTTGTTCTGTCAGGACATTCAAATCTACGATGGCCCCTCAATCCACAAATTGCACATGGCCTATTGTCTTCCCTAAGTGTACCATTGAGCTCTGCTAATTCCCTAAGTTGACCACGTTTCAAATCGTTTTGTCCTTCGGGTGATGTAACTGCCTTTATAACAATATTTTCGCACACTTTGAGGCCCTTCCGTAGTTTTTCTTCACTGTCAGCAGATATAATGCAGTGCAGCGGTTCTTCGAAATTCATGGCTCCCTTTGGTAGTTCAGATGCATTTTTACCCTCTTTCACGGAACCCTGACCTCTTATAGCAATCTTACAACCCGAATCTTCCTGAAGTTTCCTCAAAGTGTTCCCCCGCGGTCCCAAGAGAAGTCCCATGAAGTTTATTTCCGGGTATTTGTCCGTGGGAATGTAGTATTTATCTTGGAATTTCGTCGGCCTTCTGTAATCATCAGGAGCAACAAAATGTGGTATCATTTTGAGAGCCACTTCAACTAGGCGATGCCTTTCCTCTTCCAATTTCCTGCGGTATCGCTGCTCCCGAGTATTCATCCTCCTGCCCCTAGCATCGTAAACTGGAGGAGGCGAAACCGACCGCTGTCGTCTTTCGGGCGGATAAAGGTCCCTCGTTCTAAGCTTAGTGGTGATTTCCTGGATTCTGAACATTGCCTGATATGCCACTATCTGTTCCTGCGAAAGGGCTCCAGTTATTTTCGTTGGCAGTGGATTATGATTTTTTAAGGCATTTTTTCCTGCACTTTCGCCCCAGAGTGCATTCACGGATGAAATACGTCCTCTAAACGCTTGATTCGCCTCCATTGATACGCTTCAGAGTCCCTCTTGAAAGCGCACATTTTTCCATTTAATTTTAAACTATGAAAGGCTTAAACAAGACTCACGTTAAATATGATAAGAAGAGATGAGATGACTATCGCTTCGACCGAGAAGTGCTGGTGAAAGCACCTTGGTCACATAAGAAGGCGTCTGACTCTAAACCTTGGCCAACATGTTTGAGACAGCTGCCTTGACTTCGTAAAACAGTTTAGAAGGTGTGCCATCGACGATAGTTTCACCCTCGCTAATTTTTCTCACAGCTACTTTCCCATCAATGACCAAAGCACCTTCGCCTTTGAACTCGGCCACATGATTCTGCTGAGTCAGTCTTCGTTTGAGCTCTGCAAGCTTAACGTCTCCAATCGCTAAGGATACCTTAGGTTGAACTCTCGTGGTGTTGGATAGAGGCTTCAAAACGAATTTGTTGATCTTATGACTAGACCGGTCTGTATGACTGATATCTCGAATCAACCGTCCCATAACATGGGCAACCGTATAACCAGTACTGACAGTCTGCCATTTGAGGTTCTGGTCGAGTTCAGGATCCAATGCCACTTCGATCATTTTGACAGAAGCATCAAACTGCTTTTCGACGTTAGCTTCGAGGAGAATTACTTCGACATTTTTGTTCCTCAGAGCCATTGAACTACTTTCGCTTCTCTGCGGAGAGGCTAGAAGGAGCACTGATCGTGGCTTTAAGGAGGGGAGTATCACGGACATCGATCTTTGATCTACCAACCCACCGAGATCAATAAAAGCAACTGAACAATTTAGGTTCACTTGCTCTTCTTTGGGAACTCTTGTGACGGGTGACTTTAGGGAGTCTAGGTAAGTGACGTCGTCGTGATTCTCATCCTTATCACCCGAGAACGCTGTTGATGATGATGATGATAACGGTACGGGTCCTTCGCTTCGATTTTTTTTAGGCGCTTTAAAAGAGTTTTCAATGTCGTATGGATCGTCTTCTTCACTGAAAACATCAGTGGCACTTCGTTTATTTGAGTTTTTGTCTTCTTCGGAAATGAATGCGGAGAAATCGACCACCGTCCCGTAATCGTCGCTCTTTATCTTGCCAGGTTGAAAGGGAAACATCTTGAGACGCGGCGCGACATTCGGTTGTATTTGAGTATCTACTGGTATCGTGATTGGTCGGTTCGAGGAGAGATTACTGCTTCTGCTTCTGTTAGCTGCACTAATGATGTCCCTCATGCCGTCCTCCTCATCGTCTTCATCGTCTTCGTCTCCTGCCATAGCATCTGAAGGTTCAACCCCCTTTATTCTGGCGCTTTCTTTGTCAAGCTTTTCAAGAAGTTCTGATCTTTTTGATCTCCGCTCTCCTATCATCGCGGTAAAGTGTTGTAGACTTTCGCCTTGTAGAGTTTTATCTTCAAAAGCATTAATTGAAATAGTTTTCGAAAACGAAACTGGCTTCCGCTCAAAAGCATCTTTGTCACTAATCTTTTTCGCTCCACACCATTTCTCATATAGTTGTTTTAAAACTGCGGATGAACTTGCTATGTCGGGATTGGTCAAAATTACGGTTGTTTTATCTTGAGTACACAGTTTCATGGCCACTTGGTTAACTAGAGTCTCGACATCGGAGACAAAGCAGATCTTAGGCCCTGGATACCGTGGTAAATCCTTTGGAGTCACAAATTTCAATTTTGATCCAATATCGAAGGGAGACTTCCCATTTCTAGCTTCCCAAGTCTTTATTACGGCGGAAGATAGCCATTCGAGCATACTTCGAGCGTACGTCAGCGAGCGACCACGCGAGTACGAGACTACTAGTACAGGAATATCGCCGGCAGATCGTTGCCTTTTCCTATCATAAAGTAAATCATGCGTTAAAACAAACATGTCCAAAAATCGACCCCCCATTGAAGACGGGATTAAAGCGGTACCTCCACGCGAAGTGACGTTTCTCAAGAGTTCTTTAAACTTTTGCGCTCTTTTTCTGTAAGTAATTGAAGAGCCCGTTAGTTCTGCGGCAGTCACAACGGCGCTTGGCCGCAGGAGCGCCGATAATGGCTTACCTTGATCATCTAATAAGGCGGCGCTGTTCAAAATTGTGTCTCGAGTATGATTCCATTGCGGCATGTATAAGATCTTTTCTGAGTACGTTGTTATGCAGTAAAATGATCCCCCAATTGTAGACCCCGCATTGTATGCAACTAGCGAAAGTCCTTCGAACTTCGATTTCAGATCCACGGTCTGAGCGTATTTGATCGCAGTTATATGGTCAAACGCTTGTTCAACGTCTTCCAAGTCCATCGCATTCGTTTCAACAGGCCCTAATAGGCCTTGCGACGCATATAGGTCTATTGTCGTTACACGTCCCAAGTTAGCTACTGGCAAAGTTGCATAGACTGCAATTCTCGATTTGAAATGTGCCAAAAAAATTTGATATAGCAATCCGAACGCTCCAAGAGACTCCTTGAGTGGCCGAGTTATTATAACAATATCCACTTGGCTTATGAGCTTAGACCAAAATGTGACGAACTCCTCAACAGACGTTTTTTGTCCGTTCCACGCGGGATCCAGCAAGAGCGACACATTATCAAACCCTATTATCGAACACTTGAAGCCATGCGCTTCATCTGAGTGGCACGTAAGGCTATAATTCATGTAATTGGGCTTTTATACGTTCTTTTCAAGTGTTTAAGATTTTTAAAGCATCTGTTCTTTAATTTTCAAGAAACTCTTTGCTTATCAACTAACTATACTAAATTATTTTAGCTAGGGTGAATACGCACTGGAACGTTTGATCAAGCCTAGAAACTTGAACGGGATCAACGTTCAAGTAGTATTCTGTGAAATCAAAATCTCCTGGAGTTTCGAATCAGAAAAATCCTGGTCTCAGAACATTTATAAGGAGTGAATTGACCTTTTTTACAATTGGAATACGAATACCCTATTCGGTCGAATTAGGATTTTAGGGATATGATTTAATAAGACAATGATCCTGCCGATTGAAATTTTGGAGCAGGTAGTGACAAGCGGCCTGGATAGTTTTGAGACATCGATGTCTTGGAGCGAGATATCGCCTCGTTTCCAAGATGTAGTGCGTCAAAAGTTGGGTATTGTCGTCATCACCGATTTATCGTACAGAAGACATGAACCGTCTCCCGGGCCATTGTGTTTCAAGAGACTCAGTGGTGACCAAAACACTTTTATCACTTCATCGGATCAGTATCGACTGGAAGAATTGAGGGACTTCGTTGAATCTTTTGACTATCTCTTGATTGTTGTAGCTACTGATAGAGCGTTCAGCGATCCTTTAATGGAGGCGCTAACGCGGCTGGCAGAAATCGTGGCATCGAATTCTAGAACTCGACCGAAGGATATATGCCTCATTTACAAGACGGGCACGAATTATCTAAGCAAGATGTATTTTCGTGAGTTTTGGCTTCATCGGAAGAAAATGGGATTGAATGAACTGCATATCCTGGGAGTGGGTCAAACTGGTAGTCTCGATTTGTGCGATCTCGACATGATTTTCAAAATAACATATCTTCACAACGTTCACAGTCTCTACAGTCTGAACATCCCAAATGCGCGACATAAACTCATTGCCCCAGATCTTAATAGCATCAGACAGCTTGAAGCCGTTGCCAATGTCCGACTCGAAGAAACTTTTGCGTCTTGTCCCAACATGGCCGTAATCGAGCAATTTAGGTTGCCCAGTGGTATTGATCGGTCCATTTACGAGCTGCCCGCTTGTGAATCCTTTGCATTCATGAATTTCAATCCCGATCTCAAATATACGAACATCGATGGCCATCGGGTGAGAGAAGAGCTCACAATAAAAACCGCTCTCAAAATGCAAAACCTGGAGTTAAAAAATCTTGAATTTTCCCAAATATATCGTCTGAACATGCATTCATCAACTATGACTTTGGATGAAATCGTTTTCAAAGACTGCTTTTTTCCAAACGTGGAGGTACTGGATTTATCCTCAAATCAGGCGCACATTTCTTGGGCTTCGCTGCAGAGTTCTTGCTCCAACATCGCACTTTTGCGCACCTCGGTGAGAGATCTTCACGACCTTCGGTGGCTTGCAGAATGTCCTTTCCATTTTCGACAAATTGATTTCACGTCAGGTAAAACCAAACCGACCATACATGGCTTTTCGAAAGAAGACATTCTGGAAGTGGCGCAAAGTTCAAACTGCTCAAGGCTTATCAAAGATGCAGAGTGTATTGAAGTAGAGGTTAGAGAATTTTGGGACTTCATCATGTTGCAACTTCTCATTTTGCCCAATCTCGCTAGTAATTCTCGTTTGCAAGTCACTATTAATCAATCCGCTTCAACAAAGTCTATTTATGATAGCGCAACTGACAGCAACATTCCCTTGGAAACCCTACTTCAATCATGGGGTTTTAATTATGCTGGGAGCCATATTCGGCTAAACGTTCCTAAGATAAAAGAATTCGCCTTTTTCTGTGACTCACCTGATAGCGATCCTTCTAATCTGATTGAGGAATCGAAATTACCAAAATCTGGACTTATTTATGCTGATGCAGCGGCTTCAGATACTTCTTTCATCAATAATGCGATATCACCTTCAGCGTTTAGAAGAAATAGTCTGGCAGGAGCAGACAGCAGCACTGCAAGAAGGAATAGTGTTTTGAGTATAGGATCACAGCAATTCTTTTCGAGCTTTAAACGCAGATCTAGCAGCCACTCGAGTGACTCAGCTGGCGGATTTTGGGGTGGAAATTCTCGCACAAGTTGTAAAAGCATGATTCAAATCATTCCGAGCCCCGTGGATCCCGTTCATACTTTCGAAACCAATTTGCATTCTTTCCCAATTTTTGAATCTGCCTGCTCACTTTCAACCGCGGGCTCAGGTAACTTGGTCCTAGTGGGCGATCGATTAGAAGTCGATGGAAAAAGAGTGAGTGAATCCTGTGAAGAAATATGTGAAGACGCAAACAGCATTTATCATCATCCTTTCATAAGCAAGATCAAATCGGCAGGACTTGTCAAAATACAAATTAAGTTTCCAGTGAAGTACAAACAAAGTTATTCATTTTTTGCATTGAGCGCCATGAGGGCCGCACTAATGGAGAGCTTCTCTCCGACTGGGAAGGTTGAAATATCCGAAGAAAGTAAAATGATTCGTGCTATCTTACTCACAGTTCATCTTTGAAGTAGGCAAATAGACATTAACTTCATTATTCTGCAAATTTAAGCGGCCGTGCACATTACGTCCGATATTGAAAAGGCCTTACGGTTGATTCACAAAAGAATTTGTCACCTTATCAGAATGATCTACTTTTATTCGGCAAAGATCGTCTCAATTCGATTCACTGATTTCAAGCGTCTTCTCGTCGACCGGTGAGTCACTGTTACCGGAAATTTTGGGAGATTCTTTGGCAGCTACCTGCGAGATATCAGGGCGTGACGTATCATCTTGCTCTAAGACAGTTGGTCGCTGTGTCGATGCATTTTCTTGTGCTGTAACTTCGGGTGGATGGGGCGAAGCAGAGGTACCCTCTTGGGCTGCCCCATCGACCGTCATGGTTGTTTGAGCCGTTTCATCGCGCGGTGAAGCATCTACGCTTTTCGGTTCCGTCTGAAACGTAGAGAGTGGGTTTTTGCTCGCAGAGAGACTTCGATGTGCGTTCTGTGTTGACGACAGAGTATCGTTCAACTCATCAGCATTTGTCAGATTTCTAAATTCTGAACTTCCAACACACTGGACTTTCGTTGCGGCATTCTCTTCACTTTCATCTGCAACCTCGTTTTTGCGCTTATGATATACGAATTCCCGTGCCTGCTTTAGCATCTCAGCGTGCTGATGTAACTTTTCTTGTTGAAGCACTTGTCGCCTTAAGTATTTTCTCTTTTTCGACGCGGCTATCAAAGAAACATCAAACAGCCCACCCGGGCCCGTTTCCTCGTCAACTTTGCTTAGTTCAAACAGGTACCGCTCTCTTAAAAAGCGAAGTTGGCGCCAATGTTGTACAATAGCTTCGTCGGGTTCGGCGTTATCTTGTTTTTGATTACTCTCTTTAAACTCTTTCTGAAATTGATCGTAACATTCCTGAGGAGTTTCAGGCACAACTGGTAGCTGATCGAGGCCAGTTCTTAAGTTCCACGCGCTATCAATTTTTTTGTTTCCCAATCGAATCCAACCGAACTTTTTGAAAGAGGAACAGTTCGAAGCTGGAACGAAAATTATATCCTCTGTCAAATATTTGAAGTCACCAAACATTTTAGAGCCTTTAGTTATTTTGAGATTCCTTGATTTTGCCTCCCCTTTCAGCAAGGCTTCCATTAGAATAAAGAACGTTGGATCCCAGATTTTGTAAAACTCCAAAATTCTGTTCCTCACAAGCTTGACAACAAAATTTGACAATTGGACCTTGGCATCATCATCAAGGTCATAATCCGCATGCTTCTCGGTAGATTCAACTTGTGACCGGTAAAATTTGTATGTCAAGCTGTCTGTTAAAATCGCATTGATAAGGTCAGCTGTAATTAACATTTGCTCCAGAAATGATTTACGATAGTTATCAATTCTGTCATTTCTGATGAGGAAATGGATTTTCGCGGGGCTCCATGAGGGCCAATCTAATGGTAATGGCTGTAGTGAGAGGCGCATTTTAAAGTACGTTTCATTTATCTCCTCCAAAGATGTTGCGTCTGCATCTCTACTGCATAAGGAGTCCGCGGGTTTCGAACTTCTTGTCATATTTATAGACTGAGAAGTAACCTCGTTTAGCCTGGCTACAGGAGCCCTTGAGCAGGCTCCTCTGTGCTTCACAGTACTGTAAAAGCGTAATTCGGTCTTCAACACATCATCTATTATCAAGGTAATATCCTTCTCAAAATTAGCCCTAAAAGAGGAATCGCCATAGACCCAGTTCAAAGGTTTTCTGATAAAGTGTTCCTGAATTCTAGTCCAGCTGCTATGGAAGTCTTTGAAATGCTGTGGACTAGTCACATTCAAATCCCAAATTTCCAGTGGTAAGCTCCTAGCAATGTCACCCTTTCTATTAGCATTGGCGGGTTCGGCGGGGGAGAGGCACTGCGCCAGAAAACTGTGTATTTTGGCCATTAATTGGAAATGGGCGGGTGTTAAAAGTCGGCTTTGAGCTCGCATGTCCTGTAGCATTTTGTTTAAAGAAAATACCAGTTTAGAGAAAGGTGCTTTGATTGCTGTAAGATTTGTTGAGCCATACTCTACTTTAGAGGAAAACCCTGCCTTCAGTCGCTCAATTCTTGATTCAAGGAAAGGCCAGAATTCCAGGTGCTCATGAGGCAGGTGAAGAAGACCCATTGAGAGTCTCAGAAGCTCAAATTGAAGCAAAATCCACTTCCTGGAAATTTCCTTTTCTCTCTGGCTCATTATGTAGCACAGATCTATCAATACAGCAAACCGAGACAATTTCATCTCTTGATTTGGGCCCCCCTCTTTCAAAAAACTCTTCTTTATGGAGGCCTCATGAATTTGAAACTTTTCATCTTCATCTAGGACTGAAGCTTCCTCGCTCCAGTTTCCATCCAGTGTTCCAGTAGAGAGAACCTCCGGGATGTCATGCCCATGAACAGTCTTTGATTCGGAACTGAATTGGCCTAGCACCTCGGTTTCCAGAAATTTCTCGCACGAGTCAATCATCGAGCTAATGCCGGTCATAATGGGCGATTCTCTGGGACGGTGATCGTTTCGAATATGGACTCATTTACCATATAGGCGGTGATGATCTTGATGATGGTGATGACGATGGTAATTTTGCACGGCTGATGATTCTCGAAAGATCACCTTAATCGAGAGATTCGTTGATAACTCAATGAAAAGAGCTTCTGTAGCCCTCTAATCACGTTCATGTTTGGTGTAAATGATGACTGTATTATCGGTGTATTACTGGTAGATTTTCATCATGCGAGAGGCCCTGAAATTGAGTATAGTTATGGGCTACCTGAGAACATAGAGCCCCAAACATTGTGGCCGTTTCTACCCTTTCAAGCGCTTCCAGATGGTTCACATTCCTTTGAAGAAACTTTTACTTACTTTACGCTGCTGTTCGATGAAAAGGACGGAGCTGGAACGCCAGAATCTGGTGCCGCCAGTATTCCTGAATCCAAGGTTAACAATTATAGCACCGTTTTTGCCATTTCATGTTCGCGACAAATCAAAAGCGAGAAACTAATAAATAAAAGCAGCGATGTTACGAGGTCTACAGTTCAGAAATCAATTGTGATTTTATCCAAGAGTCCTATCTTCGGTCAAATTAAGGACAAACTAAGCATTGTCACTAATGCGTTCTTTCTTCAGCATGACTTTTCGAACCGGACAATCATAGACACTTTGTACAACAATTTAAAGTCAATGTACAATGGGAAATCGTCTCTTGATGAATCTGATCTTTATGTGGGACTTTGTTTGAGGAGGATAGTCTATGATTTCAAAAAAGATGTCTTGACAATTTTGAAGGCCATGCTTTTGGAAAAGAAGATTTTGATCTATGGAAGTGATGTCGAGGATCTTTGCAACCTTCAGTTCGGTTTGATTAGTCTCATTCCCGATCTCATTTTAAATTTGCAAGATTGCGGATCCCCTCAGCTGGAAACATACCGCCGAAATTTGACCATGATCAACTCTTTTAAGTCCTCTGACAGACAGTCTGTGCTGAAATTTTTGGGCTTTCCACTTCAGATTTTCGGGGAAGGAGGCTTTTTTTCGCCTTACACACCGCTCCAGCAAATGGATGATTTACAAGCCTCTGATGCGAAGTTCTTCGTTGTCGGTACATCAAATTCTCTGATTCTTGGGCAGCGAGATGTCGTTTGCGACCTTCTAGTAAATGTCAATACAAAAACGGTAGAAATACTTTCAAAGGACAAAACATTTCAACAATGCCTCCATCAAAGCTTTCGAGATCGTAGGTGGATGAACACGCTGGTTACCAACGTAACAAACACATGGAATGAAAATGATCCTTTCACCCCCAAAAATTCTCAGTACGAGGGAAGTGAAGACTATATCAGGCTACAGTTTGAAGAATACCTGACAGGGCTTCTGTCCAGCGTAAAGTTGGATATATTTCTACAAACTTACAGGGAGAATGACATGGCAATGAAAAGCCTTCCGGAAGGCGCAAAGACTGAAAACCCAATAAATGATTTCAATTCCACCTGGGTTTCTCAATGGAAAAGGACTAAAAATTTTGAAATGTTTGTAAACTTCACAGACGATCGCTTGTTTGACTTGTTTGCAACTAAACACGCGTATGATCGAGTGGAGCCTCTGAACAATCTGCAAAAGCGGCTGAATAAATCTTTACAGGCTTTCAAAAAAAGAGACACGTGGAGCTCTGGGAGAAGTGTAGCCGATGAGCATCCGTCTTGTGAAGTGAGTTCTTTGGTGATGGCTGATAACGATCAAACAAAGCTGATGAATTATGACGATCAAGGGGCTTGGAATAGCTGGAAGAGTTATTTTGCAAAGAAAAAACCAAAAAATCATAATCTGGTGAAAACAACGTCACTAGAGGAAGATCAACGACCTCTAGTGGAGGAGGAGATAGGCGAACGTCTTTCCAGTGACGACTCTACCCAAACATCTCACAAAAGTAACCAAGAAGGTGTGTCAGACATCGATGACTTAACCCAAGACAGTCTCGCGAATCACCCGAAGACATCGTCTTCAGATATTGAAACCGATAGCCCGGCTATCATCAATCCTTGGGCAGACAGCTAATTATCCGGCAGCTACCATCCTCCAAACTCCTTTGGTGTAGGAAGTATTACTACAGGCACATGACAAACAAAGTCCACACCGTCAACATTTTTTTTGGCATGAAACAGAGCACCATTTTTATCTTCATAGAATTGTTCGAGCATGACTTCATTTTCAGTTCTGTCTAGGACAACAAATTTGATGCAAAGCATCCATCTAAGCTGAAAAATGTCGGTTCTAAATTGACTGGTCATTTGGTTTGAAGGCGATCTGGGTGGGATTAATTTGAAAAATATTTGTGGTGAATTTTCAAAGCAAATGGTTCTTTTTTCGTAAATGCTGCTTCCCTCGGGCCTAGTATTCAAGTCCTCTCCTTCAGCACGGTAGCGAGGGTTTACGAGCTCGAAACATTCTAGTTTTATCGATACTGCGGTTACCTTATGCTTTCCTCTCTGACAAAGCTCAACACATAGATCTAAGTCTTCCGAAGTGTCGTAAAAATACTTTGAGAGATTAACCTTGGCAATAAACTCGCCGTTTCTATTAATGATGTATTCTTTTTGGCAATTTTTGAATTGTGACATCAAATTTGGTTGCGCATCGGTAGATTCGTCGTCGTTCAGAGAAGAGGGAAGGCTCTGGATGTAAGAATTCAGCTTTCCTATGTTTATCCGCGGATCCCCTTTTAAAATAGCCAGATTTGAAACTTCTGATGGTTCATCATCAGATAAATCCTCGAATTCCTGTGGCCCGAATTGTGCGTCTAAGACTTTATCCACCATTTGTTCGAGTTCTGGACCTTCGCCTTCATTCATGAAACCCTCATCAATCGAAGTTCTGAAAACGCTCTTAGCTTTGGCAGAGTCCTCGTTATGCGTGTCTTGCTGATTGAGAGACAACAAAGAACTCCTTCGACGGACAAAAAGTGAAGCTCCAGATTTCCTACGGCTTTGAGAAGCCTCGGTTATTTCTTTCACACGGCCGCATGGTAAAATGTTGGCGTTGCGATCCAGTGTGCTAGTAAACTGTCGTCCTAGGGAATCCACGAAAGGACATATATTGATTGTAAACTCAGTTTTGAAGGGAGAAACGGTACCTTGTTTTACTCGGGCTAATCCCATGTCACAAAAGTATTCAATATTGAGATGCTTTGAACTGTAATAGGAGGGTGGCAAATCATGCGGAAGTCGCGGTGATCTGAACTGAAATGTCTTGGTTTCTTCGGGCATCAGACACAATTCGGAAAAAACCAATGTCTGCGGAACGAGAAGGAATGGCATCTTAGCCATTTCGACTTCTTGTTCTCCGATGAAAGATTTCGACACGTCATCGAGCGTCACGTTTAGTAATCCGACAAGCGTGTGGGACACCGAGTTGTTGGTCATATCGTCGATGGTCCTCACGCCCGCTACCTGACGTCCACCGTTTTCTAGCCGCTCGCGACTTACGATAAGTTTATCATACCGAAACATACCATATAGTTGGATATAACACGAGACGAGCTGTATGGGCTCATGGAACAGCATTTGTTGCTCCAGTTTTGTAATTTGTTGCTCGATTTTCTCCTTTTCGGCCCTCTTGTCGTTTCCAAAGGTACCCAGAAGGGCGCTCAGCCCCCATTTTTTCCCTTCTGTTGCATCCCGATGCTCCAGCTCTTCGATCTGTTTCTTGCAGATCTCAATGTCAGCTCTCAACCTCTCCAGTTCATGCGATGACCCAAGATGTTTGATCCTTAAACCCAACTGAATTGGCTCGCCCGCGAAAAACGGATTTCTTTCAAAAGCTATCTCAAGCCTGGCATTCTCACAGATTTCTGTACTCTCAATTCGCTGACCACGCATGCCTTAATCCATTTAAAGCTCCACTGCTCCTGGATGTTGACGTTATCGATAAACAGTGTCAACTCACTATTATACAAATCATATACTACGGAATCATTAATTTTGGGGGAAAAACAAAAGCTAAATCCTTCCCCGCCAGGACTCGAACCTGGAATCTTCTGGTTTCAGAAGTGGATACAATCGTAGCCAGACGCCGTGACCATTGGGCCACGAGGAATAAGAATTTAACTTGGACTGTATCGCTCTTCCACGCTCCATCACACACCACCAGGGTGTTTACAAGCACCAGCAAATACTGTAAATAATACCTTCATATCTGATTTTCTAATGTCCTCTTCTTTCCCTTGTACCACACCCGATATTTGGCATCCTCATGTGTGATTACAAGCTCCACCTTGTGACGAGACAATGGCCCCATTTTCGCCGTCAAATATCCGACCTGCGAGCGGACTTATGAAGATTAAATGTCGCCTTTTTACAATGGCTAAGTTAGAGCGCTCTCTCCATTAGATACGAGACTAATTATTCAGTCTAGCATTTGCAGCACGATATCACTGTGGTGATGTATTAGTAACGCCCAAAATTAAGAAAAACATATATATCTATATAAAAGTTAGCTTCGAGAGAAAATCTCGAAAGACCTCATAACCCAACCGTTGAAAGGGCTGTCCTATATCTATAAGAATCAAGATGCCCCGAGATACGCGTTTGTCGGCATTTCCCGGATTTTGCAGATTCTGCGGTGATGTAGAAGGCTTCGGACCCTTTTCCAAGTACGGTGACTTTACGCTGTGTTTCCTAGATGGGATTCTTTTACCAGCAGTAGCGCTGTTCATGATCATTTTTGGAACGAAGGAACTGGTGCGATTGAGTCGCGAGCCCCATCCGGGTGTTAAGTATAGGAAAAACTGGCTTTTGGTATCTCGACTGGCGCTGGTTGTGTTGCAAGCGGTTTTTGCCGGTGCAGGTCTTTTTGAGGGCGAAACGGGCGAACAAGGTCTATTGAAAGTGTCGCTCTGGCAGTACTCCTTGACATTGGCGTCGTTGGTCGTTACTTTCTGTCTCCACTTCGTGGAATACTTCAGATCGCCCATTTCCAACGGCGTTGTGCTTTTTTACTGGCTATTCGCCTCTATCTTTCAAGCGGCCCGCGCAACAAATTTCCTCGTTCGACACTCTTACGAGGACGTGTGGCCTGCTGGCAAACAGGTCTTTGTTGTCACCGTGTTCCAGGCTTGCAGTGGTATCCTCGAGCTCGCTTTGGAAGGTTTGTTCACAAAGGCCCAAATGCCTTACCAAGAAATAAGGGAATACCATTCCAAGCGTAAGAATAATCCACGGGACTCGGCAAACATTTTCTCGCGGATCTCATTCACCTGGATGACAGAACTCATGAGAAGCGGCTATAATAAGTATTTGACCGAGTCTGATCTTTACCGTCTACCTGCAAATTTCGGTAGTGCCGAAATAGCACAAACTTTCGAAAAACGCTGGGACCACGAAATCAAGCGCAGTTCCAATCCGTCTTTGGCGTGGGCCCTTGTGCTCACTTTTGGAGGCAAAATGCTTTTGGGAGCGGCCTTCAAAGTTATTCACGACATTCTAGCGTTTACACAACCACAACTTTTACGAATTTTGATTAAATTTGTCGCGGACTACACTGATACCGCTGATTCGGACAAAGAGCCCATTGTAAGAGGCTTTATGATTGCGATCGGCATGTTTGTTGTTAGCGTACTGCAAACGTCTGTTTTGCATCAATATTTTTTGAATGCTTTCGACACCGGTATGAATATCAAAAGTGGGTTGACGTCCGTCATATATCAAAAAGCGTTGGTTCTCTCTAACGAGGCTTCGACTGCATCTTCGACCGGTGACATTGTGAACTTGATGAGTGTGGATGTTCAAAGGCTCCAGGATCTCACTCAATGGGGTCAGATTATATGGTCAGGACCTTTCCAATTGATTCTTTGTCTGGTCTCCCTATACAAACTACTCGGTCCCTGTATGTGGGTAGGTGTCTTCATAATGGTTATCATGATTCCGACAAACTCTATCATCATAAGACTTCAAAAGAAATTGCAGAAGATTCAAATGAAAAACAAGGACGAAAGAACGCGGATTATCAGCGAAATTCTGAATAACATAAAATCTTTGAAACTCTATGCGTGGGAAGAACCTTACAAACAAAAACTAGAGTATGTCAGAAATGAGAAAGAACTGAAAAATTTAAAGAAAATGGGAGTCACCATGGCTATAGGAACTTTCCAATTTAACTGTGTTCCATTTTTGGTGTCCTGCTCGACTTTCGCGGTTTTCGTTTTAACTCAAAAGGACAAGGCGCTTTCGACAGATCTTGTTTTCCCGGCCCTTACTCTTTTCAATCTGTTAGCTTTCCCACTTGCCGTGATTCCTAACGCAATTTCTTCATTTATTGAAGCATCCGTATCAGTTCAAAGATTACGTTCCTTTTTGATGTGTGAGGAGTTACAAAGAGATTCAGTTCAATATAAACCAAAGAAAACAAAGATTGGAGATGTGTCTGTTAATATCGGTGCCGATGCAACTTTCTTGTGGCAACGGAAGCCCGAATACAAGGTTGCCCTAAAGAACATCAACTTTGAGGCGAAGAAAGGAGAGCTTGCGTGCGTCGTCGGAAAAGTCGGTAGTGGCAAGAGTGCCTTCATTCAAAGTATGCTAGGTGACCTGTTTCGAGTGAAGGGATTTGCCACTGTTCACGGCAAAATAGCTTATGTTTCACAAGTGCCATGGATCATGAACGGTACCGTGAAGGAAAACATTTTGTTCGGTCACAAGTACGATGAGTCCTTTTATCAAAAAACAATTAACGCATGTGCGCTCACGGTTGACTTTTCCATCCTCCCAGATGGTGATCAGACAATGGTGGGAGAAAAGGGTATTTCATTGTCGGGGGGTCAGAAAGCACGTCTGTCATTAGCTCGAGCCGTCTATGCGCGTGCTGATACCTATCTACTGGATGATCCCCTTGCAGCGGTCGATGAGCACGTTTCACGTCATTTGGTTGAATGCGTTTTGGGTTCCTCTGGTTTACTCAGTACCAAGACCAAAATCTTGGCCACTAATAAGATTTCTGTTCTTTCAATTGCAGACTCCATAACGCTTTTGGAAAACGGCCAAATTGTGCAACGTGGATCTTACGACGATGTCGTTAAAGAGAGCTCTTCCCCATTAGCGAAGTTGATTGCCAGTTATGGAAAGAAGAAGCGGACTACCGATGAAGACTCTGAAACGCTCGCACCAACACCCGAAAGTTCCACGGAAGAAAATCTCGATTTACAAAAGCTGGATAAAACGTTTGTTTCAGACACAAGGAGTCTAAGAAGAGCAAGCGACGCCACATTAAGAAGTTTGGACTTTGATGATGGCGACGCTCCGGGTAAAAGAGAACATCGTGAACAAGGCAAGGTCAAATGGGACATTTACCTAGAGTACGCTAAGGCTTGCAATCCCAGGCATGTTGTTGTGTTAATTGTTTTCATTGTTATATCAATGTTTCTGTCCGTGTTGAGCAATGTTTGGTTGAAGCATTGGTCTGAAGTGAATACCAAATATGGTTACAACCCAAGTGTTGTCAAATACCTTGGTATTTATTTCTTGCTCGGTTTAGGCTCTGCTCTTTCTTCATTGGTACAAACCGTCATCTTGTGGATTTACTGCACGATCCATGGGTCTCGCTATCTGCATGACTCCATGGCAAGCGCAGTTCTTCGTGCTCCCATGTCATTTTTCGAGACGACTCCTATTGGCAGAATACTAAATCGGTTTTCCAACGATATCTATAAAGTGGATGAACTACTGGGGAGAACGTTCTCTCAATTTTTTGTCAATGTTGTAAAAGTGTCATTTACCATCCTTGTTATTTGCACCTCAACCTGGCAATTCAGTCTCATTATCATTCCACTCAGCTCAGTCTACATCTTCTACCAACAATACTATTTGAGAACTTCGAGAGAATTGCGCCGCTTGGACTCAGTAACAAGATCTCCCATTTATGCTCACTTTCAAGAAACCCTCGGTGGCATAAGCACAATTAGAGGCTATGGACAGGAAGATCGCTTCATTCACATCAACCAGGCTCGTGTTGATAACAACATGAGCGCTTACTACCCATCTGTGAACGCCAACAGATGGCTTGCTTACAGATTAGAATTTCTCGGGTCGATCATCATCTTCTCAGCCGCCACACTCTCAGTGTTCAAATTGAGGCAGGGCTCACTCACTGCCGGTATGATCGGTCTTTCTCTGAGCTACGCGCTTCAAATTACCCAATCGCTTAATTGGATTGTTAGAATGACAGTTGAAGTTGAAACGAATATTGTGTCTGTCGAAAGAATTAAAGAGTACTCGAATTTGAAGCCTGAGGCTCCTCAAATCATAAAAGATAACAGACCTGCGGAAGATTGGCCAACAAAGGGCGATATCGTCTTCGAGAACTACTCCACGAGGTATCGTTCGGAGCTAGGGCTTGTGCTAAAGGGCATAAACCTGCACGTTAAGCCTAAGGAAAAAATTGGAATTGTGGGTCGCACCGGTGCTGGAAAATCGTCTTTGACATTAGCGTTGTTTCGAATTATCGAGGCTGCTGAAGGGCGCATTTTGATCGACGATGTTTCCATTGACAAAATTGGTTTAAGTGATTTGAGACACCATTTGTCCATCATTCCACAAGACGCCCAAGTCTTCGAAGGTACCGTCAGAGAGAATATAGATCCCACCAACTGTTTTACAGATGAACAGATATGGGGCGCCCTAGAGCTTTCGCACCTTAAGGAGCATATCATGGGTTTAGGAGACGACGGCTTGAATGCTCAGCTGAGTGAAGGTGGCGGTAACCTTTCTGTGGGTCAAAGGCAATTGATGTGCTTGGCCCGTGCCCTACTCATCCCATCCAAAGTGTTGGTGCTAGATGAAGCTACGGCTGCCGTTGACGTAGAAACAGACCAAGTCATTCAAGAGACAATAAGATCTGCTTTCAAAGACCGAACCATTCTAACTATCGCGCATAGAATCAACACCATTATGGACAGTGATCGCATAGTTGTTCTAGACCAAGGACATGTGGCTGAATTCGACAAGCCCGAAGTTTTGTTACAAAACACTGAAAGCATGTTTTATGCATTGTGCAAAGAGGCTTCTACCATTGCTGATGAGGCTACGAAACAAGTAAGTTAGTCAAGTAAATTATTGTAAAATTGAAGTCTGGGATGGCTTTGTGGTGTCCGAGAATCTGATGGTGTTGACCGGCAGATTTTGTTGACACTCAAATTTATTGTTTTGGTCAGACTTTCGAACTTTGATTTTATTACAGAATTAATGTGGTTAAAAAGGTTCTTTTGCTTCACAAGAGAAAAACAAAAAGGTTGAGGTCATGTGTCTGCTCTTGCTAGGGTAAAGCTTACGTTTAGCGCACATTGGCAAGCTTCTATAATTTAAGTACTTTATCTAAACCTTGTAGCTGAAGGTTTGCGTGTCTGGGACACCGATGTAAGCTAATTTTGACAATATAGCGGGCACATTTGCTATCTGCCATAAACAAGCGCCAATCAAACAGCAAGCCAACTGTTCACGAAGTAGGCGCCTGGCCAGGACGAATTTTGAACAAAACCGTATTAGTTCTATCTACTTAAACTTAAGAGGGGAAAATCTTATTTCGTAAGATCGATCTACCGAGAAAAGAATGAAGTCAGACATCACGGTCATAATGAATATCTGAAAGCAGGGAAAGTTCATATCGTGGACTCGCTTCGTGGTATGCAAACAGAAGCCATCGATGCTCGATCAACAATGAGGCTCGGAATAACAGGATCTCCTGAGCGATATGTAAAAAGTGTCAAACTGGCTTGAAATAGAAAAGATGAACTTGTTTTCAGAGCCTCGAGTTGAGCCCATGAAAGCTGTCTTCTTTTCTCTTTTCTTTCTTTCAATCATTGAAACTCCGTTGCGTATTGAGCCGCTTGATTGGCATATGTGTTAAGCGTGGCATTTTGGCCGGAATTGGCGCGCACACCGTTCCTGTTTGGCGGTTGCTGGGCTGCTTGAGCGGCCTGGGCAGCCGCAGTCGCCGCAGCGACTTGGTCATCAAAAGTAGCGTTAGGGTCTATCTGGCTGTTGCCTATTTGGTGGAAATCCAATATCTCAGAGTACATCATGACTCTCCATGTGTCGACAGGCAGATCTGCGTCGTTGAAATGCCAGTCGAATTTCGCGTCAGCGGCTGGCTCGTCCGTGGGATCGTGGTAAGGCGCCAGATAAGGGTGCGCGAGGGCATCGGCCGCGGTGATACGCTTTTTGGGGTCGAACACCAACATTTTACCAAGCAAATCGACTGCGTCGGGTTCGACATTTTTAAATCTTTCCGAAAAAGGCACAGGATCCCGGTGTGGCAAAGAAGTGACGAATTTCAGAGTGTTTTCGGAACAAATGGTGTTGATAACGTCTTCTGGCGGCGACCCAAGCAGATCGGTTATGATCGAGAATTGGTGAACGTGATCCTTGCCCGGGAACAATGGCTTGCCCTCGATCATTTCGGCAAAAATGCAGCCCGCAGACCAAATGTCGACTTCGACGTTGTACTTCTGCCATGTGAGCATGATCTCGGGCGCGCGATAGTACCGGGTGGACACGTAGCCGGTCATCTGCGGGTCCTGGATTCTGGCAAGACCAAAATCGCAGATTTTGAGATCGCAGTTCTCGTTAATAAGGATGTTGCTGGGCTTGAGGTCCCGATGGATAACGCCTGCAGAATGCACGTATTTGAGCCCTCTGAGGATCTGATACAGGAAATACTGCACGAACTGCTTTTCGAGCGGCCGCGTCTGTAACAGCCGGTGCAAATCCGTGCCCTGGAGCTCCGTCACAAAATAGATGTCTTCGAGCGGGGACAAAAAGATATCTTCGAGACAGATGAGGTTTTCGTGCCGCAGATGCTTGAGCAACTTGAGCTCCCGATAGGTGCGTTTCGCGAGCACTGCGGTAGAAAATGGTTTCATGATTTTCTTGATCGCCACCGGCTGGTTCGTGTAGGTGTCCGTAGCCGAACATACGAGCCCGAACGCGCCCATACCAACCGGGTTGAGTTCCGTGTACCGGTTGGTAATCTCGAAGACGGTTCCGAAAATCTGCGTCCTGATGAACTCTTCTTGCGCTGCCATGTTTGGAGCAGTATTGGAGCGGTATTGGAGCGGTATTGGAACGGACACTTTGTCAGTTAGCCACTGACATAAGGTTCAACTGGGTTGCGCTTTCGAGACCGCAAGCGGAGGGGGGTGAGAAGCCCGCCACTATTCGTTCAGAGTGACTAGAGGAGGGGATGGCCCGTTTAATGTCCGTACACAGCGACACGGACAAACACCCACACACATACACGTACAACAGGATATACGTAGACACCCACACCCCATCAACCCACACCCCATCAACCCACACCCCATCAACCCACACCTCTCCCCTCACGTCCCTCGACCGTCCCCTTCTCCCCCCCCGACACCACAAGCACGCCCGGTCCAGCTCCCGCTCCGGCCATATAGCCGCTATCCTAAACCACGCTTACCGTTCATACCCGTTATCCTAAACCACGCTCATCTCACTCATCATCCACTGGCCCTATCGCTACCTTGCCCGTACCCCGCCCGCACCTCGCCCGTAGCTCACCACGTCTCGCGTCTTGCATCTCGCGTCCCCGTGTATCCTTTTACCGCTTGTAGACCATGCCCACGGCAACCCACGGCTACCGTGCCCGCGGTAGCCGTGGGCTGCCTTCCTATTGCGGTACCCATAACAAACAAACCCTGTGTCTACGTAGAAAGAGACGTAGGGGGGTAAAGGCGCAAGCGCGCCCTTGCTTCTAAATTTAGAAACATCAGATATGGTGTGTTGTTGTAGATCTCTCGCTTAGACAAGGCCGCATCCATCCCACTTTGAGGTGCACGGGCGTCGGCCGACCCACGAGAAGTTTCGATGCTTTTCTTTTCCAGAGAAACAACGATGGCAAAAATGGCTGCCACAAAAAATGGTATATAAGCAGGTGTCAGATCCCTGGTTCCTTGGGAGAATTCTTACCAGTTTTCTTTTAGAACAGTACAGATTAAATATCTCTCAGTCACTCGCTTACTTACCTCATCAGAAATGCAATTCTCTACCGCCGCTACCGTCGCCGCTGCCGCCGTCACCGCTTTGGCTGTTAACACCACCACTGTGTCCGAAAACTCTACCACTTTGGTGACCATCACCTCGTGCTCTGAGAACGTTTGCTCCGAGTCCGTCTCCCCAGCTTTGGTTTCCACTGCTACCGTGACCGTTGACAACGTTGTCACCCAATACACCACCTGGTGCCCACTCTCCACCACCGCCGCTGCTCCATCCACTATGGCTAACAAGACCAGCGCTGCTCCTTCTTCCCAGGCTTCCGTCTCCACCTACACTGGTGCTGCCAACAAGGCTTTGCCAGCTGCTGGTGCTTTGGTTGCTGGTGCCGCTGCTTTGTTGTTGTAAGAAGTTTGTATGTAGCACGCATGCATTCTCTTTACATCAATAAAATAGTATCACCATTATCATCACTAAGTCATTCGGGTTTGGAATTTTCAAAATTTTCATTTTAATATGGGCAACACGGCATTGCAGCACTCACTGCGATGAGTAATTTCTAATTATCAAACAAAAATCTAAACTGTTAACAATATTATCATAGATTATATATTGGGTGTTTATAGTTCGTTCAAACATTTGATTTGATCAAGATTTCATCTCTGGGAATGTCTGTTTTCTGTCGCGTCGCTTTTATCGTCGTTTCCCCTTGCTTTCTCTTGGTTCCGCGGCTTTGGCTGTCCCTGTTCTTTCCGGATACTGGTTAGTAATCACATCTGACAAACAACGACTCCGGCGTCTCTGCGTCACCGGATACTTAAGGCACATCTCGACGGTGGAAAAAATCAAACTGACGAAAATCAGTAGCTACGAGCAAAAACCAAGATCACAACCCGCGATCCACGACCCGCGATCTACACCCCAATATCATGGCTATAGATGTCCAAACTCGAATTCGATGAGCAGTTTGACCCCAGTATCCCGGAGATTCTACCCCACAACAAGATGTATCTGCTGCAGGTCGGCGACCAGCTGTTCCGTGTGAGCGGCGCGTCGCTTAGCTCCGACGCGCCGAGTTACTTCACAGAGTACTTTAAGAATCGTGAAAAGCAAAACCATCCTCGTGGTGACGATGATGCCGGCAGCACCGACGACGCGCCCGAGGGACACGTGCTGTACATCGACCGGTGTCCGCGCGTGTTCAAGCTCATCTGCCAGCATTTGCAAGGCTATGCGCCCGAGATCCGGGACGAAAATGACTACACAAAGCTTTACGCAGATGCCGTGTACTACAACCTGCCGCGCCTGTGTCGGCTGCTCAAGCACTCCAACATGTACTACGTCAACATCGGAGGCACGTCATTCCGCGTCCCGCGCATGGTGTTCTCTCAGGAGGGCAACCACCCGAACTATTTCGACGTGACCAACGTCTCGCTCTTCGAAGACGTGGAGCACGTCATTCTCAAGCACAACCTGATCCGTCCACCGCCGTTGGCGCCCGTTTTCGTGAACCGGAGCCCCGAGTTGTTTGCCGAGTTGCTTATCCTGCTGCGCGGTGGATCTCTGGCGCTCGACGCCGAGAAACGTCGCACGCTGCTCCGTGAGTGCCGCTACTACCGGTTCCTGCGTCTCGAGCAGCAGCTGCTCGACTGCCGCATCTCGTGGAACGTGGTACTGGGCCGCGAGGAGATTGCGCTGAATTTGCAGGATATCGTCAAATTAGCCGTTTCGCTCCCTGACGCCGCCGACGGTTCTGCGCTTCAGACGCCGTGTGGTCCACGCCCGTTAATGTGTTCCAACCCGACAGCGGAGTCGCCGCGGTCGCCGTCGTCACCGTCGTCACCTCTCGACGACAATCCGCCCGAGCCGTCCCTGAAAAAGCCCAAATTAAACCCTCCTAGGGAGTGGTGTCCCGTGCTATACACACGCAAGTTTTTGGACTCTGTGCCACGAGAACTGATCTTTCAAATCGACACTCTTGGCGTCACCGTACTTCTGAACCAAAAGCATAAAGTGATCCACGTGTGCTTGTCCCGCGAGGCGCGCGCCAAATTCGTGAACGTATTTTCGGACGCACTACTCAAACAGGGCATCCCGCTAGCGCTTCTCGAGAGAACCCTGGACTGCGGCGGCTCCCCATGCACAACACTGGTGTTACCCGCATGCTTATCCATATGCGACCTCAGCGTCAACGGGCTTCCGTGTCGCAATGTGTGCGCAATAGTACAGGACTCGCGTTTCCTACAGAGCATTCCAAACCTGGCCTCGTTGACCGAGGCCGGGAACTCGACTACGCCGGGGCTCAAGTTCAATTTCGTCAAATCCATGTGGAAATTGGGCGTCAAGGACTCCGAACTCATGATGATTGCCATCAAGGGTGAAGCCATATCGGGCATCAAGGAACACAACAAACGTCTGGAGTATTTATGAGTCTACTACACGGTCTGGGATATGTAGACCAAGTACATTTTGTAAATTCTATTAAAAAATTTTTCAGCACAGGAATCGAACCCAGAACTTGTAAAAGCAACAATAGAATGGTTTTGTAACGATGCAAAGCGGAACTATAGCTATTACGCGCTATTGCGGACAGTTTGTCGCCCTCGAGTCTCAACGCTAAAAAAAACTTTAAATCTCTTTGTAAAACGGTTCATCCTTATGCAGGGGAACTGCTGATCATCTCTGTATTGTTTCAAATTGACCAAATGTCCACGAGTACAAAGTACCCGGGACGCAAAAATTGCAAAAAACGCAGGTGGTATAGGCCGAATATTTGCACGTGATTAGAATCAACACCTCATTGATGCTGATAATGTAAATACAACATGAATAATGAGATTGCCGCGTTCATTTAGACGCTTAAGGTCTCAATGAAATAGTCATGATCAATGAATCGCCACTTAGAAAGCGAGATTTAAACTCAGCAAGTGTCAGCGATCGCGGAAGTCGAGGTTTCCATGGGGACCATTTGAGCACATCACCGGCAAGGAATGTGTACCGCAGCTTGAGCACGTCACCCGCTAAGAAAATGCAGGCGCGAGATTTGACACAGCCGGCAAGAAGACTTTCCCCTAAGAAGAGAAGCCGCGAGGGTGATTTTGAAGCGGGCTTTCAAACGACCCCAAAACGGTTGCAATCGCCAACGTCCCTTCAAGATCATTTAAAGAATCTGGGCACGGTAAGCGTGGATCGCGTGAAATTTGAAAAGGACAACAGCGCCGTGAAGAAATTGAAATTCCCGGTTTCACCTGCCAAGACACAATTCAGCTCGAGCCAAACTCTTGGTGGAGACGGATCCCTCAGCAGAATACGAACGAGGTTTGGCGGAGGTCTAAAGTCGCCTCAGCGTGCTCTCTCTGGCAAGGAGGATCACCAGAGGCCCGTAGACGCGACACAGCGCATATTAACATCGAAATTAGACGCAGAAGCCGACAAACCTTCCATTAAATCCATGGGATTCGATGTGATACATCAGAAGGCCCCCCATTTACGATTTGGTAGCCCTGAACCGGCTCCAAACCGGAAAAGGGTCAAGTTTGAGCTCAGCAATGACCCAATGGAGCTCAAAAAAGAGGTTTCTGAATTGCGGAGTCTTTTGGAGGAACTCAACAAGCGTCAAGACGAGCTTGAAGCGAGGTTGTCACGTCTGGAGGAGAGGAGAAAAGGCGCTATTGACTGATGCAGAGCTCGCTAATTTAACGTTTGAAGAAAAGGAGAATTCCTACGTAGATGTAAAATAACTTGGTTTGGGCGATCGGAATCACTTCCAGGTCTTCTGGGCTAACGGTATTCCAAGTTTTGCCTTTATGACGTCCATTGTGGCAATGGCATCCTCAGAACTGTCGTGCTCTCCGACCTGGATGCGCCTGCTTATGATCTCGAATGCGAGATTTTTCAATGAGGACTTGAATCGCCCTCTGGGGTATAGGATGGCGGTGTCGATAATTTTCCGGTGCAAAATTCTCATTACGTTAAGATCATTTTCGAGACCATGGCCCACTAATATGCTGTTTCGGTTGATGAGGGTTTTGTTCAGCACCTTGGTGAGCATTTGCTCAAAACTGGATGCAGTCTCATCGTCAATACTATGCACACCACTAAATTCAGAATTGAGATCAATGACGGTCCCAAACGGTTTAACGATTTCATCATAGAGCACCTCGCTGGTGAAAAAATCGACAACTGTCAGCCTTATAAGCTCATAACCAGCTGATGTATATGCCATTTCACAATCGAGTGCCAGAACATTGCAGTTTCCTTCGATTTGTGCTGTACTTTTAAATTCAGATATTTTTGCCAGCTCGCCCAAAGTCTCCGCGCGAAAGACGTGGTGCTGATGCGTCTTACAACCAAGCGCCAAAAGGGAACTCGAAGAAGTCGTTTCGCCGCAGCAGGGAAAGACACTTTCTTTAGTGTCGCGGTTGTACCGTTTCCTATGAAGGTGATACCGGCAAGTAGTAGGGCTCAAAATATCGTCCTTTTTGAATCGCGTGCTGCACCTAACGCAGTCTGTAAACGCAACGCCGCGATTACCAGAAAACTCATGATCTTCATCTTCCAATCGAGAATCCGGTAGAAAGTACCCATTCTGCAGCAACGTTTTTTCATCGATTAAAATCGCCGAGAGCATTTCCATGACTTGGTTGCGAGTCAGTTCAAAACTTTGCCCGAGTTTCCTTTTCTTGCTCCCTTCAATGGACTCCCCCTGCTGTATTTTCCCCTTTACTATATCTCTCAACAGCAAACTCGCGTTGAATCGATAGCTTTGGCTCGATGTACTTTTTTGGGCTATTTCACGTTCCAACTGTGTTGCTCGCTCTGCGAGATTCACACCAGCTGGTTTCGTTTTGGACTCATTCTTCTCAAGAGATTCTAAAATCTTTTGAAGAACCTTGAATCGGTGCTGGTAAGGAGCCGGTTGCTCCTTCAGATCCACAGGACGAACGACTGCCATGTCAAGATGCTCTTTGTTTAATTGTGGGTGGAGACTCGCTCAAAATTTAAAAACCATCCTCGACCAGGATTAACTCTAATAATACTAACGGAACAAAAGTCAGCCAGCTAACGGGTTTGTACAGAATGGCGAGGGACTCTGGTTTTTGATTGGCTTTTTTAGATTTCTTGAGCTAAACCTTAATTAATAGATACATTCATTCTCTGCCGTATTACTTTTTCAAGTCTACCAAGTTGGATGGTGAAAAAATTTTGATGCGATGAGATGAGCTCTCTCTTTAATAACAAACTAAACAGCTGAAGAGACAACAAACTTCGAGGCAGCAGCAGACCAGGGCATAGTTCTCTAGGATATGCTGGAAAACAATAATATAAGTTTGGATCTGGACGTTTGCCGCCACAGATTCGAGTCTTTCAACAAGTTTTTCGAGCCTCATAAGTTGCATACTTTCCATGAAATCGACCTGAAAGCGAACGTGGCCGATAGCTTGTGTTTCTTGGCGGAACAAATACTCAAGTCATCCTCAACAACTGCGTACCTATGGATTTACCAGCCAATCCTACTGGATATCGTTGCTCGATGGGCTTCCCGTCGAGAGAGACAATACTACAGCAGTGTCATTAGCGCGATAGGTGAGATTGTCGCCCTGTTCCCGCAAACAACAGGGTTGGTTGAGTTTTTTCTGGAGCATGCCTCTGGCGACTTGAATGAGCTCCTGCAAGAGCGTAAGATTGGTGATGATGTGCATCGCACACTATTGGCATTTTATAGACTATTATCCTGGGACAGAACACGGTTTGTGGCATACGTAAGGCCTGAAGTTTTCTACCAAGTTTTAAGGTCGGCCGCGAGTAGTCAGATCGAAAAGCTTCTGTGCTGTAAGATACTCGGGATGCATATGAACATGACCGAAAAGGCACAAATTGCGATGCAGAAAAGTTTTGGGTGCCACGCCATTGCGATGAGAGGTGTGTACGGCAATGATCTGGGTGTCGATTATCAGTTTCTAGAGCTCAACGAGGCCAAGCGCATAGCGAAGTATTCTCAGCTTTTCTCAGAACCAGAAGGCGATAACCATTTCAAAGGGACCTCCAGAAACGTGCTTTTGATATATCCGAGCGCCTTGAGTGACTTAGTCGTCTCAGTATATGGGGTACTTCTCCCACTAACTGCAGAAAGTTCAAGAAGAAATGACATTAGAGATCCTCTGACGTTGGTGCCTACAACTGATGCCCTCGATGTGATCCGCAAACTGGCTCTCACGATGCAAAGATCAAAACCAGTGATGCTGGTAGGGGCAGCTGGAAGTGGTAAAACTTTTTTGGTCGATCAATTGAGTAAAGCAATGGGCCAGACAAGTCAAATGGTCAAAATTCATCTGGGCGAGCAGACCGACGTCAAGCTTCTTCTCGGAACCTATACCTCAGGAGAAAAACCCGGAACTTTCGAATGGAAGTATGGTGTACTGACGACGGCTGTCAGGGAGGGAAGGTGGGTCTTGATAGAGGACATTGACAGGGCACCAACTGAAGTCTTGTCTATTCTTTTAACATTACTCGAAAAGCATGAAATCAGCATTCATTCTCGTGGAGAAACCATACGGGCTGCCAATGGGTTTCAGCTCATATCAACAATAAGAACACCCGAGAAACAAGTAAGCGAAGACCATCATGAAATTCTTGACTCCAGCCTGGTAGGCTATCGTCTTTGGGAAAAAATTCATTTGCCAGAAATGGGGGATCAGAACTTGGAACTCATTCTAAAAACACGCTTCAAATCGATATCAAGCTTGGTACCAAAGCTTATCCTTGCTTTCAACTCAGTACGGAGTATTTTAACAAGTCCGCAGTTCATTTCGCTTAATCGCGGAGTTCAACCAAGAACCATAACTGTGCGGGATTTGGTAAAGCTTTGCAGCCGAATCGAAGTATTAATCGCAAACAGTGGTATTCGAAGCTCCTCTGATTTGATGGAGTCTGCGACTTACGACAGTATATTTGCCGAGGCAACTGACTGTTTCGCGAGTGCCATCGGTGAATTTGGTGCATTGACGCCGATTGTTGAGGCGATTGGCAGCACTTTAGAAATCCCTCCATCAAGAACAGCCCTCTTCCTTACCCGCCATGTGCCAAATTTCATCGATAGTGTGAACAATGTTACCATCGGAAGATCGATTTTGCCCAAAAGCTCAAGCAATATTAGAAAGAAGTCAGTGAATGTCACATCGTTTGCGCAAACGAACCATTCTCTGAGGCTGATGGAACAAGTTGGAGTTGCTGTGCAAATGATCGAGCCCGTTTTGCTGGTAGGGGAAACTGGAACAGGTAAGACGACCGTTGTACAAGAGATGGCCAAATCGGTTAATCAAAAACTCACAGTTCTTAATTTGTCTCAGCAAACCGAGAGTGGAGATTTGCTTGGTAGCTTCAAACCGGTCAATTGTAGAACCCTCGCCATACCTATCATCGAGAATTTTGAGAAGCTCTTCCCGACGACTTTCTCGATGAAAAAGAATGAGCGCTTTTACATGATGCTTCATAGATGCTTCAACAAATCTCAGTGGAAAAATGTCGTCAGGCTCCTGAAGGAAGCAAATAAGATGGCCGAGAAACTTCTTTCGGCTGAACAAGGCACGGAGCAACAACCATCAAAGGTCAAGAAGCGAAAGCTTGATATGCACGATAAGAATATGTTGCTGAAAAAGTGGTCAGAGTTCGACGAAACAGTCAAGAAATTTGAGAAACAATACTCTTCAATAGAAAATTCCTTCATATTTGATTTTGTCGAGGGTTCCCTCGTGAGTGCCGTGCGAAACGGTGAATGGCTGTTGCTTGACGAGATCAACTTAGCTTCACAAGATGCTCTGGAAAGCATATCCGACTTACTTTCTGAGCCGTCGTCCAGAAGTGTACTGCTAACTGAAAAGGGCCAAGCGGAACCTATCAAAGCACATCCTAACTTTCGTATTTTCGCCTGCATGAATCCTGCCACTGACGTTGGAAAGAGAGATTTGCCAATGGGCGTACGGTCTAGATTCACCGAAATATATGTCCATTCTCCGGACCGAGACATTACTGACCTTCTTTCGATCATCGACCGTTACGTTGGTAAGTATGCGGCCAATGATGAGTGGGTTGGTAATGATATTGCTGAGCTATACCTTAGAGCCAAAAAATTATCCGAGTCCAACCAGATTGTTGATGGCGCGAATCAAAGACCACATTTTAGCATCCGTACATTGACGCGTGCTTTGATTTACGTGAAAGACATAATATTGATCTATGGTTTACGGCGCTCTTTGTTTGAAGCATTTTGCATGTGTTTCCTCACACTTCTTAACGAGAAGTCAGAAGCTTTACTAAAACCTCTGATTGAAGAATTTATTTTAGGCAGGCTCAAAAATGCAAAGTCAGTAATTTCGCAGATTCCTCCATGCCCGGGACCTGACTTTATACAATTCAAGCACTATTGGATGAAGCGAGGCTCGGAGGAAAGAGTTGAACAACCGCATTATATTATAACTCCCTTTGTGGAAAGAAACATGCTAAATTTGGTGAGAGCCACTTCTAGTAAACGTTTCCCTGTTTTAATACAGGGGCCAACATCGGCGGGGAAAACCAGTATGATCAAGTATTTGGCCCAAATCACGGGTAACAAAGTCGTGCGCATAAACAATCATGAACATACTGATTTGCAGGAGTATTTGGGAACCTATATCGCAGATGAAACTGGGAGTCTCAAATTTGCTGAGGGTGCCTTGGTTGAAGCTCTGCGGAAAGGCTATTGGATCATTTTAGATGAATTGAATTTAGCCCCTACGGATGTTTTAGAAGCATTGAACAGATTATTGGATGATAACAGAGAGCTTCTGATACCGGAAACCCAAGAAGTTGTGCATCCACATCCTAATTTCATGCTTTTCGCCACTCAGAATCCGCCGGGTCTTTACGGTGGTCGAAAAATTCTTTCGAGAGCATTTAGAAACCGTTTCCTAGAATTGCACTTCGATGACATTCCACAGGATGAATTAGAGATCATTTTGAAGGAAAGGTGCCAGATTGCACCCTCTTACGCCAAAAAGATCGTGGAAGTCTACAGGCAGCTTTCCGTACAACGGTCTGCGTCGCGCTTATTTGAGCAAGGAAATAGTTTTGCAACTCTTCGTGATTTGTTCAGATGGGCGTTGCGTGACTCTGTGGGGTATGACGAGCTTGCTGCCAATGGCTATATGTTACTAGCAGAGCGGTGCAGATCATTGGACGAGAAGAAGGTTGTAATGTCGATCATTGAAAAAGTCATGAGAGTCAAGCTGGATATGAGCCAGTACTACCATCAGCTTGAAAATACCGAGCTCATGGGCATCGAAACTTCAGTCGTTTGGACAGAAGCTATGTGCAGACTTTCTGTTTTGGTCGAGGCCTGCTTGAAGAACCACGAACCAGTTTTACTAGTGGGAGAAACTGGTTGTGGTAAGACCACAATCTGCCAGCTTCTTGCACAATTTAGAAATCAAGGACTTACAACGGTCAACGCGCATCAAAACACCGAGACAGGTGATATTCTGGGAGCTCAGAGACCACGAAGGAACAGATCGGAGTTACAAGTGAGATTGTCGGCGCTTTTGGTGAAATGTATCGGTGAGTCTTTAGAAGACATCGACTTGAATGAGGTATCCTTATCGAAACTCATAGAGCTTTATGACGGCTGTGACAAGAGCCTGGTGCCTTTGGAGATTCAAAGTGAAGTAACGTCGCTGAGAGACGGCCTTCAGGTTCTTTTCGAATGGAATGATGGTCCCTTAGTCCAGGCCATGAAGGAAGGCCAGCTTTTCTTGCTTGACGAAATATCTCTGGCAGACGACTCAGTTTTGGAAAGACTGAATAGTGTTTTAGAACCTGAACGAACCTTATTTTTGTCTGAAAAAGGCGGTCAGGGAGCCCTTGTGCGTGCGTCGACGATGTTTGAATTTTTAGCAACGATGAATCCAGGTGGTGACTATGGCAAAAAAGAACTTTCACCTGCGTTGAGAAATCGTTTCACCGAAATTTGGGTTCCATCTATGGAAAACTTTAATGACGTTAGAAAGATAGTGTCTTCAAAGTTACTTAAATCCTTACAATTTTTGGTTGAACCGGTAGTTCTGTTTTCCGAATGGTTTGCAAAAAAGTATGGTCATGGGAAAGCTGACAGCGGAATAGTGTCCTTGCGTGATATCCTCGTTTGGGTAGAGTTTCTTAACTCCAGCACTAAAACAGCTAAGGAACCGCTAGCAATGTTATTGGAAGGCGCTGCTATGGTTTTTATTGACGCTCTAGGTACCAACAATACTGGGTTCTTGTCTGAGAACAGCACTGCGTTGGCAAATGAAAAACATCAATGCGTCGAAGCTCTATCAAATTTTGCATCTCACGATTTAGCCTCGTTTTTGCGATCTGATCTCCATCTTGAGTTGACTTCAGAAATGCTACGTATAGGAGCGTTTGATATCGAGCGTAAGACAACAAATACGGAAATTCCAGCCTTTAGTCTCAGTGCCCCAACTACTGCTAAAAATCTAATGAAAGTAGTTAGGGCCATGCAGGTCAAGAAACCGATCTTGTTGGAAGGCAGTCCCGGTGTGGGAAAGACAAGCCTTATAACAGCTTTAGCCGAATGCACGGGCAATAAGCTAACACGTATTAATCTCTCAGAACAAACAGATTTGGTAGACCTTTTCGGATCCGACGTCCCAGGAGAAAGAGCCGGTGAGTTTGTTTGGCGCGACGCACCATTTCTGAGAGCTATGCAACTGGGGGAGTGGGTCCTTCTCGATGAAATGAACTTGGCGTCACAATCTGTTCTTGAAGGTTTGAACGCCTGTTTTGATCATCGAGGGCAAGCTTACGTTCCTGAACTTGACAAATCTTTTCTGCGTCATGAAAACTTCGTCGTATTTGCCGCACAAAATCCGCAACACCAAGGAGGTGGCCGGAAGGGCCTGCCGAAATCTTTCGTTAACCGGTTCAATGTCGTGTATGTCGAAATGCTAACGCCGGAGGATTTGTCGTTAATCGCCACACACATCTACCCTGAAATTGAGACGAGTCTCATCTCAAAGATGATCGACGTGGTTGCAAATTTGGAGATGGAAGTTTCTGTAAGAAAACAATGGGGTGCGAGCGGTGGTCCTTGGGAGTTCAATTTAAGAGATGTTTTACGGTGGCTCAAGCTTTTAAACAATAAGTCATTCAATAACGGCGTGAATCCTGCCGACTTTCTAGACTTGATACTTGTCCAAAGATTTCGAACTCAGGCGGATAAGATGAAGGCCCGTGCGCTAATTGAAAACACTTTTGGATCTTGCCACAAAAGGGATAATTACATGAAGCTAGGGCCTGACTTTATGCAAGCAAATCAGGAAGTTGCTGAGCGGAACGTTCTCTCAAAAAAGTCCCCAAGGGGAGGTGTACGCACAAAAGCCCTTCAGTGTAATATCCCGATTTATGAATCAGTTCTCAGATGTTTAAAGAACAATTGGCCCGTTATTCTCGTCGGCCCTTCCTTTTCAGGCAAAACAGAGGTAATAAGATTTTTGGCAGACACTTTCGGAGCTCATGTAGTTGAATTTTCTATGAACAGTGATGTGGACAGCATGGATTTGCTTGGAGGCTTCGAACAAGTGGACTTGAATCGGGCTCTCGCTGATGCTGTGGAAAATGTCAAGCAAGTCATCACGGACTATTCCATTGTCAACTTGATAGCTCCAAAAAGTTCTGCTCATGACAGAGGAGTTGTCGCTTGCTTGAAACTTGACTCCTTGTTGAAATCCACGTCTATTAGCACAGATAATTTTGACGAGTTCTATCAGCGCTTCAACGATTTCAAGTCTTCAACAACCAGCGAGCACGTCAATAATTTGGCCCGTGAAATTGAAAACTTGCATCTCGCTTTATCAAATGCGAGCTCCGTACGCTTCAAATGGTACGATGGTCTTTTGTTACAAGCAATGGAACGAGGTGATTGGATGATTTTGGATAACGCAAATCTTTGTTCACCGTCTGTCCTCGACCGACTAAACTCACTTTTGGAGGCAGGAGGTTCAATGGTGATCAATGAATGTAACTTAGAAGATGGGTCACCGCGTGTAGTTAAGCCTCATCCCGACTTCCGGTTATTCTTGACGGTCAACCCCAAATTTGGAGAACTGTCTAGGGCGATGAGAAACAGAGGAGTCGAACTGTTTTTGGAAGATCTAAATATTCGATCCACGTCGTTCGATAAACTGGCTATGGGTTTCCCTGGTAATGAAGAAAGAAAACGGGATGTGAATGAGAAAGGAGATAAAGTATTGAGCGAGAGAGGTTCGAAACCGTTATCTTCTCTTGTTTCTCAAGACGCGTCCTTGATGTATGAATTAGCTCAAGTTCATGACATTTTGATCATATCTCAGATGAGAGCATGCGAAAAAATTGCTGGGGTTCTTTCACTCTCCGCTATTGCAAGTGTCAACGACTGGTTGGAAAATGTGAGTGCTTGTAAACTATATGATGAAGCTACTGCCATAGAGCAGATCAGCGGCTTTGTACAATCAGCCAACAATTCCGACCTTACACCTAAGTTATCTCAATTACTCTCCACTTCCCAGGCTAAGGCAGCGCTTACTGTTGACCTGAAAGGACTATGGTCACATCAGGCAATAATGCCTCTTTTGAATTTTTATAACTTACCATTACTGCAAGTCGAGTACCCTTTTATCTCAACTGCCGAACCAGTGTACCTTTTTGAGACGGTTTGCTTCCTTCGTTACTCTTTCACGAGTCTACAGCAAACAGAGTCAAGAGCTTTACATTCTCAACCCGATAAGCTAACTTACCTGGAATCATCTGCGGCACGGCACCTTGGGCGCCAATTAAAAGGCAATTTCAAATTTCCTGTTTTCGACATACTTGTCAAGCTCAGAACTTTCATCGAGCAACGCATGTCTGAGAACAGACTTTTTGTTGATGAATCTTTCTTTTGTTCGCTTTTCAAGCTTTGTGCTATTTGGATTAATGTAGAAAAGTCTGCAATAAGGCGCAACGATGCAAAGTTGAGAGCGCATCGGGATTTGATTCAGGAATGGAAAAATTCGTCTTCCTTAGACAACAGAAGTTCGGACGATTTCATGGGAATAATCGAACTGTTCGGCAGACTTACTGAGTTCACAAGAGGACGTTCCATGACCCTTATTTGGGAAGAATTTCGTGGAACATATCCCACGTCAGAGAAATCTTGGCGTAAGTTTGAGAAGCTTTTAGACATTACTTCGAAGTTCGACCAGGTGTCAGTTATGCTGTATTCGGATTCGTATGAGCTTATTGGCTCATTGCGACAGTTTCTTTTGGACACCTTCAAGGATATTCTTCTTGAAAGGGATATGGACTTCGAAGCTATCATGTCTGAGATCGAGAGAAGTATCGGAAATCTAGCGACCATCTCTTCTCAATTTCTTTACGAAAGGTATCATTACTTCCGTCAGGAGTTCGATGTGGTTGCGCGTCTCAACGTCGCACATGAAAAGCATTTTTTGAGCTCCACAGTACTTGAAGTGCTTCCCTTCGCATCTATATCAGCTGCTTCAATAATGAATTCGCAATGCAAAGGAAATTTTTATCCGCCAATATTCGATGTTTTGTGGACGAGAGACAACGGGTGTGGATTTATTTCCCATACATCGACTTTGTTCGATACCACGCTCTTCGGGAGCTTGGTAGAAAAACTGACAGGCTTAACTCATATTCCCGGATGCCACTTAAGTCAAACAAAAGAGGATGGCTCCCTTCTGCTTAGATATTTGATCAGAAATTCAGAACAAATCACCGTCAATCAAATGAAGTCGTTCAAGGAGGAGCTGCTACAGATCTATTCTAGAGTTTCGAAACTTCACGCTGGCTTTCCCGCGGAAAAGGAAGCAAGTTCGAAGGAAACTAGCAATAGCGCGTACATGCTTCAGTTCTACAAGCACGTTGATAAGCTATTTCTTAAACCGGCAATCCAGTCCGCCAAAGAGACGGAATCTGCCCAGTCAGTGGGCAAAGCTTGGATAATTTTTTCGCTTGGAATGCTTCAGTTATATGTTCCGGATGGGGCATATGATCCAGCTATATTTGACTATGTTTCAAATGAGTGCTTTTCAATCGAGAAAGGGTCGAAAGAGTCGCTGATTGAGTCGTGGCGGTTCGGACGTTTGATTTTGAGCGGCGATTCCCCCATTTCAATTGAAAATGTCATATCAAAGGAGATCAAAACGGGCATCGCAGTCAAACCTAGAATTTACAGACCGCATGAATCGATCGATATGCTTTTCGATGAATGGCAAGCCTTCATAAGTTCCACCGCCGATAGTATCCCTGTCACCAATATGTTGACAAGCATCGAGAGCGCCGACGTTAGAGCCCTCAGCCAAGCCAATCTCTTTCAGCAAAACACTTCGCAGTTCATCGAACGTTTGAACTCGTCGTTTAAAGTCTACTCGGACGTCAACGATTTGCTGTCGAGCTTCATCAACGGCCTCAAGTTTGGTACCGATTTAGTATTATTTGGAAGAGATAAGTCTGTGGAGCGCTCTCCAAAATCACCTCTCTGGGCGCTCAATCCTTTGGTAATATCATCAACAAGCAAGATATGTGAGGTTTTTGAGGAAGCCGAAAAATTCTCAAAGAACCAAGGCTTGAAGGGTTCAGTCGTCGAAAAGCTTATGATCTTCTTTTTGAAGCTTTATAAGCTTCACGACAAAGCCGAAACCTTAAAACCTGTTTTCCAAAAGGCTCTCGAATGCTTATATTTGCGCTGGGTTGTTAGAAGAGAGCAGGCTGAAAAGGAGGCCCTGAATCAAAGCGGAATTTACCGATATAATCACAAAGATGAAGATGAGGAGAGTGAAATTGCAAAGCTATTTCCAAATTGTAACGATGAAGAAGGGAGCTCAGAAGATACCGCGGACGAATTTGAAAGCGCCAGTTATGATTTAGCTCAATCTTACATGCAAGTCTTCTCCAGCAGAAGCGTAAGCATTACGGAGGTTGCAGAAGTCGGTGCAGAGCTGACAGACTCTTTGATAAAGAATGGGTTCAGTGCAAATAACGTAAGCAAAAATTCAAATGATTTGGTCTCAGTCGTACATCATTTCGTTAGCAAGCTTGATTGCCTTAGCGAAAACCAGAACCACATCGAGGAAACGTTGGACTTCTACCGGGACCATAGTCTGGGAGAAATAAGAAAAGCCATCAAAATAGTGGAATCGCTTTGGGGCTCTGTGAAGGAATTTCTCAAACAATGGCCCGATCATGCCATACTTCTTGACCTTTTTAGAGTTTCCCAAGAATTCTGCCATTACTCTCTCGATACCCCGATCGCAAGGTCGTTGCAAAAGATTGAGCAAATTTACACTTACGTTACTGAATGGCAAAAATACGCTTCTACAAAAGTCTCCCTTCAGACCCATGTCGTGGCCCTCACCGAGTTAATAGTTTCATGGAGAAAACTGGAGCTCAAAACATGGGCAGCCCTATTTGACACAGAGGATGAAGGTTCCAGAAAGCGCATTGGAAAATGGTGGTACCATCTGTTCGAAACTTTGATGATTGCCCGCTATGATACCATCGAAGGGAATGAGAACTCTCAGTCGCTAACAACGCTTTTGTCGTCGCTTAATGTGTTTCTCAGCAACTGTACTTACGGGGAATTCGAAACAAGAGTCGAACTCTTAAGAGCTTTTATAGCGCATGTTGAAATTGATTATGGAGGGGAGTCAGCTCTTTACCTTGCCTTGAGTAACTTCGTCACGTTTTATGAGCAGTTTTTGCCCATCATTCGCCGTGCCAAGACTGACGCTAGAAAAGCGCTCGAGAAAGAAATGAAAGACATAATTCTTTTGGCCAGCTGGAAGGATGTAAATGTTGACGCTCTCAAACAAAGCTCAAAGAGGTCTCATAATAGCCTTTTCAAGATTGTTAGGAAGTATCGAGAAGTTTTGAACCTGGAAACGAAGCCGTTGATTGAATCGGGAATACCTCCCCAGGACAAACCTGAGGCATGCTTCAACACTCTGAGCGAAGATCGTATCACGGGGGTCGACCTTGATGAAGCCCAGGCTATTCTTCAGCAGTTGCCAAGCTGGACTTCTCGTCCTAAAACTCATCAAAGTATGGCGCGAACCGTGAGAAATATGGACCGTCATATTTACTCGATAGTAAATGAGAATTTACCAAGCTTCTATACTTTCGCGAATGACGTGTGCTCAGAAGCGAAGCGATTGAGAGATGAGACTCCAAAGGTTTATGACAAGAAAGACAAGAAGAAGCTAGCTTCTCTCAAAACCCAGAAAATAAGAATGATAAACGATACATTGAAAGACCTGAGGAGTATGGGTCTTAAGTTGGCTTTCAGGGATGACATCAGAAAGGTTCAACTAAGTGTTACATCTATACTAGCTCATACGGACTGCTTGAGAGACACATGTATTGATGGGTGTGACGCTTATTTCTTCAGGCTCTTGGATCTCATGCCACGCCTAAAAGTGACTCTTTCGTCTCCTACTGATGACATCCCTCCCGTCCTTCTCACCAAGGGTTTAGCAGCCAGCGAAAACCTGATGTACATGCTTATCAACATTAGGCCAGCAATGAGAAAATCTGCTGAAATAAGTAGTGCAATTAAGAACTTGCACTTCGAGTTGAATTTGGTTGCCAAAAGCACCAATGCCCTCATTGATACATCTTTCAAACGTGCAGTAAGAAACGCAGAAAGTATTTCAGAGTGGCTACCAGGATTGATCGATTATGCAATTACCACCGTTGAAAAGTGCCAGAGTTATGTGAATTGTGAAAGTGACTTGGGTTTCCTATTTGAGGCAAAAACTTGGATTTCAGGTTTACAGCAAGACATTGGTGGGTTGCATTACTCGGATGAAAGATTGATCAAAACCGTTTTTGACTTCATGAACTACATGACGGATTTGGCGAACAAGCTTACCTCTTGCAAGTCTATTTATTCATTCGTTTTTGAAATGGTAGCTTCTTGGATTAAGCAAAAGCTTTCTCAAGATGTGGAAACACTTGAGGTAAAGAGCGAATCAGCAAACAATGTCGGGGAACTCGATCGCTCTTTACAAAATTTAACAACCTCCATTATGCTTACAGTGCAGAAACTTGTTGAACAGTTCGGAAGAGCCTCTGAGGAGTCTGACACATGGTTAACCGATACACAAAGAACTATTTCCGAGGCCCTTTACGTGGTTCAGAATTCTCGTGTGCTATCAAATCTAAGAGCCTCAACGGATATCATAATCCAGAGTAACCTCAACAAGAAGAGTTCAAAAGTGGTATCATATATGTGTTCGTATGCATTGCCCCTTCTTGACAGCTTTCGCAGGCTTCTGACAGGCATCCTGAACATGGCTAGCAAAAACTATGAGAATCTCTCCCATGGTACCTTTCTTCTTGCAAATATGTTGTTAATACTCGGGAGCGAGGGCTTATGCTCTCCAACACCACCTTCCGAAGAGGTTGATGATAAGAACTTGACTGATGGTACAGGATTGGGAGAGGGCGATGGCGCCGAGAGTAAAGGAGATGGTCTAGACGACGAAGAGATTAACGAAGTCGCCCAAGAATCAAACGAAAAGCAGAAGGATAAAGAAGATATGGACGATAAGGGGGAAGACAGTGCGGTCGAAATAGAAGGCGATATGGGTGGTGATTTAGAAGACGCCAGTGGTGAGGATGAGAGCGAAGGCGAAGACAAAGATGAGGATGAGAATGAGCTCGACGAAGAGGTTGACAATATTGGAGACGACGACCCGAACGCAATTGACGAGAAGATGTGGGACAATGATGGTTCGTCCAATTCGAACGAAAAAGAGTCTGAGCAAGCTTTAAACAACCCTGCTAACGAAGAGATGAAGGCAAGCGAAGAAGATCATGATAAATTGAATGAGCCTCATGGTGACGAAGGTGCAGACGAGGATCAGGAAAGCAACGAAGCGCCGGGGGAAGGTTCCGAGGAAGATGATCGAGAGCATGATGAAGGAGGTGATGAATCGGAGGACGATGCAGTGGGACAGAACGATGAGGTCGTGGATGAGCAGACAGCAGATGACATGGCTCCCCCACCGCCCGAAGTTGACACAATGAATTTGCCTGAGGGGATGAATCTGGACTCTGAAGAGGAGCCTATTTCAGACAATGAGGCAGACATCAAATCAGTTGACGAAATGGATGTCGACGAGGAAAATTCCGAGGATCATGAGGCCGAAGCTAACCAAATTAGCAAAGAAGAAGAGTTTAATGAAGAAGAAAGTGATAACTTGGATGAAGAGGAATCAATAGAGAAGACTGAAGAACTTGAATCTTCACCTGAAGCCGACGAAGATAATCATGATATTGAGCAATTCGATCAAGAAGTAAAGAACACCAAGGATGACCAAACTCCTACAGGAGAAAGTGGTGGTGAGGATTCACTTGAGGGCCTCAACGGCTTGAACAATTCTGATGTGAAGATGGAGGATGAAGATCATGATACAGCTGTTCAGCAAGAAGCAGGTACGAGAGGAGAGGGTGGAGACGCCCTGGACAATGAGGAAAGGAATGACATCGGAAGTAATGGTGCAGCTGACCAAAGCCAGCAGATGAATCAGGATTCAAGTGCCAATGATAGTTCAAGGCAAGAAGCTAATGAGAGCTTGAAGCAGCTGGGTGATAATCTAAAGGAGTTCCACAGAAGACACAATGAAATAAGAGAAGCGTCTCAGAGCAACACCGAGGAGAATGATCAGGAGAGAGCTAATCAACGTCCCGACGAATTCGAACATGTTGAAGGGGCCAATACCGAAGACACCACTCAAGCGCTAGGCTCCGCCAATAAAGATCAAGTAACTTCTATCGATGAGGAAATGGCAATTGATGATGAAGATTTGGATCAAGAAGAAGTTGAAGACGCGGAAGCAGAATTTGATACCAATAACACAGGCATCGAACAAGACATTGAAAGGGAACCAGAAAAAGGGCCCAACGATGGTGACCATCGCGAATCAGAGAAGAAGAGCAGCGGCGCGTATATCGGCGAACGCCAACATATTTCTGAGAAGGATAAATTCACCAGCTCTGATCTTCTCGGAAGCAGCGATGACGATTTGGATCAGCTTATGGAAGAAGTCGATCGGAAGGTCAAAATTGATCACGACCAGCTGGAGCCAGCCCGTTCATTGGAAGAGTCTCGCGCCTTGTGGCGAAACAGTGAAACACAAACTGCTGAACTATCGGCGGGTCTGTGTGAACAACTACGCTTGATTTTGGAGCCCACATTGGCGACTAAATTGAGAGGAGACTACAAGACTGGTAAGAGGTTAAACATGAAAAAGATTATTCCCTACATTGCTTCTCAGTTCCGTAAAGACAAGATATGGCTGAGACGCACAAAGCCGAGCAAGCGTCAGTATCAAATCATGATAGCGGTCGATGACTCGAAATCGATGAGCGAATCTAAATCTGTGAATCTCGCGTTCCAAAGCATTTGTCTTGTCTCTAAAGCTCTAACCCAGTTAGAGTCCGGCGGTCTTTCTGTTGTTAAATTTGGAGAGACAGTTCAAGAAGTTCATGGATTTAACAGGGCTTTTAGCGGTGACTCCGGACCCAAAATATTCCAGTGGTTCGATTTTCAGGAATCGAAAACCGACGTGAAAAAACTGGTTGCCGAATCGATCAGGATCTTCCAACAAGCCCAGAGCTCGAGCACTGCCGATTTGTGGCAACTGCAAATCGTCATTTCTGATGGTGTCTGCGAGGACCACGAGACAATCCTGCGCTTGGTTCGCCGTGCGCGCGAAAATCGTATCATGCTTGTTTTCGTGATCGTCGACGGAATTAACTCTTCTCAGTCTATCATGGATATGAGCCAAGTTAGCTATATTCCAGATCAAAGTGGTAATCTGCAATTGAAAGTTGGGAAGTATCTAGACACGTTCCCGTTCGAGTTTTATGTTGTCGTTCGTGACATATCTGAACTTCCCGAAATGCTTTCCGTAATTCTACGCCAGTACTTTTCGGAACTTGCGGCTGCGTAGATAAAGCCGCTCTACTACCAATATATTCGGGCAGCAGACTCTTCAAATCGACGAAGTCTCTGAAAATGTGGGATGACAATTTCTTGGCGTTGATGAAAAGCGAACCCACATATAAATTTGGTATATATAGAACCCTCATTTAACATTAAAATAAGCTCAAATTTACTGTCAAGTACCACTCATTTTTTTGAAACTCAAGGCAAAGGCAAACCTTCGATTCAAGATCTTAATGTATAGAATAAGCCCTTCCTTCGTGGTTTTTACCTGATCTTGTTGTATCTATTGCCGATTTCCATCAATTATAAAAGGGCATCAGGAAAAATTGAAAAATTTTTAATCTACATTATTCATCAACGAAACTTCTGCTAAAACAGGACAAGAATAAGCCGAATTCAAATAGCTCTCGATGAAGCAAATCGCTGTCTCAGTAGAAACAGCTTTTGTTTACTTCGAGGCTTTTCCAGTTCTGATCTAATAGTACTTGTCATAAGTAGTCCTGCGCTTGAATGATGATACAAACCATGTGCTCGAAGATCAACACTCAATGGGAGCGCAATGATTTCTCAATAGACTACAACGGTATCTGACCATGCAAAAAAGGGACAGTAGCTCTTGTTATAGATTTTTAAACATATTGTAGCGTTTTCAGCGATTTTGTTAGCTCACAGGGCAGATGGGGTCTACATTTGGAAATTTTCAAGCTTTTCACCATGGCTCATCGCATAAAAGACATGGATCAGAAGCCGTTAAAAAGATCGCTCAAATTTTCTTAATAGGCTCGGTGAGCATTGAGCTAGTGTGATTTAGTGATAGAGCGAAAAAAACAAGCTTTTAGAAGTCTTGAGCAGCTTGAAAAATGCCTAAATATGTTCGCGATGCGTACCGTTACAAATATCCACTTCCAATTCACCCATTGGACCACCTACCACCGCTAATTCCACACAATCCAATTTCATGGGCGTACTGGTTGTTTTGCTACCTTTCGGGTAGTAATGAACCTCAGGTCAGGGTACACGCCGAGATGGATGACCTGAAGCGTGTAACGGTTTGTAGAGAACAGGATATGCGCTTGCTGTGGGACAATGGGTTTTTTGGCACTGGAAGGATGTCCAGAAGCGAGGCTACTTGGAGGCAGCGAACTGCGAAACGATTGGGTTTAGAATCTTCCGAGAGAGGCCTTGAAAGCGTGACGGAGAAGCGACGCCAGCGAAGGCTTCAATTTAAGCGCGAACGAAGCAAATTTGAGGCTGCAAAGCTAGAATTGCGTCAGAAAGGTGATTTGGCCTGTGAGATTTTGGATCAGGAGCGCCTTTTCCTTAGATCTCTCAGAGACAAAGAACTGGCTTACGATAAAGACGACGATGATGTGGTTTTCCGTGAGATCGATCATGAACTTTTAGACGACGCTGGCGAGGTTATGCCAATAGAAGTACTGGAGCTAATGCCCGTAGAAGCCATTTTTCTCTCGTTTGCACTCCCAGTTCTTGATTTGCAGGTCCCAACTTTAATGAGCACGCTGGTGAGCTCGAATGCAACTTTTGCCGATATTGAAAGCTTAGCAACCAAATACGTGGCATATCATCATTACAGGTCAAGAGGCTGGTGTGTACGATCTGGTGTAAAATTTGGCTGTGATTTTCTTCTTTATAGGCGCGGTCCCCCTTTTCAACACGCAGAATTCGCTGTCATGGTACTAAACGCTGATGAAACATTGGACTACACGCAATATTCGAGCACTGCAAGAGTCGTGGGGGGTGCAAGGAAAAGCTTTGTTGTCTGCTACGTTGAACGCCAAGTTTCCGAAAGACAAATCTTGCAATTCTGGCAAAATCACAATTACGCGAGCGCGTTCTCATCCTTTAAAATCGGCGAAGTAACCTACCGACGGTGGGTCCCTGGAAAGAACAGGGATTGAGATTGAAATTGAAATTGAAATTCGAATGAACACCAGCACAATTCTGCATGCACGCCTTAAAAAGACCTTTTCTAAATATCTACATATTTGGGGATGAGGGTGATAAGCCCTACATCTCTCCTTTGAAGGCTTGTTCTACCCATCCACAGTCCCTCGAACCCTTTGTTCTGGTCTTGGGACCCTTGACTGGGTCGTCATACAATTCTTGGAGAGCAATGTCGTGAGTCGCGGGCTTCGATATACAAATGTGATGGCCATTGGGAAGCACGCATCTCAATTGTGATTTTGGGAAAGGGCAGGGACACTTTTCGGCACTCGAAACACACGCCATTGTATCAGGACATAAATACTTGTCACAATCGTTGTTTAGAACTGAGTCTTCGTAAGATATTTGGGGCTGTTGCTGCTGCTGCTGCTGCTGCTGCTGTGCGTGTTGACCAAAATCGAACATAAATGCCTTGCTAATGCTTGCAAAAAAGCTTATGAAAAGAAGAGCCAGTACCTTCATTGCCGCCGATTGCAGAAAGATCCTTTAAATGCTCAAACTCCAGTTTTTTGAGTCTCTATCTGTGACTTGAAGAGTCTCGTTAAGGTGATCAAATTTCAAGATGAGCTCTGGCTATATTACCACGTCACTGAAAAATTTAAGAGCTGAAACAACACATCCCACTGTCTTGGTGCCATTGTGTGGGAATCACATGCCATGTATTTCAGTATACGAAACCATCATGAGGCCTACGAACATATTTTGCGGGAATCGTCATCCCATTCGTCGTGCCAATTGGTAATATTCGTATCTTGTTTGAATGTAGACGCGCTTTGCGCGTCCAAAATTCTGACAAAACTCTTTAAAAGACAGTTAGTACAGTTGCAATTGGTGCCTATTTTTGGATATTCGGAGCTGAAACACTATTTCCAAGAATTGGACGATAATATCAACAGTGTGGTTTTGGTCGGATGCGGTGGAATGGTCGATATTGAAGATTTCTTAGAAATCGATGCGCAGGAGTACCTGCTGGAGACAGAGCCTGTGAGGAAGTACAAGCGGAACATATACGTGATGGATTCACACAGACCTTGGAATTTGGACAACTTGTTTGGATCGCAGATCGTAACTTGTTTGGACGATGGAACCGTCGAAGAAAGTCTGGAAAAACAGAAAGAAGCATACCTGGATTACCTGAGAATGACTGAGGAGCACCTCGAAGATACGGGAGCCAGTTCTGCGGGCGACACCGAGGACGATACACAGGACGAGACTGAGGAAGACGACGACAGCGAGAATTCCAGCAGCCAGGTTAAACGCAAACGAAAAGGCATGGCAACTTCTGCATCGAAACAGAGGAAGAAACTCATGCACAGATGTGAAACACTACTTGAAGAATATTACGCGCAAGGTACGACCGTTTCGAACTCCATAGCGGTTCAGACTTACTCGCTCATATCTTCCATAGGGGAGACCAACCTCCAATATCTATGGTTGGCGATTTTGGGAGCGTCATCGCTTGACATAGCGTTCCCGCAGATCTACGAACGTCTGCGACCTCTCCTGCAAGACGAAGTCAGACGGCTTTCGCCTCACGAAAAGATCAAAACGCCGGACACGCTTACCGTCGAAATTCAGCCGGATTATTTCCTGTTTTTACTGCGACATTCGTCGCTGTACGACAGCTTCTTTTACTCCAACTACGTTAATGCGAAACTGTCGCTGTGGAACGAAAACGGCAAAAAAACACTGCATAAAATATTTGCTCGTATGGGCATTTCACTGTCGACCGCGCAAGAGAATTGGCTTTACATGGACAATAGGGTTAAAAAGGAGCTTGGGGTGATCTTTGACAAGAATCTCGGAAGATACGGTTTAGAGGGAATTGTGAGAGATGGCTTCGTGCGAACTTTTGGGTATCGAGGGGCTGTCAGCGCCAGTGAATGTGTCGAATCCATTACCGCATTATTAGAAATGGGACAAAAATCTGACGTTGATAAACCAGAAGCGCTTCAAAATAGCACTAACGCGACAACTTTGCAAGAGGGCCTAGAAGCGTCTCAGAAATTGGCAGAAAGAGAAAGAAAACTGGTACGAAATTTTTGGCTCAGTTGGGATGCTCTCGATGACAAGATGGAACTCATGCAACAGGGTTTAAAAGTCGCACAGGTTCTACAAAGATCGGTTTTCAACACCGGAGTCGCGGTCTTGGAAAAAAAACTCATAAAACATTTGCGGATTTACCGTCTGTGCATTTTACAAGACGGTCCCGATCTCGAGCTTTACCGTAATCCGTTAACTTTGTTACGATTGGGGAACTGGATCATGGAATGCTGTGCAGAAGCAGAAGAAAAACAGCTCTTGCCAATGGTTCTCGGATGTCTCGACGCCACCACAGAGACTTACCTGTTAGCAGGTCTGCCGGCACGATACCCGCGTGGTCTTGATGCTCTGTCGAAAAAGCGTCCCATACTGAACAACTTCAGCGTCGCTTTCCAGCAGATCGCAACGGAAACAGGTGCCAAGGTCAGAATTGACAATTTTGAAAGCTCTATTATCGAAATTAGAAAAGAAGACCTGGCCCCATTTTTGGAAAAGCTAACTTTGAGCGGCCTTGTATAAAAGCTTTGGGTGATGTGCTAATATAAAATGGCCAAATCCATATTATTACTTCCAAATTGCACAATTTGCCTTAAAAAGCCGCTAATGAAACGCCAAAGGCTCTACTAACGACAATATACTTGCATGCTGTCTACTTGACATACTCGAGAGCTGCTGACACGCCGCGACTTTGTTTCTTAAGTAATTGACACTTTTCTTGATAGATCAATATAAGTCTCCATACTACAAAAACGACCATCGACATAACGAAAATCACTAAAAAGACGTAAAAGCCCCACATTCATATGCCACGGAAATACCCGGCATCACCGGAACAAGCGACTTTCGAGTTGCCATCGCTTCCTCCATGGCGAACTCCTAGAATCAAAATCTTGCAGAACACACCTCTGCGTAGGGGTCCTTTGATCAGCAGCGCGAGCAACATCTTTGAAACCCCACAGCCAGTTCCAACACCAAGAGTCCCGGGGAAAGACGCAGAAAGCTACGATTATTCGCCGTTCTGTGATAAGAAGCTTTTGCGGGAAAGCAAGCAACTCCAACTACAACAGTCCGAGATAGCCACGCATTGCCTTGTGTTCCACAACGCACGTCAGGGAGACCCGATTTTACTACGCCCCGATATGAACCTGTGGTGCTGTGACAGCTCTGATGATGAGCATGAGGGCCTTAGGAACGATGATTCGGCCGTCCCTGCCGTTTTCGACAACGCTGGGTATGCTCTTTCTCGTGAATTACCAGACTACAAACCTTCCAGAAGACCTAACTCAAGGAAGCCGGAGCCAAATTTTGCCCTCATCAAGCATTCACTCCAAAGTTACTGGGGAAGCCCAGAACTAGTCAATTCGCTCGACAACAAGCAGTTGCAAGACCAATATCACGTCTTACACCAAGAGCGCCAAAATATGCGCGCAGTAAAGGAAGAGCTGCAGAGCCGCCAAGAGGTGCTACCAGTAGGGAGAAATACAGAGGCAAAGGCGAATATTCTACTCCAGGAACTCGAACGAGACGAATCCTGGACCCAGCAGGCCGGGAAATGTAGACCTAATGCATAGTAGGACATCGGGCAACGTGACTGTCACGTTACACGTAATTTTTGATGTTGATCATCATTTCACACGTATATCAAGAAAGTCAAGGTTGAATTGGTAAAAAGGGGCATCAGAGGGCTGAACGGAAACACATCTTACAAAAATTCACAACATCTCGAAACTTGGGTTGGACAAGGCCTTAAAGGTTCTTAAGAGATGAACGTCATTAAATTACAGGTATGGAGCTATTCAGTGGAAAATAACAGGAGTTTTTTCCAACTTTTATGGCAAGTTAAGGGCATTTACTGACTAGATGGCTTATGACAGAGAAAATTTCCAGTGCTAACGCAGGAGGATGTTTTTAGCACGATCGAAAAGTTCCGGGCCATTGACTTGGACGACCGCGGCTGGGTTGAGAAGCGAGAGGTGTTGGAAGCCGTTTCACAGTCGGGAGACGCGTCATACGATGAGGCTCGTGAAACGCTGAAACAGGTGAATGTGGACGCTTCAGGACGTGTTGAATTGGACGATTACGTCGAGCTCGTTGCTAAGTTAAAGGAAAACAAGGCCGGTGCGCCGCCGGCTACGAGTTTCAACGTGGGCTCGGGCCCTTCTGCTGCTCCTGTCACACCGTCACACGCGGGGCTAAAACACACCGGCACCGGTGCACAAGCCAAGATTATTGTCGGTGGCTCGACGACTGGAACCACCCACACGATCAATGAAGAAGAAAGACGAGAGTTCACAAAACATATCAACAGCGTGTTGGCTGGTGATCAAGACATAGGTGATAGACTACCCTTCGCCGAAGACACCTTTGAACTGTTTGATGATTGCAGAGATGGTTTGGTGCTCTCCAAGCTCATCAATGATTCTGTACCAGACACTATAGATACAAGAGTTTTGAACTGGCCAAAAAATGGTAAGAGGCTGAACAATTTCACCGCTAGCGAAAACGCTAATATAGTAATAAACTCCGCAAAAGCCATTGGTTGCGTAGTGGTCAATGTTCACTCGGAGGACATCATTGAGGGGAAAGAACATTTGATTCTAGGTCTTATTTGGCAAATCATCCGCAGAGGTTTATTGAGCAAGATCGACATTAAGGTTCACCCGGAGCTTTACCGTCTACTGGAGGAAGACGAAACTTTAGAACAGTTCTTGAGGCTTCCTCCGGAACAAATTTTGCTCCGGTGGTTCAATTATCATTTAAAAAAGGCCAACTGGCAAAGGAGGGTCGCGAATTTTTCCAAGGACGTTTCCGATGGCGAAAACTACACTGTTTTACTCAACCAGCTAGCCCCAACCCTATGCTCAACCGCCCCATTACAAACTAGTGACCTTTTGACGAGGGCTGAGCAAGTCTTGGCCAATGCAGAGAAGCTGGACTGCAGGAAGTACTTAACGCCAAGATCGCTTGTGGCGGGGAATCCAAAATTGAATTTGGCCTTTGTTGCGCATTTATTCAACACCCATCCTGGATTAGAACCTGTTGAGGAATTTGAGAAACCAGATATTGAAGAGTTCGATGCCGAAGGCGAGAGAGAAGCTCGGGTATTCACTCTATGGTTGAATTCCTTAGACGTCGATCCGGCCATCGTATCGCTGTTTGAAGATTTGAAAGATGGCCTCATTCTCTTGCAAGCATATGAAAAGGTTATGCCTGGTGCTGTTAATTTTAAGATTGTCAATAAAAGGCCGTCGTCCGGAGCAGAGCTCTCAAGATTCAAAGCTTTGGAAAACAACAACTATGCTGTCGACTTAGGTAAATCAAGGGGATTTTCATTAGTTGGTATTGAAGGATCAGACATTGTTGACGGCAATAAGCTGTTAACTCTGGGTCTGGTTTGGCAGTTGATGCGCAGAAACATTGTCAACACCATGAAAACTTTACAGACTGATGGAAGAGAAATGACCGATGGCCAAATTTTGAAATGGGCCCAGGAACAAGTTGCGAAGGGCGGCAAATCATCTACTGTTCGCTCATTCAGCGATCCTAACCTGTCCAGTGCTCATTTCCTCTTAGATGTATTGAATGGAATTGCACCAGGGTATGTCGATTACGAACTTGTCACTTCTGGAACATCTGATGATGACAAATATGCGAACGCGCGTCTTGCTATCTCTATCGCAAGAAAGCTGGGCGCTTTGATTTGGCTTGTACCTGAAGATATCAATGAGGTTCGCCCGAGATTGATCCTGACTTTTGTGGCTTCGCTCATGGCTTTGAAGCGCTAAGTAAGATTCAGTATCTTAATTTGTAACTTATATTCTAATTATAAGAGCGAATACTTGACAGTCATCACTCCTTTGCATGCGAAATTTCAGTCAACCTGGCGGGAATTAGTAATTTGATTCTCGAGTTTCTTGTCCCACTCCTGCTCCAATTCCTGAAAGTACTTGTGAACGTCATTCACACCCGTGGGATCAATCGGAGTCGTTTTGATATATTCTAATCCTTCCTTATATGTTGCCGAACCAAACTTGACTTCTTGATTCTCAAAGTTAGAATTTGCCAACGTTGCCACATAAACAGGCGCGTTAGCAGCCCGATATCCATCAATGTTGTGCCAAGGAGATCCTAAGTATCTTGCCAGGTAGAAAAGAAACAGCATACCGTAGTAAGTGAAAAAGTTGAGATACTTGAAAAAGGAGTGGCTGATGAAGATTCCAGGATGAACGACATATTGGTTGATACCCCTTTTCTTCATTTCCTTGTATGTTGCAAGCTGCACCAAATCTACCAATCTCTTAGAACCCTCATAGGATGCACTCGTCTCTAAAAGCTGCATATCGTTGAGAGAAAGATACTTTGGATCTGACATTATACTTGAAATCCAAACGACAACAGCCCTACCCGCTGAAAGTTGAGGCAAAATCTTTTGTATGAGGTAATACGGACCAAACACGTTTGCCTGAAAAACGAGACCAAGACCATCTTTAGATTTCACGCCAACTCTTTGAATCTTGTAACTGGGGTTTGTAACGGCTTCGATGGGGCTAGTGAAAACCTCCTTAATGGCACCTAGCCAGTCAATACCGTCATACACGCCTTGCGCTGCATTCACAAAAAAATAGTGGATTTCCTTGTATCTTTTATTGAGCTCGTAATAAGCTCCCAGTGTGCTCACCATATCCGTAAAATCAACAAGCAAATAGTCAAAATCAATCTTATCGGCCTTTCCGAATTTTCCAGCATGTTCAAGAATTTGGCCCACAACTTCTTTGACTCTGGGTAGCGTCCTTGACGTAACGACTATTGTCAACCTGCTGTTATCATCTATCTGTTCCACCAGCCGATGTGCAATATTTAGACCCAGATTACTGTTCGTTGCATGTTAAAGTTAGCTTCTTGCACCTTGATTTTAAATAACGAAAGCACTGCCCAACCCTGCGACTTATCAGCCCTATTCCATACCTATTGGTTCCAGTTATCACTGCAATCTTCCTTCTCGAGACCATTGCCTTTAAAGAACCTTCTACTACCTGCTTCCTTGAGGTGGATTTTCTCCAGAAACTGGTGTCTTCAATTCTGAAAAAACTTGAATTTCTCAATTTTCAGTAGTTCGTATAATGATGAAAACGCTCCTATAGTCGAACTGAATCAAACTGAATCGAACATCACAAAAAGACATCGGTGAAGCGTCGGAAATCGAACTTCTATTTTGAGAACAGCTCGTAAAATATTCAACATCTTGTCACTCTCTCCTGGAACTTTTCAGGCTCTTTGCAGAGTGCTCAATTAAGTAAATGCACCAAGATCCGATCCGAAAACACTGGCTTTAGATAGTCAATCTTTGACTTATAGCTATCACTTTTGGCATCATTTTTGATCTCTTTTCGTCGTCTGAATTATGATTGCGGCTAATTCCACACTCGAGTTTTTGCCCGCCAGAGCACTTCATAGACATACCTTAAAGAAGACAGTCGAGCATAGCCTAATTCAGGCCACATCGAACATTTCCAAACATACGCATCCACAACCTGAAGGACACTCTGTCCCCTCTGTCCACCATTCAGTGGCGCAATTTGCATGTAAAACGTGCTGGCAGTTACCGCAAATAAAAGCCCTTCTCGTTACTTTGAGACCACAATAATTGCAAGCCGTGTTAGAAGAGTGACCGTCGCACTCGACAACCCCAAATGCAATATCTCTAGGGACCGTTGCGGAACCATAAGCAGATTTAGAAGCATTTAGAAAAGTCGAGGACGACGCCATTGTTGATTCGTTCATCTTTAGTATTTCAACGCGTGCCAGTGGAAGTCCCCAGTAAAACAAGAGCTCACCGTATTGATGGCGGTACGAGTCATATTTTTGCTGATTTCGAGGATCTAAGAGCCAATTGTCGTTTTGATGGGCCAAATCCAGAAACTCATCGTTAAGCACTTTTATTGATACCGTAGGAAGAGTACTTGGGGCGTAATTCTTGGCCGCAACAGCCGGAATTACGCTGGATGTACTTGACCTCTGAGTTCGCATATGGTCGTGATGACTGACGAAGTAATCCCCTGATCCGATGGAGCCCGATTCGGGAATTGGACCTATATTATTGGATCTGGCCAAAGATTGCAATGCTGGATCGCTTCCTAAGGTTAACCCCCCCGTGGCGCTTCGGCCCAAGAACTCTTGGCTACCATTCACACTCCCAGGGTTCTCAAAAAAGGAAACGATACTTTCGACTGGTTTCCGTTGACGAGCTGTCAAAATCTGGCTTGACTTCACAGGCGTTGTGAAAATACAACTTAACATCGCAAGCATCTGCAAATTTTGTACTTTTTCAAAGTACGACATAAGTTCCCTTGCAAACCAGCGACCACCCAGTTCATGTTGATCCCAGCCCGGATTTAGCGTATTACCGTCCTCGTGAGCAATCAAAACGTCAGCTACTATTCTCCAACATTGAGAAATTTCATCCTGACCCGCTTTCTCAGCCACAATTGCATTGTGTTTGGCAATTTCCTCTGGAGTTGTGCCGCTGATCATGTATTTCTCAGCCAGTTCCCTATTATCGGGAATTAAAGCGCCAAAATCTCGAATAATGACTATATTCTTCGACCTTCTCGAGGACTCTTGACTTTTGGCCGATTCCGACACTGTTCCTGCTTTGCCACTATTTATTGGAGCCAATAAGGGAATCTTTGTTCTCAGAGTCATGTCCCTCCGTATTATGTCATCCCAATCATCGCCAAAGCTATCTGAACTACTTTCTGAGCTGTTATCGTCATCCATGGCACTCATCGAAAGGGCTTTGTTATTGGGAGAGTTCGTTAGAGTATCGACATATCTCTTGGGCCTCACTGTAACATCATTTTCGTTATGATGGCCAATCTCGGTGATGTTTGCAACGTCAGAATCTCTTCTCTTAGTAAGGCCTCGGTGGCCGATCTTGAAAAGATTGGGCTGCTGCTTTTTGTCTGACTTGTTATTCATGAAGAAGCAAACAAGTCGGCCATCAGGAGCCCAGCAAGCACCACAACCCTTCGGAACAGGCGTGCTGTCCAGTGTCAGACTGCCGTTCGTATTATAGGCAAACCGTCCACCACTGACCTTACTGTCGACATCAGAAATATCACTGTCGGACATATCTGGCAGCTCCAACGAGACCTGGGATTTGGAATTCGAAGAGCTTAGGGAGGATTCTTCGAGACCTATCTCATCAATGATACCTAAGTTCAGCAATTGTTCTTCATCATCTAAATGATCAAGATCAACCTTTTCTCCGAGAACGAACCTTAAACATGGTTCCAAACAATATCTGTTTACATCGGTATACTTGATCGCAATGTCATGAATATTTTGCATAATTTCTGCTTTCTTTCCCTCAGTAAGTTCCCTGTTCTCTTCGATCTTAAAGGTTGGAGCACTACCTTTATTCGGGTAGTTAGGAGGAAATTGAATCTCCAGCCTCAAAAAAATACAGGCATCTTCATCCTCATCCGACCAGGGACCATTAAGTGTGATGACCAGCTTGCCTGTTGAAACTGAGATTTTTTCGAAGACAATTCTCGAAAATTTATGCCCAACAACGCTTACTTCTTCGCCCAGATTCTGCAGCGTATCCTCATCGTAAAAGTTTCGTTGAGAAGTGCTTTGGCGTAGCTTGACTCCAGAAACCCAATCGAGATGATTGACTTTATCTTTGCCTTGCAACGACTCCAAGCCCGACTTGGTCACAAAATTCCCTTTTATTCCCTTTATGTGTGACGACTGAGATTCTATAGTTTTAGGTTCGCGCCGGTATGTCACATACTTGGGATCAGGTAGCTTGTGGTCCAATTTCTGATTCTTTTTGAAGGACAATTTCTCAAGTGCCGCGTCTGACACCGGCCACAGACGTAGATCACAATCCTTCGACCAAGTGACCAGCTGAAACTCCCTGTCGTCTAGGTCAGTGTCCGTAGAATGTCTGCTTCTCCATAAGAAATCCGTCACTCGATCGCTGTGGCCTCTGAAGACGTATGTAGGCTGAAATTTATGGGATGCGCTCTCTTTAGCATTAAAATTGAGGGACGACAGATACACCGAGTTATTACCTCCTGCCATGGGCATGATACAGAAACCTTCTCCGAATGGTAAATACCGCCCTCTCCAGACGGGAAATTCGGTTTCCACGGTCCTGATAGCCTGCTTGTCACCTTTTGAGAAATCCCAGAATTTCACCGTACCATCATTGGAGCTCGACATTATTTCAGACCTGTGAGATCTACTCAAGTCAATGCTGTTAACGCTGCTGCCATGACCTTGAAACTTAAAGAGGGGCGAACAGCCTTTTCTCAAATCCCAAACGTACACGTCGTTAGCATGCGCTGAGGCTAAAATATGCGACTCCAAATGACTCCACTTGACTTGAGATGCCCCAGCACGCCAGGCACTTGCACTATAGTACGGTTTCCAAGGCATCCGCATATCCCACGAGTGCACATAAGCGTCGATCGAACATGTCGCCAAAATGTTAGGGTCACCGGGATGAAAATTTATATCGGTAATGGCACGCGAGTGTCCATGCAAAACGTGTTCAATTGCCCGAGATGATTGCCTTGCTAGGTTCCACACAAGTGCTTTTTGATTCGAAGTAGATACAACCCAATAGGGTTTCTCCTGGTGCGGAGACCATTGAACATCGGCCACTTCCCATGAAGTTATGTGGTGAAGCCACCTTGGAGGTGAGAAAGGATCATCCAAGTCGATAACATATAAACCCTGTTGACTCGCCAAAACGACGTCTCTTCCACAGGGACTGATGGAAACAGCATTAAAGCCTCCGTCTACTCTCAAAGAAAGCGACTTTCCGAACGTTGGTGAATCCATAGCACCAGTCCCGGTATAATAAACCATAGTGGAGGATTATGGGCCCATTAAAGCTCCCCTAAAGTATCTTGCGCGAAAGTTAATGACTGTACGTTGAGTTGACAACTGAAAAACTTCAAACAGTAGTGAGCTCGTTTTATTATTAAAAAGAGTTAAATACAAAAAAACCAGATTGAGGCCCGAACGCCTTCTGTGTAAATTTAGAGAAGCAGCCTCAATACTAGCGAACTTTCAAAAGCTGTTTTTGTTCCACTTACGAGAGAGTTTTGTAGGTTGTAAATTTAATCACGAACAACTGCGTTATAGATTTCGTCGAATGGTGCTCTGAATGATGTCCATTCCTCAAATTGGGCAACTCCCTGGTTCACTAGCATGTGTGAGCCGGGTATGGTGTTCCACTGGTATTTAGAGTTTGCCAACTGCATTATTGGAGTAACAGCAGGCTTATATGCTGCCTCTAGAAGCGTTGGAGGGAAACTTCCACGAGGTTTCTTGGACATCAAGGAATCGATTTTACTCAAAAGGCTCTCGTCGATAGCTTTGTCAGCTGGGATACAGCTTACGGCCACTGCAATTTTACCAGAAGATTGTTGAGCCTGTTCTAGTGTGTCAATGACAAAAATGTTGTAGTTTGCGGGGAATTCTTTCTTCAAAGCATGCAATTTTTCTGTGGTTCTGTTTACCACGTAGATGGCAGAGCAACCTAAATTGTGGAGGGCGTAAATTGCCGATCTTGACGTACCTCCTGCGCCAATCACTAATCCGCCGCAATTCGTGAGCTTTCCAGGAACTCCGCTGGCAATGAAAGAGTTCTTGATTCCAAGCCAATCGGTGTTGTCGCCCTTAAACCTGCCGTTTCCCAGAGGAATCACAGTGTTCACGGCACCAATGGCCTTGGAAGAGTCGCTAAGTTCATCCATGTACTGCATTATATCAATCTTCAATGGAATGGTGACCGCTAGACCTCCGAGACGAGGATTGCTCAAAAGCTTCTCATTGACTTCTGAGGCTTCACTTGTTTCGAATTTTTGAAAATGATATGGCAAACCTAGGACCTCGTAGCCTGTATTGTGCAAAATTGGCGACCGAGAATGACTTATTGGCGAACCAACAACGTAGAAGTCCTTCGCAGTGAAGCCTCCTAAAGTAGAATAGATTCGATTAACTTCAGCCAAAGTTAGCTGACCAGGAGCTGACGCAGATGGCAACAATTTCGAGGTCACAGGCGTCAAAACAGTGTTCAAAACTCTTGATATTTTACCGTGTTCCGTCATGTTAATGGCAATTAATGGTTTTGCTTGATGGGCTTCTCTAAAGCTTTCAAGTTCAAAATTGTCTTTGAAAGTTTTAGCGGTGCCAACGAATTTGATTATGTCCACATTCAAAGCTAAAGCCTGATTATAGCGATTTTCCCATTCAGAGTCCGTCCAAGGAAAACTGTGGGAGAAGTCATGATGAGAGCCGATAATTTTGGTTGTGTGCTTTTTGTTTATGACATCGTATTGTAGTTCCGCAGGTGCTGTAAGCTCAAGGTCGATGTATTCGACTCCGAATTGCAATGCAAAGTTAAAAAGCTTACCTAGCTTCTTAGAATCGTTATCTGGAAACTTTCCGCCCTGAGAAACCGTTCTGATCGTAAAAACGATAGGAAGGGAGTCAGTCGCAGAACGCAACAAGGACAGTTGTTTTTCAACATAAGAAATTTCGTACCTTGCCAAAAGGTCAACTCTGACTTCGACAGCGTTGCAGCCATTGACGATAGCAGGCAAGTTACCTACATGAGGCACAAGATCATCAAAAGTCAGACACACGAATGCAGACCGCTTCGAAGGGATTTGAATCTGTTTTTGACCCGTTATTCTCCAGATAAAATTTTCAAATGTGCTTCTGAGTCTTTTAAAGTCAAGCTCTGTAGCACAGTGATGCGAATAAAACCTCAAATTGGCGCACTCATGATACCTCTTCTCTCTTCTCTCCCATACTTCGTTGATGTCATCGACGTAAGCTGGTCTTGTTGGGTCGCTATTCAAAAAGTTGATTGTCTCATCGATGTCGCGATGTAAATGCAGCACGATACCACCATCTGCCGCGTATTTCTTGAGCGCCTCTCTAGACTTCGCAGATTCGACAATGCCTCCTCCAGTCGAAAAGACATAGTCCTTATCACCATAGAGCGCAATCACTTCCTTGAAGATTTGTGCCTCCTGGTCTCTGAAGGCATCCCAGCCTTCGCGAGAGACAAATTCCTTGACAGAACCCTTACCGTACCTTTCTTCGAATACTGCGTCGAGATCTAATAGTTTATAGCCAAGAGCCTCTGCGCACCATCTGCTAACAGTAGATTTTCCAGCAGCTCTCATTCCAATGATAACAATGCCCTTTTTGTCTTTTGCATTCCTTGCAGATTCAAGGGGTTCAGCTCCATCCAAGCTGGCCCCTAACTGGGTATGTAAAACATCCCACCATCCGGGCCAAGTCTTGCCGGTACAATGTCTTTCTAAGATTCTGACAGGCTTAGCCGGCTGCTGTGAGAAAACACTGACAAGACCCGCGAGTAATGAGAAGCTCATAGCAACGCGGTGATCGTCATAAGTATCAATGCTCTGAGAGCCGGTGACACCTTCACGCATTTTGAGGTCCTTCAAAGAAGCCAAACCACGAACTTGAATACCGTCGGGAAGCTCATTAGCACTGACACCAAATTTAGCCAATTCTCTCACCATAGCCAAAATACGATTGCATTCCTTGACGCGCTGATTAGCAATTCCCTCGATAGTGGTAATATTTTTGGATGACGGGTCATCGTCGTGAGCAACGGCAGCTACGACGCAAGCTGTTAAAAACGCATCGGTCATGGGCTCCATGTCTACATGCTTCAGAGGCTTCAAGTGCCCAAGAGGTGGTCCCGTAACAGTTGTAGAAGTTGCCGTTTGAGTAACTTTACAGCCCATTGGTTTCAAGACATCACGCGCAAAACGAGCATCTCCTTGGAGAGACTCTGATCCAATGTTGGGAACGGTCACGGTTGAACCAGTCATAGCAGCGAAAGCTAAGGGATACGTTGCGGATGATGCATCACTTTCGATAACGTACTCGGGTGGATTAACGTACTCAGCCTTTGGAATTAGGTAGGTTTGAGGCTCAGTCTCTGATTCCTTCACCTCAACCCCAAATGTTTTCATCATCTTGATGGTCATGTCAATGTAAAGCTTTGAGATGGCTTTCCCACCGACTAAAGACAGAGTAACGGCTTTTTCAGCATAAGGAGCACACATTAGAATCGAAGAGACGTATTGCGAAGAGACTGTGGCAGCTAGCTCAATTCTTCCTCCTTTGAAAACGGTATCAGTATTTATCTTCAGAGGTAAAGAACCCTCCTTCTTGAGGTAGTCGATACCAACACCATTTTTCCTGAGAGAATCCACAAGAGGTCCAATAGGCCTCTCTTGCATTCTTGCATTTCCTGTCAAAACTACACTCTTCTCGATCGAAGAGGAATTTACCAGAGCTGCCACCGTCGTCAAAAATCTGGAAGCCGTGCCCGCGTTTCCAAGATACAAGGGTTCGGAGGTTGCTTCTAGAGATAGAGCTCCTCTACCTTCAACAACAACGGTCTCTCCATTGTCTTCCCAGGAAATGGAAGCACCCTTTAATTGTTCGACGGCCCGCAACATATGTTTTGTGTCATCGGAGTGTAGCAAATTCTTTATTTTACAGACTCCATTTCCCAAAGCAGCGAGAACAAGGGCTCGATTGGAGATAGACTTTGACCCAGGAGGCGTGATAATCTTTTCCTGAAGACTTTGCTCAGCCGCAAAAGGATAGACGAGGGTTTCATCAGTCAGAATAAATCTGAGGTCTTCATCGCTAACAACATGTGCAGAGGTACCATAACATTTTCCGACAGTTTCGAGCAAGACAACCTTTTTCTTGGATCCGTCGTTTTTTTTATCGATGCTCATTTTTTTGAGTAGAATGTCGAGTGGTGTTTTCTTGTTCAGCGTAAGCTTTCTGAACCATGGTTCATCTGGTGAAATAGGTAGACCATATGCCGCCAATATCTTGGTCAAACGAGCGACCTGAGTAGACGACAAAATATTGTAATAGCGAGATAACTCGGCTTCTTTAATCATACCAATGGAGACACACTCCCCATGAAGCGCTTGAGGGGTCAAAATGGCTTCATAGGCATGCCCGATGGTGTGACCAAAATTTAGCAAATTTCTCAAACCAGACTCCCTTTCATCGGAAGAGACGACGTGTGCTTTAACTTTTATACTTTCAAGCACCAATTTGTAAATATGCTCAGAAATTGAGTCAATATCAGTGACAGAGATTTCGTTAACTTTGCCCGCGATTGCGACTTTGGTCGTTTTGGCACCGTTGACAACCTGTAAGAATTTATCAGCATTTTCTTCCAGACGAGCAAACTCTTCCGCGTTCCATATACACGCAGTCTTGATCACTTCTGCGATACCGTTAATGAACTCTCTTCTTGGAAGAGTTTCCAGCCATTTGATGTCCACAAAGATGTGTTGAGGTTGCCAGAAAGCACCGATGAAATTTTTACCAAGTGGCGTGTCTACAGCGGTCTTTCCACCGATCGAAGAGTCCACCATCGCCAGAAGAGATGTTGGAATTTGAACAACCCGTACTCCCCGCATGAAGGTTGACGCCACGAATCCGATCATATCGCCAATGACACCTCCACCGACGGCAATAATCACTGTGTCTCTAGTACAACCCTCCGTCAGTAAATAATCCTCGATGTCTGCCTTCGTTTCACGACTCTTGTGGGCCTCACCCGGTTTCACGAAATATTCCAAAATTCGAGATTCATCGCTCAGTTTCGAGGCTAACTCAGCTTTGAATTCTGACAAATAAGGTACTTTCTCTACGTTCATGTCATTGATCACAACATAGGTTGAAGAGGGACATGTCTTCAATATGGTTTCCACAATGTATCCATTAATATTTTGGCCAACATGGATACATTCTTTCCCCAGAATAGAAACTCTGGACAATTTCATAGCGGCGAGACAATTAACTAGAAAGACTCCTGCTTCGAAATGATCCGCAATTGATGAAGGGAATCAGCTGATGTGTCTCCTGTCTTTCACCTTTGTGATGGTGAGTTCGAAATTTTTTTGGATTTTCTGTAATTTTTCACCATAACCACCATAGTTGAGTCATCGAGTCATCCGTCATCTGATGACAGTATAAGAGTTCTTCTCAAAGAAGGACTCCCATTCAAAGAAAAAACTTCACGATGACCAGTGTTTGTTCGTCATTTTAAATGCTAGAAATGTAGAATATGGGCCTTGTTCTACCTTGGTGCGGAAAGTTTTTTGACAATAAAATCAATTTCATCATAGTAGATCAGTTCATATCATCAGCTTTTAATTCGGTCTGCCAAGTTGGCACGGAAATTTCCCTTGTCGTAGATGTTTGCCAGCTCCGTATGGTCTTTCACTGTGCGGTAGTTTCCGACACTGTAGACGCGATGATCATAAAGATTCGGGCTGTAGAAGACATATTCTTGACTTTCGGTATCTTGGATTCTGTAGAAGTAGTTTCCCTCAGATGTGACAACAAGTTTGCCCGCGCGCATCATGTCCTGAACCAGCAGCCACTTATCCTCCTCATTCGTGGTCAGTCCGTCTCTCACTAGCGCGTACTGCATGTAAGTGAAGACAGTGACAATGATCGCGAACGCACCAACGAGAATGTCGAGAATCAGCAGTTCGTGAACGTAAACTTTCAAGAGTATACTGGACAAACGGACGGAAGCATACGACAACAATACGGAGTTCGACAATAGGAAAATGTAAAAATATTGATAATTGCCTTTGCCAATACAATTGTTGATCCAGATGCAGTGATGATCTGCGACCAGCGTACACTGGTCGCAAATAGCACAATGTTTAGATCTTGCTGTTTTCTGAAGTTTGCAGGTTCGGCACATGGTATCTGGGAAAAAGAGCAGGTAATCATAAGCTTCATGTGTGGTACTAGACTTCGTAGATGCAGGTTTCACGAGCATACATTGCAGGCCGCTTGCTATTGGTATGAACAACAGGGCTGGCACGACAAAATACGTTTCTATATCAAGCAATTGTTTCGGTATTTCTGGCAAAACGCTCACGTAAAATAGTACACTGCAATATCCGTAAATGCTGGCATAAAATATGGGGACTAGCCAATATTTCCATGTAAGTCTTTTGACATCTTTAAACAGCGGGTGGTAGATGTGCCTATAGTACCAATTGAAAGGTATAGTATATTTCAATAGCGGCGAAAAAACGAGCAGTAAGGCCTGAGACACTATAAGACCCCATATGACGAGCTGCATAAGTGTTCTTGATGTCTTTTCACCGCGCGATGCCTAAGCTCATGAGATCTTGAAAAATCAATATTATTCTTGGTTGGAGCAGGGGACATTACCAAAAGAGACATCAAGAGATTAAAAATCGTTACGCTTAAAATAAGCATTGGGAATGGGTTTCGAGGATTTGGATGAGCTAGAGAGGCTTTTAAACCATCTCCAACGAGTTTCTGCTGGGAAGCAACCGCTTTTTAATACAGTGGTTTTAAACTCTGAAGAAATACGGCGGTGCAGTGAAAATTTGTGGAGTACGAGTGGGACAGAGAAATTTAAAACGCTTTTAGATTTGGGGAATGTGCTTTCAAAGCCTTTAAAATCGGATGCCGCGCTATACCAAGTGTTAGAAAAGCTAAACATTTTGCTTACGAAAGGGCAGGAGGGACCCGCAATGGTCGTGATAGATCCGCTGCTTTTGACCATCGCGGTCCTGGAAATCCTGCTAACAGTTTGCCAGAGTCTTAGTAATAATGCTGAGGTATCGAAGGTACGACGTTCTATAGAAATCTCGATCATCAAATGCATTAGAGTACACTTCATCCGGCAGTACGCCGACCTTCTGTGGGAATTGGCAAAATCAAAAATTTAACAGGTAAAAGTATACAAGTAAATATATGATACAAGTCGTTGAATTAATCTCGTTTACGCTCGCCACAGGTAATCCATAGCGTGTCTCCACAACTTTAGTGCAGTTCTCCGACCTAAAAATTTACCTAAAAGTGGCAGTAAAACCCAATTGAGAGCCTGGCCGAGCTGTTCTATAGACTCTTCCCATTGTTGTTGCGCAGTGAGCAACTGGAGATGATGATTTTCGTCGTCTTCATCTATTTCGTCAGTATATTCGAAATCATCTTCCTCAGTGCCCAAATTTGACAAAAAGGTATCGGAATTTTCGAAATCAGTTAACCTGGCCTCGACTCCCTGTTCACATGCGCTCATGTCACCTTGTAACGCTCCTCGCAGATCTTTCAGTCTTCCCCATGCGTTTGAACTCATTTATACGGTTTGATGGGTCAAACAGCCTTTATTGGATGCTGAAGAAATTGAAAAATCATTTGATCAAGACGACTGAACCAGAGAGGTTCATAAAAACCGGATAAATGCGTAGGGGTGCTCATCTCATAAGGCTCTACAGTGATGCGAGGCCGAATAGCTCAACCCTAGCAAGAAGAATTGCGAAAAGGCTTCTAAAGCCTGCCGAAGGAGCACCAAAGATATCTGCCTGGAAACTGTGGTCGAGCCATTTGCGTAATAATAGCTTCGAAGACCTAAAAAGGCTCCAAGATGATATAATGGAAAAAGTAGTGGTTGCTGGAACCAAGACAAACTCGATGTTAATGGGCGAGATAAATCAATGGCAGTTCACGAACGGCAGCGCCGACATTAAGACTCCGACACTTTTACTTCATGGGTACGCTGCGACGTCAATGGCGTTCCACCGCAATTTTGAAGGTCTCTCTGACTATTTCCAGAACCTTTTCGCTATCGATCTGCCTGCTAATGGTCTCTCAAAATGCGAGCCCCTGGAGTTGCCATACACGGCACCACTGCCTCTCAAGCTGCAGATAAAGGATCGAACGTTTAAGTTGGATTATACTCTGGACTACATGCACCATAAAAGTGTGATACAGCGATTTGAAGACTATTACCTGGACGCCATAGAGCAATGGCGACTCGACAATCGCCTAGGGCCGATAAACCTCATTGCACACTCTTTTGGAGGCTATATCTCTTTCAAATACGCTGTCAAGTATCCCAATTCGGTCAACAAGTTGTGTCTAGTCTCACCTCTTGGTGTGGAGAGAAGCATTTATTCTGTGAACAACCACTTTCGAAAGAACACGCCCTACGATCTGGAATTTGAAAACCCAGCGTCAAAGTTCTACGTGGGTACCAAGTGGGAAATTCCTAAAATCCTCTTCGAGAGACAGACAGCACTTCTCCGGGACCTTGGCCCTTTGGGCGCGAAACTATGTTGGAACTACATAATGGCCGCTTACTTTCGAGTTCCCGACGTCGATTTTAAAAAATACGTCTTTGAACTATTCTATGGGAAAGGAGCCCAGAATCAGATCGCTAAAGACATATTCATTGGTTTATTCTCTCGACGCTTATTTGCTAGGGATCCATTACTCGATGGTTTGCAGTATCTGTCTGTTAATAAGCTTTTACTGCTGTATGGTGAGCATGATTGGATGAATCGATATGCCGGAATGAAAATGACCAAAATGGCTCTCAATCAAGGCTTAGAGGCAGAATACTCCGAAGTAACGTCGGCTGGTCATAATCTATTTCTCGATAATCCAGTAGAATTCAACGACAAAATCATCGAGTTCTTCAGCTGACGGGGACTGTCTACAAGATACATTTCATGATAACAAACACCGACAAGAAAGGAAGCGGGCTCCATATGAAGTCTGCAAACTGATTAATGGACTTGTTTCGTTTACTAAGGGACAGCATAGTACACTCCCGATATCCGGAAAAATTTGGATACTAGAAAGGTCAGCAGCCAAACCGAATTTATGGAAAGAATTTTGAATTCTGAGCATCTCATGTACGGATCCCCGAATCTGGGTGACAGAGAGGGCGCTGAGTTTTATTTATACAAAATGACCTCCAGGTTGAGGCCCGAATTGTTCGATGATTCATTATACTTGTAAAGGTAAGATCTCCCGCTCTTTCTCGAAGAAATCCAAGAAAAGCGCACTTTGATCTCTGCCCTGCGATTCGTCTTCGATTTTCATATATGCGAGCGAACTGTCCACGAACCGTTCAATGAGAAGTTCTCTTACTGCGTGCTCCCCATAAGCGGGCACCACCGCTTTCGTATGGAGATTCTCAGACATCTTAAACAGTCCCATGCTGTTGGAATCACCAAGTTTGGTGCCTTCTGCCGACCCTCTGACTGACAGAGCGTATTCCAGATTTATGACATTCACCGAAGTCAAATGCAAAGACAAAGCCCAAGACACACGATACACATGTTCCAGAACCAATTTTTTGAAACTGTCGTTTGTCACTAACGAAATTGCATCAGTCGACGCCCGAAGTTCTGCAAAAATTGACTGCCGTCTAAGAGAGGGCAGAAGCTTGGCTGCGATCGTTGTCATGAGCTTGACCCGTTGTGGTTTTCTCAAATGATCAGGCTCGCGATGTTCTACATCGTATGGCCACCATGAGGGTCTGGTCTTGTTACCCTTGATGTATGGATACTTGATTTTTTTTTTTGGCTCTATGATCTTGATCCAAGTCTTTGCAATCATTTTGCATGAAAGTTGATTCAGTGCCTGGAACGCGTCGCGCAAAAATTTGTGCACATCTTCCTGATTTGCGAGACATAATTCAGTTTCTCTGTGGGCAGGTAATTGGCTGCAAATTTCTCCGTTTTCGCCGCTGTGTGCAGAGAGAGACGGTGTTGGCATATTAATATTCGAATTATCATACATGGGATGTCCAAATCTCGTCTCGATATTTTCGGAACACAAGATTTTAGGACGTCCAAGCTTCCCATTTTTGCCAGCTGGCTCTTTAAAAAAAATTGCATATTGAATGCCCTCTTTGTCAAACTCTTTCGCTGCTCGTTCCACTGTGATCATTCTACAAAATGAGTACAAAAACCTTAGCAAATCTATGCGAATTTTGAATCAATTTTAAGTATTCTTTCGATTACATGACCGGTATATATACTACTCCACTTGCCAATAGCTTGATAAACCGCCGTGGCTTTACGTATGGCATTGGCTTCAAAGGTGTTTCAAGAGTTGGACCTAGTCAAGATGTCAGTTTAATGATGGTCGAATAACTGTAACAGAAGGGCATCATTAAGGACGTACCCGAATCTTGGTTCAGAGATGAGCTCTTTTGAACATCGATGAAGAGCCAAACCACAGGTTTGAAGGTGTTTCAAGATCTGATTAGAATCTACCATGGATGGTTCTAGTATGAGTGCGCTAATGGTTTCAAGTAATGGTCACTTTCCTGCTACACAGGCGCTACAGCTGTGGGAAAACGGTGTACTGAAGGAAAGGGAAGGATCAATGATGGATGCGATTACGTGCTACCGACAGGCGTTGAAACTGGATGAAGGTGTCGAGAAAACGTATCGGCGTAAAGTTCTCGAGGATTTGCGACTTGCAAAGCAGTTGCGGGAGTTGAAGATTGATAATGGTTCAGGGGGAGACAAGAATGAAGCTGAGACGGAGATAATGGCCGGGGAAGAGGGACATGGTACATTAAAAGACCAAGAAGCGGAAGAAATAAAGCCTTGCTGGATTTTGGATATGTTACCAAAAGAAATTTTGTTGCAAATTGTACACCATGTGGTCCGGACTTCGTCGGAGTCGTGGTTAAACTTGTCCTTGGCGAATTCCACTTTCAATGCACTCTGTTTTGGAGATCCAGCACCTTATAAAACGTTTGCGCACGACATTTATGCGCTTCAACACTACGACGAGGCGTCTATGATGCTGAATGGCGTGTCGAATCTGGATTCGCTTGAGACCACACTTTGGCAAGGTGACTGCGCCAAAATGCTACGCGAGAGGCCATACGTCAAGTTTGAAGGCATCTACATAAGTACCGTGAACTATTTACGCCACGGCGCTAACCCCGAGGGGTCACTGTCTCTGATCAGGCCCGTCCACATGATTACCTATTACCGGTATTTCAGATTTTACCCAGATGGGACTTGTTTGCGACTACTATCCACTGATCAGCCCTCTTTTGTCGTCAAATCCTTCGCGCATGAAAACAATGTTCGGCACGCTGAGATCTGTCATTGGTCTCTCAGTCTGGATGACAACTTCAGCCGATTGGTCATAACTCGCAGTAACGAGAAATACAGGTTTCAAGAAACTTTAGAAATCAAAAATCAGGCACACAAAAGACATCACCGATTTATGTGGGTAGAATCCTGTGCTTTCGACAAAGAAGATAAAAGATTGGACTTCGGAATGAGAAATGAGAAACCTTTCTATTTTTCAAGAGTCAAATCCTATGTTACAAGACAATAGGTTGATTTACATTGTCCATTAGCCTTTTTGCTGTGCATTGATGCTGGATTTATTTGAACTTTATCATAAACTCAAGGAATTGAACTACGTGATCAGACTTGGGTGTTGATGTTGAAGGCTTTTGGTCTGGAGTTGATGATAGTCCCGACTTGAGGTTGTCTTATACGTTCGAGTTGTTGCATGTGAAAATTTCAACTTCTGGTCGGCAACTTAAAGGCTACTTGTCTCATTTGATAGCGAACAAAGGCTTTGGTCGACGCCATTGCCGTGCTTTTAGTCACTGCAGGCCCAATTGGTGGCTTTTGGTATAAAGAATGGACGAACACAATTTTCTGGAAGCTTTGGACTATGATCTTGACATTGATTTCGAAACCGCATATGAGATGATCAATAATAACGGGCCTGAGTTCTTTCTGGAAGAACTTCATGAATCTGGAGAGGGTTCAAAGACTTCAGTCGGTGGTATTGACTCTCTTATATTCGAAGCGGCTGAGCAACAGCATGCAAGCGCCTACGATGGAATCTATGAGAATATTGAAAACGCTACCAGCTCGAAAATACATGCAGAGCCTGAACCGGGACTTCTTACCCACAATGAAGCGCATGCAATTGAACAGTTTCTGGACAGTTTGATAGCATCGGGCGAGAATCAGAATAAAAACTTCAAGGCCAACGCCCTAGATATTCGTCGCCGTGGAGGAAGCGTACTGAACCATGCGCATGAACCGCATGCAGACGAATTACATACACACGTGTCGCATACACACGTGTCGCATACACGCGTATCGCATGCAGACGAATCGCATGCAGACGAATCGCATGCACGAGCAATTAAAATGCTTTCCACCGCAGAGTTCGCGGACACTGGTGTCCATTACGAGACTTCGCAAGCATTTGCTAAATATAATCCTCCGGCATATTCATTTCCTGAATTCACTGTTCTTGACTCCGAAGTGCCATCGGATATCAAAAACAACCACGAGAAAGTAAGGAAATGGAAGCATGTACAGTTAGAGAAGAAGCGCAGGAACGCGATAAAGGAGGGATTTGATACATTAACGGGATTGTTACGATTTCCGCGAGTAAGCGCGGAACAAAGCAACCAACAAGGTAGGAAATCGGATGATAGAAACAAAGAAAATTCAAAAGAAACAAGAAGTAGAAACGCACGAGAGAAAAGGACTCCCAAATATGTCTTGCTGAGTTTTATCGTGGAAGACATAAAGCTGCTCGAAGAAGCGAATCGAGAACTAATGGAAATAGCAACCCGATCTCGTTCGAATCCTTCAACCTAAGCATAAAATCATCATCTGAAACTCTCTCTTTTAGCATACAGGCGATCTTGCCATCAATGCCAGTGCCGCATCATGAATCAAGTTTGTTGGTTTACAAATTTATCACAGCCTCATTAAACGACTCGTCAAAATTACCAATAAATTGCCTATATACAAATTCCCTGACCAAGTGAAACTAGAAGATGCAAAACATTAAAGAACGTCTGTGAAGGTTATGTTCTTCTTCTTTAGTCCATACTCTTTTATAATTCCCAAAATATCAAGAGAGAAAGCACGATTATAAGTTAAGTTCGCGTAAGATATGAGATGCCAGCTCTTTGTACATCCAAGTATTACCTGAGACCTTTTTGAAATGGATACCAGCCAATCCGACTATCCTTACCTTGACGATGTGAATCTCAAATTTCAAAGGAGGTCTCTCTTTTGATTCAGCATTGGTGACCATTTCGTTGTCTATCCTGTTCATGTCTTGGGCTTTAGAAGTAGTCAAGATGTCGTCCTGGTGTAATAGTTCTAATGACGCGGCAGAAATTTCACCAACACTGCCGCTGGCCTGTGTTGGAGAAACAACAGAAAGCTTTCTTTCATGAGTGCCAGCAGCAATTGGAGTAGCGGAAATAGAGGGGTGATTAGTGTGATTAACAGACGTTTGACGCCGCAGCGAGCTTTGACGAGAAACTGAACCCTGGCGGCCCGGAATGGACATGTTTCGTCTGTGTGTACTTCCATCACTTCCAGTAGATGAGGCATCATTAACGACAATCGCTGGTTGTTGTTGTCTCTGGATATGGCCGTGTAGCTGGTTTGGGCTGACGTATGATTGCGTATGAAGACAGACAAACCCACCTTTAACCTCCTTAAATTCGATGTTCAGTTTCTTCAAAACAGAAATAATTTTGTAACGAACAACCGGCAGGGGCTTTGAGGATGTAGTCTGCACTGAAAAGAAACCCTTCAAGAACAAAGAGCGAGGGAAATCGATCGAAGGCATTGAACCCGGCGGAGCCTTTGCTGCGAGCTCTAAAACTTGCTGGTCAGTTAGCTCTGTATTAACCCCATTAGCGGACTCCACATTGCCCATGTAATCGGATCTGCCGTCATCGCTATTTTCAAGGAAGCCGTCGTCGTTCACATCATTTGGTACAGGATAATCATAAGGCACAGGGGGTCTCATATATTTGAGAGACTCACGGCGAGCATGTCCCACAGATTTCGCTCTTGCAGAAGGATGCATTTTGCGACCTTTTGGTACGCCTAGCAGAGGCAAAGGTTTGTCCTCGTCAGCAATGCTTAAACTTTGCATATCGCCTTGGAGCTTCTGTTCATTTTGAATCAGATTCGCAGCGTTTGTTGGTAATGCAGGTAAATTAGAATGTTCTCGGAAAAAAGACTCGTTTTGAGTAGCCGTTGAGGTACTATCATAGCTTGGGAAGTTAGTGGGCGCATATTCAGAGACTGCGCGAGTGTGTGTCTTACGATTATTCGCTGGCATCTCTGAGGGCGATTGTAACTGTGAGATTTTGTGATCAGGATTGACGTGTTGGGTCGCAGGAACCTGATTGTGCCGCCTTTGGGATAATTTCCTCAAGATTGTGCCGAACTTGGATTTTTCAGCACTCCCGCTGGATGGTTCAGTCGGAGTTTGCATTGTAGCAGCAGTAGTTTGGTCAAAATCGTTAGACTGAGGAGTAGGAGACAATACATTGTCCAAATCCACAGAGGCACTTTGGATCTCACTGGGCCTCCGATTTGTAGGAGAGGTGTGTGCTTGTTCCGGGATTGCCAATTTTGGTGGAACCATGATAGCAGGTAGATTTTTCGCAGGGGAGATCTCTGCAATTCTTTTGTTGGATGGAATTTCTGGTATTGAGATATATTGTTTTGGAACTTTGTTTTGTGACGCACCACGGGCATCGTTTTCAAGAACGGCAGGCAGTTCGGCACTCTGGCGGGACTTGTCCTGGGCAGATACGGCCGCCCTCTTTTTCTGTTTGGCCAGCTTGCGTCTTAGCATTTCATCGACAAGATAATATATGGAAAGCAGTGGATGATACGCGCGCGTTGGATCTTCGAAATGTTGCGTGGATTGATTGACAGTATCCCAATATTGCTTAGAAAGTAAACGATATTCGGAACTCGAGATCAGGCTGGTCAACCAGGCAGTTGTTTCGACTATGTCGTCGATAAACTCTAGTCTGTACATTTCTTTGATAACGCTTGCGTCTAACATCTCGGGAGTCAGTGGTACTCTTTGCATAACATAAGAAGGCACAGGAAAATCGTAACCTCTTTGCATCCATTGGTGATTGACAACTTGTTTCAAAGTTGCACGCCTGAAGGGATCAACCACAAGCATCTTAGACAACAGAGAAATGACCTCGATGGACAAATGTTGTGGATAATCGACTTTGCCCTGTTTTATTTTTTCATGCAAAACGCTCGAGTTCTCATCATCAAAGGGAACTTTACCACAAACCAAAACGTAAAGCACTACACCAAAGGACCAAACGTCCACTTCGGGACCGACGTAGGGGCACGCCTTGAGTAATTCTGGAGCTGCAAAATAAAGAGACCCACAAAACGTGTGCAATTGTTTCTTGGGGTCGTACATGTTCGAGAGCCCAAAATCTATGATTTTTATCTCACCAGACGTGGATATCATTATATTTTCGATCTTCAAATCGCGATGGACAATATTGTTGGAGTGCAAATACTGTAGCGCACTGGCGATACCGCGTGCGAACTTACGCGCGTTGCGTTCGCGCAGGGATCCGTGCTGGATGATGTAGTCGAGCAGTTGACCGCCTGACACGTATTCGAAGAGCATGTAGAAATGGTTACTCATAGTACACATCTCGAACAATCGACATATGTGCGGATGGTACAAGATCTGACCCAATGAACTTTCACGTATGGTACGTTTGTCACGCGAGATTTCTTTATCGAGTTTCCGTTCTCGTTCCATCATTTCTTCTTGCGTCTTGGGCGCCGGCAACTGCGCCTCCTTATGCATAAACGCTTTCGTTGCTCGATTCACAATCTTTATCGCACACATTTCGCCTGTATACTTGTGTTTAGCCAACTTCACTTTGCCCATCGACCCAGCGCCCACAGTCTCCAAAAAATCCCAGTCCCCGAGCGATTTGCGATGAAATTGTTTCAAAGCAGCCCCACTACTTTTCCCAGTTGTTTCATGACTCAATTCTACCGCAGGCATCAGTCCAGAGTCCCCATTGGGGGTTGTCGAATTACTCGTGGCGCTGCCATGCTTCCCCATCATACGCGCTGTAGCAGGCGCGGCAACGGCACCTTGTGAGTTCCCACCCATTCGAAACTCCTTAGTAATATGATAGTCGTTGGTTGTCGGCATGGTGGTTCCTTATAAACCTCTTCGACTCCCGCAACGAATCCGTCTTTAACGCTTTTATAGGTCGAACAGCTGCTGTTGTTTATCCCTTTAATTTAATATATCCCTTGCAAACTTGAATTTTTTCAACTTTGCCACTACTACATTATCGTGTTGTACGCGCAAATGGGTAGAAGTGAGTAGAAATTGGGTAGAAATTGGGTAGAAGTGAGTAAAATAGCCGCTGTCACTTTAAAATGGGTCCGAAAAGTGAATGGCTGAGCATTTCATGACAATGGAGCTTTTAAGATGGTTTTTGTTTCGCTACTTTTAGGCCCTTTTTTGCCTTGTTTGAGTTGGAATAATAAGCGTTGACGTGCTCTCACGCTTATAAGTCAGCCATGGGGACATCTCCCGGCTATAAACCTCTCATAATTGGAGCTTTTATATGACTGATCAAACTCCTGAGTGGAGAGAGAAATTCTGAGCAGCTGCTGTTCTTGGAAAAGCAACTTTTGTCGCCAGTCGATTTCTTAGACAGAGTCCGGCTAGGTTTTCGGCAGGGCGAAGGCTGTCGAGCTTCAGTCTGCAGTGTGGGGAATTTTAACCTCTACGTCGAACGATAAAGTCATCACATTTGTTTCGTGCATTTATTTCCTGGTGCCGGAATTCTGTATAGTTGATCAAGGATCAGTGAATGACATCGCCTGGATATCGCCTGCACAGAGTATTGCCTCATTTGGACCAAGAAAGTTACAAGTCGACCAGTAAGGAAGACGTGGGCAGTAGGGATGTGTCGTACGACAGCCATCTCCATATCACTGCCATACTTTGCAGCAACGACGATCTGAGACATCCAGACGATCCTCTTTCGCACGGTTTCGGCTCGAATTTTGACCTTCAAGCGCTGTTCACGCTGTATAGAGCAACTCAACACCTCTAATTATCCCGCCACCGTGCATTGAGACCAACCTGATACTACAAACGCCAGTTCTTGTTGCACAAGTTCCCCGAAACCAACCGTGCTCTCAAACAAATCCAATCCATCAATATCAACGCTTTCTGAACCGGAAGACTCAGATCATGCAAATAAATACTCGCAGTGTCTTCTCCTACTCCCTTCAATTATCAAAACCATTTGTATCATGTTAGATTTCTTCTTTCTCACCTTTTTCAATATTAGATGATGATTGACTTTTGGATTCTTTAACACTCTTAATGCCAAACCAACCGTATTAACATCACCCAGCATGAAAAGAGAGGAAGATGAAGAAATCGCAGCGTGGCAAGACTACGTCGAAGAGGACGTCGTACAGCAGCTACAAAAAGTGGTTTCAACGACAGCTTTAGGATCTCTACAGCAAGAGTTACAACGCGTTTGGCATTATCAATACGTGGTGTCATGGCTATATCTAGTGTGTGATTCATTCTTTACCAAGGAAGCAGGCAAGGCCATGTGGTCAATGATCCAGTTCGACGAACTAATGATGCTACAGGACATTACTATGGCGTCGAGCGACGAAGAAAGCGTTTACGACAAAATCCGAGAGCAAATCTTGAGAACCATCACTCAGAACAAAAACGCGCTTTTGAAAGAATGGGACGTGGCTATAAAATATCATTTGGAACCTGTGGAAAGTCTGAGCTGGTACACACAGAGTTCTGCGCTTTTTGACGATTTTTCGTTGCAAGAGCAGTTCGAAATTATTTACGCATGTGTCAAACACATCGAACGCCGAAGCGTTGGTTTCAGAAACTATTTGAGTGCACACTTGTACTTGTTCCAGTATGTGGAGCTCTCTCTGAGTGATAGAAGCTCGCTATTGGTGTTACCGGCCGCCAAATTAGTGCAAAAAAGACTTGTGTACGCGGAGGGGAATGATTTGAATGTTCCGATCAAACTACGCAATTGTACTGTGAGGTACGAAACTGATGGAGAAGTCGAGGTAAGACATCTTGATTTTGGTGCCGACGTTGATCACTATTTGAATCGGCTTAGTCCCGAATTCTCGCTTCTCACAACGAATTGGGATGAGTTTATCGATTATTTCGAAACCACAGAAGACGCTTATATCAAACAGTTTTTGGCCGGTTTTTTAGCCATGAACGCTTCCAATGAACTCAATTCGCGTCGTTTGCTTCACAATCGCGAGCGTGAGCGGTCAATGGCAGAACTTTTGGTGCGACGCAAACGGTCTTCGCGTCTCGTTGCGCGCGAAGAGGAGTCGCAGCGACGTGTTATAGAAATGCAATGGATCGAAAAGCTGGATGAACGCGATCAGCTGCTGCGCGCACGGCAACGATCTGCTGCAAAGCTTACTCGGGTAGTCAAGGACACAATGTGGTCGCTTTTATGGGACCGATTCGAACAAGATTTGAAAGTCGAAAAACTGCGGCGTAGGCATGAATTGCATGAAACGCAGTCTGCGACGACACCAGAACCCACGCCGTCTCCAGGTCTTGGCGCTAACGGGTTTGCTACGAGTGCGAATACGAACGCGGGCTCACCTGGAGGTATCACGCATATCGACGCCGCGGTACTAGAAACGGGTCCCAAATTCCATGAGCCGCTCGTAAACGTGCCTGAGCCACTTCCAATGGCGCTTGAGGCCACTTCTTTGGAGCTACCAGACCATCTCTTGATCACGAGCGCGGATCTCGGTAACCTGGCGAACCACGGCATCGATGCGTCCAATTATGCACCGGACTCCTCGGACTGGCTCTTCCAATGTCCTTGCAACGCGGTTGCGGGTATTAATCTTGATAACGACGACAACGTTCGCGGTCGCGCCCTGGTGTGCTGCGACGTCTGTCTTCGCTGGCAACATTTGGAGTGTCAGCTGTCTGCATGGCTCGAACTGCAGGCAAAACCCGGAGCTGCATTCAACGGCGGCGCAGAAAACTTGGCTACGGCCGAGCTCGGTACGTCCAGAAACTATAGACGTTCTGCGCGTCGCCAGACTCCTGACGGGCCAGAACACGACACTCAGGACAGGCCCATATCCAAGATGGCCGCCTCGGCCCACACGGACCCATTCATGTGCGCCTGGTGTCTCCAGGAACTCGAGCGTGATATGCGGAACGCATTTGCGCCGGAACTCAAGTCACTGCGCGTCAAACAACAAAAACAGTACGAGGAACGCGAACGTCGTAAAAAACAGAAGGAACTGCAAAAACGCCTCACATCGCAACAGCCGCAGCGGATGCGACAGTCTCAACCGCAACCGAAACAACAACTGAAACCGTCTCTGAAGCGTCAGCCTGTCGCACGCGTACATTCCTCGACCCAAGCTCCCCCACCGTCACCATTCCAATTGCCCTCGCAAAACCATTTATGATGGGTGCTCACGCGGTGCTAGAGGGGCAGACTACGTACGACGAGGCCCATTTGTGTGGTGCGTGGCTCGAAGGACAACCGAAGAGCGATGACTTGTTAAAAAACAGCAGGAAAACCCCTGGAAACCGTCAAAGAACGCTACGAATCCCGAGAAAAGACGGACTGAGAGCACTACCGGAGTACGAGCACCCTTGGCTTCATCGCTACTACTCTAGAACCTTTTGAACCTCTGAATTCCGTCGTTAAAAACATTCTACAAAACTACGCTAACTTGCCCAATATTAGTCCTTTTTCGCCACTGTAAACTCCAAACCGGTGTTAAACCTGCCAGCATCGCCTCTATGTACTTCATATATCAATTGACCCTCATCGCTGCCTCGGCTCTCAGACCTTTCCTCCTTCATAGCGATAATCATTTGCGAGGCCTTTCTAGAGCATCGGAAAAGTGAAAAATTCACGGTTGTAAGGCATCAATTCTTGAACACGGCGAAATCTAGCAGTGGACAAGCCGAACAACGGCGACTCTCCTGACCTCAAACGAGTTCCCAAGATCGCATTACAGTAGTGAAATCTAAATTTCCCACATCTCTTTTTTAGCTATCGATGAACCAACAGGGCTTTGAGCCTAGCAACGAAAACCTGAAATGCTGATGGCTGAACGATACGCGAGAGACAATAATGGAATGGAACAAGCGAGCCGAGTGGGACGCGTGGAGCGTGAGGAGCGTGAAGAGCGCGATAGAGATTCTCTGCGGAACAAGAGTTTCCCAACAGAGCCCGTCCAGATCATCGGTGGACGGAAGCGACGAACTTTGTCATCGGCGACGCATGAAACTACGATAAGCCTGACCCCGTCGATGTGGTCTGTTATGTCACAGGTGCAAAGTCGTGGGAGATCCAAAAGCGAGTGGAGCCGGAGTAGCGGTACTAGCCTTGGTGGAAGTCTCGGTGGAAGTCTCGGTGGAAGTCTCGGTGGAAGTCTTGGTGGCAGTTACAAAAGTTTGAGAAGCAGCGACCGACGAAGCCGGTTTTCATTGACGGAATCCGAGAATTCGTATCGATCCCATGATGAAACGATTTCTGGCTGGTTTGATGCCCTCACGGGGGTGCATGCGCGACGCCACGAGCGTAATGGACCAGAAGATCCGCTCTCTGGAGCTCAGATTCCCGACATCCATGAGGCGTTTTTAGCCGACGTGTCACCGCCCAAGCGATCAGAACCGCCCGTACGGATTTTCAATTTGCAAGATCTGAACCTGGCTGACGAGTTTGCGCCCAAGGATTTGCTACAGGTCTTCCCACCCGTTTTTCAGCGACGTCGTTTGCGTGACTTGCGTCGTACGTCTGTTGATCTGACAATTGATGCCGCGAAACGCGTTGGGCGCGCCCAACTGTCGCAGAACCTGCGGCAGCGGCCCGTGCCACTCGCGTATGAACAAGACAGCGTCGAAATGGAGTCATGGCCCGAAAACAGCGGTAACAAGAACCCCAAGGACGTTGCGCAAACGTCACCAGAACGCTTGGATGTCGTCCCCGAGCCCTATACGGAACAACCGGTACGGCGTACGCGCCAGCAGCGGCTGAACCCGAATTTTCTGCGGCTGTACGCGATGGAAACCTCTGGCAAGATATACAATACGATCCCAGACCTGAACGTCGACGAGCACGTTCTGGCCGGGCTTTCATTCAGCGACATCTGGGCTCTGGATATCCCGGACTCGATCAGCGCCGCGAGCCTGTCACGGCCCGTTAGCGGCTACGAGATCAAGCTTGCACTCATCACACGTAAGAAACTTTGGTCCCAAATGGTCGCTGCACCTCGTGCGGATCTCCAGGGCGCCAGTGCCCCGTGGACGATCCCATTTTCGCGCACGGACGACGACGCCCCGTTGCAACAGGGCGTCGAATCGCTGGTGCGCGTCAACTCGGACCTAAAGCCCTGGACTGCCCATTCTACTGCATCGCCCATGCTACGACCCTGTGGCCGTATCGTACTCACTAAGTTCCGTCCAGGCCATCCTACCAAGGAGCTACAATACGTGGTCAAGGGCTGGAGCGATTCGCGCTTCAGCATGTGAGCCACGTCGCACTACGACTCACCTCGCAAACAGATCCACACGTCCAAATCCCTGCATTATCGCATTTTCGGCCTGCTACTGGCACCGACGGCCCATATATATTCCTACAACCTGCATTATCGCCCTGCATACTTTATTAGTGGTCCAACGATCCACTGACTATCCACTGACAATCCACTGACAACCCACTGGTTCCCACCGGTTCCCACCGGTTCCCGCCGGCTCCCCTCTGGGTCCCCCACGTTAACCTGACAAAACAAGATGAGCGATAACTCCTCCGAGTCTGATCGGATTTAAGATCTTAAAGTCGGCACTAAACTACAATCTATCTACGATAACGCTGCCGCTGACACTATGGCGTGATCGGATCTATTTAGATCGCTACAACTGTTTTTTTGGTTGCATCGATAACTATGGTGGTTCCTTCAGTTCAAGACGGTGATATTTTTCAAGACACCCGGATAAAGCCACAGCGGAAAATGAAATTCCAAGAAAACCAGTAATATCACTAGATAAGGTTCTAAATAAGCTGAATACACACAACTGGTTCGGATTTAAGGTCACCAATTGGGCGTATAAAACGGAGCGCGAACCGGGCTGCAGGTCAAAAACTTTTGCCGCGAAGAAATCCGATTAGGGCTGATAGAAAAGAACCAGTAATGACTTTACAATCTGCAAACAAGATAAGATCAGTTGCCGTGATTGGAGCCGGCCCGGTCGGTGCAGGAATCACGAAAGCGCTTTTAAATGAAAAGTACTTTGACAAAATCCAAGTTTTTGAGAAACGTGGCGGATTTGGTGGGCTCTGGAATTATACAAAGCCCATCTTCAAGCAGAAAAAGGTGACATCTTGCCCACAGATCCCATGTGAGTCCGCATGGGAGCGGCTGGAGCCCTTCGTGCACGACAAACATGGTCCCGTGTTCCAGACGGCCGTGTACAAGTATCTAGACACCAACGTGCCCAAGCAACTGATGGAATACGACAGTTTCCCGTTCCCAGCCGACGTTCCGCTCTTTCCCAGCCGTGAACAGGTGCTCGAGTACTTGATTAGGTACTCGAGACCTATCGAGGAACACGTGCGGTTCAACAGCGAGGTTATCGAGGTCGAGTACAACGACGAACGTGCCAAGTACGTGCTGTCAACGAAAGACGTTGTGGCGGGCGGTGTCGAGCGGTTTGAGTTCGACGCGGTTGCGGTCGCAACCGGGTTTTACGATCTGCCCTATGTGCCTGACCGCCTGGGTCTCAAAGAATGGCACGCCGCGTACCCGGACTCTGTGTCGCACGCAAAGGACTTTGACGCCCCAGAAGACTTTGCTGACGTCAAGGGCGAGATCCTCATCGTGGGCAACAGCGCGTCGGGCTCGGATCTAGCCTTTGAGCTTGCCACGACGCTGAACAAGCGCATTTACAAGTCCAAAAGAAGCGAATCCGCACATCCTGCGGGTTCCGATGACAGGATCGTTGACGTGCTAGATGTAGAGTCATTTGACGCCACAAACAAGTCAGTACGCTTTATCGACGGTACCGTTGTCTCAGGCGTCGAAAAAGTTGTGTTTTGCACGGGCTACCTCAAATCGCTACCATTTTTGCCCTCGGCCGGCCGCACGACAAGCGCGGCCGCGGGCGCAAGGCCACCTCCCGCCAATTCCGGAAACTCGATCCTTGCGTCTCTGATCACCTCGGGAGCCCGTGTCCACAACTTGTACAACCATATCGTCCCGTTCGATCTTCCCACGTTCGGTATCATTGGTCTACCCAGATATGTGCTTCCTACGCGACTGAGCGAGACTCAGGGTGCATGGCTTGCACGCGTTTGGAGTGGCCGCGTCACCCTGCCCGCCAAGGCCCTTATGCTTGAATACGAGCGCTGGTTTACCGAGCACAACGGCGACAACGGCAAGTTTCACGACCTGTTGTTCCCGTTGGATGTGCAGTACTCGCAGCGCCTGAACAAAGAAATTGCGACCGCGGGGAACGGTGGCTATTTCGGCGTCCAGTGGGACTCAGACCAGATTAAACTTAGAAGCTCTATAAAGCCTCTTAAAGAGGGCTATCTCGAGTACCTCAGAAGTACCGGGAAAAAGGCTCACGACATCCCAGAACTGGAAAAAGCAGGCTATTTCCAGTGGCCAAATGACGCCCTCACCAGCGTAGAAGTGCCAACACTCGCACCATAGCTAACGTCGACGTTACGCTACTATTGACCTACCATTATACCAGAGAGGCCCTCTTTTATAGAACACGTGATCTTTCTACCAATGACAATCAAGTTAAAGGTTAAATAAACTCATCTTATAAACATCCACAATTCTCGGAGTTTCGAAGTTCAAGCATGAACAACTTTGACAGTACGTTAACTAGCTAGAAGTGTAAGCTTCCCTCGTTGGCGTTAAATCTGGTAAAAATAGCTACTAACTCGTGTCCTTATAGTTAGCTTCTTGGTTGTCGTGAAAAATGGTGAAGTTATATCGAGATACTACAAGAGTGAAATAGGTCACTACGGGGCGACCGGAAGGGTTACCGGAAGACCTGGCAAGGCCATCAAGCCAGAAGTGTTTGAGCAACTCGTGCAAGGCATTGTGATTCCGAAAGTAGTGCATGTGGACGGTAACAAGGTGACCAAAGTGTCTACGAATCTGATAGAGGACTACGAGTGTTACTACGGCACAGCGAAGAATGGGGACGTTCTCGTGGCGTTCACTGAGAAGGAGGTGCCTAAGATTCTGCCGTTGCGAATTCTAACGGAGCTCAAGGCTCTGGATAACGACACGGACGGGAAACTGGCGCGGAACGTCGCAACTGTGATACAGCAATTCAAAGAAGAACTAATGTCGTACCATGACCCGGGGGTCGCCGAGGCAACCGAACAGGATCTGCAGGACATCATCCAGGTGATGAACGACAATATCGACAAGTTTCTGCAGCGACAAGAATTGGTCTCGTCGCTTGTAGATCGCACTTCACAGCTGAACCAGTCTAGCTACAATTTTAAGCGGAAAGCGGTACGGATCAAGAGGCGAATGTGGTGGCAGAACGTGAAGCTGACGGTCACAATCGTGGTTGTCGTGGTGATCTTGACTGCCATCATTGTGGCAATTGCACATTTTTTGTGACTACGAAAACGAGATTGGAAGGGTAATTCGGGAATGCTTTTGTTTTTCTAGGATTATGTAGTGAAATAAGTGTTACTCATCGGTCCTAGGCCGTTTGGCCGCACCGGCTTCGTCGTTGTCGATGTTATCGTCGTTGTCGTCGTTGTCAGAGTCATTGTCGATGTCGTCGTCAACATCTGCTTCGTGAGCTCCCTCTTCTTCTTCTTCTTCTTCGTCTTCTTCTTCTTCATCGTGTATCTCTCCCTCTTCATTTTCTGGCACTTCCTCTCCCTCTTCTTCTGCTAAATCATCCTCTTCCTCCATTTCGTCCTCGTCGTTTTCGTCGTCGTCGTCTTCTTCCGCGCCGTCAACATCTTTCATCTCTTGATCTCGATCCGTTGTTACAACTTTTGCGGCTTTCCGCAGGTTGAGCATCTGCTGGTACGCCTCGACCTTCTCCTGGACCACTGGCTTAATATCAACGAATCCAAGTGCCACCAGGGCCTCTAAAATGTCGGTGACGTTGCAATTCTTGCGGTCTTGGGAGTGGGCTTCTTCGCGGGCGTACATCAGCAAATGGTTTACGAACACCGTAGCCGATCTTTGAAGCGCGGTGACCGCGTCTTTGGATAGTATGAGCTTCTTCCCGGTCGACTCTGCGTTTTCGTCTATTCCAGGCGTCGCTGCTTCTCGGGCAAGAGCCATTATAGTGCTCTTGGGAAAAAGAAGATCATCAATAGATACATTTTCTTGGTCTTTGGCACTTCCTGTACCTGCACCAACGTTTTGTGCGTCCTCTTTACGACTTTTTGGGGCCATTCCTGTGCAATTCCTATGTAGTCCGTTTTTGGAGTCGGTAACTCGCTGAGATCCTGAATTGACGCCTGTTCGCGCTATGAAGCCCCAGTAAAAAGGAAAACTGCTCAACCAAACAATTTGAACGCGCTGACTGCACTTTTAGACTCCGATTCGTGGCTCAAAGGTCGTTTTTGGAAGTTTTTTCGCGATAGTCACCTTTCTAAGAGTTAAGTAATTTCATCAAGAGCTACTTTCGTGATATTAGAAGAATATGTAAATTGTCACGTTTGAAGGAGATACACTAATTGACAGCGAAACGAGTCATACAAGCTTCATTTAGCGTCACGAAATTATTTGCGGGCCTCCTGCCGCCATTGATACCGCTTTCAGGGTTTTCCAGGCGATTAGATCAACTACTTATAATGACTACGAAAACTTCAAAATTCCGTGGTTGAAACCGTTGTCAGGCGGCTTGTTCGAGACAATTCGATGCGATGATCGACTTAAAGCATTAAAATTCTGGTAGTACCTCGATTGAGATTCTCTCCGGATTGTTGTTTCTCATACATATACCCATCTCTTACCGTCTAATACCTCTGAAGAGCTCTGTTGGAAAATTGAAAAATTTTGGTGATGATCTTCGTAAGCTCATCGCATGAATATATCGACAAAGTCGCTTAAAACAAACATGATAAGAGCTGCTGTGGCCAAGATCAAAAGGCGCCTATTGCAGCAGAAGCCCCAGCTTGATATCGACAAGTTTTCAGTTGTCACAGAGGGAAAGGCTTCTATACTTTTCCCAGAGAAAGAAACGGTTTTCTACAACCCAATCCAGCAGTTTAACAGAGATTTGAGTGTAACATGCATTGAAGCATGGGACAATTTGTATGGTCAACCACAGCGATCAAAGCGAGGTAAGAGCAAGAAAAGAGCATTTGACGGAGGAAAATTGGGCACTAAGAGAAGAAAACTTGCAGATGGAACCCCAGAACCGCAGGATAATGATGCTTATATCAATATTCTGGAGGCTCTGTCTGCGACAGGGCTGCGTGCTATTCGGTATGCGCGCGAAATTCCAAACGTTAAGCAAATTGTCGCCAACGACCTGCTTCCGCAGGCCGTTGACTCAATCAGGCGAAACATAGAGTACAATGGGGTAGCTGACAAGGTTACAGCTAACCAGGACGACGCGAATGTCTTTATGTACAAAAGCAAAGCCGTCAACAGACGTTTCCATGTCATAGATCTTGACCCGTACGGCACCGCCACTCCGTTTATCGATGCCAGCATGCAAACCATCGAAGAAGACGGGCTGATGCTCGTGACTTGTACCGATTTATCCGTTCTTGCAGGAAACGGGTACCCTGAAAAGTGTTTTGCGCTATACGGCGGCGTCAACATGGCAGGCCACGACGCTACGCACGAAAGCGCGCTGCGGTTGGTCTTGAATCTGCTGGGCCAGTCTGCTGCGAAATACAAGAAACATATCGAGCCACTATTATCGTTGAGCATCGATTTTTACGTGCGCGTGTTCGTCAAAGTCAAGACAAGCCCCGCGGAGGTCAAGAACTTGCAGCACAATACCATGCTCACCTACATGTGTTCTGGGTGCGGGTCGTACTATAACCAACCTTTGGGACGCCAGAGCGAGCGCCAGTCCAAAAAGGGTAAGCCCTACGTCAAGTACTCGTTGGCGCAAGGTCCACCGGTAGACCGGCGATGCCATTTCTGCGGTGGTGCGCACCATGTTACTGGGCCCATGTACGCTGGGCCTCTGCACAACAAGGCTTTTATAGACGAGGTTTTGAGAATCAATAGAGACGTCCACACTGACGAGACTTACAAGACGCGCAAGAGAATTGAGGGAATGCTGACGTTGGCCCAACATGAGCTCGACAATCCGTTTTATTTCACGCCAAACAGAGTCTCGTCGATTCTCAAGTTCCAAGTACCGAGTTTGAAGACGGTGGTGGCTGGTTTGGGTTCATTGGGCTATAGTTGCTCTCTGACGCACGCACAACCTTCATCGCTCAAGACCGATGCACCTTGGGACGCTATTTGGTACGTCATGAAGCGTTACTGTCTGGACAACAACCTGTGCAACGTCGAGAAACTGAACAAGAACAGCTACGGCTACAAAATTCTAACCAACGAATCTATTTCTAATGGCAAAGGGTCCGATACGTTGTCTTTTGATCCTAACGACCAAAGCGGCCGTGTTGAGTCGCTCAGAAAGCTTAAAATCGTTAGATATCAAGAAAATCCTACAGAGAACTGGGGCCCAAAGGCCCGTCCTCACTAGAACAAGCAATGCTGGCTTAACGCTGAACCGTGACATCTCTCAAGCGGAATCACAGGCTTTTACTTTTTTTTGATTTTGAAAGGTTTTGAATTTCCAGTATTAAGGTTTTCTCAGTATAGAGTGGACCCATAACAACACCACCTTACTACAACAGATATCACTAGAATCAAAACTTCATCAGCCAACTATCAGACGAACGGTTTATCGTCTGCCATAATGTTGATACGTTCGGTATATATTCACAGTTATTTAAGGACGTTACACGGTAACGATTAGGAGTTACTGGAGAGGAAACTGTATAGAGCCTGAGCACTTCCAAATTGCCATCGGTTGAAGTAGAGTCATTGAAAGAAATTTTCATGGACGGGTGGCTGTTTGTGGGATGGCCCTAGCGCGTGTCTTCACCATAATCGGTGATTAGTTTGTCGCTATCACTTCATGGCTTGCAGCCATATCCCCGTCATCGGTCATTTGAATCCAAAGAGAAGACATTAAAAGGGCAGCGCGATAGTGACAAGATCGGAGATTTTTCGCGCAATTGAGATAGCAGTGACATCAAGGATCCAAGATGATGGGTTCCGAGAATGATTCAGATGAGAGTAGGCCCTTTTTGGTGCCAATTGATAAGGACAGACTCCAGGATCCTACGAGTGACATTGCCGGGTTTGTCGCTAGCGAACTAGAGCAACAAGAAGAACGGTTGGTGGATCATGAACAAGAGGGTTATGGCGCGTTGCCCTCCGAATCTGGGCCTGAAAATACCCAGTTTTCGTTTTATCGTACCCAGCTTATCATGACTTCGATGTATCTAGGGATTTTTTTAGCAGCCTTAGACAACACCATCCTTTCGACGCTTCTCACGCACATAGCATCGGAGTTCGATGACCTGCCCCGAATTTCCTGGATCGTCACGGCGTATTTGCTGGCTAGCGCGACTTTCCAGCCATTGTACGGTAAGATTTCCGACATTTTTGGCAGGAAGCCGCTTCTGCTGTTTAGCAACGCTGCGTTTGGCATTGGATGCCTAATCTGCGGGGTGAGTCATAACCTCTGGTGGCTAACGCTGGGTAGGTTCGTCTCGGGCATTGGCGGCGGCGGTTTGTCGTCAATGGCCAGCATTACTACCAGCGATATCGTACCGTTGCGTAATCGGGCTTTATATCAAGGCTTCTGCAACTTCTTTTTTGGTCTGGGCACCGCGTGTGGAGGGCTGGTTGGAGGCTGGTTCACGGAACACGCAGGAGGTTGGCGGATTTCGTTTTTGGCTCAGGTCCCTGCATGTGTTTTCAGCTGTGTGCTTATTATCTCGTATTTGAACTTGCCCCAGGACAGAGTGCGGAGACAAAATGGACATTGGAGAAAGAAACTATTGAGAGTGGATTGGACTGGGTCATTTACCCTGGTGTCGTTTTTGTTTTCTTTTACGCTTGCGACGTCGCTTGGAGGTAAAGAACTGCCGTATGGCTCACTCGGGTTCGCTTTGTTGGGCGCTGCGATTGTTATGTTTGGTGGGCTGTTTGCATACGTGGAGTTAAAGATCACTAAAGATCCAATTCTGCCCATAGGATTCTTGCGGGACAGGAGCATCCTGGGTTCGAGTTTGGCCAATTGGTTTTGTACTATGGGCATGCTCACGACGTCATTCTACTTACCGGTCTACTTTGCTAGTGTTCTCGGAATGGGGCCTACTGACGTGGGCAAAAGATCGATCCCGAGCTTTTTCAGCATTGCGTTTGGGTCCCTGGGCGTGGGTTATTACATGAAGCGTACAGGTCGTTACTACAAGTTTTTACTTGCGTTTTGTGGGGTCGCACTTGTGGGTCAGTTGCAAATCAATCTCATAACGCCTTCGATTGCTGTTTGGCGTCAATACACGCTTTTGGTTGTGCCCGGTTTTGGAGTTTCGGTGTTGATCACGGTTACATTACTTGCCATGATCGCAGCAGTCCCACACGAACACCAGGCCGCTACAACGTCGATCTCGTACGCATTTCGCACTACGGGCTGCACGTTGGGCATTTCCATTGGTGCTGCTATTTTTCAGAAGTCGCTTGCGTCGTTGCTCAACGACAAAGTGATGAGGTTCGCGTCTGAAGGCCACTCGAAGGAAGAGTTAATGAAGATCATTCGCAATGCGTCCCATTCGTCAGAATGGGTGCACGAAAGTGCTCCAGAATTTGTGCGCGCTACGCTTCTCGAATGCTACCACTACGCCTGTAAGTCTACGTTCAAGTTCTGCATGGCCTGCATGGTGCTAGCGTCGCTCTCGTGTTCCATCATCAAAGAGTACAAGCTGCATACGTCCATGAAGCGAGACAACTAGGTAGTCAAAAGCTAGCAGGAGATAAGTACCAGTACGGAGAAACCGCTGTCAAATTCCCTCGAAATGCCATCTCCAATTTACAAGCCTTTACCAAGAGCGCCTCTCACGACCTCATCGAAGGCGGTTATCACTTCGATACTAGCCCAATCATCGCCACAAATTTCTACAAAAAAGCAGCAACAGAGCTAAACCGTCGCTATACTTCATAGACCCTACAATACAAATCAGGTTCCTCTTCTGGGACTACCATGCCACTCGTTTATTACATATTACTCCGGTAGACCGTTCTTCCAAGGTAGCCCGCCCCCACTCTCTTTTCACGCACGGTCTTGGGTACCCAAACATGGAACCGATCGGCGAGAGCGTTGTGGAAACACTGGACGCGCGAAACAGAATAGAAACGAACCAGAAACAAGCACGTGACCCTCTTGTTTCGTTTGAAATGAGAGAAGCGGAAGGAAGTAAAGTTGGATTGCAATGAGCGTTGTGGAAACGCTGGACGTGCGAAACAAGTTAGAAACAAACTGGAAATGCGCAGGGTTCGTCGCATTTACGTCGCATTATTGGCTTGGTAGTCTTCTACGAGAGTGGCTTCGAATCTACATGTACTCTTGAACCCCGATATCTCCGCGCCGTCTGTAACGAGAACTAGTAGCCCTTTGTGGTGCATCTCAAGCAACTCCGGTTCCTACCTGTCTTTTCTCTTTGAATGCCGAAAACTCCCGATAGCTCCTTACGGATCACACCATTTTCTTTCGGCAGGCAACTTGCCACAGGGCTGCAGCGGCGCTTTCCACTGGCAACCAGCGAAAGCTGTGGTGAGACTTTTTTGTAGGTGGGACCATTTCGAGCAAACAATCATCCCATCCCCGCACTAATTCCAACTCTACATGAGGTGATCAATGTATGTATGTATGTGTGGTGCCATTTTCTAACAGGGGGCTCAAATGTCCGGTGCTATTGTGACTGGAAGATCCGCTTGGTAACCTGATGTGAAATTTTTGTACAGCGAAGCATATAAGGATTGGGTTTGTACCTTGTTTGTAGATACGTTTGGTAGTGTATTGTTTGTTCTACTTATTTTGTTTATTCTGCTTATCCTGTCATCAGTCTACCAATCTCATCGGGCCTCTCCCATCGATAGAATTTACAAAAACAAAATGTTCACTAGTCAAGTTTTGAAATCCGTCGCTGCTCTATCGCGCTCTCCAGCCGTTGCTACTAGCGCGAAAACCAGCTCCAAAGTTATATTGAGAGCTTCGCGGCGCGGACTGGCCACGTCGTGGTTGTCTTCGGAAACCAAGAGACTGGGGCCAACCCTTCTTATTTGGGGCGGATTTATGACCGTTACCTTCGGCTGGCCATTCGCTGTCAAGGAATTCAGCCTTGCCGGGTTGTAACTGGACGCTGCGAAGAAACTATATATTCAAAAGTAAGAGCGAGGAAAATCGCTCTTAGATATGTACATGTACTAATTCTAATGTGATATGAAATTCTGACGAAGTCTTAGCGATATAAAAGCTATTATGGTATTATTTACGACGCTTTTATTTAATACATGGACCGTCCTTCTAGCATAAGAAGTATCCTCTTCACAAGTCCCACTTGGAAAAATCCGGCATTTCTATGTGGAAAAAGGGCGTGTTCGTACCAGACGCCGCGCTCAACTTGTATTTGGAGTCTACAGTAAGTCCCGTTTCTTCGTCTGCGACCCGAGACCTCACTGCGTGGTAACTAGTGTGGCCCGCGATGAGAGATTCGTCAGCGAATTCTTCGCTGACAACGCCGAACCCAAACTTTATAAGTGCTCTTTTAATCCAGGGCGATATTATCCCGCTGAAATGAAATTCTACTTGTCTGTCAGCGTATTTGTTAACGGCCTTGCGCAGATCCACTAGGGTCTGTATTCCCGTCGAGTCTATCTGAGTCACCTGTGACCAGTCCATGGCAATGATCCGAAGCGTTGGCCTTGGATCGGCCGCTATGTCACTGAGACGCTCTCGGTAATCTTTCTTCAAGATGTACTTTTGCACCAAGCGCGGAGGCGTCCAGACGCCAGGGTCGTTCCAAGGCCGCAACGCAGCACTGCCGTGAACATATATCTTACCCCGTTTGGTTTGCTTTTCCACTTCGCTGAATATCGCATCATATTGTCTGGAACAATTCACATAGGTGAAGCTCTCGCTTGGTCTATAGACAATAACGCCAGGTGGGGGCGGCAGAACGTCGATCTCTGGGTTGAGTTCGCGCGAGTATTTGTGTTTCAAGGGCACCCATTTGGTATGAAATACTACACTGCTGCCGTTTTCGAAAGAGTTCAAAGAGGACTCTCCCTCCGAGCGCGAGTAATTTTTGATTTTGGTGGCATCTTCTTCGCCATCTTTGGCTAGAACCCGAACCGCATTAGCTTGACTGATATCAACGATTTTGACGTCAGACTCTTGAACATGTGCATTGACCACTTCTGCAATCTCAACACGGCCCAAGAATTGACCACTTGGGAAAGCAACCTTCAACAAAAGCATAGCGCAAGACCAACACATGGCAAAGTAAATGCCGTCTTCGATGGTCGCAAACACTGTGATAAAAACGGTAACGATAAAACTGATGAAATCCAATGGGTTCATCTTCCAGAAATTCCAGCTAGTCTTGTAGGAGGCCAAGAGATCGCTGACGGCATGAATGATGACAGCGGACAATGTAGCCTTGGGGATATAGCGGAACGCCGTTGTCAAACAGTAGATAGCAATGAGAACACAGCATCCAGAAAACAGTCCAGAAAGAGGTGTGCTGACGTTACACTTGTGCTTGAGAGCGGATCTGGAGAAAGATCCCGTGGCAGGGTACGCATTGAAAAAAGTGCCGATCAAGTTCGTGGCACCGATGGCAACCAGCTCCTGATCAGGGACCACTCTGTAATCACTAACTCTACCGAAAGCCTTTGAGATGGCGATGTGTTCCAAAAGCAGAACGATGACGGATGCAGGCAATTCAGGTGCAATCTTAGAAGCGAGCCCCTGAGGAAACTTCATAAGTCCAACATGCTTTAAACCCGAGGGAACCTTTCCTAGCAAAGAAATCGGAGCCTTCTTCTTGTGTCTACTGATCGCCCAAGCAATAGCTGTGAACACAATGATAACAACCGCATTTCTGATTGCTTGCAAATAGAAGAACACCTGCATCCATACCTTTTTCGTCCTGCTCTGGGGGCTGCAATACCTGTTAACCAGCTTTGGACCCCCAGTGTTACAGCCCCACTTCCAGGTGTAGAGCAAAACCAGTGGGATAAGACCAAAAACGGCGTCTAGCTTGGTGTCGGGCAAATGCTTCAAACTTGAAATCACAACCTTGTAAGTGCTCTCTCGCGTGTTTACCAGCTTACCGTAGCCCATAAGTGCTGGAACTTGGCCCCAAATGATGTTAAATGCTGAACCGGTCATGAACCCGGAAACGGCTGTCAAAGAGATCAATTCCACCAAAAACCCGAGTCTCAAGAGTCCCAAGCCGATAGATATGATACCACACAATAAGGCCAATACGGTGGCAATCTCAGGGCCGGTGATGGTGGTATCAGCTGGTAGTCTGGCCATAACTCTAGTAACGACCTTGGCAGTTTCCAGAGACATGACGGCCACTGGTCCTATGCACACGTCCTTACTAGTAGCGAAGAAAGAGTAGATGAACGCACCGATGAACGATGAGTAGAGACCATATTCGGGGGGCAAAGTTGCAATCTGGGCGTACGACATCGATTGAGGTACCAAAACGCACCCCACGGTGATCCCCGCAACCAAATCTTGGTAAAGCCAGCGCAAATTGTAGTGTGGCAGCCATTTCAAAATGGGGAACAGTTGGATGAAATAATCAATCACCGTCTTGATTTTAAAGTAGCCTCTCCACTTGTAGTCAAAATACTCGGGCAGTCCAACGGTGCTTTCGTGGTATTCGGGCAATTTGACCTCAGAAAGCCCATTCCTATTCCCGTAGTATTCAATCACTGTTTCTCCGACGTCCTTCTTGAAGTTGTCAAGGTCGCCGTAGCTGCCATCTGCCCTTTGGTTTGCGCTCCGGTTCTCGGTCACGCCATAGACTTCTTGTTCGGACTCAGCCGCCTTATAACGTCCGTATTCGGCTTCCAATTCGTCCAAATTGGTTAACTCTTGGCCCTGTCGCGACGCTGACGACTGCCAGCGATCCTCGTCGTGAATTTCATCTCTTCCTGTCATTTCTAGCAACTAAAGCCCAAATGGGAGATTTTTCACTAGCACTGCTTCGATTGATCAAGACAGATCGTTCCTCGTCGTGCAACGCCGCTCTTGCCATTTATAGAAGAACAATTGAACAAACTAATGCATCTTTGCAAACCTTCAACGACCCCACACCACAGTTATGGCCCTTCTCAATTACTCATCCACGCCAGTGAAGTATGCAAATATCTCGGCTCGAAGACACTGACGTTCGTACACTGTGGCGGTCTTAAGCGATTATCGTGCCCCGCAAACGAAAAGTCACCTGCCTTGGCCCACCGATGGTGGTGGTGCTTTCACGTGAATGGCAATTGCTTAGCAGATCATCACGTGGATATTCTGGCATTATCATCAAATCATGTGATATTCAAAAAGCCTTAGTTCTGCGTTTCTGTCAGAGACTAAAGCCAAGAGGTGATGCTGGGAAAAGCGAATACTGGAGATACCTTGAGCCGGTTCCAGAGTGGACTTTCGTGGACTGGTAATCCGGACGGAACCGTCAATTGTGTAGTTTAGGGTAGTCGAGGTTAATTTAGAATCGCCATGTAGAGCCAGAACGGCAGGTTCGTCTGGTGAAAATTTCGCGTCAGTGAACAATTCGCGCGATTCGGTCTTGCCGGATGTTCCTTCAAGTAGCGGTGGTATGGTCCGGACGTACTGGCTTGAGCGTAATTTCATGGTAGAGTTGGCTCGGGAAATGGCATGCGAGATGATGTTAAGCTCAGAATGACCCGAGTTTGTGCAGAGAAGCATGAGATCGGACATGGGCGTCATTTGGACATCGAAGACCATCGAGGGAGCTTCTTCCCGTAGCTGAATTGGCTCAGAAACGGTTATTTGAGCCAATGTCCAGCGTCGTGTGTAGTTTTCGTAGAGGACCTGGACGTTGGCATCCAGGGTTTGTGCCAGCGATTTGAGCTGCGAGTCGCAGCGGTCAAACAGCGCCGTAGACGTAAACGAGTTCGACAGGAAATGCAGGATCTTGCGCGGCGTGAGAACTGGAGCTGCCTTTCGAGTGTAGTCCTCGTCGAGCGCTATGCTCACGGTGTCGTGAAACCAAGCCGCAAACGGTACGCGGAAGTTGGCATGCAAGTTTAGCTCTGAAACCAAGGAAAACGTGAAGGTGAGGGCGTCTCTGCAGGTCGCGATCAGTTCGAGGGCTTCGGACGCTTGCAGCGTCGCCGCAGAGCCACCAGATACAACGCCGGACGCGCCAGCGTGACTGAGTCCAAATTTTAGAAGCCGCAGAGCTTTAACGAGACCGTGAAATCGTTCTGCAGAGACCGTAAGCTGTTCCAGAGCCGGTATGAGCGCAAGCACGATGATTTTGTTCGTCTCGCTATACAGTCGCTCGCTGAGCTGTTGCCAGCGTCGCAGGTTTTTGTCACCGATCGTATGGCATAGCCAGTCCTCCAGGGCCGGTGTGACCGCTCCGGTGAATAGGACATCGCGCAGATCTCGCACGAGATCCTTGTCATCGTACGCGTCAACTAATCGTCTCATGAAGGTGGCATACGGATCAATGAGCTCGGACTGGATCAGAGACATGTTTTCTGTAAAGTACTGAGCCAAAAACCGTAGTTTCCCCGACGTAACTATGAGTTTGCGAGTTAATGCACAATTGAAGAAATTCAGATGTACATGCTGAAGAGAGGCGTCCCGACCAACGCAAAGAAGATGACCAGAATTGTTTTCCACCGGCACAACTTTGAAAACGTCTCTGACTCCAATTTCGAAATCAATTTCAAGAAGCGCATCGATTGAGACCAGAATCCGCGAGTTTTTTCGGTCGTGCGCCAAAAACAGATGTGACAGGTTGCGATGATCTTGAAACCGCCACGTCGGGGACGCGCCTTCGTATTCTAAAATCTCTAGATTTTTTGAGCCCGTCACGATTTTGACAAGCCGCGGCATTAGTTCCGACAAATCAACGTCCAACAAGTCTAATTCTGGTTCGAAAGATACCCATCGCATCGGAGTCCACATACCGTATTTTATGTCACATTGCCTGTCAGACGGGTTCAGGTTCAAAACTCCTTGGACTTTACCAACTGATGACCCATCATATATCTTAACGGCCCCATTTTGAAAGAACACAGCAAACATCTTGCCTTCAGACGGTTCCCACTCGCATTGAATCACATTTTCTTCGGTGTTCTTGAACTTGAATGACAAAATCTGTTGTCCATCGATCGCACGATACGCCGATATAGCCTTTCTTGACACCGTTAAATAGAGCGCAAGTCTGGGATTCCATATAATATCAGATCCAGGCACAATGACTCTATTACCTTTGTATACCCATTCCTCCATCTCTAGTTCATGATGTTCAGCACAGAACAAGTTCTTATAATGAAAATGATCAACTCATCACCAACACCAGTGAAAGCCATGTTCAAGAAAGAACCACATATCAAGGCCCTGAGTAACCTTAAGAATTCGGAGCGGAAGAAGCTGTTGACAACATGTAAAGAACAGGTTGAACAGGGTGATTACGCTTTTCCTTCGCAAATCGTGAAGCAAACTACGTTCAAGACACCTTTTACCACTGGCATTGTCTATACGGACGATCAAAACACTCCGATATGGTTCAAAGAGAAGTTTAGTGAGTTGCTTTATCCCACTGTATACACTTGCTGGGAAAACCCGAATCTATTGCCGATTGTTCTAGCGCATGAATACGTTGTTGAAGAAAAACTGCTACAAGGTGCTAATCTCATGCTTCCCGGCACTGTTCCGCCTTTCGACGCATGTTGCAAGAAAACTGCGTTGGTTGGAGTGGCTAGCACGAAATATCCACGGACTGTAAAGGCCATTGGCATTGTTCAACTGGATTTACCCTCTTTCGAGCGCGTTGTAGGTCAGACAGGTGTTGCCGTCGAAATTGTCCATCACTTCGATGACCAGCTATGCAAAGGTATGAAGATCAAGTTGCAACCTCCCGACCTTGGAGAAATGGCGGACGTCTCAACAGAGTCTGAAGACGAGGAGGACTTTGTGGAGAATAAGAATGAGAAAGGCGCTGAGAACTTCAAGCATGGGGCCGAGCCCAAGGAGCCCATTGCCGCTTTTGAGGACGTAAGTGAGCAGCTCGAGCAACTCTCAGTAAATGAAGTGGATCACTTTATAACCCGTTCCTTGTACTACACATTGACCCAAGAACCGGCAGTTGATCTCCCTATTAGTGCTTCGAACTTCGTCTCAAACCACATCTTGCGGAATCTGCCGCCGGTGGATCACTCCCAGGTGAACATAAAGAAGTCCAGCTGGAAGAAAAGTTCTAAGTTTCTCAAACACTTCGAAAAGGAAGGGTTTTTGAAGCTCAAAGGCAAAGGTGACGACATAACTGTTGTTGGTGCCACCAAGGACAAAACAGAACTCAAAAGCTTTGTACCTTACAGACGTGGAGACCCAGCTAGTGACAAGGGGACGACAACTACGTCTAAGAGTGATAAAACTACAATGTTGGCCGCGCATTCACTTTACAAGCCCTTGAGCAATGCCAAAGACTTTGTCAAGGTTACTGATCTGCCACCTAATCACTTGTTCTCAAAACAAGACGTTAAAGCTGCCGTGGACAACTATATCACAGCGAAAAAGCTGGTTAACCCGGAGAACAAAGCGACCATTATTCTTGATGATCTACTGTTTTCCATGGTGAATCGCGCGACGAAAAAAGAAAACGCCAAGAGAATTGTTCCAAGGGCTCAAATAATGGAGCCTCTACTAGCACACAACTTTGGTGAGCATTTCGTAGTCGTGAGACCCGATGGCTCCTCACTTTTCAAAAATTCACTAAGAGGAAGCATTCCTCAAATTAAGATCGTTACGGAAATGAAAATTGGAAGAAAAGTCGTTACAAAAGTCTCGAATTTCGACAAATTCGACATCGATGCCAGCGAGCTCGCTAGTGAACTGCGCAAGAAATGCAGCGGTTCCACAACGATTGGTGAGACCGTTTCTTCACCAAAGACACCAGAAGTGACGGTTCAAGGACCCCACGGACCCACAGCGATCGAAATTTTGAATGAGCATGGAATACCTACCAAGTGGATTGACTTTACGAACAAGATCAAGCCTAAGAAGAAGCGTCAGCACTAGGCTCACAAGCTCACCAACGAGGTATTGGAATAGCCAAAGGCCGATGAAGTGTTATGATCACTTTCAACGTCTTGAAATTTTTCGACCAATTGACAGGTGAAATTAAGCTAATGAAGGACTTCGTCATTACCGTTAAAGGCCGATTGTTTAAGCCTTGTTGGACGATGCTGTCTACCTTTTCGAGGCGTTTGACTCGCCAGCCAATATCGGTTAGAAATGGGGTAAGTCGGTTCCATTCTTCTGCCTTTACCGGGGCAGAAGAGGCCCCAGCTTCTACAAGCTCGAAGCTTTCCAAAGATCAGGTGAAGAGAAGAGAAATGAGGAGAATGGCTCAGCGAAAAGCCGTGGCTAGAAAGCCTGCTAGTGATCATCCGCTTTATATGCCTGTAACGAAGGCGTTGCGATTTCTGCGGGCTGCTGAAGTAGGTCAGCCGCATACACAACAGACACTCAGTTTGACGACGCTCGTGGTCGCTGAAAGAGGGTCACCCGCATTGAGCGGCAACGTTTCGTTTCCCAAGCCATTAAAAGACATCAGGGTTGCTGTTTTTACTGGTGACGAGACCCAGGCGCAAATGGCGCGTGAAAAATATCACTGCCATGTCGTTGGTGGGCCTGAGCTGGTGGAACGTATCAAACAGGGCGAGGTCTCCTTGGACTTTGACAAGAGTTTAGCCACACCTGATATTGCTAATCTTCTGGCTTCTCAATTGGGACGTATCTTGGGACCTAAGGGCCTTCTACCCAGCGCGAAAAAGGGAACAGTTTCTGATGACTTGGAAAGTCTCATCAAAGATAGCATGGGCACATTACCTTTCCGGCAGCGTGGGAACGCCATCAGCATAGCCGTAGCGAAATCAAGCTTCTCGGACCGCCAGGTCCTGGAGAATATCGTTGCGGCTCAGAAGTCGATCAAAGAGGCGCTTTCAAACCAGAAAACGAAAAGACCAAGCTTGCTCAGCCAGACGACGCTGTCCTCGACTCACGGTCCCGGAATCGTGATCGACTTTGCCTGATTCTTTGATGCCATGCCAATTGTATATAAGCCGAGCCAGCGACCCCAGCCTCGCATGCCACACGTGTAGATAATACCAGAAGTCTTTGCCGCCTCCGCCGGTCAAAAATGCTGTGGTTTAAACTCGATCACATACGGATCGTACTTACGTATATACAGGAACACGCACATGCTGTGTCGACGCTAGTGCGTCAAATACCACCTACCCTTTTCCTTCCGGCGTTTGAGGATCTTGGATCCGATTTTGCTCTTCGCTCTGGCCAAGAATCCAACTCTCCTTTTCCTTTTCAAAGTACTTGGTTGAAATGTGTTTCCCCTGCTTTTCCATCTTCTCTGGGTTAATCCCAGTACCGAGCCCAAGAACGACGGCACAGCTGGTTCGGGACTAGCCCCGAGCATCAAATTCGTGCGGCAAATTGATCCCGTTGCCATACTGTTTCTCAACGGCGAGAAGCCCGAAAAACTCGTCAAAGTCCTCCTGTTGCACAGGGAAAACGCACTTTTGAAACTTAAACTCATCGCTACCCTACGCTTAACCAAACCAAAACCAACAGGATACAACAATGACCTTCCAATTGCCCCTCTAACGCCTTGATCTTCGTGTCCTTCTCTCACAACAAAATTTTCAACTGCATGGAAGTTGTTAATTTTTCAACTTTCAGCAGATCTTCACCCATGTGACAACGAGGCCCTCACGTACTTTAAGAAAGACCGCAGAAACCCCTGGCGGTGTTCGCCGTCACGGCCAGTAGGCCTAGTAGACCTCGCCTGCTAAATCAAATCTTTAAGTAGGGGACTTACGATAAAATTCAGGCCCACCTGTGGATCCCGGTGGACAGTGTAGGCTCCGCGACAACTCCGCTGGTACAGACGACGCAACTGCCGCGAGGATGCTCCGTTTGCCGGCTGTGGACACTCGATGATTTTTCTGAGCGCCTTTTCACACTCGTCGGACAGGGGAGGGTTCTCCTCCGCGAGCAGGCGAAACGTCTCGGCGACTTTACGTCGGAACAAATTCCTGATACGAACATCCGGTATGTCGTGACCTAGCGGATTCAGCGGTATCTCAACGATCGGAATGGGCACTTCTTTTCTGTTTTTGCAGAGCCGTGGCGACCGTTTGAGAAACAAGCAGTGGTGAAATATCTCGTGCATGACCAACGATCGCCCCAGGTTCGAAAGGCAGTATGGCTGGGCCTGCAAGGCCCAGCCGTGCCTCTCGAGTTGTAAATTTTCGAGCGCGACAGACGATTTGTTTACCCACAGGTAGCGTACCGAAGTTTCTCTTGGATTGGACATCGCGAGCAACGCCCTGTGCCGTTCGTAGGGCCAATGGTCGCGCAATTCCGCGTAGAATCGCCGAAACCGTTTCAAATGTTCGGGCAATTCGTTGTTCCACCGGAAATACAGCTCATGGATAATGTTTTCGAGCTGTTTGGGTTCTCTCGTGGATTCGAACTGCGCGATCATGTGTTCCAAGCGCAGCGGTTTTTGAGCGCTAGCGACACGCATAAGCAACTCGTTGGTTCGAATGTCCAGCGGGAGCTTCTCAATGGCTCTACTCAGCCGACTGATCGACATTTCATCGTTTATACTCGCTCATCCGAGAGCCTTTCAAAATCTCTTCTGTCTTGCCAATTACCTGTGGTAACTCATCATTGATGAAACACTATTCACGTATAGAAGTATTTACCCATTGCTTACCTATTAGGTAGTAAACCGGGCCAAGAGTGGTTGACATGATACGTGATTAAGTAGCTCCGGTCGTAACCGGGTAGAATTCACAACTTGCTTCGAGCCTGGAGGGTTGTGAAGTGGGTTGTTGCCGTACAAGTGCGAGTGCTCACTGAGTACTCACTCAGTGAGCCCCTAGAGCAATAACGCGATAATGCCCTTGAGCAATACAGTTTCGAGTCGACCAGCAACATTATTCTGTCGCCATGAGTCGCAATTTAGCCCTCAAACCACAAGCCACTGCAGCGTTGAATTTTTTGCTCCCCGCCTCCGAGCAGTGACTTGACCACCAAGTTCTAATACCATACAGACGTTATGGCAATTTAATATCAAACAACTTCAAGGACTAAGTTTCATTCGTTCATTGACAAAAACCAGCATCGGTGATAGATACTCAAAGCTATTACCTAGCATAATATACCGAGTATCGAGTACTGAGCATCGAGTATTGGGTATTCATGTTAAAGGGAATATGCTATAGGTATTTACTAGAATTAAAAGGTCGGTTAGCTTGAGATCACGTGATCAATACGACAGAATAACCCCTCTCAGCTTGAGGGTCCCAGGAAGCGCTTGGAGTCTTATTGATTTCAGTCTCAGCTACAGACTTATGGACTCAGATTACCGCTGTAACCAAATTGTCAATGACGAGATAGGCTGCGCCGCATGAAAAGACTTTACCAGTTATTTTGCACTAAGTAATAGGCGATGAGCGGGAATAAAGTGAGGCTACTAGATTGGTAACCGAGAGTTCTCCATAATACCAATGAGCTGTTTACTACATATGTCCCTCTAAACTTATCTGGTGCAATAATTCCGAGGCTAGCCATATCGCCTTCTTTTATACGATATCTACAATAAGGTTGTTCCTCAACATCTCATCTCTTTGCAAAAGAGACTATTGAATTTCTCCTAGTTCTCTCTTATCATTGCTCATGTGCAGCGGCGTTATGAGCTCATGGACATGAATAGATCATTTGGACTTCAACCGCCTCCTGTAACGATTCGAGCCCCAAAGGGCTCCTTCGGCCACTCCGATCACGTGACAATCAGTTCTTCGAAAACCCCCCTGGGAAAGAAATAAGTAGCTGTGCCCTCGACTTCGGTAAGCCTCAGTCATTAGAATTCCCGTCGTAATCTTGCAATATGGTCGCTCTGAAAGCTGGACATACAGCCTCGTATGTATAGTTCATATAACACCGTATTTTGTGATCTTGGACTCAAGCAGAACATCCGTCTGTAGCGACTGAGTATAATTCAAGTCCTGCGTACAACATGATATTCAATTGCTCATCGCTTCGACTTTTCCCATCTCTGTGATTGCATACGGGATCTTGAAAAATCAACAACCTTTTAAATCGAGCATCACAAAGTAAACAAACAAAACCAAGCAGGAACCAAAAAAGGCTCTTGATGGGTCAGGACGACAAGGAAAATGGTGTTCTGAACACTGTGGATGTTCCTACAACTCCAAGACATCTTTTAAACCGATCGCATTCGTATTTGAAGGATAAATCGCCGAAAAAAACTGGGTCCAGGCGACCCCTTGCAAGCAAAGACAACAACAAGACTGGTAGCTTTTTGATACGGAAAAATGGGATGAAACAGGCCGGTGCAAAAGCGGGCAGGCCCAAAGTGACGCATACGGGTAGTTTCATCAGCGGCAGTGGGCGCGGACCCGGTGCCGTATCCGCACCCGTATTGAACTCGAAGGGCGCGCCCCGAATCAAGAGCCTCGTACTGAAGGACATGCAGGAGGAAGAAGCAGAATCGCCGAGCGACGATGACGACGACGAACAGAACCCGCTGACTACGAGACTCAAGGCTGCGTTGGGCAGGCGTCGAGAAGGTGACATCGACGAAGAGGCACAAGGCGGATTGCTAGAGACACGAAATGGCATCTTGAAGCTTTTGCCCGACACCAAAGATGCTGACATTGACACAGATAGTGACATGGAAGTGGAAACCATACCGCCGCGGGCACCAGCGTTACCTTACGAGCCCGATGGGTATACGCGGTTTACACAGACTCAAATAGGGAACTTGCAAAAGGACGCGCCTTTTTCAATCCGCGATGAGGACTCCGACGGCGACTCTGACGGTCGGGAATTTAAATTGCAGCTTTTGCCACTTGATCTGGATCAAGATGTTTCTGAAGAGGACTCACCAAAGGCACGGCCTGAAAATGACATGGCTGCTCGGGGAAAACGCCCTGCACAGATCGTTTTTCCGCTGGAGTCGACCGTCATTGAGCCATCCTATCCAGGAACGGGACTAAGCACAGAAGAACTAGAAGCTTTGCTAGAATGAGGTTTATAGTACACAATATATACATGCATGTTGTTTTTTGAAATAGGTTGTTTTTGAATTTCATTTCACGAGTCAGGCCCCGGTGTCGAGGCGCAAATACCCGTATATGCGTATGCTTACTGTTGCGCACATTGAGGACCCTGTGCATCGTTTTCTTCGTTGAGATAATGGGGTAGGTCATTTGCTGATTCAATGACATCAAATTTTTGAACTGTCTCAGTGTTAGATTGGTCTGCGTCAAATGATGGTTTAGCCACTTGAGGTAAAATGTTTTGCAACGTTTGTACATCGGCGCGTTCGGTAAACCAAAAATCTGGTGGGAATTGAATGTGCATCTGAACGTAAAGATCGCCAAATTTGCGTCCGTTATCGTCGAGAGGCCATCCTTCTTTTGGAAATCTAACATAATTCCCGGGCCTTATGACGCGACCTGCAGGAACAGATAGTCTGAGGGCACGATCATCTAACGTCTTGCACACGTCGCGCTCAAACCCACCCAGAGCCTCTGCTAGTGATACCGTTAGCTCTGTGTACAGATCATCGCCGCGGCGCTCTAGATTGCTGCTCGACGCATCTTCTTCGATGTCGAAAACGAGATTTCCAACAGACTTTCCAGGTTCTTCGTCGGCCTGTTCATCTAGCACAATTTTGTCGCCATGGCGAGACCCTCGAGGCACGTAAACGGAGAGAGGCTTTGTCTCGCTGACGGTGCGATTTCCGTGGCATTTCCGGCATCGGTCTTCGGGCTTGATAACGCGGCCCGTACCACGACAACGTTCACACTTGACAGTTTCACGGGTCACAAAGCCCGGTCCGACTCTCCGCAAGTTCTGACGCACGCCCTGACCGCCGCAGCTCTCGCAAGCGGGCAAGTTGCGAGCCGCCTTCTTGCGGCACCCTTCACCGTGACATTTCGGACACACGACATCGCGTTTTGCCTGGAATCGGATAGTGCGCCCGTTGAAAAGCTCTTGCATAGTAAGCTTGAGGGTTACATGCACGTCGGGCGTTCGTGTCGCCCTTTGAGTGCCCGCGGCGGGTTCATCGTACCCGTTTTGGTTGAACTGCTGAAAGAAACTGGCGAAATCGTCCTCGCCAAACGACATGCCGGGCTCTCCATCAGTCTGACCGTACAGATCGTAATTGCGGCGCCGTTGCTCGTCACTCAGCAGCTCATACGCGGCTGCAATTTCTTTGAATCTGATCTCACTCTTCTCTCGCAGGGACTCATCACTGACTTTGTCGGGGTGGTGCTGTAGTGCGAGACGGCGATACGCCCTGCGAATCTCGTCTTGCGTCGCACTCGAGTCCACACCCAGCGTATCGTAGGGGTCCATTCGTCGTTGCAAAGACGCGTTGTGTGATCTAGAGGCGGATACATGCCTTTGCAGGAGGCGTGTGTCTCATTTCTCAGGCTGCTTGGGGCACGGCAGAGGTCTGGGGTTAGCATTAGCGTATCAAGTGATATCCCTTTGTACGCAATACCCGTTTGATACCCGGTTCCGTATGCTGATCACGTGATAATCCTGCAGGTTCATTTCCTCCTGTTGGGTACCTGCTACTACTACAGGCGCCGACGCTGCGCGGAACTGTCTGAACTCCACCGCCCGTCCCGTCGTCTCCATACTGCAGTGGCTATGCTGCCGTGTATGTATCGCCATTGTCATAGCACACCTTACATCCGAGTTACCCACTGGCTCCGGTACTTGCGAGTAGTTCCTCTTGGAAAGATCCTCCTTAGCCGCTCGAGAAAATTTAGGGATAGCTCAGGGGGCAGAGGTGAGGGTTGTTCGTGTCTAGTGATACTATAGTCACGCGACTTTTAAAAATCTAAACCCACACATCTTGCTCAAACCCCGTGCACCACAAGAGTTATCATTTTGTCCGAAATTTAAGATATCACGTGATTTTATTGAAAAGCCCGTACACCCTTTGGCGCAACTAAAGGTCCGACGACAAACTTTTCTCCGCCAGCTCGAGTCATGATCAACGAACGACTCCTACCTTCTCTCGGGACCCTTTCCCGTTTCTGCTTACGTGCGCACATTGAAATCCGCCCTTTCCCATTAGGAATACGATAAGAAGCTCAATCGCTTACGGATATCAGGTTCCGACACTGGAGCGTTTTGGAACAATTAGATACGATACAGCCCACTGGGAAAGGCGGAATACTTAAAGGGAAAGGGGTGAGACACTCATTGACAATGCGATAGTTCCAAATTGTTTCCGGGTGCGTCTTGATTTGGGCTAAGAGTCATCTTTAAGAGCAGAGAAGGAAAAAAAGAGGTTTTGAAGTTTGACGAAAAAATCAAAATCCGAAATCAAGGAAATTTAACAGTGGTTTTGGAAGCAATTGAAGCCTTTTGGGAGCTTTGATATTGAATTGCTGGTTTTAGTGGTGACTAGAATCGGAAAGCGCTGAAAACGGTGTTTAATTTGGTCTTTTCGGCATCAATTTTGGCCTATTTTTACTGCATTTGCACATAGCATGCTGAGAACGGCACATATCGCGAAATCCGCGAGACAAATGCGGTGTGGGAGCTGGTACGGGGCTCTCACGGGGCTCAGAGCCTCTGGGAGTCATCCATACCGGTTTATAACGAGCCAGACGGCGACAAAGATCAGCACGACGGCGAAACGCCTCGGACTTGAAGACGTTAATCCTCTCGTTCTGGACGCTAAATACGCTGTTCGTGGTCCGATTCCGCAACGGGCCGAAGAATTGAAACTGCAAATCGAGCAAAAACCGGGTTCTCTGCCCTTCGACAGGATTATCAACGCTAACATTGGCAACCCGCAGCAGCTTGACCAACGTCCTTTGACCTTCTACCGTCAGGTCCTATCTCTTTTGCAGAACCCAGAGGCCATAACGAAGGTGCCAGAGTCCACTTTGCTCCAACTTTACAGCCCTGACGCCGTGCATCGCGCGCAGAAGCTCTTGGCCCAAGCAGGTGGCTCCGTAGGCGCATACTCTCACTCTCAAGGTGTAAGAGGGTTTCGCGAAACTGTGGCCGATTTTATCACCCAGAGGGACGGGGAGCCTGCATCTGCAGACGACATTTTCCTAACGGGTGGTGCGTCGGCTGCAGTCACAAACATTCTTTCCGTTCTCTGTAAGGGCCCCGAATCGGGAGTCCTCATTCCTATCCCTCAGTATCCTCTATACACCGCGACTTTGGCGTTGAATAATTCAACTGCGCTTCCATACTATTTGGATGAAAAGTCCGGCTGGTCGACTGACCCAGAGCAAATTGAAGAAATAGTGCAGCAGGCAATCAGCTCAGGTGTGAAACCAACATGTCTCGTCGTCATCAACCCAGGTAACCCTACGGGCGCTATCCTTACCCCAGATTCAATTGAGGGCATCCTTGGGATTGCCGCCAAATATGGTATTGTGGTCATTGCAGATGAAGTCTACCAAGAGAACGTTTTCGACAACGTCGAATTCTTTTCAATGAAGAAAGTCTTGAGAGTGCTGCAGAAAACCAAGCCTGGTCAGTTTGACAACGTGCAATTGGCTTCTCTGCACTCGACTTCCAAGGGTGTCTCGGGAGAATGCGGACAAAGAGGTGGATACATGGAACTCGTGGGATTTAGCGATGAGCTCAGGCAAGTCTTCTTGAAACTTGCCTCCATTTCGCTTTGTTCTGTGGTCACTGGCCAGGCATTGGTCACTTTAATGGTGAACCCACCTAAGAAAGGAGAGTTTTCGTTTGAACAAGATCAGCGTGAGCGTAATGCCATTGCAAGTGCGCTTAACGAGCGGGCCACAAAGCTTCACAGCATGTTTGAAAGTCTAGAAGGTATTTCATGCCAGAAGCCACAAGGCGCAATGTATCTGTTCCCTAAACTCGAATTGCCTAAGAAGGCTCTGGACAAGGCGAGGGAACTCGGTTGCACTCCAGATGAATTTTACTGCAAGGAACTATTAGAAGCTACTGGCATTTGCACAGTACCTGGATCTGGCTTTGGTCAAGTCGCTGGCACTCATCACTTGAGAACTACTTTCCTAGCCCCGGGCACTGATTGGATCAGCTCTTGGGAAAAATTCCATAGAGACTTCTACGACACTTACCGCGATTGATCCTTCCAGCATATTTAAAATTTGAAATTGTTCTTCTACATAAAAATACAATAGTCATCTGATACAGATCTAATCAATTGGACCTGCGTTGCTTGGGACTTTGTTCTTGAGGTTATTTTTATTTTCTTTATGCCAAAACGTTACTTTAAGTTTTTTTAAAGTGGATGAGGATGCCCCTAGGAAGACGCCAAGCGTTAGAGCCCCATGTTTCGGGCGGCAGTTGAACTTGTGCTTACCCTACGCCGATAATACAGTTGACCGAAAGTTTGAAGACAAGTTAAGCTCACGATCACCAACCCTTTAATACAACCTATATCCAATATATAAAACATACGTTTTCCAATTAACGACCGTTCACCTACCGTAAAGGTTCACGCTATTGAAAGCTCCGTTATTTTCAATTTTTGTGAAGCAAACCCAGCTTCGAGCTGAGCTGCCAATTAATTGCGCTAAAGCTCCTGAGAACCATCCGATATACCGGGTGGCTCTTTTTGATTATTGCCAAGATCCTTTAGGTAGGACGTGGAGGGCATCGAAATCTCACAACTAGGGTATAAATTATCTTCTCTATCACCCTCGCCTTCTTTTGAGATTCTGACACCTTTTTGAAAATTCTGATGCGGCTCCCGCAATCGACTATTTTTTTTACTTTCATGCAAAGCTAGATTATAGCTATCATTCATTTTGCTTTTATTGCTAATTCCATCTTTACCATTACCCAGAAGATCATTCAAATGTTGTTCTGTGGATATAAGCTCTTCGTCCTCCATTGAAGAAGCAAAGTTATCGCTTTCGAGATATAACATCCCACATCGCCTTCTATCTCTTTCAAATACAGCTACATTTTTAGCAAAGAGTTCATCAATTACAGTTTCTCTTTTGTACTCAAACTCCTTTCCATAGTCTGGAATTGCCTCGTGAAACACGTCGCTTGGAATCCCTAGTATCCTTGGATTATAAGCCGTATTGTCCGACGCCGCCTTCTTAAGGCACATGTTCCAATCTTTGATGCAAGCGTCTTGATTGTTTTGCAGAAGGACGGTCAATCGATTGATACCGTTGCGCTGGAACGTGGAAAATTTGCAACTACCTAATCCGATGAACAGTTCGTAAAGCCTAGCAATCTCTTGACAAGTTTCAAAGAGTACAAGCCTATCTATTGTGACCGTTTCCAAAAACATGGGCATTCGAGGAAGAGAAAGCAGATATGTGGCCAGCACAGAGGTCAACTTGCTCTGATCCTTTAGCGGAAGTAACCAAATGAAACGGGAGTAGTAATCCCTGCAAAACAGAAGTTGAGGGAACTTGTTTTGAATTGGTCTTTCAAAAGGAGTCAAAATTTCGACTTGCACTCGCTCCAAAGGCATCAAACCCTTATAGATATTGTTATGCCGAAATTTCGTGAAGGGTTTAACAAACTCCTGCGGATTACATCCGGAGCAATATCTAGTGCACATCTGCACAAATGCTCTAGTGATATTGGCGAAATCATGTCTCATATAGTGATGCAGTTTCCGCCAGCTTAAATGGTCATTTTTTAGATGACTGCATATGATGAGATCGTAAATCAAATCCGGATCACATAACAAGCTGTCTCGACGTTTATGATCTCTAACGTTTCCCTCGGAATCAACATAAAATCTCCTTTTCAATAAAAGATATTTGGTCTCAGCGTTCTTTGGATGAAGTGTGTCAGTGGTGCTCATTAATGTGTCAATTGTAAGAGCATTTGATTGAATAAGCTCGAACTGAATTTGACTCAATTGCCCCTTCACAGAATCCCGGTATTTAAAGAAATCTAGACGTCCTCTTTCTAAAAGCTCTTGATTAAGTCCAGATGCATATCTCGTGAACGGCTCGCCTATTTTCACTCGTTTAAATTCGTCATTACCTATATTACTATTCTCCCGGCCACTTGCCGGCAGTTTGCCGATCATCGGACAATGGCGCGAGCAGTAAGCGGCACAGAAATATCAGATTGTTGATGGTTTTCAGCGCTTGGGAATTGGTAAACAATAACTTACTTCGTTACCTGAAAAATTTCACGGTTCGTAGAGAACAACTCCAAGACGAAGCAAACACCGATGAGCTCTAAAGCTACCAACAAGCCAAGTACGAGACAGTTAAGCATTCTTCTTGTCCTCCGTCGTAGTCTTAGAAGGTGGAATCGAGGCTGGGCTTGTCGAAAGTGCCACGAGTAGCCACGCTGGGAGCCATCCCAAGCAAACGACAAACCAGGTCCACGATCCCATTCTTGTCCAGCCAAATATCAACCGCTCGAGCGCTTGGGACCCAGAGAGGTCAGGAGAAATCAAATCAGTGACGAGACATACTGCTATGAATGGGTTTGACAAAATGAGCAGAATGAAATTTTTCAGGCGCCTCTTGAAATCCGATTCGTTCTTGACGAAAGTCATTGGTAGTGCGAGAAGGCTGATGCCAAAGGCCAACGCGAAATTGACCACGAGCAAAGACGTTAAGATGAGGCCAAAATAAAGAAAAGCGAGTGACCTAAATCGGTATGCAAGTGGGGCACTCAGACCATGCTTAGCAGCGCCTAGAAGCAAGGAAGCTAGGATGCTCGCAGTGATTGGAACTGGCGTGCTGGGGAAATGCAACAACACTTGAGAGACGAGGAATGAAAAGAAGAGTACAACGGCAAACACCAAAAACGCCCCCGTGTTGTAGGCCGACAGTAGCGAAGTCGACGCGTACTTATTGTTTAGAAGGTTGTCCAGAGACGACAGCATAAAGGAGACCGACAGCAAAATTGCGGCAGGAAGATAACTACCAATCGAGACAAATAGTCTTGGGGCTAGCAAAAGATAAAAGAAGAATGACTGATGAAATTTTTCAAGCAGATTATTCACAGAGCGAAAAACTGCTTCAGGTATCCTCCCGAACGTCGTGATGTCGAACGGCCCGTCGGTTCCCCTGGCCCTAAGCGTTATAGCTTGAATTCTCCAACCACTGAAGGCTTCATGACCGTAACATTTCTGTGCACCGGCGTACGCGAGCTGCGTAATTGAGCCCGCAAGTGTGCGTAACCTACCGGAAAAGCTATCGTCGTCGCCAATTTGATTCTCTGATACGCCATTAAGCGCGACTTTCATGCCCTCATGCTCGGTCACATGCACTGCGATGTTTACCAAGTCCAAGTTAGGCAGTTCACCATTGAGACCCGAGTAGAAAATCTCGACATACCTGAAGAAATCATTAGTTTCCGGATAGTCCAAGACTACTGCGGCCTCAATTGATCCGCCAGTTAAGTCCAGCGAGGTGTGATAAGCTTCTACCCAGGATCGAAGCGATGTATGCGCGTTGTCACTGATCACAATAACAATGTTTTTCGACCATACAGGCCACCGGGAAAAAAACCGCAGCAGTGAGATTGCCAAAGACACACCACCAACATTAAATTGGCCATCCACGTTTACCCACGGAGCTGCCAGAACCATTGCCTCTGTTCCGTCACCACGTGCTGCATGCTGTAGTCCGTACAGCGTGTCTCCATCTACTTCGTCACGGTAGACAGCAGTTTTTGTTCCAAATTCCTGCAACCACGAAGCCACGATCTCATTTCTTGTCTGCGTCTCTAGGTCTCTAAGTTCGTCAATTTGGCCCCTATAACCTCGCAAAATATTCCATTCTGTCTCTCTAAAATAGCTATACGCTTGCGAGGGCATCAAGGCGTTCTCAGATATATAAGTACGTCGATACTGTCCTTCCATCGGTAAGATTAATGCCAACCACGTAACACCAATTAAGGCACAAATCACAGAAAGACGCGGCAGAGCTTTGATGAGACGGGGCAAAAGCCCCAATCTCATAAACCGGCGTTCCAGTTTCTCAATTAAAGCCATTCTGTTGCTCAATCTCAGCCTTTTCTCAGTCGTCTCTCAGCCGTTTCTCGGTAGTTGTTGTAGTAAGTTGTTGTTCGTTAATGAATTTGAAAAAGTCGAACTCATTAACTTCTTCATCACATATACAACTGATGAATGAAGAGATAAGTAAGGTATCTAATGGACAGCATTGATGAGCGGAACGATTGTGTTTAGAAGGGTTCCGTTATCGGAAAGCCAGGATTTCAGCTGGGTTTTCCTGGTTGACTGGATTTTACTAGCAATCTTGTCACTAGCTGCCGTGTTTTATTTCGGAAGAGCGTTTGCATTTTGCATTACATTTATTATGGAGTGGTTGATATGGAAGAGATACAAGGTCAAAATCAGCGTCCAGGCGCTTAAAATATCGTTTCTTGCCGGTCGCATATTCTTTAAAAATTTAACGATCACTACTCAGAATCAAACACTATCGTTTTTGGACGGATGCTTTACATGGAGATATTGGCTAATTAATCCGCGACTAACTCAGCTGGAAAACTCGGAGAGTGAGACGGATTCGATTAAAAACCAGAAATTACCCTGCAGGCTCAGGTTAGATTGTAATGGTTTTGAGCATTTCATATACAATAAGACTTCTGCGTTTGAAAGCATTCTGGAATCGCTTTCCCAGGACGACCGCGAGACGTTTCGTAGGTTCTTCGACGATACAGACTCGGAAGCTAGTGAGAAATCGGGTTCCGGTGGTTTCGATGCAGATTCGTCGACGCCAAAAAGCCAATCTGAAACTTCTTCAACCTCCAATTCGCTAAACGACCGAGATTTCCAGAAGCCGGACAGCAGACCTTCATTTTTAGGACTTCTCCCGATTCAATTCCATGTGAAGCGCGGTGCGCTTGTTTTGGGGAATCTGACAACGCCCTCTGTACTGGTAGCCACTTATGATACTGCAACAGGGTTGTTTGACGCATCTGCTCCTGATGAAAAGCTAGATCTCTATAAAATGAGGTTGCAATTTCATTTTCGGAATTACAGAGCTTCTTTATTGCCAAATATTCCCTCGAACGGTGATGATCACCGGAAATCGGTATTCACGTCCAGTCAACTTCAAACGCTCTCGAATATGGTCAAAGACTCAATCTTATCGAGGTCTTTCCCAAGGAAAAGACTAGATCAGGAGCAAAACAATGCAAAATTCGTGGAACACTGGAGTGGACTAGGACTTTATCATAAGAGCAGCGATAGTGCATGGAACGACGAGTTCCAATTCGACGTTTCCAAACATGATTATGCAAAATATACCAAGATTTTGAAATGTGACGAAATGATTATGTCGTATTCTTTGGATATGCCTGGAGTCGTCCCACATGGAGCTTTAAGGACTGAACCCCAATTAGATGGGCCCGATGTGGGTAACAATGGAGCACCTCCTGATTACTCTTTAGATTTTCAAATATTTGGCGCTACAGTTTATTATGGTCCTTGGGCTCACCACCAAATTCTGCCCTTACAAAGAATTCTCTCCCCAGTTTTGTCTAGAGATGGAATTCCAATTAAAAAGTTACTTCCCGGGGCAAGACGTATCCATACAAGGTTCAGAATTACCCTTCAAATAATGAGCGACTCAGTATGGAGAGTTCCCACACGAGAACCCAGTAAAGATTTGGAATTTTTAAAGCGCTACAAAGAGACAGAGGACGAGACTAGGCCATTTGGTTGGCTCGATGTCACTGTCAATAAGGCCTCAGAGATTTGCCTTAATATTGCCATGTGCCCAACCACCTCGGGATATTCTAACTTTTTCACCATTAACCTTCATGAGCCCGAGCTGCGTACTAGTGTTAACCACGATATTCTTCTCTCTGCCAAGTCTCAAGAAATAAGAGGTCAAGTGGGATATCCTTTGGGCTGGAATGCGCAGGCAACCTGGGTTTTTGATTTCTCCTCCCATCAGGCGCAAATATTTTTATTGCGGGATCATATAACGCTTCTGAGCGATATGATGTCTGATTTTTCATCAGGCCAATCGACGCCTTACGAACTTTTCAGGCCTTTCGTTTATGAGCTGAATTGGAAGCTTAATGGGTACTCTCTATACCTGAACGTTAACGATGGCAATATCGTTAACAACCCCCTTGATTTCAGTGAGAACTGCTACCTTTCCCTTCACGGCGACGACATGGAAGTTAGCTTATCAATACCTATGGAAACGATCTCACAAAGTTCGACTGAAATCAGCTTCGAACTATTCACTTCTTTATTTCGCTTACAGCTCAACACCCCCTCTTGGAACACGTTGAATGAATTCATGACAGCAAAGGAAGTCGGCATTTCTCATGACTTCAAAATGACGGGAAGCTATCTTTTCTATTCCAAATTGGACGTCGATAACATAGATACCATCATCATCGATTGCCACAGCAAATACACCATTTTGCAATGCTACGGATTTGTGATCAGGTATTTAATTGGTGTCAAGATGAACTACTTCGGGGATTTCATTCACTTTAAAACGACTGAAGAGTACATGGAAGAGTTTCGCGGCGCAGATATCAATCCTACTGATAAAGGTGGCCTTGAGAACAAAATTCTCAATTCCTGGACCGGTGATGCAGAAGAAAGAACAACGCGCAATGATGCCGAGCCACAACTTAGCCGGTCTTCTCTGAAAAGAATTGTCAACGAAAAAGATGTTTGGTTCACTTTTATTGTGGATGACGGTTGTCTGGTTCTTCCAAGTAACCTTTATAGCTCTACCACATGCTTTGGACTTCATTTTGATATTCTTGAAATTGATGTGAGATATGTGAACTACTATATGGATCTCCAGGCAGCGCTATCACCAACGCGTATTAAGTTTCATCCAGCGATGGGCTCCCTTTTTGAGTTATCGGACCAAATAAGGAAATCTTCAATCACCAATTTCGAGGGCAGAATATCGGATCTGCATATCCACGGACATAGATTGTTTGGACTTCCCTCAGATGAGGAAACCTATTTTTGCAAATGGGATTTTCGAATGGGTACTCTATCTGTTTCTTCTGATATTTCCTTTCTGACAAACCTGGCAAGTGCCTTCCGAAAGCTGGCCTTTGGGTACAAGGATTTCGAAAATACAATATCTTATTCTCTTGAATTAATAACTGACATGACCTCTGTTACATTCTATGCGGACAAAGCAGTGTTCAAAATTAACGAACTGGAAACAGAGACATGCACTGTTATTGAGATGGCGAAGCTCAAATTAAGTTTGATAGACTTCGAGAATGTCTCTTACTCAAAAAGAACGGAATTTCATATCCCATCTCTCAAGCTGTCTGTCTTGAAACAAAATGGCGATAAGGTTTTGGCTCAGTGCTTTACATCTATTTTGGCTACCAATTTCGACCAATACAAAAATCGCACTACACAACGGGAACTTCAACAAAGCCATCTCACAAGAAATGATGCACCATTCCATAGATGCCCATTCCTTCTTCCACCAATGGTTCAAGATAGCTTTACCTATAAAGAGCTGTTCGGAGCAATTCCTCCTGGTATGTCGATTCCGCCTCTCGTGAAGCCCATCACCCCAACAAACGTCGACGAGGTTCTTGATGCTTTTTCGAAGACAGATCCGTTCCTTGGGGAGTATCTGCAAAATGAAATGAATTCGAAGTCTTTTTTGCAACAGAGTTCGGAAGGCAAGGCGACCAGTTTTGCAGAACACGATCAGGTTGGATGGTATTTGGAGCCTAAAGATACCTGCCAGTGTGATAATATTATTTTGAACCTTGGGAAAACGATTTTGGCCATTCAGCCCGATTTCACGACGGTTCTTCAAAAACTAGGAGACCGTATGTATCGGGATGCGGTAGATGATTTAATTGACCGTTGCGAGCTTGATGTTGTGATAAAATTCATGAGAACCATGCAAGAACTCAACTCAACAAAAAAGATGCGTGCAGTCTGCGAGAGCTTTCAAGTTATTTACGGCGAAATCATAAATCTGGATGATATGTCATTCATCGATCATCTTCAGATTACGGTTGAAAACCTTGATGCCAGCTTTTCTGTGGATATGAAAGTAGATCCAACGACCGGTCCTAGTACCACCGCAGCAAGTTATCTCATTAGAGCTGGAACTATTTCAACTACTTTTTTCCAAAAAAGCCTGGCTACCGAATGTCCACCCATATTAGCGGCAGCAGCTGAGGAGATTGAAGTTTGGACCGAAGAAATTTCCGGAACAAGAAAGCTATCCACCTCAGCGAAAGGCCTCGATATGAGCGTCAATCCTGATGAATTGAAATGGTTGACTGAATTTACAATGGATCTTTTCGCCAAAGTGACTAATACTTATGAAGTCTTTTCCCTTTATTCTAAAAGTCTTGAAAATGCCAAAAGGCAGCTTTTTTATCGAATCGCATTGGCCAGCGATGAATATCAGATCACTCATGATCCTCCTGTACTCACAAAACCTGCTTACATTATGAGATTATCTTCACACCATGTGCGGGAAAACAGAAGTTGGCGAATTGTGACAAGAGTTCGACACATATTGAATTATCTGCCGCATGAATGGTCGGTGAACTGCCTGGATAAACTACGAAAAAAAGACTTCCAGACACCTCTCGATGCTGGGAGTATTTTCCTCAAAGTTTTCTCGAGCTGGCGAAGTTGGGAGTTCTCTGATGTCGAAAAATGTTACATCTATAAGACAACATTTTTACCTGACTTACTTCACAGCCCAAAGGAGCTATCGGAAGAGTACTTCAAGTTGATTCTCAATACTGTGGCTTTCAATATTTCGAAAACTCCCCACGTCGAGGGAGACTCCGTAGTAATCAAAGGTTTGAGGGTTCTCCAAAAGCACCAAGCTGTTTCTGAAGGAGTAGGAAAAGACTCGTCGAAGAAACGAAGTGACAAACATCTCTTTGAAAAGAATGTTGCGTGCAATTTAAAGTCAATCAAAGGTTCTGTGGGCGAATCGTTTCTCATGCTTGGCAATAATGTCGCGCAGCTTGTTAGAAAATTTTCATCCCCTACTGTTCCGTCACCTTCAAAGTTGAAACTTCATCATTTGACTTGCCTGTGCGATCGACTCGACATCCAGGTATACATTGACAAATCGAGACTGGCACTTAAATCCTTTTCTAACTCAATCACATTTTTGACTGCCAGATCACACATATCCTCGAAGCCTCTATGCTCGGCCTCATGTGGTTGGGCTAGGTCTGAGACAAGTTTACGTTATGAAAACTCAGTAGTCCTTGAGCACTTCATGAGAAATGGGATTGTAGGGTTTTCATCAATGTCTAAGGAAGAAAAATGCATCTTTCGTTTAGACATCAGTTCACAAAAGTCGCGCTTAAAGTCTTCCAGTGATTCGGCTAAAATAATCTCGTTCTTTGATAACCTTCAGGCATCTTATGAGAGATTATCGGAAGCTCTGCTCTGCAATCAAGCTGAAAATATTGGGGAAAAGCCTTCATTAGATGTCTTGGGTATGTTCGATGATTATGATTGCTCAGTAAGATTCAGAGTCTCAGAACATTCATCAGAATTAAGATTTACTTCACCTCTCATTATTGCTTATCACGTAAAGGAAATCGACTTTCTGCTAGACAAGGCCGATATGGCTGAAGCCACATTTTCTCTGAAAGGACTAGACTCTGAAATCCGCAGTAAAATCGCTGGAATACGCTATTTTAAGTATTCACAATCGGAGATTGAAACAAAGGCCACTGTGATCAGAAAAGGTGCTACGTGTTTCGATGTCGCGTTCAAAATTTTCTCCAAGTTAGCAAAGCTAAAGACTTTTGATCCTCGCGAGTTGCTTCTGACGTTTATGCGCGATCTCGAATCAGCGAAGGATCACATTGCGCAAATGAAGGAGAGTATATTAAGTGTCTTTGGTGAAAAAACTCAATCAAAGACGCCTTCTTTGGATGTCGATCTTCGATGGTCTCTACAGCTTGACTTTACCTATTTTGGAATACTTTTTCCGTTAGCACGAACCAATTATGTCCTTGAGATCAACACATTGAACTCGAATTTATTTGAACGACGGTTAAACCACGAGCGCAAGATGCAATTGCTACATGACGTCCTAGGCAATTGCTCCGCAGAAAGCATTGCCCTTTTGATTGATGATACCACGGTGAAAAGCCATTTATCCAAAGTTTTGGATTTCGCTTTGAAAGTCGCCGTGTCAAGAGAAACTCACCACAAGCTCAAATCGATTCAAGTCGAAAGCTCTCATTTTCGTGTTTGTCTGTGCCCGTTCTCTACAATCAAGCTCATATGGCTCGTACAGGAGTTTTTGCGGTTAAAAGAGATCCTTGCATCGGCGCGTGCGGTATCACAACAAATCGACGATGAAACGCCTCTGTTCCCAGAGTTTTCTTCCATTCTACATTCCATTCATCTGCTCTCATACAACTTTTGTTTTGGTTGGCTTTTTGACGGCAACGACTGCGAAGACCCCGGACTAATATATGGATTCCAGCGCCTATTTGCTGCATACGAAAGCCCTTTCGGAAAATTGACCGTCTTGGAAGCATACCTTTCCTTGGCGCGTGGCCACACATCTTCCACCTTCTTCTCTCAAAAGAGCGAAAGAGATCAAATTAACAGGAGTTACCTACCCAGTGTACAAGCTGGCTACTGGTTTGTTACTCGTAACAATCACAATGACCTTTTCATACGCATCAATGGCGAGCGCTTGGATGTCAATTTCCTCTCCAGTTCGATTGGTGTTTGCAAAGGAATTATAAAATCTCTGCATACTTTTCAGGAATTGAAGAAATCTCTTGAGCCACCATCAAATATTCAAAACGCCTTCAAACGCGCAGCAGGCCGTCCAATTGGAAAGCAGTACTCGTTCTTGCGCCAAGCGCGTCGAGTAAACTGTAAGATACATTACGCCGGGGGAATATTTAAGCTTTATTCACTGCATGACTATGAAAATGGCCTAACGCCTTGCCTTGAACTCGAAAGTCCGTCGGTGCATGTGTCCCTCGATTACGAAAATTTTAGGCATGAACTGAAAAACCACTGGCTGAGAGGCATGATTCAAGTCGAGCCCTCGCACAACAAAGTATATCCATTCTGTGTTCCAGTTCTCAGTGAAATGGCGCGTGATTTGCGTCACATACTGAAAACAATTAACCTCGACCAGAGCAACGGCGTCATGCCAGGATCGGAAAGCGTCATTAATTATAAGACCATGTTGCAATCTTTTGATATCGCTATCATTTTTGATGTTGGGAAGCAAAAAATAAGTTTGAGTTGCGAACCAAAAGCCAAAATTCAGGCAGATGTTGGGTTTGAGCAGTTAGATCTAAAACTATTCACCAATAATCTGGCCGAGTCGGAGCCCTTAAGTTTATGTTTGGACATTTACAAGCTGAAAGCGTCTTCACGGCATGTTTTTTCAAGAGAGGTAAGCACGTCTTTTACCTTGGATAGTGTTAGTGCTGTTGTTATCCTGACTCACCCAGATGTCATTCACACGTATGGGTTTACTCATATACCAAGCGTCGAAATTTATTTCAATTACAAGCAGCTACAGGATGTGGACCTTTTCCTTAACATTTGGAAGGTTGGTAGTCACATATACTCAGAGCCTGAATTGAGGGAGAAGAGCTCGCGAAACTCTATCAAACTGGATCAACCTTTTGTGTTCAAATCGAAGGCCATCAATGGGAACCAGGCTATTCCATGGAACTACGTCCTCGTCGTTAGCTCTTTCAAAGGCGACATAGATTTGGGCCCCTCACTCGGTCTAATGAGTCTAAGAGGAGTCCGCTTCTGGGCAGTCACCGATCATTACAAAAACTGGACCCAACAACTTTCCATCAACCTCGAAACTATTAAATTATTATCAGATGGTCGTCTTGGCGGCGAAGTGTTATTGCAGGATCTCTCCTGGGCTTCTCAGTTGTCATGGCCGGTCTTTGATGGGGAATTTCAAAGTCCTTTGGTTGATCTTTCCTTGAACTTAGTGAGATTTGCTATAAAGATGTCATTTGATTATCACCTCATCCTAATCTCGTCAGTCGACACTCTGAAAGCCAGACTATTCAATGAAAGAGACGAGATGGGTGTTTTGAAGGACCTTCTCACTGTTGCGTTGTCCTGCACTAGCGTCCAAATATTTTTCACTGCTTTAGCGCCGGCCAACGTCTTGGACATCTTCAACACAATCAAAAGGATGCGTCAAGATAATCGCAAGTCTTATCTCGAAACCTTACGGGAATCGAACACCAAAGAAAGTGCTGATGCAAGTCAAGCAAAGTTTGGTCTTTCAAGCTTTTTACGGACGGACATGACAGTGAATTTGAAATTCATTCATGTTCAGATATTTCCTAGCACACTTTTTGACATAGAAGTGTTGATTTTCCGCGCCAAAGATATCTTTACACACACGGAAATAGAAGCTCAAACCAAAGTCCGGACTCAATTAACTTGGCAAGTGAATGACGCCAAAATATCGCTGTCGACTTACAAAAACCAATTAAATGAAGATATCTCCGCAACGATAGACGTTGACAGCTATATTCAGCATGCTTCTCGCGTTCATGGAGGAACTCTATTAGTGACGCCAACTATTCTGATAGGAATGACGACGTGGCATGACGTCGAGACGAATATCGTGGAATATTTATACTCAAACAGCTTTGGCGGGAAAATACGAGTAAGATGGAATCTGGGGTCCATCAACTTCATCAGAGAAATGTGGGCCACTCATGTACGGGCGTTAGCTCTCAGACGAGCACACGTTAACCATGAGAAGAGCTTCTTTGAAGACGAGAACTTAGAAGATAAATTGAAAGATTTCGATCTCGGTGATAAGTATGTTTACGTCCCCATTGAAGAACCTCATATCGAAATCCCACAGATTAAGGATCTGGGCGATGCCACCCCACCAGTTGAGTGGTTTGGAGTGAACCGCCGACGGTTCCCCGGAATAACTCATCAGACCATCATTGTTCCCTTACAAAAGTCTGCTCATCTAGCCGAAAAGGAATGGGCTCGCGTTATAGGGAATGCTTGATTACTTGTAACTTATAAACATATGTTTTACTGCATCAGACCTTAATCAATCGTCTGCATTAATAAAACCCTTATTTTGAATCGTAACACTCCTAGTCATGTTTTTGCTTTTATAGATGCCAACGAGGCTCTGTGCTAATTCAAACATGTTATTTCGGAGCGATATAACAACGAATTGCGCATTTTTTGTCCTCTCTTTAATATAGTTAGCCACAATTGACACATTGCGGAAATCCAAGGCCGCATCAATTTCATCCATTACGTAAAGAGGCGTCGGTCTGTACTTGTGTAATGCAAAAACCAAAGCCAAGGAACTGAGTGTTTTTTCCCCGCCTGACAAGTTCGAGATATTTCTCCAGCTCTTCTTTGGCGGCATGACACTAAAAAGAACGCCTTCAGAAAACGGATCCAAGCTGTCCACGAGTTCCAACTCAGCATTCCCTCCCATGGTTATCATCTGGTACATTTCTTTCAAATTCATCGATATCATGTTAAAACCTTCCATGAACTCATCTAAACGCTTCTTTTTCGACAATTCACAAAAGGTGCGCATTTCGTCACGCCGCTTGACAGCTTCATTGAGGTCCAGCCTTCTCATTCGAAATTCAGCCAGGCGCTGTACGTAGTCTTCTAAGATCTCAATGTCAACGTGAGCACTATCCAAATACTCTTGTAATTCAATCATCTCCCTTTCGACATCCTCAATATTGACATGCCTTAATTCGTCTTCAGAATGTCGCGTCAGACCGTTAACAAGACTTTCCTTCTCGACTTTATCCGTAACCGAAACGTTTGCATCAGATTCGTTGAGTTCTGGAGCGTCAACGTCAATTTCATGATCTATAGCCGTAGCCGAATCATATTCTTCAGCAGAGGTCCTATCTGCGGAAATTTCTTCGCAACTCTTCGCACTTCCTGTCTCCTGGGATTCTGCTTGCAGCGATTCTGCCTGCAGCGATTTGAGAACAGATGTCATATCTCGAATTTTCAACGAGTTCAGCTTGTTTTCAAACCGACTTTTTTCGGCGATGAGGCGGTTGCAAACTTCATTGAGACTTTCCAATTGAGCTTTTAGTTCGATCTCTTTCGAGTGAAAATTAGAAACTTTCCCCAGTTCTTCATTTAAACTCAATTCTAACGTTTCAAGCTCATGAGAATATTCCTCATCAAAGCCAACTAGGTCGTCTAGCGTTTTCTGAACGCCAATCAGGTTATCTTCAACAGCGGAAAGTGAGACTTGGATAGAAACCATTTCTCTCTGACAGGTTTCTATTTCCAAAATAGCTTCTTCGAACTGCCTTTCTAGCCTTTTGATATCACTTTCCGTCTTTTTCAATGCCGTTTTGCCTCGCTTTTGCTTCGCTAAATTAATGCTCAGTTTTTGAGAGACAGAGTCCACTAAGGAGTTCTGCATTTGTAATTTCGAACCTCCTATTTCCATTATGCGATCTTGTAAGGACGCCTTCATTTCGGATTTTGACAACATCTGTTCTTCAATTTCCCGACACAAACCGTTCAATTTATCGATTTTATCCTTCTCATCCTGCAATTCTTTCACTGAAGAGCCATGAAGTTCTTTCTCTTCAGTCAACAGAAGTTTTGCCAATCTGTGGTCGGCACTTTTGATGTCGCTTTCTAAAGTTTCAGCTTCCATTTTCTTCTTAGATATTTCCAATTCAATATTTGGTACCCTTTCTTTGAGGTCTTGCATGGCTTCTCCCATTTCTCTAAATGTCTCCGAGGCTATTTTGAAATTCTTCTCTCTTTCCACAAGGTCTGTTTCCAACTTTTGCACTTCCTCAGGACTTACAAGAAACTCGTTGCCTTGGTGTTTTGATTTCATTAAACCACTCGCCTTAAACGTTCCACCACCACTCATTGCACCTGATATGTCTATGAGTTTCCCATCTAGTGTGACCACTCTATACCTTCGTTTTCCATAGGCTACCCGGTTAGCTTGCTTCAAATCGTTCGCTACCAAAGTGTCCCTAAGAACGCTATAAAACGCAGGAAGAAACTTCAAATCTTTTGACTTAACGAGGTCAAAGATTCGAGGAACATCCTCAGGTGTGTCTGGTTTTCTCATATCGAAATTTCTCAGCTTGTCTAGCAAGATAAAGCGAGCGTATCCTAGCCTATTCTTCCGCAAATGCTCTATGCACTGCTGTCCGCACTCAACGGTATCCACCACTATATCGTCTAAACGAGGACAGGCCGTTGAAATTGCAACGTCATAGGCATCGTCAATCGTACCGAGATCACCTAACCGGCCGTGGAAACCTTCTATTCGGCCAGATTTGTGCAATCTCATTAAGGCGGTAAGCACCTTATTTTTATTTTGGAAATTATTCAAGGACGATTTCGCCTCATTGAACCTTTGTCTATGAGAAGTCAATATCGCTTTCATTTCATGCATTCTCTCACCAGCACCGTCGAGGGCTGTTTGACCACTTGCGATCTTTTTTTGTAAGGATAGCTGCTCACTTTCCAAAGACGAGATTCCCTGCAAATGCTCACTCAGTTTGTCAGTAGAGAATTTCTGCGTTTGACGTAGTCTCTCAACATCAGCGGCGGCTTTCTTTTTCGATTCTTCGTAAACTACCAAAGCATTTTTAGCGAGTTGAATCTGAGTCTTTTTCTCTTGAAGTTTCAATTTCCAAGGCTCTAGCTCGGCTTCAAGCTTTGTAATTTGCTCCGCAAAGTCACTTGTCTTGTCCTTCAAGCCGAGTTTTATTTCAGTCAATTTTTTCTTTTCAACTACAAGAGAAGCATTTAGTTCAGCTATTTCTTTCTCACAACCTTGCTGTGACAACTCCAAATCTTCGATTTTTCTCCTAGTATCGGCAATACCTGCTTGTGCTGGGCCCGAAGACTTTTCAGCTTTCGCTTTTTTGTTAGCAAAATTCCTTAACTTTGCCTCAAGCGAGATTTTCTCCCTCTCTTTATCACGTTTGGTTTGAGATAGTTCTTTTTGATGCTTTTGGTTTTGCAGTTTCTTGTCTTTCAAAATAGCGCAGCGTGTTTCAGCCTCCTTAACCTGCCGTTGGTGTTTTGCATGCTCCTCGATTTCAGCCGAAAGCGTTTGCTTCAAGGCTTCAGTTTTCTCAGCGTAGTTAAACAACTTATTATTAATTTCCCAGATTTTGTATTGAAACAGTTTCGAGTTTAACAAAGTGTGAGTCTTTTCTTTGTCGAGATATTCTAGGGCCTCGTTTTTGCCGTCTTCTAAAGAATCTTTTTCGCGCTCCACAAGCTGAAAGCGGTTCTCCTTTTCTCGGCAAACCTCGTTTAGCGAGTCTATTTGCAATAGGGAGTCTTCAATCTGGGCTTTATACTTTGCCGTCCCTATTATATCTTCAAGGTACTCTAAAAGGCCGTCTTCACTCTCCCTTTCGGCCTTGGGTTTCATTTGCGCAATGCTTTCGACTTCTCCTTGCAGAATTAAGAACCTCTTGTGATCCAAATCCACACCTTTATCTCGCAAAAGCTGCGTAACTTGTTTGTAATTGCTATCTTTGCCATTGATGTAGTATTTTGAGGTATTGTTTTTGAAAGCTCGCCGCGTGATGACCAACGGTGGCTTATCATCATTAATGCTAGTGGTATGATCAGGGTTGTCAATAACGTGGTCAAAATAGATATCAACGGAGCAACTTTCGAGATCTCTATGAGCTTCTGACTTGTGGATGAGACTTGACAAATTTCCTTGGCGCATTTTGTTGGCTCGGAATCCAAACACAAACAACATAGAGTCGATCACGTTAGACTTACCCGATCCATTAGGCCCCACTACGGCGGAAAATGAGCTGTGAAATGGCCCAACCACCTGTGTACCGGCGTAGGATTTAAAATTATGCAAAACTAGACGATTTATGCATAATCTTTCGAAAGATGCGCCATTTCTCTCCGCTTCGTGAATACGCAACTTTTCTAGTCGAGACTTTTTCGATGGAGAGAGCTGAATCAATTGTAACCTTCGCGTGGGCGACCGAGTGGGTGACCGCGGAGGTGATTGCGAATAAACGCGTCCTCTCGTGTTCCCTTCGTCGTTCAAAGGTTTTAGATTGGGAACGCCGGACGAAGATGAAACCCATTGTTGCGAGTATGCTTGAGGTTTGTCGGATGAGCCCGAAAACAGCTTCCGTGGCGTTCTGGAGCGCGATATTCCCGTAATATCGGGAAAGTCTTCACTTTTAGATAATTCGAAATCCTCGATCGGTAGCTGTTTTTGCTTTTTGGAAAGTGGACTTTCTGACATCCTAAAGCAAAATTTTATGTCTGTAGAGACTATTAGCCGTATGAAGGCCTTCTAGTCTTGTCACTCGCTTCAAATGTTCTGCATCTAAAGGCATCGATGTCTCATAAACCTGGATCAGTTTTGATCTTTTGTTATGGTCGCTAGCTACGATCATCAACACTTACCAGTTCATTTAAAAGATGGATCAACTGGAGACTCTAACAAATTTTAGTTAATTGCTCAGATACGAGAGACCAAAAACTTTGGAAACCTGGGAAACCGCGGTGCTACATTCCTCGACGGCGTTATCTCATCTGTAATATTACTAATAAGAGCTTTCTGTGCAGCTTCCTTGTCGCCGTCACCAGTTTTGCATCTCTGAGTCATTTCAACTTTGTCGCCAAGCTTAAGCGTCAGTTCCATACAATAGGTTCTTCTCCCCTGGTGTTCTGGGATCTTATTTTGATGAAATTCTAATAGAAAATTCGAGATAAATGAGCGAAGAAACAATTATCCTAGATAATGGTTCGTTTGAAATCAAATTCGGGCTCCGGGGTCAAAAAGAGCCGTATCGAGCTCTCAATTGCCTGACCAAAGACAAATACGGCAATTACCACTTGTCAAATCAGGTTCGGTCTCTTAAAGATATATCATCAGTCACTATACGGCGGCCGCATGAGCTGGGTCAACTCACTTCTTGGGAGCTAGAGCATCATATCTGGGATTATTGTTTTTTCAATCCAGATGAATTCGGTGGATGGCAGCTTGGCAAAACGAAGGACAAACACCTGATAGCGACTGAGACTTGCATGACGATTCCAGAACTGAGTAAAAACATGGATCAGGTCGTTTTTGAAGAGTACGAATTTGGCAGTTTGTTCAAAGCGCCCACTGCGGCTTTTGTGCCTTTCAATCACCAGAGCGACGAAATGTCGTATTTCTCCGCTAAAGAGGATTTCCCCGAAACGGAGTTGGCGCCTGCAAGCGAATATAACGATTTTCAATTAGTGGTCGACTCAGGCTTCAATTGCACCTGGATCGTACCAATAATTAAAGGCATACCGTACTACAAGGCTGTAAAGCGTCTTGATATCGGAGGCCGATTTCTGAACGGACTGCTCAAAGAAACGTTGTCATTTCGACACTACAACGTGATGGACGAAACGTTACTGGTTAACAACATCAAGCAACATTGCATTTTCGTGAGCCCCGTGTCATATTTCGACAGCTTCCAGAACCGGCTACGTACCAGCAAAGAATACGTGTTACCGGATTTCCACACGAGTTTCCAAGGATACCTCAGAAAGAGGGGCCAAGAACTGCCCGAGAACTCGCAGACCATTACGTTGCAAGACGAACTGTTTTCCGTTCCGGAAACCTTTTTTCACCCAGAGGTCGCTTCGCTCACGAACCCGGGACTCATAGAAACTATACTGGAAAGCATATCGATGGTACCGGAGACAATAAGACCGCTGATGGTTGGAAACATTGCACTGATTGGGGGAAATTTCAACATCCCTAATTTTCCAGAGCGGCTTTTGACGGAGCTTCAGCGACAATGTCCGACAGACTGGTCCTGTCGCGGGATGGTACCCTCTGGAGACAAAGCGCTTTACGGCTGGGAGTCGATGTGTCAGTTTGCAAATACCGACGCTTACGTAAGGGCAAGATTTACAAGAGAAGAATACAACGAGCATGGTGCAGATTGGTGCACCAGGAACCGGTTTGGGTACATGAAATGGATGTGATTTTTTTTACGAAAACGTTATGCATTTGTGAAGGTGTCGGGTTTCTCGGGAATGTACTGGCAGTCTACGTGGCTCTAAACTGCGGGCCCAGAATCTGAGCGAAACCGAGGTTCATTAAGCTACTAATGACGCCTAGTCAACCAACATATCGCACCGTATCAGACAAGATCTGCGTTCATATCAGTAAACGTCGCTGACAGTGAGATGACGTGGGGGAGGGAGAGTGACGCTGCCGGGTCGAGAGCGCAAAGCCCTAGGGCTCTACTTGCGTACGCGATGATATAGCATTACATAAGCCGATTTCACTTCGAAAAGATATCAATAATGACGTCATCATAGAAAGCTCACACGTGACTTGTGATCAGGAAGAACTACGGGTGCCGTCTCCCGTTGAGGACATGCGTGTACACATACTGAGCTCCGTTCAGGGCGCTTGAAAACTTGTATTTCGGTAGCGGCTCTTTGATGGGGGAGATTCGGACTTTGAGTTCGCTGAAAGATACGTATGTAATGATACATCGATATCCGCCTCGTTCGAGCAAACCACCTGCTATTGCAAACGAAGAAGAAACTTGTAAGGCCAATTGCCACGACTTTTATTGTACAGAGTGCACTTGAAATACGGTACGCCGCAGTTTACGGGGAAGACTGGCGAGACAGCGTCTTAAATCACGTGACTGTACTCTGCAGTTGTTTACGTATATAGCGATCCACGTTTTTGCAAAAATAACGTAATGTGACGATCCTCGTAATGTATTGCAATGGCGATATGACAGTCGTATATAAGGGGTGTGAAGGAAAGGGAGCATGTAAGTGGCGGCAACTTTGACTACCTGTAAGGACTAAATATAGATAGTACAAAGGACGAGCGAAACCACTCTAAAATCAGAAGTTTTGGTTTGAAGTTAAAGGTCATCTACACTCCAAAATCAGCAACCCCGCATTTATTAGTTGAACACTCCAAGTTACACAGAAGCAGTACATTTCCGCCACCCCAAATGATAGGTTCTAGAGCTTCAAGATCGTCGATCTCGATTTCGCAGCAGAGAATGCTTTCCAAATCGATGTCAGGGTTGAATCTGGACCAGAAAGTTCTCTATTACATCGGTGTCGACGTTGGGACCGGGTCTGCAAGGGCTTGTATCATCGACAGCCTGGGTAACATTCTGTCGCTTGCGGAAAGACCTATCCAGCGTGAACAACTACGTCCCAATTTCATCACACAGTCTTCTCAGGAAATCTGGCAAGCGGTCAGTCACTGTGTGAAGACGGTGGTCAGGGACTCTGGCGTTCCTACCGAAAAGATTCACGGTATCGGATTCGACGCCACTTGTTCGCTTGTAGTGGTTGAAGAGGGAACTAACAAAGAGGTTGCAGTGGGACCCGATTTCTCCAACACAGACCAGAACATCATCCTGTGGATGGATCACCGTGCAATGGAAGAAACCGCCGAGATCAACGCGACTAAAGACAAGTGTCTCAAGTATGTGGGCGGCCAGATGTCCGTCGAGATGGAAATCCCCAAGATGAAATGGCTCAAGAACAACCTGCCCAACAACAAATTCAGCCAATGCAAGTTCTTTGATCTTGCCGATTACCTCACGTTCAAGGCCTCCGGCAGAGAAACTCGTAGTTTCTGTTCTACTGCTTGCAAGCAAGGCCTACTTCCAGTTGGTGTGGAGGGCTCCAAACAGGGTTGGTCGCGCGAGTTTTTGACCACTATTGGCCTCGAGGAGCTCTGCGAGGACGACTTCCGTCGTTTGGGAAACTCTGTTAAGAATTCTGATAGCGGTAGCAAAAATTTTTTGAGTGCCGGTGAATTTGTTGGTGCCCTTGACCCTGAAATCGCTGAAGAACTTGGTCTCAGTACTCACTGTGTGGTAGGGTCTGGTGTCATTGACGCCTACGCCGGTTGGGTCGGTACCGTAGCCGCTCGCACCGATGTTGCCATTCCTGCATTGGTTAAGACTGATGAGGAGAAAGTCGGTATCAATCGTGCCACCGGAAGACTAGCCGCTGTTGCTGGTACCTCTACATGCCATATCGCCATGTCTCGTGATCCAATCTTCGTAGACGGTGTATGGGGTCCTTACAGGGATGTTCTAGCATCTAACTACTGGTGTGCCGAAGGTGGCCAAAGTTGCACAGGTGCTTTGCTTGCGCATGTGCTCACGACTCACCCAGCATACACAGAGCTCTCACAATTGGCGGACGCAGCGAGCGTATCAAAGTTCGATTACTTGAACTCGAGACTAGAATCGCTAGCACAGCAACGCGCCGCACGCTCCGTTGTACATCTGGCGAAACATTTGTTTTTCTACGGTGACTACCACGGAAACCGTTCGCCCATTGCTGACCCATCGATGAGGGCAGCGATTATCGGCCAGTCTATGGACAACTCCATCGACGATTTGGCGCTCATGTACTTGGGAGCCTGTGAGTTCATCGCTCAGCAAACGAGACAGATTGTTGACCAAATGACCAAGTCTGGTCACCGCATCCCTGCGATCTTCATGTCGGGTGGACAATGTCGTAACGGATTGTTGATGAGACTTCTTGCTGACTGCACAGGCTTGCCAATTGTGATTCCAAGATACATCGACGCAGCGGTTGTATTTGGAGCTGCTTTGTTAGGCGCTGTTGCCAGCGAGGGTTTTGACATGAGTGGTACAAAATCAGAACTGGCCATCAGGAGAAAGTCTTCGATTGCAGGTACGCTCGAGGAGCATGGCCAGGAGAAAAAGTCCTCGTTGGCTAAATTTGGTAAATTTGGCGGTGGCGACTTGCCATCTCCATACACAGCCCCACATGCTACCGCCAGCACTTCACAAATTGCGTCTACGGTTGGCTACCCATTCCCCACTCAAGATGAAAATCCAACAATTCATGAGGAAGATGGTACGTCAGACGACGACGATACTGCTGAGAACAGTGAAAAGGAGTCCAGTGGTTTGAACTTCAAGGTGAGCTCCAAGTGGAAGAAGGACATGGAGGATCGTATGCAGGGTCGCGCCTCCGATAACGGAGACACCATGTGGAACGTCATGTACAACATGACCGGCGGCGGTAAAGTTGTCCAGCCATGCGCGCCTGATCATGCAGACAGAGTCTTGCTCGATGCCAAGTACAAGATTTTCTTGGACATGGCTGAAACCCAAAGAAAGTATAGAAAGTTCGTCGACGACGTCGAACATAAAGCTTGAAAAGGGCCCTTTTTTCACACATCTACGACCGGAACGACTTTAGCAGTTCGCCGCGGTCTGTCGCGAATGCTACCTCAATCATTTTATGTAAAATATTTAGATCATTAGGAAACGAACACGTCACTTTGCCAAAAGTCAATCTATTTTCACACACTGTGCTCCTCCGCTCCAGTCGGGATCCGCCTGGTCCCCCATCGGGTCCTTATTGATGTTTCTTAACATTCTGTTGTTGTATCATGCATGGAAGCATGGCATCAACTTCGGCCTTTGCACGAAGACGCAGACCTAGCAAGACCAACGGGAAACAGTGAAACCACATGGCAAACACCACAAGTCAACCATTTAACTTTGAAAGCTTCTTTGTGAGCCAACTATTTAGAACTTTTTACGCTTTTCCGTGTCGCCGCTTTTAGCTTCTCACTCTCCTCTGCTTCTGGCAGTCACCGACCGTTGTGAAAGTTTCCATTTTCCCTGCAGGAAACAGATAAGAAAAACGGTTTTTACTGACATAATAAACCGTTGAACCAACATAGACCCATATGAGCAGACGATCAACAGTTGAACTGCTCTATTTTAGAATATAGTACTAGAAATATAATAAGACTTATAGAATAATATAGAACGTCGCAGTGTGGATCGTTGAGAAATTCCATATTTTTTGAGATTGGCACTCAGTCAGCGTCACAAAACTTTCGTGGGTAGTCAAATGACAAGAATTTCATACTTTGCCCCAAAACAGATCAAGCAAACAAGATAACAGCGGCTCAGGACTGGGACGATTCTTCTTTTGCAATAGTTGTTAACAGCGCTCAGCAACGAAGTTGCCGGTAATTGAAGCCGGAAACAAAAATAAGGGACAACTGGCTGTTATAGCAGGCACCGCATTTCGTGGTATTCCGAAACCGTTGACAGTGCGAAGGGATTGCAGCGGGTACTCGGTTCTCTACCGTAGAACTCTGCATGGCTTCTGGAAGGATTACAGGAGCCACAGGACCATGGAAGGGAGGTTTGGCAACCGAAATGTAATCAATGTGGTGCACGAAGTAGGCAACTCACTTGCAGAGAACCTGAACAACGAAAACGAAGCAGTTGGAGGGTCTGAAGTAGACAAGAGCAGTCATGGAGCGCACAAGCTCGAATTTCGCAACGAGGGCGTCAAAGTGCAGCAATCTAGTCAAACAGTCAGCAAAGAAAAAGTGAATGTTGGTCTGTCGCTTATTCACAGCATTCTTTTCAATGTACTCGCACAAATTAGAACGCATGATAGCTACTATGCGTGCTATACCAGCGCCAAAAAACATTTCGAGGGCAAAAAGTTGGAGCAAGCGGAGGTGGACACTCTATTTAACATTCTGATGCAGTACCCAAACGCCATTTTGTCTGCCATGTATCTTCCGGTGCTCCTGCGGTTTCTGGAATGGTGTGAGCAAACGGCAAACATACCAAGCAGTGTAAGGATAGGAAGGTCGCTGGTGACCCCGTACAAGTGTCTACTTTTCCTGCATGACAATTGGGAAGACTATCAGTATAACACGGGAACGTTATACCAAGCCTTTGAAGCCTTCAAGCTTTTGCAGAGTCTTCAGATGGCCCTGTTCCCAGGAAGTAAGCCAATCACATACAATGATCCATCCGATGCTGACGCGGCAGATGTAGCTTGGCGACCTTTGGCTGACTCCGAAATTGAGGGAATCATTGAGGCGCTAACGCAACAAGGTGGCTTTGGAAATTTTGAAACCGTCGACAAGGCCATTGCATCCTCCTCGTCCCAACGACCTCCTATGGCGGAAAATGTACACGTACCAGCTCCACCCGTATATCCTGTCTTGGGCACGTCACACCCTTCAGCGACAAGCCCCGTCGCAATGTCTTTTCATACCTTAAATCCTAGCACTTATGCGCATCCTCCGTTATCCACAACCGATTTTGCAGAACCTTTAAGTGGTCATTATACCGTTCCTGAGGGTCTCGCTACCAGCGAAAATAAATCCGAAGCCATTTTCAATAAGACCATCGCAGATATGGTGCAACGCCTGTACAAACTGGAAACTTCACAAGCAAGTGTGATCAGCGACAATGTGGCACTTAAAGCGACTTTGGAGAATTTGAGGACCAGACTTGCGGTGCTCGAGAGTCATTTAGACGACATCACTTCCAAAAGGTCGGAAACTCAGTCTGCGTTTAGCAGAACTCCAATGAAAGTGCACAAGGCGTCTTCCAGAACATCTCCCAGTTCAGTCTTGAGTGCCATCAATCCAATCAGCGCTGGCTTAAAAATCGAACCGGCGTCTCCATTCAGCATGGAAAAGCAGCCAAAGACTGCAATGGCGGACCCAAATTTAACCGAATACGATCGACCTTTCTCCTACGAATCTGCATCTGTTCCTCCACAGGGAACAACGAGTCTATCTGTCGTCCAACCTTCAGAGCAAGCCGCAGCTGAACCAAATCCTGAAGACGTAATGTACCTAAATTCCGATGTTCTCGGAATTCACGAGCCACACGACATAATAGCACCGAAGACACTTTCCAGAAAGCCAAGGCTTAAAGTAAAGGATGTTCGAGGTGCTCGATTATCAAAAGGTGAGCAGTACCAGCCGCCACTTACCGCAGAAGGGAAAAGCTATTTCTTGGACGAATCCGGAAGACTAGCTATCGTGATGGCCAACGATCAAGATTCCATATATGGGATCTATAACGAATACTATCAATCATTAAAGCCGCAGGTTGAAGCGTTTGTCGGCGACCTAGGAAAGAAATCACTTGTACAGTTTCGCAAAAAGAGGACTTTCCAGAAGAAGAAAGCCTTCGTGTATCTTGTTGAGCGTATTGCTCACTTGCGTGGCATTCCTGCTGAGAAGGTTCTTGATATGATAGATGAAGTTCGCATCAAAGAAAACAAATCGGTTGTATGGGCATGCAATAATTTGGGCTTATTGAAGGGGGCCATTGCGCAACATCACTCGGAATTAAAGGATGCCGTTCTGTCAGAAACGGAACAATAATGTGTTTCGTGATGGGTTCTTGTCCACAACATCAAAAACTACTAGAGTTTCGTTTCGCTGAAGAAGCTCAAAACGAGCGAAAGGGTGAAAATACATCGCCAACTACAATCTAGTAAGGAGCATCAGGGTGTCCAGTTTTCCTATGAAATCGAGGGCTCACCCTTGGAAAAGTTTTATTATTTCTCAAGTTCGACAACTTGGGGTCAACTTACAGGCAAAAAGATATGTAAAAGTATTGCAACTGATACGTTGTAGAATCTACTGTTACTGTGTGCGTCATGGTACTTGACAAGATTAGTGACTTGTGTTTTAGTGTAATAAATCTCATGAGAGAAATTGGCACCGAGTCTTCTGACGATCGCTGCTTATTGTTGTCAAAAGAGTGTGACAAGTCCCCTAAGAACGATCGCTTACATGGTAGAGTCTCAAGTAGAAGTGTGTCGCTTCTTGTGGATCCGGAGTTTAATCTTTCTTAAAATCATCCTTTGAGTGTACCATGATGAGTATTAACAGAGATTGACAAGGCCAGGAAAAGCTAAGTTTACTATAGAACTGGATAATCAGATACATGTGTTGAAAAAAAGGAAACTTTGTGCTTCCTCATGAGAAATGAAAACCCATTCGTTAGTGCATGATGTTTGTGTATTACTATGAAAGTCTACCTCATGCGATTGAAGTTTATTTTAGACACGAGCCTCTATCATAAATTGAGTTCAAAGGAAAAAATAATAGCTTGACAGATATTGCTTTAGGGTTTTACTTCGGCAGCATTGTGTTCTGATAGAGGTTCAGGCAGAGACTCTCGAGTGCCCCATGAGGTTTCTAAGCATCTACAATGGTAAGGAGGTTTTCAATTTCCGCCTCGTATTGGTTTCAACGCCAAGAGGCGCTTTGTTGAGAATCTTTCGATAGTGAAATGCGTTGGAGATAACATCGACAAACGTAATTCTGTGAAGTTATCGATACAGTTGATGTTTACCAGGGTTGCAAATCGACACATATCCAATTTGGTCAGCTATTTTACTCTTACCTATTCTTAAAAAAATCAGTAGCAAGTACTTATCTATACTTGAATGAATTAATATTATTACGTTCCTAAGCCTGGATATTTGATCTCCTATTATATATTTCTCGTAATATTTTCGTCGAGATCTTATCTCCGTAATAAGAAATGACACCAAGTTAAACTTCGTGCTATCCGTAATACCAGAAATGACTTGATCGCGGGAGTGTGACGAAACCACGATTGTCACAATGACTATTGGGCCCATGGTTTCCTGTTAGGTTAAATTCGAATCATCTATGCAATTATTTCTTATCTTATTCTGACAATATGATCACGTGATATTGTTCATTGATAGCGCAATTCATTTACATCGCCTGTCGTAGGCTTTTTCTAAGCAGAACATATCACAATCGAATTTAATATCTCTCTGAGATGATTCGGATAGTTTTGATTCCCTATTTATAACTGTATCGCCTCGTTTACAATTCTCGTAATACCATATTTACTGCCTAATTCTCTGGGTGAGATACACGCTATAAATTCTACCACACAAGCACGTCGCGCCTCTAATGGTTTCCTTTTATCAAGTTCGTAGTTCTGTGGCGACTATTGAATTCGGTGGGACCCATAGTTTCATCATGAGTTATGTCATTCCGTTATAGCTATTCTGGTAATATTCTGTCATGGAGCACGTGACACTCACCTTCCATGATATCAGCTCAAAGGGATCATCTTTGAAAAACCCCAACCAAAAGATACCGTGACTGTGACCTGATACTTGTTCTTTGGGATTTCTGGCATGATCCAGAAGATTAGTGGTCTTTCTGATCGTTCGCTTGCTTGAATGTTAGAGAGGTCACGTGATCTGGAATTAGGTTTGACTATAAATCTCAATACTATTGACATTTAAGTAAGGAATAATCTTAGATTCAACTCTGTAGAAAGTTTGTGCTCCTTTGTTTACAGCAGTGAAGTGTGAAAATGACATTAAACGCGCTTGGTTGAATATCTGTCTATATCAGATCTTGAGAGTTAATCTGAGAGCTCAAACGCATTCGCTACGTACTGCAAACCACTGACATGCTAGGGGTAGTTCACTATATGAGCTCCGTGGCCTTGTTTTCTTAATGTAGAGATAGCTCTTCTAAACGAACTCAAAGAGATTCAAATACACCAAGTGACATTTCTACGCGCTTGCAATTCGGAATTTGTTTGCTTTACAGAATTGCGCGAAAGGAAAGAAAGGGGACTAAGTTATGTAAAAGGAGAGCAACTAGCTTTCATTGTGATAACCACCTATAGTCAGATTATGGCCTGAACACAATGCCAATGACTTAACATAGTTGTCGTCTTTCGCCGTCTTGCCTCACGACAGCCGAAGTTCCTTCCTTCAAATTACTATGACAGTGCCTTGTGGGAAGATAGTCGCGAGAGAGAATCATACCAGAAATTGTTATCGACTCAAAGTTCAAGCAACATTAGATTAGCAAACTGTTACTTGGGAGATAAGACAGCAACTCCACCATGATTTCCCTTTGGATCGAACACAAGTCAGAAAAGAAAGCTGAGACGCAACTCAAACCTTCTAAAAGTTCAAGAACCTTAAACAGATCAAAAATGCAATTGTTGAGACCACTTCACCCATCTTTACCCTGTGATTTCTTGTTATGCGAATTTTCGCTATGAAATTGATGTCTGTTTTCATCTATTCCGTATATGGAAACAGCCAGGGCTCATCTCAGACAGCTGAAATTTTCATCGTAAGAAGCGCCAGATGGATCAAGTATTTACAGTCGGAATTGGCCAAATCGACGTTACTGGGAAACCAACTGTCTACAAATAGAGCGATCCTGCAAACGAACTGAAATAGCGGATTGAAGTTTAACAATAGGAAACAGATTTTGGGAAGTTTGGTTTTTGCAGCAAAACGCTCATCAAAACCCCAATTTTCAGCAAGCACATTGTTAGCCTAGTTTTGGACGATTGATCTTGAAAGTTCTTGTGGGTTCTTGTGAGTTATTTTCGAGTGGGCGAAAAGGCTTTTGAAGGCTTTCTCAATGTCATGCTAGCGGAATTGAGAGTTTTTACATTCTTGCTGTCATTTTGTCTAGGGTCCCATCTTTTAGAGATCGAGAATGCGTCTAATTTTAGCCAGGTTTCGATCCCGGATCTCAACTTTTCAGCAAGCTCAAATGGCGAAGTAGGATTCCTCGGGGATTTCGATGGGTTTTCGTTCTACCATTACGTTGGACAACAAAATTTCACAGAGATTCAAGATTTGAGCGCCAGCTCGCTCAATTATTACTCCGAAGGTGTTTTTATAGAGCTTTGTCAGGCGTCCAATTTCCCCAATGACTCTCAAATTAATCATATCGTGCCAGTTGGGCCCGATTCTTTTGTTTTGAGTGGGAACGGCACCATGGCAGGCCATGCTTTGGACAAACAAATTCTGTACAATATTACCACGCAGCAGTATCGCACACTTTTGGCAAATGGAATATCGAATATTAACCAAATTTTTGTACACGGGGACGGCATCTATTTTGGGGGCGATTTTGAATACTCAACGGATACCTCCAGAGGTCACAGTGCGGTGGTGTGGAATATTTCGTCCGAAACAGACTGTCTGCTACCATTTGGTGGGTTCGGAGAAGGGTCCGAAATAACGTCCATCGTTGCACTAGATAATGGAACTCTTTTGTTTGCGGGGAAATTTGATACCCTAGATAATCCCACTTATTTAAAGTCCCCTCAGGCAGCCAACTCAACCAATCAAACGTTCTATGAGCTTTCACAGCAAATTCCCATGCAGCTGGCTGCCTGGACGTCTTCCGACGGATCTATACAGGAAGATGCATTGAGGTGTCCGACTGGAACCGGTAAAACTGGATGGCTGGTTGAAAATCAAACAACAGGTCGCCTCAACGTGGCTTTTCCAAATGTAATTTATCCAAAGAAGATAAGGATATACAACGGTGTCTCTGACGATGAACGGGTCTCGATGTTTCGGCTTTTGAGCAGCCCCACAGATGGCATCATGAACCTAACGTACCTAGATCCTCTTTCTGGCAGCGTACGTTCCTGTGATGCTTCGTGCCCGCTACTTTCATCCAGTGTTATGCAGCGCGCTATGTCAAATGGGACTGATAACATGTCGAGATACTGGAATTCGGATGTGACGCTCGGGTGGTCTTCTACGTACCAAGAGTTTGCGTTCGTTAACCAAATACCAACCGAAGGCCTTTCCTTTTTAGCGCTCGACTCTTTTGGTAGCTCCGTTTCTCTAAGTGGTGTCCAGCTGTATGCCAGCCAGTACTTCGTTTACGCCAACAACACCTTAAATGAGATCGGATGCGGTGACACGTCTCAGCAAGACTCATATTCTGTGCTTTCAAGTTCTTCAAGCTGGACAAATAGCGAATCTGGAACGTCTTATGTTTCAACAGACTTTGACATGTCAGAGGTTTTCCCGTCTGTTGCATTCCATCCAGAAATCCAGATTCCCGGTAACTACACTATTGATCTCCTAACTCCCGGCTGTCTTCAAGACAACTCATGCTTGTCGCGGATTCAGTCTAATGTTTCTGTTTATGATAGTCAAAACAACACCCTTCTTTATACAGGGCTAATCTATCAGAACAACGATTACGACAAGATCGATACAATATTTTCTGGGTTTTTAAACTCAGCGCCTGAGGTCAGTTTGACCGCGCATGCGAGCATCCAGGAAAATGGAAAGTCAGTGTTCGTGGCTGGTTGTCTTCTTATAGATCAGATTGCCGTGAGTTCATCAGTATTTGATGCCAAAGACATTTGCTCGCTCAATGGGATATTGAAATACGATGTCAATCAGAGAGTGAATCTAGGTGACTCCAGCATCGAGCAGTACGCCACGACGAATTTTGAAAACGGCAGCAGGTTCATTTTATCGTCCTACCATGACTCTCTTTTACTCTCGGCTCCCTCAAGTGGACTAGAATTAGTCAATTTATCAAACAGCTCCCTCGTAACTGAGAAATCTCTACTGAGCGAAGGAAGTGTCGAGGATTTCTTCCCCTTTTCGGATGGTGTTCTAATAAGCGGCTCTTTTGATTCAAATGCTACAAATAGCTCCTCCTTCCTTTACAACGGAACACTTGTGCCTTTTGAGTCTTTCCGGGGAGAATTGAGGCAGTTTAGTAACATCACCATAGATGGTGCAGAGCTGTTTGTTCTCAACAACGACATTTTGTTTAACACTACTTCACAAAAGATGATTGAAAATTCCGCTGCTTTGTCACTTTCGATCTTTTCATCTGGCTCGAATGAAAATGATGACTTGGTCTTTTTTGGAAGGGCAATGCACAATGATTTTACCACACTAAATGGAGCTGCGTTTTTCAACTCAGAGAATCGGGTATCTTCTGGGTTTGGGGCTGATTTGAACAGCAAATCAATTGTCTACAACGCGCTTTTCGTTGACCAGTCTCGAACAGCAATCGCCAAGTATGACAAGATAGCCAAAACTCACATCGTTGAGATTGCCGATGGCGATGAAAATTCGATTACAGTGCCGGAGACCTTCTCGGCCCCTATCACTTGCATGAGTTATAATCACAACATGTCCACGCTTGCCATTGGACTCGGTAGTGGAGCTAACGCTTCACAATTCACACTTTACAATACCTCCAGTAACAAATTGGTAACAACATACACTTTAGATGTTGAAGCATCCGTAAGCTCGTTTGTTTTCCTTGAGAGAAATTTCTCGATCCTTGTGGCTGGTGGTTTTAGCATATCGTCCACGAACTGCATAGGTCTCTGTCTTTTTGACATGGCCAAGCAAGAATGGTCACCGTTCTTCAACAACTCCATAAAGGGTATGCTCTCTGACATGAAAGTCTCTAATCAAAGCGAGTTGATAATCAGCGGAAATTTTGCATTTCATAACCACTCAAGCATTAACCTGGCAAGATTATCGCCTGAAACATCTCATGTGGAGGTACTACGCCAGGGGCTGTCAACCTTAAATGGTTTTGCATTCATGGAAGACGAGCGGGAAGGACTTTTTACCTTCGATAATAGCTCACTTGCTTTCATATCTAACAACACAACCAAAAGCATTTCACTGCCTGATTTATCCACAGATCCAGTCATTGAGGGCATTCGAGTATATCCCCTCTTGGAAAAGTCGACATCAAGCCCAGCGGCGCAAGGTTTAGTCTTAACGGGCCGATTTGCGCACCCAATGTACGGCAATTTAAGTGCAATGATTTTCGACTTCAAACAGTGGTATCCGTACTTCAGCACAGTCACAACAGAACCTGTTCTGGGTTCTAAGGAGCAACGTCTTTTTGCCAATAAAGATGAATCTGGTTTTCATAATTACCAATACATTCTGCCCAGTACCTCCACCTCAAACTCTACAATGCCCTCTTCCTCGAATGGTCCTTCTGCACCTTCCTCAGGATCAGCACTTTCGAAGAAAAGGAATAAAGTAGACCGTGGTTTTGTTGTCTTGATTGGGTTAGCGTTGGCTCTGGGAACAATCGCGCTGTTAGGAATTCTAGGTTTGCTATTTGCAATCTTAATACAAGCAGTCACCAATAAAGACAATAATTTAAGCCCTCGGCTAAGTGAGGGCGAAATGATCGATACAGTACCCCCGGAAAAGTTAATGAAGTTTCTTTAGGTTTTATATCGTGTTCTTGATTGCAATTTAATTAATAATAATGGAACTCTACTTAGCGTCTCCTTGCAGGCTTTGTCCTTCGTGTATCTCTATCAGATTCTGTAAGCGCTGAATAATGAGGCCCTCTCTAAATGCAAATGTTGAGTCTTCGAAGGATTGATCTATATCTTGAAAACACCATGATGCTCTTTTCCACTGGCGACAAGTGGACCACTTTCGCGCTGCAATGAGTTCAAACAGCGCTGATTTTCGCCTCCGGCTCAGTCCTTGGGCAGCAATATTGTCATACTTGATCTTATAAGAACTATCCCATTCTTCAGTCGACGAATCGGACTTCTCATCGACATGCTGAACTTCTGCGACATTCGATTGCAAAGAGGGATTAGTTGGTAAAATCTCTCGCGCCTTGAGTGAACTCACTCTTGGATCTACTCTTAAGGCATAACAGTAGGCAAGCCTTTCCCAAATCAAGACTTTCGACAGGGAGCCTAGAGCACACTCATCCAGGATTGTTTCCAAATATTTTATGGCATAGGGCGTAGCGGTCCAGGTATCGCTCAAACTCAAAAAAAGCTCTGCAGCTAGTAGCATGCATCGTGTTTCGTAGCTTTGTGCGGGTTGACCAGCAACGATAGCAGTTGGGCCCTCGCTTTCGGGCTCACTCTGTGGGCTGAGAGTTTTTTGTTGTTTACTATAAGTCTCTTGGGTGGCCTTCTTTGTGACGCCGTTGGCATTTGCAAGTTCTTTCGTCTTCTTTTTATCTTTGGCCTTCAACGCGCAAAACTCGTAAGACTTCAGAGCTCGATTGATCAGAGGATCGATATCATTTTTAATCATTTTAACGGTAACAATGCTCTGAGCGCCCATCAAGACCGAGAGCGCACACCATTCAAGGCAAGATGCTAGGTATTCAAAATGGTTTTCCAAATCTCGAGACAGTAAGTCGTATGTGCCGTAGGCCACTTTGAAGTCGCCCAGCATAAATGACCAGTCGGCTAGCTTCCGTAATAAAAACTCGTTTGAGGTGGCTGAGAAATAAGACACACCATCACGATTTACCGTGACAGGCCTGTTATTACCAGAGGACATGTTGTTTCTTGGCATGAGCCTTCGGAAGAGTTTGGAGTTTTGAAATATCGATTTTCTAGGCTGTAGAATGGTTTCGTCCCAAAAGGAGATCTTTCTCTTCATAAATGGTACCATAAGCTCGTTTGTGAGTATGTCCACTCTATCGTAAATGTTGTTGATCAGCTCTAAAGGCAATTGGAAAACATTGTCCTGTACTAGCAAAAGCATATTTTCATCGAGGGATGACATTATGGGTTGGTGTAGAGACTTCATAATATCAGTAGGGTACTTCCAGAGCGGCAAAAGAATGCTTTCGACAAACAATTGCTTCTTGAGGGTTTTCACCAAGGCTTGGCACAACTCGAACTGGGAGCGCGAGTTTTCATCGTAGCATAGAAGAAACACGGGTAAAATGTCATTTATGTTAATGGAAGTAGGGAAATTGGGCGTACTATTGTGCAAATTTTTGAAATGTATCAACAGATCTCTAGCATCGTCGTAGTTCTCCCCCCTGGCAACGTCGATCGCCAGCAATGAAACCACTGGGTGGTTGAACGATTCGTATGGAGATAAGTATGAATTAGAGGATATAGCAGCGGTGAAGAACTTGTGATATGTCGAATGCTGCAGTAATGAATGTGGTGTTTCCCAAGTCGTGTGTGCGTCAACCATGTCGAGGTAATTCGCCAGAAACACTTCCAACGAATGATAATCGAAAAGTAGGTCATTCTCGTTGCGTGTTCCAATCAAATCTGGTAAAGGTCTGGTGAACCTAATAAACTGAGGAGAGTCGCGCAAAAATACACTGTTTGATCGCACTCTGCCGGTTTCAGAGCGTCTTATATGTTCCTCACTTTGATCTCGATCAGTTATGCAGTCCCCAAAGTAACGCAAGAGCATATACAGCGAATCAAGCTTGTAACACTCGTAAATATGACCGTCGAGGGTATTTGTAGAAGTAACTGTAACCACAGGTGACACCGCATTAGACACAATCTTTCGGGCTATTTCCTTCGGCACCGGCTCATTGATATAGTTCAAATTGTACACCAGATTCATGTATTTCTCATACGAAAGTGACATTGATCTTGCGGGCAACTTGAGATGTGATGATGTGGCTGGTCCAAGTTAGCAGTTTCTCATCGTTATGATTTACCGATGGTCTGAAAAACCCAAGTCATCATGCGTCGCGTCGTTTTTAAAGCCCATTAGTGACATTTACATTGGACCCTTCATGGTCGAGTTGACTACCAACTCTAATTTCGTATAAAGACACTGCACTGTCAATCCTAAGTTCGATTCTCCCCAAATGCTATGAAACATTTGACCAAGAAATATGTATAAAAAAGTTTTCCAGAGCTCTGGAAAGCGACTCATTTATACCTGCTTGATATATGGCGTCTTGACAGTCTGTTCTAATTTATCATTAGTATTTTATTCGGCTTGAGAAACGCGCCAATTTTGAGCTTCCGTTCCAAACGACAAAGTCGAAACAATAGATTTCGGCATCAAAGCTCAGTATTGAATTCCAGGTTATAAACAGAGTTCACAGTTTTATCACGCAGCGCTTAGTTAATTACAGAAGGAACTCCAGGGACCTGAAGGCGAAGCAATGATCGCGTCTGTTTTTCTTGCTTTGTTTTGGGTTGTGGTGGGTACCCAGGCTTTCTATCTACCGGGAATTGCACCAACTACGTACCATGCTGGAGACTCTATTCCGCTACTTGTGAACCATCTGACGCCGTCGATGTATTTCCAACACACAGATGACGAAGGGCACGACTTAGGCGACAAGGAATCGTTTCTATATTCTTACGATTATTACTACGAAAAATTGCACTTTTGTCGCCCGGAAACAGTGGAAAAACAACCCGAATCTCTCGGTTCCATTATTTTTGGAGATCGGATCTACAATTCACCTTTTGAGCTGAATATGTTAGAAGACAAAGAGTGTGTGGCTCTATGTGAGCAGACAATACCCGCAGAAGACGCAAAATTTATTAACAAGCTGATCAAAAACGGGTTTTTTCAAAACTGGCTTGTGGACGGATTGCCAGCCGCGAGACAAGTCAGAGATGAGCGCACGAAAGAAGTGTTTTACAGTCAAGGTTTCGAGCTAGGATATGTTGATTCGGACGGTGCTACCTTCAACGGGGGTAACCAAGCGTCAGCAGGGTCGTCATCGACGGAGTCGTTGTCGTCATCCGGAACCAAACCCGTGGCTGAAAGCGACTATCTAGAGTTGGACGATGGCTATGGTGTATCGAAGCGGGATAAAGTGGCTCTTCAAAAGCGGAGAAAAGTTACCGACAAGTCCGAAGTTGTCAAGAATCTCGAAGTACCATATTTTGCCAACCATTTTGACATCCTTATTGAGTACCACGACAGAGGTAACAATGACTACCGCGTTGTAGGCGTTACAGTTAATCCTGCCTCCATAAAACGTGAGGACGCCTCTCAATGTGCCGCCACTGGCGAATTGCTATCACTCTCAGAAACGGAGGATAACAAAGTTCAGTTCACTTACAGCGTCAAGTTCACAGCTTCCGACAATGTTTGGGCCACTCGCTGGGACAACTACTTGCATGTTTACGATCCAAAAGTGCAGTGGTTCTCGCTTATCAACTTTTCTATTGTGGTGATCCTGTTGTCGTCCGTCGTTGTGCATAGTTTGTTGCGCACCTTGAAGGAAGACCTTTCCAGATATAACTCATTCAACCTTGACGACGACTTTCAAGAGGAAACGGGCTGGAAATTGATTCATGGTGACGTATTCCGTTCTCCACGGAAGGCGTTATTACTTTCGGTACTGGTGGGATCCGGTGCTCAGCTCTTTTCCATGGCTGCGGTCACCGTTCTCTTTGCAGCCTTTGGACTACTATCTCCCTCGTTCCGCGGTTCTTTGACGACTGTTATGTTCATTTTATACTCCCTGTTTGGGTTTTTTGGGTCCTTCACTTCAATGGCGACCTACAAATTTTTCGGGGGTCAACTATGGAAGGTAAATATGATCTTGACACCTATCTTGGTTCCCGGTTCCCTTTTCGGATGCATGCTCGCACTCAATTTCTTTCTTATTTTCGTGCATTCGTCGGGCGCTATTCCGTTTGGGACAATGTGTGCGATTGTCGCACTCTGGATCCTGTTTTCAATCCCACTTTCCCTAGCTGGTTCTTTCGTAGCCCGCAAGAAATGTCGCTGGGACGAACACCCGGTCAAAACCAATCAAATTGCAAGGCAGATACCCTTCCAGCCTTGGTATTTGAAAACAGTTCCCGCTGCTTTCATCGCTGGCTTGTTTCCTTTCGGTTCTATTGCAGTCGAACTCTACTTCATTTACTCCAGTTTATGGTTTAACAAGATTTTCTACATGTTTGGATTTCTTTTCGTGTCCATTACACTACTCACACTTACCACTTCCCTCGTTACCGTCTTGCTTACCTATCATTCCCTATGCATGGAAAATTGGCAATGGCAATGGCGCGGCTTCTGGATCGGTGGTGCCGGTTGCGCGACCTATGTGTTTGTGCATTCGATTCTGTTCACAAGATTCAGACTTGGTGGGCTCACAACAATTGTTTTGTATGTCGGTTATTCGCTGGTCATCTCGATTTTGTGCTGTCTGATAACTGGATCTATTGGTTTTTTGAGCAGTCTGTTCTTCGTTCGCAAGATCTACAGTTCGATTAAAGTCGATTAGAAAATAAATTGAGAGTTTCGGTTCATCCAATGTTGGCGTTCTCAGAGACGGAGCTCTCTGTTCAGTTTTGGCCATTATTTACCGTCTCAAGGATTATTTCACCAGGTCAGGTGCCCAAAATTGTGAGAGTTTTGTAGAGAATAAGTGAAATTGCTCCATGGACTGTTATTTCTTGACTTGCGTGAAATTGACAAGAGTTACGCTGGTGCTTCCATTCCCAGTTCTTTTCATGTGAATTATTGAAGAAACGAATCAACACTTTTATATGTCAAAAACCGTCTGTTGGAAAAAGATTAAAGTTTAATGGTAAGTAGAACCAAAGATAGAGCTTCTGAATTTTCCCGAATATTTACGGAGCATGGCTGGTAATTCGATGTTCCTTTTTGTATTCAGACCAGTAGCTATTTTAAGCTTCGTCGAATATTAAGGAATAGCAATGACAAGAGCATCTATTAGGCGCGGTCATTTGAAAATATACAAAATAAAAACTATTCATTAGGATATTAGGGCACTGGAAGGAAAGTAACACTACTAACTGAATACTTTTCCATAAGGTGTATAGAGTCATATGATGATGATTCAATCCCAGCACTTCGTGCCTCAGGGGCTATGATTTCACTCGTCCGACATCACATTTCATTAACACTCTCTCAACATATTAGGTCTCTTGGCCCAGTTGGTTAAGGCACCGTGCTAATAACGCGGGGATCAGCGGTTCGATCCCGCTAGAGACCATGATTTTTTTTCCAAAATACTTACTGGGTGTCAAATGTGTGCTACAAAAAGCTGACGAATTTTGTCACTGCTACTAGACAAAGTCTGTTCCCATTTATCTACAGCCTTTTAGGTCTCTGACAAACCTTTCCACGGCTTCTACCAGCGTTTTTATGAGTGGCGACGGCGAGAGCAAACCTATGGAGGAAATCCAAAACGACACCGTTTCCAATGGTCAACCTATTGACTCTAGTGATCGTTACCACGACAGAGAAGCCCTTTTGAAGGAAACCAACCTATTGCGAGACACTTTAGAGCTTATTTTGTCGAAATCTATTGAACAAAAGAAAACCTGCGAACAATTGGCCCAGGAAAACCGATATTTACAAGAATATGTGGAAAACTTCATGTCATCGGGAGACGTTACTGAAAGATAAACCTGAGACTTGGCTGACTTATTGTGGTTTAGCCATCTTTGCAAATTCAAGGAACTTGGAAAAAACTTGTACCCCAAGCTGATTTTCCTGTCGTTACTTGTCGTATTTGCGACAAACGAAGAAAGAGTTCCATTTATGCTATTTGTGCGCTTCTTTTACATTTCGAACACATGCCAAATCAACTAATCAATCAAGTCGTTGTTCAATGTTGCACTCTAATGTTTCTGGCTCGATCCATGTCGCTGAGATCGACGAAAATGTGGGCATCTCGAGCACAGAAAGGAAACATGTATCGAGTTTCTTGGGCCCGAAATGGGGCAAACGGAAGATCCTGCCGCATGGAACTCCGGCGCTGGAATTACAGCCTTTGCATCCAAACTCTATAAGGCCTCTACGTCCCGTGAGGGCTAGGATGAAGCATGGTCCTGAACCTCTCGGTGAGGAAACTTTTAACCTGCTTAACGACTTAAATGAAAGGATGATGCGAAGTACAAGACTTTTGAACACATTTGATCTTAAAGCTCGAATTAGTGACGAATTTGCTGTGGAATCTACACCTCTTCGGCCTTCAAGGGCTCATCCTTTTGTACCTGTTTCGACCATCAGATCCTTGCAGCTGCTTCCTCCAGCAGAAAAACTAGATCTGTCTTCGCTGCGCCGTAATCCTCCCACAAACTTCAGGTCAGCCCCCTTTTTCGATTCAGCTCGCCATGACAGAGCTCTGGAACCTGACGATTACGAGGGTATTTGTATTGCCATAATAGGGCAAGAAATTGGACGAGTCGTGTACAAGAGGGAGCCCGTATTCTACAGAAAGCTTGAACTTCAAGAAAGACAAGACCTGACTCAATGGTTTGATTGGGTGCTGTACTACACTTTGGGCGTTGATCGCACTGGTTTTTTCCATCTTAAGGATCAGTATGATGCATTTTCGCTACTCCCATGGTCTAGTTTTGATTCTGAGCGAGCATGGATTTATCAAGGTACCGATTCTGAAATGGACCTAGACGTACACTTGTAAAACAAAAGAAGTTTTGTCAGCTTTGGGAGCCACTTATAGACGTTCCATACTTGATTAAGTAGAGAGCTTACCAATCTGGAGTCCAATCCAAAGTTAATCTGAAATGCAGCTTAATATTTCAAGTTACACTGTCGCTATTGCCATGCTCACCAAGTCCCAACTCATCACAGAGCATTTTTTGGAAAAGCTTAAAGGACTTCAGCAAACAAATTACCTAATATCAGCAGAGAATGGTCTCTAGCATTATATAGTAGCTATCGTTTTGAAGAATAGACTTTCAGTAAATAACATCCCTTCATAAATAAGCTTAGCTTATTTCAGGTAAATTCAAGAAGGGATATTAAATTCAGGCATCCTTGACGGCAGAATAAGCGTCCTTCTAACGGAGGCTTTTCTCAAAGTGCTCTATTTGTATTTCATTCTGTCGTTTTCACATAATTAGAGCAGGTGACTGACATCCCAACTTGTAGATCTGCAATTCAGAAAAAAGTAGCTGCAATTGAACCGATCATTCTCCTCACGTATCTGTGGTTAACTTTAGACTCGATCCTAGTATGGGGGCAATCATATCGTTACCGGTAACCGCCGCAGGTACGTTCCTGGCCTCTTTCTTTGGGTCATTATCATCAACCGTTATTTCCCAAGCTTTCCAATCTCTTACGCGGAATTCGTCATCATTAACAACCAGATTAAGCTACGCAATTTGGTTGCTTTTGAACTCACTGGTGTCATGGCTGTCTATGTCTACTAATAAGTCCTTTCTATGGCCCAAGAAAACATGTACACTAACCGGGGAATGCGGGTTTTTCACCGTTTACAGACTTAACTTCGCTCTGGGCATGATGCATATTCTGTTGGCAGGTTTGTTGGTTGGCGTCAAGTCTACAGGTGATAAACGAGCTCAAGTCCAAAATTCTTGGTGGTCACTCAAGATCCTGTTCTACGTATTAAGCGTTGTGGCCTCTTTCTCGCTTCCGAACGGCTTTTACATTTTCTTGTCAAAATGGATTTCTCTTCCTTCCGGTGTGCTGTTCATCCTTATTGGGCTGATACTTCTCGTTGATTTCGCTTATGAATGGGCTGAAACTTGTATACAACATGTTGAGGCTGGAGATGAGTATTCCTCCTTTTGGCAGAAATTCCTCATCACAGGAACGAGTGCCATGTATCTGGCATCTTTGATCATGACCATTGCAATGTATGTTTTGTTTTGCCCCAAAAATTGTACTATGAATAAAGTGGCCGTTACCGTTAACTTATTGCTCACGCTCGCGACATCTTTGATGTCTGTGCATCCAAGAATACAAGAGGCAAATTCAAAGAGTGGGTTGGCTCAAAGTAGCATGGTGGCAGCTTATTGCACTTATCTCACTATGAGTGCACTTGCCTCAGAACCAGACGAACGCCAATGTAATCCGTTGATCAGATCTGCTGGCACTCGCAAAGCAAGCGTAATTCTGGGTTCCCTTTTCACATTTATTGCCATTGCTTATACTACTACTAGAGCGGCTGCCAATTCTGCGTTTGCTTCAAATAATCAAGCAATTTACCTTGATGGCGATGATCAAATTGATTACGATGGTATCGGACAAACACGATCTCAATTGAGGTTAGAAGCTATCAGACAAGCAGTTGAAGAAGGTTCCCTGCCAGAAAGTGCCCTATACGACACAACGTGGCTTGGTTCACCTGCACCTGCTCCAGGAGCCACTGATAGCGATGATGAAAGGATATCCACCAGATACAATTACAGCCTTTTCCATATCATCTTTTTTTTGGCAACACAATGGATAGCGGTTTTATTGACCATCAACGTCACCCAAGATGATGTTGGCTATTTCATTCCTGTAGGAAGAACTTACTTTTACTCTTGGGTCAAGATTGTTAGCGCTTGGTTTTGCTACGTCTTGTATGGATGGACTGTCGTCGCTCCATTGATTTTACCGGACAGGTTTGGATATGAAGATTATTAAATTTCTGTAAGCGAGCATTTATAGCAATGAAAAACATTGCAGGTGAGGTTTTAGTCAGTCGAATCGGTTATACCTTTCTCACCGATTACATAGACACACTCCTTTTCGGGCATGTCGGGACTGTCTTGCAATTTGGCGACTCTTTCATCCCCTCTTCCCTTTCGTAGCAGGATTCGGGTCGCACTTGCATGCGCTAGCACATGCCCGCCAACTGGTTTCCTACCATCTGCGCTTGCAAACAAAGCAGACGCACCGGGGTCTGACTGTACTTGATTTGTCATGAAAACTGCAATATTATATTCCTCAGCGATTCTGTTGAGACGTGACAAATGTTGATTGAGTTTTTGCTGACGCTCATTCAGCTCTCCCCTTCCACAGTAATCAACCCTGAAGTTGGCCATAATTGAGTCCACTATTAAGAGCCTGTACTCTCCCGAAGACAATTCGTTCCCCAATTGTTCCGCTAGCTCCATTTGGTGCTCGCTGTTGAGGGCTCGCGCGTACGACACATTTTCTAGGCAAACGTCTGGATCTAGATCGTACTGTAGCGCTATTTGCTTAATTCTGTCAGGTCTAAACGTTCCTTCGGTATCAATATAAGCGACTTTACCGTCCGCGCCGCCCATGTCGCGCGGAAGTTGTGCCGTAACGCAAAGCGTCTGCGACATCTGGGTTTTACCGCATCGAAACTCTCCGAAGACCTCCGTAATACTCATAGTCATGATCCCACCACCTAAGATACTGTCGAGTTGTTTTGAACCTGTAGTGATCGCGAAAACGCGTTTCCGAATATCGGCTTGTACCGTAGCGGGGATAAACCCGACCTGGATGATTTTGCCGGCAGCTTCTTTGATCTTTTCAACTTTGACTTCACTCAAACCTTTGATTTTCAACAGATTGCGTCGGGTGGTAGATAGTACGCTCTATAATGCAACGTTTGTAGTTAGTATTTGACCATGAAGCCCAAATTCTATGTCTTTAGTGAAGGTATCCATTTTGGTCGTACGTTTACGCTAAAAATTCCTGCACTTTTCAGTTTTTGCAAATCTGACGCATTAATCCCGTAGTTCTGAAGCTCATCCACGCTGATGATGGCGGCCATTCCGCTTTCTTCCATCTGTGTTTCTGTTGACATCCCGGGCGGCTAAAACCTGTAACAAAATATGTCCTAAAGTCGACTTTTTTCAAACGTTTTCGTTCCGTAAAAACGAATGCCGCGTCACTTTCTCAAACCGATTAGCTTAGTCAAGGTGAAAATGGATTCAGCTTCTTTTTTATAGCCTTGTGTTATTTGTTTTTTTAAACTCCAACGCGTGAGTAATTGATTGATTTCCAGGGGGACCCTGATTTTTTCTGGCCTCTTATAATGTTTTAACGGTACCAGGCTAAATGAGCCCAGCGGTAATACGAATAGCTTTCATAAAGAACACCGAGAATATCCCGGAACTAACGATACTATAAGCTGGTTTCTGGCGCGTAGAGCGCTTAGAGGCTGTAAAGTTTCATTTATATAAACAACCAACTTTCGGCAAAGTCATTTTAGGGGGAAACAGTCATCTCGTCCGCTGTCACTTAAGGCGCAACGTGACTGGCGTTGAGAGAAAAAAAATCTTAGGTGTATGCAATGCCTTCCGTGTGACACTTCGTATTGTAACAGCTCGTCTCCCATTTTTGCATTACCTGGCATATCACTATTGAAGATCAGTTTGATGCCGTCGATAGCATAGATGTCAGTCAAAAGTCAATAGATCCTGGACTCTCTTTGATTCTCAGGTGTCCAACAGATTGGAAACCTTCCATATAAATTGCTAAGAATAACTATCTCTAGAAAATGAGGTCCGTTTCATGAATACTCTCTGTTTACGCTAGGTGGTGATTAGGAAATTGAAGATCCTTGAAGGTGCTCCTACTTTATATACTGTGTTTTTGTGGCATCTGATAGAGCAATTCAGAAAGTGCGGGTTTTGTTTGTAAATCTCCGGGACAGAGCAATTTTTACGGTCCTCCGGGACTTCGGCGGTTATTAGTGAGAGATCAAAAAACAGGGGGGAGAGCGGAAAGAATCGAAAAAAAAGGTATAAAAGGCGAAGGTTTTAGGCTCGAGGACCTTTGAACTGGATACCACTTTTTGATTTTTTTTCAGTCTTGCAATTCCTCCAGCGAGCAAATCAGCGTGTGAAGTCACCGAAGGTTCGAGCTTTTATATAGTTATAGTTCTATATTTACATAGCAAGCACCACTAAAAAGGTGCTGTTTAGATACTGTTTATAGAAACATGTCAGCTCGCGAACTCATCAAACGGGCGGGAAATCAGGCCACAACGGTTAACCCTGCATATGGTGTTGAATATGCAATGTCTACCAGAGGTTCAGACTGGTTGTGGGCCGTGTTCTCCATTTTTGCCGCCCTCACCGTTGTTTATTCCATAGTGTTGATTCACGCAGAGCGGGTCGGCACAGATATCAAAAGAATTGCGGTGGTCGGACCTCTGGCTATTTCTCTCGTGCTGGCGTTTTCCTACTACACTATGGCGTCAAATCTCGGTTGGACTGCCATCCAGGCCGAGTTCAACCGCCATTCGTCGGAATTCCAAGACACCATCCCTGGTTTCAGGCAAATTTTCTATGCCAAATACGTGGCTTGGTTTCTCACATGGCCTATTTTGCTTTACCTGTTGGAACTTACCGCGACCATCACAACTAGCTTTGCACTCACCAGCGGAGTAGCAACAAAGGTCACCACAACCCGATCATGGTCATTTTCCTACGTCGCGCACACGCTGTCTGTTGAAATTGGTGCCAGTTTGATCTTTGTCATCGCACTGTTAGTGGGCTCCTTGATTCATTCTACCTACAAATGGGGTTACTGGACTTTTGCCGCGTTCGCCCAGTTACTAGTCACTTTTGTCCTATTTCGGCACTACGTGCGCGACTTGCTCGTGGCACTTCTCGACTTGACCCTGCTCGTAGTCATCGAAATCCTGATTTTACTTTACCTAGTGGCCTGGGCGCTAAGTGACGGAGCAAATGTCATTTCCGTTGACGGTGGTCACGTATTCTTTGGGGTACTTGACCTCTGTCTATTTGCCATTCTTCCAGCCATTTTATACTTAGGGATTAAGTCGCCAGGCAGGGTGAGACCATTTTCCTTTTGGAAGATTCGGCATCATACACAATATGACCTCGAAAAGGGCGAAGCTGCCCTTGCCGCCAATGCTGCAACAAACTCGGAAGACATTGCGCCAGCCGCCGTTGTCACAGCTGAACCTGTTGTGACTGAAGGTGGTGTCCACGATCAACCTATTGTTGCCTGATCCAACCTATTCGCTAACGGAACATGAAATACCTCGCCCCTTCATACCCATAATGATGTTGTTTGTCGATTTCTTTACAGTATTGCTCAGTTTTTAGAATCTAATAATTAATGCTTACTTAAAAGCCAACAATGGCCGATTGATGTAACTCCTAAGCCATATCAACATCAGCGCTCGTTGGCTGGGACCCTGATGTCGGTGTCACTTGCATATTTCTCTTCAATGGTTGCGTTTCTCTCGTAGCTATACCAAACCTCTTATCCTTCGCTAACTCTGCCAGTTGAAAAATGCCCTGTACCAACGGATCATTGGGGTCAAGCTGGAACTTTGAATGTATCCAACTTGGCTGGCACGTTTTAGAACCACCCGTTACTCTCAGCAGCTCAGGTTTACCCGAGGAGACGACGTCTCCGGAGCAAATGATTACAGTGGCACTTTCGCGTGCCACTGGTACTGAAACTGCGTGCTTTAGTAACGACTTTAATTTGAGAGAGGATATGTTTAATCTAGGAAGAGGTAGTTCTTGCCCCGGTAGCGAACGTGCGTTGGCATCGATTCCCAGGCGTCCTGAAGGGTTTGCTGAGTTTAGAATCTTGTCCCAAGGCAAGGACTTTGCGACGTATATTGGGTTTGGAATGGCCAAGTAATTGTTGGTGATCTCGCTGATACCCAGTCGATAGGACTTCAAATCCTTGGATAGTTGCTCCATTGAGCTAGGGTCTGGCTGTGTCACGTCAAGAGGAAAAGCATCGCTGAGGTATGACAATTTAACAGGATACACACCTTGTCTGTCGATCTTGGTGAGAAGCTGTCTTGAAGTCTTTAGCTTCAAAACATAAGAATGCGCGAAATCCCTGACATAAGAGCAAGGTTTCGCGAGAAGTTGATCGGAACGATGCGATTTGCCCGAGAAATTGTCCACAGTTTCTAAAGTAATGAGCCCAGGCGCAAGCCCTTCCAAAGGAGCCATCTGAATGTCGATCACGTAAGCTTCGCCAGGCAAAACGGTAAAGTCGTCAGTTGGAACCGCAGATTCGTTGTTAAGTTTGGAGGGTTGAACCTTCAACAATTCTTGGGTGTCTTGGGCAGACCTCTGCAACATTGTAGCTTCTTGGTGAGACTCGGACCAACTAACACCTTTGAAACCTCTTTCTGCCACCACGCCTTCGTTTTGACCAGCCAAAAATCTTCTGACGCGGCGTACTTTGGAGCCCGGGACGACGCAGCAGTGATATGAGCGCGCGATTGTGTCGACAACGGTACGAATTAAATGGCCCGTAACATTTTGCTGCGAACCGCTCAGAGCACTAGGTAGTTTCCCAGGCGTCGCTGCGCACGCGAGTAAAGATACCACGGTCTCCATAGCGATGTGAGCGGCCGCGTACGCATCGGCCTTAGATCCCAAAAGTGGACCCTGTGGCACATTTTGCTCCTTTTCATCGGTAGACACGGGATAAATGACCATGGTGTGGGAAACTTGAGAAGTATAGCCGTCGATGTGGACACCAAGTGATATGGTTACGAGATCGCCCGGTTGCAAAAGTCCGTCAACAGATCTACGAGATCCAGACGCAGAGTCAGAAATGCTTTTGTTCGACGCGCGTAGCTGTTCTATCTCATCAATTTCAGGACTCCATCCGCTCGCAATTTCATCTACATCGATACTGGTTGGATGAGCGATGCCACGCTCTGCAACTTTGTTTTTATAAAAGCTCTCCAGGCAGGTGGCCATGAAACTGTCACCCAAGAGGCACAGTTCATGAATTGGAATTCTATGGGAAGATTTTTCATGATAAGATTCGTTGATGAGCCCTGCAACGAATTTGAGCGCGGTTTGCGTTATTTGCCCTGCAGATCTGTATTTATCCAAAACTGATTCCTCAAGAACATTTTTATCATGCAGCAACACTTGCGTGTCATCATGAGAAATTGCTAAAGCCATTCAGTCGGACTGTAATGAACAATCGAAACTGAACTGTAGTTTATGGACCTCTTGAAGTTTAATCTTGTTCGAGATGAGATGGGATGCGATGAGCTTACAACTAAAATTTTTCAAGCTGGGAAAAAGAAATCTGGATCTCGAGTCAAGGTGCGGATCAAGGAACAAGTCAAGAAACAGGTTGAGGAACGACTCATTGATCGACTTGGAAATTGGCCCACATATCGACTTAGGAGACTCCAAACACAGATAAAGCGAGCCACCGAAGCCTGCGGTGAACTGATTTCTGGAATTGCATCCGTAGGTAACCCGAATTACGCTTTTTAAGCTCCAATGAGCTAGTTATGGCAGACACCTACGTTCCATTTAAAACTTAAGACTTGTCTGTGAGCCGTTACTTTGGAAGCGTTTACTATGTGCGTGCAAGATAGTTATAATAGAATTGCACTTGGAAGATGGAAGGCAGCGTGCTGTTGGGCTAGGCAACTAGATCACGCGTATCGGTGCGTTGGAACTAGATCAAATACAGAAGAAAATAGGGCGGATCAGCAGCAGCTAGCGAAGACCAATGACAATCATCACACTGACATCTTGAAACTCCGAAATTCGGTTTTCGTTCACAATTCCGCGCCCATAAAACTCAAAAATCTGTTTCAACCAAACCATTGAGCTTCTAAGTCGACTTGACTTAGAATTTCCGGCAATATGGCTCGGTATGTGTCGGTTTTCAAGCGACCTCAACTACATGACGTGTCAAATCAACAACAAGTTAACAAGCATCATCAAAGACAGCTTCCAAAAGCTCTCGGCTTGCTCAATCCAATGTAATTAAAATGAGGATACGATTCGAATCCATTAATCCATTAGCATCGCTTTTCACTCGGTGGAAAATTTTTCAAAGAAGTGACCAATGATCATCATTTTTTCCATATAAAAATAAGGACGTTATCAATTTTCATCTACGAGACAGGCGAAGTCCCCTTCAAATATAAACCAAAAACCAAAACTTTTTCAACCGAAAAGCTCCTTATAGTTGGCCTCTTTGTTCAATTGTACTACCTTCCAATCCCTCCAAGTCTTTCGAAACGGTTAGAGATAAGATGCTTTCTGCAGTTTTGAAGAACCAGAATTTGAAGCGTTCGGGGCTTAAACCCCTTATCAGTGCTACACGGACGGCCAAACAAGGTCTGGCAACAGCGGCGTCCGATACCGGTGGAGATAAAGTTGACCTAAGTGCCACAGTCGAGATTGAGCTACCAGAAACGTCATTTGAAGGTTATATGTTGGATGTGCCAGAACTCACGTACACGACGACGAAGTCGAACTTGCTTCAAATGTACAAGGATATGATTATTGTGAGAAGAATGGAAATGGCTTGTGACGCGCTTTACAAAGCCAAAAAAATCCGTGGATTTTGTCATTTGTCCGTCGGACAAGAAGCCATCGCCGTCGGAATTGAAAACGCCATTACAAGACGTGATACTGTGATTACGTCATACAGATGTCACGGTTTCGTTTATATGAGAGGCGCGCCTGTTCAAAGCGTATTGGCGGAATTGATGGGTAGACGGTCTGGTGTTTCGTTTGGTAAAGGTGGGTCCATGCACATGTATGCGCCTGGATTTTACGGTGGTAATGGTATTGTGGGTGCGCAGGTTCCTCTGGGTGCAGGTTTGGCGTTTGCGCATCAATACAAGAACGAAGACGCGTGCTCTTTCACCTTGTACGGTGACGGTGCTGCTAACCAGGGTCAAGTGTTTGAGTCTTTCAACATGGCCAAATTGTGGAATTTGCCCGCTGTTTTTTGCTGTGAAAACAACAAGTACGGTATGGGTACAGCCGCATCCAGATCTTCTGCGATGACCGAGTATTTCAAGCGCGGTCAGTACATTCCCGGTTTGAAAGTGAACGGAATGGACATTTTGGCAGTTTACCAAGCTTCCAAGTTCGCCAAGGACTGGGCTGTCTCTGGTAACGGTCCACTCGTTCTAGAATATGAGACCTACAGATACGGTGGTCACTCTATGTCTGACCCGGGTACCACCTATAGAACCAGAGACGAGATTCAACACATGCGGTCCAAGAACGATCCAATTGCGGGTCTAAAGATGCATTTGTTGGAGCTCGGAATTGCGACCGAAGAAGAAATTAAGGCCTACGACAAGTCTGCTAGAAAATACGTTGACGAACAAGTTGAGCTCGCAGACGCTGCCCCAGCTCCTGAGGCGAAAATGTCCATTTTGTTCGAAGACGTTTACGTTCCAGGCAGCGAAACTCCAACTTTGAGAGGAAGAGTTTACGACGATACGTGGGATTTCCAAAAGAAGGGTTTTGCTTTTAGAGACTAAATACCTGGCTGGGGCTCTTCTTGAAGCAACAGCTCGTCGTTTCACGACAAATAGTATCGGATTTCGTGAATACGGCGCTTCACGACCAAAACCTCTACAAGATGAAAATATTCACAACTCCATGGAAAAGAAATGCTAGGAAGAGAAGGAAGAGTCAAACCCTCGACCGTAATATAAAGCTAAGAACAATGACATGATCCAGGCCCTGTTTAGCTTGCTTTACAACTGATGAACACTACAGGAGAAACTCTGGCTTAACTCTGTGGCATAAGTCGTCAGCCTATTTGCAGGTACTTGTTTTCTATATTAAGCATTTAATCAGTCCCTAAATATTTGACCATTTGACTTGAATCTAGGCGCTGCTGAAAGGCTGTTAAGAGAGGGCAATTGTCAAAAAAGTATAACGTGGTCTGCTGTTAGGAACCATAATTGGATATTTGGCAAGATGAGTAGTCAATTTACGAGATTGGGTAATGTGAGTATGACACCAATCGCAAATGCTAACCGTAAACGTTTCGGCAGTTGAGTATTAGAGACCTTCGGTAAGTTGAGTCTTCAGATATTCAGTAAAGCCGCTCAATACCGATGAATAGCAGTGAGAATCTAGAAGAGGTGACTAAGTGATGGGGGACAGGCAGTGAGTAATCGGTAGCAAGTAATCGGTTATGAGTATGAGTGGGTCTTTCGTACAAAATGGTTATCCACAAGTATATTGATAGACGCCATTTTTTCCTTATTAGTCAATAAGCCTCAAACATTCCGTCCTTCACCTCAAAGAACAAGTCCGACTTGACTGAAACAAGGGTGTTTCCATGCTTTTGAATAAACCTTAATTTGAAATCTAGATATTTGTTGAAAATAAGGTATATTCTCACATCCCGTAGTTTCCATCGTTGTATAGTTCAAGTAGCGCTACTGCGGTATAATGAACCTCTGTATCAATCAGGAGCAGTTTGTCTTTCAATTGACAAATGTAGGAAGTAACCAAATTCGTCACGGTACCAGTGATTCCACTGCGACAACACCAGCATCGACAAAATCGAAGCGATGGGCCGACCGATTTCAAAAACTGTCACGCCCTAAAAAGGGAGCCCTTATGAGTACAACAGCGGACGAAGATTTCAGTTTGGCAAAAAACCCAGCCCAAAAAGTGTTTTCTGACTTAGACCCTTTCTCCACGCCTATAAGAACCCGTTCGAAGAGTACGCATGAGGTTCCACTTCGATCAACGTCGATTCCACATCCCGATTCATCTCTACTGAAAGCCTCTCTTCCTGCTACAGGAAGAACAGACTCTGAGAACAATTGGGATTCTCCCAGTTCTCTCAGTTCAACACCTTTCCACCAGAATGAAACACCACCGCGTATTAGACCCTTCGACCATCCCAGCACGGCCAGCGAAAAAAAGTCGTATATGCGGCAACAATGCTCTCTGTGCGCCGACTTGATCTGTTTCCGCTCTCATGGAGAAAAAATTGTCCCACTTAGATGTAATCATTTGGCCCACGCAAACTGCCTTTCTGCATTTCTGGAAGAACATTCCAACGACTTGTCCTTCGCATACCCTCCTTGCTCAAAATGTGACGATGGCACTCGCTGCATACCCGTTTCGAGAGAGTATCGAGAAATGCTTATGTCGGACGTTCTGCTTAGAGCAACGTCCACACCGCGGCCTCCAGCGAGTCCAGTTCCCTCTTCCCAGTCACCGGTTTACAACAAAGAGAGTGGAAGTCCAGGCCGCAGCACCGCCGTGATGGTTGAACGATTTGGGGCGGTCAGAAGTTTATCACGTTCCAACAGGAATGTCAAAGACCTTTACTTGAGACTTTCCAAATGGCGTTCGTCCGAAGACTCGCGGACCCTAGCCCGTGGTAGCATCATATCCGGCTTGTCCTCCATTACAACTTCTGTGTCATTAATCAGCTTAGACCAAGAAGAAAGTGGTACCGCCACGAAATCTCTAGACCAGATTCCTCTCGCGGTCTTGAGACATTTGTATACTCAGACTCTACTCTCAAGTTTTCCTCAAAAATTGAACGACTGGAAACTTGACGCAGAATTTGGCGCCTTACGACTCGTAGATCGACTAATGTTTTCACATGATGGGGACTTATTCCTTGAATGCATCTGCTTCCTCTTCAGAAAAGTTATTGTTTTTGCACGACCAGCTGCCAGCTTTGCACCGAACAGTCTTCAAAAAGCCCGTTATTCGGAATTTTATTCATATTCGGCTGAGAATGGATTGATCATCAATTCAATTGCCTCTTCGTTACTTAAGTGTACCGTGAAACAAGAAAACGAAGTTTCATCGCCAAAAAAACGCAAGGATTTTTATCTCAAAGAATCAAGTGACTCAGACTCTACCCAAATTATTGAAAAATGGGCCTCCGCCCTCCTTGATCCTGACCTAGTTTTTAAAAGTGGGTTTTTCTCGACAAACTTCCTCATAGGTTCCAGCAATTTGACTGATCAACGAAATAAGCCATTGCTTGAAGGAATCAACAGTCGATTTTCCGTATTAGACTTGAAAATGGATGCCGGAGGTGAAGGAGCGGTGTTGAGGAAAAGTGTCATCGGCTTGGAAGCGTCTGTGGACAAGGATGGGACAATTTCCTCCACGCTATCGTTGAAGAAAAGCAAGCCCAGCGATCTTCTCGTTATTTTTCAGCTGGATTTAAGAACTGTGAGCCAACATGACATGAGGACACTGAAAAACTCTCTTCAAGCTTTGACTCTACAAGATGAAAATTGCAAAGTTTGTTTAGTCGATATTGCCGGCGATGTTTTGAGTTTCGGTTTGATTAAGGAACAGCTGCCGAACTTTGGCCAACACAAAAAATCTCAGACACCCTCAAATATTCAAGAGTTGGTTAAGTCCACCGCAGAATCTGTGACCTCCACTTTTGGGATCGCGGTCTTTTCCAGCACACCCATGGATAAGAGCAAGTCGTACCTATTCAAAGACTTCAAAGCGTTTTCACAGCTTGAAAGAAAAAAAGTCAAGGAATTAAAAGTGCATATTGGCTATTTGAATGTTGACCATTCAGATGAGATTTCTGAGCTGGCAGAAATTAGTTCGTGGGAAAACATGATTGAAATGATGTGTTTTGCCTTCAATATGACGTTTGACGATGACGATGACGACGACGACGACGACGACGATGATGATGATGATGATGATGATGATGATGAGCGCAGCATTCAATACGCATCACATGCAGTTTTGCATAGTCCCTTGAGCATTAAAACTCAAAAAAGAAGCCTCGAAAGCGCCTCTCATCTGTCCCAGTTTTCGTTTTCATCCGACGGCACACATCCAGGGTTCAATTCTGGCAACCTCTCCATAGTTGACAGATTGCCCTTGGACGAGAATGGCCTCCTCCAGAAACCTTTTTCGACTGGCCCAAATAATTCATTGGAAGAAAGCCGTGATCAGCTCTATCCTGTGTTACCTCGAGACACCAGTTGCCTGCAATCTTTGAAATCGGACCCCCATTCAATATGTGAGGATATTAATTATCTGCACTTGAAAGAGGAGGGCTGTAATACCAACTGGAATATTTTTCTTAAAGGCATAAACAAGATACTCGATGATGCCATTGAGCAGAAAGAAGCGCGAGCCTGGTGAGAGGGGAAAACAAATGATGGTCTCTTCGGACTTAAGATTCTACTGATTCGTGTTTTAGTCGCTCAAGTTCTGAACTAATTTTAATGACCCACAGGTCTCTTTCCTGTCGAGATTTTGCCATGAAAACCATTGACTTTCCTGTAACACCTAATCGCGCCACTAGCTTTAAGAAATTTGGGTTCTTAGCAGATTGTTCTACCCAATCTTGCGGTGTATCGTCTTCTGAATTTTTCTCGGTTTCTGTGTTAACGCCACTACGAGAGTCTCCTCTATCATTATTATTTGGTAAGTCATTTTTGCCCAAACTCTCCCTGGCATTTTTAATGTTGTTGGAACGATCTTCGGAGAACGAGCTGGCGTTGGATTTTTTTTCAAAACTTGAAATGGCTCTTTTAGTACCAAACCAAAGCGTGAAGCATCTCGAGGTCTCCTCTTCACCTGATCTCCAGCCGTTGGAATAAATTCTCGGCACCGGATTTGTACCTGGATTTAATCTATCAAATTCCTTATCTCTTTTCAACAAGTCGATCGACGTTGTATAGCCCGAGTAAATGTAGCATTGTTCAATCGTAATAGTCAAGTGATGCTTATAATCAGTGATTCTCCGGCAAGATCTCCCTCTGGACCTCGTAAAGCATTTATAAAGTATGACAAAACCAGGTATGAGAATTGCAAAGAATTTCCTGAAAGCAGAATGCTTCCGAGGCTTTTGGTAAAGAAAACCGGTATGCATAAGAGGTCTCATCATAGACTGGGCACTAACATTGTAGATCTTATCGTCAGCTATTCCTCGATCAGTGACCCATTTGGGCGTTGACTCGCTAACATTAGCTTCTTCAGCTTCTTCGATTTTAAGGTTACGCAGATTAGCCACTTTAGTTTGCCACTGCCGTTGAAGGTCTTCCTTTTTCCGAGATTTCCAATATACACATAATTGGCGTAATCTTTGCACCCATTCGTCGCAGACCTCGGGAGAAGGCGCAAGCAGTTTAAGTTTAGTTCCATTCCGCATTGTTAGGATTATGATAGAATTCAAGGCGCTATCAACAGTGTTCTGCGACTTCCATATAAATTTGTTTGCGCCAGATAGAACCTTTAAGCTCATTTCGGTTTTCTTGTTCATATCCATTGCAGCCTTTGATACCTTAATCACACCTGATAAGTCTATAACACCCTCTGCTTTAACTATTTGCGCAAACTTTCTCCATGTGCATGCAAACGCATAATTATCCTTCGACCAAAATTGTTCCGGTGGTAGCTGGTCATTGAGCCAAGCTATGTGGCTATCCAAATTTAAACTATATGGATTTTGTTCGAAAACATGCGGTAGATTTCGAAGTGCCTTTTGTAGAGCGTCGTGATCATGATTCAACAATTGATCCTCTCCGTAGGCTTCTTGAGGAAGAGGAGGGACGCTCTTGTAGTATTGCATGAAAAAGAGAAGTCCGTCTAACGTAAAAAAGTAGAGTAACCTCGAATATGCATTTCTCAACGCGCCTAACTTTTCATTTCCATTCCCATCTGTAAGCTTCAGCAAGAATCCTTCAATTGGCGGCGGCTCAGTCAGATTTTTACCGTCCGGCAGTTCAACGTTCCTCGGATATTGTGAAAGGCGCCTATATTCGAGTAAATGGGATTCTCTCAACGCGAATGCCCCAATAAGTAAATCATACTGGTCGCCGGAGCACCATTCTAGTCTATCATAGTGTTTCCAGCAAAAGCCTGTCCTAATGTTTACGCTTTTCCAACTTTCCACCTGCTGTTTAAAACCAGCTTCGAGCAGCTTACCTTGAATCGAAAGTTCAAGATAGCGAAGAATTGGGAAAAGAAGAACTTTATAACCCCTAGGTAATATTAGAATTTCCAAACTCTCAGCCTCCTGCATCGCTTGATTTTTGAACTCTTGTTGGAATTGAACAGGTACAGGAATAGAGACCGATCCATCAATATCTGGAATATGAACAGTCAGATTCTCAGCCCGATTATCAATTCCTCCGGAAGACTGGAAAAAGTTCAGCCATTCGCTTGCCGAGAGAGACGAAGAGCACCTCAAAATGTATATTCGGAATGCGTCTATATTTCCTGAACCGTCACTTGTTTGAGCATTAAGGCCTTCGACGCTCGGTCTTAGTACATGAATGGTTTTGTCTAAAGTGCTGTAAAATCCAGTCACGCAACTGGTGTCAAACACAAAGTCCATTGAACTGCTATGCGATTCGCCAAAAAGGCGATTTATCCTTGCAAATCTTGGTATATTTCTGTGCCGATAAAACTGAAGAAAGAGTGGTGTTTCAAGTTTTCCAGTAGCTCTAGCGACAACGATATACTCTTTCCACCTCTCAATAACCCTGGTTTCGACAGTTTCATGTTCCGAAAAGTCTAGTGGTGGGGTCTTAGCGCTGATGGCAGACTTGACTAAAACGAGCATTTTCTCCATTTTCACTACTTCGCCAGGCTTGTATTTTTTGAAAAATCGCTGCGGCAGAGGAATTTCGGTATCAACAATTTTCCTTATATCTCTGTGCAGTTTATCAAAATGCAGAACTTTGCCAGTCCTGAAAACCAAGCTTTTAACTTCGCTCAAAAGCTTATGGTGAGATTCTAATTTCAAAATTAAATCTGTTTCCTCTCTGGATAGTTTTTCAGGGATTGGTCCAAGAGTGGCCAACGGCAAAATGTTCCTTGAATAATCGAAAGGTTTGCTGCTGAAAGTCGGACCCGAAATTGAACTGTATGTTGAGTCGGCATCGCTAAAGTTGTTATCCGGTGATGGAAGACGAGTACCACTCATCGGAATATATCTCGAGGTTTTCGATTCTTTCCTTAGGCTTGCAAGCTCAGGTGAAATTTTGACGTCAGCAGTTTGTTCTTCGCGAAGTGACGAGGTCAAAGCGTTCGGTTTAGAGCCTTGTCCAGACGTTGAATAAGAGTGTTCAGTTGTTGATCTGATAGTCGTCGAATTTATATTATAAATGTTTGGTTCTGGCTCGCTTTCGGCGGTTCCAAACCATGACAGCGAATCGTCGGCGTCTGTCCCATCCGCGAGACGCCCATCCAATTCCAGAGAGGGCTCAAACCTATCTTGTGCTGGTGTATTCGATCGATTTAAAGTGATTGTCGTACTTGTGGTGTCGATGTCTGGACGTTCGCTGGTTGCGAAAGTTCTCCGTTCTTTCAGACCATGGCCTTTTTTCCAAGCCCCAGAGCGCCCACTCGTAGGTGCAGCGAACGTTTGTGCTTTCTTTGGCCGGAGAGGTACCTGAGTACCTGCTACCATTTTGGAGACAGTATAACCGTGTCTGTCTTGAGATTCACCTTGTACACCGCTAGAAGCCTTACCTTGATCCGGTTCCTGCTCGTCAGGCAATTCCTCTCTACTCCAATAATCACGGCGCGCTTTGGATTTACTTTCACGGTGACTCAAAGAGGATGCGTAATGTTGTACCATTTCTACTCGCTTCCAAAGTCCTTTGTTGGTCAATCTGTCCAGAGATCGAAGAAAATCGTTTGTTCTTTGAACGTACCACAGCTTTGGCACTCCACCGAGAAGTACAGTTCTCGAATTCATGGAAATTTCGGTTGGCGATGCATAAATCAGTCGGAACGCCGTGAACGATTCTCGAGGAATGCGCGCTACCTTAATCTTGTCTCTGCCAAGAGGAGCGTCTTTCAACACGTATGAAGCATATGCTTCTGGGTCAACTGCCACATCCTTGATCACTTGAGCATTGAAACTCATGGCAGGGGCCTATGAGTGGCACCCGATGATAATGAGACGTTCTGGTGCATTAAATTGCATTTGATTTAAGGCGATGCAATTTAGCATTCCTCTATTTTTGTGATAGGAAGACCCTTTCGTCATGGATGATATAATTAAATCACGTGCTTTCCCTCTTTACAGGAATGATGAACGAAGTGGATGAGAACTGTCTTTTAGTTGCCGTATTTCTTTCCAATTCAAGCACGTAATTGTTTTGCTTTGTCTGTTTTTTCCCCTATGCTTGTTTTTTAATCAAAAACTTACCCACCTCCTGAAAGTGGGATATTTTTCTACCTACCCAATGTCATAAAAAGCTATCCAGACTTTAACTTCTACGCTCTAAAAACCCTAGAAACACTGGCCCAGGACCCCTCCCAATACCACCGTGCTCACCAATTGAGTATCATAAGCTGATTTGTTTCAATAATTTTTTTATAAAAGTCATAGGATATTCATCTAAATAATTTCGTCGTCGTCGTCACCGACCGCAATGGAATTCCCCTCTGCTCTGAAATTCTCTGGTTCTTGGATCGTAGGAACGAATTGAAATCCGACGAAAACTCCTCCCATTGTAAAGACTATGGCAGCAATGAGTATCTTGAAAACTCCGCCGAAGCTTACCAAGAGAGCCAACAGCATGTAGAGCAGTCCCCTGCCGATGAAACTGAAGTAAAAGGAGGCAAACCGATACAGATTGGGTGGCACCCTGAACTCCAGGTATACAATGGGGACTGAAAGTGCCAACGCGAAAAGGGCCATCAGGAAAGCAGAAAAGTTTTTGAACAGGTATGTCAGCTGGGAAAACGCCGAGAGCGCAATTAGAGCACCCGTGGCTATGTTTGAGATCTTAAAAAATTGTGGAGGAATACCTGACATGCTGCTGGATGAATAAGGAATCTCTTGATGAGTTGGACTGAGTAATTTCTCAGTGAAGGTGGGCTTAGTTCTTCTAGTGTAATAATGGGGAAGCTTCAATGTCCGAAAAAATTGAGGGAACAATAATTAAAGTGACATAAAAGAGAGGTGACAGCGTCAGATTTTGAAAATAGTTCAAAAAGCAGAGGATATAGGATATAACAACCACCGCCCATATTTATGCATAGCTATACCTGCAATTACCATGAAAACGAGTTCTAATGAATACAAGAGATCGTTGTTGGCGAAGGGAGAGATTATCAAGGCTTATTTATGATCTTGGGGAGCTGAGGTTAGGATTATAAGTTCTGTGGTAAAAAAGAACCCCAACGTGATTCCGCGTTGGTTTCATGAAAATGCTACTGCATTGCAAAATGTGTGAGATCCTGCTTTTCGATTCTGCCTTACTTCCTGAAATGTTTTCTCCGCAACTTGTAGGATCTTTCAGAAATATATTGGAAGTTATAAAGATAGAGAATAAGACGACAAAAATATAGGGAGACAAAAGAAAAAGAAGTAAAACAAGATAGAGCAGCCCGGTAATAGCTTTTTAAATGATTTTTGGAAGAAAACGGGGTGAAGAAACAAATCGGAAAACGGCAGAGAGGGGATGAGATGATTATCAGAAGCATATTTCAATAAAGTCAAAGGCGACGGAAAAAGGTGGTAGAGATTTTCAGGTTAACACAATGGTTGGTTGAAAGGAATAAGAACAAGAAATACAGTACGCCAAATACAAAACATCGACTCAGAGATGTTATAAAAAATAACAAGATTTTTTCCGGCAGTGAAAAAATCTGGCATCTCGATTGACCAATAACGAATTCCGCCGGCTCCCAAATTTCAAACCAGAGTATGGCATTTGCAAGGCTCACATTGCATCTCTATTTGAAATCAAGAAACGTTTTCTCGTTAGGTCTTCAAATGCGCGTTTTGTCCTTTTATGTTTCTGACTCTCATTTCAACCTCTCTTAGCACCGTCCTCAACAAAATCTCTCCCACAGCGTTTCCTCTTGAGTCGTTCGTACCCTGGAATTTTTTTTTCTCTCCGTTTTGAAGTTGGGCCTGGATATGGAGTTGGATTTGAAATTGAATTTAACGGTAAGGCTGTTGTCATCTTGCTTTGCTCTATCTTTCCGACAAACTTCGAAATTATTTGCCTCGCCCATTACACGAAGCAATTGGCATCGAAGGCAATCAGCACACAAGCAGGAAAGAAAGACTCGGTTTTCTCTTGGTTCGCATTGGTTTAAAAAAGGAAAAAAATAAAAGTTGGGGTTAAAGGGTGTTCTCATTATACATCATCGTTAATATGCCTTTGTGGTAAAGAAATGCAATCAACGCTGGTTCATTCTTGTGCCCCTTCAGTTGGCTGTTGCTCGTCTTGACCCGCTTCCGACATGTCGGAAGTCCACAACGTCAGGTTGTCCCTCAACAGTTGCATAATCAAAGTGCTGTCTTTGTAGGACTCTTCTGACAACGTGTCCAATTCGGCAATGGCGTCGTCGAAGGCTTGCTTGGCCAAATGACAGGCTTTGTCTGGAGAATTTTGGATCTCGTAGTAGAAGACAGAAAAGTTCAAAGCCAAACCCAGACGAATTGGGTGAGTTGGTGGCAACTCGGTCGTGGCAATGTCGGACGCAGTCTTGTACGCATCTAGCGAGGCACCAGTAGCAGATTCTCTTACGTCGCCGGAAGAGAACTCGGCGAGATACCGATGATAGTCACCCTTCATCTTGTAGTAGAACACCTTGGACTCTCCCGTGCTGGCGGAAGGAATCAAATGTGTGTCCAATACCGACAAGATGTCGTCGCAGATCTTGGTTAGTTCCGACTCGATCTTGGAGCGGTAGGTGCGAATGAGCTTCACTTGGTGCTCAGACTTCTCCTTGGCCTCTTCTTTCTGCTCGATGGAAGAAACGATTCTCCACGACGCACGACGCGCACCAATTACGTTCTTATAAGCCACGGAAAGCAAGTTACGCTCTTCCACCGACAACTCCTGTCCGGAAGAAGCCACCGCCTTCATACTCTCCACCATCTCCTCATAACGCTCAGCCTGTTCGGCGAGTTTAGCCAAGTAAACGGAATCTTCACGACTTGATGACATGCCTTGAATGAAAGAGAAACTGTTGTGAGACAATTCCTGTTAGTAAAATTAAAGTCGAACAATGAAAAACTTGGACAATCTCCCATTTCCAGTTCCATCTTTTGTTGTTTTTTCTTTCCCTTCACTACCCCTCTTAAATAAGCAACCGCTATCGCGATAGGCTCTCCTCCTTTTTTGTCACTTCTTGCTTTAGAAAACCCAAATCTGGCGTTTCCTCCTTGGCCCCTTTCCACCAATCTGGACAACCGTCATCTGCCGTCACGAATCCCACATTCGGGTTCACTACGGTCACCTCTTCGCGCCCGTCACTAAAAAATTTTTTTTCTCGATATCCCCGTTACCCGTCCTTGCTGTCCCCAAAAGGGGCTTGACCTATATCCATGGCGAAAAACTAAGATTCGCCACCGGAATGAGGGGCGATAATGCGTGTGCAAAGCGGCAAGGTGAGCGTCAATATCTTCGTTTAGTTCCATGAATACTCTATTCAAGGTTAAGGGCATAAAATTATCATCTTGAGAGTATTCTTCGGGAGGGCGCTTGTTTGTAGTAGTTCGACACGTAAACAAATAGCAAATCAGGGGGGAGCGAAAGGGAAAAGCGTAGATTGCGCCACTTTAGATATAGAAGGACGAATCGAACAAATGGGAATGGAATTTGGATGAATCTCGCCAATAGCGATCAATGGAGCTAGCGTGCACATACCTGTTGTCTTGTTTTTTTTTCGCTTCTTGCGTTGTTTTATGTGGTGTTATTAGTGTGTAGGAGTAGAAGTCTTGAGAAATAATTCTGTCCAGAGCATAGCCGGATTGGCAAAGATCGCTCGTGCAAAGAGAGGCACGGGCTGCAAAGGATATGGATAGAAAATCTAGAGGGATTTTTAACCAATTGGTCCTATAGTGTAGTGGTTATCACTTTCGGTTCTGATCCGAACAACCCCGGTTCGAATCCGGGTAGGACCTTCTTTTTGCAAGGCATTTCGTAACGGTCCGGTACGGCAGTCACGCCTGTCAATACTATCCAGAATCACACATGTTTCGGTGCGAGCGTCAAATTGGTGTTGTACGTACGGCATACATCAGTAGGAGTCAAGAGTGCTAGAGATCACCTTCCTGTCATCTAAGTAGTTAACGTAGTCGCTCCAGAGAGGATCGCCCCGGCGTAAAACCTCTTTGTTACCAACGATGACCAGGCCGCTTTTGGCTCTTGTGAGGGCCACATTAAGACGGCGTCTGTCCTTTACAAACCCTATCTTGCACTCCTTATTGTTCCTCACGCACGAGAAAATCACGAACTGCTTCTCGTGACCTTGGAACGAGTCGACGGTGGCCACGTAAACGCCGTTGACGACATTGATAGTCACTTTTGCGCCGACATTGGCGCCTGAGCTATCACCTATCACGTCGTCCTTATCCATTTGCTGCACCATGGGCACGCCCGAAGGGTTCACAATGGGGTCCTTCTCAAGCAGCTCGGATACCAAGTCTCTCTGCGAGGAATAAGGCGTAATAACAGCAATTTCGTCGCGCGGAACGCCCTTTTCGACAATCAGTTTGTGGATCACCCCTAAAATTACTCTTGCCTCGTGCTTGTTATTGTAAGTGAACCCGCGCATGCCGCGACGCGCGTTAAATACCTTAGATTCAGGCCCGTCGTCGCATTGGAGGAAAAACAGCGGATTGGCTACACCGGGCCAGCTCTTGTCAGCAGCCGTGACGCCGTCCTTCAGCTTGCTCTCGTAGAACGTACGAATTGGGAATTCGCTGATAGCAGGATGCATCCTGTACTGCGTATCCAGTAAATGGGGTCGGCTGTACGTCCCGTTCAGTAAAATCCTCTCGAAAAGAGACAACTCTAATTGCGGGACGTTGCTAAAGCTTGAAAGCTGCTTTTCATCACCCACAAAAACAAAGCGCTTTATTCCTGGTAGGGACAAGGGCACAAGCGTGGAAACCTCTGAGGACTGAGTAGACTCATCCATTATGACAACAGGCAACTCTTTAATCGCTTTTAGTTGACGGCCACCAGAGGCGATATTGGTGGTGAAAATAATTTGCGCCTGAGCGACGTGTCTATCGGAAATCGTATTCTGCGTAGTTAGCAGCTTATTATATTGATTTTTCGATACTCTGCCAGGAATTCCGCTTCTTAACTTGGCAATAGTCTCCTTAACTGTGGCTGGTAGCTGGTGATTTACAATGTTATGCAAACATATGCCTCCTAACTGGTGCTGCTCATTATACTGTGCCTCTTTTGTTTGAGATACGATTCGCAAGATCTTAATGTCTGGTCTATTGACCATGAACTTTTCGGCAATATTATCAATTGCAATATTTGATGCGGCGACACAAAGAATAGGAAAAGTGTGGAAATTTTGTATCAATTGTAGTATAATTTCCTCTATAGTCGACGTTTTACCTGTACCAGGTGGACCTTGTAGAATCGTGACGCTGTTGTTCATTACGTGCTGAATGGCGGATTTTTGCGAGTCGTTGAGTGTTTCTTTGGTGAACTGAAGCCTGTTTTGAAAATTTACTTGTTTGACGCTTTCCTGTCCCAAGAGTAATTTGATAAACTTTGGGTTTTCAATTTTGGTCATTGCAAACATGATTCTATTCACCTGGGCAGAACATGGCAAAATCTTAAAGCTATCGTTACTAGCCCGCCTTGGCAAACTTTCTTCACACCAGGGATAAAGCTCCAGAAGGATGGTCAGTTTCGATTTACGAGATTCTATTTCTCGCACGTACGAGTACCAAATTTTAGTTTCATCTTGGTTAGTTAACATGAGAGGTTGTTGATTAGTGAAGGGTAATCTACCAAGCTGTATCAAGTTCGCTGGTAATAGTTTTTTCAATTCTTCACTGTCACTCTTCATAGCTATGACAAATGCCCTTTCATTTGGGTTCTTGGGCCAGGTGATTTGGAAATCTTGAAGGAAATCGTTCTCCAACCTTTCTTCAAGGAACAGCGCATGGGAGAATTCTGACAGGTAAGACGTAAGATTGGGGTACGACATTTTTGGCACGTATTTGACAAATCTTTTGACAGGCTCACCTTCTTCAAATTCAACATCCTCGGTATCATTGACAGATTTGATCGTGGCTTTTTTGTTTTCATTCGGAGATACTTCATTTTGGGCTGAACCTGGGATTGAATTCGGAGTTCCTGATTTATGCGTCTTGTTTTTTTTCGCGGGTCTATCATGTTTTGCGTCGATTTTTTGATCTTTATTTGTCTCCCCCTTGTTTTTCGACGGGGTTTCACGAGCTTTGCCGGTCTCGTCCTGTGTTTTGTGTGGCTTCGCTTGGCTGTTGCCCTTCTGCAACTTTTTCGACTGGGTTGAAGCGACTTTGCTTCCTTTGGTATTAGTAGAATTCGTGGGTGTGCATCCTGTAGTAGTATCAGAAACCCCTTTCATGCTATATGCAGATCGCGATGTTTTAGGTACTGAATTGGCTTTTCCTTGCGAACGAGGCGAATTCTTAGCATGGAGATCCTTGGGAGAGGGATTAGGCTTACGGTTTGAAGCCGCTGGCTTGTCTTTTAACTTCAAACCCTTTGCATGTGTTTTTCCCCCCGTTGGATAGCCTACGGTCTTGCTTTGAGCTTTCGATGAAGGATCGTTTTGGGTCGCTTTCACACCTTTGAAAGACCGCAAACTTACTCCACTTTCACTTTGAATCAAACTGTTGACCTTCTTGGTATCATAAGCCTTCTTGGCCATTTCTTCGAGGGTTGTGAGTGGTTTTTTCTCACGCTTTCGACGCGAAGACGACAGCGTCGATGCGTCGCCCTTCTTCTTGCGACGTCCAACCATTCGGCCACCTTTCTTATGCACACTCTTCGCACTGCCCTGTTCTTGAATCCCAAGAAGCAAATACACGAATTTACCACTGGCTTCCGAGACAAAGTCTCGTTGATCTGCTTGCTTTACGAGACACGCATCGCACAAAACTTTGCGCTTCGCGTTGACATTCAGGTGTCGCTCTGTACCGCACAGTGAGCAACTGCTGTCTCGAACTTTGAGATAGTTAGAAAAGTGATGTAAAAGCGATCCGTTTGCGAGCGTATAAGAAGTGCTCGGCCTTTCCGAGTCTGTATAGTCTCGGCATAAGCAGCTATTACACAGCAAACTCATATCTTCCCCACCAAAACGCACAATTTGAAGCAGGTGAATGTTATTGTTTTGGCATTCTTCACAGCTGATTTCTTCCTCTGTGGGCGAATACATGATCGATTTGTGTCTAGTTGCAGACTGATGTTTCATGGCTTCAGCGGCATTTCGGGCAAAATCACACGTCAAGCATTGAAACTCGCCTCCTTTAGTATCGTCTATCATAGTATTATGATCCTAGCAGTCTGAACAGGTACCTTATTTGAACGCTGTCACTTAGATACCCAGTTCTTGGATCTTTGTCTTCTTTTATATCAAGATTTTATGATTCTTTTTCAATCGATGATGAAAATTGAGAAACCCTATGAACTACAAGTTGCACGAATCTTATGAGACTCACGTGTTGACTTGGGTAAATCCAGCATTGCTATTGATCGAGGGAACGATGGAACACTGAACACTAAGACTTCGTCGGACACAATGTCTCCCTTAAGATGTGGGGCGCGTCACTTCATGTCAGGCTTATCACTCTACAAGATATAAAGGACGTTACAAATAAATGCGGAAAAATCACGGGAATCGTTGACCCTAGCGATCACGTATAAGTTACTAGATTCTTGAACAGGTGGGCAATATCTGATATTTCTATTTACTGATTCATGCCTCAGCGAAATCCGGTGATTTGGTTGATATATGCTGAGGTACTGAGAAATAGTGTCGACGCAACATCAAAAAATTGACAAACTAGTACGGATATGTGGTGATTGTCAGAAGCTCTTATAGCGGATAATTGAGCTATGCTGTAATTTTCTGCTTATTATACGAGATCTCCTCCCACCATTTTCTTCACCACTAGTTTAACGAGACAACGCTTGGAAAGTCGAAGCTAGAAACACAGCTGAGAGGTGGCCAACGACACTTAAATTGCCTTAGTACGCCAGCGAACTTGACAACTAATGATCTCAAAATGTGAACTAAAATAGGTCGATCATTTTTCTCGAAAAAACAGACACGGGCAAGAGCATCGTTGGCTGAACTCTCTGCTCTGCTCAAAATAAAAACAAATGAAAAACCTCCCCATCGAATTTGATCTTTTCTATCAGCGGCTCCTTGTGCGGCAGTTGTGAAATTGGTGCATTCTACCCTTTTTGGTGAAACTCATTTCAAGCAAGAGACGAACGGCAGCATTCTGGGCATTTCGGATTCTTACCACGCTGCTATGATGGGGACTAACCCCTGCTTCGAGTACGAGGCCTTTAAGAGTACTATAATGTCGTTTTGCTTGTTATTAGTAATGAAACCACATATCATTGGCTTGAAAGCACGTGACAAACTTTGGATTTCTAGAACTCTTATAGTGGGTGTGGCAAGTAACTATAATGGTATGCTGACAACTCATCACCACGTTTGGATCGATAACCTTTTGAACGCAAACCAATCCCCTTGACGAGAGTTTGAATTACACTGTTGATTAAATTCCTCAGGAGCTCTTGTAACCAACAAAACAATGGCAGTCATCGATATTAAGACACAGGATCAATTCAGCGAGCTCACGACGAGCGACGTCAATGATAAACTGATCGTGCTCTATTTCCACACTTCTTGGGCAGAGCCTTGTAAAACCATGAACGAGGTGATCAAAGCCTTGAGTGATGAGCCTGCAAACAGTCAAACGCGGTTTTTGGCCATAGATGCAGACGAAAACGCTGAAATCTCGGAATTGTTCGAAGTTACCGCTGTACCTTTCATTGTTTTCATTAAAGACGGCATAATCTTGAAAGAACTCTCCGGTGCCGATTCAAAGGAGGTCGTGAAGGCGCTGAACCAATTCACAGGCAACTCTGGCCAGCCATCGGGTCAAATCGCCGCCGCCTCAGGAGCTGAACACGTACAACCAGAAGAAACAGAAGAAGAACTCTCTGCTCGTTTAAAGCAGCTAACGGGTGCTGCACCTGTAATGCTGTTCATGAAAGGTACCCCGTCTGAACCCAAATGTGGGTTTTCTAGACAAATGGTCGGTATTTTGCGAGAACATCAAGTCAGATTTGGGTTTTTTGACATTCTGAAAGACGATTCCGTGAGGCAAGGTCTCAAAGCGTATTCAGACTGGCCCACTTTCCCCCAGCTATATATCAGCGGGGAGTTTCAAGGTGGTCTGGATATCATCAAGGAATCGCTCGAAGAGGACCCAGAGTTCTTCCAGCACACTATTAATGCTAATTAAATAGACTCTACACTGTCATCCTCCTTTGTATCATTCTCTCCCCGTTCCATTTCACGATGTGGGTTGCTTGGACTTAGAAGCTTCCGAGGCGACTGCGACGCTAAGATTTCATAAAGAGTATCATCATCTTCGCTGTCATTATCGCTTCCATCGTCACTTCCATCGTCAATGCCGTGGTGAGTACTCTCACGCACCTGGCTTCTCTCACCTGTTTGATTATCTTCTGGCAATTCATTTACGCCACTAATGTCGCTTTCTGGGCCTTCACTGTCCAGAATGGGATCTTCATCGAAATCACTTTCGATTACAGCGACATCGTCATCATTATTTTGAGTCTTGAACTCCCGTCTTGTAAAACCTTCATATTTCTTGGAAGAACTAGCATTTTTATAATTTATTGTATCCTCCAAGCCTAGGAATTCTAGCTCTTCCCCGATCATGCCTATTTCACCACCTAGGCGACTCAATATGTCAATTTCCTCGTCTATGCACAGACTATCTCGAAAAGAATTGATCGCTGCTCGAGCCTCAACAGAGTCTTTTTGGAGATTCTCAAGATAGTGTCGAAGTACCTTTTTCCGGTAGTTTCGCTTCCTCCTTATTAATGGTGCGTAATATCCAAACAGAAGCGTGACATCCTTGTAACGGCGGACTTGACCATATTTTTCATATTCCAAGCAAAAGAAGGCGTCTACTTCTTTCTTGAAATTTGATCGTAATCGCCTGACTTTCGTTTCTCTTGGGAAACTTAATCTCGCGTGAGATGTTGGTGATTTAGAATTTTCCGTCTGCAGAGCATCTAACAAATTGCGTGCATTCCGGAAGGCATACTCAGAACCTTCTTGAATTGTGTTATTGTCAAATTTTATTATGTCACTGGTACTCAACGAATCCACTAAGCTTGCCGCGATCGTTGTTGGGAAACTTTGCTTATTGTAGCTTGTGTAGTTCTCCAGCAGACCCAGTCTTAAATCATTATCAGAGAAGTGTGCTTTTGCAGCAATTAGATCATTGAGCATTTCATTGGGACTATCATAGTCTTTAGATCCATGTAAAAGTCTTCCAATGACATGAAAGAATGAAATGGTCTCTTCCCTTCCTCCAAAGCCCCCTGATCCAGACAAGTCAGCATTGGATGTTGCCCAAAATTGAAGCGCTGATATACCTGAGCGAACATCACCGCAATGAAGGACAAGATTTTTAATAAAAGGTGTGAGGTTGTTCCATCTTTGAGGTGCAAAATCATCTTTCTGAGATAGTGCTATACTTTTCAAATGCTTTGACATCAGGGTCTTGTTTATGGGATTGAATTTGATGCGATGAAGTTTAGGATGCGACAAAACTTCTTTCCCTAACACCGTCTCTGCTATATATTGCGTCTCAATTCCGTAGGATGCGTTACTTCCTTCATCGCTGTGAAGTTCACATTCGGTAAGACTTATGACAAGAGGCGGCAACCCTGACTCCTCTGTGCACAGCCAGCGTAAGAGAGACCCTTGAAATGCTATTCGTGTAGTAATGTGGAACACATTGGGCAAATCCTCTGCAAGCAACACTGCAAGGCTGGAACCCTTTTTCAGTCTTCCTTGTGCCAAAAATTCATCAAATGCAGCGACATTCGACAATTCGCGGCCCAATGTGTCGTTACGAAATTCAACAATGCAAGGTTGCGGATCGCTGCTGGATCTCAAAGAATTAACGCTATTGATTCGATATTTCGGTACCAGTTTTTGAGCCAATAATTTGACACAAGTGCTCTTCGAACAGCCAGACGGCCCCGTTAGAACCAAAATCCGACATCTATCAACACTCGAGATAATGTTTTCGAGTCCCCGCTGAACTTCTCCCAACTTTCGACTATGAAGTGCAATTTCCTCTAGTGATTTTGGTGAGAACTTCAAAAACCATTGGTCTTCGACATTTGGCAATTTGTCTTCAACTGAAACTGAAGTTTCGTGATTCAAACAAACAGGTTTCGAGCTTGAAATCTCATTTTTACTCTGTGATCCGTTTTTCGAGGGCGATGTGCTCTTCTCTCTAAAAAGATGAATTTGAGACGAAAGTGAACTCAAACTTCGCTCCAGTTTTGGCTTTCGCTTAGATATCCTGGTCATTATTGCCAATCAACGTACTTGTCGTTAACGATATGAGACATTCAGCCATTCTAAGCCTAATAACAAGGTATTTTGTCTTCGTTCAAGCTTTAAGTAGTCGCATCTTGGCCGTTGAAAAATATCTCTACTAGTAAACAGGAAAATTAAATTGACCACCAGTACAGAGCCAAGTCATCGCTAACTATATAAACGCTCGAAGCGAGACGTTTCGATACATTGTGGGACATTATAAAAGGGCCTTGAAAACTCCAAGAAACTGCTTCATCTTTCCACCTAATGTCACTTTCGAACGACGTCGAGAGGAGCAAGAAGATTCGAGAAATCTACCGATATGATGAAATGTCCAATAAGGTCCTAAGGGAGGATAAATCGCTTCATTTGAACAAATCAAATCCCGTTAAAGATGCAGAAGCATTCCAGCCGAAATCTATGGTAGGGAGGGTACATCTGAGTGATATGGGGTCGAAAGCGCATGGCGAAAACTTGATTGAGGACAGGGAACTTATCAAAAGAGAAGTAAACAACAGCAGCTCATTAAGCGCAAAACCAAACGCCAGCATAAAAGTTTCGAAGCGAATAAAACGGGGCTCAGTTTTAGCTGGTGCTAGGAGCAACAGCGATGTAAATTATTATCCTTCGGACGGACACAATTCAGAAATATACGATCAAATCGTTCTTCAGTTTTGTGGGATCCTGGGAAGCGACATTCCACAAGAAATCATCCTTTCAGCGGTGGACTTCACTTTGCAGCTGCTTATCTCAAATGGGGATCATTTAGGCTCTAGTCTGGATGAAAAGAAATCCGATATCCAGAAAACTCTATCGGTAAGCATAACAGCGGATCAATTCAATAATATCTTGAATCTTTGCAAACAAATTACGGATTTTGATGCTCCAAAAGAGCTTTCGGACTCCGAGAACGATGGTGTTGCTATTCTAGCTGACGATTCCTATGACAGTGCCGAAATTGGGGCTGAAGAGGAGAATCCACTGTTAGACGAAATCGAGGAAGATAATGCATCTGAGGAGGAAGAAAATGAGACCGAATCCACCCAGCAAGTGCTAAAAGGGCCGGTGGTAGGTCAAGCTTTCCAGACAGAGACAGTTACTTTGGAGAATGACTTACCATCCGAAAAAAGTCACTTGAATTTAGCGACCGAGAATATCGATGAGATGTTTTTGCATAGACTTTTGAAGCGGCAATTTGAGCATACGGAAACGATAGAGCAAATTTACAAAGCGATCATGGCTCGATTGAAAAACTTTGAAAACACAACAGCCCTGCAAACGTCTTTGTTAGATATAATTGGACCTGATAATGAGGACCTAGCGAAATTGATTTCTGAAAATGCTGCATTAATATACTGGGGAATCCAACTGGCCAAATCAACTTTGGAAGAAAAGGAAAATTTATACGAACAAATGAAATCATCTCAACTCGACCACTTGATAGAGCGCTTTCGATCTTCGCACAATGGTAACCCATTAAAACGCCAAAAGTTTTTGCAGTCTGAAGAAGCCGACAGCCCTAATAAGAAGAGACGAAAGCAGAACGCTTCGAAAGATGAGCGACTGCCGACTGTTATCGATTTAAATTCCGTTAGTTTCGACCAAGGTGCTGATTTAATGACAACTACCAGAATTAACTTGCCGCCAGACTCATTCAAACGTGTGAAAGATAATTACGAAGAAATTCACATTCCCGCCCCAGCGAGGCTGGTTGAAGGCTTCCAGTTGGTGCCCATCTCGCAGTTACCCTCATGGGCCCAAGAGGTTTTTCCTAGTGCAGAAGCACAACACCTCAATCGCATCCAATCCGAAGTATACCCAAGTGCATTTCTCAACGATGATAACATCCTAATTTGTGCCCCTACTGGTGCCGGTAAAACTAACATTGCCATGTTGACAATACTTCGAACCCTAGCAAATTTTAGAGACGCTACAACGGGAAAAATATCTTTGAAGGATGTGAAAGTGGTCTATATCGCTCCTTTAAAAGCATTGGTTCAAGAACAAGTCAGGGAATTCCAGCGCCGTCTTGTGGGACTAGGTGTAAAAGTCGCAGAGCTGACTGGAGATTCGAGACTGAGCAGACAACAGATAGCGGAAACCAATATTCTGGTATCAACACCTGAAAAGTGGGACATTATAACAAGAAAGCGATCAGAAGCGAACCTTATCGAAATGGTAAAGCTCCTAATTATTGATGAGGTTCATCTTTTGCATGATAGTCGAGGACCCGTGATTGAAGGACTGGTGGCGAGGGCCCTAGGTGATGTCGAAAGTGCGAGTTCGACAAGAATTGTGGGTCTTTCGGCTACACTTCCCAATTATGAAGACGTTGCCAAATTTATGAGGGTACCGAAAGGAAATTTGTTCTATTTCGATCCGTCATTTAGGCCGTGCCCTCTAGCTCAGCAGTTCTGCGGCGTCACCAAAGGGGGTGCTCTACAAAAAGTGAATGAACTTAACCTCATTTGTTATGAAAAGGTTTTAGAATCTGTGAAGTCCAACAATCAAGTGATTGTTTTTGTTCATTCACGAAAAGATACTACGAGGACGGCTCGTTTTTTGAAGGAACGACTTCTCCAAGAAGATACGCTTCGCTTCGTGCAGAACCCGGAAGCGGGAGCCAATGAAATCTTAAAGCGGGAATCAGGGAATGCTGAAGATAGTGCTTTGAGTGATTTGATGAAGTATGGGATCGGGGTGCATCACGCTGGTTTATCAAAATCAGACAGGTCACTCTCAGAAGATTTGTTTGCCGATGGCCTCACTTCCATTTTGGTGTCAACGTCGACGCTTGCATGGGGTGTCAATCTTCCTGCACATACCGTGATTATCAAGGGAACCGATCTCTATTCTCCCGAGAAGGGTTCTTGGACTCGCCTCTCGGCGCAAGACGTTTTGCAAATGCTGGGAAGAGCTGGAAGACCAAGATATGACACATTTGGAGAAGGCATTATCATCACCCAACAAGCTGATCTTCAGTATTACCTTGCTATTTTGAATCAGCAGCTTCCTATTGAATCGCATTTAATATCCCACCTCCCAGATAGCTTGAATGCGGAGGTTGTGCTTGGAAACATCCGAACAAGAGGGCAAGCTGTCGATTGGTTAGCAAGAACTTATCTTTTCGTGAGAATGCTGAGGGAACCATCCCTGTATAATGCGAACTTATCCAAAGGAGACGACCCTACGTTTAACAAATACCGCGAAGATTTGGTGCACTCTGCATTTGTAATTCTTAAGAGAAATGGGCTCCTGACGTATGATATTAAAGCCGGGACAGTATCCCCAACCGAAATCGGAAGAATTGCCTCGTATTTTTATATCGGCCATTCCTCAGTATCGATGTATGCAAGGCAACTGAATCAAAGGTCAACACTGATTGATCTGTTTAAGATTTTTGCCATGTCAGAGGAATTCAAATACATCCCAGTGCGACCAGAAGAAAGGCTAGAGCTTAAAAATATTTTAGAAAGAGCTCCTGTTCCGGTGACTGACTCTCCTGATGATCCGTTGACGAAGGTAAATCTTCTGTTGCAAATTTATGTCTCGAGGCTCAAGCTTGATGGGTTCGCGCTTAATGCAGACATGATATACATAACGCAGAGTGCGACACGGCTGATCAGAGCAATGTTTGAACTCAGTACAGAGCAAGGGTGGCCCCGTACAGCCAAGAAACTTCTGAATCTATGCAAATCTGTTAGTAATCGGTTGTGGTTCAGCAATACCCCCTTAAGACAGTTTCCCAGCTGTCCAGCGGAGGTAATTCGGCGTGCAGAAGCTTCAAGCATCCCATGGTCACAATTTTTAAGCCTCGAAACGCCTCAAGAGGTCGGAAAGGCATTACGGTCGGAGAAACATGGCAAAGCTATTTTTGATTTGATAAGGCGCTTTCCAAAACTGAACATAAACTGCACAGTGCAGACGATAACGCCCACATGGATCAAGTTCGAGCTAGAAATTCTGGCTGACTGGTTATGGGACACCAAGTTACATGGGTTTAGCGAATCATTTTTTGTGCTTGCAGAAGATTTTATGGGTGAGAAAATACTATTCCACGATGTGTTTACTGTAAAGGCCAATCACGGCAAACAGGAACAATATCTTGAGTTCACTATCCCCATTGAACTGAGCGCGAACCAAACTTTGCCTCCTAACATTTTCATTTCATTTATTTCTGAAAAATGGCTACACTGCGAGAGTAGACTACCAGTGTTGTTTGATGAAATTAAAATGCCTAAAAGATTTCCAGCTCCTACGTTGGTCTTCGACGAAGGACTTGTTGGAACTGAAAACCTCGAAGTTGAAGAATACATTGAAAAGTTCGAGTTCCAGTGTTTCAATCAAATTCAAAGCCAGGTTTTTCCTGCTTTATATCAATCGAACGAGTCAGTTTTCATAGGAGCTCCAAAAGGAAGTGGTAAAACTGCTCTTGCTGAACTCGCACTTCTTAACTTGTGGCGCCAGCAGGGAGGGCGAGCAGTTTACATTCATCCAAATGAAGCAAGGGTGAGGGAGCTGTGTCACAAGTGGAATGATCGTTTTTCGACGCTTGCGGGTGGTAAAGTAATTAATAATTTGACAGATGACTTATCAGAAAACCTCAAGCTATTAGCTCACAGCCATGTCGTTTTGGCAACATGTAAACAATTTGATACGTTAACTCGGAGATGGAAACAAAGGAAGAATGTTCAGAGCATAGAATTGCTAATACTTGATGATAGCCATTATGTGGGCAGCGGGCTCGAAGGAGCAATGTACGAAAACATTGTTTCTCGTATGCGCTTTATATCTACAAACTTGAGCAAAGACCTTCGGATAATTAGCTTATCGAATCCAATAGGCAATAGCCGAGACTTTGGAGCTTGGCTGGGCATTTCAAAGGAAAGCGTTTTTAATTTTCCTCCAACTTCTCGTATCCGGCCTCTCCAAGTACAGCTCCAGGTAACGAATAGCACTGAAGCAGTTGGAGAGTTTGAGACGATTATAAAGAGCATCGAGGAATTATCTTTTGGTGATTCGTGCATCATCTTCGCATCTTCACACTATGATGGGCTGAAGGTTTGCCGCGGCTTGGTAAGAAAAATGGCGGATTATAACATTTCTGCTTTAGGGAAAAACGATATTCAGACCAGACTTCACGATAAAAGCCTAGCAGAACCTCTGTACCATGGAATTGGTCTGCTGTCTGGTAACATGAATGCTTCGGACAAAGCTTTTATCAAGGACTTATTCTCGAAAAAAGTACTGAACGTTGCAATTTTAAGAAGAGAGGATGCCTTTACTGATTTGAATGCGCCTCTTGTTGTAGTCGCGGGAACTACATTTTATGATAAACGCGAACGCAGAAATGTTGGATACGAGGTCAACGAACTCTTGGAAATGATTGGAATTGCTCGTTCTTCGACAAAGCAAGCGAAAGCCATCATTTTAACCCGAAGACAATCTAAGGAATACTACAAGAAATTTCTCAGCGAGCCCACTCCTGTTGAGAGTTTCATGTATTATCATTTCCATGATGTTTTCATTAATGAGATCAGCACAGGAATAATTGAAACCAAACAGGATTGTATCGATCTCATTACCTATACTCTCTTTTACCGCAGAATCCATGCAAACCCAAGCTACTATGGCGTGAAAGATACTGCACCTGAAGGGATTTCGGCTTATCTGACTGAAGTGGTTGAGGAAGTTTGTGGAGACCTCGTGAATCTATCAGTGGTTGAAATCCACGAGGGAGATGGCTCAACTCAGGATTCAGGTGGTTCGATTTTACCGCGCAATAACTGTCTAATAGCCGCCCATCACGGTCTTCGTTTTGCGACTCTACAGATTTTCATTAGCCAGCTCTCGAGCAATTCTAGCCTGCGAAATATTTTAGAAGTACTAGCGAAAGCTGGGGATTTTCACACTGATGATGACATTGCAGCAAGCGATTTGAACGTTCTCTCCAATTTGTACAGGAGACTTCCTTTGAACACAAAAGAGCTAGAAGACATTGAATCGACAGCGTTTCAGACGTTTGTTCTCATCCAAGCCTACTTCACGAGATCAAAGCTTCCCATCCATCTGGTCAAGTGTCAGCAAGAAATTGTACGTACTGCCTTGTCGCTCGTTCCTGCAATTGTGGATATTCTTTCAGGCGAAGGACATTTAAATGCGTCTGTGGCAATGGACGTCTCTCAAATGCTGACACAGGGTTGTTGGGACACTGACAGCCCTTTGAAGCAGGTACCATACTTTGATGACAAAGTCATAAAAAAATGCACGGATAAGAAAATCGAGACCATCTATGATATCATGGCCCTCGAGGACGATGAACGCGAAGAGTTGATGTTGTTTCCAGAGTCAGAACTGTTTGAGATTGCTCGCTTTGTGAACAATTACCCAAACATCGAGCTTTCTTATTCAGTGGACTTGACCGACGGCGCAACTGTGGGGGAGGAGCTTACTGTGAGCGTGACATTAACAAGGGATGAGGAACCTGAAAGCTTGTACGCCGTCTCAGGGACTTACTCCTTTAGTAAGAAGGAAGCATGGTGGATTTTTGTGGGAAATCCATCAACCAAGGAGCTGCTTGGCATTAAAAAGGTTTTTTTAAGGAAGATGTCTCAAAGTTATGATCTGAAAGTCGAACTGCTGAACGAGGGCCCACAAGACTTTACTATTTGGTGTGTATGTGATTCCTATATGGATGCCGATAAAGAGGCTACATTCCACATCGACGTTTCTTCTAGAAGGTAATAAGGCTCTACGTCCACTCTTGACTTTAAATACGACTATTCGAGATGCCAAAAATGTTCCGTAGCGCGCAACTTGAAAGGTCCTTACTTTGTGTGAAGTTCATAAGCATTATTACCAATTATTCCATATCAAGATCTTCATCACCCTCGGTCCGCGTTTTACGACCGCCGTAGCCCGTGTTTTTCTGTTCTTCCTGGTGTTTTATCAATTGATCATAATTCCAGAGAGAAGTTCCTTCTTGGTCCTTTGGATCAGTTGGTTGCGCCATCATGCGTAAAAATTGTTTCGTATTTGCTATGGCCATGTCAGTTGAAAGATTTAGATCTGCATCTGACAAGCCTTGAGCAATCCATTTCGGCAGTTGATTCTTTTTCCGGGAAAATCTGCGGTCTGCCAAGATCATGACTCCGTAGTCATCTTTGCCTCTTAGCACCCTTCCAAGACACTGCGCCGCATGTCGCATGGCATCAAACGACAGGAAATCGTTTTCTCTTATTTGATAATGCTCTCTCAAGAACTCAAGTCTAGCCTTCAAGATACGGGACTCCGTGTACTGAAATGGAATACCTATCATCAGTACAGTCCGACCATAATGATGGTCAAAATCAATACCTTCAGAAACTTTACCACGAGCAACAGAAAGTAAAATCGCGCCCCTACCATTCGAGCACGCCTTCCTGTAAGTCTCTAAAGCCAGCGACGTTTCCTGAGCATCGGGCGTCTCTACCAAGATTAGTTTGTATTTCCATACTTCATCTAAAATGCCCATCGTTTGCCACATTGAGATAATACTCTCCATATACAAATACGATGGAAAGAACACAACCATACCGTCTGGAGTAATTTTGGCGAATTCTACCAGCATCGAGCCATAGTTACGCACAATACTGGGGTCATTCCTGATTTCAAACCGGGATGAGATTGCAACTTGGTCCGAGCCTTTAGTAACGATCATAGGAAGGAAAGACTTTTTTGCCAACGTCATTGAATAGGACTCCTGAAGAACCGTTTCGAAGTCAAGCATCTTAGGATACATGTCGAGAGGCGAGATGGTCCCTGAGGTTATAAGAACAGATGAAAACTTTTCAAAAACGGGTTTGATAGCAATGGATGCATCAAGGCATGTAAACCTCATGATGGGATTCGGAACAGCAGCATTCTCAATTTCGTAAGGTTCGATTATCAGCATAAATCCTTCTTCATAAGTGGAAATTAAAGTAGCAAATGTTGCAATGTCTTTCAAAGCATTAAAATCCTCAATCTCTGCCACCTCTAACGTCCTGACTAAAATGGAAAGTCGCTCTGAGCACGATCTCAGGGGTTTTTTCTCTATGAAGGTTAGCTGCTTCAAATGCTGGAGGAACGAGTTTGGAGTTTCGGATATAACATGCAACACCTTCATTCTTGTCTTCAAGTATTCAATAAATCTCTTTAAAAAGGATACGAAGTGTTCGGCACGACGTATGTTACCAGGAATAGCTTCTGTCAAAAGATCTTTGGAAAGTATAGGTGATTCCACAAGCGGTTCTTCTCCTTCCTCCAAGAAATCGGAGGCTCGCAGCCCGTTGACAAGCTTTTCATATTCATCTTGAAGTTTTTGAGAATCAACTTGTTTAACTTCTTCGATTTTCTGGGCAAGCGCATTAGCACCTTTCGCGGAACGCTTTAAAACGTCATTCGTAAGATCTAAAGACAAAGATTCAATGCAAACGTTATCAATATTGTGGGCTTCATCAAAAATGACAATGGCATCCCGGGATACCTCTCGAGAAACTCGCTCTGCGATTTTTGGGTCCAACAGATAATGGTAAGAGTAAATCATGATATTGCACATAGAGATCATTCGACGGACGGTGAAGTAGGGACACATGGTCCTTTCTTCACAATACTTAATGAGTTTTTCGAACGAAAACACACCATTTGGCACGTAGTTTTCGGGTTCCATTGCGTACAGGTTTTCGTGAAAGTCACAAAGCTCGACATTTGCGTTTGGATCTTGTTCCAATTGTCTTTTAGCCTGTCCACTAGTCATTCGTCGACACTTTTCGTCAACCACATTGCCTTTCCTTTCTCTGCGCACTTTAGGATGTAAACAGAGATTCTTTCTACTGGTAAGTCCAAGACCTCTGAACGACTCCTTGAAACCGAGTTCTTTAGTTCTATAGTCCATTAATGACTCCAGTTCCACTAGGGCCTTTTCGATTTCTGACATGGTACGCGAACAATAGATTACCTTCCGATGCTCCGGGTAGTGCATCTGGTATGCAACTGTTAACGAAAGCAAAGAAACGGTTTTACCCGTTCCGGAAGGCATTTCCAATATACTGTTTCCTCCCACATCCAAGGTTTTCTTGATATCGCACATATACTGGTACTGTTCCGGATAAATCTTCGGATAGGGAAAGATTACGGGTAAATCATCAATGTAGAATTTCATGGCTGGAGTTTCGAGCTTAATAACGCAAAGATTCACCCGCTCACTTAGGACTGTTCTTCAGACAGAAGAGATGTGATGATCAAGGTATTACTGCTGTTAATCAAATTCGATGTCTCGTATCACGGTACATCGAAGTAGAGACACCCAACTCACCCCACTTCTACCATTTCGTCGTCTTTAAAAGGCTACCAGGGCCAGTTACCATCAGCCTTCAACTATAATTCATCTTCAGCCTGAAAAACGTCCCTTTTGTGGCTGTAAATTCTTCCAATATATCGGCTTAGTTTTATATTTACAAGTTCACGTCAGATTTGCTTCGCGACATATTGGACAGCAAAAGAATCCTTGACGAGTGCTTCTAATTGTGGGAAAATAATGTTTGAGGTTTCGCCATAGACGGTCTTTAAAATTCCAGCTTGAGCGTAATATTCTCTCAAGGGCTTCAAGGTTGCATGATACTTGTCCAACCTTCGCTGAAAAACTTCTGCGGTATCGTCAGGACGCCTGGAAAGAGGCTCTCCGGTCACGTCGTCAATTCCTGGGACTTTGGGAGGATTGTAAGATAAATTGTAGACTCTGCCGCTTGGAACGTGAACGTACCGATTTACGATGCGAGCGAGAATAACGCTTTCGGGCACTTTCAACTCGACGACGAGATTGAGGTCCGCATTATAGGCTTTTAAGGCAGAATGAAGGCTGATTGCTTGTATGTCCGTGCGCGGGAACCCGTCCAGGAGCCAAGTCGCTCGAGATGTGAGCCATTGTCGACTATCGAGTTCGCGGATCAAGAGTCGCGTCATAATTTCGTCGGGCAGAAGTTCGCCTCTCGAAATGTATTCGGCTGCCAATTTGCCAATTTCTGTTTTTTCAGCCATCTGCTGTCGCAATAGGTCTCCGGACGATACGCTCCCTACTTGCGGGAACGCCCTTAAAAGCCGGGACGTCAAAGTTCCTTTCCCGGAGCCTGGGGCTCCGAGGAAAAGCATTCGCAAGGGTCTCAAGCTACCGCTTGTCATCCGGTATTGCAAACTTGCTGGCTAGTTCGACAACAGGAAGCCTCAGGAACTGACTATCTATAGCGGAAACCCGATCTTCAAACCGGTTATTACTTAGATGACAGTTTCTCGAGAATTCGTACGAAATCACATTTTCGAAGATCTCCGATTGAATAAACGCCAAGAACCACGATCGCGCTTGGCTTTATAGCAGGCGTACCGACGGCAAAGCCGTGATTGCATATGTGTCTTCATTAGAACTTGATTAAACATCGCTCCTGGATTCGATAGGAATACCGGTCGTTTTCCGGGCTCCAGCCCACAAATTTCACAAATGAGTCAATGGGCATACCTCAAGCGATCCATGAGTTCTCTGAAGACCAATGATCTCTCTTTGATCATCTCCGATAGCCTTTTACCTCTGTTTATCAATGCGTTCAAGCCTGCCAAATGTGTCAACGGAAGAGAGATCATTTACGTCAAAAGTTACTGACGCGTAAAGTATCAAATGAAAAATGAAGTTAACGCGTTAGTATGGAAGACAAGTAAGGAGTTCATCACCAGCAGGTCTGTCGGAGACGCTTGGATAGTAGATTATCCCAGGATTCGAATCGAAAATGACGACTCCAGCGACCCCAAATGGAGTTAAGAAGCGGGCTTTTGCCAGTTCGCCACAGAGTTCTGGTAAAAAAAAGTTCAAACAGTCGTCCCTGATGTCGTTCTTCGGCAAACAAAACAAGAGGGCTACTAGTACACCTATCAAGACGGCTCGCACGCAGAGCTTGTTTGTTGAGAATGAGGATGGGTCTGACAACGATACTGGATTCATCACAGCCGCAGACGACTCGCATATGGTGATTGATGAAGTTCAAAAATCAGAAACACCAGCGACAGATGCGACAATGTCGAAGGAGAAGGATTTGAGTTCTCCAGAGCCCATAACTACAACTACTCCAGATGGACGTAAAGAGCGAAGAGTGAATTATGCCGAAGACAGTGATGAAAGCGATAGGGACGAGAACGACAAGAACTTTTCCCATTTAAGACGCAAGAAACGGCTGCCCTTGAGCGATGAAGAGGACGAATTCAAACCAGACGAAGCCCAAAACGCAAGTAGCGATGATGACGAGAGTGTTGTGGGTGACAAGGAGGACGAAGGGAGCGCCATAGATGGGTTGCTCGGAAGTGGTCAAGGCAAAAATGACATTGGAGACGATGCTGATGACGATGAATTGGTTTTGGCGCTGTCTAAAAAATTGAAAAAGCGCGTCAATTCTCCACCGCGACCTAAACCAGCTAAGAAGATTGCTCCACGTAACAGTATAGGCAAACACTCAAGCTTTAACAAAGAGAACGAAGAACGTTACCAATGGCTCGTGCACGAGAGGGACGCACAAGGTCATTCGAAAGACGACGAAAGCTATGATCCTCGAACTCTTTACATCCCGGATTCTGCCTGGTCGAAATTCACGCCATTTGAAAGACAGTATTGGGAAATCAAGGCCAAAATGTGGGATTGCATAGTTTTCTTCAAGAAAGGGAAATTCTTTGAACTCTACGAAAAGGATGCGTTTCTGGCGAACCATCTCTTTGATCTCAAACTTGCAGGAGGTGGACGTGCCAACATGCAACTGGCAGGTATCCCAGAAATGTCGTTTGATCATTGGGCGTCTCAATTTATAAGTCACGGCTTCAAAGTTGCTAAAGTTGACCAACGAGAATCTATGTTAGCGAAAGAAATGCGTGAAGGTAACAAAGGAATAGTCAAGAGAGAATTACAATACGTTTTAACTTCAGGTACATTGACTGACCTAAAAATGTTGCAGACCGACCAAGCTACTTTCTGTCTGTCGATAAGAGAAGAAACTCCGGAAATTTACGGAGGTATACAAGACGAAGAGTCCGACGTAAAAACTGCCAGAGTTTTTGGCGTGTCTTTCATCGACACTGCTACTGGACAAATCAATTTATTGGAGTTCAATGATGATAGCGACTGTACTAATCTTGATACGCTACTATCGCAAGTTCGCCCTAAAGAAATAATAACGGAGAAGAATAACCTTTCGAGCCTTGCTCATAAAATTGTTAAATTCAATTCACAGCCGCAGGCTCTTTTCAACTATCTCAAGCCTAATGTCGAGTTCTATGACTTCAACAAAACCTTTGATGAGTTGGTATCTCCAGATCACAAATACTTCAAGAGCATTGATGACTGGCCAGAGGTTTTAAAGCGCTACTATGAAAAGGGAAAACAAGCTGGGTTTAGTGCGTTCGGGGGCCTCATATCTTATTTAAAATGGCTAAAACTCGACGAATCCATGATCTCAATGGGTAACATAACAGAATATGATCCTATCAAGTCTCAAGTTGCGCTGGTACTCGATGGTGTGACTCTACAAAATCTGGAAATCTTTAGCAATTCCTTTGACGGGACGGACAGGGGTACGCTGTTTAGACTTATAAATCGTGGCATAACTCCTATGGGAAAGAGACTGCTGAGAAAGTGGCTGATGCACCCGTTGCTCAACAAAAGAGATATAGAGCAACGGTTAGATAGCATTGATCAATTACTTTCAGAACTTGAAGTACGAGAGCCTTTGGAAAATTATCTCGGGCAGCTGCCCGATCTCGAAAGGCTAACAGCACGCATTCATTCCGGAAACCTCAAAATAAAAGATTTTAACACGGTTATCGAGGGCTTCGAGACAATTGTTACACTTCTAAGCAAGGTAGAAGAATTTGACATGCGTGGAGCACTGGGTATGTTTATCAAGCAAGTACCCAAGGAACTAAGTGATGATGTAGCAGCATGGGCGAGCGCCTTCGACAGAAAACGAGCGACAAGCGAAAACATCATCATTCCCCAACCCGGAGTGGAACCAGAATTCGATCAGTCTCTGGACGACATAAAATCTATCGAAGACACTTTGAATGAACTGCTCAAAGGGTATAAGCGGCAATTCAAAACTTCCAATATTGCATACAAAGATTCGGGTAAAGAGATCTACACCATCGAACTACCAATGTCAGTGGTGAAACTAGTCCCATCTGAATGGATTCAAATGGGCGCTAATAAGTCGAGTAAAAGATACTATTCTCCCGAGGTGGCCGAGCTTGCGAGATCAATGGCTGAGGCAAAAGAACGCCACAAAGCCCTCGAAGATAGCTTGAAGGGAAGACTCTACCAAAAATTCGATGCTCAATTCCAAAAAACATGGTTACCAACTATCAATGCGATTTCAAGCATTGACTGTCTTTTATCGCTGGCAAGGACATCCGAAGCGCTTGGATTCCCATGCTGCCGTCCAAAGTTTGTGGATGAGATTGATGAACCCACCGGTGCGAAACTACAGGGCCATTTGAAGTTTAAGCAATTGAGACATCCATGCTTTAACTTGGGCAGCACTGCTTCTAAAAACTTCATACCAAATGATGTCGAGTTAGGGGGAGAGAAAACTTCGCTTGCTCTACTAACAGGTGCAAACGCTGCTGGTAAGTCCACAGTGCTGAGAATGACATGCATTGCAGTAATATTAGCTCAAATTGGCTGCTATGTTCCCGCAGAAGAAGCCACCTTATGCCCGGTAGATAGGATCATGACAAGATTAGGTGCTAGTGATAATATCATGCAAGGGAAGTCCACCTTTTTTGTGGAACTGTCAGAGACGAAAAAGATTCTGGACATGGCTACTAATCGCTCTCTTCTCGTGGTCGATGAACTTGGAAGAGGCGGCTCATCCAGTGACGGTTATGCTATTGCTGAAAGTGTATTACATCATGTGGCAACTCACATTCAGAGTTTGGGATTCTTCGCAACTCACTATGCCGCTTTAGGTGAAGATTTTCGTTTCCATCCTAACGTTAGACCACTAAAGATGGACATTCTGGTCGATGAAGATTCTCAGACAATTACCTTTCTTTATAAACTTGTTCCAGGGAAAAGTGAGGGAAGCTTTGGAATGCATGTCGCTTCAATGTGTGGAATCTCAAAAAGCATTGTTGATGGTGCTCAATTAGCCGCTGATCAATTAGAACACACCTCGATATTAACTAAAGAGCGGCAAGGGGAAAAAGGCTTGAAAAAAAATCAGATTCCAGATGGATTGTTAAGTGACTTCATTCGACTCACGGCGGGGAACGGCTTGACTAACTCAAAATTAGGATCTGGTGAAGGTGTTGGAATCTATGATAGATTCGTTAAAACTAAAGTTTTGGAAATTCTCTTCAAAATGACCGATGAACTGTGACGCCCGAAGTAGTATCCATTCAATCACTGAATTATACATTTATAAAGGCGAGGAAACGCTTCGCCGTCTAGCCTTCTCTCTCTCTGTAAAGTATTAAAGAGTTCAAAAATGCTAACTGGTGAACTACATACTAATTGAATTTTTCTGCCTTAAACCCCTATGCGACCCAAAGTACCCTAAAGAGCCGAACTGCTGTATTCCCCGATTGAAGTATCTTGTAGGGTGATGTGCTCCTTTGCACTTTTTCTAGATTTCGGGTAAGCCTCTTCGCCACCTTCCCCAGTGCAAGGAATCTTTTTGTTCAAATGCTGTAGAACATGATCACGTCTTTTGAATTTCTTGCCGCATTTTGGACAAGAGTGAGGTTTTTCACCTGAATGAACTGACTTCTTGTGTCGCGTTAAATGATGACCCGACGAAAACTGCCTTCTACATTCTTGGCAGACGTAAATTTTGCCCTTATCCGACACAACTATTTCTTCGGAAGAGATCTTCGATTGATTTAGAGGCCTTCGCGGTATTTCAACATCACCATCCTTATTCTTGAATGGAGAGACGGGCGGTGATCTTTCCATGGTTGTGGCCTGACTCAGATTAGAGTTTATATTAGCCTGACCCACAGATGAAATATTCTGAGCTAATGGAGACCTGAACTCTGAATTTAATGATACCGGGCTTCTTGATGACTCTCGAGAAATGTTCAAAGTTACTCTGTTGGGGCTTTTCAGGCGCTTGATAAAGGGCAGACTTGATGGGCCGGGAGATGATGGCGGCGGAGAGCCGGCTGTACTTTTGAATGTCGAGTAATAACTAAAGGGATTCTGCTCATATAGGGGGCCTGGCGCTAGAATGGTATCAGCCGCTGGAGAGTATGGTCTGGGTTGGATGGGCGGTAGAGGGTATCGTGGAGAAGAAGCACCGCTGGCCATCGAGGCTAGACTCATAGCGAGCATATTGTCATCATGATCGTCCAGAATCCGAGGAGATTGAGTTGCGCTCTGCTTTTGACCGTGGACAGGAGCCCTCTTTTTGAATTTGAGTGTGGGATCCTCCAATGTGGGTTCCACGATGTTTGAGAGGTCCATCATTCTTGACAACAGTGGCGAAGAGATCCGACTTATAGATTGACTAAGACCGCTGTAGTATTGACCCGGATTTGGGCTGGTGGAGCGCATGGCGCTCTGTTGAGGGTTGTCTTCCATTGCTTGAAGCTCGCAAGAGCTGTGGTGCAATAGTTCATTAAAGCCCTTCAAGCGCGGGTTTTCTCTGGGAAACTTCGGTGTCGTATTTCTCTCAGGAGACGGACAAAGAACTTGAGCATCTTGTTTGAGCTTTTCGGTATTGATATTTGCCAAGCCAAAATTTGGTTGAGTAGTAATTTGCTCTATTTTTCTTTTTTTGGCGGAGTCCCCATCACCATCCCTTGCAACTGATCGCTCTGCTGTTTTCGCGAGATGTTTCTGCCAGTTATTCTTCAATTTTGCCGTGTCAATACCTACAGCATCTTCAACACACATGCACTTTTTCGCCTGGGCACCAATTTCTAGCCAGCTTTCCAAGGCGAAATTGACAGATTCTGCTAGATTATAGCCGTAGTTGAAACCAGCGTGATAACCGTAAGGATAAGTGATAATAAACTCATGTTCATGGTGTACGATCTTGTTACAACGGATATTATTCTTTTCTAAGATTTTGGGGGACACGAAGAAAGTTTTATGCCTTAGAAATTCATCACATTTAGCTGCGTGCTCTGGAAACTGTTCTTGCATAAGTTTGTAAAATTTGTCGGCATCCTCTTGTGGAATGGCGTACCACTGCTTTGGAGCCCCGAAATGCAGATAGTTGATGGAATACAAATCCTGGTCTTCCAGATGCCAGGGAAACGCGGCCTTCCATAAACCTGCATACAAGTAGGAATCGTTCACACCCAATAGTCGTGTTTCCATGTGGTCCAGCAGATTGGGGAGCTTTGAAACATTCCAAGTTGTTAACGATTCATCGAAAAGGGACCCCGGGGTGTCTGCACCGTACATGGGAGGCGTAAAAGTGAGAGTTTTCCAGAAATAAGACTCCAGAAACGCGAGTCTCTCTGGATCGCGAAACTCTGTTAAGTTGTCGTAATTGTAATGCTGCTCAAAATTTTTGAAGTCCTCCAGTGTGAAGGATTCATGGTTTCTGAGTTTGATTTTGGACGATTTGGCCGGCGAAGGTGATTTCGCACGCTCGCCCGCGTCTCCGCCTGCCGCCGCGGCCGCTTCTTGTTCACCATTACCGTGTCCACCTTGAGACCCACGGTCCGGTAACCGATAGTCATACGAGAGGTCTTTCCATTGAATGATATTGTATGTTTTCGGTTTTTCCACGTTTTGTACCATAAAAACCCCCTTTGCGCCATGATAATGCTGCTGAATAGGCGTTTTTATCTTTATTTTCTGCAACGACTCAGCGCTAGGCGGTATCTGGAGCTTATCAAGCCATTCTGAAGGAGGTATGACTTTCACTATGCCCGACTGTTTCCCATATTTGTCAAGGGCACTTACGTACTGGTAAAAGTCCTTAAACACCTCAAAATCGGGCCGGAAAACCGGGATACCGTTCTCCCAACTGCTAGGTTCGCACATCAACCAGCGTTCTCGAGACCAACCGTCTGTAAATAGCTCTTTTGGGCTCTTCTTTCAAGAAGGTTGCAGATAGCTCATCTGCTTCCCCATGTGAATAGAGCATAATTGGGAACCCCTTAAAATTTTGCAGGTCATAGTATACGAGGAAACTACCTAAGACAAGATAGACAAAGACGAGCTCCCCACAGAGTTACGCCAGCAAAGGTCACACCTAAAACTTAGTCAACACATAATCGACAAAAATTGGCCGAGAATGAAGATGATCATTCAATTTGAAAGGATCAATTCTTCTTGAAGAAATCAAAATTGCCACTTTACTTTAGGCTCGATAAATCCGGGCTATTCTGATCGATATCATTATACACGTAGTGTTTTCACTCAACTTATACGCGAATTCAATTATACTCAGAAGTACGTTACTCTGTTCTCATATACGAGTACTCATTCGCGACTCACAAGTAGAAAAAAATAAGTAAGAGTAACATTATACGAAAGACTCAATAATTACTCAAGTAATCGTGGAAAACGACATGTCAGTTTTCGGATCATCTATTTGAACTCATGGAGGCATCGTGTTAGTAGTGTATAAAACCAAAAGGGCATCCAATCAACCTCTTTGAGACGCCTTCTGCGATTCGCGTTGTGCCAACTTGGTTTGGTGCATGCTCACAATTTGCAAGCGGGTTTTACACAACAAAGGCATGGCAAAAACGTTGAAACTCACGGGAGTGGAAACAGACATCTGTAAGCTGCTCAAAGACTACAGCGCCCAATACAATGCACATCGGTCGACGTTAGAGCCATTGACGTTGAGAATTACTGGTGGGTGGGTAAGGGACAAATTGCTCGGGTTTGCATCTCATGATCTGGACATCGCCGTCAACATCATGTCTGGAGAGCAGTTCGCAACTGGGTTGAGTCAGTACCTCACACAACACCACGATGATTTCGGGATTGTTCCCCATTCTATTCACAAGATCGACAAAAACCCCGAGAAATCTAAGCATCTGGAAACTGCCACCACTAAACTTTTTGGAATTGAAGTGGATTTTGTCAATCTGAGATCCGAAGAGTACACTGAGGATTCGAGAATACCAATTGTAGAATTTGGTACTCCAGAGCAAGATGCATTACGTCGTGATGCCACTTTGAATGCACTTTTTTACAATATACAAACCGAAACCATCGAAGATTTTACCGGAAGAGGGCTACGAGATTTGGAAAGCGGAACTCTCAGAACGCCATTACCACCACGTCAGACCTTTTTGGACGACCCGCTTAGGGTTCTTCGACTTATCAGGTTTGCATCAAGGCTAAATTTCACCATAGAAGAGAGAACTTTTGCCGAGATGGCAGATGACGAGATAAATCAAGCGTTTTTGGCCAAGATCTCGCGCGAACGAGTCGGAACGGAAATGCAAAAAATACTGCATGGACCTGATCCACTATTAGGACTCGAACTCATCCATAAGGCATGCTTGGAAAACGTCATTTTTTTTTGGCATAGCGATAACGCTATTATAGAACACAACCGAAAAGAAAGTAATATGAAACTTATAGATGCTGCTTACCAAAAGTTGCGTGCTCATATGCGAGTTGTTCTTGAGAAACTACCTGATTTGTTGACAAGATGTCCAGATTTGAAATTAAAATGGGAACAAGATTTGGAGTTTAGACAAACATTCATTTTGGGCGTGGTTCTAGCACCTTTCAAAGACATTGAAATAGTGTGGAATCCGAAAAAGACACATAATAAACTAGGTCCCATTGCTGACTATATCGTTAAAGAGGGATTGAAATTCGGCAAGGGTGATGCGGAACTGGTGTCAAAATGCGTGCAGTCTCAGCTGACATGGGAAAATCTTCTCAATAAGTATAAAGCGCTCAGCAGGTCAGAGATTGGACTTTTCCTAAGATCTTTCGAGGGTAATTGGGAAGCTGCCTTTTTCGTTAACCTTGCGCTTTCATTCTGTTTGCAGGAAAGCACTCTGCAAAGGTATCAACAACTTGTTGAGCACATTCGTTATCTACAGCTTCAAGACAGTTTTCAATTGAAACCCTTGATCGACGGCAAAAGTCTATCTAAGGCCTTAGGATGTAAACCAGGGCCGTGGATGAAAACAGTAATGAGTGAAATGATCGTATGGCAGCTTGATAATCCTCATGGCACCGAGGTTGATCTCCTTGAATACATCAAGGAAAGTGTATCTCTGAATCAATGACTTTAGTTTAAGTACGTTTATTAAAAATATTGCTTGATTTGTGTAATCAACTAATAAGAAGAAGAGACTTGTCTTAATGGTACGCTGGTTCATGCTGTGCTCATAATGTAATAATCAAAAAGTTGAAAGTCTACGAACGTTACCAATTTTGAAGGCCTTTATCGTTTTCTGCACCGCTTATCGACTGAGCAATCAAATCGATGTCATGCAAAATTCGGCTCGTAAAATTTCCATGGTTATGATTATCAATTGGAAAATGATTTTCATCCTGTGTGCCACTTCCCATGTTCAAATGGTTGAATGTCGTTATGGTGGAGGGCGAAGTGTCAAAATTAGATGTCACTGTTGCATTGTCACTTTGCAGGGGCCCCGAAAAATGGGATAGGGTAGCTGTATTTGCATCCATTAAAAACTCATGTTGAGGGTTAATAAATTCATCATTCGAAAGTCCTGTAAAAGAACTTTGGGCACCTTGACTATCGGTACGATGCTCATTTAAATTTTTATGATATAGATCCGGCCGGGAATTCTGATCAGCTGGAACCAAATTCGATTCCGCCGTTTGCAGACTTCTGTAAGACACCACTGAACTGTTGAGAGTTGACTGGGAGGCAGTCATTGCTGAAAAAATAGTACCGCTGCTGTCAAACTCTCCTTCCAATTCGCGAGTTGAAGTCGGTATTTCCCTGAGTGCTGGTTGATTGGGAATGAAGTCTGTCTCCTGCTCCTCAAACACATCGTTTTCCAAAGAGCTCTCCCTCTCTAAAGTAAGGAAATTCGCTCCCGGCTTCTCGATAGATGATATTCCACTGCTTAGGCTGTCTAAACAAGGAGTTGACGCCGAAGAATGAGCAGAGAGGGCACTTGAATAAACTCCAGTTCCAGTAGTCTGTAGCCTTTGAAGTTCCGATATAGATTCATTTTTTCTTCTATGACTGTTCCGATGCTTGGTATGTGAATCAAGATAAGTTTCAGTTTTGTAACCAACCTCCGATCCTAAATGGACCGGTGGCGGATGGTACGAAATTTCTCTTGACGCCCTGTTTGAGGTGGTCCTTAGAAGAGGCAGGTTTTTTGTAGGTGAGCCGGCTCTATTAGGCGAGTACCTATGAGCCATCGAAGAGACTGAATTTGTCGATAAATTTCTATGCAGAGACGACGAAACGTTACCAGAAGCATTGCTTGATATGAAGGAACCCATGGACCCGCCTGTGTTCGCTCTTTTTCTGGTAAACATTTTGCTAAATGCTATTGAGGCATCATTTTCGTCTCCAACACCCTTTTCAACAGTTCCAGCAGGTCGCAAGGCTGTCGTTGTGTTTTGTGAATTCCAATGAGGATTAGAGGCGAAATGCGAACCAGTTGGATCACCATTATTTTGATATTGATCCAAATAATGGTGATCGAATTCCTCGTCCTCTAAATTTTCTACTTGTGACGGATTCGCTCCATATCTCTGATTTTGAAATGCCATTTCCACTGAAGCCCTGCCAAAGTTGTTGACAAGGGACACATTCGAACTAATCGAGCGACGGAGCGCCGGACGTTGATTACCAGGTGATGGAGTAGATTTGGGGACCGTCTCTTGCGGAGAGGTTAGGTCAGTGGTGTACACCGCTGGCGAAGAGGCGTTCAATTTGCTGCACCTAAGAAACGACGCATAATTGCGCTTTGAAGTCGGGAAAGGAGGCGACGATACGTTGGAAGTAGAAGCATCGGTGCTGGAATTGGACCTTTCGAAAGTGTCAAAACTTTCAGAACTTTCACGCGACTCCTCATCAACGATGCTCGTGGATGAACCGAAAATCTTGAGCATTCGACTCCTGTGGGACTTTTTCTTTTTTAAAGTGGTAGTTTCGCTCGGCTTAGAGTCCTTGACGGTATAGTTTACGAACACCATCTCACCTTTTTTAGTCTTGCTCAAAGGGCCTTTTTTCGAGCCTTGACTGGAAGAGTCGTCAAGCTGAATTGGCCGAGGAGTCCGCATGATATTTATATTATTCCCGTCCTTCGTAGCGTCGGATGACGCAGAATTCTGCTTTTCAGACTTCGATGTGCCATTATTTGGGCTTGATCTACGGTAATAATGGGGAATTTTCCACTTCGTAACTGATTCAGCTGGCGCAGAAACGTCAGAAGAGCTCTTCGAGTCCTTGGAAAGAGTCCTAGAGTAGCGCATGAGCCTTGGAAAGGTAGTACAGCGCTCACAGGTGTTCAGAGTCCGGCTCCACTTGAATTGGGTTATGAGGTTTCCAGAGTCACGTGCTATTCTTTCCTTCCCTCTTCAACAAGGAGAATATTATGTCAGCAGTATTTTTAGGCGGGCCAGTCACGGCACGGCGTTAACGACAACGAAAGAACTTGTGAAAAGCCAAACACACACACGTCAGCGGTTGTTAATTGATGGATCCAAAAGTTAAAGGTATTGGCCAAAAGGCGTCCCCTAGAATATCTCTTCTAGTACTTCGCTGGTTGATTGAACAGGATTGATCGAGATACCAAATACAAATGGGAAAAGTGAAAGGATTTTGGACAGGAGTAGACCGGAGTAGCGAGGATTACGCCTTGAGAGACTTTCCGGCGGACCTGAACGTCTCTTGCCTTGGTTCAGAACGCACAGAAAGCTAGTATATGGCTTCTGGTGTGTGGTGGAAAGTGGAGATCAAAAAAAAATCAGGGCAAAAAATGGGTTCCGAAATTTGTAACGGTGGAACGATCTTTTCTAACGGTAGAAAAGTCATTTAATAGGTCGAGTAAGGGCTAAACAGCGACTTGGTAACTGACAATGCATTGGGGAAGGAGTTAAAAGAGAAGTTTTACCGGTTTTAAACGTAAATGTTTAGCTATATACTGGTCCATTCGAGTCTTGTTCGGATTTAAGTTTGTTTCCACAACGAAAATTGGACTCTATAGAGGGCCTAATAACTGTTGAGTAGAAAAAGTCGAATTACAAAAATCCGTTATATCGACTTACAAGAATGTTAGAAGGTTCTAGCTCTTGGTATTTACTTTTGAGTTGGGCTGAGCAGGTTTGAGCAGGCTATTGATGTGGCTTTTTTCTTTAATTGTGTAATTTTTACGACTCGTACTCTTATCGGGTTGATAGGCACATCGGCATCACGAACCGTCACGAACCGTCTCAAGATGCGAACGGGGCGACTAAAGTTGGTAAGAAATGGGTTTTTTGTTAATATACAAGCGTTATTCGCAAATTTTATCTACGCATGAGACTCTCAGCGCGTGTAACACCAGGCAAGTCGAGCGAGAGACGCGCGCGTTCAACGGAATATCTATTATCAAGTTCGTTTGACGACAGCATTTCTTGGCGAGTGCGCTCAAGAGATGGGCCGGATCTGCGGTGAAAATGACCAGGAGAGGTGTCAGAGCTTGGAATGAAATTCATTGGAATTTCCTCGGTGTAAACGGTGTCGCGAGACAAATTTGCATTGGCAACAGATCTTGAAAGTCCACCTTCTTCTAGTGTTTTGTCTTGTAGCAGGGCGGCGCGCGATCTGACAATCTTGGCTCTGTTAGGGTCTGTGGGGTCGTAGCCTTCTGGGTACCCATCGAATTGCCCCTGACTCCAGCATTCACGTATGATGTCAATGTCTCGTGGGAACACGATTTTCTGAATAACATCGTAGGTGAACCTCGGAAGCAAGCAGAATAAAATCCCCACGAAAAGAACAGCCCAGTAGGTTGGAGTGCCAAAGACATGAGCTGCGCTTTTGTAGAACTCACCGCTTGTCAAGGAACTAGACCAAATTCCAGTCCAGGCGTATACAACAATGCATGAGAGCGCGATGAACAGGCCCGAAAACCAATCCCAGCGGTATTGGTGAATGAGAACGTAAAGGTTACAGGAAATCGCAGCCACACTGGCAACCATTATCCCAACCCAATAGCGATGATCGAGACCCAAACCGTTTTGGGTAACCAAGCCTGTCTTTTGGTACACCAAGTAAGGGAAGAAGAAGCTGATCACAGACTGGTAGATGCCGTCAAGCATGTACCCCCAGAATTTCGTTTGATTCCATTCTCTTCTCAAAATACCAACGCGATAAAGCTGTGGTACAAGAACTGAAACAACATCATTTACATCTTGATCCAGGATTCCCATAAAAATGACCGGCAAAGACGTGAATGCTAAATTGTAAAACATCAAATAGGTGTATTCAAAAAGATATGCGCCATCATAATTGCTGTATACACCATACCAGAATAATGCCAGCGTGAAAATAACATTCTTGTAAAAGAAACTTGGAATCATTTCAGCCAAACGCTTATACGACCATCTCCCATGAACAAGAATTAATCTGGCCAAAAATCTGAATTGACCAACAGCATAATCTGATGACATGACAGCCTGTCTACCTTCCTCACCTGCTATTCCAACACCAACGTCAGCTGATTGAATCATGGCAACGTCATTGGAGCCATCGCCTATAGCCAACGTCATCACATCCAAGGACTCCTTCACCAGTTTTACGACAGCAGCCTTCTGAGCAGGTGACACTCTGCAGCATAACACAGCCTTGCAAAATTTGCAAAGAATCAAGAAACGGCGACTAATCTCTGGATCGCTGAGCGCCAGTTTTAGTGCGTCACCGTCAATTATCAGACCAAAGTTACCTTGTGGAGGTTCGTGTTGAGTCTTTGCATTCTCGAGTTCCTCCTGAGAGCCAGTAGCATTGAATTTCTCTCTCAAATATTTCTCGATGAGTGACGCCACGACGGCATATGGAGTAGATCCTTCAGCCTCAACATCTTCACCAACAGTTTTAATAATCAATAGCTCCATTTCATTGTTAAGGAGATTGCAAGAAAAACCAATGTTGATGGCTGTTTCGACTTTGTCACCGGTCAAGACCCACAGCTTAATACCGGCATCCGCTAGCAAAGCAATAGCGTCAGGCACTCCGTCTTGCAAGCGATCTTCGATTGCTGTTCCACCCAGCAAAACAAGCTCACGCTCTATGCTATCAGCCACGATCTCCAGTTCCTCTTCTCTTTCTGTCAACGAAGCTGCAGCAATCTCGTGCCTAGCATTCCACTCCTCATATTCGGGCCAAGAAAGTTCTCTTTGAGCAATGCACAATGTTCTTAACCCTTCAGTAGCATATTGTTCTAAATGTAAAGCTGTCTTCTCGAGTAGAGTCTCATCGTTCTCCTTGGCAGCCCTCTTAAGTCTCGAATAAATTACCGAATCCGCTCCTTTACAAATCAAAAGGGCCTTTGGACGTTCACCGGGGTCTGAACTAGGAATCTCAACAATACAACTCATCCGCTTCCTGCTCGAATTGAACTCCAGGACGTTTAAAATCTTGAATTCCTTTCTAATACCTTGCACCTCTATTATTACTCCTCTCTTGGTTCTTTCAACGAAAGCGAAACCTAAGTCTCGGGCGGTTGCCACAAGGGCGGCTTCATCGGGGGATTGAGCTTTTAGTTCAAGCTTATCAGGATCGTCTTTTGATTTTTCAGCAAGAACCGAATGGCACAGCGCAAGCGCTAACATGAAGTGCTCGTTACAACGCTTTTGGTATTCTCCGTTGACGCCATTCAAATCCTGTACAAATTCCTTAGACACAAATGTCAGTTCTTCAGGATAAAGTTGAGTATTCACACAGAGTTTCCCAAGTTCGTTAATCATGGTCTGCCTGTCCTCAGAAATAGCTTTACGCTCCTGTATCCCTTCCTCTTCCACGTCTATACCCTGACGCTTTCGAAGACCAGCCAAAGCTTCTGTGTAAGCTCTACCATAAGAGACTCCATTAACAGTACACTTTTTGAATTCCATGACATTCTGTGTTAAAGTTCCAGTTTTATCTGAAAAAATGTATTCAATTTGGCCTAGGTCGTCCGAAATATTCCACGTCTTCGGGGTACAAGGGTAGTCTAGCTTTTCGTAATACATTAAAACGTCACCATAGATGAAGGCTGCTTGAGCTGTTTTGATGATTTCAATGGAGATATAAAGCGAGATTGGAACCAAAGATTGATAAAGAATGACGGCAACCCAAAACGATACGATACCGTTAGCAGCTGGGGAGCCAGCAACAGCTCCAAACTCGAAAAACTGACGCGAGTTGTTTTTGGTTCTATAGTAGATACCATTGACCAATCCAGAGACAAAACATAAAACGAACAGCAGAACGAAATTCATGATAACGGAGAAGTTAAGTTCACGCGAAATTCTAGATTTCTTGTAAGGTGTTACACCAGTGTTAATCATAATTTTCGAATCATCACCTGTAAAGACAACAATCCCCATGGCCCATTTAGTATTTCTCAAGAAACAACCACGGAGTAATGTATTATTGATGTTGACAGGTTCGTTTTTCAATTGCCCATCACTGGAGTCAATCCATTTGAGGTTACCTTGATATGTGTACAAGTTTGCATGAGGTCCTTCACTTTCGACCCAAAATTTAGTTCTTGTAACGTCGCGTGAGTTTCTTATACGATGCGTACATCTCAAAGATTGACGAACTTTTAAATTTGTTTCACCATCCAAATTTTTAGTCTCGACATAACAGGCACCATCGGCGTCCGAGGTTGACAAAAGAACGATGTCCGCGGGTAATTCGTCGTTGTTGTGAATTCTCACGATGTCGCCCACTTTGACGTTCTTCCAGTAATCTTTGACAAATTTACAGTCATAACGTGGTTCCATGTTGCGGTCAACAACTGTGACTTCATCCGACGTTACTATTTGTCCGATATCATCGTAATCGAGGGAATCGCGTCCAAAATTACCCGAAGGTCTATAGCTGCCCATACTCTCTAAGGAATTACGCGGGGTCTTGTTCCTAGCTGCATGAAGCTCATGACGCTTACGTTGAGCTGCAGCACGTCTTCCCTTTTCAGTTAGATGAGCTTCGCAGAAATGAATAAACCGAAACAGTAACCTAGAATTGGCTTTTTTGAACTTTCTCCATGCCGAAACGTTGTCTTCTGAAACATTGCTATTGTGCATGCCACTGAGAATATGTGTAATAGTGTTATTGACTTCCATATCCAAGATGGTGCGTCGCGAATCTTCGACAGCATCTTTTATCGCTGTTAAAATCACAATCACGATCAATGGCACGGCCGAGAGACCTGGATTGGTCACACCGAAAATATCGAAAGCTCCTAAAATGATCATAACCAGAAAGTAGATGTTTGCAACGTTGTTAAACTGAAGAAAAATGTTTTTAGGGAGAAATGACAAGGGCGTGTATTTCGTTGTTCTGATTTTATTCCTCGCATAATGGGTGGCGGGTTTGCCCTCTTCATCAAGCATCGTTTCTGGAAGCTCCATATTGTAATAAATGGATCGCAGTTCTGACGCGCGATTCACGCCTAGTAAGTTATTTTCGTCATCAGAGTCGTTCTTCAAATGTCCTTCCTCGAAGGGGTTATGGAAATTTCTCTTAGCCCATCGCAGGGTCTTGGCCCTCCCGACCCGAGGTTTGCCCTTTTTATTTCGTTGAGTACCCCAACGCATCCTTTTGACCTCGTGCGCGGCATCATCTTCCACTGAATTTCCATTGCCATCCATATCAGCGTCCCGAAACTGAGCGGAACCACCAATTTTGGGCGTATTGGAAAAAGAGTGCATATCTGCATCGTCATCGTCAGTCTCGCGTGACAGTTCTTCGAATTCTAGCGGCTTGTCATCGTCTGCAAAAGCTATCTTATTGCCGTTTTTCTTCCGATCTAGACCTTGTTTTCTCAAAATGGAACCGCTCCGCGAGGCCGTCGATGGGGCCGACGACATCCCATTGCCGCTCGTCTCAAATACACTGTTGTCAATGGTGGTGTCGGTCGGCTCAAATTGAAATCGGTCGTGAAACGGCGATGCCGGAGATTGGTCGCTGCCCGCGCTACCACCGAATTTCGGCTTCCCGTGCGAACCCTCGCCACTCGACATGGTTATTAAAGGTTTCCGGATACTCGTGCCAGCGACTACACCTCAGAGAGCCCACTTCCTGTGAGTTCAATGTTAGATGTTTGTTGAAAAATTTCGCAACCGGCTATTTGTGAGCTCTAAGACAAGCACTATATTAGCTCTTTGGGAGCCGTTTTCGATGTATCTTAGAAAATTAACCTTCCAGACACGTTTGTAATATCCAATTGGACCTTAACAAGGCCTTCTTGTCTAGTTTGTGGCTGACTGGACTTTTCAGAATTGTTTATCCTTTGGTTCAAGAATTGAATGCTTACTGATGATCTTTAACAAAATGTGTTGTCGTTACATACGTCCAAGCCCAACTGATGGAAATTTCACCATAGGTAACCACCTGCTTAGTATCAAATGCGATCCAAGACGAAGCTAAGCCTAGTGAGGGATAGCCTTTAACATTGAAGCAAACGATTTAGTTTATGTCAAGGTAAATGGAGTTCTTCTGTAAATTTGCGGGCAATATTACTCTTAGTAAAAGACAGAAACTGTAATGAATACGCGTCTAAGTAACATTGGCGCCGACCCGAGGGCTCAAAATGTGTCTTTATTTGTCAGTTAGGTTTGGCGTAGCGCTTCGTCCATTCACGCGCAGTGGCAATAGCACCGTCTTCGTTCTGGATCCAGTCTTCTGCGACATCGTTCGCCAACGGGTCATTTGGATTAGGGCTGGCTAACAAGGCCTGGATGGAGAGCAGCACGGTCCTGATCTGTAAGGCGGGGGACCAGTTGGTCTTTAAAACGTCAAGACATATTCTGCCCAATCTGTCTATGTTGGGATGGTATATTTTGGTCAAAAACCGCACTTTAGGAGCCTCCATGGGGTAGTCGTCTGGCAGAAAAAGTTCCAAATGGAAAACGCCGTTCTCGTAGGGTGACTGCTGTGGACCCTCGATTGTGACCTGGAAATATCTAAGGTTGTCTTCGTGCGGCTCTGCTGTTATTCCAGGCACAGGGTCACTGACTAACCGCTCTGTCTCCTACACAAAAAAGATTGTTAGATTACCGTTCTAGCGTGACAGAAACGAAACTTTTAACACTTTCGCTTCGACACATTTGTTTAAACGCACATACTTTGATTATACGCTTGGGTAGAGATGCCATTTCTTGGGATTCAACAGTACTGACAGCGTAAAAATTGGAATCTCTTAATCACTAGAGCTGTTCGGGGTTTATCGTCTTACAAACAGACAGAGGCGTTTCCAAAATTGGGTACCGTTACCTTACGAAACATTGCACGTATGCAATGATATCGACAGATTCATGACAAAAACCAAGACTCTGATCAACTTTGTCAGACTGCAATTAATGAGAGTGAAGAAGGTCGATGTCAAATACTTTAGAGGAAATACAGAAGCAGATCAAATAAGGCATCCGCTGAAAACCAATACAACTGTAGCTCAATATTAAAACCTCAAAATGTAGAAAATATTAGATAAAAAACACATGATAAATCTGGGCCAACAAGAGGATGGACCCAAAACATTGAGAAGCGACGGAAACGGCCGCTTGAGAAGAATTCAATGATCCATGACATGTTCGAACACACTTGAAAGACGAGCCACAGTAATTGATTGAAAAGCGGAATCTGGTGTCCGCTGACATAGCCCGCGCTGAATTCTGCTCGATCATGGTAATGATAACAAAGAAAGATAAAAAAAAGATAGTATTATAATTTCCCACAATTTATTTAAAAAAAGAAGATGACAGGGACCCCGTCAGACAGCGCAGCTCATGGTTCTTCAGCTTACTCGGAGATTGGAGCGCTTTGAGCTTGACCTTGAGCCTCCTGATCTCTCTTGAAAGACTCAAAAGCGGCAAAAGCCTCCTTGAAATGCTGCTCGAACAACTCATCGTTCTCTAACAATGGAACAACTTCTTGAGGTGGCAAGTCCAAGATCATACCGGTGATCTTACCGGCAGCCTCTTCGTCTTCGGTCTTAGCAGAAACCTTCTTGTAAAGTTGCTCACCCAAAGCTTGTCTTTGCTTTTGGTGGAAGAATTGGTTGCCGTTTCTTGGATATCCACCTTGAGGACCCTGGGGCGGCATGCCGTACATTGGAGCACCAGGTCTACCGAATTGTTGTGGGGGGACGCCGTTCTTTGGCATACCACCCATGGCAGCCATCTGTTGAGGGTTTGGAGCACCGAATGGGACTCCTCTTGGTGGCATAACACCATAGAACATTGGTTGCATGAATTGTCCAGGCATACCGGCGGCAGCAGCAGCAGCAGCAGTAACCTGTTGGTATCTCATTTGGTTTCTGGCTTGAATCTGTTGAGCCAATTGCGAACGTCTCACGTCCTTTCTTTGAGCAATGGCAACGTATAGAGGCTTACCAGCAACAATTTGTTGATTCTTTTCGGTGATGGCCTTGGTGGCTTCCTCGGGAGCGGAAAAGCAGACAAATCCGAAACCCTTAGAGTTACCAGCATCGTCTCTCATAACTTTAACGGATGTGATGGTTCCAAAAGCGGAGAATTCCTCTTTCAATTTTTCATCGTCAATGCTGTCATCCAAGTTCTTGACAAACAAGTTGACACCTTGGTACTTGGCTAATTTCTCAAGTCTAGAAGCCTCGTATTGCTTCTTTAGATCTTGCAAACGCTCGTATTTCTTTTGAGCGCGCCCCACGTACAACTTCTGGCCCTTAAAGTCTTGGTCGTTCAATTCTTCGACGGCCTTAGCAGCACTGTTGTGGTCTTCGAAGTTAATGAAACCAAAACCTCTTGGCTTACCCTCGGCATCCCTCTCCATGACGGCAGAAGTGATCTTGCCATACTTGGTGAAAAGGTCTTCGAATTCCTCTTGGGTGGCCTCAGGGTCAATGTTCTTGACGTACACATTGGTGAATTGTCTCTTGGCTTCTTCCAACTTGGACTGACGGTCCTTCTTGGAGACGTGTTGAGCAACGTAAACTTCTTGACCGTTCAAGAGCATACCGTTAATGGCATCGATGGCTTCTCTGGCGGATTCATCGCTCTCAAAGTGAACGAAACCAAAACCTCTGGACTTGCCAGTTTCATCGACAGCGATCTTGCAGGACAAAATGTTGCCAAAGACAGAGAAGGTGTCGTGCAAAGCCTTGTTGTCGATAACCGGATGCAAATTCTTGATGAAAATGTTACCTGAACCCTTCTTTCTGAGCGATGGGTCGCGTTGAGACCACATGATACGGCAAGGTCTGCCCTTGATAGGTGTGTAGTTTAGCTTTTCGATCGCAGTTCTGCCGGCGTTATGGTCGTGAAAGTTGACGTACGCATATCCTAGCGAAGTCTTGGTGATGGCGTCGCGACAGACACGAATCGAGGCAACGGATCCGATTGGAGAGAAAATGTCGTATAACAAAGCCTCGGTCACCGAAGGGTCGAGCTCACCAACGTACAACGAAGCAGAGGAGGAGTCAACTTTAGCGCTTTCAGTAGACGTAGAGCTTGGCGCAGTCTGCTGGTCATCTTGGAGGTTCAATTGCTCCAACTGCTCAGCGGTCTTGTCAGTAATGTCAGACATTTTTTTTTCTGTTTTTTAAATAAAGTAGTGGGGAAAAGCTTTTTTTTGAGGGTTTTTTGATGTTTAGTTAAGGTCTGTACCAAAGTACTGTATCAGATGCCTTAAGTTCAAACGGTTGAGAGAGATCGAGTGAGTCTGGTAAGCTACTGTATTTAAACCGAGTTATAGAAACTGAGGTCTCATCGCTTGAAAATTTTTCACCACAAAAGGTTCGTCGAAAAGAAAAACCTAATGAGATGAGCTTTATACTTTGATACGGAGATGCTTTCGAATGGCAACGAACCTCTCGGTTCATCAGGTCACTAATCACGGATCATGGCGGACTGAACCATTACAGTTTAATGTGCTTGAGTTAGACTGAGTGTCATGGTTTGGTGAGTTGGCGAGTGAATTTATCTATTGGGGAGCAGAACTAGCCACAATCTTTTGGTACATGGCTTCCAATTTGGAGCTGTTCACCTCTGCCGGCCAAAATTGTGCGCTAAACGCCCACAAGGTTTTCTTGAATTTACCAGCAGGCTGTTTACTGGAGGATGATTTCTTAGACTCAATATGATCGCCAACAGTTTGCAGTTCTTTCTTGAGAATCTTGGCCCATTCTTTACGGTCAAGGCCCTTACCGCCGCGACTTAATCGTTGCAAAGACTTGCGCACTGGCTGCATTGTCTCTTTGCATTCTGTTTCCTCCATGTTATCGTAAGATTTATCGGTACCCATTTCTTTGGGGCCTTTGCCCTTAACGTTTCTGGGAGTTTGTGTGGATGCGGGCGGAGAACCATGCGCTGAATGTGAATTTGCGCTCTTTTTGAGCCTCTTCGTGTCGGGAGTCGAGCTTCTGCTGGAAGGAGAATTCTTCTTGACACGTTTTTTGGACGCACTTGACCCGTTCGGTGCAGAAGAGCTTACACCGTTCCCAGACACTCCGGAATTCATCTCGTCTTTGAGCACCGAGAACAGGTAATCAACACGACGCCCTAAGTGGACAGAACCCGGAACCTTCTTGACGCCGCCCTTTTTGTCACCGCTTGCGCCGTTCGCATTGGCCTGCGAATCGCTGAGAAACATTTTTTCCGTCAGGCCAAGAAATGGATCATCTCTTATCTGAGCCCAGGATCCATAGCCATATTTTTCCACTCCTACAAGCAGCCTCTCATCATCATCCTTCGTCCACTGACAGTTCCAGTTCTGAACCGGCTTTGGTGACTTATTCACGAATTTGAAAGCAAGAAAATCAGATGGATAATTGTTCTGTAGGAAGCTGTGCAAGAAGTGCATTTCGGCAGGACGATTGACAAGTATTTCCGCATTCAGTCCACGAGCGTCATAGAATTCAAAGAGAACAGCCCTTTTGTCCTTTCTTTTCGCAGCCAGCCTTGCTATTGGGGTACTTTTATCCTTGTCATCGTGTTCTGCGCCAGTGGCCTTCAGTTTGTCCTTGTAGGCTTGAACTTCCTTTTCTAGAGATTTCAGAGCTTCGTTGCGCTTAGTATCTTCTTCCTTGAAGACTTTTTTGGCAGCGGTCACCATTTCCCCATATATGGACTTGTATTTGTCGATAGATTTCACCGGCAACGACCCGTCTGCAATAAGCTCGTCAAATCTATCTTCCAATGATCCGAATTTGACAATTGCTTTGTACATCGCTCTAATTTCTCTTTCTCCAAATAGCTCTAAATCGTCTGCTTTTTCTCTTTTCCTACCTGAGCGGCTTCCTGCGGGCGAACTGTCATTAGGTGGAGCACTTCCTCCTCGCACACTATCCTTGATTTTATTGAGGGCATTATTTCTCCGGTTCATCATTTGTAGCTGTTCCTTGACATACTCTTCGTCCTGTCTTTTTTGCTCTTCGTCCTTTAGCTTTTTCAACTCTTCTTCCGGTATTATATCATCCCACTCGGCGTCAGCCTTGTAGTCGGTAACCTCGAACTGACGTAAAAATTCCTCACCGCCCAGATGAGATTCACCAATTTCCGGCGTGGTTACGTGGTCTTCCGCATGGTTCAAGACATCATCCAAATTAAGGTCTTCCAGTTTCTTTTGGTTGTCATTGGCTTTAAACATGTTCCCGGCTCCAAATTTCAAAATTTCCGAAAGCTCTCCAGCGGATGGTTCATTCTTTTTGCTTCTCGCGAGATTAGTACCATCTGTGACACCTAAAGATATGATTGCGTACTCCAAAATCATTTTTTTGCGCGCTCTTTCCAGAATTTCTTCCTCCACGGTGTCTTTGGAAACAAATCTATAAACCATGACATGTTTCTTTTGGCCAATACGATGGGCACGAGCCATTGCTTGAAGATCTGCTTGAGGGTTCCAGTCGGAGTCAAAAATGATCACGGTATCCGCTGTCATGAGATTGATGCCCAATCCACCCGCTCTTGTCGACAGCAGAAATACGAAGTCATTGGAATCAGCGGCGTTGAAATGATCGATGGATATCCTACGCTGAGCCGAGGGCACAGTACCATCTAATCGCTGGAAATTGACACCTTTGATGGTTAAATAGTCCCCCAATATGTCTAACATCCGTACCATTTGGGAGAAAATTAGAACACGATGACCATCCTTTTTCAGTCTCGTTAAAAGTTTATCAAGAAGTACCATTTTACCAGAAGACATAATGAGACCCCTAAGAACATTTTCTCGCGTCATTTTTCCGTCTCCAAATGTGGCCAAGACACGGTCTTCGGCGCTATCGAACAAGTAGGGGTGATTCGACGCTTTCTTCAATTCGTTCATGATATTGAGTAACGAAAAATGAGCCCCTTTCGAGCCAGCAGAAAGAGCAGTGTAGTTTTTAGTTAGAATATTTTTGTAGTAATCCGTTTGAACATCAGATAGTTCAACTCTCAAAATCCGCTCTGTCTTAGATGGAAGAGATTTCTCTACATCCTTTTTCAGACGCCGTAGAATAAAGGGTTGTAATCTCGTGTGGAGGTCTCTGATATATTGCTCTTGCTCTTCATCTTGATTTTCGAAATCAATTTCTTGATCAATTGTAAATCTGCCAGGCATCAAGAAATTTACCAGGGCTGCAAGTTCTTTGATATTATTCTGAAGGGGTGTACCGGTGATAAGTAGTCGATTCCCGACCTTGAAACTGTTGAGAGATTCGTATAGGGAAGACTCGGCATTTTTCAATCTGTGGGCTTCATCCACAGCTAAAAATTGCCATTTTATTGAACCTAACTCTGAGCAATCCTTCAAGATATACTCGTAGGTCGTAAGAAGAACATTGAATTTTGGATTCTTTTTGCCCTTGGCCATGGGATTGGTGTAAAATTCAGACTCTCTGATCGCATCTCGAGACTTCTGATTCCCCATATAATATATGCAATTTAGGTCAGGGGCCCATTTCTCGAATGTCTCTTGCCACGCGGGCATTGTCGATAAGGGCACCACGACCATGTGTGGTCCGTTTTGTCTTCTGGCATTAATAAGCCAACTAATGAAAGCGACGGTTTGAACCGTCTTACCTAAACCCATTTCATCAGCCAAGATCCCATTGTCATTTTTGGACCACAAAAATGCCATCCAATTTATACCCGTCAGCTGAAAATCCCTGAGCTCACCGCCCTTGATGAACGCAGGCTGTGAATTAAGCTTTTCGAAGCGGGGCCTCGACGTGCCGCAGAAATTAGAATTCTGTGGTAAGATCTTGGAGTTTACTCTGCTTTGAAAATGTTTAACTTGTTCTGGAGCCAGTTTAACGATTTCTGAGGCAACTTCCCAAGTAGCTTCGTCGTAGTTCAGTCGACGCCATTTTACAAGATATTGAAGTTGACTGGTCCCATCTTCTAAAGTTACTCTGTCACTGTCGATGACACGTTCGGGCTGCTTCAATTCTTCAAATTCATCCAACCGGCGCTCGTGCTCTATGTCCATGATTTCAATATCTTCTGCTGTTGAATAAGGATCTTCGCGAATTTGTTTATCTAAAATCACAAACTGCTTGATGTAATTATCAACCTTTTTCACGCCTCTTACATGTGTCAAATCCGCGTAGGATTCCCACGAATTATGCAAATGAGACTCATCGCTCCACTTTATGAGAAACTGGTACTCTTCTTTGCATGTAGGCATATCAGGAACACCTGGCTTAACGTCAACGCCTTCTTTCACTCTATGCGTAACCACCAAATCAACACCGCGCTCATTTTGCGACGCAGGCGTCGGTGTGTTCTCGTACGTCTCCAGGTCTTCATCATCTTCATCCAATTCTAGATCTGATTCCAGCAGATCTTCATCGGAATAGTCTATATTGTAATTGACAGTCTTGCTGTTTCTAGAAGAAAACCGCGTAGGTAATGAGACATCTTCTGAGCTACTTTTAGCCTTGGGCGCCTTTTGAGACTTTTTTTTCACCGCTTTTCTGGGTGCAGCGTAATAATCGTCGGCGTTTGGGTCGTCGTCATCATCATCTTCGTCCTCATCGTTCTCCTCGGGTTCAGTTTCATCCGAAAAGTCCCCATCTTCGTTCTTTGGCTGACGCGACCGTCTGTTCGTTACAACGTCGCCGTCGTCATCATCGGAAACATACCTTGGTTGTTGGCCTGAGCTTGCCCTTCCTGACCTTCTTAGGCCATAAAGTTCCGGGTTTCGCAAAACCTCACTAGAAATGTCTTTGGTAGCCATGCCAATACAACTAGATGTCCAAGCTTGATCAATGAATAGCTTGTCAAATTCTTTAAGACACGCGAAAAAACTGCAACGAAGCTAGAAACACGAACAAAGGTGACCCGGAGGTTTATAGACAGAAACTATAACCAGAAGTTTCGGACCCTAAAACAGTGTCGGTCTATGTCAACAGATCGTAAATTAATTGAAGCCGGTGATGTGGGCAGAAGGTTTTATGAGGATCGGGGTAGAAAATTTTTACAGAAAATATGTAAAACGTATGAGGGTAACTTACTTCCTAGACGCGATGACGGACGAGACCAATGGCATCTGTATCCGGCATTGAGCTTTCCTTGTGTATGTGTGCCCCGATAATTGTCTACTGATGGTGCCATCCCATGATCTCATATTATGCAATCACCAAGGAACAAATTTGGGAGTGTGCGCTGTTGTTCCTTATCAAACAATCTCAACTGAGGTGACCAACTATACGGATTCGTTGTCAAGAGCCATGTACCAAAAATTCAGCGTTTAATTCCCGATCCATTCGCTAAACTTTGAAAATCTTGGTGTATATGTTTTAGAAAATCCAAACACCTGTGCCACCGTCAACCTACAAAGCTTCAACGCGAAAGACTCTATAAGCCGCCTTCGGCTGAATAAGAAATCAAAAAAAGGTTCTTTTGTGTGACTTCTCATTCAAGCAGCCGGTGGGTGTGAGAAGCGGTAACGCGCCTTTACCGTAACGTGAAACTTTCACAATTTCAAGCACTACTCATTTAATGTATCACAGAAAGCTTGACCGCACCCGGGGCTCTTCACTTCACTGCAAAACAATAGCCAGTTGGTACCCTTGTTCCTCGAATCTGATCTGAACTTATGTTGTAGAAGAAATACGCCTTCTGTGAGCAAATTCAATTCCTTTCAGCAAAGCTTATGATTACAGAGCAAAGGTCTGCTCGACACTTCCCTGAGCTTGCCTCCAATACCTGACTTGAGACACTGGTTAGACCTGTACCAAAATTCCATAGTGACAAACCAGAGTTCCCTCGAGCCGTGGTTCATTTATTGTAAAACGTCCCGCGGCCAACTTTTGAGTAAATGGTCTCAATCCAACAAACGTGTGCTTGTACTTTTCCAAAAGTACGAAAAGGGCTCTTTTAGTCCCCACATGGCTTTTCCCTTGACCGAACAGATCCGAAATCTTTCAGTAAAGCATGAAGCCTCCCCACCGGCCGCATATAAAACTAATCTGAAATTCTTCGCAGATCACGATGGCAAATCTCAAGCAAGCGTAGTGGGACGTCATTACCTACCTTCTGGGGCCAACTTGAAGGTTTGAAATCTCATTCCAAGTGCATGTAGCAACTGCTGGAATTCTTTCAAGTCTTAGCAAATCATTGCAAGGCAAAATATCATGTGATTTCTCTATTCATTTTAACTCCCTCCACTACCATTCTTCCAAATGGTCTTGTCAAGTGCGAACATGAAGTACACAAAAGATTCGCCGAGTTCTGGCTCCTTTTATAGTCGTGATATTTTAGTCTGGGTAACTGCAATTTAATAATTCTCTCACGACAACAAGCAAAAGCTGAAAAATTTTTTTCAGCCAAACCTCATCTCAAGGCCAGGAAGGCGCTCAAAACCGAGAAGCGGAAGGATTTAGCTTGATCTTTTTCCATTGATTAGTGTCGGAGATGAGTGAAAGAAATACTCGTATTGCAATTGTCAGTGACGATAGATGTAAGCCGAAGAAATGTCGTCAAGAATGTAAAAGGTCGTGCCCGGTTGTCAAGACAGGTAAACTGTGTATCGAGGTTACACCTACGTCCAAGCTTGCATTTATTTCAGAAACCCTGTGTATTGGTTGTGGTATTTGTGTCAAGAAATGTCCATTTGACGCCATTCAAATTATCAATTTGCCCACAAATTTGGAAGCAGAGGTTACACACCGTTATTCTGCGAACAGTTTCAAACTTCACAGACTCCCTACGCCTCGTCCAGGCCAAGTTCTGGGTCTTGTGGGAACTAACGGTATCGGTAAGTCTACTGCGCTTAAAATTTTAGCCGGTAAGCAAAAACCCAACCTAGGTAGATACGATGATCCTCCAGAATGGCAGGAAATCATCAAGTATTTCCGTGGTTCTGAATTGCAAAACTACTTCACAAAGATGTTGGAAGATGACATTAAAGCAATCATTAAGCCTCAATACGTCGACAACCTGCCCCGTGCCATTAAAGGGTCGATTCAAAAAGTTGGTGAACTGTTAAAAGTTAGAATGGATCGTTCTGAAGACGAGGTAAAGAGCCTGATCAACGCTTTAGATCTTAAAAACCTTTTGAAAAGAGAAGTGTCGGCCCTCTCTGGTGGTGAGTTGCAAAGATTTGCCATTGCCATGTCCTGTGTTCAAAACGCCGATGTGTACATGTTCGATGAGCCATCGTCATATCTGGATGTTAAACAGCGTTTGAAGGCTGCATTGGTCATCAGATCTCTATTAGACCCCACCACGTATGTCATCTGTGTCGAGCACGATTTGTCCGTACTTGATTATCTGTCCGATTTCATCTGTATCCTTTACGGTGTTCCATCCGTGTACGGTGTTGTTACGTTACCATCTTCCGTAAGAGAAGGAATCAACATTTTCTTGGACGGTCATATTCCAAGTGAAAACATGAGGTTCAGAACTGAAGCGTTGCAATTTAGAATGGTCGACGCTCAAGATCCTATAGAGATTGACGCTACCCGTGGTTATGCCTACCCATCCATGCGTCGTACTCAAGGTGATTTCCGCTTATCGGTTGAAGAAGGTGAATTTTCCGATTCTGAAATTTTGGTCATGATGGGTGAGAATGGTACAGGTAAGACCACTTTAATCAAATTGCTCGCCGGCGCAATTGCAGCCGATGATGGCCAGAAAGTGCCGAAGCTTAACGTCTCTATGAAACCACAAACCATTGCCCCAAAATTCCCAGGTACGGTGAGACAGCTTTTTTTCAAGAGGATAAGAGCACAGTTTTTGAACCCACAGTTTCAGACAGATGTGGTAAAACCTCTCAAAATCGAAAGTATTCTTGACCAAGAAGTGCAGCACTTGTCCGGTGGTGAATTGCAAAGAGTTGCTATTGTTCTTTCTCTAGGTCTTCCCGCTGACATTTACCTAATTGACGAACCTTCCGCCTACCTTGACTCCGAACAGCGTATCATTTGTTCCAAGGTTATTAGGAGATTTATCCTGCATAACAAGAAAACGGCATTCATAGTCGAGCACGATTTCATCATGGCAACATATTTGGCCGACAAAGTCATTGTTTTTGAGGGTACTCCCTCTAAGGACGCCCACGCAAGATCTCCAGAGAGCTTGCTAACCGGCTGTAACAGGTTTTTGAAGAATTTGAATGTGACGTTCAGAAGAGATCCAAACTCTTTCAGACCCAGAATTAACAAACTCGATTCCCAAATGGACAAAGAGCAAAAATTGTCTGGTAACTACTTTTTCTTGGATAGTACTGGTGTTTAAACCCTTCACCCTATAACGATTGTACCATAAGAATGCGCCCATTATTTATTTTGCCTTTAAATAATTAATTGTGATTATCAAGGTTGATGATGATCAGGCTTCACCGACACCCTAAATTTGGTTAATTGATGAGCCTAAATATACCTGCTTTTAACAACATTTAAGTCCCTGACTCACCTTTCAGAACCACTTTTAAATTTTGTCTTACCGAACAATTAGTCTACTCAAAAACCATGCGTCTGCATAGAAAGAGATCAACAGAAAGTTCACTATTTTTAATAAACGACTCCATTTTGGCCAGCATTTCAAAGCTTCTCTCACCATGGCAGTGGTAGCAATGTACTGAGTGGGTTTTGGAAATCAAATAGTCGAAGTGCCCGAATTACTTTTTTTGAAGCCATCATATGCAGTCAATGTCGATAATTCGCTTTGCAAAAGATGGCTTCAATGAGCTACAAAATACTTTAAAATACCACTAAATATTAATCAAAATGATCTCTGAAGGAGCAGCAACTGCCCTGGCTACGGTTGGAACAGTATGCTGGTGTGTGCAGCTTATCCCTCAAATCATTTACAATTATCGTCTTAAAAATTGCGAAGGTCTACCCCCCATTATGCTTTTGGCATGGGTAGTGTCAGGGATTCCGTTTGCCATTTATTTCTTGATAACGAAAGGTAACATTATTTTGCAAATTCAGCCGCATTTGTTTATGCTATTCTGCGGGATCAGTTTCATTCAGACCCTGTACTATCCTCCAGTGAGTTGGAGCCCAATCAGAATCATGTACGTCATAGCGGCGATCATAGTTGTTGATATACCGTTAGAGGTGGGATTTACCTTGTGGCTTCGGCCTCTCTACTCTCGTGGGATCCACTGGCCTGCTTTGATCATTGGTGTGATAGCTTCAGTGCTTCTGGCGTTGGGTCTCATTCCGCCTTATTTTGAGCTGGCCAAGCGACAGGGCAAAGTTGTCGGGATAAACTTCATCTTTTTGTTCATCGACTCCTTGGGAGCCTGGCTTTCGATCGTCAGTGTGATTTTGGGGAACATGGATATCATGGGTATTGTGCTGTACAGTGTCGTCGCGGTCATGGAACTTGGCATTTTTGCATCGCATTTTATATGGTGCTGTCGATTCAAATGGTTCAGCAGAGAGACCAAAGTCCATGACCAAGAGGATCAGATTTCTGTGGTTCAATCAGAGAAAACTATCGACAACAACAACTTTGAAAAGCCCTACGAAGAGCAGACGGAGGACTAATGTTGTAGATTTTCGCCTAGGAAGCTTGCTAGGTTTAGTCCGGGAGATAATCAAAACAAGCACCGACTGGCTCCTCAAGCTCGCATATTTGCCATTAGTTTACTGAGTTGACTAAAAGGCGCCCGAAGGCTACATAAACTTTTGCAGAGCTCGTCTGCAATAAGAAACATGTTTTCATCCTGCGCAGATCCTTCTTTGGTAAAGCAATCAACTGTTATTGTACTTGATTGATCACGGACTAATTGACATAGGGTTTAAGAGGTTGAAGTGATCGATGGTTCACCCCGCTCATTTCATCGACTAATTCGACTGGTCATATTACATATAGACCGATAAAGACTTCAACATTCATCTTGATATGAGAATCAGTTGCTTATCGAGATCTCACTACATTTAAATGGCATATTCTGTTTTATATAGTGATCTAACTCCCTCATTGCATTCAATGGTGATTTTCAGATTTTGACGAAAAACTCACCTCCAGCTCTACGATCAGAGCAATGAGGAAGAAGGTGGAAAGATGGTAAGATTGACTGAGGAATACTTTGACCTGGTCCGCGAAGCTGTGAGAGAGGATCAGAGTACGAAACGGCCCAAAAAAAGACGGAGAACAAGAGCCTCTGCTGCCCTAAAAGTCGAAAATCAGACGCCCGCTATGATTATACAAATAGATTCAGATGATAATAAGAACAATGTCAGTAGTGATGAAGAAAGCTATGCGATTGGCGAGACTAAGCATGAAGATGATGATAATGAGCAATTTTCGACGTCTAATGATGACTACGCGTCCGATGACTTTGAAGACGTTCGCTTTGAAGATGTTCAATCCGAAGGCAATGGTAATATCTCGCTGACATTGCAACCTCAGAAACCGGAACGGAAACAGCGGTCTTCCAATGTTGTTTCTTATGAAGAGAAGAAGTTCCGACGTTTTTTTCATTGTTTTCACCTGTTGTGCTTGCTAACACATTGCTATGTGAGAAACGAATGGCTTAATGATCCAAAATTGCATAAAAAGCTGGCGAAACTGGTCCCGGACGACGTATTTGATCTACTACATCCTCAAAAGGATGAAGAGTTGCCTTTGAGAAGCACAAGAAAGCTACTAGACGGACTGAAAAAGTGCATGGAAATATGGGATAAACATTTTAAGCACAGAATAAACTCAACAAATGATCTTTACATGATCCAATGGTTTGATTTAGATGGTCCTTGGGAGCAGCCCAAACATTTTGAAACTCAAGGTCGATTTAATAAAGCAGTACTTGTGGGTCAAGGAAGTAATTATGTGAGTGCTCAAGGTTTCGTCGCCATGTTGAGGGCCTGTGGAGTGAACGCGAGACTTGTTTTCAACCCTCAGCCACCTGATTTTACGGATAATAAACCAGTACTAGCTGAAAAGATTGAGGAAGAGCCCAAGGACCCACGGAAGGAGCGTAAGGAGGAAGACAACACTCCGATTTTGCGACGACACAAGAAGCCGAAAAAGAAAGGCAAAATTGACGAAGCCATAGTATATCCAATCTTTTGGTGCGAAGTGTGGGATAAAATCTCCAAAAAATGGATTACCATAGACCCCGTTTGTCAAAAAGTTATTGAGCAGATACGTAACAGGTCTAAACTAGAACCGCAAGGCAAAGGACGTCATAATAACGTCATGAGGTATGTTTTGGGTTTTGACAGAAAAAAGGGCTGTCGCGATGTTACCAGAAGGTATGCTGCCCACTTCAACGGCAAAAATCGAAAACGATTTATTCGAAGGGAAGCAAGTGGCGAGGAATGGTATACTCGAGTTATTTCGTATTTGCATCAGCGGAAACGAACTAAGATCGACGACTACGAAGATGAGTATTTCCGTTTCAAAGACGAATCTGAAGGCATACCTGATAACGTGCAGGACCTGAAAAGTCACCCATATTACGTCCTGGAAAATAATCTAAAGATGAATGAAGCCCTGAAACCTGGATGCAAAGAATGTGGCTTCCTGAAAATGAAGAATTCGACTTCTTCACTGAAAGTCTATTCAAGAAAAGATATCTGGACTCTTAAAAGCGCGAGGGCTTGGTATAACGAAGGGCGCACCTTGATACTTGGAGCCAGAGGCGCAAAGACTATAAAATCGAAAGATTTCAGAACTGGGGAGAGTACAGAGGAAAAGCTATACCCTTTTGAGCAAACGGAACAATTTAAGCCTCCCCCATTAGGTGAAGATGATGAGGTACCCAAAAATGCCTACGGCAACATAGACATCTACGTCCCATTCATGATACCCGCCGGCGCTTGTCTTATTGAGAGTCCCGTTGCGATCAAAGCTGCGTCTCGTGCGGGCGTTCCATTTGCAAAGGCTGTGACTGGCTTTAAATTCGAAAGACATCGCATTGCCAAACCTCAAATCACGGGAGTGGTAGTAGCTCTCAAGTACAGAGAAGCCTTGGAAGCCGTCATCGATGGTATTGAGTTCTCACAAGAAGAAGAGAAAAAACAAGATTTCGAACTAGACGTTCTCAGACAGTGGAGTTTATTGTTGACAAAGTTGCGCATTAAAAATAGACTGAATGTTGCTCACGGTCGCGTTCAAGATAGGGATAGAGAGAGTATATGGGATGAAGGAGAGCAGTCAGAGGAAGAAGATGAAGACGTTTCTATGCATGAAACAGAAGCGGGGGGATTCCTTCCTACAGAGGGCTCTGTGCCTATTTCTGAAGGTGGCGGGTTCATGCAGGAAGCCGAATATATTTCAAGAGGCGCTGATGATGCTCAGGCAGCAGAGGTTTTTGATGAAGAAGATAACGACGTTCCGCCGCAAGTTGATATTAGCACATTTGAAAAGACATCTTTCAACGCGGAAGATGAACCACAAGAAATGACGGCAAGTGATCAAAAGGTTGATGGAAATGAGGAACAAGTGGCTGAGGACTATGAAGACTTTATGAAGGAGTTCGGAGAGGGCAGTGATGATAATTCGGACTGGAAGTTAGATCAAGAAACAAAATCTGCGTTCGATGACGAATTTGATTATGAATCGGGATGATAAGAACCTCATGGGCTCATTTAAGGAAGGAAAGGCACCTCATCGATAAGTTCATATGAGAATTTGGAATGAATCTGCCTATAAATTTTTTTGAGAGTGTCACTTATAATTGAAAGACAGACCCACACCGGCAGAAAAATCGTTTCTAAACTATGAAACAGAAGGCACGTGGATTGCGGAAGAATGTCATGCAAGCGTGAAGTTAACGAATTTAACGAAATCCACAAAATTAATGATAAAATCAATATCTTCGTCGCTCCAGTATGATATTGTATTCACGTGACTTGAACGTGACCTGTATTATCTCCATATAAAATTACACTTCCGAAATGAAATATGGAAAAAAGTGTTGATGGATGATGGACTTGATCAACTCAACTGAAATCCGAAACGAGTTCGTCAATGAGCTTCCTGGCCAAGCTATCTCAGCTCAAGAAGAATGCAGTGAAACCCACCAGTAGCGGTGTAAGCAAAGAGAATAATAGGCCAAAAACAGACGACTATGTAAGGGACAACAACTCACGTCTTCCTGCGAACTATGTTAGAGAGGAAGATCCAGCAGTGAGACGATTGAAAGAGATTAGAAGAAAAGAGCAGATCAAAAAGGGAGAGATCCTGAAAAAGCCGCCCAAGACTAGCGGTGCGAGTCGGAAAAAGAAGGATGAGGACATGGTAATGACAGAAACGAAGTTCAAAAAGAAACCTGGAGAGTCAGTGCGACGTAAGCCGCAGAATGTGTCTCCCAGGCTGCCCCTGAAAAAATTCAGTTTTGAAGAGTTGATGAGGCAGGCAGATAAGCAGGCAAAAGATGGCCAGAAGGTCAAGAATAACGGCCACAACGGAGCGGAAAATACCTCCACCAAGAAACCAGGGTCACAACTACACAAACCTGGTTTTAAACAACGTAGAGCTCAAAAACCCGATAAATTACTCCGGAAGGCAGTGACTCCTAAAAAACCGCCACCACCGCCCAGCAAAGTGGCCATAACGACTTCCATCGCCAAACCGAATGAGAAGTTGCAAAAAAGACTTCATGCTCTTAAAGAGAAGCGTAGGGCGAACTATGGACATGGGGATGGTGATGAGGACGAAGGTCTAGACGATTTTATCGAAGATGATGAAGAAGTCGATTACGATCGCGAAGAAATTTGGGCGATGTTCAACAAAGGTGGCAGAAAGAGGCAGTATGCATATAGTGATGATGAATCGGATGATATGGAAGCCAACGAGTGGGAAATTCTCCAGGAAGAGGAACACGCGAGTAAGATGGCCAAATTGGAAGATAAGAAAGAGGAAGCATGGCTCAAAGAGCATGAAAAGTTGAAGAAAGAGAGGCTCGGTAAAGGACGTTAATAGAAATCAAACGAGATTTGAATGCTAGTGGAAATGTAATATTGAATGAATTAAGTAATAACAAGAGTTTAAAACGACGCAATGATGCGAGTATAGCTGTCAAAGAAAGAGCTCGACCAACCCATAACATACGCTGCAAGTTACCAAGAAGAAGAGTAAAAAGCAGCTTATGTAATGCCACCACGGCGCCATTTCGAAACGACTGAATAGAAGCAATAGGCTGGTACAAGTCAAAGTGAAAGAAGTCGCAAGGGAAATTATGGTTACCGCTACCAGCGCGCCACCATTGTCTAGTTGCGTCCCAGTGTCATCTAGCATGCGGAATAGCGAAATCAAGACTCCGCAGGCAACACCAGAAGTCACACAAGACACAAGCATGGTGGACAAATATAGGAAAGATAACACTTGATCATGCTGATATTCGAACACAGATTGAGTGTCTAGCAAGGATGCCTCAATTCTTCTATAGTCAGCACTGAGGTCATTATCGTTACTTTCTTCTGGAGTCGTATTAAAGCTGCTTACCGACCCTTGAGAGTAAAACGCGTGTCTTTTGGAGAGCAAGTATTCTCGTTCCTGAGATGCACATCCGAAAAAGCCGTTGATGTGCTGGAAGACGTTGTAAGCAGTCTTGACGAGTCTTTTATTCAAAACAATTAGTTCTCCGCCAGTTCCTCTCCCCAGCTCCAAATCGTTGTTGGTGTAGAACCCATCTTCGTCTGCATTCTCATCTGGGTCGTCAAATTCATTCCAATATCGAATAATATTAGCTTTGTCTGGAGGAGGTGCGAGGCTTTGTCTTTTTTTCTTGTTCATGATGGAAGGGAGCGCTCGATTTGACTTTTCAACTTGGAAGTAGTCTTCCATAAGTACATGGCCCAAGTCAAAGAGAGCCGCTACGTCTCTGGCAGTGTGTGAATCGTCGAAATATTTTACAAAACTTTTCTTGATATCCTGCGAGTCCCTCAGTTCATATGCCAAACGCCAAAGGGTCGAATTGTAATCCAAGGGATAACATAACAATTTCTTGTCCAAAATTTCTTTTATGACGGAACAGGTTACTAGGTCTTCATCGGCGGCCGGGTGTGCACTGGAATGAGTCGAAACAGTCCTTATCTCCATGTGACATGTTGGCAACAACAGCGTTCTGTCCAAAGTGATGTCTTCCTCGACAGAAATCAAATAGGTCATATTTCCGACCGATTTCATGAATCTAGTTCTTTTCAAAAGAATTAGAGGCTTAATGGCCTTTTTTTTGCGGGTAAAAATCCATTCCAAGCATAGTTTATCAAGGGGTGCTAATGCAAGATTTGACGGCAATTCATTGTCGTGCTGCTCGTGTCCATGGTATATGAAATTTGACACCAATCTTAAAGGAATGCTTTCGGTGGTAACATGGTCTCTGAGTCCACCCACATGGCAATTCAGCGCGCAACGATTAGGTTTTTGACCGTGAATTATCATGTTGGGGAATTGATTGATGGCGTTATCGCGAACGAAACCCGGTGGTTCACTGGACTCTAGCATTGTGAGAGCAATGGGTAAATTAGGCTTTTTATTTTGCAACGGAGTGTTTTGTTTTTGGTTCATGGCTTGTTGCAGATCCTGAAACGACTTGACAGGCTTGACTAATTTGGGATCGACTTGTCCTCTGGGTGAGATGTCGGGAGAACCGGTGCTGTCGATGATTTGCCGGGACGCAGAGATGTTTTCCTCGTCAACGACGTGGAATCCAAGCGAAACGAGGGCAAATTTCAATTCTGCGACGCTCTGTTCGGAGACGAGAAGCGCCTGTAGTCGAGACGAAAGTCCGGCGAAAACGGTATCAAATTTCAATGCAGTGGTGATGGAACCGGCGTTCGACGCGACGGAAAGTCCACGCGACGCACCGGAAAACCCATTATCCTCTGAAGCAGACGCAGACGAATTCCGCTCGTAGTTCGAGTCCTGGCCCATATCTTGAAGAACGTCCATAACCAACGAGATCTCAAGCAGGTAAGGATCGAGGTCCACCGTGGTGAACGAGACGCCTTCATGGCCCTCTGTGAGCTCAGGACACTCGGTAACCTCGCTGATAAACGCTTGTGCGGCGTCATCGCCGTACGGATAGTGTTTTCTGAACTTTTTGAGCAGCTTGCGGACCGCGATTTTCTGCAAGATGAGGAAACGGGAAACTTTGAGCAAATCTGCATTGCAATGCTCGAGATGCGACGTAATGAGACGCAACTGGCGCGCTCGCCGCTGCTTGTTGGAGCCCGATTGGCGGTCAAGCTCTAGGGTCTGGCGCTGGAGTTTTAAAATCGAGGATTCGACAGAGACAAGTCGGGTGGAGATTTCTTTGATTTTCATGCTAACGAAGAGGTTGACACCACGGAATTGATGACGGAATTGTTGTTTGAGCTGGGCGAGTTGTGCGGGCTGGGCGTTGGACTCTATGGATCCTGTAGACCCCAAGGGGTCCATGGCGTCGAGAGATTGCCCTACGCCTCCGGAACCCCTATCAGCCTTCTGAGTAGTCACACGTCGAATTCCCTTCTTTAGCGCATCGTAGTCGATGTTATTGATACGCCATTCAGGCACAGACTGGTCCAGGATCTGGAGTCCGAACTTCATACGAGGTACGGTTCGTGGTAGCTTCTTTTCAGGTAAATGCTTTCAGGGAGGTGTAACGTAATCAGGAGGCTTCCCAGGAGGAGAAAAGTACACTTGAAAAAACGGCTCGTATCTATACTACAACGTTATGCGTCAGGGCTTAACGGCACGGCTCGGGTCTTGGTAAACACGATGCCAGAGGAGCTAATGATACAGAGGTTTCCTATGACTACCGGGCATGCGCAGACCCGGCTAGGGACTCCAATTTGAGTTTTTCCATATTACTATTTTTTTCACGTGTCATTTTCCGTATAGTGGCAGGCAAGCGAACCCAGTGCGCGGCAGGCACAAAAAGCCTTTCATGACAATGAGTGGGTGCCGCCTGCGTGGGTGTACGGCCCCTGTGTGGCCCCGCGTAGTTCATAGTCCGGCGAGCAGTGGCCCCCCAACGGGTCCGCTTGCGGGCCCGCAAGCGGGCCCGCCCGGGGACCCGACACTTACCCCCTAATTTGCGCCATATTTGGCCCCAGGGCGGCCCGGCCTCTTCCGGGCCGCCCTACCGCCGCCGGAAGTGCCGGCAGCGTTCACCCAGGCCGTCGGTTTCTCCCGGGCGCTTGTCAGGAGTCAGCTTGCAAAATAAAGTGACTCCCCCACGTGGACCCCGCGCCAAGAAACCCGCGCGACGACGATCGCTGCGGCATTGTCTGGCGCGCATGTGAAGGGCACCTGCATGATGCCAAGGGCTCGACGCCACACTTATGCGCAGTTACATAAGCATCGACTCCTGTAGGCAAACAACCGGCAGAACATCAGCACCACTTTGGGCAATGGACGGCGAGCGGTTGTGAATTGGTCCAAGTTTCTGTATACGAATTCACATGAAAATAGTTGTCTTCCATGGCAAGTTCATCGCCTTCACTTCCGAATGTTGACTTTTACGAACAAAAAATGAAACGGTACAAAAAACAAGACTACACAGAGATCACTACGTAGCATACACCTACGAGATATGGCAAGTAGATGAGTGACAACAGGGGAAGGTGACTGAGTAATTGTGTAGAACACGCTAGCCTTGGTAAAATAGCCGCCGATGAAAGCACGTGACCCTCCTTCAAACTACTCATTGTTCACGGCCGGGACGCGAGTGAGGCTACACACGTGACCTCATTTCCGTCAAGCGCGATATCACATCGCCCCCAGCCTTTGTCCACCCATGCACCCACTACTTGCCTCCCGCCCAGGGGCAACCCAACAGGCGCAAGGGGTGTTGACGCCCAGCGTCAGGGGCGCCCCTTGAGGCGGACCCCCGAGCGCAAAGTTCAAAGCGATAGAAAAATAAATAACGCGTCACTATAAATACCGACGGGCGTTTTGTTGACCGCGCTTTACTCCTGTGTACATCTTTTGGGGCCTCTCCAGTAACGTTTAGTTCGCCTGAAAGTGGACACAGGTTACACGACTCACAGAGTGGCCGATAAGAATATCGGCACTGCAATCACAGCGCACACAGACTAGCACACAAATGGTTGGCGGAATTTTCGGCGGATTTTTGCTGGGCAAAATGCCGCGTTGGCGCAGCCGCGCGGGCAAAGACAAACAGCCACATCTGTACACGCTCGAGACGGACGACGATTATGTGTTTGTTTCGAGGGACGCAAAGACGACAGACTTGGCGCCCGACAGAGACCGCGACAATCGCGATCACGTGACCGGCACAATCGCGCCTTACGCGGAAAGCGCTGACGAGGTTGACGTAAGCGCCTGGGAAATGGCACGGACCGCGGCTGCGGCCCGGCAGGGTGCCGGTGTGCACTCGCCTTATGCGACAGTCTCAAACGTAGCACGGGTGCCGCAAGGCGCGCGTCAGGCGCGCCTTGCTGCCAAGCTTGAGACCATTCGTCGCTCGGGACACAAGTCGTCACGGGCACCGTCGTCGCCGTCACGTGACTTACACGTGACGCATTACAACGACACGTCCCTTGACGAAGAGCTCGAGCCCCTGTACGACGACAAGCTAAATCGGCGGTTGAAGGTCCAGAATAGACGGCTACACCTGGGCGCGCGGTAGCCCACGAAAGCGGGCCGAATAAAAAAAAGAAAGCAACAGGTATAAAACGCAGGATAATAACAGAGAAAGATATATATAACAATATAAGCTAGCAAGCGATAGTACCTACTCCGTGCAACGCACGCTGTCAGATGAGAGAGAAGTACGTAACAATATGGGTTAACAAGTGAGACTTCGTGAGAAAGGAGGTGTACCAGGCTTACCGTACAAAGTGCGGTAAGCATGGTAGACTCGTAGAAAAAGACATATCTCACGAAATGCGTGGGTTTCGCGTCCATCTCTCCGTCAATAGTGACTATAAGTTTCCTGCTGCCCCTCGCCTCGTTGGCCGCCATGCCCTTTGAGTATAAAAGCAAGCCATTCTAAGATGGCATAAGAGAAGGCGTACGAGATGCCCCTGTATAACTTTACAAAAACCGACTCTGTATAAATAGAGGGGCAGCTTTGAATCCCAAGGGTTTCCTTCAGTTCATTCATTTCAACCGTTCCATTCGTTTCCCATTATGAGAACATCCGCTGTTCTCGCGGGTCTTGCAGCAGGCGCAAACGCATTTGTGTTGCCTGGCCAATACTCGTTCCAAATTTTCCCTGTTGAAGCTCTGGATGCTGGGGCGAGTCTGTGGCCACATTTGCCTTATTTCTTGAAACATCCAGTCGATCCTATCAAGTTTCAGGACGATGTACAGCTCGACGAGCTCAATTCGACCGCGTGGGACCTTTTTGACGTTGCTGGAACGTCTAATTCGTCGTATGGCCATCCAACGCGTGTTATAGGGTCACCGGGTCACTGGAACACACTCAAGTACATCTACAAGCAATTCGACGAGCTCAGAGACTATTACGACGTGTACAGTCAAACGTTCAAAGCCCTGAGCGGTGAAGTGCTATCCTACAATCTTTCGTTCCAAAACGGGTCTCAGGTGCCTACAGCTGAGGCTTTTAGTCTGTCGCCTCCTGTTGAGCCCTTCACGGGTCCACTAGTCGAGATTCCCAACTTGGGCTGCTCCGAACGCGATTTTGAAGCTGTCACGGTGCCCAAAAACGCAATCGCTTTAATCGAAAGAGGTGAGTGCCCGTTTGGCAAGAAGTCCAAACTCGCGGGTAAATTCGGTTTCAAAGCCGTTGTCGTGTTCGACAATGACCCACACTCCGAAAAGGGTGTCACAGGAACCCTGTCCAAACCAACCAAGCATACCGTTTCCACCATTGGAGTTTCTTACACAGTTGGTCAAAGGCTGATTGCGGATATCTTGCTTCACAAATTGATCAACAAACCTTTTCAATTGGAATTCTACATGGACTCCTATGTCAAGGAAATTAAGACTCAGAACATTATTGCTGACACCAAGCACGGTGACCCCGAGAACATCGTGGCTCTAGGTGCTCATACCGACTCAGTCGCTGCGGGCCCCGGTATCAACGACGATGGTTCGGGAACTATTTCTTTGCTTACAGTGGCCAAACACTTGTCGAAGTACAAGATTAACAACAAAGTCCGTTTCGCGTTCTGGTCTGCAGAGGAAGAGGGCTTGTTGGGATCAACTTACTACGTCGAACAATTGTCTCCTGAAGAAAACTCCAAAATCAGACTTTTTATGGACTACGACATGATGGCCTCTCCAAATTACCAGTATCAAGTTTACGATGCTAACAACAAGGTGAACCCTAACGGCTCTGAAGAGTTGAAGAATCTCTACATCGACTACTACAAGAGCCACAACCTCAGCTACACCATGATTCCTTTCGACGGAAGATCCGACTACGTTGCTTTTATCGAAAATGGTATTCCAGGCGGCGGAATTGCTACAGGCGCCGAGGGTCTTAACACTGACAATGGTAAGGTTTTGGACCACTGCTATCATGAACGTTGTGATGACGTCTCGAATATTGCGTGGGATGCCTTCCTCGTGAACACCAAGCTCATTGCTTATTCGGTCGCGACGTTTGCGCACTCTCTGGAGGACTTCCCCGCGAGAACGAACTCTACACTCTCCATGACAGGTTCAACTCAAAACTCAAACTTTGATTATAGAGGTCCTCAATTGGTCTTGTAATACACTCCAGTGACCGATTTATCACATGAGGAAGAGTTTTGAAATAAAAAGTACTGTGAACAAGAGTTCCCTTTACTCGAGCTTTGACGATTTTTCCTTAAATGTATAACAAGACAAGTAATTAAAATTGAAATTGGAAATTCCATGAACCGCCTCCCTGTCCAAAGGGCCCATTCCCAAGCACATGGCCTTTCTCGTTTCGATGCATATCGTATTCTCTTCTTTTATCATTGTCCCCCAGAATTTCGTAGGCCTCATTGATGGCAGCCATTTTCTCCTCAACGTTAGCAGATTGGCCCTGTTTGTCAGGGTGATTTTTCTTAGCCAATTCTAAATACGCTCGTCTGACTTCTTTATCATCGGCATCTTGATTCACACCCAAAGCTTTGTAATAATCTTTCCCATAGAATTTAGATGGCCCGGGTCCCCGTCGCTGGCCCTGAAAGCCCTGAAAAAATTGTTGTTGTTGTTGACTTCTGAAACTATTATTTTGCCTCTGTCTGCTTGATGAAACTCCCTTTTGGATTGCACGAAACAAAGCGACGATTTTTTCATTTTTAGCCGAAGCCCAGTGTCGCTCTTTCGCGAAGTTTTCAATTTGACTCCATTGATTTGTCAAATCCGCGTTAGGTTTACGCTTGGTCTCCCTCAATAATGTTTGTAATAACAATTGGACGGCGCGGGCTGCCACTGGTGGATAATTTAACCAAAGCCTCTGAATAATTTCATAGGCCTCTCCATGCTTTGACAAGGTCGTCAAAAACTGAGATAAAATTTCAAAACTCTCTTTCGAAAGTGCTTGCTTCAACGCTTCGTTGCAAGGCCTCTTAGCATTAGTGCTGCCAGCAGAAGAGCTGAAAGCATCACAAAGTAGAACATTCAAAGTCAAGTCAAGGCCTTGGGAGGGTGGCTCCAGTGATAGTTTCAAGGGCATTTTGGATAGCGGTCTTGTATCGAGCAGGAGTTGCAGGGCCTTTTTGAAGTGCACTTTCAAAGCTAATAAGTTGTTATTAGCCTGCTCTCCAAGCCAAGCAAAAGCTTTTCGATCTTGTAGCAATAGCTCGCTTACTTTGTTCGCATCATAGGGTTCAAGTACGAGATAGCGATCTGGATCCATCATGCTGGTAAAGGGGGGTGCAGTCTTCACAAACTTTTGATAAATTTTGGATAAATCGCGACAAGGTTGAAAATCCATATCTAGGTTGATACATTTCTTAACATTCGTAGGAGCTGTGGACATAACATACAACTGAAGCGTCGAGATTGCATAGTATAAGTCACGGCGCTCTGTAATGCTTAGTTTCCTTCTATGTTTGTCTAGAACGACCTCGTAGTTCGCTACGATTGCCTGTGCCGTGTTGATGTCTGGCAATTGCGCAAGTTCTCGGAAATAAATGTCGTTAGCCAAGATACGGTACTCGAGACTCCATGGGCAAATTTGAAGAATTTGCGTTACGACAGATAAACTTGGCAGCTCATTTTTCGTTACAAACGTCTGAATTTCTGAATCGAGCAAAAGGAATTCATGGCCCATTTTTCGTCCTTCCGTGAGAATAAGCTTCTCACGCTTGCCAAACTTGACATATAATTCTTCCAATTGTCGCTGGGCCAAGGAAAAATACCCGTCTTCTTGATCTTCAATTGTCTCAAAAGTTTTCAAAGCATCCAATGGCTCATCCAAACTCAATTCAATCAACCCCGCTTGATAAGCCAACTTGTTACGTAACCTCTGGGGCTCTGTCCCTTCGCATTTCTCGAGTTGACCGATCAGCTGGTGACAAGGCTGCAACGAGTTCACGTCAAATCCAATATTATGTGCAACATTTCGCAGTGAGTCAAAGTCACACTGAGCAATAACCGCAGCCGTTCTCATTGCGAGAAGAACGATAGCCAACATGCCGCGATTACTCAATAAATCCCACCAATTTGCTTAGGAAAAATCAGATATAGGGTAAAAACAGTTGGCCAAAATCACATAAACAGGCCACTTATAGCTCTATCAGAACATTTAAGGAGTCAAATCCGAGTTTTTCAACGAGAAGATCACCTAGTGGTGGACCATCGAAATATTGAAATCGGTGCTCCATATACCCAATCACTATAAACGACAGATCTTAACACCCGAATATTAAAAATCAGCCACGCCCCGCCACTAATTCGATGTCCAGTATTCTTAAAGACTCGAGAGAAGAAACCCGATGGACGCTCCAACAGGACTTTCATTTGGTCATATAGCATACCTGACATTTGAGTCGGTGTTGAAAGTTGTCATTGTTTCATTTGCAGGGTTTTGGTGTGCGTATACCGGGCTTTTGCCCAAAGAGGGGCAAAAGATCATTTCAAGGATCAATGTCGATCTTTTGACACCGTGTCTGATTTTCAGCAAGCTTGCCAAGAGTTTGTCGATGGCCAAGATATTAGAAATCGCTGTAATTCCGGTATTTTTTGGACTTTCACTGGGAGTTTCATTCTTGTCCGGCAAAATAATGAGTCGAATACTGCGTCTTGACAAGGAAGAGACGAAATTTGTCGTGGCAAATTCGATCTTCGGGAACAGTAATTCGTTGCCGGTCTCGTTGACGGTTTCACTGGCGTATACTTTGCCAGGTCTGCTGTGGGATGAGATCGCGAACGATAACAGAGATAACGTCGCCAGTAGAGGTATCCTCTACTTGCTGATTTTCCAGCAGTTAGGCCACGTGATCAGGTGGTCCTATGGTTATAACACACTTCTACGCTGGTCTGATGATGATCGTCGGCAATTACCACGGCCCGTGAGTGCAGACCAGTTGAACGTTACAGAACCGGAAATGGTCGAGATGGACGATTCGATCGGAACAAGTGCGACGTCGTACTCTTCCGTGAAACAGTTGCGGAATTTTTGCATGAAGGTTTTCTACAAAATCAAGTCCACCATGAATCCACCTCTGTGGTCCATGGTTTTAAGTGTCATGGTGGCCTCAATCCATCCTATTCAGCATGAACTTTTCAGCAAGGACGGGTTTATTAACAACACACTATCTGAGGCCATTTTCGAACTGGGTGCCATATCTATCCCACTTATCCTGATAGTCCTAGGATCCAACTTGTATCCATCCAAGGACACCCCACAAAAAACACACAACTACAACAAAATGATCTTGGGGTCTATTGTGGGTAGAATGATCCTTCCCTCATGCTTCATGCTGCCCATCATCGCCGTATGTGTGAAATACATCAGAGTGAGCATTTTGGATGACCCCATTTTCCTTGTGGTGGGGTTCATTCTCACAGTGTCTCCTCCTGCCATCCAGCTCACACAAATCACGCAGCTCAACGAGTTTTTCGAGAGCGAAATGGCCGGAGTGCTGTTTTGGGGCTATGTGGTACTCAGTTTACCTGTCAGCATCACCGTTGTCAGTGCTGCGATGACGGTGCTAGAATGGGCTCGGGAATCCAACATGTAAGAGGCGTGATCATTTCTCAACTCTAATTAGGTAAAGTACCCTCCTTCAAATACATAGATGATGTCTACAAGTAACATCTACAGCCCCACGCGACCAGCAAGTTGCCCTGAGTCCCGATCGACCGCGGGCATTCAGGCAGCGTAACAGCATGATGATGCCAAATACTTATCAAGTACCACTGTATATAGCCAAGTTCAGACAAAGAGCGGTTGTTTGGCCGAGCGGTCTAAGGCGCCTGATTCAAGAAGTTCGCTTCTTAGCACTGTTCAACAGTGGAACACTCAGGTATCGTAAGATGCAAGAGTTCGAATCTCTTAGCAACCATCTTTTTCTTTTCGAAATTTTATCCAACGCTAAGCTATGCTAGAAATCCTCAAATACATTCCTTAATGGTGGCATACTTTCTAGATTCATGTGTTGCCTAGGCCATGGCGAGGTTCTTACCTTATAAATTATTTTTATGGCGATCATGTAGTGTGTATTGGCCTAGTGCATACTAGAAAAACTGAAGAATGTACTATGCTCTGAACCTTCAAGTTACGATCATTACCTTCGTAATGTTATGCGAGACTACTCTGTAAGTTACTTGACCCTCATAAAACTGCGTACGCCAATTTTCATCTTTTGGAGCGCGATATATGCTATGGGGAGCTTCTTTAGTAAATGATTAGCTTTTTTTGACGCTGAAAGAGGCCATCTTCCAGTACTACAAAAACTGTTTATAAATTTGGTGATTCGAGTGCTTTTGCCTTGCTCAGGGCTTCATTTCTGTCCAGGGTAAGCGTTTGTCGATCTCTTGATAGTTCATATGGTTAGTGACGCGTTAATTTTCAAAAATCAAAACGCGTCAACTGAGAATCATCACATCTCAACCACTCCTCCAGATGCGAAGGAACACAAAATGTACGTTAAACGGATTGTCATTCAGGGATTTAAGACTTACAAGAATACGACGGTTATTGAGGATTTGTCCCCAAATTTAAATGTGGTCGTTGGGAGCAATGGGTCGGGGAAATCCAATCTTTTCGCTGCACTTCGATTCGTGCTGACCGATGCGTACAAAGGATTGAGAAGGGAGGAAAGACATGCATTAATTCACCAAGGCACAGGTTCAGTGATGAGTGCGTTTGTTGAAATAGAATTTAACGACCCAGAAGGTCAAATGGCGATTAGTACTGGACTTCAGGTTACGCAGGCTGAAACAATCAAAGTTAGACGAACCATTGGTCTCAAAAAAGACGAATATTCGATCAACGGGAAAACGTGCCACAAAGGAGATATCGCAAGGATGCTCGAAAGCGTGGGATTTTCTCCTTCGAATCCTTATAATATTGTGCCTCAGGGCAGAATTGTGGCAGTGACCAACGCAAAAGACGAAGAACGCCTCTCTTTGCTCGAGGAAGTCGTTGGTGCTAAGTCCTTTGAAGCGAAATTGCAAGAATCTCTGAACAAAATGGAGACTACAAACAAGGACAGCGCGAAAATAGAAGCCGAATTGACTGAACTGCAAGAGCGGCTTGATGAACTCGATGAAGAAAGACGAGACCTTGAAAAATATCAAGCTTTAGAGCGCGACCGGAAGGCATTTCAATTTTTGCTTTATGATCGAGAACTGAACGAGGTAACGAATAGCATTGAGAAAGTTGAGGACGAGTATTCAACCACATTGAAGTCATCTGAGAAATATATCGAAGAATTGGAGAAACGCGAATCTTTAGTTGCAGACATCAATAAAACTCTCCAGAAAACAGAAGCAGATACAAAAATTAAAGAAGCCAATGATTTGAAGTCCGAGAAAGCTCGATTTCTTGAAGCGTCCGAAAGGAAAGCGACTCTTCAAGCGCGTTACAAGGAAATCCAGAAACAAAGCAAGGAATATAATGAGCAAAATGTAATTGACCGGAAAAGCCTGGCAATTATCAAAGAAGAGATTAAAAAAAAGGAGCAGGAACTTCAAGAATTAACGCCTCGATTCAAAGACTTGACAGCAGAGAAGGCTCACTACAAAAATCAAATATCTGAGCTTGAGAATATAGTTGTGGAACTTCAATCCAAGCGAGGTAAATATGCCAGGTTTGAGACCCAGGTGGAACGAGATACGTGGTTAGGAGCTGAGATGGTAGCCGTGGAGCAGGAGTTAATCAGGGGAGAAAAGGAGCTTCAAGAAGTTGAGTTTGAAATACAGAAAACAGCAGACGTCATGGCCGAGCTTAACCAACAAATCGATGAATTGAGTGACTCTGTAAGTGGTCCCGGAATTGAAGCGGAAATGCAGGATTTAGATGCAGAGATTGATGCATGCAAAAATGATTACCTTCATAGACTTGATGAGAGAAAAGAGCTCTGGAGAGCTGAGCAGAAATTGCAAGCAATACGTAGCTCATCCTCAGACGCCCTTAAAAAGTCAGAACGTGACTTGGAAGAGACTATGGATCGCGGCCTAGCAAGTGGGTTGAGAGCTGTCAATGAAATTGTCGAAAGACTTAAACTACCACCTAGCTCAGTTCATGGTCCTCTAGGTGAGCTTTTGAAGGTCAGTCCAAAATACAAGACCTGTGCCGAGGTAGTAGGAGGTAATTCCCTTTTCCACGTTGTTGTTGAGAATGATGAAGTAGCGTCTATTTTGATGAACGAACTTTTCAGCACCAAGAGTGGGCGAATCACATTCATACCACTTAATCGAATTCAAACCCGAGCTAACATCGAATATCCATCCAATGCTGAGGGCGATTGTACTCCACTTATTCTAAAGATTAAATGCGATAAGAAGTATGAAGCAGCGATGAACCATGTCTTCGGAAAAACCATAGTTGTACGAGATCTCGTCACTGGCTCGAGGCTTGCCAAAAAATACAAATTAGACGCCGTTACTTTAGATGGAGACCGGGCTAATTCCAGGGGTGTTGTTTCGGGTGGATATCACGACTACCACAAGAAGGCCAAGCTTGATTGCTTGAAAGAAATTATGTCCGTAAAGTCGCAGCACCAAAAGGCGGTATTGGAATGCGAGTCGTTAGGGGATCAAGTCGCTGAAATCGATGCTGCCATTGATCAAGCAAATAGCAAGCTGAAACAGTGTGCAAAGAGAAAGGAGGCAATACAGACGGATGCCGAGCAACTGCGCTGGAAACTCAACAAGAAAAGAAGTGAACTTATTTTGCTAGATCAAGACGCTGCTACCTTACGACAAAAAAGAGAGAAGCTGAAATTCTCGCTCAAGCTCGCCCAAGACAAGCTTGCAATTTACGGGGATGATTTGACGAAGCCTTTCGTTAACGAATTGTCTTCCGACGAGAATCAACAAATTAACGAGCTGTCAAGAAAGATAAAAGAATCCACAAAGATTTTTACAAGAATCACAGAGGATTTAAGTTCACTTATCAACAAATTGGATAATCTCAATGCAGAGATTGATTCCAAATTGAAACCCCAGGAAAAGTATTTGATCAATTTCTTGGATGAGATGAATGAAGATAGCATGGCAATGCTCAAGCAGAAACTAGAACGATTGGAACCTGAAATAAAGGACGCCAAGGCCCTCGAAGATCTTTCAAGGGAAAATCTTGAACAAACGAGAAATGAATTAGCTAAATTAAAGGAAGAATCAACTAATAATCAAAGAATCCTCGAAAAGGCCAATTCACAGCAGAGGTCTTTGCTCAAAAATTTGGAAAAGTTTCAAAAGGATGCCGAGAAAGTCATTATTAGGAAGACTACCCTATCAAATAGGCGCGATGAGCTTCAACAAAAAATTAGCGAAATTGGACTTCTTTCAGAGGAATCCGTGGCTCAGCATGAACGCTTAGGAAGCAGCGAAATCTTAGACAAGCTGAAGGCGGTTAACAATAAATTGTCTTCAATGACAAACGTGAACAAGCGCGCAATTGAGAATTTCAAAAGGTTCAGTGAAAAGAGGGAAGAGCTCGTTGGCAGGGCGGAAGAGCTTGTTTCCTCTCAGAAGTCTATCGAACAGCTTATCATTTCTTTGAAGAAACAGAAGGTTGAAGGCGTGGAGACAACGTTCAAGAAGGTTGCCAGTAATTTTACCACTTTATTTGAGATGCTTGTGCCCAACGGAAAAGGACAGCTCCTCATCCACAGAAGAGAGGACAACGAAAGTACGCAATCTAGCAAAAAGTCCAAGGATTCTGCGGCATCGCGGCGCGACGATTACATTGGCTCAGCTTATAGCGGCGTGTCCATGAAAGTATCTTTCAACTCGAAGAGCAACGAACAGACGTACGTGGAACAACTTTCTGGCGGCCAGAAAACGGTTTGCGCCATTGCTCTAATTCTTGCTATCCAAATGGTCGATCCAGCTCCCTTTTATCTGTTTGATGAAATTGATGCTGCTCTTGATAAACAATATCGAACGTCTGTCGCAAATGTGATGAGCAGACTATCGTCGAACGCACAGTTTATCTGCACGACATTCCGAACTGATTTACTGCAAGTCGCCAATAACTTCTATCGCGTCAAGTTCGAGAACCGAGTGTCGTCTGTCACCGAAGTTAGTAAGCAAAGTGCTATAAATTTCATTCAGGGCAGGAACAAGCTGGGTGATATTTGATTAGAGCTACCGTAAGAGTATTTTAATCGTCCATTGCTAAGTAACAAACACACTTCTTCTCAAGATATGTGCTTCGAAATAATACTGAGAATTAAATTTTACAGTATAAAAGCTATGTCACCCGCCGATGTTCTACTTTTTCTTGGAATCTTTGATTAGAGAGGCGAATCCGCTTTTCGATTTTTTTTTGCCTAGTGCTTGACTAGCGGATCTGGCGCTTATGAAGTTTGACTTGTCATCTGAGGAATCCGAGCTGCTGTCGTCGTTATCACTATTGCTGTCGCCACTATCATCATCATCACTCATTTCTTCATTCGAGCTGTCACTAGTCTTGGGATCTTTTTGAGGTTGGGTTATTTTGGTGGGGACGGCGGGTTCTTTAACTTCTGGGACGCCACGTGAAGCCAGATCAGAAAGTGAACTCAAGGAACGCCCATGCTGCTTTACTTTTCTGTTAGAAGGTACAGAATCTGACTGATCCATGACCGTGGAATTGGGAGAAGAATACTCCATCATCCGCGTCACAGGAACTTTTACAGGTGAGGAGCTCTCGGCAACAGTTTTCTGTGTTGACTGAGGAGCTGCCTCAACACCTGCGTATTCTGATTTTGAAGTCTTGGAGCTTACTGATCGAAATTCCCCCTTAGGAGTGTCCACTACGCCCCTTCTATTCCTTTTACTGGATTCTTCTGACGATTGGTCACCCGACGAATCGCCCGACGAGTCATCATCTTCAGACTCCTCTGAAATTTCTGAACTATAGGAGCCAGTTGATCTTGGCGCAGGAGCGGTATTGACCACAGGGCTTTTGCTCTCGGTAGATGGCCCCGAGCTTTCGCCAAGGTACTTACGACGCAACTCTTCTAGCTTAAAGTCACTTTTAGGCTGAGCCTGTTCAATTATGGTAGCCTTATTTTTTTCTGTAACTTCTCTAAGCGATGCGTCCGCGGAAACGCTTGGCTTCTCTAACTCGGACGACCTTGAGGTGCCTTGTTCCGCAGGTGTTTTTTCTATAGCTTCATTTGCATCTTTCACCTTCCCTACCACCTTGAAACTTTTAGAGGAATTGCTGTCTTTTGAGTTATTCTTCGCATCTCGTTCGGCCCTTTTCTTCGACATCTCCTCCTCCTTCTGTTTCTTCTTTGCTTCTCTTTCGGATTTCCGCTTAGCCACTTCCTCGTCTCTTGCCTGCTTCTTGGCTTCTCTTTCTAACTTTTTAGTGGCATTTTCCTGAGCCTTCAACTTCTTGGCCTCTTCTTTCTCTTGTCTTCTCCTTTCTGCCTCTTCTCTTCTTTTGAGGACTGAAGGTGGAACTTTTTTCCTAGCTAATGGCTGTGGCTGTAAGATAGAAGAGGGTGTGCTTGACTCATCATCCGAATCTTCTACGAACTCGGGTGTCTGATACAGCTTTTTGGCGATATTGTTTGCAGGTGGAGGAGAAATTGCCTTTTCCAAATTCTTGGAAATAGTTTTACTTGGTGACTGAAAGAAAGCTGACTTTTCAGCTACGGATTTGTTAACTGTAGTTTTCTTGGAACTGTTTATGGCGGCATCTTTTTTGGTCTTTGGTGATGCTGTGGGTTTGGACGCATTATTTGTTCCGGGGGTACCTGACTCGTCAATATCCTCCATCTTTCCATTAACCACATGACCTGACTTAGCCCGGCTTAAAACATCATCGCGATCCGTAGTTTTCATAGCCGTTGAAGCATCCCTTGTGGAATCTTTTTCACGTCCGACAACTCTTTCTTTCAGAGGGTGGATATTAATTTTCCTGAGAGCATTCTTTTCCATAACAGCAACACTGTCGTTTTCACTGAGCTCTGTTTCAATGCCACTTGAGTCGTCAGACGAAGACTGGGGCTCTGTTCTTGATCTTCCCGAGGATAAAAGCCTAGCTGCTTTCCTTGCTGCCGTCCTTTGGCTTCGCTGATAAGAAGTGTCATTGGGCCCATTTTTCTGCAAATTTGATGGGTCGCTGTCAGCAAATTCTTTCCCGTCAATTCTTTGATGTCGGGAAACCGGATTGAAGTCCATCGAAACGTCATTATGCCTTAGCATAGACAGAAGTTCAGATTTGTGAAAGCTAGTATTAGGCTCCAGATAATTCACGCGCACCGTTTCATCGGGATCAGCAGGAGTATCTTTTTCTTCATCAACCTCGTCCTCATCGTCAGTGAAATTCGCCTTTCTTGTTGCTTGAAGAGATTCTGGCCCTTGGCGGTTATGCTCTGAAATTCCTGACAGAGATGCCGCGGTTGACGCGTTCTTGATAAGAGATTCAACTTTACTTTCCAATGAGGACTTGCGATGGTCGCTCATTCTCGAGTCAGGAAGTTGAGCTAAATTAACATCACCAAGCTTTTTCCCATCTTTCATCGGGGAACCATTGTTATCCGCAATCGATGTTTGCCGAGCAGCATATGATGATCTCGCACCATTGATCTCATGAAGTCCAGATGGTATCTCTGGAACTCTGAACTCTTGCTCAGCATCAGAAGACTCTTCGCTAGCATTAATTTCGGAAGCGCCGTATGGCTTTTTCATTGGAATTCGATTGGGCTTGGCGGGAAGCTCTGCAGACGGACTGGCAGGTCCTTGTCTGAGCTCTTCTTCTATTTCAGAAATCTTGGGCTCGGGTATTCTTAGCATCCCCGACGTTATTCGCTTATTTGTAGCCACCGGTGTAGCCATGTTTTTGTTCGCCGAGGCGGGTTCCAGCATGACTTTCTGGCCGGGTATTGTAATTGGTCCGTTAGGAGTTTCTTCGAGAGCCCGAGGTGACCTCATTGGCGTCCCAGACAGTAGACGATGCTGCCTCGATTTGTCGGGATCAACAGTTTCTGATCTAGATACCGTATTTTCGTTGGAAGCAATCTTCTTGCCAATCTCAAAGCCTGAGCTGATGCGTATGGGAGGAGACTGTGGTTGTGGTGGTGGCAGGACTGATCTGTCTCCAACTTCCTCGTCCTCATAGTCCGAATTTATCTGCTCGTTCCTCGGAGGATAAATTTGGTTTGCAAGAGGGGTCGAGACGCGCATGCTGGTGCCGTTTCGTAAAGCATGTGGTCTCTTTTTAGCGATTCTGAGAACGTTGGAGTAGGGTTGCGAGCCAGAACTTGGTCTACTGAGCTTCCGTTTCTTGTTGGAAACAGAATATGCCGTTTCTGGCTCAGAAGTCGTAAACTCCATCTCGGTGCGTAGCACGGCTCGCACCGTGTTATCAACATTGAAAACGTCCTTAACAAGAAAATCAGGATCCAGATCGCATTCGTTCGCGTCTTGAAGAGTGTCGATCTCGACAGGGCGCTCCAAGTTTGGGTAAATTTTTTGGCATTTGTCGATGATCTCCTGGGAAAGCGCCAGCAACGTGTGCGATGGCTTTGTAAAATGCAGAAATTTTCGCGTCTTAACACTGCCCATATAGTTTGAGATGAAGCTTGACATAAATAAATTGCTCGCAGCCGCACCATTTCCGACTAATTCCGACCGATTACTTCCTTTTATACTAGACCCATTTCCAACAAGATTCGAGGGCAATATCTGCGAGTTTTCTGTGGTTGGAGTTCCTGCTGGTATCCCCGATCCTCCTGAATTTGCTCCTGGCGGAATTAACACAACTTGGAGCTTGTACATCTTCACAAAACAGCGAATTGTGAGCGCCGTATGCCACTAAATCCCGTAGTTGTCCATCTGAGAAGTTCACTGATTTCTAGAAAATCTAAATTTCGTTCAAAAGTATATCAGCTTTATTTCGCCAGTCGCTGATTTTCGCCAAAATGTACGATGATGTCATAATGAACAGCGTGATTTGTACTCACTTGGCACGAGGGCACGAGCACTCAGTTTAGATATCGCTTCATACGTGTAAGAGTACTTCATGAGTAACGTCAATGTCAGGTAAGAGGCGGTGCTTAGCGGTGTGTCTTACTCCAACAATAGTTTTTGAGATAGGCCGCAACATCATTCTACCATTTGCGATTGAAAACTCAAATTAAAAGCCAAGGTATAGTTCGAAGTTGGCGGCTTTCGGTTTCACGAATAATTTCCCAAAGGACCACCAGGCATCATTTATCGATAGTACTCTATACAACCAACCTCTAAGACCTCGAACTTTATGTTGTCTCCACAAGGCCTTTAACGTCGACGAGTACCATCACATGACGAAGTTGAGAATTCGTAGACAGTGATTAATTTATTCAAGTCCAACTTAATTGACCGAAATATAAGCACTATAGGTGAATTACAAATCTAGCACACGCGTCTAGTTGCTCACAGTGATTGATGGAATGCAGAATTCAGTCTTGAGAGACCACCAAACCTATAACGAAATCTACGGCGTAAATGCGACATAAACATAACGGAAATACGATGAACCCAATGAGAATAGACAATTGCCAGTTATATCAAGATAGTAGCGATCCAACTTTGTGCGAATCAAGTATGTGACGAGAGAACCTGATACGTCGCATTTACGTGGCAACTTTAGTGGCGTTTTACGAAATGAGTCGGACCCAGGGGCACTATTAACGGAAAAGTTTGCGCAATTGATTCGTCGACTTCGTCCCGAGTGCTGGTCAGAGTATGAAATTATTACAGTAAAGCGCTAGTAGGTAAGAGCTTTAAGGGAATAGGGCGGAGTCTAACTCTGATAGAATGTTCGTAGTAGCTGCATGCGCATATTAACACGAATTGTATAATATTTTTCAATAGTATAAGCAGCCATTCCGGTACGTCGCTTTTTAAGCCATGTGCTGCAGACGTAATGAGTTGCAGATGTTGCAGATTTTGCTCTTTCTGCGCGTCGAAATGAAGGATATATATTTGTGGCAAGGGCCGCTTGGTGAGCGGTCAAATATGCGTAGAAACAATCTCTGCAGAATTTATTAAATTTTATACTGCAAAGAAATTCTTTCTAGAAGGTTTATCGTGAAGCGATGAAGCGTTCTGCGTCGCCTGTGGCAGAAACTGCCAAGAAGCTCAAAATTAGTGAAAGCTTTGAAGAGTATTACCGTCCAGATCCAACATACTACCCGCATCCTATAAGTTGGAAAAAGGCCAACGAGTTCAACAATGGCAAGAGAAGGAAACCTTGCGATTTACTGGATGATTACATTAAAAGCCAAAAAGTGAGCAACTCTGCCGAGATATCGACCGTCTTGCATTGGTTCAGAATGGATCATAGGCTTCAGGACAATACAGCGTTCTCGGCAGCAGTGGAAAAGTTCAGGCAGTTGAGGAAAAAACACAGCGACACTCGTTTTGTCGCCGTCTACACAGTGAACGAGCACGATTGGAAAGCGCATCTAGACAGTGCATGGAAATTAGTATTTTTGCGCGAGGCAGTCAACTCGCTGCGCTCGTCTCTTCAAGAAATAGATGTTCCTTTGGTTATTAAAAATTTCCATCCAAAGAATCCGGTTTTATCCAACAGTCATGAATTTGCTACGTGGTTCAAAGCATTGTGTGGCGAAATTTGTGGTGACAATGGAGTTTTGGTAACAGCTAACGCTCAGTATGAAACTGACGAACTGTATCGCGATCTCAAGATTGCCGGAATGACTGACGAAAAATTCCATTTCCAAGTTTTCCACGATCAATGCGTCGTCCAGCCCGGTGTACTTACAACGGGGAAAGGGTCCCAATATACAGTGTTTACTCCCTGGTATAAGAGATGGGTAAAATATCTGGAGGAGGAACAAAGGGGTTCCAAGGATATTGTTAAGGTTAATAAAATAGATGTGAAGGAAAAGGTCAATGACAGTGTGGAAGCATTGAAAGCCTTGGATTCTGACGAGTTTAAACTGGCCGAAGAGTTTACTTCTTACCTTCCAGTAAAGAACATCCAAATACCGACGGCCTCAGAAGAAGCCGCTCATGATTTGCTTGAATCGTTCATAGAAAAGGGCAAACTGAAAGAATATAATGAAAAAAAAGACATTTTGGGCCTTGACAGCACGTCCAATTTGAGTTGTTATATTACCAATGGTTTAATGAGTACCCGGGCTATTGTGAATCGTTGTTTTCACGAGAATGGGGCCTTGATGCACGGAGATATCCGACAGAACAATTCAATTGAGAACTTCATAAAAGAAGTGGCATGGAGAGATTTTTACAGACATGTTAACTGCAATTGGCCTTACTTGTCGATGGAGGTGGCCTTCAAGTTCGAAACGATGGAAATTAAATGGGAAAATGACCAGGAGACTTTCAGAAAATGGTGCTTGGGAATGACGGGTTTCCCAATTGTTGATGCGATCATGCGGAGATTATTGCATACTGGTTACATCAATAACAGATCTAGGATGATTGTGGCGTCTTTTCTTGCAAAAAACCTGCTTATCGACTGGCGTTGGGGTGAACGTTGGTTTAGAAAGCATTTAATTGACGGTGACCTGGCTTCCAATTCTGGAGGTTGGGGGTTCTGCTCTAGCACTGGTGTCGACGCTCAACCCTTCTTCCGAATTTTCAACATGGCTCTACAGAGTCAAAAATACGATCCGGAGGGTGTATTCATCAAAAAATGGCTCCCAGAGTTGAAGGATGTCAAAGAGGTTAAGACGTTGCACGAAAGTTCTTTGAATCGCTCAAAATGTGGGTATCCAGAACGTATCGTTGACTTGAAAGATAGTCGGGAAAGAGCGCTAGCCGCTTTCCGGGAGGTTGTTTGAGAATATGCAATTGCCTATCGAATACCGTATATATAAGCAGAATTTGGTGGCAAAGGGATGAGATGTGCCTCATATTAGCTAGTTCATGCCTACGCGATAAACTTGTAGTTCATGCAAGATTTTTCAGGTTTGTTTTCGAATTGCCTCTAATTTTTGTTACACGGCAGGGGGCAGGAGTTCTAAATCTCGGCTTTTTCACGCCGAAGGTCTCAAAGTTCTCCGCTGCACATCTAAAATGCTTTTGAAAATTAGTTGCCAACTGGTTAGAAGAAAAGATGTAGTCTTTTTTCAATTCTGCAGTATCGTCGAAAAGGGACGGCTCGCGAATTTCTTTGTCAGACTCGCTGTTTCCGCTGTCACCGCCGTCACTGCCCTCGCCACGATTCGCGTATTGAGAGTGCATTTGATCGTTGTAGCGTTCCAGCGCGCTGATCAACTCTTGCTTGTTTTTGTTAACTTTTGACTTTAGTAATGCGATCACAACAAAACTTCTATATTGTAAAGACGAGACCAGCTCTGCGTAGCTGTCACAATGCCGCGATCCGACTTCGTTGACCAGCAAATCGTCGAGTTGCGTCCAAAAACCAGAAATATCGAATTTCGCCCAATCAACGCGGAGCTTACTTAGGCTGTTCCATACCGCGTCTGGGTCGTGTTTCTTGTTGTTTTGGGCTTTAAAAAGCATTGTTTTCATAGAGGACGTATCAGTTCCGCCAGTCTTGGGCAGTTGTGTTTTTGTATCGTAGAGTGACGCTATAATGTCACCCAACTTCCACTCGCCGCCGGATTTCCAGACGGCGAAACCCTGGGTCACGTCGTTGAATTCCAAGATGTAGAAGGGACATTTAGCACATTTCGCATGCGAAACACACTTGATCTTCAGATTTTGAGTAATGGTTTCACAGGTTTCAAGCTCGGCAGAGAACGTGTCTTGTATGCCTTGAAAGTACTTGCAAACCTGCGAGATGTTAGCATATGAGTTGACTAGTGTCAGCTTGACAAAACCATAGCTTTGCCCAGTCGGAACGTAGATTTCTTGCATTGGATTCAGAACTCAACTCTCTCGAGACTGTTCCCACAAAGATTCAAAGCTTCAAACCTTAAATAAACCGATCACGTCGCCACCTTTAAATTGTTATCTAGACGGCAGGATCACGTGAGACCAATGAGAGCTGGAAAATAAAAAAATGGACGAGACCGGAGTCGAACCGATGACCTCTCCCATGCTAAGGGAGCGCGCTACCAACTACGCCACACGCCCAAAAGGGTGGAGGAGAATGCATTAGATGACTACATACTCAGATTCGTTGACCATATTTTTTCCCTGGACAGGTTGCCTTGTCGTGATCCAGCCACGGCTTTGTTTGCTTTACCAGGTCAGGAATAAACTCTATGAGGCGAAATACACTGCTGGGTGTTTCGCCTCACCGTTCACATTGCCCCCATTACGCGTTAAATATTTCGGCTGGTACCAGGCTGACACTTGTGGTTGAGACATCGCGAGTTCTAGCCCTGAGTGCTTCGCATCTGCTTCGCATCTGCTTCGCCTCTGCTTCGCAATTGCAATGCTGATTTGGCAGTTCACAGGCAAAAATATCAAGGTAAAACGTAACATGGCATACCTCTCAAGATATGGTCTAGATCAATATTTTACCAAATACACTTTTAGGTGGCTGGCGCAGACGCATAACTTCGCAAATCATCTATAGCATAAAAAACATGCTGGCTCGATCAACGGCTCCTGCAAGCTTCGGAGTTCCATATCGGGCAAGGTGCATCTGGACTTTCGTCCCAATACGGTAACAGCCATACGTTAATTGGCAAAAAAGCCCATAAACATGCATGGAAGATCTTGGTTATGTAAGCGAGTAGCTTACCACGACCTTCGTAAGATGCGATTATGTAAGGGCTTTTATGTATTGTTTCTGGCTATGGGTGGAAGGTGATCAATAAGCTGTGTCCATCTGTAGGTTTGCTGGAGGGCAGCGACCGCTGCCCGCTGGCCGCGGTCGCTACGGAAGTATCCATGGATTTAGCCTGTAATTAGAAGCTGGACTCTCTATGTCCATATTAGGTTAGAGATTGCAAATTTCGAGTTTCGTCACCAGGTAGCAACCGATCTGCCCACGAAAAGTAATTTCGCGTCTGCATGATTACTCTTCATGTTCCGAATCGAGAATTCGTGGCGGTGAAGAAACGTCCAGGAACGATGGCTGGCCACGCGAAACCGGGGCTTGTCGCAGATCGCATGGATCTGAAACTCGTGGATTGGACGATATAAAAGGCTCCAGGGACAGTTGTTCCAACATGCCACAGTTTTTCAAACTCAGAGGCCAGGCGAAAAGCGTTTTTCCCAACTTGCATTCATTCCTTTACTTTACGCTTAACACCTGAACAATGAAGCTTTCCCACGCCGCCATTATCGCCGCTGCTGCCGGCACTGCGATCGCAGCTCCAGCTGTCACTGTTACCCAGCACGTGCACAAACAAGAAACCGCATACGTCGAGGGCATCGTCGGCGTGCAAGACGGGTCCACTTACACCTCATATGTGACCTCTCTTGCATACGCAACGTCTGCCAGTGTCGACCCTGTTCCTTCTGGTTCTGGTTCCGCGTCCGGGTCTGTTGTCACCGTCACTGCAACCTACGGCAGCGCTCAACCCTCCTCGTCAGCTTCGCCAGGTTCTTCGGCAAGCTCGAGTGCGTCTATTTTGCTCCAGCAGGTCGAGGACATAGCCTCTGTCGCATCTCCCAGTGCCTCTAGCACTCCGTTGACCACGTTGTCACCTTCGACGTCTTTGGCTGCCGAATCCACTTCCGCTCCAGCAACAACCTCGACTCCATCGACCACCGCTACTCCTTTCAGTTCTCCCACACCATCTAGCACCGCAAGCAGCTCTAGCCCTAGCTCCAGTTCGCCCAGCTCAGACTTCCAGAACAGCATTTTGAACGAACACAACTCCAAGAGAGCCCTGCATAAGGACACTCCTTCTTTGAGCTGGTCAGACACTCTGGCGTCGTACGCTCAAAACTACGCTGACAACTACGACTGTTCTGGTACTTTGACCCATTCTGGCGGTCCATACGGTGAAAACCTCGCTTTGGGTTACTCTGCTACCGGAACCGTAGACGCTTGGTACGGCGAAATTAGCAGCTACGACTGGTCGAATCCAGGTTTCTCTTCCTCCACTGGTCATTTCACGCAGGTCGTTTGGAAATCAACAACCCAGGTTGGATGTGGAATCAAATCCTGCAACAATGAATGGGGTAACTACGTCGTATGCTCCTACCAAAGTGCCGGAAACTTCATCGGCGAATTCCCACAAAATGTCGAACCTCTCGCATAAGAAATTTCAGGAAAGTTTCCCTGCCACCATCCTAAAATTGTATATTAGATAGTTCTTATTTTAAACCGAGTGTATGATTTCAACGTCACGTTAATGCCACCGCTCGCTATCTGGGTTAAACATTCTGTCGTTGCGATCTCGTGACTACTGTCCTACAGTGTAACTCATAGGAGACAAATGTAAAACAACATACGGACCCATTGTTAATAGTGGTTACAACGTTCGCTTGGCAGTACTGGTGAGACGAAGATGAAACCGGAATGGAAATTTTTAGGGACGAAGATGCGGTATGTTCTCAAACGCGCTTGAAGCAGCAGGATTCATGTATTCGAATAAAAGAATGCATCATGCAGGCCCAGACAAAAAACCACAGGAATTGGGTATGGTGGTTTTGAGGATGTGTCACGCTTTTTGCTTAACTTGGTTTTTTATCAACACAATGGTATCGGGCGCCATTGTTCTAGGCACTTTTTTCCCGAGCGTCGACAGAATCAAAACTAATTTACCAGCGGAGACCCGATGGACGACACTTCGAGCTACTATCATCAATCCGGTCACAATATCTGACGTTAGTAAAACAGCTGTTTCAGTGGCAGAGACAGCAATCCCAACTATAAGTGTTGCGAGTACAGCTAGTCAAGTTCAAAATAGCGACTCTGCCACAACAAATTTCCAAGATGAGATACTTGACGTCCACAACTTTCTAAGACAAAAACACAACTCCCCCCCGCTCCAGTGGTCTGCTAAGCTCCAGAACTATGCCCAAAACTATGCCGACCAATATAACTGCAATGGGATTTTAAAACACTCGGGTGCCCCGTACGGGGAAAATATCGCTTTGGGCTTCAATACGACGGCGGCGTTGTATGCATGGTATGATGAGATTAAAGTATACAACTTCGACAATCCCGGCTTTTCAGAACAAACAGGTCATTTCACTCAGCTGGTGTGGAAAAATACTAGCCAAGTGGGTTGTGGGAAAATTTACTGTGGGTCATACTACGGACAATACACAATCTGCAATTATTATTCACCTGGGAACGTCGCAGGCCAATATCGACAAAATGTGTCTTGATGAGCTTAAACACTCGCTAAACGTTGCACATATCATAGAGACTTTTCTATTGATCAGAAGCTAATCGCTGTTCAAATTGGCATTATTATGGCATGGTTGAGTGATTCAGTTAACGAGACTGAAATGAAATCACATGACTTCAAACCGAAATCAAGGTGAAAAATTTTTGGAAAACACGCTGTTTTTCAGAAACCTTAAATCTAGTACTTACTCAGAGTGCTTCAAACAAACTCAATTAAGCATTTGCTCGTGCTCTGACGGTGCAATTGAGCTAATAGTTTGACATTGAGTCCCTTTGATTTTGTGTTTCTCCCAATTTCAGCAGTGTTACACCACGAATAGGAGCTTTAAACTCCAATTTACTCTTACTTGAAATATACCCTTTGATTCCCCGTTTTGTCCCGATCTGACATGTCTGAGCCCGTAACCGAGAATATCACGACGTCTACCGATGCGGAATTGTCCATTGAGACTCCACCAAGCTCTGTGGGCGAGGAGAACCTCGGCAAAGAAGCAGAAAATACCGAGCCAGAGGCTGCGGAAAAGCCCCTTCCAACGAAAGCGGACTTCCCAGCCCTGGGATCCGGCGCCTTTTATGCTGCATCGCCTAAAGTGTCTTGGGGACCCAACATGAAAACGCCAGTAACGCCTGCGTCATCATCGAGGTCTCCTACGCCATCTTCAGCGTTGTCGGCCAAACCTGCTCGGTCTAAAACGATTCAAGAGGCATTCACCCTGGATTTGCAATCGCAGCTCTCGATATCCAAGGTAGAATTCTCTCGTATTGTTCAACACGTCAAGCAGGCGCATGACGTTTCTGTCGAGTCGACCTTGTCGAAAAACAGTCGAACTTTCCTGATTTTTGGTATTCCCGACAAGGTTAAGGCCGCTAGAAGAGAGATTGTGAAAAAATTGACCAAACCTGTTTCCACGACAATTCAGGTTCCATCGAAGACGCGGGCTGCCATCATTGGTGCTGGCGGTAGAAAGATTCGCGAAATATCGGAACCATTGGACGTGAAGATCGAGATTGGGAAGACAGTCCTAGAAGATTCTTTCGACCCAGATCTAGACGATTATTTGGTCAATGTTACCATCAACGGTGATCTGGAGTCCGTGAAGATCGCACAGGCAAAGATTTTGGCGATTGTCAAGGAAGAGACGAAATCCATCACAGCCCTGCTGGATGTAGAGACCAATTTGCGAGCATTTGTTCACCTTGACGGCTCGAAAAATGATGTGGCTGTCAATTACAATGAGAAAGAAGGTAAAATCACAATTTCTGGTGAGCGTGATTTGGCCAAAGCCACCAAGCTTGACATTCAAAAATACCTCCAACAGTTGAACTCTGCGATTCAAAAGAAGACTGTTCAGATCCCAAACAAATTCCAGATTTTGATCGACACGACAGAAATTAAAAATAAATTTGGAGTTGTTGTCAAACTACCGACCGATGGGAGCGAAAATGTTCTCTTTATGGGTACTGAGGAGGGAATTGATGGGGCACTTCTTTTCGCTCGTTCATCCTCCAAGAAATACGTTGTAGAAAGTTTGGAAATTTCAAAAGCTCACGGCAAAAACATTTCTCACGCTAAAAACGTTGCATTGTACTTTGACAAATACAATGTCTTGAACAGTCTACAAGAAAAATTCCCATTTGTTAAAATCACGCTTCCATCACCGGACGAGCTCATCAGAAATGACTCCGTGTCAGTCATGGTTACCTCAACTACTGAGCACAGTAGCGATTTGAAGGCAGTTCGCAAAGAAATCATTAATTTGGTTAACGACCTTACTGTATCTCAAATAATGGAAATCTCTGACTTGGATAATGAACTCTTCCATGATGACATCAAGCGTATCCTTCAGAAAAATGAGGACAAAGCTCGCTTCGTGCAACTGGGAGAGCTATACCCAGATTCAGATATCATCATTCTGATTGCTCAAATATCCGATGACGAGTTTAGACCTTCTGAAGATGAACTGGAAGCTCTTTTGAAGGAGGCAAACGGTTCTTTGGATTCGATTCGAGAAGAACAAAAGAAGCTGACTTTGGTCGTAGAAGACTTAGATGAAGAGATTCAAGATTCGCTTCTTTCGATCTCGGCTGTCACTCGCAAATTGCTTGAACAAGACATATCATCAGAGGATGGTCACGTTCAAATTAAACTGCATAAGCCAACTAAAGGTCAAATCACTTTCAGAGGCGACGAAAATTCTGTCAAGCTTGTGTCTAAGGCTTTGAAAAGCATACGAGACACGTTTTCCGAAAAATCGAAGCTCTCTTTTACCATCCCAACAAACTCTGTATCGAGAATTATTGGAACTAAAGGTGCCAGTCTCGCCGCTGTTCGTGAGGGCTTTGGATGTCAAATAGACGTTTCTCAAGAAAGTGAAAACAATTCGAATGAAGTCACAGTGATTGGATTACTTTTCAATGCTGAACATGCGAAGGCGCACGTTATGGCAGAGGCAAAGAAATGGGCCGATGTTACAAGCAAGGAGCTTCTTGTCCCAGCTAAATACCAGGGAAGAATGATTGGGGCTGGAGGTGCTAACTGCAACCGTCTTCAGGAAAAGTATAGCGTGCACATTAAATTCCCTGATAGTCGCGAAAGTGAGACTGTTATTGTGAGAGGACCTTCCCGAGGGGTCAATAAGGCCTACGAGGAACTCAAGGCTTTACTCGACTTTGAAATTGAGAATGGTCACCAGACTGTCATCACCGTTCCAGCTGAAGCTGTTTCCAGAATTATTGGTAAGAATGGTGAGACTATTAACGACATTCGGGCAAGTTTCGGCGTTGAGCTTGAATTTCCAGAAAAGGTTCCTCAATCTGCCGCTAAAAATGTAAAGGTCCAATTAGAGATCACTGGGTCAAGACCGGCGATCAAGGAAGCCACGCAAAAAATTGAAAAGATTGTCAAGGAGGTATCTGATAATGTCACCGAATCTGTGGCGGTTGATCCCAGCTACATTAAAGATATTGTCGGTGCTGGTGGTCGTGTTTTGAAAGAAATTGTCAGCAAAGCGGGCGGCGACGAATTTAGGAACACTTCTGTCGAGGTTCCAGAAGCAGGTTCTGGGAAAAATGCAATTGTTGTTCAGGGTCCCAAAACGTTTGTTATTAGCGTTGTGAAGGACATCAAGGCAATCATCGACGAAAAAGAGAAGTCAGTTACAAAAGAATTAGATGTGGTTCCAGAAAGAAAGGGTGCTTTAATCGGGCCTGGTGGTTACGTTCGCCGTCAACTCGAAAAAGAATTTAATGTAAGGCTGTTTGTGCCAAATGGCGATGACAACATATCCAAGGTAACTGTTACTGGTCTACCTGCCAACGTCGAGGCTTGCGAAAAGAAAATCTTTTCTGAAATTATCAGAGATAACTTTGATTTGGAAGTCAAGATTCCTGCTAAGTACCAGGAGTTTGTTTCTGACAGAGGTACTTTCATCCAGAAGTTGAGAAGCGATTTTTTCGTCAACGTTAAGTTTGGGAACATGAACCGCTTTGCAAACAAAGTGGGTCGTCCCGCTTTCTCAATTCCAATCGATTCTGTTAAAGGCTCTGCGGAAGAAAAAGTCAAGTTTACTAAAGGTAGCATTCCACAGGTTAGTAAGGAAAACGTCTCCGACCTATTTATTCCATGGAGACTATCGTATGAGCCTGTTGATCTTTCTGATATTTTGAATGAAGAGGGTGAACAAAAGACTGAAACTAAGAGTAAAGAAAGCGTCTTGCGGGAAGTAACCGAGCTTATTAATCAAAGATTGCAAGAAGCACCAAATGCCACTTCGCTGGGATACGTGTGGACCAGCAAGCCTCAAAATTTCAGAAGATTGGTTGGACCACAAGGTTCAAACATCAAGCGCATCAGAGATGCCACTGGTGCGATTATTGAGGTTCCAAAGAAAGCCGAAAAGATAAATGACGTCGTGTACATAAAGGGCTCTGAAGATAATGTGGTCAAAGCGGCAGAAATGATCATGAAAAAGCTGGACTACTAAAGCCTCCTACGGGCGGATCGGGAGCGAAATGATCGTAGTTTTCGAAATCTCTAGTCATATATACATAACGAAGATCAGCCAGAACGAGCCTCGAACAAACGCCAGTGCCGCAGAAAGACGAGACCATATCATTGTCCAACCAATAAAGCCAAGAATTTATTCAGTATACCTTATTTATATTCTCAGTTTAAGAGCAGCACGACGTAGCGTCATTGGTCGACGGTCTCTGCAATTCAACGTTGACAGTATTACGTTGTTGAGACGACGCGGCCAGAGAGTCCTTCTTTTGGGCATAAAGCTTGCTACCAATTTGTTGAAACACCGCCGACACTCCTGAGCCTGATTTTGCGCTCACTTCGTGGAATAAAAGCCCATGTTCGGCAGCGTAACTCTCTGCATCTTCTTTTTCCACGGCCTTAGGCTCAGATCCATCTTCACACAAATCGACTTTGTTGCCGACAAGACATATCACTAAATCCTTATCGCTGACTTTACTTTTCAGTTCCTCGACCCAGCTTCGAGCTTTGGCCAAGGAGTCTGCCTGTGTCACATCATATACCACCAGTGCTGCGTTCGCGTTCCTGTAGTACATAGGAGCAAGTGATTTGTAGCGTTCCTGGCCAGCAGTATCCCAAATTTCGAACTTGATCGTCACATCTGGTTCATTTTCAAGTTTTATCGTCTGCGACAGAAACGCTGCGCCTATCGTACTTTCCCTAAATTCGTCAAACGAGTCCTTTACAAAACGATGAACAATCGACGATTTACCCACAGAAGAGTCGCCAAGTAAAACCAGTTTGAATTGTAACATGATCCTACACTGTTGAAACTGGGCAGTTTCTAGTTTTTCAGAATATCTGATGTGAGAGGATTCGTTGAAATAGCAGGGTCCCGACAAGGAGTTTTCCTTGAGATGAGAAGCTTCTTCGTGTAAAAGTACCCCTATCAAAAATCAATTGCCGATTAAGTTAGCAGAGGTAAAAAAAAAACTATGAATAGAGAGTGATGGTAAGAGATAAATCCCTTGAAGCTGCTGATATGGACAGCGCTACAAAGACGCTGTACAATATGTAGTGAGAATGGAATTAAAGTGATTGTTTTTCAGGAATTTTTAGAAATGAAAGTCGACTTCTATAACGGAAATAGATTATTGAATGGGGCGGGTCGACTTCGCACGTTAATTAGATATGGGAGGTAGTCCCTCTGTCTTTACGACACCTAACTCGTTGAGCCGTTTCAAAACCGTGAAAATTCTGTCAGTTTCAGCAGCTTTTTCGTCTTCGGTCCAATCTTCATCGTCGTCGTCTATATTTGTTGAGATTGGATTTATCCGAGTTGCACTGGACTGCGTGGAAGCGGAGGATTCGTTGTCCTCCACGGGGACGAAGGTATCGCACGATTTGCGGGTTTGCAAGTATGGTCTTAAAGTCGAAGGCGACGCCTGCGTCGTCGGTACGACAGTTTGTATGCGAATGATGTCAGCGCTCCCAGTGTTTGAATCTTGCACGTAGCGTAGCTCCAACGTGCGCAATATGCTTGCGAGCGCCTCGCGCATGTGTGATGACACGATCGATGAGCCCATGAGAGCGAGGGTTTCCGTTTTCAATTCGACCGCGCAACCCGGATCCGAGCAAATGCAGCACGCAATGCGACAGCGTACCGAAGATGGCGCCTTAAGCACGTACAACTCGAGGACGTGCAGGATCTGGGGGATTTTGAAATCGTGAGGCGAACTGTACAACTCCGTTTCGACCTCTTGAAGCCAACTGGACACTTGCATTCGTACCATGAGCATCAGATTTTTCACCATACTGAAAGAGGACGCAAGTTCGCTTTCCGGGAAAAGCAACAGCAACGAGCACAGTTGTAACAGCGCGCGCTTGTAAGGAAGTAGTAATGTAGGTTTTTCCGAGAGCGTGACGCTCAATTTTTCAAGCGCTTGCCAGAAGCGAGGCGCGTTGACCACCACAAGCGACCCGTAGTTGTAGCAAAGTGCATACCAGTACTTGCCGAGCTCTTCGAGCACGGGAGCGAGCATTGCGGGGTCTGCAAGGGGTAACTCTTCGACGAGCTCGAGAAACCGGCGCGGCGCAATGCCGCGCCGGAACTGTTCCTTGAAACCGGGCTGCGTGGATCCGTGAGCAAGCAGGAACAAAACACGCCACAGGGGCGTCTGGTACTCGAGCGTCAGGGGCTCATTGGCTACGCGAGCCTGGATATCTTGCACGAACGGCGCGTGGTCCTCGAGCAAACGCATCCGGAACGCGGGCTGTTTGAGCAGCACGTTTGCAATCGCGACCATCACGGCGTGCACATGCACGCCGTAGGGCCGCGAACCGAGCTCGTGGAAAAGCGAGCACAGCCTTTTCAGCGACCCGAAGTCCGCGATAGTCCCGCGACGCGACAATTCTCGCAGTCGAGGGGCCACCTCGATGAGCTGCTCGGGCGTCTCGATGTGCTCGAGCAGCGAGTCCATGGAGCCTACGGAGCCAGCCTCTGGCGCGACAGCTTCGTCGACCGCGCCGGTCTCACTGCCCACTTCGCGTATCTGGCACATAACTTGCAATCTCGGTTACCAAAGCCGCAACCGTCTAAATATCTGGCGACTCCACGCCTGTAAAGATCTCCACACTTTCGAACCCGTGTAGTTCACAAGTGTCACCGAATGCCACTGAATGTCGCCTAGTGCCACCAAAGGTCCCTGCTTAAAATCCTATTTTCAAAGATCATCATAAATTTGCTCAACTGACATATCCATTTTTCCCCTTCTATGCAGCATGCAAGCGGGAAAATGGAAAAGTTCCAGCCGAGAAACTGCACGAACGGAATTTCTCAAGAAAAAAAGCATTGTGTACGAGATCTCTTTTAGCAGAGGCGCAGTTTGCCAAGCCTTTCAGGCCTGGGCAAAAAAGACACCCGTGAACCACGGCCAGACCAGTCTAAGAATACTCATGTGTATCTGAGTGCCAGCGGCTCATCATTGAGTAGATCCCTCGAGATCAGCCTTGGCCAGTACGGACTACCCAGCATCCGTAGGCATACCGAGTATCTCTATCAACGCGAATGTCCAGCAGTGCTCGTCCGAATACGTTACCCGTCCCGGTCGCTTTCTACGAAGGATCTCCTCTGTCCGGGTAATGTAGGCTAAGTCTGAGAGATGGGTAGAAATGAGTAGATGCTTCTGGACGTGCACAGCGATGTCTGTTTCGGCGGCGACGATGGTCGACAGCTCTCGGTTCGTCCTGCGAACAGGTGTTCGGTGGGAATTCTTCCTTTTCACACGCTGTGCTGTCCCCTGGTTCTGCTACGTTCTAGTTTCCCGGTCCAGTCGTGATCTCTATTTTTGTTGAGGTTTATCATTATCGGTGGTTGATAGATTTCTAAATTGTTCATTTAATTCGTTCATAATTGATCTAAATAATAAAGCTGGTAAGGAATTGAGTACTTATATCTCTCCGTGGTTATCTTGAAGATATGGCCACTGTATGACTGAGCAGAATGCCTCCTTTTGTACAATTTCTGTAACACTGTTCTAACTTTAGAATCCGTTACTTTCTTCATACTAGACGGTTAATTCTCATCATACGTCACTCATCATACCACATATGATTTAATCAAAATGTTTTGAAGATTCTAGAACTGTCAATGGACCTGTTTTAGCTTCCAGTTCTTCCACAAAATGCCAACCGTGTGTCCATTTCTCTAATTTTATTCTGTCATATCGATCACGTGATGATGCAATTGAACGGTATCATCTTCTCGCCAGCTCCTTCCAACAACTTTTAATGTGATGATGGGATCTGAAGATACCATGACCATCACTGAAATAATTTGGTTTCTGTTACTTCATCTTAATCATGAATTGTCCGGTCAGTTCCGCCTTATTTTAATCTGTCATCTGATCACGCGATAATGTAACTTGCCGATATCCTATCTCGCTATCTCCTTCTAAAAAGAAGTGCACGAGGTATCATGGACGTCGCATCATATGTGTTGACTAGTCTCATTTGTAGCTTTTCGCATCCTAGACTTTTTCCGAATCTTCGTCGGCAAAATCAAGCTCTGAGCCCCACTTTTTGCAATTCCATAAATACCAAGCGGATATTGGTATTGAATATGCAAAAGAGAATGTGATAATAGCGGAGCAAATCGGATTATGGTGCTCATCAGTCGAAGATGGTAGGCAATTTACTAACCCAGCATCCGTCAGCATCACGGTAAAAAGGAAATATTTTCGACGTAGGCGGCGGAGATACTCTTCCTTCTTTTCCGGGCATGTAATGGCGGAACATGCCACATCCCCGTGATAATGTACAAACTCTTGGTAAAGTCTCAAGCTGTAGTCCGCGCTATAGGATATTATAAGGAATGGGAGCAAAGCTGACATCACAAGTCCTATAATCTCATCACCTGAAAGACCCATTATGCTTTTGTTTGGAATTTGTTGGTTGTCAAGCTCTGGATGATGATAATAAGGGAATTCTTGACTTTCGTATTTAAATATGCTCAATGGCAAGGTGAAACTTCTGGCATAAAACAGGTTGCAAATATCAAACATACCAACAACAGCTAGCATAATCTCTGCAAAAATATTTGAATAGACCAGCACTGGGTACGACTGGTTTCAAGTGTATTCTTTAGTTGTAAGCAAACGTTTCAACAGCCAAGCTTGCAAAAAATGGATCAACGTCCATTAAATCGTGTAATGCTGTTCTAAGTCCTGAAGCTTGATATCATCGAATTTATGAGGTTATAGGTGATGATGTATAATAGAAGAGCCAACAAAGTTCAAGTTACTAAAGCCTAAGTTTATTTCGAGCACAGAAAGTACCGCTGCCACTTGTGATAACACAAAAGGGATAAAGCCTTTCGACGCATTGACGCACCTGCCTTGAGTTTGGCAAATAACAATACAATGGCCAGGTTCCAACGTTGTTGAGATATCCATGCACAAAAATGAGTTCTCTATCTTTGGGAAGCATTTAAAATGCGACATTGTCTAGTGGTAACAATTTAGTGGTACGGTTCAGAATTTAAACGAAGAGACAATCATATAATTATGACGGATGATATTCAAGGTGTTGAGCAGTCTCCGCTTGTTGAATTATTTTTTAGCCAAATCAACACCCTAATGAAGTCGTCAATAAGACGACTTAAAGATCGTTGTTCTGATTTGGGTTGGGCATCTATACTGCTAGGAATTGCAACCTCGCTGGCAACTTACACGCTATTCAAAACAGTCGACGAATGTAGGGCAAACAAAGCATCTTTTTCGTGCCTACAATATGGATTATTGAGTGTTGCTTTATTAGCAGCTACTGTTGCTTGTTTTCTTGACGTTTCAAAGCTAGTTTACCAGAAGCTACAATTAGGGAGGCTGTTCAATCGGGCTGCTGCTGCACCACCAAATTCAGTAGAAATGGTTGACCAAAATGAACCGGTTTCCCAGTCTACTGTTACACCACTAAGTTCAGGTGAAATCGTTGACCAAACTGAGGCGGCGTCCGAGTCTACAGTTGCATAATTTCAGTTAAAGATTACCAAAATCGATTCTCGACAATGATTTAATTTTGTCACGCATGATTAATAGCTTCCCTAAAAAATAAAATTGTTGAGGTTTATCGTTGCCGGTGGTTGATAGGTTTCTGAATTGTTCATTTCATTCGTTCATAATTGATCTAAATAATAAAGCTGGTAAGGAATTGAGTACTTATATCTCTCCGTGGCTATGTTGCGACCATGAACACTACGATCCTGGTCATATCAGCTCTTTTTATACAATTTCTGTAACATTGATCCAAATTTGGAATCCGTTACTTTCTTCAATCTAGATTGTGAATTCTCATCATACGTCATTCATCATACCACACATGATCTGATTACAATGTTCTGAAGACTCTAGAACTGTCAATGGACCTGTTTTAGCCTCTAGCTCTTTCGCGGAATGCCAACCGTCTGTTCAATCCTCTAATTTTATTCTGTCATATCGATCACGTGATGATGCAATTGAACGGTATCATCGTCTCGCCAGCTCCTTCTAACATTATCGTTGTCGGTAGTTGATAGATTTCTGAACTGCTCGTTCAGCTCATTCATAATTGATCTAAATAAAAAGGCAGATAATGAGTTGTCTTGCAACGACCACTGTGGTCCTGGTCATAGCGTCTCCTTTTATACGATTCTTGTAACACTCTGCTAGCTTCAGAATCCGTTACATCTCATCGCACGTATCATACCTCGGATATTCTGATTAGGATGTTCTGAAGATCCTGGAACTGCCAAGGGACCCGTTTGATCTCCCAGTTCTCTCTAATTTTATTCTGTCCCTTCGATCACGTGATGATGCAAGTAAACCATATACGAATGGATAGCTCAGTGAATAGCTTCTATGCCGAGCCTGCAAACCAGTAATGCACCGTGGCGATACCTTCCGATAGCTGAACAGTGCTTCCGCATCTGCCATTATCTCACCTAGAACCCGCTGCAATGTCGCACCGCTCAACCTAAACCATTGTACTCCGAAACCAACGCCGTCATATCCTTGGCTATCTGGTTTCGAATGATGCAGGCTGCTATGCCGACGGGGGCACGGAATGACGCCGCTCTTTGTCTGCCCAATGGAATCTATGACCTTACGGCGCTACTTCCGTGCTCATATCACTTTGTCCGAAACTGACGCCGCCTGTGGCCCCGAACAAAAACCGATCAAACCAAGAATACGGACTTCCCACGTTTAGCAGTGAAGCTATCAGCTCTCTTATATGGATAGAATACTCAAGCCGCCCTATAGCCGGACGTACGCCTCAAAGGCTAGTCCTGGAGAGGGGTGACAGGGCGAAATTGTTCGTACCAAGTGACATGTTCCACACGAAACCAAAAAGGGCGTGCACTTTGCTGTTACCTAGCACTCACTGTTTTCAGCCTAGAAATTGGTCAGGGGTTACAAACATCGCGCAGTCGCTTTGCTCCGTTCTTGCGTCACAGCTCTCCGTCTCAAGCACGTGACCTCCAGCCAGTCAAAAGTCTGTCGTTAAGAATGATTTGGAATCTAAGCGATTTTGTTTGACAATCACGTGACGTTTTCTGCCCTCAATCTCAAATTTTCTCTGCTTGAAGCGCTATAGCAAGATCCTCTATCTCGAGCAAGCGCTTGAAGATCTGGTACCGGTAAACTTCCCCCAACTTGTTACTTCTCTCTCCGTCCGTTACATATTCAATTGATTCATCATGCTTACTGGAAGAGCTTTGAGGCTCACGGCCCGGCGTGCTTTTGCTACTTTACCCGAAAAGCCAGCTTCCAAATCGCATCCCGTGCGCAAATTCGTGTCAAGGGTCGTCCTCGCGACAACCGCGTTTTACGCTGGTGGTGTGGCCCTATCGCTTTACAATGATCAATTTGAGGAGCTGTTTACAGAATCCGTGCCCGGAGCCGAGAGACTCATTGAGTGGAGCGAACTTCTTAAGAACGGATCTTTCCGGGCCTCCCAGGTGTCGCTCGATGAGTTGAAACAGAAGTTTGGTGCTTTCACCACTAAAGTAGACCGTATTCCCAACCATGGTGCGGACCCAACAGTGACCACTTTGCACGAGGCCCAAACTGCAGCGCCGCAACCCACGGAGCCCGTTGAAGAAGTCGCCATGGTCAAACTCACGCTTCATCCTATACCCGGACGCTTCGAACCCACAAGCAAAGCGCATGAACTGGTTAGTTCCGTGAACGAGCTTGTTGATAACGTCAATGGACAATCGATTTTGGTTTCCGAAGACGCGTACGATGCGGTTCAAAAAACTTATATTCAATTGGGTGACGCTGTCCAAGTGCTTGCTGGCGACTTCGACAAGGCACTTGCGGAAGCTCTCGCGGTGAAGTACGGCCAAGCAACCGAGGATTTGCAAGCCAGTTATGAGACCAGATTCAAAGAACGCGAACTCGACTTAACCGGCGATTTTTTGCAACAATTTAACAGCTTCAAAAAACAACTCGAAGAACACTCCTCCGAGGAACTCAAAGCTGCCCTGAAGGCTAACGAACAAGCGCTGCTTGCCAAACAGGCCAACGAAGTGGCATTTTTGTCCATAAAGCAGGTCGAAGAATTCAACAAGATCTTGAGCGAGAAACTTGACAAAGAGAGACAAGGCAGATTAGCGCATCTTGAAGACCTGGACAAGGACGTGAACTCTTTGGGCGACGTCATCGACGCGGTTGACAGATTTGTTGTGCGCGACGAAGTAATCACACAATTGACGTTGGTCTTGGCTCAGATCCAGAACACGCTACAATCCAAGGATTTGCGTAGCGTACAAATCCAAAACGAAATCGAAAGGCTCAAGACTTTGACCGACACCTTGCCCAAGAAAAACTGTTGCTCTCAAACCCCACGTCTACTTGACGTTCTCGTTAACGAACTCTCCGAGCTCACAGAGAACCGCAATTTGCTCTCCAGAGAACAGATCTACAACAGATGGATCCTACTGCAGAAAGACATTGCTACTGCGACGCTTTTGCCGCCCAACGCAGGTATCTTGGGCCACATTTCGGCAAAATTTTTCTCTTTGTTTCTCTTCAACAAGTCCGGTTCTCCTGTGAACAACGACGTAGACAGCGTCATAGCGCGCGTAACCGAAGACCTAAGACTTGCCAAGTTAGATAAGGCCGTCGAAGAAGTTGTCGCTCTACAAGGCTGGCCTCGCGTTCTCTCCGAGCAGTGGCTTCAGGACGCCAGAACAAAACTAGAAGTCGAAATTTTGGTCGAAGCTCTCGATTGCACCGTCAGAACACTATGAACACCAAAGTAGTCATTGGGATCTTTAAAAGCTACTTTATCAGTTAGAGAACCCATCAAAACCATGTGAATATTCTTTAAGTATAGCAGAGTTACTGGTTATATCGTCTTTATCACGTGTAGCTATCTTTAAGAGATGGTTAAGAATGAGAACTGATCTTGATCGAAAAACAGAAACAATTGTCACTCTTCGCTGATAACTCCAGAAGCTCCGTAAGGACTTTGTGCCATGTCAAATCCAGCATTGCAAGTGTACGGTGGTGATGAGATATCAGCAGTGGTGATTGACCCCGGTTCTTATAATTTGAACGTGGGACATTCCGGTACCGATTGCCCACAAGTTTCAACGCCGTCGAGTTATGGAGGATTTACAGGTGAAGAGAATAAGAAGCGGATATTTTCTGAGCAAGCTATGAAGATTGCACGAGAAAACTATGAAATCAAGCCTGTTGTCGAGAATGGTTGTATTACAGATTGGGACGCTGCGGAAGAACAGTGGACGTGGGCCATTGAAAACGAAATGAGATACGAAACAACCAAAGGGATTCCAGCATTTTTGACAGAACCCATTTGGAACAATGATCAAAACCGGAAAAAATCTTTAGAAGTGTTGCTGGAGAGTTTGGAATTTGAAGCCTGCTACATTGCACCTACACCGACTTGTGTGTCTTTCTCTATGGGCAGACCGACTTGTTTAGTCGTGGACATTGGGCACGACGTCGCGAGTGTCAGCCCTGTCATTGACGGTATGACCCTAACGAGGAACTCGACTCGAAATTTTTTAGCAGGTCGGTTCATGAACTCAATTATCGAAAAACAAATGGAACCTATTCAAGTTTGGCCATTGTTCAAAGTGGCCTTTAAAAAGCCTCAATTTGTCGAAAAGAAGTTCCCCTTTAGCGTGGACGATTCACTCTCGACGTTTGCTACTGCCCGCGAGTTTTACCAAGAGTGTAAAGAAACGATGCTGCATATTGCTCCCGTGAATCTGGCGAAGTTCAAAGAAGACCTAATCAATACTTCCAAGAGATCGCTAGAGGCTCCATGGGGCCAGAATATTGTTTTTGATAGTGAAACGCGTTACGGTTTCGGAGAACAGCTCTTTAATCCTCAAAGTGAGAATCTCATAAATTGGCCAACTTCTATAGATGGTGTCGTTGAGTCTTGGCATAACGATTACGTTCCACCCAAGAGAACAAAACCAAATAATAGCAACAAAGACAAGGAAGCAACGGCCGAATCTACGCCCGCACCACCTGACGGAGCGGCAGTGGTAGCGGGTTCCGAAACCATTAATGAGAATGGTAAACGACCACTCGATGAACCCCAGGAGAGGGAGAACTCGGCAGCTGGTTTAAGTGATCTGGTCTACTCTGCTATTATGAATACAGATGTGGATCTACGAGCAGCCTTGGCCTACAATGTCATTGTTACAGGTGGCACATCATCGATACCGGGTCTAACTGACAGGTTGATGGATGAAATGAATAGAAAATTACCCGCTCTCAAGTTTAGAATGCTCACCACGGGACATCTGCGAGAAAGACAGTATCAGGCATGGCTCGGAGGCAGCATCTTATCTAGTCTTGGCACTTTTCATCAGCTTTGGGTAGGCCGGAGAGAATACGAAGAAGTGGGTGCCGAACGACTTCTAAAGGACAGATTTAGGTAAACTCCAAAAATGTATCATAGTTAACTCTTAAAAAACCTTGAATAATTAAACGATCCTTTACGCCTAATGGAAATCTTATTTTTGAGGACAGCATATGCCTTTGCAAAGCAAATCTCGCCCACATTCTATCAAAGCTCTCTCGCGGCTTTTGACAAACTGCGATTTATTGAAAAACTCTAGTTTCTTCTCAACAATTTTCCTTGGTTCTTTGATCTGTAAAAGCTGTGAGAGATCCTCGACCGCGGTCACAAGCAAAAGTTGGTTATCAACGAATATCTTTGTGAGGTTATGGGAGGCATCGGAATAGAATGCTACTGGGAATGACCATTTGAGTGTCGTTCTGCCCTCGATTAAAACTCGTATGCTTTCAGGTAAAAATTGTGTTTCTATCCAAGACAATCCTGTTGTCTCTTGCAGCGCTCTGACTTTTTGTTCCACGGTCTGACCCAGTTTCCAGTCAAGCTTTGCAGAATTCTCGTGTTCGCTGAAGAGTCTATAGTAGAAAGTATATTTCCGAAGCGTTGATTTAGACTCTTGTGGGTCATTCTTATCTTCTTTCTTGAACCTTGTGCACTCGAAGTAACTCCCGCCGTGATCGGCCCATTGCCTCTCACAAATCCAACAAAACTCAAACAGACAGCTTTTACAGGTCATATGGTTACAGCCTCCATTCTTCTCAATGTTCACACCACATTTAGGACACTCTTTGGTATTTTTCAACACCCAATTGAGGTTGGCCGATTCGACTTGAGCGGTTTTAACCCACTGATCAGCAACTTTGCAATCTCCCGGATCATGGGATTCGAGACTGCACCTAAAACAGAATTTGTGCATGTTATCGCAAATCACATAGGGTGAGGCGTGGAATCGCGGAAATTCGGACAAACACGATATGTTTCCAATTTGAATCACGTAGTTGCAGTCCACGAAAGGACACCACTTGTAGTGACTGCTGTGTTTCTGTATAAAGCTTTTCATCGAAGAAAGCATCAGTTTCTGGCTGGAATTCGTGCCGGTCAGGACATCAATATCATGATTTCTAAGAGCCAAAGGGCAGCTCATGCAGGTAATGATTTTACCTTCGCCCAATTTATCTTGAATGTAGTGTCTGTGACAATCCAAACAATATTCATGCCCACATTCTAACGAAAATGCCTCTGTTTGACCACTTTCGCAGCAAATAGGACATACAAAGTCTCGAACTTCTTTAATACCTCTTTCGCACTTTATGTCGTCTTTTGGCTTCAAGCCGCACGAAATAAGGACACCATTGTCATCATCAGTCCAACATTCTAGGAGCCTTTCTTCATTCCATCCAAACTTTTGTAACAGCACGATAATATCCTCCGGAGTCCTGTTTAAGACCGGCTCTAAAGCTTTTAAGCGACTCAGCATAATCTGATATATTTGATCCGTCGTTAAACAACCGTAGTTTAGCTTTGGAGGCCCAAGAGGTTCTAGTTTTCCTGACTTAGAACCTTTCAAAAGGCTTCCTGACTCCAGTTCTGATGTGGCATTCTCTATTCGTGCATCTTCTTCTTCTGAGTAATCTCCGCTCGAGAAATCAAACTCAGAGTCATCGCTTAAAATCTCTATGTTCGTGCTAGAGGGCTCTTCGAAACTATGGCATTCGCTAAATACATCCAACCCACTGTCGCTATCGCTCACATATTCAGGCCTAGGGCTCATTACTGTTCAAAGAGCTATTTATTTTGAAGGTTGTTTTTTGATTTCTCTCTCTATATTGAAGACCTTAATTATTTTTTGGCGAAACAAGCTCGTAAGAGTGTCGTCAAAACCAAGACATTTTGAATGACGGGCCTAGTACATACGTCGATTCTCAGGATCCTTTTCTCGTTAATGTTGTATATATATTCAGAAGTGTTCAGGCGTCTTCAAGCCTGTCAATAGCAGCCTTGATTTTCATTCCAATGCGGGTGCTGAGCTCATAGTCATCTGCGTAGTCTTGGGCTCTGATAAGCCATTTTCTGCATTCTTCCAGACCGTCTAGTCCACTGATTTTCCATGTAAATAGAGCTCGCTCGTATAGTGCAGCGGGATATAGCCATGGATCTTCTGTTTTTTTAATGTAGCGGACTTTGCCATTTTCTTCCACCATTATATGAGGCAGAACCTGAGAATCCAAAATTTTGCATCCTTCGTCTATTTGCCCTAGCCTTCTTAATGTGATGGAAACAAGAAAGTTCTTTATCATTTCCTGATCGCTATCTTTCTCGTCAATCAACGGGTTGCGGTAGACTGTGAGCAATTTATGAGCAAGCTGCAAATCTTCTTCCGTCATTCGGTTGAACCCGTTGTAAAAATATTCTAATTCATGAACGGGCGAAACTCCAATAGCATCTAAAGGATCTTCGATGTTGAATTCCTGGCGGAACTTGTTGAATTGGTCGACTTTCCTCAACATGAATCTGTCTAGTGGAAGATTCTTGGACATGAATTTCTTCTTGCCTACCAGGGATGGAGCGGAATAAATAAGAGACTTGGCACGCTCTTTGAAATAATCCATTTTGTCTCTAGGCATGAGGTCCATCTCGCACATGCGAAAACACTCGAGATAGCAGCACCCAGCAAAATATGTGTAAAACGCATGAGACCATTCATTTATCTCAATCAAAGACAACATGTCTTCTGCGGCCCTCTCATACCGGTGAAGATGGACCAGTGTTAGGGCCCGGTCGAAAACCATCAGCGCCTTGACTTGTTTCATCTCTATTTGGTCAACATCAATCGAGTCCATCAAATCAACCGCATCTTGGAGCCGGCCCCTAGATGATAGCATGCGGGCTTCTTGTAGTAGCCACAGAGCGCTGTTAGGAAAGAGGGCTCGAGCCTGCAATAAAGCACTTTCCAGAATTTTTCCCGGATGCAAGAGCGTTGGCTTGTCCATGTCACCAGCTTTTGAATTCTCATCATTGTTTGTAGCTGGTATATCGAAATCGACGTCGGTAAATTGGAAAGGTCCGTCGTAGTAGAAGAGCAAAGCAAGTAGCCCAATTCCACCGTGAATATTTCTGTCTCTCGTCGATTTCCAAACCATCCGCAACCCTTCTTCCCTTGACCCATGAAAACCAACTACAGAGAGAACAGCACCAATTGCGGGCGGAATCAAAGAAAGCACAACTTGAAGAATTCCAAAGCATAAATTAACACCGGAGTGTATGAACTCATCAATCGTAGCCTGATTCTCATCTACTTCGTCTTCAACATTAGCTGTAGATTTTTTGTCCTGCTCAGTGGTAGTCCCTTGGGGTAAATTTTCGAGTCCTAACTCCTTTCTAAGTCTACTGGCAGCTGGCGAGTTACCAATATGTGAACCCTTCAGGCGGCTCGATCGCATCTTGTAAACTTGCTCGGCTAATTTTAAAAGATCTTTATCTTTTTCCTCTTCTGGGTTAAGCTTATAAGGAATGTCAGCCGATGTAAAAGTTGTGTCCGTAGAGATGAAAGACGCCGTCGACTCATTAGCCCGCTGCTGATATAGCGGCGACTTTTTTGCCATCTGCGCTGTTTTAATCTCATTCAAAACTTCTTGCAACATTTGATATGCCTTCCGGAGCTTGAGCAAAGCTTTGGCACTTTCCACAAAACTTTCGCTGAAAAGCATCAAAAGTGCATGCAAAAGACAAGCCTCAGTGTACGTGACAGCATATTCGGTTCCCGGTGGATAAAGAGAGCTTGTTTTGAGCCCCATTTTCTGATAAGCTTGCCTACTTTTGGCGGAGAGCTGTTCGGCCTGCGATAATGTGTCCGCCGCTTTTTTCATAATGCTAGCCTCAAATCCTAAAGTTGCTTCTAAAAATTCAATAACACCCTGAGCTAGTACATTAATCGTACAATCGCCAGATGCTCCTCGTGAGTTGGTTTTGAGCAGTTCGTGACCCTTTTCGGCATGATCGTCCAAAACAAAGTCCATCGCCCTAAGGGCTACCTCAAAATCATGCGCTTGTTCTAGAATTTTTTGGGTGCGCTCTTCTTCTGGCACCGTCTTAGTATTATAGGAGCCAGTCAATGCACCAAAGACTCGAAGCATTCTGTCCAGACCTGCCCTATGATTAGAGTTGACAATCGTAAAAAGCGCGGGTTTCTTCGTGGGCCTTTTAATAGGAAAGGTTCTAGAGAAATTAGACCAAGACGTTGAAGATGATTGATCATTATCGAAGGGGTCGGTTATAGATCCTAATCACAATTGAACACGTTTGAGATCATTCTTTAGCGTTTTGATCTCATCTTTAATTAGATTTGGACTCGTCTTTTTTTCCTGTCCAATTTGTGGGTCTTGCGGCACGTTTATCACATATCTATCAACACTATCCCATACCCGTTTTTCGATCTTGGTAGGTAGCTTCCTACCGTAAAGACTTTGATCTACCAGCCACATGCCCACTAAAAACGAGGCGCGCGAGAGCGTGCCGTCTTTTCTTATATCTACCATGTCGTAGATAGCTGCCAATTTATCCTGGGGTAAATTACTTCTTGACCAAATGTCATAAACGACAAGGTTCAAGATGAGACCGTCCTCCGGAACAGTTGTAGTCTCGGGATTCCACCAGGAAAGTAGTGACAAATAGCAATTGCGATTGGTCACCCACATGGCTTCGTATCGCTTCCGCTCCGGCTGAGTTACGAAGCCAACGTCAATGTGATGTTTCCAAGGTTTATCCTCATTGAAAGAGCGTTTGTCGACATGATTATGACCAGAAGCCTTCTTGATGCGCTTGCGGATCCGGCTTTTGTGACCCTTCTTAATTTTTTTCTTTTGGTTGTCGAATTGCTCGCCCTCGGATGACGATTCATACTGATCACTTTCGTCTGAGGATCTTGCGGGAGAGTCGGGTTGGTCGTTGCTTGATTTGCGCATCGTAGTCCTAAATCTCACAGGCTGTCCAGTTTTCACAAGCGCAAAGTCGTTGTTATGGAATACGTCAGATCTGTTCTGTTCAGACCCCGTGGAACGGCGCTTTCGATAGAATACAGACCGTATCTTACCCCTTTTCTTGTCACGCCTATGATTTGGAATGAGATCCGGTAATGTTCCCTGGTACTTCACCTGACCAGGCATCTTGTTGAGCGCTTCATAGGGCATCTTTTTGCTGTCCACCTCGGTAGGTGTGCTGGTGGAGGTTGGATCTGGGCTAAGAGAAATCGAGTCCTGTTTATAGTCGTCTGATAGACCGTAGCCAGAAGTCTCACTGTCGCTAAAGAGGCCTTCGCTTTTGTTTTGAGAGGTATAGTTGAGATTTAGATGTCTCGAAGGAGCATCTCCAAGTGAATTGTCTGCATTGGGCGGAGGAACTCTACGAGGTGCAGTCTTCGATACCACATTTCGAGAAGTAGCTTGATTAGCTCTGGTTGCCCTAGGATCAACAGGTGAATGCCTTCCAACTCTACTTCGAAGATCTTCTGAGCTAGAATTCGACATTGAAAAACAGTCCTGGGATCTGCTCGCGAAATAGCTTTTGGACAGTGAAGCTGCCGCAGCCGCTGCACTGCTACTCGAGTTCGCTTGTAATTTGCTTATAATATCCTCAAAACTGGCCGAAGAACTACTTCGTTGGGATGTTCCGCTTTTTATAGACCCACTTCCCGAATTGCTTCTCGAAAGACGGCCCTTATTATCAGCTCTAGAAAATGAAAAAATACTGTCATTCTCCGGTAATCTGAGGTGAGATTCGATAATAGCAGACTCTCTTTGAGCCCTAGCGGCAGCTTGTCTTGCAGAAAGTGACGGCCCATTTTTTTCTTCATTAGGCGGACTGTGAGTTACTTGCAGCGCTCTCACGACGCTAACTTTCCCATTTGCCTTGGAAGCAGGTCGCATAGACGTATTCACGGTTACGGCTCGTCTAATGGGTCTTGCAGGCGTAGGGTTCTGTTTCTCTTGCGGTGCTTCGTTCGTTGAAACACTGGAATGCTTCTTGAAAATCGCTTGCGCAGCTTTCAACGACGCCTCATTCATGATCGCATCCTCGTTTCTACGATTCCCGCTGTTCGTCGACACCGTATGATGCCTTTGAACTTTACCGAACACCATTGTTTCCAGCTGGGACCCCGCTTTCCGACCAATGGACTTTCAAAAAAGCTTCAATACCTCAGTTTTTGACCGAACAAGAACACAAAGCTCTGTGCTGAAATACTCTGATGGTTTTTTCGTGATTAAATTTATTTTATACCGTTCAAATCACCTTTTCGGTCTCTTTATTGGTCAAACCACTGGTATTCGAAGATTTCTACAATGTATTTTCAGCCCTTCTTATTGTCGAAAACATATACCATTGAACACTGTATACAAGATGGCCGAACAAATAACCCATAAAAGGCCGATTAAGATCCAATTCGACAGACCGCAGCGCAAACTTCTGCAAGATTACTATCATTTGAAAGCCGACGGTTCTAACCATCCAAAAGACGCTGAAAGTGATCCAGAAAAGGCTAATAATGTATTCGTAGATCGAACATCGTCGAAAAACTCATTGAAAGTCGATCGAACCGAGCCAGCAACAAGTTCCAGCGATGACTTGTTGAAGAACGGTATCAAAGGGACGGCGCTCAAGGATCTGGTACATGTGCATAACACTTTACTCAGCAAAGAGACCGCGACAAACAGTACCATAAAAAACACCATCTACGATAATTACTATGACCTTCTCAAAGTGAATGAGCTCCTTAAAGAAGTGGCTCAAGAGGCTCCGGAACATGCAGATCTGCTGAAGAAAGCGTTGGCCGTCTTGAGGGGGGATTTAGAAGAGTAAACGAATTTCCCGACAAAGTACCACGAATTCCGAGGAGCCTCAAGAAACCATACATGGTTCCCTTAATTAACTCGAAATCCTTCTGCTATAAGAAGCCAGGAATCTAGGATTCTCGTTAGATGACAGCTGGACCAACGGAGGAGGCGATGATAATGACACAGCGTATAAAATGACACATCTACTAAGTTAATCCCGATTTGAGAACTTTTCAGTGCCCTATGTTGTAGATAACCAGCTAGCAACCCCGATTCTGGCCAAACTGGTAAAATCGACTTTTCAGGAACTGCGGGCTTTCATAGGCTTTCTCAGTATCTAACTGATGGAACACACTCTGGAACCTATAAATTCTCCAGTTTTCCCGGTTGAAAAAGACCTAGAAATACCGGCATCCGCTCAGCCGTTAGGCCAGACTACATCTATCCAAGTCTTTGTCGAACTTGCTGAGCCAGTTGTGTTTCTGCAAGGATTTGAGCAGCATCAGTGGGATGAGCGACCACCGGGGCTTTTACGTGGATCTTTAATTATCCGTGTGCTTAAACCAAGTAAGGTGAAGTCGATAAATCTGAAGTTCCGCGGAGTTTCCAAGACAGAATGGCCTGAAGGTATTCCACCCAAGAAACAAGAGTTTATTGAAGCAGTCGACATTGTCAATCACACGTGGCCGTTTTTCCAATCCGAAAACAGTCATGTTCCGAACAGCAACAGCACAGATCCTGACGATTTGCTGAAAGGAAGTAATGCGTCGATTTATCGACCTCTGAAAAAAAAGAGCAACAGTGTAAGTTCGATTAATTTAAATTCAGCTTCTTTAACACAAGGTATGTCCAAACCGTCATCTTCAAATCTACTGCCCATTGGGAACATTTTGCGACGAGCTGCTTCTCCTGAACCTCATCAGCGAACTCGGGGTAGTGGTAGTGCCTTATCTGATCTGGTTACCGGAACGTTATCGGACGCCAGCGATAGCGCGTCTGTGTTTTCGCGGGCGTCGTCTGGCACTGAGCCCTTCATTTTTCAGCCGGGCGATTACATATACTCCTTTGAGCAACCAATAACGCTTTCTTGCCCTGAAACCATACAGGCTTCGTTTGGCTCCGTCACGTACTATTTGCAGGTCACAATAGAACGTAGCGGTGCTTTTAAGTCCAACATACATGTCAGATGTCCCATTCAGATTGTAAGGACTCCTTCTGATTCTTCTGTTGAGGAAACTGAACCCATTGCCATTTCAAGAGACTGGGAAGACCAACTGCACTATGACATAGTTATAGCGTCGAAGGACATTGTCCTGGACGCTTTCCTCCCAATCGCGTTTCGTGTTACTCCACTCGATAAGGTAACCTTGCACAGAATAAGAATATATCTTACAGAAACACTCGAATATTACTGCAAGAACAAAAAAGTTCATAGACTGGAGCCAACAAAGAAATTCTTGCTGGCTGAACATAAGGCACCTCCAATTGACGATTTGCCAGATTCTGCGAACTTGTCAAAAGCCAAAAACTTGGGTAATCTTTTAGTAGACTCAAAGTCAGGCGACCTTGTGTCGAAAGAGTTCGAATATCAGGTGTTTATTCCAGAAAAACTTAGTATGCACCAGCGCGTCCATCCAGATACATCTTATCAAAATATTAAGTCCAATCACTGGATCAAAATATGTTTGCGACTTTCGAGAATAATAGATGGGAAAAGAAAACATTATGAAATCAGTATTGATTCTCCAATTCACGTTTTGCATAAACTTTGTTCTCATGCGAATACGCTTTTACCAAGTTATGACACACATGCTTTAATTCCAGGAGCTGACTATTCAAAATTCGGTAACAAGAGTGTCAATTTATATCATGATTCTAACCTGTATTTCCCTAAAGACATCATCAACTCACCAGTGATGTCCCCTGAAGTACACGCCATGGATGAAAGAATCGGATTTTCCTCTAGAACTCATGCGCCAAATCAATCTCAGTTACATCATGGTTCGTCACACAGGAGATCAGATGATCAGAAAACGAATCTTGATGATGCCATACTCAATTCGCCAGAGTTGAAGTCCAACATTTATCACCCCGAGAATTTGCAACCGGAACTCGCGTCACCTCAAGCCATTCCTCTTTCTCCCATTTCATCTCCCATAGCAAGACCCATTCACCTGATCCGTACGCCAAGCTTTGAACCTCCTCCATTTGACGCGGACTGTTCGCCTCCACCAATGAAGTCAGGGTTAGTTATCAGTGGAGCACCAATACATCCTCCCACATACGATGACGTCCTTTCAGCTGATGGAATACGTTTCAACGGTGTCAAACCGGGATTTACCATTACTGACGTTGATGGCTCTTCTAAAGTTTCTGCAGCTAGTACGAGAAGAGATTCTTCGGCCAGGTTTGTTGAAAGTTCAGAAGATATTGCTTCTTCTTTTTCGTTCGGGGGATCTGTCCCTGGATCGCCAGATCTTCCTGGCGCTATTATCAAACCACATCAAGGACATTTGAAGTCGCTCACCTTGGCTGCAGGAATGAACAGGCAGGACAGTATCAATGATAATTTACCGTCAACAGTGAAGAATTTCAACAGTGCTTACAGTGATCTTAACGATGTTTTAGGTTACCCAGAGGGTACCGAATGCTCTCCCATTTCTCCACCTAAAAGCCGGACATCATCAGTTGCGGCATCACCGCGTTCCTCTGTGGATACTGTTCGGGGATATCCTTCAAATGTCAAGACAGCCGGAAACATGGAACCACTTCTACATACAAAAACCAACAGAACGATGGACACGTTTCTGCAGTCAAATGATTCTATTGGTCAGTTTAACGATCTGCCCACTGAGGCATCTGTGGATATCACGGCACTGTATGATAGGAATTCCAATGCATGGCATCCTCTGCAGAATGAGCTTTCAACGTCTCCAATTCCAGGAAGGGACCTGGGTTTTTCCTTGGCTAATGGCAATACGGTCCTAGAGGACTTCAAGCGTGCCTTTAGAGTCCCTGTAAAATCAGAAAGCCCAGAAAACGAGGGTTTCTTAAGGACGGGCAGCACCACGAATACAAGCAAGGGGCCAAGTTCTTCCAATTCGCAGTCAAGCGATGAAGGGAGGCTGGATTCTCAAGTCAAAGAAACGCTGAAACAAAAGGAGCATACAAAAGAGCGGCGTTTGGAAGAAGGCATTGCAGAATAGCTGAGAATCCTAACCAAGATTGTTACTAAGATTTTTTAGGCTAAATCATTTTTTTTTGTTTCGAATAAACGCTCAGACTTTATATTGGAGAATTGTACACTATATCTTCTATGCTTCATGATTAAACGTAGATCCGAAAAACCAGAAGGCTTATACTCAATTTCATTCAGCTGTCAAGCCATTCATCTTCCAAGAGAATTAATCACAGACATCAATTCGTTTGGTGTATATTTGATGTGCTTTCGAGGATTTTTGAAGGTATCTTTGTATCTGCCATAAAATCTCTCATAGAGAGGCATTACAAGGGACGTGATCTCCTTTTGGAGTAATTTTTTCATCGCAGGATCTGTTATCCTGAAATGCTTGAAATTGGATGCAAGTTCTTCGAAGCCGTCGTTGAATTTTTTGAACTTCTCTTTTATTTGATCTTTATCTTTCGATGAAACCTTACCAGTACTGTCAACGAAAACCGCGTCCAGTAAATTTGCTGTCAGGCTTCTCCAATCCGAAATGAAGTAGGCCACATATCTATCTTTCAATTTCTCAAGCCTAGCTTTTCCTTGTTCACTTAAGACTGAACTTAGCTCAGAACGAGAGACAATCTGTTCAACAAGAGTTATGTTAGTGATGAGAAAAAATCCGATCCTTTGCTTATGCGTATTCCGAGAGCTTTGAGGATTTCCAATCTCTGGTTCTTGATGAGGCATCAGGATTCTTTGTGCGCGTCGCTCCAACGAGATAATCAAACAATCAATGCAATCACTGAAAAAGCAGGAAATGAGAGCACGCGGATCATCGGTTACCAAGCCCTGGAAAGTATATGCCTTTTCTTGAAAATCGGACGGTAGCCACGAAGCCCTTGGCATCCCTTCAATTGCGCTCAGACAGCCCGTTTTGTATTCGCTGAATTTACGCAACCTTGACATCGCGTCTACCGTCGATTCTGTTACACCGTTGTCAGACGGGAGTTGTGAGAGAGATTCCGCCTTTCCGTCGATGTACTGAACGAGTTCTTTGAATAGAGACTGCAAAACCAATTTGATTTCCTGACCTGCAGAGACCAAAGGCTCGAATCCATTTAGAGGCTTACCTCTCAGAATTCTCAAAACGTTATCGACACAATCTTTCAACTCGAAACAAAAAAGGCCAACGTGAGAGAGGCTTTTTTTGACAAGTGAGAGATTGATGTTTACAATCTTAATAAAATTCATTAAAACGGGTTGAATGATTTTCGAGAAAACGATCGGTTGACTTTTGGGCTGCTTGGCATAAATTTCTTCGGTGAATGCGTATTCGTTGGCGATGAACCCCACTAAAGCATCTGAGTAGCCTATTAGCCCGCTACTGCCCTTCGTGTAGGGAATGTTCTCTTTGGTCGTAATTTGCTTTGCGAAAGGTTCCAGAAATGCTAAACTCTTGACAATCAATTGGTTTCGTCCGCCAATAACAACGTCTGAGATTGAACCTCGGCCACTTGCTTCAAAATAATCGACCAAGGCTGCTAACTTCAAGATATCGTCATCTTCATAATATGGAAAAGCCTGTTTTTTGTTCATGCATATCTGTGGGTCGAATGGCTCAATTTTATTGAGAATACCTGTAAAATAGCTGTGAAGAGAATTTTCACTGTCTCTAATGAGTTCACGGAGATGGTTCTTCACGCCTTCGAAATCAACAGATTCCGCGTGTCCTTTTTGCTGTGATTCCATATCTTCCGTTATGTCTTCTAGTTTGTAGATGGCCTTGATGTAGGCTTTCAGGCCAACTTGTTCCAAACCCTGCGAAAGCACGATTTCGTGCTTCGATGCCTCGTTGGCCACATCTTTGATTGAAGATACCGATTCGATGCTGCTCTCGATGTTTCTTTGCAACGTAGCAAGCAAAGCACTCGAATTGATAATAGGAGTAAATAATGCGCTGCATTGCGCTGTGGTGCGACCTATACTGGTGAGAGAAACTTCGATTTGGTTAGACAATTCAGAGAAATTTTTGAGTTTTTGGCGCAGAACCAGCACATCTGCTTCATCCACATCGACTTCTACCATTTCACATCCAAATCACTTGAAGACAGAGCTAAAATCTGAACTGAAAGTGTTTAGTTGATGGGATCGTTAAACCGGTGTCACCATACTACCCTGGAAGCTTGATCTTCATGTGAACCAATATTTCGTATAATGTGATCAATGTAAATCAAAACACAACGGAGACGAATACGAATCGCGAGTGCTTTCCAGCCATCAAGGTGATTTCTTAATCGAAATCATGTCGTTGGGGGCTATTGAAAATACAAAAAGCTTGCTATGAATCCGCTAAGCACCAAGAGGCGTGAATAGACCTACTGAAAGGACTAATTACATCTTCGAGCAAGTCAAACATCTCCCAATCAGGCAACGGAGCAATTTCTCGTTAAAATTAGATTCGAATTAAGAATTCGCCAACTACTTTTGGGGCTACTTCCCTATTCCACCCTCAAAAGTGATTATTTCTTCACATGTCACGAATAAAATTCGTGAGAAGAGACAAGATTTCTCCACAGTCCTGCTAAAACATCTCCTAGCCCATGCTCTGCACCTTGGCCCACTACCTCTATCGAATTTAATGGATGTATAGCTCTACCTTTGTTTCCAATAGTCCAGATGGCCTTATGAGGGAAAATAAAATCAAAAGTTACCTTTCAAAACAAATCTTTATCCTAAATCGATACCGCGTTAGCCCACTCGATCTCCAAGATCGCGTATAGACTTAGCCTAACGTTCCTGGTTGATGTCAAATCACACTCTTAAAATTCATAACCCAATTTTTCGAAACAATTTGTCAGCTGCGGTTCTGACAGCAAAAACCATGCCATGACAGTGTGCTCAACACAACAACTCCTGCACTTGTTTCTCAATCTCAAATGTTGAAATTGAAATAGAACTTGACAGTTTTCTGAGAACTTGTTAACAAATCTAATTTATCTTAGAACGACTCCAACTAACGCGCTTATCGTCCAGACATAAAAACACGACGTTACGACGGAAGCTGTAAGATACGTTTATCTTACTCTAATCGTAAACTGATCATTGTTTTCGATCCTAAGTTTTGCAGCAATTAGCACTAGGAAAGAAGATGTATAGGAAGAGAACACATGGTTTCTCCGTTAATTATTCACCTGGCCTGTTAAATTAGTGTTTCATACGTTCATTATCGCAAACATTGTAAGATGGTGGTGAACCAGCGAGTGGAATGGTTTTCTTTCAGTTCTTAGTATAAAGCACTGTGTAGAGCTCCGAAGACCTCCTAATTCGACACTAACGCATATTTTATCAACATGGCTGGGCGGGTATTTCGTATACAGTTATACACATCACAAACTGATCATCATCAATTGTGGATCCTTCTTCAAAGACAAACATCTCAAAGCTAAACTGCTTTATCAGAGGTTTTCAAATTTCTAACGTCAATGACACGTATTATGTGTAGTCATGCGCAAGAGGTGGAAGCCATGCTTCCCTTGAGGTCCGTTTTATCTCTAGGCTGGGAATGTATCAGCCAAAAATTTGTCTGTCAGTCACCCCTTACACCCCAATCGTTTCAAACAATTTTGAAGTTTCTTTTATAGTAATGAACCAGTTTACAGATTATCATTATTCACGTTCACGTAACAGCATCTGACCCATCTGTTGAGGCGGTTACTCGAGAGATCCTAATCATATACCGTTTCGCCGATCACAGGGCCTGGCCACAATGGCTGATAGTCGACAAAAATCTGTCAAGCAACTCGTTACGGAATTAGAAGCGGCGTCTCAGCTACAACGGCGAGGCAAAGCTTATAGTTTTCGGTGTGATATTTTCGAACATAGTGGACAACTGATTAGTTGGAAGTTCAATGAATGGGATTACGGCAAAAATAATATAACTCTGCCAACTAATGCGCGAGGACTGTTCATCTCAGACGATCCTGAGGACCCTACGATTGTGGCTCGAGGATACGATAAATTTTTCAACGTTGATGAGGTTAATGCTACCAAATGGGAAGAGCTCGAAAGGAACACCAAGGGACCCTACGAAGTTACTGTCAAGGAGAACGGGTGCATCATATTCATATCAGGCCTGGCAGATGGGACACTAGTCGTATGTTCGAAGCATTCAACGGGTCCTCGAGAGGACTCGGACAGAAATCATGCTCTGGCAGGGAAAACGTTTCTGGAAGCTCAATTAAAAGCCCTTGATATTGACCCCAGGGCATTAGCCCAAAAACTTTACCAGTCAAGCCTAACGGCCGTTGCTGAGTATTGCGATGATTCATTTGAGGAACACATCTTAGAGTACACGAAATCAGACGCTGGACTTTATCTACACGGCCTCAATTACAACCAACCCACGTTCGCCACGCTACCGACTATTGAAGTCCGCAAATTTGCCGACGAATTTGGGTTTAAGAAGATTGAATATTTGGTTAAACCAGACATTTTCTCACTTAGAAAGTTTTTGGAAAGCTGTTCAGAGACTGGTTCTTACCAAGGTCAAGAGATTGAAGGTTTTGTAATAAGATCCAAGATCTTGAATGGAGAGGCGTTTTTCTTCAAATTCAAGTTTGAAGAACCTTACTTGATGTACAGACAATGGCGGGAGGTTACTAAAGAGTATATCCTATCCAAATCGCGTGTTTTCCGATTCAGAAAGCACAAATTTATCACAAATAAGTATTTGGACTTTGTCATTCCTATTCTCGATTCAAGTCCAGATATCCGTGAAAATTATCTCAAGGACATAGGAATTATCAGCATGCGTAAGCAATTCTTGGACAGTTATGGCCTATCTGGGCTCGAAATTCTCAATCACGAAAAGGTCAGGGAACTTGAAATGCGTAATGCTGTGGATTACGACAAAGTTGATAAGAACACAAAATTTATCATAATTCCCATTGCAACTATAGGATGTGGGAAAACTACCACGGCCCTTACTTTGAAGAATCTTTACCCTGAAACTTGGCAGCATGTTCAAAATGATGACATCACTGGAAGAGACAAGTCAATGCTAATGAAGAAGTCTTTGGAGTTGTTGGCTCAAGACGGCGTGAAATGTGTAATCATTGACAGAAACAATCACCAATACCGTGAACGAAAGCAGCTTTTTGAATGGTTTACTGAATTAAAAGAAGACTATCTACCCTATGATTGCAATGTGAAGATAATAGGTGTAAGTTTTCTCTCGTACGAAGACGTCGAAGATACCACCAGTATAACAATCAAGCGGGTCATGGCTAGGGGAGACAATCATCAAAGTATCAAAGCCATCAGTGATGGCCAAAAGAAAGTTTTGGGTATCATGAATGGGTTTTTGCAAAGATACCAGCCCTTGAGGGCCGACGCCAGTCCTGATTGCTCATTTGACTTTGTTTTACAGTTGAGCGTGAAAGAAGAAAATTCGTCACTTCTCAATGCAAAAAGAATTTTGACAGCATTGCATAAAGAGTACGCTGTCCTTGTTCCGAAATTGCCTTCTGATTCAGAGATCAATAGTGCCTTCGAGCAGAGTTTGCATTATCGTCCTACTATCACAAAGATAGTCAAAGGGCAAGATAAAAAGGAATTCAAGCACAAACCCATTTATTTTTCTGCAGAGGTATCCGACGTGGATGGTTTCATTAAAAATCTATCTCAGCTCGTGGAGAGCTCATCGAATGGCGTTGACACGACAGTTTTCGAAAAAGTTATAGAAGAGGGCAGATGTCAGAAATCTCTTCACATTACGCTGGGCCACGTGATATCGGGACGGAAGGGTACGAAAAAGCAGAAAGACCTGTGGTGTGAATATAATAAACGCTATTCTGGGTATCTTTTGAAGTCGAACAGCACGGTTTCGAAAAGCTTGATTAAAACGTCTGACTTTGTAAATTTCAAGTTGGACAAACTTATCTGGGATGATAAAATTATGGCCGCGCTAGTTCTATTGGATGACGAATGCGTTTTCGACGAGAAGACTCAAACGCCGGTTCCCCATTTAAGCTGCGCTAATGAATATTCGCACATAACGGTCGCCTTGCTTCAACCTGGAGTCAAGCCATTTTACTCCAATGCTTTATGTCAGGCGGTCACGCGCGAACACGGTAACGTTGCTGGTAATCATCCGGATGGAACGACTAGTGTCATTTTCAAAGACGCTCCTACACTAAATGCCAGGGTTTGCATCAACATCTAACAGCTTTTCATTTAATAATTTATCGATTTTCCTATTGATTCCTTACATGTCATTCGTGTAACTACGCTTCCTGTTCAAGGACCTGCTGAAAAGTCACCTTTGTTCACAACGAAGACGTCCAAAGCAGCCATCGCCGCAAACAGTCTGTTGGAAGCTTGCTCGAACACGATAGAGTGTTCGCCGTAAAAAATATCTTCGGTCACTTCCTCGTGGTGTCTTGGAAGACAATGCATAAAAATGTAGTCTCGCGCAGCATGAGAGCACAGTTCCGAATTAACTTGGAAGCCTTGGAACTGCTTTAGCTTGGCGACTTTGGCGAATTCTTCGCCCATCGAAATGAATGTGTCTGTGACGACAATGTTGGCGTCCTTCACGGCTTCTGTAGAGTTGTGTGTGAATACGAATTTGGCGTTGTTGCTCTTGGCCGTGCTGTGAGCAATCTCGCAAATCTCCGCATCCAGTTCGATGCCCACGGGTGAAGAAACCGAGACGTCGATACCGACTTTTAAGCAAGCAATCGCCATGTCGTTGATCACATTGTTGGCGTCTCCGACCCATGCTACCTTTAATTTTCTCTTGTTGTAGTCTAGATGTTCCTTTATCGTTAAAACGTCGCAGATGGCTTGTAGCGGATGAAATTTGTCGCACAGCGAATTGATCACTGGAACGGACGAGTGTGCCACCAATTCTTGGATCTCGGAATGCTTATTCACCCGAGCAAAAATGCAGGAAACCATCGACGAAACCACTTTTGTTGTGTCGTAGAAACTTTCATTGACGCCCATTTGGATGTCTTCTTTGCCCAAAAACATGGGTAGCGCTCCGAAATAAGCCGCAGCTCCCTCGGAAGAAAGTCTTGTTCTAGTCGATCTCTTAGAAAAAATCAAAGCGACGGTTTTTCCAAGCAGCTTCAAATGCTGCTTCTGCGTTTCATTGATGTCATTTGCTTTGAATAGCTTTTTGAAGTGTTCTGCTCTTTCTACAAGTATACGGAACTCTTGATCGCTGAGATCCTTAATAGAAGTCAAGTGACGCATATTTGAAAGTTTAAAATCGAAATCTGTTCAAATGGTTATGTCGTATGTCGCCTCAAGCTTCGAAGGGTTCAAGACACGGGTTCGTCGTTGTTACCTGTACTTAGAGGACTTTTTTCCAAACCTTCACAACAAAGCCGCTTTATGTACGCAAATTTGTTCAATTTCCCACTGATGGCGATTTCCTCAGCGTGTGTGAGTCAAAAATGGCAGGTCAGTGAGAGGTGCATGACACACGCTAACTCTGAGCGATACGGCTCTGCCAGTAGTTTTATCTACGTTACTTCTCAGACAACACGGCACGAACGGCACAAGAACGAGCACTATGAGAAACGTTACTTCATATTCCAATGCAGCCAACTCGAAAGCTAGAGTCATACCGAGTTTTTTTTTGCCTTGCTGATGATTCCTTCGCGAGTTCGAACTTTACGTAACTCACAGTATTTTTTTATGTCCGCGCGGCTGGCTTAAAGGAGAGTTTCCTTGAATCGAATACAGGTGTTTGATAAAAGAAGTTTAATTTGTCAGAGCAGATTTTGATCAAGTCTCATGCTCTTCAATGCGTTGAGAACCAATCTCTCTCTGTACGCCGCTTCTTTGCTTGTCGGACTTTAAATTTCGTATGGAATGATCCTCTGAAGCCACTTGAGTCACTCAAGTTGAGTGCCCTCTTCTACGACGTGGAATGCAAGCACAAGCAGTACCAAATGTACAAAAAAGAAGAGTGAATACGTGCGGCAGCGGCATCTGTCGGGCAGTAGCATTTGAGCCTCAAGAAATGTGGTTTCGATATCTTGTGTAATCTGATACGGTGACGTGCGACTTTGAAGGTCGTCCGGCACGTGCACAACCTTGAGACGAACAAGCACTGTAAGATCAAACTATGTTTTCGTAAACCCAGTTGTGAATAATTGGATTAATTTTCAGTAACAATTCGCCAAATCGATGAATATCAAGCTTGTGACAAGAGAGTGGATTTTCGAGTCGTCAAACTCCATCAGTAAAGGTGAGAAGAACGGCCTAGTTGTGGTAGCTCACCCCTGTAGATTCTGTAAAGCTGCATAAACTCATGGTGCAATCTGAGCCAACATTTTGATATGAATCAAGATTGTCCTTCCCATCTTCGGTCAAAATCTGAGGCAATTCTCTTTCACGCCAGAAACATGTCATCTTTTGTGCCTGTATTTCAAGTTTTCTGGCTGAGGTTTCTGCTGCTCTTCCTTTGGGTTTCTAGTGATGAGCCGTATCTGGTGAGTTAAATCATTTTCTATCGCACATCTGTCTATCCTGCGGCTGTTACGATCAGTTTAGCCGCTCAAGTCTGTACGCAAGAAGCCCTGGAAAATGTCTGAAGTAACTACACACGTCAGTTAGACTAGCAAACCCTTTGCAACGTCTCTTACGAGGTCAAGAGATGGCACCAGGGATATATCTCTACCTCCCCAGCTATGGAAATTTGTAGCGCAACGAGCTGCAAATACAAGTGTCAACATCTCCATCTTCCGTGATCGGAGCGACGCCCTATTTTCTTCTATGTCCTTGTTTCAACCCTCTTTCTTCTTTGAATTATCACTCAGAAGAAATTCATTTAATGAAAGTCACTTTTGACTTTCCATATCATCCTTAAACGCCGGACTTTACTCTAGATCAACAGAATACAAGAAACCACGATGGTATGCAGCGTTCTGGGACTCTTGAGCTGACCAAATTACTGACATTATATGTTTCCTAGTTAAAACTGCGACAGATGCAGCAGCGAAAGCAGCAGGAGAAGCAGCAGCAGAGTGGTTCTGCGCTAGTACTGGAAACAAGTCTGACTCCAGCGCAGTTGCGATTAAGGCAAGATTTAGCCTCGATAGATATTCCACCGACCGTTCTGCTCGACGAGAGCGATCTACTTGCCAATTCTACGGCTTACATGACGATTCTGCCTGATGAAGGTTTCTACCGTTCTGGGACATTCAAGTTTTCATTGCATTTCAAAGACACATATCCCATTGAACCGCCGAAAGTCAAATGTCTTAACAAGATCTACCATCCAAACATAGACGTGAGTGGCAACGTGTGCCTGAACATTCTCAGAGAAGACTGGTCGCCAGTTTTGGACCTCCAGAGCATCTTAGTTGGACTCCTGCTGCTGTTCCTGGAGCCCAATGCCAAAGACCCCTTGAACAAAGACGCGGCATTTGATCTTCAAGCCGATGCGAACAAGTTTGGTGCCCACGTTCAAGCGACTATGCGCGGAGGCGTTCTGCGAAATGTACGGTACGACCGCGTAGTTTCCTAACTTACTGAGCGTTATTGAAGTATTTCTGTGCTATACAAAAACCGTCGATGGCATAATTGAAGTTATACAAAGAGACAAATTTCTGGCCTGTGTCAGAATTCGGCGGCACCTCTGAACCAGCCATGCGAGTGCCGAGAAAATATCAAAAATCAGATCACTTACATCTAAAAAGGACGTTTCCTTTCATGAACTGTGTGCGAGTTCATACGCGGATATGACCACTCACCGTCTCCACCTCTTCGTTGTCTGAGCTGATGACAGTTGGTTTCTGGTCTTTGCTGCTGATGATCATGGGAGCTCTCGTGCTAAATTCTGAGGTCACGATGCTAGGAAACGTTGTCGTCCTAATTGTGGCTTTGGGCACAAAACTTTTGCCGAGGACCCATCTCGCAGTACTAGAAGTTGTGGACTTGAGAAATTTCATTTTTTGGATGTGTGTGTCTGTGTTTTTGGTTGACAATACCCTATTATCGATTTAAGCGTCGATCTAAGAGCTTTGGACTATCAAATACTACAGTAAATCACAGAGCCACTCAGAAATCTACAGGTCTACTTATATGTTTTTGGAAAGATCAGGGCGTGGGCAGCCCACGCCGTCGATAACTTTCCGTATCCCGCGCCTCCCTTTTTTTTCATCCGCCCACCTCCCTAACGGGGTTTCCTCTCACCTTCTAGCCGTGGTCTGTCTACATACAATTACCAACAGCACTATACGACTCAGAAACGTGAGCGATCTAAGCCCCACTTCGCCCGAAATCCAAGCCTAGGTACCCGGTCGAATTAATTATGAATCCGATTCAACGGAGCATCCTAAGAATCTCTTAGATTACGCGCTGAGTTGCTGCTTCGGAGTTAGAACTCGTGTTGCAATGAGTAATACTTGATATTCCTTGAAAGCGTTAGGCGGGATTGATGTCTGAGGGGCCCAATGGAAGAGTATGGATCGATCTAGAATTAGTCCGAACCCCTACACCCCCCCGTGATAATTGCATTTATCCGAAACGAGCTCTATACTTGTGCCAAGAATAAACGTAGGTGTGTGGGTGTCAAGTTTCGGTCGAAAGTTGAAAATAGATTCACGTGGCTATCCTTTTAGACGGGGAGTTCTTCAAGCATTTATCCGAGACCTAAGGTGTGTGGGTTCAGTTCGGTCGAAAGCAGGAAATATAGTCACCTTTGACGGCCCTTCAATTTGGACTAAGTAAGGCTCTTTTTTATACAAAAACATCACGTGAGTCGGGTTTCCCCTAGGCAGTTGGGAGATGACAAGCATGCTTAGTGGGAAGTCTCTCATCTTGGAGTGTAGTCCGTGCCACGGAATGCTCCTCAACCATGACAAACATTAGCAGCTAAGCATATTGCGATCTAAATAAAGATTTTTCATCCGAGCAACTAAGAATACCGAAATATAGGGTGCCGCGGTGAATTTGTTTATGGTGCAATGTTACGCAATTGATTTTTATTAATTGGGTAGGTTTCACCTACTACGGGACAAGTTGAGACCAATTTCCGTGTTCTAATTTTGCCATTTCTTAGATGTCCTCTGACAATACGCGCCAAGAAGTCCGGGTTTCACTGCGTCAGTTTCGTGCAATAGTGATCGTTCTTGACTATCTAAGCAAGTGCTAATGAAACCTACAAAATGCCAAGCACAAAAAACTCGAGATTCTATAAGAAGGGGTCAGTTCTGGTTTCTCGTCTTCTGTAGCATTATTTCCACTGTTTAACCAAAGTTTAAAATGGTGGTGTGGACGAAAAAAACCTTATTACTTGGACCTGTTTTCGAACAACTTGCAGCAGTCAAAGCACATGACAATGACTCTGCTGATAAGAAAAACCAGCCAGTTGGTGGTCTGGTCTCTGTGAGAGTTGGTCATCCGCAAACTCCATTCCCGCAGTGGCTCACGGATTTTACTGGGATTTCTGAATGGCCAGGAATTGATCCTCCTTATATTCCTATGGATTTTATCGATTTTAGTTTAATCCCTGATTACAAACCGTATCCACAAGGTGTCTGTGGTGCAAATCCACGTGAATCATGTTCGTTCGATTGCGACAGATGCGTGGCTCCCGACGATGTTTTTACCTGCCGTAAACTTTCACAAACGTTTGACGACGGTCCGTCACAGGCAACTGAAAGGCTGCTCGACTCATTGGATCACAAGACAACTTTTTTCAATTTAGGTGTGAATATTGTAAATTATCCCGAAATTTACCAAAAAATAATTGATGCTGGTCATTTAATTGGCACCCACACTTGGTCTCATCCGTTCCTGCCCAGCCTTACAAATGAAGAAATCATTGCACAATTGCAATGGTCTATCTGGGCCATGAATGCAACAGGGGACCATTTACCCAAATGGTTTAGACCCCCTTATGGTGCCATTGACAATCGAGTTCGAGCGATTTCAAGGATGTTTGGTTTGCAAGCTGTTCTTTGGGATCACGATTCGTTTGATTGGCAATTGATGTCTGACGATCCTTCTGTTAGAACTGAAGAAAGCATTTACCGTGACGTGCAAGAATGGAAACAAGAAGGCACTGGAATAATTTTGGAGCACGATGGAGCTCATAAAACAGTAAATGTTGGGATAAATGTCAACAAAATTATTGGGGATGATCAAATGACTGTTGCCGAGTGTGTCGGAGGCATTGATTACATCAGAACATTTTCATCTTCCAAAAATATCAGTTCATTCAACTTATAAAAAAGAATTCGATTTAGATAGAGTAGAGAACCGAGTTTTTAAATTTCAATAGGCGTTCTTCTTTTTTCTTGCTAGGAAGTAACTGGTTCCCCATTCAACTCTGAGTCTTTGATCAGGTGTCCACTGGCATTCTTTAGTGATTTCGTCAATGAGCATTCGTGCAACGTCTTTACCATCTTTGCCATGCTCTTGCTGCCATGAGTGATATGCGCTGAAGCTTTGGACGTAGCTGCAGAGATCATTTGCTGTGTATTCCTCCTTTCTGATCATGAATTCGGTTTCTTTTGGACTTTCAAGTGGGATATAGACGTGTGATTCAATGTCTTCAAATTTATTAGCCGGAATCTCAATTGTAAGACCAAAACTCCGTAGATGTTTTTTCATGCCGAACTTCCAAAGAGGACCCAAGTAAAGAGGGTCATCATGAATATACTTTTGAAAAATCTTGTTGGCTTTAGGATAGTCCAAAAAAATTGGCTCAACGTAAAACCAGTAGGCCAGGGTTCCTCCGGGCTTCAAAGCCTTGAACGCGGCATCAAAAAACTTTGGATGATCTACCCAGTGGATACATTCTGCACCTGTAATAAGGTCAACAGAACTATCGTTACATACATCTGAAACATTCTCTGCAGACGATTGTAAAAATTCAGTTCTGTCTTGAAGGTCGACTTGAAGATTTTGTTTCAATTGGCCGGCCGTGGCGAGCATCGTAGCTGAGGGATCCGTTCCAATTACCTTGGCAAAATAATTCAATAAGGGAAAAGTTGCAATTCCAGTCCCACAGCCAACATCTACACAAACTTCCCTTGACGCCGTCCCATGAAAATTTATCACGGCCTCATACAAGCTCTCCGGATAGGTTGGCCGATTCAGCTGATAATTTTGAGAGTTAAAATTTGCCTGGCTATAAATCGACATTTTGAAGACGGAGTGTTGAAAATGAAACGATAACTAGTGGATTTGGAATAATGCTAACCTATGTACCCCGTACAATTTCATCTAAAGGGCTCTTATGTACAAAAGTCTCAACTGTTCCCTGAAATAAATTTGTCACTGGTTTCGCCGGTATCGGCGAAAGTATACCGGTATCGGCCTAAAGTTGACATTAAACTTAGATGCTTTTGAAGGCGCGCAGGTCCCCCGCACGATGATTCATTATATTGGCAGATTCGAATTGGAAACTCATGTCTATCATTCCCCCACCTCTCCTGGCAGGATTTCTTCGCTAAGACAGTTTGAAAAAAAAATGGTATTCACATACGATTCCTTCCTTTGACAGAATGTGTTGAACAATGAGTGAATTGACCGCTTACATTTGAAGACAAGTAAATCCATTTGCCCGTGTTATTGATTGCTCGAAATTAAATCTGAAACCTCTGATTTTTTTCAGCGATCTCTTCCTTGCCCTAGGCCCCTAAGGTGACTATTCGAAGCAGAAATAGTCAGACTCGTTGGCTGATTAAAAGTTAACATATGAATAAGGAATAAGTCCGGTCCAGTGCGAAATTCCCTCGATGAGCAAACTAAGGTAGGTCCTCAACAAGAATATTTATCCTGTTCTTTAAAAGGGCCTCAGACGTATAATTAGTTGTACCCGGTTTCGATGGCGCCGAAACATGCGACAAATAAAGTCGAACATTTGAGGCGAGATATAAAGCTCCTAAAATCCAATTCTTTCTGGTTTTGGCACGGGCCAAAGAAGGAGTAGAAAACACCCGTAAATTATTTCAATGATACCAAAAGTCTTCTTTCGTCATTGCTGTCCAGCTGAAGCAAAGTCGAAATTACAGGTAGAAGTTGATCTCTTTGCTCCCTGTGTTCGAGGAATCCAATGAGGACATTCTTTATATATGCAATCTTTTCATTGAACTCGAAATTGGATCTTCCTCCATGGGATGGTGAAAAATCTGAATTTTGAGCACCATTTCCAAGATTGACAACAGAATTACTCCGGCTTGGCATAGAAATGACTGAATTGGAACGCGACAGAGAGTTTGCAGCACCCTTTTCTCTAGCCGACGTCAGTTGACTCGAGAGAGACTTATAATTCTTCGTAACCTTTTCCAACTTCTTCTCTAGATCTAGATTTAATTCACGGAGCTCCTCTTTCGTGACCTCAAGTTTACGAATTTTTTTTTCTGCTTTCAAGAAATCTTCCCTCAGACTATTCAGAGTGAAGCTAACCTCATTAGAAGTTTTATTGTGCTCATCCGCGATATCCTTCATTTTTAGGTTCGCGGCTTTAACTCGTTTTTCTTCTTCTTCCAACAATTTGATCCGCTCCTGCAGGAGATGCACCTCGTCCTTCAATCGCGCATTTATTTCCGTTAAACTGCCCATTTCATTGTTTAATCTAGCTGTTTTCACTGCAATCTCAGACTGGAGCTGTGACCTCTCCTCATTGGCGATTTTCTCTTTTTCTTCTAGTTGCTTTGACTTTTCCTCAAGATCTCGCTGATTTTGGGACAATAGTCTTCGCATGGCAGTCGCTTCCCTTGTTCTTTCTTGCAATAAGCTCGTATTCTCGTTGAGCTCATCCTCCACGGAGGATAGACTTCTGAGGGCCTCTTTTAACTTCAAATTTAATTCCTCATATCGCTTGCGATATGCTTCTACTTGATCTGAAGAGTTACTTTTCATGTTTTGTAGCATCTCATACTTTTCGCTAAGAACATCGTACCGTTCGGAGAGTTTACCATTTTCTTTGATAAAACTTTCTAGTGAGCTTTCCTTCTTGCTGAGGTTGGCTTTCAATGTTTCGTTTTCTGCTTTCAGCTCTTTCATTTGCTTCCCAAGCCTTTCAGCTTCCACTTTGACTTCTTTAAACCTCAACTTTGCCTGTTCTTCTTTTGCACTATACTCTTTAACTTGCTGCTCCAAGTAGGTTACCGTTTTCATCTTCTGATCTAGACTCAGCCTTAAGGAGGACGAATTCCTCTTTAGATTTGAGTATTCCGTCATCTGATCGCCCAAGGTCTTATTTGACTGTTTCGTCTTATTCAGCTCGTCGTTTAATTGCGCATACTTGTTTTCAAATTCTCTTTTCTGCTTTGCAAATTGATCAAGAGCTGATGAGGCCTGTTGTTCTTTGTTGGAAAGTGTCTGAGTCACTTTCTCGAGTTCTTTCCTTAGATTTTCTGCTTCAATTTTGATTTCGCTGCTGCGCTTAGAGTGGTTTTCCTTCTCTTTTGTAAGTTCTTCGATTTTGTCTTGCAAAGCCTTCAGCTCTTCGGACTTTCCATTTTTCGTACCCTTGAGTTCATCTTTAGCTTCGACAAGCTCGTTGCCCACGCTCCTTACAATGTCATTCATATGCTCGAGTTCTTCAGACTTGCTTTTGAGAAGTTCCCTCACTTTTTGCAAGTCTTCCTTCAGGATAAAATTCTCCTCGGTGAGGCTGCGCAAACTGTCATCTAGATCCCTGCTTGCCGAAGAGGTCTCGCTTTTATCGGTATTGTCCTGTTCAACGTTTTTGTTGGAATTATCCGCTGGAGACAGATTTGCTATATCGTCTTCCCCATCGGCGAAATCTTTGGACTGATCAGGAACTGGCTCTTTAGCAGGAACGCTATTTTTCTTTTTGCCCTTCTTTTTCTTCTTCTTTGAATGAGAGCTTGCCTGAGTGTGTGCGACGTTTTTGGCATCCTCTGAGTCCTGATTGTTTGGAGGTGCTTGAAGCGCTCTGCCTTTCTCAAGCTGTGCTTTCCATTTCTCGATTTCTGACAGGGCCTCGCCAAGTCTAGTGTCCAGATTAGTTTTTTCAGATTCCTCGGAGCGTAGTTTTTCCCTGGTCTCAGCGAGCTCCGATTCGCTTTGTTCCAGTTGCTTTTTGATCTCAAGATTCTCGGACACCAAATCCTCATCCACCTTAGTAGTTTCAGATGCTTGATCCTTTTTCAGAAGTTCATTATCTTGCCGCAGCTCCTGGATTTCAGCTTCATACGTGGCCACTTTCTGAGATTTTTCATTATTGTCTAGACTCAAGCGCTTAATTTCGTCATTCAGCATCGTAGTCTTAGTTTCGAGATTTTCGAAGAAGCCTTGTAATGAGTGCAAATCCTCAAGCGATGAGACCGGTGTATTTTCACTCAAAACTTTCTGAATACTTAGAAGCTTTTCATTTTTAACCTTCTCGTTCTTGTAAGCGGCTAATAGGAGCGGATATTTCTGCTCGTACTTCTCAAATTTTCTCAATTTTACTTGGATGTCTCGTGGGAGATCACTATTAGAGTCGAATTGATCCTGCCCATCATTCAAATCCTCGCTCAAGCCCTTGGCGAGCTCATCAGACAAGTTCTTGCCCAACTGAGATAGCTGCTTAAACATGAGGCAAGCTCACATGTCATTCGAAATATCAAGTAAGGTGAATTCAGGATCACTTAAACCTATCAACAGAATTGGGAGTTACCCGGCCAACTTCCTTTAAATCCGATCAAGCAGCAGGAATACAGTTGGTAGAGTCCAACCTAACCAGCAGTTCATCTCGTTAATATACTTCCAATTAGTTTATATAAGTCCCTAACAAGAGGAGGTGATTTTTTCAATTATTATGCGAGCTAACCAGCACTAGATGTCTTTTTTTTGGACCTGCCAAATCTGGATAATTTTTCGGATTTTAATCCGGCAACTCCGGTTTTAGAAGATGCAATGGACGCGGCACGAGACGGAGGTTTCAAACCGGTTGAAACCCCAGGACGTGGCTCAACAAGGAGCGACTGTTCATACTGTTTCTCGATGCTTGGCACGTGTTTCATGACTTCGTTGATGAATATTTCGATGTCATCGTAACGCTTGAATTTGTAGCGAAGATACTGATAATCCGAAATTTCTTTCAAGATATCAACTACTCTGGAACGTTTGCTAAAGTTGACTATTCCAGCAGTTCTGTGCAAATTGTCTGGGTTGCCTTGAGCAGTAAATGTCAAGTCCGATAAATAAACGCCAAAAAATGGTACACAAGGTACATCATGGACGCCCTTCAGCCACTCTCTGTATTTGACAAAATTCTTCATTGAGTCCATGAGCATATTTAGTCGATCAAGCACGTTTCTTACGTCATCTGGAACCACTGACCAAGTCTTCTTTAAACGGTAAATGGGTGACGAATATAAGGCCGAAATGATCGCTGTCATTGATGAAAAATTATTAAGCTCGAAACAGTATTCTGCAATGCTAATGAAATGCTGAATAATTTTAGCCCTTTTTTTTAAATTCAGCTGTCTAACTATGCTGTAGGAAACAAAGTTGGTCAAGCTGTTAGCGCTAGAAATAAACGCGGAAATGTTTTGGGACCCACCGAAATGACAAAATTTCTTGCTCCATATACGGTCGAGACACTCAAATGGCGTAATTTTGCAGTAAAGATTGTGTTCTTTTATGGTCAATTGCTTCGCAAATGTATGAGGGTCGATATTGAGAAGTTTAAGCTTACGCATTCTGAAGCCATATCCTCCCATAGATTCTGTTGAGTTCGTCCAGGGTAATCTGTTGCTATGCTCGCTAGAAACATCATCTAAGCTCTCGTTATCAAACGTAATTGTGTTAGGCACGAATTTTTGCAGATTGCCCTTCAAAGACAGGCGTTCTTTTGCTTCAGCAAGAAGAGCAGGTGCATTTGGTATATCTTGTGCTACTGCCAATTGTGCAAAACTTATGACGTCGTCAATTCCCGGCTCGTAATATGCAGGTGTCCAGTAATGCGAAAATAATGTTTTCATGATGTTGACGACCCTCGCCTTTGTTGGCTCAGCCTTTTTCTCAACCCAACTGTTGTATTCATCATAACTTAACCCTTCCGGTGGATAAACGCTATAACGATCCATCAAGGCATGAAGAAATTCGCTAGTTGTAAACATACTCCGAAACGTGACGAGGAAAGCAATATTGAAGGGCGCATCTATGAGTTGGTGACTTGTGAGATGCTCCAAGAGAGCATCCCTAGTGCCGCCTTTCACCCTTCCATTGTTGTCATAAATCAACGAATATTCATGCTCCGAATCCAAATACCATGGAATGTCCTTCGAAAAACTTCTACCCAACGATTCTCTGAAACCAATTTGCTCTAATTCACTGTCTGCAAGCTTGGAGTCGGCGTCACCCTCATCAAACCATCGTTCTTGTTCTCCCATCAACAAGTTTGCTATTAAATCATTTTTCATCATTCTCGCCGCGAAGTTGAGAACATTTTCTCTTTCCTTTACTAATTGCTCGACGATCCTTAATGCTTCTGCAACGACTTCGATGACCTCTGCTTGAGACTTTTTGAGAAAGACATCCGTATCTTGATAGTTAAAGTCGTTGGATTCAACGTCTTCCCGTATAAGCTCTCTCCGGCAAGCTTCAGTCAGAACCTCTTCTTCTGGCGTATCACATCTGTTGTACTCTGGACTTAGACCGAAAACAAGGTCACCTCTCATTGCCGAGAACACATAAGGATCCTCCACCGTGATGTTCTGCAGACAAATGACATTTTTGCTGAACACATCATGCAGGGTTTGTTTCATGTCGTAAAACTCCAGCAGTAAAGGAGCAGCAGACACCAAGGCGTGCTGCCGCAGTTCCTGACTCTCCTCGTCTATTTCCGTGTTCAGCGCAAGATCTCGCAGATTCACGAAAAATCTCAAATCCAGGCTTTCAAGTATGTCAAGCACGCGGACCGATTGACTAAGCCCTTTGTAACAGTTTGCACTAATTTCCAAGTTTCTTCTTTTCGTCTTGGGCTGATTGATGAGTTTTTCAAAACTCTGATAAGATGTAGCTGAGAAATACTGGAAATGCTTTCTGAGAGAAAGCATAGTTTCTTCGTTTAATGGAAACTTGTTCTTCCTAGAAGTTTTCGCTTTGGCCACTTCTTTAAGAGCGGCTTTATCTAGCTCGGATGAGCCCTTTGACAACCATGAACCATCCAATGTAGTTGCTTTGCTGCTTATACTACCGAAAGGCTTGGGGGCCGAATCCGCACTACCGGGTGGGAAGGCGCCCACAGATGAGAATCTCGTTATTTCATCGTCACAGTGCAAAAACGCATTCGTCCACGAACCGCCATCGAACACGCCTCTAAAAAGTCTTGGGTTCAATTGTGGCAAGGGTAAGTCTTCCGTAAAACTTTCTTTTACCAACTTGTGCAGAAGCCAAACAACTCTGATCAACTCACCAAAGGAGGTATCGACAGCCTGGAATAGATTTTGAACGGAGAGAGTAGAGCCTTCGTCGTACTGAAAAACGCTACCCCTAGTTGATTGAGAGCGGCTATTCGATCCCAAATTCTGAAATCTATCCCTTAAAAAATCGTCTTTCATCTCCGCTTGTTGAGCCATGGACTCCTTGAATCTTAAAGTATCAGTTGTACTAGTACTGGCATTTCGGACAGCCGTAATAGGTGCACTGGGGTTGATCGTTGACACGGAAACTCTGATTGGCTCGTGTACGGCCGTGCTAGCGCTACCCACGCTTGATTTATGAATAGCCGCCACCTGCTGCTGCGTGACCGAAATTTCTAGTCTCTGGGGAGAACTGAAATACAAATTAGCGTCTATAGTTATGCTTTCGACAGCGTCGGCCAATCTGTTGAGAGTTCTCTTGATATCACCCTTCGGACCGCTCTTAAGAACCTGTTCCCTTAGAAGCCTGAAAGCCATGTGATAGTGGATGCAAAACTTGGTCGCTTGCTCGAACTGAATGGTGAAAGTACGATGATCATTTTGGAAAAAGCTTGCATATGCGTTGCGCGCATGGTGAAGTGTGCTGTTTCGCAGGTCCGACCAGGAACCAACATCTGTGCGGTACAGATAAAACAACTCCCTATTAGCTGGCAAAGTGATATCGAGTGAAAGCTTTCTCATGGACGAGTCTCGCTCGCCTTTGCTGCTTTGCTTGGTATTAATGGTTTGGTGATCATGCTCACTGGTATTTGGATTGCCTTTCATGCCCCCGACTGAACTCGTAATATGGCTGCCTTGTGACATCTTGTTCCAGGACAATTTGGATCTATCGTCCAGGCTAGCGCCCCGACCTGTGGCAGATACACGACGAGCGAAATTTTTCCCCGGGAACGGGGGGCCGTTGCCGGCCTGTCCACGAGCATCGAGGGCCTGTGCCCCGTCTGTCTCGGTGCTAGTCAAACTCGAAGTGTCAAACACTTTGGTCTTGTCAGTGTTCATGAGCTTCAGATTGCGCGGGAACAAATCTACGTACCAGTCGTAGTCTGAAAACACGCTCTTTTTGTTAAGACTCGGATTGTGTAGAAACGGTAGCGTTCGACAGTAAATGTTGTAATCGCGGTTGTAAAAAATGACTTTGCCCTCCGAGGTGGGCACCGGGGACCAAATTGGTGGGGAATCGTTGTGAATGTTACCAAATATCATTTCGACTTCTTCCAGACTAAGGACGTTCATTTTGGCGCTGTCGGCGGCTTGTGACTTTCGGCGCCGGTTCTCGTCCGCGGGCATTTTCTGAAGTGGGTCTATCTGTAGTTGGTGTGCAGCGGGAACCGTGGGTGAAGCTGTGGACGCCGCAGACGGCGTTCCAGACAAATTGGACGCATTGGAAGGCGCTGAGACACCAGACATGCCCGAAACGAGACTCTGACGGCGTGAGCCGCCAGAATGCTGTGATTGCCGCATGTCGAGCCGGTAGTCCTGCTTCAGGTGCGATGAGGGCGACGCATTGGAATGCAAGGGGGATTCGCTGCGCAAAGCCAATTCAGCCTGCAGCAGCGCGGTCGCGGTAGCGGCCGCACTGCCGCGACGACTGGCGGCGCTCGCACCGGCGCCGGCTTTACTCACCGCAGCGAGTGTGATGCCGCGTTTGTCCTTGTAGGGCCGGGTATAGTTCTGCGGGAACCAGCCGCGCATGCAACGGACACCGGACGCCGTAGCGCGTTCGGAGCGCTCGGGGCGCTCGGGGCGCTCCGAACACATCACAAGGCCGTCCCACCACCCGGACTCGTGCTTGCTGAGCACGTATACGAAATCGCCCGGTAACAAACGCAGCTGGCTGCGTTTGGAGGGCACAAACTCGTATTGCGCCACCACCACGTCCTGTGGACACACGCTGGCACTGCTGTTGCCGCTGGGCCTGCCCACGCTGCTACTGCTGTTACTGTTACCACCACCACCACCACCACCACTGTCCTCGTGCGAGGAAACCCGCGATATGCTCATGTGTGTGATGGCTATACTCAAGGGAAGACCGTAGGGTTCGTCCTAACACACAATTCTGTACGGGGAACGCTTACTGCTGATTAGTTCCAGGGCCTCGCGGGAGTTGTAGTTTCTCGCGGAAACGGGTTCTCTTGGGTCGCTAGGTCCCATGTCAGATATATATATACCCTATGTCCTGTAATAAACTTTTTTTTCCTCTTCAGGGTCACCTCATACGGCGACGGCGCCCTTGACGCGCGCCGTCAAACCGTCGCCGTACGTAACGCGACATCGGTGTCTCGGCCCCATTCCCTTCTCTGCATTTTCTCACTACGTACGACCCTTGCACTTTTTTTATTTTCGGGCCTGCATGTGGTTACTGCCGGTATTTCCCGCCGGTATTTCCCACTGGCACACCCACCCACTGTGGGCTGGCGCACGCCAGTGGCCTACTCTCTTGCTACCATCTACAGTGCGCGCCACCGTGGGATAGTTGCCTGCCCGTTGTGTGACTCTCAGCCAGAACATCCATGGCGCAAGAAGCGCGCAGATCCGGCATTTGCTACCTGTGGCAACAGCGCACGCTGCAGCATGCTGCAGCATGGTATTTACGCGTTTCCACATGCAACCCCTGGCGCGCGCGTTTAAGGGGTTGTGGTGCACGGGTTTCTTTTAGCCGGCCTGCTCGAGGCAGGGGCGAAAAAAATATAAACTCGCTCGCGGCGGCAGCTAGGGAGAATACGGGCATGTGACCAGCGGGATGGGTGTTGATCCATCTTTGTGGTGGTGCGGTCCGGTGCCTTATTTCCAATTACGAGAAACAGTTGAATACGTAGTGCACGGCGTCTGATGGGTTTTGGCCAATGAGTGAGCACAAACATGGCGGTTCACCATCTGGCGCCATATGCGGTGTACAGTTTATACTTCAAAGGCACTAATGGGATTGGCAAGTTATCGGATCTGCAACACGGATCGAGGCTCGCTGGGACATCCATAAGCGTTTGTTCTTGGTAGTGTGATTCTTGGTGGTGTAGGATGAAGGTCGTTTTGTGAGCAGGGTCTTTAGAGTAAGGTCTTTGGAAGCGTTGAGTCGCCATGGGGGAATGTGAAAATCGAGGGAGGTAACATGAAAAGTGCGGGTCACGTGACCATGGAGCCTGTGAGATGTCTTCGTACACACGTACATCAAATTTTGATTTTCCGCCTTATTAGAGTCACCGCTTGGACAAAACTCACCCATCGACATCCCTCCAGCCTCAACACCCCACCAATGTCACAGGAGACCATTGAGCAAGTCTCCAAGAGCGTCGAGAACCTCTCGACGCAAGAGCAAGCGGCCCCCGTCATTTTGGGCGAAGACGGCCAACCATTGTCCAAGAAAGCGCTGAAAAAGTTGCAGAAGGAGCTAGAGAAGCAGAAGAAAAAAGAGGAGAAAGAACGGCAATTGGCCGCTGAAAAGGAGGCCCGCGAGCGTGAGGCCGCTGCTAATGACACTGCAAAGGACAACTACGGCAAATTGCCTCTTATCCAGTCCACTTCTCGGTCCGGTGTGCCTCGCGTCAAGTTCGAAGACCTCTCCGAGGCCGACGACGGCAAAGAGGTTGTGTTCCGTGCCCGTGTGCACAACGCGCGTCAACAGGGTGCTACGCTCGTGTTTTTGACCCTCAGACAGCAAGCCGAGTCCATCCAGGCGCTCGCCAAGTCCAACAAAGAAGGCACCATCTCCAAGCAGATGGTCAAGTGGATCGGCTCCGTCAACCTCGAGAGTATCGTGCTCGCGCACGGTGTAGTCAGAAAGGTCAGCGAGCCCATCAAGTCCGCTACCATCGAAAACCTTGAGATCCACATCACTAAGCTCTACACCATCTCCGAGACTCCACAGCAGCTACCCATCTTGATAGAGGACGCGTCCCGTTCCGAGGCCCAAGCCGAGGCTGCTGGTCTTCCAGTCGTCAACCTCGACACCCGCCTTGACGCTCGTGTGATCGACTTGCGAACCGCCACCAACCAGGCCATTTTCAAGATCCAGGCCGGTGTGTGCGCGTTGTTCCGTGAGTTTCTGGTTAACAGGAACTTCACCGAGATCCACACTCCTAAGCTACTAGGTGCTCCTTCCGAAGGTGGTGCCAACGTTTTCGAAGTCACCTATTTCAAGGGTAAGTCCTACCTAGCGCAGTCTCCGCAATTCTACAAGCAAGAGCTTATTGCGGCTGACTTTGAACGCGTCTTCGAAGTCGGCCCTGTCTTCAGAGCGGAAAACTCCAACACGCACCGTCACATGACCGAATTCACCGGTCTCGATCTCGAGATGGCCTTCGAGGAGCACTACCACGAGGTTCTAGACGTCTTGGGCGATCTTTTCGTGTTCATCTTCACCGAGCTCAACAAGCGCTACGCCAAGGAAATCGCCCTTGTCCGCAAGCAATACCCTGTTGACGAGTTCAAGCTTCCAAAAGACGGCAAGATGGTTCGTTTGCACTACAAAGACGGTATTGCCATGTTGAGAGCTGCCGGTAAAGAAGTCGGGGACTACGAGGACTTGTCCACCGAGAATGAGAAGTTCCTAGGTGCTCTTGTCAGAGAGAAGTACGACACCGATTTCTACATCCTTGACAAGTTCCCATTGGAAGTGCGTCCCTTCTACACCATGCCAGACCCAGAAGATCCCAACTACTCCAACTCTTACGACTTCTTCATGAGGGGTGAGGAAATTCTCTCTGGTGCCCAGCGTATCCACGACCCAGAATTCTTGAGAGAGAGGATGTCACACCACGGTCTTTCTCCTGCTGACCCTGGTCTCCAGGACTACGTCGACGCTTTCACCTACGGCTGCCCCCCTCACGCTGGTGGTGGTATTGGGCTTGAAAGAGTTGTCATGTTCTTCTTGGACTTGAAAAACATCAGAAGAGCTTCTCTCTTCCCAAGAGATCCCAAGAGACTCAGGCCATGAGCTCTTAGCGTCTATCACTTGGTCGCTTATCCGGTGCAGGGTATACCCCGGTATATATGGCAGAATTAATTCCACAATCACGTGCTACCTTCTTGTTAGGCTTGATTTCGTTAACGACAAAATATATAAGTTTACTTGGTTGATGAGAAGTCAAAAGTCTCGATAAGCTCAGCGAATAGTCCCATGTCAGCCAATCCAGGAAACTCTTTACGTGCATTGTCTCCGACTCCACCGGAGCGTGGTTCTTTCCCGCTTGATCACGACGGCGAATGCACCAAACAAATGCAGCAGTATCTCAACTGTTTGAAGTTGGTAAAGGGCGAAAATGCGCCGAATTGCCGATTGCTAGCCAAGGGTTACCTAGAATGCCGCATGGCTAACCAGCTCATGGATCGAGACGAATGGAAAAATCTAGGTCTCCCAGAAGACGCTAAAAAGTAGTTTTCGTACTGAAGGCCTACCCACGGCGGTTTTTTATGCATGCTGGAGAAAGGACAGTACGAAAGCAAGCGAGGGCCAATGAGAGAGCTTTCTACTTACGCGTAACAGCCGCCCTTTCGCATATCGAGGTAACCTAGAACACATCGGCATTTCCGAGCCAAAGACAGCATTTATGATCACGAGAACAAGATCCGACAGCGCCTGCGACGCGAACAAAGGTTATGAATCAGTGGCGAAACACGTTTTTGATTATCTACATAGTAAATTTTACATTAGATAACTTCAACTCGCTTAAGCCAAAGTAGACAAGATGTCAGAGTCACCGGCGTCCAAAATGGAGACGACACCGACTCTGAACAACTTACCAACGGCAGTACCCAACTCGTTGTTGCCACCTTGGAAGTAGTACACCTTGGTCTTCGACAACATGGCGTAGTATTCCAACTCAGACTTTCTCAAGACTGGCGTGTTGGCAGCGATAACAATCAACTTAGCCTTACCTTGTCTCAAAGCTTTGACAGTCGACTTGTAACCAAGCGAGTACTTACCAGACTTGATGACAAGGGACAACTTTTGGTTGATAGATTCTTGGGACTTAACTGGGGCCTGAACTCTATTGTTAGTAAACCTGTCTCCGTTTCCAAAGTCATCGCACCACTTTCTCTGAAGAGAATTACCACTGGGAAGGCCTCTATCTTGGAGCCCGAGCCGCACGAAAATTCTCTTTAGCGTAGAGGTCGCAACCTACTAATCATTACTGACCATCTCTGTGTATTTATTCGAGTTATTAATGTAATAACACTCCGGTCTCTACCTGGTCTTCTGAAAAGATGTGTCTCTCTAAATGAACACTCCAAATTTTCAGTTTATTCATTATCCTATTGAGTCCATACTATTGTACGAAATTTGAACAGCTTCACGGCCCAATCTTCATTAGAATGTGTGACTGCTTTCTTGTACTGCAATGTCTGAATACACACCCAAACATTATCAAGAACTCAATGAACCCACACATTTGGGACATTGAAGATTAACAAATTTTCTGAGTGGGTGGCATTTATGGCACAAGCATTTGGCGATACCAGGGGTTCATTACTCATCGGCTCTGCAGGGAGGTCGCCTCCGGATCCAACCGCAACCATGGGACTGGGCAGGGAACGGGGCCGGAAACACAGGGCAGCTAGGCCGGTTCTCCGCCTAGCTCCCGGCTCGCGTAACATGTTCCCATGCGGTCAGTACCACGGTTGCTGAGCGGACGCACGCTGTGCGACCACTGCATGTCCTGGAATACCCACCTACACTGAATCTAACAGACATGTTGTCATTTCCTTACGAATACCTACTGGTTTTGAAGCCCAAGCAACAATAGAATAGGTATGTGTCGTTAATGAGGGTCAAGTTGCGCGAGTTGAGCTGTGCGGAGTTGGATACGTTCCCTGAGAGCTACGTTTGGCGCAGGAAAGAAATGGTGCTGATTGAAATTGTTGAGAAATCCAATATAACACCGGTGTGACGGTTCCAATGGTATTGGGAGCATGTGGTGACAAGGCGATAGGAAGGGGAATTGGATTTAGGGTCGACGATACGAAAAAACTAGAAATGGCTACTGGAAATCAAATATCGATCTTCGACACAGCTAGCTCTTCAAAAATCTCGAGGCTTTTTTATTAACATCTTACAGTCGAAAATGAAGGTCGAAGTTGACTCTTTCTCTGGCGCTAAGATCTACCCAGGCAGAGGTACCTTGTTTGTCCGTGGTGACTCCAAGATCTTCAGATTCCAAAACTCCAAGTCTGCTTCTTTGTTTGCTCAAAGAAAGAACCCAAGAAGAATTGCTTGGACTGTTTTGTTCAGAAAGCACCACAAGAAGGGTATCACCGAAGAGGTCGCCAAGAAGAGATCCAGAAAGACCGTCAAGTCTCAAAGAGCTGTTGTCGGTGCCTCTTTGGAATTCATCAAGGAGAGAAGATCCGTCAAGACTGAGGTCAGAAAGGCTCAAAGAGAGGAAAAGGCTAAGGCTGACAAGGAAAAGAAGAAGGCTCTAAAGGCTCAAAGAAAGGCCGACAAGGCTAACGCTGTTGCTTCCGGCTCCAAGGTCTCCAAGCAACAAGCCAAGGGTGCTTTCCAAAAGGTCGCCGCTACTTCTCGTTAAGGGAAGAGTTTATGACAAAATTGCAAAATTTCGGTCAGATATCTGCAAAGTTTTTCTGTGTACTTCTTATAATTGAAATAAACAATTATTCATAATAGACCCTAGCAAGGGGCGGTGTGCTATCGAGGCTCACCGGGTCTCGCAAGAGGCCTCAATAAGTTTCGTTCTATGTTGACACTTTCCTCTTGGTCACATGAGTTGTAGGTAAGCTCGACTTCTCACATTGTCATCTCCCCTCTGGGTAATGTCATGTTCGAGGAATTGAAGGAACCGAAATGCTGCCCGTCAAGAAAATGTTTACACCTCAAGAACCCTGTAACTGTCGTTTTGCAATAAGTCTTCTAAATGAGGTCTCTCTGCCAACATGGTCGAACACTGTAACTAAACGCTATTATTGCCCAAACGGAAACCGTCAATACAGGAAAAAAGGATAAGTCCAAATCCGATACCCAGACTTCGTGAAACCACTACTGTTACCATAAAAGAGACTCTAGAAATGAGAATCATCTCTTAATGTATTTGCTTTTAAGTTGTGTAAATGCTTCAGTATACCAGAGACACTCATTATGAAACTCTTGTCATGGTGTACTGTAACTGTTTTGAGTCTTCTTGCCACAGCCAAGGCAGACGCATCAGTGCAGACAAGTGTGTCTTGTGGAACCGTTCCCACGGGGGGAACATTGGATTCGACACCTCACAGTTCGAGAACGGCCACAATTCTGAAAAATGGTGTCCCTATGGTCGGAGTTTATGAATATTATAGTTCTTTGACTTTTGTCGTCAATTGCTCTCCCACCTCATCTGCAGGTGCAAATGCGATTATTACCATATACTGAGGTTTTTGCGACTCATTTTTGCGAATTGAATTTCCGAAGTGTTGTTAGTATGAAGCGCCAGGAAGAATGTGGTGCCAACTTCGAAGAGCTTACAGATGTTCTGGAAGCCAATGAGTTTCAAAACTGAATGAAAGCCAATGCCGAGTATTTAACAGCGTTGAAGAATTTTTTTAGAAATTCAATGGTACCATCTAGGCTTAAATCCCTAAGGTAAAGGTTTTTCAACCTTTTACTGTCTTGAGCTTATAGGTTCTTCAATAGTTGCAATGACAGATAACTCATTTTTTACTCAATCATCTGGGACGATTATCAACTTCTAATTCGCGTGATGCTACCATCAATTTTCAACTCTTCCAGGCCCTATACGATGACTCTCAACATTGGCCCTTCTCCTTCCTCATTGTCGTGCCAATCAAATGTTCTCCTACATTCCGAAAACTCTGGGAAAGGCCAAGTGCCATCATTCTTCGATTTTAAGACATACTAACAGATGGGTTTCTGCTCGTGGCGTGGCAAATTCCGCGAAACCCAAAAGACCGAGCCTTAAAGAGCTAATGCAGACTTATGGGTATTCAGCACTTGGAATATATCTGGGACTGTCAATGATAGATTTACCCATTTGCTTCTTCGCCGTACATTCATTGGGCGAAGAGAAGATCAAGATATATATGAACAGAGTTAAGAATGTAATTGGATTTGGGAAGGAAGAGCAGGTGCTGGTCGAGGAGCTCATGCGGAAAGCCGAAATTGAAAAGCAGACTGAAGACTCTAGTCATAAGGACTCAAAGCCCTCATTGTGGACGACAATGAAAGAAAGTACATTATTGACGGAATTCCTGATAGCGTACGGCCTGCATAAAAGCTTGATATTCATCAGGCTTCCAATCACCGCGGCTATTACGCCCTCTACGGTCAAGCTACTACAGAAATGGGGGTTCAATATTGCTGGTTTGAACAAGAACTTGAAAACTGCAGGGGAAACTGCCAAAGTGAAGTATAAAAGTGGAGATCCCAGTGATTTTGTTAAAGGTTCACAAATCCCAAGACAACACCAAACTAAGGGTCGGAAATGGTTTGACGGCCTTATGTGAAGCCCGTGATGTGCGCGAGGTTATTTTAGTGTGCGTTGACTTGGCGAAGCGTTGATTTATTCCATGTATATAGTAGCCCTAATAATTAACCTTTAAATTGAAAAATCGAGATAGCATTTGTGTCGACCCGTCAATATTTACAGTTTGGCCTGTTTGCGACCAACTCTGCACTTGATCAACCCATTTGGGTGAGGAGATGGGTAAAACAATTCATTGTCGTTGTCCAAGCCCTTCCACTTAAAGTCGAACAGAAAGTAGTGCTTATTTGGTAATTCGTAGCTTACGAAATCAACCTGTGGGGCCTTTTTCAAGATTGCCGTAGCCATGTTGAACATCGTGGCCTGCACGGATGGTGAGTTTTCTTTGGCAAAAATATCAAGGGTAATATCACGCGCACTGTGATATGTATCGTTAAAGATGGCATCCTTGGATCCAGATGCAATTGAATTCAAACAACCAAGCTTTAAAGGGTTCCACTCCCAGGTTGCAAAAATGTCGGTCGATAAAATACGGTCGGTAGCCGGTTTTAGAGTGGTGTAGTCACAAACGTTGTAGCCATAGAACATTGAGCCAGTAGATTTAAGAACAGTCAAGTCCTTGATCGCTGTAGTTAGGACAAAGTTTCTTGGCCCGTTTTTCTTATCCCAGTCCAAAAACGTAACCTTCTTCTCTGGGCCCTGGTGTGTGAAAGAGTGCAAGCTCTCCTTTCCGTCAACGTCATACTTGACCCATCTGTCCTGATAAATTTTGATGGTCAAGCCAGAGACGTGAGAGTATTTGGAAGTGAAGTGGAGCGCAAGTTTGGCGGCAAACTTTTCCGTTGGAAAAGTGTCGTACTTCTTAGCAAAGATCAAAATCGTGTTTTTGACCGTGTCAGTGGGGACAATGGGTTTGTTGTCAGCTTCGGTATAGGACACATCAAAGTCTCCCTTCAACAGGACGCAGACGGTCGCTTCCATGATTTCATGCAGCTTGGGGTTGGTCTTGTCCTTCTTAACCTTAAGGAATTTGACGTTGTCTTTCCCGTAGGTAGACTCGGCGAGGTAGGAATAGGACATTTTATGAGGTGGGACTAAAGCTGTTGGTGAAGTAATGGTTTGCTGATGGAAAACGATGTGCACAGATGGTGGATACTAGATTTGTTGCTGCTCTTTTTATAATTATCGATGCCAGAATGGGCTTGATCAAAATCTCAGATAACGGAGAACACCATCCTGCAGAAAAAGTTAGGATTTGATGATATTGCATGCTGAAATCAGCACGAGGGCTTTATCGGTGGTTGCCGGGTAGATCAGACCATCAAGGGGTTTCGGATAGCGACAGCGCTGCTGGAGTGGGTGGCGCGCGGCTGCGAATCTGCAACCGTTCAAAGAGGGCCGTAAAGGCTGGTGTAGTCCGGTTCGTATTCTGCGGAAATCACCGAACTTGTCTGCAGTTCAGTAACGACGGCAACGAAGTATGGATAAATCACGTGACAGTCGCGTGATGAGAGAAAGACGTGGAAAATGGCACCTTGCAAGACGTGCCAAGAGAGTGTCAGATCGATCAATGGATCACTTCAACGCCGATATCTTCCTGTAAACGCAGTGTTAGTAAATCGTTAAGCTTTCTGAATGGCCAGCGGGGACTTCATTTTGTCTTCAAAACTTACCAGAAACTCGTCCAAATTTTTCACGTTCAGGGCTTCTTTAACCAAAGAACGGGCATTACCAAAGATTCTTTTCCTGGCACTAGTTTCTTTCGCAATCGATTTTTCGTAATCCTGGACTTTCATGATGATTCGTTCGTTTTCCGGGTTCCAATGCGACTCAATATCGACGAGCTGTTGCTGTAGCGTTCGAATCTCGCAGTTCCGCGCTTCTATCATGCTAATCAAATCTTCGTTGGTTGGTTGCTTGACAGAATTTTGAAATTCTGTGTTCACGTCGATTCTATCCTTTTCAAGCTCAATAAGCTCTTCTCGCATCTGCATAACCATTTCCACGGACACTGGATCCGTGTCTGCAGGTTCGGCGACTTTTCGTTCGTTGCACACGTAAATCATCACTTTCCCGAACGGCTTGCAGATAATTCGGTTGTCATTTGTCAAATTTTCAAGCGCTCTTTGCGCATTGGTTCTAGAAACCTTGTTGTGCAGATTTTGGATGATATCGTTGAGCGCAAACGGCCGATACTGTTCCGTGAGATACTCTTCAATGAGGTTTTCGGCTGTGACGCGTTAGTAACAATACATCATGGAAACACAAGCACGCTAGAGCGCGCTACTACATAGGTTGTTACAAATAATGGAAGCCATACCTTCATCACCCTTGAGAGAGACCGCTTTATCGCTTCTTTTCGAGGTCATTTTCGTTAGAGTTTGGTGTTTACCGCCGAGCTATTGACCTAGACAACCCTTAAATTTTCAAAACATTTCTCATATAAAGGCAGATTTTCGCCATCTCCAGAGAAAACAAGGCCATGATAACTCCACATCTCGGGGGCTGCAAGAGGGAAACTGGGAAACCAGATCTTAGGAAAACACTAACAAGGAGAGGCAGTCAAAAGTACCAAACATATGGCAGAGCAGACAGTTCACAGAGTCAGTATCGAAAAAAGATCAACGAGCGTTCTCGTGTTATTGTGCTCTTCGCCGCAAAAGAAGTACATCAGCGGCAAGGATTCAGGGGCGATGATTTTGTGAAGAGTCACGTGGCCACTGTCTCCAGAAACGAAAAGTTATTGACAGGGCCATCGCGACATACGAATTAGCGCTCAAAGTGATTTAAAGTGCCCTTCTTGGGGCTTGTCATTTCAGACGGTTTTGTCTGTGTGGAGTCACGTGATTTGTGTGAGGCCCTCATCTGGCGTTCCCCCAGCATCTTTAACGTCGACCCCGGTATATGGCTACCGCGATTAGAACTGCTACAAGCGACTCATAACGAATCTCATCACATCTCTTGGTAGGCCAATCTGCAGAGTGTGGCGTTTTGAGGCGCATCAAATTGCGAATTATATTCTTTTCGATTGCGGCTTTCTAGTCATATCACTTGGTTCTTGGTAAGTGATATTCACCCCAGATTTGGTATTCAAAAAAATTGACATTCGCAAGGAATAGATTACAGAGAAGAGAGCGATACTCAACGGGCCAACAAACCGCATATACTAGAGCTAAACAGAGGCATTTGGACGGTCATGGAAGAAGCCAAGACCAAGAAAAAGCGAAGATTGCCGAACTCAGGACCCGAATCGCCCAGACCTTACGTGTGTCCCATCTGTTCGCGGGCTTTCCACCGGCTGGAGCATCAGACAAGGCACATTCGAACGCACACGGGTGAAAAACCGCATGTGTGCAACTTCGCGGGCTGTAGCAAGCGGTTCAGCCGTAGCGACGAGCTGACGCGACACAAACGTACACATATGAATACACATCCGAAGGGTAAGCGGGGTCGCAAGAAGAAGGGCGAGATCAGCGCATCCGCGTCCGCAACATCGACAGCAACAACGTCGACGCCACCAGCAATGGCGTTTCAAGATTTACACTCCAGAACGAGTTCTGTGAAAAGGGGACCTGCGACGTTTCACTTGGGAGACGACGAAGAGGACACAGCAGAGCTTGAGAGTAGTCCTGGGCTACAACCGGTCAAGGGAAACCAAAAAAACATGGGTCTGCTTGTCAACGCAGCGCTGGGGCTTCCCTCGCCTGACCAGACATTGCACGGGAGTGTCTCGGATTCCATCCCTGCAGTCAGGTCGCTGCCGTCGATCCAAAGCCTTGGAGAGATCAAAAGTGCGCTGGTAGGCTCGATGTCAACACCGCCCATGCCTCGTACATATTATTCGTCTGCGAATCTTGCGTCCGGTGCTGGAATCGCGGGCGTGATGCGACCCAAGCTTAACGCCTTGTCGTCGCTACAGCGCATGACTCCGCTGAACGAAACTAGCGGAAACGGGAACGGCCCCGGGAACGGCTCCATGAGCAGTGGCCCCAGTAGCGGTGCATCGTCTCCCATTTACAACTATGCAGAGCATCCCGAGACGACGACACCCGTGGTGCTGCCCAGGCCGCGGTCGCTGGCGCATTTGCAACACCAGCGGCCGCTGAACTCATCGACGTCACTCACGAGCATATCGAGTCTGCTGGCAAGAAGCGAGGACCCCGACGAATACCAGGGCCACGCACGCAAAAAGTCGCGCACTTCGACCCCGACTATGAGCAGACGCGGTAGTCACTCGAATCTGGTGTCCATGAAACAGGGCTCGTTTACAAACCTGGTCAGTATCGCGGCCATGGCGCAGCCGCCCGGGGTAACCGGGATGATGTCTTCGCAATCCTCCGTGCTGGATTTCCCGGAGGAACTGAACGAAAAACTGCAGATTGTGCGCGACACCCAGCCGGGCTCTTTCTTGGACAGATACGCGGCTGGCGGACCCAATGTGGCCGTATCTGCAGCTCCGTCCGCAAGATACACACCCTTGCAGTCGCCTCCGCGTGTGGGGAGTCCGACGAGCGCGCGCTCGAGTTCCCAGCCGGGGGTCAGTGACGCCTCTCAGACGCTGCCGCCAATTCGCAGTCTGGATCTTGAATTCCCGGCCAACTGAGGGCGCCCGGGGAAACATCCGGGGAAACATCCGGGCCACGTGTAAGTGCTTCCTACCTCATTATAGACTCGCATTCACCCAGTGTACAATAGCAGGCGAGAGAACTCCGGGCCCGCTCACGTGACCCGTCCTTCTCCGGTTCTGGCCGTGCCCGCTTACATAATGACCCTCCCCTTCCATTTCGTGTCACCGCACATGCGGCACAACCCGTGCATTACCTAATAACGACCTCGCCCATGTGCGCACCTCAGTAAACGAAACAAACACCCGGCCAACAGCCCTTATTGTCTGAAGCCACTTTTGGCCACGTTTCTGTTTCATAGCTGCGCGATGCCATGCGCATTGGCATGCGCATTTCGCGCAGCCCGCCGCTCCGGTCAGGCCTCCGTTGCGGCACGATTTTGCTGGTGGCATGTGACAACCATAGTAGATATTTTTATAAATTTGTAAAAGGCGCAATAAGCGCATCAGGCCGGAAACGTGCGAGACCTTGCGGGACACCGAGCACGCGGCCACACAGGGTGCGTGCCATACATACGCATACGAATATATAAAACACACATCGCCGTAAGTAGGCGGTTCTCGCCCCAGAATCCAGCCCTAGAACGATCTGTATTTAACGTGGATCACCACGCTGTACATACCAGGTGGCACGCGCAACGAAACAAAAGGTGAAGAGAAGTTCATAGAATTTTTCACGGCCGTTGCCACAATTCAACAGAAAAACCAAGCGGGCAGATATAAGACGAACTCAAAGGCCTTGCCAAAGGCATTGTCAATCGCACTGTAAACCGGATTGTTGAACACACCTACACATTCACATGACCGCATTTAACGACTACTGCATAGTGTGCCAGCGTCTTGTCGAGCGCACTGGGAACCTGTACTGCTCATCGGAGTGCCGATCACACGACACGACGACGGGCCGGCGGAAGAGCGTGGTCGAGAGCCTTGTCTCGACACCGCAACTGTGTCCGCTCGACGTCGGGGCCGACGACGTCGCGGAGCCCGAGACCCGTGACGAAGCGCATTTCCGGCTCGACTACGAGTCCATGGTCCCCACGTTGCTTTCGCTGCCTCGCAGCGAAAGCTACAGACCACGTGGCTCGGAGCTTGCTTCGTTTGATCACGTGGCCGAAGATAATTACAAGCTTTGGCTTAACGTGCGGCTGAGCAGCTGAGACTCGTTCTCGCGCGCTTTATAAATTTATGGCACCGTTACTTTGCACACTCCAGCTACAATTAAGCTACAGTTATCAGGCCTGCCTTACGCAGGCTCTCGCTATCAGCACCTTACGTTTTTTTTTACTCCGCGACCGCGGAGTGCATGTCTTTTATCAGCCCAAGTTCTTGCATACACATTGGCTCTGCGCCCTTAGTTACCTATCTTACCACATATACGTTGCTCTAAAAGATTTTCCACCGTTGCTCGATTCTCTGGCTAGCGAATATGCGTGAGCCGCGTCGTGTTCAGATGGATCTTGATGTCCATGTCATCAGTGTCGTTTTCAATCTTCTTTATACGTGTCTGTTGTGCATCGATTTCGTCTCCCGTCGCGAGGGCCAGTTTTTTCAGCCGGTTGCCCACCTGCCCGATTTTGTCCAGGTTCCGGTCGATCTCCACCTCCATCTCGTCGTCTTCTTCGTCGTTCTCAAATTGGTACCGCCGCGCACGGTCCAAAATGCCCTGGTTTTGGTACCTCTGCGTCATGTTCCGTCCCTCCTGGTGCACCCCATTCATCGCGCCCTCTATACGTTGCGTCGACTGCTGCAGCCGGCCGTTCGTTTGTTGCTCAATCATTTTGTCCTCTATCCGCTGCATACGGATCCGATCTTCGGCTTCGCGCAGCCTGCGCTTGGAATTGAACGGGTTACTGACGTGCACCGCCAGAATGTTCCGATTCAGCTTCTTCAACTCCGCGACTTTGTCCTCTGCAACCCGGTTCTGCATCCGCATCAGGTCCAGATTTCTCTCCACGTTATTCAGCTTTTCACTTTGGTGTCCTAGCATTCCGAGCGTATTGGTTCCCGCCATTTCTGCCTCTTGTGCCATTTTCAGAGTGTTTCTCGTGGACGCAACAGAGCTCTGCTTAGTAAACCGAATTTCCTGTTTGATTCCATCCACTTCTTCGTCCTCCTCTTGTTGTTGTCTCAGTTGATTTTCCCGCTGCACATCCTCGAAGGTTTGGAATCCTCTTTCAGGTACCAAAGACGTATCGGCGAATTGCTGCTGTTGTTGCAGTTGTTGTAATTCGTCGCCATAACTTCCATGCATAGGTTCATTCAGATCATCCCCACCGTCTTCCTGAAGTGGCGCGTTGAGATCAATGTCGTCTTCTCCCAGAGCGGTCGCGCGCGTTTGGACCCGTGTGGGGGTTTCAAAATCGAATTTCTCGTCATCCCTTAGAGTGGACGCATCTAAAGAGGGTCTTCCCTGTGGCTGAAGATCCTGTGCCTCCGCGGCAGACCTGTCTGGTTGTTGACTTGACTTACGATTTGATGCAGCATATGGATTCCCACCTCTGCTGCGAGTAGAAGAAGGTGCCCCATAATTTCCCGCTCCAGAATATGGGTCTTGGGCCGAGCCCGCGTACGAAGCATACGGGTTAGATTGGCCACTTTTCGCGCTGGTCTGCCCGTGAGCTTCAGGTGTACCATTAGACAAATTGTTTTGGTCATAAGGATTGTAGGGGCTGCTCCTGCTCTGGCTTTGGTAAGATGCTTGTCTGGAGTTCCCGTAGGATTCTATTTGCGACCCTGATGACGAATTCGAACCGTATGGATTGCTTCGAGAAGGCTGTCCCGTATTTCCATATGGTCCTTTTTGACCATCGCGGCCAACCGATGTCGAACTATATGGATCATCTTGTCTCACCTGATCATACGATCCTCTCTGGCTAGTGTCCAGATTCGGAGCTGCACCGTATGCGTTATAGCGTGGTGATTGTCCCATATTGGCATCGAAACTATTTTGAGTAGGAGCTGGCGCAGAGCGATACGTATCGTTGTACCCAACTTTTGCGAACGGATCTGACGAATGCTCAGCGCCACCAGAAAAAGAAGAGCCCTTTTGATACGGATTCGCATTGTTCATGGCTCCTCCGTAGTTGTGACTGGCATACGGGTCGTATTCGTTCTTTTTGGGTGCTGCCATATATGCATTTTCGGACCCTGTGCCCTGTGCCTCGGCGTCCACATCAGATTTATTCAAGTCTTCTAAATTTGCGTCACCATTGTCTGCCATGCCAAACTTTTCGTAGCCTGGTGGAGCAAAGAACTTGTCCTTCGACTGATCCTTGGCAAATGCTCCGTAAGCTGCAAATTTCTCTTTTTTCTTCTTATTTGGATTTTTTACTGGTATGCCAAGTTCATTTAGCGTCTCACGATTAACTTCAGCAGTGTCCTCCTCTGGAGGTTTAATTTTGAAGAACTTCTTTATCCCCATCTTTCGTGATTGTCTTTAAGCCTTGTTAAGAGAGTAGTTCACTTGGGTTAGTCTTGTAGAAATCGTTTTGGAGATAATTTCGCAAAGATCACATGACTTCACCAAAGATCACCAAGTTTAACTACTTAACATGACCAAACGTCAATAGTTCTACTTTAACTAACAAGTCTATTTTCTCCAGCTGGCAACGTCTTACATTCCACGGAACACGTTTTTGCTTGCCCTCCGTCTTCCCTCTAGCCTAGCCTTCGCGATTCCGTTGTCACGACGAGATTCAGATTCGGTGGCATCATCATCATCACCATGGGGCTTCGTTTTATGGCGGCCCTTGGTCTTCTTGGCAGGAATGAAAGATAGCTCAGCTTCGCCACGTAGATTGCGGCGAACGATGGATTTCTGGGCTTTATCTTGTGCCTCTTGTTTACGAGCTTTGGCAACTTGCTTGTCAAATGACGTTGACCCGCCATCGTTAAACGCATTCCCGTCTTCGATTCCCACGCGCATTTGAGCCATGAATTTACGCTCTTCTTCGCGCTGCTGCTTCCTGCGTTGCGCGGCATCTTGGCGTTTGGCAATTTGTTGCTTTCCTACAGCGTTGAGGGAGTTTTCAGCACCAGTTTCTTCGTTTTCGGACGAGCTGTCCTCAGACTCTTCTGATTCTTGGTTGCCGCGTCTTGAGTTGATTCTTTCCTCGTCAGACTCTTCCGCCGCGGTTAGAGCTCTAATTCTCTTCTGAGCGCCTTCTTCCGTTTCTTTACTAGTCTTCACAGGGTTCAATTGCTTGTAATCGTAATTGTCCTCGTCAACGGCGAACTGTTCATCTTCAAACATCTCCGCAAAACGGTCATCGGTGAGCAGACTGTCGGCAACTTTTTCACCACGTTTTTGCGACAGTCTGTCAACCAATTCCTTGTTGACTTTGACTTTGGGTTTTTGAACAGCACCAGATGTACGGATTCTCGATTCTCTCTCCTTGGCAATCCTCTGCTTGATTTCCCTTTCTCTCTCGTCTCTGTAAGAGTTGGGATTGGCGATAAGCGACACCTTATCGTACAGTTCCGTATTAATGAAAAAACCATGCATATACGCCCGAAGCACCTTAGACCCAATCAAATGCGTCAAGTTCAGTTTTTTAACGTCTTCGCGCGTGATGAACTTATAGTTGGAATACACTGTGTCGCTTGGTTTTTCCTCCAGCTCCTCTGTAATCGAGTCCAAGAACGAACACCACCTTGGAGCGGGTCCCAAATTTGGTATGTAGTAGGTATGCATTGGAATCCCCTCGTTCGCGGTGAAAAACATCCCTGTTCCGGGCACATGCTCAATATCATTAATGTCTACACTTGGTTCCATCGAGGCGTATGGTCTTCCGTCGCTTCTATTCCAAATTTTAGCTATCCGCTTGTCGCAGGTTAAGATTTTGTCCGACGATGCCCCAGTGCCAACTGAGTCAAGCCAAATGATTTTCTTAATGTCAAATCCATAGCCTTGGTCTTTAACGGTACTTGGTTGTGATGTCCGAAGATCGTAAAGAAATGAGTATCCATTGGAAGTCCCGCACGCAAAATTTAGACCATCGTTTTTGAAACTGGTGCACGTTACTTGGAATGGGGAATTGTCAAGGCTGTTTTCAAGTTGTAACTTTGCTATCCTTGACCGCGCTCTGGAATCCCAAAATTCGACCACGTTGGTCTCCATACCCACTGCTGTCAGCCCGTTAACCTCGTCAACAGACACATGGTTGACTCCTTCTGAGTCGAGTTTGAACGAGTTGAGAAACCTGCCATGTTCCAGGTTAAGTCTGTATAGCTCGTCACCGCTTGCCCCCACGTAAAGGTTACAGTTTACCTTGTTATAAGCCAGACTGCGTCCAAACTTCGGTATCCTTGTTGTGTAGTAGAGACCTCCCTTATTTTGAAACTGTATGCTTCTGTCATTTTGCAAATGGATACTTTTCGTCCAGTCATCGGAAAGAATCAAAAAGTCCACATTTTCCGCATCTGTGTGCCTTTCGAACTTGAGAGACAAATTCGCGAAGTCGTAGACGTGAATTTGTGGCTTGTATGTGCCTGTCGCCATCACATAATTCCCGTCCACTGAACATCTGATTCTATTAGACGCTTCGCTGAATTCGAAATCCTGTATGAGCTCAACTCTGTTCTGGAATTCAAGGTCATTCTTCAAGGATCTCTTTCTCTTCTTCGCAATCCAATCTGGAAGCGATCGCGAGACATTTGAGCCCGAAACTTGATACACGGGTACGTCACTAGCAGATGTTGACTTAAGAACCATTTGCTAGCCCTTTTACTAATATGTACTCTGCGCTTAAGTGTGATGCGATGAGATGAGATGAGCTTCAAATTTTTTCGAACTTTTTTTTCTTCAGTTTTCTGAACTGAAAAGCGTTAGGTAGAAACCAGATAAAGCAGCGAGGGATAACGAAAGTGTATACCATTTGTTGATGATTCAGCGCTCCATCGATAGCAAAGGTTAGGAGATTGATAGCTAAACTATTATACTCTTTTGTTACCTTTCAGGAGTGATTGTCGAACATGTCAACGTGGACTGATTTGGGTTTACTGTTGTTCGACGCCCAGTTAAATCCACTAAGGATATAGTTTTTGCCGGTGTTAACGGATGCAGAATTAATACTGCGATGTTGCTGTGTTTGATCTCCCAATTGTTTGTTGTTCCACAAGTTCGAAGGGTCTATTTGTTTCGAGAATTTTTGGTCATAGTTCACATGCTGATAGTTTGAGTGAGAGGGTTCCGTGGCAAAATTACGATTTGAGGGCAAACGGTAATTGGAGTTATTGTTCGGTGGTCGTAGCGTTTGTCGTTGGGCCTGTGATAGGAATTCGTGAGAGTCGGTCTCAGGAATCTGTCTTTGGATCAGGGCAGGGCCGCTGTCGTTTGGGATAAAGGAGGAAGCGTTCGCATTGAATTTGAAACTGTTTTTCTGCGCGTTCGTAGCTGACACCTCCATTTTCTGAGTCGTTAAGCCGGAATTTTTGTTTTGAGACTCTTCTCGCGCTTCTGCTTCCGGATATGCTCTTTTGATAAGCAACTCTAGACTGCGAATTGCAATTTTTTTTGTTTCCACCTTAGGCTGTTCCATCTTGAGCAAATTGGCGTAAATTGGCTTGAAATGGGCCGAACCGTCGTTCTTGAGTTGAATATACTTCTTGAATGAGTTGGAAGCCAACTCATCAGTCAGACAATTCGCGACAATTTTAACGCTCTCTTCTTTAGAGGCTAAATTCTCGATGAGCTCAATGTGCTTCCTTTGGAGCAGCAGGTCTGTGCTCGAGACGAGTTTCGAAAAACTGACGAACTGATACAATGCGAATCCCTCAAATGTCTCGAAAATGGCAGCGACACAGTCCGAGGAGTTAAGCTCCAGCACTTTACTATAAATTAGTGCTTGTTTTTCACCAATCATCGTAGCATGGCTTTTTTGGTCGGTAAGCTGTTCTGAAACAACCAGGGCGACTGAAGTTGAGATGAAATATAGTTTCAGAAAAGTGCATTGAAACTTAAGCTCCAAACTAGAGGTAATCTGACTGGCGTTCTTTCTCTTAGGCAATTCGAAAGAAATCAGTTTGCCATATTCTCCCAAAAGCTCTTTGGTGATCAGGAATAGCAGCCTGAGAATGTCCAGCAAGTCCGCCGTGATCTTAGAATAGCTTACGAGGGGCTTTTCCTGGTCGGTACTTTTGCTTTTATCAAAGGTAAACGAGGACTTTGGAATGGGAGAATGTTTTGGTAAGACATCTTCAAAAAATGGCGGTAATCCGTAACTGAGGTCTCGCACAGCTCTCACGGTTTTCCCGTAAGCTATGGGTTCCGCGAAAAGTACCGTGTTTCCAACACTAACGATAAACTTCCCGATCACATAGGCAGCGATGAGGATCAGCGCAGGAAGAGATTGAGTTGATCCTAGTTTTCCTAATGCACTGTGGATTGCACAAATCTTGCCATCGCGGCACATCCGGTACAGATTTTGAAGGGAAACGTTTAATAGCAGTGCTAAGTGGGATTCTTCGCAAAAATTGATATCCTTATGATCAACTATCTCCATCAACACTTGCAGATTAAGAAAGACATCGGTTTTCGCCCTCTCAACACTGTCGTTGTGGAAGCAGTGGGTCAAATGTGTCGAGGCGAATTGGAGAAATTCAGCGGAAACGAAACGTGCCACTTCGACTGTACGCGTTGCCACGACCGTGATGAAATAATGCGTAGCCTTGGATTTGATGTCTTCGAGATCCCGCCACTGCGACACAGCGCGGCTTTCGGCTGCGATCAAAAACTCGAGAAGGGCATCGTTTGTCGATGCGAAAAGCACGTTTCGTGAGATGAAGCTTTCTGCTAGCGGTTCAGTCGATGACGCCTTGTAATCCCAAAGCGGGATCCAAGCGTTGACCAGGACGTGACTCAGGCGCATATCTAAAAACCCCGCAATTTTTGCGTCGATTGTCGGGAACTGGTCTAGAATTTTGATGACCGTATAGAACCCAGGCGCATACGAAGTTTCGGAACCTTGACATAAAGATCTGAGTTTTTCGATCACTTTGGGATCATTTGTCGCTCGATGTGCAAACACTTGGGCCAATTTCGACAATCCGGAGTGCACGGAGCAATAGGCAAACAGGTAGGCGATCAAATCCAGGTGGAACTCCGTGTGTGGTAACGAGAAGATAATGGGGCTGAAGATGTCGAGGTTGTTTGCCACTTCAAGTTGTTCTCCGCGCAACACCACATCTCGCGCTGCGTTCAGCAGCTCGATTCCAGTCTTACAGAGAGAAGTGGTGTTATTGGACGGATTCTTCAGGAAATTCTCGATTGCGTCCAGAAACCTCGCGCCGCCACTTGTTCTAATAGGCTTTTTGGGTGGCATTCAAAATGCTTTTGTGCTTTCAATAGGTTTCGTAATATCAATCTTGGAAGTTTCTCTCGTCGAGCAGCTGTTTGTCGCAAGCGGCTTCCGATCCAAGTTTTCGGCAACTATATACTAAATTTCACGTACTTATCGCTATAAAACCTTATGAAACGCCCCGGGGTTTCTAATGCTGCTATTGTTGAAAGGAGGGTTTAAGATGAAACAAATCTACAACTTGCCGCCCAATCTTTAAAGCCATATCTCTGACCGTGATACGTGACCTCTTCAGAGCATAAGTCATCACTTGATACGCCTACGAGTAATCGGTGAGTAGCGTCAGATGTTAAATATGGGACAGACTCCTTGACAATATGGAGTTCCGAATGTCAAGGATGTTCCACGATGATACAGAAGTACTATTTTGATGCCACATTTCGCGCCTGAGAAGTCAAATTTCTAGTTACAAGCTAGTGTACAGTTGAAGCTGGTGGTTTTCGCTTTCACCACCACTAATTGTCAACCATAGCTTACACAATCGAGTTTAAAACAAACTAACGAAAGGCTTTCATTTCCGCTCAGTTCCGCTGAATATTAGATACAGATAGCATGCTTTCGTACATAATAGTTACATATGGCATCCAGGAAAACGAAAGCATAATGACCCGTATCACAAATGCCACGCCTTACAACAAGAAAGCTGAGGAGGGACAACGAAACTGGGCAATGAAGCTGGACAATCCAATGGACAATTCAATAAACAATGCGGTGGGCTCTCCGGTTGAAGATGTACAGATCCTTGTACAAGCGTGCGCTGCATCTATGTAGTAGCTTCTTAGTGGGCTCCTCTCTTGACCCACGAGAGAAAATAAATAACTAAGTTCTTCAACGAATAGACAACAACGAAGGAAACGCTTTGACACATCATCCTTCTGTTTTGCTACGGGCTAAACATATATATTTCCGGCAATTGACATAGCGCCGCATGATCTCTTCAAGCATCTATATAGACTCCCTCATGCAAACGACGGAGACATCGCAATTGAGATGTTCAGCATGTCCCTCATGACACCTCCCCCATCGCATCTACTCCGGTTTTTAAGGGTTCTTTGTGTAAGGACGCAGGCCGTAAAAAAGGGTCCTTGTCGGACCAACTTGGTATCCCTGGTCCCTGGTCCTGCTTCCCTTGAATTTCTTTATGATAATGCTACAGGCGCTGCTATATAATGAACAGAATTGACTACTGAAACCCGCGTAAAATACGTATACGCACCAACTAAAGTACTATCAACACGCACTTCAAATTATGGGGAAAGCATTAATCGTAGTGGATGTTCAGAATGATTTTTTACCACCCAGTGGTTCTCTAGCAGTGCCCCAAGGCGACCAAGTTGTGTCGGGCATTGCACACCTAATGCAAGACGATCGATGGGCTTGCGTGGTAGTCACGCAGGACTGGCACCCCAAAACGCACACCTCATTCGCAGTGAATCATCAGCAACCCGATTTTAGCGAGTTCACTTACACTTCGCCCACCGACTCATCTCGGACGCAAAGGGGTATGCTATGGCCCGTACACTGCGTTCAAGACACCCCAGGCAGCGAACTGGCTCCTACCATAGCTGCGACGCTAGAGGAACTCGCGACAGATCACCACGTCGTGAAAAAAGGCTACTTGGCCGACCGCGAATACTACTCGGCTTTCAACGACATCTGGGGCCTGCACAAGACAGAACTACATTCACTACTGGACAGACACGGAATAAACGACGTTTTTGTCGTAGGACTCGCCCTTGACTACTGCGTGAAAAACACGGCTATCTCTGCTGCTCAGTTGGGCTACCGTACAACGATCCTACAAGACTACACCCGGGGCATTGCCAATGACTCCAAATCTATGGCTTCCTTGAAACAAGAACTAGTCCAAAACGATGTCGCACTGAAGTGAAACAACCGAAACTAACTTAAGACGATGAGTGAACAACAACGGTCCATAGTTATAAATAACAAGTCTGATTTAGATCAAAAGGGATAGCCACTGGCCAGCCAAGTGCTACGCGATCTATATAATTTTTTTCGTGTTCTGGAAGTTTTTCATGTATGGAACCCCGGCAGGAAAAAAGCCTCTCTAATGAGCTAAGAAAGGGACCTAAGAGAAATGTGAAAACCCCATCAAGAGGTGCTGTTTTAGAAGCTGCAAGTTGACTTTAGAGTGGTTTTCAAAAACTTGGGTTCCGAGGTTCAAACAGCTTTGTTAAGCTTCTTTCAGATTCACAGTAGCTTTGCCGAAACAAGTTATAGCGACTGTCAAGTGCTAACCGTTTGATTTGATAGTTTTGGCGTGAAAGACCATAGAATTGACCCCGGTAGCCAGTGAGAAAGCCTTGAGAATCATTGAGTAATCTAATTGATTTTCGCTTTCAAGCATTAGGACACCTATAGAAGCCAATTTTCAGGTTCCGCGTCACTATAAGTCGTTTTCGCCCTTCTAGACACTACGCCGTCTAGCGAGTAGACCCTCCATTATGTTACCCAAGATCAACAAAAAAGGAAGAGTTCCCGCGCTCATGGGCGCCATGGTACTCATTTTCGTCATTATACAATTGAAAAGCTTTTCCGTCACAAGAAGTTTGACCATAAAGTTCAAGACAATAGTACCGACGACTTCGCACACCGAGAACATAAATTTGAAAAAATTCAAACCTCCCGACGTCCCTGTCAGGAGCGTCGAAGATCTACGGTCTCAGTTGGCCAAACAGTTCCCGTATAATCCTTTGGAACCGATTCCACGAAGAGTTTGGCAAACTTGGAAATGTCCATTGGACTCGCCCGAGTTCCCTGCTAAGGCTAGAAAATACGCGCAAGAATGGATCCAATCGATCAAGCATTCTATGGGCTACGACTATGCCCTGGTTCCAGACGATCGAATCATGCCTCTGCTCCAAAACATTTACGGCGGTGTTCCACAAGTGATACAGGCATTTGAAGCGTTGCCTTTACCCATTCTCAAAGCAGATTTTTTCAGGTATCTCATCTTGTATGCGCGTGGTGGTATTTACTCCGATTTAGATACGGTCCCTCTCAAAACGCTGACGGATTGGCCGTCTGTTAACGGCGCCTCGTGGCTGGTCGCCGAAACGCCAATCAAGTACAAAAATTTCAAAGCCACGGACTCCCAAGTAGCACAAGAACCTGGGTTTGTCATTGGCATTGAGGCGGACCCGGATAGGCCCGATTGGAACGAACATTACGCAAGACGTATACAGTTCTGTCAATGGACGATCCAGTCAAAGCCCGGACACCCCTTACTTCGAGAACTTATTCTGAACATTACAGCTACAACGCTAGGAAGCACGGTCGCGAGAGGCAAGTATCCTGCACCAAAATTCGAGTTCCCTAAGGAAATACCACTTCAGGACTACAGCATCAATTGTCGTGACAAAAAGTTGAACGACGCCCAATTTTCGTGCAATGAAAAGAAAACGCCCAAGAACACCGACCATGCCGACATCATGAACTGGACTGGGCCGGGTGCATTCTCGGACGCAGTCATGGCCTATCTAAACAATTTGATTCACACCAATGATGACATTTTAATTATTAACAACAACATGAAGGGCGACAGCAGCGACGACAGCAGTACGACAAAGAAATTTTACCGCAAGATTACAGAGGGTTTACAGGCAGGGAACTTTTTTCAATGGGAATTTTTTACTTTGATTAAAGAACCTGTTGTTGTGGACGACGTTATGGTTCTACCGATCACGAGCTTCTCACCGGACGTGGGTCATATGGGGTCAGGCAGCAGCACCGACGAAATCGCACTCGTGAAACATATGTTCGAGGGCTCTTGGAAAGGAGAGTAATGGCAAAATGACAGAATGGCATCATGGCAATATATCAAAATGGCAAAATAGCAGAATGAGCAAAAATACTACTGGCTAGTTGCTGGCTCAGCGTTCCAGGGGCCCGTGACCACATGAGCCAAGAATACAATTCCTCACTTAAAAATATAAACCCGACAATTATATATACGAATGATTGATCAACAGTCATGCTCGGTCTATTAGAATTATCTCACTTTATTGTTACAAAATTGTGCATGAATTCTTCTTTTTCTTCTTGCTCTTGGCCGACCCAGAAGCTTTGTTTCTGTTCCTGGACCCAGCTGCTGCGTCAGCTCGCGCTGGTGCTGGAATCGTAGTCTTGGGCTGATTGAGCGACGCAGCTGCGGCCGTGATAGATGAGTTTCCCAGGTTTTGTGCGGTGGGTTTTCTAGACATGGGCCCCGTTACTGCAGGCTGGCTGTGGTTTTCCATTTCATTCCGAATAATCTGTCTGACCAAATCCACAAACACCTCATCCACATTACTTCTCAGAAGCGCACTTGTCTCGTAGAAGGGCACTTTGCCCCACTGACTGCTCATGGAAATGCCTTCTTCCACTGAAATGACCCTTTCCTCAAGTAGATCCGCTTTGTTACCGACCAGAACCATGGGCACTTTGCTAGAGTCCTTTATACGGAGAACCTGTTCTCTGAGCTCTATCAGCTCTTCCAGCGATTGTCTGTCTGTCACGGAATAAACCAGCAAAAATCCCATCCCAGACTTTATGTATAGCTCCCGCATAGCTGTAAACTGTGCCACACCGGCTGTATCCAGGATTTCCAGGTCAAACATCTTGCTGTCGACCTCCATTGTCTTTCGATAAGAATCTTCTATCGTGGGATCATAAGTGTCCATATAAACGCCTTGTACAAACTGTACAGTCAAACATGATTTACCTACACCTCCAGCACCAAGCACAACCAGTTTGTAGTCTCTCATGGCCGTTGGTCTTGTAGTGTGTATCTTGTCCAGTTCTCAATACTGGAGGTTATCAAACTCGTTTTTCGACATCAGTTAATTTACGCGATAATCAGAAAATCAACCGTTGATTTACGCGACACTTGAAGAAATGATCAAGATTAGCAAGGGGGGACCCTTTGAAATAGTCAAAACAGCACAATTCGCCTCAATTCAACTTAGTAGATTACGCTGTCATGGTCCCGATGCTGTTAGTCGTTCACAGCGTTTTATGGCGACAAAAACGTCCTTCAAAGACCTCGATTTGAAGATCGGTTTCACGGCGAAAGTCGAGCTTCACGGCGAATCAGATAAGCTTTACGTGTCCCAGATTCAAGTGTCTAGCGAAGATGATTCGGTTACAAGACAAGTGTGTAGTGGGCTGCGCGATCATCTGTCGAAGCAGGAACTCGAAAACAAACTGGTCGTGGTAGTTGACAATCTCAAGAAATGCAAACTACGCGGCGTGGCAAGCGAAGCAATGGTTTTGTGTGCAGACGATGGTCAGAATAAAGTGCAACTGTGTCGCCCGTTAGCGTTTGATCGCGATCTTACGGGCAGCCGAATCGTTCTCGCGCTAAACGATCAGAACGAGTTAACCAAACCTGGCAAGCTTAAAAGGTCTCAATGGGATCAGATACGCTCTGGACTACGTGTGGGAGCTGGGAAACCGCTTTCTGTCGATACCACTATCCGAGACGTCACTTACCGCGATCCAGAAACAGGTCAAGAATCGTGCCTTGGGATCCGGAAGAACGGCAATTGGATCCCAATAGTAGTCGAAAACATGGCACCTGGCACCGAGATCAAGTGAGCTGGCAAATGGCTTCGAATCCAACGTTCAACGAAGGGTCTCGGACTTTGTCGTTCGACGTTTAATACGATTCTCGCATCTCACGTGTGCCCTCAAGTCTCAGAAAATTTGATAGACAGAGATAGAAGATCCGAGGAAGACCAGCGAGTCACGCTCAGCCAAGACTACAACGGCGTATCATGATCCACCAGATGGCACCATGGGTGCCCCAATTCATACAGTCGTGCAAAAACCATACACAAGCGTTCACGCCGTTTTATTTTGCCACACTGGACACGCAAACGAGTCGGCCTCGCTGTCGCACAGTCGTTTTCCGGGACTTTTTGTTCCACGACAAGAGAAATAATGTTCTGACGTTCACAACGGATATGCGTGGGGACAAAGTCAAGGAAATTACAGAGACTGGGTCGATTACAGCGCCCTTTGAAGCCTGCTTTTACTTCCCGTCTACGTGGGAACAGTATCGATTCAGTGGACACTGTTTCGTGGTGTCACGCAATTCTGTGCCACCGCTCTCAGAGACATACAACGACACCGCACCCGATACAGTCGGGTACCCGATCTTGTCACCGGGTGTCTACGGTGATGCCCAGGAACCGCACCACCACGAGTCTATCGTTTCAGACGAAGACAACGACAACGACCAAAACGCGAGTCGGCTTCGTTCTGCGCTCTCACGCACTTCTACGCGCAGTTCCGCAGGATCCGAAACACACGCTATGTTGACACCAGAGGACTATCGCCCTCCCACTGTGCGCGAGTGGCAGCAGGAGTTGTCACGCCAATGGATCGATGTGTCACGTTCTACGAAAGCCCAATTTCGCAAGCCTGATCCGGGTACACCAATCACCTCAGAAACGACTCGTCAACTCGACAAGATCCAGCGTGGCGTCGACGGTGCCAACGAAGACGCCGGGTTCGACAATTTCGGTTTGGTTTGTCTGTGCGTCGACGAAGTCGACTATCTAAACCTGAAAGACGGCCGCGGCGGAGAGCGCTGGAAATTTCATCGCCATACGGAACCCGATACCGGTCTGGATACCTGGGAAGAAGAAGAAGTGTGTCCCTAGCCGTTGCCCTAGGTGCCCCTCGGCGTTGGTATCCCATCATATAAACACTGTGAGTAACCTCTTTAAACGCAGTGCAGAGACGAGGCAACAGGCGGGTTTTCAGTTCACACGTGACCATTTTTGACCATCCATTATCACTTTCCGCGCGGGATTCCTCAATTAAGGTCTCCATCGCCGGTACGATAAGAGACCAAAGGTATAAAAAGCTGAGAATTGTAGTAGATAATTCATCAGATCAACGTTGCTAATCCATATCAGAATTGCCAAGCAAGAACTCTCATTATTCTTGAACAATGTCTGTCTGCGAAAAGTACTACCCTTCCGAGCCCTCAAAGCCTTCCGTCGTGACGTCGTCGATTCCCGGTCCCGAGTCGCAACGGGCTCTGCAAAAGTTGGGTCAAGTGTTTGACGCAAGACCTGCTTATTTTATGGGAGACTACGAAAAGTCCTTGGGCAATTATCTTGTGGACGCTGACGGTAACACATTTTTGGATCTATATGCGCAGATTTCGTCTATCGCATTGGGTTACAACAACCCAGCTTTGATAAAAGCTGCCCAGTCTCCTGAGATGATCCGTGCCCTTGTTGACCGTCCTGCGCTGGGTAACTTTCCTTCGAAAGACCTGGAAGGCATTTTGTCGAAAATCCTCAAGTTTGCCCCAAAGGGCCAAACTCACATCTGGTCCGGCCTTTCTGGTGCGGACGCTAATGAATTGGCGTTCAAAGCCGCTTTCATGTACTACCGCTCGAAGGCGAGAGGCTACGAAACGCCCTTTTCTGCAGAAGAGAACAAGACCGTCATGGAGAACTCTACGCCCGGGTCCCCAGATCTTGCTGTCTTGTCCTTCAAGAGAGCTTTCCATGGCCGTCTCTTCGCGTCTGGCTCTGTTACATGCTCCAAGCCTATCCACAAGCTAGACTTCCCAGCTTTCGACTGGCCTCACGCCGAGTACCCAAGCTACCAATACCCTCTCGCTGATAACGAGACGGCCAACCGCACAGAAGACGATCGTTGCTTGAAGATCGTTGAAGATATAATCTCTTCGTGGCCAATTCCTGTTGCCGCGCTCATCATCGAACCAATTCAGTCCGAAGGCGGTGACAACCACGCTTCAAAGTACTTTTTGCAATCCCTCAGAGACATTACTACCAAGCATGGTGTGGTTTACATCATCGACGAAGTCCAAACCGGTGTCGGTGCTACGGGTAAGATGTGGTGCCACGAATGGGCCGAATTACAACCTCCAGCTGATTTAGTCACTTTCTCGAAGAAATTTCAAAGTGCTGGCTACTTCTTCCACGACCCTAAATTCATTCCAAACCAGCCTTACAGACAGTTCAACACCTGGTGCGGAGACCCAGCCAGAATGATCATTGCCGGCGCCATTGGCCAAGAAGTTGCCGATAACAAATTAGTCGAACAATGCGCCCGCGTTGGTGACTACCTCTTTGAAAAGCTAGAGAAACTACAGTCACAGTATCCAGACAAATTCCAAAACCTGAGAGGCAAACATAGAGGTACTTTCATTGCCTGGGACCTGCCCAGTCCAGCGGAGCGTGATGCCTTTCTCAAACATTTGAAATTGGCTGGTTGCAACGTTGGTGGATGTTCGACTCACAGTGTCAGACTGAGACCTTCTTTGACTTTCGACGAGAAACATGCCGACATTTTCGTAAACGCATTGACCAACGTTGTTTCAAAGCTTTGATGAAATTCCCAGAAATGTATTGAAACAACGCCTTTTTCAGGTGGAAAGAGGTCTTTTCACAAACCTTGTTAGCATAATGTCACATATTTAGAAAACTGATCATAACCTTTGTTTTAATTGTTTCGGTCTCGACGATGAAGCTCTATCAGCTGAGCCTATTCTGGTCGTTACGTGAATCTTGTCCAAGCAGTCGTACGAGAGCATATCTTGGGGTAATCATTTCAAGATGTTAAAGGAGATCGACTCTTGGATTACCACCTCGACTGAAGTGGAATAAGATGAGCACCGATCCAGTACCCATGGAGGTGTCACTGACTGTCGGTAAGCTCGACGCGTCACTTGCGCTTTTAACCACGAAAGATCACCATGTAATTGAGTTCCCTACAATGCTTTTACCTGATAATGTAAAAGCTGGGTCAATAGTCAAAATTCAGGTGTCTGAAGATGCTGAGAAGGAATTACAAGAGTTTCAAGAGTTTCAAAACCTTCAATCTGAGATTATGGAAAAATATGGCACACATACACCCTCAAAACCGGAAGTTGAAGTGATAAATGTGACGCAAACCAGTTGCGTGCTAGGCTGGAAAGAACTGGATTTAGGATCAGCGCATTTGAAATCGCTAATTTTGTATAAAGACGGTGCACGTTCATTGCTGATCCCAAATCCATTGAAGACCACGTCTACCAAAATATCAGGGCTTTCGGTGGATAGCAAGTACACGTTTCAACTCAAACTTTGTACCACATCAGGCAACTATCTATCCGAAGAAATTACTGTACAGACCCACAAGATGACAGATTTGTCTGGAATAACGCCATGTCTTGGAACTCTCGAAAGTATGCGTGGGGTGACGGTTAATGGGATTGAAACGAGTCTTGCAAAAATTGGCGCCAAACCCTTGCAAACTAAGGTCAGTATCGACACTACCCATTTTATCACAAACGATCCCGACAGCGAAGATGCCGAATTCAAAAAGGCTCAGCAAAGTAATATCCCCATTGTCGTGCCCGAATGGATCAGGGCTTGTGAACTTGAGGGTAGAATTGTCGGCGTTCGCGGTTTCTATCTGGATGCCGACAAGTCTAATCTCGAGAGTTATAGATTCCCAAAAGCTAATGATAGTTTCAATGATAAAGCACCAGTAGCTGCAAATAATGCGGTAGAATCGGCCTCGGAATCGGTCACCCACGCAAGCCATGCTAGTCAACAGACAATAGCGCATTTCGATCAGTCTAGCAACAACGACAGCAAGCAAGACGGGGAACAATCGGGATTCGACGCTGTTCCTACTAATGACGACGATTCTGATTTACCTGATGCGAACGCCTCGGATGATCAACCTTTGAATGAGCCTTCTGTAATTGCAAATGGCAAAAGCGTAAACGGTGGAGAACTTCAGAATTCTGAAGAAATACCAGATACGGACTCTGCTGAAGTTGGAATCGCACATAAGAGAGACCATGAACCCGCGCAGGGAGCTGAGGCCGGCAGGGAAGTTGACAACGCAGCTGCGGAACCTGCGATTGTGGACGATAAAGAAAGCACTCACCAAGGCGACACCATCCCTAATAATTTGCCCAGTGCAGACGTATCTGTTAGTGAGCCCACGGATTTGTTGAAAGAAGCAGGCTCGACCCATAATTCAGACGATGCTATTGTTTCCATCAAGAAAAGTACGCAGGACGCCATTGAGAACCCTTCCAATGACTTGAAGGACGACGAAAGTGATGCCGGTCAAACAGAAGAGGGACATGGCGAATTGGAAGGCAAGATGGAGACGTCCCCCAAAGCAGAGGATATCAACGCTCCTGAGCCTGTCGCTGACATCAAAGTTGAGGACCTAAAAGATGATGAAGGCGTAACAGAAACCAGAAAAGAGGAAACTAACCCTGTTGGGTATCCGGTGCAGGAAACGATTGTAGACGTGTCAACCGATGCGGCTGCAACGGAATCGGATGAGAAAGAGCAAGTCCTCGAAAACAGCGACGCCAAATCTACAAAGGATTCTCAAAATATTGAAGACTCGGTATCGTCTGATCCTGTAAAGGAGGGCTCAGAGGCACCAGTCACATCGGTCAGTCCAGAGTTGCAATCCACAGTTCCGGAAGCTGCCGACGCAGTACCCACGGAGCCTCAGCCCGCTGTAACGACGAGCAATCCGGGCAGCTCTAAAAACAAGAAGAAGAATAAGAAGAAGAAAAACAAGAAATAAATCTCAGTTTAGACGTCTATATATTATCAAAATATAGTGCGATATCTTCAGTTATTGGCGTGCATTTTGGCTGGTGGCATTGACTTTTATATATACTGTACAAGGAGACGCGCTTATTCGCCGAAAAGTCTTCTAACTCTCTTCAGCACGGAATCCTTTTCAGGGTCGTAAGGGTGTTCTTTCGAGGGGATCTCAAGGACTGCAGGGAAAGCCGCCGTAAAACTGTCAACCTGACCTCTAATTTTCTCAGCAACATGCTGGTTAATCAAAACAATCGCGATATCTTCCCTTTCTTGCGTGAAATTGTCAAATGATTTCGAGATCTCCTCTCTCGTGGTTTTGCCTTCTTGATAAATCATAAAGTTTCTTTCCTGGGACGAAGGCGCCACTTGTCCCACACCGGCTAAAAGCATACCGGTAATTGTATCCTCATCCCCTATCACAGCAATTAAAGTCCTCTTATCTGACATCCTGAGTTCTCACTCTCTGTCTCGTACTGAAGGGTCTCGGTTCAAAGTATCATGGGTTGATAAAGATATATCCCTTCGTTCAGGATGATTAGAATAAATTAGGCTGCTGTTTGATGGTCTGGTCTACATGGGCGAAAAGCCAATGGCAAAAGCAAAGGTTGTTCCGTGATCTGACGTACTTTAATCAATGATCGTTTTTTGAGCATGAGTTATAACAGCTCAGATACTCAAAACCAGATTTTTCAAATCTTTTTTAATTAGGTACGTTCATTTGTCAAAAATAAATCAAATTGAAAGCTGGAAAACGTAGTTGTTTAAACGGTTTATTCCATCATAGAGCCGATTTCGTTTGTGACGGTGGTTCTGATCGCTCTCCTCTTTTTTACTATTGTCGTGTGACCTGAGGAATTGTCATTATTTAATGTTTAGTAGGAAGGTCTTGATAAATCAAATGGAAACTTCTGGTGTAATAACTGCAACAATCTTGAATATTAACTTTACATGACATATATCCCTACATGGAGGATACGTTTTATATTATAGCTCAATCTGAATGGCTAGCTTGGCCTGTAGTGATGTTGATTCGATCATCTTTCATCTCGTACACTTCACCCCTGGCATTTTCATCGCCGTTATGGAAAGCCTCGCGACTCTTGGCGTTTTCAATCGACTTTGATCTAATGACGGAAGGTTGACCTTCCAACATCGAAAGATTGTCCTGCTGAACTTCAATGTCGTCCATCATGTTCTCGTCAAGGTTTTGTGGTATCATGAGGTTTAAGATGATGCCCACTATGCCTGCAACTGCGAATCCAGACTCCATAATAAGCACAATAGCATTCAAAAACCCAGCGAGGGCTTTGTTTGGGCCAGAATAAGTGAAAAAATAGCTGAACCAGTCTGGTACCAAGATGGCCCCGATACCGGGCAATAAAGATCCCGTCAGGACAAATCTGTCTCTCCTAGTAAATGGAATGGTTGAAATAATTTTGAGACCCGAAACGGCCACACTTGTGAACAAAAATGTCGTCATGCCACCAAGAACTGGTTTAGGAATGGAAACCAATGCGGCTCCGAACTTGGAGAAAATACCCATAATGATCAGGAAGAAACAGCACCAATAGCCGACTTGTCTGTTGGCACATTTCGTCAGTGAAATGACACCATTATTTTGGGCGAAAGTCGACATAGGAGGTAAAGTGAAAAGAGCTGACAGAATGCCGCCAAGACCATCACTTAAGACAGCACCTTGGATGCGAGACTCGTACAGTTCACCTTCCACTTCCATTCTGGACACATCGCAAGTCGCAGTCACGTCACCAATACATTCCTGCGCCAACGTGATATACATGACGAGCACCGGCAGTACGATAGGGCCATATACTGTAAGTGGGAAAGTGTGCACCCAAATGAAAGTCACTGCGGGGGCCACATCGATAGAGCTCCGATCAAAATAACCACAGGCAGCTGCCACAATACACCCCACAAGGAGACCAACAATCACGGCACAGGACTTCATGATAGGCGACCCCCATTTTTCGCATATGATGATTGTGGCGAACACAAGAAAACCCAAACCAATAAACCGGGCGCTGCCCCATTCTCCTGCCATTGGAGCACCTTCATAGGGACACAAAGCACCGACGCACCCAGCTCCTCCAACCCAGTCTTGGAATCCACTTTCAATTAAACTAATGGCGATACATAACACCACAGGGCCTGTGACAATCTTTGGGAAAATCCGCTGCAAAACGCGAGGAGGAGTGAACGACATTGCCATTTCTAGCAAACCGCAGCAGGCCGCAGTCCCGAGTAATGCGCCGTAACCTGCCGTACAAGCCGCTTTGGTACCGTCCTCGGCGACACCACAGAAACCAGAGCTGTACATCATTGGGAAGCCCTTGTTCACAATGGTGATCGTAGCGAAAGAAGTACCCACAACGGAAATAAGACCGGACCCAACATAATAAGGTGTAAATGGGATGTGGAACCTGGTGATCTGGACAAAAGACAAAATTCCAGATGTAATCAGCGATGCAGAGACGAGATATTCCTGTAGTTCGGTGGAGAAATTGGCTACACCAGAGATCAAAATGGGTGGAGTAATGACACCGGCCAGCATCGCTAGCGAGTGCTGAAGCCCGAGTAAAAGCCCTAAGAAAATAGGCATTTCCGAGTACACGGAAAAGAACGGCTGATCCCGTTCTACAGGCTCGATGCCCCGCTTTTTATTGATCCAGTCCCGGAATGGGTACGACGGTGTGAACAGAAAGGCGTAATCGTAGTCACCAAACAGTCCTTCCTTTGTCGTAAGCTTGTGGTACAGTTTTTTTGCTCTCCCCTGAATGGATTGCCCATAATTTGTCGCAGTTCGACGCTCATCGCTGCTTTGAACCGCAGCATCAATGCCCTGAACTGATTCCATTTCTGTGTCCGCTGCCTCTAACTAGAAGTATATAGATAAAGCCTTCATGCAAATGAATGGACGGAATATGCAGAACTATAGCTATTATATATACATCAATCTGGGTCGTCGATAGCGGCCGCCGCCGATGAGGCTGCTGATTTAATTCTGATAAAGATTAGATGTCACTTATCGACACCAATAGCTTTTTTCGGACCCGTACGAAAATATATAGGATTAAAGAAGTCAAATTCGAGATAGACCAATTTCGGAAATCGCCAGACTCACCGGCCCTTATGTTAGATATCGGACCATGGTACCATATGACCAAAGGGAATAAGAAGACCAGTATTTCACCCAAATTCAAGCAACTTGGAGAGAGAAGCAAAGATATATTACGCAGTGTATAAAATTCCTCTATGCCCGCTCACAAGTACAAATTATATTTTTATGTTGGCATTTAGCTCTTGAGGGCCTCATGAAAGAATTAGCTAAGGAGACGTTCGCTCGTCCGTCTATTAGGTGTTTATCAGGTGTTCTCCGAAGCGATTGGGTGGAAAAAGAAGGAAATGCGGACGCATTTCTGTTGCTTTTTGCCTGTGCGGCGATATGCAGGCTGCAGGCTGCAAGCCAGGTGACCGTTGCTGGTAACAATATGGGACCGGAAATCGCCGCGAGGATCAAAGCTGATGATGAAAGTTGGATGGTCTTCTTTGCGGGGAGCAACGCTATATACAAGTTTTGTCTGGCGAGAACCGAGGGAGCGCACAATTTTTGCATGCTTCTCTTAGATTTGTGGAGAACATTTCAACGCGTCGTTACCTGGACAAAAGTCAGAGAGAAGCACAACAGTCACCTCGCGTTGTTGTAGACGGCGGTGACGTCTTCTATTTCGTCCAGCTGCTGCATGAAACGGTCTAGCTTGATTTGCACGTCAGGATCTTCGATTTGCGTCGCCATGTCGTTTTTATGTATGTAATCGACACCGATTTCCTTTATGGAAAATCCCCGGTCCTTGAGAAGCGCCGCAGTCTGGTTGGCAGTTCCCGGCTCTGTGCTGACTTCGTAAATCTCTGAGATTATTTCTTCCGTTTGGGAGGCGGATTGCGCGGCCTGGGTCGTCTCTTTTTCTGCAGGCAAAACGCTGAGGTCGTGTACACCGTCTATATCCAATACCGCTTCGAAAACCTGTTCGATGTCCTTGAGGTGTGCAGGCGGCTGCGCCACGACAAATCCTCGTCGCTCGAAGAAGTACAGCGTCGGTGTCATGCTACCGTTCGCTTTGGTGAAAGTGCTTCGCACGAGCCCAATTGTTCTGTTTTTATTGTCTGTTAGCGCTTCCACTACAAAAGCGACGCCACCGGGACCCATTCCCTCGTACGTACACGATTCCGCTTTAGCTCCGCCTTTATCTGACACACCAGAGCCCTTTTTGATCGCATTTTCAATCACACGTTTCGTGACGTTATTCTTGTTAGCCAACTCAATGGCAGAGGCCAGTCGTAAATTGAGGGCTGGGTCCGCAGATCCACCCATTTTAACCGCTAATGCAATTTGATTCGCGAATTTGCTGAATATTTTGGTCCTTTCTGCATCGTTCTTCGCCTTGTCGTGCTTGATCGTAGACCACTTGTTATGACCCGACATAACACGGCTGGAAATCCCAAATCCGCGTAAAAATTGATGACTTGATGCGCAAGGAGGCAAGCTCAGTTTCATGGTATTTTTGAGCTGGGGGAGCCCTTTCAGCAACATTTGGCTCTCACTCCTTCTGCCGAGGTTGTTAGCCTGTTCACGATGGTTTAATAATTCTTATGGCATGGAAGTGAGCCGTGCAAGATGATAGATGAGAAGTGTTAGACGCCATCTAAATGACAGGCGTTGTTCATTTCCCTAGGTGCTTCACAAATGCTAGCGCGGCTCTATCTTGCTCTTTGTCACAAGTCCTTCGCTCACATTCCAGTTGTGCGCAATATATCATTTCACACATTGTGTTTTTGAGTTCTAAAAAGTCTCTGATGTTCCACTTCTATCATATTTCAATGTCTTCGAAGTACCTTGTGACATTTGAAATTATGAAAACACTTGTTAATTCACACAACAAGCATTCTCTGCTATTGGCCACGAAACTCAAATCCACGACACAATCAATTATCATCTCTTCAATTCTGCGTGCACCTAACTTAAATAAGATTTAAATAATTGTCCCTGCCGTTCTTACAAAATGGTCTCCGCGCAGCCGCAATGGACTCATGAATGTATTATCTCTACTCTAGGGATATATGGGATAAGATTTATTTTTCAGACGACTCAGATTTTTCGGCCGATTCCAAGACTTCCTTCAAGCCGGATCTGTCTGGGTTGGTTCTGCCCACTCTCAAACTGGTGTCGTAAGCAAACTTTTTGTATGTGAACCAGCAACCGGACGCTATAGCGACACCCATGGCGAAAAACAAAGGTGTTAGTTCAACAGGCACACCAACGCCAGGTTTCTTCTTCTGCAGCGTTCTCGTTAGTAAGTGACTCCTTCTCGAGTATTTCGTCGAAATACGGTGTTCATTGGCAGATCGTCAAAACCAGGACACCGGTAAGGAGATTCCGGGAAAATCGCAGGTCAACACCCTTGCACACTACCACATACGGATGCATTCAAAATAAATTGAGTAGGTCTCATGGCTTCGTGGAGAAGATATTCTTCGGTTCACTCTTGTAAAGCTTGTTATAGCGATAGTTCCAGGGGAATTAAATTGAAAAATTGGCGATGAGCGACGGACGCATCGCTATTCACGAACCACCATTGTTTTCTGCGTTTTGATTGGCTAATACAGGACCTGATAATACAGAGTGATATTGAACACAGACACTTGGAAGACCCAGAATCCTCGCGCGTTGGTAACACAAGCGCTTCTAATTCGGTGCTCAGGGTACTTCAATGGTTGTAGTGTACATATTTAAGAAGAGCATCACGATTGACGAAGCAGGTCGCACGTGACCTCGTAGACCAACCAACTGACGGCAGTAGACGGCACCACTTTGAAAAGGTTGGCCGTGAGACCCTTGTAGTAACCCCTATAGCCCTCGACGCGGCCGATGGTGGTCAATGCGTCCCAGACGCCTTTGTAGCGGAAGCCCAGTTCGTTTTGACCCATGGAAAGTACTTGAAATCGTCTTCTCAGTAAATCGAAGGGATAAGTCACAGTCTGGGCCAGGCCGCCGCTGACGGCTCCGAAAACCAGTTTGAGCATGTTGTTGGCGGATGCGCCGAGATCAGAAGGTGTAAACTCTTTGAGTTGCTCGTAAGCGGCGAAATTGATTGCGACGTAGGGAACGACACCGACGCTAGTCGGCCAAACGCCTCTGTACAGAGCGCGCAGGCCGCCCTCGTCGCGGTAGATGGTTTGCAGCAGTTGGACCGCGCCTGGAGGTTTCCGTAGAACGTCGACTTTGGAGTGTGACAGTCTTGCAAGGTTCGCGGTCTGAATCGAAAGTCGCGCGCGAACCAGATCCAACGGGTAAGTGGCCAGCACGCTGCAGCCACCACACAGGGCGCCCGCAAAAAGTCGCTGCCAGTTCTCGAGCTGTACCTTGACGGCAGCGCCGGCGGCGCTGCCGTCAACGCGAAAAACCTGTCGCTTGCACGCCTCGTAGACGACAAACTGCACCGCGCTGTACGGGAAGATGCGCACGCAATTCAGCCCGTTTCCGCGAAACAGGCCCGGTACGCCTTCCTCCTGGTAGACCTGGCGCACAGCGCTGAAGACGCCCTGGTTGTACGCGCTGGTCGTGCTCTGAACCTGCAGTAGGATCTTGACACGCTCGAACGGCGACACCACGGTTCTGGACACGGCTCCGGCTATACCGCCGCTGATCAGCGCGACATTGTTGTCCGTTTTCAGAATCTGCTTGAAACGGACGTCCAAAGCCATAGTCGCTAGCGGCAGCCCACACACAGATGCTGGACCGGTGCCGACATGCTGGGATTCTTCGAGACCAGTTCTTTCTTTGGGTTTCAATGCCGGTGGAAAAAACCGATAATGCGTCTAGATAGACAATGGGCAAAAAACAAATATTGAGAGCTGAGGGATTCGAACCCGCGCATCCGAAGATATCAGGGTTTCTGATACACGCAATATCCTAAACCTGACGCCTTAACCACTCGGCCAAACTCCCGATCGTGTATTAAGTACCGGAGCGTAATGCTGAAGAAGTTGTGAGCGCCTGAACCCATGGCGTACAAGCGTAGCCGACACACCGCCGGCACACCGCCGGCACACCACACGGCCCAACTCTCCCACGCCTACTTACTCTTCAATGTGCTCAGACGCCGAGAACTGCGCTTCCGCTTTCTGTTTATCCCGCGCGTCGTCCGTCGGCATTCGCGGCAGCCTCGACGCCCGTTGCCAGAAGTCAAACTCGAGGTACGCCTCCGTTTGTTTCGTGCGTATTTAGGTACATAACTTGCTTACGTGAGCACTTTATTCCGCATCCGTAACGCTGGTCCGACGTCTGGGTCCGCTTTTGGGCGGGTTGGCGATCGGCAAACGCCGAGACAGCGGCATGGGCGACGTTTAAGACGCAGGTGCGTGGGCATATGCACGCATGCGTCTTTTTCTCACCGGCAGGCACCAATCACCGAAAACCGGGACAACGCGCGGGCGCGGTGTGCAGGTGCAGTCCTTTGTTCCGCCGAATTTGCGGAGCGCGGCTTTCAAGAATCTGAAACCCTCGGGGCCTCGAGGCCCTGAATCTTAAGACCGCTTACGTCACCGGACGGCCCCCACGCGCCTGTCGCGCTTTGTGCTTCCGAAATGCACGGGCCTGCGCGCCGCTGCAACGGACTTTTTTCGAGAACGAGCGCGGTCACGTGGCGTGTACCGCAGGCGGTACCGCACACGGCACCGCTCGCTAGACCGAGCCCCCGTGTGCTTGGGTCGCCGAGAGCCGAGGGAGCCACGGTCTCTGAGGACGCCGTCTGGCCGCCGACGGCGCCCAGACGGCCGTTGCGCGCGATCCCGATTGTCGCATGCGACTCATGCATATGCAGTCACGTGACTGCATATGCATGGCGGTGCCCAGCAAGTTTGCCTGCCTGGATTGTCAACGGGCCGGACCGGGAAGCGAACCGTCCATTCTGATGGCCGCGTCGATCCGCCCCGCGGCCGTCTGTGCAGAGCTGCAAGGTTCAGCGTACGAATAAATGCGAGTCCTTTATGTAAATTTAGAAGCGCGTCTGGGTGGTACACCCAGACGCGATGCAGGGGCGGGCCGAGAGCAGGGGTCACGTGCCCAAGCCCCCGCCCGCGGCCGAGCCCGGTGTGGTGGCGTCTTCTTGCCTCGGAGGCGACTGCTCGCTGCCGCTCGTACCGGCGCTGCCGCCGAAGGCGCTGGGGCCACCGCCGGAGGCACCGCCAGAGGCACCGCTACCGTGACGCTTCGCGTGGATTTTCTTGTGGCGCACGAGATTACTCTTGACGTTGAACCGCTTGCCGCAGCCCACTACGTCGCACTGGAACGGCTGGGCGCCCGTGTGCGTGAGCAAGTGCGTGGTCAGCGCGCTGGGCCGCGAGAACCGCTTCTTACACACGGCACACCGGTGGGCGTGCGGCGGGCTCAGCGGCCGCGTCGGGCCCGTAGCCGCCGGCGCCGCGGGCGCCGCCGTCGCAAGGGACAATCGCGTGGTCGTGGATGCAGAGGTAGGCAAGGGCGGGGCCGGGGCCTGCCGCAGCGGCCCCGGCCGAATGGAGCCCGGTCGCACAGGCGGTATGAGCAGCTGCAGCGGGTACCCCTGAAGCGGGAGCCGGGGTCCACTGGGCGGCGCGCCGCCCCCGGCCCGCACCAACGGCACCGGCATCGGCGCCGCTGCGCGGACCGACACGGGCGCCGTGACCGGGCCCGTTACCGGGCCCGCAACCGGGCCCGTGCACGGACCTGTGCACGGGCCTGGGCGCATCACCGGCACAGGCTGTTCCAACAAAGCGTGGCGGGGCCGAATGTGAGGTTTTTTCACGTCGCGCAGAATGTCCTGCAGCGTTCGTTCGCGCTCCTGATCTTCGGTGTTCTGGCCCGTCATCCACTAACTGCAGGAGCCCGTGGCGGTTAGCCACCCTCGCGCATCTGTGGCTCGACTTCTAGTATCGGTTCTCTCATATATATGATCAGCGACTCCTCGTATGAGGCCCGTGCCAAACCCACCGCTACTGCAGATCTTGCGGCTAGTCCGAGCGCTGGCTGGTGCCGACGACACTGGCGGAACCCACCTGCGGCCTGTACGGCAGGCAGGCTTCCGCATCTAAGAAACTACGTTGTAATAGTCACCTAAACCTGCGCGGTCTGCTCGAGACTAAGGAACAAGCGACGTGCCAATACCGTCCTGTGTGCCTGTACACACATCGAGCCGAGGCAGTCGTGGGGGTAGCGCCGTCTCCACGTACCCATGCACGGGCGACGCACCGGCAACGCACCGGCGATCGCGAGACGCCCGCGTGCGCGGGCGTCTCGCGGCCAGCGCATATTTGCGCGCGCTACGCGGCTCTCTGAGCCCGTCTGCGCGCACTTTGCGCGGTCGGAAGCGGACCCTGCAGTTACGAACGTCCTGGAATGGCTCCACACAGTGCTTGTCGCAGTGGCGTCAGCATGCGGAGAACAATGGGTAGCGTGACTTCAGTATGCATACTGCGTTATCTGTTCTGACGTAAGAGACGTAGTTACAGGCCATCAGACCGTTCAGGCAACGCATTGCGAATCCTTGACTCTGGTGTCTGGGTGCGCCGCCGGCTATTACGCGGCCCGGACTGCCCGTTAGGGCAGAATCGACCGTCGTATAGGGCGCAAAGCACGGTTGGCTCGACCGTAGGGCTCAAGGTTACCCGCGAGGCTAACCTTGCAGGGTAACCTAATGGCTCAGGGGCACGGTCGCGGATCGGCCGGCCGGCGGCCGGCCGAGGGCCGGCCCCCTGCGGATGCACGGGTGGGCGGCAGAGGCGCCTCGGGACAGTGAGCTTGGCAGGATGCCGCCTCGGCGACGCCGAAGGCGTCGCCGAAGGCGAGCTAAGCTTTAGGGGCTAGGGAAGAATCCGTACATACCCGTCGATGAGAGGATTCGTACAAAGGTATGTGGCAGCCGGGTCAGGTCGCGTCGGCGGGTAACGACCTCATACGAAAGCAATGCACACTCAATTAACAAACGGTAAATACTCTACATAGTTGCGCCCGCCTCGCTCACGAGTAGGTCTCGATCAAGGTGTCGCGCAGGTTGCCCGAAATGGAGTCCGGTTGGGCGTCGTGAAGACGGAAAATGCTCTCGATGACACTCAGCTCGGGCGCCGTGGTGTCGAGCCCCGCGACAGCAAGGTAGTCATTTACTACGATGCCGGCGCCCACTACCGAAGACCCCCGGTTCACGGTACCGGCCACAAGCGGCACCTGCAGCAGCGACGACAGTTCCTCTTGGTCCTGGACCGTCGTCTGCGGGTGCACAAGGCCACCCTGGTTGCTGAGCGCACAGTACGACCCGACAAGCACGTTTCCGGATATCGTTTGTCTGAACACCTCGACCCCGAGCACGTCTGCTATCAACTCTTCCGTTTCCGCGTCGATGTCCGGGTGCACGAGCGCCACGTAGTCATTGCAGCAGATCACGTTCCCCAAAGCCGAAAGACGCTCTTCGACCCGCTGTATCTTGACTGAGTCGGGCAAACTGTTTCTCAAGTGCTGTAGCTCCTGGTCCGTCGTTTGCGTGGGCACCAGCAGACCGCGGCGGTTGCCCGCGGTCATTCTGCCCACGATTCTGGTACCGGCGATTGTTGTGTGCACGATCGGAATGGCGTCGCCTAGCTCTGCTTCGAAAGCTGAGTAAAAGTTCTCAGACCCGCCCACCGTCACCAGACAGTACGAGTTGGTGAGCTTCGAAAAGACGCCCACCTCGTTGGAGTTCTCAAATTGCGTTCTGGTAGCCATCGCTGTCTTACGCTGTGTTTTATGCTGGTGCTTCGCGCTGTAAGCTTCTTGCAGATGAACTCAGTTCGTCATGTACCCGAGTAGCCTGGAAAATTTTTTGACAATGGGCTCGGCCGACGATGCACAACGTATGATGTGATACCCTGTCTAAACGCCCCGAGCCTTGCCCGCTTGCCCGCTACTGCTCCAGTTCCACGCTTGCAAGGCTCAACAGGTGCACCACCTTCACGCCTCCATCCGCGGTTTTCACCTCGCACACGGCGCCCAAAGGGCCTCTATCACAGTCTGCGCAGATCAGGTATTTCGACACCTCGTTAACAGTGAGCGAGTCGTCGTCGAGTGCGAAACCCGACGTCGCGTTGCGAAGCTCGACTGGCAAACTGCGCGACACGCCGATGTTGTCGAAGTCCCATACGTCGTCGAAGACCAGGAACTGGCCGCCTCGGAGGGTCCTCTCACGCGAGTTTTGTAAAAGTTTCATTTTGGTGTACACCTGTTCCGGCACTTGGATTTTTCGCTTCTCGTCCATGGACGCCACGACGCATCTGCAGTCCTCGAAGGGACATCTCAGTTGGGGCATTGACAACCTTACTAACCGGTTTTGTCCGGTCGCGGTGAGATACGCTAGACGGCATTTCGTGTAATTTTTCGATGCGATGATCGTGGTAGTTTTGTACGGCATGAATTTTAGAAGTAGTCGTCTTGTACGAGAGGGCTCCCCTCTGTGATGAAAAAGCGTTTGTGCCAGTTCCTTTAGATGATCAACAAACTCAAGTCACAACCGCCGAAGCCAGTTGACGGAAACTAGCAGATAGAATTTTAGTTTATTTAATACGGATAAGTATATATTGGCCTGATGGATGGTGCAGCACTCAGTGGCGGCCTGGATGGCACCGTGAGCGGCGTCACAGGAGCGCTCCGGGAGCTTTCGCTAGGGGAGTTGAACAGAGGGGAACACCATTTGAGGGAACGTGGGTCAGGCTTCACTCGAAAGCCGACAAAACCTGTTTCACCGAAAAATGGTGCAAGTCGAGTTCTGGAACGCCATTTCCCCGAGGGAACGGAAACCCATCCCGTCTCTTTGCAAGATAGTGACCTGGAGACTGAAACTGGGAGTTACGCGGCAGAGGAACGCCCCCACGAGGAACAGGGCGTTGTACCGAGGTTAAAAAACGAAATATACCACCTTAGACTCGAACTGTCACAAAAGGAAGAAGATGCGGCCCGCTTGCAGAAGCTTCTGAACCACAGTTGGAGCACCAAAACCCAACAACAACAAACAACAACAGCGACGAGAGCTGTAAGGCACGGTGCAGGGGATTCATTCCAGGATGTTCCCTTGCTGCAAAATTGCGACGTTTTGTCACATTGTTCTACGTCCCCTTACAAAGGAAGTAAGACACCTTCTTCTGTCAAGACGTCGGGTTCGCTCGCAACCACCACGGTGGACGAGGCAAACGAAGAGCGGCAGGTGCTTAAGGGTGCGTTCATGCCTTTTTTACAAAGAACGATAGATACTCTGAAGGCAAGCGACGTTTTCGAAGAAGATGCCCACAGAATAGACAAGAGATTTGGGAAACTCAAAGCCGCCAAGTGCGGGACAGATGGATATTTGGAGGCTCTTGTCCAGATGTTGAACGAAGTGACACATTTGCAACGGCAGTGCGTCGCGCTGCTGAATAGAGAGCTTTTGATTAAACGGGTCTCGTCCCAATTGGAATTCCTGTTCACTATTTTCCTGGATCCGGAACAATATGGGCTCATGAAACAGGAGCACGTAGATGAATTGAAATCTAGCATGTTGGATATTCTGGTTGAGGTTTTTGACTACGATTTCGATACCGGAAGACCAAACGTGCGTCCACCGCTGCCTGAAGGAGAATTACGGAAAGATGACACAAGAGAACGTGGCAAGCCTTTTTACAAAATCAAGAAAGTCAAGACTTTGCAAAAAGGCCTAAATATCTGCGTCGGAGCATTACAAGAATATTCCACAACCAAAATGATGCAACGCAGCAAGAAACCAGCAACTACAGATGCTACAACCAGAAATAAAATTCAACATCCGCCGCCGCCAGCAACGGATGCTTCCAGATTGCAAACTGCTTTGGAATTTATTCCAATTGGATTTGACGAGAAAATGCTTCAAGAAGGCTCTCCTATTAGGACCAAATTCTCGAGCGAAATCAATCAAAGAATCCAACTTACTCCTCGTGCTCTAGCTTTGAGAGAAATTCCAGCGGAAAATGGCGATTCCCTTCAGCAGTTTTTCACAGAGTTTTTGCACGAGACATCGAGTCAAGACAATTCCAGATCCTCAATAGGTAGCGCTGGCGCAAAGTCATCACGTAGACCGCGCGTCGTTCCTCAATAGTAGTCTTTCGTGTGTTTCCGAGAATTTTATTTGTTTTCTGTCACAACGCTGACGCGTCAACGTCTGAAATACGAAAAATTAATGCTGTTTCCGAAATTGAAATCGGCGCAGAGCCTAACCGATAATAAAGGAGATACCTTGAACGCAAACGCGGATGCAAGACGGCTTGAAAGCCGCCATGACCAGTTCCAAGAGCCCCGTTCATACTGCGACGAGCAATGGAAATGGTGCTATAAACATATCAAGTCCTCGCGTTGGCAGCGCCAGTTCAACAGTAATAGAAGAGGGCCAATCAGGCGATGATCGCTCATCCAAAGGCGTTAGATTGGAAGCACACACTCATGTTCATGGAGTGGAATCGGAAAAACCACTTGTTGCGGGGAAAGATGATATTGATGGACGTCAAGGAAAAGTCATTAAAGAATGTGCTACTGAGAAGGCATCTCATCTAGTCACAAAAGATGACATAACGGCTCTATTTGATGCCAATCTTCCGGCACCAACCAGAAAATCTGATCCGATGGCACGCGGAAAGGTCAGTGATTCTGAAGTCTGCGATGACAAGCAGGCGGCTCGGATAAGGCGACAACAAGAAAAAAAGAGAGAAAAGCAGCAGAGGGAACTCAAACGTGAGCAGGAGAAACAAGAGCGGGAAGCGAGAAGACTGGAGGAGAAAAATAGGAAAGATGAAGAAAAACGTGAGCGTGCCAGGAAGAAAGAGGAAGAGAGAAAGCAGAAAGAATTGAAAAGAGAGGAAGAAAAGCGTCAGCGAGAAATGAAGCGTGAAGTCGAAAAGCAGCGGAAAGAAGACCAGCGTCTCAGACGCGAAGAAGAGAAGAAGGCCAAAGAGGAGGAAAAATTGCGTAAAGAGGAAGATAGGGAAAAAGCCCAGGCCCGTATTGGTAACTTCTTCAAGAAAGCAAAGCCTTCCAAGACGGCAATTGTCACCAAAAGCGATTTTGAAAAGTCGTTTTTACCATTTTATCTGAGAAATGGAGTACGGTTCGCCAACGACAAGATTCTCACGCCAGAGAAATTACTTGTGTCAAAATCCTCGATTGATTCCCAACTGATACAAAATTTTGAGAACAAAACCGAGCGTTGGCTAATGTCCACCCCACGATTGGTGGCTAACTCAATTACAATGACCGCTACTAATCTTATGCAGCAAATGACGAGCAAGGAGAAATCTGAAGACGATTTCCAGAAGCTTTTGCAACAGATTCCTCAAAAATATATCAAATTCTATGAGAATGTGCGACCTCCCTACATAGGGACTTATTCTAAAGAGATTATCTTGCCCAAGGATAATCCGCTTTCCACAGCAGAAACCGGATACGACTACGATTATGATTCCGATTGGGACTGGAATAATGAGGGCGACGAAGAAGGCGGAGGCATTGAGGATTTAGACGATGCGGAGGTTGAAGAAGAGGAAGATGATGCAGAAGATGGCAGTGAGGGCGAGTTTGACGAGTTTTTGGAAGACGCCGATACTATAGATGGAGCGAAAAAACAAAAATTTGTTGGACCATTAATACCTACCGTAAAACTCAGAACAGATTATTGTTCTTTACCAGATGATGATCGCTATTACTTTGATCTCGTTTCGGTCGAAGCTCTCATTATTCAACAACCATTCCCCATTTCCATCGATTACAATCCACCTAGCAAGCGCCCAGCTAACGACGAAAACAAGGTAGACGCCAGAGACGAACCTAGCCATAAAAATGCTAAGTCTGTCATAACAGAGAGCGCTGATCTTATTACCTTGTACAATGAGGTGCATGAAAGCTCTTTTTCATTAGCCACGCTGACCGAGTTGGCCCAAAATAAGCTTCCAAAATACAGCAAAAAAACGATCAGAAATACAATCAAAGATCTAGCCACCAGGGTCGCCGTAGATGGGAAAGCGTCTAAAATCTGGCAGCTCAATGACAAGGAAAAATGGGAAAATTTGAAAATAGGAAAATCCTTACCTGAGAGCTAATATGCGAAAGCGATGCCTTTATACTCACGGTGCTTTTTCGAAATCTGGACTGAAAGACTGGAGCTCTTTAGCGTTGAGAAAGGCACTAGCTTCGAGCGTGTTGGTATTTTTTTTACCCTGCCTTCGATGCGCTTGGAAGCCAAAAGACTATATTGCCTTTTTGAGACAAATGAGGAAAAATAATGATTTAATCATTTTCGGGATTTCACAGGAATTCGCGAAGCAGTTACAGATTAACAGTTACAGATAGAAAAGCGTGCATTGGGAGGATGTCCGATAATCAAAGCTCACAAAATCGAGCCCCTGACTCGTCTCCTATCGCCGCACCCCAATCCTCCTTTGGTGGTTCGTCACCTCCATTGTTTTACAATCCTTCATCATCTTCACAGCGCGATACTTACGAAGGAGATGAGAACGGGCAACAAGCGGGGTCATCTCCTGTTCACTATGCATTTTCATCGCAAGTGGGTAGAGGTCTATCAGAAACTAATCGTTCGCAAAGATCTCAAAGAAGTGCACGAACCGGTCGTTTTTCGGACAGTAGTGAGCCCAACCTGATACATAGCTCGCAGGTTCAATCACAGCGTATCAGTCATAGAAGAAGCGATATTCACGCTTCCGATTTGTCGTCGCCCAGAAGAATCGTTGATTTAGATTCGCAGCCACCATTGAGCTCTTCGTCCGATCCTAGTTCAGAAGCCACGGAACCACTTCGAATAATTTGGGGTACTAATGTTAGCATCCAGGAATGCGCTACTAATTTCAGGAATTTTCTAATGTCATTTCAATTGAAAGATCGCCGTATCCTCGACAGAAACGAGGAAATGATAGATTCGACAGATGAAGATGATCTCTATTACGTGAAGCAGCTCAACAAAATGAGAGAAATTGGAAGTCTCAATCTCAACTTGGATGCCAGAAATTTGCTGAGCTTTAAGCAAACAGAAAAGTTGTATTATCAGCTGATGAGTTATCCACAGGAAATCATATCTATTATGGACCAAACCATCAAAGACTGTATGGTTTCTTTGGTTGTTGATAACAATCTAGATTTTAATTTGGACGAAATTGAGACTAAGTTCTTCAAAGTCAGACCTTATAACATAGAAACCAAAAAGGGCATGCGTGAATTGAATCCCAATGATATCGACAAGCTCATTAGTGTAAAAGGACTCGTTCTCAGATCGACTCCCATTATACCAGACATGAAAGTCGCATTTTTTAAGTGCAACATCTGCGACCACACCACAGTGGTGGAAATCGACCGTGGAGTTATACAGGAACCTGCCAGATGTCCTCGAGTTGCGTGCAATCAACCAAATTCAATGTCCTTAATTCATAATCGCTGCTCTTTCGCTGACAAGCAAGTAGTAAAGCTCCAAGAAACGCCTGATACAGTTCCCGACGGTCAAACTCCCCACTCGGTATCACTTTGCGTATACGATGAACTTGTTGATAGCTGTCGAGCTGGTGATAGAGTCGAAGTGACGGGTATTTTCCGTTCGATACCGATCAGAGCTAGTGCGAGACAGAGGGCTTTGAGGGCCCTCTATAAGACTTATTTGGATGTCGTACACATCAAAAAGGTTACCCCTGACAGGTTGAATATTGATACTTCTACCGTCGAGCAGGAGCTTTTGCAAAACGAACTGGATAACGCCGACATACAAGAGACTCGACCAATTAGCGATGAGGAGATAGCAAGAATTCACGAAGTGGCTCAAAGGCCAGATGTCTATGAGGTGCTGTCTCGTTCTATAGCACCCAGCATTTTCGAGCTTGACGACATCAAGAAAGGTATATTATTGCAACTTTTCGGAGGAACGAATAAAACTTTCAAGAAGGGTGGAAGGTATCGTGGCGATGTCAACATTCTTCTGTGTGGTGACCCATCTACTTCTAAGTCACAAATTTTGAGTTACGTGCATAAGATAGCACCTAGAGGAGTTTATACTTCTGGTAAAGGTTCTTCTGCTGTCGGTCTTACCGCTTATATCACGCGAGATATGGACACTAAACAACTTGTTCTGGAAAGTGGGGCTCTAGTTCTTTCTGACGGAGGTGTTTGTTGTATTGATGAGTTCGACAAAATGAGCGATTCTACAAGATCAGTGTTACACGAAGTCATGGAGCAACAAACGATCTCGGTGGCTAAGGCCGGTATTATTACTACCTTGAACGCCAGGACGTCGATTTTGGCGAGTGCCAACCCGATCGGCTCGCGATACAATCCAAATCTTCCTGTCACGGAGAACATTGACTTACCACCGCCGTTGCTGTCCAGATTTGATCTCGTGTATCTTGTGCTGGATAAAGTAGATGAGAAAACAGACAGAGAGTTAGCTAAACATTTGACAAGTCTCTACCTTGAGGATCGCCCGGTACATGCATCGCAAAGTGACGTCCTTCCAACAACTCTTTTAACTGCCTACATCAATTACGCAAAACAAAACTACTCCCCGCTAATAACGGAACCGGCCAAGATTGAATTGGTGAGGGCGTATGTGGGAATGCGAAAGATAGGTGATGAATCAAGAGCAGATGAGAAAAGAATCACTGCGACCACACGACAACTAGAGAGTATGATCAGACTTTCAGAGGCACACGCGAAAATGCGTTTGTCACGCCAAGTTGAGCTTGAAGATGTACACGAGGCTGTCCGACTGATCAAATCGGCAATTAAAGATTACGCAACGGATCCCAAAACCGGTAAGATCGACATGAACCTAGTCCAAACCGGGAAATCTATAGTACAACGCAAGTTGCTAGAGGACCTTGCGCGAGAACTTTTGCGCATTTTGGGAGATCGTTCTGGAAACACCATCTCATTTAATGAGCTTGTCAAGTCGGTTAACGAACAGTCGCAAGACAAAGTTGACACGGTGGATATTGCAGAAGCATTGACAAGGCTACAACAAGAGGACAGAGTAGTCATTTTGGGCGAGGGAGTAAGACGGTCCATTAGGCTGAACAATCGAATTTGATGATGAACAGAGTACGACGGCCTTGTAATTCCATCTCGCTATGACATTGTGAACAAATCATGCAACTGTGAAGTGACCCTGAGCCAATATACGGGTGTCGCTGACGTTAGTTTTCCCGAGTTTCGGTTCATGATAAGTTGGTCGAAAACAACGTCCTTGCAAGCCTGGCGTTTGCAGAGACACACAGGGAGAGCACGGACAAAATTCTCTGATAACCGTCACAAGCATGACAGTTGAATAGATTTTGCATTCATTTAAATAGAGAAGGGCTTCTGACTCTAATATTCGACTTTGTTGATAATCGTGAAAGCTGATTGGCTTATTTCTCGGGTACTTCGACAGACTTGAGTGGTGAAAAAAAAATTTAGACAGGTATTTCTTTAAGTCCGTTAAACCAAATACTGGTATATCCATTCTTATAGTACCTGCGTCGATAATGCTAGCTAGACTTCAATCTTTGAGCACGAGTGTTGTTTCGCAAGCTAAGCTTGTCTCTTCGAAAACGATCTACTACTCGAAAGTTGTCGGTGAACTTTCTAAACAGGTTTATTTGAAAGAAAATCTTCAACCACCTTCTGTCAATGATTTCCAAACTGTTTACACCAAGCTGTACAAACGTGCTCTTGGGTTTGCTACGAAGCCTAAGAGCTCTTTGGAATTTTTGAAAACGCTAGGCAAGAACGATTTGGTGAAATATGGTTCCTATGGGGTGCAGCTAGCCGGTCTATATTCCCTCGGAGAGATCATTGGGAGAAGAAAAGTTGTAGGATACACTAATTATGCCGCTCATCACTAGAGTAGGCTTTAACGATAGCGTTTTCCGTGCATTTGAAGGCATTTGATGGCTCGGGGAAGAGTCGCCCATAAAATTTATTATTTAGAATCTCAAAATATATGTCCAATGAGGAAATAGTATAAATATTCAGATCTTTTACCAATACTGGTGCTTGAGTTCAATGACTCGACAACGGCGTAAAAACTTCAATACGCAGAAACTTCTATTTGGCTAGGAACATTTTCTAACAATATTTTTATGTGTGAATTGAGCTGGTGCTATTTGTCTATATACTACGTCAAAATGCCTGCTTTCCTCAAATGTGGACAGCACATTCAAAAACTGCAAGGCCCTTGATTAGAAGCTGCGTAAATATCGTAATTCAGCGCTCACTTTATTTTAAATTTCCTCATCTTCGATTTGATTATGCTGTTTTCTCCTTTTGGAAGCGTCAAGCATTTCACGTCTTTGACGCTTTTTCTGCTTGACGACACGCGGTACGGTACTGATATGTTTTCTTTCTTGATGGGCTTTGCCCTTTTTGACCATCTCTTTCTCTTTCTTAGACATTTTTGAGAACGTTTCCATCCATGGAGAGACCTCGCTGCCGCTCTGTTTCATGACATTGATAATCGGTTTCACTCCAATCACATCTTGCTTTGTGTAAAATGTGATGGCTTTACCAGACCGCCCACCTCTTCCGGTTCTACCAATTCTGTGAACGTAAGCCTGAGCTGATGCTGGTACATCATAATTTATGACCAAATTGATACCTTTGAAGTCTATACCGCGAGCCAGAACATCTGTACAGATCAAGCACCACAAGTCACCAGATCTAAATCGTTCGATAATCTTGTCTCTTTGAACCTGAGTTCTCTCAGCATGAATGACATCAACATTCAAATTGTCATATAAAAGTTCGTGAAAAAGCGCCTTGGCTCTGGAGATGGACTCTAGAAAAATGATGACTGGAGGTCGAAATTCACCTTCTTGAATTAATTGCCTAATGGCAATTAATTTCCCCTCTTCATTCCCACAAAACACTAATTTCTGTTCAATATTGCTGTTAGCGGCTTCTTTGTGACCAATGATCACACGGACAGGGTCATGCATGATGCTTTGTGCCATCGATTCGATACCCGATGGGATTGTCGCGGAAAACATAGATCTTCGCAATTGCGGATTGGAACACGATGACAATATACTGTCGGCTTGTTCAACAAAAGTTTTGTCCAAAAGCTTGTCAGCCTCATCAAAAATCAAGTGTTTAACATTAGACAGGTCTAAAGCTTCTTGTTTCACGATGTCTATGAGTCTCAAGGGCGTTGTGATGATAATGTCATATTTCTTGTCACTAACAACCTTATTTCTAAGTTTTGCACTCAAAGATTTCGACAGAAGTGCCACTGTAAGTGGTCGTTTCTTGGCCAGTAGTATTTTGTGACTGAGTTTGCTACATTCGGCAAAAATCTGGCTCGCTAGTTCCTTCGTGGGAGAAACAATGAGCCCTTGTAAGCCTTCCCTATGCTCATTGGTCAAAATTTGTTGTAAGAGAGGTATTATAAATGCCAGCGTTTTACCAGAACCTGTAGGAGCACAAGCCAAAATGTCTCTTTCATGTAGTGCAAGCGGAATAGCTTCGCATTGAATTGGGGTTGGCTCCGTGAAATGGTTGTCTATCAGGTTGTTGAGCAAACGTCTATCTAGCTTGAATCTGGATACAAGGTCTTCAAAAGACCCGATGGGGAGGGGCACATCGTGCCCTGAAACATTTCCGCGGTAAGATTTGCGCAATTGCAAAGCATCATCCGTGTTTGAGATTTTCAGCAGATTGGCACCTTTGTCTTCGACTCTACTGTCGTTTTCTTCTTCGTCTTTTTCTTCGTTCATTGCATCGTCTTGAGCATGTAACTCTTCCTGTTTCTTCTCTGCCTTATGTATAGTTCGCTTATTCCTGAAGAAATCGAGCTCTCTAGTGAGATTTTCCTCGCCGTCTGGCTTTCTGGCATTTCCTGGCACAGAAATAGCCTCTCTGTCCATATTTTTGCTCACATCGATGGATCTTCCAGAAGTAGACGGTTTTTTCAAGTAAGCTCCTCTTGTAAGCACTCTAAAGACATCCATTTTCCAGGAAAATGACTTTTTCAATAGCGCTCTTTCAATTTCAATACAAACTATCCGCTTGTGGTGACTGAAAGGGCCTCTTTTGACGATCAAGTTCTCGTACTTTCGGCTCATCTCGTCTTGCTTAATTTTCACTCTCTCTTGACGCTTCCTCCAACATAAAAAAAGAAATTATTGATGTACAAATGTGTCACGTGATACTTCAAAGATCTTGAAAAATTTTAAAGAAATTGAACTATCAAAAGTGCTGATTTTACACCAAATCAATTGGCGAAAGAGATCATTAAACGTGCTTCTAAACGATTTTTACACTGTACTGGTAATAAATACCTCATGCTTTCCCAGGGGAGAACGCAGTTGGTTAAAATTCCGTCTTGGTTCCTGCAATTGCGATCCATAACGTATCTGCACAGCGGAACGAGAATACGTGGATTAAAGAGGGATCCGGCAGAATATCTACGGCTTTCCAATGGACTACTGTACAGTGAGATTAAACCGGATCAGTATCACAATAAAGTTCGGAGCCGTTTGAATCTTGAGAAGTACGGGATTTATTTACCAGATGAGCTAATCGTGCAATGTTTTACCCATAAGTCTTTTGCACATGGATCTATGCCTTACAACGAGAAATTAGCAGCTTTGGGGGCGCAGTTTCTGAAATACCAGGCTTCAATTTACTCTGTAAGCTCACAGGAAAAGCCATTGGAGCAAGCAGCAGGAGCTGAGATAAGCCCAAATAGTATAAATGGGCTAGAATTCTCAAATCTGGGGACCCAATTCTCCAAACAACTGATTTCCAAGCAAACGTTGTCAGAGGTGATAAAAGAACGGGGCATTGATACTCTTGTTTTTTGGAAGAAACGGGATCCGTTGAAGGATGCCAAGTTCAACGGTGAAAACAGCATTTTCTCAAGTGTGCTTAATGCCGTGGTGGGCGGAGTGCTTGTCACTAGCGGTCCTGAAAAGGCCTCCGAATTCATTGGTAACGAGCTCCTCGATGCCACGAAACAGTCATCTTTAGCAAGCATCGCTAATAAGGTGGTATGAATGTAAAGCATCTGCGTGTATATAGGTGCGCAGGTCACGCCTGTAGCATAGAGAGCATCATTGTAAATATCAATAATTGATCTCAGATTAAACAAGGAAAAGCATTTTTTAACGTATATTACAAAAAAAGTGACCCTCTTTGGCGCCAGATCTATAATAGGACCCGCATAACCAGCTAACCAATATCAAAAGAAGGCCTGATCAATGCGATAGTCTTGAATTCAAAAAGGCAATTTCTTCTTTCAAACTAGCCTCTTCTACTGTTTTAACAAGTTCTTTGGTACATTTGGCAATATCAAAAGCAATGCCTGCCAGGCGCTGCTTGAAATGTTTGTTCGCGTAAACTTCGTCTCCGTCTTTTGATTCTATGTCAGCATCCTCCTTTAACTGACATAGAGATATGATTCTTTTCTTGCAGTCATCCAAACTTTGCACGACCCAGCTACCGTGTTCCCGTAAGGCAGCATTTCTGGATTGGTCCATCGAGACGCTGGTGGCACCAACCATTTGGCTAATAACCTCCTTTATAGCTTGAGAAGCCAACCTCAACTCGCCCGTTGTTGCTTGTGGCTGTTTGATTGAAGTTAACAAAGATTGTATAGTGCTTATCACTTCAATTGTGCGATGTTCCAAATAAAGCAATAACTCTGAAAGTGTGTTATCAGGGTTTTCAATATCAAAGGCATCGATGTCGAAGTCGGCCTCCTGCTCCAATCCTTGTCTCGATTGTCTCGCTCTCCTAACTGAGTCAACATCACTAGCATCTTTGATGCTCTCTTTGCCGTGCGCATGAACGTTTTGGGCAAAGTTGCTCTTGTTCTTGGGCTCAGCTTCCTCGGGGGTTGTTATTGTAAAGGTAGGCGTTTCGCTCTTGATGGGCTTTTCCGAAAGTGTAGAAGGGAGAAGCTCAGTCTCCTCAAGCTTGACAGGGCTCTGGGTCTCGCTATGCATAAGGGGCCTTTCATTCATACTTTTAGCCTTTGAAGCCGACTTGTCCTGATCTACCTCACGGTTGCTGAGTTTGTATTGAGTTTGAATCTCATTGACCCCGTTTTTGCCATTATTATCGCAATCGATTTTAGAATCGTTAGTCTTCCTTACACCTTTATTAGAAGGAGTGTCATATGAATCAGAAGTATATTCGGTCTTTACCGGCTGAAAAGGAACTTCCTCCTCACTTGTTGCGTTGCTCTCGTCAATTTTTCCGTTAATGGCGTCGTCTTGAGTATCGTCGCCACTCGTCAAAGAATCTTCTGATATGTCGTTAGACAAACTTTCTTGGGGTCCATTTTTTTCAAGCTGTTTCTCTCTTAAAGAGCCCATCTTAAGCGTTAAGGGTTCTGAAGCCTGACCGACCGTTTTTGTTTCAACAGGACCACTTTTTCCTACCTTGGTTGCTGATAGCGAGGGGATTTCATTTCGGACCCCATATATTTCACCGAGACCTTGGGTAGGACCAGTACCACCTTGATTTTGAATTGGAGCGGGGGGCAGCCCTTTCGTGCTCTCTGAGACGGTAGAGCTTTCATGTTTAACGTCTTCCACGGGAATATTTCTTTCGCTTGGGAACAACGCATTTATTTCCACCTCCGATGACTTTTTTGACTCCTCTTTCTTTGAGAACAAGTTGGGCAGAACTCTGTTATAGAGGCTCTTTTGGGATTTTTCTTGAGGCTCTCTTAATGCGCCCTTATCACGCTCGGCAAATGTGCTGTCTCGCGAAGGATTAAAATTCTCCTTGTCTATGGTCTGTGAGCCGATGTCTTGGACCACACCCCTTTGAACCCTCAACGCACCCACTCGACTCTTTTCGTCAGAAGCAGATTTTCCACCTTTAGAAGCCTCAACTTGGTTCGCCGCAGAGCTATCTTCAAACATTTTATTTTGCATTGGCGAGGTGCTCTTTGGTGAGATTATTGAGTTGAACAACGTACTTGAAGGTTTTCGAGCATTACTCGATGTCTTGGTTGGAGTCGAACTCAGACTAATCACTTTTTGTGTAATTTTCAGTGGTTTAACAGGCGACATCGAAGTTTGTTCTTCGTAAATAAAGGAGGAGTGTTCCCTAGGATCTTCTAGGTCGTATTCCTGTTCTTTAACGTCCTCATTGCTGAAAAACGGTGTAGTTGACTCTCTTGGTGTCTCAGGGTTCGTGAGGCTGTCAATGGGCCCCAGATTTTGGTCATTTTCACTTGTTGAAATTTTGACCATACTCAGCAAGTTACATGAAGCAAAGCAGACGTCACTAATCGCAGTATTCACAGTAACGAGAGGTAGTAGATCCTTGTATAAGGCAAAGTATCGTACTGTTGTAATGGCATAGGAAAGGGAAGACTTCAGCAACGCGACCTTTTCAGTATTGTCTGGAGTATTGACGAGCGTTATTATCTTGTGAATGATGTCGCTAATACGAGCTATGTTGTCAAACAGTTGATCACCAAAATCTTTTTGAGATCGTTCACTTCTAACGCGCTTAAGAAAAAAGCAGACTTGAGAATGAAGTGCGGTGACAAAGCTGAGAGGTACACGCCCATCACTCGCAATGTGTTCCTTAAGTCTTTCCTCGGTCAGTAGTTGCTCGGGACTTTCAGCCAGTATGCTAACGCTTTTTCTATTGGGAGATGAGGCAGCATTTTTTAGATTGAGCTCCAATTCTGAATTTTGTTGCTTGAGATTTTCGTTTTCGACTGACAAAATATTGAGCCGGCTTGTCAGCCGTGTCAATTCCTCATGAAGCTTATTGTCTACAGTTGGTTTCGGTGACTGCACTTGAGGTTGAGATCTGGATTTTTCCTCCAATTGTTTTAATTTCCCCTTGGAATTCAAAATTTCACGTCTCAGTTCGTTCAAGTTTCTTTGAAGTTCATCCACCTCATTTTGCTTCTCTTGAACATCTCTGTTCAAACTAATTCTCTCGTTCTCTAGCTCAGAGTTAAGCCGCTCTAATTCACTGATACGCTTATCCATTCTTGTGCCTTCCGCTACAAGAACTTGAATTTCGCGGTCCTTGTTCTCATGTCCCAGCGACGCACGGCTAATGGAACCACCCCTGCTTGCCATTTTATTCAATTTCGTATCCTTCAACTTTTCATCAAACGATGGGAGTGCCGGAGACAGAGAATCGGACACTTCATCTACATCTGGTCCCACGGCATTAGAGTCCATGCCGGTGTCCTCGGCTTGAGGTTCACTTGTGCTTCCTTCGTGTAAGCCGTCAGGCAAGCCCTCTGAAAAAGACGCAGGAGGCTCACGATCTTCATGTGGACTCGAATCTTGAGTTTCTTCGTCAGAACTCCATTCTATTGAGGCCTTCTGCGGTATGATTTGAGAAGCCTGAAGGGAGGCACTGGGAGCGAGGTTTCGAACAGCTTCATTTTTGAGTTCTTCCAGCTTTGGTTGATCGTTTCTGCTGATGACGGCATCTTTCAACTCCTTTGGTGTCTGTTCTGGAGCATCGTTGAAATTCTCTTCGTCCAAATTCCGAACATCTGGAAGCGCTTCTTCGTAGCCTCGCCTTTGAATCTCGTAGAGAATGTCGTCAACCAGGTCATTGAATCGAGTTTTGGACAAATTGGCAAGTTTCTGACGTGCCTGGTTTCTTTTCACATGGAAACTGTCTCTTGGAAGTAAATGATCCGGCTGCGCCTGATTCTCATCAATTCTGCGTTGGAGTTCGTCGTGAACATCTGTACTAAGCTCGAAAAACTGCGAAGGTTGTAATTTCAACAGTTTGGAACGCGCCTTTTGCGCTCTCGCGGAACTTGATCTATCTTGGCGGTCACCAGAGATACTAAAGAAATCTCTGAGCGCACAGAAGTATAAATATACTTGCCTTCGTTGTTCAACGCCCAGCTCCCCTTTCTCAGACGCCATGCCTAATACAGGTAACCCTTCTCTGAACCGGCCGGATCTCTTGCGTCCGATAAACGCCTTAACACTCCAGACGTTTCGAAGCTAGAAACTAGATCGTGTTATTTCCAGATTCTTGTTTTTCCTGAATTGACGCGTCTTGATGCAAAGGAATTTTTCACGATCTCGTGATGTCAACATGTACGAATGTGACAAATTCGGCACAACCCGGTATGCCGGATGAAATCACTCAGTAACGTCGTTGAATGCCCTGAGTATGTCTATGAAACCCTGTGTACTGGCTTGACTTCGTTAGACCTTGTTTACCAAAAATTGATATTTTTCTTTTAAAAAAGATGGATCAATGGGGCGAGCCGGGACTCGAACCCGGGACCTCCCGCACCCTAAGCGGAAATCATACCTCTAGACCACACGCCCTTATTTTTAAGGGACCCCTTTCCTTGCACAATTAGTAGCCCACTTAAAAGGTCTATGGGCAAATAGCACCAGATACCCTCCGTCTCCACACTCATCATAAAATAGGGATGAATGCTCGAGTTTAAGCTGTATATCGATTATGATGAACACACCGTTTACCTCTCTACGTTCCTTGAGATGAAAAAGAAAGGGCTGCTTGGGTGTGCAACAATTATGTAATCAAAAACCTTAATTCTCGAAAGGGCAATTGAAAGGATGTTGTGAGCGTATTACTATAAACGGGTATTTGCTTTTCCTATTCGAGTCGGATGCTGTAAGCCTCGTTTAGGAGACCTGCAGAAGGGTCTCTTATACTTGCCTTGCCTTGCCTTGCCCTGCCAAGCGGCTTTGTTAGTAGTCATCATGGCTCCAATTTGCACAGGAATAATAGGTATTTAAGCAGAGAGATTATATAGTCTCGAAATGCCTTTTGGTCGAAAAACCGTTGAAAACCGCTTTACTATATCATGGTTGGTGCCGCTATTTTTTTGTTGGGAGCAATTCCTGCCTGTTTGGGAGCAGTTCTTCCCAAGAATAAACCTGATGACATGCATTTAGTGGGCACTCAAAAGGATATTATTCCTTATTTGGCCGGCGCAGGTCCCTATTTTTCGTACCCAGTCAATTACGGAATTCCAATTGAAGCTCCAGACCAATGTGAATTCAGGCAAGTTCAACTAATCGGTAGACATGGTGAAAGATACCCAACGACCAACAGCGGCAAAAAACTTTTGAAACTGTACAACACTTTGAGAAAATACCCTAACAAATTTAATGGATCTCTTGAATTCATGAATGATTACGAGTTCTTTATACGTGACCAGAATGACCTCCAGATGGAAACGACGCTTTCGAATTCTGTCAATTTCGTAAACCCGTACACAGGACAAGCTGATGCTACGGCTCATGCTAGAAAGTTCTTGGTTTATTACAACGAGTTGCTCAATGCCGCTGAGCAAACTGCTGTTTTTGCCGCAAGCTCCGAGAGAGTCCACGACACTGCGCAGTATTTCATCGAGGGCCTTGGAGACAATTATAACATGACTCTGCAAACAGTAAGCGAGGAGCCCAGTGCTGGTGCAAACACTATTTCGGCGGGTAATTCTTGCCCTGCCTGGGACGAAGACCTCTATTCCAATATTACTGACGCTTACACGACCAAATACTTGGAGGACATTGCCTATAGATTGAATGGCGAGAACCCTGGACTCAACCTAAGTTCCTCTGACGCTTACAACATGTTTGCTTGGTGTGCTTACGAGCTGAACGCTCGAGGTTACAGTGAGATCTGTGACGTTTTCAAGAAGGAAGAGCTCATTCACTATTCCTACTATAATGACCTCACCAGTTTTTACCAAGATGGCCCTGGTTACCCAATGATCAAAGCTGCAGGCTCTAATTTGTTCAATGCCTCTGTTGCTCTTCTTCAACAGAGTGAGAGCCTACCCCAAAGGGCCTACATTGCATTCACGCACGATACTGACATCTTGAATTACCTGGTCACTATCGGACTTTTCGATGATGGTAAAATGCTCAGTGCTAATTCGACTCCTTTCAGAGAACAAGCCTTCCACAGAAGTTGGCAAGTACCTCAGGGAGCCAGAGTGTACACCCAGAAGTATACCTGTGGAAATGACTCCTACGTGAGATACGTTGTCAACGATGCTGTTATCCCCATTGAGACTTGTTCGAGCGGGCCCGGATTTTCATGCCCAGAAAAGGAATTTTACGCTTATGCTACAGAACGTTTACAAGGTCAAAACTTCTTCCAAGCTTGCAACACTTCAAGTGTCAGCAACGTTACCGATCTCACGTTCTTTTGGGACTGGGAAGAAAAGCACTACAATGCAACTTTGCTTAAGCAGTGAATTAATTAAAGTCAAAAAAGGGCCATTTGCTCAATTTTTCACCTTGACATTCATATGTATAATTTTAAGTTCTTACAGAATGAATATGTTGATATTAGAATTACTGTGCTTGCTACTCTTGAAAATAATTCGTTGTTAGTCGGAGAGAATCGACGATGTTTTAACTAATACTATACCACGTACTAGCCCCCGCAAAATTTCTCAGATGCTAGCCCCAGGTAAGGAAGTGTGATTAAGTAAGTAGTCTTTAATTATAGCATAGGACGCTAAATCGGCTGCTGAGAGCCGCCTCAGTTTTCTTTAAAGTTAGCTGAACAAAGAAGCAATTTTGGAAACATGTTAAAAATACAATCGTTGTGCAATTACTCACGACAAACTTCCAGCAGTATTCTGATTGGGGTTTATCGTTGTCGGTAGTCAATAGGTTCTTGTAGTGTTCATTTAATTCGTTCATAGTTAATTTAATTGGTAAATAATAAAGCTGATAAGGACTTGAGTACCTATATCTCTCCGTCGTTATGTTGCGACAATGACCATTACGATCTTGGTGATATCGGCTCCTTTTATACAATATGTGCAATACTGTTCCAACTTCAGAGTCCGTTGCTTTCTCTAAGATTTACCGTGAGTCATCATTACGTTACCTGTTAGATCATTCTTGAAGTGATGACGGACTGTGACAACACCATAATCATCACTGAAATCATCACTCAAATCATTCGGTTCCCGTGACTTCATCTTGATCAGGGACCGTCGGTTCAGTTCCGTCTTATTTTAATCCGTCGTCTTAATCACGTGGCATTGCAACTTTACGATATCCTATCTCGCTATTTCCTTCAACCATTCTTACTTACTATGGTGTGGGATGGATTGTCAAACAAACACACTTCAAGATGTTACAATCCGCAACTGAAAATTAAAGGGAAGTCATAAAGCTGAAGCTCTTTAACACGGAACACTCAAAAGCCCAAATTAGCCCTCTTAATATGGCTAACTTCTCCGTTTAGATGGCTTTTAGCAGTTGCACAAAAAAGCAAAAATGCGAATTCTGTGGATCGAACACAGGACCTCCAGATTACAGCGACCGAAGTTGACTTCAGTCTGGCGCTCTCCCAACTGAGCTAAATCCGCAACCTTAATATTAGAAGACTTGTTTGCTCCACTGGAGCATCCAAAGCTTAACAAACGACCTACGTTAAGTGGTCCCTTCATTTATCGTTCTTATCGCAGCTATTCGTTCTGCAAGTAGCCAAATAAGTTCAGTTATGCCAATGTACATAATTCTGCTGATTGAATCAAGTTTTGAATAGGTAATGTGTTTCCTGAAAAACGCATTTAATGTTTGTGGCAATTTAATTGACAACGGTCATTATTCACCAACAGTTGCAACTCCCCAAGCGATTAAATAGTTTACACGAAATGCATGTCAATAGATTGAATTATTCAGGATTGCGAAGTATTTATTCTAAAAGAAATTCCTTAGCTTGAGTTTGTTCATCACCAATTTCATTTGATGACTCCAAAATGACTTCTGATGGTCTAAACAGTCGCAGAGCAAAACTGCTCATGACGACCGAAATTGAAGAAGCAGCCATTGCCGCACTGGCCCACACTGGAGAGAGTCTAGAGTTTCTGTAAGGATAAATCACGCCTGCTGCAATAGGAACACCGATCATGTTATACAATAGGGCCCATCCGAAATTGAATTTGACCCTTCGGTAAACGGCTTTCGATAACTCTAAAAGGTTCAGAAGAGACACCAATGGATTACTTGACCTAAGCAAGACAAAATCACATGAAGTGACAGCTAGGTCTGAGCCCGAGGCCAAAGCGATTCCAACATCGGCGCAGGCAAGAGCGGGTCCGTCGTTTGTACCATCTCCAACCATGGCTACAATTGGGAGCTGACCATTTTGCGAATGGGTATTTCGAATCCATTTTACCTTAGCGGCCTTTTCCTCCGGCATGACTTCGGCAATAACATTACTAATATTCAGTTTGTCGGCAATGGCCTTCGCTGTAATTGCATTATCGCCGGAAATCATCCAACATTGAATACCATTCTCTTGAAGTTTTTTTATGACGTCTTTGGCTTCAGGTCTAATGGCATTTTCGAGGGCCATCAGTAGAACAGCAGAATACGCGTTATTACCAAAAAGCGTAGGGCATCTGACAGCTGTTATCACAACGCTCTTTCCTTGTGCTTTCCACCTCTTGAGAAGACATTCCTGAGAATTACTCAAGGTACAGCCATTTGCCGCCATGAAAGCTTCATTTCCTACAACAGCTGACTCAGGACTTAAGTCTGACCAACTCGTATTGGGCAATATCTCCGATGTGTTGACGTCCGCTTGTAGACCTCTGCCTGCAATTTCTCTGATATTGGTCATCTTGTTCTTGGCGATCGCCGCGCCATAATTCTGAAGCAAGAATTCACTTACACCCTTGGCGATTGGATGCGATGAAGATCCTTCTAAGTCTTTTGTAACTTGTAGGGTAATTTCTCTCATGCGTGGATCACTGTGCAAAGCAAAATCAGAAACAGTAAGCTTATTTCCTGTGGTTAGAGTCCCTGTCTTGTCGAAACAAACGATGGATACCCGAGAACTCTCTTGGAAAGCGGCTCCACCACCTCTAGCAAGAATTCCACTTCTTGCTGCAAGCCGCGATCCTTCGAACAATGCAGTTGGGGCAGCTAATCCGATCCCACAGGGGCACGCAACGACAAAAACGGAAGTTGCGAATTCCAAAGACCACACTGCCCAACCACCCGCATCAATATCAAGATATGATATCGGCAAAGCTCCACTATAAGCTAAGCTTATCCAAATCACCCACGTCACGATGGCTGAGAGTATAACGATTGGAACAAAATATCCCGTCAAAAGATCTGCCAGCTTTTCAACCTGAGCTTTTTTCATCTGTCCATCTCTTACACTTTTGACAATTTGATCGACCAGAGACTCTCCATTCAGACTCGTAACTTTGCCAACGACAGCCGCGTTGCCCGCATTCACTGTTCCTGCGAAGATTTGTTCGCCGACACCTCTTAATACTGGAACTGGTTCACCAGTCAAGGCACTTTCATCAAACTCCGCTTTCCCACTCACTACAATACAATCTTCGGCTGGCGAGGTTCCCGGGGGGACCCTAATGAAATCACCGAGTTCCAACATATAGGCTTCAATCTGCTGTTCATTGACGAATTTGCCCTCGGCGGTTTTTGTTACGAGAAAGGCTTGCTCTTTTTTCAAAGAGCTCAGCTCATCAATGGCTTGAGCCGATTTATTCTTGGAAAAGCCTTCTAAGAGCCTTCCAATTAAGAGGAAGAACGTCAGAAAAATGACTGAGTCAAAGTAAGTTGTAGTATACCCCACTTCGCCCATCTTTCTCTTCGATGTGGCTGAAATTACGAGAAGAGCTAAACTCGCAAAATAAGCCACAGATGTTCCTAAGCTTACAAGAAGACTCATGCTGCCAAAACGTAAGAGCCTCTTTTTCCAGTTATTTTTTCGCTTCCATAATGCCCTTATCTCCATAAAGGCCTTCTTATGGAACATTTCATCGATAATAAAGTAGACGGGTGTACTCAAAATGAATAAAATCCATGTATTCCGCGAGACATTGCCACTCCAAATCGGTTCGTCTAACCAAATTCTGAATACATTATCTCTGTTCACAAGAGACATTCCAACAACGCCGAAAATGAATGTGGGTATCACGAAAAGAGTGGCCCCGACCAATCTCATGCAAATTCCGATGAGCTCCTTTTTGGATTTTTCCTTGAGCCGATCACCAAAAGACGCCTCTTTTTTCATGAAAACTTCGAAAGTAGTAGTATTACCGCTTGATAGTTCTGTTTCAATAGCATCTTTGATTGACCTTATGGTAATAGATTTGGACACGTTCGGGTTATAGCTGAATTTTAGATGTGGTTGTTCCAAAGTTGCTTTTTCTTCTACAACAAGGTTAGCGCCTTGAAACCTCGAGAGCGCCTTTTCAACACGCTCAAGACAGAGGTCGCAAAACATGCCGTCCACCTCTAATACGACACTTCTGCTTTGTTTCTTCAAAAAACCATCATCGAGGGCCTCTGTATGACCCAGTTGCTCAAAACCATATCCGCAATCCTCCACCGCGTCTTTCAATCCTACAGCGATACTCGCACTGTCGTCAGAAACAATAAAAATAGCTGTTTTGCTGACAACATTAACTGCGACCTCTTCGACATAGCTTAAATTTTGAGCAGCCTCGCTTATAGTTGAGGCACAAGCAGCACACGTTATTCCGTCAATCGCGGCCGTGATTTTGTAGCGTGTCTGTCCCAAATACGGCTTGATATCAATCAGCCTTGCCCCCATGCCCGTCGGTTTCAAAGAGTCCATCACTTGCTGAATCATCTGTTTGGAGGGCGCCGTGAATACAATAGAACGCTCCTTCGGGTCTATGCGCACAAAGAATGACTTCTTGCCTGCGGCTGTAGAGTGTAGAAAGGCCTCGATTTCAGTCTTAATGACCTCGGATGATTCTTCAAAATCGGAACACTCAACGCTCACAAAGGCTTCATACGCGGCATCTGTATTCACCACAACTTCAATTGATTTCTCAATCGGCCTGTGCGACTCTTCACTCGGGCTGCGGCAGAATTCGCAATTCTTCAAGTGCCTAGCCCGCTGCTTCTTTTCCCGACGTTCTGCGAAACGTGGCCAACTTTTCAGAAAGCTGAGTTTCTGCTTGGGGACTTCCTGGTTATTTGAAGGTTCATCGTCGCCTGCGAATATCGTGCTCTTCACGAGAAAACCTTCATACGTGAGATCCCTCTTTATCGAATCAACAAGTATTGACAAGTCAGAACGACTCAATAATACTCCGACACCGTAAATATGTATTTCTAGAATGCCTTGCGAATGGTCAATTTTCATCGAAGCTTTGAACCGTTCTTTGCCATCTTCCGATGAGCTTGGCAAAAATTTAGCTCCGCGAGATCCATAAGATTCGTTCGAAGACTCTAAATCGTCCTTATCGACCCATTCGAAATACTTGGATAGTGTGATGCGGATATGGTCTTCACACTCGTGACAATGAATATTATCCATTCTAAATTCCAGTAAAACCATCGTAATAATCTAATTTCTGGACCAACGAACTCTACTTATTTTAAAAGAGAAAACCAAAAATTTGAGTGGAACTGCAGCCATAGTCTGCCTCCAAATGGCACTTCATACTCACCCTTTTGTATGATTTCTAGTTAATACAGCCGCTGCGTGCGGTATAAATGCTGGTCGCTAACAGTAAGAGGGGGAGCCTTTCACTAAGAAAAAAATTAAACTATAAGGTGTTCATGATCACTGTAACCAGCGACGAAACACAGATATGATAAGCTCAATAGCCTCAATGTGGTTACGATTACAATTCGGCACTCATAGGATTTCTAGAAAAGTTGAGTAGTTTAACGATATAACATCTTGACCAATAATAATCATATCTCTAATGCTGCGATCATATCCATCTGATCAGCGCAAGAAGCCCTTCTTCTTTGGTTGGATTGGCGAGTTATTTGCTTGGTTTGCCATAGACATTTCAATTTGTCTTTTCTTGTCCTCGAGAGCCTTTAGCTGCTTCGTAAGCTTATCCTTCATTTCCTTATGTCTTGCAAACAATTCCGCTTCGGATTTTTGAAGTTTTTTCTCCTTCTCACTGACTTTCTGTTGGAACACGGCCTTCATCTCTGATTCTAGCTTGGCAAGTTTGGCTTCGTGTAATTGTTTTTCCTCCTTTTGTCTCATGGTAGGGTCAAACTCTTTGAACACAGCATTGTCCTGCTTTATTCCTAAGCTGCTGAGCTTTTCAGATCGGTAGTGTTCGTATAGCACGTTGCTAGTTCTCTCACGGAGCTCTTCCAGGTAATGCCTTATCAAAAGATCGCGCAGATACACGAAATCCGAGTGAGCCGCGTTGTCGACTTCAATGATACCCCATGGATATTGGCGACCCCGCACCTGTCTTCCGTCTGGCGTCGCTACTTCTTTGGTGGACCCAACAACGGCAAATGGTATCTTTGAGGACAAACTCTTGGAACTTTTCACGGTTTCGTCATCGTCGATCGAGTAGTGAGGTGGTTCGAACAAGTTGACACCGGCCTCTTGTAATTGACTGCGGATCACAATTTTGAACTGTTCAATTTCTTCGTCAGTCAAAATGTCTGACTTAGCAATTACCGGAATCAAATTACATTTCTCGTGAACGGATTTGCAGAAAGTCAAATCCAAATCGGACAAGCAGTGGCCCGAGGGCTCAATGAAATACACACAAGCGTGTATCCTGTTGTCCTGGATCGACGTTCTGTCGATCCTATTTTCGGCATCCAAATACTGATCGAACCGCGAATCTATTTCGCGCACAATGGGCTCCCAAGCGTCCGTATTATCGATAGCGTCACCAAACCCAGCGGCATCAATAACGTTCAGTGCCAATTGCACGCCATTTTCCTCGATTGTCGTCGAGATCGTGTTGATCTGCACTTTGGGTTTTACAGGCGTTTCCTGGGCTTCCCCAGCCTTTTCTGGGTCTTCGAGCTTCAGATTCGCTAGCTGATCATCGACTTTAGCGCTCGCGGGGTCCTGCAGCTCTTGGTTGAAAAGAGTATTGATGAGCGTCGTTTTCCCTAAACCTTTCTTTCCGACGCAAAGCAGGTTCAACGAAAATCCACGTCTGATCGACTTTCTATGCCATTGTTTAGGCAAATTGGCGAACCCAACGTACCCGCTTATTTTACGCTCAATGATTTTCATTGTGGGCTGTTCTGGAAGCACTTGCCCGAAAGTTCCGTCGTCTTTTGTCGCGTCTTTTTCATAATCCCCATTCACAATTGACGATTCTGCCACGGAAAAGTCGTCATCCTCCTTCTTCACAACAGAATTAGACATTAATTCTGCTGCATCGTCATGATGCAACGCGTCTGACACTTCTGAATGGCCCACAGTAGCCATATTGAACCCTTGGTGTTTACCTCAACAAGTGTTTATAGATCGAGAATTCGATTCTGAAATTTTTGATTTCCAGATAAACGCCTATTTGAAGCACTTAATACGAATAGTCAAAATGGAACGCGTTTTCGTGTTCTGAATGAATTTCATATGTGAGGACGATGGTCGATGACTATAAGAACGAGTTAATCACCAGTTAACTGTGTGCTAAAGAGAGACTCTAGTAGGCGAGAACACTTTTCGCAGAGCATTAATGGCCGTGAGTCGAGGATTGGAGAGCCTTTTACAGGAAGCTGCAAAGTTTTATGCAGCAAAAGATTACGAAGCGTCGACGGATCTTTATTCTGAGTTAAACGAACTTTACTACGCGCTTAGGGACGAAAACAATGCAGACTACATGTATCTGTACGGGAAGTCACTGTATCAGCTAGCTATGAGCAAGTCAGAAGTTTTCGCGGTTGACCCGACTGAGGGCGACGTCGAAGAAGAAGATGACGACGAGGGAGACGCGACGGCAAAGAAAAACTTGTTCCAGTTCAACGAGACGCTCGCGGAGGGCGATGGACCAGGGGATGAGAAGGAGTCAAAGCAGGAGGAAGAGGAAGAAGATGGGGCGAATGACGACGCAGGGCCAAACGAGGAAGAAGAGATAAATACTGCAGAACCCCGTGACGATTTCGAGAGCGCGTGGGAGATTCTCGAACTTACGCGGGCTATGTTCAAAAGCCAGGGTAGTAATCCAGAAAATGTCCAGAAACTGTCAGAAACCCTGGACCTATTGGGCGAAATTTCACTCGAAACGGCAAATTTTGCCCAGGCGGTCGATGATTTTAGGGAATGCTTGCAACTCCGCGAGAATGTTTACGGTGCAGAAGATCCTACGCACAGACTTATCATCGAGTCTCATTACAAGCTGTCTCTTGCACTAGAGTTCGATCCTACTCAGACAGAATCGTGCAAAATGCACTTGAAAAGCGCTGCTGAACTTCTGGACAAGCGCATCCAAGACAATAGGGCAGAAGACGGAGACGAAGATCTGGTTAAAGAGCTTCGCTTGAAGCTGCAAGATCTTGATACAACACCTGATCCTTTGGCCATGCTCAAAAAGGAGGGTCTTACGCAATTGAAGCATGCCATGGCTCAGACTGGCGCCGGCTCCAGTTCCAGTGCACAAACCGCACCTGTAAACGATTTGACGGCCATGGTGAAGAAAAGGAAGCCCAAATGTGATCCTGTGGGCAAGGAAAATCCTAAGAAACCCAAATGAGTCGTTTTGGTGACACCTGGGATCAATATCATATCTGACGAACGACCTCTTTTGTCTAAGTTTTTGACACCTACGGTGATCGTTATCAAGGCTGCCCCTACTTCCAGTGTGAGCAAGACTACAAGCCGGAGAATCAATTCGGTATTAATCAAATTAGAATGAAGTTTTCAAAACTATCGGATTTAGTCAAAACTAGTCAATTCGCGTGGTTCGCAGGCCATGTGGTTGTTCTTTTTTGTTCCCTCTTGTATGCGATGACGGCTTTCCGCCGTGGGAACAGTGGCTTGCATAACGTGTTGTACCGTATGGCATACGTGGGAGTCATTGAATCCTTTGGCATAATTTTGTACCAGCAACACCTGGGTCGTGGCAATGGCACAAAAGCGCCATTGCAGTCTCTTTTGCGCGAGGATAACGTGCTGTACGTGATTCTCGCCGTTATGTGGCTTTTAACGCCCCGTCTGACAATCACATTGGTTCCTTATGTGGTGTTCTCGCTGTTCCACGTTTTGACGTATGTCAAGTCCGTGGTGCTTCCGCAACTTAGCGAACAAGGCCAACCCTCGCGGTTGAAGGGCCCAATCGACAATTTTGTGCGTGAAAACAACGGGAAGTCGATGCTATGGGTGAGCTTCGCGGAGCTCGTGTGCTTACTGCTGGTGCTTGTGCGCGCACTGCTCTGCTACCGCTCGTCGTGGCTCGTGCTCCTGGTGTTTTCAGCGTTCATCAAGATCCGCTACGAAACGTCGCCGCACATGCGTAGCTGCGTCAAGAAATGGGAAGTGCATGTGGACGGGCTCGTGAGTCACCCACAAGTGCCGGCCCGGGTCAAGGGCTTTTACGTTCGTATGAAAAACCAAATCAGATGCTTGAACAAATACAGTATCGCCCGCGGATCGAGTGCTCCGACAGACGCGACGAAGCAGAAATAAGAAGAATGACTACTCGCCTTTACCAGTTCGCCACCGAGTCCCACCGAGACTTGGCGCCTTTGTTTAAATGCATATATCATATTTTGCTATGCTACACCTATAGGACTCTGTCTTATTGAGATCATGTGACTACGATGTGATTAAGACGTGACTATCGTCGTCGATCCCAGTCTCTGTCAGCGAATCGCACTCAAATTCAATTTACTTGGCTTGAGCTTTCTAGCTGCTTGACTTCGACATGTAGGGAACCATGAGCTGCGTGTGAAGTGACAGCTAATGCCCTTAGTCAATGTCATCCCGTTTACATAATAAAACAAGGCAACCTCCCATCAATTATCGTCTTCAGCGGCGAAGCTCACAAGAGAGCCCACGATGATCACGTCATACTTGCCATTGCAAGCTTCATGGGACGATTATCACGAAATATTAACTTCCAATGCTTTATGAGACCGAGTCTGACGATTTTGACAATTCTTGTACAAGGTGGGAAAGACTTAGAATCGTTATTGAACCTCTTAATGTAGTCTTAAGCGGCACTGAAGCCATATTGTGAGCGATTGGTTCCCTGTCACGTGACTTGTGAGACCCAATGTGGTCCTAGTTTTATCTACATGGGATAAAGTGAGCTCATCGAGTCGCTTACTACGTAAATGAGCTTCTAATGGGTAACGCCAGCGAAATCAGGCGACAGATAGCGTACCAGTGTCGTTTCGAACTAACCACGAATGTTGAGAATAGCATACATTTATTTTGGCAATTGAACATTAGACGGTTTGTTCAAGGGTTCGAGCTTTGAAATGTTTTCGAAAAGCATTCAATGCTACTGAGTTATATTGAGAGCCCAGTAGACGTAACTGAAGTTAAGCTTTTCGGGCAAACAGTTACTCAGTATCAAAGCATTTATGAATTCCAGATTGTAATTTCCCATAGACGAAGGAGCGATCTTTTTATTCACTGACCACGTCTGTGTCAAAACAATACTATGCGACTATCATGTGACTAGCATGTGATCCTCATATTGCACCCGTCTAAAGCGATTCCTCGTCCCTTCGACGTCATTTATTTTCCATTGCTTTCTTTTCTTTCTAAGAGATTTCTGGAATTTTCGATATTGATCGATATCATTCTTTACGTAACTGCTTGCCCTTAAGGGTAATTTGCTGCGTTCGTTCGAAAGAAAAAAGAGATCGATTGGAACTTTCTAGAAGAATCTACTGTGCCAGGTTTGCACTCTCGAGAAGCTGGTCAATAATTGGTATATATTGGAAGAGATCTGAAGGGATTTTTTTACCCATTTGCCTCTCTCACTTGTTATTATTCCATCAAAACTACAATTCAAGCCTAATTGACTAGAATACAAATCATGTCTAAAGCTGTCGGAATTGATTTGGGTACTACGTACTCCTGTGTCGCACACTTCTCCAACGACCGTGTGGAAATCTTGGCTAACGACCAAGGTAACAGAACCACTCCATCTTTCGTTGCCTTCACCGACACCGAAAGATTGATCGGTGATGCTGCCAAGAACCAAGCTGCCATGAACCCAGCCAACACCGTTTTCGACGCCAAGCGTTTGATAGGTAGAAACTTCACCGACGCTGAAGTCCAAGGTGACATCAAGCACTTCCCATTCAAGGTTGTCGACGTCGGTGGTAAGCCTCAAATCCAGGTCGAATACAAGGGTGAGACCAAAGTCTTCACTCCTGAGGAAGTCTCCTCTATGATTTTGGGTAAGATGAAGGAGACCGCTGAAAACTACTTGGGTTGCAAGGTCAACGACGCTGTCGTCACCGTCCCAGCCTACTTCAACGACTCCCAGAGACAAGCCACTAAGGACGCCGGTACCATTGCCGGTCTAAACGTCTTGCGTATCATCAACGAACCTACTGCGGCTGCCATTGCCTACGGTTTGGACAAGAAATCCGAAGGTGAGAAAAATGTCTTGATCTTCGACTTGGGTGGTGGTACGTTCGATGTCTCCCTACTGTCTATCGAAGACGGTATTTTCGAAGTCAAGGCTACCGCTGGTGACACTCATTTGGGTGGTGAAGATTTCGACAACAGATTGGTCAACCACTTCGTCCAAGAATTCAAGAGAAAGAACAAGAAGGACTTGACCACCAACCAAAGATCTTTGAGAAGATTGAGAACTGCATGTGAGAGAGCCAAGAGAACTTTGTCCTCTTCTGCTCAAACCTCCATTGAGATCGACTCTTTGTTCGAAGGTATCGACCTTTACACCTCTATCACCAGAGCCAGATTTGAAGAATTGTGTGCTGACTTGTTCAGATCCACTTTGGACCCTGTTGAGAAGGTCTTGAGAGACGCTAAATTGGACAAGTCTGCCGTTCACGAAATCGTTCTTGTTGGTGGTTCTACCAGAATTCCAAAGGTTCAAAAGCTTGTCTCTGACTACTTCAACGGTAAGGAACCCAACAGATCCATCAACCCTGATGAAGCTGTTGCTTACGGTGCTGCCGTTCAAGCCGCCATCTTGACTGGTGACGAATCTTCGAAGACTCAAGACTTGTTGTTGTTGGATGTCGCTCCTCTATCTCTTGGTATTGAAACCGCTGGTGGTGTCATGACCAAGTTGATTCCAAGAAACTCTACTATTCCAACCAAGAAGTCTGAAGTTTTCTCCACTTACGCCGACAACCAACCAGGTGTGTTGATTCAAGTGTTTGAAGGTGAAAGAGCTAAGACTAAGGACAACAACTTGTTGGGTAAGTTTGACTTGAGCGGTATCCCACCTGCTCCAAGAGGTGTCCCACAAATCGAAGTCACTTTCGATGTTGACGCCAACGGTATTTTGAACGTCTCTGCGGTTGAAAAGGGTACTGGTAAGTCTGAAAAGATCACTATCACCAACGACAAGGGTAGATTGACCAAGGAAGACATTGAGAGAATGGTTTCCGAGGCCGAGAAGTTCAAGGAAGAAGATGAGAAGGAGACTGCCAGGATTGGTGCTAAGAACCAGTTGGAATCTACCGCTTTCTCTTTGAAGAACACCATCTCTGACGCTGGTGACAAGTTGGACGAGGCCGACAAAGAGACCTTGACCAAGAAGTGTGACGAAGTCATTGCTTGGTTGGACGCTAACACCACTGCCACTGCTGAGGAATACAATGACCAATTGAAGGAATTGCAAGAAGTTTCTAACCCAATTGTCACTAAGATGTATCAGGCTGGCGGTGCCCCAGGTGCTGCTCCAGGTGGATTCCCAGGCGGTGCTCCTCCAGCTCCTGAAGCCGATGGTCCAACTGTTGAAGAAGTTGACTAAACTGGTTCAAGAAAGTAATGACAATTTACCTTTTTTTGATGCATGATATAAATTCATGATAAAATAATGATTGTACAATAATCACGTATATAGTTTATTAAGAATATAATTCGAGTCTGTGACCGAATTTTTTAAAACATATCTTGATTCGATGAAGGTTCCCGGTTACTTTGCAGAAGGTCTCGTGGATTAGCGTTGTGATAGCGTTTCACCGTCTATTATCTTAGCTTCTAGAACACGATGGGTTGGTTGCCTAGGTTGTAGAGTACATGGGTGAAATATGGCCGCCACTCAAAAGGCATGAGTCACGCTAGGCCAATGGGTGCGCCGAGATTTGAAGACGTTCAATCAAAGTAGTAGGGCGTGTGGTCTAGTGGTATGATTCTCGCTTTGGGCGAAGATCGCGCTAAAACTCGATCTGTGTATCACAAATATGCGAGAGGCCCTGGGTTCAATTCCCAGCTCGCCCCAATTTGTTTTTTTCGAGCGCTTCACGAGATGCAAGGGTCAAGGTCATATCAACCGAAAAGAGACACTTCTTTTCAAACTTCGAGTACACGCTCTTTAGTACAAGCAATTTAAATGGCTAGAGATGGATAGGCATCTCTTTTTCTCGAGCTTTTTTCCAGAGAGGTGTCAGAGTTTTCGAAGAATATCAAGCGCGACGGGTTGAGCAGCGGTCGCTGTAAAAGATGCAGTGTAATCTTTAAGTCCTCGATTATATTAAAACGCTAACATATAATGCCTTCAATGTTTAGAGGTAAAAGGTGTGATCCTATTAATTTTAAGGTTAACGACAAAACTGAAGATTGCAGTTCAACTATTTATGATTAAACCACTTAAACACAGTATCATAAGCACTAACACTCGTTGAGACAGTTTGCAATAAGCTGCAATTAGTGACAGAAGTGTCTACGCAATTTATAGTATGGGTGTTAACTCTAGAAAGTGATTTCCATTATGCGATATATAAAGTTATAACTTCCACCTATTCATAAATCGGGCGTGTGGTCTAGTGGTATGATTCTCGCTTTGGGCGAAGGTTGAGTAACACTTAATCTTATATCACAAGCATGCGAGAGGCCCTGGGTTCAATTCCCAGCTCGCCCCAATTTTTTAATTTTTAGATGTTTTAAACTAGAGCGTACCTTCTGTAATGGATTAAACTTTAAAAGAAACAGAAGCAAAAAAGGAAGCCCTGTAGGGGGCTCGAACCCCTAACCTTATGATTAAGAGTCATACGCGCTACCGATTGCGCCAACAAGGCTAATAATCAGTTGAATTTGCAACAAATTCGAAGGTTCCAAGATGAACGGTCAAGGGTGTTTGGTGAAGTCAATAAATAGGCCACTGCGAGAATTGGAAAACGCATATTCTGATATAGCGTGTTGACGAGTATTGACTTTTTAAAAACTGGATAACATGCTGATTAAAGCCAGAAATATTGTACTTTATTGTTTATGTAAACAGCTACCACTGGAAATTTGCGTTGCGATCTTTGCTCTGTGCCAGAGAGGAACCCGCAAATGGAAGCTGATAACAGACTCTTCGAGCTATTCTGACGTGTCCTCGGGCCCATTTTTGCTGCAGAGTACCTCGTCGCTAATTACCGTTCCCAGTTCTAGAGTGGTGTAACAAATCTGATATTACGACCCTCTTGATTATATCTCAATTTTATACTTGTAGATCCGCTACTTCAGTGGTCTAATTCCCTTTCAAATACATTTGATAGATTTTCCAGGTGGTGCCTTCTTCAGGATCTTTGATGTACACGTACTTGACGCCAAACCTCTCCACGTCTCTGTTTCTGCTCTCATCATCGAAGAGGCAAATTTTGTAGTCCTTGACATCCGCAGATTTACCGTAAATTTGTGAAAGACCTTTCTTTATGTGGTTGACTTTGCTCATTTCTCCCCATTGAAGTGAGTCGAAAAGAGAAATTAGCGGTACAATTTCCCCATTAAATTGCACCTTAAAGCCCTTTAAGAGATCACGAGCAATCTCTGGCGCCCACGTGCGAGAGGCAGACACTATCTTGGTGCCATTATTTTTCAGATCTTCCAGGATCTTGGGAACATCTTTATAAAACGATACCTCATAACCATGGGAATCGATCAAGGTGTGCACTTCGCCATTCTTCTCGGTAAGAGGCCTGAAAGGAGGATATAAGTGGGTGTCACAGAAGCAAGGCCACACAGTATAATCCAAGTCAAAAGCGGCAACGTCAGGGTACCCCATATTTCTAGTCAGTGATGTGGTCTAAACCGTTAAGAATTCGAGTCTTGCAGCAAGATTTCATACTAGAAGTGAATGCTCCATGTGACATTTGCAGCATGTGATGACTTTCATTTTAAAGCTCAGCTAATTAAGTGGTCTCTTGGCCCAGTTGGTTAAGGCACCGTGCTAATAACGCGGGGATCAGCGGTTCGATCCCGCTAGAGACCATTCTTTTTTGGTTACTTCACGACAAAACAAAATGGATTATGGGAGCTGTCATTCTCTTGAAGCATGCACCTTATGTGACATTTATCAAGCGCTTAATATAAATAGATATCGTTAAGTTTCATCATAAATCTAATCCCACGAGTCTACCTTCATCGTGCCTTTCTCTGCAAGATTCAGGTGGAATTTGTGAGCATTTTGGAGCATATGCGGCTCATGCAAGCATCTATTTTTGCGTGCGTAGTGCTCGGATCTCTCTAGGTAGTCGAGCAAAATCGGTTCGTAGTCGGGATGCGCGCAGTTCTTTATAATTTCGCGTGCTCTCTCGCGAGGAGACAATCCTCGAAGATCTGCCAGACCCTGGTCCGTTACGACCACGTCCAGGTCATGCTCGGTTTGGTCAACATGAGATGCCATTGGAACAATAGTGGAAATACCGGTAGGGTCTGTTTTCGTAGGTCTAGCGGCTGGAGTATGCATAATGGACAATTTGGCATTACGCAAGAAATCCGCAGAGCCACCCAAACCGTTTAGCATACGGGATCCCGATACGTTCGTGGAATTGGCATGTGCATAAATGTCAACCTCGACAGGGGTGTTCATGGCAATGACTCCCAGACGGCGAATCATCTCCGGGTTATTAGACACCACTTGGGATCTCAGACATAGCTTTTTCGAGAAATTGTCCCAGTTGTCGAAGAAGCGCTCAAAACCCGACTCTGTGAGTCTGATACTAGTGGCAGTAGCGTAATCGAGAGATCCATTTTCGAACAAGTCTAAGAAGGAATCTTGCAAAACTTCGGTCCAGACGGTCAAATTTTTGAACGAGGCCCCCGACAAACCCTCAATGACAGCGTTGGCAATGTTACCGATACCAGATTGGAGTGGATGCAGATTTTCAGGAAGACGGCCGTGACGCACTTCGTTTTCGAAAAACTCAACCAGATGGCGGCCGATGGCGCGTGACATATCGTCAGAAGGCGTGTTTGGAGGCACGAGGTCCCGTGTAGTTGATTCGACAATGGCTACGACGCGCTCCGGGTCAACCGGGATCGAGTCCACGCCGCACTTGTGGTCTACGCTGGTGTAGGGATATGGGTTTCTGTAAGGAGGATTTTCGGGCATGTCGATGTCGTGGAGGCCCTCGAAAGAGGGCGTCGCGGTATTAACTTCGATGATGACTTTGTCGGAGACGCTAACAAACTCGGGAGAGCCACCCACGGAGGGCCCGGGCACGATTGACCCGTCCTCTTTGATGGCGGTGGCCTCGATGATGGAGTAGTCGAGAATCTTGCCGTCGGTGCGGTTCCGCGTATAGAACCCGTACGTGAGGTCCTGCGGGAACATCGAAAGATGTTTGTCGAAAAACTGGATACGGCCCTCGTTGATGGCGCGCGCAATTGGCTTGCCCACCTGGTGCGGTGCGCGTCTCGCGATCATGTCGAGCTCTGCCCACCGCGATTCTTCGGGGCCAGCACTGGCCCCGACGAATAGGTTGAACTGCAATTGGCTCTGTAGCTTGTTAGCCTCTACATGGTTGGCGAGTGCCTGCGGAATCGCCTTAGGGGCACCCACTCCGGTGAACCCGGACCAACCAATGTACTGTCCGTTCTTGAACAGAGGTAAAAGGTCCTCAGCCCTTGCAACTTTGGACAAGTAGGGTGCGTACCTTACTCTTTCTTTCAGAAGTGATGAAATTGTCATTTTCACGGAGAGACCGCTAACTGTGTCCACTAAAACTGTTTGTACTCGAGCTTGCTATGAAACAAAGAAAAGAACAGGTTTCTTGCCAGAATGGTCCTTGTGTCTAGTTTATCCTGCTGTGCGGTCTTCAACAGGGTCTGGTGATGAACTGTGAGTTGTTTCGGTCTCGGTTGTCTGTGCCGAGAAGCCGTTCGTCTTTCCGTTCGGCTAAATAGAAACAAACGCTGTTGGAAACAAAAACGAAACCAATTGGAAACAAACGTCGTAAAGCGCCGTGATTGTCGTTTAACGTCGATCGAGAGTCAGTTTCAAAAAGAAAGCACTTGTGCACTAAAACAGCCCTACCCGCCCCTTCTAGTCGGAGCCTGTCTGCGGAGTCTTGTTAGCCCTACCGCCGAGAAGGGTAGGCTCGCTTTATATAGAGGGACCACCTGGACGAAAGGGACCGCTGCGTGATCCAGCGTGATTTCCCGTTCGCGTCATGCCGGGTCCGAGTCGGTCCATGGATCGGTAACTTCGGACGACAACCCCCCAGTCTGGGCAGCACACCAGGCGACCGGCAATGATTACCTTGTGTTACACACAAGGTAATTCAGGCAAACCGGCTGTTGGGTGATCCAACAGGTGTTAGGCGACGGCAGGTATGAAGCTAGCCTATTGGATCTTTTCAACAGCGGGGTCATTGAGCTCTGAGTATGCGAGGTATTCCAAAATCTTAATGCTATAGAAGACTACTAGACACCCGGCGGTAGCCGGGTGAGCGGCGGCAGCGGCGGAAAAAGTGGGCTTCGGAGTTGAATTTGCGCGAGTGCGGAATTTCCAGGAAATGTCATGTAGAACGAGTGTCACGTAGAGAGCGTACTCCTGCTTAGCTTCGGCGCGGGTTCGGGGCAGAAACAGCAAGGGACCGAGGTGGTATAGTTTAGTGGATTAGGGCATTTGAAAGGGGAAACTGAGTGAAGAGGGTGGTCACGTGACATTCTCTGCACGTGACCTGGTAAAGATCTCGTCCCAGAGCAGGCGTTTCAGGTCTTTGGTAGTCAGCGTGTCCTTGCGGAGATCGAACTGGAACTCGCGTGGGTCCAACATTACCGCACCGGGCTCGTCGGCGGGGTCGTGGTATGCCGCGAGGTACGGGTGTTCGAGGGCCTCAGCCGCAGTGATGCGTGCGAAAGGGTCGAACACCAGCATTTGTTGCAGCAAGTCGATCGCTTCTGCGGGGGCGCCGCGGCAGACCTGTGCCAGGTCTACTCGCGGGTACTGTGGCAACGAAGCCAGGTATCTGCGGGCCCTGTTAGAGCGAACGCAGCGGAGCTCTTTTTCCGTCGATGGTGACCCAAGGACCTGGAAGATCAAAACCAGTTGGTGTCGGTAGTCCTTTCCGGGGAACAGCGGTTTGCGCAGCAGGAGCTCGGCCAAAATGCACCCACACGACCATATGTCCATTGCAGTAGTATATTCCGCGGCCGTCAGCATCACTTCGGGTGCGCGGTACCAACGCGTCGCGACGTACTCGGTCATGTTGGCACCTGCGGCGGCAGGGTCCGGATGGTCTTCGTCGTCAGTGACAGAGTCGTTTCCCGCCGATCTCGGCGCGATACGCGCAAGTCCGAAGTCGCATACTTTCAGGTCGCAGTTGGCGTTCACCAGCAAGTTGGAGGGCTTGAGGTCGCGGTGAATAACACCAGCGGCGTGTAGGCTCTTGAGGGCACGGAGTGTTTGGTACAGAAAATACTGCACGTGATCGTCGGACAATGTCTGGGTGGTGAGAACCCGATGCAGATCCGTGTCCATAAGCTCTTGGATGATATAGACTTCGTTGAAAAGCGCGAAGGACGCCGGCCGCTGAATGTCGAAAATGGATACGATGTTTTCGTGCTGGAACTGACGCAACAGCTTTATTTCGCGCAACGTCCGCAGACAGAACAGCGGTCTTTCGAAGGGCTCAATTTTCTTGATGGCTACCAGTTCTCCGGTGGGCACGTGACGTGCCGAGCAAACGACGCCGTAGGCGCCTTCACCCAGCAGGGACTGGAGTTTGAACTCTGACGAGATGTTAAAGACGATCTTCTTTCCCATGGCGTGGGGTGGTGCTGCTTCTAGCAGCGCGATGGATTTCGCAGCGGCTTTTATTAGGGTACGGACGAGGGTTTTGAGGTGTCGCACGTTTCATACGACATGTCAGCAAAACCGACGTCAGTTACTTGAAACATGAGGTGTTTCAAAAGGGCGGGGCCTCTACAACGGGCTGCTTTTCCGTACGGGTTTAAACATTTAATCACAAGCACAGAAAGTCAGGATATTCTGTCGTCCCCGCTAGAAACCACTAGAGGACGAGTTTGAGGTTGTGACACTGCCACTACTGCTACTACAGGTACTCGTACAAGATGAGCGCGGGTTCCAAAATCATGTTCTTGCGAAGACCACGCTAGTTGCGTTTCCTTACACTTCGTCGACACAGGCTGAAACTCGTCTGTTTCTGTTTCTGGGCTTTCTAGCTCACCTTCAAGTCTTTGCTCCGTAGGCCAAAAATTTGAAAAGAGCCCATGAAATAGGCACGTGAGCGTCGACAGAGTCCATAAAAGCTGTGAAACATAAGGTTGAAAGGCCTAGTAAATGATGTTCCAATGGCTAACAAGTCCGAGCCTTATTTGAACCAAAGTTTTGACATGCGTAGTGCAATTTTTACGAAGTCACGCGACCTTATTCCCAAGTCACATGCTTGCTCGTTCTGAAGATATCAAGCACTATAATAATCTCCTTGACGTGAAATTTTCCGGAGTGGATTCTCAAGTCACTTTACCGGGCTCTTTTCCTTCACCGTTACCTAAAGGGGCTTGATAAAAATAAAATCCGCCAAGACTCATCATCCTATACTCTCGACTTTTCCATTTGCAAGGAAAACAGAAAGAAAGGAAGATAGTAGAGAAACCAATGTGGATGAGACTCTCCTTTCTTCTGTTTACATGTCTTTCCAGACTGGTTATCGCAGATTGGCAGCCTAATGTCAATGTGATAAAAACAACCAATACATTTTGGATTGAGCAGTTTGACGATTCTAGCGTTTGTTTGAGATTCGAGGGAACCAAGTTTTTGAGATCGACTGACAATGCATTGACTTGGACCGAAATTACTGAGCTTAATAATGTGGATTTGATGGAGGTATCGATTGATAGGTTCAATCCTGGAAACAGAGCTTTCGCTTGGAGTGCCGATATGTTGTACGTAACTGACGACCAGGGTGAAAATTGGAGGTCCATGAAGATTCCCTGGGATGAGAAAACTGGGGTTGACGAAAATACGTCAACTTACTGCTCCGTGAACGGCCATCCGCAGTCCGATAACTACCTCCTTGTCTCATGCACACATCTTGATAACGGTAAGGGCCATCGAGAAAACTCCGGCAGGTTCTTTTTTTACTCCAATGACGGCAAATCGCTATCGCAGATGGTCCCCAAGTCGTCTCAACCTCTCAGCGATGCAAAGAACTACTATGAATGTCAATTTTTAAGACAAGATGCGGATTCTGAGCTAGGCGGTGATCATGACATCATTTGCTCCGAAGAGCGGCCTGGCGCCGAACAAAATGACCCCGAACCGGAAACTTTGGTATTCACCACGTCCGATTTCGGCAAAACCATGAATTATTTGGAGCAGTTCGAAAATATGAGGATACTCCGTGTTTCGGTCGAGGGTATTTACGCTGTTATTGTGACCGCGGAAGATCGGTTCAATCCTGAGTCTCCGATTCGCATTTGGATCTCAAAAGATGGACAACTCTATGAAGAGGCTAGTCTGCCTGCGCCAATCAGGCATGGGGTTTACTTTGAATCCTTGGGCACCTCTAGAAACAAGCTGGTAGCTATATCTCAAATGATTGACGCGAACGACAAGAACCGAAAGCAGACAAGCGTCTTAATATCGGATTCTACAGGTCTTAAATTCAGTAGAATACCTGATCTCGAATATGGTGAAGTTGGCTTTTATATGTTCCAATCTGTTGACAAGCTCAGAGGGACAGTGATGTGCTCCTTCATGGGTTCCGTCGGGCATGGTCATCACATGCGCGCAGTGGTCAATACCAAGATATCCATGGATAACGGCAAAACTTGGTCGAATCTTCGGGTTGATGACCCTGACAGCGAGTTTAAGTGCGATCCCAGAGATGTCGAAAATTGCTCACTTAATCTCTTTTGGATGAATGAAAGGGATGGGATGAAGGGACCTCCTTCAACGGCAGGCATTTTAACAACAATTGGAACAGTAGGATCTCAGTTCGACATTGAGTGGAAAAATCACAAAACTTTTATTTCACGGGATGGTGGTTCCAGCTGGAGAAAAGTCTTTGATTTCCCTACCCAAGTGGTTTTCGGAGATTATGGCAATATCGCGGTTGCTATGCCTTTCACTCCGGAGGCTGATGGGGATGAAACGTCCGAGTTTTTCTTCTCCTTAGATCAGGGCCGTACATGGACGGAGCATCCGCTTAAGGAGAAGATGAATGCTATGGCTGCATATTCTACGACTTTTGACGGATCTGGAACGAGTTTTGTGTTAGTGGGCGCAGAGTTAGAAAGTGGCCAATCAGATATTAAGTCAGCAATTTATGTCATTGATTTTGCTGAAGCATTCAATTCCGCTAAATGTACAGACAGCGATTTGGAAGAATGGTATCTAAATGAAGGAAAATGCATTGCAGGAGCCAAAAGGAAGATCATGAGAAGGAAAGCCGATTCCTCATGCCTCATTCGTTCTCTTTACAAAGATTTGGAAGAGGTGGAGGAAATTTGTGATTGTTCTGAGGAGGACTACGAATGTGCACCCGAGTTCGTTTTAGGGGAAGATGGGACATGCATTCCAGACCGGGATCTTGTTGCTAAGACAGGCAAATGTGTTCGCAAATCGTCCGTTAAGTTGCCCCCTATCGTTCTTTCGAGAGGCAACAAATGCCGCAATCCTTTGGAAATTGATCCCATTGAAGTTGATTGCGCAGACAAATTAAGTCCTCTCAATGCAATCAGCGTAACTGCAAATACCCTCGATTGGAACCTGAGATTTTACCAATACTTTAACACCTTCGATGACGAAACAATCATTCTTCTATCCGACAAAAACGATGTACACATTTCACATGATAATGGTGAGACAATAAACAAGCTTGAGGTGGATGACAAATTTATCGAAATTGTTTTCAACAGCTATAACAACAGAACAGCGTACCTATTCGGTACAAGCGGGAAGCTATACATAACTCGTGATAGGGCTATCAGTTTTGACTATGTTGAATTACCGCATGCGAGGCAGTTGGGATTTCCCCTATCATTTCATGCGAAAGATGACGACTCGTTTATCTATTATGGTGGCCAGGACTGTGACTCGATATTCAGTCCTGATTGCCATGCCGTTGCCTATATTACGCATGATGGCGGTAAGACTTTCGTGAAGTTGCTTGAAGGGGCAATTCAATGTGATTTCGTGGGATCCACATACCAAAGTCCTCCTGATCCGAATATGATAATGTGCCTCGTGAAGCATAAAGGTCAACTTAAAAGGTCTATATTAACAAGTACTGACGATTTCAAGACCGACACACGAGTGGTTTTTGACGATGCCATTGGCTACGTTTCTGTCGGAGAGTACACTGCTATTGCTGTACCCCACAATAATCAGGAACTCCGGGCTTTTGTGACTCTTGATGGCAAAGAATATGCGGAAGGTAAATTCCCGGCAGACATTGGAGTTGACAAGCAACAAGCATACACCGTTTTGGGCTCCCAAACAGGCGCCATTTTTTTCCATTTAACCACGGAGAATAGAAATGGGCAACAATTTGGTGTTCTTATGAAGTCTAATTCAAACGGAACATCATTCGTCACTCTAGAAAGAGCCGTCAACCGTGGACCACAAGGCTTTGTGGATTTTGAGAAATTAGAAGGCTTAGAGGGAATCATTCTTATTAATACCGTGAGCAACGCTGATTCGATAAGGAATGGTAACAGAGAGGGTAAGAAGCTTAAAACCAAAATAACTTTTAATGATGGCGGTGACTGGCAGTTCCTAAGACCGCCCGCAAAGGATTCGCAGGGCAAAGCATATGCATGCAAAGGCAATTTGAATGAGTGTTCTCTCAATCTTCACGGATACACGGAAAGAAAAGATGTGCGTGATACGTACTCCTCTGGTTCTGCCCTCGGCATGATGGTTGGCGTTGGAAGTGTTGGAAAAGAACTAGCACCTGTGAAAGATTGTTCAACATTCATCACTCTGGATGCAGGTAATACTTGGCGAGAAGTCCGCAAAGGATCCCATCATTGGGAGTATGGTGACCAGGGAAGTATCATCGTGCTAGTCAAAGACGTTGAGAAGACTAATTACATTACGTATTCCATTGACTCAGGGAAAACATGGAATGACTTCGAGTTTTCAGAAAAAGAGGTTTCTGTTGAAGATATTGTAACTACTCCACATGACTCAGTGATGAGGTTTTTGATTGTTGCTAAATCAACCTCTGTGATTGGCCAGAAAACCCAACTCTTTACGATTGACTTCAGCCGCGTATTCCCTCGTCAATGCGTTCTAGATTGGTCTCGGCCTGAAAATGACGATTACTCGGCTGTCAAACTTACGGATTGCATGTTTGGGCACCAAGCTGAGTACCTCAAGAAAATCAGCGATGACTGCTTTATTGGGGCAGCTCCTCTTGAAAAAAGTTACAGAATAGTTAAGAACTGTTCATGTACTCGGGATGATTTTGAATGTGACTACAATTATTACAAAGCAAGCGACGGGACATGCAAACTTGTCGAGGGCTTAGATCCCGCTGAACTTGAAGAAACTTGCAAAAAACATCCTGATCTTGTTGAATTTTTCAAACCAACTGGTTATAGGAAAGTTCCATTATCAACCTGTGTTGGTGGTTTAAATCTCGACCAAGCATCAGTGCCTCAACCTTGCCCTGGCAAAGAAAAAGAATTCAGAGACCGTCACAAGGCCAGTAGGTCTTCAGTCGTGGTAATTACATTGCTTCCTCTTTTCGTATTCCTTGCAGCTATGTGGTTCATTTATGATCGTGGGATCAAGAGAAACGGCGGTTTTGCTCGCTTTGGCGAGATACGATTAGGTGACGAAGAACTGATCTCAGAAACTCGTACTGACCGAGCAGTCAATGCGATTGTGGCTTTCGGAGTGACTGCCTATTCTGCAATGTCAGCAACTTTTTTGCTTGTCAAAAGAGGAATTAGAAATGCCTTTCTGCATTCAAGGGCGAGAATTCAAAGATCATCGAATGGCCCTAGCTACTCTTCACTCACGCATGACCAATTTCTGGATGAAGCGGATGAATTGCTAGCCGGACACGATGACGATGCTAATGATCTAGTTGCTTTCCCGGATGACGAAACGAATTTCGAAGTTGATGATCCTCCTCCACAGGAGTCGTTCTCCGACGTCGAGACGTCGAACTCTGTAGCTAGGGAAGAGAATTATGATGAACACGCATAAAACGCAAATCTATTATAGCGTTACCACAATTCAATAAATTTTATCAAGCATCAGAGGAGCCAACGATTTATAAATTTGATTCCAATTATAAGAATTCTATCCATGATCGTTCCAAAAGCTTCATATTCAATGGACGCTGAATGAAAGCGATCTGTATTTATAGCAAGACGATTTGAAGGCTTCTTCTTGACAGGTGTTGGCAGATCTTGAAAATCGAGTAATGGATACGTCAAAAAGTCCATTAGATGAGACCTTTACTTATGAATAAGTAGCTAAAAGTTAATCGAAATATGGTTCGCGTTAATTAGAGCGATAGATGATGAATTGAACTAGCTTGGCCTGAGTTTAGTATTTCAAATGGTTTTCCGTTCATAGTATGACACGCTTAAAAATTGAAAGATGTGAAAATTGCCCCATGAACATCGTGATGAATCAAGAAATCAAAAAAGCCAATGACCTTCAAAGACTGGCACTACTTCCAAATCCAATTGTATGGACCTTGTAGCTCGTTCGATAACTGACCTCCCTTACTAACTATAGTAAAGAACATCCCAAAATCATGAAGATGACTCAAGTGTCAACCTTGATGAGATGACATGGAGACAATTCGTCATGAACGCATTGAGAAAGGCACACGGACTCTTTGGAGAATCCTGCTTATTTGAGTTTCTCTGTATAAATGATAAATTCGCCTATTTAAAGGTAAACGACGCCGAGAGCGAACTTTTTAGCGTCGCGATGACTACGTATATTTCAACCGATGAGCTCGTTGGTTTCCCACTAGTAGCCAACATCATGCAAAGAACTTCTGATCTAAAGTCGCTCATTGTTGGTGAAGATGACGTGCTATGGCGAAAGAAGGCCATTGCACAACAAGAAGAAGAAAATGAGTGTTGAACTAGCACTCTAAGGCTTTTGTTTCCATTCGAAAAACCCACAAGATGCTGCTGGGTCTCCTGTCTCGCCTTTGGGTCTAGAACATACCCAGAAGCGTTTACCTGGATTGTTAGAAGTTTTGGACGTCCTTAAAACGGCCTTTTCGTTATGTCGACAAAGCGGTGGCTCGTCGCCGAATAGTGCCATGGTCTTCGCAAAAGATTTTGACGCCATCGAATCGATGCTAGTCTGCTGTGCTTTCTTGGCAAGGTTCAACCTTTTGGGCGCCGGAGAGACGGTTTTTTCCGGCAGAGATCTTTTCAGACATGCGGGCAGCAATATTGAAATGTCGCCATGATTGAGCCCATATTTATATCGTGCTTCAAATCTTGGTATGGGTATCGTTTGCCCAGCTGACTCCACAGATAAGCCAGCTGTGTTCAAATCACAAAATATAGGACAGTGATCGGATCCCAGTACCTGCGGCCATATATTACCTTGACTTATTTGAGCCCTGAGGCCCTTGGACATTAAAATATAGTCAACGCGCGAACCGTAGTTGATAAGTCTCGAATTCTTCAAGGTATTCCAGACTGTATATAATTTAAGTCTGTCTCTTCCTTGTGCATGTCTCGTCGTGTCGACGAGATGACCATGCGAAGCAAGCTCTGGAATTACCGAATCCGCCAAGATTTCATTGAGTAACCGGCGGCCCACACGAGAAGGCTCAAATATAAAGTCTCGCACAGCGGAAGGGTTAGCAGCTTCAAGATCATTGCCTCTACGCCAATCACCTATCCTGATACCCGATTTTTCAAGACCCTCAGCATGATCTATCAGATCCCGACACACATTGATGTCGCCCATCAGGACAACTTGTTTGCCCAAGGCAATAATTGCTTTGATTCGTCTGAATAATACCCTCAGAAATTTCAATCTATGGTCTTCACCACTGTCAGAAAGCGATGAATTAGCAGGACAATATGTGCTTATAACAACGATATTACAAGCAAGCTCCACCATAACGCATCGCCCGTCAGAATCCAGTATCAACGCATCTTGTTCATTTTCAATTCCAAGCGACTCATAACCTCCAATTCCCAACGTATCGTCATCTTTATACCTCACATGCCCTTTCCCCCGTTTCACGGACAAGTACCCGGTCAAACCTTCTTCAGCCTTAACAACTCGTAATATGTTGTAAAGTGGATCGGCTTGGTCCGGTATTCTTATCCAACATCCAACCCCAGAGTACCCCTTTTTCTTCTTGGGAATCGATATAAACGAGTAGAACCCAGGAATTCTACCCCATTTGGTGATTGCAGTGTTCTCAGTTTTCAGTTCTTGGAATGTGATGATGTCCGACTTTAAGTAGTCAAAAACCTTGTAAAGCGATGACTCCATTTCATCAAATGGGTGATAGTTGAAAAGGGTACGGATACCATTGACATTGAAGGTCAAGAAGCGGATGTCATTGAGACTTTTTGACTCCAGATGGGTTTCTGTCATCGTTTCGCTAATGTCTTGACTATATGATTTTTTTTGATGTACGTAGTTGAATACCTAGAGGTTAACCGTTGATAGCTCTCGATTGAAGATGAAAAACCCATTCTTAACAAACCTTGAAATCACTTGCCAACTAGAACTCCTTTTGCTCGGCAAAGGATTTTTGCTGGACTAGTGCCCTGATTTGCTGCCGTTCTTTGTAGAGAATTAGACAAAGCAGACCCAAAGCAGCGACGGCATTTATGGCGAGATGCTTGAAGTTTCTCACTGTTCCAATGAAGTAAAAGTTGGCCAATGCAATGCAGATGGATGCGAAAGATGCGACCTTCAAGTTTTTGAAATTCAGTAGGAAAGATTTCCGGTCGGAAGTCTCTAGAAAAAGATCTTTGTAAAACCCATTGATAAACCAATAACAGTAGGCAATTCTGAGAACCATATTGATGATATTGCTTAAGATTAGACCATCGAGAGACATTCCAAAGTATGAGATGAGTACCCAGCAATTGGAGAGAAAGACCCCCGAGAATAGCATCATCGCATAGGAATGCTTGAGGATTTGTTCACCCGACGCGACACTTTGGAAAAAGGCCTCAAAAATACCATTGATGGATAGGAATGGGAGGTAGAAGCAATAAATCCGTATGGTGTCGAGTACACTAGTGCTTGACCACTTGGAACCAATGAGAAATTGCAACAGGAAAGACGAGTTTGTCGGCCCGAAAACACAGATGAGCAAAGACAGATAGAGGTAGAAACGGGTCAAATTTATGAGAACCTCCATGGAAAGCCTTAGATTTTTATTAGACTGAACCGAGAGAAGTCTGGTTAAAAATAGTCGAAGAGATTCTTCGATTGGTGCAAACAAAAGTCGAGTCACCAGGGAACCGTAGTTAGAAAGCAAAGAGTAAATGCCTTGTTCCTCGACTGAGCACATAGAGTTTATGATAAGTTTATCACCCTCCGTTAGCAAGTGCTTAAAGCAAAGTTGGAAATACACCTTTCTGAAATGTTGTAAAATGTCAGCTTGCAGATAGTAAGCCTGTGTACCGGAAGAGATTTGTAATTTAACTGGAAACACGGAAAAGGTTCCGTTGGGTCTAAATTTGCAGAAGTAGTCGTAATAATAGCAGCACAGCAATGCCAAAGAATAGGTAAACTTGCTGGTAGCGAAAGCAGCTATTGCGATACCTTCTTGTTTTGCAGAATCGTGTAACGTAGATCCAGAACCATTGAATCTCTTTTCGTGAAGCCAGACGATGCCAAAATTCATCAAACATCCCAAAGTTACTGCTATGGTCTCAAATCTGCTTCTGACTTCATAGTTTAGAATAAACTGGTTCACAATGAAAAATGGTTCACTTAAGAGTTCGCAGATAATACTCAACCATACAAGTAAAATGGCAGCTTTGAAATAAGGCAACGACAGGAAAAATTCGTTCAAATTAGAACATTGCCATGCGATCAATGCTATCGATAATGGGATACCAATGGCAATTGATACACTAGCAAAATTCACCACGGTTTGCAAGGTTTTGGAATCCAGTTCGTCGCCCTCTTCATCACCGTCTGCAGACTTGACGGGCTTGATCCTCAGAGTAGATAACCGAATGGCTTCACGACTGAAGAACAATGTTGTTGAGATCAAAAACTCCAAAAATGCATTAATTCCAAAAACTCGAGGTGACAGGTATCTAATCAAAAGGTTGTTTAACAAGAACGTAACAGCTTTCGTGAAAATCTGATTAAACATTAGAAGCTGTGCTCCTTTCGTAGATTTGATCAGAAAGCTCTCATCACCATCAAACTTCGCCATCCTATGTTTCTGTTTCTTCCCTCATTTCATGATAGCGGTTTCTTCTATGTAGAGTGTTAACCAAATTTCTTGACATCGCCAAACCCGTTGCCTGGCCAAATCCATTGAGGCAAACCTATTGAACCACCACATCTCGTTCAAATGGAACAGGACGAAGAGAGACGTGAACGACACAATCAGTTTGTCGCAGAGCTCCGCGAACAGGACCGGTGGCTGCCGATTAACAATGTTGGACGACTCATGAAGAACACGTTACCAGTTACTGCCAAAGTTTCTAAAGATGCTAAAGAATGCATGCAAGAGTGTGTTTCGGAGTTTATATCTTTTGTGACTAGCGAAGCCAACGATCGATGTGCTGCTGATAAAAGGAAAACAATTAATGGAGAAGATATACTGATTTCGCTTCACGCATTGGGTTTTGAGAACTATGCCGAAGTCCTCAAGATTTATTTGGCAAAATACAGACAACAGCAAGCGTTAAAGAATCAAATGATATACTTGCGAGGTGAAGACGAGGTTCCAGAGGGCGAAGAAAGTTTACCAGATGAATACGAAGGTACAAGCGAAGTGAATGTTGAAACTGCGGAAACGAAACATGAATACCACCCTGACGCTAAAGATCAGCAAGAGACGGTTGTTGACGAAGAACCAGCCAGTTTGGAGGGCCAATATAGCAAATCCCCAGAAGAAGACTCTGATGCTCAGTTGTTTATGTGATTTACTCATTCGATACTCATTTTCCACTTGACGGCCATTCGAGTCCCCGGAGACGAAATTTTAAATTTTCAGAGTTTTGACAATTATGAATACTAACAGACTAGTATCATCAAATTTGCCACCTCGCAAAGGTTCGAACATCATACCAGTCGAGCTTTTCAAGGCCTTCAAGATGTTCAAAAGAGGCTCTATAGTGGTAGGAGCGAGGAGTAAGCCTGCGAGTTTTCGCGGGATACGCTTTGCTACTGAATCGGCGCGATATAGTCGTGGTACAACGGCCCTACCGACACATGAAAGTGCGCATTGGAAAGCGTATCTGAGTCAAAATCGTGATTTAAGGGATTTAAAGCCCTTTTGGAATCTGCCGCGTATAGCAGGGGCCATGGAATCCAAGAGTTCGAAGGATCGTTCTCGGAATGAGCCAAATCAGAAGAACGACGACGTGGGTGAAAATAAGGAGGACGGGAAGGAGACTCCCGACCGGAAAATAGAAAAGCATGAGGACACGGAAGTTGAGAGTGACACGGTATCAGAAACCCGGGAACGTGAATCGTCGAAAGCTTCAGGCGGCAGCGGCAGCAGCGGCAACAACGATGACAGTGGAGGCGCAAGCAGCGGTAATGGCGATAATGGCGATTCGAAATCCAGTGGCAAGAAACAGGTGATGCCAGAAGTGTATCCGCAAATGTTGGCGCTACCCATCTCGCGTCGCCCTTTGTTCCCTGGGTTTTACAAAGCCGTTGTGATTTCGGATAACAGAGTCATGAAAGCTGTCAAAGAAATGTTGGAACGGCAACAACCTTACATTGGTGCTTTTTTGCTGAAAAATTCTGACAAAGATACAGATGTGATTCATAACATCGACGAAGTACACGAAGTCGGAGTCTTCGCACAAATTACAAGCGCATTCCCAAGCAAAGACGAGAAAACAGGAGAAGAAACTATGACTGCGTTGTTATATCCTCACCGCAGAATCAAAATCGACGAGTTGATTCCTCCTAAGGCTACTGCCGAGCCTTCCCGACAGGATGAAATTTTGTTGAAAAGAGATGAGGACGCCGAAACCACGGATGTCGTTGAGCATGTTGAAAACGTCAAAATCGAGCGTAACCAAAAGGACTCTCAAGAGTCAATTGATTTTGACGAGGAATCTAACCCAACAGAGTTTTTGAAAAATTATGATATCTCACTTGTCAATGTTTCTAACCTTGAGGATAAGGAGTTTGATAGAAAGTCTCCGGTAATAAACGCTTTGACGTCTGAAATTTTGAAAGTTTTCAAAGAAATTTCGCAGCTGAACACCATGTTTCGCGAACAGATTGCGACATTTTCTGCCTCCATTCAATCGGCTACCACCAATATATTCGAAGAACCTGCCAGACTTGCGGATTTTGCCGCTGCTGTCTCCGCGGGTGAAGAGCAAGAACTCCAAGATATTCTGGAACTTTTAGACGTTGAACAGCGTCTTGAGAAGTCTCTCGTAGTTTTAAAGAAGGAGCTGATGAATGCCGAGTTACAAAACAAGATTTCCAAAGACGTGGAGACGAAAATACAAAAAAGGCAAAGAGAGTATTACTTGATGGAACAACTGAAAGGTATTAAGCGAGAGTTAGGAATTGATGACGGCCGTGATAAACTCATCGAGACCTTCAAAAAAAGGGTTGAAAAATTACAACTTCCGGAAAATGTCAAAAAGGTCTACGAAGATGAAATCGGTAAGCTCGCTACTCTAGAGACTTCTATGTCTGAGTTCGGTGTGATTAGAAATTATCTAGATTGGATTACTTCTCTGCCCTGGGGTATCACATCAAAGGAGCAGTATTCCATTCCAGTTGCAAAGAAAATTCTTGATGAAGACCATTATGGTCTAAAAGACGTAAAGGACAGAATTTTGGAGTTTATTGCTGTAGGCAAATTGTTAGGAAAAGTCGATGGTAAAATCATTTGTTTCGTGGGACCTCCTGGCGTGGGAAAGACGTCGATTGGGAAGTCAATTGCTCGTGCGCTAGATCGTCAATTTTCACGCTTTTCGGTAGGTGGAATGACGGATGTTGCAGAAATTAAGGGTCATAGAAGAACCTACATTGGTGCGTTACCGGGAAGAATCGTACAGTCATTGAAGAAATGCCAAACGCAGAACCCGTTGATCTTGATTGATGAGATTGACAAGATTGGTCACGGTGGCATACATGGAGACCCTGCCGCTGCGCTACTTGAACTGCTTGATCCTGAACAAAACAACAGTTTTTTGGACAACTACCTGGATATCCCAATTGACCTGTCCAAAGTTCTATTTGTTTGCACAGCGAACACTCTTGACACAATCCCAAGACCGCTTTTGGATCGGATGGAAGTTATCGAACTAACGGGCTACGTTGCTGACGAAAAAATCAAGATAGCGGAGCAATATCTATCACCAAATGCCAAGAAAGCTGCAGGTTTAGAGAATGCCAATGTTAATATAAGCGAAACCGCTATAACCAACTTAATGAAGCATTATTGTAGGGAAAGCGGGGTGAGAAACTTGAGGAAACAAATCGAGAAAATCTACCGCAAAGCTGCATTTGATGTTGTTAAGCAATTGAGCATAGATGACAAGCCCGTCGAGTCTGCTCAGGCTTCGGAAGCAAAAAGGTTTTCGAAAGCTGATGTAAATGTGGGAGTAATCGGAAGCACATTGGACTCGGCAAGCGAAAGGAACGAAAAAATCGAGGTCGAGAAAACGCATGACAGCAAAGAAGCTATGGTGATTCCAAGCAACATCTCGGTACAAATCGATGCGGACAATCTTAAAAAGTACGTGGGGCCTCCGATATTTACAGCAGACAGACTTTACGAAATGACACCACCAGGTGTCGTTATGGGACTCGCCTGGACCAGCATGGGGGGGTGTGCAATGTACGTCGAGTCCGTGTTGGAACAGCCACTTTCACACCATTCACATGCCTCACTCGAACGTACGGGTCAATTGGGCGACGTGATGAAAGAATCTTCTCGCCTGGCGTATTCTTTTGCCAAGATGTTTTTGACCAAGAAATATCCAGAGAATAGATTTTTCGAGAAAGCTGCCATCCATCTGCATTGTCCAGAGGGCGCCACACCAAAAGACGGTCCCTCTGCTGGTGTCACTATGGCTTCTTCCCTGCTCTCGCTTGCTTTGAATAAGCAACTTGACCCCACAATCGCAATGACCGGGGAATTAACTTTAACCGGAAAAGTGTTACGGATTGGAGGGCTGCGTGAAAAGGCGGTTGCTGCCAAGAGATCAGGCGCCAAAACCATCATTTTCCCTAAAGAAAACACCAGCGACTGGGAGGAACTTCCAGAAAACGTGAAAGAAGGTCTTGAACCCTTGGCAGCTTGTTGGTATTCAGATATTTTTGAAAAGCTTTTTGCTGATGTATCCGCGGAGGCTGGAAACTCTGTATGGAAAGCAGCGTTTGACAAGATCGATGCGCAAGAGGCCAGAAAGAAAAACTAGGACTAACTTGCACTAGCTCCTTTTGTCCTGTAAATATTTCTCTTATGTACAGTTTTTATAATGACTTTTTTAACGCTACTGTTTCTGAATTACAGCTTATTTGGCTGACTCTATATTAGTCGTTAACATGTTGAAAGCGGGCAAGTGTTGGCATTTTGGCATCATCAAGAGAAGCATCTCATCGTCGTTCAGGGACTCTTCCGTGTTCAAAAGTGAAGCTTACTTTTGCGGTGAATGGAAGAAGGGAGATGAAACATTCTGTCTCAGAAACCCTGCGACGCAGGACGAGATTAGTTCAATAACAGATTGTGGGATTAGTGATTACAATGAAGCGATAAAAGGAGCGCATGGGGCCTTTAAGTCCTTTCGAAAGTCTGCACCAAGTAGTCGCTCCGAAGCACTTCAGAACATTTACGAATTAATGCAAGAGAACAAGGAAGACCTTGCTAGACTGGTGACCATGGAAAACGGTAAACCCTATAGGGAATCGTTGGCAGAAGTAGACTATGCGTCTAGTTATTTCAAATGGTTTTCAGAAGAAGCTCACAGAATGGTTGGAACGATTATGCCAGGCTCGGGTTCTACCGAAAAAAAAATTCTGACCATCAGACGGCCCCTTGGCGTCGTGGGCATCCTAACTCCATGGAATTTCCCCACTGCAATGATTGCCAGAAAATTGGCACCAGCACTTGCTGCTGGTAACACTTGCGTCGTCAAACCGGCGCAAGAAACTCCACTGAGCGCTTTAGCGTACGGCTGGCTTTGCGAACAGGCTGGCTTCGAAAGTGGGGTTTGCAATATACTTCCTACAAGCCATGCAGACGTTGTTGGTAAATATATGTGTCAACACGATTTGGTTAGCAAAATTACCTTCACCGGGTCAACTAAGGTGGGCAGAATCTTGATGCAACATGTGCATAATAAGACTGGCACTATCAAGAAAGTATCTATGGAATTGGGTGGTAATGCTCCTTTTATAATATTTGAGGATGCAGACATCTATAAAGCTCTTGATGGGATCATGGCATCAAAATTTAGGAATTCGGGTCAAACGTGTATCTGCGCCAATAGAATATTCGTTCATGAAAGCTTGTATGACACAGTTGCTTCAAGTTTGGCGAAAAGAATGGAGACGGATCTTGTTATGGGAAGTGGATTTGACGTACATGTTACGCAAGGTCCACTCATTAATGACAAGGCTGTCAACAAAGTTTCAGACCTTGTTGAAGATGCCAAGAATAAAGGCGCCAAAGTTCTAATGGGTGGTACTAGAGCTAGTACTCTGGGACGCAATTTTTATCACCCAACGATTTTGACAGATGTTGATGAATCAATGGATGTTTTCCATAAAGAGATATTTGGTCCAGTAGCTTGCTTGATCAAATTCAAGACCACCGAAGAAGTATTGAGGCGCTCAAATGACTCCAATGTGGGACTGGCTGGTTATTTCTACACGGCAAACATTGGAACAATCATGAAACTTGCCGAAGATTTGGAGGTTGGTATGATTGGCGTGAACAGCAGTGAAATAAGCGATGCTGTTTTACCGTTCGGTGGAGTCAAAGACTCTGGTTTAGGAAGAGAGGGCTCTCTTTATGGTATAAACGATTACACGGAATTAAAATCGATAATACTTGAACCATGAGGATATCGTGATGTAGTTTTGTTTGATGAATTTATGACCTGTACACAACAAAAACGTATCTATTTGCTTTGAGAATTGAAGAAATCTCTTATATCTTCCTCCTTGACAACTTTTCCAGAATCTGCGAAAGGTTTCAAGAACTTGCTTAATTTCACCTTCATTTCGTCCATGGCCTTTAAACCGGTAAAAACCATATTGCTGTCCATAGATTTCCCGATAACTTCCGTTCCAAGTTCATAGGTCGACGCTTCGTCCTCATCTTCTTGAAGTTCATAGATAGGATCATCGTTTATCAAGAAGGGAGCCACATCATTCAAGAAGACGTAGAGTTTATCTGGGGGCTTAAGACTTTCCTTGATTCGATTTAGACTAGTCGCGTAATCACTTTTCAATAAGATAGAATACTCACGCTCCACGTTTTCCTCTAGTCTTCTTTTGCGTTCGTTGGCAGGCTTCTCCTCAATACCGGATTCCTTTGTCGCAATAGGGTCTTCTTTGTATACCTTACCGGCTAAAGCACGGTCAGCCAGTTCATGCGCTGAAAGATGCTCAAAGGTCGATGCGTATCGCTTTACACATTTCCAGCATATGAAAGCGTCAAATGATTCCAGCGACGGAAAATTCTGCGCCAGTCGTGCGGCTTTTCGTTCATCGTTGTGTTCATGATCCTGCAGAAGACAGCAGCAGTGGTACCAATCCTCGTTGCATTCAAGTCCAAGAAGGCACTGCAACATGGTAACATCAGATTCAGGATTATAGGGCTTGCTGCAGCTACAAAATTTACCCTCATAATTTTGACCATACCTATTGGACAGAGATGCAATGCTTTGATGACAGTTGCGCCGCAACTGGCACCAATATTCACCCTTCTTCTTACTTTGCCTTTCGGTTCCGCAATCACATGTAAAATTCCGTTTCACAAACAGTTCTACCAGCTCGCACTCGGAGTGGCACTGAATGGAACATGAGTAACAAACGCCCATAATGCCACAGTCTAAGCATGCAAAGATCTGTTGCCGAATGGATCCGTCAGTATACGTGCATTGCTTAGGATCCCATGGCATGAGATCGCGCGCCTCATCCTCCAATTCCTTTTGACGTTCAAGATATTCACTTGCACTGATATCGCTCATCACACAGATTGTCACAGGCGGCTTAACAGTAACGGTACACGTCCAAGACTTTCAAGTCGCGTAAAGTTGGCCCCAATAAATAATTTCACTGATATCACGTGAATCGTGTACCAGGTGATATGATATTATGCTTTCCAACGACTATAATCACAGCTCCCTAAGATTTAGCCGCCCAGCTTCTTTCGTAAGAATATCCCCATAAACCACAGGAAGGGTACCGTTTTCTTATCAAGTACATCACGTATCCACACTAAAAGTGGTATTGTCATCGCGAAGGTTAGTCAGCTGGCATTTCAGAAGTCTGAGGATGTGTTTTCTATGCAAAAGCCGGTGATTGGAAGCTGATTTTCTAGAGTAAATCGTCTCTGGAACGCTCGCCTTTTATACTTTTTTCCTGCCCCTCACCCTACTTAATTATATTTCCAAATACATACAAATAAATAACTGGAAATGAAAGATAGAGCCATTACTCATGAGGGATACTCGGAAGAGCAGAAAACGGCAAAAAGCGTTCGAAAACAAACGAATAGAGAACTGATGACTTTGGGTCAGATTTATACACTTTGTTATGATCAAGAGATTTTTCAATGATGAAGAATCATCCCGAAATATTCGAATTTGTCGGGAATGGTATCGAGAGAAACCAAAAACACTGGTTCAAACGATGTTTTGGGTGATGTGACTGACATTTTGGCATAGATGCTGCATGTCATGGCAGTGTAGCTTTTTGACAATGCTTGACTTGGGTGGCCATACCGTTTAAGAGAGTGATCAGGTGCTGGTCAGCATTCGGGTGGAATTGAGTTTTTCCCTCGAAATAAGCGAAGTTCGCTTTGAAAACCGTAGCACAGTGACGCGAAAAGTCGCTTCAATGCCGACGCATTGTCTCCAACGATCCGCTGTGCTTTGGTGATGCAGTGAGGTGGATATCACGAGAAAGACCCTTGGACAAGGCGCTATTAACTTTTACGAATTTGACATCTTTTGATCCATCAATTTGACTGCTCAGATTAGATGCAGCTCTTTGCTTCATAGTGCTTACTTTGCAGATTGCCTTTTATTAATGCCTCTGAATTTCTGCTTTGGGGTGAAACCGTGATCGCCTTAGAATTGATGATTTTCACAAAGTTTTTGCGACAAGTCGCACTCTCCCTATGCCATCATGGACCTCTGAAAGCTTTATATCGCGCTTTGCTCAACTTTTGCTACGAAACTCAGTTTAAATTCACATCTTATGAGCCTTTTAAAAGAGGTGAGAAAGGTATTTGGAATCCTTGAATGCTACGAAGATATCACCAAGAGGTTACATTCATGAAATTATTGTTTTAAAAGCTGTGAGGATTGGTACTCTAATCTACTTTACTCATTGTTTTAAGTATGATTTTGTCAGTTTTGACTTTCTTCCTTTTAGAGAAAATTAATTGAAATGTGGGAGTTGAAACCAACATTTAAGAAAAGTTTGATAACACAAACATCTAGGCAGACAAGCTTTTAAGGGCCAATAACGAGACAATGGACCGTAGAAGAAGAAGAGAAGATGATGAGAGTGATTCTGAGCAACCGGTTCTACCCTCATCTCCTCAGGGACCTTCTATGGGTCGATCTTCGCCGATTGGTAGCCCAGAAGAAATTGACTTCGAGAACCCCGACGGAGAAGTTGTGGAAAACGAAGATCTGGAAGAAATAGAAGAGAGAATGAATGAGGTGGACCTAATGGGTGATGAAATGTTCAAAGATTATGATTCGGATGCTCGAAGAGATCAGTACGAAGTTGAAGGAATTGATGATAGAGACCAAGGGGAGCTTTCACTGGCAGATCGGCGTCGAATCGACGCACAATTGAATCAAAGAGATCGTCTTTTGCGCAGCGAAGCGTATATCGATGATGACGATGACGACAATGATGACGATCAGCAACTCGACGAAATGGGTTTACCGACACAACGGCGTCGCAGACGTCGCCAGTACGAAGATGACGACGATTTGTTGTCTGACATAGATATGGACCCACTCACGGAAGAGTTAACCCTCGAGTCTTTAAGTGATGTCAAGGCTTCAAGCTATACTGAATGGATAACACAGCCTAATGTGGCTCGGACTATAGCGCGCGAGCTAAAGGCGTTTCTTTTAGAGTTTACCGACGATAATGGCAGATCCGTTTACGGAGCAAGAATTAGGACGCTTGGTGAACAGAATTCGGAATCCTTGGAAGTCAATTTCAGACATTTAGCCGAATCTAAAGCCATTCTCGCACTGTTTCTAGCCAAATGTCCGGAGGAGATGCTCAAGATTTTCGATGTGGTAGCGATGGATGCCACACAGCTTCACTACCCAGATTACGCGCGAATCCACTCTGAAATCCATGTAAGGATATCCGATTTTCCTACACTTTTGAACTTACGAGAGCTTCGCGAGTCGAACCTGAACTCGCTGGTTCGTGTAAGTGGTGTTGTAACAAGAAGAACGGGTGTTTTCCCACAGTTAAAATACGTCAAGTTTAATTGCTTGAAGTGTGGCTCGATATTAGGGCCTTACTTCCAGGATTCTAATCAAGAAGTGAAAATATCGTTCTGCACCAATTGTAGATCGAAAGGTCCCTTCCGAACGAACGCAGAAAAGACGCTATATCGAAATTACCAAAGAGTCACTCTTCAGGAAGCTCCAGGTTCCGTACCACCTGGACGACTCCCCAGACACAGGGAAGTGATCCTCTTATGGGATTTGGTGGATATTGCTAAACCTGGTGAAGAAGTCGAAATCACTGGTGTTTATAAAAACACTTACGATGGAAATCTGAACGCAAGAAATGGATTCCCGGTGTTTGCAACCGTTATAGAAGCAAACGCTGTGAGAAGGAGAGAAGGTGGATTGCGAGTTGGCGACGGAGAAGAAGGTCTTGACGTTTTCAGTTGGACTGAAGAGGAAGAACGGGAATTTCGCAAAATGTCAAGAGATCGCACTATCATTGACAAAGTCATATCGTCCATCGCACCTTCTATTTACGGTCATAGAGATATTAAAACAGCAGTAGCCTGCTCACTGTTTGGCGGTGTACCGAAAAATGTCAATGGTAAACACGCCATTCGTGGAGATATAAATGTTTTACTTCTGGGTGACCCAGGTACAGCAAAGTCCCAAATTCTAAAATATGTGGAAAAAACGGCTCAACGTGCTGTCTTCGCTACTGGTCAGGGTGCATCTGCTGTTGGTTTGACAGCGTCGGTTCGCAAAGACCCCATTACCAGAGAATGGACTCTTGAAGGTGGGGCCCTCGTCTTGGCAGATAAAGGAGTGTGTTTGATTGATGAATTTGATAAAATGAATGATCAGGATCGTACATCTATCCACGAAGCAATGGAACAGCAGAGTATCTCCATTTCAAAAGCAGGTATAGTGACAACCTTGCAGGCAAGATGTTCCATCATTGCAGCTGCGAACCCCAATGGTGGACGCTATAACTCAGCTTTGCCTTTGGCTCAGAACGTCGATTTAACCGAGCCCATTCTGTCTCGTTTCGATATTCTCTGTGTCGTTAGGGACTTGGTTGATGAAGCCACTGACGAAAGATTGGCGCGTTTCGTCGTTGACTCTCATGCCAGATCTCACCCAGACAGTGACCTCCTAGAGGCCGCTGATGATGAAGAAGCTCAAGAACTCGGTGAGGCCGGAGAACCTCTTTCCTCTAGGCAAAGGCGACTTCAAAGAGAACGAGCAAAAGAGGGCGAAATTTCTCCAATTCCACAAGAAACTCTTATGAAATACATACACTACGCTCGCACAAAAGTTTATCCCAAGCTTCACCAAATGGATATGGACAAGGTGAGTAGAGTCTACGCCGATTTAAGAAGAGAGAGTATAACGACGGGATCTTTCCCTATAACGGTTCGGCATTTGGAATCTATTTTGCGTATTGCTGAGTCGTTCGCGAAAATGAGACTCTCGGAGTTCGTTTCTTCGTGGGACCTCGATCGAGCAATCAAAGTTACGGTGGATAGTTTCGTTGGGGCTCAGAAAATAAGTGTCCGGCGCCAATTACAAAGATCATTTGCTATATATACACTAAGTGGATAATATTTGTGAGCGGGATACTCATGATGTACTAAGTAAGATTGCATTCCAATAAACAATGTTACTGTGTAATAGACGCTCAATAGACATATTGCTGTACTAAATAACAATCATCCTTGAGCTTCACTGGACTCTGCTGGTTGACTTGCTTCTTCTTCTTCTTGCGGAGCCCGATCACCTCCGACCTTCTTTTCAGGAGCAGCGACCTTTGCAGGGGAATCTACTTTAAAAATTCTGTACAGAAGCTCATGAGTGTCTTCTTTGCAAACCATCAAATTTACGCATTTACTTCCATTCCAAACAGGCAAGAAAAGACTTTCTTTGTCCTCGCCGCGAGAAACATGAATGAAGGCGCATCCTGGAGATAGAGCTCTTATTTTCTTCGTGAACTCGTCATCGATGTGCAATTTCTCCATGGTCTCGAAACCTGGGAAGGACTCAAGTAAAAGGTGCTTTAAGCATTCCAAATTGGCCTTGGCCACTCTCTTCTGATTCATGTGGTGCTTAACAATGGGCAACGACTCGCTTTGAATCCTCCAAGAGCAGTCAATATCAGAGCGCTGAGCGACTAGCAACTTAACACCCGAATAAATAAACTTCAGACGGTCCTCATTGCCTTGTATTATTTTCTTGATGGATGAAGAGGTCATGTAAATAACCCTTGTGGGCTCCCCAGCGGCATTACGAACCAAGCAGTTACTTTTATCGAAGTCATCATCAATGCCATAAAATTCCCAGCATTTCTGAAGCTGTTCATGGGCAGGATCCAGATAAACAAATGGTTCCTCATTCGCATCTCGAGGAAGTTTTTCTTTCTTTTGACGCTGAGGCGCGTCTTCAGCAGACTTCGCCTTTTTCTCTTGGTTGATATCCTCGTTGTTTTCAAAACCTGCTCTTTTGGCACTCTGCTCCTCTTCTTCATCCATTTTCTCGAAAACAGTAATGAAAAAGCCACCTGTATTTTGTTGATGAGGATAGACACGGAGACAGTTACTCAAATTGAAGTGACTGGCTTCTTCGGCAGAAGGTGCAAACCAACTTTCGATGGTGCCCTCGTCGCCCTTTTGTTTTTTGGCAAAAGCCTTGTCGTACACTGGCCACTCGGATACACCCCGACTTCTGATAAGACCGGGCAGTTTATCGTCACAGTTAATAATTTTAATCTTATTCCCCCATTTTCTCAAAGCAGCAGCAACGACAGCTTCATTTTCAATTGGATTTAAAGAACATGTGGAGTAAACGAGTCTGCCGCCGTTTTTCAGAAGGTTAAGACCACGGTTCAGAATGTTGAGCTGTACCGTGTGGAGTCCAAGACCAGAACCGGTGCACCAATCTTTCCAAACATTCACGTTTTTCCGCATGGTTCCGTCTCCGGAACATGGGACGTCGCACAGAATTCTATCAAATTTCAAAAACCGTCTAGAATCATCAGTTTTGACTCGGGGGAAAAACTGGGCATCGTGATTGACCACCAAGAGATTGGCACTGTTTAATCTTTTAAGTTGATGCACCAACATGTGAGATCTTCTAGCGTCTGCATCATTGGCCATGACAAACCCGGTGGGTTCGTCGTTTTTCGCGTGCAAAGCTTCGATGAGTTGCGCTGTCTTGGAACCTGGCGCAGCGCACATATCTAGCACTGCGTGATGAGGTTCCACCTCCAAAACCAAAGGTGGAATCATGGAGACTGCTTCTTGCCTTGATATGTTGCCAACAGCGTTTTCAACGACAAGAAACCGTTGCATCTTCGAAAACTGTTCGTTCTTCCTGATTACTTGCTTGGAGACGTCCAATTGCCAAGCCAGGTTTTCAGGGTACCATGCCAGACGCTTTGGTGCTTGTATCTCTTCGCCTTCGAAAGTCACATTGGTAAGCCCTGGCAAATGTTGGTCTTCAAACAGTTGCAACACTTCATGGGCGTGTTTTCTGGAACCAGTGATCCTGAACGTAAGTGGTAGCTGTGCCTGACAGATGCGCTTGAACTCGTCCCATTCTCCTTCAGGAATCAAAGCCAAATCTTTGTAGTACTGTTCCCATTTCTCATTCTCCTTGACCAATTCAGACCAGCCCTTTTGAGCATTGGAGTCATTTCTAGCACCAAATGTCTTCTTGTTCCCCTTCTTGTTCTTTCTATTTCTGGCCATCCTGGAACCTTTGGCAAGTCAAATAAATCTCTTGTCTGCACGCCGCTGAAATAGCGCTTCAAGAGATGAGATGACCCAGTGTATGGCCTGAAAAATTTTTGTTTTCCATCATCACCATCGAGTTCGACCGCCGTCGGGGCCCCAGAGCTGGTAGGAGGAGGACAGCAGTGGTCGTATAGCGCGATGTTCGACACGAGATAATCACGTGATCGTGAACCCGGTGTCAACTTCCTCTTCAAATGTTCGAGGGCGAGTCACGGTAATTGACGTGTTTTTCGATAGCGGCAACGCCAGCCCCGTCGACTTCCTCCTCGTTTCGGAGATAACTGGCGACCAATTCTTCGACTAAAAGACCCAGCGTCAAGAGCCCCGTCTCTTCGAAACAGTTTATCAAGTGCGGATAGCGCTGCACAATCAGTTGCGTGGCAAAATAGTGAAGTACCTGCAGATCCATATCTGGTATCAGTTCTCCTGTGTATACACCCTCTTTTTTATCCTGTCGCGAAACGGCCTCGAGATCTTCTCTCGACTTAAAAGGAATCGGTACCAGATTTCCTATCTTCTGCGCCAGTATCTCGTCCGCACTGGCCTTCCGGCCGGCAATCGTGATCAAATCGCTACAGGCTTCGTACACAGACCTGTCCATGTTCGGTAGCGCTTTAACATGATGGTAAGCGCGGAGGTTCAAGTTTGGGATTTCAGAAGGGTTAATTAATCTGGGATTGCAGCGATCATAATGAACGGAACTCGTCAGGGTCACTTTAAAAGGTTAAAACCGACCCTTATCTGGTAACGTTCCAAGCAAAAGGATGGAGATTACGCTTCGAATGCATGGTTGCCTCGGCCAACAGTCTACACGCTTTGACTCCTTTCGAAATACTGAAGAGTGCCTCCGTGAGAGCGATACGAAATTTGTTCACGTGCTCGCGTAAGATAAATCAATCACTTGGGGCCTTCGTTCTACACGAACCCGGGTTTCCATTATCTAATACAGAGAGCTGAAATCATATAACGCTTGTACAGTTGCAAGCTTCCGTTTCTGCTCTATGAGATATCCTTGTCAAGGACTCTCTCAAAAAGACGTACATTATGATATCGGACCTCCGAGATCTAACGAACACAGTCAACTAAGACTCTACCAACCAGACGGTCTCATTGTGATCCTCATGAGGTAACTCCTCTTTCGCGTCGCCTTTTGCCTCTTGAAGAATGCTTTTCGTCAGGATACGAATCTCAGCTTATAGTCCTATGAAAGCACTAGATTCAAACCACCAGCAAAAACGATAGTTCCTGGATATCCATAGAGACTAATGTCCCGAAGGAATACCAACCCACCACTCTGAGATGAATCTCGCCGAGGACAAGTGCCCTCCCGGTCGCCTCCTCACGGGTCGCTCTTGCTGTGCTGGATGAAACTCCCCTTCAGCGGTAAGAGCGCTCGAAACACATTACCGAAGCTGTGCTTACCTTTGTCACCGCGGGACAGAACTAGATTTCTCTTAGTCCACCCCCGGTGCCCGCAAAGATCGATAATACCGGGACACGTCTTAAACTCGTTAGCAGTGAGGCTGACCGTGGTGACAGTGCGAGACTGCCAATGAATCCACGTCCGACCGCAGGGTTCGAACCCAGGCCGGAATTTTCATGATATCCGGTTCCACCAAAAGCCATGACAGCCTACGAGTTCACTGAAAAAGAGGCAAATGTCGAGAAAATGGGATTTGCCATTTTCGGTAGTTTAAGTCACAAACGACGCAAATGGGTCGAAATGAGTAGCCTCCCTTATGTAAGCAGATATGTCAAAGAGCTGTCGACTGATATTGAACATGGAAAAGGTGCGCAAGAACAGTGCCCAAGGCTGGACAGAAACAGAGGCGGTTGGCAGCGTGAGAAGGAGTTCCGCTTATTTGACTGCGTGGGAAACCTCAAGGTACCGAAAACGTCCGAAAGTTAAGCAGGCCAAACGGTGTATGTGACACCTGGTAAAGCACGATGCAGCGACGGGAAACCAAGATGGAAGACACGGTACAGATCTCGCAGGCTATGGATGCATTGGCCAAGACGATTCTTGCAAGAAGGTTGCAGCAACAGAAAGATGGCGAAAGTGACCCCCAGCAGCGTTGGCGAGATCTGAAAGGAGCGTTGGATCCGATTTTGGCTCTGCAGCGCGATGAGGCGGGGAATACGGTCGAAATGGACAGCGTACCTCTCACCAGCAGCCCGAGCCCGAGGCTCGAGCTTCTGGAGCGGAACGGTCAGAAATTCGCTTTGGTGCCGGTGAAGCGCGTCTCGAACGGCTACAGTCAGGCATCCCGCAGTGGGGCTACAGCAACGACGTCGCCGTCGCCGGGCTGGCCGGCTGCGCCGGCGAAGAGCAAGAAAAAGAAGAAAAATAAAATCCCATGCTCTTACTGCCACGAAACGGGTCACACGCGTGCACACTGCGAAAATAGGCTTTTGAATTCCACTTGATCCTGGTTCCATGAAAACTCCCGCGGCTCAACTGTACTTTACAATTATGTACAATATGTACATATATGAAAACAATCATTTTTTGGCGCTCATGGCCTCTCTGCGTGCAGCATCTTGCAGCAGATTGATGTCCACCATGTTCTTGTCAAGGTAAACGTACCTTACCGTAGAGCCCCTGATGAAAATGTTTCTCACCGACGAAAGATGTGGGTACCTACTCTCATTCGAGCAAGATATGTTGTCCAGCTTAAGGTTCAGGAACTGATCCACAGATTTCAAAGTTCCCTTCAGTTCTATATCATTTTTCAGCTGAACAATGAAAAGGTTAGTAATTTAGCAAACATACGGTAACCTCACCTTACAACATACTTCTACCGTCACTTCTTGATCCACAAGCGTTTTGAAAAAGGAGAAGAACAGCATCCTGGGACTAGCTCGTTTGCTTGCTGGGGTTGTCGCATCTGTCCTTTAAGATGGATTCATTTTTTTTCACTTAAGAGAAAAGCATGTGATTACTGGCAATGGGTAAAAGGCTACAGTGGTGAACATCACCGCTACATATATATGATTCATGAACAAGGGCTTATTCCTCTTCAACTTCCTCGCGCTTTTTCAGAACGAGCGGATGGCCCGTAACTCTGAAATAGATATCCTTGACGTCATCCGTCATGGTCTCAAAATGGGAGGAAGCATCGTAGGATTTGGATAGGTAGACGTTGTCCTCGGAACCGGATTCTTTGGGTTCGAACATTTCGGCAATGCCCATGAAACGTTCTTCGATAGGGGCGAGCAACTTGAATGCTGGTTCCAGCTCGACGTGAGGCTTGTCGGTCTCGATGGTAGTTGAAACGATGGCCAAGTAGTGGCCCTTGGAGGCCACGTTGTGGGCATCGGAAACAACGGCGATGTAAATATCGTTCTGACGTCCGACTTGGGACTGTGGGATGATGATCTGGGCCGAGTCGGCGTTATTGGTGTTAGGCACAGGGTGATTAAGCACGCAGATGGCCCGGATCACTTTTTCGTTCGTGGATTTGCATTTCTCCGGGAAATAAGTTGGGTCTGCAATGCAGATGGGGGCCTTGGCGGTACCCTCTTTGGTGACGACACCTTGGAAACGGCCCGCGTCGTCGTACAGGACTTTGTCCACGGGGGTATTCAGCATGTAAGTCCCGCCATAGATGGCAGATAAACGCGCAAAACCTTGTGGAAGTTCACCAAGCCCGTAAAGCGGGTACAAATAGGGCGATTTGCCGTAGCGTGCAACACTCTGCAAATACAGCAAAATCCGCTCGAAAGTGGGTCTTGCGGGCTGTTGCAGATAGTCGTCATTGGTCCAAAGGGCCATGGCGTGGCCGATAAAATCTTTGGTGGACGCACCGAGTCCGAATTTGTAGTAAACCTCGTCCATAGTGTTTTTGTCGAGATCAAGTCCCTGGTGAGTATTGAGTTGGTCCTCTTTGTACTCGCCAATCCATTCGAGGAACCGTTTCATACGTCTTTTCTCGAAAATGCCCATGAGCGGCGACGAAATGGCCTCGATCTCATTTGCAGGGACTTTGTAAACTTTGCCCTTGTTGTACACGTAAGAACCGGCCACTTGTTTGAAGTCGATGTAACGGGTTACGTCCGTGTGCACGAGGATCTTGGTGAGTTCACCGTTGGCCATGAGAAATTTGGGGATGAGGTCAACGTTCCAGTCGCGATCGCGACCGAAACGGGCCTCCATGTCGTCTTTCGCGAGCGGAGTGCTCTTGAACTTGGTGTAAAGTTGCGAGAGTGCTACAGAGGCACTCTCACCGCCATAGTGGTCCTGACGGTCAATGTGAAGCACTTTCTTGCCGTCAACGGACAAAAGTCCGGATAGAATACATTCGGTGAGGCCTGTGCCCAACACGATAACGTCGTAGTTCTCGTCCATTGTGGATTGGTGAGGTGGTGGCATTCAGTGGGGGGGATGAGAGGTGGGTTCGTTCCAGTTTAAGGTGAGGGGAGCCAGGAGGTGGTCACTGCAGACGGGCGAGCGACGAAGTTGCACGTCACGTGACCATGAGAAAGATACCTTTTACGTATTTTACTCATTCACAGATGGTAGCACTTCTCTACGAATACGCATGAGCAAGCATGGTCAGAGGGTCGCAATTTCACACGAAACGCAGTGAGTTCCGAACGCTCCAAATGATCCACTCACTTATTCAGTTGAATGTGCAAAGGTTAGTAAGCTCTCAAATGTAATTAATTAAGATACCTATAAAAATACTTTCGCAAAGTGTAGTGCGTGACGGGGAGCGTGTTTCGTCAAAGTTGTGACCCAAAATGGGTGGATGTAAACGCCTCCGGAATTGGAAAGAAAAATCGAGAAATCACTTTTGTTCCTCGAAACGGCCAAGGTGTGCCGCATCGAGAATTACCTAGAGCATCGTCAAAATCTCGGGCTTAGTGATCAGTTACATATAAAAGAAACCTTTCGATTGCTGATTACCAATATGGTTCCAGCTGAATCCCAGTCGCCTTGACTGAGGGAGAGTTAGAATTTGCAGAACGCCGCTAAATTTATCGAGGGAGTTCAAAAACGGCAATGTTTTCCGTATTTTGTTGAGTATCTACAGACATATTCTATGCGGCGGACTGGGCGCTTTTCTCGAAAACTCGTTTCTTAAGAGTGCCTCTCAAGGATCGAACACGGCAATTTTACAATATGTCGTTTGAATGGTGGCATACCGCCAAGCTTGGATGACCCAGATGAGCTTAGCGTTTGAATTTATAGCAAATTGGATCCAACTAAAAGCTTTGATGGTTCCTTTTCGACAAGTGAAGACAGGTCCGATACCCGATTCAAGCGAGTTTTCTTCGGAGTTTCAAAGCAGAGGCCATGGCGATACGTCCCCTGTGCTGACCCCAACTTACACCGATAGGTACTCATCGGCAAGCAGCCGCCGTTTCCCATTAGGCACCAGTTTATCGGGGGAAGTTTGCTCCACCCACACACCATCACGGGTCCAGCAGGACACACCCAGACCCAAGCGTGATCTCCAAGTAACCTAGGCAACCCATCCGAAATCATTCAAAACGTTCGGGACTTGCTCGACATGACTCCATCTGACTTCTCCCAAGTCACAAGCCCCACCCACACCCCACGCCGACCCCTGTATCCGTCTGCAGGGTGCCGCCTGTTTCGCGTTTTCGCGTCGCGGACGCGTCGCATGCATACGCAGAACCCGTTCCAGAAGACGTTCTGCATGGGCGAAGCTCCCACGGTCCGCCCAGAAACCATGCACATGGATGCCACATGTGTCGCACGTAAATTTTTCGTCGCTCTCCAGTAAGAGAGCGACTGTTGGACGGATGCGATAAGAAGCAGGCTATTTAAGTGGGGACAGCGCCGTGACGCCCCAGCGCGTCGTTGACAGGCCAGGCAAAGAGAGGAGTTTGGAGCTGAAAACAGCGCTAAGCAGTAAACAGCACAGCAAACAGCACAGCAAGCAGTGCTCAAACGAAAAGCAAGAGCGAGGGCGCGCTTACATAATCCACGTTTGGCTTATATCACTTCGCACGCGTCCAACAGCCTGCAAGTGAAAATTTAGACTGGATCTGAACCCACCAGCTCCGGATACTCCTGCCAGTTTGCACCAGCCAGTGTAACAGGCCTACGACCCGCACCGCATCCATGAACCTCCAGTCACATCTGCTGCGCAGCGCACAGCAGCTGTGCTCCAGACGCATCCTCAAGCTAGTGCTGCCGCTCGTGATCGTGCTCACGGTTGCGGCTGTCGTCGTGCAAAGCTCGCACGGCGTGCAGGATTCTCGACTCGCTAAGATGCTGCCCAGCTACCAGGACTGGGTCGCCGAGCACAAGGGCCCCTCCCGGTCGCACATCGACAGTGTCCGTGTCACTCCCGTGGACGGCATCAAAGTTTCGCCGCTCGAGCTCATCCCCGAGTTCGACCAGGACATGGAAAACCGCAGACGTGCGTCCTGGAACTTTTTGGGCCGCAACCGCCAGTACCGCAAGTTCAACGAGCTCGACAAGACCTCCCAGTGCTACTTCTACTTCCGCAACCTCTACAACATGAACTCCAAGTGGGGCAACGATTTCCAGCGCTGGGCGTTCGCCCTCAACGAAAACGTCGACCACGCTGACGCCATCAAGGACTCTGACGGCGTCACGCTTTCCAGTCAGGACTCTATCAACTTCCATAAGCGCATCAACAACGTCGCGCTCTCCATGGAACGGATGCGTGTCTACGACACCTGTTTTGCTCAGGACAATTCCGTCGATTTCGCCGCCATCTTCGACACTCCCGAAAAGTCCGGAACGGACTCCAACGCGGCTGACGCCGACATCTTGGCCTCCGCGCTCGACCCAAATCGCGAATACGACTCGGAAAACTCTAAACGTAACACCCGTATCTATCGCCGTTTCGACCAATGGGACCTCGAACATCGTATGTGGCCCATCATCCGGTACTTCACCGCAGCCAACTTCTCAGGCGTCATGCCCAAGTTCACGGGCTCGGGCGGCCAACTCGATGGCGGAATCTTGCCCATCATGCATACCGGCGGTCGCGAAGTCCACCAACACGTCAAGTACACCTACGACCCACGCAAATCGTTCTTACAGAACTGGAACGCCATGAGCTCGCTCGTGGCAAACCGCGGTATCGTATTGAGTTTCGGTGACGGCCAAAAAGAAATGGCTTCCAAATTGATTGCGACCCTCAGATACATGGGTAACGAGTTACCCATCCAGGTCGTCACTAAAGGTGACATTGCCGACGAAACCGTCAGAGATTTGCTCAAAATTGCACAGGCCGACAAATTGGAGTATCCAACTGTACAGTATGACCACGGGAAAGACGTTCCGCAACAGTTGTGGTTCGTCGACGTTTCTCCCACTTTGGATCCCGGTGTGATCAACGAATTTTCCCATTTCAAAAATAAGTGGCTGGCCGCACTTTTCAACACTTTTGAAGAATACGCTTTCATCGATATCGATGCCATCACCTACGTTGATTTTGAAGAATATTTCAACTCCATCGAATACCACCGCACCGGTACCGTTTTCTTCAAAGACAGACACTTAACCAACGGTGTCAGCGACAAATGTGCTGCTTTGTTTTCAACCATGTACCCGCATTTCTTGGAGTCTAAGTATTTTGGTCATTACGCCATGGTCAACGAGGAATACGTTGAAGAACAATGTTCCAAGTTTTTGACTACAGAAGAGAAGATTTTCTCGAGTTTCTTCATCGACCGTAATCAACACCAAATGGAATCTGGTCTGGTCGTGGTGGATAAAAACGCTCACATGATACCGCTCATGATGGCTACACTTTTGAACATGGCCAAGAAAAGTAGTAGCTGCGGCTACGGAGATAAAGAATACTTTTGGCTCGGATTCTTGGTGTCAGGACACGATTACGCCTTCAACAGTGTCCCAGCCGGTGCGATTGGAGACGTTAGCAAAATCAAAGAGGTGAACAGGGACCTCCAAGAGGAAAAATACGAAATATGCAATGTCGTTCTCGCACACATGACAGATGACAACAGATTACTTTGGGCCAATGGCGGTTCGCACTATTGTAAATTCAACGCTGCAGAAGACGACTTCAAACCGGATTCCTTTTGGTCCAAGAGAGTGAAAAGTGTCGATGAGCTAAGAGGTATTTTCGAAGGTGTCATTGATGCTAGAACCGGTATCATCGCTGCCGAAAAGGATAACAGCTGGGGCCATCTTGAAGGTTGCCGAGGCTATATCTGGTGTGCAAGATACGAAAAACACATCAAACCTTACACATTTGACAAAGTGGTGGAAAAGGGTAAAATGATCAAATTTGACCCCGAGTTGGTTAAACGCTACAATGCCATCAACAACGTGTGGGCAGCTAATTATTTGTAAAGGCCGGTTTTCGATCAACCACGGCTTTAAAACAGATGAAATGGACTTCTTGAGGTGTCTGTAATATATAACATAAGTAATTTCTTCACTTATCTAGCGCAATCCGTATTGGTATTGATATTTAATCTCGATCTTGATCTTAACTTGTTTGGGTTCTGAAATTCAAACTTTATAGATCGAAGGACTCTACTAGAGTCAAAGACGGCAATGAAGAATTACATTCTGAAAATACAAAATGCGCTTTTCAAGTCGTCACTACAAAAATCTGCTTCTCCAGTTTATTCGCGGCGTATAAAGTCCTTTCAGATAAATCCAGGTGAAAGATGGGTGGTTTGGGGTGACGAAAGAAGTAAGTTCTTGGACATTTTGGGCAACAAGTACTTATGTGATCCACCCCTATCTTTAGACTTTGGCAGGAAACAAGGATCTTTGGTTAGAACGGAGTTTGTCAAGTTTGAAGGTGTCATGCCCACCGCGCATTTGAGTGCACGGTTTGAGTTCTTTAAAGACGACTACGACGAAACTTGTGAAAAATTCATAAGAGATGATTCAATTGGCTCCAATGCCGTGAGCTACGACGTCAAGAGCACCAACCGTCAAGTGAATGAGAATCTATATCAATATTTGCTGGATGAGTTGAAACTAAAGGATTTGGCAAACAGATGGGCAATGAGTTTAAGCAATGGTCAAATGAGACGAGCAAGACTAGCCCGCAGTCTTTTGAAGGAACCAGATTTACTTCTTTTTGATGATCCATTTCTAGGACTTGATCCAACCGCCACAAGTATTATATCGCGATTCCTAGCAGCGTACGAAAAAAGTCCCGTAGTGATCGGGTTGAGAATTCAAGATCAGATTCCTTCCTGGTGCACCCACATTTGTTGCGTGAGCACAGATGGCGTAATATTTCAGGGGAAGCGTGCTGAATTGACTAGTAAGATCGAGGACTATCGTAATCAGAATTTGAACCTTTCTGCACACTCTCAAAAGTATACCATTGATGATTTGCTGTCGTCCCATCCACTCTACAAAAAGCCCGAGCACGATATTATCAAAATGGCCGATGACATTGAGCTGAAGGGTCTAACTGTTATGTATCGCGGTACGCCTGTTTTGAAAGACGTGCACTGGAAAGTCGCTCCGAGCAGCAAATGGCATATAAGAGGCAACAACGGAACTGGGAAATCGACACTGTTGTCGTTACTCACAGCTGACCACCCGCAATCTTGGAATTCTAAACTTGTAGAGGCTGGTAATCCGAGGAGAACTGGTAAATCCAATTATTTTGACATCAATAAGAGAATTGGACTAAGCTCCCCCGAATTGCATGCCATATTTGTGAAGAACGCTGGGAAAAATCTTAGTGTGCTAGAATCGATTGCTACCGGATTTCATGACATTTCGAACAATTTCCTACCGTGTTTTGATGGATTAAGCGATGACCGAAAGAAAACTATCGATATGTTTACAGAGTACTTCGATCTCGAAGGAAAGAAATTCGTTGAATTTAACGCGCTCTCAGTAAGCGATCAAAAACTAATACTTTTCATCAGAAGTTTAGTTAAGATGCCTCGGGTTTTGATATTAGACGAAGCCTTTTCGGGCATGGATGTGGCCCCTATGCTGCGTTGTCATGACTTACTTAACCACTGGCCTGGTACAGTACTGGTTGTCTCGCACATAGCCGAAGAAACTCCCTGCTGTGACCACTATCTGCATTTAGTTGAGCCCGGAAAGTACGAAGTAGGCGATATTGATGTTGACAACTAACGCTACCCAATAAGCAATTAAAATATTACAAGCGGATTAAATGTGGAAGATTTTGTTTGATAGATATGTCGATTCTTGTTATTAGATGCAAATGTTTCTCAGCTTAAAATGGCATTTTATTGTTTTTAACTGCTCGACAACTTTCGGGTTTGCTTCTAAAAACCTAAGGTGGTAAATTTCAAGCGCAAAATTCACCAAAGAAAGGTCTATTATCTATGAGGTATTTCAACAAGCTTATTAATATCCAAGCTAATACAAATTACGTGACTCATTTTACATCTTCAAGTTTTTAGGACGGTTGATTCTCTTAGTGAGACGCCAAGGTCTAACGATTTTCAACCGGATGAGATCTCCTCGAACCAATATGCCTTTCAACGAAGGATGTATAACCACGAAAAACAGAGGCTGGGAAAGACCTCAAGGTCGCCATAGTTAGCGAGAAACAGCGGCGGATTTAAGAGCGCAAGAGCGTGCAGGTTTATCAGAGGATATGAGCTCTGTATCAAATACGAAGGTTCCACTTATTAGCCCTGAAGAAGTGTCCATTGAGGACAAAAAAGCGAATGAATTTGGGCCATTGACGTCAAAAGAATATTTACACCAAGTACACTCGCGGAATGGCAAAGGACTTGGTGAGCCGATTTTGGATGCACCTCCTTACTATGTCTCAGTCATTACGTATCTGAACTACCTGATACTTATCATTTTGGGTAATATTCACGACTTTTTGGGCATGACTTTCCAAAAAGACCGGCATCCTGATATAGTCGAAAAGGACGGAATTGCGCCATGGTATTCCAAGTTTGAGAGTTTCTTCGTGCGCAGAATGAAAAAGCGGATCGACGACTGTTTTTCTCGTCCCACGACAGGTGTTCCCGGTCGTTTCATTAGATGCATTGATCGTATTTCTCACGACCTGAACGAATACTTTACATATCCCGGCACGTCAACAATGTGTTTGAATTTGTCGTCATACAACTATCTGGGATTTGCTCAGAGCGAGGGGCAGTGCACTGATGCCGCGTTGGAAGCCATAAAAAAGTACGGCATCAATTCGGGTGGTCCTAGAGCTCAAATCGGCACGACAGATCTTCACGTAGCCACTGAACGTTACGTCGCGGATTTTGTCGGTAAAGAGGACGCAATGGTGTTTTCAATGGGTTACGGTACAAACGCAAATTTCTTCGATGCCTTCTTGGACAGCAAATGTCTAGTGATTTCGGATGAGTTGAACCATGCTTCCATCAGAACTGGTGTGCGTCTATCAGGAGCTGCCGTCAAAGTTTTCAAACACAACGACATGGCGGCGCTAGAGAAAATCATTAGGGAACAAATCGTTCAAGGACAACCGAAATCTCACCGGCCATGGAAGAAAATCCTTATTTGCGTTGAGGGTCTTTTCTCTATGGAAGGCACAATGTGCAATCTGCCTGAAATCATCGAACTGAAAAAGAAGTACAAGTGCTATTTGTTTGTCGATGAAGCCCATTCTATTGGTGCCATGGGTCCCAAAGGAAGAGGAGTCTGTGACGTTTTTGGCGTCGATCCTGCTGACATCGATATCTTGATGGGAACTTTTACTAAGTCATTTGGCGCCGCTGGTGGGTACATCGCAGCAGACAAAGCCATGATAGACAGACTTAGATTAGACGTGTCTACGGCAAGTTATGGTGAACCCATGCCCGTTCCCGTCTTAGCCCAAATTATATCTTCTCTTAGGACGATCACCGGCGAACTCAACCCAGGAGAAGGCCAAGAAAGATTACAACGGATTGCTTTCAACTCCAGATACCTACGTTTGGCCTTGCAGCGGCTCGGATTCATAGTTTACGGCATTGCGGATTCACCAGTTGTCCCTATGCTTTTGTATGCGCCTTCCAAGATGCCCGCATTTTCACGAATGATGCTTCAAAGGAAAATCGCAGTCGTGGTAGTCTCCTATCCGGCAACACCACTGATCGAGTCTCGAGTCAGATTCTGCGTTTCCGCTTCGCTAACCAAGGAGGACATCGACTATCTTTTACGTCACGTGAGCGAGGTTGGCGACAAGCTGTTCCTCAAAGTCAGCACCGGCAAGGCAGGAGGCTCGCTGGACGGAAGGCCCCCACGCTGGGATATCGAAGAAGTTATTAAGAGAACTCCAGCCGACTGTAAAGACGACAAATATTTCATGGCGTAAGATCATCATTATGACGTTGTCCAGCTTCTGGACGATGGGAATAAAAAAGAAAAAGAAAACTAGCTATTTAAGTAGACCAAAAATTAAACTCCAATCATTACCAGAAATCTTGTCGAGCAACTGACCGAATGAAAGCATTTTTATCTTTATTTTAACCGAATGTAAATTTCGGCCAGTTTGAGTTGTCACATTTTTCTAAATCATTAGATTCCCCTTTACCAGGTCAACTTCAATATACAGACCCGTCATATAGAATTCCAGTAGAATGAGTTCCCTGTACCATATAAACGATGAAACAAAGAAGAGAATCAACAAGTTCAGAACTGCAACAGCACGTTCAGATGAGTTGCAAGTGCTTGTTATCAAAATTCAACCGAAACCGTCCTATGAGATCGTTATAGACGACGATGACGAAGATCAGTCCGATGTCTCTAGCCTCGAGGATCTCGGTTCCACACTCCCCGATAGCACTCCACGGTACGTTCTGATGTCATATCCAATGGTCACAAGCGATGGCAGAAAACAGACACCATTGGTTTTGCTTTACTGGAAACCTACCACAGTAGTCTCGCAGGAATGGAAAATGCTTTATGCCGGGGCATTCGAAATGGTGCGGACCCAGTGCGGCGTAAGTAAAGTCATTGAGGTCTCCTCGGGGCTCGAGGATGACGACGATGTTGACGATCTAAAGGCTGAAATTGAGAGCAAATAATATCTCACGTGACCCTCTTCTTTGAGAATTCAACGTGACTTCTAAACCCGTACATTTTAATAGATTATTGTCCACTAAAAGCCCATACATGTTGTTTTTATAAGATTCAGCTTTAGTTTTACAAACGCCACGCAGCAGCCGGCCACGGAGGACGCAGAAGATATTTCTCAATGATGAAAATATATCATGAGTGGAAGTTGAGTCTGCCTCATACACACGTCTCAATAGAATCTCTAACAACAAAGATCAGTCGCCATGGCTCGTATGCACAGCAAGGTACGTTTTGAAATAAGTTTTTGAAAATTGGAAGAAAGATATTAGTAGCATCTGCTGATTCTCTGTACTCTTTCTAGCAATTTCGTCGGATCACAATCTCTTTCCGGTATGCGTCAAAAGATTAGACGTGGTCGTCTTTTTTTTGTGGACTCATTGGTCCCTGATGCAAGTGCTGGGTGATTCCTTTATGAGGTATTTGAAATAAATTCACATGCCTCTTCCAGTTGTGGAGATGAAATGGACTCTCGTCCTTCGTAATGTGGCTAAGGCCAGTGGTTTGACCACTATACATTTACGATTTCCCAGATTGTCGGGCAACTGAGTCTCGAAATGTCAGGACTTTGTAGCGCGTCAAGTAAGAGGATGATTTCGAGGTTATTTGGCTATGAAATGCGAGCTTCCAATCTGCACGCTACAAGCATATCACTAACAATCTTTTAACAGGGTAAAGGTATTTCGTCTTCTGCCATTCCATACTCCAGAAACGCTCCAGCTTGGTTCAAGTCTTCTCCAGACTCCGTTGTTGAGCAAATTGTCAAGTACGCCAGAAAGGGTTTAACTCCTTCTCAAATCGGTGTCTTGTTGAGAGATGCTCACGGTGTTACTCAAGCTCGTTTCATCACTGGTAACAAGATCTTGAGAATCCTTAAGTCCAACGGTTTGGCTCCAGAGATTCCAGAAGACTTGTACTACCTAATCAAGAAGGCTGTCTCCGTCAGAAAGCATTTGGAGAGAAACAGAAAAGACAAGGACGCCAAGTTCAGATTGATTTTGGTCGAATCCAGAATCCACAGATTGGCCAGATACTACAGAACCGTTTCTGTCTTGCCACCAAACTGGAAGTACGAATCCGCCACTGCTTCCGCTTTGGTTAACTGAAGAAGTCGTTTCATCAAAATTTTTTGTATTTTGTATGTATTTGAAAGACGCTTCTTTATCAACTCATTTAGCATCTAAAGTCACGCTTGCATTTTGTATCATGAATCAGATTTCGAAATCTCGAGCGTTTAAAGCTACTTTGGACTTACTTTCACGTTCTCTTATAAAGTTCCAAGTTTCGATGCTAAAAGATTCCAATCTTAAAAATCTGGTTTCTCCGAGTCAAACAGACTGTTGAGTGCACTGGAGAATGCAGCGAGCTAGATGGTGACTCATTTCGGAGAGCTCAAACAGCACAGACTATACGTTCTTCACTGGTATCGATATACCTTGCGTAACACCACTAAATATGTCGAGTCAGAGCATCTCAAGCTGCGTTTAAGAACAATCGTGAAATCCCAACTCTTTAAACACCGCACCGATAAGTCAAGCTGGAGCGCTTACATTTCATTGCAGAAATTGAGAGAGCTCAATAAATGTCTGACGAAACGTAAGACGATAAAAGCCTGGAATTTGCTCACAGAAGTATCAGAAAAGTCTCAAAACCGCAGAACATCAATGCAATCTGTCAGCAATGTGCCAAACGCACCCGTTAGGCCAGTTTTAGCAAAGGAATCAACCATCTTAAATCATTTTATCGCTGGCAAACAGGCAAAAGGTCTCTTGCCGAAAGTTATCCCACAACAATACAAGACACAACTTCTGCTACCTTTGGCGTTGCATGACATGGCCCTGGCAAGATTGCACCGGGAAGAATTGAAATTAGCCAGGGGACCTCCTAAAACATATCTCAATTATACGAATGCGGGTCGTTCAAGAATCTGGTTTGTTAGGTCAGCACTCAACAAAAGTTCCCGTCAATCCAAAAGTTTGGGTATAATGATAAGGAAGGAGAAAAAATGGGCTCAAGGAGTTCTTGATGCCCGGAAAAGATGCGAAGAAGACTGCGTTTGGGCCTGGCAAGAGGCTCTCTGGGAGGAATTACTTGATTCGGGACGGTTAGTGCAAGGAAACCCTATTGAGTACGTCTTTGAGAATAATTCCAATTTTGGGAAATTTGGACCTTTAAAAAATGTCACAGACTGGTTGAACCCCATAAGGGACTGCGTTCGTGGTCTTGAACTCGAGGCCCAGCACCATGCTCTTAGATTCAAGAAATTTAAAGACGACGTTCTAGGACGAAAAAGTTGGCAATATTTCCAGACCAAAAGCGACGAATTATACGCAAGACGCTTGAGTCGTTACAGGGCGATGGCCAGGAGGGATCTCAGCAAAGTTACACCATTTGTCGCTCGACGTAGTCTGCCGTCAATTCTCGACAAGTACCACTTTTAGTTAACCCGTCGTGTTCTATAAATACATCGGAAATCCACTTTCAATCATGTCTCGCCTCTGACCCCCAAATCGCCCCAAGGTGCTGGTTTTTCCACTTCTTGAATTTTAATATCGGCAAGCCATTCTGACAAGTCTTCTTCAAGTTCTTTATCTGACGTTTTCGAAGGAGACGTTAAGTGCATGCTTTCGAACCCCTTGATGATATTGACCAACTCATTCTTATCGTGCCGCTCATTGGAAATCAATTCGTTCAATAATGTAATCTTCTGATCATCTTGATCGTATTCATCCTGTAGAACACCAGTTCTAGCGAAAAGCGCCTCATCACTCAACTGCGCTTGGAAAAACTGGGAGCATCGGTAATGGAATTTACTGCAGAAAAACGTCAAATACGCATACGGATTATTCTCCTTTAAAAACCGTGTTGCAGTGTTGTTACCCCCATATAGGTCTCGTAATCTACCCTGCTGTAGCTCGCAACGTGGATACACACATTTCTTGTTCAAATTACGTTCCTCGCTGAGATCTTGATATGCATCTTTCGTAAGGAACCTCCCGACATATTTAAGCGTTTGGTCATCATCACATGAACTCTCGGAAAGCAGATCAATCAATTCTAAAGAGATCAGTTCGCTTTCCTTTAATGATAATTGCTTGCGATTCAAATAGGGTTTGAGAACCTGGCCTTTAATTTGTTCAACAGTTACCATTGGAGTATGCACTATGACAATAACTGATAGGACTCTCTTAATTCAACTGGCTTTTGTAAAGCGGGCCAATTTCTTGTCAAATAGAATTGTTAAGTAAAGAAACTGACTTACTCCATAACTCTTATATCAAAATTTGATAAAGTAAAGGGCAAACGAACCTTGATGAAGGTGCAATGCCCGTGATTCGAAACCCAGACTCTGTTAAAAGGTACCTCAGATTTGAGAGAGGCCGACTTTTGCGCGACTTTTTGATTAAAGAGTTGGAGAGCGATTATGATGGGTCCAGGAAAGATGATACTAGCGACGATGAATTAAAAATAGAAGAAGAAGGAGCTAATTATGAACTGGAACAGATATTGAATATGGGTAAATTATTGGGTTATTTGGAAAGGTTTATTGCGTTTTCGTTTCTTGCTTCGTTAGACTGTTTCCTGCATTATTTGACAGTGGTTCCCGTCAGGATCGTATACGCATTGACAAGGAAAAAGGGTCTTCAAAGAACTCGAAAGGAATTGACGATGTTGATCCTTATAGTACTGGCCGCTTGCGGTTTGAGTCACATGAATACGTCGCGAGTTTACCACGTAATTAAGGGCCAAAGCGCTATTAAACTGTATATGATGTTTGGAGTGCTTGACATGTGCGATAAAATGCTATCGTCAGTGGGACAAAGTCTTTTGACAGCTTTAATGGCTAACAAATACAAGCAGAAAACCATTGAACCATTTTTGTTACAATTTTTCGCATTGTTGTACCTGTTGTGCCATGGAAGCGTTTTGATTTATGAAACGATAGCACTTAACGTTGCGGTGAACGCGTATTCAAATTCACTTTGGACGCTTTTACTGTCCATGCAATTTGCCGAAATCAAATCTTCCGTTTTCAAGCGCATTGACAAAGAAGGTCTTTTCCAAATCGCCATAGCAGACGTCGTGGAAAGGTTCCAAATGTTTATTCTTTTGCTCATTATAGCTATTAGAAACCTCGTCGCATCTGGATCGACTTTCAACACTTTAGTACCGGACTCTTGGACCTTCCACACGACTTCGTCGCTCGTGGTCGGGATTTTGTGCGGACCCACCGTTGTCGTCATAGGTAGCGAGATCCTCGTCGATTGGATCAAACACGCCTACATTACCAAATTCAATCGAATTCGTCCTCAGATTTACGACAACTACCTTTCGATTTTGAGCGCCGATCACATAAATCATCTTTCGAAATTCCAGGCAAGAACAGGACTTCCAGTCCCTGCTTTGGTCGTAACACTCATCGTTTTAACGAGACCTCCGCTCCAACAAAGTTTGAAAGATACATCTACGTCAAAAACCGGGCTGATGCTCATTCTCAGTTTAGCATGCGTCTGTCTAATGCTAACCAAAGTCATTTTACACTTATTTCTCGTCAAATGGTCCCGCCTACTACAATGCTCCTTGCCGACTTCGTTTGATCCTGAAAACGGCTATACTCCCGGAATGCTCTCTGCTGGCAGAGGCAAAGTCGACGAGGATATGCGCCAGTTAATTCATGCGGATTTACGCTCTTCGAGCGACAAGCAAAGGCCACACACAGCCCATGTCCCTACAAGTCTCCATGAGCTGCGCAGAAGGAAAGACAAACGGGATTCAAAGTCATTAAACAAGGTTATGCGGTATAAAATGGTATCAAAGAACATATGGTGATTTTTAATACCTTAGAAAGGCGCTGGAAAGTCCAGCAAAATTGAAATTTAGAGCTACAAAGTAGAATAAGCACATAAAATCATGAAGGCGATTCAATTGACCCATGAGATCCATTAAATCACAATTAAAAGACCTCTGAATGAATATAAGCTGGTTAGAGGATTGAGCTCGTTTAATGAGTCGATGGTGTTTATCACCACGGACGGACGTTTTTATCGGCATCACGATGCATCATATGGTTTCGGCCTTATGAACGAGTATTAAAGCAAGGAACTTGAGAGACCGACACAACAAGATACGCGCTTGCTTCTCGACGCCATATATCTAGCCTCGGTTTCTTTCGGATGTTGAGAAACTTTTTAACTGGAAGGCTTCCGAGCTTAGCGTATTCTAGTCGTATTGTAACGCGAAACTTTTCAAAGTTACAGATCAGACCATCTGTCATCGATAGAACCATACGAAGTCGGGTACAGAATGTTAAAGCTGCAAATGTTCGTGACTCTTACTTTGGGAAGAGTGCTACTACTGGTATAAGGGGTTATGCAGCTGCAGCCAGTCAAAAGAGATTGTTGAACTCTTCAAAATGGGTCGGTTATTGGTTAATTGGCACTTCAGGCTTAGTTTTTGGAATTGTCGTTTTGGGCGGTTTGACAAGACTAACGGAGTCAGGACTTAGTATCACCGAGTGGAGACCAGTTACGGGTACGCTGCCACCTTTGAACGAGGCCCAATGGGAAGAAGAATTTGCCAAATACAGAGAATCACCCGAATTCAAGCAACTTAACTCCCACATCGACATGGACGAATTCAAATTCATCTTTTTCATGGAATGGGTTCACAGACTTTGGGGTCGCGCGATCGGACTCATTTTCGTCGCACCGGCGATTTATTTCGCCGCCACGAAGAAAACGTCACCTCACGTCAACAGACGATTATTTGGGTTGTCCTGGCTTCTCGCGCTTCAAGGACTTATCGGCTGGTGGATGGTCAAGTCGGGTCTCGACCAAGAACAACTCGAAGAAAGAAAATCGAAACCTACTGTGTCTCAGTATAGATTGACCACACATTTGGGTGCTGCATTTCTGCTGTACATGGGCATGTTTTGGACTGGATTTGAGATTCTCAGGGAAGCCAAGTGGGTCAAGAATCCTGGTGCCGCGATAGAATTATTCTCTAAGCTAGACAACCGCGCACTCGTTCCTTTGAGAAGAACTTCTTTGGGTTTATTGGCATTAACTTTCGTTACTGCCATGTCCGGTGGTCTTGTCGCTGGTCTTGATGCTGGTTTGATTTACAACACTTTTCCACATATGGGTGATAACTGGGTTCCTTCCAACCGGGAATTGATGGATGAAAATTTCGCGCGCAAGGAGGATAACAGTGATCTCGTTTGGAGAAATCTTTTAGAAAACCCTACAACAGTTCAATTGAACCACAGAATATTCGCGACTACCACTTTCATCGCCGTGTGTTGGGCTCACATGGTTTGCAATAGAGGTAAAGCTTTTATCCCCAAAAGCGCGTTGAAATCCATGCATACTATGATGGGTATTGTCACGGCACAAGTCGCGCTTGGAATTTTCACACTGTTGTATTTGGTACCTATCCCACTAGCGTCCTTGCACCAGGCTGGCGCAATCGCGTTGTTGACAAACGCCCTAGTGTTTGCCGCACAATTGAGAAAACCCAGAGTCCCCATGAGAATCCTAATAAGTGGTCTCTCTACTAAAACTGGAGCTCAATCGAGCAGCAAGATTTTGACTCAGGCGTCGCAACTTGCCAAATAAAATCTTTCAATATTTATCCCGAGATATAACTGAACAAGTCCTGTAAATAGTCCTGTAATTAAGTCAAGTTCCGTTGACATAATTGTTTTCGTTTTTCTCTATCACTTCGACGTTAGTGCTCGAAACTCTCCATAATAAAAACATAAAAATCGTACGGAAAGGCGCAAAAGCTTCACCGCATTTCTCAACAATATCTTCATCGTAGACTTTCCAGTTCAATTTTTTATGCTTTATCTTGCTTCTTCTAATCTCTGTTCTTTTGGTCATAAGGTCTTTCAAAAATTCCGGCCGTGCGTCCAGATACTTTGAACAACCACGAGCCACACCCAGGTCACCAGATGCGAAAACGTCCATTCGTTCCAGAGATGTCACAAGAAACATTTGAGCACTCCAGGGCCCAATGCCCTTAATTTTGTCCACGAGTTCTTTCTCAATAACGTCGTTCGATTCCTTGGTGAAGAGGTCCAGTATTTCGCCCTCGTTTTTCTCAAAATACTCCGCTAAAGAGCCCATATAGATAACTTTGCGCTGTGAAAGCCCACAGGCCCTTAGTTTCTCGGTACCGTCGTCTTGTTTCAAGACATCTCTCAATTGCTTATAAGTCGGGAAGACATCGTCAAAAAGCGCCATAAATTTCTTCTTAACAGCCATTGCTGCGTTACCACTAATCTGCTGAGCCAAAATACTGCTTCCAAGTTTCGCAAAATGGTGATCCAATGTCATTTCCGTCTGTTCTTTCTTCAAGAATAATGGGAAATCTTTACTAATCATCGTGTCCAAAAGCGTTGGATCTACTTCTAAAATCCTGTCACAACCCTCGATAAACTCTGCCACATGTTTCTCCCTAAAGGAAGCGGGCAGTTCCACTTTTTCTTGTCTTTTTCTCTTCATAGTTATCGTTCTATTGGTCATCAATAAGGAACCTTTCATCAACAGTTCCTTACCTTTAACCAGATATCTACAATTTGCTCGAATCATCAGAAACAGAACTCAAATGAAAGTGACCGTGAGTAACTCGACTACTGATCACATATATGGACCTGTTGAAGTGTCATCTGATATGTCCTTCGAGGACTTCGTCGCTCTTATACAATTCGATTGTGATTTTGACGATTCAAGAGACGTTATTGAACATCAATCAAAGCAGATTTCTGTTTCCGAGACAAGAACTTTAGAAGAATTGGGTATTGGAAATGACGATCTTGTTATTATAAGGGCTAAGTCAGTTACAAGTGGTTCAGTTGGTGAATCGAGGGGTTCAATGAGCGGTGACATTGTCGAGACGCTGCGTCAGCAATTGATTCACGACCATGAGCTGAAAGCTCGAATCGGCGGTCAGGTGGCCAACTTGGACGCTATATTGAACGATCCAGAGCTTTTTAGACAGAGAGTGGGTCCATATTTGCAGCAGCAGCAGCACGATATGGGTAGTCCGCTTGGTGTGAGTCAAGACGAATATAATAGGTTAATGCAAAATCCAGATGATCCTGCCAGCCAGGCTCGTATTGCAGAACTTATTAATTTACGAGAGATAGACGAACAAATGAGAAGTGCTTTGGAGTTTACACCTGAAGTATTTGCTCCTGTTCATATGTTGTATGTGAATTTGGAAGTAAATGGACATCCTGTCAAGGCTTTCGTCGATTCCGGTGCGCAGGCGACAATCATTTCGACAAAATTGGCCCAAGAAACGGATTTGTTGAAATACGTGGATAAACGCTTCCAGGGGCTTGCCAAGGGCGTAGGATCGAGTCAGATCCACGGTAAGATTCATGTCGCGCAGATAAAAATCGAGTCTCAATTTATTCCTTGCAGTTTCACGGTTCTTGATACAGACGTTGATATGCTTTTAGGACTCGACATGCTGAAAAGACATCAAGCATGCATTGATTTGGAAAAGAATGTGCTTAAGATAGCTGGCATCGAAACTAGGTTTTTGCCGGAAGCAGAGATTCCAAAGGGGTTGGAGGCTTCTGTGACCGAAAGTCTGACGGGACCCACGACTGCGACTAGGCCACAAGGCCCAATGCCGATTTCCGATGCGCCAAAGTCATCCCAGAGCTCCAATGCACCAAATACATCCTACAGTGAAGAACCCAAGATTCGTCAATTAATGGATCTTGGATTTTCAAGATCAGAAGCCATCCAAGCGCTCAAATTGGCCAATGGGAATGTCGATATCGCCGCTGCAATGCTGTTTTAAATGTTTTATATGCTGTGAAACCTTAGTTTTGGTAACGTGTCGGGAATGCTCCCGACAAGCTTAATTCTACCATTTTCCTCATCAACCCTCGTGTCTGCTGCTCTATTACTGATCCAGGCCACTTTATCTGAGATCTTCAGATCGTTAATTTCTATTTCCAGATTGAAATTCTCGATAAACTGTCGTTCATGGATATTGATGTTTGTTGCGTAGGTCAAGTATTCATTAAATATTGAAACTGTGCTCCAGTAAGACAGTTTTCTCAAACACGCGACGACCAACGAGGTGACAAGCTCTCCGTTCGTACAATGCATATAACAGGGATAATGCCGCTTATCTGTCAAAAATTGCACACATCTAACCACAACGTTGTATTCGATTGGCACCGGTTTCTTCTTGCGCTTTAATTTGGTACCATCATTTTTCGATTTTTTGCTTGTTCCACACTCAATGTGGACCATTTGAATCCGCTCGTTTCGACAAAATGCTGCAATGGGCTCCTGGTGCGTCAAAGGCTCTGGGGTCAACGACAGGATGTATTTTAACCTCAGTGTTCGTAAAAATGGTATATTGATCTCTCTCGGGTAAGAACCTCGGTAGAAATTTGGCTGAACAGCACTGAAATGGATTGGAGTGACCAAGGACATGATTGACTCAAGTGGATATCAGATTCCACGATTTACGGTTTGTTCTTGTATTAAGAGTCTTGATCATGGATGGAGTTTCTTAATGTTCTGAAATCTTTAATTAAACTGATCTTGACAATATATCATAAAAACTGGGGATAATATGGAGTTCTTCTATGAAGAGCAAGCTACCAGCAATGGACCAGAGTCGTCCAAAAATCACGACGACAAGACCGACGAGGCTTTTCGCCTTTTGGAAAGCGAGATAGATGCTGGTTATAACCGTACTACTACAGTGTTACGGAAATTCATGGATGATTCGAAAGACATTGAGTTGAAATTGCCAATTGATGAGGAACTATCGAATAAAACTCAGGAAGTGCTCGGGAAATTGGATACAAAGCTGCAGGGAGTCGAAAATATGGCTCAAAGTTATTGGAAAAGAGTTTCATCGGGTCCGTTTTGGTCGTCGTTGACCCAGCAAGCAGATAAATTGAACGATATTTCCGCTAAAGATTCGGAAGGTGGGAATGTCACACTGAAATCAGCTACTTTAGCGGCAAATCGAACTGAGGCTGAACTTAAATCGCTGTCTGTTGATGCAAGCATTTACCTCGAAGGAAATGTCAAAGTGCCAGAATCTTGGAATCCTGACGAGAAAACTAGCGAAATAGCGGCGTTGCTAGAGAAAGAAGATGAACTGAGGGCTCTTATGAATAGGATTGTACCGGAGAAGATAAGTTATCGCGACTTCTGGGGTATTTACATGTTGAGGCGTAACCAAATCCTAAATACGGAAAGAAAGAGGAAAGAGATTCTTAATCATAGCACTTCAGAAGTTCAAGAAGTTGATTGGGACGATGAGGACGAAACTGGTAATGATGACGAGACGCAGAACAAGCAGGCAAAGACAAAGATGGAAGCTGCTGAGAATGTTGCCGCCGATGACGATGCAGACGAAGATGATGACTGGGAATAATGCATTGTCTTATATAGTATTGAACAAATGTTCTCTAAGAATCGTATATACGATGGTAAAAAAGGACGTAGGCGCTTTTAGTGATGCATTCGTCAGAGTTTTTTACTTTTCGACAGGATGTATCATCGTAGTAACACCATCCATGCCATGGACCTTTGTTAACATAGGCAGTGTAATGACCCCCATAAAGAGTTCCCGAATGAGAAGCAACAGCGTAAAGTTTATACTTGAATGGGGGCACCTGTCCACGAGTGGGCAATTCTTGCAAGCTAGCCGGAGCGTCGTCACGTTTGTCGTCGGCCCAAAAACTTGTCAGATCCAAGACATGAGGATATTCGACAAAAATGTTGTTTTTGTTTAACATATTGTCGAACCGCTTCAAATGAATGATAAGATTTCGAGGCAATCTTGTTATAGTAATTTTTTTGGTCGATGGTTGCTTTTGTTTACATCGTGGACATGACCATTGTTCGTCCTTATCCAGGACTTCAACTTTGGTGAACTCGCTGAAGGAATCTAATATAGTACACCTGTTTCCAAACGGAACTGGGACAGATAAGACTGAGAACGGTTGGTACGTGGTAGAAGTTTTGTTGCAAACTTGGCACTTAAGTTGTGACGAATACTGGCCTTGGAATAAATCCACAATAACGCTAAAATCTGTAGTCAAATATCTTTCCCATTCAATTGATGAAGCAATTCGCACAGGAAGCTTTTCACGCATGTCTTCAGCTTCTCTCGAAAGTTCTTTCAAAGGCGGGTTTGCGCCGCATTGATTTAGATCTTCATGCAGGCCATCAAGAAGAAACTGACAGAATTCTTGGCAATCTTGCTGTGAAGAGCTTTTGAACAGGGAATTGATTGAGCCACAAGCAACTTTGAAATGTGAAGGTTGTACGGCAGTCCTTTCATTGGTCGGAAGTCTCTTGGTCTTTATCATTAGTGCCTGATTATACATCACATGGATCAGCTTGGAGAAATATGTTGCCAGAACTCCCTTCGAGCCAAGTTTGCTGTTCAAATTGACATGATTCTTATAAGAATCATCCAAAAAAATCCGACAAAGTTCTCTTGATCCGAGAAGACATTGAACGATGCAATTCATATAGCAGGAGTTGCCCAAGTTGACCAAACCGACATTAAAATCCAAATCCTTGTCCAAATACTCCTTTCGAGTTACGCCATTGCTGGTCGATTTGGGGACATCATTTGGCCTGAACTGGGGTCTACTTCCTGTAAATCGCTCTGGCAAGCTACCCTGCGGTGGAAAAGTAGAAGTTTTGCCCAATGTTAGCGTATTTGGTGGTGAAACACTTCTAGAAATTGGAGACAGGGTGTACGACTGAATTGGTGAAATATGTGGTAGATTGTTGAGTGCTGGAGCAGATGGTGCAAGCTTCGGAGTTTCTGGATAAAGAGTTGATTGCGTTTCATTAGATTTTGCGATGGGTGTTGTTGTCCTTGACGGAAGTGGAGAGTATTTAATGAGCTTTTCTCTGAAACTTGAATTTCTCTTGAGCGCTGGTTGTTGATTAGGGAAAAATTGCGGTGTTCTCACTTGGCCGTCCTGCGGCGCATGCGGTTTTGAAAGCATAGGGTTCAAACTGGAGTCCAGTCGATATTGGTAGCTTGGCGTGGTCGATTTGGCCACTTCCTGAAAATCGAATCCCGACAAATCACTGTTGAGATATGCATTTTCGGAATCCGTTTTTGTTTCCTCACAGACGCCTTGGCTCTTACGCCAACTCTCGATTCCACCTTGCAGAGTAAGAACACGGGTTGATTTGAGTGGAGCCTCGAAAGATCGATTCAAAAGAATATGAACAAGAGCAGACTGTTGCTGCTCGTTAAATCCAGTCCGCTCAGCGGAACTTGTGTAAATGACGACGAAATCGTAGGTGTCCCTTTTCTTAAACAAATCTATCTCGAAATCTGGAGAGGTGATGAGAGATTTTTTCAGTAGATCTGCATCCGAATAAGAGTCCTTAAAAGAAATGGGTTCCAGGCACATGAGCGTGTTGCTCGCTATATGAGACGCAACAAACTGAGTACGTGGCCGGAGATCTATCAGCAAAACACGACTGTTGTTCATGAGCTCTTTCAAAACGCTCGACGCAATCGCCTGACCACTGTGGATGTCGTACTGTAGTGTAGCGGCCGAAGATGCCGAAGAAGAAGAACCCGATCCATCGAGGTCCCTTTTCGAATGTTCCTTAATGTACCGTCGCACGTCGCCGATTTTGTCGTCTGTCAGGAGCGTTTTGACCAGCATATTGTAAACTTCCATAAGACCTTTATCACGACCATTTATTGCGTCATTGCCTGCGGCAGCTTTCGCGATCTTGAACTGTTCCAGCTCCGGGATCTTGCTAAGCACGATTTGAGATACGATTTTGTAATACACAAACACCGCTTCGTAGCCTTCAAAAACACTCGGACTCCATTCTGAATGCGTCAGAAGCGTTTTTTTCAACTTTTTGGTTTCCTCTTGGTAGTTTACTAATGTGTCAATACACTCTTGTAACAGCGTTTCCATGTCCTGTCCGTCGCCATCCTGGCTAACAAATTTGTCGACAATCTTGGTCAGTTGTCGCACGGACCGACAATATTCATGTTTTAGTTCACTGTGTGGCATAATTCCACTGTTATCCAGGCCTTCACCGCCCCTGTCGCTCCTATGGTCACTCCTATCTTGCATGTTCAACACTAGATTGTTCTGTGTAATTTCGCTAATTCCATGTTCGTAGGGTGTAACATTCATTGTTGAAGATACTTTGGATGTTATTGTGTACGAAACTGCTAGCCGACTGTTCTCATAGAAGGCCTTTCGTAAGCAACTCAAAACTCGAGCAATGTGATCAAGTGGTTGTGACTACAACCTCGTTTTATGCCTGCGGGGAATATAAGACGGATAATATGTTCAGTTTGTGGGTGTGATAATATCACGTGATCACAATGACAGAATTGAACATCAGATAATCGAATGTATAATTTGCATCCGATTCCACGAGCGGAAGCCGCGAGTGTCCGAGATATCCAGATAATGGCTGCGAGATATCACCATGCTGCAGCATGTTTTGCCATAGTACTTCTAATGAGCACTGTCGCATTCAATGGCAAGGACGCTACCCATTGAGTACTCATACACGTATAAAATGATGGCATAACCAGTTTTCATAGATGGAATTGAGTCTTCGGCGAGTATGGTGAGTACGGATTGTGCTCGGCCACGTAAGGCGAAGAGAGGAGTTTCTCAGATATCCCAGTGTAATCATTGAGAATATCGCCTGCATCCAAGAAGCCATGATCAGAGTCAATTTCCCGCTAGAAATACAATTTATGAATTGTTAAACTGTGAACAGACGTATTCTGCCGTTTTCTTCCCGCTGCGCTACACCACACCTGCTACTCGAATTCCTTATACATATGATTTGAGCTCGAATCGCCCTTGTCGCAATAGCATCAAATTTACAGATTCTGAAGGGCCGTCGTTAGGATAGGCTAACACGTATGAAGCGACATCCACAATTCAGCTCATCTGACCTTCATGATTCGAGTATGGTCAAGATCTGTCCGTCCAGCGATCAGTACACTTTAGTAAACTGCAGCAAACCCCAAGAGTGGGTACCTCTCAACGGATTAGTTGCCAACGCCTGTCGGCGCTCAAATGCTCAACTTTATTCTTCAACTAATTAGGAATATTTCATACGTACGTGGGTAAAGTGACCCCATTGTTCAACGCCCACGACCTAGTAAACGCCGTCGTCGGGTCTCTGTTGTTCGACCTGCGCATCCTCACCCCTTTTTTTGAGTTCTGCGTCTGAAGGTCGTTTGAGTTCGCCCTGGAAGGTGCCGTGCTTGGAATTGCCCTTTTCGAGTTCTTCCAACTTGGCTTTGTTCTCGTCCAACTGCTGCTGGGTCACGTCGTCGTCTTTTTTGGGCATAAACGCTACTGGGTTGCTCGTAAAGGAGCGAGACGCAAGCGACAGAGCGTTTTGAGCGGATTTGGCAGTGAATCTAGTGGTCTTCAAAGTCTGGGCCAGCATTATCGTTTCGTCAGGTCAGTGATTTACTTCTGTGGGGTATGCAAAGATTAGCACCCTTTAATGCTGCCCCACCCCTGTATTTATATCAGGGACTGGAAATGTGGGGAAGCCGCACAGTTCCTGGGGTGTTGCTGCTTACGTTTTGTCGTTTGCGCTCACAGCAAGTACGTATGGGTTTCGGAGTATAGTTAGGGTTGTCTACGTAGAGGATGCGCTAAATTACATGGGAACAGGCAAAGAGCAAGCGGCGCGGCGAAAAGGTTCAATTGTCGTATTCTTCCTTGACCAATTCACGCACCATGTCGCACCATTTGGACTTACCGAAGGCAGGGTCCTGGGACACGTCCTCGTTCTCGCCCACGACTTGGAATCCAATGCGTTCGTAGAAGGGGACCAAGGGCTCATGCGCAATGATCACGATTCGCTGGCCCACTTCCTGGTTACTGAGCTTCTGGATGTAGTCTGTCAGCAGCAAGGTGGCGAGGTTTTTCTTCTGGTACTCTGGGGCGATCACGACCGAGTGAATCCCGACCGTTGTCGAGGATTCGTCGTGCACTTTGCCCATGGCTGCGCGCGTGATGAACGCGGGCTTGCTGGCGTCTGTCGACTCGGGGATCTTGGTTCCAAGCATGTGGCCTATCAGTTTCTCGCCCTTGACCTCGCCTCCCTCGACGTCGCGGATGAATAGTCCGGAACACAGTTCCGGACACACTGCAAGTCGAAATTGGATGTTTTCGGGCGAAGCACGCTCTTCCGGTGGGAAACCCTTGGTCTCGAGCTCTGAGACGCTTTGCGCGTCTTCGGAGATCAAGGGACGGATGTACATGTGCAAGGGCAGCGTGGAAGTCATGCTGGAGTCGCTCTTTGTGGGTTGGTAGAGAGAAGCGGATTTGGAGCTGGGCCTAATCCCCCGTCTAGGGTGAACTTGTTCAGAGTGGCGGGGCCTCTGGCACGTAGAGAGTGATGAGTGACAGGGTTACCTAAGCAAGAAAACACGTACAACACGACATCAATATATTCCGTCCAACTGAAAAAAAGCGAGTTTGGGCCTGTCGAAGTGTCCACTCACGCCGTCGAACCACGAACACACCCGGTTACACATGTCTGGTGTCGAGATTCTGCCGCTCGAGATTATCGACAAGACGGTCGGCCAGCCCGTGTGGGTGATGCTGACGTCGCACCGCGAATTCGCGGGAACGCTTGTCGGGTTTGACGACTTTGTCAATGTGGTCCTGGAGGACGTGGTCGAGTACGACCGCGACAGCGAGGTCAAACGGCACGCGGGCAAGATGCTGCTGAGCGGCAACAATATCGCGCTGCTGGTGCCCGGGGGCAAGCCCGATGCTCAGTGACTAGAAAAAGCTTCGGTAATTAGTATGTAATATGTACACAGCGACAGAACACGTACGTGGTGACGATGACGAGATGACGATGGCGATGACGAAGATGCTAAGCGAGTGGGTCGAAGAACCACTCGAGGCGCGTTCCGCGGAATACGCGCATGCCCATGGTGCAGGCCTCGTTCCGCGGATCCTCCCGCGTTCCAGCGCGGATGTCGAGCCACACGCTGGTGACGCGCGGCGTCAGCAACAGTGCGTCCACGATGTGGAACGCGGTGAGCGCGTAGAGTAGCCCGACAAAGAGGTCGAAACGGAAATGATGGTCCAGATACATGGTGCTCCACCACTGGAGAAGTGGGAACGCGGTAGCCAGCGTGAACGAGATGACGGGCCGGCGGAAAATGTAGAGCCAGCGGGAGCTGGCCGTGGGAGCAGTGGAGGACCCACCGCTGGCACCCTGGGCGCCGCCGGCGCCATCGGCGCCGGCTGGTGCCAGCAGCTTGGCCGTAGCCTCAGCGGCGGCCTCGGCGGCCTCGTGGCTGGCGCTGTCGGAGGACTCCTCGCACGAGACGACCGCAGAAACGACCCCGTCGCCGGACTTGCGCGAGGACTCCTCGTCGGAGACGACGTAGCCCATGACGTCATCGCCGCCGACCTCGGCGGCTGCGCCGCTTTCCAGGTCGTCGTCGCCGTCTTTCGGCCGGGAGGCCACCGGTACGGCCGAAAGCACAAACGACTCGGCCGCCGCCGGGCCGAAGCCGGCGCCGGCGCCGCGCACGCGCAGCGCGGGCAAAAGCGAGACCACGACAAACAGAAAGCACTGCACGGCCATCGCCGAGTGCAGCGACGGCACCGCGCCAAACACGATCGGGGACCGGTGGAACCCGCTCGTGTTGAGATGCGTGCCGAGGTGGGTATCGACGCGGGTGAGCCCCGCGGCGAACCCTTCTTGCTCGTAGGTCACGTGCTCGACGTCGCGTGCGCCGTACATGTGGATGAACCACGGCGCCGCCGTCGGCACCAGCAGATGCGTACACACGCCGGCGAGGTTCTGGATCCCGAGCGCGAGCGCGAACGCGCGCACGGTGCCCGGCGCGCGGAACACGTACAGGTAGACAGCGGTGAAAATGGGCGCGAGCAAATGCAGCAGCACGTACGAGGTCCACGCGAGCATGTCCTTGAAAGAGGTGAAGTCGCGCTGCGCGGCCAACAGGTGTATGGCGTCGAGCGCGACGAACGCGAGCAGGGGCAGCGCGAGCAAGAGCTGCAGCGACGCGGGGTCGCGGTCACGTGACCCCGCGTGTTTCGCGTTTGCGCCGCGCAAGCGCCATGCTGCCACGGGCAACGCGGCGAGCACCAGGAGCGCAAACTGGGACGCGGTGACCCACGTGACGACCGACGCGACGCGCATGCCCTCGCCGTACTGTGTGACCAGCTCCTGGAACGCGTCGCCGAACAGGAAGGCGTCCGCGAGGAACGCCCACGAGCTGTGGATGGCAGGACGAGCCGAGACGGGGATCCGGCCCGCGTTCTTGAACGCGGCGAGCCAGGCTGCGACGGGCGCAAACCCGAGCGCAAAATTGGCGACGAGGCCGATCACGGACCGCCCGTTGAGCGCGGAGGTGACGAGGCGCACGACAGGCGCCTGGACACAGTAGAGCGTGTGTTTCATGGAAAAGTCGAGGTTCGCACCAGGAGCAGTGTAAAGAGTGTGAGCGTGGGGAGGGACCTGCAAAGCGTTAGCGGAACCGAACTACCCAAGCGATTCGCACCAGCTGTCTGTTTTGGCTCCGGGGACCTGCTACAAACGCCGTGCTTTTCAATCCGCATCGCCAGCCACCCAAGCTTGCTTATTTGCTTTTTTTTTTTTTTTTTTTATTTTCCTTCCCTGTTCACCAACCGCGTTCTTGCGCGTAGTGTGGTATCACCGTGTTTCTGCCTGGGCCAGCTAGGCGGGCCGCGAAGCGGCCCGCTTCGCGGCCCGCCTAGCGCCCGCCTAGCGGCCGTCCTAGCGGGTGCGGTCCGGGCAATATTTTCCCGTTCTGTTTAGCTCGGCGTAGCACGTAGCGCGGCGGCACGGAGGGCGGCTCGGCTCGGCGCAAAATTCTTGCGCAGGGACCACCGCAGGGTTTGCGGCAGGACTGCGGCAGAACTGCCGCAGAACTGCCGCAGCATTGCCGCGGTGATCCGCGGCCCGCAGGGACTCGGACGGCCGTCAGGGCCCTCGGTGGCGTTTGTGTCAGGCGCGTCGCGGATCCGACTGAGCGGTGAAGGCGGTGAGGGTGGCGCGGTTGAGCGAGGCGGGGGATAAGGTGCGGTGACGTCACAGCGGCACGCGGTCGGAGAATGCCCACGGATTTAGGGATCCGGAGCCGAGATCCAGAGCTCGGTTCCGCGGAGGAGTCAATTCCGCGGAGGAGTTCTCGTGGGTATTCGTAGAAAAGTATGACCCGCTGCTATCACCTGTAACGAACACGAACACCCGCGCTAGCCCCGAATCACAACATAACACTGGCACTACTGACACAAAATCATATCATTCTACCTACACGTCCTATGGACCCGCAGACGCAGAACCAGTACAAGATACAGCTGCTGCTGCATATCAACAGCGTGCTGCTCGCACGCATCAACCAGATGACCGCGAACGCGATGCAGTTCTCCGCGGAACAGGTCCAGAACGTCACGTCGCAGTACCTGAAGCGCGTACACGCCAATCTCCAATGCATCTCACAGATCAACCAGGGCGCGCCCGGGTCCAAACCGACGATCTTGGAACCTCCCCAGCATCCACAGCAACAGCCCGCTCAGGATATACTCGCGAAACTGTACTTGCTGATGAGCCGGGTGTTCGAAGTGTGGTGAGGTAACCTTGTACGAGGGCACGAGCAATCACTGAGCTTGGACCGTGCTGGGGCGCCTTCTCCTTTTTTTTTTCCTTCCCGCAACTCCCTGCCAGCAATCACGCGACCTATTAAAGGGGAACTCAATCTAACCTCTCACACTGCACGCGCAGCAAAACCACCACGATTACTCTCACACAGCATGGGTGTGCCCCTGATCGCGTCTGAAGAACGCGCCATTTCGGGCCGTATCATCAACTGTGTGCCCCAATTGCCCTACAAGATCGGGAGAAACGATGCGTACACCCCCGCAATCGAGCACTCCAAGTCGGCCTCCGAAGAGTGGTCCATGACCCCCATTAGCGGTAACAGTGCCCTTTACTCCTCGGTCAACTACCTGCGAGACTCGTCCGAATGGGAGCAGCACGTTGTCGGATGGACCGGCGAAATCGACCCGGGCTCCAGCTTCGCGTACGTTGCCAAAGCGGATTTGCAGCGCGAACCGAGCACCGACGGCAACCCCCCGCAGGCGCGTCGCGGCAGCATCTCCCTCACTGAAGATGACACTCGCTACATGTCCAAGGACCCCGTCGAGGACCCATTGTACCTCACGAGCGAGCAGAAACGCGGGATCGCGGAAAAATTGCAAGCCGCAGAAGACCCGAACAACCAGCAGACGATCCACCCGGTTTGGCTTCTGCGTAAGGGCCAACGGCGCTGGCGGCAGTACGCGGAAAACATCATCTGGCCCGCCCTTCACTACATTTTGAGCGCTCCGTCTGACGGACAGCAAGAAAACAACTGGTGGTACGACTACGTCAAGTTCAACGAGGCGTACGCCATGAAAGTCGCGCAAATTTACAAACCGGGCGATATCATCTGGATACACGACTACTATTTGATGCTGCTACCGCAGTTGCTGCGCATGCGGTTTCAAGACGCCATCATCGCGTACTTCCACCACACCCCTTGGCCCAGTAACGAATATTTCCGTTGTTTATCGAAACGGAAACAATTGCTAGACGGAATCTTGGGGAGCAACCGAGTCTGTTTCCAAAACGAGGGCTTTGCACGCCATTTCGTTTCCGGATGCAAACGATTGCTCGACTCGACTTCTTCAAAGCGCAAGTCCAAAGAGGGCAAGGACGAATGGCGCATCAGCGCGTATGGAGGTGACGTCTTAGTGGACGCGTTACCGATCGGCGTCAACACCCAAGAAATTCTCAAAGAAGCCTTTTCTCCCGACATTGATTCCAAAGTCACTACCATCAAGGAAGCGTACGCGGGCAAGCAAATCATATTCGGTAGGGATAGACTCAACACTGTGAGAGGCGTGATACAGAAAATGCAAGCTTTTGAAACTTTTCTGGCCATGTTCCCAGAATGGAGAGACAAAGTGGTGTTGATCCAGGTGAGTCGACCCACCGAATCTGATAACAACGTCAAGTTGGAGCAACAGGTCAACGATCTGGTCAACTCCATAAATGCGCAATACGGTAGTCTTAATTTTTCTCCAGTACAACATTACCACATGCGCATTCCAAAAGACGTGTATTTCTCTTTACTCCGTGCCGCCGATCTTTGTCTGATCACAAGCGTGAGAGACGGAATGAACACCACCGCTTTGGAATACGTCACTGTTAAGAGCCAACCCTCGATTGGCAACTGTTATGCCAGCCCACTTGTTCTTAGCGAGTTTTCCGGTACCAGTACGGTACTGAGAGATGCGCTTATCGTTAACCCTTGGGACTCAGTCGCCGTCGCGAAAACCATCAACAGGGCTTTGAAGTTGAAGCCCATAGAAAAATCGAATTTGGAAAGAAAGCTGTGGGCATGTGTTCCTACCATACAGGACTGGAACGACAAGTTTTTACGTCGCGTGATCTCAATAGCGCGCCGCGAGAACGAGGAGTCCAGAATCACACCGGCGCTCAACGGTCCATTACTCTTGAAAAACTATCAGAAGGCCGAGAGAAGACTTTTCTTATTTGACTACGATGGTACGTTGACACCCATAGTGCGTGATCCTGCCGCTGCCATCCCAAGTGCTAAGCTTTATCGAATTTTGTCGAAATTGGCTTCGGATCCCAAAAATCAAATTTGGATTATATCTGGACGGGATCAACAATTCTTGTCTAAATGGTTGGGCGGCAAGTTGCCTCAGCTGGGCTTAAGCGCTGAGCATGGTTGTTTTATGAAAGACGTTTCGTCTCAAGACTGGGTCAATTTGACAGAAAAGTTCGACATGTCTTGGCAAAAAAAGGTTCATGAGATTATGGAACAATTCACAATGCATACTCCTGGATCCTCTATCGAGGTGAAAAAGGTCGCATTGACTTGGCATTACAGAAGAGCAGATCCGGAATTGGGAGAATACAATGCTTCCAAAATGAAAGAGACATTAGAAGAGTTTGCTCCCGATTTGGGTTTGGAAGTGATGGAGGGGAAGGCCAATGTCGAAGTTCGTCCCAAATTTGTGAACAAAGGTGAAATTGTTAAAAGGCTTATCTGGCACCCGCATGGAACGAAGCAAGATTCGGAAGACGAATTCAAACTGGACAAGAGTCTACCGAAGGACCAATTGCCAGATTTCATACTTTGTTTGGGAGATGACTTCACAGACGAAGATATGTTTAAGCAATTGAACGGCATCGAGAAAGAGTGGGACGAAATTTTTGCCGATCAGAAAAACGAATGGGATCATTTCGGAATCTATCCAGTCACGGTTGGGTCTGCTTCCAAAAAGACTGTAGCAAAAGCACACTTGACGGATCCTCAGCAAGTCCTGGACACCCTGGGGCTCCTGGTTGGAGACGTTTCGTTATTTCAAAGCGGTGGTACCGTTGATTTGGATGATCGCGGTCACATCAAAGATAGCGAAAGCAGCGTCAAGTCAGAGATTGCAGGTGCCGCTTACAATATGAGAAGAACTGGCTCTCATCAGAAATACAAGCACAAATAGCCTATCTTTATTATAAATGACATTCGAAGTACCTGAATAGTACCTCAGTTTAACGAACCCACGAATATATAGTAAGATTTTCTAGCCATTTTTCCAAGCGATGCAAGCCGTTATGCAAATTCTTTGATCTTTACTAGATGGTCGACTAATTTTAGTAATGATTGGCGGGTATTTACCACTTCTTTCCTGCGCATGGCAATGCCGCAGTTTAGCAAATGCCAAATTCCGATCAAATAACTCATGAGAGGCATGTCTTGTTGCCCGCAAAGATGGAAACATGCATTGGACATTGTGCATTTAGTTTCAATATCGTGAACTAACATTGAACCGGCAACGTAGTTTAATAGCACTCTGAGTAAAGCGGATTTTTTCAATGTCGGCGCTGTTTCTCGACCTCCCTTGTCTGAAGCTGAGTCTCGTTCCCCAGTTTCACTCACCCCACCCATTTTATTACTCGAAAAATACCATTTAACCTTCTCAAGATAATCTTCCTCTTTGTTGCTCGCGAGATGACCGTTCGAAAAGGGTTGGAAGCGAGCAATCACCCACAACAAAGCTAATGTACATTGCCAAACGTGATTGTCAGCAAAATCGTAATCTTTGGCAAGCGTTTCTATATTTTGCCATATCGAATTTGTCGCATCATAGTCAGTAATAGAGAGAGAGTCCTCGGTTTTATTCATCTTGGCTAAATGCATTCCAAACGCGTTGCAAAGCATTATCATGCGGACCTCCACAGAGGGTCCGAGTGGCTTTTCTAAGTTTTTGGAAATCAGATGCATCGCTTCGTTGGACTCAAAGTTCCGTTGGTGCTTACAAGCAAGCAAGAGATCTCGATATTGCTCAGGCACCGGTAGTTCTGGGACAGTTTCGCCGAGTAATAACGCTTCGATGCAGATGTACAAATTAGAAATTTCAACGAGTTTAGCGTAGAAGCTCCTTTGAGCTTCAATGGCCGGTAGTCCACCTTGCAAACTCGAGGATAGACGCTCTTCTGCAACTTCACGAACTTTTGGTAAAAACTTGGAAGAGAAATTGGCCTTTTTATCGTAGCAGTTGGTAATATAGCTTACGCTCTGAAACAGCAGGATCACGTTTTTAAAGTCTTGATAATTTGTCGCTTGAGAATGCACTTGAACCGAGATTTCGTCTGTCAGGTAAACATTGTAGGTGCTTTTCAAATTAGACTTGTGACGCGCGATCAGTTTCTTGAATTCCATAAGCTTGTTGGCAATATTATCATCTCTGTTAATGAGTAGAAGTAGTTCGATAAGCTTTTTCCATAAGCTGAGAGATGCTGGACAAGCCCTGTCGTTTACAGCGTCGAAGGATCTAACGAGGCTTTCGTCAATTCTCAGATTATTTGAGAGATGATGACAGAGGGAATTCGAGAGCACAAGAATGTAGAAATCTTTAAACTGTTCAGATTGTTTGATCAAATCGTTGTACAATAACGCGATCCGCTGCGGTTTTGCCGTTTTGGCCAACATATCAATTTGCTTGTATTTGAACACCAAAGCCCACGGAGACTCAGTTTTCTGTAAATCGTTAATAAGACTTTCCAAATTTCGGACTGCATCGCCCAAATGTGAGGAAGTACCTCGTTTTTGAGCCAGTTCTGCAAGCGCGTACTCGATAGCCATTTTCTCTTGCAATGAAGTCGTTTGTTGAAGCCTTTCTTTCGCTCCAAAAAGGTACCCCTCCGCTAGATCCAGTTCATTAGTCTCATCTACCAACAGTTGAGATAGTTCCAATGTGATTTTGACGTCTTGTTCGGTACTTAACTGGTGTTCTTCTTTTAACCGTTGATACACGCGTATAGCACTCCAAATCAACGTGTAATACGCTTCCAAATCCTGTTGTGTAGATATCAACGGTGCTATTTCTTGTGCACACCGTCGATACTCTTGACAAACCCCATAGAGGTCGTTTATACTCGTGTTTTGCATCGTGTGATGAGTACCACAGCTAGAAGGAACTTACTTAAGGTTTGAAGTTGTCAAAATGAACACAAATGGAAGATACTAAAACATGATGAATTTCATGATTTTGAGATTTACAGAGATGAATGTAGTCAAGAACTGTTTATACTCCCTCTTTCCTACCTTTATACTAAGAAACCAGTTATTCGATGACTGGTGAAGTTTGCAAGAATAGTCGAAAACTACCGTTTTTAGAAGCTAAAAACTACCGCAAACATCGTCTACAGCATCTCTGATCGTCTACCAACAATTCAAACTGCCTCAAACTCTTGATTACACCATTTTAGTAGCCCTTGCGAGCATTAATTCAAGTCTCTTACAATCTCAATTTTTAGAGCGATGAATGAGCTAAAATGACGAATGAAACGACCGAACAGTAGCCCGACTTCTTAATCATATTGTTGTTTCTCTTATACTTTCTCAACAGCTCCTATTATCCTCCAAATTGCCATTTATATACCTCATCTGTTTATCAGTTCATGATTTTTACGTATATATATATAATCTTGGAAATTGAGAAACTCATCAATTACTTGACCACTCATCGAGGTTTCAAAGCTCGCGACAAAACAACTCCATAATGTCTGATGATGCTAGATTGAAAGAGTTTCAAGACGCCAATAAAATAGTGTTTGATCCTACGACGCGATCAGTATGGGAAAACAAGTCAGAGGACCCAGATGTGGCGCTTTCCAAAACTGAAGATGACGAACAACAAAATGCGACAACATCAGGAATAGTCCCCACATTGCAAAATATCGTTGCCACTGTGAATTTGGATTGTCGTTTGGATTTGAAAACGGTTGCACTGCATGCGAGAAACGCAGAATACAATCCCAAACGATTTGCAGCCGTTATTATGCGTATTCGAGAGCCGAAGACGACAGCGTTAATCTTCGCATCGGGTAAAATGGTCGTTATCGGAGCCAAATCGGAGGACGATTCGAAATTGGCCAGTCGGAAATATGCCAGAATAATCCAGAAGATTGGGTTTAGTGCTAAATTCACAGATTTCAAAATTCAAAATATCGTTGGGTCTTGTGATGTGAAATTTCCGATCCGATTAGAAGGTCTGGCATTTTCGCACGGAACTTTCTCGTCGTATGAGCCAGAATTATTTCCAGGTTTGATTTACAGAATGGTGAAGCCCAAGATCGTGCTTTTGATTTTTGTTTCAGGAAAAATCGTACTCACGGGTGCGAAACAAAGAGAAGAGATTTATCAGGCGTTTGAAGCCATATATCCTGTGTTGAGTGAATTCAGAAAGTTGTGATGCGGTATTGGTTTTAAGTTTAATGCCGACGTAAATAGATTACATATTGGATTTCACGTATGAAAAATGGATTTTGCAGTGCGGAAGTTCACAGCAGATGCGCCTTATTGCTGTTGGGAAGCCAATTCTCGTTCTAAAGATCTTCTTAACTCACGCTCCTCGCGTAGCTCGGTTTCGTATTTTCTTTGCGTCTCACTCAGGACTTTCTTGAATTCTTTTCGCATGATCGCCAATGACTGCGGTCTGCCCCCGTTACTACCAACGCTATTCAAAGAGCTGGCGTCCGCTTCCGGCGAGCTCAATGACGTTAGCGAATTCAATCTTAATTTCTCCTCAAGCTGAGTAGTCTCTTTTTGGAGTTCCGAATATTTCGTCTGTATGTTTCTGAATTTCGAATGAAACGCCAGAAGCTCGTGTGAAAGCTCTTCATTTGTTTTGGTGAGTTGATCGATGCTTCGCAAGTGCTCATTACGATCGTTTTCAAACCTTCGTGTCAAATAACTATGTGCCAGTCTGAGATCTTTTAGCGCGAGTTCGAGTTCCGAAGACGATTTTTCGTCATCGAGGGTTTTACCCTGGTTGTTGTTGCCACTCGAGTAGCCCTCCAAAATCGAATCGATACATTCTTTGAGAAACGACACATCATTTTGGTCTCCACTGTGCCGTTGCGACTCTGGTTTCAAATCTATACCCTTTTGAAGGGCACTGGACAGTAGATAAGACGTCACTTCGTCGACTTGTGCATGTGAAGAGTCTATTCTCGATATGCTGTGACTGGGGTCGTTAGTTTGAAAAGTGTTGTGTACGTTTGAGGAATCATCAGACTGACGTGCTACGACTTCCTCAAAAGCTTGACTTCCCAGTACACTAAGCAGAGTCTCGTAAACCATTCTCTGCTGCTTTTCTCTTGATGTAAAGTCCTGACTACGTGATTTTGACAAATCCAATTGCCATCGGATTAACTGCTCAACAAAATCTGTCTCTTGAGTACTGGATTTTGCCCGGTACAAAGCGTATTCGCCCAGCAATTTCCGTTTGATGTCAATTTCACCGTTAGAATCCATATACTGCAAAATCTGCGCGTTATCGATATCATAGACGAGCTCCTCCAAGTGAAGCCGTTCTTTTTGAAGAATTTTAATCTGTTCTTCATATTTTAAGGGATATCGGTCGTAAATTTGGGGCGAAAAAAGCTTTGGGTTCGCAATTTCCGGCAAATTCACGCGAGACATCCTCATGGCCTGAAAAGCTGGGCTTCAGTCTCTCAATATCGTTGTTTTCCCAGGTTTCCGTCGTCGAAATGCCTACCTGATTTATCGCGATGCTCTTGTTTTGCCGAATTAATTTTATCACGTCCAACATGATATGCGACGCGAACCGAAAATTTTCAATCCTGGCGTTTGATAGAAGGCAAACCATTAACCTCATCGAGCTACTAAACCACCGGAAACATTGCCAAAAAGCTAACACAGCTCATTAAAGAAGGAGCAGGTGGGGCCCCAAATTGAAGCGACCACGAAGGAGGCTTGTAGACTTTTTTTGGTTTGTCAAAAACGGACATCTGAGGCTCAAGGTAACTTTGTAAGCGATGAAATTGGACGAAACAATAGCACTTCTCAAACAAGGTCGACATGTTCCGGAAGAAACCGTGTACAAGTTATGCCAGCAATCACAGGAGCTACTAATGTATGAGGCTAACGTGACACGTGTCGACACTCCGGTTACCATTTGCGGAGATATTCACGGCCAACTGCACGATTTGTTGACCTTGTTCGAGGAAAGCGGTGGGATTGAAAAGAGCCGGTACATATTTTTGGGCGATTTTGTTGACCGTGGTTTCTACTCTCTAGAGAGCTTTCTGTTGTTGCTTTGCTACAAATTGCGGTATCCAGACCGGATCACAATGATCCGGGGTAACCACGAAACAAGGCAGATTACCAAAGTTTATGGATTTTACGACGAAATCGTACGCAAATACGGGAACAGCAACGTGTGGCGCTACTGTTGCGAAGTTTTCGACTACTTAGCACTTGGAGCTATCATCAATGAAAGCATCTTCTGCGTGCACGGCGGTCTATCGCCTGACGTAACGACCATCAATCAGATTCGCGCCATAGATCGTAAACAAGAGGTACCGCACGAGGGAGCCATGTGTGACTTGCTATGGAGCGATCCAGATGACGTTGAAACTTGGAGCCTTTCGCCACGTGGGGCTGGATTTCTGTTCGGCAAAAATGAAGTTGACCAATTTCTGCATAAAAACAAGTTCGACCTCATTGCCCGGGCCCACCAACTGGTCATGGAAGGCTATAAGGAGATGTTTGGGGGTGGTCTTGTCACAGTTTGGTCTGCACCCAATTATTGTTACCGGTGCGGTAATGTCGCAGCAGTTTTGACCGTAGATGACCAAATGGACCGCAATTACACCATATTCGAAGCTGTACCGGCGCAAGACGACGTGGGAAACGCGATAATACCGACCAAAAAACCTCAAATGGATTATTTCCTGTGACCGACATCGAAGATAAGAAAATAAGCATCATTGTAACATTACTCACTCATAATGAAAATCGCTTTGCGGGACGCTCTACAATCGTTTCGCGAGTATTTAGCATGAAAGCTGCGCTGTGCGTCGGCTTCCCACGGTTCTGACGATTTTTCCAGCAATTAGGTATTAAATAGATACTGTAAAACCAAGATTAGACCTATTCACTATAAATCATCACTATTTCAAACCGACAGCATGTCTCTGGGAATATCATTATCGCAGCTTATCGTGGACAGCTCAGATCCAGTGGCAAGTGGTATCCAAGGGCTCGATGAAGCAGTTGAAGGGTTCCAACCGCGTGCTATCTACGAGATCTTTGGTCCACCGGGCAGTGGGAAAACAAGACTAGGACTTCAAATGATGAACATCCAAGCCAAGAAAGCGAAAAAAGTATTGTGGATCGACACTCACAAGACTTGCTCACTAGAGCAATTGAACAATGCTGACTCGATCTGTTATGGCCGCGTTCAACGGTTTTCACACTTAGTTTACATGTTTCAAGAACTGGGCGAAGAATATTCACTGGTCGTCATCGATGGATTCTCGCAACTTGTCACAGACTATTTGAATTCAAATTTAAAGCGGGTACGCTCAGACTCGATGCATTCGTTCAAGAACAAGAATCTGACTACGATTTTAACGCTTTTGACCAAATACGCCCATACTCACAACTCTACGGTTGTTTTACTGAACGACGCAATGAATACTAGTTTCCAAGAAAACGCTGACGAACGGTTCGTAGCGTATAGCGAGGAGTCCCATTTTTTGGTTCGATCTGCTCGGAGATCGAACGTTCAAGTGCTAAAGAGTGCTTTAGTGGCCAACGCTGGCGTTGGCAACAAAGACAATTTATGGGAAGTCTTCATAAGACGCCGCATTGGCCTGTTCTGGGACTGGATTCCGGCAACGTCTAGGAAGTCGCCCCCCTCCCGATGTCCAAATAAGACAAGGGTCGCCATAGTATTTGATCTAGCCCACAAAAATGAGACTGGAGCCCAAAGAATTGTAAAGTTTGTGATAAACGATGCCGGTCTTGCCGGTCTTGCCGGCGATGGCGGCGATGGCGGCGATGCCGTAAAATCCTCTTTTGAGGTGCTCAGTACACTGCCTGAACCAGTCCGACCCAGTCCAACACCCGAAAATCCTCCCGAGAGCAACTCGCATAACAAGAGACTACGTTTGAATCTGTCGTCCACTCCGAAATTCCAGCTGTATACTAGCATATGCACGGCAGATCCCCGTGTATCTTCGGAAGGCACGCAACAGCAACACCAGGACCAGGAGGACCCTGACATCGTCTACGACAGCCAGACATAGGGTCTGCTACCACCAGGACCAATTTTAGAAATCTGAAAAGGAATGCGACCAAGGGTTTCGCTTGATTACTTCAACGGGTTTTTGATTGCGTTCACAGGAACCTTTAAGGGCCCCACTGACGTGCTGCTAGTTAATGATAGTGATGGTGCCTCGTGCTCGTAGACTTGATGCCGTTTAACCGTAAAAGGTGAAGGCTCAATTTTAGTAACAGTCACTTTCTATTATTACGCCAAACTCTACTAAGGGAAACAACTATAAAAAGAGAGGCTGATTAGAAAATGTGGTAAATGCAATTGAGAGACTGATACCACCAGAAACTGAATATAGTATTGGTTTTGTCCTCTCGCTTTCACAGATTCCAGATAAATTCAAGTTAAAAAGAATCAAGACAAAAAAATGAAATTCTTCACGTTGGCGACCGTTTTGAGCAGTGCTGTGACACTCGCGAGAGCCGATTTTGCGAATGTTACAAGCAGTGCATCGCTCTTACCAACGTCCGTCTTGCCCCCAACGACGGTCACCGACTACGAGGTAGTGACAGAGTTCACGACGTACTGTCCGGAACCAACGACGTTTATCACGAATGGTCAGACTTATACTGTTCACAATGCCACTACCCTGACGATTACCAACTGTCCTTGTACCATTCCAGTCACTTCTATTGTCGAGGCTCCAAAGACTGTTACTGAGGTCGAGGTCGTGACAGAACTCACTACTTACTGTCCTGAACCCACGACAATTGTGACAAATGGTGCAACTTACACTGTCACTTCCGCGACGACATTGACTATTACCGAATGTCCTTGTACCGTGACCAGGACATCTACTATAAGTTCCAGCGCGCCAGCTTCCAGCGTTCATGCTTCCAGCGCGCCAGCTTCCAGCGTTCATGCTTCCAGCGCGCCAGCTTCCAGCGTTCATGCTTCCAGTGTGCCAGCTTCCAGCGTTCTTGCTTCCAGCATTCCAGCGCCCGGTACATCTACTCATACCACCTTGAGCACTTTGGCACCAACTTCTAGACCAGGGGCTGTTTCTACGCAATCTATGAGCACTCCTAATATACCAACAGCCTCCACTTACACTGGTGATGCCAACATGTTGCAACCTGGTAACCTGGTTGCCATTTTGGCCGCTGCAGGTGCTCTTGTGATGTAATTACCGAATGATAATGATTTTCGATTTATTGCTTCGCAATCCACCACCCTCTGACGTCGACTCGCTACTGAGGTTCATGTTCGTAAATTATCTGGAAACGCTACCCGTCCCGATTAAATCCGTTGCATACATTTTTCAACTATAATTTATAGCTTAACGATGAGTTTAATTTATCCTGGAGTTATTATTTCTTCAGAGCCCCATAACTTACAAAACAGAACATTAGGCATTCAACTAGCTATTTTACAATTTTTGATACATTAGGATGTATGCGGTCCGTGAATCGGCTTCATCTTCACCTCCCGTAAGAACATCATCCCTACCGATTTCGGTAACAGTCACATCGTCTATTCTGAACCATTTAGCCGTTTCTGCGTAATAAACGTCACACGTGTAATGCCCACCACTGGAACTGATACCATGATGATAAACGACACCTATCAGCTTATAGTCAGCATTATACTGGCCGTTTACGCAAGGATGCGTTGACGTTATCGTACTTGTTGGTAAGTTTAGAACATGAGAGTAATTTATCTTCTTGTGGATTTTTTCAACACGCCCGCTGTAGGCATTGTAGTTGACCATCCTGTTTTTCTCGGTGTTATTAACAAATGAAAATCTCTTTAATTGAATGAGAAAAACATTAGGTAACTTGTCAATGAAAGTTTGCTTCTTAGCTTCAACATCTTGCCCAGTAGAGGTTTTGAACGGTATCAATTCTGGTTCATTAAACTTCGAAAGTGCAGACTCTAAGTCATTAACCTCTGGATCTGAGATATCTAATTGTAACGTCTGGAATGGATCCAACGTTATGGATTGCTGTTCTTTGCTTTGAGGAATATCAAGAACGGAACGGAATTGACCTCCAAAAATAGAAGTTATTGGGGAGGGCTCAACTTCCATGGTACGTTTCGCAGCAGTCTTGGGTTTTTTCCCTTTCTTGCTGCTGCTCACTTCGTGCCAGCCACCATCATGTCCATCTTGAAAATTTCCAGATGCGCCGTTTTTGTCGAGCATCTCCTTAAATTGGGTTGAAGCATTTTTTATGAACTCAGCGCCCTTGTATTTTAGTAAATTCTTAATAAAGACGTTCTTTATATCTTTGTCGTTTATGCTTTTGATAAGGTTCCAAATATCATTTTCCGTCAAAGAGCTTACTGATTTGATAAACTCTTCATGCAACTGATCCAAAAAGTGTGTGAGAAACTCTTCAGCATCCTCTTGGTGACCCCATTTGAGATCTTTGAACTTAGGAAGTTTCGAGACGGCTTTGTAGAACTCTTCGGGGTTGATAGTTTCCGTTATCGGAGCGCTTCCCTTTCTATCTTGAGCCTTTTCATCGACTGCCTTTCTTCTCTCCATGGTTTCTTTGTCAAACTGCGAGTAAAAGCCCAAGCATGCGTCTAGCAAAGGCGAAACTGGCGAACCGACCTTAGCTGGGGTTCTCAGTCTTATGATGTTCAGTAAGTCAACAAAAGGTTGACAAATGAGCAACACCTGCAAGATTGAGCTCATGAAACAGATGTTGCCCGAATTGACAATACCGCGCGGTATAACAGACCAGATACCCACGCAATCTTCCAATACGCTTTTTGTGGTCATTTTAACGTATTCGTTGTCAAAGCATATCCTTAAAGACACTAATCCAAGTGACTCCAGACCTTTGATGGTTGAGGGAACGTATTTTTTGTCCTTTTCAGCCAACGGCTGTGAGGATGCACCCTTTGGAGCAGCACTAGACGCAACTGCTGACCATGACTTTACAGCTTTCACAGAGCCGGGAGAATTGGTCTCTGAAGAGGGCTCAACGCTTGACTCCGTTGTGGGGACTTTTCGTTCTAAAACTATTCCGTTAGTCTGGGGGGCCGGGGACTCCGTTTCGGTTTTTATATTTTGTTTGGGGAACAGTTTCTTGATGTCTTCCACGTTGGCTTCTTCGACGGGTTTAACCTCAGAGACTTCTTGCTCTCCAGTGGCTCGTGACGACGGAACGCTAGTCAAATCGAGGGAAGAGCGATGCTTAATCCGGTACCTAAGGGCCTTAGCCTCCGCATATTCTTGTTCATTGGTGTTGACAAAAAATGGATACTCGAGCTTCAGACCCTCGGTGTTGAACGAGTTACTATTGCCCATTTCAAACTTGTATTGATTCTTAATCGTAATGGGAACCTTCTGAGGCACAGGAGTTGAGGACGTAGTGGAGGAGTTAGAAGACGCAGTGGGTTTAGGACCGTTAAAATACTGATTAGGAGATTCATTTCTTCCAGGGCCTGCTTCCATTTTATTATTGTAGTACTTCTTCTTTGAATGAGTAGGCTGAGGAACGGAACCCCCATAATATACCATATTAGGATTCATACCGTAACTCAGAAATGGAGCACCTTGCCCTGCATATATATCCATGGGCACCGGATAACCATAACCATATTGTGCAAAAGCTGCGGGACTTACATACATTCCCATGTTATGCTGTGCACTACCAGGCGGAGCGACAGGTGAAGTTGGTGGATACATGGAGTACGAGCCCTCTTGGTTTTCCTGTGAGCCAGGTCCTGACATGTTCTTCTAGTTTTTCCAGTTTTATCCAAATTATTTTCAAATTGCTAATTTCAAGCAAATAAAACACGATCTAATGTCGGTGTCAAAGAATCAGATGGTTGTCTTGCGTATAGCAATAGATTAAAAGCCACAACGGGCCCCAATTAGTAGAAACACAAACGGTTTGTATTCGGTGAAGATTCCACTTCGAAGGTCAGATTGATCTTAGAATCGAACTGAAAAATTTTGATGTTGAGAAAATGAGATCACGTGATTGAGACGACGCTTATGTACTGACAACGATGGTCTGTCATACAACGATATTAAGGTGAAGTCGTAGCCATTCGTCGATATTTTGCACTCGGATCAAGTATACCGTTTGTCGCGTTCCTGTGAAGTATCTCAGGGTTTTGGGCTCTGTCTGTAACAAAATGGAGAACGCCAAAAGATGCGGGCACATTATTTTGTCGTGACGAAAATAGCGTTGCTGTTGTTTTATTCTGGCGAACTTGTCGTGTGCACCTTCCGTTTTGTCTATTTCTTGAACCAGTTTGCAAGCAAGTGGTCGTTCGTCGTCGTCTTGTTGCAACTCATCGCCAAAAAGGGTTATGTACTCTGAACAGGAGCAAAACCATCTGTCGAGATCAGTCACGACTGGTGTACCACCTACGGAATCTTCGTTTTCCACAATTAACTTGTGTTGTAGCTGTTCCGTTTCGTAAAGTAGTTCCCATAAGTGTCTCTGTTCGGTTCTGCTAGAATCATTTCCCGAAGGAACGAGGTTTGCTTCTGAAATTAACAACGATGCTGACACCCGGGATCCATTAGTGTTGTCAACTTGCTTTGATCCATGCTCATCGCAGGTCTTGTTCTCCAAAACGTAAATAAACATGTTACTGGATTCTAGCAGCGACAATGCACGAACGAAAAGTTCCTTGGGGAACAAGTGATACAAAAACGAGACCACAACTTCATTTAATTGGTCAACACCTTCATTGGTTTCAATTATTCCGGATAAAAGTTGGGAGAAATTGATGTATTTTTGAGGGACGTCCATGCTAAAGCCTTCTCTTAGAGATGACTTTCGATATCTATATCACGAGATAGAGATAATCGTTAAAGTATATAAAATTGAATAACTCTGTTATGAATGACCAAATTGTAGTCTAAAACTCTAAGGAATGCTCTGTGGCATATTCTCGGCATACATTTCCCCATTTTTGTATACCTTCTTTTATCGTAGCGTCGTGAACAAAACTGATGGAAATACGGAAACATCTGGCGCCCCAATTCTTTGAGTCTCCGACAACCTCGAACCACGAGCCGTCTGGTACTACGATGCCTTGCTGATTTAGAAGAATGGCAGATATCTCTCTGGCGTCGTATCCGTCAGGTAAAGTGCACCATGAAAAATACCCACCAGTTTGACGTTCATAGATGGTTTTGGCTGGAAGCCATTGTTTGATGGATTCATAAAGTATATCGGCACGACGCTTGTAAACGGTGCGCAGCTTTTCCAAGACCGTTAGACAGACTCCATTGTTGAGCATAGTGCCGACAATCATGGAATTGAGTTGTGATGGAGTGCCGCCGGAGGCATTTGCTCCGCCGCGGGACAATTGCGCAACAAGTCGCTTGTTCACGCTTTCTTGGTACCCGAATCGAAGGCCCGGAGCGAGTATTTTTGAGAAGGTGCAATTGGAGATGGTGTTCCCGTAACCATTGTAACCTTTGGATAAAGAAGCTCTGTCCAGAAAGGTCATTCTTGGCACAGGTTTTGGAGCTTTATCTAACGGCTGGTCGTACACTAGCAAATCGTAGACGTCATCGCTTATAATGAGCATATCGTGTTTCCTTGCCAGCTCGATGAGTCTTTGACGGCATTCAATGGAATAAGTCTTTCCGCTAGGATTTGAGTACGTCGGAATCAAATACAGAACGTATCGAAACAATTTTTTTGGAATGGTAGCGTCTGGGGCATTGACCAACGCGGGATCTGCGGTATGGTCCTCAGTCGCATGTTTCTGGTCGAACAACTCAAGCTGTTCTTGTAAGAAAGCCACATCCACCGCATCCTGATCCGTTTCCGTCACAGCACAGATCTTACCTCCGAAACCTGCATCTATAAATGCTTCGTTAATCAGAAAATAGGTTGGAGATACTATAAAGGCTTGCCGGGTGAAACCGGTATGCGGTAAAGTTGTCTGTGCTAATAGATTCAAAATTCCATAGGACGCTCCTGATGTTAAGTTCAGGAATTCCGGTTTGCTCGACGATGCCGCGTCCAATTGAAATGCCTCGTTACTGAAATGGCAGATTGCGCTGCGAACCCAATGCGCTCCCTCATCTGACCCATAGACAAGTGGGTGCAGGTTCTGTGGGTCGGTATCATAATCTCTCGATTTGGGACTTAGTAAATCCGTGGTAGCTTGGACTATTTCTTGGGCAGGTAAAAGATCCAAAGAAGCGTAACCTCTAAAGAAATTAATGTCACCAGCATTTCTCGACATTTCTAAGCACTCTTTGAGCGATGGTTTAGTCTTGAGCGAAACACCCTTTGCTTTGCTGTTCCATTGATTATAAGCATTTTCGCCTTATAAGAGTGGGTCACTTTTCCGCAGGAATATTCACCAAGAAAGGCTACGACGACCAACATGTCTGAAAAAAAGCTGACTATGGTGATGCCCACGGAATCAATGCCCTTGAAATCGGCATGATAATAAACAATTTAATTGATCGTCCAATACCCGGAGGGTTTTGTATTTACAAGGTATATGTAGAGATAAATGGTTACCATGGCTTATCTCTTCTCGGCGTCTTACAGTCTGTTCAGCTCGCTGAGTCTTGAGTATGCTGCCCTAGTTGCAAGGCATTTAAATAACTAGAGCCTCTGACGTTTCGCGTAAACAGTCTAACAGCTTTAGCACTGATTTCAATATTTCTACATTTCATGAAATCGAACAGAGCATAACTGCGATACGGTTCATGTCGATACGCTTGCAAGAGTGCCAACGCGGTGTCATCGTAGTACAAAGTGGAATGTTTTTGATGGAATGATGCGAAAAGTCTCAATTTGAAATCGGGATCCAGGTGCGGGTGTAATATTAACATGTTTAAAAGCATTGGTAACGTGGTCGGGTTTCTAACAGGTGATTTAGTCTCTTTGAAAAGTAGCTCTGTGACAACTTCAGCTTCTTCACAGTGTAGTGCTTTCGCCAAGTGTGGGAAATCTCGGAAACTGAACGAGTGACGTTCACTGACGTTTTGATCGAGTTCCTCGAGGAAAACGTTCCATTTCTCCAAAAAAGAAGTCTTTTCACCCGTGCTTTTTGCAAAACTCTCAACTTTAATGCGAAGTAATTCAATCCCAAACCGGCGGTAATGCGTTTCCTGACCGTAAACTTTGGCGAAATGTGTGCACAATTGTCCAGGCCAAAACGATTTGTTCGCGTCTAGCGATATATTGCCAATATCGCATAAGATCTGTGGTCTCACCATCAGTCTCTGTTCTCTCATAACGTACCGATACCACAAGTAATCGATGGACTCGACATGGGCCCATTGCACGCTTTTTGCGAGATATACGTTCAGAAATGACTCCTCAACGAGTCGATTGGAAACCTTTTGCAATTCTTGAAGCACTAGATCAAATTCTCTATTCAAACAAAGTTTAAAAAGCCGTTTCCTGACCTCTGGGCCCAGTACCACGGTACTCTGTTTGGCCATGAGTTTGGTTGATTGCATTGCCTTTCCATAATCCAAAATTCGGTTAGGGCGGCGTTGAAAAGCTCAAGAACACTTTTTTTAAGGGCTTGACCAATCTCGTAAGACTGTCAAATCTATTGGATCGGATGTCTTGCTAAACAATTTAGTCTTGATAATTTCGACTATCAAGAGCTCATCTTTAAGATTGGTTGAACTAAAAATTTTCAAGAACTCGGGTTTCCGAAGACATACAAAGACCACAATAACAGGACCTTTTGATGCTCAAGCACGTCGTTTCGCGTGCGACGGGGTCGGTATGAATATTTTGTTAACAGGAGTACTTTTTTCCGCGTCCAAAAACGCTAACTAGATGTAATTTTAAAGGCCTTCAGGAGCCATGCCAGAATAATTGGAATCAATTCTGCTCGATTGCAAAGCGTCCGTTTCCGATCGTCAGGGAACCCAGATAGGAATGTGGCTGAGTTTCCTACTGAATTACCGTCTTTTGATCAAGCTGTGAGCTCTGAATTGAGCCAGAAGATTGCCGAACAAGCGACTCAGTTAGGTCAAGCTGTTGGTGAAGCTTCTACACACGTTGGGTACTTGAGCAGCATTGGACTTGCCAAATCATGGTGGTGGCCACCCGATCTGATTCAAAATATCATGGAACAGATTCATGTGTACACGGGCTTACCTTGGTGGGGGACTATAGTTACAACGACGGTTCTTGTACGTTTATTAATGTTTCCGCTTTATGTGAAGTCTTCCGATACAATTGCCCGCAATTCGAAGATTAAGCCCGAAATGGACAAGATAAACGAAGAACTGTTTGGTGCCACGGATATGGTGGAAGGTCAACAGATTGCCATGAAGAGAAAGAAGCTTTTGGCAGAAAATGGTATTAAAAACAGATATTTAGCAGCACCTATGTTGCAATTACCTGTGGCTCTTGGGTTTTTCTCTGGTATTAGAGAAATGGCCAACTATCCGGTTGACGGTTTCACGACACAAGGTTTGGCTTGGTTTCGTGATCTTTCCCTAGCTGACCCTTACCTGGGTTTGCAGATAATTACTGCGACTGTGTTTATTTCGTTCACTAGGCTCGGTGGTGAAACAGGTGCTCAGCAGTTCTCGGCGCCAATGAAGAAATTTTTCACGGTTCTTCCTTTACTCTCAATCCCGGCAACCATGAACTTGTCCTCGGGAGTCGTGCTGTATTTTGCAGTGAATGGTTCCTTCTCGGTAATTCAGACACTACTATTAAGAAACAAATGGGTGAGAAACAAGCTCAAGATCGCTGACGTGGTCAAGCATGATGTGTCAAAGAATCAGCCTAGCAAGGGAATCATCGAAACGTTCAGAGAAAACATGGCCAAAGCTCGTGAGCAAGCTGAAAGGCGACAACAAATGCAAGAGAATGAAAAGAAGCTTCAAGAGCTTTCCAAAGAAAAAAAGCAAAACTCGAACATCAGAATTGTTAGAAAATCGAATTTAAAATGAGAGCGTTGCAACTGAATAGTTCTCAGTATATCTTGTAAATAAAAGTTTCGTATCTGACATTACCTCGACTGCGGTAAGGTGGGTCCAGCTACGAGCGTTCATCAGAGACTTTCTCTTAAAATTATAAATTATGCAAAATACTAGATATATGAAGAAGTTGTCAAGAATGAGCTTCCGCTCTTAGAAAAAGTCTTCTGGATGCTTTATGAAACATTTCAATATTGTTTGTAGGGCACCAAGTGTCGGACCAACGCTGGATGCAAGGTCTTCTTGACCGATGAAGCTCATCGAAAATACTATGGCTAAGTTTATGGCATCCATGCGATTGTTCTGCATATGTTCATCGACACGGTGCAAATGCTGAAAAATTCTTCTCAAGGTATGGAAGTTGTAAACTGGCAAATTTTGGACGAGGTCAGCGATTAACATTTTGAACTGCTCGTAAGAGGTTTTCTCTTGTCTATATTGTAATGCGTGCTCCGCAAATGCCGGTAAACGTTCATTGGTGAAAAGCGACTCGGGAAGTTCGCGCAAATACAATTTGAAGCATCCTGCAATTGTGTTGATTTCAAACCATCTTTCGTCTTCTAACGTAAAAGAATTACTGGTTGCACCTTTGTCGTCAAAAGCATTTTTTAAAGCATTGATGCTTCCAACTGCACCAGGAACTCTGTACAGCCCCACTTCGTCCAAACCCCGAAGTTCGATTTCTTCCAAAAGTTTTACAAGTATTGTAGGAATTAAAGTGTTTTCTCTTTCACACACATCTTCGATAGGAACCCCGAACATTTTGTTGGAAGTTTTGCCCTTAAATTTCTCAGAGTGGAATGAATATCTCCTTGATAAGTTCAAAGCCTTAACCCAATCTAACATTGCCTGATTGCTGGGCGCTTGAACCAAGTGTTCTGTTCCACCCTCCATGATGATCCTAAACTGGTTGCTGGTCAGATGTGGCTGACTGTAATCGTTAACAGGCATACAAGACTTCATTTCAAATGTTCTAAGAGTTTGGATAGGCTTCGATTCTTTGAGGCTGTTAGAAGATATTTCGGGCAAATCGAAAGGAGAAACTGTACCGTTTCCTTTGGCCCCTCCTGCTATGATTGAGCTGAGGGAATTCGTGGAGGAAGAGCTGCTAAACCCGCCAATCGAAAACGGCCTTCTCAAAAAGCCACCAAGTTTTCTTGTAACTCCAGAGCTGTGAGTGGAGTTCGATATCATGGAATTCCTAGTGGATGTAGCAGTAATAGAGCTGCGTTTAGTGCGGCTGGACATGTCAGATTCAGTGGTTACTTTGGAATTGACAGAACTCAAGGTTATTGTTGAAGGGGAGGAGCTTAATCTGTTGCCCTGCTTAAACGCAATTTGTTTCTTATTTTCCAGTTCCTGTGTCAAAAGAAGCGCATACTTCCTTTGATCTCTTTTCACTTTCTCAACCTCTGCCACTAATATACTATTAAAAAAACCAAAGGACTGAAATTTGTAAAGACGTGCTTGTTCCATTGAAATTTCACGACATTGTTTGTCGTAAATTTCTGGAATTTCTGAAATTTCATGCTGAGTGAGCCATTCACTTCTTATAGCTAATGCATCACACAACTCCTTCTCATTGCTCCATGAGTAAGTCTTTGGTATCATGTCAACAAAATTCGTGATGACATTGTTCACAAATCTTCTTTTATCGAAATTTATCATCTTGGAATTTTCGATGCTCATGTTGGGAACAAACTGAGAGATTTCTAACAGACGACAAATTAACCATCCAGGACATGGGGAAATAGGCTCATTGCGAGCTACGCCGATAGATTCGCATTTCTCAAACATTTGGGATTGCAGGCTCTTCGAGTTAATGACATCCGATAAGCATTTGATGGAATGGGCTCCAGCACCTGAAATATTCTGATGGGCGTCGCGCCAGAACATTTCAAAGTAACGAGATTCTGGTGAGACGATAGCATTTACAAGGCAGCTCTCCAAAAAGGATGGAACATGAGGAGACAATTCAGTTGTGTCACCTTCTGGTTTGTCGTCATGAAACAAATCAACCGCCGAGCCCTTCCATCTCAAAATGCCAAGTAGTTCAAATATTATCATTGTGGTATCGAGTCTTTCTTCATAACCCTTTTCGGGGCTACAGATTTCAGAAATCAAAAAACGAGTGAGGGAAAGGTGTAGCTTGATAAGAAGTTGAATGGCAGGAGGGAACAGATCCAACAATAACTTTTTGCCCTCCGAGCAAACACTGGAAACCCATGTGAAAACATTCAAAATTTCTAGTTTCTCGAGCCGCGATCCACCATTATGAATAATTTCGCCAGAAATGGTAAAAAGCGGGTATTTGAATAAGGATACCAAAGAATCGTTGGAAAACAGTTCGAGAATTTGAGAGACTTGAATCCACTCTTGGTGTGAGACTAAGGCAAGATTTTGAGCGATAATTTCATCAGCACGAGTTGCCCAATCACACAGTGCCGAGAAATTTCCATGATTCAAAGTCGTGAAATCGCTGATAATCGAATGCATAAAACCGGAGCCCGCCTTTATTCTAGCAAAATCGTTCATGCTCACAGGAGTGAGATCCCTCAAAGAGTCTTGTGCAATCTTTTGGGGTCTGTTCAAATTTAACGGGCGATAAAGCTGTTTCTGATATGCAGATTTGATCTTTTTGAAAAGGTCTCGAAGTTTGGCATGTAGAGCTTCAAGTTCCTCCATATCGTCTGAATTGTATTGGGTGCGCTGCACTGGCATTGCCACAATTCTTCTGGACCATTCCTCCGAAATTTCATGATCCATGACTTTCAAAATGTCCAGAAATGTGTAATTATTTGTAAGCGACCCGGTAAAATCAGAGTAGTGAAACACAATAAGATGTAACAGTGCTTCCATAGCCCCTAACTGAATTTTGGCGACATAATTAAGGTTAACTTCGTCCTTAGTATAATTCTTAAGGTCCCAAGCTGGGAACTTATTTGTACCTCCATGGAGGTGACCTAATTTCGTTCCCTCAGCATGACCTGATGATTGCCTTTCTTCGTCACTGAGTAGGCGAGATATTGATACAGCACAACTCACCGCTCCTATGAATCTTTTTGCCAAATTTTCCAAAACGATATTTGTGGTTGTAAAGCTTGTGTAAGTGTTGAAGAAAGTTTGCGTAAAAATGTCATTGTCCATTATCAGCTTGATAAAGGCATAATCAAGAGGTCCCATAGACATATAATCAGGTTCATGCGCTTTCATTTTTTGTCGCCTGCTTTCATGTGCAAAGAAAGCTTCGAGATCTCTCGCGTCAATCAATTTCGAAAAGACGCTAGTTGTCAAAACAAGTACGTCAAAAAGACGTTCTAAAGTTGCTGATTTAAGAACAACTTCAACAAATGATTCGTTAATGGAGCTTGAGGACTTGCCAATACTATTAAAGAAGTCCAGGTCATCGAGAGTAGAGGTAATTTTTGACAAGTCCTGCGAGTCACGAAAATTATTGAACGATGAGTTTTGCGACATCCTCTTTGGTGTTTCGACAACAATACTTGCTGGCCGCGATTTACCATCCAAATCAAAAACTGATTTGAAAATCATATCATCCGACACATGAAACATATTCATGTCTATATTGAAAGCATCCCTAATAGATTTCAGTAGCTTTTGCTTGTTCGATTGTTTTGAAGATAGTCTCTTGGCTACAGGCTCATCGAGATTCTCGATACCTGTTATGGAACTTTTTTCTCCTTCATCCCCAAAGGCTGAAATTGAGGAAACAAAGTGTGCTCTACTTGGAAAAGCAACCGATGAGCTTTCATCACCCAGGCCAGCTGCGCCTATTAGCGACTGCTTTGGAAACAACGAGTAATTAGATATGAGATCGTTGAATAAAACGGGCAAATAGCTGCCCGTCAACAGCAAACTCCTTTTACTGCTGGTATTAGAATAAGCTCTTTGGTCAACACGAGGTGGATCCAACCTCAAACTCATCTCCATGATTGTAGCTATATCCAGTGCTTCCTGCTCTAGGTGAAATTTCCAATATTGGTAAATAGGGCATGACGAGTAATCGTCATATGAATTTTCAGAATCCTCGCTTAGTACATCGCCTGTACTATTAACTGCTTGGTCGAGCCGTTGTTGCCATTTATAGAACGCATTCTTGGTCCTGTGGATTTTCTTTTCCAAATATCGAAGTCTGGTTTCAGGAGATAAATCAAAAGCGTTGATAGCTAGGTCACCAAAGTATGGAACGACATTCTTCCTGATATTCTCGTCCTTCAAATTTGGAGGTGCCAAAATGAACACGCTGCTGGTAGATTTTGAAGACATTTCCCTGCGATCAAGCTGAGCGATTGTCGGTATCCAATCCCTGAAAATCAATTTCACGACATTTTCAGGAACAAATTGCCAAGTCGATGCTAATCTCAATATGGGGATGGAGCATACGACCGTAGCGATCGCAAGCCAGGAAACCATGTCACCAAGCTTTTCAAACTTACAGCCCAATTGAACCCATACAGCCAAAACTTTTGCCCTTGCACGCGGGCTCGGTTTAAACTCTGGAGAGAATAAATGCGAAACGAATAACCTGCCCAAAAAATGAACGTTTTCATTATTCCTGAAAATCATTGGATTTAGGTAAATGTGACCGCCATTAAATTTCGATTCGTACAGTAGAGAAAAATCGATTTGAGGACTCCATTCTTTCATGAATTTTAGATTGATTTGATGAACTTGATGAGCAACGTCCTCTAGATCCATGCGCAAGAATTTTTCAACATTTATAAACGGCTGTAGTTGTTCTGTTGATCTTTCTTGTGGTCCCAAAGTTATCAGATTCGTTAACTGCTTTTGTTTTCCAACAATGGAGAGTTTGAGTGCACTTGAAATTTCATCATCATGCAAAGATATGGTATCCACCAGATCAATGATGTTCGGGAAAAGCTTATCATCCAAGAGAAATCCGCAAAAAACGTCCAAAATGGTTTTCACGACTAGCGCCAATCGTTCGGTCATTAATGTGTCGGTTTTTGAAGAAATTTGGTGATGATATGGAGCAGTGCTGACACTTTTGGATCTGTGTCTGGTGAATGCAATGCCGTAGGAACGAAATTTCTGGAGAAAATTGGAAATGTGGTCTATCAGGGGAAGTATGAGAAGAATCTCCACAATTCTTTTGGTGTTATCCGGTTCTGATGGAGGCGAAAATAACACCATGTGACACAAACTCTCGGTTGTACCAGCAATAGGATGGCCCTCGCCATCGAGCTTCAAGTCTGGATGCGGATAAACATGACTTAAATATTTGATCTCAGAAGCTGCCCCTGTGTGATCAGAATTGGTATCCACGGTTTGTGAGGTGGCTTTCAAATTCCCCGGTGTGGCGACAGGTTGAGACGCGTCAGCAGACGAGTCGCAGGGTGTCAATGACGGATCAAAGCACTTGACGTTGTTCACGCCGCTTTTATACAAGCTGAGCACGCTTCCTCTCAATTCTGCGCGATACAATCTGTAATCCACGCCATTGCCTCGGCCAGCAGCATCAATTGCCGCGTTGTGTCCCGCATTTCCATACAGACGGCTGTCTCTCTGGTGGCCATTCGAAGCTCCATGTGCTTTGTTGACCCATCCCTTCTTGAAAAGCGTCTGATCATAATTTTCCTTGTTCAGAGTCTGTTTGGACTGCGCTGAGAATTCCTGTTGGCTACGCGGTTGTTCCGTAGTCGAAGAAGGCGCCACGGTCGATTGGCTGTCGGAAAGTCGGCGCAAACTGCGCGTTTCATCGATTTGCACTTCTTCGAAAATGCGAATCGAGCTCCGGCTGGAAGCTATGCTGCGGCTCGAATTGTTATTTGCCTCTGACAGGTAAATACTGGGCGTGGAGTTCTCGTTCCACCCACCCCCTCGCCCTCCAGAACTCAGGCTCTTCTTCCTCCCACTGCTCTGCCCGCTGTGACCACCTTGTCCACTGCCACGCTTGCTTTCCTGCCCTGTAGATCCACTCAACGACTTGCCACGTGACCCGGGCTCATGGTGTCTTTCCTCTGACGTCGAAGAAGCCTTCCTGCCCCTGTTTGACCATCTCAGACTTTTCATTCGGTAACGAGTTGTATTCGATTTTGCTCTAGAATCCAGATCTGTTTCTGACACGCGTTTAGAATGTAAGAGAGTTCAATTCAACGTTCTTGGCTAAAACAGCGATTGCGGAAAAAAAGCACCTCTTTAAATCGTTTTCTTGACCTTTCTGGCTATCCTAAACCAACCGGACTGTGCTTATAACACACTGAGCGATAACTGCGAAAGCTGTTGTTTCTCGATGCCAATCCAAGACGTGAGTGTGTAGTTAGTGCTGTTACGTTTTAACGCTATTTAAGACTCTTGATAGTCCCCAAACTTTACTGAAAAAAACACGAATCGTAACGTACGTACTAAGGTTTCGACGGTTCCCTTACGCTTTAACTACGGCGTGCGTGATGACTTGCTTAAGTAATCAATAAATGAGTAACTTGTAAGTAAATAATTACATACGTAATTGATACTCATTTGAGTATTCGTATAAACGGATATTTCTTGGAGATCAAGTGGAAGAAAACGGCCGTAAATAGTGCTACTGTAAAGTTGGTACGTCCTTCGTATGAGGCTACTGAGATTACACGAATCCGCGCCGAATCGTTTGCTAGGAATACACTACGATCCGATCGGAGACGAAAGCAAGTACCCAGGGAGCACAACTGGCTTCTCAATCAAAGGGGTTGCGGGAGTGATTCCAGATTTTGGACGTCAACAGTGCAGTAAGTGTCGTTCTAAGCGACTTGGCTTGAAAAGATTTTGAGCACGTGATGAGTACGCATCGACGATAATAGCCTTTCTTCATTACGTAAGACATACATGCAGAGACAGACAAAACGAAAGAGAAAGATCTCGTTGGTGGAAAAGCGCCAATGGCCGAATACGTTATGGTCTACTATACTCTTGTATACGTATGTGCTCGACTGGGGCTTGGCTGGTGTATCGACACCTTAAATGCTCATTTGGGCTAGCTTCAGTGCCGTTTCCTGGGTCTGAGCACCACCTATGAACCCTGCAGCGTGGATGAAAATGCAGCCTGGAAGGCCGGTTTCCTGGCTGAGCTTTTCGTCACGCAATCCTCTCAATGGCTCGGGGAGTCCCTTTCTAAATTTGAACGAGGTAGACGACACGGGCACGGTAGACACTCTCCAAGCGCTCGAGGAGTCCTCGAAAAGAACAAACTCGATCTGGTTCTCAATCTTCAAATCGCGCTCCACTTCGTAGAGATGCTCTTTCCAGGGACAGAATTGGGTCAGTTGGATGATCTTGCCGCTCTTGTCTACAGAGAAACGGTTCTCGACCGCATTGCGGACGAGTGCCTTGGCTGGAAGCCAGGATTCGCCGTAGCCGCGCACTAGGTCTTTGAACACGCCTCCAATGAAGCTAGAGGCGCGGAAAAATCCTTCGTCGAACGCGGCGTCCGACGAGTCGGCGTTCCAGTTGGGATTCATGTGCGACACGATACTTGGGATCGTGATGTTCTTGTCGTTGAACTTGGGCTTGACTTGCAATTCCTCGGCGTCAAAATTGCTGATACCGTTGTCGTTTGCGTCCAGGGCCTCGATAAATTCTTTGTAAACTTTCTCGTATAGCAGTGTGCGCTCCTGGGCGCTCAGTTGCGGCTGAAGTCCCGCGATGATGTCTTTTCCAAAATGCTTGTACACCAAACCCGCACTAGAAAGTTTCGTCTTGTACCTGTCGCTGAAGGTCTCGAAAAACTCGCGCTGATGGTGATCGAATAGCCCATTTTCTGGCTCGTATTTTCCGCTCACGTCCACCACAATGTCACTTTCGGCCCATTTGGCAGGGTCTCTAGACCTCACCACTTTAGCATCTTTGTACTCTGGGAGAGTCCTCAACATATAAACGGCAAGTGCCTCGTCCGCATGGAACGATCCCGAGTGCGTACAAATCTGCTTGACCATTTCAAGCTTAGGTTTCTTCGTGACCACCATCTGCCCTTCATCTCAGTGGTCTCCACCTCATCGCTTTGATAGGATTTTTCACCAAAAGCTCTTGGTAGGGTAAGATAACCGAAACGCACTATGTACGAACACATGAGCACTACTGACGGCTCGGATTGGTTAACAACTGAAGGCAAAGCTCTTAAGTCCGACTCGCTTAAACCTAAAAGCACATTTACGACTAAGCGCAGTGAACCTTGCTCATACACCATTTCCAATGAGATTTCCATTCAGATATACGCGATCGCAGCTTGAGCTTTTCCGGTTTTCGTTTTGCCTGCTTTCTCCCGTCGCAGTGATGTACTACATCGGTACAGACACCGATAAGAAGCTAAACGTGCCAGGGTTCTGGCCTGATCCAGAAACACTGAACAAGATCCCCAAGGAACCTTACGAGATCAAGGCAGAACTCGCCAGAATGAAGAAAGAGAGACTGGAGAAAAGGCTCCGTTTGGAGAAAAAGATTGCCGAAGAATACGGGATAGACATCGAGGCCGAAAAGAAGAAAATAAGAGAGGAGGAGATGCATCAGGCACAGAAAGCTCATGCTGGCAAGTAGACCTGTGAAGGACACGATGCGATTAGTCTGTGCAGTTATTGCTGAAGTTTTTTATCGGTTTTGAGGGACGCGTCAATAGTCAATGTACATAGAATTCATCTGTCATGACAGCAGAGGTTTAAACAATAACGGTCAAAAAGTTTACAGAGAGACGCAGGCTCGCTGCATACAGGAGCACGTTCGGACTGCGATCGAACGATCAGCCGAAGCGTAATCAATAGAAAACAAACCATAAAACTAAGGAGAACAGCAGCTGTTAAAAAGAGGCAAGTTGATTTCGGTAGCTATGACGCGGTATTCGAATAGTAGAGGACTCAGGGCCTCGTTGCTTATCCGTAAGGGCTCTGTTCGACTCTTTAATCACGTGAGCCTTTCAACTTAAGGTGCAATTCACATGACTATGTCGATGATAGTACGTTTAAACCAGAAATCAAACCAGCGACTGCTAAGAAGTGACCATCCGGTTCTCGTATTAGACACTTGGGCAGCCATTTAAACCTTGGGATGCAATTGCGGAGCCGTAAGGGCTCTTTGGTTCAAAACATAGCGACACACGCTCCACGCAATCCGATATATGTATGTTAAGATGTGTGACGTTAGGAGCTTAGAATCAGCTATTAACATAGTACACTAACCAGATTACCAGGCTTTTGGATGACGAGCAATTGGAGGAAAGATTACGTGAGCTAACGTTAAATGTCGAAAGTGAAAGCTTCTCGCTGGCCAGTGACGCTGTCTCGCCTGAAACCACCGACGAATATCAAGTATATGAGCAATATGTGCAAGAGCTGGAAAACAAGACCGCTGGGTATCAAAAAGTGCTTCAACAGACTCAAAACGTTAGTATGGGGCTCATTAATGTGAACAAAGAGCTTGAAGAAATTTCGACTAGTACTCGAGATTTCTGCAGCTCAATTCAGCCTCTCAAGAGAGCTGCCGAAGAGGAATCCGAGGTTTATGAGACTTTGGAAGACTATTTAAGCTACTTCGAATGTCTCGATTCGGTTGTTCGCAAACTCAATGCCTCAAGTTCGCCATCTGCCGTTGTGAGAGAGTCTTTCAAGAGCATGCTCAAGAAAATCGACGCTTCTTTGGAGTTTCTCGAAAAGCACCCAGATTTCAAAGAGTGTGAGAGTTATAGGATTCGCTTTAAGCAATGCATGATTAGGGCGTGTGCGTTGATGGCGAGCTGGATGTCAAGCAATTTGAAAATCATCTACGACAAGCTTTCCGCAAGAGTCACAGGATTGGCGGCGTCTAGCGCGAATTCCTCGACGCAGGAAGCTCTTCTCTACAACAGTTTTGCTTCAGATTCTTCCGCTTATTTTAGTGTCGCTCGAGAATTGACATCGCGGTGTTTCAAACGTTTGCAACCTCGATACCACCAAGAGCTTCTAGCGATTGTAAATGATTGCTATTCCGAATATTTTCGAACGCGAGAAAAATTACTCTACCCTATAATCGCAGACCAGTTAAATGGGACTCACGATCAAAGAAAGCCTCTCGTGAAATATATCCAGGATAACCTTCTTTATTTTACCACGTTATGCGTCAATGAATACAATCTGGTGCTCAAGTTTTTTCCCACAGAAGATCTAGACATAATTCATAAATGGCTTTTTCACCTTTGCGAACCCTTGCACGAAATGTTGAGGTCTCGAATTCTCAGAGAATTGAGTATTCCATCACTATGCGACTGTGTGATTTTGCTGAACAAATACTACCAGTTCGAGGAAAACTCCCAGGAGTATGAAATGCAGTTCAAAGACGTTCCGTTTGATAAACTATTTGAACCGATTCTCCAAGACATACAGTCTCGACTAGTTTTCAGGTCTCAAGTATATGTCGAGAAGTTCATCGTTGGCTACAAGCCTTCCAAAGATGCATTCATGATAAGCAATCGCAAAAAATCTATCGGTACTGAAGATAAAAACGACGCTCTTTGGCAGTCTTATGTTGAAAATTTTACGGCTTCTGATGAAGAAATTCGGAATTTGTTGTCATACTATCCGCCTCTTGTTCGTTCCCTGGCGTTACTCTCAAGAATTTATCAACTGGTCAATTCTACCGTTTTCGACAATTTGGCACATCATATCGTGCATGACTGTATCATCTCTTTGCAGCAAGCTTATAGGCTGGTCAAAAATTCGGAGAATACGCTAGATACCCAACTGTCATACATTCGGAATCTGTTGATGCTGCGAAAACAAGTCCAGACTTATGACATCCAATTCATCACCACAGAAACTTACCTGGACTTCTCTGGCTTAACAGACCTGTTCAAGACGCTTTCGATGCGCAAAGATTTCAAACCGCATACGTCCGTGATTACACTGGCACTGGAAACTGTGCCCAAGATCGTAAACAACATGATCGACGCCCGTGCAGAGCTCATGGTGGAACTTCGTAATATCATCAAATTGTTCACCCAATCCGCGTGCCAGCTAATTCTGACCGATTGTCTCGAAGTAACAGAAGCCGTCTCGCTGAAAAACATTGAACTGAGAACCAATGTCCAGAGCCACGTCCCGGAGATTTACAAGCAAGTCTGCAACTTCGTCGGCGATTCCGAAGTCATCAACCATCTAATGGAAGCGGTCCAGCAGTTTTCTGTCGAGTCCTACGTCGTTTTTCATGAAAAGCTTATGGACCAAATCGACCACGGACGTTTACCACGCCAAACTCTGGCCGAAATTATGGACATCGACGTTTTCAGTAATCTTTTCAGCGAAACCCTAAGTGCTTTGGTCACTATCTCATAATGTATATATAAAAATGCATGAATTTATAAACATAATATCACTGATTTTCCTCTTCATCTAATGCATCATAGATGTTCTGCGATAGTAATCTATTCAGTTCAGCTTTTATAAACTCGACTTTCGTAGGGTCAATTAACAAGTGGGTTTCGTCGAGCTCTTCGAGAATGACATCATTTCGATTCATATCTATTTGCAGAATTAAAGCTTTAATCGAAGCGTCGCATTGAATTAGAGCTCCTTTACGAGCGCGAGGCATCTCAGTTTCTTGTATGTAAGATGAGTGGAAGTTTAACTAGGTTTCTTGAAAATTGATCAGTTAGAAAGCTTGAACTCACCGGTATTGATGGGAAATGCCAGATACGAATGGCACCGGAGATAACTATCGGAATGGAGATAGCCCATTGAGTCAGACGGATTCAGATTCTAGTCGAAAAGACAAAGGCTGTACGTTAAGAGATGATGTTGTTGGAGATGAACAAACTTGTCAAGAGGAGTTGTTGAATAAAGAGGAAGAAGAAAGTGATGATGATGATGATGATGATGATGATGATGATGATGACGATGATGGTGATGACGATGACGATGTAGAGCCCCCGATATTGAATTATTCTAGAATCAAACAACTTCCGCAGGGGTTTTTGAAAAGAGACACAATCTCAGCATGTACATTTCATGAACAAGTTTTCATATTTGCTACTCATGGGGGTTTCTTGATGCTACTTAAGCCTGATTTCGAACTTATAAGAACTTTCAAATGTCATAGGGCTTCTGTTACGTCTGTTTTCACTAATGGAGAGTATTTTGCTTCGTCTTCTATCGATGGCACAGTCGTCATTGGTTCTATCGCTAACAGGTCTGATATCATCGCGTGCGACTTCAAACGTCCAGTACATGCTGTAGTATTGGATTACAACTATGGATCTTCCAAAACGTTTGTTTCCGGTGGAATGGCAGGTGAAATTGTCTTATCGCAGAGAAATTGGCTTGGAAACAGAGTTGACATTCCAATTGAACGTAGAAATGGTCCCATTGTTGGAATTTATTCAATTGATGATGTTATATTTTGGATGAATGATGCGGGTATTTCATTCTATAGTGTCAACTCCAGAGCGGTTCTTCTGAAAGTTCCTTACCCAAAGGAGCAGGATGGAATACGGCCAGACCTCTACTGGCCATCAGTACATTTCCCAGAAACGGATCGAATCTTGATTGCTTGGGGCACCCATATTTGGTCCTTCAAGATTTCTCTAACTAGAGGTTTGAATCCAAACAATAATCTGGCTTCCATACTCTCCAGTGCGGCTTCAAGCTTGAGGGCTGCTCCAGATAAAAAAGTCGAAGAAGAGCATTATTTGAAGCTGAACTTTATGATTTCTGGAGCGGTTTCTTTCAGAGACGACCAAATTCTTTGTCTAGAAGTTCCCGATTCGCGAGAGACAAACTCAAGGTCTAGCCCACCTCAACTCAAGCTTGTTGATATGCTAACCGGTGAGGAACTTCATGATGATGAGGTCCTTTCGAAGAATTATGAAAGTTTAGGCCCCAATGATTACCATTTAGGTAAATACATTGGCAGAGATCGGGCAAGTTACTTTATGGTGAGTTCTAGCGATGTGATATCAGCACATGAGCTCTCGTTACAGGAGCGATTTGAGTGGTATATGGACAACGAGAAATATTTACACGCATGGAAAATAGGAAGCTTTGCAGTTGACAAGCATCAGAGACTAGACGCTGGACTACGTCATATTGGGATCCTTTTCTCGCGGCATGATTGGGATACCGCTTTAATGGATATTAAAACTGTCTTTGCGGGAACCAATCTGGAAAATGAGGATGATGCGTTCAAAAACCAAGTGATAAATCGCTGGACGGAATGCCTTCAAGTTCTTGTCGAAAATGAAAAATTAAATGAAGTTGCGGCCGTGGTCCCTCAAGCTCCTCAATTAAAAAAACAACTTTACGATACGATACTGGCCAAGTTCTTAGAAAAGAAGCAACTTGCTCTTTTTTCTCACTACCTTCATTCATGGCCGGTGGCTCTCATATCATCCGGTTACATCGAGCACTTATTGGAACAAAGGTTGGCTAACCATCAAGAAAGTTCGAACGTCAAACTGCGTAACGAGTTGGTTTTTTTACTTCTCGAGGACAGGAAATTCATGAAGGCAATACCAAATCTGTTAATATTGAAGGATGAGCGAGTCCTTGATATTTTACTCTCACACAACATTATATCAACTTTTGTCGATCAACTAAAGGAAATTGTTATGCTTCCATTTTATGGATCTGTTAAGGATCTTGAGCGGCTTCCTATCGATGATGTCGAGCGTATTTTTGAGAAACCCATGAAACTTCTGATAGAGTCTCGCCACATGATCCCCGTACAACAGGTGATCGATGTTTTCTCGAAACCGCCACAGCTAAAAGTCCTCGTTTTTTTGTTTCTCAAGAAGCTCTCGAACAAGGAGCCCTTGATGATCGCACCCATTGAGGACACCTTATTGGAGCTTTACTTCGAGTATGACCGCGAGGACTTCCTTCATTTCCTTAAAACGAAATATAACTACAAAATTGACAAGGCAATAGAGCTCTGTGCCTCTGATGACAAATGCTACAATGAATTGATCTATTTGTGGGGCAGAAAGGGGGAAAATGAGAAGGCGCTGACTCTTATAATTGACAAATTGCAAAACCCTCATCTGGCAATCGACTACGTCAAAAACTCCACTGATAAAAGTCTGTGGAGTTTTTTGATTTCCTACAGCATGGACAAACCGAAATTTATCAAAGCGCTCTTAGCGACATATGATGACCTGCAGGGGTCTTACGTTGAGATCATAAGTACAGTGCCTGATGATATGGAGATTGATGATTTGAAGCCGCTTGTTGAAAATGTTTGTGAGGAAAGCTGGCTGAGCCTAAAAGTTGGCTCTGGAGTTTCAAAGATCATTGATGATGAGACCAATGAAATTGCAGTTCAATTCTTGAAACTTAGAGATCTTGGCAAGGCCTTTGATATGCCAGGATAATCGAGTCCCTTGAATACTTTCACATTAGATTGAGTAAAAAGTCAGAGTTTTAGTTTGATAGATAGGATGCATTAAAATACTGATGACTACGGTGAAACGTTAGGATGATTTGTTGCTGGATTGTCTGGAATTGATGTTATGTCAATCTCGGGATTTGGGGGGAAGGGTGTGAAAAATGGTGCAGTTTCTATACCCAAAGAAGATGGAAGATCTATTGGCCGACTTGTTTTGTCAACAGTGGGACCATCGTGGATTATGGCCCTGTCGTGTTCCATTAGACGCTGCCCCAAACTCTGCTGCCTTCTTCTTTTATCAGAGCTCGCCAAAGCTTGTTTCGCTTTCTTAATTTTCTTCAAACAATTGCCATAGCTCACTCTTAATTCATTGAGAGTTTGGTCGGATAATCCTACCTCCCGGAACTCCGCGTGCTTCAAAATGTTGCCCATAGACTTGGCGATTTCTATGTTGCTTTGTAATGTCGTGAAAATTACCAGACGCTGATCATCAAAGGGACTTCCATTGTCAGTATTTGCGAAATTCTGTCCTCCGAAGTATGCTCCTAACGCACCGACGTTGAAATCGTTTGCGAGACCTAAAGAATTGCTATCAACTTCCAAAATTCCTGGACCATTGATACTCGCAGGGGATTGAGAAGCACTCACTGACAAATGGGCCGATAATTGAGCATCAACATTATTTGTAGGAGGATCTGAGGCGGAAACACTTGGCGGGAGCTCTTGAGGAAGTTCGCTGAAAACGTCTTCCAGATACGCAGGTCCTGTTGCCTCAGATGGATACATTTGGCTCGAATGATGGGAGTTGGTAACCGCAGAGGTAGGCCCTAGATCATGATTACCGTCAGTGTTTGGTGTTACATTTTCGAACTCTTCCCTTGTTTTATCAATTACCTCACTCACACTAGGAAATTTCATGATTTCATCAAGCGTAAGGGATCTCCCAGGTAAAAGAGACTCAAAAGCATTGCGATTTCGTTGATCTTCGGTCTCTTCAAAAGTGTCCAAAGAGAAATCTTGATTAGCATATTGAGGACCCGAATTATTGGTGTTCACGGTCTCCGGCTCCCATTCGTCAACAATAGCGCTCTCGACCATCTCCTCTGAACTCAAAAAATTCGTATTTTTGTTCTCAATATTGAGATCCAGCAGAATATCATAATCCCATTTTTTCGAACATCGGAACTTCTCACTTAGCTCATTGAGCTTTTTCTCCAAATATTCATTTTTTTTAAAAGCCATACTGACAGCTTCATTGAGTTGTATCATATTCTTGGGCAAAATTCCTGAACTTTTCCAATTGGCTCGAATTGTATCGATGGGAATACCATCCCAAGCTCCTCTTATGAGTTTGAACGCATTTGACATATTAACTGCACTTTGTTCATAAGGTAAGAATTTGACAGCACCGCTTTTCTCCTCCATTAATTTCTGTACTTTGAGCAAGGCAGTATACTGCTGGATTCTATACCGTGTCTTGAACTCATCAAGGGTACCCCAGTTGAAAGGCAAGAACCTGCTGTTGGCCGAAGTGTATATCAATTGTATATTTTTCAATCGAAGGTTTATGACACGATGCGAACAAGAGTCATCCAGTATAATCCAGATTTTCCGATTGTCAACGACCAAACGCTTGTCCCACCAAGCCAACCAATCATGGAATAAGTTGCTGGTAAGCCAAGATTTTCTGTTGCTGTGGTATGTGAGTGAGTATCTTCTAGCCATTTTTTCGCCCAAGTTGGCTTGCGATATCAATTCAGGTGGGTCATCGGCAAAACTGCTACGGAAACTGTTGTAATTCTCGTATCGACCGATGACAAGCGGATTCATTTTCTCCGAGCCTTCTAAATTTGCGCACAGCATAACAGTGACCACTTCGACCATCTTGCGTATCTTACTGGTCTCGTATTGACCATAATCAAGAGGTAGATTGTAAGCCAAGAAGGTTTCATCTAATGTAAACAAATCTCGAGGAGGCAGTCGGCCCAGCAACTCTTTCAACTGACCTCTTTCTTCAAAAGTCCAAACTTTGGAAGGCTTAAGTGGTTCGCGTTCCAGCGTTGAGTGGTTGACATCGATTTTGGACAAAAAATGTGTAATCCATTTATGACTAAAAGATCCGTTACCTTCACGATATTCGGCAGGAATTCGGTGCCAAACTGATTGGGCCGTATCCTGGATAATCGGAGGTGTAATGGGAATTCCATTCCATATACTTTGAGAAATCCATTCTTGTAGAATCCGACGCACCAATAAATTGTTTGGTTTTCTCAACCTATTGGCACTTTTCTCGTGTTCCTTGGAGTTCATGAACACGGTCTTACGTGCCAAAAGTCGTGAAATGGTGCCCTGTGAGGGACGAGTGGGTAACTGGTATGCCTCGTAAGCCCACTTCGCTAAATCCAGCTGTGTCCATTTGGGATGCCGTTCCGCCATCAAAATGATGTTGTACTTTTGCTCAACAGACAGCATTCCCATCCTCTCCTCTATATCTTGCGCTGTTGTCTGCTGTCTTAATACCGAGGTCCGAGTGATTAGACTTGATCGCCTCTAAAATTACTTCCAGTGACCGTAAAGGCTCGCTTGTTTCGTCTCAAAGGAGTGTCCCACTTGACCTCGAACTATTCTAGGCTTTAAAATGCCTTAGACTGCGATACAAGCCCTATGAAGTCAAAGATCTTCGCCCCAAATTTCGATCACCGGAGTTTTTACTTTTAGTGGGAAACCTAACCGAAAAATATATATATATTGGGAATCACATGTAGATGAGACTCGGCTAGAGAAGAGGGTCTTATATTTAAGCTTAAATGGCGAAAAGGTGCGTTGGGATGTGAATCTATTGGAGATTCAGTATTTGACGAACCGGTAGTCTTTTTTCCGCATTCAAAGTGGCCACCCGGGGCCGAGACAACGTTTCTCGATGAAATCATGAAAAGATGCCCTTCTACTCTTGCGCAGGGCCTTCACAGTGCAACTCTGTCGCTGAAATGGCACCGCTGCTTTGTCAGCTGTGTCCTTAGATGCCTCCATCTTCGCTGCATCGCTGTATCATTAGCTGCCTCTGTAGGTCGAATAACTGTAATTACTCAGAAGCAAAGGAATATGGTAATGTCTAGTATCACTTACTTCAAAAACCACATCGACAAAAGGGAAAAATGTCTCCTTCTGCTTGCCACTGAAATACTTACCCGTTTGGAACCGGATCTTATAAACTCCCTGTTTCAATTCCGACCATACCAAGGTGGATTTGTCCTTTACTACTCCCAATTCACGTAACGCTTCTCGTCTTTTCGGATCCGGATCAAACACCCAACCAGGGACTCTACCGTCCTCATTAGTTCTAGCCATCGCGAAAGGTTCTGAACTCAAAATTTCAACCGTGTCACCAACATCTTTGACAGAAGTATAAAACAAAGAACACACTACCCCACTTGCGGGAGTACCCGTAGTAGTATCCAAAATATGGCAAGTTATAGGCGGTTTGGAAGCCATTTTTACTGCCAGAATCCGGCTTTCAAATGGTCGGTTCTTGTCAACGTGATATTTCGTGGCTTGTTGACATCTTCAAGTGTTCCTTATATACGTCTCTAATATAGATAAAGACTTTCGGGCATCGCCGAAATGATGAAGTTGCAGAACAGAGCCGGTTCCGTCGGATGGGGGATTCAGCGCATATAGTGCACAAGGAAGCTGGATTGGAGCTTTACGTACCTTGGTTGTTCCCAAAAAGCCGGTTTTACCAGTGTTCTGTTCCATGTTTTATAGCAGATATCGCATTTTATCATACTCGAACAGAAGAGAATTTGAAAAAATTCTATACGGGGGAATCGGAGGTGTGGTTTTATCAGAATCATCCGATTAGGGAGGTAAGTGTGGCTGGTACTGTTATTGGATGGCGTTGGAAGTTTTTCGGTGTGACAGATTTCGCAGTTTTCAGTCTTGATGATTACAGCGGTGCCCAGGGTTCGCTTTTGGTGTGTAAATGCACTAGGACTTTGTTGTTAGCCAGTGGCATGCCTGGTGGGGATCTCACTGGCAGAAGGCTTAAACTCTCGGGGAAATTGAACCGGTTCGGAGAGCTTGAAGTAAGGGCTGTGGACATGTGTGCGGGTTTCGTTATGGAGATTGAGTTTTGGAAGTCTGCGATAAAGATGCGTGCAGAGCTTAAGAGACCTTGGAAGTTGGCTTCTGGTGAGCTGGGAGACGATTCTGAACAGAGTTTGTTTTTAAACGATTTGGAACGACAATTTGTCCATAGAGGTCTTCAGATTGCAGATTCTGCCAGTTTGGACCATGGACGCGGGTGGGTCGATGTCGCAGGTCAGTTTAACGATTCGAATTTTTGTTTGGATTTTTTACTTGATGATTCCGTCAACATGCGGGGCTTGCCATCTGAGGAGGATTCATCCAGTGACAACACCCTTCTAAGAAACTATCAAAAACGGTTCTTGCGACTTTTAATGTTCTACAAAAGTGTCGAAGTCTCAGCTATGAACGTTTACAAGTCTCCGCAACTGTACGAGGGTTTGACCACAGCGACTCTGGCACAATTCCACGATGCGAAGAACCCATCCATGAAGAAGACAAAAGAACTACTATTTAAGAGAACCTTACAATTGTACGTCGAGTGTGGGGTAATAAGTGTATTTGCAAACGGCAAGATCATCAACACCAAGAACCTCAAAATTTGCTGCAAATACCTGTCGGACTTGTTGAGACTGAACAAGACTTCGAAAACAGAGAAAACCAAAATTGATCATGCTCAAATCAGTTTCATCACTGGTAAATTCTATACGACCAAAATCATGCTGGAAATGATTTTGGGAGAAATTCTCAAACTTCTGGGCGGAAATGGTAAATCCAAGACCGAGGCACGCATTGATGAAGGTTTGGATGGTACATTGGTGCTGGTAAGCTCTCTTTCTCCGCTAGTGAGCTCATCTCAAATCACGTGACTGCTTCGTCAAATTTTCAGTCCTAGAGCGATGAGCTACGGATTGGAAAAATGGACTTATGGGTCAACCTTGAACTAGCCCAATATAAAGCAATAATAATAGATCAATCGGCTAGGCATGCCACTATTTCAAGTAGAAGGCTGGGATTTGAAAACTACCAAAGTTTCGTTTGACAACGCTTCTTCAAAACCTTCGAAAAAGAAAGACAAAAAGAAGAGGGCCAAAGCTTCGAAAAACGGCAATGATTCGACACTACAGACCACGTCTCGTTCCGAGCCAGTTGAAACCGAACAATATTCTAGTACTGCTGTAGCTGTTCCAAGTGTTGAGGAAAATACGCGGAAAAACAACAAGAAGAGGAAGATTCAAGAAGATGAAGATACCGAGCAAAACGTCCAGCTGGACGTCAAGAAGCCACTTACTGCTTTGCAGAAGAAAATGCTTGCTAAACTGAGTGGATCGAGGTTCCGGTGGATCAATGAGCAACTGTATACAATTTCGTCTGATGAGGCGCTACGTCTTGTGAAAAAACAGCCCGAAGTCTTTGACGAGTACCACGAAGGGTTCAGGTCGCAAGTACAGTCATGGCCCGAGAATCCTGTCAATGTTTTTGTGAGCGAAATCGAAAGGCGGTCAAAAAGGCCCGTCAACGCCCCGGGTGGTCTTCCCGGGTTATCCGACAGCAAGAAAATAGTCATTAGCGATATGGGTTGTGGAGAAGCTCAACTAGCACTAGACGTCAGTAATTTCTTCAAACGTCATAACAAGAAAGCCAAGAAACATCATCAAAAAAAATGTGAGGTGCATAGCTTCGACCTGAAAAAGGTGAATGAGAGGATCACCGTGGCCGACATTAAGCACGTTCCATTGAAAGACGAATCTTGTACTGTGGTCGTTTTTTGTTTAGCCCTCATGGGTACCAACTTTCTGGATTTTATCGAGGAAGCGTACCGAATTTTAGCACCAAGAGGTGAACTTTGGATCGCAGAAATCAAATCTAGGTTTGCCGACGGTAAGGGCGAAGAATTCGTAGATGCGCTCAAATTGCTTGGATTTTTCCACAAGACAACCGATGACACCAACAAAATGTTCACAAGATTTGAATTCTTTAAACCACCACGTGAGATCATTGAAGAACGTAAAGCGAAGCTGGAAAGGAAGCAGAAATTTATCGAAGTTGAAACGCAAAAGGAGACCTTGCAGAAGCGTAGGAATAAACAAGCAGAAGGCGAATGGCTTCTTAAACCTTGTATCTATAAAAGGAGGTAAAAGTCTTTACAATTAGTTCACTCGTAATGCTAGTGTTAATTGCGTTGGAACAAATTTTGAACTGTCATCAGATTGCCAAAATTTGTGAGCCCGCCAAAGTTGGGAAGTCCGCTGAAGTTCATCCACGAGGCAAATTGATCCGGGGTTTGATTGGGATCCCATTTGCCGCAACTCCTGAAACCCTGAGCGTTCCATCCCGTTAGAGAAACACCAATCGCGACCAAGATCAGATACAAAAACCTCAGTTGCAAGACGCAGAACACACCAAAAAGCATCCAAGCACCAGGCGCTACGTATAATGACCACCAAAACAATTTGGAGTCTATAGGATTGATAGGAGATCCAGGTGGGTACTGTTTGTAGGATTCAAATGTAAACGTTTCTTTATCGGTGCCGGACGAATTATACCACCAACGTAGTTGGACCAGTTTCCTGCCGGTAATGTTTTTCGTAATATAGAAATCGACTGCCAGTAGCAGAAGCACCGCTATGAAATGCGCCGTAAAGCTCATAAACCATGATCCGATCAAATAGAGTACTATCGGAGCAGCTTTTCCAAATATGTGGAACGAAAGCGTGAGCGGGTGGGATGACTTTAAAATCGTCTGGTAAAAGTTCCTTGCATGATCCATGCCGAGTTTGAGATGTTCGAGAACAATTGAGTCTAGTAATCGATTTAATGAAATCGTTGTAAAAGCAGAGCAGTAAGGTTTTCCAGTACCAGAAGGTTTACTTTTACGTTGAGCTTTCAACTCATGGAAAAAACACTAAAAATGAAAAAACTCCGATACGGGGAGTCGAACCCCGGTCTCCACGGTGAAAGCGTGATGTGATAGCCGTTACACTATATCGGATAATTCATGAAGATCGTCAAGTGTTTTACCTATATAGGCCTAACAGAGATTCAGCCCAGCAGTTCCCAGTTCCCTAGAAGGTACAAGTTCATAAATTTTGATTAGTTTCGATATTGGTCATGATCAACTTTCAAGCAATTGCTAATCTCATCGACCTCCTTGGGTTTGAATTGTATCAGAATTTTGAACTTAGTAAAATGCCATCAAACTTTTGTATCCAAATGTCATTTCTAGCTGACTAAACAATAATGATCATGAAAACCTTAATAACTATGCTATAATACTCTATTTAACTAATAAAAAAAATGAGTGTTCCCTGAACTGTCCTCATGAACCGGCATTTCATTCCTCTTGAATTCGTTAAGTTCCAGTTTAATGGCGGAGACAAAATTAGCCGAGTTCTTTTGCATGATTTTCCGACGCATCTTAATGAAGGTTTTGTCGCTACGTTCGTAATCCGCTGCTGCATATGTGTCGTTGACAAATACAGAATCACCAAATCGAACAGACTTGGGCAGTGTTTTGTCTCTAATGCTTGGCCTCAGAGAAGTGACATTGCAATTTAAATGGACAACATGCCAATCTCTGTAAAGATCTTGAAGCAGCGCTTCCGTAAACTCAGGAGGGGTATTGCCCTTAGAAGCATGTTGGCGATAAAATCCAACGGCAGAGTCCTTATTGAGCAGTCTTGGCCTTTTTTGAGACCTAGGAGGCGGATAAGAGCGGGGATCCGGAACTGACTTTTTCGTACCTTGCTCCTTTTCTAGATCGATCAACGAGCCCAGCTTTGAAAAGTCATTAATTAGTTTAGGATCCAACAGGGTATCCTGTTGCAACTGCGATTGCACGGTCGCTGGCAAATCCGGAGTCGTATCGACACCAGTAGATGCAGGGTCAGATTGCTGGGTCTTCGACTGAATTGCCCTGGTAATGCGTGAATGGTCGCTCTTCAGAAGAAGACTGTCGAACACCAAGTCTATGTCCATCAACATGTCACTTTCGTCATCATCTAGATCGATATCGTCCAGATCATAGATATCAGTTCCATCCTTCTTTGTTTCATCGCTTGTTGGCGACTCAGAACGATCTTTTTGTGGCTCAGTATTCATACTGCTTGACTTAGTGCCATTTGAGTGCGGCATGGGTGGTTTTACTTTGTCGACATCTACTGAGGGCAATTTGTGCTGAAGGCTCTTGGAGGGCTTCATTTTCGCTTGCTGCTTTTTGGTCGACGGAAGTAATTTCTTGAAGAAAGATCCCAGACGAGAAGAGCGTGACCGTTTCAAAGTCGGAAGCTTGTCTTCGACCGCGTTGATGTCAGTTTTTGAAGGAGAAGGTCCAGCGTCTTTAGAGTTTGCGCATGTGCTTTTCTCGACGTTCGAGGTTGCTTTAATAGATTGAACACTCGGATGCTTTGACGTCACCTGTAGTTCGTGCTTCCGCTTGCTGTTAGTTCGAAGGGAGCCACGTTTCACAACATCCGGAATTTCTGCCGCTTCACTTGGACTGCTGCTCGTATTGCTGCTAACGACATTTTCACTTCTCAGACTGTTGCTGCTATTAGATGTGGACGTGTTACTGGAGGCGACCTGCGCTTTCGGCAATAGACTGCTAAAATTATTATGCGAGTAGATGGAGGGGTTGGCACGGGTGGGACTAGGTCGATTTTTGCCTTGACTGTTGGTGTCGTTACGGAGACCAAAAGCCACTGGCGGGTTAACTGGAGCAGACGGATAAGTGGGCAGTTTGGAAAGACTGGAAAGACTGGAATACCTCTTGAGGTCATTTCGGGGTAGATTTGGAGGAGTCAAATGAAGATTGTCTCTTCTATTCAATTCGCTCGACGGACGAGCAGGTATTGCAATCAGGGGCCCAGGAACAGAATCCCTAATCGACGGGGTTTGGTGAGTTTGACCTGAAACTGGATGAAAATTGCTGCAGCTCGCAGATTTCGGCAGCATCCTACCACCTGACTCGTTTTGAAACGTTCTTACGCTTTGGTTCCGCGGAGTAAAGCTTTCGCCGTTCGGAAACTGGAAACTATTTTTCATCTGTCTCCTCTGCATCTGATAAGGCGTCATTTGCATGACAGACACCTGCTGCCGCGGCTGCGGCCGTAGCTGCGGCAGTTGCCGCTCGTAAGATGCCAAATACGCCGGTGACGAATTTTGTCGTTTTTCCGGAATATGGCTCAAGTTCTGCGTTGGGAGCGCCCGAGAGCTGTTGAACCGTCTGTATGGTTTCGGTTTGACCCGGCTCGAAGGAACCTCGAACAGATCCGACGTAGAGCCCGATCTAGGCATCAATCGACCGTCTTTCGCTTCGGTCTCGAAATGCGACGAAGATCTCGAGTAAACGCTGCCGCTGTCGTTGAAAGATTGTCCAGGAAAGCTCATTCTAGGCTAGTCTAATAAGTTGTGGTTGTGTAAAGCGAGAGAATTATGATCGTTTCATGCGATCGACATTAAAAGTTCCTCCTAGTCTGGCTGACTTAAATTTAGAACGTATGATTCAATTGGATTCGGAGTTTCTGTAACGACTTGAATAAGCCCTGGAACCGGTCCTTCTTTTCAACAAAACTGAACAATCAGAGTCTGAATCGTCACACAGTGTAAAGGGTCGGACTGGTCTCGTTTGCCCAGTCTGGTCCTCTAAAGAATAAAACGGTTTTATATTTGAAGAATGGGTTTGTTGAATTTTTCGTATTTTAACAAAGCCCCATGAAAATTGAAGTGTTGATCGCACTTTGAACGAAGGGCTTTCGAGTTTCAGAGGCCGGCACTTTAGCAAAGGCTTTTTCTTGGCCATTGGGCTCTTAACAAAATTGATTTGCAGACCTTTTCTAAGAGTGATTAGATCAATGCAGACAGAATACGCAGCTTTGAGACTTTTGTTTCGACTTTCTAAATTATATGAGAAATTAGGGTGCGCGTAGTTTGTTGACCGTTTGTAAAATTATGCGGAGTCGTTCACCTCGAGAGATTCGCTTGTGTATTGACCCTTTTTGGAGGAGTCCACCTCGAGAAGATGAGAACCTTCGGCAGGGAGTGTGGGCTTTTTGGTGAAAACATCGAATTCGATGCCCTTGTGTTTGCAGTACACGTAGCGGATCGCAGAACGAGCTGCAAGCACGAGGAAACCGGCTAGAACACCGCCAAAAGGTGCAACAACGAAAGCTCCGAAAGTCGACCAGTCGTTAACGTAGAGGCCATTCCAAATCAACAGCAGTCTTCCACCCTCTTTTGGAGAGTTGTAGTATACGGTACCAAAAATCCACACGGCTAGGATACCGCCAAGACCGCCGCCGATGACTTCCCAGGCGGTGAGGAAAAAAAATTTGGACGAAAGACCCAGCATCAAAATCGGCACCACGGTACTGGACAAAAGGTCAACGATCAGGTAAATGGTCAAAACGTCCTCAGCGATCAGACCGACGACCACAACAGGTACCATAATGGCCACGACAATACTACGCACGTAGATGATGGGTAGTTTGTTGCGGAAGACGTCGTTCGAGATCGTAGAAACGAGGGCACTTTGCAGAGAGTCCAAAGTACACGTTGACAAAACCGCGACGAAGACCAGTGTGAATCCCATGACCCACGAGGGTAATTGCGCCAAAAGAATGAAAAAACAGGCGCCCGAATTTTCTTGGTCAGCGACCTCGACAAGTCCAGCCCAAACGGCGATGAAACCCGTGACACCGACCACGGTGACAAAGGCGGTCAAAACGAAGAATGCGATACTGCAACCCATTATCAGGTCCTTGTTGGAACGGGCCGCGAACGTACGTAGCCAGAACCCACTCATAAAGAAATCGTTGGTGAAGATGGCCACCACCAAGATGTACACGAGTTGCCAGCCGAGCTTGTTGCCCTTGAGCAGGCCCGAGGGCCCGATCTTGGAACGGTCGATCTCGACGTAGCGGCCCATTGCGCATGCGACCACGATCAAAAGCACAAACACGATACCCACCTGAAGAGTGTCCGTGAGGAACGAGATGTGGAACCCACCGATGCTGGTGTAAATGGTCGTAACGATACATTCCACGATCACCACAGGGAGAGCCTTGATGTTGGTCAAAGTTTCAATCGCGTATTTGAGCGACGCGATCTCGCTCACCATGAACAGGTAGACGGTCAAAATCGTGCACGCACTCAAATAAAGCCCGCACACTTTGCCATACCGCTGGAAAACCCACTCGGTCAGAACAAAGCCCTCAGGAGCACGTTTCTTGAGCTGTGGGCCAAAAAACGCAAACAGAAACATGGGAAGTCCACCCGCCAATGCGTAGACGAGCAGGCCCTGGAGCCCGTCGATGTTAGCGATTTGCGGGTACGCACTTAACACACCGCATCCCAATGCCGACGCGACGAAGTTAAACGCCAATGGAACACCTTTCTGAGTCCCGTTCGCCGACAAAAAAGTCTTCGAGTCTCGCTTCCAGTATGCTACTATCGAAGCAGTAATGAGCAAAACGACGTAAGTGGGCCACACGATCCCATGCGCCGCTTGAAATGACAAATGCCCCATTTTTCGAGTTACGTGAGAGGTTTGTTTTTCAGCTTGTTTTTCACACCAAATCAGAGCAGTGCGACGGAAACCAAACAGGAGAAGAACTTGTTAGTGATCCAAATGGGACGTTCCTGACAAACAAAAGCTCAAAGATCGAGGTTCCAGCAGAAAACAAACAAAGAGAGTTCACAACAGAGACGAAAAGGTTTTCTTGCGGTACTCTTTCTTTCTTTTATTGCTCGAATCAACCGTTTCTACTGGCGCCGTTCTCGAACGGTTTGGGTTTTCGAGCCGCTGGCCTTTCTTCTGCCGGTGGGGTGGTCTTAGCGGGATGCGTTTGCATTCACATTGTAGAACAGTCGCCTTCTGAGAACGGCAGTTTCTGGGTTCAAAAGACCCTTACACGTACGAGGCTTTAGTACATGCAGATAGAGGCGCCGAGCGAATATCGCTTAAGAAGAGAACTTCACCACCCGCTTAGCGGGTAATGCCTCTATACGAATACTCATGAGTAACTCACAAGCTAACCTCCGTGCCTCATCACTAGGTACGTCAGTACTCGATATTTACTCATCGTCATTAACGGGATGTAAATCGACACTTGAACTGAGCCTTAACTGCCAGCCATAATGGTTGTCACGATCTCCGCAAATTGAACACCGGCTCTCGCACGTCGAAATCTCGCTGTTGTCGTTCTATGTCACATCTCTTGAATCTACGTAGTAGCCTATCTACCGGGAACAAAAAATATAGTTACGCGACCCCACACCCACAGACACTCGTGTCCCGCCCCTGAACCAGCAGTGGCGCGGTTTGCACCCACCCGTTCACTCCTCAGAGTCCGATTTCTTCTCTGCACCGTTCCCGCACATCATCTCCCGCAAAAAATCAAACTTCTCGTCCGTCATTATCGTCTTCTTCATCACGTCACCGCTGATGCGTTTACACCCCATCTCTTTGGCAACAAGGCCGCTACGGCTCACAAGCATGGCAATGAAAAACTCCAGCGACCGGCCCGTAATCACGGGCGTCGCCTGTGACACTTTTCCGATATCCTCGTCAGTCTGCATGATTTTCTTGATTTTGGCAGGCGGAAAATGGGTCTTGATCCGCGTGAATACCTCACTGCTGTTCTCGTCGCTCATGTTTGAACTAACAATCCAAATGACCTTCACAGTGTTTCGATCCGCGCGCCTTTGTCGTCCTTAGCGCCCGCGGCAGCGCCCTGCCCCATCGCTCTGTTTTCCTCTCTTATATACGCCGTCGCCGTCTGTTTTCTTTTTCTTTTCTAGGCACTACGTACGGTTCCGTACGTAGTGCCTAGATGCGCACGCGTCACGTTTTTCCCTCTCCACGAAACGACTCCAAGTAAACCGTCTCAAGTGCTAAAACCTCGCGTTGACCTACACACTTCTTAGTATTACTACACAACGGGGTTCGATATGTGTCACCGGCACGCTCAGATCGTACTCTCAGAGTCACAAAAGCGCGTCGTCTACCTTCCGGAACCACCAGGGGTCCATTGACTCTCACGCACTTTCGCGCGCGCTCAGTGTTTCTTGCACCCCCATCAAACGATCAGGTATCTGATAGGAATGTGCACCAACTTGATCGCGTAGCCAATGATACCCACCGCCAAGAACCCAATGCCCACGGCACGGACAATCTTCGAAAACTCTTTGGTGTTGGGTTTTTTACATTTCTGCACGAAAGCAGCGCCCTCTTTCACGAACTCGACGGGCGCCTCTGTGATCCTCTCGATCTGCGTGTTTCCCTTGGCCATTGCGTCTAAATTCTTGTCTTGGGTGTGCGATACGCGGACAGCAGAAGCCTTGTGTTCACGGTAGTGATCTTGAAAACTTTTCAGTTCCCGGTAGATTACAGTAGTCGTGTTCGAAAATAGGGCTCGTGGAAAGAGACCAGGTCCGGGTAACCTAAGGCGTTTCGTAGAAAGAGACTGAACTGAGCCGTGGTGGTGGTGTCCGGGTGCTTAGAAGCCGTTCCACTCATCTTCGTCGTCTTCGTCTTCGTCGTCGTTGTCGTCCTCGCCACACTCGCGCAGGGCACTGGGCCCCACTCCCCACTCCTTGAGTCTCGCGTCGCCAAAAATGTCTTCTTTGATCTTGTCTCTGAGCACTTTGATGTTGTTGGTATTAGAACTGAGATCTTGGAAAATATCCAGGAATTCGTTCAACGGCGTGGCAGCGATCAGCTCCTGCTTGCGAACACTGTTCTGCTCGTCGTCGTTGTCCTCACCCTCATACAGGTCGTCCTCATTGAACACCAACTTCTCCCACTCGTCCAAAAGGATATCTATAATGTGGAATGGGATACCATTGTAGACCTTCTTACTCCCACTGAGGGGCAGTTTACGGAGCACCGCGAATATGTAGGTGGTGACGAGTTCCGGTTGCCATTCGCGGCTTTGCAAGTACCGCAGCTGCGCGTTCAACACCCGTCTCACGAGCAAAAGGTACTTGTCGAGCCGGTGGTGGTCGATACCGTACCACTCTAGGCATATAATCCTCCAGAACGCCTTGGAGAACTTGATAAACGCCGCGTCGTTGCCAGTGAGCGCAGCTTTGTGACCTGCTCTGTTGTCCGCAGGACTGAAATAAAGCAAGTGCAACTCCGCCAAAGAGTCCGCGAGCCGCTGCTGCGGCCGCGGACGGTCACTGAACCACATCGAGAAATACAGTCCTTTCCACAATTTATCGAATTGCAACTGTTTGCCCTCTTTGAACTGCCGAGTCGCAAGGTACTTGCGCAGCGATTCGAACGCTTCTTCTCGCACCACACGCGAGTTTGATGCCAGTTGTTTCACCAAAGCCGACGATTCCATCTCCGGACGTTCTATAAGCGTATAATGACTCGATTATCGCTCGCGATGCTTTCAGGCCTCTAGCTCATCGCATGCCTCAAATTTTTTTCACTTTTCAGATGAGGCGAGAGTATTCCGTATTAAGTGATATATCTTTTTTCACTTATACCTCTGGGCCAGTTCCTGCTGTTTTTGCTTGGAATATAGCGTTCCAGTGGGTTTACAGGCACTGCCAGTTGGCTTGACAACTCCATTGGATTTATCGTCGCTTGCGGTTTGTTTCTTTTCCTTCATCATCATTTCGTACTTGGTTGGGTTAGCAACGAGTACATGACGAGTCTTTGCATCGCTCTCGACGTTGTCCGTGACACCAGCTTGCAAAGTGTGTTCGCGGGCGAAACGACTCAATTCAGTCAGTTTGAGAGATTCACCTGTCAAATGCCGGTGGAACATCTGGGTCTCGGAATCGATCTCCCCGACGGCATCGGACTTATAGACACGTGACTTCGGGTCGTAGTTGGTGTCTTCAGAGTATAAATCGTTCAAGTATGCGGCCTTATCCTCTCGTAGACGAGCCGAAGCTCTCAGACGGAAGTTGGAAGAGTCGTCGTTGTCTAGAAGTCCCGTTACGTCGTTTTTGTAGAGCCCCAGTGTGGCCAATTCGATCTCTTCGTCGGTATCCAAGAAATCCTCGCCCTGTAGCAACCCATTAGGATCCGGATCTTTCACGCTCTGTCTTGCCGACGTCCACTGTTTCAGTACGCGGTTGAAATCTGCGCCGTCATAGCCAAACCAGCGATCACGTTGCGAATCCCAGTCGGAATTTTCCTCGCCACGTCGTAAGTAGGCGGCTTTCCCCACTTGTTTTACCGCAGTCTTACCCCTACGCGGAACTTCTAAGCAATCTCGCCTGTCGTGTCCACTTTCACCGCAATTTTCACAGCGCTGTGCACGTCGCGCACGTCTTGGACCGTGGATTCCCTTCTTAGTTCCTACCTTGACAAACTCATCCCTAATACCGCGACCCACTTTAGCCTCTCCATTGTTTTCAATGCTGAGGTAATTATCGCGGGTATTATGGCTTCGATGATGCGCCAAATAGTCGTCTTGTCCTGCGTCGCGCCCAGATTCATTATTGTTCTTCCCATCCTCAAAAAACCACGGTTTTTCCTGGATGAACCGGGGAATATGCACATTTGCCTGTTTCCTGCTCATCTCGACAGGTTTTGTGTCACTGACCCTGCTCTGACTTGATCACTTTATGCCTGGTTTAACGATCGAGATGAGCTTGACAAAGGTGGGTTTCTTGATTGGAACTTCTAGCAACTGTTTCGTGACGAACGATCTAACGCTGATGAAAGATGATGCGAGCCGGAAAGCAGCTAAAGTGGGAGCCTTGTAAGCATTTAATCACTGATTGCTTTATCTTAAGCGGTCATCGCTGCTGGACTCCTGCCCGCCTCAAGGTAAAAGGTTCCGGTAGTAATAGTTTCCGGTAGTAATAGATTCCTCATAGACAGAAAGACAGAGTGCGTTATGCAACTGCCCGAGGCGTGCTCAGTTGAGGAATACTACTGGTGTGCGACATAAAGCAAGCACCGCAAATCGCCGGAAAATAAGTCGAAAGCACCATTCTCTTATATTCTGACGAATTTCTGACCGTCCCTACTCCTACGAGTATTCCAGATGAGCTTCAGAGACTTTTGGATGGAAAGAACAAAATCCAAAAAAACGAACTAGTTGCGTTCATGCTCCCTCTTCTTCATCCGCCACACTCGCATGCAAATCTTTCAATTTATTCATAACCCCTAGGACAAATGGCCGCAACTCGTTGATTTCCAGAATACTCAGATTGTCTAATTGCAAATGAGACTCATTAAGCTGCTTTAAACCTTGGAAAATTTTACCTTGTCGTATTTCTCGCAAATCTTGAATCTTGCCTCTTAGCAAATGTACCGGGTCTTGCAAATCGTCAGCTGCTCTATTAAACAGCAATTGTGCCACCACAAGCCAACTCATAGGCAAATCACTAAACCTGCCCGGGTTCTTTAACTCGTAATCAATATACATTTGCAACTGTTTCAGCGTTAACCAAACTGGTGGAACTATTGAACATTTACCTTGTTGTTTCAAAAGCAGTGCCAACCAAAGTGCCACTTCTGTCGTTTGCGTAGCAACCATATTGTTCAACGGCGTCTCTTCGGCAGTAACTAATCTCCAACGCATTTGTTGCTGTGAACTTCGCTGGCGGCGCTGTCGCACTGTCGATCTTACCGTTATACGTGGGAAAATCCGAATCGGTTCATTTTCCACTATGAATTGGATCTCTTCGGGGCTAAAAGTCTGCTGTAGGGTTTTCGGAAGTGACATTGACCGCTGATCGAAACTAGTATGGGCGTCAAGCTGGATTTCCTTAGGGAGATGTTCACTTTTCTTATAGAATTAAGTTAGAGATGACTTGGTTTAATTTTTCCGTCATCATGAAATCTTGAAATTAATCATCGGATGAAACCGAACTTTGACCAAATTATCACCACAACTGTTCGTCAATAGGTGACTCAAATGAGTCAAGAACTCTTGTAATATGTCCTGGACACGCCATTTAATCCAATTGGGTTACCGGCAGCCGAATTTGGTGAACAAACAGCTTATTTTGGCAGTTTTAAACTCAACGGCGACCAAACGTGAAGCGAAAGATTATATGAAAAAATACGGTCAAAATGATACCACAAACCATTGTTTGATATTGGTCCGTGATGTTTGGGGCGACGGTCAGAATCGGATTGAGAGGTTTTCTCACGTAGTCGGCCGTTTGAAATTGTTAGGTGTTAATCCAATTTTTGTATTGCATCCCCGAACCAGTCCTTTGAAAATTGTAGAAAAATTGGATTATGCGCTTCACAAAGTCGGGCTGTCGCCAATGCGTGTATCTGATCCTCTGGTAAAAATGGCGGGTGGTCAATTTCGTGCTGCGTTTTCTTGGCAAAATCTTAAAGGAATTGTACCCATTGTACATCCAATTTATTTCGATGAAGTGACGTGTAAAAGAGTCATTACTAACAGTTTGTCCGATTTCATGGTGCAATTAGTCCAAAACGCTAATTGTCATATTGAAAAATTCGTTATTTTGAATGAACATGGTGGGATTCCATCAGGTGAGCGACAACAAAATTCCCATGTTTTCATCAATTTGTCCCAAGAGTTTGACAGCCTTAAGGCGTCCTTGCAAAAGACTCTCGTGGCTGTTGACGGGCAGTTTGATCCCGAATGGCAGAATTTTGGTCAGCAAATTGATGCAGTTTTCAATCGCGATGACCTGCTGAAGACTCAGGCACAAATGCGAGACCATCTCGAAGACTTGCAAGTCATGAACGCCGTGCTGTCGGTTCTTCCGTTTACATCGTCCGGACTTTTGACTACACCCCAAGCTGCGTCGGCACTCGGATCGAAAAATCCAATTCTCTACAACGTATTAACAGATCGCTCTTTGATATCGTCATCACTACCACGATTCAAAAAAGAAGCTAGAAGTGATTGTTCTTGGTATGAACTACCAATAAGCGACGATACTGAAACCAAGTCTGTTGATGCAGCATTGGTAACGACTATGCTTAAAAAGGGCGTTAACATCAAGACTTTTGACTATAAATCACTGAATTCTGGGAATTGCGTTGGGTTCCCGAAGAAACTGGACCAAGGAAATGTTACACCTGTACCGGAATCGGAACAGCTGGATCTTAGCAAGGTCAAACGTATAATCGATGATAGTTTTGGGCGCGAGCTAGATCTCTGTCATTACTTGGAAAGAATAAATGGAAGAATCGCTTCCATTATTGTGATTGGCGATTATGAGGGCATAGCCATCTTAACTTTTGAGGGTCCGCAGGATTTTCCCTTCCCGTATCTTGACAAATTTGCTGTACTGCCGCATCTGAAAGGCTCCCTCGGCATTTCAGACATTATCTTCAATTTAATGTTCAAAAAATTCCCGACTGAGTTAGCATGGAGAAGCAGAAAGGACAATGTGGTTAACAAATGGTATTTTCAGAGAAGCGTGGGTGTGCTGGATTTGAGCATAAACGTCAATGGGCATGATGCTAAAGAAAGCATATTCAGGCTGTTCTTCCACAGAGGTTCCAATGAACATGGCAGTAACTCGAGTCTATCGAACAGGATAAGAGAATATGCATATTACGTCCGCGATATTAAGCCGAGCTGGAAGTCCTAATTGTATAACTGATTTATTTTACGCACCGCCCTTTGACGAACTTTTTAAATATCATTGCATTTCATTCTTATTTATTTAGAACCCTCAACTGCTGCTTCAACCACACCGTCACTCTTTTATTTCCTCTCGAATTTCCAGCTCAGATTTGGAGCCTTCGCTCTTACCTTGTTCAACGTCACCCTCAGCATTGGCCTTCCTGCTGCTAACATTACCAATCTCGAGCTCAATATACTCACCTTCGAGAGCTGGGGTGTAAGGTTCCATTCCTAGCGCCTCACACTCTTCTAAGCTGAATGCATTGAAGTAGTCCTTCGTATCGACAGCACCTAACCTTTGCTTATAAGGAAATATCAGCGTCAAAATGTAATATAGAACTCCCGAAACTATCACCGAGAAAAATGTGTAGCCATTGAAAAAGTTGTTCATGCCTGCGTTGACAGGAAGCTTTGTATTGATCGAAAAGACAAGGCCCGGCAAACCCAAAGCAACACCAACTGTGAGTGCGAAAATGGCTCTGAGATTGAAACCGTGGTAAAACCAGAATGCACCATTGGGATCCATGGTAAACAAATCGGACACCGCTATGCGCGTCTTACGAACGACGTAATAATCCACAACGTTAATGGCCATGATTGGTGTGGTGAAAATTCCGAAAGATGTCATAGAATTCAGAAAAGCGGAAGACGTGTTGAAAAATGTCCAAGGTTGAACCACCCACGAAATTAGCTGGACGAAAAGAGTACCACGGACAATGTTAATGTATTTGGGGAAGATACCTGCCAAATCCATCCCGCAAGCATATCCATTCTGAGTCATATTGACCACGATTTGGGCACCAGTAAAACTAATACCAATGAAGAAAGCTGCACAACGAGCCTTTGCAGTGTAACCATCTTCCAAGAACTTCAAGACCATGTCAGTGGGTAACCAAAGAGGTTCGCCGTAAAGACCTTGCGACGCAGAAGCACAAAACATGCCTGCGACAGGAGCGAAGGTGCCTGCGAACAGAATGCCCAGTGCTATTCCAGAATGCATTCCGACCTTATTAGAAGCGTATCTCGAATAATCTGATTGATTTGCCATTACAGGCGAAATACCACTATACCATATTGTCATTGCAAGCATCCACATCCAGGACCTTTGACTTGACGTGAGCTCCACGCCTTGATAATAAATCGGTCCTGGCCCACCATTCTTGCTAACAAAGTAAGCAAGAAGACCAATGATGGAGAAAAGAGTCATAAAAGAAAACATGACCCCGGCTCTGTTAATTTTTCTGGGATGGATAAAACTCAGAGGCATTTGAATAAGCTGAAATATCAAAAACGCTACGCAGTCACGAGTAGTCATGGGCACTGACTCCGGAAACGTGTTCTTCATATTCATGTAATTTTTGGACCATGAGCTGAAAACTAGGTTCAGACAAAGCCCGCCCATCCAGGACAAATACCCATACAAGACGACTGACAAGCCGATTCGAAAGATAATCCCAACTGATGATCCGTAGATCCCAAATAACATTCTTTGGTCCAATGTGTAACCGATGTGATATTTGAATCCTGGATTGGAGTTCATCGCCGTGTACAACGCGATGACAATGTTGCTTACAACAATGGCACCAATCGATTGTTTAACATTCAGACCTAAACTTAACAATGCCGACCCGATACTTATCGCTGCGGCTGAAAAATTTGGTAGACCCCAGTAGGCAAAAAACGACCAAAAACCCCATACTCTGTTCGCATGAGGTATAGGTTCTAAGTCTGGGTTTCTTAGCACTGAAAGTGGTTTACCAGAATGCGGAACCTGTAGCTTTTCGAGGAACTTTTCAAAGCTCACCGTCATGATCAATCAGGTCTCGATTTGACAGGTACTCTTGGCTTAATTCAAAAAAAAAAGAACGTCTTTTCCTTTTAACCATTTATAGCGGCATCAAGCTCCGCATTGATATGTGGCAGTTTCCACACAGGCAATCGACTGAAAAAAACCTTATCAATTCATTGTAGCTCATATAAGCAAGCAGCCATTTGCTGATTAGCCGATAGTGTCAAAATTTTTAGCAAGTCCGGGCAGCTTTCTTTTTTTTTTCAAGCTTTAAGCTTAAAAAATGCCAATGCTCGGAAGGGCTTCGTCCTTTTTATCTCGAGATTTGATAACAGAAGTTTAACCGAGACGATGGAAAAAAAAATCCGACGGATATAACCGACTCGATGCTGAAGTACGACAAAGTCTTCGCATCTGGTAAAGGAGACAATGGCATTTCCATCCCTAGAACGCTAGGGTAAAAGAAGGAAGGACCTTGTAGTAACAGTCATTGACGCCCTTAGCAAAATCTGGCGAGCTGTTTGGCAAATCGAGCGAACAGTTACGAATTCTTGAAAAGTGAATGCGGTACAGTAGAACTCTCGATTGCTTGTTTCTCAAAATTCCGGAAACGATTCCGCTGTATAGACAGTCCCCATACGTACAAATTCCCATTCACTCTTGAAAGTGTCACGGCGATACGTTCTGCGCATGTCTGGAACGTTATGTCTGTAGCGAGTCTCTGTGTCTATGTCATACCACAGATCGATACCGCCAATGTCGTCCTTGAAAAAAGATGTCCTTCCCGTTGTTACTCCGATCCAATGCCTCTTGTAAAAACCCTCATATCCGCTGCTCACGATGCTGTTTCGCAAAAATTCGCATAAATCCGCGCTATTCAGCTTGTATATGCTTGCAGCCACACTGAACTCTTCGATTATTGGCTCCGACGTGTATGAGCTGTTCAGCAAAACCGAGTTGGTCGAAAGTGTGACCAAAAGGCCAGCTTTGTGCATTTGAAAAAATGGATTTTGCGTGTACGTTCCTTGTCGCTGGATAGTGACATCTCTTGTTCTTGTTTGGTGGTCGTCAAAGAGCTGCCTTTTCACCATGCTTTGGTATGGGGATACGGAAGACAATGGTGACAAAACCAGGGGAATTTGAAGAAGATAGAATGCATAAACCATGGCAGGGGAGGAGTTCCATAATGGTTCTGCGTGCAGTAGTCCACCTTGACACAGCAAAAGGTTGGAGATTAAGGCCTCCACATGTTCTGTGGTGTTGGCCTTGGGCAAAAACTGAGAAACTCTATTACCCTTTTGCGGACACGAATTTCTCAGAGCAAAGGTATTTTGATGTCTTTCGTATCTCTGCTTGTTCAATTCCGCAATGTACCGATTAAGGTAGTACATGTAAAGAGAAATAGGTGGATTATCACCTTTAGCCACCCAATGGAGAGGCTTCTCCTGGATGGGATTCGAGAATGATGTCCAAGTGTAGTCATCTTCCATATGGTTCACCATGTCAAAACAACACAGTGTCGACAACACAAACTGTAACTCGATATTGTTTTCTGCTTCGGCATTTAACAAGGGTTGGAAAAGTCTGTCAAGAAACGCCTGGAAATTTGGCACCTGGCCCGTCGAAAACACTTTGGAGTAACATCGCGATATTCTCAGGTTCCATCTTATGTTGTAAGATACCAGCCGCCATCTTACTATCCATTTTGCAAAATTTGACCACCAGCTTTCGGTAAACTGGAAATCAATTGACAGCTGCGCAATTTGATATTTGCTTCTCTCGAGGTTGTGGATAACATGCTTTATGATTAGTAAAGCAAAATATTCTCCATCGATAAAATTGTCAAACTCGAGGAACGTTCTGGCAATCATGAAGTACATTTCTTCTTTGTTACTCATGGAAGCCGGAATACAACCAGTCAAGTGATAATTAGGCAAGTAGGTGGTTTGATACCATTCTAAGAAAGTATCGTCAACAGCTCTTAAGCCGATGTCGGCCTCTTCGTTGTTTTTTGCATTTTTCCCATGACAGAATAGTTGTCGCAGTGTAACCTCATTGCCATTCGAATCCTTATATACTATTCGCTCTGCTTCTGAGTTGAGTTTTTCCCAAATAAATTCGTTGAGCTGCCGCTGAGAGACACATCCGCTGAGCAAATGATTTTGATCAACCTTCCGAATGTTATAGAAATCGCGATGCGAAACTTTCTTGTTTTCTGCAATCTCCGAATTGCCATTTAAGTGCTGGAAAAGCTCAAACTTATTCACAAGGTAATCGATTCGTTTAGAGGCAATAGGCTCAAGATGAGATGAGGTGAGGAAATTGAAGGTAGCCTCAAAATCTCGGAGATATCCAGATATTGGTGGCACAGAATCGACAAACTTATCATAATCGAACTTCTCAGAAGATTGCAGTGGCTTCACGTGCTTGTTGAACTCGAATTTGTAGTGATCAATGTCAAAAAACTCCCCAGTGTAGAGCGTAGGATCTTCGTCGGCGCCGAAGAATCCGCTATCTGGTCTAAAAGTTCCGCCAACTTCATTGAATTCGTGATTAGATCCGATGGGCGTTTCAAATCTCTTGTCCCTGTCAAATCTCCAAAACTTCGGCAAAGGCTTGGGATATAAAAACCACTCATTTATATCATTTTTGACATTGTGTTTTGCGCTCTGAAACGAGCCGTTAACGTACTCAGCTCTTTTCCTACTAATCTGATCGTACGAGTAGACTTCAAGCGACGAGATGTAAGAGGGTCGTCTCTTGAGACTGCGCTTTGCTTCATCGTTAATGTCTGCCCACCTAATTGAGTCAATATCTTCTTGCTCTTCGATATACATTGGATGACCAGACAGAATTTGCTTGTCAAATGCGGTTTTGAGAGCCACCATATCAGAATCATCAAGAGCAACAGTGCTTAAGTTTGTAGAAAGACTATCATCTTGTTCACTGTAAAAAAGGGATTTTCTCCGGCCGCTCAATTGCGCCATTTTAGAGAAGTGTCACTCTTGTGAAATATCTTAGTGGACTAGCGATTCGTCACGGTAATGGCGATGTTCGTAGACTCAGCCGCGACGAAGGGATTTATTGCTGGGTATTTCCGATTTCAGTTGATGTTTTGACGATTTCCTCAGTCTAATTAATATATTATCTTCACCATTAATGAAAATCATCGACACACCGGAGTTACTCCAAATAGTGAAAAGGAAATCAGCATTCCATTCACATAGAAGCGTTATCACTGTCTGATCTCCTGTTGTTCATATGAGTTTACACGTAGTATTGCAACAATGTTTTCTGTCGCCTCTTGTAAAGATCACAGGCTCTAATTTCTCACTTTAAGTAACCGTTTCTCAATCAGTGGAATGTAAATAAAATACCCTTTTCACAACGATTGATATCAATCAATTTCGTTATTTGTTAAAGCGCTTATGAGCTTCCATGGGGATGAAGAGCGTTTCTTCTTTTAGACAGCTATAATGTACGTTTTGAAAGCGGATTGACTCCATAGGCGGGGTGAGCTTACCTGAAAAAATCCCGGCTACAATCGACTAAAAATGGGATCATGGCTATGGAGCCCTTCGAAGATATTGCTTTCTATGTTCGGCTTCCAAAGGTCGTCTAGCGGGCGGCTAATCGTCAAATGCGACCGTTGCGAAATACAACGAGCCGTCAAATGAACTGGTTTTCGACCCAGATTGCACTCGACTACACATTTCATAAATAAATATAGAATAGCGCTAATTGATGCTGTGTGGTCTGGATTTCGTATTCAGAAGCGTTTCGAGCGTCCCAATTCAATGCGCCTTGATCTGACATTTATTTCAGATAATTCGTGATGCCTATAGATATCTCTACCTTCGAGTTTCTTTAGGGAGCGTGAGGGGAGGTTCCTATCATATACCCAATGATTGAAGTGTTTCAGATAAACCTTGCTCTCGTACTTGCTCGTATGGCGCAGTGGTAGCGCAGCAGATTGCAAATCTGTTGGTCCCCAGTTCGAACCTGGGTGCGAGCTTGTTTTTGGTATGCTAAATATAGACTTACCCTTAGTTTAACTTACTTCTAGCGAAGACGATTTAAACTTATAGACAATTATTTAGTTGCTTCCAGTGTCAGCTTTTTTCCTGCCAAATAGCCACTTCTTGAATGGGGTACTCCTGCTCCGAATCCTGTTCTTGAGCGTCAAGGTATTGATAAACATCACCAATATTGTCCTGGAACGGTAACATGCTCAACGCTGACAATTCTTTCGACGTAAAGCAATCAAAGAAGTCTATAGGATCAACCTGCCCCAGTTTTTCATGTTTCAGAGGAGAAATCAAGTTAAGACCCAGATAGAGGAATCCCGTTACTAAGGGAATGAAAAACATGTAGCCATAGAAATAATTTAGCATGGCCATATTTGGCTTCAAAGTCTCTTGAGCCTGGTAAACTAGACCGGGAATACCCAGAACAATTCCAACAATAAGAGAAACAAGTGCTCGCCAGTTACATCCATAGTCAAACCAGTAAGCGCCTCTTTTCGATAATGTAAAGAAATCTATCAATGTAATCTTCGATTTGCGAAACCAATAGAAATCGATAACATTGATAGTCACAATAGGCGTTGTAAAAATTCCAATCGAGCTCATTGCATTCAAAAACGAGGAAGATGTGTTGAAAAAAGTCCAAGGTTGTACTACCCACGATAATAACTGGATAAACAAGGTTCCTCTCGTCACGTTGATGAATTTAGGAAAAATTCCCGCCAGGTCCATTCCACAAGCGTATCCATTCTGGGTCATGTTTAAGAATACTTGAGACGAAGTAAAACTCAATCCAATGAAAAAGCTCGCGGCACGCGCCTTAGCAGAATAATCAGTATTAAGCCATTGAGATATAATTTCATCCGGAGTCCAATAGGCTGTTCCATACAACTGTTTGCAAGCAGAAGCACATAGCATTCCGGCCAGCGAAATGAATGTACCAGGAAGAACAATTCCGATGAAGAGGCCAAGATAGCAGGACAAGCGCCCACTAGCAAACCTGGAAAAATCTGATTGATTCGCAACACCGGGTGAGATTCCACTATACCAAATAGTGATAGCAAACAGCCACATCCATGATCTTTCCCCCGCTGACAACGTTACCTCTTCATAATATAGAGGACCTGGGCCACCGTTTACCTTGGTCAAATATGCCAGAAGACCGATCACTGCAAAAAGCGTCAGGAAACAGGATATAATTGAGGGAATATTGACTCTACTTGGTCTCACAAAAGACAATGGCATCTGGATGAGCTGGAAACATATAAATCCGATGCAGTCGCGTCTTGTCATTGGCACAGACTCAGGAAAAGTATTCTTCATGTTCAAGTAGTTGTTTGAGAAAGAATCGAAGACCATATTCAAACAAAGGCCCCCGAGCCAAGCCTGGTACCCATAAAAAACGACTGATAGACCTACCCGAATGATAATGCCAATGTAGGAACCGTAGATGCCAAAAATCATTCTCTGTGCCAAAGTATAGCCGATGTGATACTTTATACCCGGATTCGAGTTCAAAATGGTGAATCCGGCGATAATAACATTGGCGATCACCAGGGCGCCAATTGACTGTTGAATGTTGAGATTCAGAGCGAGCAAAGCCGACCCAGTCGAAAACGTGGCAACTGCAAAATTGGGCAGCCCCCAATAAGCGAAAAACGACCAAAATCCCCATGTTCTTTCGTTACGCGCAACGGGTTCTAAGTCGGGATTTCGCAACACTGAAATAGGTTTTCCCTCGTGCGGTACCTCGAGCGCTCTTATAAATCGCTTCCAGCGTGTTGTTGGCTCCTCGCTTTTCTCCAAACGCGCTTCTTCTTGCACAATGGCAATGTCGGTGTTGCTCAGCACAGATTTGACGCCATTAGTATTCTTGGTGGCTATATTGTGTTCTTCATCAGCCAAAATTCCGGAAAATGCCGCCATCGGGTCTTGAGTCTAGAACGGGACAGATTCAATTCTCAGATTCACAATTCGATTTGTTCCTCCGAGCTTAACGCCCACAGATGACCACACTCATCGCTCGACTTTTAACTCTTTGTTAGAATCTCTTTGCTTACGTCACCTTTGAGCCTTTTGGCTTATCAGCCGAAATATCAGTTGAGATCGTCGGGACAAAGGCTTATCAGGTGCTAAAGATATTCGACCATTACCAAGAAGGGTAATAAAATTCCGAATAAGCCAATATTCCTCGGAATTCCAATTTGTCTATCAGGGCAAGCAATCTCAACTAAGGTGTCTCTCGAGATGAACAATACTCCGCACCAATGAGAACTGAAGGCTTGTTTTTCTTTTTTTGCAGACCTAGTGTCAAGCTTTTTGTTGCAATTTCGGTCGGAATCTTGAGCGGCTTTACTTGAGATCAATCACTGCAGCAGCTGATCTGAGCCTTCGGCTCAGCTTTATCGACTTTCTTATCATTTTCCAGCAAATCTGCGCTTACATCTTGAATGATACGAGGGAAAAGGGTCATTTGAAGACTCAAATTGTAGACTGAACGGCGATCAGCGACAGAGACGCGAAAAATTCCCGACAATGTCTACGTCCTATAGTTTACGTACCCGTACCTGTTGGTAGCGCCAGCTCTAGACCACTGAATAAACAAATGCACAGCGTAGAGCGGAATTGGCGAGAAGTCTCGCGTGAGCGGGCAAAGCACCGAAATTTCGCAGCAAAATCAGTTGGTTCCAGTTGACAAAGCAAGGGCGGCACTGTGAGGTAACAATGATTTAACGCTACGGCTACATCCGAGTCACGTGGCCAGAACTGTTATCTTCTCGTACACTGCAAATCCATTGTGACAGTCGCTCCCTCGCCCGATGTAGCGTCAATTAGCCTGGGAAACGACACCGTTTTGCTGGGTGCAGAAGAAAAAAATGCGAATATGCCATGTTAATTGTATGATCGAGAGAATTGGCGTTGATCGATCTGGTCATGGTGTCTGGAAGTCCACAGTGTTATCGTCTCCGTTGATCGCTCAACTTCGAACAAAGGGGAGAAGTCACTTTAGGTTACAAAATTGACCCCGAAGGTCCAGACAGGGTCCGAACAGGGTCTCTCGAAATTGACTCGTGTCGAAATTTGTAATCATGTAAGACGAAATCTGAAAAAATTGAAACCGGCGACTCATCTCATCGTTTCAATGAGCAAGTGCTCATCGATTCCGTAGAACCAAAATCATCGTGATTGGCGCTCCCATCCACCCAATGCTGTCAAGAATTACTGCTTCTCATTACAGAATTGCTTTGGCTACTCGCCATTATGCTTCCAAGGCGGGACAAGTTCTGATTTCCAAGCACGTTCAGGATGTTGATCCCGAGATGCATGACATTTTGACCAAAGAACGTCACAGACAAAAGCACTCGGTGACGCTCATTCCCAGCGAAAACTTTACATCGAAGTCTGTCATGGATCTGTTGGGGTCTGAGATGCAAAACAAGTATTCCGAGGGTTACCCAGGCGAGCGTTATTATGGTGGTAACCAGTACATCGACATGGCGGAGTCGCTTTGCCAAAAACGTGCTTTGGACTTGTACCGTCTAGACCCCGAAAAATGGGGTGTCAACGTGCAGCCATTGAGTGGTGCGCCTGCCAACTTGTACACTTATTCTGCTATCATGCAAGTTGGCGATCGTCTCATGGGTTTGGACCTCCCACACGGCGGTCACCTGTCGCACGGTTACCAATTGGCCAGCGGAACCAAAATTTCTTACGTTTCCAAGTACTTCCAAACCATGCCATACCACGTAGACCCGGACACCGGTATCATTGATTATAATGCTTTGAGCATGACGTCCAAGCTCTTCAGACCAAAAGTGATTGTTGCAGGTGCCTCTGCTTATCCAAGAAGTTTGGACTACAAGAAATTCAAGGATATCTCTAACGCATGCGGCGCTTATTTGATGAGCGACATGGCACACATTTCTGGTCTTGTCGCCGCGGGTGTCACTCCTTCGCCATTCGAACACTCCGACATCGTAACCACCACCACCCATAAGTCTTTGAGAGGGCCTCGTGGTGCTATGATTTTCTTTAGAAAGGGTGTCAGAAAGGTCACGAAGAAGGGCAAAGAAGTTCTCTACGATTTGGAACAGAAGATCAACTTCTCTGTCTTCCCTGGCCACCAAGGTGGCCCACACAACCACACCATCTCGGCCCTAGCTGTTGCTCTAAAGCAGGCTTCTACACCTGAATTCAAGGAGTATCAGCAAGCGGTCGTTGAGAATGCTTCTCAATTCAGTGAAGCTCTGTCTAAGCGCGGATTCCAGCTTGTGTCAGGTGGAACCGACACTCACCTCGTTTTAGTAAATTTGTCAAACATTGGTATCGACGGTGCCCGTCTTGAGACTATCTTGGAACATATCAATATTGCCGCCAATAAAAACACGGTTCCCGGGGATAAGTCCGCTCTTTTCCCATCCGGTTTGAGGGTTGGTACCCCAGCCATGACAACGAGAGGTTTCGGCTCTGCTGAGTTCGTCAAAGTGGCTGAATACATCGACAGAGCTGTTAAGCTAGCCATCGGACTCAAGTCTCAGGAGTCTTCAGATGCTACCGATGCCAGATCCAAATTAGCTGATTTCAAAAGACTCTGTGCCCAATCCAAGGAGGTGCAGAACTTGAGCAAAGAAGTTTCCGAGTGGGTGGGTCAATATCCCGTTCCCGGTGAATTGTAAAATAGATGGTCTTGAGTTTTTATAAATTCATGATATATTACATACGTGACATCAGCAAGAGCAGCTCTGGTTTCTCGACTCTTTCCTTCGCAAATCTACCTTCGATTTTTTACTTCCTAAATCGTTTTCTTCAACGAACTTAGTCGGAGGAATGGCTTCTACAATAGACGTGAAGAGGGATTCAATACCCTCGCCAGATTTCGCACTTACCAAGGCATAACTTTCATTATAGGACATGGGCTGCGCCAAAAGATCAGTTTTGTTGCCAACAACTATTATATGAGGCTCATCTCGAGATTCGTCACTCATATGCTCCTTAAGCTCGTGAATCCAGCTCTCAGCTTTTGTTAGAGTTTCTTTCACCGTTACATCGAAAACAATCAGAGCAACATCCGTATTTCGGTAATAAAGAGGTGCAAGTGACCTATATCTTTCCTGTCCAGCAGTATCCCAAATCTCAAAACTAATAGTTTTAATCTCTGTCGGTGTCTCATACGTGACTGACTTCGATGTAAAAGCGGCACCAATAGTGGCATCATTCTTCAGAAAGCGGCCCGTAGTAAACCGAGTCAAAATGGACGACTTACCCACAGACGATTCTCCGAGAAGAACCAATTTCAAGTGCGCGAAAAGCTCCTTTTTGCTATTTTTCATGGTATGTTTTCAAAACTCCACAACTCGGGCTATATGGGCCTTTACTCGAAGAAAAAACAAGCTTTCTCCTCGAAAATTCAGGATAATTTTATTCAGATAATCCCTACTAATAAAAATATCGACCTCAAAATTACCTTTGTGGTCAAAGGAGAAATATTGTTCACTGGTTCCTGACCTTTTATATGAAGTCTTTAACTCATCGCTTGATTTTACTTAATGTGTTAAATCAAGCCACGTGACATACACGTGAAACGATCTAATCCAATCTAACGATCAAGTCCTTCATCATGGTCATCATGGTCATCATCCTCAATCAAACTATGGGTTCGATTGAAAACAAGTCACTGAGGCTAGCCAAATGTTAAGGATATGAAGAGCTCTCCCAACAGTAAGCGGACCAAGGCACTTGATGCAATTGATAAGCACATAGAACATCAAAACAAAAGACGGAAAAGCTCGGCGTATGGTAGGTTATCAACTCTTTTGAGCACGATTAGTGAAGCGGCTCAATTACAAGGTGTGAAACACGTTTCTGCTAAACAAACTTCTCCCTCGCCTGTTAAACTGCCCGAGGGACCAGCTATGATACCATCTAGTCCTCGATATCGGAAAAGTTGCTCACCCACGAGAAATAGTTCACCTTTAACGCGTAAATCAGTGACGTTTTCGGACAAATTGGAGTCTTCGCCTCCTCAAATAAATCTTTCTTCGAGCCCACACCGTGAAAACGCTTTGAAAACGTATAAACCAATTTTAAAAAGCCCATCCGGTCAGAGCATTAGCCCAGACGGCCAGATGAATAAGAGTTCGGCTGCACTAACCCAGTTATACGAATTTAAGCCCGAAATCTGTATCAGCCCTCACAATCCTGAGTTTTGGGTTATGGGAGAAGTTCATAACGTCTCTGACATGAACGATTTAGTACAGTTCAGAAACATCATTGAGGGCGGAATTCGCTTTTTAAAGCCAAGTGACCTGTTGAAGGAAAATAGGGATTTTGAGATCTATGCTACATTAAACAACGTAGTGCCCATTGTTACTGGATCAAACAATACCAGGATCAGCAATAAGAAGATGGATATTGTTATGGAATATTTGGACGAACTGTTGCAGATATGTCCTGTGCATATGGTCGAGACACAGGAAAAATTGCTAGCAAACCAAAGGAAAGATCCATTCGTCTCGAGGCTCTATGTGCAGATCATTCGTTTTTCCAACTCGTTGTTGTCCAATTTTAGAATCATTAAAGCACTTGAAAAGAAAGCCTCGCAACGAAAAGCATTCAAACAGATCCTTGATTCTTCCCTTATAATATTGTGCCACCCCAACTCGAGCAAAGTAATGATATCGGCCCAAATAGCCCTTCTCAGGGAAGAGAAATTTAGTGCACTTTATTTCTCGGAAAAAGATGTGCAAAAAATGCTTGACAGCATTTTGAATATGAGGTATATTGATAGTTCAAATTTGACTTACGAACGCTTGCTTTTATTGAAAAGCTTTATCAGCAAGTTTCCCAGATTCATGGTGGGAAATTTGGAAAAATGGCTTCCTGGTGAGATAATACTGAGCATCTTAACTAGTGACGAAACTTATTCCATGAAAATTGCAACTACGTGTACGTCAATTCTTTTGGACACCTATAAAGCTTGTCTGAATAGCAATGACCTCGATTATGGCTTTTTAAACGCATTTCCAAAATGTAAAACGATGTTCGTATTTGAAAGAAAGAACAACGATTATGCGGTTATTAATAATTCAATTGATTTTGATGACCAACTGATCTCTGACTCCCTTATTGAACGTATTAATGATTTCATCAACAAGAAAAATGACTGTAAGATAGGCATGGATCTTTGGTTGGCGACATTTGGGCTGTTTCACCTTAAACGTAAACTTGACGAGAGCGCTCCGCTTGATATCGAATGGCTGCAACCAATATTACTTTGCTTCGGGCTTGATCAAACCGCTCAAGGCTTGGCTCTCAGATCCTGGAGAATTGTAGTATATGTTGTGCTAGCGGAGCCACCAAAATCAGAAGAACAATTAGCCTTCATATCCGAAATCCTTTATGCTCCGTTTGACAAGAGCTTTCAAGCAAGAACGAATGTTTCCTTACTTAATTCTCAAATCTTTCTTTTCAATACCCTGGCTTACATGCTTTTCTGCAATCCTAAGCTTCAAGAAAGTGTCTATTTTAATGCTCTTTTAGAGCGCGTTTTAAAGCCACTCCTCAAATTTTTCATCGCGAGCGATTGCAGTCTAGCTCTGTTTGAGAACGTTCACAAGATTTTCTGGAACCTTCTCGGCTTTACTGACCAGCGGCTAAAATCGACCAAGAGTATTTTTGTCGCTGCCAAAGTCATAGCTGCGAATGGAATACAGCTGGAGGACTTTTTGGAGATTCCACCTCCTAATACCGAAAAGATCTGCGATTTTATCATAGACCATATCTTCCCGCTTTTGTCTCGGCAAATCGGTGATACATCTGATTTATGTGTAACCACGGCGCTAGGTGTTATGAAGAATTTACGGAAAGGTCAAAGTGGAGAGAGGAAGCACCGCTGTTTAGAATTTCTTCTAAAATCCATTCCGATGCTCAAGCAAGAACCTCAAAGACTCTTCATTATGACATTCAGCCAAATTTTTGACCAATTTGATAGGGAAACACTCCTTGACAAATCAGTCCACAGCATATTGTGCCAATTGCGTAAGAGCTCGAAACAATTCGGTTTAGATGGTAGTCAATTATTGAAGGGTATCCTTAGCAATCCTCAAGTCAAGATTGATGAATTCTACTTATGTGACATTTTCTTGAGCTTTGGTGATGGCGAGACTAGGGCAGTCATTCAAGACATCACGGCCTCGGATTTGGTATATCAGAAAGCGAATTCGTCAAACTTAAAGTCAATATTGAAAGTTATCAGTGCTGTACCCACCCCACGGGCTATTCACAATTTATTTGAACTGTGCAAAACTAATCTTGTCACACCTGAAGCCCTTGTTGAACTTGACAGTTCGAGATGGGAGGATCAAGATATTTTACTGTTGATTGAATATGCTCTCGCGGAGGAGCACTCGCTCGCTCGGTCAAAGTTGCAATACTTATTGGAAGATGTGTTGTTTTTGCATCTCGAAGTCTTAACGAAGAACAATCTTACAGAGGAATATCTGTATTATCTACTCTCGAATACTGAAGATTTCAGTTCAAGACGCAAGAATGAGATATTCGAACATGAATGCCTAGTTAATGAGTATGTCAATCTTCTAAGGCAACGAATTCCGCTTTCAGAGGAAATACTCGAAACGTTTCTGGAGCGCATAGAGGATGTTCCTCAAAAAGCACTCATAAAATTGATTGACGTGGTCATAGAATCTGATTTTCGGAATTTAATCATTCCTTTTGCCGCCACAATTTTTGAGAGTCTTGTTGATCAAGATAATAATCAAACAACGGATAACAAAGTTAACAGGGTAGTTAATAAATTGCTTGAATTAGCAATTAAAGCACCTAACGCTGAACAGACCAATGCGTTCATTCAATTCCTGATAGCTATAAGGAAGTACATGCCATCTATGGCTTTTCTTCAAGATAATTTGGAGCATCTATCCAAGTATGCCGATCCCAGAACGCTGGCGTTAATCCTGGGACGCTTCAAATCATGCAGAATGCCACTTTTAAAAGTAATGGAACATTCCCTTCAGGAAGGTGAGACTGAGCCAATATTTCATATCTTTGTTGCTTTGAGCGACCAAAGGGATTTATTTGTAGACTCACTAGGAGATCCTGCAATTATAAAATGTCTGTCGGAGCTCATTGTAGCTCTTAGAGATCGGAAACACACAGCCAACCTGGAGATGCTTTATGATCTCTTGGAGACTATGAATTTCAACCTTGATTCCAGACTTTCTATAGCCTTGAAAAGGTTGCAAGCATTAGCCAAAAGCTCTAATCTGGGCCAGGTTACAGAAGAACTTCCTCTTAATATGAACACCAGCCGAAAAAGTGAATACCATGCAAAGCAAGCGGAACCAAAAGGTAAAGAAGGTGGGTTTATATATCAGTTTCTCCCATTACGAAAAGCTGCTTTCCGGGATATGCCAAATGGTATGTTTGCTGAGAAGCAAGTTCCGGCAGGAATGCATCGTGGACTCGAAAGGATTGATGGAGAGACTTCAACCTCAAATGCCATCAGTAATGAAACTGTTGAAAGACAAGACGCTTCTTCTTTCGAAGTTCTCGGCACTGATGCCGGTACAGAGCCGAATGCCGTCACAAATGTTGATAATATCAAGACTAATGATCCCTCATCACGCCGCTCAGAACCAAAGCAAGACAAATTTTTGGCAAAGAACAATAAACCTGCTGTAGTTGAAGAAAAACAATCGAAGTCGCGTTCGATCAACCAGCTTTATTCAAAAGGAATTGTTTTGCCCAAAAGAGACGCGGCAGGTTACTATGGGAATTTAGGAAGGCATGACCTTATCCACGATAGCCTAGCGCAAGCTAAGTTTCCTGAACACAAGGAGAAATACCAGCGTGATGCTGTTGATGGAATAGTGTCAGAAGTTACCGAAAATTTGGAAAAATCCGTTGAGTTGAGGAACAACGGGATTCTCAAAATCCCCATTTTCAATACACTCAAGATTCGACAACCTGAAGGGCGTGAAGAGCAAGTAATTTCTACTGGACGCTCGAAAACTTTTATCACACAGAGGACAAATCAAATTAATGCTTCAGTCTCTCTTCTGGAAGAACGCAACGCTGAGAAAAGTCACTTTGAGTCACCTGCTGATAAGAAATGTGAAAAGGATAAATTCTTGAACGCCTCAAGTAGGAAAGTCGAAATTGAGACCTTAATGGAAATTTTGCGATACCTCAATAATGATGCTCTGAGCAAGCTTATACCCGAAGAAAGAGATATACTGCGGCAAGAACTGATTGATATGGTTAACCGCCTCAATAGTATTGACATGAGGAAAACTTGAAGTTGATACTAAATGGCTAAACCTTTTAAACTATGTCATTGACGTCGGGATGTAAATGAGCTCTTTACAAAATCTTACCACGGTTTTGAAAAACCTTCTCCATTCAAGAGGATCTCCTCGTTTCCTTTCAAATCCTACAACCCTCAATCGTTCGTCAATCTGAATTATATCTATAGAACCCGATAAGAGCCAACCTTTCCGATCAGTTGTTTTCAATTGCACTGAGATTGGGCTTTTCAACTGGATTCCACTTGGGGAATTTCTCAATGCAACGAAAGTTTTCAGCAAGTCATTTTGGCCCGATATACCAGAAGCTTTTATAGCTTTTTCTAGCTGCGAAATGATGGTTTCCATGTCGCTAAGTGAATAAAATTTCGTAAGCCTGTCGATTGTAAAAATATTCTGTACCGAACCTTTGTGCGTCATGAACTGTTGTGTAGCTTGATCTCTATTTAGGTAATCGAACAAACTATCCTCTTGGGTTAAAGATGGTAGCCTGTCGGATAAACCTTGCGTAAAACCGGCTTGCGTCAAGGCAAATGATTCCAAATCAGGCGACGCGACTTTCAATTTGACTAAATCAAAATGAGTTGGCTGAGTGCTTAAAACTTGACGCGGTTTCGGACAACTTTCATGGTGGCTGCTAGCAATATCTTCATTAAGCGCGACATGAAGGTTATCGAAAAGTCTTCTGGATAGTAGCTCCGGACGGGAACACATACCATTGTCATCGGCAAACGCAGATTTCCGGGCAAACCATGGGTATGTTTTAATGGTTGCAGCCGAGGGTCGATGTCGCGAATCGAATTGCAGTAATTTTCTGAGTATACTCAATCCTTCGATATTGATCCTGGCCCAGGGGCCCGTATCAATTCGACCACCGTCATTCATGAACGCTTGAAACTGGTTTGAATCGTGTGTAGGAGCTTCCCATGGCGCTTCGCCGGTCAACAACACGAATAATAAAACACCACAGGACCATATGTCGGTAGCATCAGCAAAATAACCGGTTGACAGCACAGTTTCAGGAGCCATGTAGACCAAACTACCGCGTTGATCTTTGCAAATCCGCTTGGAACCATCTTTCCGTCTAAATTTGGACGCCAGTCCGAAATCTGCCAATTTCAAATTTCCACGTTTATCCAAAAGAATATTTTCCGGTTTAATATCGCGGTGCGCTACACCACAAGCACCATGCAAATAGTCCACGGCTCGAACGAGCTGTTGAAAATAAAACTGTGCTACTTCCACGTCCACACCAACGTCAGGTTCAATTTTATCAAACAAATCACCTCCCTCGGCCATTTCCATCACAATCCACAAGAAATTTTGAGAAACATTACAATCAATTACCTTGAGCACATTGACATGCCCACTACATTTGGACTGTAGTACAACTTCTTGAAGCACATCATTTTCAGCCATTCCAAATTTTTGACATGTTGGTAAATGCACGAATTTGACTGCTACAACGACACTAGGATCCTCTTCTAAAGTAGCCTTTTTCACACTTTCAGGATTCACAAACGAATCGTATCAGTTAGTACAGGACGTCACCAAGTTTTGTCGCTTTCTTTCAATTTTTCACTTACAATGCAAACGATCCACAGCCAACTGTTTGACCAATCTTTAAGTGCTTGATACGTGGAATTTTCGAAATCTGAGAAAAGTTAATTTCCCTGCTATCATCATCTATCATGGCCATGCCTCATAAGCTCATATGACTCTGTCAATGGGTCCTTCAATTAGTGTTTTGTTAAGTCTATTGTTAATTGAATTTAAAAGTGTAAAATATACGAGAACTTGAATTTCAAGATATCCAATTATCGACTTTAATTGAACAGCTCGCCGTACAAACCGTAAAGGAATATGGAACCATTAGGAATCGCGTTCTCCAGTGAAGTCAACAAAGCTGTTGCAGCGTCGGTGCAGAGTCAACAAGCTTTGTTAGTGTATTGTTCTGGTGGCGATGATTCGTGGTTAAATTCGTGGTTTACCAAAGATTTGGGATTAAAGGTTAAGGATCGGTGTGTTGCTTTGAAATTGAGCCAAAATTCGCAAGAATTTAGTTACTTCAAAGCTATTATCCCGAATATCGCTGCTCCTAGCGTTTGTTGCATCAGAAATGGTCAAGTACAAGTTGTTTTGGATGAGAAAAGTGATGCTTCGAAGTGTTCGCAGGAACTAACGGATTATTTGATGCCTCAGGAATCGAATGTCACGTCTGCTGTGGGAACACGCAAGATTTCGAAAGATGTTGAGTCCTATCAGAAGGATTTGATGGAACAAAGACGTAAGGAAAGGGAAGAAAGAAACAGGATTCGGAAACTTGTAGAAGCCGATAGGAAAGAACTCAAATCACGCGAACGCTGTTTGAAAGCCGAAGCTTCGGGACATAAGGAACCAAAGGATAATTACATCAAGAATTTAGGTTCCAAAGCTAACAAGTGTGCACTTTTGTTTCGGTTGTTCGATGGTAACTCAATCAGTCACGAGTTTCCTTCAAATTTGACTTTGAAAGAAGTACGGCAGTGGGTAGCTCTTAATCGTACCGACGGGAACACACCTTACGTTTTCCATCGTGCTATTCCAAGGTCTACATTCCAAAAAAGTCAAGAATCCCAGAATTTAAGTGATCTGAACTTAACGCCGAGATCCGCACTCATTCTCAAACCTCTAGATACAGAGGATTTGAATCCACGCATAATGAATGCCCAGGATCCTGGATTGTTGGGCAGAATGTACAATTCGGTTTCCAATTGGTGGGCTACTCCGGCAAAGGAAACGCAGCCCGCGTCTGAGGGTAATGCGAAGGCCTCACAATCCGAAGACGCAACGTCAGAACCTTCTTCTAAGTACGTTTCTCCAGCGACTTCACCGTTCTTGAGTCATCGTCTGGGTAGAAATCCATCAGAATTGAGCCTACCTTCAAGACCAGTGTCACCTAACGTTTACAAATTTGTGAATTCGGGCGACAAAGCTGAGGAAGATCGAGATGAAACGTTCAATGGTAATAACGTTAGTTTAGAAGATAAGAAAAAGGATTAATGAACTAAATTATGACGGTAAAGGTACTTGTATTTTATTAGTGGGCGGTTCGGATTCGGGGTCGCATTCTACCTTTGGCTCTGTGTCCTTTATTTCCAGCTTTTTAAGCTTTTCAAGGGCTTCATCCTGTTCGTGCATAGATTTGATGAGACTTTCGAGTTCCTGATCGATCTCAATTTCGTCGATGGAACCTGAATTCTGGGCCAGGATCTCGCTAACTTCCTGCGTCTTGGCACGTTCGTCCGAAATATCATTTATCAAGTCCTGAAGATGCGCAATTTCACCGCTATACTCGTTCACGGTCTTGAGAGCCGAGTGAACATTTTGATACGTTTTTTGCAAATTCACGTTTTCTGCCGCAGTATCCAAATCGAGTGAAACAAGGGCCAAATTTTCATATCTCGAACAACTTTCTTTCAGCTTTGCCTGCAAAACCTGTTTGATACGTAATTGCGTCTTAATTACATCTCGAGATCGCTGTTCCTTGGCGCTGCGCGCCAAATGTTGGGAGATCTTGTCTATTTGACGTTCCAAATTTTCCATTTGCAATAGATTATTCTCTTTTGAGGTTTCCACAGACACGATGTTTTTATCCAACTCAGTCACTTTATCAGGTCTCCCACTAACGTCGAGCGGCGCAACTCTTTCATTGCAAATTTTAACAATTTCGCCCCCAACGACTATTTGAAGCTTGTACCGCTCCAGGTACACCAACATGATCGAGAGTTCGACTTCGTTCCACCGGCTCCCGATTTCCAATTTCTGCCAGAATTTTGATTGCGTAAATATCAGATCCTTATACGTCGTGGCCCTTGAACAAATATCGTCCAACTTGTTGCTTAATTGTTCATAACGTTTCTCCAAATGTGGCATAATAACATAGTCAACCGGTTTTAAATAATTCTTTTCATTATGTTTCAATCGTGAGTCTGATTGATTAAACAGCTTAAATGGCCATCTAACGACTTTGAGAATTGTCGATGGTCCCTTGCGGAACTCCCCCATTTCAACCAAGGTACCATGTTGAACCAAATCGTTTAATACCACATCAATACTCAAAGGAACGCCATAATCATCGCATTTAAGTTTCTGTAAAAGCTTCGAACCAGATTCCAATACAACTCTATCTTTTGATAACTTATCAACCAAAAAATCACTCCATAATCGCTTGTTAGCGGCAAAGCCCTCAGGGTTCAGTTCCTTCAATACCTTAAAGTCAGAGTAAAGCGACTTTAGCCGTGTCTTAGGTACATTGTCTATACACATCGATTCTTGATGGTTTTCAGTAAGACTATTTGTGAAAGTGAAAAATCATATTTAAGGTGTCCTGTTGATAAACCAGTGATTATTGGATGGAGGGAGAAGCTAGTGATTGGTGATATGACTTCTACTGCAGAATTACTGCGGTCCATCACTAAAAACATCCAAGTCAATGATACCAAACAGCTGAATGCCAGTGTTGATAAAGCACTTTTACAAATTGGGGAAGGAACTCGGTTAGAAAATGAAATTATTGTTGAAGTTTTACAATATTTAACAAGTGTCTTGGATGATTTTGACGATGATAGAATTGACTTCGACAATGTGATTGGACTTATGAATAAATTGATCGATCTCTTGCCATATGAGATTGTGTTAGAGTTGTTTTCCGTGACGGATTTGAAAGCTGCTTTGAACAGTCAAATTCCACCGCTTATGAGAGCCGCTTGCAAAGTGATTTCGTTATCGTCTCCAAAGGGCGTTTTCGCCAATTCAGAGCTTTTCGATCTGATGCTGCGAATTATGTTTGACCCGGATACCAAATTGGCAGTAGTTAACGAAATTGAAAATACGTTAAGAGCCTTAAGGACAGATGAACTTGTAAGGCGGCGGATTTTGCAAGATAACATGGTCCTGTTGATAGCGGCAAAAGAGAGTTCAGATGTAGTTGTTTCCGCTAGGCTCCTTGAACTGTTATCCATTTTTTCTGACAGCTTGACGTTTGGTGAGTTTAATACCGAACTTTTCGCTTTCTCGGCTAGAGACATTGAAGAAAGTGCCCAGGGTGAAATATTTCAGTTCATAAATTTGACGAACTACTATATTGGCCTTCTGGAGTGTATTCGCCAGTCTTGGGACAAGTCTGAAAGTCCTACGGGACCTTTCGCAGCCATTTTCCGTGAACTTGTCAGTTATGGTGAGATTTACTCTAGAATCAATGAATTTGAAGACGTTAACCTCTTTGGGAGATCCTACGTGCTGAAGCTATTCCAAGCCCTTTCGTATTTGCAAGATCAAAGCTTTTTCGGAAGCTTAGATAAGAAATATTCAATTGTGGCAGCCGGTAACAGTGATTTAAGAGATCTTTTGACGTTATTAAATCCTGAATACCTTTTGAAAGATTGTAGGGGTTTTCTCGAAAATCAAATTACCATCAAACCCACGAGTCTTCCAATCTTGCGAAACATTCTCAAAGTCCAAGATGGATTTGCGCTTGTGCAACCTATGCTCACTTCTGAAGCAATTCTGGCAATGCCCTACTTGGAATTAATGGCATTCTTGGACATACTTACTTTACATGACTACTCCACTACATTTCTTTTGGAATCGTTACCCAAAGTTATATCTTCATTGATCGAGGATGACTCGGGAAGAATTATTGAACCTCTCACAGTAAGGACTAGAGCTCAGGTTCTCGAAAGGTTACTCGAATTGGATCCGGGTCGATTGACGGTCTGGCATGCTCCTTTGCTCGAAGCACATCAAAGAATGACTACAGGCAAATATAGGTCTAACACTATCGATATAGCAGAATCGTACCTGTAGCCGCCTCTATTTATTTAATAAAAAATGATTTATAGCTTATAGATACAGAGAGCCAGCCGACACAATGTCTCTATGGATCAAACTTAAAGCTTTTTCCATCTTTTCTTTCAACATAGCATTTCCTATCGTACTGGACACATCGACAAGCTCTTTGATGAGCTCCTCTAATCTTTTAAACATTCTGATTAATGACCCTTCATACACGTCCGTCATTTTGCAGATTTGTGTAAACGTAGCTCCTTTACACCATTCGTACACCACTTCCATCAGTTCATGCCTAAAACTTTCCACATAATCCTTCTCAATTATTTCCATTTTAGAGTCTTTTACAATCTTGGCAATCTTGGCAGCCACCTCTCTCATAGCTTTTAAAGGCTCTGCAAGTTCTTGTTTCAGCCTAGGAGCCTCTTTGCAGCGTTCCTGGAAGGCAAAGCATGACAACAGAGCAGCAGCCTGTTCTGGTGTCAAATCATTAAAGTTACCGTTGAAAATTAACTCGGTCAACAGCAATTCATCTCCACTAGAAATTTCACATGCAACTCTGCCCTTGAGCTCAATAATATCGCTTTGGGTAGAAAAGCCTAACCGTCGTAATACTCTCTTTCTCTTGCGCAAATCATCTAATTGAATAACTGCTTCAGCTTCATTGATTTTCTTACTCAGGGCTCTGATTTCATTTTCAAGCTCAACTTTCTTCTCATAGTTCCTATAGATTTCTGGCAATTTGACTGATCCTTCTAGCGTGTTCGAAGCGAGCTTGTTCTGCAGGACTGCGACTTTTTTCAAAAGCCTATCGAAATCCTCGTCGTCTATTTTCATATTTTTGACAGGATCGATCAGTGGAACACCATCTGGAAACCTTCGTCTGACTTCTTTCAATGACTTGGCAACAGCTTCTTTTTGACCGCTAGCTTTAATGTCTTTTGGCATGTGAAGTCTAAGATTTCCTAAATTTTTGATTGACTCGAGAGTGATGGGGATGATGGCAGATACGGACTTTTCGCCTGGGTCAGAAGGCCTAATTCCTTCTGGGAATCCTGGGTTAAAGGGCTTTATTAGATTAACAGGAGCATCAACGTACATCGTGTTCACAACGACATTAACAATGTATGACTCGTGATCGCTGTAAACAGCAGTGGGATTCCGTTTGTTTGTTCTCTTAGAAAAGTCCACCACTGCCCCCCATCCGTAGCTCCCATTTTCGTTGACTTCGACTTCAACGAGTCTACCAGGTTGTAGAAAGCTGAGAATGTTTGCAGGATGTGTTATAACTTGACGAATGTCGTTTTGGTAGCTTTCAATTGTTCTTTTTGTTTCATAATAATCCTTGATTTCAGCTTCATTCTCAATATCAATCTCCTTGAGACGCTCCTGAGAGACCGCCAGATTCCTTTCCATGGTAGGTACAGATGTGATATTTTGAAATTGAAAGAAGGAATGTTCGAGCATGAATTCTGGAGAAATACCTTCCACTCTCATCAAATTCAATATCATATTGTAGCCCAAGTGAAACGCCGAGTCAAGTCTGTCAGCTTGACCCTTGACCATTCCTTTGGCAACTTGGGGCTCCATTTTCTCGTCAATCATCATAATAACGATACCACGATCGTCAAGACCACGACGACCCGCTCTACCGGACATCTGAATATATTCACCGCCTGAAACCCATCTAAACTGTTTACCATCCCATTTTCTCACGCTTGTAAACACAACGGTCTTTGCTGGCATATTAAGGCCAATGGAAAAGGTCTCGGTTGCGAAAAGAACTTTTAAAAACCCTTCTTGAAATAAAATTTCGATAACTTCCTTCAAAATAGGTAGAAGTCCAGAGTGATGAATACCTATGCCTCTTCTCAGTAAGGGTAAAATATGTTTAATTTGTGGAAGGTCACGATCGATTTCTGGAAGAAGATCTATCGCATTCGTAAAGATTTTGGTTAGTGCATCTTTTTCTTCGTCAGAGTTGAAATCCAACTTCGACATTTTTAAAGCCAGTTCCTCACAGTCACGCTTACTGAAGGAAAAGACAATAACGGGATTATACTTTTTCTTCCAAATCATTCTGACGATTTTATAGATGTCTGCTTTCGAATCTCCTTTGGAAGCTCCTCCTTTATAGGTTTGGTTTTTTTTACCTCTTGCGGCAGTCGAGTTGGGATCATCGCCAATCTGATTGCTTATAGAAGCCATCGCTTTTTGGAAGTTTTCTTCTCTGAAAGTGCTCTTTTCATCAACCACCAAATGGATTCCGTCGCCATGAGCTGGGAAAAGATAATGCTGTAGAGGAGTAGGACGGAAATCTGTATAGACAATGTGGCATGGTTGCGAGTGAATTTTACATATCCACTCAGCAAATTCCATTGCATTTGGAATTGTCGCAGAAAGGAAAACGTAACGAACTTTATCAGGCAACAAAATTATGGTTTCTTCCCATACTACTCCACGTTCTTTGTCTCTCATGTAATGAACTTCATCAAAAATGACCCAAGCAACTTCCCGCATGACTTCGCTACCTCTGTACAACATACTTCTCAAAATTTCTGTCGTCATAACGAGGCACCCTGCGTCAGGGTTAATGGTGATATCACCTGTCATCAATCCAACGTCTCCAAAATCTGCTAGCAGCTCACGATACTTTTGGTTTGATAGAGCCTTGATAGGTGACGTATAAATAACCCTTTGTTTGTCTCTTAGTGACTGTGCGATGGCATATTCAGCAACTACGGTTTTACCGGCAGAAGTATGTGCGGAAACAAGTACAGCTTCACCTCTATCAATGCATGAAATCGCAGTATCTTGAAATGGATCTAAAGTGAACGGGTAAGTCCTTGCTTCGTTTTTCCTCACATGTTCTCCGATTGGTTTGTAGTCATATTGAGGTGGTAGAGCCACTTGATGTCTAACCTGGTGTGAAAGCTTTAATTTCCCATCTTGCTCGACTTGTGCCGTTGAAGATGTCAATCCTGCCGAAGCATCCACCTCTCGTGAGGCTTCCTGCTCGAAGGAGTCCGCGAGCACCGGTATAAGCTCAGATTTCTTCTTTCGATCAACTAGTTTTTTGTCAGTCTTTTTTCTTTTACTATACGACTTCTCGTCTTCCTTATCATGAGAATTTACGTTATTAGATTCGTTTTCATCACTTTTCTGTCTTTTACCATTTGTAGATGTTAATTGATCGGCGTCGATAGTCGATCTTTCCTCCTCATTGGTCTGTGGCTCTAAAATCTCTTCAACCTCTATTGTTGGCTTTTCATCAAAGACGTCAAACAAGTCATTGGCATCCATTATTAAGGTGCCTCAAGCAATTCGAAGGCTCGAGTTGGTTTGAAGCATTCAAAGAGTTTCTCAACTTTTCCAGCTCATCTCATCGCGAAGTCATTAAAATTTTTCAAATATCCGATTTGACGAAACTCTCATCTTCACCATTCCAGCTTATTCAACTAAAGGCTTTTCAAGTTTGTTCACCATGTATATAAAGCTGTGGTTAAAGTATGTTCAAGCTGTTTCTCGCTCTTTATAGAGTTTCAGCCTTTAGAATATGCAAATGCATCGATTAGCTTATTTATCTTTTTTTAATTAAATTCGGTCGGTATTTGAGTATGCAAACTGATCATTGTTAAGTGAAAACATCAATAATTATGCTTTGGCGATGTTGGAAAACATCAATGCGTTTGGTGGTATCGAATATGCGATTGGTGTTTCACACCGGATGAATCATATCGAGACTCATAAGTGTTGACCACTTTTCGCGATCATATTCGCTCTTAATCACACTTGGATAATTAACACCGCTTCCCTTCGAGCAGTTTGATTCGTCAGATTCGTCCTCTAGAATTGTCACATCTTGAGCAGAAGTAGTAGTTGTGTTTTCAGAAGTAAATGGTGCCCTACCAGCGTTTGTGAAGTTTTCTCGTAACATGTTTATTGCTGGGGGAGCCCTGTCACCCAAGATGAACATACTGTTTCGTCTTCCCGACAAAGAAGTAGATTTGGATGGGGAATGCTTACTTTGTAAGCTGTGCACGTAGCTAAAATCGATACTTTTGCCTCGTCCATGACCACGTCCATAATAATACTCGTCGGCCAAAGAGCCCACGAAATCGTCATGACGAGTAGATATGCTCGATAAAGAGAGTTTTTTGCTCAAGCTTCTCCTGAAACGAAGACTCTTGACAGGAGATCCCTGATTTGACAAGCTATAGGCATTACCACTCAGCTGAGAATTGGATCTCGAATGTAATGCGTGGTTGCTAGTAAAAGAACTGGCAGAATTTAACAGGATTGAACCCAGTCTTGAAGGTGATTTGTGAGGCGTTGCGGCAGTATTTGAAGATGCAATTGATTTTGTTGGCGAATGTGGACCTGATGGGAAAGTGCTCTCCTTCGATAATTTGAGAACAGTTTCCGAACCATTGTCCTGGCGCAAAACATCCTCTAGTAACAATCTTTCTTTCATCAACCGTACTTTTTTGCTCTCACTTTGCTGACTCTTAAAAAGATCGTCGAGCTGTTCTATCGTATCTGGTTCTAATTGCGGGAAAATACTCTTGAACTTCATCGAGTAAGAATCAGGAAAACTAAAGGCCTTCTCCTGATCTCGGGAATCATTTACTTTGAAGTCAAGACCGGGCAAAAGTTGATCGCCGCTTTGCGCAATATGTCGCTCGCGGTCCAATAAAAGAGATTTTTGGGTTTTCCAATCATCAAGTGTAACTGTTCTAGGAAGAATAATAGCAGGATCTCCAAGATTATTTATACCATCATTCTGGAACATCTCGGGAATCTTTTGTAAGTCGTTGGCAAACAGATTTGGAAGGTTTGCGTGATCGTCGCTTGGTTGTTCTAGCTCTGGCGCTTGTTCAGATTCAGTAAATGCATGCGTTCTCAGAGATGGCGGCAAAAGTGCGCTATTTAAACGTTCAAGAGCATTTTTCTCGATAGTAATAGCGGTCTCGTCTTTCTGTTCGCGTTCCTGATTGGACTGATGGTCGAGCATCAGAACTGACTCGGCGCTTGGCTGAAGGGAGTCTCTATTTTGGGGTCCGCCAAAAACATTCACGAGACTTCTTGAAGTGTCATGGATAGTAGAAAGCCTTGTCACGTAATGTGCACCAGAGCTGTCGCTTTCGCGAGGTTGGTCTTGAACGGTTTTCGCTCTCTTCAAGCTTCGCTTGTGGCGAATTTTCGTTAAAAGGTTTAGTTTTGGGCTTTTATTTATCCCGTTAATATGCTTAGGTTTTCCGATCTCGCATCCTTGTGGGCTCAAAGAGGTTCTGCCGAAAGCTTCCGTGTCTATGGCATGCCTTTTCACGGACGGAGTGGAATAGGTGTCTGAGCTTGAGTAAGTAGCAGGAGAATTATTCATCCAGTTTGGTTGTGGCAAATGCGCCAAGATTACATTTTCCTGTGCTGGTGTCAAAGTCTGCGCAGAGTTCTTCAAAGCAATTCCTTTCGGCTGTTTTTCAAAATTGTCATCTGTGGCTACAAAGTGATCATCAGCCAACTCCTCATCTTGCACATTTTCATCCTTCTTACAACGTTTTACATGCCCACTCGTCAACGAGGCTCCGCAGCAGCCCATCACGGCCAATAAAAGTGCTAAATGCGCCGTTACCAGACGGCGCAAAATTGTCGAAATCTCGACGGGCATATTGTTTACCAAATCCACCCAATACCATACTGCAGACGCATATGTCACCATACGGAGTAAAATGGCCAAATACGATATTTTTTGTAGGTGCCAAAATTCCAACGTCAAAGGAATTTCTATGATCGCGGCTACGAAAAGCCCACATATTTGGAGTATCAAAGATGCATGATTTAACGCTTGCGTTTCTTTGTCCAGACAGATCAACGAAATCGCAATTGTACCACATGCAAAACATGTCAAAGAGCATGAGACTTTGGTCAAGATGGGCCAAATGTCTAAGTGCCAGCTTTTTGACATAACGATCTGTACCCGGCACCCAAACGAACCAATTTCAAAGCTTTTGGATCAAGCGGCAAGTACAGATCTTTGACAATTCAAAGATCATACACTCTAAAACATACCGTTCTAGAGGTAGAACTCATCAATCCAACTACTCGCTTTACTGATCTACCTATTCAAAGTCTGTTTACCATTTCCTCAAATGGGTATTGACAAATCCGAAATTAGGGCTCTAGGGGAATTACCGCTTTGGGTTTGTGAAGCCCTAAAAAATTACTTGATCATGTAAGCGTCACGAGATAACGTAATCGATAACTTAATCCGCGTACTAATTCAAGCCATCATACGATTATTGTACGTTTGAGAGGCATAGGCGTGCGTTGGTCCACTGTGAGCCTCTGCCTATCATAAGGGACTTAGCTTGTACTTGTTTCTGAAATTTTCCCCGAAAGTGTAGTTGCCAACATAGCTTCCCCAGTGTAGTACTCCCAGAGAAATACTCCTAGAGAAGTATCCCATCAGATAGATGATATCTTGGTACCTATGATGTGAACCTATTCGAATATGATGACTTCATTCAAAAGCATTGCTTTCGTCTTTCGATCGCCCTTCAACGTCGGGACAATTTTAATCTCAAAAAGAATCCTAATAATATCAATGTTGACTGCCAGGGCCTCGATTGAACAGGCAGCTACGGAATCACATACCCTCCTCTCAGTCTCTTGTCCGGTACAAAAATATCTCTGTTTGCTTGAAATATCTTCTGCCATCTTCATCGATAATGACAAGGCTTAGATAATTCTTAATATTGAAATAATTGCAAGACGTGTTTGGCACCAGATCGTAGCCACCCAAGAATAATCGGATCGGTATTGTTTCACCCTTTACCGGAGACCCGTCCATAATTTCGTACCGTATCGAGGTCGAGTCCGAAAGTTGGTTAGGTTCAAGTCCACAGGTTTCCCTGGTAATGAGACTCAGTTCCATATGTTTGACTTTCAAGCGCGTCAGTAGAAAATATATCCTGCCCACAATCACGTCTTTTATGCTATACTGAGACTTTGAGAATTCAAACTCGATATGTAAACAGTTTTCGATCCCTATATCAAGTTTGACAGGTTTCGCATCTTCATTTTGTCCACTGGGGCCCGAAGTGGGAATCGTTTTGTAAAGGTAACACCAGAACTTTTTAATCTTAACAATATCGGTGGACTTCCTAAGCACCGTAACTTTCACGTAATAAGAAATGTCCACATTACGACCCCGGTAGGACTCGTATCGTTTTTCCACATCTTTGAAGCTGAATTGGAACGTCTGAGAGTGCATGAGCTCTCCTTGGGGACACAAGTCTGCACTCAGACATAAGAACGTGTCCACTGTGGATTTCTTGTATTCGGAATTCGATTTCGCAATATCAACACTACCTATCAAATTGACCTTGACACCAAGATGATCGACTTTCTTACCCTCTTTCACTCTTAATGTTACCAATCCACTAAGACTTTCACCGTTTTCGTAAAGTGGATATTGGTCTTTCAAAGACTTGGCATTGGAACTGGCATTGTTGTTATTAATTTCAACCACTTTCCTTGAATCCTCGCCATCAAAGTGAATTTCAATATCGAGAGGTGATTTGAAGAACATGTTGGGGCTAATATTGACTTGGTACGTTTTTTTGAAGTGATGGGTCGCCCCGGTGACTATCGATTTATCTAAACTGATGAACATTAAGATCTTAAAGGTCATGAACAACGACTTCCCAAATCTATGCTATTATTTACAGGATTGAGTCAAGTTATTTGGTCACTTGTTCATCGTCATAAACACTAAGCAATTTGGTGACCCTTTCATCGGCCACCAAGGGTTTTACCCAGTCGCTATTCCGCTGTTTAGCCTGTTCTACCCATTTCTTGGGCCAATCGTCTTCTTCTTCTAAACCCAATTTTAAGTCGGACGATTCGAATGGTCGTATCTTTTGAAGTACGCAGCTCGCTGTGGCTCTGCAATACCTTTCCGCGTCAGTTCTTCTGTTGTAAAATCTGTAGATTCGCTCAGGAATGTTTAAAAAACCGACGAGATGAGGAATCGAAAGCATCAGGATCGGTTGGTGAAAAATGGCAGGTATTTTTGTGTCTGGTTCGCGGACTGTCACCCCGCTCAACTCAGATGGAAAGCTCGCGCTACTGTAATTATCGCTGGTGATGAACGGTTGCAGAACATTGTCGGTTTCCTCAGGCTGAGTGGTCTGTTCTTTGCTTTCATCCTTTGATTCAATTTCTGGATTGCCGCTGGTAGCTACGGGGGGCTCCGTATCATCTGGAACTGCCATTTCAGCCGGTTTTGGAGGCTCCAATGGCCCGAGAATACCTTCGCAGAGCCCCGTGACATACTCTTTGTAAGCGCCTCTCCCTAAAATGATCACACCACCTGCGTAAACCGGGTTTGCGACCAAAGCGTCTTCGCTCGAGATTTGAGCAGTTACATCGCGGTTTTGGTAAAAAGGTCCAAGAACGTTTCTGAAATCGAATTCTGCTTTGAATTTTTTCGCCAGTAGCATTTCGGTTTCATCGTCCTGCACCTGGCTGCCCCGATTACTGGGCCAAACTTTGAAAACTGTGTGCTTGATTTTGTTCCAAGGCCGTTTCTCCTGCTCTAGTGCCTTGAGCCTGGCATCGTACTCTCTTAATTCTTTGCGCAGGTCTCGAACACGTTGGGCGACTTCAAATCTGATCAAACCCTGTTTTTCCTCCGTGAAAACTTCGTAATCGACTCCAGCAGCGAATAACACCGGCTTGACAAATCTTCTCCACACAAACATACTGGTATCAAGGTAGTCGTTTGGAGGTGGGGCAACGAAAACTGTGATTTTTCTAGGTTTCCGGTCAATGCGCAAAGTTCCTTGGGACAGGGGCGCGACCAAATCGCACCATTTCTCGCGTACCTTCTTTTGTTGGTGTTTGTCGTAGACTATTCCAGATATCACTAGTGTTAAACTCGACCAAAAAATCATCCAGTTTCTAGATGGGAGTCTCAATGCGGGCAATCCCATGGCTCTAAAGGCCGGGTTTGAGTAACCGGTCTTGCGCGCAGCTGGCTTGTGCGCATCCGGCGCTGAAGAAGCGGTACCGTCTACCATGGTCGTGTATCTCGAATCTCTGGCCAAGTCGATTGGTCCTGGGTTAAATTTTTCAGATTCTCACGGGAACCAAACAGCTGACGAAAAAAGGTGAAATAGACGACAGAGACACATGGGGTCACTACCGGTATGCCTGAATTTATTATAATTTACATAGATGCATGGGCGTGGAGGGGCGTGAGTCGTCTGTGCCGGTGGGAGGGTCCATTGCGGTTTCCACGGAGGAAAAACTTAAAAAAACGGTCGAGCAGCGGTTTCCGCGGTGTGTAGTATTGAGCGCGGCTTTACATCGCGATTGGAGGGCACATTCTTGGTATTTACAGGACGTGCACAAAGTGCTCGGAGTTTGGTATAGTCTTCGCAAAAGGACACCAGAACCAACGTAAGGGAGCTGGAAATTCGAAGGAGACGGACAAAACACGACTCATCCGTCTTCGTTGAGCAGGTAATCGAGTTTGGCGCTGCTGGAGCCGGTTTTCTTGGCTTCCATGCTGTCTGTTGAGGATTTCGGGCTGTGGGTGAGCGGACCGCTGCCGTCGGCGAAACTGAATCCGGACTTGAACAGCGGCGAAGGTTGTGGGTGCGGCTGTTCGGAAAGGGCTTTTTTACAGGATGAGGACGAAGGAGACTTGGAAACGCCGGTGTCGGTGCCGCTGGTCGGCGGGGCAGCGGCGGCCGCGGAAAAAATGCTGCTTTTGCTGGACTCGGCGCTTCGGGACGTTCCGGGAGAGCATATGCTGTGTGCTCGCGGGAAGGAGAGTGAAGAGCTTGCCTGGGAGGCGCGTCGTTTCGTCGCAGGCACAGCGTCGAAAAACACAGTCGAGGATCTGCGCGATGCGTTGCTGGACGTGGCGGCGGCGTCGCAGCTCACAGAGCCCTCGCGTGACGGATCTGTGAGCGACCGATGCGTCATGACAGACGCGTCGGACCTGGGCGGCTGCTGCAGCGGCTGCTGCAGCGGCGACGGCAGCGCCGGCGGCAGCGATCCACGCGTCAGAAGCTGGCCCGTGAGCTGGCCCGCGAGCGGGTGGGCCGGAAACGCGTAGCCAGAGGCCGCCGCCGCCGCTGACGACAGCGGCGACGACGACTGCGACGCGGCCGCCGCTGGCGCACCCAGCGCCAGCGGCGGCGGCAGCGACAGCGGCAAATGCGCGGCCATGTACCCCGACACGGGGCTGGGCAGCGTGATCGAGTTGAGCGTTGCGTGAGGCGTGGGTAGGACGTGGTGGTGGTGGTGGTGGGCCAGCGGCGCCACCGCCGGCCCCGCCGGCCCCGCCGCCGCGACAGCGGCGGCACGGCGCCGCTTGTTCGCGCCGCCGTTCCACCAGTTCTTGATGGCGTTGTCCGACCGCCCGTTGTTCAGAATCCGCGCGATCTCGGCCCATTTCTTGCCCAGCCGGCCCACCAGTTCCTCGATCACCGCGCCCTCCTCGTCCGAGATCGGCGTCTTGTTCAGGCTCGGCTTCAGGCTCTGGTGGTACCGTTCCCGGCACTGTTTCGGCGACCGCTGCTGCAGCTGAGCCGCGATCCGAACCCAGTTCTGAGGACCCAGCAACGCCACCAGTTCCAACAACGCCCGGTCCTCCTCGGGCGTCCAAGGTCCTTTCTTGGCCTGCTTGTCCATTAGTTTTTCCGTCCTCTAGAGCCTCTCTAAGAGTGCGTAGTTCGCGGGCCCGGGGCCCGTCCTAAGCCCGGAAAAATTGTTCTATGCCTCCGCCGAATATATACAAGCTCCTAGCGAATACGCACTGGTGCCTGCGGGCTTCGCGTCGAGCGCCTTCCGTGCTGCAGCTCCTGCATAAAGGGGCGTGCCGACGCCAACGTTTTCCGCGGGAAGCAAGGAATCCCAGGCCCGCTCTGCGCAGCAATGCGCAGCAATGCGCAGCATTGCTGCGTAGCGTCGGCGTTAGTGCAGGATTCGGCGCAGACGCCGCCCGACGCCGGAAGAACGGTGCGGCGACCGCAGGCACGCATGACGACGGCGTCCGGAACGCCGCCTGTGTCGGCCCGGGGGCGCTACGTAGGCCCAGCCCAACGTGGGGCGCTGCATCGGGCCATAGCGGGGATCGTCGCTGTGCGATCTAGGCGGCGGGCCCTAGACGGCCCAGACGGCTGCGCGTAGCGACGGCCCGCCGTTTGGCCTACGTTGCTGCGCCAACGCAGGCGGTATGACGCGGATCTCGGTCGGTGACATCAGCCGCGGCGCGTGTGGGAATGACGCGTGGCCGTTGCGGGTAGGGCGCTTTCTGGGGGGCTTTCGGGGCGGGAATGCAAGGGTGGATTGGGGGTGTCGGGGTGCTGGCGGGAATGCCTGTCATGTGGAACGAGGCATTCTGCCTCGATCCACATGGGGCGGGCGTAGGCGGGCGTGGGCCGGCGTGGGCCGGCGTGAAGCAACTCTATGGGAGAGAGTAGGCCGGGTGTCCGGATGTGAGTTGGGGTGTGGGTTGAGATGTGTGGGTTGGGATCTGTGGGGTAGCGTAGCGCTGTGCTATTTATTCCTGCGAAGGTGCATTGGCCTGTGATATTTCGATTCCTTACGATTGTCTTGGCGGTACTTGTGCCAAGGCCTGTTCCCAGCACTGCGTCACCTTGGCGCAGTGCTGTTCGACAACTGTGTCGATGAGACCTTGCAGCTCGGTGTTATCTGCCGAGGATGCGTCACGCAGAGTGGGGCCACCGGCGGGTCCGCCGGTGGCCCCGCATTCTGGGGCATTGCTAGGTTTCGCCGGGCTGGCGTCGTTTGTCAAAAAGTCTCTTTTAAATCGCTGGTAGCAAGCCTGCCCGTCGTAAAAATAGTCCGGACTGCTGAAGATTCCCTGCTCGAAAAACGTGCCGTTGACGCTGGCGGCAACAGCATCCCAGACCTTTATGTCGAGGCCCGGCCCGGCCTTGCCTATCTCTACTAGGAAGATCATTTTCTCCGGGGTCTTCAAAGCTACCGATTCGCAGGCATAACTTGCGAGCATAAAGCACACCAAGAGAAAAGTACCAAAAAGCGACACCGCGGCGTAAATGACCGCCGCATCCTCCTGTTTCCTGCAACCGTAACACACCGCTGTTGTGGCAGATACCCCTAACATGCCTATCACGGCGGTAATCTTGTGTTTCGTGAGCCAGTAGCTCCAATAGCTCCTGTACACGTCCCGGGGCAAGTTGTAGTCCTTCCCGGCGTTTGGTTCTCCACCACACAAGGGTTCTTGATCGCTTTCGAACATCGATGCAGAGGTAAGTTCCTGTTCCCCTCGTGCGTTCTAGAGCGCTGGGCACGTTTCCGCAAGATTCTTATAGGTTGAGTCCGGTTGCTCGTTGAAAGCGACTTGGTGAAAACTACGAGTGACAGGACTGGGGACGGGTAGACGTGTCCAGTCTCTGTCGCTGTGCAAGCAAAAGCTGGGCAGTTAAGTTGTACTACACTATAAATTGCCAATGGAGTGTGCTCACTCACTGCAAGAATCTTGATCACTGAAACTGTCTTCATCAAGAGAGACATCAGACACGTCGTCTTCCGCCCAGCTGGCCTCTTCGATCGACGTGATACGCTTGGGTTTCTCAAGCCCATTGTTCGCTTAAGATTCGCGCTGGATGGCGAAAATCGCCCTTCGATAGCTCTCTTACTGATGGAAAAACATCGTTCTACGTCAGCCGTGGATAATTTGGTATAGTAGAAGGATAACGCCAAAGAAGACGGTCGTGGAAGCTTTTCTCTGTTAGCCATCCAATAGTGGATAAAATCGAATCGAGAATCGAGCGGTTCTTGATTGTAGGTCTCCCATTCAAGTAGTGTCCGGCGCTCAGGTGGTGTACTTTTTCTTGGGCCTCCTTTCTTTCCTCGGATATGAAGTTCTTGCGTCGATGTCTGCGAGATCTGTCGGGATGTTCAAGTTATGTTGACCAAAATAGTAATTGACATAGTTTGATGCTTTGCTGATTATAAGCTTCTCTGCCTCCGTGTCAAGAATTTTGGATATTGATTGGGCCTTCATGTCTGGTCTCAATATGTGAGCTACCCAGTATCCTATCTGTGCACTGGCAAGATTATAGTACTTTTCGAAAAGCGACCTTGACTCGATAATCGTTGACAAAATATGTGATCTTTGCGCTTCCTCCACCGCCTCAAGGTGCTTGAGCTGAATACCTGCAATTGTCAGATTTTCGTCGGAAACGTCACCGCTTGGAATTGGAGAGCATGCTTCAAAGTACTTGTGAAGCAAGGTGTAAAACTGTATGCCATTGGGGAGATTGTTCAGCGCGTCATCTTGCATATCCGTTGTTAGGTCGGAAAACACATTAGCGAGTCTTAGAAACAGCTTTAAAGGATATATCTCTGCTGGTTCATAAAGGAAAAGTCTGCTGTCCTCTTTTTTGAGCTGAAACTTTCTATAGGTGTAATTCTTAAAGTAGAACTGCCTGAGAGAGTTTGTGAGATTCAAAAAGGACGACAATTGCTTATGGCGGGACACAAACCGCGTTTCATTATGTTTCGGAATTGCTTTCCCAGCGTAACTTTTGAAGTAATCACCCAGAAAAACGTTGTATTTGATCTTAGAAGTCAGTTCCTCAATCCTTTGAAGGAGCTCCACATTTTGTTTCTCAAACTTTTCAACAACGTGTTTAAAAATTATGTTGAGCACATGGTTCAAGCAACGAATTCTTATGATTCCTCCTTCTTCATTAACTCCATCTCCAATTAGCTCGGGCTCGATTTTGTCAAGCATTGCAAGGTTGTATGTAGCATTGTCTATCGTGACATTCGCGACTTTATCTTTGAGTGAGTAGCCATCCAGTGTATCACCTAAAACCTGACCCAAATATTCTCCTGTGTGGCGGGAAGCGCTCACATCATGAAAACCGATGATGTGGGTATTAGGAAACCCTCGGCATATGACGTCCTTTCTTTGGGAGTTTTGATCGAGACGGTCCAAGTTTGGACAAAATGATACTAAAATGGCGAGATAGCTCTTACTGACGGCAGAGGTCCAATATCCAGCAGGATATTGATTTTTGAAGTCCTTTTCAAGGTGAACCTCAGCTGCTTCTCGAATTTGTCGTGATAGTTCGTAATTTATTTCACCAGTGTCTTGCGAGAAAAAAAGAATTGGTCGCTGCTTCTGCCGAGAGCAACAGCAATCAATTCACGAAAGGACTGGGACTCCACTAAACTGAACGGTAGCAAATTGTCAACAGAAAAATTCAGTTCCTTGATCATCGTCGAATTTCTTTTGTAAAAGTCAATAAGGCTAGCGCATAATTGAAAGGGCTTTTGAGCTTCAGAAATTACGCTCTTCATGCTTGCAAGTTCGTTTCGCGTGGGATGTATTTTTGAGTAAAACTTGTCATAATCGGAGCTATGATTTGTTTTGAGGTGCTTCACCAAATTAGAAGAAGTGAGATTTGTGCTGAAGCTGAATACTTTACGGCAATGATCATATCTGCACCGCGCAAAAGGTTCGTTCCCGCTATGCTTCGTGAACCAGATTCTGGATGGAGATGCCGACAGCCAGTTCTTAAATTTCTTGGCAATTACCTCGTCGGAAAGCGTTTGACTTGATTCGTAGTTTTCGTTTGGTATTTTGCATGGATTCATAGAATATTCATCGAAATCAATAGCATATCGGTTTGTGAAGATGGCTTCGACTTGCTTCGTTTTCCGTTGTAGGGCATCTTGAGAATCTTCGTCGATTGATTGACAACTACCGTCACTGTCAGACGGCTCAGATATGGAATGATGATAAAAATGCGCGGGTTGTAAAGTCGAGTCGTGATGCGCACGGTCATACCTCAAGTTTTCTGCTCGGCAGCCGCTGATTTTCCGTAAAGTAGAAGATGAAGGCCTCCTAAAATTGAATTGTTGGTGCTGCTGGTGCAAGGTCTCATTTGACGGAGAATCCGAACTCTCTTCAGAAGAAGCACCACTTGTTTGTTCCTCCAATTCGACGGTATCCCTGTGGTTCTCATCGAGATGCATATTCAACAAGTCGTCGCTGACCGAGTTTTCCTCTTCATCATCTCCTGAATTGGCCCTGGTGAAAGGGGCTCCACTATCGAAGAGCACTGCTCCGTATCTCCATGCAGTGTTTCGTGGTATCCGGAACCAAAGCTCATTCTTCCGTCTGCTGGTCCGCTGGTGACGTGCCAAGTACGTTTAGAAGGTTTATAAGATCAGAGTGTTCGCGTCGGTCCTCGGAGTTGTTGGTGAAATTGAAAGTGAGAGATCTTGATCATGATCAAAACGAATTCTACCCGCGGCTACCCGTACCCGTCCCCAGTCCTGACGAGTGAACAGGTCTACCGCCGGGTCCCGGTGACAGGAACAGACACCTCCCAGATAAGTGGCATGCGTCAAATGTGTCAGAAATGAAAACCGTCCCGGAAAGTGGCCTGGCGCCTTTACTGATGCAAGTAACGCAAGCACATTTCAGCCACCGTATCTCCAGATATGTCCGTTCCTTCAGCAGATGCCAGCCGACTCAATCCCTGCCGATCTGAAGGTCGTCTACACCCCAACACCCCAACACCCCAACACCCCAACATGCGATGTTGCCAAGCACCCTTACACCCCCACACCCCCACACCCGCCAAGGGTTACCACTACGTACGCAACGGGCCTTTCCAACAGCAATCTTACGTAACAGCAAAACGTTGGTCGCCATGGCGATCGAGCCCCAGGCCCAAGACGCCGCCGCCGCCGCGCGGTCTAGAAGCAGCAGCGACGGACGCGGCCGAGTCTGTGCTTCAATGCAGCAGCTGTCTGCGGGCTCGTCTGAGCGCTCCCGACTACGGCACCTGAGACCGTGCCGTGGTGCGGCACGGTCTTCTGCGCCATGCCCTTGCCTGATGTGCCTGCGCGGTCGGAATTAAGTAATACTCCCGACCCAGCACCGTCTGAGTCAGCCAGCCAGCATGGCGGCGGCAAGCCGCGGACAGCGTCACCCCCGATCACCGCCCGCGATCGCCGCCCGCGATTCCCCCACTGTCAGCGTCATTCTTGGCTCATCCCAGAACCCTAACGTCACCCACCCCTTCCTGTCCATCTGGCCTTCGTCACACAGCCCACTCGCATGCCCGCCCGAGCACCCAGACACAGGCGGTCTCCACTTTTGTGGGGTTTTGGCGGCAAGCCGTACACAGTGCGCCCGGGCGTTTCTTCCGGGAACCGTACACAGTGCTCCTGTTTGTTACCTCCGCACGCGCCTGTCTAGGTCTGCGCACATAAATGCCGCCTTAAGACGATGGGTGACGCCACCTGGCCCTGCAACAAGCCGTAGTATGCAAGTGGGGGATTTTTAACTAATGGCACCAAATGGAAAATCAGTATATATAGGAAAAGGAAAAGGGGAGGAGCCCAACGTAGTGTGACGTACTAAAGGAAAAAAAATCCTTTGATCGCTGGTAGTGTGTAATTCTGAAAGGACACCTCTACTCATCTACAGCTCCAAACCAAATTTTCGTTTATTTAGCGTGGCGACTCTCTTTTCCAAAGAAAGCCCAGCACGCGTCTAAACTGTAACTGAGTCAGGTATCCAGTTAATAGTAGTGCTGTATACCATACGCACGTGAGTACGCTACCGAGAATTCCGTGGCAGGTAACGCTCAACCAGCGATTCCCCACCCTCGTTGGAATTCCGACGCAACCCTTTGACGGGCCGGGTGCTTATTTTTCTCGGCGTCTCAGCGGGTGTCCGTGTGGGTGTCTGTGTCGTATAAACGTCGCAGTAGCGTCGCAGTAGCGTCGCTAGCATGATCACCATCAAAGAGGTTGCCATCGACCTCACAAACTTCGTTCTCTCCAACGTCAACGAAGCCATCTCGTTCAAGCCGCAACTGTGCTACCAGGTGCCGCCCCAGGACTATGCCGAGTTGCGCGAACGCTACATCGCGTTCACGGGCACTTCGATGCGCAAAAATAAGTCCAAGCTCTACTTTCTGCCCACCAATATCAGTGACGAGCTCCAGCAACTCAACGCGTCGATTCCGGACTCGGCCAAGTCGTTTCCGCAGGACGGACACGTCTACTACAAGAACCGGCTCATCACAGAACTCGACTTCGAAAACGTGAAGCGCGTCGAGCTTGCGTGCGCGTACATCGCGTACGCGACCGTGAACCGCGCCGTCAACGTCGAGATGCAGGACCCCGTACCGGGTGACAGCGACGACGACCAAGACCCAGAAAAACTGTCTCCGGCAGAATCTACCACTCTTGCGCTCAGGCGAGGCGGTGTCATCGGGTTCCGAGAACTTGGCTATTTGGTCTCCATCACTCCATGGCATTTCCACCGTGTTTTCAAAGTTATCACGGGGCTCACGATTCGCGAATACAGCCAGCTGTGTTCCGAATTCATCAAGAAAAACCGCGATATCATGAATGCATGCCGCAAGAAAGTAGAAGGTCTGAAGGCAATGGGGTTTTCTTACTCCTGTTTCGACGATCCCGCATTTTTAAAAGAGGGTACCCTTTCGTACGAACCTACCGAAAACGTGGTACTTCTTCCGGAATATTTCATCGATCCAAACAAGTCCAAAGAGCAGAAGCGGAAACAGAAAGAGGCCAAAAATGCCGAGGGTAAATGTATGCAACGCGTCGAGGCTCGAAAGCGTCGTAGTTCCGTTATGACTGGGCGTATTCGCCGTGCTTCGCAAACTAGCATATGTTCCAATTCTTCCATTCAGGACGCACTCCACAGCGAGGTGAGCTATCCTTCTACTCCGCAAATGAACTCACCAGAAGAACGTTCGGACTATTCGGGCCACTCGGAGTCTGCGTCCCCAGCGGCGGCCGATCTAAATGCGGATCCACTCAGAACTTTCCGCGGGTCCATTTCTAAATCTAGAAACGGTAGCATTGCTCTCGCTAATAGCATGTTGAACTCGCTTAACGGAAATTCCGGTAACGTGGGCAAAGTTCAAAAGCCCAGAAACAGCCTCTCTCACCGCAGAAGTATCCACGGCGATCCGGCTACCATTTCAAAGGGTTTGGCGTCTCTACCTCTGGAGCAAGGTTTGGGCAACAGTTCACGTATTCCGACTAATCGCAATTCAATCGTGTCGCCTTTAATGTCGCCTAAGATTGACTTCAAACATAACATGTTTGCTGACAACTTGACTGCTGCCACGGGGGCGGGACTTCCTTCCGACTTTGGCTTCTCGGTCGATCTCAGCGAAAGCGTGGCTCCTCATGCTCTGAATGCACGAGATACCAGCCTTTACTCAATGGGTATGCCTCAGGATCCAACGCAGTCGGTCATTTCACCACCCGCCGCTGAACCCTGGGCTCTGCCTGCAAACGTGGTGCCATTTGACGATATCTCATTGCTCGCCAACAATGAGAATCTGGCACCCGCTCCAAACACTATCTTAAACAATGATAACATGCTAGACTTTTTGACGGGAGACCCTTCCTCGCTGGTTAAGCCTCAAGGTACGGACTTTGGGACTCAGGCGATGGCGCCTCGGTACTCGTCGTCTCGTAACAGGGTCAACTCTGTTGCGCCGGAACCAGACGACTTGGAGCGCATGTTTTTGAACACGGTGGGAACGACCCCGGTTTTCAGTGCGAGCGAAAATTCTCAGCTGTTTGCCAGAGACAATACGGACAATACCACTGCCACTTCTACCACAATGGACTCGAACTTAACCACGGAGACAGCCGCAACCGCGATGGAAGGTCCCCTGGCCCAGGACAAGTTCAATGCCTCCATTTTTCTCGAAGATGACAATGCAAATTTTACCGTCTTGTCTCCAGTGTGTTCGCCAACTGGCAATGAAAATGGACACGACTTTCCGCTCAATGTTCCGTCCACATCTTTTGAGGCGTTAATTTCCAATTCCATGTTTACAGGGAAATAGTGGCAGGGCCTTGTCCTCTGGACTAGCGAAAAAAGTGCAAAGCAAGTCAATCAAAATTAATGCAAAAAAAAAAATAACAGAATGAAAACTATATTTTAGGGATCACAGCCGGGTTTCGGACCCGGCTATGTCGTTAGGACAGGAGCGTTAAGGCACAAGTTGTACAAAAAAAATCAGATATGGAAGATGGTCGAAAAAGTGAGCAATACCCAAGCCCGCCTCCTTCACAACACCTTTAACGTCTTGCCAATCACAAGGGCACACACACATCACTCACAATTGGGGGCATTTATTACCATCAGTGGTCGGAATCACGCAATACACATCTTGAACTATGCCTGAAGCAGAAAAGAAAGGAAAGAAAATTTTATCGTGTTAGAAGTATTCCTCTCACTCACGGCAAAGACGTCTTCGAGCTCTTTTTTTGTCTCTTTGTTTCTCTTCCGCCATTTTATCCTACGACTCTCAGACGGGCGTTAGTATTTAATTAATGAAAATGGGTTAATTGATGTTTTTGAACTTCATAGGACAGCTGTCTTAATTTTAATGCATTCAAATTTTTCAGGCAAAAAACAACAGGATTGGTCAAACTCGCCTGTGTACATCTGTGTACATTATACACTTTTATTTCATTTAGGGTTAAGCGGATGGAAACGTATAGGTTCGTAATCGGTATAAACAAAAAAGAACAATCACGTGCCAGTTTCTTCGTTAAACGTTATATGTTCGATGCTCTTCTTTTTTCACATGGGCTCGTTTGGTTACCCTGCCTTCCTTTAATCCGTTCCCGTTCTCTCCCCTAGCCCTTTTCCTATTGTCCGCATTCGTCCGAGCGCCCCGTGTCTCTGTTTTCAATCTCAAACGCGATAGAAACAAGGGGCCCCCTTAAAACTGTTGAGGAAACCATGAAGGGGATGGGCGGTAAAGTATATCTCCAACATGACTCCTACTCCCCTTTATATACATTCTTCCCACCCTTAAGGCTGGTTTAAGCGAGCACAACTCGCATTATTATAAGACTCCTCGAGGAGACAAGAAGGGGCACTCAGCACGTCAGAAAGCTACACGGTTTACACGTCTTAAGCGTCGATGGCAAGGGACATTCAAAACCATCTTTTGTTTGAAGTGGCCACAGAAGTGGCCAACAGAGTCGGTGGTATCTATTCGGTACTTAAATCGAAGGCGCCGGTAACGTGCGCGCAGTATCGGCACAACTATACGTTGATAGGTCCATTGAACAAGCAGAATGTGCAAATGGAAGTGGAAGAAATCGATTGGCGTGACCCTGCTACCTTTGACGGGCGTGGTAACGGGGATAACACGCGCGAAATTGGTAGTGCGCTCGAAGCAATGAGTGGTCGCGGAGTGCGGTTCGTTTACGGACGATGGCTCATCGAGGGCGCACCTCGTGTCATTTTGTTCGAATTGGACTCTGTGCGAGGCCATCTGAACGAATGGAAGACGGACTTGTGGAGCATTGCAGGGATTCCCTCCCCAGAAAGTGATTACGAGACCAACGATGCCATTTTGTTCGGGTACATGGTCACGTGGTTTTTAGGCGAACTTGCGCATATGGATCAACGGCACGCGATTGTGGCGCATTTCCACGAATGGCTGGCCGGGGTAGCGCTGCCCTTGTGTCGCAAACGTCGCATTGACATTGTTACCGTTTTCACGACCCACGCGACACTGCTGGGCCGGTATCTTTGCGCGGGTAATGTCGATTTCTACAATAACTTGGACAAGTTTGATGTCGACGCAGAAGCGGGCAAAAGAGGAATTTACCACCGTTACTGTGTCGAGCGTGCTGCTGCGCATACGGCAGATGTGTTCACTACCGTTTCTCAAATTACCGCGTATGAATCCGAGCACCTGCTGAAGCGCAAACCTGACGGGATTTTACCCAATGGTCTCAATGTGATCAAGTTTCAAGCTGTGCACGAATTTCAAAACTTGCATGCGGTTAAAAAGGAGAAGATTAACGATTTTATTAGAGGCCACTTTCACGGTCACTACGATTTCGATCTTGAAAACACTTTGTATTTCTTCATTGCAGGCAGATACGAAATGAGAAACAAAGGTGCAGACGTGTTCATCGAAGCGCTTGCGCGCTTGAACTATCGCCTGAAAATGGCCAATTCAAAAATGACCGTTGTTGCGTTCATCATTATGCCGGCGAAAAACAAGTCTTACACGGTCGAAGCATTGAGAGGTCAGGCCGTTGTTCAGTCCTTGGAATCCACTGTGAACGATATTTCCTCTCTAATTGGCAAAAGACTATTCGAGCATGCCATGAGATACGCGCACGACGGTACGTCTGGGATACCCACCGAATTGGGGGAACTTCTCAAGCCTTCCGACAGGGTGCTTTTAAAAAAACGAGTTTTTGCCCTCAAAAGACCAGATGGGTCTTTACCCGCGGTGGTGACGCATAACATGGTGGACGATGCTAATGATCCTGTCCTTTCCCAGATTAGGCGGGTTCAATTGTTCAACAATTCAAATGATCGCGTTAAAATCATTTTCCACCCTGAATTTCTGAATGCAAATAATCCAATTTTGTCCCTGGACTACGACGAATTTGTTCGCGGTTGCCACTTGGGTGTTTTCCCATCATATTACGAGCCTTGGGGGTATACTCCTGCCGAATGTACGGCCATGGGGATACCATCTATCACAACCAACTTATCTGGATTCGGTGCGTACATGGAAGATTTGATTGAGAAAAACCAAGCCAAGGACTACGGTATCTACATTGTCGACCGGCGGTTTCAATCAGCAGATGAATCGGTCGAGCAATTGGTCGATCTGATGGAAGAATTCGTACAAAAGACAAGGAGACAAAGAATTAATCAACGGAACCGGACCGAGCGACTCTCTGATCTTTTGGACTGGAAACGAATGGGACTTGAGTATGCCAAGGCGCGTCAACTAGCGCTTCGTAGAGCTTATCCCGATCGTTTCAAAGCCGTGGTCGGAGAAGAAGTCAGTGACAAAGACATGGACGCCTTGGCGGGCAATAAGAAGTTCAAAATTGCACGTCCTTTAAGTGTTCCTGGTTCACCCCGCGAAAGTCGTGCGGGCAGTGTTGGCAGTGCCATTCTCATGACCCCTGGAGATCTGGGAACGCTCCAGGATGCCAATTCTGCCGATGATTATTTCCATCTCAGCATGGGTGTTGACGATGAAGAAGAAGACGAACTAGATCATCTAGCTGAGTGAACTTTAAGCGTGCTACAGCTGTCCCACTGAGAAAACTGAAGAAAAATTTCAAAAAAGCGGTAAATACTATAGTACAGAAAAAGGGCGTTTCTGAGCCTGTAAGTAATACAAACCCAATAAGCTCGATAATTTAGTCTTTGGACAGATTTCTGTTAGTTTACAGATTCCTCCTTTATATATCTTTAGAAAGTTGGCTTAGACGAAAACCGGAGCATGTCAATATTTGAATCAAAGGGTATAAAAATCATTTTCAATTTAAAGGGAAAAATGACGAGATCGAGGGTAGCATATCAAACCGGGACTAAAATCTCGAGAGGCTTCTTCATTTATTCAGAAGAAGTTTATCGTTTTCCTCGAAACGTCATTGATTTATCAAATGAAGGACGGCGTTGAAGACAACGTAGACGGTGCCAAAGACGGTGTTGAAGATGGATCTGGTGAGTCAACGAATGTTCAATCACCTCGACAAGTTGATGGTCACAAGTTTTCGAAAGTTATCAATAAGATTAGCGGGCAACCTGCGTCATACATTAACAAGTCGGATTACATTTTTGGGAGAACTCTAGGTGCTGGTTCGTTCGGAGTTGTGAGACAAGCTCGTCAGATATCGACGGGAGATAACGTTGCGGTCAAGATTCTTTTAAAAAAAGCGTTGAAAGGAAACGACGTTCAATTGAAACTTTTGTACGATGAGTTGTCAATTCTCCAGCAAGTACATCATCGTAATATTGTTCAGTTTCGAGACTGGTTTGAGTCCAAGGACAAGTTTTTCATCGTGACGCAACTGGCGACCGGTGGGGAGCTTTTTGATCGAATCGTGAAAAAGGGAAAGTTCACTGAGGCTGATGCGGCCAGGATCGTTACTCAGATTCTCGAAGCAGTTCAGTATCTTCATTCCAAGAACATAGTGCATAGAGATCTCAAACCGGAAAATGTTCTTTACTTGACGCCTGCAGAGGATTCACAGATAGTACTGGGTGATTTTGGTATTGCCAAGCAATTAAGAACGGAGGACGAATTGATTCATAAAGCCGCAGGGTCCATGGGCTACGTAGCCCCTGAGGTCGTAACAACAGAAGGGCACGGTAAACCGTGCGATATTTGGTCTCTCGGTGTTATCACATACACTCTTTTGTGTGGGTATTCTCCGTTTTTAGCTGAAAGCGTGGATGGATTTATTGAAGAATGCATCCAGGGTCCTCATCCAGTTAAGTTCCATAAACCCTATTGGGATAATGTCTCAAAAGAGGCTCAAGAGTTTATATTGAGGGCACTCACCATCCACCCGTCAAAAAGACCAACCGCTTCCGACTTATTGAACGACAAATGGATAACTTCGAAGATGAAGAAGACTGATGACCTGTTGCCAGGAATTAGAAAAGAATTTAACGCTCGCAAGAAATTCCGTGAAGCTGTTGAAATTGTTAAACTTAATAACAGAATCAAGAAATTGAAGAAGGTTTATTTCGACGAAAACGATAATGATACCGATATTGAGGAAAACTCGTCGGCGGAGTTAGATCAACTCAGTCATGCTTTATCTTCGTCTTCTATAAGCAGTGCAAGTTCGAAGCAAAGCTCGTCTAAGGCTCTGAAGTCAACCCTCACCCAGAACGCATTTGCTCAAATTGTCAAGGCGGCGACCCAGAACAAGGAAAGAATAATGAATTATAAAGAGAGCTCTGCTTCAGACAGCTAAAGGCCGCTCCTTTTGATGAAGGGAATGATTACCCAAAGAGACAGAGGCTTCTGCTAATACGAATCTTCTTTCCTCCCGAATTGTCAATGGAGGGTAAATCTATAGGGTGGATACATCCCAATAATCAGGTGAGAAAGACTATGAAATGCAGCAGTTCGTATTGGCCGTGGAAAAGATTTTAGTCCAAATATCGCATTCTTTTTGACGATTTAATATAGCTCTTTCTACATGATCTTATAAGATTACCAGTATATTTACAAATTTCACGATTAAAACCTCGCACGAAGAGATGCGTAGTCTAAAACAGACTCGTGTCCCTGCGAAACAGATGGGAGGCGATTGGCACATACTTATCAACTGGCCACCTACCTACAAAGGTATATACCAAATAATATCTTCGCACATATAATCAATGCTTCAGTAGCTCAGTCGGAAGAGCGTCAGTCTCATAATCTGAAGGTCGAGAGTTCGAACCTCCCCTGGAGCATTTTTTATTACTCGACTGTATCTTGACAGTTTGTAGCCCACAAAGCTGGTCAAGCCCTTCCACGCTTTTGGGCCTTCTCTTCCGGATTTTCTAACGAGCCCCAGTGTAATACCGAGAAATTGTAGTAATATATTACACCTTTTGAAAGCTCTGCTGCAATCCTTTTAAGACTCAAAAAATTAAATTCGCTAGATAATAATTCGATCGAAGAATTTGGGCCCGCCAATTTAGACCTGACAAGTTGAGATTGGCGAATAGCACATTTTTTTATATCTTGCCCGAAGGATGACGCATTCTAGGTCTTGACGACTTAGGCTATGTTAGAGCTCTAGACGTAGCGAACTTCCATCACAACTACAACAATAGATCAACAATTAAGCATTTAACGTCCGCGCCTAGACTTTCTGGCACCACTCGTTGCTGCGCTACCACGAGGTCTCCCTGTGGTGGATTTTGGTCGCTTTTTGGTGACCAAGTCCACTTCTTCGTCATCAAATTCTTCCTCCGAGTTCCCCTCGTACTCCTTTTCGGAATCAACAACATCTTCCTCAACATATTCGGGGCCTTGTATGTCGTCTTCGTCTTCGGCCTCTACTGTCTCCTCTACTTCTTCCTCTTCTTCCTTCTCAATTCCATTGTACATTTCGTTGCGGTCATCTTCGCCGGAAGAACCTCCGACATCTTCATATGACTGCTTGTTCCTTTGAGATCTTCTGAGAGTCCTCTCGTTTTCTTCGACGTCACCGTAATTTAATCCCAACTCCTCATACAACTTGAGCAGTGGCACAATCTTTATAAGGTAGTCATGCATAATGCGAAGTTTATCACGGGAAGCATTGAACTTCGACTCTTTAGGTAACGGATTTTTGTTCTGGGCGGTTTTGTTTGTTTGATCATCCTTTGATGTCTCAAGTAAACCGGATTTATACTCGAGTAGAGTGATGAATTCTTTCAATGTGTCACAATCATGGCACATTTCGAACCAGTAGCATTTATTCGTTGTATCGACTTGAGCGGCCACATCTCTAATCATACTAGGTGAATCATGGTAAAATACCTTGAATTTGGTACTCATCAGTTTTCCTTGCTTTGTAAAAAGCGACATTGCATCAAGTTCTCCATTTGCAATAGAAGTTAGAACAGTGTTCAACGTCACCAAATCAGTAAAATAAGAAGGTATCCTCTTGCTTTTTGTGCCTTGATAACTGAACAGCCGTGGCATATAGAAGTCACCCACATGAGGTACACGTCCAAGAAAAAATTCTGACGATCGTAGCCTATATGCTTCATCCGCAAATGGGGAGCTTAGTGGATGATCGGGAACTTCTCCTTCGAAAATGGCGCACCACTGGTCATAGTTATTTTCTGTCGTGAAATTCCTTGCAGCTGCCTCTGACATGGCGTCGTTATCTTCACGAGGCGCCATTAACAGTCTGATTTCGGCTCTGACCTCATCGAGAATTTTGTATTTGTGCGAGAGGTCATTGCGCTTCCCAGATTCCAGCTGTTTCCTTATGTGTTTTTTGGTTCTCCTGAGTTCCAGTTTTGATTGAATTAACTCCCCCAAAGTGCTAAATCTGGCCCTGGTGGCAAGTTCACCTTCTACAAGATAACGTGGAACGTGGAAAGTTGGAACACCGTATGCAAAATCACGTTTAAGGTGGACCAGCCGGTAAATTTCGCCGTGAATTTTATCTGAGTGCGATAAACACCACTGTGTCAAACTTCGCAAAAGAATTAATCGATCATTCGGTTGTAAAGCAAGGATACCCTTTTTTTCTAAATCTAATGATTGCAAAGGATCATTTCCTAAGGGTTCTTGAAACTTATAGGCCTTCATGTTAGGCGTTAGAATCTCTGGCAAATTTGGATCCACGGCGTCACAGTCATCTTCCGTAAACACGTCGAACCCTTCAACGGGTATCATATGAGGCACCTTCCATTCCTTTGGATAACCCCATGACCATGCTTGGGATCTGATTCGCGCTAAAAGCGCGGGGAAGGGTTTGAAAGAACCCCTAATAGAATCGAAAGAAGCCGGCGATTTATCATTGAGCGTCAACTTCATCAAAGTCAGAAATAAAAAATTCATTTTGTCCTGGCATTTCAGGATATCCTTGACCAGCATGTAGTCCTGATAGAACTTTTTGGGCTCGTCCTTTTCCAGCTGTGGATATAAATCCAAACCGACTTCAAAATCGTGGAAAGAAAGACTCCACAATTCTTTTGGTAGAAAAGAACTGAACTTGTTGATGAAAGTCATCATGGTGATAATATCACCGGCATGAGGCACATATTTCATGTTTGGGTACTTTAGCCGTGACACAATGCTATGATGTGTTTTGAATTCAGAAGAGTTTAATGGCAAACAAGGTGTCCAATTATCCTTCGCAAGCAAATTGTCAATTTTTTCCAATGAAGCCTGCTGCTGCAATTTTCGGGCTCGTTCTCTTGCAGCGTCTTTGTCAATATTGCTTTCTTTAGCTGGTTTCAAGGGCTTCCGTTTTTTAGAAGGTTGCTTGGTAACGATTTCCTCTTCGACCTCAATCACAGGTCTTTTCGGAACAACTCGTCTGGATCTTCGAAGTCCCAAGTTTTCAGCAGACCCATTGGAGCCTGGGAAATGATCTGAATGTGGGTTCGCAACTTTTATATTTTTGAAATCATTGAACGTTAATTGTATATGAGTGGGCTTCTTCTTTGGAGAAGGATTATCGATATTTTCAATCTCTTCACTCAATTCCGTAGCCTTCTGCGGTCCTAGATCCGCACTATCAGCCATCGGCGTAACTCCTTCTTGCACCTTTAAGATGGAAAAGAGTGGCAAAATTTTCCAACTCGGTTCTGATTTAATTTAAAATAGTTATCATGAGACGACAGACCCAGGGCTTGCAATGAGGGAAAGGAAACTGACTACTGCAGCATTTCAACCATCATCCATAACGCTTAGAATTACATCATATCATAATTGCAGAATTGATCGCGATGATTAGCTTTATCAAAACCTTTTAAATGTAGCAAAAGTTGTGGTGGAATGAGCCAATTGCAAGACGGTGGTGGACCCAAGACACAACCCAGGTAAAAAATTTCTGCTACTCTAAACTTCGTTGTTCAAAAAAGAGCAGAATCCGTTGAGTCAGGTTTTGCCTTGGCGATAATTTGGTAGTCTGGTTTATCTCACTCAGTTCTCTGTCGGATAATTGACAGATCTAGATATAAGCGAGTTCACGAAAGCGGCGTAGTCTCAAACAACCGTTAGTATTATATTCTTGGTAGCAAAGGCTTCGTTGAAATTAAATTGTGGGTAAGCAAGGTTCAAGTTAAAGGTGGGAAATCTTCACGTCGATATTAGCGGCGAGAATTCCAATCTCAATAGGCTTCATCCTGAAGTTGGCGGTAATATCCATGTTTCCGACGTTCATAGAGTAATTCTCAGTGATCTTAAACGCATCAGCCTTCTTTCAAATTTTTGTCTCTCATTTGGTCCAGGATTTAGCAATCACGACCTTATATGTATTTGATCCTCAAAGCAGTTGTAGAAAATCTCGTATGGGGATGTTCACATTTAAATGAGGCCATATTTCACGGTTTGTTGTTATTTGGGTCGCTTTTCGTGATTCAATTGATTTTAATGGCTGGTTTTTAGACTGCTTATAAACTTGTTGGTAGAATCGCTTACCACTATAAAACCCTTTCTAGACCAAGCATTGACCTGGCCCTTTCATTCACAGGCATTTATATACTTCAATCTATATGATGATTCTCTCGGCCATATATATTATATGCTAATACATATATAAGAGAAATGGAGAGGCCCTCTAAGGACCACCCGAGTTGAAAGAAGTTGATATCATGTAACACGAATAGCCGCCGAGGTCGAAAGACTATAAAAGGGGAACGAAATTTCAGAATGAGTTTGGCTAATTTTTACTGCAAAAAGTCAGATATGTCCGCAAAACACATTTCTTGAGGATGTCGTTGATAAGATGAAATGCGAAGTAGTGGAGACCAAATGAAAGATGACCCTTCAGCACTAGGAAGAGAAGCCCCGGTTAGCATCACGATCACCTTTTAGTTGAAATGCTACGCCGTTTTATGTTACGATCTGTCAATAAATAATTGGACTTTCATCTCTAACCTTTATTTTATGGAGGTTCTTCGACCAGCCGATAGCTAATATATTCCGCGCTGTCTCACATCAGCGTACAGATGTGCAAAATTAGAGTTGAACTAAGCAGTGCTTTTGGTCGACTTCGTGTTACCTTCGTTATAGCTTCCATGCATACACAGGCCAGAGAAATTTGAAAAGCTTTACAGGGAACATTGGTAAGCGCTATGTCAGAGACACTTGCGGAATCACACCTATTGACGGTTTATCGAATTTTCTAGAGCCAGCTGAAACTGAAGATGTGGAGTCACTCTGTGTTAAGGTTTGTATTGCATTATGGGGTTGACCGATAATTAACTTATCGTCTCATAGTGTTTGACTTTTTCTGTGTCTACTCTTCTACAGACTATGTTAGTAGGGAATCTTGAGAAGTTAATTTTTTTGGTTACTGAAATCTCAAAAAGTGGGCATCTTGATAGCGATCTGGACTGAAGAGCGGATCGCATGAGTCTCGAGGAGCTGATTCAAGACCTTGAGCGTAATCTTTTACTTCCTTGTGGGCTGGACATATACGATGAAAGTCTCTCTGTGGTTAAAAAGAATGAGGTGAAGCATGGTGTGGTAGGAGATGCCTGCATGTTGAATTGCGGATGTATCATATCCGAAAGCTTCTTCGAAGAGCTGTCTTCTGTGAATCCCAAGCGAGATGAATGCCCGGTTTGTTTTAAAAAGCCATTTTTCATGGTGGGTCCCATAAGGCCACTACGAAACTTGTATCTTCAATTGCAATATTTCAAGCAAAGAGGCGACGACGTTGATGATGGACCTTCTGAGACACCAGGTCGGCAATCTTTGATGTCACTATTTCATACGGCTGCTCTGAAAATGAATAATTTAGCACTTCCGGAAACAGGAGAAGTTCACATGCTTGATAATGTCTCCAATTCGAAAACCGTACCAATTCAAAATCCTCAACCCCTCTTAGATTCCTTATCGTCTTCACCTTCGCAATCCTCGCTACAACCTTCGAACCTTGATGAGGAGAAAGAACTTTTTTTCGCGAAATGTTTCCCCACTTATCGCAAGAAGTCTCAATACAGCACGCATGGCAAGTTCTTGCGCACCAGAAGCAAACTTTTCATAAATTCTGCCATATCACCCGACTGCACCAAGTTTGCGTTGATCACTGAACACAAATGGGAAGTATATGCCATGCCGAAGGAGTCAAAACGGGAAGCTACACGAAAAAGAAAATCCAAGAACGAAGCTGCCACACGGTTAGAAGAAGATACCTCAAACTCCGAGCCTCAATTACTCTTGTGTGGTAACTCTAGAGGCGAATTTGGGCCTTCGTTTAAAAAATTGGCTTTCCCACATCACAGGAGTGTCTTACAACCGTTATACTCGGACAGAACACAAAGCCGTGAGAAAAGTAGAAAGACATCGGTACAAATAGAATGGGAACACCTTTATTGTGAGCTTTCCAATGACTTTCTTGTAATCGCAGGATCTCGTGGACACTTTAGGATTTTTGATCTCAACAATGATGGAAGGCCATTATACACCTATGCATCACCTTTTCCTATCAGGTGCATAAATATTGACCCGGAAAGTAAAGTCATAGCATGTGGAATTACAGGAAATGATCGATCCAGTGGTGCAGAGCAAGCTCTCATCTTGTTACATAGAATTCAAAGGCGAGATTCTTCAATTTCAAGTGATCATTCAGCATTCTCGTTCGAATTTCCACCGCCCATCACAATTACGCTACCTTACCGTGATCCCATTAATACGCTACAGTTCTCATCCGATGGTGAATGCTTATCCTGCTCAACCGCCTTGGAATCGAGGTTTCTTCTTATTTCCCTTCGAAAGATAAGCGAACCGCGCTTAGTTATGAAATCCTTACGTTCTATCGATACTTCTTTGGAGTCCGAAGGTATAACAGATACCAAGACTTTTCCTGGTAATCCAAATTTAATGTGCGTAACATCTGTTGCGTTTAATGCGCCCCCCATTGTGATCAATACCAAAATACAAACTATAAACGGCGTCCAAGGAATTGCACAACCAACTATGCTTCTGAGATTAGATGAAGTAGGTTCCAAGATTCACAAATGCGAAATTTCTCCTCGATGTGATTCTATTGCGTTTCTCGATAGGAATGGCACGGTCTACATAATGTATGCGCCCACGCTTTTAGACAATGAGAAAAGGAGGATAGTAGCGGTGGATGTGGTTTCCAATGCTTATCGACTAAGGGAAGCTGCCACTCTCAAATTCAGCCCAGACGGGCACAAGTTATTTATCCTCGACCGCAAGGGCACTCTGTGTATAGAGGATTTTGCGTACGCGCTTCCGCAGGACCACGAGGTTACGAAATGCAAGCAAATTAATTGACGGTCGATGCTTTTCGCAGGTTCATTTTACTAGCGTTGGCGCGATCGACCAGAAGGGCCTATGTAAGTATTCTTTTGATGTACTACTCACCACTATTCCCTTCTCGATGACAAATTCCCCAGAAGGTAATTTAAGCGTAAATTTGGGACCGGAATTGTAAATCCAGTCCTGACTCATCAGCAGGTCCACGGTAGACACTATCTCGTCATTTGTAGATTCTTTCTCATTGCACCAAAATTCCGGGATTTCACCTCCAAAGAATTTCCGGAAAGCTTGGGTACACAGAAAAATGAATTCTTGTGGAGATTTAACGACACGATCTCCGATATTGGTAATACGAGATCTCACGCTTTCGACGCTCCCTCCTTCCCAAATTTCCTCTGCGATTTGATCCGGTTTCAAAAGACCTGAAAACCCGCGGATATTGGCGCTCACCAGCATTGTTCCGTGATGATACGCTTTACCACCGGCAACTTTATAGGCGCTCCCGCTTACTTTCTGAGTCTCGAAAAGTATATCTCCTCTGGAGCTCAGACTAACTTCTGCGGACGGCTCATGGTCTTTCAAAGTGTCTGCAATAAGACGATTGAAAAACTCTCTTTTGAAATTATCTCGCGAAGTGAGAAAACTGTAGTTCACGTTGCCCAAATCATGGACCACCGCACCCCCGCCAGACATCCTCCGGATAATTTGGTATCCCTGGCGTTTACATTGTTCGACGAAGAGTTCCCTCCAGATGGTTTGATTTTTGCCTATCACAACGCTTTTATCGTTGATGTAAAAAAGAAGTCTCTCATTATGATTCTTGCGTTTCTTGGAATGAGGCGTGTGCTTGAAGATGTATGATTCAAGTGCTAAATTGTAAAATGGGTTGTTCGAGGTACTATGCATAACGAACCGTCCCGCTTGGCTCACGATATTCTGCAATTGACTAGAATTCAAACATGAAATGCTTAAATTAGTGAAGGCATTAAATTCAAAATTGAGTTCGTCGATTTCCGATAAAACAGATTGGTCTCTTGCCGCGTTGGAACTTGTCTCTGAAAACATATCTGAATACATTTGATTAAGTTCATCATACTCGTCGCTTTTGGCATCAAGACTCATCGGGGTTTTGGAACTGGTAAACCTTTTAGCCTGACAAAATCCTGATCTAGCCATGCATGGCAAACGAATTGGCAACAGCAGGATGGTCCAATGACCCATTATTTAACGTTTCGGTGACAAGATCACACTAATCTTGTAATTTTGAAAAATTTCAAGATGATCAAGGTTCTTGCCACTACTAAAGACTTTGGAGATAAAACCGAGCTTCTCGAGCCTAGCCATGGATAGAATTCAACCATTCGTTAGGGATCACCTTTTATCACGAAGTTTTGACGATCCTGACCGACTTTTCCGCGATAAAAGAGTGCAAGAAACGCTTCTTTTATTACCAACGGATGGAGGTCTTGCTTCAAGACTGAAAAAACGGAAAAGCGGCACCTCGCTACTGCATAGACAAGCTAACCAAGTACCTAAACATGCCAATTATCGGAAAATTAATCAAAACTCAAAGAAAGCTCTTTCCGAGTATATAAATTCCAGTCGTAAGGCAACTAGCGACGCTGAAAAAATCGCTAATGAGAGGAATCTACATAGCAAGGAAACGGTTAACGAGTATTTGAAAGAGCATCATGCGTACGTGTACAACAAATTACCCCACTATTCGATTTTTTCACAAATGTATCAGGAACTATGGGTTAATTACATGCGCGAGACGTTAGGCATTCCTGCAAGAATGACGTCTGCATCACAACTTAGCATCAATGGCGCCAATTCTCTGTTAAAATTGTCCATGGCCGATTACAACGGTGCCAAGCTTAACGTCACGAAAAGCTCAAATCCAAATTTGGTTGGTATAGAGGGTATCGTTGTGTGGGACGCCCAGCAAAGCTTCATTTTGATAACAGAGGGTACTCTGGTAGATAAAATTAAATGCATACCGAAAAAGGGCACCGTATTCACCTTTGAAGTACCAATCAATGAAGACGAAGCGCTGCAATACTCAATTCTTGGCGATAGATTCAAATATCGTAGTAGCGACAGAGCCGGCAGAAAATTCAAAAGTCGTCGTTGCGACGATCTGTTGTATTATCTACAGTTGTGAAAGTCGTCTAGTCCGGGTTTGCCTGTGCAAGCTCTTCTAATTGGTGTCTAACCTGTTCTTTCAACGATGACGTCTCAAGTCCATTCTGTATAGCGTCTGCAATTTTAACCGGTTCTTTGTCGAGCCGTCGATAATCGTCTTTTAAAAGTTGGGCTTCGATTAAAGCACTAGTTGATCCCCGGTTCTTAAACAAGAGAAGCTCGTCTTTTTCAACCATTTCCTTCACTACGGAATCAACTCTCGCTCTAACATGATTCTCTAAATTTCCACCTTGTAGAGCATCATTATTTCTTGTAAAAAACTCGTTTTTTAGTCGATCGAAATGGCCCTGTTTCTTGTAGTCATCGACCAATTTTTCAGCAGCATCCATGATCACCACAGTTTCAATCAGCTGAGGATTTGGTGTGTTCTCTTACAAGTATTCGGAGTTGATAGATTTTCATAATAGTTTAAACATATTGAAATATCACCAACCTAGGCGATGACTTCATAAAATGGCAACAATATACTGAACAGATCTTCAGTACCCTAAAATGGTACGCAAAAAGGCTAGAATTTCCAACAAGGACCACAATGCAAACTTCAACTTAAATTTCGTTCTGATTTTGAAGAAGTTAGCCTGTGATGTAACAGCTCTGCGAGTTCCATTTGATGATCGGTTTGAACTGGAAAGATTGAGAAAGCAATTTGCCATGCTGTTAAACTATGATGCTAGCGGTGGTTCACTACTTATTGATCGGGGAATCATTGTTCCACAGGACTTTTCAGAATCGAATCTACCACTTTTACTGCAAAACAAGATCAATGAGCTTGGATCGTTTTACTTTCAGAAATTCAGCATAATGGCCAGTTCGAATACGGATGCGATGATTTTCCAGGTCTTTAGGAGAAGTCTTGACGAATTCGATTCCGCTGCTACCAGGCTGAGTGGTTTTTGTGTCTTCCTCGATGAATATCAGCACCGCGGTGTGTGTAATCCCAGGGATACATCTCTAACTCAAGGCCTGAAAACCCAGTTTTTGAACCTCGTTGCCCTTAGGAAACCAGATCTTTTCAGGCTTGTCCTTGATGCTGCCATAAACTATTCCAGATACGACGTGAATGCGACAACTGTCGGTGGGGTTAGCACAGCTCTTCTGGAAAGACTAGTCCAAGCGACAAGATTTACGCCGCTGATTATCGACAATGTGGTAATGAGTTCAGAGGAGATTTACTTGGGAAATGTGCGACACTACGTTGAAAATATGTCTGTCATGGCGCACAATGCGAATTGCATCGAGGATTTGAAGAATTTGATCTTTAAAGAAAGTCGCATAGCGTTTGCAATCTCTAATGACTCGATATGCAAATCGCGAGCACTTCTTATTGATTCTTTGTTGCTCGAGAAACGACTTTTGGCAGAGACTTTGGCAGACTTATTGGCGGATTGCGGAATTCAAAGTGAAAACTTGGTTTGTTTGGAAGCTTTATACTTGATTGCATCAGCTCGCAATAAGAAGGAATTGTTTTCAGCGTTGCTAAGCAAAGCGTTGCAATCGCTTCACAAAGCACTTGTTTTTGACGACACTCATTTACTTTTGCAGTTTCACGCCAAGACCTCTACAGTCTTTAAAGACTCTGGATTTAAAGATTTATTCAACAGATCAAAGAATGATGTCGCAAACTGGTTTTGTTCCAGTCCAAAACTTCTATCATCTCTAGCCAAATGGTGCGAAAGAGGTTTTTACGGGAAGAACAATCGGTCGAACTCATCGCGTTTTAATAATATGACGAGTTTTTGTCAATATATTCAGTTTATGGATCTTCACCAGAGCTTCACCTCAATATATTTGAAACGACTAATTCGGAGAGCGTTTACAAACCAACCAGAATTTTCGAAATCGTTATTGGCACCTAGCCCAACAAACTTGGAGCATTTATTCTGCGAGAAACTCGTTAAATTCCCCACCACGTCTGCTAGTAAACTGCACAATATCCTTACAGATCTAGAGTTTTCATCGGACTTTTCACAGCACTTGGTGCCAGGTTTCAATGCCGTTATTTTAGCTAAGGACACAGTCGAAAGTTCACGCGGTTACGAAGAGGATGACATTTTAAAGTCATTGCACCCTTTAAAACAGCAATGGGAAATAGCAAATCAATATTATCAAAACCAATGGCAAGGACGCCGCAAGCTTGACTTAAATGGTAATCTAACGTTGTTGGAAATTGAAACCCCAATCAAGCTAAGTGAAACCCTGAGTTTGTCCTTCAGAGCTAACCTGTTGCAGGCAGCCATTTTACATGCATTTAATAACTGTGACGCTCTTTCCATTTCGGATCTTGCGGAGACCGTGGGTTTTCCGTCAAATGAAAACTGTCAATCTACATTACAACCTCTTTTACAAACTCGAATTTTACTCCGAAGAGATAACACCATAAGGTTCAATTACGAGTTTAAACCAGACAGGTCCAAAATTAAAGAAGGAATCCTCCCCATTTATTCCCTGTCCGTAAGGACCTGACCAAAGGGCCACAATCAAATCGAATTTAGCTCTTTTTTGGTTTAAAATCAATAGGGCATTCGCGACTTGCTGCCGTGCCTCCAAGGGATATTTGAAGCATCTCGCTGGCTTTAGCGGTGGTTTTGGATGTTCGACACTGAGATAAGTGTCCATTCTACAATCTCAGTTGTCGCCGGATACCTTTAATTAATTACCGCCATACTAAAGGCTAAACAAACAATATTTCGACAAAAGCGAAAAATATCTTAGCATAATTTGATTGATGATCGATTGGATTTTCGGTCAAGAAGCTGGCTTTGCGGTGCCACATTAGTGATTTGGTCATGTCTAGCTCTTATGGGCCTGGACTAGTTTAATTGAGATTTGTAACTTCAGACGTTTCTTGAAACCAACTCATCGGGAGATCATGACAACTCTGAAACTCCAATTTCTTAAGTGAATGGAGACCGACGAGGAGCTAGTGGCAGCCGTTTCCAATGCATTGCAGCCTCTTTTAGATGAATTGCAAAAAGGTACACTCACTTTACAATTTCCAGAAGATGTTGAAAACCTTCAATTGCGAGCATATTTCACTGAGAAGTTGAAGATGCTTGTAACGGTAAAAGTTTGCGTAACGAATGTCATGGAGGAGGACGAAGTTGGTTCGCCTAGAGAAAGGTTCAAAGGACAAAGGATTTTGAGCCAGGAGGAAATTTTGAAAGTGTTTTGGCATCTTTTCAGTAAAGACGTTTGCAACTTTGTTAACGAAATGGTTGCCAATTTCGTTAAGGAGTTGACAAATTCTTCAAATAAGGGCTTCATATGCTGCTGGCCGCCATTTTTTAAACAAAAGCTTAATCCATTTATGAAGATGGCATCGTCAGCGTGTCGTTTTTTGGACGAAAACTTCGCTGACTTGTACAGTTCGAAGGGCAACATCAAAACTATTGGTGATTATATCGGCATCTACCTTGTGGGAGATTTGATTTTTAAAGCAAAAGTTCCCCTGGAGGATTTAATCGATGAAATTTTGAACATTTTGCGAGTTCGAATCGATCAATATCTCTTCAACGCGTCGTTGAACGTAAGTCTTAGCGACGCTAATGAAAAATTGACGCAAATCATAAATGAAGACGATATACATCATTCGTTGTTAAAGTTTTTGCAATTAGTAGCCTTGTACCGCGAAACGCGTTCAAGCAAGTCTGACGTTAAACTGAAAAACCATTTTATAAAAAGCGTTCAAAAGTCCTCGGATTTGTTATCTGGTGTTCCAAATGAATACTACATCAAGTCGATCAAAAAATTTGTCATAAGGGAACAATTACTCTCGGAGCTCATTGGATTCAATATGCGAGAGACCGTGAAGAAAAATGCCCTAGAATTTACTTTACTTGATGTTAAGCGTCTCGGCAAGTTAATGCCTTATCTCGTTGTCGAAACTAGAGAGCTCAATTCCTTCCGACTTTTGAAGGATGCCTATTACCTAGCGGGGCGCGCCAACGAGTTCATACATGTCTTGGGAGACGTTTTAGAAAATGATTTTCGGCACTCCTCACAGAACTCAGCCGATGCTGAGAGTTTACTCAGCTCTTGTGCATTATTGAGGGAATTAAACGATCCCCTGTGCGATTTGATACTAAAGCAGAGCATGCGAAAAATCTTTGGAGGAGATCTAAGGCTTGTCGACCCTCTGCTGAAAGTCGCAGACCAAATGATTAGGAGGTCTTATAAAAAGTTGCATACTGGTGTTCAAGACGCCAACGCTGAAGACGAAAAACTCAAATTGAATACACTTTATGCCATATTAGAACAATTTGGTTTGGTTGAAAGCTTCTACAAGTTATTCTATGAAAGGATACTATTTAGAAGAATCATCTTGATGAGCGATGAATTTTTGAAACTAAAGGATAATTCGGATAACCTCGAAAGCTATCTTTTGTCCGATCTTGCAGGTCGTGGGAGAGTCCCTGAAGCAGTCCCCCAATTGATGGCGTTGACAAACGACCTAGACAAAAGCCAAGTCCTTGTTCGAGAATTTCAATCCACGAATGCTAAACTTGACTTTGAATTTGTGCCTCTGATTTTTGAAAGGAAAAATGTGCCCTTAGCGTTCCAAAGGGATCCGACATCTAGTTTCGCTTTGCCTGCTTCCCTAGGGAAATACTGGGACGATTTTGCATCTTTTTATAAGAATTCAAGTTTGCGCTATAAAAGCAGAATTCTCAACCCACAGACTATGCTTCACCATTTTGAAGTTGAATCTCCATTCACTCATAAGAGCAAGCCTCTCATTCTTGAATTATCATTAATACAACTTTGCGTTCTTGAAGTTTTCAATGATAGAGAAATTTGTGACTATGAAGAGATGAAATCTTTGGTGAAGTTCGAGCCTCGTCATGTCGACGTTGCTCTGGCATCGTTCACCAGCCTAGGGCTTTTGAAGCATTCTAATAATAGATTTACTCTGAATGCCTTTTTCAAACCGGATCCAAAAAAGATCAAAGATGGTAAGTTTCGAATAGCTCAGAAGACGCTGAAGCCACTTTCTGGCTCTTTTATCCAGGCTGGAGTGTCGAGAGAAGGCTTCGGTGCATGGAAAGGCGAACTTTTGAAGGCATGTATTGTACGGGCTCTGAAAGGCGCAGGAGATCTTACTGCTGACAAGTTGTCAGAGGCTGTGGAGCAGAAGTTTCCGGGGTTTAGCGTAGGTGATTTCAAAGCAGCTTTGAGCGCTGCTGTGGATTTTTACGATTTGCATGATAATGTCTATTATTACAAACCATGATCGCGCTGAAAGATGGGCTTAGTGTACTAAGGACATCAGATTTTCTCAGGCTCTCCCATGGCATCTTAAAGAATTGTGATCGACAGTAAGGTGGACCTTCAAATACCTCGATACATGCATGCCGTGTGACGACCAGATAATGCCCAGAGCAATGATGAATTTTAAGCAGAGGTAGGCATGTGAACATTGGAATTGATCTCTAATCTCCTCTAATCTTAAATAATGCTGTTCTGAAGTTACATTTAAGGACCAACTATGAAGAGACTTTAGGCTTCTTCTGGCTCAAAGGCCTGATCGGCGACTTTTATTAGTTCTTCCATTGCTTGAATTTGGTAGTTGACATCGTTTATATCGCTTTCGTTCGGAGATATTAATGTCGGGCCCCATATGATACAAAGACTCCTCACGTTCATTCTGTTCGACTCTTCATGACTTACCACTCTTAGCAAATGGAAAATCAGTGCCCGTAGGGTCCAATATTGAGGATCTGGAAGTTTGTAGATCAAGCCATGCATATAATTTTTCCTCGTCGTAGGATCCGCAATTGATAAACAGGTCTTAACCTCTGTAGTCATGGCGGAGGGCATGAGGGTATCCGGGAGATTTGAGAAAAACGTTTTGAGAAGAGACCCGGCCAAATAAATGTCGGAGTCGGCATGATTCTTGGGCGGTAAGATCTTTGACACATTAGAAGGATCTTTGTCAATTTCCTCCTTTAGATTACTGACATCCAAAACATTTGCAGACTTGCGGTAAATGCCTTCCATGTCGAGACCATATTTGTCAACAACGTATATGCACTGCCGCACGATTGCAGGTACCAAGTCCTGCTCATAATTGAGTAAAGTTTCAAGCGGGGTACCAAAAGTCTTGAAGTCTTTCGAAATGCCAGGGGGCATAGAGTCTGAGGTTTGAATTTGGGAGAAAGGGCGATCGGTAGAAGATGTTATCATGGAAGCTGTCAAACTGGCTGCCCTGATATTGTTTCCGGGATCTAAAGTAGGGAACGGATCGCCTGAAGCCTTTTGTGGTGCAGCTACTTCCCCAACATTCAGCATAGAGGAGACAGGTTTCTGTTTGGATAATGACGAAGGGGGCTGTTGGACCCTTGGTTGTGATGGAGAGTTCAGGCTACTACTGCTACTGCCAAATCCGGTAGCAGTCGCCTGAAGGTTATTTCTTCTTGATGGAACAGAATCAAAGGGTGATTCTTTGTCGGTAGAAACAATGCGACGGGGTAACACATTATTAGCAGGATTGACAACAAAACTGGGTTGGTTTGGAGGTGAATTTGACTTGGTAAGGGTGCTCCTATGGCCACCTGACTTAAGCATTGAAGGATGCTTTTTGTAGTCAACGGGTATCAGATTTTTGTTGATAAGGCCCGAGCTTTTGGAACCTTGGTTGTATTTGTTAAGATAATTGTAAAGATCGAGTTCGTTAGTCATGGAGACGGCACTACTCTTCATGGATTTGCTAGAATCAAATGGAGTAATAGTGACACCGCTGTTGAGAAGTAAAGTTTCAGTCCAGATAGTGTATTTTTGGAGTTGAATTGCCATTGCAGTATCGATTTCCAGTGTCAAGTCCCGCAATTCTGCCACGATCTTGGGTCTTTCTTTGGTCAAAAAAGTATTTCTCAGAGAAGTCGAGGAATCGACTTTTTGCTTGTAATCGAGATCTGCAGCGTCGATCTTGCGTTGCAAATCTTCTTCTTGTTCTCGCGTGGTTTTGGAGCCTCTAAGCGTAAGTTTTGTCTTGGTAGGATCCGCCATTTTGAGTTTTTCCCAGTCTTGGCACAACGAATTGTACCTAGCCTTAGCCTTTTCCGCACTGTGAATCGCCTCGGCAACGTCTTTTTCAAGACGTCGACTCGTTTCTTTGAGATTTTTACGCATTTTAGTCATAGTGAGTAACAACGCGCTCAGTTCGTCGTACATTTTTTGCAACGCTTTCACATAACTCTGTTTGACCTGGGCCAGTTTACCGTCAAAATCCAATACGGCGTGGATACTCTTTTGGAGCGACGTTGAAAACGTGGCCCCAGTGAAAAAATTCTTGTAGGTCTTGCTGAGCTCCTGGGTGTGATCCTCTTCCATAAGATACTTCTTCCGCACAAATTTGGTGAGTTCTTCACAGGTTAAGAGAGACTGTTTCAAACGTGCTAAAAGTGCATTTATGGCAACGTCTGAGTCAAGCACTTTCTTGATTTCGGGCTTCGAAAACATTTCCTGGACATTGATGGGATCGCTGACTCGGTCACTGGTCTTGGGGTCGGTTATAGTGCTTGCCACTCTGCTGCCGTTTGCAGTTGAACTTGAATTTGGAGGCGATGTAACTGACTGAGATTCTGCCATGAAAAGCTGGTTTTTTTCGGATTTCAAATACACATCAACAATTCGCACAGTTTTTAATGCTGTGGATGGTGGATCGCACAATGGGGTATGTATGTGGGTCCGTTTGTTGATGACTGTTGAATTGTCCAGTTTGATCTGATGCATTTGATATGCATAAATTAGCGGCATTCTTAACGGCGAAGTTCGTTTGTGGTGATAATTTGGATGGTAGTCACGTGACATATCTAGAACATCTTCTTTTCTCCTTGAATTAAGTCGATTTCATTTGACTTGTAGCCTCTTTTAATTACCAAGCAGCTTGTGCTCTTGCCAGCTCCCCGGTTTTGGTTTCTTTGATAAGTTTTACCTCTTTTGATCCTCATTCTGAAAGTTGTGTTCAAGACTAAAAACAAAAATCCCAATATTTTAGAAAAGAAATTGAAACTGATACACCATGCTGGTATTCATGAAAGAGTAACAGCTCAGATCATCCGTAAAGCTATCGTAGTTAACAAATACCTAGTGTGAAGTCAAGAAAGGAGGAATGCCAGTAAGTGGAACAGAAAGTAAAGAATATCACGTGACCATAACGACAGAAGAGAAGCTAGGTGTACCACGTCCAGATCAACTACTCAGCCAGTTAGAGCCTGTACTCGTACTGAAATCTTATATTTTGCCATAAAAGACTTTTTGTTAAATAGGGAGAGTTAACCTGGTCATTATGCTTTACCATTCACCACGGCAGTGGGCTTCATATGTCCACGTAGTGATCGAAAGAGTTATACCAGAGAGAAGACTACCAGCATCGGTAGTTGATAGTTTCCGAATGGTTTGGTAACTGATGTTTATTCTTGATAGTATGATATTGTTGGAAGGAGCTGGCGAGAAGATGATATCGTCAAATTGCATCATCACGTGATCGATATGACAGAATAAAATTAGAGAAATGAGCGAACGGTTCGCATTCCGTGAAAGAACTAGAAGCTAAAACAGGACCATTAACAGTTCTAGAATCTTCAGAACATCGTAATCAGATCAAATGTGGTATGATAAATGACGTATGATGAGAATTCACCGTCTAATATGGCGAAAGTAACGGATTCCGAAATTGGCACAATGTTACAGAAATTGTATAAAATGAGCTGATATGACCAGGATCGTGGTGGTCGTGGTTGCAAGATAGCTACAGACAGATATATGTACCCAACACCTTATCAGCTTTATTATTTAGATCAACTCTGAACGAGTTAAATGAGCGGTTCAGTAATTTATCAACTACCGACAACGATGAATCTCAATAAAAAACTGCGACATTGAGGGATTTGGAAGCCGTCCTCCACGGACGGCTGAGGCAGCTTTTAGAAGTACCATTGAACCGACGGCCACCTAATAATCTCTCCCATATTCAAAAGTGCGACAACTGCTTATGTCTTTTAATAAATCGGCTTTGATACCGGTCAGCCACTGAGATAAGTATTTCATGCTGTGCCCTGTGCGAGCCTTCAGCGACGACAGCGACGACAGAAGAGAAAGATGTGTAAAGAGATGCTAGTAGCAGAGAGACCAGAGAAGCAGGCTACACGTCCTAAAAAACACCATGACTCGCCGTGTGGTCGCAGTTCCCGTGAAACTGACACGAAGGTCACGTGACTTTTAGCTCACAGCAGAGACTAGCGGTAAGTATCCATGTTGTAGGAACTACACCTGGATGTGCCCATTACCCACGCCCAAACAGATCATGGTCGTTTATTGTTAATGTACGAAGGAGTTTTTGGCTCTTAAATGCCTTACTTGACTTCATCGATTCCACATCACAAAGTACGGTAAACTTTTACTTTCTCCACAATGCTTTCAATGGGCACCTATTGCAATCCTCGTCTGTCTCTCGCCTTATTCACGTCTTCCTTATCGACTTTGTGATCCTTGCAGATCCTTTTACACTTGAGATGGTGGTTATTTGGACCTGGGTTACCCGGCCTCTAAACTTTAAGCGCATGCTCGACGCCCACTCACTGAACCCAGCTTTCAATGGCACTGCCATAAATCGGTAATCCACGTATGACTGGACCAAGGTGCTCATACGTTCCCAAACCCTACAATTGCCCTCCCGATGACTCAACAATCTCCAGCCCTAATGACTTCTCGAAGATTACGTACAAAACGACCACCAGTGTTTTCACCAAGTATAACTACTTCTATATAAGCACTTCCACCATCATTTCATCGATGAACGGATACCAACAACTGGTTACCGAAACGTACCGTCGCTCGACTCCGTCACGTCTATAAGGTGTATAAACGTCGAGCAGAGTAGAGACAGGTGCTTTGCCCACTCTTTGCGTAATATCAAGGGACTCTGGATGATGATAACCAATTGTGCATAGTTCAACTGAAGAATTAGTTCATATGAAGACAAAACTTCCATCGAATTTAGTCTTTCGCTCCTATCTGACCAAAGTCCATCAATGTAATTCTGTAGTCATCGGCTTCAAAGCGTACATGCGCACCGGGTACAGTTCGCTAGGCAAGCCCTTCTGACGCTCGGTGGCGATCAGCTTGAGTCCGGCGCGCTCGAAGAGAGACCGGAATTTGTCGTCACATCGCGTCACAGACGAATCCTGGGCATCGAAGTCGTCTGTTCCGGTCACAGTGTTGTTCTCCTTGAGAACTATGGTGCCGTTAGGCTGTAGTGCACGCCGACACCGTTCCAGAAACTTGACCAGCTCGTCGTCTGGCAAATGACCCACGCACCATTGACACCATACGAGCCAGTACGTGTTGGGTTCTGGTTCCCACTCTTGCATTCCAATCTCATAGATGTCGCCCAGTTTACTCTGAAGTGGTGCCAGTTCGTTGCGCATCTGCGCAACGAACGGTGCGACTGGTTCAACGAGATCCACGACGTCACAATGCTTGTGTAGCATATCGCGCGTCACACGACCAATGCCTGCGCCAATGTCGACACCGCGTTTCGTATATCCGTCTGCTGGAACCATACGTGATTTGAGTTTGCGTAGAAAATGGTTTGATCCCATCACGTCCATTACGGGCACCGTAGTACCTTCGCCGTACCCTCCAAGAACACCGTCGACTGTGGCCGGAACGGAACTCCAATAGTCGATCGCATCCGCATAATTGATCTGAGAGTCTGGCTTCTGCCCCATGCTTACCCTGTGTCTTGCTAAGTGGGTTGTACTTGGTGGTGGTTGTGAGTCGAAAATTTTCCACTTGAGCTCGTCCCATGTGTCTTGAATATAAAATGCCTATTTAGATGTCCTATGCCGTTGTCACGGGAGCGGCTGGCTTCTGCCGGTCGCTCGTGTACACCGTTGTCGCGTGAGCCTAGCTCCACGAGTAAACCCAGCTCGCGACATCTCTCACTTGCTGGTTCCAAAGATCTTTAACCGTTTCGCCAAACGGCCTTATAACCACATCGTGCGGCTTGTCACTCGACGTAGCCCCCACAATGTCCTCCCTACGGTCTATCACACCTTGCACGTAGTCACTCATTCGTTTCCAGCTCGAATTCTGGTAATGGTACCCGTCACGGTCGACCGCGTAAAAATAGTAAGAACTGGTCAAAACTGACGCTAGAAACGCCGTAGAGCTCAGTTTCAATAGCTTACTCATGCTAGTCACACTGGTGCACTTGTCAATTGGCGGAGACGCGTGTTAATTGACGCCCTTTCACCAAAACTGTCCCTTTAGTGAAGCAAGTTCTGCTGAGTCTTGATTTCGTTATCGGGATAGCGATAATTGGATCTGCTGGCCTTCGTCGGCAATGACCCTGACTCGAAAAAATTTCAGTTCTAATTATGTGAGAACCTTGACTTGAGAAAACCCAATAGTTCAACCAGATAACAGGCCAGATAACAAGATCATGGCAGGGTGTATGTTAGCCGCGAAACGAGGCAATTAGACGCGACAAGACCTGTACTAACGTTTTCTGCGTACAAAGTTCGCTTTATCGATTTGGCAAAGCCGTTTTTGCCCTTAATTCCAGAGGTGGAAATTCCATATGAAAAGATTGGATTTGACGAAAAAGTTGTCTACACGATCATTTCTGCGTTGATATACTTGTTCACGCAGTTTCCGCTTGCCGGGGTCGCTAAAGATGTCGGGGCCGGGTCTGTACAGGACCCAATCTATTTTTTGCGCAGTGTTTTCGCTTCGGAACCTCGTACCTTGCTAGAGTTTGGAATTTTCCCCATTGTATCCTCTGCATTATTGTTGCAGTTACTTGCGGGGCTCAAGATTGTCAAAGTCAACTTCAAATTGCGTCAGGACCGTGAATTGTTTCAAACGTTGACCAAAATGATTGCCATTTTGCAATATTTCTTGCTTGCCAATGTGTTCATATTCTCTGGATTTTACGGTGAAAACTTATCAGTGGTCGCGATTGTGCTGTTGAACGTTCAATTGGTCGCTGCAGGTATTTTTGCGACCTTGCTCGTTGAAGTGGTCGATAAGGGTTACGGGTTCGGTTCTGGTGCCATGGCCGTTTCGGTTGTCGCCACCGCAACCAGTTTTGTCGCAGACGTTTTCGGGGTCACGCAGTTCCCAGTTGACGGTGATGGCCATCGCGAAGCACAAGGTGCGTTCATTAATCTCACACAATCCTTACGTTCGTCCCACAAGACCTATACCAGTGCGATTTTGGGCGCGTTCAACAGAGACTATTTGCCAAACTTGACCACTGCGTTCCTTGTTGTGGGGCTGGCTGCGGTATCTGGATGGCTTCAAAACTTCCGTATCGAACTCTCTATCAGATCGACACGTGCTCGTGGTATCAACAACGTGTACCCCATACGGCTCCTCTACACTGGTGGTCTTCCATTGCTGTTTTCTTACGTGCTTCTGTTCTACATTCACATCGGTGCGTTTATCTTGATCCAAATTGTCGCCAAAAATGATCCATCCTCGCTCATTTACAAGTTACTAGGTGGGTATTCCTCAGTCAACAACTTGCTATACGTACCACAATTCCCACTGTCCTTGTTGACCCCATCCAAATCTCTGATTGAAAACTTGACCAGACAACCTCTCACTGCCTTCACTTTTACCGCTTTCTTAGTCGTCTCCAGTGTATGGTTTGCGGTCGTGTGGCAGGGCATCAGCGGTTCCTCTGCTCGTGACATTTCCGTTCAATTTAAAGAACAGGGTATCACTTTGACAGGTCGCAGAGAACAAAGCGTTGCCAAGGAACTCGAGAAAGTCATTCCTGTCGCTTCTGGTGCAGGTGCCGGAGTATTGGCCGTCATCGTCGCCACTGGAGAACTTCTAGGCTTGAAGGGTAAAGGTGCCAGCATTGTCATTGGCATTACAAGCGCTTTTGCTCTCCTTGAATTGATCACGGTTGATTATCAACAAAGTGGAGGTCAAAGCGCTCTTGCACAGGTCTTGGGTGCTCCCGGTGGTGGATTTTGAGGTTCTCAAAAGCATCTGACCTCAGCCCCAAGGCGTCACTAGCCCAGGTAACGTGCTCTTTAAGGACAGTCGAATCAAAAGATGAGGATGCCAGAATGACTGGTTTTGCTCCATTTTCAGATTATTTTTTACTCCCTTCTGTAGCGCCCATATCTCTTGTACTTTAATAAGCCAGACTCTACGAATAGTGCTCGCATTTACTCGATCACTCCAAGATCATAATTTCCATCAAAACTATTTACAGCATTACCTATAGGCTAGTAGAAAGCAGAAAAGCTTTTTGATTCATACTTTTTCAGTATAACAATCGATATTTGAAGCTTCACTTGACACTTTGCCCTTATTAACGTATTCCCTGAGTCTCTTGAAATACAAATCGGAATCAAGGGCACCCTTGGGAAATCCTTCGAATGTCTGTTTCAACTCTGGAAGGTTGTGGCTTACCAAAGGTTTCAAATCCATGTTTAGGCTTGCAGGAGTCCTGAAAGTACGCACCTTGGCCCAATTTATAGTGTAACCACCATATCTCGTGTGTCTACCAATACCCGATGACCGAGTACCTTTGTAAAGTGTTTTATTGCCTTGCTTAGTGGTTAAAGGTGTTCTTCTGTTACCCGCTTTCGATACTCCGTAAAACAACGTCCCGTCGCGATATTTCTTCCAGGGCCGGGTCAAGAGCCGCAAAGGTGACTCATGAAATAGTGAAGTCGTTGTTGGCTTCATATCCAATGGTACTGATCCGTTGAGTTTCAGAAGATACTTTTCGTTTCTCAACCAGAGAAGTCATCATCAAATACTTGAAAACTTTCTGCAATTGCGTACAAAGTGAGCTACACAGTTTGCCCAGGAATTCTATGATTTGAGATGTTACCCAGATAACCAACAGCATCGACATGTCTACTAGTGTAACTCCTCATACTAGTGTAGTGCTCCATATAGCTGGACAATTCTTTTACCTGTTCGAACTCGTCAATTTTCATAGGAATTCGTGTTTTCTTGATAAATTGCCGACATCGAAATTACATTGGTGACGAGAGGTGTGCGATTTTGGTATGATTATCACCGAAGTCAAATCAATGAGCACTATATTCTGAGTCTATCTTTTTCAAGGCCGCCTAAGGACCTTAGTTCTCGTAGAGTTTGGTTTAACCAAAATGAAAAAAAGAGTGGCTTGTTAGCAGTCGAACGTTGCGGTCCATACTGTAATTGGTATATAACGACAGGGGCTAGGTCTCATTTCCATCGATGCAGCGCAGTCATAACCCGAGTGTGTTCATTCCTCGACACAACCTTCACCTGGAGGAGCATTCAAATGATGGCCATAATGCAAATCCGACGAGTCTAGCACGCTGTGAAATTGACTAATCCACACGATCTTACACCACGGTACCATGTGATTCTTAGCAAATGGGCCCGTTTAGTATTCAATTCTGTCGCCAGGATCACGTGATTGGGTTCCACATGCAAATCATTGATCAATATAACAGTTAATGTACCCAATCAATGGTTCCATTATTATGTTTGGGTCAGATTGGACTTATTATTGTTGTCTTAGCAGCTATCTAGCCACCGGCTAAACCCCAAATTTGTAAGAATCAAGCAAAATTTGAAAAATGGTTTATAAGTTTGCAGAAACGAAGAAAGGCGGCAATAGTAACTGATGGAAGACGTCGCGTAGGCTCGCCTGATGCGTGCTCAAAGTAGGCAACTGAGATCAGCAACAGACGTATAAATTCTTGATCGAAAAAAATATGTCACGATGCGCAGTATAAGCCGCCTTGCTCAACTGTTCTCAGAATGCCAAAGTATCACCAATTTGAGAACCAATTGTAGTATGCAATTGCTTCCATCATTTGGACCATTACCGCCGAGTAAAATATTTCCTTCATTCTCCAGCTAAGCGATCTACTACTGTTTGTCGATCGGCTTCTGTGCAAAGAAGGTCTGAAATGCCCAATCCATTAGCATATTATTAAACGCGGTGATTCTTGTAATTTCTGGATGACAACTGGCTCCTCATCATGAAGTGTATCCTTAAGGCTTAAATCAGCAACAACTCGAGGACATAGTTTTAGGCAGTAATGATTCTATGGCCATTTTGAGCTCTTTACGCCAATAGCCTAAGGCGGCCTCCCAATTCTCGCCCCTGTAATCGCAACTGCGATCGGCAGCCAAGCACAATCTCGAAATTTTGAAGTATAATGCTATCGTCTTGATGCAAGTTTTTGTTCTGTTTTTTGATAGTATTAATACGAAAACATTCAAGATGTAATCGCGATGCCTATGTATAATGATTCAACTTCCATAGCCTTACCTTACCTTGTTCATTGCCCACGGCAAGAAAACCTCCTCTGGGAGAAAATGCGACACTTGTCACTTTCCCTAGAGGTGTACCGCTAGTGGGCCAGTTAGAAAACACGGTTCCTGAGGGCAGATGTACGAGTCTCAAAGCATCCTTGGATGCTCTGGATGCCATGCACATTATTTGTCCGTCAAATGAAAATGCCAAGGAAGATATGGAAGTAGTCAACTGATCCAGAGCGAAGGATAGTTTATTGGAAGACGAGTTTCGATCGTATACGTGAACAAACCCACTTTCGCTACCGATAGCCAGCCATCTGTTGGGCCTGACCTCGTTGAATGGGGAGAGCTGTGCTGAACTGGTTCCTCCACCCACCTGGATTGTGGTTATACCAACACTTCCACTATCTTCCCACTTTTTTAGAACTTGGGCCTTATTGGAAACATCAAATTCCCAGACTTGACCGTAAGAATTCACAACTATCAAAATGGTTCGGAATTTGCCCATTTTCAGTGGGATATAATCGATGCAAAAATCTGCAAGAACGCCTTCAATTTTACAACCCGCTAGCCAAACGCCGGTAGTGGCGTGTAAAATGTTGATCCAGCCATTGTTACCTTGCAAAAAAATGATGCCATGGAGACCACTTTCAGGGGTATACAAGTGACCGACTTTGAACTTTTCAAAAGATCTCTGAGTTTGTTCGTGCCCGTACAAACGGGATATCTTTTCGATCTTAGCGTATTGTGAAGAGGCGTTGGAAATGTCCCATGAATGCATATAACGGCGTCTTCCAGCACTGAAAACTTTTTGTTCAGTCTGAGATGGCGACACGTAAAAAGTACAAGTTTGCACCGGTGTGCCCGTGAGGTAAACGCTTGTGACCAAATGATTATTCTTGCCATCTATGTGATAAATGCGCAGAGTGCGATCATACCCACCACTCAAGAGTAAAGGTTTGGAGGGGTGGAATGATAGAGATTGAATACCGGAATGCGATGGACGCTGAGAGTTAGCATCTTTGAGACGCGTAATATCGAGAATCTTAGGAGCCAAAACAACAGTGGAGACGTCCTTATACGCACTGGTGCTTTGCAATATTTTCGACAAAGCGTGAACGTCTCCGTTAATGACTTGGTCAGATTCTTCGTCGTCCGAACCAACGTCGCTTGGTGAGTGTTCATCGCCCGAGTCATCTGCCCATTTGGGTCTGGGAAAAATCTTTTCAAATTGAGATCTTAACCGCATGACGTATTCTTTCCCATTTAAAGTAGACTCGACATACGATTTGCGCAGTTTCTTGGTTTTATTGGAGCTGGAAATAGCAAAAGAAATCCTCTCATCTTCTGAGTCAGACCATGCAGCTTCGCTAGAGCTATCGCTATCGCTTTCCATGTCGGAAACACCCTTTTCAATCGGTGGATCGTCTAAATTTTCACCATCGTCAACAAAAAAAAGTTGATCATCATGCACTCTATTCAAATCATCATCATCACTGGCTCCCTCATCCCCACTGGAAGCTTCAATCATATCGACATCTTCACCGTCACTTAAGTCTTCATCTTGTCCGATATCGACACGGGCTAACGCTTCATAAAAGTCTGCGGTATCACCGAATACTAGTTTACTGAGGGCGATTTCCTCATCATCAGGCGGTATAGTAGTGTTACTAACGGCAGCAGTGCTCATTCTTGCGATGCCTGTTGTTGATGGTAAGTAGAGCTTTCGCTTTGCCAGATGAGATGAGATGAGATGAGCTTTAAAATTTTCTTTCACATTTTTCAGATGTTGAAAAAGACGACTTCTCTTTGAATTAAGCGAAGTGAAGAAAGCAGGCGCAAGCATTAAAAAGGTTGGTAGCATCCGAAAATTTTGCTATAAAGTGGGAGGCTTCTCATGTTCTCCGGGAGTTGTTTCTTTACCGTAAGGCTAAAGGTAAGCGGGTGAAGTCAACTCTGTGAAGTTTTACCCAACAACAGACCAATAGGACAATTTGACATGGTCTACTTACCCAAAGCGCTGAGCTCTGCGCTTAGTGAACAAGGTATAGTTTCCAGAACAAATGGAAGAATGCTTGTAAAAAATTCTTACGCCCAGGAGTTTTCTGGAAACACCCGTAGTCAAGGACTTTTGAGTGGCTTGAAACTCTTTTTGGTTGAGATTAAGTCGTCGTTGCTCTAATTTAAGCCATATGTCGAAGCCAAAGATGATGCCTTCATGCGGCATTGTGCTATTCTCATGATGACGAGGTGGCTCGAAAGGGTGAGCCAACACTCTGCAATTTCCCATTCTCAATTCTCTGATATATGTTAACAAACAAACGAATTCTTACTCCCTCTACAAAGAACCTTTTCAATTTTTGCGGTCAAATGTGGGATAAGTTCTTTTCCCTGCGCATGTCGTTTATATAGTTTTGTGAGAGTATCGGCGGCTAACTGTACGTACAGAATGATTATGAAATATCAAAACCATCTACAATTAACTCAAGTAGGACGAGTAATAACCACATCTGTTCAGGATTGTATAGATAAGGCATGTTGTTTTCCATAAGCCAAGGAACCCTTGAGCACCCATACAAATAACTTCGCTTCGCCAAGAGAGAGTGTTACAGCATATAAGAGATGATCCTGCACCCTGTTTACTCCACAGAACGGCAACACAGTGACTTTAGCCAACGGATTTTTCTCAGTTGCCCCGGATCTCATTTTCCAGAGTACAGCTACTGGTCAGAAGCCTACGCTTCCTAAGCTACAATGGCTACGACTTGAAATCTGCTTTCGCTAAATTGATTGAACCACTTTCAAAGGCAACTCTGTAAATAACGTTCATTTTAAGATCTAGGTTTTTTCTGCGGCGATTCCAAGGAATACAACCATCTCGTGGCCATTAAGAAGCCACGTTGGCTCTTACTTGGCAAGGCTGTCGTCAACTATTCTCGACTGTCCAACAACATCTATGAAAGACAAACACTTGGGTAAACCCCGGCTTAGAATAACGGCAGAAATACGATGGATACACATTATAACCACGGTGTACACTCTAAACTAAGACCTGATTTTATTACCGATCTCATCTTTCTGAGAATCTCGGACTTATTTTAACGATTAAATTTTTCACGTTATCGAAGATATTCACCGAAAACGATGTCGGTGTTAGAGAACATAAGTGATAATTTAATCAGCTATATTAGCTAAGGCTGAGACGCGTAAGACCCTTTTTTGAACGCCCTTTAAGGAGATGAGGAGCATGCAAGATCATCCTTCGTTGTTGCACAGATGGGATCATTCCTATGCGATTCTTTCGACAGTTGCTTTCCCACATAAGAAACTTTTGTTTGCAGGAACACACGACTCCAAGATTCTATGTTTTAACCTTGACACCTACAATTTGGTCCAGACCGTTTCTCTGGGTAATTTGGATGATGAACAAACGCACACGAGATCGAGTGTTCTTTGTCTTGCAAAAAGTCAAGACGAGCGGTTTCTTTTTTCCGCGGGTGCAGACTCATTGGTGAGAGTTTGGGAAGTGACATTGAACACACGCACTTCGTGCGTGTCAATGAAAGAATTGGCTACGATTTATTCGTCAGTCGACATTGGTGACGTTTTTTCGGTCAAATATTTAGACTCGCATCAAACAGTCATTTTTGGATGTCAGAATGCCAGTATGCTGTTTTTGCCCAATGTCCTGGACAAAATGTCGCATTCAAAAAATTACAGCGATTTGAACTGTTTGCCGCAACTGCGATTTGATAAATTTTTCGATTCCACGTTTCGGGGTGGACCTGGTACTGTTTCAAGAACCAGTTCGTCAGATCAACTTGCATGCAGTGTTCACTCGAAGCCTGTCATTTTGGAAGTGCCCGCTGAAAATACTATCAAATACGCGCATAACGGATTCATTTATTCCATTCAACCTTTGAACGATCATAACCATTCTCTGCCAGCTTACTTCTATCCTTCGGGAGTCAGTCGTGACGACGTAGATTTCGTCATTTCTTGCGGTGGTGACGGTATCAGCAAACTTTGGTCCTTGACTCTCAACGCAGACTCGTCAGCGAATGTTACACTTGTTACGGAGTATGATAATGACGAAAGTATTCTATGCGAATTTGTTAAATTCCCATTTCTATATTGCGGTCTGAACGGTGGTCGCATAAAGATATGGGATATCAATACAAATGAACCAATTGCTACGCTTCAAGCTCCAAGCAAATCAGATCTCATGTCCATAACGGTTTACAATGATCACATTTTTGCTACGCACAAGGAGGGAATCACCAAATTCCACGAGGAAAATATTTACCATTGGAAAGCTCATCAGGGCCTAGTTTTGAGCGCCGAGATTTTGCGCAAAAAATGTACTTGTTTCGAACATGTTAGGCTGGTGACAGGCGGTAACGACGGTGCCCTGGCGCTTTGGGATATAAACGACCTGGTCGACAGTGTTTGCGAAAATTTGGATTACCAAACCTTACAAGTTAAAGAAAGGCGCGAATCTGAAGATGCGAATTCTTTGGGCAAATATGAGGATACGTTCTTCGGTAATGAACATATGCTAGAAAGTCTAAGAGAGCTGATAAGCTTTCAAACAGTCTCTGCATTGGCAGATACTCAGCATTCAATCCATGGTCGTCGCTGCGCGAGTTATTTACAGCAATTGCTACTTAAATTCGGCGCTACCACTAGTGAACTTTTGTGCGGTAAATCCGGCAGCAACCCAATCGTATACGCCGTTTTTCATAGCAAAGCTGCTAACAAGAACAGAGTCTTGTGGTATGCTCATTATGATGTGGTTGCCGCCGGCGATCCCGCAGCTTGGGAAAGCGACCCATTTGCATTAACTTGTGAAAATGGCCACCTTAAAGGAAGAGGTGTGTCAGATAACAAGGGACCGTTGCTTGCAGCAATTTACAGTGTAGGATGGCTACACTATAGAAATGAGCTCAACAACGACATTGTATTTTTGATCGAAGGTCAAGAGGAGTCCGATTCTAGCGGCTTCTCTGAGATATTGGGACAGCATATAGACAGAATTGGCAGCAAAATCGATTGGGTTTTGTTCAGCAATTCTATTTGGCTTGATCAAACTATGCCCTGTCTCAATTACGGGTTGAGAGGTGTCATTAACGCTAAAATTACAATTACTAGTGAGCAACCAGACCGGCATTCAGGCGTTGACGGTGGTATGCATCGCGAACCGACGTCCGATTTATTTCGAATAATATCAAAGTTGCAAGATGATGAGGGAAATGTACAGATTCCCGGATTTTACGACTCTTTGAAAGAACTTTCAGAAAGTGAAGCTAATCACTTCAAAGAAATATTGGCCAGAGCCGCACTTGACGACAACATCGGGATGGAAAACTTGATCACACGTTGGACCAAACCCTCATTTTCCATCACTACAATGAAAGTAAGTGGGCCAGGTAATGCTACTGTCATACCCCAAAAAGCGTCTATTTGCTTGTCCATTCGTTTAGTGCCAGAACAAGATTTGAACATAATTAAATGTTCCTTGGAGTCGTATTTGCTCGAATGCTTCCAGAAACTCAAAACTACGAACAAAATGGACGTCAAAATACTCAACGAAGCTGAACCATGGTTGGGGGACCCGCATAATCGTATATACCTAGTGCTCAGCGAAGAGATTAAGGAAGCTTGGGGCAAAGAACCCCTTCTCGTTAGAGAAGGTGGGTCCATCCCGCAAATAAGGTATCTCGAGAGAATCTTCGACGCACCAGCAGCCCACATCCCATGTGGCCAATCCACTGACAATGCTCATCTTGCTAACGAGCAATTGAGGATTATCAACTGGTATAAGACGAGAAGAATTCTAACGAATACGTTCAATAAGCTGTAATCGCTGTTTAAGTATATTAATACAAATCATAGCGGACGGACTTCTATATCTGATTTGAACCCTGATCTTGATCATGATCATCATAAATTAAATCAGATAGTGTAAATTGCTCCGAAACCATGAATATGATTGATTCAGAAGCTCCCATCGCACGATATCTAACACCAGATTTGGTGCAATTGATTTTACCTTACCTTTCGTCTCGAGATCTAAGGAATTTATCCCAGACAAATCGGTATTTCCACAAATTATTAGACTTCAAGGCATCCAATATTTTATGGCATGAGCTATTCCACAAGGCATTTTCGCTCTCAATGTGCGATGAAGAACCGTTGACGACGTCTTTGAATCAGGGGTTTTTGGGCTGTAGTGAAGCGATTATGAGAACAAGATTCGCCGATTTGGATTGGGCAGAATTATACCAGATGCGAGCACAACGGTTCGAGTTTTATTCTTGGGGTTGTATTAAGCATGCGCGATTAGGATTCACGCCAAATTCTCTAGATTCGATTCCCGAAGGCTCTTTGAATAGTGGTGGAATTCGATTACAGTTTGGGTTCAATCGTCCAATCAAAGTGCCTTGGCCTGAGAGTGATAGTCCAGGCACACAAAATTCAATTGTACATGTGTCTGCTGGTGGATTTTCCTTTAATATCCTTACAAAATCTGGGAAACTTTATACTACGGGAACGACTTATAGTGGTGGCCATAGAGGACCAGGACCCGCTAATGGTCAATCAGATTACAGTCTTTTTGCAGAAGAAGTCAGAGACGCGGAGCAAAGTTTCCGTAGGAACTTAAATCCAATTGCAGTCTCAGGAAATTTGATGCCAATCAATCTGACAGGGACAATGCCTCGGGGATTTCAATCGCCTAGTCGCAATTTGGAAACTCCTCACGCTGACATATATGCCCAGTTATCAGAACTTGAGAAGGCTAATGAACTTTTGCCGGGAAATGATCACGTAAGGCGGCTATTCCCCGCAGATGCCATAAACCTTTATCAAAAAGAGTTTTCGGGCGGTGTGCTTGATCTCAATCGCTTAAACTCTGTCAAGCTCATCTCTGTTTCATCTGGCCGATCCCATATACTCGCTTTGAGTGACGAAAACAAACTTTATTCATGGGACGGACCTGAGGTCGAACATGGAGTTCGAATCGAGTTTCACGAACTCGACGGTTCCGCTCACCGTCCAATTATGAAGATTGGGTCTGGATGGAACTATAATTGCGTGCTTGTTTATGGTGTGGGTTTATTGGTTTGGAGCAGTCGTGAACCTACGAGAAAGGGTGATTGTTCCGCTTATGCGAACTACAAAATTATTCCTGGCACGGAAAATATCGGAGGTGACGAAAGAATTGTTGATTTTGCTTGTTGCACTGATGGATGCGTTCTCTACATAAACGCCAAGGGAGAGGTGCTTTATCTGTATGCCAACGAACACGTCACAGCTTTCAAACCTCCTGTTGAGGGTAAAATGGTCAAGATTGTGGGAAAATACGAGACTCTGGTTATCTTCACAGAACTCGGATGCTATTCTTTAAAAATTCATGCAGGCCATGTAATTGAGAACAGCATTGTTGCTTTGGACACAGACGATATCGAGGGAAGATTTGTCTCGATAGCTACCGGAGACTACCACACTATAGGTTTAACTTCACAGGGAAAAATTTACACATGGGGACTAGAAAGTGAACTATGTGGGTGTCTTGGCCTTGGCTCTGGGCAAGATATAGTCGAGAGACGCCAACTTGGAAGATTTGAAAGCTCTCGCAGTATAAGAGTTACCAAGCCAGCACCTGTAGAAATGGATTGCAATTATACGTGTGTCGCGGTCAGTGCTGGCGGATGGCAATCGGGTGCGCTGATTATGAGGCATTGAATCGCGAAGTTCAAGGAAATTGGCCGTAGGAATATCAAACTAAATACCTACATATCTTTTTTAAATGAGTCCCAGGTTTTTGGCATGGAAGGCAGCATGTTGAGGCACAAAACTGCTTACGAAATAATAAGAATGATCGAATCCATCGACTACATTCACTTTAATCTTATTTTCCCACGAAGTTCCCTTGACTGCTTCCAGAAGCAGATCAGGTCGCAATTGTTTTTCTAAGAAAGGGTCGCTAGAACCTTGATGGATCAATATTTCGGAACCGGTGGTATTGTCAACGTTCTTGATAATGTAACTTGGATCGTGCTGTTTCCAGAGCTCTTTGTCGTGTCCTAAGTAACCTGTAAACGCTTTCTGACCCCATGGAACTTGGCTAGGATTCACAATTGGTGCAAATGCAGAGCAAGAAACATATCGATCCTTACCGTAATATTTCAAAAACCCGGTAAGCGCACCATAACCACCCATAGAGTGGCCTGTGATACCGGTATTATGCACGAATTCTAATTTCTTGGCATCCCGGTTAAAGAACTTGTCCAGAGCATGAGGCAATTCTTCGTGAATGTAAGAAAACATGCGATAATGATCTGCGAACGGCTTTTCAGTCGCATCAACGTAGAAGCCAGCGCCAAGACCAAAATCGTAACTCTGATCCTTGTCATCTGGAATCTCATCGCCACGAGGAGATGTGTCAGGGAAAACGATAGAAAACCCATAATTGTCGGCTTGGATTTGCCAAAAAGCTTTTTCAGACGCATTTTGAGGCGTACAAGTCAATCCAGACAGAAAGTAAATTACCGGAATTGGATTTCCATCACCATTGTAGTATTGTTTGGGCAGATAAATGTTCACATCCATATGGGATCCAATCTCGTTAGATTTATGTGAAAGTTTCAGTAGTTTCCCACCACAGCAGGCAATTTCTCCGTTGGATTCAAACGACATGCTCAAATGTCTCGATTGTGACAATCTCTTAGGCGATCTTAAGTAAGAGTTCTAAGAAGTTGGTCTCTCTAATAATTATTTAGCACATTATCAACATAATAGTTTACGATTTCTTGATGTGGCTCTGATGGTGGAGCGATGGCTCCCCACTATCCCGAACGGTAATCGAAGATCCTTGACGGCTTATACTTGTCTTTCCGTTGGGATTTTACGTGTTTGAAAACAGTTCCAGTCGATCTCAGATCAAGTTTCATTCAACTTCAGTATTGGAAGAGTTCTCCTTTGGTTGTTCACTTGTTTCTTGAGATTCTGGGCTGACTGATTTCGTTTCGCTAGTGTCACGCGAGCCAGTCGCATCATTTTGTTTTGTTTCGTCTTCCTCTTCGTCTTCGATATTTGGGAAATCTATTGGATCGAATTTCATTCTGATTCTGTCTCTCAATCTAGTTTCTTCTGTCAGTGGGTTGCTGAGTTTGACGTTTATTTGGTCCAAATTGTGCTCTGCAACCAATGGTTTGATAGCATCATTGACACGCCGCCTCCGAAGCTCAATACGGGATCTCAAAGATTTGTAATATACAACTTTTTTGTCATTATTGAACCGCAACGCCAGCTCGCTAAAAGGTGAAGAACCCGCAGGTGGTAACAGCTGTTTCATCTCAAAGTCTCTCAGCCTCTTGAATTTATAGACACGATCGTCCTCCGCCAACTCGTCGATGGCTTGTTCGCGATTTGCGTCGTAAGCGTCGGACGCCGCTTTGTCTGTAGTGTACAACGAAACCCATTCGTCTTCTTCCAATTCCACGGGACGGAACAGTGCCGTTGACAGAGCAAGATTCTGTTTCTCAGTACCGTCGAGCGCGGCAGACCCAATCATACGAATTGTGAAATACGTTTGATCCATGGCCGCAGTGTCCGGTAATACACTCCAGCGGTTGACAGCGTGTACTTTTTTCTTGGTAGGATGCTGAATCTTGGCGAGATCTTGGCTTGCAGCGTCAAATGTGGTTTCAACACGTTTCAAAATTTGTTCTGGCGACATGATCTCGTCTTCTGGTTGTTCTTCCAATTCAGCCACAGGTCTTTTTCGACTGCTGGATTTCGCAGCAGACGTCGTGGTCACGTATTCTGTTCTTCTCAAAAATGAAACTTTCGACACGTCCGTCTTGGTGAGTCGATCGACACGTGGATCTCTCAACAAGACCCGGTCTTCTGGATGAACTTTGATATTTTCGAATCCGTAGAGATTCTTCGTATCCCGGCTATTTAACACGCCTGGGATCCTGGTAAGATCAACAGACAAGCTCAGATCAGCATTGAGTCCAATAAGCGGTGTTACGTTTGTTCTGGCGTACAAAGAACTGATTAATTGCGGAGAAACGGCCTCTTCGTTCTTAGGTCCAGTAAATTTCAACAGCTTTGGAGGCAACAATGGCGGCGGTAGATCATTACGATACCGAATTTTCGCAATATACTCTTGTTTCTTGGACATTACGCCGGCTTAAAATGGGTCGTTTGAGGTCGTGCTGGAGCCTGGTCTTGTCTCTTAATCCTGTCTATTATACATTGTCTGTTTCTTGAATTGATGATATTTGATTATTTTCTCAAATCCGGGTAACTTAGGTTCGGTAAAAGCCAACCAAGACCTACTTTCATACAATAAAATGAGACAAAAGCGATTGATTGTATTATAGAGGTCAGCCTACAGGGAGGATTACGATCAATACCCTTGTATTTTGTACGGCAAAGCTCTAGCTTCTTAACAAATTCTTCAGACAAAAAGTTTTGTTAAAATCGGAGGAGATATTATTGATATTATTGATTGAACAGGTAACCGTGAGCCTTTGATCGGGCGAGTGCCGGCCAGGTTTTGACCCGCACTGCTGTGCATTTCGAAGTACGAGCGACACCCTCTTTAACAACAATAACATACAACGTAAAGTTTACATATATTCAAATGGACCAACATCATATTCAGTAGCCATGAGCAATGATCGTGTGGGAGCTCTAATATAACACCGCCGGGCTTCACACGGAGACGATCACGCCTTACTTTCGCCAAAACCACCCGTCCTTAGCCTCATCCTTGGACAACATCTGTTCCTTGCACTCCACGTGTGGTTTACCCTCGGGACTCGATTTCGTCGTTTCCGACCGCACCCGTACGGAACCATCCGCGAAAAACGTCTTGGTCTCCTTGACTTGTTCCTGACCATCCGACGTCGAATTGTAAGTCACGTATTCGGAAGTACCCACTACGTTGTTCGCACCTTCACCGGAACGCGCCGTTGTAGCATTACCAAAATCCATCAGGTCTTCGGGCGTCGTGGTCCGCATGGCACGAGCCGCGTCAGCGCGGGCTAGTTGTTGCTTACGACGTTCAGCAGCCTCGCGTAACAACGCAGAACGCCATAAGAGGTACCGCGAATAGTCCGTAAAGAAAAGTCCTAAGTTGTGATGCACGTCGCTCTCAACGCGCTCGCGCGTAAGCACAGAATCGAGCTGCTTAGCGCCCGGTAGTTTCGAATCCATCGCAGCGGCAGGTAACAAGCATCTCCACCAGCCTCGCGTATCCCATACGGAAAGACCCTTCTCATCCTGACACCGCATGAATTGCGAGTCTGAGGGTGTCCGGTGCGCCTGTAACCGCGGCCATCCGTGGGTGTGCTCCCAGTCACCAAAACCGGTCAGTGGGCCCCTATTGGACGCATGGGCCCCATGGGGGCCCTGGGGCCCCTGAGGACCCAAAAATCCCCAGCCGGCCAAAACATCGCCCATAGTACCTGCAAATCCGGTTTCTCCCCACAAGTCACCCATTCCGCCGCTTGCACTCTCCCAAAGCGACGACAGCGAGTCTCCTACCGTGTCCACCGTATCATGCACCTTGCTGCGCAAGGAGTCACCTGATCCTCCTAACAATTTCTCGTTGAAAGCTTCTATGTCCTTGTCTTCACCCTCGTAGATACCCATTTCAGTCTGGCTTACTTCTTGGATTCGAATCCAATAAATGAGGCCTGTAGATGGTTCATCGGGGGTTCTTTATGATGCACGTAACATTTCCGGATGTGACCGTACTAATTGACAGAACAAGTTTTGTTCCGACATTCTATGCATACTTCCATGCGTCATGCATTCTTCTGTGCATGATCAAGGGTTCCATGCATCACGCAGAATCGCGGCCTTCAGTATTCTCTTCGAGCTCTTCTGCTTCTGCAGCTGGATCGTCTTTGTTGCGGAACGGTAACGTCGTCTGGCCGCGGGTCGCAGCTGAGTAACGTACCCTGTTGTCTCTTACGAGCGTCCTTAGCGACTTGGTCTCAGGTACCACATCGCCGAGAAATGCAAATTTCTCGTTCGTTGCAACGCAATGCGCCAAATCGTCGTACTGTACACGGGCACGCGTCTTACTTTGACGTGTAAGTTGTGCACGTGCCAGGGCTTGCTCTGTAAACGTCTGCACGAACAGCTCAGTCGCGAACGCAGTTGCAGCGCGAGCCGCTTGCGACATGGGTACGTTCTCGGCATCCATTGAAGCAATTTTCTTGCATTTTGACAGCGGTAGTCGTGGCGTTGCGTCTCCAGAAGACATTATGTTGGGGGGGGGTGGGTAGGTAGGTATTAGTCCAAAAAAGCTGGGTTTCAGGAGGCAATTGCGCTGTAAACTCGCCTTGTCTACTACGCGTTAACAGCTTGCGCGTCTCTTATAAAAGTTGATTTTCAAGCAAGTGTTGATGTCACTTTTAACGAAAGACGGCTTATCTCATTGAAGTCATCTGGAACAGGACCCGGAATGGTTCCGAATGAGACCGCGAGTTTAGGCGCCAGAAAGCGACAAAGAGTCGAGTTTTTGGTCGCTAAAAACGCTAATATGAGCGAGTCCAGGGGCGATTCAGGGATGTGCGAAAAAAAAGCGGCGATTTTGGGCAGTGTGGACCCCCAAGCGGGCGGAAAAACGGGTATAAAATCTGGTGAACAAAGACCCTTGAAAAAGCACAAGAAAGAGGAGTTGGCGGCTAAAATTGCTGTGGATGTCAAAGATGCAACGCGTCCAGGTGGAATGGCGTTTCCTTTGATGTCTGGACGTGAATTGGAAGTACTTTACGAACGGCAGCGCGCGCGCGCGCTGCCCTCGTGCGACGAAGCCTTTCCCTGGCTTCATGGTTACTCGGAGCCCGGGTGTGCACCTCCATTGGGAGATATGCTCATCACGGTACGGTCACAGCCGCCTGGCGCGAGTGACGTAGAAAACTCCGGTATGTTGGTTTCGTCGTTGGACCCGCATGAGTTCTTAATGGGATGGAACCCGCAGAAACAGGAAATGGAAGCTGTAGTAGCCGCAGCCGCGCAGGTTACCGCGCTAAATGCACAGGAAGCTAGTGTTTTGAATGCTGCATGCGCACATTTTCGTGTCCTCCCGCATCTGATGTCCGACAAGCGTGCACAGGCCATGTACGGCCATGGATCATCGCATCGCGTGCGACAGTCACGTTCACAACAACAGCCCTGGAAAGAGCCGGGAATGTTTCGTCGGTTCGATTTACAGGTCGCAAAGATGGTCGAAATGGCGAGCGATTGCGTCATCTACTGTTTCGATGCACTATTACACCCACACGCCTGCCGATGCCGCCAGCTGGCCCTGGTGATTTTAGTAGCGCTACGATGCATTCGAGCACATGAAAATGTCACATCGGTGCCTGCAGTACTGGCATCAACCGCAATTGACTCGCGCTGGATCGCAACCCCACTCATGAAAGTGTCTTCGCTGTGCAAAACATCTCCCGAGCAGCTGGCATCCAAATTCGACGTGGCCTCTTTCAACAACTGGGATCGGGACCTCTTTTATCGCGAAAGGCTCGAGATCTCGAAAATGTCGAGCACAACTTGCGTCGATACGGTAGGAGCCGTCTGGTGCGGCAATTCTACGGATCACGAAATATACCGCGTCAGAGCGAAAGATTCTTCCCAACGACAAGAGATGCATGCTTCTAGCTTCAAGACCCCGTCGCATTTTTGTCCCACAAATACCATTGTGACGGTACCACCACTGGATTACAATAGAACAGATTTTCGTGTTAATGATTCTTTGCTCTTCAATATACCCACGCCTAATAGGACATGGTCTCTTTTCGTGCACTGTACAGAAACGAGCGCTTTGCCGGAGTTGGTCTTACTTCAACAAATGATATCCAAAATCCACATTGGACATGCCATACCGCATACGATATTACCTTTCCCTAGTTCCGGATGCATTGGACTGGGAAATTTGAACTTGGAGTCTATTAAAATCATATTGCACATGTGCTACCTTCTATACGCGGTCGGTAAGAAGACGAATAATGGATCCCTGCTGTACTGCACCGATGGATACACAGAGACGTCCTTTTTATTGGTCGCGTATCTGATTTTTGCATGGAGTATGCCTCTCGAAGATACTATTATACGTCTGCATAGAGAAGTGGAAAGACCCTTTTTCCTGTTCCCAGTTGATTTACAAGTGTTAGAGCATTTGCAATATCTATTGTTAGAGAAAAGCCCACTTAAGGACGAAGCGACGACTGACATGCTTGAAGTCAGCCAGGAACTATTCGGCAAAATGTTTTTCCTAAAACCCAAAGACACTTTTAATCTAGTGCAATTGAAGGGTCCACTACCATCTAGGATATTGCCACACTTATACCTGGGCTCGCTGGAACATGCCCAAAATTCCAGCCTTTTGAAAGAATTAGGCATAAAACACATTGTCTCGGTAGGAGAAACGATGCCATGGCTTGTTGCAGCGGTATCTCGCAGAAGAAGTTACACGGTCAGCGAGCTCGAGACTCGCAAAAATGTTGGAACTCACCGCCCAAGGGTAGTATCCCGATTGTCAATGACGAGTATTTCCGAAACGGCTACTGCCAAATCGCTACTGCCTGAAGAAACGGAGTTCGAAGTCATAGAAGAAGGTGGATTTCGCATTTTTCATATCAAGAAGATCTATGACAACGGAGAGGATCAGTTGTTATCGCAATTACAAAGCGCACTTGAATTTATTGACGATTGTTACAGGAAAAACGAAAAAGTCCTGGTACACTGTATGGTAGGAGTCTCACGATCCGCCACCGTTTGCATTGCAGAGTGTATGCGCAGGTTACATTGCGACGTACTTCGCGCATACTTATACGTGCGTGTTCGTCGTTTGAACATTATAATACAGCCGAACCTGATGTTCATGTATGAGCTTTGCAAATGGCAAGAATTGCAAGGACAAGAAAGACAGATCGATTGGCATATTCTGTGTCGTTCGATTTCGGAGTTGAATAATAATTATTTGTAAAAAAGGACACCCCACATTTATAATATAAATCTAATGGTATGATTGATCCTAAATCACTCAAGGATTACGTATTTTTTCAGCGACGATGGAATTGCGTCGTAAAGACCCTTTTCGATAAGCCATTTCTTGGAAAAGACCCTATCGGCATACTTGTGTCCAGTGTCACACAATATGGTGACTACATTACTACCCTCGGGTAATACCTTGGCCACCTCGCAAGCAGCGACAACGTTCAAAGCGGAAGTACCACCTAAAAAGAGCCCTTCCTCGTCCAAAAGTTGAAACAGCATCTCGATACTACTTGAATCCGGAACGAAAACTGCGTCGTCGATAATATTCACCGATTTCTCGAGATTTCCAGTAATTCTGCCTTGTCCGATACCTTCCGTGAACGAGGAACCCTCACGATCCAGCTTGCCAGTCTTCACGTAAGAATATATACAAGATCCTGGTGGATCAGAGACAACCAATTTACAATTTCCCTGCGTTTGTTCTTCGAGATACTTGGCAACTCCGGTGAAAGTACCTCCGGTACCAGTAGAGCATGTAAAAGCGTCACATTTCAAACCAGCAGATTCGAGTTGTGACAGAATTTCAGGGCCAGTAGTTTCGTAATGTGCTTTCCAGTTAGCGTCGTTATCAAATTGATCCGTCCAAACTGCATTATCTAGTCGTTTGGCATGGTCTCTGGCCTGATTATTGAAATTTTTAGGATCTGTGATGGGACAAACGGGCACTGGATACACTTCAGCACCTAGATATCTCAAAAGATTGATCTTAGCTTGCGACTGCGTGTTGGGCATGTAAAATACCGAATTGTAGCCCTTGGAACGCGCAATATGAGCCAAACCGATTGCAGTGTTTCCAGCAGAACCTTCAACAATTGTTCCGGGACGACTAGGATCAATTAAACCCTCTTTTTCGGCTTGCTCAATAAGGTACAAAGCTGCTCGGTCCTTGACAGAGCCTCCAGGGTTCTGGAACTCGGATTTACCAAAAACGTTGCGCCCTAATCGCTCGGAAATGCGATTTAATCTGATCAACGGGGTATTTCCCACGGCATCGATAAGGCCTTTGGAAGCCAGCACGGGTGCATACCGATGGAGTTGACTCATTTCGTTTGACTCAGGTGCTATGGAATGTATATAGGCTGGTGTTACTTTTCCTAGCCTCTTACTTGCTAGACCTTCAATAGTCAAGAGCTTGTCACATGATATGAGTTTTGGTATATACAGGTTACAGGTGATCCAAGATCGGTCTATTCCTGATGCTATGTGCGTGCCGGACGATTAGGAAAGAGCTGGTAGCCGCGCTGGACATTTCTAGCGGGTTTTTCAGTGGCAAACACGCGATTTTGAAGCTCTTTAACGAGTTTTACCTCTTGAACTTCGTTCCATTCAAGATCCTCTTTTTCCTTGATAAACCGTCTGATCGCGAGTATGTCAGTCTGGAAGAATTGCGCCACGTTGGTTTTGAATTTGCTTAATTTGTACAGGTTTTGTAACGTCAAAGGTGTATAATTTAGACCCGAAAGTTCGTCTGCGATTGTCGCTTTGCATGCAAGCCATAGTCGCATGTTCCCGCGTTTTAACTCACCTGCGGAGTCCAACACGGGCATGTCGACGAGTTCTAAAACACTCTGGCTTGCTGCATCGCCCACTCGAGGCTCAAGTTTCAAAATTCGCGTGTATCCACCGTTTCTTGTCTTGTAACGTGGTCCCACTTCTTCTAATATGGTTTTAAGTAATTTACGCGTGTCTCCGGCAAGCGACAACCGCGATTGTAATTCGCTGACATAGTGACGGCCCTGATTCGCCTTTTTCGCCATTGTAACGACTCGATCCGCAAGTCGACTCACTTCTTTACATTTCTCATGTGTACTCACGATTGAACCGTGCTGGAAAAGCTGGGTCACCATATTCCGCAACATCAAGTCACGGTGCGCTTTGGTGCGCGAGAAATGTCTCATCAAACCCTGAGTCATGGCTATTGAGTTGGTTCTTTAGGAGCTGAAGATGTCGCCTAACAGGCTCAAGTTCGAAAATTTTTCACGATCTTTAACGTGAAATTGGCCAATTTAAAGGGGAAAGAAGGGAAAACGTAGCAAAAGGAAGTGAAAAAGCACAGAAAAGCACTCAAAGCTCAAGAAATTATTTAAACCTCTCGGGGCAATTTACAGCGTTCGAATAGCTGTGCTAAACGCTGAGATATTGCAATTTATGTTAAAGTCACATGACTTGTTGATGATTGATTAATCTTCAAAACTGAACCGGCTTTGACTAACTTTGACCAACTTTTGACCAAATTGAAAAGATATTAAACCTCACAATAACAGGCATAAAGATGGTGTTTGAGCCCTCTCCATATCAGGATCGGCGTACCTGGAAAATGACGCCCGCAATGTTGCGGGCCAGAAGACCTTTCCTCAAGAAAAACGTGGCAGGTCTGTTGGTGTTGTTGGGAGTGACCGGCGGCATATACGCGTACACGTACCGGTTTTTGCAGAAGGATAACGATTTTGTCGACGTTCCAATCCCTCCTATTGATGAGAAAGAGCTTGCGCAGCTGCGTAGGGAGTACGAGGAACAAAAACAGCGGAGGGCATGAATTTGATCGTCAAACCGCATTGCGTGTAGATAGCTAGTGGGCACAGAAAAGGCGGGTGTCCCAGAATATATAAATTGTGTGTTGAATGGTACAGCTGTGTTTTGGCGCGCATGTGAAGATGATGTAAAGCGATGCTGCACTGGTAGCCTTAAACTAGGCGAGGTCGCGCCCGAAAACTCGTAAAAACTCCAAGAAAGCAGTGTAGAACAAGCCAGGGTCAGTGATGGCAGCTTATACTATTTAGAACAACGCGCTAGACTCGCAAATTTGGGGTCTGGGGCTCAATGGGCCCTGTCCAAAGTCCGAGAATCTTTCCGTACACAGTGAGATATCTAATTTCTCGAGATTTCCCACCGATTTAAACCCTTTTCAGGCCCATGTAGCATCCATCTTCATCTATAGCATTCCCTGACACTATATTTAATTCATATCTATTAGCTCTTTGCCTGTTGGGGCTCCAATTTACCTGTTGTCGCCGTCCTGTATATCCTAAGAGGAAACTCTCCTGGGATGACGAATTTTTCAACTCTATACTAGCCATTTGGACCGATAAAAAACCACCAAAGGACATTCAATCGAGTCGAATTTAAACTATTTGACCCCGAAACTCGAGGCCAGTGCCATTGCAACACGCCCACGGTTTTTTTGGACGAAATAGTGTTTAAAATGCCTGGTTACTCCCTCGAAAACCAGGTCGTGCTCATCGCGGGTGGATCCCAAGGTTTGGGTAAAGAATTTGCACGCAGATACTACAAAGAATCCGAGAAATCGACCATCATCGTGGTGAGCAGGTCTCGCCAGAAATTGCACCAGGCGGTGCGCGATATTACGGGCACCGAGAACACTGTTGAGCTCACGACAGACGCGAAACCGCACGATGGGCGTAGCAGGATAATGTACATGGCGTGCGATTTGTCTGTGTACGATGAAGTAGAAAAACTGTACAACGTGCTTCTTGCAGGCACGCTAGTTCCCACTCAGGTACTTATGTGCGCTGGTGGATCGCACCCGGGTTTGTTTAAAGATCTGACTGGTGCGCAGCTCGAATTGGGCGTTCGTGTCAACTATCTCACGTGTTTGAACCTTGCGCACGTTGCAGTGAGACGGTCACCTCTCTGTCATCTCGTTTTCTTCTCTAGCGAAACAGCGTTTTTCCCCTTCATCGGGTACACACAGTACGCTCCACTGAAGCAGAGTATCAAGTCGCTCGTCGCGATTTTGCGTCAGGAATGTCAATACCAGCGAATTTCATGCGTATACCCGGGCAATTTCAAGAGCGAGGGCTATGAACTTGAAAACGAAACCAAGCCTACCATCACGCAAGCCATTGAAGGTTCTTCACATCCAATTTCGTGCGAAAAATGCTGTACTCGTATCATTCGTTCGCTTTCTGCCGGCTACGACGACGTGATCACCGATTTCATTGGTTGGGTACTCATGAGCACGGACATGGGACTCAACAAGCAAAGTACACGCTCTTTTGCTTGGTTTGCGCAATGGCTTTTGGGCATTTTGGCCAATCTCGTCATCATTCCGATTTATATGCTAATTTGTGCGTTCCAGATCCGCCAATGGCACCAAAATCGCAGCAAAAATTGACATGACTTATTTCTACATACTGTCGCGGTTCTCATTAGTTCGAAAGTATGTCTATCTACTAGATAGCTGGCCTTTCTCTTGATAGCTGGTCCTTCTCCACTGGAGATTTCAAGGCGATGGAACTTTTTCTTTTTCAAGCTCATCGCGTAGTAATGCAGTGTTTGGTGAAAATTTTAGACAGCTCATCGAACCATTTGTAAGGACAAATCTGGTCAAAAAAATATCATTTAGTTTTGTTTGAGCTCTCCAGTGAATTCCTCCTAGTCGAAATGTATACTTGTAATACTTGTGGGCTCCAGTTTGGGTCTGCTGATGACCAAAGATTGCATATGAAGTCAGAATGGCATCGTTACAATTTGAAAAGACGGGTAGCGCAGTTACCACCAATCAACGAGGAGACATTCAATCAGAAGGTCAAGGTGTTGGCAGAGGCACCAGAGAAGGAGAAAACCAAGCAAACGACTAAGAAAGAGGCCCGCAGACGTGAGAAAGAGCTGCTTTTGGAAAAGAAGAAGAAACTTTTAGAAGCTGCAAGGGAGAGTATACTGCAGAATATGGGGAAAAGCGAGCTTGTCGTTGAGCCAGAGTTTGAGCCAGTAAGTCACCCTGCTGTCGAAATTGCGGCTGATGCAGCTCAAACGAGCGAAGACGTTGCGGAACAACTGATGGAACAAAAGCTGGCTCAAAGAGTCGAAATTGCTCCAGAAACCTGTCTATTCTGCAGAAATCGGGTCGCCAAAAGCCTTGAGGACAATTTGGATCACATGTTCAAGTCTCATGGGTTTTACATCCCAGAACAGAAATATCTCGTAGACAAGCCGGGGCTCGTCAAGTACCTGTCTGAAAAGATAGGTCTGGGTAACATCTGTCTCGTGTGCAGCTTCCAAGGTCGCTCACTTGAGGCCGTGCGCGCCCACATGCTTGCCAAAAATCATTGCCGTGTACCGTATGAGTCCGAAGACGAAAAGCTGGAGATCTCTGAGTTTTATGACTTTACTAGTTCCTACGCTGACACCGACGCGACTGACGCGGCTCAGGGAGGCGACGGGGATGATGAAGACTGGGAAGATGTCGCCAGTGATGAAGAAGGCGGCGACCTCGACGAAGCACCTCCTCAGGAATACCTATACAATGACGGTAACGAACTCCACCTACCCACCGGCGTCAAAGTGGGCCACCGGTCGCTACAGAAATATTACAGACAAAACCTCAAGCCCGAGACAGTACTCACCGAAGGTCAAGGCACTGTAATCGCTGCGGAAACTAGGCATTTTGCTAAGCTATTCGACAGAAAAGAAGTGGCTACCCAGAAGAGAGTATGGCAAACAGAAATCAAAAACAAGAAACTCCACGACAAGCGAGGCGCTAAATTCATCAATCAACAAAAGCATTACAGGGATCAACTATTGCAGTGAATTGAGTTACCAGCCAGCAACTGGGGGTTTACAGGGTCATATGTATACATATATAGTCGTTGGTTCAAAGAAGCACTTGACACGAACCACTGAGATTTCAGTCTTTTTGTCACCTGGAGCGATTTCTTCAAATTAGCTCACGAGTTATTCGGTGAGCAGCTGTTTAACTTCGGTGTAGTTGAGCAATAACTGACTTCTTTGAATACGTTCCTGATCTCTTATTGGGTTATCGGACTCATGGCAGTTGGTTGTCGTTTATCATTACAGACGTGATAAAGTGCAGAAAGACACGACGTACACAACGATGGAAATGGAAAAGAATTGAATTGGGTTATTGTATGCGTTGTGGAAACACTGGATGTGCGAAACACAACAGAAACAAACCGGAAACAACTCGAAGTGACAAATCACGTGACACTAGCTTTGCTATCCCAAGCTTATGGCGGGATATAATTGGAGTTGAGACCCTCCCGGGTTTCAGCTGCTTACCGCATAGAAAAGTTCGCGCGCTGAACTTACGCGCTAGTAAGGACGAATCCTATAAATTAGGTCCCTTTGTACGAATTATGATTTTTGCGTATTTTACTTAGAATTGACCAGGTTGACAGGTGCTTGAGTTCTTTGCATATTCAGTTTGATCCGCTGGTAGACCGTCGTCAATTCAAATGGCAGGGTTCGTTGCCGTCGACCTTGCGTCATGTGCTTCATATCGAGTGTTGGCTTAAAGGCGGTGAATATCATGTTCGACGACTGTTAAAGTGATCAAAACTTTAACATTTTGACGATTCTTTAACTAAAAGATACATGTAATTCTGACGCCATTTGTGACGTTTCGGCATGTTTTTCCGACTTTTACTGCTGCTGATTGTTCAATTGGTAGCGATTCTGGTCTTTTCCGTGGGTTTTTTCCCCCAAAAAGCGGTCCTAAAGGGTAACGCGGAATTTTGGATTAATGGCGATGAACAACGGGCGATGGACCCGCAGTTCGAGAAACTGGTGGTCATTGTGATTGATGCACTGCGATCGGACTTTCTTTTTGAGGAGAATATGAGTAATTTTAACTTTACTCATGGTTTACTCAACCAAGGTTACGCATGGGGTTACACGGCATATTCGAATCCACCCACTGTGACGTTACCTCGATTGAAAGGTATAACTACTGGAACCACGCCTAATTTCCTAGACGCCATCTTGAACGTGGCGGAAGACGATTCTTCGTCAAATTTGAAGGATCAAGATTCCTGGCTTAAACAATTGCATATCCGTAACAAAAGGATTGATTTTTTTGGCGACGACACTTGGCTCAAACTTTTCCCCGAGGAGTTTTTCCAGCGTCGAGATGGCACCAATTCGTTCTTCGTCAGTGATTTCGAGGAAGTCGATTTCAATGTGACTCGACATTTACCGGAGGAACTCAACACACAGTCTGATTGGGATGCTCTCATTTTACATTACCTGGGTCTTGATCATATCGGTCACAAAGGTGGCTCGCGCTCTCAATTTATGGCACCAAAGCATAGAGAAATGGATGAGGTAATCAAAACGGTCTTTGAAGCGTCAGATGAGAAAACCCTCGTGTGTATCATGGGCGATCACGGAATGAACGATCTTGGGAATCACGGTGGATCGTCTTCAGGTGAGACTTCAGCTGGATTGGTGTTTGCATCCAAAAAACTGGTAAACTTCAGGAAGCCTACTGTACAAGAAAACATCAAAGTCCCTTACAGAAACTACGAAGACAATCACCAATACCTGAAACTTGTCAATCAAATCGATTTCGTACCGACTATAGCGTCGCTATTCAATTTCCCAATCCCCAAAAATAGCATTGGCATTATAATTGACGATTTTTTGCAGCTGTTCAACCGAGACGCCGCTTCCCTGAAGGTGCAAGAAAACTACCAACAGTTGCTTCATATCTCCAAAACACCCGATTCCGCCTCTCATGACATTGCTACACTTTTCGCTTCAATGAAGGAAATGCAAGATTCACTCTCTCAATCTGCAACTAACTACAATTACGTTTTGATTGCAATTGGTTATCTTACGCTTCTGATTGTGACATTGGTAGCGCTTCGCATTGCCGTGGTAAAACGGCCGCACTTTGCGCATTTGGCTGCTGTGGTGGTCGTCAGCATCTTACTGAGCATGAGTACGTTTGGCAGCAGCTTTGTAGAGGAAGAACATCAATTCTGGTGGTGGATAGCCTGCGGCCTGGTTATTATTTCTGGTTTCAGCACCAAAAATCACTGGAAAAGCCTTGCTATTGTCAGCGTTTGCTTGAGACTCATAAGAGGTTGGAACAACAGCGGTCAAAAGTACGTGTACGAACGCACGATGTTTTCGATGTTAACGGCACGTCCCGAGCTACTTTGGTCACTTAATGCTATAACCATTTTTGTCACCTGCTTTGATTTAAATGTCAGGAGCATTTATTCCCTCGCTTCGTCGTTTCTGCTTGCCGGGCTATGCCTGACAAGCAAAGCAAATCTGACTCTAGTCAGTGGCGAAGGTCTTCCGGCTTGGCTCCAAAGTGTTGTCCACCGGAGCTGTCTGCTTCTCGTTGGCGACCTTCCCAATTTAAACAAGCTGGCAAGCGTGCCATTTGCCAGACTTTTCCACAAGTATTTAATGCTGTTGCTATTAGCGCACTTCACTTTCCAAAGAATGTTTACTGGGAGCAAGAGGTCAGTTCAAGATATAAACCGAATCATTACCGCCTTTCTAATTTTCCAAACAGTACCAGGTAACATCCCGCTTTTTCTCGTTTTTGAAGGTATGCGGCCTCATCTTTTGGAAATCATGACAGCGTTAGGCTCGATTGATGAGTTCGCGCTGTCATTGACAAGCTTGATACTGCAACACCTCACGTTCTTCCAACTGGGGAATACAAATTCGATTGCCACTGTAAATTTGGCCAATGCGTATAATGGTGTCTCCGAAAACTATAATATCTACGTTGTGGGTATGCTCATGTGCATTTCGAACTTTGCTCCGAGCATATACTGGTCCTTATGGCAACTGACAACCGCGGAACGCCTAGGAGTTTTGCGCATATCAAAAATGGAGCATTTAAGTATGCTTAAACTTCCAGAATTTGTAGTTTACTGCATTTTTGGCTGTTTCCTACTCGGATCTTGCATCATTCTGCGATACCACTTGTTCATATGGAGTGTATTCAGCCCGAAACTGTGTTACTATGTAACATGGAATCTGTTCATGAACTTGATCATTAATTGGGGACTCGGAGGATTGGTTCTTTGGTTCAGCTAATGACTTGCAGATGTGTGACTTGATCAACAACTTGTACATACTCTAATAGAGGTAGATAAAAGATGATTATACTGATGATAGTGCTAGTGAAGACTAGCTCTTTGATTAAAGGAAAACCATTCTTTGATAATGGCAGACGTCAGACTCTGGGCGATAACTGTCTTGACACAAATATAGCATCTCTCAGTCTAAATGGTCCTTGAGTAACCTTAGTCGCTCGACGGCTTTTTGCAAGTAGTCATCCGACTTACAAACGGCGAAACGGAGCAAGTTCTCGGCAGCCTTCTCATGTTCTTTGATGTAAAACTCGGTGGGTGGAATGGCAACAACGCCAAGCTCGTTGATAAGCCAGTAGGATATACGGAAATCTTTAGCCTTTTCTTTCAGTTCTTCAGGGAATGGATAATCGGCTGGGATCTTGACCTTGGAGAAGTCCACCAGTACGAAATAGGTGCCCTCCGGCTTAGTGTATGGGAGTCTCAACTCGTCGAATACGCTTGTGAAGATTTCGAACTTACGAATGTATTCTTGTCTCATGGTCTCGAAGTAGTCCTTTTCGGTTGCCAAAATCAGTGAGTTCGCACAGGCCTCTTGGAAAGGTGAAGGGGAAGAGAAACAAATTCTGGTGTGAGCCATGGAAGCGTATTTCAACAAATCTGGGTTCAAAGAGACGATCCAGCCGATCCTCCACCCAGTAGCAGCAAAAGTTTTACCAGCAGACCCGATAGTGAGTGTAATTTGACCGATTTCTGGCGTCAAAGTCGCGACTCTGGTAAACTCGTTGGTAAAATATAAGTTTTCATATACCTCATCGGAAATGATAAACACATTGTTCTCCACACAAATTTGACCTATCTGGAGCAATTCGTTTCTGGTGAAGACTTTACCGATGGGATTGTGAGGCGAATTCAAAATGAGAGCTTTGGTCTTCGGGGTAATAGCCGCACGTAGTTCATCGTAATCGACTGTCCATTCAGTGCCAAAAGTGACACGTTTTTCCAGGTCTTTCGGAGGATGCAACGGCACGTATTTGACAATTCCTCCGGGAATGCGAATGTTAGAAATATATTGATCGAAAAAGGGCTCAAAAACGATCACTTCATCTCCAGGGTTGACAAGTCCCACAAGACACGAAAGAATGCCCTCATTTGCGCCAGTAGTGACCTGGACATTGTTTGGCTGCAGCTGAGTCTTGTAAAATGGCGAATATAACTGGATCAACGAGTTAATAAGTGACACTCTGCCCTTCGTAGGCGCATATTGGTTAACCATGGGGTCTTCCAACGCCTTTTGGACCTCAGAAATGGCGAAATGCGGAGGTGAGTACGAAAAAAACCCTTGGCCCAAGTTAATAAGCTCACGGCCTTTGTTTTTCGAGTTGTTGGCAGCTGTGGCGGCTGCCTCGTTCGTTAGCGACCACACATCTTTGCTCAAATTTTCTGTAAGAGCCCGGTTAGGCTTGATTGTGGGCCCGCTTCCTGATGTCATGAGAAATCTCTTAATCGTCCTTCTAAACATGCAGTTGAGAACCTTGATGCCCATCTCAGTCTCACGCCCTTCCCTCATCAACCCTCGTACCTTATATATCGCCCTTATCGCGCCTTTTACAGCCAGTAAAGCCACACTTTTCGCTGCCATTTGATACCTCCTCACATGACCCACAACACACTCTACCTAGCCAATTCCTATCGCTATCATCTGCATCTCTCTAAGGTAAATACTCTATATAATATAAGTAGTCTTGAACCTTGATTTCTTCCTGTGTTGGGCGGCTAATGGAAAGCGAGAAAGAAAAATATACTGCCGTGTTTTCGGCCTTTTATAGGTTTTTTCCCCCAGATTCTCGTACGATGGTATATGTATCTTATGAAGTCATGTGACTCTGAAATATGATATTCGGTAACTTTGAGCAGTTAAGGCCAGTAAGGAATCAGTGAAGAACTTAGTGATAACCTCGCAAACGGACTAGATTTGTGTTCATCATTAAAAAAGATTGTATATAAGCTGTATATGACTGGATCTAGTGTCAGATATTTGAGTTACACGAGGAGTGGTGTGGTTGGGAGTTCTCTAGCGCGATTTCCCGCACATTTTGTCGCAACAGCTTGGCAAGGTTGGCGTGGTTTCAACACGAAAGAAGCGCCGGGACCTCCAAAACTCGCCGATGAGGATCAGGAAGAGTTCGAGCGTTTGCAGAAAGTCGCCATGTCGCAGGAGGCCATTGAGCAGTATAATGCTTCTATTGAAAACGACACGACGAAGGAAAGTGCGAACTCTCCAATTTTGAAAAATGACGTTGGTGGGTTTTCTCCGGAGTTCACGCGGACTTTGCCAGAGTTCTCGGGCGACGTCAATCCCAAGACAGGCGAAAAAGGAGGTCCCAAGCAGGATCCGTTACGTTATGGAGATTACTCCTTCAACGGAAGGGTAACGGATTTTTGAAGGGGCGTTACTCCTCTTGGAGACTCGAAATGCTCGTAATTGGATTGTTCTGTATTTAATTAAATTGTTAAATTTTGAACTCCTGTGTTCAGCTTGACGTCGAGTTCGTTGGCCGCTTTAGTAAGCTCTGTGCTGCATTCTCCGATCAGTCGACGATCGATTTCCAGCAGTCTTTGTAAATCGTCCCAGGGCGCCCTTGTGTCCTCGGTCTTGGGCGAATTTAGCATGACATACTCGTAGTCGTTCTTAAAAAATGACACTTCCTCTCGCAGGTTCTGTTGCGTAAGCACGAACTTATTGAAAAGTAGTACTTGGGACCGCAGTTCCGAAAACCAACGCAGTTCCGATCTTGAGATTGGTCTGTTTTGTTGAGAACATCGTTCAAAGGTTTCATCTAACTTCTGCCTTAAATGGGACATGCGACTGGCTATCTTGGTGTCACGTTCCGTGACGCGAGCCCACGCATTTTCTTGGGCCTTCTTCTTGCTCATGATTTTTGCCTTTTTGTTGGAGACCTTCGCTACGAGACTAACTTGTTCTGCAAAGATTGATTGTTGCTGTTTTAGTCGTGAATGCAGTAAGAACGCAACCTGTTGTAGCAAAGAAATGCGATCCATAATTTGAGCCACTGCCAACGTTAACAACGCTAAGTGTTCTTCGTTCCGATCATTTTTCAATGGCATACCTTTTAAATCTGATGGAATAGAAACAGACAAAGGCTGCCTGCTTTGAGTTGTAGCTCTGTTTACTGAAGCTTCAATTTCTTGCAAAGGAGATGAGAATTGAAACATGGGCAATTCTGGTTCCAATGTGTCTTTTTCTTCTTCATGTCGCTCGGTGCTAGCTGGCTTCGTTTCGGCTGATAACTTGTGTGTTGAAATAGAAGCGTTGGAAGCAGATATCAAACAGGATCCATCAAAAGACCAAAGTCCAAAACTGTTGAAATGCTGATCAACCTTGAAACCTTCCAGTGGTTGCGCATCGCCAGACACTAGCCCATTAATGTTGCACTCCTCGAGACATCTATCGAAAGTTTCCAGAAAATCGTGGGCAAAGAAATAGGTTGTACGCTTGTCGCTGTCGCAAATGATAGTCCCGTCCACAACGTCTCTCAGCCTATCGGTGCCGCTGTTAAGTTCCTGTGCCAAAACTAACGAGTTGTTGTACGCATAATTAGACGGTTCCCACGACATAGCTGGCTCAAGGTCTGGGAAACACATCAAAGTGGTGCCCTCATTGAAGCCTATTAGAAGAACGTCGCTTTGGGTGCGCCTTAAATGAGCCACTTTGACGGTTTCAGCAGTGGCCATGTACAATCTTTCCGGAAACGGATTGATAGTGAAAGGGCCCTGGAACCCAACAGCTCTAATGTTTTCTGAACACTCAAACACGATTTCGTCATGTTCGGCAGTTTTGTCTCGCTTCAGTTGTTCCTTCCAGCTCAAAAAAAGTCTCAATTCTTTGATAATGTTTCTCTTTATGTTGGAATCCATCTCAGACGTCAACGAATTGTAATCTATCAGCGCTTTCTGTAATCCACGTTCTACGAGCTCCGGCTTGACTGCAATTTGTTGCGGTAAGCACGGATATAGCGCATAAACGTCGCCTCCATTACCGATGTCAAGCACGTAAAGTGTCAAACCGTCAGAACCAAATGCACATGATGCAATCTCAAGTACGTCGGATATTCCAAGCAAATCTGCTGGGCGATTGAATACGGTTGTCGGGGTTTGATAATTCAAAAGATGCAGCTCATAAAGCGACACGGCATTTTGACAGTCTAGTACAACCAAGCATGCATCTAACTTGCCGCTGGGATGCCACAAGACCTGCTTGAAGCCGTTTTCGGAGGAAAGGTAGTAGACTTGAGATGATTTTTCACCGGAAACGGTGCTCACGACTTGAATTTTGGTAGCGTTGTAAAGACAGAGTAAAGTACCGGAATCATTAAGCACAGCATTTGAGTAGTTTTCCAGCGCTTCAAAATCCAAGAACTCGTAATTTTGGCTGTTCGAAGACTGCCATCTCAGTGAATTTCCCTGCAGCACGAAAACTTTGGATCCATTTTTAGACGACAGATAAAAACGTAATGGTGCGTTCCCACCGCTCAAACTTCCCTTGAAAATCGGATGATCCTGTGCCGACATTACTACGTGAGCTGGGAGCTTGCAAAGCTGGTCAAGTTCAGTTTGCTGGCTTCCTAGTGATTAAGTTTTCTTGATTCAATGAGATACTGAAAAATCTAATATTCGTTGTTGATTACCGAGGATTTGGAACTGGAGAAGACAACACCAGACGTGGCCAAACCAGCCATTCGTGAGAGTCATTCACGGATCCGAGCTTATCCACTAAACTTTAAACTATGTACATCGATAAATGGGTCTAATTCTATATTTTAGACAGGAAATTAGTCTGCTTTATGTTTTCACGATTTGTCTTTCTGAGTTGCTTCCTGCGCAGTTTCAAAGGGTCCTGTGCCAGTTTTTTGCGTTGTGCTTTGTCATCTAACACTTTCCAGAGCCATTCTGGGTACTCTGAGTCTTCAAGAGCCACGGGTTCTTTCCCAGCTTTCTTGATTTGTAGATTTAGCGGTGTTCCAGCAGGACACGAAGATGGCACGTTTGGCAACGCCGAAGCCTGTTGCGCTAGGTATTTGCAACTCTTCGAAAACAATCGACGCATTTCCAGACGTAGAAGTGACATGATGGGTTTGTTGGATGTCTAATGTGAGAAGTCGATGGAGATGTCAACTATGTGATGTGATTTTCATTAAAAATTTCAATGTAGAGACCTTGTAGATATCTAATGACAAAGATAAATGACAAAGTGTGAGCAGGTCAAAAGACGATTAATATTAATAGGTAGTCGTCATGGTCCTAGGCAACTTTTCAAATGGGTTCTTTGTTATATATGCCAAGAATCGCTTTTGTTTAGCAGTTTATTGAGTTGTTTTACCATGATCTTGGGACATATGCGGCTGGGAAATCAAAAATTTCAACAAAATGAGGTTAAATATCTTAGCAAGGATACCGCTACTTCAATCAAATTGCAAGGTCGCCGTACTGCTCTGTAGAAACGCCTCTGCGAATATATCGATCATCTAGCTTGAAGTGTCATGTGATGATACTAAATATCACTATAGACGCATATGGTCTTTCTTCACGACCAACTCGAGATGTTGATCATATCACTTTAAACGGATATTTTGTTAAGCCAGTTCGGAAATTTGGCTAATTGCTCGCTTGTAGACGATATAATGGAACCATGTCTGACCTATATGAATCCGTCGGTTGTTTTCTTGGTGTGCCGTTATCTATTCAAACAACTCGATTCATGCCCTTTTAGTTGCTCCCTACGAAAATGAATAAATACATATCATCATTTACGGATCCTATTGTCGCCAATGGTTACTAATATCATTTCTCACTTGTGACGGCACCATGCATTATCGCTTGTTACGTACATGAGTACTCAATGAGTAACGTCAGGTGCCAACTAGGCGATAATGCATACAAAGTACGGTTTCAAGCCAACCACCGCTGGATACCAAACATATTGAAAAATTTTGAGGATTAACATGGCAGGTAGACAACCTTCCAAGTCGATCACATATTTGTAGTTCCGCAAATATATCGGGTATTGAGTACTCTTCTCTGCGCGATTAAGAAATAATATTCTCGAAGACTAGTCATGTCCTCCTCTATATCATTCTTGGAGTATCGTTTTTCCCGATATCATATCCATTCGCAATGAGTAAGGGTGACAAGCGTTAAACTAGTGTCGTCATTCATTGTCGCATATTTGGCTGTGGTTATGCAGTTATTAGATGGCCATCATTGGCATTTCACTCACTGTCATAGCATCTTGTTGAGTTGAGTTTAAATCGCCGATTCAATTATCTTGTATTTTATTCTGTCATCATGATCACGTGATATCCTCGTCAACAACCCATCTTGATGATCGCCACTTTTCGTAGGCTCTTTCCAGGAGGTAGAGGGACACATTTCTCCTCGGGTTATTCTAACTGCGCTACACTCTCCCTTTTAGCTGCCGCAACGTCTTTTCCACACGATTTTAGAAGTTTCAATTCCATTAATCACATATCAGTTCTGACAAGATAAAAAATAAAAACGCTCCCCCTTAAGCTGTTTCTCTTATATTAAAGGTTTTACTAGATATTAAGGGTATTTCTCGGTCATCATGGAGATTGGTTGGACTTTTATAGCTTTCGGGGCTTATTCAAGCATTCCAAATGCTATTCAACCAACTTGGGCACGTGACTCGTTATAAAGTCAATACCGTTCGACCACCTATCGGGTGCTCCTTTCAACCTTAACCAATTCTGCTATTTATAGGCTTAAAGCGCCTTAAGCATTCTTGAAATTTTGACGAAACGCTTTCAATGTCGATGAGTTAAACCGAGAACTGGGTACTGAGTGTAGTGAGTAACGAGTTGGGGCTTCGTACAAAATAATCACCTAATATCCAAGAAGATAACCCTTGACATCTAACCTCCATCTGCAAAAGAACAACTTTGAAGCGTCCCTAAAGCATTCTCTTAAGCACCTCTTGTTGAATCATGAAGGGCAGAACTGTGTTCTGGTACTTCTGGATCTTTGGGCTTATCAATAACGTGCTTTACGTTGTAATTATATCGGCCGCAGCCGATATAGTGGGACCCAATCTCCCGAAATCTTTAGTCCTTTTGGTCGATATCTTGCCCTCTTTTATCGTCAAATGCTCTGCTCCGTTCTTTATACATCGCATTTCATATCGACAACGGATTTGGGTGCTGGTTTTGTTGAGCGTAGGTGGCATGATCATGGTTTCCATGCGACGACTCGCAGTGTGTCAAATGGGTATTATTCTGGCGTCTTTTTCTTCCGGGCTTGGTGAGGTAACGTTCTTGCAACTGGCCCATTACTACGAGCACGTGAGTCTCAATGGCTGGAGTTCCGGGACAGGAGGTGCAGGTCTTGTTGGGAGCAGTGTTTACATGCTTTTAACCTCCATATTCAAATTACCCATCGGACTCTCACTGCTGGTATTCAGTGTCTTACCCTTTGGATTTTTGTTGTTTTTCAGGCTGGATCAAAACTATGCCTATGAGACCATTGTCGACACGGAAGACTCGGTGCCAGAAGCTGCCCCGGAGGTCTCGGATCCTGTTCGCAGCAGTACCATATTCCTAGCACATTTTTTACAAACAGTACGGGAAGTCAAACCTGTGGTACAACCCTACATGTTACCACTTTCATCCGTTTACTTCTTCGAATACCTTATCAATCAAGGTGTATCTCCGACCTTGTTATTCCCGCTTGATGACAAACATTCATACCCATTTTTCTTCCACAAGTACAGAGACATTTATGTCACTTATGGTACTCTGTACCAATTGGGTGTCTTCATTTCCAGATCGAGCGCTCATTACATCAGATTGAAAAAGCTTTACCTTCTGAGTATCCTCCAAGGCGTTAACCTTATCTTCTGTTTATTGCAATCCTGGAATTACATGTTCGATTCTGTCTGGATCATAATGCTTTTGGTCGTTTATGAGGGTCTCCTGGGAGGAGCGTCATACGTCAATACTTTTACCAACATCATCGAAGAGATCGAGCCCAGCAAGCGAGAATTTTCGCTGGGTGCCGTGTCAATGTCCGACTCCTTCGGGACTTTACTAGCAGCATTTTCCGGCATCTTACTCGAACCTCGACTATGCGCACATCAAGTAACGTCAGGACGACCTTGGTGTGAGCTCGAGTGATCATATGCTCATCCTGATACCAGCAAGAAGATCGTCTATAATCGTCTGGTCCTTGTTTTTCGTTTGGATCGAAGACAATAAACCGAAACATTGCAACAGAACGAGCTTATCCTGCTGAGTAACACCTTTTTCCTCTTCTTCATTCATAATATACATTTGGAAGTTTTTGCTGGTCCCGACCTGATTATCAACAAAACTGTGATAGTATGGTAACACAATCGAATCTCTGAAGCTTCTGAGCAAGAGCAAATCCAGAGAAAGATTCCCACCTTGACTTTTGGTACCTAAATCGCTTAGAGGCACCGATTGTGCATCTGCCCAAAATTTTGAATGCGTTTGGAAACTGACGTCTAGGGGTAATAAAAGCGCAATGACGTTGCGACATATATTGTGATAAAACACTTCCCATATAACGCAAAGTCTTTTCAAAGCCGTGTTGATTGTGCTTTCATTCTTATAATTGAAAACGATGTCATTTTCGAGAATGTAAAGAGAAGTGGCCAGAAACTCAACTATTTCAGCAAGAAACTTGATGCTAGATGAAGCTGCCTTGGATTCAGTCTTCAGTTTGATATAAAATTCAAAAACCCGATTGATATCCTCAACTTTAGCTGGTAAATCCCATAATTCTTTGTTTTTGAACAGTGATAAAACCACATTCCCAAGAATCCCCCATATATTCGCCATTAAAGCCTCAAGTTCCGCGGTGGTAAAAGCCTTGTAATTGGATTCCAGAGATTTCACATTCTTGATCAAGTCATGTAGCATATGTACATCCGTGGCGTCAAATCTTACATCTTCGATCAATTGAAGTGGGACATTTCCCATATGTGCTCCATTGAGAGCGTAGCCAGTCTTAGTTGAATCCGCCAAATTTGGTCCTGAGTGGATATAATTCATTGAGTTCCTGTTCACATGTTTGCTGTATTGACCTTGAAGAAATCTGCCAAACGCTGAAGAACTGACGTTGGGTGAGGTTCTGGAAGAATCGCTTTTCGAAGTCGCAGAGGAACTTCTTCTATGGAACAATTTTCTCGCCGCCCGCGTTAGCGGGCTCTTCTGGGACGAGGGGCCAATATTCAAGGCAGACGGCGACAGACTTACATTGCTCTTGTTGTTGTTATTATGGAATAATCGTGACGTCTTTTCGATCTTGTCGTTCGAGATTCTCAGCAAAGACCTATTAGTCTTGGATTCTGATCTTTTCCGCGAGCCGTTCGTGGAACTATGAGAATTGCTAGGACGCGGTGTTTGGCTACCAATGGTACTACTTCGATGTGAAGTTGCCGGACTTACGTCAGCTCGCTGAGCACCATATTCTTCCGACGAATCTATGCTCTGTTGACTCTTACGCATAGCGGCATTTTGGAATATAGATTGAAACCCCACATTAGACAAACTGGGAAGTGTGACAAAGGTAGCTTCATTATGTGAATTGTTTGATTCTGCCGAGTTTTCCCGTCTCAATCCAGTCTCCTCTGGTCTAACTTCTGTAGAAACGCTATAAAACCTGGATCTTCCGGGTCCTTTCTCTTTCAAGTTTAATCTTGGAATTGACGGAATTGCCGACGAGCTCCGTTTCCGTCTAATGGTTTCTTCCATACGTTCAGTATCCAGGTTTCTGAAGTCTGTCGATGCCTTGGTTTTCAAGAGTTAGAGACTTGATATTAACCTTAACTAGAACTAGACCTAATAACAATATATAAGTAAATGCGATGGATAAGTATTTTCAAGAATTTTACAGCAGTGAAACCCAGTTCTTGTTATGCTATCTCTTATTTTTTATAGCTGGTAATCACTTGGGGATTGTAGCGGTCGATGTATAGTATGATGAGGAAACCTAGGACGATGAAAGCGGCGTTCCGCAGTCTTTTATCCGAGCTAGAATGTATCGAAATGCCCAGGACAAAGGCATACGATAGTCTAATAGAATTTGGAAGGCGGGATAAAGTCGATAGGCCGACAAACATTGTCATATTCAACAGGAAAACCAGCATAACGACTTTTTCCGAAATGATTCGGCCAAGAAGCCATTGGTAGGGTTTGATTCGTTGTTTGTCGGATTCTAACGGTGGTATAGCTGTATCGATGGTTTCTCTAGCTTTTGGTCGAGGTTCACGGTCTATTTGGTTCAAAAATTGGACAACTTCTCTGGCTGAGGGTCGTTCCTCTTCTTTGGGCGATAATAAGACGACCATCAAGTCTAGGAGAGATTTGTCAATTTTAGCACCACGCTTCCGATGGATATCTGCGGCTACCCTGTCGATGTCTATATGGAATTGCTTGATTGAGTACTTTAGTGCTTTCATCGTAGAGTGTTCCGGAAATGGAAGCTCACCAAAGATCAGGAAATAGCAAATCATGCCGAGAGAATACATGTCAGAATTGAATGTGAACTGCGAAAAGCTGTGTTCTTCGTCGGAGTCCATTATGAGCACCTCGGGTGCAGTAAACTCCAAAGTTCCTGTCGCGCCTGTGGCAGCACGTAATTGACCACTCAATTGGCTTTCACCAAAATCACCGATGACAACGGTGGGGAAGGGTTTCCCCATGTAATCGGCTTTATCCAAACTGAACTCTTCCAAGAGCAGACAGTTTGAAGGCTTTAAATCTCGATGAATGATGTTTAGATCATGCAGTTCTTGCAAACCAGAGGCTAAATCTCGCATAATTGATATCAGTTGACTATTCGTTAGCCCACGCGTCTGTTTATCAGTTTTTCCCAAATGACGACGTTGCTTAAACTTTCGTTTTCTCACTTCCGGTGAATCCAGCGCAGACAATCGGTCATAAACTTTTCCCTGTATGGTCTCTTCCAAATTACCACCGGGGCAATATTTCTGAAGTATAAACACGTAAGGTATTTCGGTCGGCTTTTTACCCTCGCCGCTGCGCGTATTAACAATCCCAGATCCAACGTCCATTTCTAGCCAGACATGATTGTATGTGATCAAATTGGCACTACTGTGTGTCAGAGATGTCAAAAATTTGACTTCTCGCATGCCCAATTCTAGCCAGGACAAGTCGTTGCCAATTGGGATCTTTTTCAAGGCGTAGATGCCCAAATGATTGTTCATAAGAACGTGTTCCACTTTGTAGACCGAACCGCGCGCTCCGTTACCCAAGACCGAAAGTTCTCTGAAAAAACGACGATAATAACCGGGCGTAAAAAGATTTGAAGGAATTGCGTGTTCCAATAATTCACCGGACGTAATGGTTTCTTGCTGCTCCAACAATTTGAAGTAATTCTTGTGTACAAAGAACCGAGTTTCGTCAATTGGGGTGTGGGTACCGATTTCGCTGCCGCACTGCGGACAACAATACGCAGAAATTGCCGGAACATTGTCGGAAGTTGCTAGACCAGGTTTAGCGTTGCGTATTCGTCTTACAAGTGAAATTTCACCAGAAATCCGGTTTAAAATAACGAGCGAATGTGAACTGGGATCATGTAAGATCACCGAGGACTCATCGGGACCGCTTGTCCGTCCATAGACAATTAAACTCATAGTTCAACGCCGATGTGGCTATGTGGAAGTGGTCAAAACAGGGCTAAATCCAATCCTTAATGGGGTTCAAATTAAGTTGAAGAGCTTTAGAATGGCTTAACTTCAACGTCTGTCAGTTGTCGTTCCGGAGCTGACAGTGATCCATGTTAATTAAAGATCATCAATAAATCTCGTGACAAGAGTCCGAACTCCGAACAAGTCATCAAACAGAATAAATGAATACCACAATATGTCAAATAAATATTATGGAAACTATAAAACAGTTTTCGAAGGTTTCATAGGTTTTTTCTCATCTTGCATTGGGCGTTTGTAGTCTTGATCTTGGAGGTTCAAAACTTACCAGTTTTAAATTCAAAAGATGAAGGTACTTCGAACAGTGGTCGATCATTTTTTCCACTTGCGGTGTAATTTGTTGCGGTACAGTTGGGCATGTCTTTACCGTCTTTATTTCCTGTCTTCTAGGTCACCCAATTCCTCAATGCCGCCGTCTCTGAACCTCCTCCGCATTGAACTTGTTTGTCCGCATTAATGCATTGGCCACAGGGTTGTGCATGCAGCAATCTAAAATTTGAATATTTTAATCCTTGAACTGGAAAACATCATTTTGGTAATTTTGGGTACGGCTTTGTTGTATTTCATGCTTGAGCTGATGACCTTGAAGCACGGCCTGTTCAGTTGGCCAATGATTTTTATTAGTTACTACCACACTGTAAACCCTCCCTTCCCTGAATCCTATATTTAACTAATTCTTTTACCGTCTTGACCGTCTTTCACTCTGTTCCTTCACCTACTTAGCCCCTTCGAAATCGATGACAGTTTCGAATCGTCAATAATCTTGAATGAGTTAAATCACAGCGCCCAATGTGCCACAAATTGTCTGAAAAAGGCTATACGTAAATCAAACATCGAAATTCAAATTTAATGTGCCAAATTCCAATAAGTTCATCTGTGTCTTTCATTTACTGTTTTTGAGTCCACATTATAATCGTTTTCTCGCTGGAACAATTTTTCACACACAGTTGGTTGGGCAGCTTGAAACAGAGAGCGATGAGCTACCAAAAACTCGAAATTTGGCTCTAAATGATTGAGAATGGAGATATGTTTGATCCATTAGATTTCTTTTCGCACGAGGGTGTACGAAGGTATACCAGGGCCGAACTTGGTGAGCCCGAGTCCTGTCTCAAGATCAGGACATCCGAACCCGAGATGTTTGGGCCTGCCCTCATGGTTACCACCACGACCAAGGAGTCCGGACAGAACCTAAGTCCTTTTCAAGTAATGGACCTTCCCTACGTAGCTATTGCACCTGCAACTGTTATTTTGACCATACTTTCACTTTTAAGGCCTAACGATGAGATCAATTTCAATTCTGGTACCCAGGATCATGCGACCAACGTTGATGACATTTTGGAAAAGAAGCAAATATCTGTTGATTTTGCCCAGGAAACGTTAGAATGGTATATAAACTATTCCCATGTTTCAGTGAACAACTTGCAAGAGTTGTGTACAAGAATCATGCTTCTCGGTTCTAGTTCAAGCGTGCAGGAACTGTTGGCATATTTTACCAGTATCCTGGCAAAATACGAAAAGCAGGAACGTCAAGATTTGTTGAACGAGCAAGTCTTAAAATCGGCCAGCATGCGTATCTCTGAAATGTGTGGTAGAACGGCACAGCCGTCCAAGACCAGACTGTTCACCCTTGAGTATCTGCAAACTCCCATTAAATTACATGAACCGGCGTTGACCGCCGATAATCTCGGCTTTAAAACTTGGGGGTCCTCCCTTGTCTTAGCCGAACAAGTTTGCAGGAATTATCCCCATTACCAAACTCCGAAAAGCGGAAATTTGAGAGTTTTAGAATTGGGAGCCGGAACGGGGCTTGTAGGTATAGCGTTTGCCTGCAAGACTCTTGAAAAATTGCAAGCCCAAAAAACTACAATTATTCTCACAGATTTGCCCGAAATTGTGCCCAATTTGGCCCATAACGTCAATTTAAATAACCTGCATCCTGAGGACAATGCCCTTCAAGTCATAGCAGAGACTCTTGATTGGAACGATCCATCGGATTTCATCGAAGCACATGGACCCGGGAAATTTGATCTCATTTTAATTGCGGACCCTGTCTATTCTGCGCAGCACGTTAAGCTGATTGTCAATATGTTATCTCAATTCTTGTCACACCAGGGCATCGCATGTCTCGAAATACCGATTCGAGACCGATACGCACAAGAGCGGCAACGTTTATGGGATTTAATTGATAGCGAAGGACTCCGAACTGTCTCCGAAGCTCGACATAGCGGAGTCGACGACTGGGGTCATGTCAACTATATATACAAAGAATTGTCATGGTAGTAATTTAAACGATTTGCTTAAGAAACTAAATGCTGATAGAGGAGAGAGTTATGCAAAAGTGTAGTAACTAATGTTTTTGACCAGAAGCACACTTGGAGCAATGCGCTTGAAGTTGTTCCAAAAAATCAAAGCTTTTCTTACAATGTTCACATTTAAAGGTTCGTTCGTGAATCTTCATATGCTTACTCAGGTTTGAACTTTCATTGAATCGTTTTCCACATACTTTACATTGAAGAGGTTTTTCGCCCGTGTGAGTTCTGATATGAATTCTGAGTGAGCTTGATGTGGCGAACCCTTTGCCGCAGTGGTTGCAGATAAACGGTCTTTCACCTGAGTGGGTCCGCATGTGTTGCTGTAAAATGTCCTGCGTAGAGAAACACTTGGAACAGACTTGGCACTTGAAAGGCTTGTATTTCGTATGAACCCGCAAGTGTCTTTGCAATTTTTGACGCTGTGAGATTTTCTTGTTGCAGCCTTCCCAAAGACAAACGTATGAGGATTGGCCACGAGGAACATGATTGTTTTCTATATGATCATTGAGTTCCTTTTCATTGGGGAACTCGCGCATACAGCCGTCCCACTTGCAAATGAGCGAGTTCTTAGAAGCTTTGATCGGATACGTTCCAGAATGCAAAAATTGATGATTTTCGGATTCTTCGTTGAGGGCTTTACTGTCTACAACTTTCATGTCGAATCCGATACCATGTTCGCCGTTAATGTGATTCATCAGACTAAACGTGTCCTCTGCTTCAAAGGTACATTTTTCCCATTCACAATCGTAATGGCCTTGCGGCGTGGGTAAAACCGCAGTGGGTAAAGGATCATTCAAGATATGATCTTTCAAAATGTGTGATTGCAGGTCGACCAAGTTCGTGTATAGTTGATCGCAATGAGACCATTTGCATTCCACGGGGGATCCACTCCCATCGATATACCAATTGAAGCTTATGATGTTTTGAGGATCTGCAACTGTAGGCTTTTCTGTAGACGCCTTCTGCTGGTCGCTTGCAGTTGCATTGACGATGGGTTCGCAGTTGTCAACAACAAGGTCTCTCTCGGTGTTAAAACAGGCAGTGGCAGGCGCTTGCAACGAGGATAAAGTGGAGTGTGGGTGCAGTTCAATTGTGTGATGATGATGAAAACACGGATGTTCTTGAAAGTAAGAGTCTAGGGTATCTTTGTGTTCAGTTTTATCAAAAGCCTGATCTAGACCTTGGACGGGTTCATCTTTGACTTTGCCAAGACTTTTGACACCACAAGGGTGGTTGTGGTGATGGTGATGATGGTGATGATGATGGTTTGTATTGTTGTCAGATCCTTGCGATGAAGATTGATTATTGAAAGGGAATTGACACATGTTCGATATGCTAGTGAGATCTTCCAAGATTCTCAAATCGATCGCCGGGTCCACGACATGTTCATGGTTTTGTTCGGCATTGGAGTGGGCATGCTGGGAAGTTCTTGTATCTGAAGCCGAATTCATATTGACAGGAGCGTGTCTTTTGGAATGAACTTGTTTGTGGCTATGCACATGCGGATGTGGATGGCTGCTAGGTACGTCGTCCTCCGCGTTTAGATTTATGCACTGATCACAAAACTCTTGGAAACTCTGATCATTTTCGGAGACATCTGGTTGACAAGTGAGATCGCAGCCAATGAGGCCTGCAATAGCGCCTGCGCCAAGTGCATGCGCCTCTTGTGGATTGTGATTCAGATGTGCGTGGGACGGCAGATAAATTTTTTGAGGTTGAGAAACTGGAGACTGTGGACTTCTTTCGTAAATGGGCGCCTCTTTGACATCTTGAGGCGTTATGATTCCAGACTCGTGTTCGGTGTCGCAGCATACTTCTACGAGTCGGGGCTGGCATGCACAGTCGTGGAGTTTGCGTCGTTTCAAAGGACCCGAGTCGACGTCTGCACTGGTTTCAGCTCCGACGGATTTCGCGGCATTCTTTTCATCGAAAAGGTTTAAATTGTGGAAATTGATAAATTCGAAATGCTGGCAGTCGACAAACTGAGAACATATATCGGGGTCACCGAGCTTCAACATGTCTGAGGATTTCTCCTTTTCCGAAAGCGACGTAGTCATAGTGGAGTCACGGGGAAGGTCGTCTACAACTTCGGAGCTACCGCTGCCGCCGTCGTTTTTCTCCGAGGTCTTGGCCAAAGAATCTGTTGTGGGGTCATCACTGTCTCTTGCTGAGGATTTCCGCTGATGTACATGGCCGTGGACGTACGTCACGTTGTTGAAGTTGTGAAAATGGCCGTGGACTACGCCCTTGGAATTGCTCATGGATATAGCTTGTTTCTCTCAGCGGCTTGGTACGCGAGTGTAGGGACAAATCGATTCGATATGAAAGAGACCAGCTTTCTAATGTAAACTCCTCGGCGCTATATCAATTAGTCTTGGTCAGGAATCGCCGGAACGTTTGAATAGCGCATGAGTCCCATTCAAAATTCTTTGCCCATTGCAGCTCTAGCCGAGTGGGGTCAGAATTGGGATTCGCATCGACCCTGTGGGTTATGAACGTGAATGCTATCCGCACAAAAAAACAAAAAAGGTCACGTGGGCACTTCGTCTCTCAAACCATTCACGAGCCAAGCACGTGACTTTATCCGTTAACTGTGATGTATATGTGGATATCACGTGGTATGTCGTCTCAGCCGATTCGTCCGGCGGTGCTACAGGTAGCTATAGGTATCGGATGGGGTTCCAGAGTAGTAGCTTGAGGGTCACGTAGCGCACAGCGATAAAACAGTTCTGACCAAGGGTTATGCTTCTTCTCTTGTGTCGTGTTGTTATCTTCAGAGTGGCGTTCTTTGCCTCTCGCCTTTTATAGTCAGATTTTCAGGGGGTGCTAGCCGCCCAAGCCTCGGGGGAACGGAAATCGGCGGCGGCAAATTTGAAAAAAAAAAGACGGAACGGAGAGGAACGGAACGGGAAAGAAGAAGAGGGGAAGGGGGAGATCAGTCGTACAATGCGATCCGTAAAAGGCGATTTGATGTGAGAAGTCACGTGATAACTAACATCGCGTTTCACGAGTATAATTCTGTGCGGAATTTCTAAAGCCGGGTAACTTTTCTCTTTTCCTTTCTTCCTTCTCAACGCGTCGTTAAAGCCTCGCACCAATATATGTCATATATATACATATATAGAACCGATTGGTAGATGCACCTGTAAAACGCAACGCCAATATAACTCACGTTGACGTTCTCTTGGCTGTATTCCGCCGTCTCGTCCGTCATTGCAAGTCTCGTGCGGTTTAGTTACCCGCACACACGTAGGTTATCGTGGCCCCCCGGCTGGGGCCGGCTTTCCCGGCCGGATGTAACAGGCTTCTCGATAAGTAAAGGTAACAAGCTGAAGCTAGCAAGCCAGTGTGAATCACAGAGAATTCCAGATTGTATATAAAGGGTGGTATTTACAGGACTATCAGAACCAAGCAAACAAGCCAACACTTGTGTAAATCAATTGCCTTTTGCAGCGCAAAGTTTGAGTAACTACAAGACGGGAACTTGAGATCAGAAATTAGGAATTAAGGGACGATGACAGAAACAGAGACTTTGACGGCAGTGAGCACGGTGTGCGTTTACTGTGGATCGTCGTTTGGCAAAGACACCAAATACGCGCGCGAAGCTCGCAAATTAGGCGAGCTTTTGTACCAACTGAATTGGAAACTCGTTTACGGCGGGGGAACCACGGGTCTTATGGGCGAGATCGCCAAAGCGACCATGGGTCCAGACGGACAAGGCAGTGTCCATGGGATCATCCCCAGTGCTTTGGTTTCGAAAGAACGGGACGACGACAAAGACGTCGGTGCTGTGAACGAAGAAATCAAGAAATCCGTCGAAAATCACCACGGTTGGACCCCCATAAGCCAGGAGTACGGTAGAACTACGGTGGTGCCCGACATGCACACGCGCAAACGGCTTATGGCGACGGAGGCTGACGCCTTCGTCGCCATGCCCGGAGGATACGGAACTCTGGAAGAAATCATGGAATGTATCACGTGGTCTCAGCTGGGGATACATAACAAGCCGGTGGTTCTGTTCAACATAGACGGGTTTTACGACTCGTTGTTGGAGTTTGTCGGCAATGCGATCCAGGCTGGTTTCATTAGCGAGAAAAATGGGCGTATCATCCAAGTCGCCAGTACGGCCGACGAAGTGGTCGAAAAAATCCAAAAATACGTTGTTCCAGAGGGTCGGTTCAATTTGAACTGGAGCGACGAAGGTGGCAATGGGAAGTAATCGTGGGTCGCCGACTTTCTCCAATTTATCTAGTCGAAATATATTCTTGAAAATCCGTTTATTTTGAAATTTGGCCCGGTCTGTCGTCTTATAGTCGAAGAAATGCATGTATATCGCTCAATGAACCTTTGCATAAATAGTAGCTAGATAGTATAAAACAGCTGACTTCAAAGAGTCTCGAAAATCAATTCTCTCACTTTGTAATCCTCGTTTGCATCTTCCATTTCTTCCCAGTTGCCGATGATATCGTCGCGGCCACGCACAACACCGGGTAGCAAGCGGCCTTTGCTGAACCGTTTCCAAACGTTTTTCGCTTCTAGATCTGTCCCCAGATCGCGATATGTAAATTTGATCTGGTTTGCAGTCAATATTTGTGCCAATCGGTTGGTTCGCGAGGGCATATGGAACCCACCACCGGCAAGGGAGGTATAAATGTATACGGGTTCGTTTTCCAGTAGCCGTTGGATCTCTGAGTGCGACACAGACGTGGTGTCGGCAGCAGCCGTGCTGGGTGGCTTCGTGGTCTTCCCGGTGCTCTTGTTTTCAATCTCCTTGATTAGCATCGCAGCATCAGAGTCATCGACAAAATCAAGTTCCCGCAGTAGATCGTCAATGTCATCTGTAATATCTGCGATAGCAGTTTGACATTCGCTATCTTGGACGGCTAATGAGGGTTCCGTTTTCTCACCTTTGTCTGAAGGCTTGTCGACACTCTTGTGATTTAATTCAGCTTGCCGTTCTTTGGGTGAGTAGGATTCGCCAGCTTCCACGTCCTCCTCCATTCCCAGACTTTCACTTTCGTCGTTTGAAGGAGGATCCCTGAGCTGACTTAGATCCTCTACTGCATCTGTTACAGCGTGGATTGAAGAAACTCCGGTGGCTTGGGTTCGTTCCAATTCGTCGGTGTCGAGAGAAAGGGGGGTTGTAACCAAACTCTCGGTCTTTGCCGGCTTTTCAATTGTCGTGTCTTCTATCTCTTGACTTAACGCACCATCGCTGACAGTCTGACCCACATCAACGGCTTGGGACACGGGTCCTTTGCTAGTTTCAAGGTCATCGATGCTTTCTTCTTCTGGCTCATGCACCGGCTTCTCGACCACATAGGCAACTTTCTGGAAGGCGTCATCTGTCATTCGGTGTTCAACAATCACATCAGATTTTTCATCGGTTTCTTGAACCGCTTCATCCTTTTCCTTATTTAAGGTGGGGCCAATTTGCAAGTCATTTGTGTCTTCGTCCATGGGCTTGCGATTCTCCTGAGTCGTGTTAATTCCCTTCTGTAGCTCGTCTTTGACGCGGTCACCTTCCTTTGGAGTTGCCTCCGCACCTGCATCTATCTCCTCCCCGACGTCTTTCCTTACGTCTTCGTCATGCCTACCAGTTGTCTCGACACTAGTGCTTTCTGCTCCGCTGACATCATCGGATTGTACTCCAGCTTCAGGCAACTGCTCATCTGCTGCAGTGGCATCCATTTCGCCAGTCTTTAGCTCCAATGTCGGAGTACCAGCGCCTCCCTCATCCAGTGGTGAAACTTCATCAGTGAGTTGAGACGCCAAATCATTTTCCTCATCAACCCCACTCTCCTGCGAAGATACCGCTTCTGCAATGCTTGCTTTCTCCCCGGCCACTGTCTCTTCTTCTGCATGGCTGTAGGTGTCGCTGATTTCTTTAACATCAACGACCGACACATCAGCAGACGTAATCAAGCCAGTAATCGACGTGCTTGAATCCTCCAGCTTGACCTTGAGCTCGCTAGCCACAACTTGATCTACCTCGGAAATAGAATTTTGCTCAATTGAAGATCCCCCTTGTGAAACTTCAATAACGTCCTTTCCAGAAGGGCCCGTGGCATCCGCGTTCTTCAGAATTGTATTAATTGAGCCACTTTGAGCGGGCAAAATCTCGGCAGCCCTATCCAAAGACTCCAGAACTTCATCAGCGCTTATAGAATCTTTGGAATTGCTATTTTCGGGATTCTTGGGCGAATCTTCAACGGGAGCCTCAAAGTCCGAAACATCCGCCCGGTCTTCGATCTCTCCCGTCTCAAATTCAGACATGTCATCACCCGGACAAGTCCCACCACCCGCAACACCCATTGTTCCAGCAACAACATCTATCGTCGCTTGATCAACTTCTTCATCGCCGATCTGCTGGGGTTCGCTTATCTGATCAGACTCATCTTGTACGACTTTCAATTCCGATCCCATAATCTCACCTTGATCAGCTGAAGCTAATTTCTTTCCAGCCTTGTCTGGATACTCAATTGATCCCGTTCGAGCACCAACTACTCTTATCTCCCCAGCTTCTTCACTTTCATCACTATTCCTATCTGTCTGCAAAGGTTCCTTCACAATCTCGCCCAATTGGCTCTCCACCGGCTCCTCTTCAACCTCCATTTCCTCCGAAAACTCGTCGGCACCTTCCATCAACGACTCGATGCCGTCCATGAGGCTCTGGAGATTATCAATCGTGTCCCGCATTGATCTTTGCCTCGGTTAGCTCTGGTGGATACTCTTCGTTACCTTCGTCGTCAATTAAAACACCTTCTTGTTCTTCTTCCTCTCGTTCTTCCTTGATCACGTGGGGGGCGTTTTCGAGATCGGCTCGCGAGATACTGTAGTTGTTGGTGCTGTACATCCTGGCATCTTTCAGTTCTTCGATGGCACGCGTCTTGCGTGCGTCACGGCTCAAAGACCGCGACAGAGACCTTAAATAGTCCGTAGACGGTTTTTCCCGACGAGAACTTCTGCCGGCACGCTCTTCGTCTTCTTCACCTTCGTGTATGTTTTGGTACGAGTCCCCATGCGCCAAATGGGGTCTGTGAGACTTGTCTGGGATGAACTCGCCGAAAGAGTTGCGAATTTTGTCGTTGGGAGCCGTTCCGGGCGCCGCAGGAACCGACGAACTGCGAGAATTGCGAGAGTCGTGCAACGGATCCGTCGCCGTGACGAGCGACGTGGACGAATGTTGTGATCTCCGGAGCCCCACGTCTGATGTGTATTGGGCCCTCACAGCGGCTCTGGGCCGGCGAGCTGCGCGACGCAGCTCGCCCGAGACCCTGGGTTCGCCTGGACGATTAATCACCTGGTCCAAATCTACATCGTTGTCATCTGTCAACAGAGCGCCCTCACGTGTCAGATCGTCAACACTGGTGTACGCAGAATCTGTCTTGCTGAGATTTGTCGAGGACTGAATCTTGTTGAGCAGTTTTGGCGACGTACGCGATTCTGCTACAGAAACGCTAGCGTTATCGCTGAAATCCGGGTTGCTAGAGTCGTTGATGCTTCTTACGGACACTCCAACCAAAGAAGGTGTACTTGATCTCTCCATATTGAACTGACGCAATTCTTTGTGTTGACAGGTGTTATTAAACCGCATTGTACAGTTCCCGTCGATATCTACTTTTTCCAGTCACACTATACTACGTATACCCTACAAACGAGCCCACTGTAAAGAGACTCTACTACAAATGATTAGTTATATATATGAGGACTCGTTTCGCAACACGCTGCGTTCTACGTCTGTCTTGTATCTTGTATAAGATTGTTTGTTTTGATAAGTTGATAATAAGTTGATAAGAAAGATTTCAACAAGCGCCTTACGATGCTGAAAGAGATCACGAAAGAGGACTCAATTGCAAAGGTTAGGCATTGTTGTTTGCGCAGAGAATGAACTTGTAACTCAAATTCTCTATTTCACTGGCTTTACGCCTTTGTTTCTCAAACCTTGCAAACCGCGGGATTTTGACTTGAGGCCAGTGGAAGAACCATGCCACTTTCAGCTTTCTATATACGATTTAGTCGTTGATAGTCGAAAGAAGGAGTGAAGATGGTGTAAAGATGGTGTGGCGATGGTCAACGTATTGATCAGGGTTATGTTCTTCTATGTCAACTAAATTGTTAAGGCATCTTTTAACAACTTATGCTGTTTAGTTGACATTCATATTTGCTCAATTCCTGAGCGGATGTAAGTCTTGTCGTGAATAATGCTTGTAGCTTCAGTTCGAAGTGTCAAATCTGACAGCCTTGTTACTCATTGGGTACTCAAACACGTACAAAGCGACTAAACAAATCACGTAATCTATGATTCTATCTTCAAAAAATGCGCAAGCCCGGAATCGAACCGGGGGCCCATCGATGGCAACGATGGATTTTACCACTAAACCACTTGCGCTACTTAATGAAAACCAACAAGTTTAGTCATTACATACCAGTGTTGGGAAAGCGCGTGAATGAATTGTTTAAATAGAAGTCCAAATCTTCGAACTGGACCGTGCATATCTCGCAAGTCTCGGACTTAAGCGTGTTTACCTGAGTCGCTTGAGCCATCTACCCACTTGTTTCATAAACCTTTAGGGTGAGCGTGCAAATATTCGCTGCCCAATTTCGCTCAATTTTCTAGTCGTTATAACTAGGTTCTGTCGAATCACAAGTCGGCGTACGGTTGTTAGGATTTATTGTTTCCTGCCGCCTCATCATGTCACTTATACCGAGACATGGCAACACGCACTTTGCCAATTTGAAATACGGTTACTTGGCTCTCGCAGTATCTGCCGGGTTCGTTTTAATACTTCTAGTGGCGCGACACCTAGCTCCGTCACGCGATAAAACTAGATCCAGGTTTCGTAACTGGGTTGCTCGAGATGCATACCATATTTCTCCTTTGCTGTACCTACCTGTGCTCTTCATTGCCCTGTTCATCCCATTTGTGCACCATTACTCGCTCAAGGAACATCTGTCATTGTATATCAAACGTCTTGGACGCTTGAGTTACGTTCTCGTCACATTAAACCTATTTATCACCATCAGACCTAACGTCATGCTTCCTGGCGTCAATTATTTGGATTTGATACCTCTTCACAAATGGCTCTCACGCTGCTTGGCACTATTGGCCATTGGGCATGGAACTGGGTTTTTGGCGCTCTGGGCAGTCCAACCTAACACAAGCGTATCGGAAAAAGTATTTGGGAACGTTTGGAACCTTATTGGAGTCGTCATTTTCGGATTGCTTGTTCTGCTACTTTTGTTAACCCTTCGTCCTGTACGCCGGAAGAATTACAGACTGTTCTATGGATTCCACATCATCATGTCATGGTGTTTCGTGCTTGCTACTGCCCTGCACGCAAGGCCTGGCGTATTTGCTCCGTACACAATTGTCAATGCTTGCATCTTCTTGGTCCAGATCGTGTCCAAAATTGCCTTTGTCAAGAACGTTGATGTCTTGGCCAAGCACGATGAGAATTCTTACTCGACTTTGCGCCGCATAACGTTTCCACGCTACGCTATGGGTGAAGATTTTACTCCTGCTCGTCATGTGAGAGTCTCTTGTTATAGGACCTTCCATCCGCTCTATTGGATTTTACCGTCTCGTCCATTTACAGTGGCATCTTTACCCAGTGACGATCACGTCGAACTAATAATGCGAGAACACCCTGACGGATTCAAATTCCAAACGGGCGTTAATTACACTATCCAAAACTCGTTTCCCTCGCTACCTACAAAAGCTCTTGCGAGCGCAACGAGGGTGGCCTTGGTATGCGGTGGAAGTGGAATCTCTTACGCCCTACCGCTGTTTAGATATTTCGCTGTTGAAAATTGCGGCTTTCTCAAACTGATTTGGTTGGTACGTGATAAGGAAGATATTTCAGTTTTGAAAGACGTACTATTCCCACCTATGAAGTCAGATCAATTCGAAATTTTTGTTACAAAAAGTACTCCCCCAGATGACCAAGTTGGAGGTGGCTCTGCGATGGTTAATCGGGGAGACCGTGATCTTGATGACATAGAATTCGAATTGGAATCTTTGTCTGAACCTCTCAATTTAGATGGTGGTTTGCTAAAGGAAAATGGCAAACAGCACGGCTTCGGTATTGCTGCAAATGTTCACTTGGGTAGAAGGCTAGAATGGGCTGCAGATCTTGCTAACTTTGTTGAGCTGGACGCTCTGGATACAACTTGGCTTATGGTTTGTGGACCTCAGGGCCTGATCGATGCAGGCCAGGATTTTACAAGACAAAACAAAATAAATTTAGCGTCAGAGGTGTATGCATTGTGATTTTCAATCGCTTCTCTCTTTCAATGAATCATTGCAGCTCTGATTCGTTTACAAACAAACGCTTGTATTAAAATCAACTTCCATGGCTATTAATCTGCTCCGAACATGATTCTCACATGGCCTAACTTTAGCCTTAGAAAGCCATCGAAATCTTCTCGTTCTATAAATTTCAGAGGCGGGACCGTTTCAACTGGCTTTTCAAGATGCTTCACACAGAATTTACTTTCAAGTGATTACCATAGATGAAGCAGACTTCTCAAGATTTCCAAGAGGGCTGGAAAATTTTGTTGATAATAAGACTAAACTGAGATTTCCCTTAAGATTTAGTCGGCAGCCCCTTAGAGTTTTGCGAGGTAACCAAATATCAAAAGTCCAACCCATAACTTTAAGTCATATTCCAAAGTATAGTACCCCGTGATGTTCATACATTTTATTTAAGCCATTGCTTTGCGACCCAGCATCGATCTTCATCGAAAGGACTTCCTGTCATATAAGGGACGAGACCTTAGAAGGACATCGAACTCTCGATATTTAAAGTATTGGCACAGACCTTCATAACCTTTATAATCGTGATATTACATTAAACCAGTTACATCAAAATTCTATCCCAATTTAATCCCAAAGAAAATCCGCGCCGTTATTACCCGCTATATCAGCTAGCCCATCGATTTCAGGATTATCGATGGGGAGAAAATCTGGCCGCATTCCCGGGCTGGTATCGCTTATCTGCTCATTGTAATTATCAAACCCGACGGCCTCCACAATGCTGGTTGGATTTATGATTAGTCCGTTAAAGTTGGAGTTTTGCATTAAGAAGTCCTCAAAGTCGGGTGTATATTTTGCAGATGAGGAAACATCTGAAAGAATCGAGGGAGAGTCAAGTGCAAAATGCACGGCGCTTGAAGTATCAGCAGCACGCGCTGACCCAGTCGGACTTAATGTGTTTGAAAGTTTATCGAAGGGTGGTAACACTTCATTCCTAACAAACATTTCAGGCTGGCTTAACACTGATGGATTGGTTGATGGTATTGGCACTGGAGAGAAATTACCGTGTGGCTCTGGTGACCTGGAATCAGCGGAGATTGGATCCAGAGGTGCAGGAGAGTAAGAACCCAATCTGCGACGTTTAACATCCGAATCCCTAACATCAGAGGTTCGACGAATGTCGTTGCTCGTGTATGTTATTGGCTGATATGTTCGAATTGGCGGCAGTTGGGCAGGGCTTTCCTGTGTTTGGGGTTTTGTGAGAAAGTTGACTGAAAGGCGAGAGGGTAAAAACCCGATTGCATCCTGATATACCGGACATCTTTTAAGTTGCTCTCCATCGGCAGATAGAACGAGAGATGGAACATTCTTGAAGAGGCCCGACATTCTTGATATGCTGGGATGTTGAAACTTGGGCAGGCTTTTCTGTACGCTGTCAGAAATCTTATTCTCGCTGGAGTTTTTACCACCAGGATTTCTTAAAAGAGCAATGAAAAAGCCAGTGGACCTCATCATGCGTTTCGCGTAATGATATTTGACGGAGACCTGCTTTGTCAACTTGTGGAAAAGTGTCATTCTCGTCATCAGAATTTCAGCTAATTCGTCCCCAATCTCGAGATCAATGTCATCGGTGATGTCAGCAACCTCAACAGTCTTTTTCTTGGTCGTGTTAGCTTGCTGATTTTTGTTATCCGGCTCTTCCTCACTACTGCTATTACCAGCGCTGCTAATAATTGGGCTGTCACCCATGCCAGTTAATGGACCACATTTGGCACGTAAAATTAAACAAACCATAAATTGCAGAGTTCTATGGCCAACATCAAGACAGTGAGGGGCAAGGGCAACTTCCATGTAGTTGAAGATCGAGGTATTTCCCCCTTCTGCTACCTTGGAGTTTGCAAAAAACAAATGACAGTTTCTGAAACCGTCCATAGCATAGTTTAAAGCTTCTTGAGCATATTCTTTTGCAAGTGGTCTAGTCCCTGGATCTTCATTTCCCTTCGGCTCGTAGTGTGTAAACAAAATGTAGTTCAACAAATATAACAGCATGCGAAGTGTGAGGTGTTTCGAGAAAAATATGGCCCTTGTTGCCATTTCGTGTGGCAAATTCAGCTTTTTGTCCTTCTCACTTTCACTTGGAGGTGGAGGTGACAGTGTTTTTTCAAGAGATGGCAGTGGATAAAATTCGTCTCCACCTTGGTCCACGCTACCTTCTGTAGTGAAAAGAAGGCCGCTGTTGATTAACTTAGTTAACACTTCATTGACGTTACCATCCCCAAAACAAAGCTGCTTGAGAATTTCTATCAAGGAATCCAGCTCATATTTTCTGACAGTTTTAGACATTGAAACATTCAAGATATGGTTCAATACTGCTATTATGCAAAGATCGAGTTGGAAAAATAAGGTGAAGTTTTTAACCACCACAAGCTCTTTGATGTTTCGCACGTAATCGATTTTAGAGGTGCAAGGTAGCTTCGTATCACTAAAGTCCTTCAAATTTCTTAAAAGGCGAGGAGCACCCAACGAAAGCGATTGCTGAACATCAAGCGATACTATGAAATACCAGGTCTTTCGCCAAGTGTGCTTCAATCTCTCGGTGTTTGCATGTGCCTCCTTGTTTAGTTTCCCGTCAGTGTTGACAGTCAATTGTGGAAAGTTGTCAGGATCTCTATGGAGGCCACAGCTGAAAGCCATTTGAACGACGCTTGACAGAAGCATTTGGTGCGTTTCGCTGTCCTGACTTGATGAGGTCAAACCGATCGAAGAGTCGTGTGGGCCGTCTGGACAGCACATCAGGTATAGCTTATAAAACAAAGCAAACTGCACGGTAGTAAGGTTAACATTGCTGTTCGAAAAACTGCTGATCTCATCAAATCTTATTAGGAACTTGCGAGTAAGATAAACTGCTTCTGGTGGAGTCTCGAAGTTCAGCAGTAATTGGTCTTCCTTACTCTGAGCCATAGTGGACGTAGTTACGTGGGGGATCAAAAATCTGACGGACTGCGGTCCTAAGTCAACATCGCAAGCATTTTGAGGAAGGGAAAGCCATGTCAACCTTATGATTATCACCATGATACCCAGCAGACAGCAGTCAGAAGGTTTTGTCAGTTTAATAAACAGCGTTTCGTCCTTATTTTGGAGCATCTGTCCAATTTGATTCTTGAAACTTTGCTCATCCAAAATCGGTATGACCGGATAGATGAACTTGAAAAACCTGTCCAGTAACAAAGCTATAATTTTTTTTGGAGGAAGGAGCGTGCATATTCTTTTTATGGCTTGTTCTTCGGACATGGATTTCTCTGTTTGATTTTTATTATTTGGTAAAGCTGCTGGCGGTGGTGTACTGTCATGTATCACAGGACACCTAGATGTGAGTGTACCAAATGAGGGTAGAGATGTTCTGGGAGGTAAGGCAGGACATGTCGATGTTACTGCTGAGTTCGGTTTCGTATTGTTCAAATCAACATGCGGATTGTTACCATGAGCCACTGGGCATTGGAGAGGCTGGGTTTGCACTGGTGAAGAACGTCCCAGTGGAGAATCGTGACGCACCGGACAGCCTACAGAGGGTAATGATGGTCGTTTATCAGATGGCATCATATGCATCATATTTGTTCTGGAAGATAGATCTGTGGAACCCGCATGCTGTGCCTGCATCAAGGCATGGTGATCTACAGGGCATTTCCCATGTCTGCCGTCCCCGGACTCTGGTTTTGGAGCAGTGATGGAGGGCCGAGAGCCCGCATGTATGACGGGACATTTCCCAACTCCGACGCCGGAACGGGGCACCTTTTTCTTGTGCATGTACCATTCTGCGAGTTTTTCGCGTAAAGTAAAGATATGAGCCCATAACAATTTCAAATATGGGTCGCCTTTCATGATAGCAAGCCAATGGGTCGCACCCAAATGTACGGTCCCGTTGTTTTTCAAATGCAGCATGTCAAATTGCCGCGTCAAATCCAGCTCGTCGTTGTCGTGTATATTCTGTTGGACTAATTTAGGCTCATCTGACAGGGCCACGTTGCTGTCGGGTGTGTTGTTGCTAGCGCTATGGATCTTGGATAGCGATTCCTCGAGCGATTTCACCCGCTCACGCAGCTGTTTAAGCTCACTTTCCTTTGAAAGCTCTTTTTCTGCCTCTTCAGCCCATGTCTGCTCCATGTAATGACACAGGTGAGCCACACCTGTCTTCACGCATTGTTGACAGTGGGGCCGCGTCTTGTCACATTTGACCTTGCGCTTTCGGCAAATGGTGCAACTCAACGGCACTCTATTCCTCTTTCTCTTGGATTCTGATGCCATGTGTGTGTGATGATGATATGGAACCGTTTCGCGTCCTAATTTCTCGACGAATTAGTCCTTTTATAGCGGTTTTTGGATTCAATTTTGCGCGTGCACTCTTCGATCACCTTCAAATTGTAATATATAACACTGGTCGTACGCCAGAGAAGCCCATCGGTTGTTGAAGCGTTCCTCGTTTAAAGTCGTTTCGCGGTTTCGTTGGGTGTTAAAATCATGCGAGTGATAAATACGAGAGGTAGTGCGTGAAACGTGATACCGAGAGATCGATCATGTGACTATGTATCTTTGAACGGGCGAGTTTTAGCTTTGAATGTATTGTGCGATTTAAAGGGTTCTGGGAATATGGGAGACTTCCTGATGTTTCTGGGTGCTCTATATAATTATGAGTGGGTTTCATCACGTCAAGGTCTTTTTTGAGCTCTTTGAAAAATGTATTTCTTTCTTCGAAGCCTAATGAACGGGGAAAAGGGGCTTGAGGAGCGAAACTAATGCGGATTAATTTTAACACCTGTTTAAATAGACTTCCTGCTGTCGACACATACCTAATTAGGGTTTCTTGCTTTGTAAATGTGCCAAATTAATATCAATCGAGTCACCTCGTACGTTAGTGACGCCCTAGAAACAACCCAAGAGAAGTCTTAGATCAACTGTCAAATAGTCTGAATAGCGAGAGAACTGGCATAAATATCAGAGAAACACAAGTAAACGGATTTCCCTTGGTTTCCAAGGCCTAATTTTGGGCTCACAACGTCTTATGTAAAGTACCTAGGGGCCTCAAATATTTTTTAAGAGCTATCTTTTTCTGACCGTTTTAATGATTTCTCTTTTCTGACACGCTCTACCTGGGCACAGGTATCTTCTCGAGCATAGTATTTCAAGAACGAATACCCAGCATCTAAAAATTTTGACGCTTCTTTCTTACGCCGGTGTCGCCCACCTCGCTCCAAACTTTCTCACAAATTTATAGGTCCGCAACGTCTCAAAGTGTCGCTGTTTACAACACAACTGTGAAAAGAATCACTATCTAATCCAGTGGATCTGGTATTCTTGACGTGAATAAGGTAATGGCCTGTGTGATTCAGGTATTTTAGCGTAGTTCGCTATATCGACCGGCCTGTAACAAGGATGGAGTCTCAAACCCGGTAACGTTACATGACTCATTTGAAAAATACTGTAATCAACGGAGATATAGACATGACTCTTCGGAGTTTTTGAAGAAAGCCATAACAGACAACATTGATAAGTATATTTGCATTTATCGACACGTAGACGATTTAATGACGATAATCAGCAGATCAGGTTTTTTTTCTGCTCATCGAAACCAGATCTTATCTCGAATTTTGACCAAAAATTGGGCTGCAACTATGGAATACAGGTGCAGAGTAAGTTTAGATTCCAAGTTTCCCTCTCTCGAACCAATTCCAACAGCGGATAACTGGTAAGATGGGAGTTAAAGTAGTTAGAGATGCAGTGGTACATCAATTCTTTGCATCGGCTTCCAGAAATGCACTTCTTGGCCATATTGGTGCGTTGGAAAAGGCTTTACAACGATACTCGGCGAACCCGAGTATTGTTCCGCCCAGAATTGTCCGTGACACACCCAAGAGCGGTACTTTACACATGATAATGCCTGTGATTGATGATACCTACTGTGGCGTCAAAACGTTAGGTTTCAATCCAAATGGGAACACAGGGTTTGTAGGTTCTGTCAACGTTGTCGAACCCGATTCTGGAGCTTTGGTCGGCGTCGTCGACGCTAAAGTTTTGACTGCGGTCCGGACTGCTATGTCCAGTTGTATTGGTCTCTTGAAGTTCATCGATCTACTGGGACCCTCTGTCACTGTGACGGTGTATGGAACAGGGTTGCAAGCGTTTTGGCATTTGTTTCTTGCGTCGCGATTGCTCGAGGGCAAGGACGTTTCAGCTAACATTCTGTATCGCTCGAAGCGCATGGAATCGAAAGAACTCGAACGATACTTCCCCAAGTTGAAGATCAACCAAATTAACGTCAGCGACTCGGCCCAAGTTTCCGACGTTGTTGCAAAGAGTGGTATCATTTTTGGATGTATTCCATCCGAAAGGCCAAGCATTCTAGCAGCGTACCTAGACAAGGAAGGCGCTCCTTTTACTTATGTATCCTTGATTGGAAGCTACAAACCTCATATGCATGAGTGCGACGAATCTCTGATCAATTATTTCAAAGATCAAAAAGCCGGTATTATCGTTGATTCTACGAATGACAGTCTTCTTGAATCTGGAGAGCTCATTGATGCCAAGGTTGCGCCTGAACAATTAGTTGAATTGGGCAAACTGAGCGAAAATTCTAAAAATTTGAAGGCTTTATTTCCTCACCAAAGGCAAGTGGTTCTTTCCAAAATAGTTGGAATTGCCATCATGGACGTCAGCGTTGCCTCAGGATTACTACAGTCCATGGCCAATGAAAGCGATTAAGTATGGTAGGCGAATTTACATGTGGCCTTACTACCTTGCACAATTGAATTCTTTATTCTTTTACTGATGTCAAACATCAGCGACGTATCTACATGAGTCAATAACCTTTAAAATAATTTCTGCACCACAAAGCCATGTCATACACGACCAATTGGTTCCTCCGTTTCTCGTATTCCCACCAGGCTAGAATTTCGTTAACAATCCACTTGAAGCTCCACCTCTTGAACTTTTGGCTGATTTTCTGACGTGCTTCGTCATACACAGTTCGAGCACAATACTGAGTCATAATCATGAAGGTTCTTTCCTGACCTAGCGGATTCTGCAAGCACTCATCGAGATGTCTAGTCAAGTCATTGGTCTTAAGAATAAGTAAAACAACTTTGGGAATTTTAGATAAAAATCCCATTAGATCTCCAAGTAATGATCCTTGCATCAACGCTTTTGCCATAACTTTGATTTCTTCGTCTGTGCGTGGCTTCCTGATGTCTTCATGTAGTGCCGTGTCTATGCTTCTCCCAGTGATGGCAGCTGCAAAAAGCGGGAACTGTTCTTCAGTGATATTGGCAAATCGCATGGCATATTTCTTCATATTGACCTCGTCTTTATCCAATAACGCTAACCAAAATCTCGCATAGTCCCTTTTCATTTGGGTCGTGGGGAACCGATAAAGTCCATGGTCAAACAATATGATTTCAAAATTATGATGACCTCGAGAATGTTCCAAATGCCGGATAGCCAGATTCCCACCATGGGGGTCGCAGTGCAATCCCACGTTGGGTGTAAAAATCATGTTATTGAAGATGTGTGACAGACAAGAAGATACCTCGGCGCGTGAAATGTGATTGTCGTCCAGATATTTCAAATCGTCAAGACGGTGCCCGCTAATGTATTCCATGATCAGAATCCTTTTGTGGGCTGTCAGAACCGCCGGTATGATCAATGCAGTCTCATTTATGTAATCTTCGAAGTACTCGGCAGTTTTCCTCGCATTTGCTGCTTCTTTCGTGAAATCAAGCTCATCGTAAATTGAGTTTTGCAATTCATCTGCTAGCCACGTCAAAGGATAATCAGGGAAAGCCACGTCCAGCGCATTGAAAACGCTTTGGGTCATTAGCACATCGACAGGTACAAACTCTTTCAAAGAAGGATGCTGGCATTTCACGGCGACTTTTTCCCCAGTGGATTTCAACACTGCCGTATGGACCTGTGCCAACGACGCAACGCCAATGGGCGTTGCGTCGAAATAACTGAACATATCTTCTAGCCCCATCTTTAAGTCCTGGCGAAACATAGCATCGATTTCTTGCAACGTCGATTGTGGACATTTATCCTGAAGCGGAATCATAGTCTCGGTCCATTCTGGAGGTAGCAGGTATGTCATGGCACCTATATGCTGCCCCAATTTAATGAAAATGCCGCCGTTTTTCTCGAGCGCTTGCAAAGTTATCTCTGCACAGGTCTTGTGACACTGGCTGAGCGCTTGTTTACGCTCTTCATCGGACGGATAACTGCTTTGTAGCGTTTTTTGGTAATACCACATGCACCGAATTGTAGCTCTCGTCACGACGCTTATTCGCTTCAAAGACACTGCCAGGTGTCTTAAAACCAGATGCGTTGTTTCATCCGTGTAACAGTAAACCCCGCCAGCCACTGAGGCACCCAGTAGGGCTTTTTTCCAAGTTATCAATGGTCGTCTGGGTGCATTTGTATGATTAACAGAACTGTAAAGCCGAAAGCTTGACTTGATAGAGGATCTCGGTTTACCCAGAATCCGTATCCTAAAACACGAAAGAAGCATTTTGGAGCCGCGAATCTGAGCTCTTCGGCACTTATTGATATGTCAAACTTGTTCAAGTCCAAGAGTTGAGAGTTGGTTTTTTGAAAAGCCAGAATGGCTTACTAGCCTATTTACTTACTACATCATCACCACGTATAAAAACATAGAAAAGACCCTTTAAGTCCATGGTTTCACTTATTCAGGCATGGGAGGATATTGGACGGGCAATTTGTGCGAAGGATCGGTGGTTTTAGCGTTTCTGAAGGACAAGTAAGTGTTCCAAAAGATGGCGACAACGTTAACGGTCAAAAGACGATGTTGCACAGGAACCAAAGAGAAATTAGCCAATTGGACCCATGGCCACACCATCCAATTGGTTTTGAGCGTTTCCCACCAGTTGTCGCTGATTTTCCTGCGAGCAGCCGATAAGGGACGACCTTCCATCAAAGTCAGGACTCCAAAGTACAGTGGTGCAGCAAGAGGCGCAAAAACGGCTTGATCGGTGCCCACCCGCAACAATAGATTAGACCAATGAGTCGCAGGTCTATCCTTGAATCCGATCCGCGTGTTCAGAATTTTGTACCACTTGTCACCGATAAACGAGAAAACCAGCGATCCAAACGCCACGGCCCGAAGCGTTCTGGCCGTGTCGTATTTGCCCTGTGAGGAGCCCGCTGGGAAATAGATTTGCGCGACCGCATCTCCGATCCCAAACAGACTGCCTGTCATGATCGCATTGGTGGTCTTGGGGTTTTTCTGCAAGGAAGAAGTATAAAATTTTAGCAAAGAGGACATTTTAGACGCGAAAGGAGCTCTACCGGGACTGAAAAAGTGGTGAGAAAGAAGGTAAAATGCCCGAGAAAGGAACTCCTTTCTCTTAAGCTTCCTGCTCAGTTCAACAAGACTCGTGCAACAGGGCTCTTTAGTGAGTCCTTTCGTACAGGGTTACAAAGAGTCATAGCTTATTTCTACTGGTACTAATCAGTACTGGTTAATGTCAGCGTCAGTTTAGTTCCTAGACGTTTTGACATGATAGAAAGAGGCGTTTTGTGATTGATTTATGGTCCAAGACGTGTTCCAGACCAATTTAGGTTTTTGTGTCAGGTTTTCCGGAAAAAAAGGTATAAATTCAGAGCCAAGTGTCCTAGATTTTGATACCAACTACTAACTACTTTTTTGATTCTGGATTTTATTAAAATCAGTACTCGAGAACTTTAATATGTTTGTCGATTACTCTAGTTTGTCAGGATACTCTGACATCAACTCCAAGTTTGCTGAAAAGTATACGGATCTTATTTTTTTCGAGGAACTTTCATCTACAGACGTCAAGCTCGATTATTTGAAAAGTCGGACCTTGCGTTTCAAATGGGTTCAAAACTTGCGTCTCGTTAAGAGTCGATTTTTCACCGAATGGATCGAGTACATTTTTTGTCTTTGTGTGTCTTTGGAACAAATTAGGCAAATCAAGGGAATCATGTTTTTGTGTCCTACCCTTTACTTACTTGAATTTGAGACACCAAGTTGTTCTGCCAAAAGAGCTGCCCTGCTCGAAGACGAAGAACCGCTCAAAAGGGCGTTTAACGAAGTTTACGCAGAATTTGTCGTGGCTCGGAAGGAAATTACGGATTTTTTGAGGAAATTTACCATTTCGGGTAGACCCAAACCCGATGAACCTTACGAGTCATGGGCTCCGATCACCAAAATTATGTTTGGTGAATTTGTTAAGGGTCATTTGAATTCCGTGAAGGCTAGGACCGACGTCATTATCATTCCAGAACAATTCCCACCTGATTTTCGTTACGTCATCACTCCCGAGGGTTACGTGAAGACCAAATTCAAGATCAGTTTTTACAAGTGTATCTTTTCGGATCGATCAGTTCATCCTTCGCAGATTACTGCGGATGGGTTGGAGTTTGCTGTAGTGAAAAGGAAATTCACAACCATCTGGCAAAATCAGCATCCGGAAAAAACGTTTGACCTTTACGTTAAGAAGTTGGAGGAATTGTCTTGTTCGCAAGCGGTACATGACGTGAGCACCGATGATCTCACCAGTCTTTTAAATGACATTTACAGTAAGTCGGTCACGAATCAAGCAAATTTCGAGAAAACGCTTAAGCAACGCGACTCCCAAATAATCCATCACGCTCCTGGCCACAGCGTTGTGAGGATCTTCGAGGATATCGATGATTGTATTAAGTACTTTTCTTCGGAAAAGATTGAAAGACCAAGCACTTATGACCAAATAATGGAGGAGATCAATAACTTTGAGTATGAGATTTTGAAGAAGGATGGAAACCGTAAGCACAAGAAGAAGAAAACTACGAAACATGGCAAGTCGTCTTCTTCGAAATTAAAAGCTTTCCACACACCAAAGCAAGAGGATGTTGTTGTTCCTGTCCACCTTCCAAACCAGGAAGACCTTATTGTACCGATTTACAATAACAGCGATTATCTTGGTTCTAAGCTAGAACTAGAACCTAGCATCGTGCATACGCCTTTTGCCACAGACGAGAAACCTCAAAATAAGAGAAAAGCTTCTACAGATGACATTTGTGAAAGAAGCTGGGTGTCTAGCTTAAATCTTTCGTGTGAGAAACCTGTTTCGGACTCTAGGACAGTTGTTCATTCCTCGCATTACACTCTTGAAGCCAAGAGCCTGATGTCTCAACAAGGAGTTACATCTTTGGTCCCTGCTTCGGCATCGAACCCATTTGATGTTGGATTTGACACCTGGTCACTAATTCCCTGCCAATCAATTTCGGAGAATGTCTCGCACACCGTGTCTACTGGAATGCTTTTAAATTGCGAGACGTTTTTCAAACAGGATCCCCAAGACGAGGACCCACGAGAGGTCTCTGGCAAAGTTGATCCAATCTTTATGTCCAAGATTAGGGAAAATACTGGATCAAAAACTGTTCGCATTCAAACTCCTTTGCAATCTAGAGATGGTCTCACCAAAAGAAGCAAATCCCATCAATTTACTGGAACAACCCTTGTCCCAAAATCCGGTAATCTGAACAAGCGTAGATCTCGAGACATAAAGCCTTCAAGGAAGCACAAAAACGTTGTTCATGCTACCACTTTAGGGAAAGGTCGCGAAACTTTGTACCAACTTCCTTCGAATCAGTTTAATGCCGCAAGTGATCTCCCTGGTCAACAACATTCGAACGCGCCACACGTCCTACCAAGGATACGTCCATCTGTGAACATGAAGGAAAATCGTCAATATGGGAAAACACGCCGCGTATCTATTGTAGAGACTTCCAATTCTGAATTTTCTTCTGTTCGAGATAAGCTCTCGTCAAATATTTCCAGCGTTGTGGAGGACATACCTTTAAGGTCGATATTACCTCCACCAATTAGAGACGATTTTGGTACGCACGGTAAAGATACCGCTCGGTACACTTTTCTGCCAAGCGTGGACAATAATCATGAACCTGAAATGGTGTTGATGTTTCCTCGGCATTCTAAACGTGAGCCAACTTTCTCCGAAAGAATGAGAAGTTTGATGTCTACGTCCAACATCAAAGCCGCCAGAGAAGAACGTAAACTGAGATCGGATTACGAGTACGATTTAATGTACCCCACTTTAAATGAGGTGTCATTTAGAAAATTCATGAAGTTCAAGATGAAGAGATTAAAAGAAAATGTGAAGTACTATCAAAGTATTGCCAAAAGATGCGTGGAGGATTTTAAGGGCCAAACGGAGCCTGATACGCTTACAAACGATGTCTGTGGTGTATACTAACAACAACAACAACAAAAACAACAACAACAACAATAAGAGGACAAACCGACTTCAGAACAATTAACTAAAATTATATAAACGCTGTATTGGATAATTATCAAAACAAAAAAAAACCATTAAGGCTTCTGTAATTGGAACGATGCTAGTTTAAGTCCAATTCATCGTCGTAGGGGTTTTCAAATGGCATAAATACATCCAGCGTATTTAGAGCAAAAATGTCTGGATAATGAAGTCTCTGTTCAGTAGGACCAGACAAATCTTGTTCTGGCATCCGGCGCCTTTTTTTCCTGCGTCCCCCCAAATCATCAGAGCTCAGCCCATCTTTTGTCAATTCGTGAAGTTGTCGCATAACGTGTTCCTGTAAAAGTTCTTGATTATGGAAGAGTTCATCCAATCCTACATTGTTGAAATTGTCCTCGCTGTGAGATATTCCGGCCACCGCCGATTGATTGTGATCATTTGCTATGGCGTAGTCTATATTCCTCGCAGGGAGCCCGGCAACCCAATTGTTATCATTAGCATTCCGTAGTTTCGTTTGATACCAAAAAGCATCAATTTCGGTGACACCATTGTTTCCCTCTTTTGAAGGTGAACAACTGCTAGGTATCGTATTATTGCTCGTCGCAGATGGACAATCTGATAAATCTTGTGGAGAAATGTCAGATTGTTCGATGTTTCTCAATTTCACTGTTGCATTCTCTGGGTCAAGTGACTTGCGAATTTTTAATCTTCTGGTTCCGTTCTTGGTGGTTAGCTCCGAGTAGTCACCCAAAGCCCTAAGCGCTGAATTAATTTCGATTTCTGTTAGCGTATTGGAAAAAATGTACCAGTCAGTTGAATTCAAGATCGACAAAATATTGTCAAAGTCTTGGACCTTGGAAAATACGAGAGTATTAAACTTGGGGAAAACCTCCCAAGGATTCAACGAATTTGGCGAATGGTCATGATGGGTACCTGCTTTGGCGTCTCTATAAGACATTTTGCGATATCGGGCCATGATTGGAGATTCCGAATCAAACACACAATTTGACTCATCCTTTAGCAAATTGTAAATGTAAGTATTTCCTTTCGACATTCTCCATGCATAAAAATGTGTCTTACTCAAGACATGTGTCATTTTGTTGATTGCTTGAAATTTCGCAAGAGTGACAGTTATTATTTCATTCACCACCGCGGTCACACCAGCGACATCCAGGCTTGATTTTGAGCTGAATTCTTTAATGTGATTGTACTTGAAGTGTTGGAATTTCGAGATCAAGCACCGAAGGATGACGGTAAATCGAACGATGAAAACCCCACAACTTTGTAATATTACCATTTTCGAATGCTTCCCAAACATTTCGTCCACAATATCTCTCTTATCTTGAGAAGAGCGGCAACCATAAAAGAGAACAACAAGTACAGGCTCAATTTCCACATATAGCCTTAGTAGTTTCTTGAGATAAAAGATTGGGAAACTGGCCTCCGATGCGCTCCTGCTTTTCTCGACTTGGTTATCTAAATGCAAATGAAGATGGTAATAGACCATTGCCAAGACCGAAAGCGTGTTTATGAATGTCACGAAATTATTACATTTGGTAACCGCGCCTTTGATGGTGTCGCATGGCAAAGAAACGATACGTTTTAATCCATCGCCATAGCTGTCCCTCAAAAGCGTCTCCAAATTCCTCGCAGTATCCTCGACCAATTGGCAATTGGTTTTGAATCTTTTGTTAACTACAATTTGGAGTAACTTCCGGCACTGCAAAGAAAATTGGAAATTGTTTTGTAGACAACTAAGAGAGGCGCTTTCCAAACCAACATTAGTAACATAGGAAGGGTATTCACCATTCTCATTGTAATCCAAGGTGGGCAATTTAGTACTAAAACTGTTTTCGTCAATCATTAGACTATTTCCCATGTTCATGCCCTCGTACAAGTCCAAAAAATAAATCACGTACCAGCATTTCCTCCAGGATTGTAGATACATGTAATTGTCTGAAAGTTGAGATGATGTCTCCGCTTCCGTGTTTAAACCTATCGAGGTCGCCATTCTTACCAATAAACCTGAAAAGGGTTCTGAATCACCACCATCTGCAATATCACCCTCTTCCGGTGCAAATCTTCGATAAAGCCTCAGCATAATAGCACAGTGCAAAACTGGTAAAACGGCCTTTCGAAGCATCTTGAATTGATTCAGACACATTTGAGCCACGTTGACAAATTCAATACCAATAGGGTTAGAGACTATAAGTTTCTCCTCTTCCGTGACGCAATTGCCTATATGCTCTGGATAGGTGAGAAACGAAAGTCTCAACACAATCAAAAGAGACGCAACTTTTGACATATCGAATCTCTTGGTAATTCGAATAGCTGGCTTCGTATCGCTATCTATACGTTCACCGATAAGTTTTCTAATGGTATCTTTAAACCAGTCCTCATTCAATACAGGGAAAAGTCCATGAAGTGGGGACGCAAAGTAATTGTCGACATGAATCCAGATTATTTTATCTGACGGCAGTATGCTCTGAATTTTTTGCAATACAATATATTCTTGACTGGGACTCCCATGAGCATAGTTAGAGAATAGCATCTCAGGAACCCTTTCGTTTGCGATACATTTTTTCTCCTCATCGGTCTTTCGCCGCTTGAGCGTATCGAGCAAGACCTGCATTTTGCGCCAAATCAAAATATCATTTTTGGCTTCTGTTGCAGTTTCCGGAAGTTCTTGTATAGTCTTGCTCTCCGAATTGAGAAGATTGACCACTGAAAGTGGATTATACGAAAGTTCGTCTTTTTGATCATCCGTATCGATTTCGTCCAGTCCCTCATTCTCAATAAGTTTTCTTTGAAATCGTATATCTGCTGCTCTACTGGTGTCTTCGACTTCGACCGCTTTGGACCCACTGGAGGCATCATCACCACTCTCTTTCTGGTTGCCTGCACCTTTCTGTAGAGAGTGATTAACACGTTGGCCATCCTTCGGCGAAGGTGAAGATACTTTATCTTCCGTGTTCAAGATGAGCTGGTCAGCAATCTCGGCCTGCGTATAAGTCACATCTGGATACTTGAGAGTCACCCTAGGTTGGTTTTTACCCATCTTTTCATGATTTTCGAATCTTTGATTGCGAATCAACACAGTCATCACATTGAGAAACGGATCGCGTCGCGACAATGCTACAAAATGTAAGGGTCCCGCAAACGAAAGCCTACCGGCTTTCACTTCAATAGCATCACGACCTTCATTGAAACTCATATCATCAAATTGGCGCAGCGATGGTATTTGTAGATCGGGTTCTTGTGCTTTGACACAAGATGGTAATATCGTAGCGTTCGGTGTATCGTTTGGTATCGTAGCGTTTGGCACTGTAGTATTTTCCACAGTCTTGGAGTCGATCAAACTCGTTTCTTTGCTAGAAACAGAACGGATCCTTTCTTCAGGCGATAGAAGGCCACTCGAACTTGTATTGGTCCTCCCCCCAAAGACAATATGTTGAAACCTTATATTAGCCTTACCCTCATATCGACAGTGTTCCTCGGATCGGTGCTTTATACAAGTTTGACACACTGGTTTTGTCTTGTCGCATTTAACTTTTCTCCTTCGACAAACAAGGCAAGATTTCCCAGTATTTTGTTTCGAGTCTGAGCTCATTCGACGTCGTGATGCCTCGAATCCAAGTTGTTTGTATTAGTTGATATAGGTTGATTTTCCAATGGTTGCATCTTGTAGCTAGTAGATGAAAAGACGAAGGTTAAGATGATCAAGATCAATAAAATCTATATAAGTGCTACCCAAGTGATGGATTCTACTGGTTCCGGGACCGGTTTTGTTATAAAACTGGGTGCTTTGTGGAAATCTTTAATTTAATGTCTTGTAAATGTTGATGTCTTGTAAGAACATTCGAAGTACCATTTGGATATAGGGTTTAGACCGTAGCGAGATTCTGGAAATCTTGCATTATGCGATTCACTAAATCATCAAATGGGGTGGTAGATTTGCCGCACATGCTTGCTTAAGGTCTCCAAGATGCTCCTCTGTTATGCAATCATCTGTTGAACGACAATATTTTACGGTAGGAAAACCTGTTTCTGCATCTCGCCGTTGAGTTTAAAACGGTAAGAACCATTGGTGAAGAAGTGGTTGAAGCCTGCTCGATAGTCAGATGCCGCCGCAATAAAATTGTTCTTCCATAGCTTTGTATGGATACGTCCATGTAGTTCGTTGAGGTAGAATCATGAGACTAGAATCCAGGTAAACGGAACCCAAATGGACCTTATCTTACTATTAGAGCAACCCACATTCTCTCGCAAACAATTGGCTTCCTGTTAAGTTGACGTTTCTAAGCAGAGAATTTTTGGCAGACCTCTGCCAAATAGTAAAAAACGTTTGAGACTCGCAACTTTTGGGAATTTCATGATAATCTCAGCTGTCCATAGACTACGCCAGTCTAATACCCTTTGGAGGCTGTTGAAGTCCCAGCATTCCAAGTTTTGTTGGTCAACGAGTTACATCATCGAAAAAATGCGTAAAACACTCCAGAGACTCATGGTTTTTTGAGAAATCATCTCCACCACACACTCCAGCACATTGTACTGGTCAGTTTCCTCGTGGAGACCTCTGAAATCTCGATATTCCGAAGTTTCAATGGTCACCGAGTCGTCATCGCTAACCACGTATCGTCAACACCTTGATCTCGTAAGACCCATATTCGATATCTCTTTCAGGAAGAGATCTAAGAGTCAAAACCGACGCCATGGCAGACCAATATGAAGCCATGATTAGCAATGGACATAATGACATTAATACAAACCCAAGCAGATTGGTACCGGATGAAAATTTCGATGATTTTGATGAAGATTTCCTTGACTTGTACACGATGACACCGTTACAACGAGCCATGTATCATTGTAAAAGACTCGCGCGAAAGTTATTAGGAGTTTGGCAATCTTTACCCATGTGGAAGAAATTTTTGCTCGTTTTTGCAGGTGTTGTGAACTTGGTTTTCGTGATTCTGATGTTGGTATACCATAACAGGATAATGCAAGCTGTAGCGCAAGCATCAGATGAAATCAAACAAAAAAAATATTTCCCACTGGTGTTTATCGCATTGTTGTATTTGGTTTCGTTCCCACCACTCATTGGGTTTTCCTCTTTAGCTACTTGCGTGGGTCTTACCTATGGCATATCGGCAAAGGGATTCGTAACGCTATTCATTGGTACTGCATCAGGTTCTATTTCTGCCTTCGTGGTGTTCAAGACGTTACTGAAATCCCAAGCGGAAAAATTGGTCAGAATGAATTCCAAATTCGAAGCATTGACCTCCATCTTACAAGATGACGACAGTTATCTTACGATCACACTTATTCGACTTTGTCCCTTCCCTTATTCTTATACAAACGGCGCAATCGCGGGTATTTACGGTGTTAGTGTACTGAATTTCAGCAAAGCCACTGTTTTAATGTCTCCAAAGCTGTTTCTGTACCTTTTCGTGGGATCGAGGTTGAAAAACATGGGCGAATCTAGATCAACTGGATCTAGGATCTTTGATGTGATCAGTCTGGTGGTCACTGCTATAGTTCAGATACTTACGGCGTGGATCGTGTACCGGAAAGCAACCAAACGACAACGGGAATTGAGACAAGCCCAGGACGCGGACATGTCATTTGATGTTCTTTGAATTAGGGTGTCATTCCCTCGTCTTGAAAACGTTCTTCTTCTTCTTGGTGATTTTGCCCTTGGACTCTGCTTTGGGTAGCTTTATGGCGACTTTGTCGACTCGCACAGTTGGCACTTCTGCCTTGTCGTTATCGTCGGTCTCCACCGAGTTTTGCCCCTCTTTAATCTGCTGCTGCAGCAATTTGTTTCTCACGTCCTGATCCGACACTTCCGATTGCGTAACTTTGTCCAGTCGTTCATTTCGCATCAAATTTTCGAACGAATTGTCGATAAAGCTTATAAAGACTCTTCCCTCTTCAACATTGACACTGTCACTGTCGTCGTCACTGTCGCCGTCACCGTCCCCGGTGCCATGAATTCTAATCTTCCCGCTGTTGCCCAAATGAACTATAAATTTTGTCAGAGACGTAAATTTGGTCGCATTCATATGTATATGATCCTTATCCTGAATGAATTCATTGTAAAACTTGTTGGCTTCGATTTTCTTTTCACCATGTGAGAGTCTCAGAACCTTCAAAAAACTCTTTTCAAACAGCTCCGTAAACTTATCCACATCTTTGGGCGTCATTTGACTGATCCTTTTCATATGTGATGGCGATCTACAATGCGATTTGTACCCGTTTTCGTCCCTACATTGTTTCCCACAAATTTGACAGTAACATCGTAGTTTTTGAAGACCTTTGGCCTTCATTTGCTTACTGAGATATTTAGCAGTCCCAAATTCAGCAGTCCCCATAGTTTTGATCGTTTTTGTCACCTCTCTTATGTCTCTTCAGCTAAGGTTCATAGTATTATAGTTCGATTCGATGAGCTTGATATATTTAAGATAAACTTGAGTTTGAACATCAAGTCGAACATCAAGTCGAACATTAATCTAAAACCCAAAAGGATGTTCAAAACCGGTATTTCAAGGCTCTTCAAGACTCCATTGAAACCTGGGTGGTTACAGAAGCGACCAGGCTTCAATTATTCTCAACTTAGTTACCGAAGGTTCGATGGTAACAACCAAAAAAGGACCTTTTGGAACTTACTCACGGATGCAACGTCAAGGAAGTATTTAGCAGTGGTCTTGGGGGGTGGAACCTTGTTTTACGTGACACATTTGGAAGAAGCACCCGTTAGTGGTAGGAAACGGTTTATATGGTTACCAAGATGGATAGAACTCAAAATTGGAGCTTATACTTACAATTCAATGCTTCAAGAGACCCGGGGCTCAATTCTTCCGGCTGCCCATCCTTTGACGCGAAATGTCAGTAAAATATTCCTAAAAATCGTCCAGGCGGCTCAAGAAGACCAGGATATCAATCAGGAGTTGATTCGCGGTGTTAATTGGGAAGTCCATATTGTAAACGATCCTCGGGCTCCACCGAATGCGTTTGTTCTTCCTGGAGGCAAAGTCTTCGTTTTTAGTTCGATTTTGAGTATCTGTGGAAACGAAGATGGGCTTGCAACGGTTTTGTCGCATGAATTTGCTCACCAACTTGCTCGGCACACTTCTGAAAACTTGTCAAAGGCTCCGATATACTCAATTCTCAGTGGAATTCTGTATACAGTAACCGGAGCCGATATCTTCAATAGATTGATCCTTGATGCCTTTTTAAGAATGCCTGCCTCGCGCCAAATGGAATCTGAGGCGGATTTTATCGGGCTAATGATCATGTCGCGTGCCTGCTTTCATCCTGAGGAATCCGTAAGGCTTTGGCAACGAATGGCAGAATTTGAACAGCGATCCAAAAGACCCGGTATGTTGAACATTGAGTTTCTGAGTACCCATCCTGCCAGTGCCAAAAGAATTGAAAACATGAGAGAATGGCTTCCTAAAGCTGAAGAAATATATGCTCAGTCCGACTGTGGTGTCATGTCAGGATACTATGATGGTTTCCAAAAGTTCTTCGGGTCACCATCTTTCGCATCAATATCTTCGTGGGGGTTATAATATCTCACTACTTATGCGTTATGTCACAGCGGCCTTCTTCTTTTGAAGCCCACGTTTACAGTTTTTTTTGAAGATTGGGCCCTTTTGGATTGTTGTAATTGCGAAATCGGCTTGGCATCCAGAACCTGGGAATCCAAGGTCATATTTTGAAGAAGGTTGGCTCTTTTTATTGCCCAGCTTTTGAGACAAAGATCAAGTTCGTCGCCTTTATGATCCGAAATATCTAAGTCTCCATCATTTTCAGACCTTCTGGTAAAGTTGTAAAACAGCGGTTCATATTCCATGAGCCACAATGGATCTACTGCAGTAACGATATTCACGTATTCTTTTGTAGTCAAAAGCAGTTCATGATAAACGATATAAGGAGGAAGATCTCCGGCTCCATGAAGGGCACTAGTGGGGTGCAGTCGAAGTTCAAGTCCGTTCTTCAAATGCACGTATTTGCTGAGACCAGCAATCTTCGCGGCTTGTTGCGCATACGCTGAGCATATGCATTTTCTGACGATAGACCAATCAGTGCCAGAAGATTCGACGTAGAGACCTTGTCTTTCCATTGATCTACAAAGCTGCATTCTGATATCCCTCGCTCTTTGTAATGATTTGAACTGCAAAAAATGTCGTTTACACCATTTGGCCGAATATTGGTTTGCTTTCCACTGAGAATAAACGTTCAGAAGCGTAAGATGATCGGATTCGGGAACGAAAAATCGCGACCGCGCCTGATCGGACTCCTCTTCTCTTGCTTTGGGACGATGGAAAACTTGTGGTACTGATAACATGGAGACTATAGTGAGCACTTCTTCGCTACATTTGTTCTGCGAAGCTATCAAAAGCATTTTTGACAAAGCGGGTTGGAGAGGAAAATTGGCCATTTCGGTCCCCAATTGGGTCAGGTTTCCAAGGTTATCAAGAGCCCCCATAGCCCACAATTCAAATAAAGAAAATAACGCCGTTACTTCATTGGGCGGGTCAATGAACGGAAATTTGAGAGGATCTCGTACGCCAAGTGATTTTAGCAACAAAAGAGTGTTAGAAAGGTTGGTTCTTTGAATTTCTGGAATGGCCTGGGTATACATATCGTCGTAGGCTGTGTCCTCAGTGTACAACCTATAGGCAATTCCTGGTCCAGTACGACCTGCCCGACCCGAGCGCTGATTAGCACTGGCAAGAGAAATGGGCGCCATTCTCAGACTATCAAGGCCAATTTGTGGACTGTAAACCTTAAGTTTGGAATACCCACAATCTATAACGTATCGTATGCCGTCCACCGTCAATGATGTTTCAGCTATATTTGTCGCAACAACGACTTTCCTCTTCCCTAAAGTCTTATGAAAGATCTTTCCTTGAATGTCGGCCGGTAAAGCTGAGTAGATTGGAAGGATCTCAATACTTTCAGCGTGATCATTCATATTTTCTTTCGTTCTCCTTAGTTGAACTTCGGAAAGCCTGCTTCTCAATCCGCTACAGGTGGCTTCGATATCTTCCTTACCCGTCATGAAGATCAGGACGTCCCCACTTGTGATTGGAGTCGCCAAATGGATTTTGCTAGCTTGAGTAATCGCGGACTCGACATAGTCGCTGACTGGAGAGCGGCTATAGACAACTTCAACAGGGAAAGTGCGCCCTGGAATTGTAAATTGCGGAGCGGCTCCAAAAAAATTCGAAAAGCGATTAGCGTCCATGGTTGCCGATGTTATGATAAGCTTAAGATCTCGCCTTCTTGACAAAAGGTCCTTGAAAATGCCGAAAAGAATGTCAGTGCTTAATGTCCGTTCATGCGCTTCATCCATAATGATACAACTGTACTTGTCCAGCAACGGATCTACAAGAGTTTCCCTTAACAACAACCCATCAGTCATAAATTTGACTCTGGTTCCACGAGAAGTTCTGTCTTCAAAACGAATCGAGTATCCAACTTTTTCTCCCAACTCAACATTCATCTCTTGAGCCACACGAGTAGCCACCGACATTGCCGCCACACGTCGTGGTTGCGTGCAGCCAATCATTTTGCCATCCTTGCAAAACCCGTTTTCGAATAAAAATTGGGGCACTTGGGTAGTTTTACCGGAACCTGTTTCACCAATGATAACTATTACTTGATTATCTCTCACGATTTGGAGAAGCTCAGATTTCACTTGGTAGGCGGGGAGTCCCCTCCTCGATTCTTGAATTTGTTCAAAGCTTGGTGGAGGTTCTCGAGGGGCGCTATTTGCACTGTCCCCTATCCTGCCGCTCGCAACTTGCTCAACCCCATTGGGTTGTCCCACAACAGCTGCAATGGCAGTCTCGGAGTTATCAGCGATTTCTGCTGCTTTAGACTTTCTAGCCTCCATGTGCCTGTTCTCATTCACCAATCGACTGCCTCTTTTCGCATTGAGTGAAAATTCGCTGTCTGGATTCCGGAATGGATCGACATTACTTGTGAATTTGGAAGAGGCATCTAAAAAGTGCAGAAATACCGATTCTCCGTCGGAATTTCTGAAACTGGTCAAAAACGGGGGAACAAGTTTTGCACGTTGGGCAGGTGAAATGGGTGTTAAATGAAGCTCGGATTTCAAATCATTAAAATTTGATTCTTGGTTCCTCCGGTTGGAGCTTCCTCGTCGTCTGAAATTTAAAGTACTAACCACAGAATCATCAATGGCATTACTGTAGTCATCTTCATGGTCGTACCACTCCCGGTCTTCCTCAACTGCACTTTCGTCTGAAGGCAAGTCGTTGCCACTTTCGTAAGTGTCTTCAGCGTTATTCGAGTCTACACTCGAAACGGCACGAGTGGAAAAAGCCGGAATAGACAGATATTCAGCGGCTTGTCGAATATTTGTGTCCTGGTTGTCATCCGTCGGTATTCCTGGCTTTCCTACCTCCTGAAGAATACGGGTCTTGGATGGCTCAATGCCTGACGTATTAGCATATTCCTTCAAATGTTTGGCCTTGTTTTTGGACAATCTTTTGAACAAAGACGGTTTCGATAGCTTCTTATATCCAGACTCCATATCTCGGAGTCTCGCAACGTTTTCATCCTCTGCTTCGTCTTGTAGACCAAGCTCAATTTGCTTCAGAATACGCTGCGATGTCACTTTCTTATCGAGTACAACACGTTTTGGGGCTAGAAAAGTCTCTTCAGGTTCATTAATTTGCAACCCGTGGTCCTCTTGTTGTTCAGAAACTGTGTTGAGCTCTCCATGCAAACGTTCTAGGAATTCCTCATGACCATTGAACTTCCCTAGTGCTTTACATGCTTTAATGAATTTCTCACGATCGGCCGCGTGAATTCTGCCCAGATTTTTTATGGTTTGCAAAAAATTTGGAGTCACATTGGAGCTGGTCTGTGCCTGGATCCATTCACGCAGATCTTGGACCATGCTTTAGGCCTGTGAATGTATACTAGATGAGCTCACTAGTTCTGGTGATTTGTCTAGAATTCAAATTTCGTATATAGTGAACTTCGTTCAATTCAATATGTCGTATAAAGTGATATATCATGACTTTGGTTATTTGTTCGAATACCTATCCGATATTGGCCCGCAAGCCGCGAAATAATCTCATATTCACTTTAATTAGTGCAAATGATACATGTTCTGACGTGTAATGAGCTTCCAACTCACGCTGGTTGCTGTGGGTTTCGATTCTCGTGAAATGATTAACATATCATTATTTACGTAGTGAAGTTTTGAAAATTTATCGACTTGGAGCCATCAAAAACAGTCGGAAATCATAACTTTGACCATCGCAAGCCTGCTCATCCCAAAGGATATTTGAGAGGATCCCATTCTAGTGCTTTCAAGTTCGCGCCTTCACACAGAGATGCTCAGCTTTTCCAGGCGATTTCATGCGGTTTCCACGCAGTTGAAAAGACCCATTGATTTGGTCGAAAAGGCAGGACGAAGTATACCTAAATTGAAGGCGACTCCCAATTTGTACAACCCAAAAAGTTCTGCGCACAATTACCGAGGCGTCATGCGAGCCAAAATCGAGCCGGGATTGTATCACCACCCTTCACAGTCGTTGTCCACGGGCTCGATCAATAGCGAAACGATTCCCAAAGCATTTCTGCCCTCCAACGATCCTAGAAGACAGTTTTTGGACGACATTAGAAGCGGAGACCAGGTGCAGGCGCAAGAGGGAGCTGTGCTATGTGCGTCAAAGGATAAAACTTACCATTTGGAACCAAATCAAATAGCCGAAATTATCGCACTACGCGCTGAAAACCCAGAGAAATACACCAGAAAGGCGCTTGCCAAACAGTTCAACGTTTCACCATTATTCATTTCGCTGGTTTCATCTGCGTCAACGCAAAGGAAAGCAGAAATGGCTGGTCGTTTGCACGCAATCAAACAACAATGGCATCCAAAACGAACCCTGGCGAGAGACGACCGTAAGAAGAGAAAAGAACTATGGTACAGAGCTTGAAAGTCTCGGTATATATGATCTGGTAGTCCTGTAATTAGTAAAGCATTCGAAGTATGATGGAGTTGACTGGTCGGCTTCTTAACGGCACCGTATCTCATCTTTTGGTTGACATTTTGAAGCGCTGAAAGGTGTTTACAGCATTTTACTGGAGGCTTGAAATTTTTAGAGTATTCGATTACACTGCCTCTCTGCTTAAAATGCCTTGTTTATTCATGTCATCATCATTTCTCTTGCGGCAAAAGTAGTTCATCACTATAGAGATTTTTGAAAAATGAAGTTCTTAAATTAAGAATCACCAATTATCACCAATACTTAACGAACTTCAAACCTCTTAGAAGCTATTATGTCAGGGCCTTATGATGATGATGCAGATGTTGATTATGAAAACGACGTTCCTGAGTTCCAGGATGAGGCCGAGTTCGACGATTATTTAAATGACGACGAGTACGAACTTATGCATGAAATGTTTCCCAGGGCCAAAAAAGAACTTTCGGAGTACCAAGGATGGACCAATTTGAGTGTTAAATTAGCCATTTTTGATAGTGAATTTGATTTTGATCAAGCCATGAAAGAATTGAGACGGACTTTAAAGAAAAAAAAGCAACCAGAAGGTATGTATATTCCATTGTGGGAGGAGAACCAACAGTAACCAAGTTTTCCACCATATCCTCATTTTTCTCTCGTCATTTTGTTTGAATGTTTAAGTCATCTCGAGTGGGCGACGTTATCGGGCTGGAAAGCTGTATGACGCCTTTTATCAGGCATATTGTTTCTGCAAATTTTTACCGCTGCTATTCGAGAAGGGATGCTGGTGAGGGACTGGTTTGGGTTTCGGTTCTACAGGCCCTATATCTTGTTCCTTTCCCAGCATTATTAACTGTGTGATTTTTTTAGGAGATAATGGATCTTTGTCGCTGCTTGAACGCCTGGCGAGACATCGAGCGCTGGAAGCCGAAAAAGTTGTTTCTTTGAGTCGTGGATCGAGTTTGAGTACCTCAGGAGCTCTGCAGAAGCTGCAAGACCGCAAGGGAAGGAAAGTGGATGCTCGTGTATATTCTTCTACCGGTTCTTCGCTTGCACAACGATTGGCTTCACTTCAACAGGTTAAAGGGACCTTTGAAAGTAATTTAGAAAAGCCAATGCCCTCTGGATTATCTGCATTTCTTAACAGAAATCAACAAAGTGCTTTACCTAGTGGTCGCTCAACAGCAACTTCGTCTCTGAGCGCCAGATTGTCAGCGTTAAATACAGCCAGACAAAACAGCAAGCCTGAAGACGGGAAACCATTAAAATCCAAGCCAAAGCAGCCAGAAATTCGCATTCCGGAACTCGCACAAACCGAGAAATCACCCAACTTTCAAAAATTGTGTCGATTGCATAACATCAATTTAAAAAGACCCAGTAAGACTAAACTTGACAACAATACAAAACGTTATAAAATCACCAAAGTTATCGGATTGCATTCAACTAAATCTCTTTTGGAAAATGATGAGAGCCTATTGTCTTCCGTTTTTTATCCAGCTACTAACTCAAAAGCAGTTCAAAAAGCGGCAGTTGGAAACTTCAAGAAGCCAAGCCCTGATGATGTCGTGTTGGAAGCCCAGAAGCAAGCATTTGACCAACTAGAAGATCTCACAGACAATTATAAACAGATGGCAATAGATGAAGAGGCGGAGGAGCAGCCAGTTGAGGGTTCGGGGCACGAAGCAGCTAGGGTGCACAAGAAAGCGACCGAACCTACCAAACCAAAATCTCCGCTAGACCTAACGGCCTATTTATCAAAAAGAAAGCCACATTTGAGCTTTGTAGTTTTGGGGCACGTTGATGCTGGGAAATCTACATTGATGGGTCGCTTGCTTTACGATATTGGCGCTGTTGACAACAAGCTCATCAGAAAATTGAAACGAGAAAGTGAAGTGGTGGGTAAATCCTCGTTTCATTTGGCTTGGGTGATGGATCAAACCCAAGAAGAACGTTCCAGAGGTGTCACGGTCGATATTTGTACAAGTAGTTTCGAAACAAAGGAAGCAGATTTCACAATTGTTGATGCTCCCGGGCATAGAGATTTTGTACCAAATGCAATTACAGGTATAAGTCTCGTTGATGTTGCCGTGCTTTCTGTGGATTGCAGCACAGATGCCTTTGAGTCGGGATTCAATTTAGATGGTCAAACCAAAGAGCATACAATACTAGCTCGAAGTCTTGGAATCCATCATTTGATAGTAGCGTTGAATAAGATGGATACTGTCGATTGGTACGAGGGAAGGTTTAGAGACATCCAATTTGAGTTGCGCAATTTTTTCGAAAGTATTGGACTCAAAGAGGAAAATATCAGTTGGATACCATTGAGTGGTCTCTCTGGAGAAGGTGTGGTTGGCACAAAGTATCCTTTGCAGCAAACGTGGTATAAGGGACCATCCTTAGTTGGGGAGTTAGAGTGTATTGCGAGGACTTCTGGGTCAAAGGATCAAGCCACTTTGGAAAGCAATCCATTTTTGTTTTCAATTCTTGACGTTTCACCCAGCGGCAAGAATGGTGATGCCTTACTCTCAGGAAAAGTTGAAGCTGGAAAGATTCAGGCTGGTGAGACAATTACAATCTATCCTTCGGAGCAAAGTGTGCTGATCGAGAACATCTACAATGATTCAAGTCAAAATCCTCAAGCTGCTGCCATTGAAGGAGATTTTGTTACACTTAAAGTAAAAAGTGCGCAGCATGAGGACATTAAGACTGGCGACATTGCTGCTATAGTCGGCTATGATGTCGGCACCGCGCAGGAGTTTACCGCTCGATTGCTGACTTTCAAATTGGATAGGCCCTTGTTACCGGGAACTCCATTCATATTGTTTCGTGGGGGTACTCAGCAACCTGCCAGGATCAAAAGACTCGTTTCTATCGTGGACAAAGCTGACCCTGCAAAAGTTATAAAGAAAAAGGTGAAGCACATAGGGTCAAATCAAGCAGCCGTCGTTGAATTAGAGTTGACAGAGAAGAAAAGACGCATCCCGCTAATGACTCTTGAGGAAAACAAGCATTTGAGCAAAGTTTTGTTGAGAAAAGAGGGTAGAACAATCGCTGCTGGAGCCATTATGTCGCTTGACTTTTAACACAGTTTTCTAATTGACGGTTTTAATTTATATAGTCTAGAAACAGAATGAGCATTCCAAAGACGATCGATAAATACATAATTAAAGCCGCCGATTTCCCGCTTCGTCTTTGGGCTTTTCCGAGCTGTTTATTTCCCTTTAAGACATCAACCTCGACATCGTCATAGTTATCTAACAGCGATGATATGTTTTGAGTCTGGCTTTGCAGATGCGTTGAAATTTCATTTTGTAACGACGAAATGCCTATTATTGTCTTGCTTAGCTTTTCGACCTCATTCAATTCTGCCTTTTTATGACTAAGCAATTCGCTGTGATCTTCTTCTAAAATCTGAATCTGCTGAGTCGATAGCATTTGAACAGTGTCGTTATATTGTTTAACTTCTTCCTGGGTCGTTTCGATAGCCGGAGGAACTTCTATTTTACTAATCACACCCGATGTTGGTAAATATAACTGTGCATTGAAATCTATGGAATCCAGTTCCCGTTTCCGAAGAAGCCTTTCTTGCTGTAATTTGGAAAACGCGGTAGATGCCCCGGAAAGTAACAATCCTAGTGATCGTAAAATTCCGGCCCTATGCTTACTCGCGGTATCGAAAAAAAGATCTTTCCGGTCACTTTCCGTCCGCCAGGGACCAAACAGTCCACCTTGTAGTCCGGTCGCTACCGTCGCGCTTCTTTTCGTTTCGTATTTTTCCAAAAACTTGAGTTTCTCAAAGTACTGTTGCAACAACAACCGACATTCGGTGTCAAAATCGTCCTTTTCCTGTTCGCTCATCTCATTTTCACTTTGATACTCATTTTTCAAGGACCCCATCACTTTTCTAAACTCATAAATATGTTTCACCAGATCGTAACTCTCGCTAACGAAAGTGTCTTTAATTCGATATTGATTTTCAGACTTTGTCGGTTTTCGAGGCGCCGGCCCATTTGTTTCTTCGAAAACCTGTACTATCTTCCTGAATAAAACTGTGGTATCTGCCATTAATATCGTTTACGCTAGGAACGGGCCTGGCTATGGGGTTCTTTTGTTATGCTGGGTTTGATGATTGGGAGGTTACCAAGTACCTCATCGAAGGTCTCGCTATGAGCGATGATTCGTACATGATGATATTAACTGATTCAAGACTGCCAAAAGCCGTCTTATAAGGTCAATCCGCCCTGTGAGACGTTTCCATCGCCTGTTGTATGCTAATTATATCGAAAGAATCAAATTCTGCGTCTTCGTGAGTTTTGTCGCCATTTTCGCGGCTGCCATTACGAGGACTCATTCGTACAGCGTTTTCCTGCAGCCATTCAATATTTTCAGCTCCAAGTGGTGCCCAGTAGTGCGTCTGTCTATGCTCAACAGATTCTAGTAGTATTGTACTTTTTTCACGGTTCTTATCCATTTCAACTCGCGTTTTCATAATAAGTCCAAAAACAATGATTAGACCCGGTTGAAGGTGGCCCCGAACACCATTTCAAAGCCTAAAAACAGCCATATCAATCTCTTGAAGCTTTTTTAATTATTCAAACGAATATTGATAGGAGTCGAGTTTCTATTTACAGCTTCAGCTGCCTTCGGAGTTGTTGATGCTCGCGATGAGCCGAACATCTTGTTGACGCGTCTTTTTACGTAAGTTGAAAAAATACGCGTTAACTCATAACAATGAACGCCAGACTTGAAAAGAATCACTGGAACGAACTTGATATCGACTTAAAGGCTCCGCACTAAATCGGTTGAGTAACAATAAAGTGAACTTGTCATGACAGTACAAGCCTGCGAAAAACAGAGATTCAATAGCAGCGAAAACGCGGAAGAAAAACAGTACCTTGAGCTTTGCCAACAGATCATCGAAAATGGCGAATTTAGATCCGACAGAACAGGTACAGGCACCTACAGTGTCTTTGCTCCACCACAGTTGCGATTTCGTTTGACTGATGACACTTTTCCTTTGCTCACGACGAAAAAAGTGTTCATTAAAGGTATCGTGCACGAGCTTTTATGGTTCGTGGCCGGTTGTACAGACGGGAAGAAGTTATCGGAGAAGGGTGTAAGAATTTGGGAAGGAAATGGGTCTAGAGAGTTTTTGGACAGGCGCGGGCTCACGGATAGGCGTGAGGGTGATTTGGGACCCATATATGGGTTCCAGTGGAGACATTTTGGTGCGGAGTATAAAACTTGTGATGATAATTACGACGGACTTGGCGTAGACCAACTTGCACAGGTGATTTACAAACTTAAGACCGATCCCATGGATCGTAGAATCATTATGAGTGCTTGGAATCCTGCGGATTTCGACAAGATGGCGCTTCCACCATGCCATATTTTCTGCCAGTTTTACGTGAGTTTCGCCAAGGAAGATGGTGCCAAGCCCCGTCTTTCTTGCTTGTTATATCAGCGGTCATGCGATATGGGGCTCGGTGTGCCTTTCAACATAGCATCGTATGCACTCTTGACCAAAATGATTGCACATGTCTGCGATATGGAGCCATATGAGTTTATCCATACTTTAGGCGATGCTCATGTATACCGGGACCATATTGAAGCATTGCAAGAACAAATAAAGCGTGAGCCCAGAGCATTCCCTAAACTCGTCATAAAAAGATCCGTATCATCGATTGATGATTTCAAGTTTGAAGATTTCGAACTTTCCGATTATAATCCTCACGGTAGAATTCAAATGACTATGAGTGTTTGATATGTTTATAAACACACTATTTAAATAAGTTGTTCAGCTTTTTAGACTTGATTTTTGTTTGCGTTTCTCCAGAGGTCTTTTGGCCTGCGCTCTATGAGTTCTTGGACGACCATTATTTTTTAAATCATCAAGCAAATGGAAGGCTGATAAATCATCGCCATGCAATCTAAAGTTTGTTGTTTTGCCTTTTGCAGCATTTTCGGTTGTGACCGAGTTTTCATCATCTATATCGCCAATGATTGCTCTCTTAAATAGCTTTTTGGTCTTTCCTAGCGATTTCCCTTGGGATTTGTTTGTTATATCCTTCAAGGCACTTGGTCTCGGTGTACTTGACGTGGGCGGTCTTGAAATTAAGGTGCTCTCAGAACTATTGAATTCATTATTGGCGTCAGTACTTTGCTGAGCGGGGCCAGTCTCCTGGGGAGAATGCTCAGGAACAGTCTGGTCGGACGCGGTAGGATCTTCAGGTTTGTTGACGCCCTCGAAGCCGCTAGGAGTCGTCTCTGGAGTAGGCTCTTTGGATTTAGTACGTGCTCTTTTTTCACCACCACGGACTTGAAGATCATGTATATCCACGGTGGTTGTGGCGTCGACGAACTTTTCAGATGGACGACGCATTTTGGCTCTGAGGGACGGTAACGTGTAATTAACCGCTTTACCTCTAGTGCGACGAACCCTAGAATCGCTGAGAAACTTCTCGGTAGCAGTAGCGGGCATAACTTCATCAATCATCTTTTTACCTCCTCTAGATTTCATGGAATGCTTAATCTTTTGTTGCGACGTTTTCTTTATTGGCAAAAATGCTAATTGTTGTTGTGGGAATGTGTTGTCGGATATGCTGGTCGTGGTGCTGTGATTCATGCTGCTGCGATTCTGGTCGATGTTGGTTTCATCTTGATGGTCTTGATACACTCCAATTTTACTGCTAGAGGCTTCTGCGCCTTTCCCCGTAGCGGCATCCATTTCGGCTGCTTCTTCGGGTATCGAGCAATCGATGATGGATGTTGTGAAATTGCAAACATCATTGAGAGACGTCAGATCTTGATCTTCTGGTACTTCTGGATCGTCTGGAAGTGTTACGTTACGAGCATCGGGTGTTTCGTTGTCTGCAGTGGGTCTACTAGCAGATCCGTCATCGGCATCGGGCAGTCGTCCACCTTCATCTAAAAACTCAAAGTCGGCCCGACTGAACAAAGATTCTCTTCTGGAACTCCTGCGTCGTTTCTTAGTTTGTGGACTCAGGTCCTTTCTTGTACTAGACTCTTCAGTTATATCGTTCGTGTGACCAGAATCTCCGCGCGCACCTGATTCCGGATCCAAGTCAGAAAACGTGATCCCCGAGTTCCTTATACTTCGCTGTGTACGAGACGAAGATGGGCGACTCCTTTTCAAGATAGAACGGGGCTCGTTTATCCCGGCGGTTTTTTCCGTAAAATTTACCGCCGACGGCCTTAAACCTTCCCTTCTCCTTATAGATGCAAACATGTGGAAAATTTCTTCAAACCGTTGCAAAATTCCCCTTTCCAGCATTTGAACTTGGTCATCCAATCGCTCTTTGAAGCGTGCTTCGTTGACAGAGAGTCGAGATCGTAAAGTCACGTTTTCCTGCACCAATTCGCTCACATTCTTCTCCATCTCTCGAATTCTAATCAGCAACGTACTATTGCATCTCGCTAGTCTCACATTCTGCTGACTATACCCTGCTCTGACCCTTTCAAAATCGGTTTTTTGGCTATCCAGCAACTCCTGAAACTCTTGAACTTGTGATATCCTGTCTCTGGCCGCCTCTTCTACAACAAATTTCGGTTGCGCGGTCGATCCACGTTTCCTATTGTTCCTCGACATTTTTACGCTATAATATATTCGTGGTTACGCCTGAGACACCTTGCAATCATCAACAAATCTTTGGTGTTGTTACTGTTTAAAGTTTACAGATGTTTGTTTACCTTTATTCACAAAATGGATGAAAAGTGTTGATGTCATTACTAACGAAGGGTTTTTCCTTTATCAATTTTCGTGAACTTTTGGCCTCTATCTAAGAGAGATGAGCTTAAAGAGTAAACAAGGACCAGATAAATCGATGTCTCAGCGAGTACTTCAGTGACTATAGATATCGTAATACTTTGTTTTGGGTTCATAGTTTCATATAATTACGCTTCCGAATGAACTTGGACGATCAGATAGCGTCGAAAAAACGCGAATTGAATGCGGTGCGAACTATTAGAGCGCTAACCACGGACATGAGACGTCAGCTCGACGAATTGGCAATTCAAGTCCGTGAAATGAAGGATAACGCAGATAGAGTAGCACAGGTGATGAGCAATTGGGACTCGATAGTGCGATCGATTTCGCAAGCGAGTTTGAGTTTATTGCAGTATGCCGAGGGAGATTACGAAGTAGGTACATGGAATAACGGACCAGAAGACTTGGACAAAGAGCCGCCTCTGCCTGAGACATTAGTGAGAGTCAAAGTTGACGGTGAACAAGAGGCGAACGTGGCACAAGGGGGTAACGGGTAGGTTACATGGAAAGAAAAATTGGATATTGTATAGTATTATAACAGGCACAACTTTTAATTGACGCGAATATTCTCTATTTTGTTTGTTTCGTAATTGATCACGTAAGGATAGCCGGCAGTTTCATTTGCCGTTGCAATGACGGTCTTTAAATCGGTAACGAGATCTTCGCCAAGTGATCGAATCTGGTTTACCTCGTCTGCTGCACAATCTGCTAGAGCAAGGGGCGTTTGGACCAGATCCGCATATCTCGCCTTGAAGTAATCTGGTGACGTCGAACTGAGGTCTACGAGCATATCCCAAGCCGGAAGGTCACTATTGGCCTTGAACAGGAGTTCGTTAAAAGCTCTGCTCAATGTGAAATACAAAGCTGAATTGCGAAAATCCGTGAGTTTCATTGGCCCTTCGAAGAGTAAACATCTTCTCCATAAAAGTGCATTCAAAAACCGGTAAGACTCTAAGTCAAACATCTCGCTATTCAGCAGGAGAAGTTTGAGGGCATAAAAGAATCCGTCCTTTTGGTTCATGAGTGTATAAATCTCGATGATTTCATGCATCGAGACTTGGAACTCCCGCGCGACACGACCGCTTAAACAGGAAAACAGGGTTTTGATCTCTTCATCTGAATGATATCGCGCATTGAGACTTGCACCACTTCTCAATTTGTCCTTTAGATCACTGAGACCGTCCGCAGTGTCAAGAACTCCTTGTATTTTGACAAGTACTCCCTGTTCGACGTTGCGGTTCGCAGCCAGTACGCAGAGTTTCGCGATACTGGCTTGCACTTGACACCGATTAAGTTGATGTTCTTGCTTAGCGTTCCTCTCGACAGCATCCAGCAAGAGAGACGACGCTTTACTATATTTCTTATCGAAGACGGTTCCAATCCACGCAACATCGCTATATTGGGGGTTTTCATCGAAGAATTTGACCAAAAGAGGGTGGAATTGTGGAAATTTGTTGTAGAGGTCCTGCAAGTTCCCGCTTGCCACGTATGAAGAGAATAACTCACGAGCAAAATCATATCCGTATTTGTTAAAATACGGAATAAATGCTTCAGCAGATACTTCATCATGTATGTTGTTCAGAATTTGGACAATCGACCGCAGATCTCGATAAAAATCGGCTATTTGTAGGCACTCTAAGTTCTGATTTGCCTTGCACAGAATTTCATTCCAAACGGTTGTATTTTTGCGATACAAAGTGAGGAGCTCTTTATATTCTTGGGTCTCTGTGCGAGTCAATGCGTCTTTGAACCACGCTATTCTCTGATTGGAAATATAGTATAAAGCTTTGGCAAGCGACAACAATTTTAGGGCGTGAGATGCCAAATTCTCAGTCTTCTCCAAGACATCGGAATATCCCAAGAATAAATCATTTGATAGTTCTGCTATTCTGCCCTCCGCGAACCAAGCAAGTTTACTCTGTTGCTCAGCTGGATCTAATTGCAAACCCTGATACCGGTACTCTTGCTCGCCGTCATTTAATACACTTTCGTAAACTGAAGCGACCAAGAAATCGATGCCAGTATTCCACGAGTCTATATCAGACGTAGCGCTCAGCGTGCTAGCAATGTTTTCCAAATATGATTCGAAGACCTGGCGGAACCCTTCTAATCCATGCACAACGAATGTCTCTTCGTCGATTTCATTGCCTTTAAGTGTTTCTTGCCACAGGCTTGCCAACTCCGAAGATGAACCGGCATAGGATAATGTTGTGGAAACGCAATTGAGAATCTCAAAATACTCAACTAATTCCAGCAAGATAGTTGGCCTTACCTTGTTCAGGAAGTTTACTTTGGTAAATTCAAGCAGTGTCCTAAATAGATCCACTCGCAAGCGAACTTGGTGCAGAACAGAGCTCATTTTTGGTGGAATGTACTCTGACTTCGTTAGCAAGATTTCTTTAGCACAAGCCATCAATCCGCATTCGATCTCTTCGCGGTCTAGCGTGATTTCCATTGGAATGTTAAATTCGATGGGTGTGGAAGCAACGTTGGAGAAATAGATCGCCTGTTCCAAGTGTGATTTAACAAATGATCCTCTGAAGTCTTCTGGTGCTGTTGACTCCTTTGTGGCTGAAACTCGTAGTATACCAACTTTTTTATTAAACAGGTATATTGCTTCTGAATCGCAGCCATAGCCTATTATTTTCGTGTTTTTCCGAAAGCTTATAATATCTTCCCATTTCCTCCGGAGTGGGTAAGTGTGATCAAGCTTGGCGCTGACTTGTGTAAGCACTACTGCGTTTTCGAAAATGACAAATATTGTGACGAATTTGTCAATCTTGCTATCCAAAGCGGCAGGTATCACCAAGCGGGGGTACTCTGCAGACTTTATGGGATAATATATCGTGTTCAATCTGTAAGTGGAAAAGATTGCGAAGCTGTTCGTTTTCTCATCTACGACAATCGTGGACAAAATGTAAAGGTTTCCTTCGTCACCATTTCTTATGGAAGACAAAACCGAATACGCTTGCTTGTCTGCGGGCAAAGGATGGGAATCCAGAACCTGAAGTGATCCATGTGCTGTAGGATACAGGTCCTGAAGAGATTCCAATATTTGCTCGTAAATGTTTATTTCCAGCCGCTTATAAGACTGAGCCACTGCAGAAAGATTCCAAATTAGGAAATGGCCACCTCGAGTGATCGTCGACAAGATTCTTTCTCCTTTCCCAACAATCACTCCGGGCTTCATTGAGACAACCTGTTTGAACTCGTTAGACGTACTGAATAGAGTCATATGGGATTTGACGAGCTGAGCCTTCAACTTCAACATGGGTTGGCCCGCATAATCCCTTATCGCTATCAGTAGAAGACGACCTGTGGAGGTGGCTATCACGATTCCAGCGGGTTCGCAATTGACCACGCTAATGACATGTTCTTTACTCTTCAGTTTGAGGTCAAGCTCGTGCGCTTTGTCCCTAAACACAGGGGACGAAACACTGTTGATAGTATCGACTTCCTCGAACAATTTAACGACCCCGGTAACTTTGTTCACAACGCAGATTCCTGGGACTTTAGAGTCAATTTCGTCGTCTGCTGCAGCGGGCCACGTAAACACAACCTCTGGCGGACTTTGCAGCAGCTCGTGTTCGCTATGCAGAGAAATCTTGTTTATATTGGGGTGTTTATAACCAGCATCGAATGTCCAAACATACAGCTCGTCACTGTCGGCAACCAAAGCCTTCCCAGATTCTGTATCAATCAAAGCATTCAAATTTTTCTCCTGGGGCAAAAAGTCCATGTTTGCGGGCAGCTTCTTGACATTATATTTCTCGTTTTCCACCAAAATCACATCATTCGAGAATCCGTCTACCACTGTTGTATCTGCATTGTGTGACTGAAATTCCTCGACAAAGGACTGGGTAAGGTTCGATTCATCTTCCAATGACGCAAAATTCAGTTCCTTTCTAATTTGGAACACCGGTTGAAATGTCATGGAGTCCGGTTGAGCCGTCTTTGGCTTGGTTTGGGGTCTCTTGTATAGTTGCTTTGTAGTAAATTCCTGGTATAGTATGATTTAGTATGATTTCGTTGACAATAACATCTTTATTCGTACTTTCTGCAAGTTGAAAAATTTTTGGAAGCTCATCGCATCGCGTACATCTCAACTAACTAAGAACAAAGCTATTTAAAAAAGAGCAGGAATAGCTGGGCAATACACAGTTTCCGGTTCTTATTAGTTGATATTCCAATTTATCATGATCAGAACAATGTATGTGGCTGTGGCCGTTTTCAGCGGTTGAATAGGCCTTTATTACGCTGGACTTAGACTAACAAATGGATTTTTTGACAGAAAACCTAAGAACAATAGAGCTAAGCGTGCTCTCGATAAAAAGGAATCTAAGCTTGTGGAAAACGTAAAGCAAGCTTTATTCATTCCGGGAAAGACGTCGAACAAGCTTCTCCATGATGCCATGGTCGATTTGAGCGCCTTGAAAAAGCCCGATATCAAGAGATTCACAAAGAAAAATGGTATTCTTCCGTTCGAAGACGCTAGTCAATTGGAGTTTTTCAGTGAAAAGAACGATTGCTCATTGATGGTACTCGCTACAAGCTCCAAGAAGCGGAAAAACAATTTGACGTTTGTGAGGACTTTTGGCTATAAGGTTTACGACATGATAGAGCTTCAAATTGCGGAGAATTACAAGTTGTTATCGGATTTCAGAAAACAGACGTTTACTCTCGGTGCGAAACCTCTTTTCTCATTCCAGGGCTCCGCGTTCGACTCGCATCCAGTTTACCAGCAGATAAAATCGCTGTTTCTAGATTTCTTCAGAGGCGACGTCACAGACCTTCAGGACGTAGCTGGACTACAGCATGTCATTTCTCTAACGATACAGGGTGATTTTCAGGATGGTGACCCACTTCCAAACGTGCTATTCAGAGTCTACCGCCTCAAAACGTATCGGAGCGAACAAGGCGGTAAGAAGTTGCCTCGTGTTGAGCTAGAAGAGAGTGGTCCAAGATTCGATTTCAAAATTGGACGTATTCATATGCCGTCACCTGAAATGGCCAAAGAAGCGCACAAGAGGGCGAAACAACTTGAAGTTAAGACCGTCAAGAACATTGAAAGAGATTCTCTTGGTGACAAAATCGGTACTATCCACGTTGGCAAACAAGATCTCGGTAAACTTCAAACCCGTAAACTCAAAGGTCTTAAGAGCAAATTCGATCAGAACGGCGCAGATTCTGAAACTGAAAATTACATTAATGAAGATGAGAGCTACGGTGAAGATTTTGTAACGGCTACAGACATCGAGGTCGCGCCTCCAGCCAAGCGTTCCAAAAAGGCCTAGAAACGCTGCAAAATGTATTATAATGTTTACCTTTCCATTCCGATGTGCATTCATTCCAAAGCTTTCAGTCCTGTTTTCATATTAGATAGAAGATTTATATAATGAGTTTTCTCCTATCAACCCTTTCACTTTTGCCTGTTGTCGATTAAACGTAGCATGTTCCTCAACAGCATTGAAATGGTGACCTTACCAGTGCTCGGAACGTAAAGCGACGCTTTAGTCTTGACTTCGTCGTCGAAGTTCTTACTAGACGAAAAATTTATGCAAACGGCACCTTCTTTAATAAACTCCGTGGGAAAACGGTAGGTTTCACTAGGCACACCGGTGATGATCACGTCCGCGTCTGCAGAACATTGTTGTAGTAATTCATTCGAGTAGGCTCCTAAATCTTCGACATGGTGTTTTTTGAATTTGAGGCCTTCACCTCGCGTGAACTTTTGTACGTTATTCACATCGACGGAGTAAACAATGGCGCCGTCATTGGCCAGAAGTGCCGCCAAGGGTCTTCCGACAATTTCCGACCGATTGACAACGACACATTTCTTGCCGTAGAGTCTATTTCCTTCTGGAAGTAAATTATTGTAAACTTTGAGGTACTCGAGGATTTTGACCACGGCCAGTGGTGTACAGGGCAAAATCGATTTCTGCTGTTGTTTGTCATCCAAATATCTTACGTTGTGATACATGTTCTGGTAGTAAACGTGGTTAAGACCCTCGACGTCTTTTTCTCTGGAAACGACTTGTTGCAAATACTGGTCTTGGGCATTACCAAAGACTGGAAAATAGACCATTATACCGTCTACAGCGTCATCTCTGTTCGCTTCGATGATCGCTTCTTCTAGGAAATCCTTCTCTGGAACGGTTCTAAGTTCGTACCGGAATCCCATCGATTCACAAGTCTTGGCCGTCCAATTGGCGTACATTTCGGCTGCTGGATCATCATTGGCAAGAAACCCAACCAAAAGTGGTCCATCAGGTCGTATACCTTTCAAGGCTTCTACTTTATTCTTGATTTCTTCCACATACGTCTTGGAAATGGTAGAAGATAAAATTGTACGTCCGGGTTTCAATGACATCTGTCTTGTTTCTCCGATAGAGGACCTTAATAATCGGACTAGAATCTATCTAATCGCGTCTTGTATAAGTTTTACAAGCCTTCGAAGATCAAATCTGAGTTTCTTATATATTTGTCTTAGATTCACAACGAATTCCATCTAACTCATCTTTAATTAATATTATAATATTTTTCATTGGCACGAGTCACTCTTGATAAAATGTGAAGAGGAAAAGGCCTAAACGGTACAAAGACAAGCGAATGTCCTAATATTGGCCAAAGCGAAAGGCATCTCGTTGAATTTGGAATTGTGGAGTTCATTTTACTGTTTTCGCTGGTCGAAAAGATGGTAAACTGGTCGAAAACAGATGTGTATCATAAAAAGCTGATGTGTATCTTAGATAACTACATGTGTCGCATCACTATGGGAAATCTATCTTTGAAGCTCCTTTAAATTTTAACTTTTCCGATGAATTTGATCTCAAAGGACTAGTTTGCCTTTGACAGAGCCCTGCTTCGTGCGATTATGAGGCATTCGGATCGTCATTACTGGGATTATATGAAACTCTTGGTTCGGAGTGAGCTCATCTTCTATATTTCCTTAGCATTTTCTTCCCTGTCAGCTCTCTTAGCTTGCCAAGGAAGGTCAGTCAAGATGGCAAGTGGCGGTGGCAGTGACATCGAAAGGAATGGCCCACTGTCAATAAAATCGAGAATTCATGTAATTTCGAATGAAGCCGATCGTGCAAGTTCCAGAATAATATTTACATAGTCAGCCGTGAGTAGTCTTTCACATTTAGCACTTGGTCGTTCATCATCTTGTTAACAGTAAAATGTAACAAGGCTGAGGTTTTCATATAACCGTATGGCTCACTTGAAGATCGGACTATTCCTGACTGACCGCCCGGTTTGTTATACAAATTTGAACCTCATTTCAATTTATTGCTTATTGCTTCTAGCAATATAAGTGGTTAATTTTCACTTTACCTGGTCGTCATACAACTAGCGCCGTAATTGTGAAGGTACGATAATCTCATGGATATCACCCGAAATATTAAGCTTCTATGACTTCCTGTTAAACCGACTTCGATCCCTCCACTAATCCATTGTGTAGGTTATTCTGACATCGCGACTGCGTGATACCGCCTGACGATGTAACTCATCGTATTCTCCATCCAGCAATAGGTACCACGAGCAAGCAACGTCTTCTGGACAAATATGAAACTATTTCACACTAGGAACTGACCCAATTGAATAGATACGATACAATGCATTAAACCAGTCACTCAAGCGTTGTAAGGTTTTCGATTTATATCGTGCTATAAAATGCGCATTTAACAAGGCACAAAAAGCGCTAAAAAATCGCTGAAAGAAGGAGAATCAAGTTCCAGGACTGCATTAATTCCATTCTTAACACTAGAATGCTCAAATTCACCTTCCTTGAGGCCTGCGCCAGGGTCGTTTGAATCTGCTGAATTTAATTTGAGTTATTAACATCACTGTATACGAAAGGGCATCCCCAATACAGAACCTAAGGTGTCTATCGATACGGCAAGAACGAATTCCTAGTAAGAGTCTGAATCAAACGCCAAGGACCGCGCTATGGGTGTCCGACCAACTTCAAATGTTTACTCTTCTCCCTCGAGAGAGATGTACCAAAAGACTGGAGCTTCATCGACACTCGTTGGGTCTCTTTTGAAGTCTTGGAAACCTAATTCTTCAAAACAACATCAACAGCGATCGGAGTCCCAAGATGGGAACATTGAGGCGATACGAAAGTCTCAAACGGCATTAAGACGCACCTCGAGTCATGGTAGTGGTGTAAGCCACATGCATTTGAGCCCCTTGCGAAACCTTGACTCCGGTAATGGTGGAACGAGGGAAAAACACCATCGCTCAGGGCATAAGAAGGACAAATATTTCACGGATTTGGACGAGGACTGGAGCGCTGTGATTGAAGATCACAATATGCCGATCCCCATGATTTCAAATGGTGGTTCTGAACTGAAACCACCCGTTTTAGTTACAGCCAGAAAGGACTCTTCGGAATCTCAAAGTTCTTCCACGATGTATCCCCCATTGCCTCAACTCAATAAAAGCGTCAGTTCTGATCTCAAATCTCAATACGAACAGGAGAATGTGCGTGATGTGCAGGAACTGAATTCGTTTATCCAGCGAATATCCAAATTCGAAGCAATTGTGAACCCGAAGAATTCTTCACAGATTGATTTACACGAACTGCGTAAACTAAGCTGGAATGGTGTTCCTATGATTCATCGTCCGCATGTGTGGAAACTTTTAATCGGTTATTTGCCTGCGAATGTTAGAAGACGGGAAGCTCTGCTTAGTCGTAAGCGTCAAGAATATCGTGAAGGTGTGAAACTTGTGTTTTCAGAAAAACACACTAGAGACATTCCAACCTGGCATCAAATCGAAATAGATATCCCAAGAACGAATCCACACATCCCACTTTACCAATTTCAGTCCGTTCAACAAAGTCTGCAAAGAATACTGTACTTGTGGGCTATCCGGCATCCAGCTAGCGGTTACGTTCAAGGTATCAATGACTTGGTGACACCGTTTTTCCAAACTTTTTTGACCGAATACTTACACCCGTCGCAAAAGGATGACGTGTATAAGGTAGATCCTATGGATTATCTGACTGCAGGACAGTTGGAAGACATAGAGGCAGACACCTTTTGGTGTCTGGCGAAACTTTTAGAGCAAATCACCGATAACTATATCCATGGCCAACCTGGAATCATGAAGCAGGTCAAGAATTTGAGCCAATTGGTCAAGAGGATTGATACCGACTTATATGACCATTTCGCCAGGGAAAACGTCGAATTTATTCAGTTTGCGTTCAGGTGGATGAATTGCTTGTTGATGCGAGAATTCAGAATGGACATGGTGATTAGAATGTGGGACACTTATTTGTCAGAAACGTCTTCTGAGACTTCTGCTAATAGAAACTTTATGAACATGAACTCAATCTCGGCCTCTTCCGTGCTTGCCTCTCCCTCAAGTCCCTTGGGTAAAGAGACTTCGAACTCTAGGATTAGAAATGATGGTGGCACAGAGCAAGTTTCTCGACAAGCGTCATTGAGTGAGTTTCACGTCTTTGTATGCGCTGCATTCTTGGTCAAATGGAGTGATAAGCTGGTTCACATGGATTTCCAGGAAATTATAACTTTTTTGCAGAATCCTCCTACTCAAAACTGGAAGGAGTCTGATATCGAGTTGCTTTTAAGCGAGGCTTACATTTGGCAATCCCTTTACAAAGATGCCACCTCTCATTGGCGATGAACATGGGTATGGTTGAGCATTTCGATACGATCCGCTGGTCTGCATGCTTTCCTCGGGTCACTCTAAAGATTCACCTCGATTCTCTGAAAGCGGCTGATCCGGGTGTTAGCACTCTTGGCCGGCGTTATCTGACTTTTTTCAAATGGCCCATCGACAATCGCTTTGAACTCAATTTCCAGAAATTTAAACGGAGAAAAATCACATGAAACTTTCCAAACGTATAAGGAGCGTGCGTTGTCTACTATAAGGGTATCTACAGTCATCAGAGGGCTGTTTTTGACGAGTTACATGTTCGGATTTTTTTTCACAAGTCTGACACTTCAGACATGAAATCGCCAACCGGTCCCTCAGAAAAATCAGCCCCTGGATTCTCTCAAGACACATCTAACTAATGGATAAAATGGTGGCATCGCTGAAGGTTTGAGCCTAATACTGAGCCTTTTACCATGAAGTTCGTCACTTGATGATATGTCACGTGATATTTGGGTTGAAGATTACAAGCTTTTTTCACGATGAGCTTTCAAAAAGTTCATGGGCATCGCTCAAGTTAACTCCGATTCGAAGTCTTCAGCCTTCAGTTCAAGTTGCCCAGAAGTGCTAAATCTCTAACCAATATCACGTTGTTGGTGTGTGCGTATTTTAGGCGAGGAGTACCCAAGCGCTGTTTACATGCTAGTAGCAAAATCAGCAAGAATAAAGGACTTCAAAGGCATCGAGAAAATCAGAGACTTTCCGGGATGTTTTCCTTAACTAACGTCACGCACCCTACTGTGGATACGAGGAGGCCGCTGCTTTTATTGCAAGCGGAAAGTGGTGAAAGATTTCTCTTCGGACAAATTTGTGAAGGAACTCAGAGGACGTTTCCCGAGACTCGAATGCGACTTTCCAAGTTAGAAAATGTATTCTTGACCGGCCAACTTAGCTGGGAGGCTGTAGGTGGGTTGCCGGGCATGATTTTGACTTTGTCGGACCAAGGCGTAAAGAAAATGAACCTGTACTATGGAAGTGATATTTTGAACTACATGGTGGCCACATGGAGATATTTCATATTTAGGTTTGGCATGCGCTTGACGATTAACACTCTACGTACTGGGGAATGTTTTGAAAATAAAGCTCTGCGGGTATCGTCGATTGTTGTGAATCATCCCGACCATGAACCGATAACTCAAACACTTCCACAACAGCTGGTTCAAAATCTTCGAAGAATCGTTGGTAAAATGTTTCCTCAAAAGGACCCTATGTCAAACTCTGATCCAGCCAAAGATCCACAAATTAATGTGAATATGCCCAAAAACGTTAGAATGCCTCAAACCGCTACCAGTTACGAAATTTTTTTTAAGCCCATAAGGGGAAGGTTCAAGGTTGAAGAGGCCATCAAACTTGGAGTGCCAAAGGGTCCCATGTTTGCTAAACTTACCCAAGGCTTAGCTGTCAAACTAGCAGATGGCTCAGAAGTTCTTCCAGAACAGGTTTTGGAAAAAACTCGAGAATTTGCCAGAGTCCTCATTCTGGATATTCCCTCCGATGAATTTTTGACCTCATCTTTGTCTAAATTGAAAGATGTCGATAAGCAAACTTTGGGAGCGGTTTACTATTTTTTGGGTGAGCAAGTATCCATAAATGAACGGCTTGTCAAGGTTATGGAGCTGTTGCAAGGACCACATACTCAGCATTTTGTGTCTCATCCACGAGTTTGCCCCAATAACATCGTATTCCAAAGCGCTGCACTCACAACTTTAAAGCTCAAAAGCGCTCTTCCGCAGCATTATATTTTACCTGACTCTAATAGAGTGTTTTCCAGTGAGTTTTATGGATGTTTTAATAAGGAACTTCCACGTGGTACGTCGGTCTCGCAAGAACAGGAAGAGCCTTTGGTAACAAGTTTGAGATCCGAAAATGTTCACGTTATGCTCCAGCAAAACTCTATTTCGATCGAGCCTTATACGGCAGGCGAAGAGCATATCAAAGTTAAGATCAGTGAAAATTTCCAACAGATGAAATCATGGGAGAAGCTATTTGTCGATCACATCGCCGATTTGGCTATACCTGGAGCAACCGCTGAGTCCGTTTCGGGATATCAGGCGAATGGGGACGTCATTGGTGGCCGAACGGCTTCGGACAAGGTGGAAGTTATGACACTTGGGACCGGTAGTGCACTTCCATCCAAGTACAGAAATGTGATCGGGATGTTGCTTAGAATACCTTATGTGAAGAACGGTGCCGTTTATAGTAGAAATGTTTTGATGGATGCCGGCGAAAATACATTAGGTTCGATTCTGAGGTACATTCCAAGGCCGGAATTACCTCAGCTGTTCAAAGATTTGAAACTCGTTTATTTAAGTCACCTTCACGCCGATCATCACCTGGGGATTATGAGTTTGCTTGAGCAATGGTACGCGTATAACGAGAATGATGATGAGGCAAATTTGTACCTTATTGTTCCGTGGCAGTTCAATTTCTTCGTCAAAGAATGGTGTTCGCTGATGGATCCCGGTATTTTGAGCAAGGTAACTTTTATAAGCTGTGAGCATTTGATCGAGGGAAATTATGTTCGGAAAGAAATCAAACCTTTGCCTTTGGATGAATGTCGGGACGAAGCATCTCAGCACAAGAAAAGGCGTTTGGAATTGGATGACACTTCATCTTTCAGGAATTTGGACAGCATCAAACAGTTGTATCGCGATCTGAACATTAAGATGATTCAAACATGTAGGGCTAAACACTGTGATTGGGCCTATTCTTGTTCCTTCACGTTTTACATGAACTCTGATTCATCTCGCAGTTTCAAGGTGTCTTACTCTGGTGATACGCGACCGAACATTGATAAATTTTCAAGCGTCGTCGGTCTGGACTCTGATTTACTTATCCATGAGGCAACTTTGGACAACGATCTTATGGAAGACGCAATTAAAAAGAGACATTGTACTATTAATGAAGCTATAAAAGTGTCAAATGCAATGAGAGCTCGAAAATTGATTCTTACGCATTTCTCACAAAGGTATCCAAAGTTGCCTCAAATCGACAAAAGCTTAGAAATCAAGGCACAGGAGTTCTGTTTTGCTTTCGACGGAATGCTAGTTAATTATGACAATATCGGTGAGCAGTTCCCCAAGCTCAAATACCTGAAGAAAGCGTTCATGGAAGAAAAAAATTCGTTCGAGAACGATACATCTATTTAAGGCGAGCATTGAGTTTTCTCAAATCCGCCTTGCTTCAAAGGTCGACATACCATAAAACTCAAATATAAATTTTCAAGCATTCTCAAATTTAAACTACAGATTGTTTTCGTAAAACGTTTCCCATAACTCGATGCACTCCTTCTGCGTTTCGATTGCGGCTTCTAAATAGATTTCCATATTGTTTCGGAAATCACGCATCTTCTCTTGGTCATGTCTTTCGAGCTCCTGCCTGATGGTTTCTCCAATTTCTTGCCATTTTTCCTTTATCTTTGAATATCTTTTTTGCAGCTTGGTGATGTCTTTTGCTACTTGTTCCGCTCTTTCAGGAGCAGACTTGATATTACGATTTGCCTTTTCCAACTGGGATTGTTTCTTAACTAAATCGCTCTCAACAATCATTAGAAAATATCCGACTTTAGCTCTTTGATTGAAAACGGCTCTAATGCTTCCTAGCGACCTGGTGTATTCATCAATTGTTGTGCCTAAAGTGAGGGCCTCTTGTAGTGAGCTTCGTTGTAGAGATTCTTTAATCCTCTGATGAACAATGGCGAAACTTGACAGTACGTCAGATGCCTTTTTGGACACCTCGAGCTCTTCAAGAGTTTTGATGCTTTGAACAAATTCGTCCGTAACGGAGGCCAGTTCGCTTTTCTGAACGTCAACCAACTCCAGGGATTTATAGAGTTGCCTTAACTGTTCCTCCAAAAGTTCAGCAGATTGCCTTTGTTCAATGAAAAATGAATCGGGTTCATTGTATTTGGGAAGCGAGGAGAAGGAAAGGTTCATGAAACTTTTATGACTTTCATCTAATCCGCCTGTTTTGAGAACGTCTATGGCATCTTCTTCGCCCAAAAGCGTGATTTCACTGATATGAATTTCAGAAATATCGTTACTGTCACCGGAAGCATTTGACCGCGTTTGATTCTCTCTGATTTTGGAATCTTGTCCGAAATCCGGGCTTTTCAAAAACATGATAAGGTCTGGATCCTTCTGCAACGTGGGGTCCTGCGAGATCCGCGTTAACATTTTCTCCATTTGAGCTCTTCTGTTTTCTATGAAATCATCTTTGAATCTACCCACAGCCTGTTTCTCTGGAGGAGGTGGAATAATCTTACCCCAATGGTTGTTTTGCAACTGACGGTAAAGCCAACGGAAATCGCGGTATCGCCGTTTCACTTGGAAATCTGCCGGATCCAAATGTTGAGCATGGGTCCGAATGGAATATTCTACATGTGCAGATGTGATATCACCGACTTTAACCGGATCCAGAACCTCGATTCTAAATTGATTTAATGGTGTCTCCTCTTCTGAAATGAATTCTGAAACTTTATCACTTGACCCATTTTTCGGTGGAATCGCCGGCAATTTTCTGGGAGACAAACGGAACAGCGGCGCATCAACTTGTTGTAAAATGCTTTCACCATTACCGTGCGCAATGGGCTCATAGTCCAGAGACTCATCGACAAACTCTTCTCCTTCGTCTTTTTTTGCATCCGTGGCCAATGGATCCATAAACAAGCCCTTTTTCTGTTCTTCCGTCAAGGGATGTCGCCTTGATCTCGCTGTAGTAAACAGTCTTTGAGGTTTCAACTGTCTTTTTTGATTTGAAGACGACGACGACACACCTGTCACAACACTCTCATTCTCAATTTTCAAGGGCGACTTATCATTTTCTCCAAATAACGGATCTCTCTTACCAGGTTGTTCTTGTCCTGAATTCAACGTAAGGCTTGCCAACGAATCCTCCGCGGGAGCCAATGAGGCAAGTAAGTCTTCGTTTGTGTTTCTAACCACAGGTGTGTCGTTCTTTGTTTCAGCCATCTCATCCTCTTCGGTATGTCCCGATTCCCAGGTCACACCTTCACCATCCTTATTGGCGGTTTTCTCAGCCGTTGCTGGCCTAAATTCCTTGGCAATTTCGTCCAAAGGTTCCCGATTCGCATGTGCCAAATCATCCCAAACCGGGGCACTCAGCTCGTCTTCAAAGTTCATGTCTTTATTCGAATTCTATATCCATGAAATTGGGTTTCTTGATTTGAACATTTTTCAGTTTCTTGAGTTTAAGATCAACAGATATATATAAGAGGACGAACATCACCGATATCAATATCATCAAGATCAACAACCTGGCCATTCGTGTGATGAATAAAGGCTCAAAATTGCCACGGGCTCAACATGCCAAATCTTTAGATAGTAGGAAGTACTCGTTGTGGAATTTTTGGGTTTGTTCGTTGGCATTTAAGATACTGCTTATCCCCGGATATTTCAGCACCGATTTTGAAGTTCATAGGAATTGGTTGGCTTTAACGAATAAATTGCCGTTGAAACAGTGGTATGTGGAGCATACGAGTCAATGGACGTTGGATTATCCGCCATTTTTCGCATATTTTGAATGGCTTTTATCACAGTTTGTTCCAGCGAAAGTTCGGGAAAATGGGTGTTTGGATCTGGTAGAGATTGGTCAATTCGGTATGCCAACCGTGGTTTTCCAGAGAATCACTGTGATTATTAGTGAAATCTTGTTGTTTGTTGTCCTACAAATTTATATCAACAAGAGCGCTGCGAATGAAAAGTCGGCCAGTTTTGTTGTTGCGAGTAGTATCGTGTTGTCACCGGGATTTATCATTATAGACCATATTCATTTCCAGTACAATGGGTTTTTGTTCGCCATGTTGATCGGTGCCATCGTCGCTGCCAAGCATAAAAGGTATTTGGTATGTGCTGCGTGTTTCACAACTGCATTGTGCTTCAAACACATCTTCTTGTACCTTGCACCAAGCTTTTTCGCATTTCTGTTGCGTGCGTACGTGTTAGATTTTGGGAATTTCAAATTCAAGAGTTACAACGATTTAATTTGGCTTGTGAGATGGCCAAATCTGTTCAAATTGGGCAGTGTTGTTATGGTGATTTTCGCTGTGTGTTTGGCACCTTTCTATTCGGTTATGCCCAATTTACTGACAAGATTGTTTCCATTCTCAAGGGGTTTGACACATGCTTATTGGGCTCCAAATTTTTGGGCTCTTTACTCTTTCGTTGACAAAGTACTCACATTTGTTTTCCTTAAAGTGCCCTACGTTCACAATTTCCTCTCGAGGTTCATCTCACCGCCTCTAATACCGGCAACCATTGAACAAATTAAGGAAAAGTTGGAAGTTTACAACGTCGGGACGCGAGGCCTGGTGCAGGACGTGTATTTTGTCATTTTACCCCAAGTACAACCAAAATTGACGTTTTTGCTGACATTGTTTTACCAAGTTCTGGCCGTGATTCCAGTGTTATTCCATCCTTCCTTCAAAAGATTTGTTGGGTCCTTGACGCTTTGCGGGTTCGCCTCGTTCCTTTTCGGCTGGCATGTTCATGAAAAGGCCATCATGTTGGTGATCATACCTTTCTCATTTTTGGTTACATCTGACCGCAGGTTGATATCGCCATTCCGGCTTCTGGCAGCGGCTGGGTATGTGTCGCTTTTCCCACTTCTTTACGAGTCTCAAAATTTCTTAATCAAGCTGTTATACTCCGTGGTATGGGCAATTATTTACTTTTTTGCATTAAAGCAAACTACGAAAGTTTCCTCGAGCGTGAGAAGGCGGGTATTTTTCCTCGATAGACTGGCTCTCTTTTATATCGTCATGCTAATCCCAATGGTCATTGGAGTGGAATTGCTCAATGCGTTGCAATGGAAGTATAAGTTACTTCAGAAATTCGAGTTTGCCGGTCTTGTAATCTACAGCATCTATTGTTCAATAGGCATCCTGTGTTCCTGGATGGGACTTTCTTGGCTGTACAATTTTGATGAACCTCTGTGGCAGTAGATGTGTTCAAGCAATCTGTATTGATGGACTATGCTACTTACTTAATCATAAAACTTGTCAATAGGAGAAAATATTACAAACTACAACCGCACCAGGCGACTGTCACTGTGAGGGGGTGCACTTTTTCGGGCTTCGTGTTCACTCTGATCCTCCAATCAACTTCCGAAGTGCAACCCTTGCATCATCTTGATCCCAAGCTTTTGGTGGTTCTGTAGTACGCTGAGGGCGTTGCTCGAAAGCGTCTGATATGGGCCGATTAAGCGACCCGTTCATGGTTTGCTGAATTAAAGGCGTGCACTGGATCGAAAGAGCGTAATCGTTGGCCTGGTCAATTGGCGTTGATGGTACACTCAACCTAGAAGAAACGGGTCTGGAGTCTGCAACCATGTAGGTGGCAGTAGCTTGACGGTAACCCAGCCCGTCCAGCTTCGAGAAACTGGTGTTGAAACCTGGAGGCGCGGGTGGCGAATTGAAAAGGCTATATTGCTTGCGTGAGGAGCCCATCAATTGTTGGTGTGTACCTTCAGCAGGTGCATTTATTTGATGGGCCAAGAAATATTCGGCATTGGGTTCATCCGTCATGAGAAGTGGATCTCCGGAACTCAGTTTGAATATGAAGCTACTCGCCTGAGAAAGATTTTTGCCAAATTCTTTGGGAGCTTCCGTGTCTCCAGTTTTGGTGCAACCGTCTAACACTTCGTCAATGCCAGCATTGGGAGTGAAACCGAGTTTGAATTGGAATCCAGAGCTACCTTGAGGGGTAGAGGGCATGGGCAGCAAATCTGAGTGTTGTCGCGGCGATACCGGAATGAATCCCGTGAAAACTTCGCTGGGTTTTATCGACGGGGTAGTCCTGTCTGTAGAGTTTCTGGTGTGATTTATTATCGAGACGTCTCTGCGGGTACTTTTCATTTTCTTCAAAAGTCCCAGTACTTTTCCTCGGTCAAAAGAGGCAGTCGGTCCTACAGGCTCTTTATCGTTCACAGCTGGTACTGCGTCAGCAGAGCCATCAATGCCCGCTGGAGTCGCAATTGTGGCTTTACCATCTTGCCCCACACAGAGCGAAAATTTAAAAGAGGGTTCTAGGGGCCTAGTTGGGTCGGCCCAGGCGGAGACGCTCTTTTTTTTCGTCGACGACTCATCGGTCTCAAACTCAATAGGAGAGCTTCTCAATTCACGTTTCCGGGATTCAGACGAAAACAATTCATCGGAGGGAGTCAACGGTGACGAGGAAATGTCTGTCCTCGCACGTTTGGCAGGCGTAGCCAACAAGACTCCTCTATAGCGTCCGTTTTTGGTAGGTCCGGCAGACCCTATTAAAGGACTCTCTGACCACGAATTACTATGACGTTTACGCGGCGACGGGGACGAATAACCAGCAGCGTTCACCTTCATAAGCGGCTTCGAGAACGCAAGTCCCATCTTTTGCATTTGCATGGAAGAATGTGCCATGGGACTTTTCATGGGATCCTTGTAATCCTTACGCAGAGGCGGTCTCCCTCTTTTACGTAGCGTTTCAGACATCGCGTATCCGTAACTCTGCTAACTTGATTACCGTTACAGTTACTACGCAGACGACAAACGTTAAGGAGTTTCAAATCCTTACCGAACTCCGGCTGGGCTCTTTTCGGTATCTAATATCGCTTCCAAATGAGGTTACTTCTCGATGAGGGCAATTCAAATTTTTCACGCTGACGCGTAAAACGCGTTTTTTCCTGAAGAAATTCGTGCATTTTTCGCGTTGGTAGTGGTTTGACCGTGAAACGCGCGGAAAGAAAAGGTAGAGAGAGGCGTTGCCGGTCGATGGATCGACGTGGGGGATGTAAGCCAGAGGCAGTAGCAGATTTGGCTATTATTTTGCTGAAAAACCTCGTGGAAATCGGACCAACAATGAGAGACTCGGAGCAAATCAAGAACGACGGTTTATTTGGTTTGAAATGAATTTAGGAGGAGGTTTACGACGTGGAAGTATTTAGCACACTCCGGGGACTGAGTGAGGCACATGCAAGGGGCTTGGAATCGAAGCTGGGGCGTTTCGTCGATGTCACGTTTGTCCAAACTGGTGCGACGGTCACGTGAGTTCCGCCTGCTGAAGCCTTTAGCATGGGAAGTCATTGAACTCTAGCTGAACACTACGGCGATGGTCTTTGAGGGCCATATGCGGTTGGGTGGTCAGGAGACAATGGACATATTGTTTTCTTCGTACGCCTTTTACGTTCATGGCAAGACCGCGAGAAGGCGCATCATAATTTGGACATCAGACAAGGACAAGTATTTTGAAAAGATTTCAAGTTTTACGGAAAGTCCCGAGAGGTTGTGTTCTGCAACGCATACACGCAGGGAATGCAACGTTTCAGCAAACGAAAATCTCTCAAGGAACGAAGATTATTGGTTTGACGGCTCGATGCATTCGACTGGCGAGCATTCAAGCAACTGAGTAATTCAATCAAAAATTCAAGCAGCCATGTCACCCAATTGAACCACAGCTGGGTGCAAAATCTAAATGGAAAAGCCATTTTCGCATCAAAGAGGACATTTTTCTGTAATTCCGCGAAAATCAGTGCCTCTCGGTTGAAGGTCTGGCTAGGGACTCCAAATTCAGACAGCGTCATTTGAACGAATCCGGCCAAGTCAGGACCGCGCGCGAGGAGCTTACACCGGCATTCAGTGGGTGTCATGATTGGTAGTCACGTGACCGCGAAGACAGAATAACCATGAAGACTCGACTTACCTGGGAGCGATGGATCGGAACCCAACGATGACCGTGGTGCTGCCCAACGGTCGGTCATCGCGGGCACGACCGGTGAACGAAGTGGTCTTTTCGCCATCTCTCGTTGACGGTAACTTCACGAGGCACATCACGGAGTTCAACACCCAATACATTTTACAACTAAAGCTATGAACGAACAAGTGATCAATCTGGACTGCTAGCGCTGGTACGCCGCTGGCACGCCGCTGGCACCTCAAAGCGGCAAAATGTCGGGTTTGGGTCCCAATGGCGTGATTCCAAGCGGATTGACGCGTGGATGGCTCTTGGTGTAGTGCAACTTGATATGGTCGAAACTGGTCGTCGCGTGGAACGCACGATTGTTCCAGTAGATGTTACGCAGCCATAGGTCCAAATACTTGTACCCGTGACGAATCGTGGTGATGTTGCACTTGAAATGCTGCACGTAGACGGGGTCGAACCGCACGATCGTTGGGTACAGGCGCACGTCTGCCTCTGTGAGTTGGTCGCCGACGAGGAACAATTTCGACAGCGCCGCGTCAGCGCCGTGCTTGGTCACCAGCTGCTCGTACTTGTCCCCAAGCAACTTGTCCAGTTTTCCCAAATGCGTGAAGACATTGGCGACCTCGTGCTCGTAAACTTGCTGGCTTTCCGCGAACCCGGCCTTGTAGACGCCATTGTTGATGGCGTCGTACACCCACTGGTTGATCTCGTCGATCTCGCGTTCCAGAGATTTGGGTACGAGGTCTATGCGAGGTACCTGGCGGTCTGCAAACTCGTCGAACACGCCGCTGTTGAGGATCCGGATGATTTCGGAGCTCTCGTTGTTCACAATGGTCTGCGTTTCCAAGTCCCACAGCACGGGCACGGTGAACCGTGCCGCGTAGTTTGGGTCTGCCTTGTAGTAGAGTTCGCTGATCCGCGTGAACTGGTAATTATGGTCAATGGTGCCGTCGACGCCCAAACGCGCCGATTCACCGGTGATCCCCACGGCGGAGTGCGACTGCGGCGCACACACGACTCCTCCAGCGGGTTCAAAGCAACGGTCTCGCTCTTCGTCGGCACCTGTCTCCGTGGGCAAAAACTTCCAACCCTTTGGATCCATGTGCCAGTGTACTACGGAAACACCGATCACCGCGGTCAAGCCCTTGAGGGCCCGTGTGATCAGCGTTCGGTGCGCCCAGGGACACGCTAGCGACACGTAAAGCCAGTACCGGTTCTTGGCCGGTTTGAACACTGGGTGTTGCGGCGAGATCGTCTCGCGGAACGCAGACACTTGTCTTTTGAAAGCACCGTTCTTGGGGTCTGCCCACTGTTCGGGGTTGGGCATTGTAGTTGATGGTTGGTCGACTTGTTGTTGTTGCTGACCCACTGCTTCCACTGAGAGTTCCTATTTATACTGCGCTGTGCCTCCTCGTTACTAAGCGTAGTGCGTTGTTACGACCTCTTACTAAAGGATTGCTAACGTAGTCTAAGGTTCGGATTGCTACATGGGGTGTAACCCGGTTTCGGCGTTGTTGTTTCTGAGACATGGAACCCTTATTTTCGTCTGGGGCAGACTCTTTTCAGTCCAGATGGTGATGTTGATGAAGTGCGCTTCAGACAGAAAACAGCACAGACAGAGAGAGAAACTAGTCACGAACAGCGTACAGAGACAGCATAGTGCTGGTGAGCATTGCAAGAAGTCTCGGTGCTGAGGCGAGAAGTCGGCGAAACGGGTCGGCGACAAGGGTGCGTGTTTACGAGCAAACTGTGAGCAGTTTGTTTCTGTGCCGATGTTACTGTCTTGATGTTACGATGTTGCTACGGTGTTGTTACGGCGTTGTTACTGCGTTGTGGTGTTGTTCAAGTTCTCGAAGTTCCCGTCTGTCTGTTGTTCCGGTTTGTCCCTGTGTTACCCGGCCGTGACTGTCATTGTGTACGTGTTTCAGAACCTGAGCAGTTTTAGGGGTGTTCCGTTCATGACGATGAGTTGATTTCGAGTATTAGCACTCGCGACGAATCCGACCGTAAAAAGTGCTCGGGTTTCGAATCCCGCATCTTTAGAAGGACGATCCATCGACCACGTATATATCAATAGTAAGAGTACTTACAGGTCTCTTTTGCATTCTTTCCTTCGACCGTGTGTTACTTGCAATCGCGGTTGACGTTTGCCCTGCTGAACGAGGTTTCTCGATCGGTGTCAACAGACGGCCAGAAGAGCCAACTGCATCTCATGAAATGTCCGGTCGCACTCTTCCAGGAATCGGAACGGCAACTATTAGCCAGCTGATCCGCTACCCGCTTACAATCGGACTATGCCAGCCAGTTCAAGAAAGAAGGCACGCCACAGTTCTCCAACGTCGCAACTATCATCATTACAGCAGCTCTGGTGAATCTATTGATGATACCAGTGACTTAGAGGGTCAAACCAGCTCTCGAAAGGGACAAAAGAAGGTGCGTCCGCAGCTTCTGAGTCGTTTTTTTGAAAGAAGGCTTGGTTTTAGTTTCGGAAGGTGTCATTGAATCTGTTCAGCAGACGTTCTCTTATTTCAAATCTAAATGATGCCAATAAGCAAGACATTTGAGGCGGCAACATAAAGCTCATGATGAGCTGTACCGGGTAGGTTCGCGATACAACCAAAGAACTCTCGAAGCTTTCCCGTCTGTTTCTTCGAGTTACAAGGGGCCGTCCGCTTTTACTAAGAGATTTCGCCAATTCCTGTCGCACAATGTGCCAGGGCCCAGTCAATTAGATGTTTTCATTGAAGGTTTCATGTCGTTCAAAAAAAGGACTTGTGGCTTTGGAGAGACTATGAAATTGAGTTCAACAAGCAGTTGAGACGAACTATGCGTAATTCTTCAAATTTCAACATCTTGATTGACATGTGGACATGATCTAGCCAAAAAAGCTACCTAGCCGTCTTGATTTCCTTCTGTCGCAACCTGAATCGGAACTCACACCTGGAGAAAGTTGACGTGAAAAGTTGCGGAAACTGCAACACACAGGTGATGGCTTGAAAGCCATCTTATTAGCATGCTTGTCCAAGTGTGCTATTAGACCCAAAGTTAGTAGCATTACCTTGGATGGTCGAATAATATCTCGATGCTTGAGAAACTCGACTCGGCTCTTGAGCTAGGATATAGCATTTGCGGTGTGAGGCGCGTTGTCAAGGCTAGGTGTGTGAATCATGTGTTGGACAGGGTCTTGGCTGATTTGACCATGAGTATCAGCTTGCGCCAGATCAGTGCTTGAATTTTGTTATGAACAGAAAGAAGTTGAAATTGTCACCCTTTTGTATGTTTGATGCGCATTCTCAAAGATTAACGATGCTGCTACAGGGTGAGACTATCAGCTCTCTCATCAATGGAATTGAACACTACATGCATCTAAGTCAATATTATGACGACTTGTTGAGAATTTTCCAGGCGGCTCGGATGACATCCAGTTATTGAAAATCTCGGACTTAACCTGTCATGTTTGCCATCAAAGGATTCTTAGGACCAGATTCTCGGCTTTTTTGAGCTCGCGTCCTAAGTTTGAAAAGCACAGGACGATTGCTTAAAATGAGCCCGGGTATTGGGTCGCTCATCTTACCGAATCTTAAGGCGGATCGGTTGAACAGAGCTTTGGAGAAACCATTCAAAGATGCAGTCGTCACAAATGAAAGCAGTCTTGTCAAAAAGGCAACGGCTTCAAAAGTTAGCTATAGCAGAAACAGAAAAGGCAGCTTTATGGAGATAACGACTCCATACTTCGATGTGCCAGGAGTGACGACAGTACTGCTCAAAATGAAAAGACGAGCCTTACTGGGATTATGGTTGAAAGATCAAGCCCGTTTCCCTGCCCTTCCCTCCTACAATACCAAGTTATCGACTGCCGATGTAGAAAGGTGCATTTCCGCGCGCAAGAGAGCGACAGTAGATTTTCGCGGGCAAGCGCGAATCCCAGAAGCACAATGGTATCGGCAGTCGATTGAAATGTTTCAATTTGAGCTCAGATACGCGTGTTACAGAAGACATTCTAGTGGGGACCTGGATCATGCTGGGGAGGACAACCGCTCAGCGAATAACGAATTCATGGAACCTAGCAATGCAAGCGACGGAAGTGGTACACCTAATCATATGCCAAGCCTAGAGAACAGGCCGAAACTGACAAAAAAACTCGCGTGCGCCTATCAAAAGATCAAATAAGGCTACCTAATTGTTCTGTCGCATGGATCGATACTGACGCTGCTCGTTGAGTACTCAGTATCGCGATTGGAAACCGAACCATTTACGTCTCGCTAATCTGTTTTTGAATAATATATAATAGGTATATGAATAAATGTCGGTTCGTGATCCTCTAGATCCTCGCCGCCTCCGCCGCCAGCGTCTACTAATAAATAAACATGGATAAAAAAAATCAAAATTGGTCATTCTGGAGACATGCTTGACGGCGCCCGGTGGTGTGGAAAACTTGGGAATATATTAATAAACTTGGTCCCCGCGTATCTGCAATGGTCGTCGCTGGTGGGCTGATTTTTTTTTCTCTCTAATCTCGACCCTTCCAAGTTGCCTATTTCTTGGTTGGAGGGTTGAATACGAATTTTCTGGATTTGATACCGGCCCACTTGAATTTCTTGACCCACACGGACAACAAGTACAACGACGAAAGCACGATGATCGCTTTGATACCAAGTCTTTTTCTTTCGTCGTGCTCGGGTTCAGAACACCAGGCCAAAAACGTGGTCACGTCTTTAGCCATCTGGGAAGTCGTAGCAGGAGTACCGTCTTCGTATTCGACCAAGTCGTCGAACAACACTCTGGCCATGGCAATAGATCCACCAGGGAAGTAAGGGTTGTAGTTGGATCCCGGTGGGAGAACCACACCTGCCGGTGGCTCCTCTGGGTAACCGGTCAGCAACGCGAAAATGTAATCGGAAGCGCCGTGTCTGGCCTTGACGATCAAAGACAAATCTGGGGGCAGCGCGCCTTGGTTGGCGGCCCTGGCGGCTTGTTCGTTGGGGTAAGGACCAGGGATGTAGTCGGCAAGTTTACCGGGTCTCTTTCTGGGGTTGCCTTGGTCGTCGGGCTCGTCGTCGTACTCGAACTCCTCGGCCATGGCACGTACTTCTGCGTTGGTGTGCGACACACCGACCATGGTTCTCCACGCGATTCTGTCCAAGGAATGGCACGCCGCACAAACTTCACGGTACACTTGGTAGCCTCTCCTGATGGACGCGTGGTCAAACGTCTCAAAGGGACCGTTGTGAGACCACGCGAACGACGGCGCGTGCAGACCGTGTTCCGCAGCGGTCATAGCTTCCGCAGTCATGGAATCCGCGTACAGCAACGCAGAACCTCCCAAAACGCCCGAAACGGCTCCAAAAACACCCATTTTCCCCGCCCACGACGACGATCCGCGACCGGACGCACTCGCGCTCGAAATCGATCTCTAATCCGTTGTTAGTACAAAGCTTGGCCCATTTTTCCCCCTCTTCTCTCCACGGCTTTCACATACCATATTCACACGCTTGGAAGCGCTCTTGATACAGCTAAACATCGCTCAATGCTCCTAACTCCACTTGTATTCCTCGGTACACCTGCAACTGGCCTTAGCTACGGTATCACGACGCTAAACTTGTAGTTGGTCCGTATCTTTCGAAAGGCTAAGTGAGTTGGGCTTAAAAACGAGAGTTGAGTTTAGTTTTTCTGCCAATGAACTCCTACGGGAATATCGCACGAATGGCTGGGATCACTTCGAACGTTGTGGTGGAGATTAACAAACTTTTTTCGGGTTCTTTGCAGAAAATGGCGCGATGTGATTGGCTGGAGCAAAAATCGACGTCGAAAGTGATTTTCCCAGAAATCCGTGCAGCGTGATGTTCGTACATGCGTATATTTACGTTTCGTACACAATCACCTCATCCCACGCTTATAAATGCTAACTATCTTCATCATACTGATGATGAAGCTCAAGGCGACCAAGTGCACATCAGCCCAGTTGACAAAGACGGTTTGATGACAAATGAAGTGTGATGGATCTGCGGCCAAGTCCCGTATAAGAACGCCGGATTGTGCCCAGCGTTGACAGTTTCTGGGTCGAGGTAGACCAGACATCCAGCATGCCTTTCAACAAAACTTACAAGCCAGTGTCTTTCCAGGACAGCAACCTGTTCAAAAGCATTCAAATCGGGGATACCAAGGTATTGAACCGTGCGGTGTTGGCGCCGCTCACGCGGTTGCGTGCGCGTGCGCCCGGCAATGTGCCCAACGCGGAACTCGCGCCCGAGTACTATGCGCAACGCGCTCAGGCGCCGGGAACCATGCTCATCACGGAGGGGACGTTCCCGTCGGCGCAGAGCGGCGGGTACCCTACTGCGCCCGGGATTTGGTCGGAGGAACAAATCGCGGTTTGGCGCCAGATTTTTGACAAGATCCACGAACGTAAATCGTTTGTGTGGGTGCAATTGTGGGTGTTGGGACGCATGGCGGACCCCGAGACGCTTGCAAAGGAGTCTCTCAGGTACGACTCTGCGAGCGACGTCTACCCGGACGAGGAGTCTCGGTTGAAGGCGGAGAAGTTCAACAACAAACTGCACGGGATCACGGTCAGCGAGATCGACCAGTACATTGCGGATTTCGTCAAAGCCGCGAAAAATGCGATCCGCGCTGGTGCAGACGGTGTCGAGATCCACAACGCCAACGGGTACTTGCTGAACCAGTTTTTGGACCCGATTTCCAACAAGCGTACCGACGAGTACGGCGGCAGCATCGAGAACAGAGCCCGGTTCACGCTGCGCGTAGTGGATGCGCTGGTCGAAGCCGTGGGCGCCTCCAAGGTCGGGATCCGGCTCTCGCCCTACGGGACCTACGGTGCCATGTCCGGTGGCTCAGACCCCACACTTCTTGCGCAGTACGCGTACGTGATCGGGGAACTGGAAAAACGGGCCCACACGGGCAAAAGACTTGCGTACTTGCATTTGGTCGAGCCTCGTGTCACGACGCCGGCTCTAGCAGAGGGCGAAGGCTGGTTCAAAGAGGGCTCCAATGAGTTTGCCACTACCATCTGGAAGGGCCCCGTCATCCGCGCGGGTAACTACGCCCTGGACCCGCAAGCTGCGCTACAAGAACTCGATGCCAACGACAATACGTTGATCGCGTACGGCCGCTTCTTTATTTCCAATCCCGATCTCGTCACCAGGCTCAGAGACGGGTTGCCTTTGAACCAGTACGATCGTGACACTTTCTACGCCAGTACTGCCAAGGGTTACGTCGATTATCCTGATTATTCTGAGGCCATCAAGTCTGAGGACAACTAATGCGCAAAAGGCACCGTTTATACATGCTCTATACACGTTTTATAAATTGAATAAGTAAACCAATTGCTGGAAGAATAACTTAGAGGATGGTTACGGACCTGGAAGGACTTAGCCGTCGATCGACCAGACTGTTCCTTCTATATCAGAGGCAATTGGGTAAGAAGTGGGTATATGCTTTTGTACGATATCGGGTAGCCGTTTGAGTTTTCGTATCGGAGCATCCGGATGTTTATCATTGTATACGTGCCATCTCGAGAGCTACAGACAGATCAGGAACCTTTAAACAAGCTTTTGGCACCAATTCATCAGCACCAAGCCAGCTTACATGGAGACCGATGTGCGCTACAGCTTTCTTGACGTACTCGACCATCTGCCATGCGACGTGATACGAAGTCTCTGGACGATTCAAGGTCTGGAACTGCGACAGGACGAGTCTCGGGAGTTTGACGATCAAGAAGCTCTCAAAGAGGCTCAACACATCGAACAACTGATTGCACAGCACAGAACGCAATTGCAAGCGCGTATCGAAGATATGAAAGCTTTTTCTGCGATAAAAGCGCGTCAAGAGGCCCGTCAAGCTGCGGTAGAAGTGCGTACCAAGAGCAGCAAGAACCCAAAGCGTGCTGCGGAGAATCTGGTCGTGCACGAGCCCGTCGCGACCAATCCACTTAAAATCAAAATCAATTTACGGCTACGCAGACAGGAGGAATCGGTATACTGTTTCTGTCGGGACGTTTCGTATGGTCCCATGATCGCATGCGATAACGACAATTGTCCGACGGAATGGTTTCATTACGAGTGTGTTGGTATCACGAAACCTCCCAAAGGTAACGAGAAATGGTTCTGCAGTGACAAATGCCGGAAAACAGCCACCAGAAGGCCGTAATAGTAGGAGTAGAAAAGGTTTGTAACAATATTTAACGTTTACTTAAAAAGTGTCGGTCAAGATCTGGCCAAAACCTTTGGAAGTTCATGTGAACGACCTGTTTACTCCAAGTCCTTCTTCAAAGTACCCATGAAGGCGTGCTTTTCAGCAGGAGTTTGGAATCTACCCTTACCGAACTTAGAAGCAGTGTCGATCCACTTCAAGTTGACTTGTTCCACAGCTCTTCTGGAAGTGTCAGTGTACAAAGACTTTCTCAAAGTGACAACTCTCTTTCTTAGCCCTGGAATAGAACCCTTGACCATAACGAAGTCGTTGTTGACAGCACCGTAGTGGACGAAACCACCCATTGGAGTAATGGTCTTCTTGGTTCTGTCGAATTCGGTGGAACCGTTGGATTCGTCACCACCCTTACCGACTCTGTAAACCTTGTGGTTGATAGAGGTTCTAGAGTGGTAACCTCTTTGACCGGCTCTGGCAACACTCCACATAACGTGGGCTGGATGCCAAGCACCGATACAAGCAACCTTTCTCAAACCTCTGTGAGTCTTTCTTGGAAGTTTCTTGGTACCCCATCTGTGGGTGACACCTTCGAAACCGTGACCCTTGGTGACGGCGACAACGTCGATCATCTCGTTTTGCTCAAAGACAGAGTCGACAGAAACGGTCTTCTCAAAGTGTTCACGAGCCCAGTCAACCTTCTCGGAGATGGAACCACCGTTCACTTGGATTTCAGCCAAGTGAGCCTTCTTTTGAGACAATGGAGTCTTTCTGATCTGGGTGTGGACCAAGACTCTGACCACGGTGGCGTACTTCTTGATTCTGGCCAATTCTCTCTCGATGGCAGCGCCGTCTTGAGCGTACTTGGCAGAGTACTTGGTGAAAGCCTTCTTCTTGGACTTGTACCAGTTCTTGTAGAATCTTCTCTTGATCTCGTCGGACAAGTGCTCAGCCCAGACGGTGGTCAAGGATCTCAAACCTCTTGGAGTCTCGACGTAACCAACGACACCGACAACAACCATTGGTGGAGTGTCGACAACAGAAACGGCCTCAACAATTTCACGCTTGTGGAACTTGGAGCCTGGTCTGTCCAAATCTCTGACAATGGTCGACATACCAGCCTTGTAACCCAAGAACGCGGTCAAAGCAACAGCCTTAGACTTGTCGTCCTTTGGGAACGCCTTGACTCTCCCTCTGATAGAGGCAGCTCTCTTTCTTGGCAAGAAACCAAGGTGACCGTGACGTGGGGCTTCGAACTTTCTGTGAGACATTATTAAAACAAGATTCTCGATGGGATATGAAGAGAATGGGAGTTTAGTGCGTGCGGTGGTTTTCACCTGGCTTTATACTGGAGGGCGATGAGCTGCGTCGGTGAAAAATTTTTCAGTCACTGTAGTTCTGAACGAACCTATTTCGGCCGTGCGGATCACGTGACTTTTCCTGCGTTGATAGTGATACCAACGGTAAGTCCCCGTTCACGACCATGAGTAGAAGTCGAGTACCGACGTCTGTAGTGATGAGTATCTCGTGAGTATTCGTAGAAGGTGTAACCCTCTTGCTAACTCGCATTGGCACACAACCGATGGGCAACAGCAGTCAAAAGTGAACTTCGGTAGTCCTAATATCGGGGGGTAACCGGCGTCGGTGGTCGATGATCTCCAACAGCCATTCCAGTCTGGGTTCCATGCCACGTATATACTTGTTTACGAATATACCCGTGGGTAAACCCGTGAGTTACCCATTGCTTCGAACTTTACCCGGGTAACTCACTTGGCACGTCGTGAACTGTTCATCACTTCTGGCGGGGAGTAGTGGGAGTCGCTTCATACGTACTTAAATTCTCAATGGATAATGCGGGCATCAAGCATGCGACAGTACCTGCAAAACGCTGTGATGCCAAACTGCCGCACAATTGGCCAACAAACCCATATTTGAAAGGTACAGCATTCGGCGCTCTCCTCGAAATGTCTGCTGAACGCTAAACGATCCTTCCATACACCCGGCCTTTTTTGGGCCTCGCGTACCCCGCATTTCGTGCTAAATGATACATTCGTATCGGAGAAACAGACGGGAATTTTTTTTTCCGATTATCCGCCGGAGTTCGTATCGGCATAGACGGAAAAACTAAGATCAGGACCCCGCACAGTTTATCCGCAGGACATGCAAGAACACTTCAGAGCCGCGGCATAGAACGATAACCCTATCGTGTAAGTCACCAAGTTCCACGTACGAGTGTATATAAAGAAGCGTCTTGGCAGTAACCGTTCCAGCGCTTTGCGAGTCCCTACGTACCGCTTGGCTTGTTACGATGAACAGCTTAGACGATCTCGTTCTGGTTCGCAGGAATTTGCAGTTGTTCGACAATGTGTCAAACTTGCAAAAACCCGCGATCGACTACTTCCACCACGATTTCGGCGTACACACCACACTTGCCATGCCGCATGCCTGGTTTTTACTGGCGTCCATGGGCAAGCACCGGGTACTGCGACTGCCCAGTTGTTCGCCAGACGACGTTTTCGACTACGACTTGTATCTCGAGCGTCTGCACCACTGTCTGTGGCGCAGATGGTCGATGGAACAGCGTTACTGCGTTCGCGATAAATTGGATCCGCTAGACATCAACTGGAACAAGGAACTCGATGTGACAGTACTGTACGGCCCGGACCTCACGGGTTCCTGCCCAACGCCTGGCGCAAGCGCAGGAGCGCTTGCGCCCCTGCCGTACCGTGATTCAGCGTACATGAACGGCAGTGGCGATCTTTTGTCCTCTTCGGCTTCCTCCGACAAGTCTTCGTTGTTCGATGCCACTCCTGTAAAGAGCTGCTTGAAAAACTCCGAGCCAGCGCGGACCCGAAAAAACCTTCATTTCAAAAACTCCGTGAAAAGAAGAGACATCGACCTGTTGGGGCGTTCCTCTGAGCAAGACGTATGCATCAACGATCTCGACTGCAAATACCTGGAATTCTCCAAGGAATTTTTAGATGAGCTTTACCAAACCAGCGACAGCGACAGCGACAGCGACTTCATATGAACATCGCCATCGCGAGCTAACACCTTTATGAATTTACGACGTTACGACCCGAGCCACAGCACTCGCAAAACTAGCATTCTGTCAAATTATTGAATTATCTAACTATTTAAACGGACAAATACACGCATAGCTACGGCTTAGAATTCCGAATGGAAAAATTGATGGTCCATGGTCTCTTTTGCCGTGAGTCTTTGTTGATGATCGTATCTCAGCAAATGGTCAATCAAGTCTACTAGTTCGGGCGTTGCCAGAGGAGTATCGGAAGTAACGAAAAACGACCAATCCTTGCGCTCGAAGTCCTTCATGATATTGTCGTAATCACGAGGCAATTTAAGTCCGTAATGGTCCAAATACGCTAACAGCTCTTTAGTCCCCAAAACGCGCGCGATCTTGACCAACTGGTCCGGGTTGGTACTACCTTTGAAAAATGGTTCCTTCTTGAACACGATCGCTGCAAGCATGCATCCGACAGACCATAGGTCAAGCGAATAGTCGTACTGGTTGAGGTTCACAAGCAATTCGGGACCCTTGTGGTACCGCGACGCGACACGGACGTTGTAGTCGACACCCGGGTGGTAGAACTCGGCCAACCCCCAGTCGATAAGCCGTAGTTTACGAGCTGAAGAGTCAATCATCACGTTTTGGGGTTTGACGTCTCTGTGCATAATGCCCATGGAATGGCAATAGTCTAGTGCGATGAGCAACTGCTTGAAATAGTACTGTATATCTTGCAACGTGAACGTAGGATACAACGTCCGGAAATCTACGTTTCTCACTTCCTCGAAAATGAGTGCGGGAATCTTGCTGCCTGGGTCCTGTACGATGTCTAACAACCCGATCACATTGGGGCCACCTGTCAAATTCGTCAGAATCTTGAGCTCTCGATAAATCTTCTTAAGTTTGACCGGTTTCAAAACTTTGATCACACAGTATTCGTCATTCACCACACATTTGCCTCGAAACACTTCTGAATATTTCCCACGTCCGATTTTATTCACAATCTCGTAATTGTTTATCCTGCCCCATTCTATAGTAACTCCTTGCTCATAATCCCAGTACTCCTGCGGCCGTTTTTCACACGCATCCTTATAAACTCGTGCCACCGAGTAAACCCGCGAACTCTTTTGGTTCAATGGAGATGGTGGTAAAGCCATGATGAGTCGATTCTTGAGTTAATTTCGGGTAGTATCGATCCCTGACTCGGCCTAGGTGACGATGATGCCTTTTCAGTGTCTGTTCTTACGCGTGTCAGTCGCCTTCAGCGTCGTTGTCTTCAACAAGCCTTTTTCTTGATGAAGTTGGAAATTTGAAATTTTCCATCTTGAACAATCGCCCACTGGATAATTGATTTGAAGATAGATTTGAATATCGCCTTGAGAAAAACTCCGGATGCAGCGAGCTTTACAAGTCTATGAGCAAGCTTTTGACACTGACAATTGACGTGGGCAATGGGACATTAATAAGAGACGTGCAACTGTGGGACATGGACGGGGAAGAACAGCGCAACGGTAAGACGTATCAGTGCAAAGTAATGGGTACTATTGATATGAAAAGATTGCCTTTATGGGTCCGGAAAGGCAAAGAGTATACCTGTTTTAGCCACAGTAACTCTACGGGGTCGTATTTCAGGTCTAGGCTAGCCAAACGGCGACATGCGGACCGGGCCGTCGTATTGGAATTGCCAAATGAAGCACTCGGCCACGAACTCGCGGTGCTTTACCGCACCATTAGCCATGGGCTGCTCAGTGTCAAGTGTTCAGCATTGGATTTTTCGATGCGACAAGTTCTGGACCGCCAATTGCACGACGCCTGGGAGGTGTCTACGGAGGGTCCCAGGGACAGGTCAATCGATGCGATTGTAGCAAGAAAACAGCGTCAGCGTACTGCGAGCACCATACGCGTGTCTACAAGCATGCGTGTGGCCGAATACAAGCGCCAGTTTTCAGCCAGGCTTTCGGGCTGTATTTTGGGTGCGCTACGACTACGTGGACTAGAAAAGGAGCCGGAGTTTCATCAGATTTACAAGATGACGTTCGCGAGCGCGGAGTTTGCGTTTCGCCGAGAACTGTCTGAATCGCGAGATCCTGTTGCCTTTGAAACCATCCAGGAAACTGTTGAAACGTTAATGAAATTATTTACGAAGTCATGAATATAGAGATGTAAAAAGTATTCGGGGGGGGGCGGTTAAGATGAATGGCGCGGTGGCATTGCAGGTGTTGCGAATAACCCGTCTAATGTTTACCCATGTCGATAGAATTTTAAATTTTAACTCAATGTCAAAGTCTTGGTATTAAAATTTAAAACTAGTGAAAAAAAACCCAAACTGCTTGCGTCGTTGAATACAGTATATATGATGTCTGCTAAATGATGATAGAATGGCTAGCTTGCATTAAAACGGGATACTTTTCTAGGCCAAGTGAGTTTGGCGGTAATCCAATGTGCAAGTCGTTTCGCTAGCCGTTTCGCTAGCCGTTGTCTGGTCGTTGTTCTAGTCGTTTCCCTAGTTGCCTCCGCCGACTCTGGGAACGACTCATGAATGAAGTCAATGTCCCTATGCACGTCAGCCGCGTCCTTTAATCCGAAAATCGAAGCATTTCATAACAATCATATACACCATCAATAAATATCAATTGACTCAAATTCCCAACTTAGAGACTCAAAGGCCTCCATCCTAGCGACTTGGAAAATTATCCGCGGCACATCGCAGTTAAAAATCCTCGTTACTGGAAAAAACTCATTTCTTACTCACTAATTCCTAACGGCGAACCCCGATGGGAAGATCCTGACCTACCCCGAAATTTATAAAACCAACTTCAAAGTGCGAATCAACTTCGCCCACTTCAATCCAGATTTTAACGCGGTAAGACGGTACATCCTAGGGTTTGTGGAATTGTAGTATGGGCGGTAAGCACTTAATAGTACTCATCCATGGCCTGTGGGGCAACCACAGTCATATGAACGCGATCAAAGAAGTGTTCGCGAAGACGTTGGACGATCCGAATGTGATATTTTTCGCGCCGCGTCAAAGCGGATACTTCAAGACGTTCGATGGGATTGAAATCATAGGCTATCGTACTTTGACGGAAATCTGTCAAGTCGTGTTGGGCTATAAGCGTGGGACCATAACGAAAATCAGCTTTATTGGCTACTCCATGGGCGGGTTGATTTCCCGGTTTATTATTGGTAAAATGTTTACGGAATGTCACGATTTGTTTCAAGACATAGAACCGGGTCTGTTCATAACTTTTGCCACACCGCATTTGGGAGTCCATTTCCATGTGCCAGAGCCAGACGGTGGATGGAGCTGCTCTCCACATCATCGTCATAGGCAACTTCTAAGCATCGTTCTGTCGTTGTTGGGCACAACGATCCTGGGGAGAACAGGACGTCAACTGTTTATTAACGACAGTCCTGAAAATCAAAGTATACTTTTGCAGTTGAGTTCGGGTGAATTTTTGGAAGGTTTGGCGCGTTTCAAGCATCGTATCTGCGTGGCAAATGTAAAAAACGATAGAACCGTGGCCTTCTACACGTCGTTCATCACCGATTGCGATCCGTTCCTGGAATCGGAAAATCAAATACAGTACGTGTTTGATCCAAACCTTCCGGGTACAGACTTGCGTATGGTCCCGCGTATTCTCGATATGAACAGACTGGATCCCGAGTCTCAGCGCGCTCCGAAAGACGATCATAATTTGTCGCGGTGGGCTCTAGTGATTCTGATCTGCGCGATTCTGTTTTTCGTGCTACCGCTGGTGTTTGTAGCCAATGTCGTGGGCACATGCTACAGCTACTTGGCCACAGTGCATTACCAGAAACTTCTGCACAAGGGCGAAGGCCGTAATTTGCTGCGTCGCAAACTTGGTCTCGAAGACAAATTGGTGGATGCAATTCGCGATACGGTTGGAGTGCTGGCTAACGAGGAAAGCGACGATCTCAACGATGACGCTGGACAATCAATTATCAGGAAAGATATCTCTTGGGATGAGTTCGTTTCAAAGTATTCCCACGGGTGGGATCAAAAATCCAAGAGTAGGTTCAAGGCGCTAGATTTTGATCCCAAGAGGAGAAAAATTTTGCAAAATTTGAACCAGCTCAGTTGGATCCGAATTCCTATTTATATCAAGTCCCTCAATGCTCACGATGGGATTGTTGCTCGTAAAGGTGTCAGGCGTGCGACTCCTTACAGTGTATCAGGATTGCAGTTTGTCGCTCAGCTCGCTAAATTCCTCATTTCGAAAGATGAGGCCTAAGTTTCCGTTCTAAAAAGTCTTAAGGTATGTTGTTAAAAAGGCGTATATATTCGAAAAGGTTATAACATGGGTTTTCAATTTAGCTCCCTTGCTTCACCATTTTTCTTGGGGATTGGCCTTGAAAGTCACATAGTCGTCCCATTTGAAGAGTGAAATTTCAGTCTCATTACCGATACCGTAATCCACCAGCTTCTTAGTTGAATCCTTCGTGTCAAGAGTCCAGTCGTCGTCATGGTCAAAGTTGATTACAAGGTTCACGGTTTTCGAGCCATGCGCATGTGTATATACCTTGAGCGTGTCGTACTCTACGTTTCTGAAGGGCCTGAAGGCACCCGTATTGCGAATATGAGCGAGCGAGTCCTCTAACAAATTCTCAGAAGTTTTGTTTTTCAAGTCATAATCAGAAAAGACAATATTTTTGATGTTCCTGTAGGGAAACGACTTGATGACTCTAACAGTAATGGTTGAGTTTGTCACTTTGCTTAGACGTTAGTGATAGGTTTAGCTAGTTGACCAAAAGTTTCAATTTTTGGCATACATGGTTTGACGGTGCTAGTGAGAGGATCTTCCGCGTCGTAGTCAAGAGCGTTTGACATTGCGCATCGAGGGTAATAAACAAGTTCCAAATCTGCGATGAGCTCTATTGTCGGGTCGAATTTTTCAATATTCGCCAGTAGCTATTCATCTTTCAAAAACTAAAAAAATAAGAACTCCTCATAGGGGGCTCGAACCCCTGACATTTCGGTTCCTTGCAAGCGTGCTTAAAAGCCGAACGCTCTACCAACTGAGCTAACAAGGACGAGTTCTTATCAAGGTCTATATGAAGAAGGTATTTTAGCTGGAAATTGTCTCAAAACGCTGTAGACAGCGAGAGCGGTGAGGCCCATACCGATGAATTTTTTGACAGCGTTTTCAATTGACATAGTATTCGTTGAGATTTCAGAGCCCAATTGTTTATGTTGTGCTAAATGCTAGCTCAAGAGTACATACAGGATGCAAGCTCCGTTGAAATATCCGAAGTTGGCAATTTGGCCGAGTGGTTAAGGCGTAAGATTAGAAATCTTTTGGGCTCCGCCCGCGCAGGTTCGAATCCTGCAGTTGTCGGTTTGCTTTTTGCTTCACGTTTAGATCAATGCTCAAGGTCGACTTTCCTCTCAAGCGCGCATCTGCAAGTCTAACATCCGCATTCATGCGTATCACAGCTCAACAAAGAAAAAGCTTCATTTTATATAGTTATTCATCTTGAATCGTAAAAAAATTTGTCGGCGTCCAATGAGCGTCGTAGATCAAGCCTTCAATGGAGCTTCCAATCTGTTGAACCCACCTTGGTCTCTGCACTTTTCTTGGTGGATAGCCATCAATCTTTGAGCTTCAAGAGGGTCCGCCACCTCGTTAGGTTCTGGCCAGGACAAGTACTCGTTGGTGTAGTTGGACTTGTAGTCGGGAGGCAAGATTTCCAGTCTCTTACCATAGCCAGTGACCTTCTTCCAGTCACGGTGGACGTTGAACAGAGAAGAAGAGAAGTAAGCGTAACATCTTTGGTATTGCTTGAAGCTCAAATCGTTGTTGAGTTCAGGCTTGAAATCGATGTATTCCTTCCAGGCCTTAACGGGCTCAGCCAAGACGTAGTCGGTGGCCTTCTTGATGGCAGTCAAGAACTTTCTAACCTTTTCGGGGTTCTTGGCAAGGAATTCATCGTTACAGATGTAAAGGATGGTGCAGAAGCAGCAGCAACCTAGACAAGCCAACTTGTCAATTCTCAACATCTTGGCGTCGGTAACTGGCTTACCTTGCTGCTTCAAGTACTCTTCCAATTGAACTTGTTGCATACATTCGATACCAATTCCAGCGTGGATCTTACCCTCGATGATGTACTTGGCAACGTTCATACCACATCTGACGGCAGTATAGTCCGATGGCGTCATACCATAGTGCTTGGTCAATTCGTCAAGTTGAATCTTACCGAACTCACCAACGTAACCGATACGCTTACCCTTCAAAGATTGGAAGTCCTCTGTGATACCGCTATTGGCAAGGTACAAAAGACCCGTGAAAGGTTCGTCGAGCAAAGAGGCAACAGAAGTGACAGGGAAACCTCTAGCCTTGGCGGCCAAAGTGTGGATCATAGCCTTTAGACCCATGTCCACTTTACCAGAGCCGATAAGCTCGGTGACATCTGACGGATTGGTTGGTTCCAAAAGGGCCAAGTCCAACCCTTGTTCCTTGAAGTAACCTTTCGTCAAGGCTAGGAAGATAGGAATGTGGTATGGGGCTGGTTGCCAGTTAAGTAGGAAAGTGATCTTGTTAGTGGACATTGTACGATGTTTTTGCTGATGTTGAGAGTAAAATTAAAAACCTCAATCGAAGAAGACCAGTTACATGTCTTTTTATACTCTTCAGCAGGAGCCTGTCGCTTCTGCCTCCCCTCTCGCCTGAGCATCACACCACTGACTGTGAATTACGTGTTAGCCTCAAGGATGTTAAATTATTGGAAATGGTCCCCGCCAATCAGACTAGTATTCTCAGCGTGACATGCAACTTCACCGGCCGAAGTCCCAAATAACCCTGGGAAGGTCACGTCCACATCGCCAAAAATGCTCTGAAACCATCTAAAATGGTTATTTCCGTTTACTCTTAGAATATCTTTTCCCAGTTGGTCAAAGCTCTCTAGTCCGGATCCGACTCATTATCGCATGCAATGCAATTTCGATTCTACTGGGTTATAGCCTCCACAACCCAATTGGCTCGCCTGGTCGTTCGCAGGGCCCTACCATAATGCTACCGATAAACTGTTCTCATTATAATTCAGTTCTTGGCTTTCGATATATTTTGGTTTCCGGGACTTGACCTTGATGCGATTTCAGGGCTCACAGGGTTTCGACATTAAGGTAACTATGCCCACGGAAAAAAAAAGAAGGCCTGATTCAGTAAGCTTTTCGTGTCCCGAGGTTTGGCGTTGGTTTTAGGACTTTAATGAATGATCGCTGATGGATCGAATCTTTGTTTCTATAGGAAAACTGCGTTGTTGGCTTGCCAAATCATCGGGGTTTTGCAGGTTTAGATTGGTAGCTCAGCTTATCGAATACCACGAAAATGAGGGTCAAGATAATCCTGGGTCGATCAAATGTAAGCTGGGTGAATTAGCGGAGCTCACATCACCGGTGGAGCTATCTCCTTCGGCTCTGTCGTCTGTATCTGACGGTCAAGATAATCACTTCATCTGGATGGTAATGGGCGAGAAACTGGTATTTCGGAAATTCGTGCAAAACGCGAGCAAGAAACCTGTAGAAGGAGATGTCTTGGATATGAAATGTTATGTTTGTGAAGATCAACTCGAGATCTTGGATTTCGAATTGGTCACGATTCGAGAACTGGCCGTGTTGAATTCGTTTTGGCGAGGGCGAGACAATGCTTGAGAGAAGATAGCGGGTTTGCAAGACACGGAAAGAAGGCGCCCTGGACTTGTCGAGTCTTTCAATCTGCCTCTGGGCGAGGGTTTTAAAGAATTTTTCAACACCATTTTGTCCTGTTTCGTTTATTGATCTGTTTCTTGATCAACAGCTCACTTTACAGATTAGCAAAATTGTCAATTAAAGTCAAAGGAGGCTCATCAGACAAAGTCTTCGTGCTTCGAGGATGCTTGGGTTGCGAGACATCACCATTCCAAATGAATTGCAATATCTTGGACGGTTCGATGTGGTCCAGAAACGCCGGAAGCGCATTGTAAGTGGACACAGATTGAAAAAGTATGGGCAGGTGAATGCGCAATAGGAACAGTGTCGCTCATAAAAAGTTATTTGCACGCGAAATGCCACAAGACCTGCTTATCAGCTCACACCAAAGACTGCCGTAAACCCAATTTAGCTCTTCTATCAAATAACAAGATACTGCATAAATTGAATTGGCGCCTTTGATGTTACTGTAGTCCTTTCAGAAACAGTAATTGATGAACCAATCATAAATTACCAAAAGCAATGCTATGTGTACCATAAACCTGTTGACAATCATTTCATGTCGACACCTTACTCGACAGTTAGAGCTTCAAAAAGGTTTCGAACGGCTTGTGACGTCCATGAGTCGCACTGAGAAGCGAGAAGTGGATAAAGTGTAAGCTTTCGTATAAAGGAGCTACACACTATCCCAGCACCTAACTGACAAACCGCATGCTACATTAATTGAGCTCCTGTTCCGTTACACCGGTCGATCGCATTCAGAAAATTTCTGGATAAAGTTCTTACAATATATATATGAATTTATGTAGGCCTCTAGCAAACCCCGTCCCGCGCTGCCCGAGCTACCATTTTACTAGTTTACACCGGGGTTTTCTCAATTCTAAAATACAGGCAACAGTGTCTATGCGTGGCTCAGGCTCAAAAAGTGATCTTCTTCGAGTTCTTGCGTTTGTTTTTGAGAACAATTTTTTGTTTCTCGCGTTCAGCTTCGCTTTCGTCTTCGCTTTCGCTTTCTTCGCTGCCATCCACATCCATTTCTTCGCTCTCTTCGCCAGCTTCGACCGCTTCTGCCTTGGCCGCTTCACGCGCAAGTTCCACATCCCTCAAACGCAACAATTCCGCATTCGATTCCACTAAATCACGATCACGCGCGAAATCACGTTCTTTGTTACCACGCATACGGTTCTTGTAGAACGCACGTTCCCTCTTTTGGCGGATCTCTTCGACCCTGGACATCGCACGCAGGGTCGTGGCGACAAGTTCCCTGTTGTAACGCACAGGAACGTTTCTACGCTGTGCAAACGCAAGCGTAGTGTCCACTGCAAGTTCTTTACCGGCTGCCTTCCGGAACGCTTTCGTCCACCGCAGTTTACGTGGGTTCCGCCTTTGTTTGAACGCCTTATGACATTTCGATCTACAGAACCGGAATTCTTTGGCGTCGTTACGCACAAACATAATCCCATGACCCGGATACACTGGTGATGAGCAAAAATGACAACTGTAGATTCTCATTGCGTCCTTAACGGGTCACTGTTGGTTCGGTTTCTTAACGAGATGAGACGAGATGAGATGAGATGAGATGAGCTTGGTGAAAATTTTCTGATTTTTTCATCATCCACCTTGGAATTCATTTTCTTTTCGAAAATCAAGAACTTTTCGATAGATCTGAAGCTAAGAAAACCAAAAATTCAAAAGCGACAAAAGACGCCATGGCAGGGCTCGAAGTTCCACAACTGCCCATTCCTGGCGAACCTAGAGGCCAACAACAAGTTTTGGCCGAAACAGCGACCCCAATAGCTCCACAAACGACCGAACAAAGCGGGATGGACTTGTATTTCGACCAAGCTCTGAATGCTATGGGCCAGCACCCAGTGCTGACCGGAATAGGTGGATTTTTGACACTGTATTTTGCCGCAGGTGCATTCAAAACGGTTTCGAGGGCAATGGGTGGCGGAGCTCCTGGGACCCAGTTTCTGAAAGGTGGATTTGATCCTAAGATGAATGCACGCGAAGCACTTCAGATTTTGAACTTAAAGGAGAGTTCCTTAACGCAAAAGAAGCTCAAGGAAGTTCACCGTAGAATCATGCTTGCCAACCATCCGGATAAGGGTGGAAGTCCGTATTTAGCCACTAAGATCAATGAGGCAAAGGATTTCCTGGAAAAACGCGGGATACGTAAATGAGACGTCGGGAGGCGAGGGTCATGTAAATATTATGCAACGGGAACCAGTTCCTTACTTAGTCTAAGTAGAATGCGTTCAGCAGTGATTGTCCGCATTCTGCACACTCCTGCGTGAGATGGACAACGGTGTGTTGGAAACAAGCAACGTGCCACGCAGATCGTCGACAACTACAAATCACACCTGATAGTGTTGTTGAAACACATGCACAACATTGAGGTGTCTCGAATTCGCGGGACAAGTACTCGTTGAGCTCTAGGACGCCACGAGTGTCAAGACCGACGCGGCCACCTGCCGTGCGATAGAACCATTTCAGTTTACACAATTTGACCAGCAATTCCTCCGCACGACTCGCACCCAAAGCTACGTAATCGCACAAATGGAGAGATCCTTCTGTGTAAGAGACGACCTTGTCTAGTCGTCGTTGTGAGCTGCTACTCGCGCGTTCAAGAATATCGTCAACTGCGTCACGCACACGGCTGCCATGGTCGTCAACGTCATGCACAATACCCCCGCTCTTCATAAAACTCGCAATACACCATTTAACGTATTCAAGCTCATCAGCGTTGAACGTTGTTGCTAATTTCGTTTCTGCAGTTTGACCAACGTCTATATAAGCATAACAACGATCTCCGTATCGATCGTAACATCGCAAAACGCTGTATCCAACTTTCGACAAATTGACATTGATATCTTTCAAAATAAGGTCCAATCTTTCGTTCACTTCTCCACCGACTTCGTCAGCGACTTCGTCTTGTTCCAACGCTCGCAACGCGTTCAACAACGAACTGTGAGAACAGACCCCGCGGTGTAACAAGATGTACCGCAATAAACGCTTCTTGGTATCATTAAAGCCTCCAGTAAGGGTTTGTTGATCAAATGAACGAGTCTCTTCTACCATTTGTCATGTTCATCATTTGGTGATTATGAAGACCTAACATATATCAAGAACTTCAACTTTCGACATACTCAAACCATAGAGGTTTATCGAAACAGAAGAGAACAAGCAAACCATGACAGAGAGGATCGGTGTAAGAAGATCCAAATCGCCGTCGCTGTTTCAAAGGCGACATATATTCCATGGAGGAGTAGCACCGAAAGTTTGGGTTGTTTTGGACCCGGACAGCCCAGAAGCAAGCGAGATAAACCAACCAACGGCGATCGAATACGAAGAAGGAGACACGATGGATGACTTGAAGACTCGTATCTTTGAAAAGTTTAAAGAAACAAATTGGTCTTTGTTGCACGATAATTTCGATACTTGCATTGGCATTTGGTGCGATTGCCATAGCGAAACAGATGCCACACGAAATACATTGGAAACTACAGGCAAGACTCCCGTGACGTTGCACCATCCTGTACCGACATCTGCTAGCGTACCAGATGCAGATCTAAGCAATAATAGCATCAATCACGGTCCATTGGTAGTGGGACAACGTTCTCGCACTGCGAGCCCTTGGCAACACGGGGCCGTTACACCTATAATCTCTTCACCCAAAGCGCTCCATACCAGGCTTCCAGCATCTGCGGGTCAGCAAACGTACGTCTCGACCCCGCTGTCGAATGTGAGGAAACAATTCGAGCGCCCAACGCCTTCTCCGACGTATACGGCACGATCTCGACGTGCGTCGCGAGTTTTGCCTTGTTCAAGAGGCGGTTTCCAAAAAGGTCCTCACCAGATGATATTTGAACCGGACGAACTTGTTTTGAACGTTTGCAATAGTCTTTTCGGCGGTCTTGCGGCGCAGAAAGCGGCCAACGCTCTCGTGGTGTTTTCAAGCAGAAAGGATTGGGATCTCCCAGAGGGGCTTGATGACGAAAATCACCGGCGACAAGACATACAGGTTACCGAGGAAGATACCGAGGAGCAAGTGTTAGAAGAACCGCCACAAGAAGATTACAAACTTATAGTTAACGAAGAACAACTGAGAGGCCTAGATGGTGCGGTCGACGAAGAATCGGGTGATAGCCGGAAACAAGCAATCATATTATTACCCAAGGGTTTCGAGGGCGATGTCAATCTACCATCTTCTTTGACTTCGTCTCCCAAGTCAGATGTCTCTAAGGGACTCAATTTTCAAGATGGTTCTCTTGAAACCGCGTTACCGCTTGTAGAAGAGGAAGTTGGGCTGGTTCCATCTCTCGACCCGCTAATTCAAAGAGAAGTATCACCGCTTTCCCAAGTGCCAGGCCACGACAAACTGGCCCACGTTACAAAAGAGAAGATCGTTCCTCGAATCAATGTCTTGGTTGTCGAAGACAATGTCATCAATCAAGCGATCCTGGGGTCTTTTTTACGCAAGCACAAGATTTCTTACAAAATAGCCAAGAATGGACGAGAAGCAGTCGATATATGGCGTGATGGCGGGATGCACCTTGTTCTCATGGATTTGCAACTTCCAGTAATGTCCGGTTTGGACGCTGCCAAAGAAATTCGACATCTTGAGAAAGTGAGCGGCGTTGAAAAGCAAAAAACCAAAGAACGTCAGTTTTATCTAAAGGACAAGGGCGATGATAGTTCCAGCTCCAGTGATAGCGAAATATCGGACAAACGTGAAACAACAACCATTGGCGATGGCGATCAAGATTCGGATGTAACAACCACCGCTACTGACACTGAAGTTCTAAATCATCACCTGTTCAAAACACCAGTTATTATCGTGGCATTGACTGCTTCGAATTCCAAGGCTGACAGAACTGAAGCGCTCCTTGCAGGTTGTAACGACTACCTCACTAAACCGGTAAATTTGGACTGGCTCAGCAATAAGATTACTGAGTGGGGCTGTATGCAGGCCTTGATCGACTTTGACAGTTGGAAACAAGGTCAGAGACACAATACAGGTTAATTGATTGTTGTAACCAGAGAGTTAAACGGATTTTTCTCAAAAAATCACGAGAAAAAAGGGAGGAAGGTGAGCAGTTTTTAATAAACCATCGATCGATTGTGAAGCTCCTAAGGGACCATTTGGGTGGAAGTGAGTTGGTCAAGAAGTCCTATGAAGCAGGTTTCTAGTGTATAATAATGTGTTGTTATCCATAATCATCATAGACGAAGGGATTGATAGACTTTATTAATGATACTAAAGAGCTATAAACCGCGCACCACGACCCTTTTATGTCAAACAATTCATGTCTGATCAACGAGTTTTCACTAGACATAAGGCTTATGAGATTAGAGCAGAACTTCAGCAGGCTGATAACAAAAGGTTCAAGGCTTCTGCCGCTCGGCAGAAGAATGCGTTGAAGAAGATTATCGCGAACATAACTATGGGCTATTTGAATGAAATGGCGTCTCTATTCCCAGAAATACTAAAATTCTGGAGTATAGATGACGATATGGAAGTCAAGATGGCTTGCCATCAATATGCGCTCGCAATGGCACCAACAAAATCTTCGCATTTCGAAGAGGCCTTAAAGTTGATCCAGGATGATTTCGCCTCATCGAATGAAAGGCTCCGCATCATGGCTCTCAACACTCTTTCATCGATTCCTAGACCCTCATATTACTCTGCATGTCAAAAATGTCTCGAGAGCGTCTTGACAAGGTCCTCAGAATCGGCAGACTTGAAAAGAGCTGCACTGCATGCGATTTTGAACATGGACCAAGCTGACAAGAATTCGGCTCGCCCATATGTCTCTTTCCTTTCACAAATCATCAACGAGCAGCGACAATTTCCGTCGGTTCGGGCGCATGCGCTTTCCGTCCTTGATGCCTTGAATGAGTCTCATAAAGATCTGCCACCAATGTCACTATCTCACGACACATGCTTCAATCTTCTGGAATTGCTTCCCGAACTCAATGAATGGGACCATACCCTCATCCTCAATGGACTGACTGCAAATTACGTGCCGCAGACCCATTCAGAATCACATCATCTGATAGAGGTCGTCCTTCCCCATTTACAACATGTCAATACTTCCGTGAGTTTGGCTGCATTGAAATTGATCCTGTACCTCATCAATTACGTGGATTCAATTCATGAAAGTATTGTGAAAAGATTGTCAAGCTCTGTGGTGGCACTTCTGAATAAACCCTCAGAATTACAGTTTTTAGTACTGAGAAATGTGATTCTGCTGCTTTTAGGAAGAGACAAGCCATTTCTTCAAATTGATGTGTCCTATTTCTTCGTGGAATTTAACGATCCTATCTATATCAAGGACACCAAATTAGAAATATTGTATTTGCTTGCGAAGGAGGACAACTTGCGACAAATACTTCAAGAACTCAAAGACTATGCCACTGACATCGATATACAAATGTCTCGAAAGGCAATCAGAGCTATTGGAAATCTGGCTGTCAAACTAGAAAATTCCGTTGATGACTGCATAAATGTACTTTTAGATCTGCTTGATTTCGGAGTCGAGTACATCATACAAGAGATCATCTCCGTGTTCCGTAATGTGATGAGAAAATATCCAGAGCAGGACTCGGAAACAATTAAGAGACTGGTTGCATTTAATGACTCTGTTCAAGAGCCAGAATCGCGAAGTGCGATGATTTGGATCATAACTCAGTTTTCACGCAGCCTGCCCAATTTTTTGACGCTTTTTCGAGTCTTTTCCGATAATTTTGGCGAGGAGAGTTTGGAGGTTCAATTTTCCGTTTTAAACTCTTCTGTGAAGTTTTTTGTTAGAACCCGCTCTTCAGAAACCGAGGAGCTCTGCCTCAAAATTTTAAAAACTGCTGTTGATAATGCCGATAACCCCGACTTGAGGGAAAGAGCTCTGATGTATTGGAGACTTTTGTCTTTAGTCCAACAGCGTGCCGACTCTAATATATCCTTGGATGACATCGTGGAAATTGTCGATGGCGAGTTACCTCTTATCACGTTGAATACGCGCCTCGATCCAGCCGTGCTCGAGGAATTAGAACTCAACATTGGCTCTATTGCATCCATCTATTTGAAGCCAATCGGACAAGTTTTCAGATTAAACAGGACTATGACGCTGCCGCAAAGCCCGGTGCTAAACAGAAATAGAGATAGCCTGGAGATGATTCCTGACACTCGGAGCTCTAAGTCTTCGGCTTCTTACTCAGACCCAATTTCAACTAGAAGCAGAGCGGGGTCGTCGCCAGTGAAAAAGATGAACGATCATGACAAGCCGGCTGAAACTGTAAATCACCTCAAAATGAAAAGACGAACGACTATAGGATCTTCGAAAGTCACACGGAAACCGTCGATATTATCTAGACGAATATCTATTAAACGACCATTTACATAGTTTTAGACAATGAAGCATCGATTATGGAATTATAAAAGATTTTAAAAAAGTATAATTTTGACAGAGCTCTTCTTTGTCGTGAATTCTTTTAACGTGCTCACGAGTACACCGTTGTCTTCGCCGGTGAAGATTGTGTTCATTTTGGGGTCCAGATAGCTGGCGTCGATTATTATGTCGAGTTTGTCCTTTCCACTAAACAATGCATCTGTATTTTTGATGATTCGCGACATCCTGCTCGGTGTTGTTAGAATGTATTTTAGAGGAAGTGCAGCTTTTCCCTTAGACTTCTTCGGCCCATTCCAGAGTTCTTCTGCAGCTTTGAGATCATCGTTGTACTTATTTTTTGAAAAGAATTTGATCGCATTTTTGGAGCCTCCTAAGCTTCGAAAGACATCGGCGACTCTTATGTTAGAAACGGAAAAAACGATTGCGCGGGGTGCATTGGAATGCTTGCTGACGAAATCAGCAAAGTTTTCAAGCGTGCGATCTTTATCGTAGTCAGACGTGGCAATGAAGTCTGATTTTTTCAAATAAAGCTCATCGAGCTCCAAAGCGCTTAGCGATGGATTCTTCGAGCGTATAAGCGAAGCGATATGTTCGGCAAGCTCTTCACTAGACAGTCGAGGCAGCAGCTTCTTTTGCAGCTTCTCATATTCGAGTTTTTCAAGCTTCTTTTCATGCAATTTGGATTTCTCTAGTTTCTGTTTTCTCTTGCTAACCTTCTTTGGTGGTTCATTGACGTTCTCATCTTCAAGTGGCCTTTTCGAGCTGGTCTTACCGGGATCAGACTCCGGAAGTTTTTCGTTAGGATCTTCGAACTGATAGCTTAAACCATCATCGAGGTCATCGGCCAAAGACATGCCGTCTTTTGGCATGCAAAGTGAGATCTCTGTTCTACCACTTTTCTTCGAAGCTCATCGATTTGGTATTAATTATCCTGATTATTATTACTTTTTACAAAAAAAATCACTCATTACGTATGATTTCGAGATGAGCCTGTTCAAGCCTGTAAGGGGCGACTTTAACGACTCAGTAGATGTATCTGAAGTTCCTGTTCTCGATGTCTGTCATATCCAAAAACTTGTACTCCTTTAGTTCCGTGTTTTCTTGCTCTTTGTCTCTTTTTTCGTTCTCTTTCTTGCACAAGTAGCCGAGGTAGAGTTGTAGTGGAACACACACACACTGAGTGACCAAAAGCGTGATCTTGGCCGGAATGTATCTGGGAGCGGAGTAAGCTCTAAACATCTGAGGTGCAACAATACAAGATACATTGTAAACGATCATAGTGATGGCATTTCTGAAAACTCTCTTGGAATATCCGGAAGTGTTACAACTATTCCAGATGTAAATATTGGTAATCACACAAGAACCGCTGTAGAGCAAGTAGAGCGCGAGCAAGTTGCCCACCTTGTGGGAGAGAGGCAGCGCAATCATGACGATACATCCGATGATCGCTGGTATGTACATGGAAGTTGTGATGAGAGTGAAACTGCCGAAACGCGACAAAAGCTGCGTGGTGATGAGAATGATCATGGCCGTGATTGCACCGATAGGCAGCTGAAGCAGAGCGGTCTGGTATGCATCAAAGCCGAACGTTTGCGTGATGGTGACCGAAAAGTTACCGATGGATCCCGTAGAGATCTGCGAGCATGCGGTGAGAAGCAACATTGGGTACGTCAATTTGTCGTGCAGGAATAGCTCCTTGAGCTGCTCCTTCTTGAGTTTCTTGTTTTCGAGGCCGGTCTGGTTGGATCTGATGTGGCGAATGACTTCCAATTTCTCACTTTCTGTCAAGAACCATGCGTTGGTGACGTTGTCTGGTAAGTATAGCACAGTCGTAATACCAAAGATCACGGTGACCAGCCCGACGATCAAAAACATGATTTGCCACGACGTAAATGTCTTGCCATGATAATGCAAAAACCCAAACGAAATGAGACCACCAACGATGTAACCAGTACCAGCCTGGGTTGCCCAGTAACCAATACGTGCAGATTGTTCAGCCTTCGTGTAATACATACCGCTAATCGCGATACACCCGACCGCGCTGCTGGCTTCGAAGAAGCCTAGCAGCGTACGCACGATCATGAGCGACGCATACGTTTTGCAGGCCGAATGGCACGCCAACACGACCCCCCACGAGATGATGAAAACACCCATGACTTTGGAGATCGGGAACCGCTGGATACAGTAGGTCACAAGGGGCTCGGCAAAGATGTACGCGGCAGAGAAAATCGTACCCAAGTTCGAGAACTCGTTACCTTTCAAATGTTTCTTGATCCCCATCGCCGCCGCGTAGTTAAGTAGCGCTTTGTCTAAGAACATGAGCAAATACGTGCAGCATAAAAACGGCATAATGAAAAAATCCACTTTGCGCAGCAGTTTCGGTGCCAGCTGGAAATCACCATAGTACATGCCATCTTTCTTCTTAGTTTTTTCGTCATCATTGTCAAACACGTACGACTCGGCCTGCGTTTTTTTCAAATATTTCAACGCAACGTCTTCGTCGTCCTCCGACGTCAATGATACTTTCTCCTCTGTAAACTCTGGCCTTTTTTCACTGTCTGTCATCGACATTGTCTGTTTTTTGGTCTGCCAACTAGCTTCATGCCAGCATCTCTCAAACATCATCGCACATCTCTTCTTTTTATAACTCCTTCTCGCTCCGTTCGAGCGTTTTTCAACACATCGTCTATCTACGGGCCCTGCAGGTTCTTACAGTTACCTTCGGTAACTGTAAAAACACCGAAAACCAGGACTTGACTTTTTCTTTTACAACAATCTCTCGACCGAGAAAAGCTAGATTTGACCGCACAATACGATCCAATGATCCCATCTGCTTCAACAGAAGCGGGCATACACCACGCAATCGTGCGCTGTCTATTGTTCTGCGAATAAAGAAGTCTTCCTTCTTACAGCATGCTCAACGATGTTGCGACACCGGAGGGACCTAATTTCATATGCGACGAGGCCCGTTTAGCGCATCGAAATCGCGTGTTTAGCGGCGCTAGACAGCGAGACAATGGCGAGAACGCATGCAGAAGGGTGCTTTCTGAAACAATGGAGCAATGGAGGCAAATGCTAGCGATCCGCAGCGATTCGATACAAGTCAAGATCTGTTCTTGAGGTGTCGAACATTTGACTCGCAGCTGGGATACAGGACACTACAAGAATACACGACTCGATCCTGAGGTCATCTGCGACGTTGCCTTGAAGTTCGGTCTGTATCTTCGAGTTCAGTCCTCTGCTAAGCTTTCTGCTTTGTTTGTTTCGTGCTCGCTTGGAAGCGACACCTATGGTCTGTCTGAGTTTCTAATTAAGCATTGGAAGTCACGTGATTGTGGTTCATATAAGACGATATTCGGCACAGGGTTGCTTGTAGACGGTTCAAGTAGCAGGTCAAGCAGCCGGCGGAGATCATGTCTTTAAATCATTTCATCAGAGAGAGAGCGTGCGTGTGTGTGTGTGTGTGTGTGCCACGTAATTACGACAAAGCAGCGAGCGATCAAATCAGATCTTGAAACAATTGGTCAATTCTTCAAATCTATCAGAATCAACATTCGCTTATCACCGGACTCCGGTTTTGTCCCCAGCTGTGGTCTAAATTGCTTCGTGATGATCGTCTACGTCGTGCACTTCCAAGTATCTGCCTGCTGCCGTAATTCCTCTTTCGCCTTCTAATTCCGAAAACGTCTGCCGCCGACCTATTCTTTAGGCTTGATCCTACTTGACCATAAGGTTTCGTCTTGGCTAGCCGCGAGGGCAGGGTCTTCAATCCACTGTAGGTTCCTTTAAACGAATTTACACACCGCTTACTGTAAATGCTTTTCCTAATGTTCATTCTTTCCAAGTCGTGAATGATTCTGCATACAAAAATTGGTGCAAATTTATCATTTTTTAGCGATTTGATACCAGGAGCCATTCGCCATTTTTTGAATTACTGCTAGAGATCAAACTAATTGAAGCTAATTGACAAGTATTTGAAGTGTCTAAAAAACGACGTTAGAGTCTTACAGGGACTCGCTTTTGTTTACGTGGCACTATTGACGGGCCCTAGTTCGTCTAACACTCGCTGGTCTAGTCATAAGGTCATATTGCGAATGAATATTCCTCTCAATTTTACCATACATTCAATAATAAGATAATGAAAAATACATAAAAAATACTTGAAAAAAATAAAATAAAATAATCGAAAAAAAGACTCAAATGGTGAGCATAAGTGTAATTAACTACTGAAGGATCAGCTCGAGAAGCTTAAAAAATTTGCTGTGGCTAGAAGCCAATATACAGGGTATCTAGAAAATTTTTGGCAACGCTTTCCAGAGTCGCTTTAGTGATTTTTTGCACAAGTTCATCATGAAATCATGCTGCTTTTTTTAACAACCTGTACTAAGCTCATTAAACGTTTAGAAAAGGATCTCAATGACAGCTGCATTTCAAATACAACCAGAGATCTTATCCCATAAGCTAAAACTTGAAATATGTCACATGTCACGTGGTTTTATTGCCAGACTCTTCCACGTGACCGCGCCATCGCTTTCAAATATTGCAAAGACGGCAGAACTGGATCCACTGTGCTAAGCTTAACACGGATCTTCTCGTCGTGCGATGGCCTTGCCAAGTGAATCCGAGGCGGAGGACGATGTTACCAGTCACAACTCGCGGCCCAAGAAGAATGGGCAAGCGCAGGTGAAGAAGCGGGTTCGTATCGAAGAAGAGTACCGTGATGAGACCGGGGCGAGAAGTGGCAGCGACGATGAGAACCTTTCTAGTGAGAACGAAATAAGCGTCAGTAGGCGATCGCGACGCAGCAAGAAGCCTGCAAACAAAAACTTACAAGGTGCCAACGGTGGGTATGCTTGGGAAGAAGACATTCAGCGAAGCTGGGACCTTGTAAAAGTGGACGATGAGGGCAGTATGGCCACGCTGGTGGCCAGTCTGATCGAGGCGCGGAAAAAAAGAGCTGCAGCCAAAAATATGACTCCTTTCCAACGTGGAATCATCAGAACCATGATCCTGGTCCTCGATTGCAGTGAGGCGATGCTGGAGAAGGACCTTCGACCCAACCGGTATGCCATGACGATCCAGTACGCCATAGATTTCGTGCATGAGTTCTTTGATCAAAATCCTATTTCGCAATTGGGTATAGTGTGCATGAGAAGCGATCTTGCACATCTCGTGAGCCAGGTGAGCGGGAACCCGCAAGACCACATCGATGCTCTCAAAGTCATGCGTAAACAGGAACCCAAGAGCAACAGCTCGCTTCAAAATGCGCTTGAAATGGCGCGTGGCCTGCTGTTGCATGTCCCACCGCATTGCACTCGCGAGGTGCTCATTGTCTTTGGCGCACTCTCCAGTACCGACCCTGGTGACATCCATCAGACAATGGCCTCACTTGTACAAGAGAAAATAAGAGTACGTGTTATCGGCCTTTCCGCACAAGTATCGATCTGCAAAGAGCTTTGCAAACAGACGAACTACGGTGACACTTCTTTTTACGGTGTCATTTTGAATGAAGCGCATTTCAAGGACCTTTTCGATAGTGCCGTTACACCTTTACCTGTCAATAAAATCAACAAAGGTTTTACGCTCGTGAAAATGGGATTCCCGACTCGGGTTCTCGAGGACACGCCTTCATTCTGCACTTGTCATTCCAAGCTGGTTTTCGAGGGTTACATATGTCCTAATTGCAAAAGCAAAGTTTGCTCGCTCCCCACTGTGTGTCCTTGCTGTGACCTAATGCTCATCCTCTCCACTCATCTTGCAAGATCCTACCACCATTTAATGCCCTTGAAAACATTTCAAGAAGTGCCCATCTCAGAAACGTTTTCTTCAGAAAGCTGTTTTGCTTGTTTGAAAAGGTTTCCCAGGCTCAAAAATCACAAGACACACGAGCTCTTGACCAGCTCTCGATACCGATGCGAAGATTGCCGTCGAGATTTTTGCATAGACTGTGACATTTACATCCACGAGACACTTCATAACTGTCCAGGCTGTGAGTCGCGGCCTCACATCTGAAGCCGATTGAAATAGAAATTAAAAAAAACAGCTACGAGCGCTGCCATATCCTAGCATCCAAAAGGCCATTAGAAGCTTCATTTTAAATATTTGTAGAATTTATTTTAGCTTCGTTTACGTCAAAAATTCGGCATGTTCGATTTATATCTCTTTCTCTTTGCTTATCAGCTCAGCTTTGCTTGAGACTTAAATATTTTCCAGCGCCAAGACAAGTTTTTAGGATATGAAAATTTTCGAAAAGCTGCAAGAACGAACCAACAAAAGTTCGAGAATACCACAGATAAGGACTCGATTGAAGCTGGAAACTTCGATGTATACTTGAAAATTGCTGCAATTGCTGAGTTATGGACAAATACACGAATATCCATCATCCGGACTATATCCCAGGTACTTTTAACATATACTCGTCTAACAGTCTTGAAAATGGAGTTATATATGGTTCTAAACTCAAGAAAAATGACGAAGGCGTAGTGCTTATTCCACAGCCTTCTGACTCTCCCAATGATCCTCTCAACTGGTCAAAGAACAGGAAACTATGGCATCTAGCGCTAATGGCCTTTATTACTGCTTTTACTGCCGCTACGAGCAATGATGCCGGAGCAGCGCAAGACTCGTTAAATGAAATCTACGGTATTTCTTACGATGCAATGAATACGGGTGCGGGTGTGCTTTTCCTTGGTATTGGGTGGGCCACTTTGTTTCTCGCGCCGTTTGCGAATCTTTACGGCAGAAAAATCACATACCTCATTTGCATTGCGCTGGGACTTTTCGGAGCTCTGTGGTTTGCCTTGGCAAAACGTACTTCTGACACTATTTGGTCGCAGCTTTTTGTTGGAATTAGCGAATCTTGTGCTGAGGCCCAAGTCCAGCTCTCACTGAGCGATATATTTTTCCAGCACCAACTTGGCTCAGTACTGACCATTTACATTCTGTCAACAAGTGTGGGCACATTTTTAGGACCTTTGATTGCAGGCTACATTTCTTCACTTGTTAGTTTTCGTTGGGTTGGCTGGGTTGCTGTGATCATATCTGGCGCGCTTCTCATTGCGATCGTTTTTGGATGCGAAGAGACTTATTTTGACAGAAACAAGTACATAACCCCGCTTTCAACCAAGCGTGGGTCAAGACCTCAAGAGGAAAACTCCGATTGGCAGAACTCAACTTTGCAACCTCTTGTCAATGCAGGGAAAACCTCAGAAATTGAAATTCACGAAGAGGACAAGTCCTTTCTTCATGACAGATCAGAGCCTTACTACGACAACGAAAGAACAATTACATCTGCAGATGAAAGCAAGCTGATTGATGGATCGAGCGAAAAAGATTACTCTTATTCTAAACGCGTTGCTCTTGTCACGAAAGCTACCAATCTTCAAGGGCTTGGATTCAAACAATACTTCCACTATATTGGAATCAATTTGAGAATGTTCCTTTTTCCACCAGTCTGGCTTTCAGGCCTTTTCTGGGGTATACAAGATGTGTTTTTGACGTTTTATCTGACTACAGAAGACACCTACTTTTATGATGCTCCGTGGAACTATAGCGACTACGGTGTTGCAATCATGAATGTGCCTACTTTGATTGGCGCAGTCGTTGGATGTATTTATGCGGGTATTATCAGCGACTACTTTGTTCTCTGGATGGCCCGCAGAAATAATGGAATTCTAGAGGCTGAATACCGTTTGTACTTTTCTTTTGCCACAGCAATCATTGGTCCGGCGGGATTGCTGATGTTTGGTATTGGTGCTGCTCGTGCGTTACCTTGGCAGGTAATTTACGTTGGTCTAGGCTTCATTGGCTTCAGTTGGGGTTGCTCTGGTGACATCGCCATGGCTTATTTGATGGATTGCTACCCTGATATGGTCCTGGAGGGTATGGTTTGCACAGCCATTATCAATAATACTATTTCTTGCATCTTCACCTTCACCTGTTCCTACTGGCTCCAGGCCTCCGGGACTGAAAACACCTATATTGCTTTGGCCGTTATCAATTTCGGTATAACCATTCTAGCGCTTCCAATGTTCTTGTGGGGGAAAAAGATAAGACAAGCAACTAAAAAACTATACATCAAATCTGTGAAGGCCAGAGATGCCTGACCATGGTAATTTTGAAACCTCGGGCATTTCAAGCTTTGAGACCTTCGTTGTAAAGCGGCTCAATTATCAAGCATGTTTTTTAATTAATTTACAAAAACGAAACATAAATAAGCAGATAAAAGAATACAAAGAATTCTAAACTACATTACATGACGCTACCAAATTTAGCTGGGCTTTTTACGAATGTTCATTTCTTCTAATGGCCAAACGTTTTGAAGGTAATATTTGATGTCTTTCAAATTCAATAATCTTTCGTCGAATTACATACACCGCTTAGAAGAGAGGTACCTCGAAAGGAAATCAGATGTGCGCAAGCAAAGGCATCGAGAACTTGTGGTCGTTTTCCACAGAAGAAGCACACGAGAGCCTTGTTGGCGCAATCGGTAGCGCGTATGACTCTTAATCATAAGGTTAGGGGTTCGAGCCCCCTACAGGGCTTCCTTTTTGATTTTTTTTAGTCAATATTCGAGCTACAAAAATCAATCACAAATCAACAGAATAACACAGTTCGATGTGCTTCACTCTCGAATTGACATGTTTCTGTTGTTGGCCTCACCCCACGGCTTCAATCAAGTGCAGCCAAGAGTCTACGTGAGAAGGGTTCAGCTAATTTAAGTTTTTCGAGGTAACCATCATCGTTTCCAATCTGCTTATTGAAGCCTTAATTAGGAAAGATCATGATTCCATTGGACTCGATTAGACTTTCGTACATGGAAATTCATGGCTCAATCTCTTCTTGATTACCACACTGGGCTGGACCCCTTTTCTTGAGTAATGCGATTTGATAGGGTTAAGTTTTAATATCAAACTATAACGGAAAACCAGTGAAACTATGAGCAGGTTCCGCGTGAACCTCTCTGATGTCTGAGTCCTCAATGGATAAGCATGACAGGCACAATTGAGCCAGGAGTTGTGTTTTAAAGTTCGAAGTGAGGATATTACAAACCATTGATTCTGTCAGACCGATAAATCTGACCACGCGAACAATCTCAATGTCAACATGTCCCTCGAAATGAGGTGAATCTCACCCTCCGCGAAATACTATTTAATCACGTCGCTGTGCGCTGTGTCACAATCTGGTCATTTTAAGATTTCTGGAACCCTAACGATGGTGAAGCTTGAATATAAGTTTACTGTCATAATCGCGATTTTGTTCGAGGTCATCGTAGTAGCGTTGGGGGCCGTCATAGAGAATGTTAAGCTGAGTGACTTATCCCTGGAAAAGTTGAGCGTGCAGGCTTATCCTCATAGGATGTGGAAGGCGTCATTTGATTTTGTTATAGAACAACAAGGACAGATTACGAAGGGTGATTACTTTGATGTCGCAATGCCTACCGTCTACAGAATGAAATTTCAAAATGACGCCTTGTCTGAGACCATTTACTTTGATGATGGCACGGAAGCATTCAATTGCTCTGCGACCCAACAAGCAGCCTATTTGTACGATCAAACCGTGATGCAATGCGAAGCGTTAAGTAACTTCGGAGGGACTTTAAGTGGCAAGATTGCAATAGGTGTAATGTTTAGTGACGGCGGTTCTGCTTACGAGTTTGAGCTGATAAACTCAAAAGTTTTTTCAGCTGGCCAACAAACTGTAGAGCTGACCCCAGGTCTACAAAGTGAGATTATCTTTGAGTCGGCTTCCAACGAAGGCGTGTACTATTATGATGGAAGAACCACCACTTATGGTTCAATGGAGTCTTTTTATCTGGGACTTGAGTGTCCCAATGGGTACATCTTGGGAGGAAAACAGGTTATAAACTATGATCCTCAAGGTCACTACCAGTGCTTTGATTGTGGTAAAGCTCAAGTTAAGATTAGCAATCAGTTCAATGATTGGCTTTTCCCCCAGACCTTCCAAAATTTTAACGGAGACTATATTTGTGACGGCAGTGAGCTGTCTCTCACTTTTGGCGAGGTCCCTTCGGGTTATCGGATATGGGTGAACAACCTTCAGTCCATGGGAAATGAGGCCACTTTCATCCATAGCGTTGCTTTTGACTATACGTGTACGGACACCAAAGATCAGACCACATTTTCGACTAGTCTCGTGCAAACGCCGACATTCGTTGTCGCTGAAGGGACATTTACCGGACAAGTCTATGCAAGTTCAAACGACTTAACGAGCACCACGGAAACGACTACTGAATGGTCGCAGAGTTTTACGTCAACAACAACAGAGCCATTTAGCTCAGGTGCTACGGTTATAACAGAAAAGATAGAAATACCCACGACCCCTTTTACGAGCTCATGCACATCCTACAAATCAGTGGTGACAATTGGCAGTTCTTCGTCGTCAGAGCCAATTAGCCTTACGCAGAGTTCGTCAACTTTGTCTTCTTCAATGTCAACGAGCCTTACGCAGAGTTCAAAAACTTCGTCAACTCTATTTCCTTCATCGACATCGAGTTGCACGGCTTGCACAAGTTTGACAAGCGATGTATCTTCCCGTCTAACTTCTACCATATCGTACACGTCCGATAATATGACGTCGACTGCATCTGGGAGCTCCTTTAGCATACCAAGCACAACTAACTTAGAGAGGTCTAGTTCAGTCTCGTTGAGTGTGAGCCCAACTACTGAGAGCGCGAAGACTGCTGACTCTTCAACTGTGTTTGGCGGTACATCTTCTCTTTCGAGGCTTGAATCTACAACATTATACTTGAGCACCAGGACAACAAGCACAACTCCTGAAAGCTTAACAACCGAGACTTCCTGCCCGTTGTGTCTTGCTTCAAGTTCCAGGTATTCCTCGCCGGTAGGGTCAAATCTGACTTCAAGTGAATCCTCCACCCAGTCATCAATAGATCATGCCCTGACCACAATGACTCCATCCAGTCAATCATCAATAAATCACACTGGTACCACAACGACTTCATGGAGTATGGAAAAATCTTCTCTTCTGTCAAGCATGCCAGCTGAACGTACTTCAAACGTGTTATCGAGCGTATTAAGCAGCTCGCTTCCTGTTGAGCTAACTAGCAGTTTGTCCACTTCATTTTCCTCCAGTGCTGTCGATGTGGACACAACGTCAAGTTTACTCGAAAGTGCTTCACAGCCACTATCGGAGAGTCTCACTGAAAGCCTGCTGTCAACCACGCATAGTTCCTTGACTGCCACATCGATAAGTGTTACGCCATTTTCGCCTGCCAGTGTGCCACCAAAGGCAACTTCTTCCGATTTTGCAACATCAGACACTTCTTCTCAGTTATTCAGCAGTTCTTCAAACCTTACGATGGTAAACACAACCACTCTCTCCAGTTTGACATCGCCAACGACTGATTCACCACAAAGCTCTCAGAGCGCTCCAAGCTCTACTTTAGAGAGTACCTCAATTTGCCCCGATTGCTATGGAACAATATCTATCATGTCATCGACACCATCATCATTGACCAGTACAACTTGTTCGAACGAAATATGCAATAACATTTCGCTGTCCTCGAATTCGCCTGGTTCGCCGCCATCTCAAGGACCAATCTTCAGCACGTCCATAACTAGTACACCTACAGATTCAAGTGCCATTGACAACGAAATGTCTCAGTTTCTAACTACCTCTTCATCGGTAACTAGCGAAGCGTATTCGGGTACGGTTGCAGCCTCTGGACAAACTTCTACTCCTGTGCCGTATTTGAGCTCCTACAGAGTTTCGGACACTGAAGCGTTATCTCCAAGCACAAGCACAAGCACAAGCACAAGCTCCGATATGCATTTGAGCAGCAGTTACAGTTACATTTTGTATGAGGGTGGGGCGTGCAGTTTCCCTCCTTTTACAGCGATCTCCTCAATATTTTGCTTCTTAGGATTGGTTGTTATTTAAGCACCGATCCCTTAGAGGCCAGAATGTAATTACGGCGTGAAGTGTAAAGCGTTATGGACTGTGTCTTATTGTTGTTTTGGATTCTGTCTCAGTTGACTTAGAAACTTACTAGGATAGCCGTGTATAATTAATTCATGGCAGAAAAAAAAAGTTTAAGAAATGCTAATCCGAACCAAGCAACTGAAATGGCGCTTGCTAGGCGAGTATTCTCGACTTTCACCATATCGCTGAAAGCACATGGAGGTAGCCTAAAGACGGCTTATAGAGACATTATTGGCAATGAGTATAAATTTTTAGAAAAGCAGCATAGATCGATTAAAGAACTCACTCCATATGAATTTTCGCGTGAGGTACTGGAAAATCTATCGCATGGGCACCTTGCGAGTAGCAACAGCGCAGCTCTTCACAACCGGATCATAGAAAATCTGGCCGAGTTTGATTTTTCCGTAGCATGCCTTCACGCAAAAGAGCTTTCGAAGTTGAAAGAGAAGCTAAGTGATAAGAGTCTTATACGTTTGATTCAAGGTAATTCGGGAAGGGTAGAAAGTTCATGGAGTCTCTTCGAAAAAAACTTGCCGGAGCTGAGAGCGTCTGATGACGTTTTGCGGGCAGTTTTACAGAAAGTCGTATATTTCGATGCTTGTGATGTTGAAGACAGGAAGGACTCCATGACCGTTGTTGATGTGGCTAGAGCACTGTACATATTGGGTCAAATCCGTGATACCAAAAAAATCGCCGAGAATACATTATTGAAAATTCTATATGAATGCCTCAGAAAGAATCTGTCTGCTGCAATACCTTTCGTGATCTCCAAATGTCAGAAAGTTCCTAGACCTCCTCAAGATATGGAGCTATCCAGCTTTCAACTTGTGAAAATGTTTGAGAATCGAACGTCAGATTTGTTAGAGACCGACGAGCGGCTTTTCTTGTCATTCTGGGCAACAATTGCCAGAAATGAATTTATTGCCATGTCAGGAGCAGAAAAGAAAGCCAGTCAAGATCTACAATGTCAACTTCATCCTCTTGATAGGAATTTGAGGGAAAAGATAGAGCTAAATTTTGATTCCTTTGATGCGAGACAAGCATTTAACAGCACTATAAGGATGATACGAGAAGCGAGGAAAGATGATTCGAATTTCGAAATTGCACAAAGAATGCTCCGCTATTTGGGCTCATTTAAAGGAGACCTCGACCAAACGACAGCGCTGTATACTTCTTATGTGCAATCCCACCCTACTTGGAAACCCCAACTTTCGTTTGAGCTTTTTCTCTCGTTTGTTACCCTAGCTTATCGACAAAGCGAAGCGAAATATTTGGCGCAAGCACTTGACTGTCTAGATTCTGAATTAAGGTCAGACATTCGCGTGCTACGAGCTTTAGTCGTAGCATATTCCAAATTTGATATTACCGAAAGTTTGAGCCTTTTCAACAAAAATATATCAGGCACTCGAGAGAAAAGATTAGGTGACTCTGCGTTATTCGAAAGCACTTTGCTGGTAGAGGCATTGGTACTCGCTTATCTTGCCAACGGCGACAGAGAATTCGCAAGAGTCATTTTCGAAGGTAGTGTGAGGGAAAAAGTCTTTACTGGTGAAGCGAATATCAAGAAAATAAAAAGTGTGTTCACTGCTTATGGCGATTTGCTTGACGACCCAGATTTTGATCTCAGGGTGAAGAACCTCGCCCTTCGATATATTTTGGAGCTGTGAGGAATAAGCATCATGTGATAGCGATAGACTCCTGATCATTGGGTACGGAAACAGATAAGTTCAATGCAGCATTAAAATGCCCAATAATTTCCATCTAATTGAGTGATCTCGGCTTCATTAATCAAGTTCCTCTTAATTCTCAACGATATGAAGGTTCTAGCTCTCCCGGTGAGCTTCATAGAAGCATTGGATGACACATCGCGTACGAGTTTGATGAATGTAGTCAATGAGGCTTATGGCAGAGCTCTTAAGAAGTACCAAGTGATCCTAAGTAATCGGATCAAGGGCCTCGAAACACTTTTCAGCGATCTTGGTTTCCACAACAACATTGATGATTGCATCTTGTTCGTGTCTTTCGATCAAAAGACGGGGATTTGTTCCAGTTTTGATCATGTTTTCAAGGAAGTAGAGAAAACGTACGGCGCAAGGTGGTTTAAACCCGTGAACATCAGACCTGGACCTAATGTGAGTATCTCTTTCGGTCATGCAACTGCCACTGCAGGCTTCAAACCTATAAAGAAAGAAAATAGAGATTATATGTTGACTTGTTTTACTTCGTTCCGCTCTGGTGCTGGTAAAGAACTTCTCGCCAAGAGTATGCGCTACGTCGAGAATTACTTGGGAGCTCAAAAACTGTTTGCTACCGTCATTGTTGAGCATGAATTGGTTGACTACTACGTAAAAGTTCACAATTTTCGAGAAATTCATACTCAACTCATAAAAAAGGAATTTGTTTCCGAAGCTTTGGAAGAAGGAGTCAATGCGACCCGCGATTTTCATCTTGCAACTCTAGTAAAGGAATTGTGATCAATTGTTGATCTTTTGCGGGCCTTTGCCGGACTGATCTACAAATATGAATTTCTCAGACAGCCGTCTTCAGGTTAAATTTGATGAAATGATGGTCGTTTTCGCTATCAGAAACTCTGATTTTAGCGTGGTGGAAAAGCTCACACAAGCCCTTTTTATTCAGCGTCATGGGGCTTTTCGCTTTCATAGACTTGTCTTTGCTCATAGAATATTATATTCAACTTATCGATATAGATGGGCGCCAACCGGAAAAAAAATTAAAATTTTAGAAACTCATCGCATCTCATAAAAGACATCAAGAGCTACTTACAGATATGGGGAAGAACAAGCGGTCTCGAGGCCTAGCTCAAGAGCGTTTGGCGAAAAGGAGAAAGGAAGATGATGCTTTACTTGAAAATGGCCTTTTCCTTCAGGAAGACGTGGGAAACCTTGAAGATAAGATTCCAACCGATAAGCAATGGGAAGACGAAGAACAAGACTACGAATTGCAGCCAAGAAAAATTCAGGATTATGATGAAGATCTGGTAGAAGGCCTACCTGTCAAAGTGAAAGGAAAAATTTTGCGTCAAGTTCGTAGTGTTGCCAGACCTAATGGCAAATCGACTCAGAACGAGACCGACGAAGACCTAGAAGAAACGGAAGTTAAACATGAAGTCAACGAAGCAAGTGACGAAGAAGATGAACATTCACCCTCGACCGATAATGCAGAGCGTATTCTAAAGCTGAAAGAAGAGATCGCTGACCTAGTCGAATTATTGATGGAAGAGGTTGAAGAAAATATAGCAGCACTGACACGACTGAGAAAAATGGCACAGTCCAAAAATCCCAACACCTGCAAGTTTTCAATGCTTGCGTTGGTTTCTGTGTTCAAAAGCTTAATCCCGTCCTATAAGATTAGACCGCTAACAGACCTAGAGAGAAAGGAGAAGGTTTCCAAGGAAGTGGCGAAACAGAGGAATTTTGAGCAAACCTTAGTTTCAAATTACAAACTTTATCTGGACTTGTTAACAACCCTAGCGAAGACCCCAAACAATGCGGACACGCTGCAAGTATCGCTTGGGGGCCTTGCCGCGATCGCAGCCGCAGAACTTGCAACATCGACTATTCATTTCAACTTCAGAACAGAGCTTCTCACAATATTGATTCGGAGAGCTTGTAAACCTAGCGCGTCCTCAGATGTGGCATATTCGAAAATAGTTCAAACTCTGGAGACTTTAATGAACGATGATGGTGAGGGATCTGTATCGCTTGAAGTCCTAAGAATCATGTCCAAAGTGCTTAAAACACGCAAGTTTATGATTGACGAATCTGTGTTGAACATTTTTCTTTCTCTCGATGTTTTGCATGACTATGATCCAAATACAAAAGTAGATCAGCCGGTCAGAAGGAAGATAAAGAAGTCTGAACGAGTTCACTTGTCAAAGAAACAAAGAAAAGCACGGAAGGAAACGAAGCAAATCGAAGATGAGATGCGTAAAGCCGAACAAGTAGTTTCAGCCGAAGAACGTGAAAGGAACCAAGCCGAAATTCTTAAGATTCTTCTGTCGCTATATCTCACTCTCTTGAGAGAAAACAAGGCTAATTTAGTAGGTTCAGTGTTAGAGGGTCTTGCTAAGTTTGGCCACATGGCTAACTTTGACTTACTAGGAGACTTTTTGGAGGTCATGAAGGAAATTATCGAAACAAGTCATATTGACGAACTTTCTTTCGGCGAAGTGCGAAAAATTCTTCTTTGCATCGTTACTGCATTCTCACTTATTTCAAATCATACACATATGAAAGTCTCCGTCGATCTGTCCTCCTTCGTTCAAGCCCTGTATGCCCTACTACCCACTCTCTCACAAGACGCCGATATTGAGTTTTCACATAAAAGTTTAAGGCTTGCTGATCCTCTGAACGATGATTTTGTCAAGCCTTCTGTCAATGTCTCTACAAAAGCCGAGCTTCTGCTGAAAGCCCTCGATCACATATTTTTCCGATCCAGGTCTGGCTCTAAGGACAGAGCCGCTGCTTTTGTTAAGAGACTCTACATGATGATTGAAAATACACCTGAAAAAACTTCAATTGCTGTCTTGAAGTTTATCGAGAAGTTGTCCACTCGCTACCCAGAAGTGAAGGGACTATATTCCACGGAAGACAGAATTGACAACGGAGTATTTTCCTTAGAGGCTAATGACCCAACGAGATGTAACGCTCGGACTGCGGTCATTTGGGAAAATGCAGTCTTATTTGAGCACTACTCTCCAGCAATTGTCAAAGGCGTGAAAAGCTTATTTGTAAAATCAAAAGAGGAGTTCTAATAGAGTATATAAAGATACTATAGTACGCATATGATGCGTTTGAAATGCTTTCTTTCTTCGGTTAATGACTTCACTTCGTTGAGTGATTGCTTTTATAATTTATAGTTTCCAGTTTTGCTCGAAGAATCTTTCTTTAAGTTTCCTTTGGCATCGCGCTTCTCACCTTTTCGGTCAATTAAGGTAACATTCTTAGCAGCAGCCAAAGTGTCCAAGACATCTCCCTTCTTGCTTTTCTTTGCGCCTCTGTCTGCGTGAGTTTTGCTTCTCTTCCTTTTGGCAGCCCGACGAAGTCTGTTCTTATCTTCTCTTGACAACTCTTCTTTCGATAATATCATACCATTCTTTAATGAGATTTCGTTTTCTTCACGCCGCGAGGCAGTGGCGTACACTTCTTGAGGAGCCAATGTGGAAGCAGCGGACATTGTGAGCGGCTGGGCATCTTCCATATTTATTGCCGCCGATTGTGACCTTACTTCCAGAGATTTTTGCACTGGTTTAGGGATAAAATGAGCAGAGGCTAAAGCGTCCAACTGATAAACCAAGCCTTTATAAAGACCCTCAATCTCATCATGGGCTAGTTTCAATGTCTCCGAAACTTCTTCTTCTTTAGATATTCCCTTGTAATCATCCTCGTAAAGTTCTGCCAGTGATTTAGACGACTTAGCATCACTCAACTCAAAGTTCCGTTCTTTCGAGGGCACAGCCGATATTGATACAACTCTTTTCTCCAGATCATCGAAATTTCCCTCTTTTATTCTTCTCCTTATCAAATCTTCGAGAGATTCGGTAATTTCAGAAGTGATGACAGGAACGGGCTTCGATGTTCGTTCGAACTCTAGGTCTTCTGTGAGCAAAGCATCATCAGGACGGTCATGTGCTCGGACTTCACCCTTCAAGGCCCATTTCTTGTCGGCAATTGCTTCCTTCTCGAGTTGAGTTATCTGTTTTTGAATTTGAAGCTGTTGGCGCTGAAATGTCGACAACTTAGACGAATCCTTGATGTCATTGACACCATGGTCAGACTCTTCATTCTCTTCATCTGCGAACAAGTCCTTTTTCGTTGTGTCAACTATTTCATCCATATTCTCATCAGTAACTTCTTCCATTTCATCACTGACCAGCGGCTTTGGTTCCTGCAGTCCAGATCTTCGGCTTGCTGGTTTATCGAAGAAATCATCATAATAGATCGCACCCTCATCATCATCAGAGTTCATGTCCACGAAAAAGTCAACTTCTTCGCCATCGCTATCGGCAAGGTCATCATTTTCTTCCGCTCTCAAAGTCTGCCTGTTGAATTCATCTAAGTCAAAAAAGTTGTCGTTAACACCCTGTACGTCTGTTTGAAGAGGGTTTCCACTTTCAACCCCTTTAATATCTCCTACTTCCTCTTGATTCGTTTTGGGGCCGATCAAACGATTTTCAGCGTCGTCGTTGGGATTTTCAAAAGATGATTCATCCGCAGATTCATCATCATCGGAGTCTCGATCCTCTCCTTCAGAACTTTGGTCTTCAACCACCTCTTCTTCAAAATCTGAATGGTTCATTTCGTTAGTTCCAGAGATTGCGCTTTCTTCGATCTCACTGGTATCATTTTGGCTTTCGTTGGGCTCATCGCGTACCGCTCCAATTTCACTTCTATATTTCCCGATACTTTCCATCAGATCAGGTTCAAGGTTGTGCAGAACTAACTTTGTTTGCAGCCACACTTGATTAGAATCTAATCCATCGATGGTGATTTCATCAATAGGCCCTTGTAAAGAGGTTTCATCGCCAAGTTGCTCCTTTATGACAAAATCTATGTACTGTTTCACAGCATCCAAACAGTAATCTGATATTTTGGAATCATCCTTTAAAATAGCGAGTGGATCTTTACTTAAAAGATTCAGAAACCGTGGCATTGCTGAAAAGTCCTCGTATATCTAAGTTTCGTTGTACTAACAGCGGTTGAGCTCATCGCATAGGCATGATTTTAAAATTTTAAAAAATGAACAGCTTCCATAACTCACTTTATACGAGAAGTCTCGATTCATATATAAGGTAAAGCATGACCTTTAGCGTCAATTTGATGAATAATTCAGTCATAAAAACTCGACTAATGCGTCTAGAAAAACGTAGCCCCAATACCCAAAACGGACATCATTGCGCTCAGTATGATTGTCGCAATGCACAATACCTTTTCCCATGACTTTATAGTGGCCGAGCACAATCTCATATAGAAAAGACAGGGCAATATTAAGCATATCATGAAACAAAGTCCTGCACCCAAGAAGGCAATGAATTTGTCAAATGCTGGGAACTTGATTGCAATCAGCACAAATGCCGCGTTCACAATTATCTTATTTCCGGCCTGCAAAAACCTGACCCAGAAATTTTCCTTTCCAGGAATTGAATCAATGCCAATAAGAGAGTCCAGAACTGACGCAATAGGTCTGGCATTCAGTGGGGTTTTGGCTATAGGAATAACAGCCATCAATACGGACATCAGGATATAAATGATTGCCGGATAACCTTCTGTTAGCATCAAACTTTTAGTAACTTCGTCCGCGACGCTCATTCCGAACATGAGGAATCCAATAATGGCAATTCCCAGGTCAGTTAAAGCCGTGACCAAATAGGTCGTTTTCAAACAATCTTTGAATTTGTCGGGATGTCTCATGTCACTCTTAAGATTGGGGAAAATGGCATGCCCACCCCAGCAGGCGCTTAAAAGCCCAATGGAAAGAAAAAACTCGTGGCAGGATGAAGGCCACATTTGCGTTGGTTCAGGCTGGATTAATGAGCCAGGGCTAGAAGTCTTGTATAAACCGCAGAAAAGGACGCAGAATACAGTGCTTATGGTGCTTATAATACCCATGAGCGAAATATTTGAGAGAACATTTAGAGGTATCAGCGATTGCGGTGTCAAGACGAAAAATCCCAGAATCTTGAAGAATGTAGTTGATCTTTGAGGAAACAGGGCGTTCAAGGAGTCACCAAACAAAATTACCAGAGCTACCCCAGAACCCATAAGGTCAAGAGAGAACAAAAAGGAAATTAACGCACGTCCTTTAGATCCAAACGCTGCATACCCCAAATCTCCATAGGATATCATCGTCTGATCTGTATCTAGGCAGCGAGATAATAATTCGGCACTGCCAAAAGTTCCAGCTGCAAAAGTTAGGAGTAGTGGCACACCGAGGGCCCAACCCGAGTATTTTAAACCTAAAGGTAAAGCAAAAAGCCCAATACCGATCAGCACATTAACGGAATTAAAAATTGTTTGTGGTGCTGTGGATTGACCAGCGAGAACCGTCACTGTCTTGCCATCTTTGGTTTCGACCTGCTTCAAAATGATAGAATCAGCGCGCGTGGCACTATTGAAATCCTGGAAAGAGATCTGAGGTCTCAGCGGTATGTTCTGGTCCCCAGAAAACACACTTCTAACTGCTGAGCTGTCCTCAATGTCATCGTCAAAGGGGTGGCTATCATGACGTGCAGACCCGGAGGATCCATACAAGTCCAAGGCAGAGGGGCGAACAGTGATGGACCCGGGAGCATTTAATGCTACGGAAAGCTTGCGACCATTTGCCGAAGGTCCCAAAGTATTAGGGTCATACAGAGCATCCTGATCATCAGTCAAATAAGACCGCTCCTTATCGCGATTTAGCTCGATAGCTCTGAAGGAGTTGGCACGCTGAAAAGATGTCGCAAACCTTCCCAACGAGTTAACGCCACGAAAAGATCCAATAGGATGATCTAAAATAGACTGCCTTCTTGCCCCCGTGGACCCTGCACCCTCTCCTGCCGGGCCCTCGACCGGCCCTCGATGAACTGGAATCGATATATAATGAACTTTTGCCGGAGACCCATTCTTCAAGGGATGGCGTTCGGGGTCAGAAGATGGAGACATGGAGACCATACCTCTCTCTAAGGTTCTAGATCAGATTTCGTTCAAGTGAGTGGTCAGATCTCAAGATTCTCTCGAGGATAATTGTTATCGATAAACCCGTACAACGTGACCTTCTCGTTGAATGTCCCTAGGCAAGCTTCAAGCTCATCACCTCTGATCCTCATTTGACCTCATTTCAAGATAGGTGCTTTCTTGTGATGTCTGCCACTCTCGGAGTGAGGCGAAGAGCAGTCAGAATTTCAATATTTGCATGTTCCTTAGGCAGGTTCAAGAACAATGCAATTGAGAGCTCAACGTTCTTAAAGTTCTTTTCCTGATCAGTAGAAAGCCCCTACAAGAATACTGTTCAAAAATCTTAGTTAAAAAGGAATCTTATGCCGCACATGTTCAAGGCTAGATGTGTAGTTCAGCAGGAAAGCTTAAAGCTAAATTGTCCTTTTGTCGATTTTTCAAGAGAGAAAAGCTGTTCCAAAATGTGCGTGGACTTTTTTGTTCAACGACTGAGATCAAAATTGTAGTCGTATTCTGCGGACGAAGACTTCTTTATCACTCTTTTGGTCTAACTCAGGTTCTTAACAAGAATCAACTCATCGCCTTGAAATTAGAGAAATAATCATCTGGTACGTACTATTTTACGGAGTACACTGAACCAGATATTTGAAGAATGGCTTTACGGCGCTCGTTGATGAAGAGTTCACGTCCCGGGAAATCTACAACTCTTCAAAGGTTGTCGTTGCCGCATTTCATACCAATTTATTGATGGAATAGTAGTAGTCAGACTTAATGGTTATATTTTTACTGGTATTCCTGATTTATTGCTCCTTGATGCAATTGGGCCTTGCTTCAAAAGATGGTCTCAGCGCAGTACAGCTAAATACCGAGGATTTTCCCTTCACAACCGTTGTGGACGTTTTATCTCAAAATGTCGAGTTTTCCACCTTTCTGAGACTGGTTCAGCGCGATCGACACATTCCATATTTGAATGGGCTAGATAATTTCACACTTCTTGCCCCGGTCAATTCAGCATTTTACCTAAAATATGAGCATAACAAACTTGACATTCAAGATTATGTGATTCACAACAGAGTCTTATTCTCCAAAGAGCTTGAACCGGGTTTCCACCTTTACTCGGATGGTTATCGCTATCCACTGTTAATCCAGGTGAAAAGTCATCAAATTTATTCTATAAATGGAATAACGGTGGTAGAACATGATCTTCAGCCAAGCATGCAGAACGCCAGTGTTCAGGGTCTTTCTGAAACAATTCGCGACGTTCCACCCTTGCTTGACGTCATTGCCGGGGAGAATGAGAACAATGAAGGTGATTTATCCTTGTTTTCGAGAATTCTTGCAAGTTTTTATGATGTGGAAGAGCCCATGGAGAAATCATTTTCCAACAAGACTCTCCTTCTACCAGCAAACTCGGCCCTTCGAGATCAATTCAATGAGCTCGAGATAAAATACCTAACCTTACCAATCACAGATGAAAGGGCTTTCCCTCGGCCCAATACTGAGAGTAACTTAGACCAGATTATAAAAGACAAGATGAGAATTTTCGATGCGTGCCTGATAAATGGTCTTCAGGGCGGTCTTTTGAACCGGACAGAGGTACCGACTTTAAACGGCGGTAGGCATCAAATAATGTCAGTGGACCAAGGGGCTACGTTTGTCCTCGATGGCATTTCAGCTGCTAAATCCAATGTCATATACGAAAATGGGGTCTTACACACGTTCCGCCTTCTACCTCATCTGCGTCAAGGCTTTGTGTTTAATTCCGAAAAATACCTTCTCGGTTTAAATTGCTCTCAGTTCGTCGCCGAAGTTCATTTCAGAGGTCTGAGTAGCCTCATTAACGATAACTCCAGATCTTTGACCATATTTGTACCTGAGCCGTCGAACTCTCACAATCCCGGGTTTTCCAAGTATGCTTTGCTATATCATTTTACGGATGGCCAACTAGATCTGAGTAGGCTAGGTTCTGACGACGAGCGACGTAAGTCGGAGCTCCACGATTCCCTATTTTGCTCTTCTAATAAAAAATTGGGCGGTCACTGCCAGCGCTTCAAGTTAGAGAAAGTGAACTTCAAGAAAAAAGAGGTTGTTTTGATCAATGGGCGGGAAGTTTTGAATTATGATCACCCTCTCACCATTGGAAATACAACAATTTACCTTACGGAGGATGAACTGACTCTCCCTCCTGATTTCATAACAATTGTCAGTCCCCTGCTGCATTGCTCGAAGTCCCTTTATTATCTTCAAAATCTCAACTTGCTAGATTTGCCGGGCAACTTTCGAGGGTACACGATTCTGCTTCCTTGCTTCGACTCGTGGACCAATTTTGACCTTGTCCTTGACTATTTGGAACGCAACGTAACCGCCTTGAACGGACTGATGAAATCTTTCATGTTTAATGGACTGCTTTACTCTGATACGAAAAGCACGGTTGCCTCGCTCACGGATCTGAATGGACAGGACGTTCACGCCAATATCGAGCACGAAACAAATGGGAAAGATGTCTCGTTGCAGTTGAATACCTTCGACAGTCCAATAATCTTGACAGAGGGAAAAGATTTGATATATGACCAGGGAGTGGTTCACTTGCTCAAATCGATGTCATTCCCCAAACTAGTTCAAGTAACGCTCAAAAATCTACTTGACACTACCGGATCCAGCGACTTCATGGAATTCTTGAATGCCTTTGAGTCGTTCGCGAATATAATCAACAATGATGAGCCGTATTCTTTTATTGTACCAACAGCCAGATCCCTCCTTTACGAAGACATCAATTTAAACTCAACAACGCTAGAGCAATTCATTAAGCTGCATATTATTCCCGGTAATTCGACAGCCGCCCTAATTAACTGCGACGAAGACATAGAAACACTCCATGGTCAGCACCTAGGTTGTCATCGTATGGCTTCCGACGATTTCCTCTATTTGAAATCTGGGATCGAAAAGGAAGTAAGGATTCTAAAGAAAGGATGTACTTCTTCAGACAACAGTGCTTGTGTTTTCCTCGTTGATCGTCCAATATCCCTCTCGTGGCTCAAACACGAAAAATACAGCATTAGTCTTCCGGGGTTCGCCTTGGCCATCGGATTAATGCTGGGTATTCTGTTTTTCGCTCTGCTCTCAATTTGTGTGTCGGTGGCGTGCCTCGGAAAATCGCGAAAATCCGACTACGAGGAGAATGAAAATGATTGTTCTCCGAGTGATGAGCACACACCCTTGATGCGCAACGGTACTATGAATAACCCCCCATCAAATGATGTCCGAGATTACGGTTGTGAGACTGAAACAGGGAACGGGCCTTCCGCAGATCAAACTGAAAGAGGACCCTTTGCAAACACCTACTCAACAAAATCAGTAAGCACACCCATCGCAGTCGGCCCAAAATTCTTCCCACCAACGTCGTGAGTAGCATTTAGCTTTCGAATGCAAGAAAGGGTGAAATAACAAGTTATGCTACAGCGGCATGACAATTTAATTAAACTCAGGTAAATGAAAAACATTAATGAACAGTCGGGGAAATTCCTAATGGGTTTCCGTAGTCCACTGAGTAAGTAGTACCTTACTTCGATCTCATATTACCGTGACAATTATGTATGAAATTTCACACTTTTTTTTTTAAGTAGAATTAAATGAAAAAATGATGTACGCCCCAAAATTACAAAAAAGCCATGAAATTTTAAGAAATATAAAAACAAATAAAAAAATCAACAACAAGTAGAAAAATTTGATAACCCATTTTTACCTTTCGGATATTTAACACAAAAAAATAAAGAATCCAAGTAAAATTATAAACATTTTAAATATATTTGATTATATGTTGTAACACAATTAGTATAAAAATGTTTAAACGTGATTTTGTAATAAATTTATTATATTTTTTTAGCATTTTGTCATTAGGTTTTCTGCTTCCTCACTCTAGAAGTTGCATGGAAAATGAATAACGGTTACGTGACTACACAGAGCTTATTTAAAGTGTTTGAGGGAAGAGAGAGGGCGGCGTGGGGGTAAATATATGGTTGCCATTTTAAAGAAGAAAAGAAGAAATTGTTCGCTTTGTTTTTATAGAATGTCGCCGATGATCTTCGAGGCCGCTTTGTAAGTCTCAAGTAGTTTTATACATTTCTCTCTGTCCTGAGCGAGACTTTGATCCTCTTGCAGCAAATCATTGAAAAGATTCTCCTTGTAAAGTTTCGTCACTAAGCGATTTTGAATAGTTTCCTTGGAAAAATTCACTAAAAGACACATGGCTGCTTTAGGAACCTGATCCTGGATCATTTCTCGAACGATATCGAAATAGGAGGAGATCAAGCGTCTGATAAGTTCACACTCGAGCTCTTCTCTCTCGGTCAGCTCGACATTTTCTTTTCCGAAGTAGTCTCCCTTGCTGCTGATATTCAGGCCTTTAAAATTTAGCATGGCGTCTTCAGGCATCGAATCCTGCTCTTCCCCCAACCCTTGTGTCAAGTGTAATCCATCATCATTTGCTTGATTCCCTTGCTCCTTCCCGAAAAAATAGTTCAGAAATGAATCCTTCGAATTTTTGATGGACTGATCCGAGTTATAGTCTGAATCGCTGTCATGTAGCTCGCCATGTTCAGTTTTAGAGGCTCCATTAGCGAAACTATTGTGCTTTGGGGCTTTTTGGTCAACAATCTCATTATCGCTAGTCGAGTCGCTCTCCTGTTCCCTCGCCAACGAGAGCGATTTTTTGTTCTTGACGATCTCGGCCATTGCGTCTGTGGCGCTCAGAAAGTTTGGATGATTTGTATTGATGTATGCTTTGTGAATTTCAATCAGGCTTTCGACGTAGGAACGAGTGGGTCCTAATCTATCTCTCAAAAGCTCACTTACCACCTCGATCAATTTTGCTTGCAATCTAGGGTACCGTGCAAGTTCGGGCGATCCACAATTATGACAAATCTTCATGAGTTCTTCGTAAACGAGCTCAATACAGTGTTGAGAGGGATCCAGTAAAAGCTGAATCTGTGGTTTGACCAACAAATCAAAGGCGAGCTCGGGTACGAACAGGGAAGGTCTGGGGCCAGTTGAATTTCTAATTGCCGTCCTAATATCTCCCTTCGATAAATTGTGATTAGGATTGATGGATTGGAGGGTACGTCCAAAAATGCTGTTGTATATGTAATAGATTCTAGCTCCCCCACAAAGCTCCTTGGTGCTGATTTCGGTTGAGGTTCCCTCAATTGATGATACAAACCTCGTAGCGAATTTGTTCATAAGTTGCAAAACCAAACCAGCTCTATTCTCGGGTGTGATTGTGGCCTCACCTCCGTAAGAGGCTAGTTCTTGCTCCGTTTGGCCAATGAGAGTGTTCAACTTTGCCTTGATATCTGGCAGCTTGTCTCTGATATGGCAAAGCAAAATGTGGTTCAACAGCTTGGCTAAGTAGCGCGTCCCACATCTGGTAGCTATTGTCCGATATACCGGATGGCGACTGAAAAATTCCTCTTCGTTGTCCAGTGCCTCGTCGACACTTTTGTTTAGCTGAATGTCCTGTTGTGATCTGTTCACAACGCCAACAAAGCCCAATTTGAGAGGATACAATTTACCCGAGAGGATTTCAATAGCATTTGTACCGCTATCCATCAAATCAAGTTTTGTTATGACACCTATTGTTCTTTTCCCCATGGGATCCACTTCCCGAGCCAGTTTCAGAGATTCTGAATTCACTAGATCCACATTTGCGGGCGAAACCGCCAGGATGATGCAATTCGGCTTCGCGACATACTCCAATATCAAATTTTTGATCTGCTTCTCGATATCTGCAGGTTGCTCACCTATTGGGACTTTTGTGATACCAGGCAAGTCCACTAAAGTAAGATTGAGTACGCGGGGAGAGAAGATTTTCAGATTGATTGGAATCCGGCTGATTCCTTTATTTTTTCCCGCAATTCTAGCGGTTTCATTTTGGATTTCTTCGCGGATCTGGGAGAAGTCATAAAAGCGGCGATCTGGAATGTGAAGAAATTCTCCCCACTCGCGAACCTCTTTCGTACTATCCTTCACAATTCCCTGTGCCTTGTTAAGGTGATCTTGGAGAGACATCTCTCCCTCCTCGTGGTCAGCTGAACTGTCACCCCGAGAACTGGTCACCTCATTCTCAGTTAACGGACTTTCAGGAGATATGTTGTTCAATTGCAACACAAGAGGACGTCTTGTGACAATTCCGGTACCGCGAGGTAAGAAATCCTTGCCTACTAGGGTCTCCAAAATCGAAGATTTGCCCGATGATTGGGATCCAATCACTGCAAGAATAGGCAAATCTAACGTATCAATGCCCGCATCGTACATGACATCTTGCAGTTTATTGACCGTTGGTATAAGATCGCCTAAGCTTGCCATTGCAGTTCCGGATCTGTTTTTAGCTTTTGATCTATATGCCTGTTCAAGAGTTATCTTACTACGTTATTTGACTATTTTTTTCAACTTCGGCCCTGCTCCACAAGGCTCGGTTCGAACCAATCATGGATTATCCGTTTTATATGATGTGTAGCCACGAATGCCTCAAATTTGGGACGCCGGCATAGCTCTTTTGGGCTTCTTGCGACGAACCAAATTGGTATCCAGTACATTGGCCACGACTGCAGCAGGACGTTTTACTTGATTTCTACAACTTGCAGTTTTTAATTGACCTATGACAGAGAGCTGCGCTCTCTGACGTCCGATTTGCAAAAAATCTGTTAAGTTCATGTATGCATCTGATGCGCCCTCATCGGTGTCATATTGCTCACCAGTGATGAAACTTTTCAGACTCTCCATGCCACTTCTAGAGGAAGCCTCAATAGTCTCGTCAGCAATTGGATACAGGAGACGCTTTTTGGTTTTACCACATATCCCGATAACCGACACCGTCACACCTAACCGGAATTCTTGTCTTCCCTGAAGTTCGGCCCAAAATTCTTCCCTATTGACATCCGTTGCTCTATTTTCCTCGATCAGCGCCTCTAAAAACCGGCTTTTGGGATCGTCAGGAAAAACTGGGAAACTCAAAACAGCCAAATTTGACTGTGATGGCTCGAAGATGTCACCTTCCTGCCATGCTTCGCAATGTCTGCGCTCTAAAATCTTGTGAACTAATTTCAAGTCCTCTCCAGGCAGCTTCAATTTCGCTCGTAGTGAGTCCCTCTCAAAATCGGCAATTATAATTTCGTCAATGATTGTCAACCACCAGCTTAAAAGCTGCTCGCCGTTCAGCAAATGCTTTTTGGAGTTTAGTGATGAATTTGGGAAAAGATATTGGGGTTCCGGTCTCGTAAAAAGACAAATCTTTGTCCTCAAGTCATTGCTCATTTCGTCGTAAGAAAGGAACGCTTGAGAACTTTCGATTTTTGGATGCGTGGCTTTTCCCGTAAGAATTCTATTGGCCATTATCCTCAATGCTTGTCTGCAAGACGTCTCCTTTGTGATAAGCTCTTCTTTGCAGCCTAGGTTTCTCCTCAAGGGTTTAACACTTGACAAATAGCACAGAGGATTGAGCGCTAAGAGATACGTCAGGATCGCTTTGGTCAACCGACTAATGCCTATTTCTTGCGTACAGTATCCATTCGTGTCAGCTTTGGAAATGTAGAAAAGCCTTTCGACAACCGTGCTGTTCTTAACGGTCAAAAAGACATACACCTGAATTGCAAAAAATGTTTTTCTGCCACAGCTGAGGACAATGAAATGTTCTACCTTGATGGTCTTATCCAGGTTGTCTCGATACCCAGGCAGAGGAATTGTCAGTGCGCTGCTTTCCTTAGCGATGCTTCGAAGGTTGGCGACCTCTACAGTGACACCTTCAGGTAAAGCTTGTGCTATGTAATCTCGAATTGATGCCATTGAGTCTTACAAGAAAGCTCCATCAGCCAAGCGACGTACCGAAGTTCCCTGAGTTTCATGGAATATTCAATTGAGAAGAGTTGAAATTACTAGCACATGATACGGATCGACTCTTAGAACTCGCAGATCAGTTCATCTGCAAATTCGAAGAAACCTTAATCTTCTTTGGAAGACTCCTTAACGAAATAAGGATTTATATGCGATTTCGAGACTATCTACAATCTCTAAGGTATCAGGAGCATTTTTCTTAGTATTTATGACGTTGTTTCGGCAAAACTCACAATTACGGGTCGTTAGGCTGGCCTTTGGGATTTTGCAACCTTGAAATACTCATAGGAGACGATCAGATTTTGTGCCACACGTAAATCGCGTTTTTCAAAAGTCGAAATTTACTACTAGGTTTCCAAAGTTTATGAACCTGAACGTCAAATTCTCACATGAAGATATTAAATATAAGCATCCAGAATCCATCGTCATGAAAACAACAAATCAACAGACGGCGCCCTTCTTAGTAACGGTGTACGTCGTTCGGAATTAACTGTGTGGTTAATGACACTTCAAAACTGTAGATATTCCGAACAGGCGATTGAGAATTGAAATGTCATTTAGCTATACACATATGATTTCTGTCGACGAAATTGCTTGTTGACACGGCGGAAAACTAAAAAAAAACAGCTATCTCGGGCCTTACTCGTGGGATTCCGGACGGTGAGCCGGGCCAATTTTACGTGATGATTGACCTATGGACTTTATTACATTTTCGATGCTGCGTAAAGCGATGACTATACATTTGGATCCACGGATAGGCAATATCGCATCTTTACGAAAATATTTGAGACTGATTCATAACTGCTCGTAATCATCTGGGTAGAAAATTAAGCGTTCGGCTCCCTCAGCGGTTAGCACTACCATCCTTATAACTCCACCTGACGAGCCATCCCATTTTATAGCCTGGGATAGGGAGTGTTTGATGAAATCAATGGCTTCGTCTTTGGCCATATTATCCTTGAAATTTTTGTCACAATAGCCATAGATGAAGGTCGACCCAGAGCCCGCAATTGCGTATGGTTGTTTGTGAATTGATCCACCAAGTGGTATACTGTACACCTCACCCTTATTTTTGTCATCATACCCTGCTACAATGATACCTGCCGTGAGATTGTCTTTGTTCTCGTAACACAGAGACTTAAAAATGGAGGCAGCTGCCTTTGTTGAAGGTTCACCGAATTGAGTCGTATAAAGATCCAAATAATATTGAACAATATCAGCTACCGCTTGTGTATCAGCGGCGGATCCCGACCTGCAGCACCAAATCTTTTCATGTACTCTAGTCAGTTTATCAGTTACACGATTTGCAATGTACGCACCCGTAGTCGTACGCGAGTCTGCGCCTAATATGACGCCATCTTTGAAGGTAACAGCCATACTTAAAGCAGTTGTTAGTGAGTGTGTTTCCAGCTTAATTCACTCCAATTCAACATACATAGAAGTTCCCAAATTGACTTCCCCCCTTTTCAATCCATTTATATCGACCTGAATTCCGTTCATCGTAAAATTGGAAGCTTTACTAGAATACTTTACATCAATGCTGTAAGTCTGAGAATATCATTTGCCACCTTTTTACTATTTCAGAAGATGAAATCGACACACACGTACTATGTGATACAGATGCAACCTAACTATAAGATGGTTCTATTTGAAGTGTCATCTGTCATCGTCATCTTCTCGTTGGCGAGTCATTAAAGTCATCGGTTCCTTCACTTAAAGAGGTCCTGTCAAGCACAGGGTAGTATTCGTAACTTTCTTCACGTTTTGGGGAAGCCAATGGACTAAAAGTGGCCTTCGGAATAGCCTTGAAGCTAATATGTTCACCTTTATTTGCCAGCCTTGAGTTTACCTTATTGAGGTCCAATTTTGGAGGTGACGGGAACTTCTGACCTGAATCTTCTGTGCTTGACGTAAGTCGCTTCTTGGCTGATTTATTAAGGGACTCGGACGATTTTATAGGACTAGGTATTGCGCGCCTTGCTCGCTGATACTGAGTTTTCATGGCTTCCATACGATTCCGCTTGATCAGTTCTGAGTCTGGCACCGGCTGATTTGTTTCTCGGTATCTAGAAGGTGTAGTGAGATGGTGAGTTGTAGAAAGCTTGAAAGTCTCAGTGTTGTGATGTAGCCGAGAATCCTCCCGTTCCGTGTATACCTTTTCTCTCCAGAGAGCCAATACGGCTCTCTGAGTGGCTCTATCCCACCGGCGCCGGAAAATTACCACAGTGTCACTATTTCGCCTGCATTTTAGCTGCTTCATAGACCAATTGTTTAAGCACTTGACAACTGAGCGAGCGTTTGCTGCCGAGATCTGTTCAGTGGCCTGAGCATCCATCATTTCTAGAGTAGCTAGCTTTGTTCGCATTTGCGAAAAGAACTTCAGAAGAACAGACTGTCGGTTCAGTCGTTCAGATACAAGAAACCAGGAACTGTAAATATCGAATTTTCGCCTCACCGCCCCAAAGGACATAGTGCGTAAATGCTTTTGTGATAGAATTTGACTCATTCGAACGCAATCCACGGTGTAACTTTGAAAGATACTAAACCACTCATTAAAAAACAGCTGCAGACGCGAACGACCTTTGAAAATCAAGTATTGATCTAACATAGATTCCCTCCGCAATTTTAATTGGATGCGTAAATTTTCTCTCCAAACGTTCATGTACTTCATCATAATAGGCCTGTTACTAAGTTTCATATCTCGAATTTGTAGTAGCAGTTTAACTTCTTTGGAATGCAAGGCTCCTTTCCTGAGAAAATGGATTGCCTTGAATTTCTCCTGTATATAGGCCTTCTGCTGTAAGTCCATGACGCGCTGCTTCCTCTCTAACCACTTAAAGAAAAAAAAGCGCGTCAAGAGAAGTTCACGTAGTACATCGGCCTTCCCCGCGTTTTTGAGTTCTTGGAAATATTTGGTGCGATATATTACCCAAAAGCTGCTCAGACTCTTATCGTTCATCTTTCTCAATCTCTCTTGCAGCGCTGTTTCATGGCGCCACCTTGCAATCGCTCTCCTTCCTTTTTTAAGACGCCATGACTTTGAGTAATCGTATGCTCGAAGTCCTGTTCTAAACCTTTTACCGGCCCTTTTCTTCAACTCATTCTCACAAAATGTGGTAGCCGCTTTAACCGCTTCAGTTCTTTGTCTCCAGAGATCAAAATAACTGTGACATTCACCTAAACTTTTTGTCGCTAGAAACTGTCTGACCTGTCTCGCCTCGCGATGCCGCTTATGCCAAATATTTTTGAAGCAAAATCGGAGTAGAGAAGAATTCACCGATCGCCTAGCAGCTCTCTCATACTCTTTCCTTAAGCTTGCCATTTTAACATGGGAAAACGCTTCCTTCTTTAGATAATATGACTGAAAATTGTTAGCAACGTCTTCTTTTCTCCTCACATCTGTCATTCGCTCTTCCCACTTCTTCAAGCTGCCTTCTTTTAGAACGAATTCGAATAAAATTCTGGCCTTCTCGCTCACCTCCAAAGAAGCCTGCTGGCGTCTCAACAAGAGATTCATGCAGTTTATGAGCTTCTTTTTTTCTAGTCGGTGTCGGAGCTGAAAAGCTTGTGATTTCAGTTTCCAAGAACGCCATGCAGCGAGAACTATACTATTTTGCCGAAATTCCTCGGCACTTTTAGAACGCTGTAATATCTCATCGAATTTTTTGGCGAAAATAACTAACCGCTTTTGAAGGAAAAACCCATTGGCAACTGTTTCTTTCAAATCAAAAGTATCCATGTGAGATATCCACCTGGAGAGCATATTAGACTTCAACTGAAAATTTCTGAAATTGCTAGCTTCCTCGTGAGAGTGATAGATATTCTCTTTTAAAGCTTTCTGCCAACAAATGTACGCCCTTTGAGCGACGTAATTGTTCCACACGTTTTGTAACCGATCCAAGTTTCGCAATCCCTGCCACTGTAGTTTCCACGCCTCTAGAGAGCGAATTAGAACTGCTTTGTCCACCTCATACTCCAGCAACGCAAGCTTCATGTCGCCATTGACTGGATTGAAAAGGAACAATTCGAGCACTTTGGCAAAATCGGCAGAGAGGTCTTGCGCTTCTAACACGCCTTCCTTTACAACGCGAAAATAATAATCATCCTCCGGAAAACAGCCCTTCTCATGAAGCAGTATAAGGTAATTACGAAAAACGTAGCCAAAGTCTGGAGACAGGCTGTTGCTTTCTAAAAGAAGCGAGATTCGCTCTAGCAGTTCCACTTCATCTCGAACCTCACCTTTCGAAGAAGAGTTCGTACCTTCCAATGAATGATTTTCAAAAACAGAAGAGACAGAAGACCGGAAATGCTCCTGATCCCATGCTTGTCCTAAATTCTCTCCAATATCGATATCAATATGTGGACGCTGAGTCGATCCCATTTTTACTTTTCTCAATAATTCACTGAGATTTCCACTAACTAAGGACCCAGTAGACCGACAAAGCCCATCATTGATCAATGATGCGGTGGATTCATATGGAGGATCTTTTCGGCGATTGGACAAGAGCTCTCGGGTGCTCGAATCGCTCATGTTTTGCTGTAACTTGTACCGATCATACTTCGTCAAAATTGATGAAAACAAGTTCCTACAGCGAACTATTCATATATGAAGTACGTTTCGCATCGAAAGAACCTAATCAGGACTGAAACATGGGAAGGATGATCAATGTTCGAATTGCCCTCACAGCGATTGTGATTCTTCTTGTTCAGGCTGTTGCTGCAACGACACCTGCCAATGGATATCCTCAAACCTGGGAAAACATTGATTATAAGAGAAGAGTTGATGTTAGCAAGTCATACCTACAAGAAACGGCGGAGATCCGCATAAAAAACATAGATTCTATTGCGAACGACAAGTACTACTTTGCATTGCCTTCATTTGTGGCTGAAACTTTGTCGTATTTGTCTGCTTCTCTGAAGGATGTCAATGCTTTCATTGATAGCGGTATAGTTCATGACCAACCGGCTTCTGAAGAAAACTCTTTGACTTTTGCGTTGATAACCTTGCCAGCATCCGTCAGCCCAGGTGATGAAATTGATATCGTTGTACGCTTTGCGCACAATACTGGTCGTAGACCATTTCCAGAGCGTATTGCCCTGGGTGATCGCCAAACCATGCTAATCACCATTGATGAACTGCCACTTTCGAACTACGAAACTTTGCATTACTCCATCGAATTTTCAGGTGCCTCTGAATTTTCCCATCAAGCTTCTGAAAACTCAAAACTCGCCCCAGTTTCAACAAAAGGCGGTTTAGCTCTCAAAACGAGCGCGAGCATTCCGCCTTTCGAGCCAAGTCCGATTTTCACGATCTCTTATCCTCATGACGGGTCTTTTCCCAGGGTAAACAATCTTGAAAGGGGTATTTGGGCTTCGCATTGGGCTGAAACTTTACAATTTGAGGAATACTTTGAGCTAGTCAATGACGCCGCGCCACTGGAAAGTGGATTTTCAAGAGCCGATTATATGAAAAAGCAACTTGCTTTGAAAAAGGGCAATCATTTGGCAACTCTCGAGATACCTCTACCTGCTGAGGCGTCGGACACATACTTTACTGACCTGGTGGGTATGGTTTCAACATACCGCGTTTTTGGCGATCGCCTTATCTTGAAACCGAGATATCCTCTTTTCGGCGGCTGGAGATTCAATTTCACTATAGGCTGGACAAACGCTTTAAGCCAGTTCTTGCATGAAAGCAAAGAAGACGAGACTTACATTTTGTCAGTGCCAATTCTTGACGGGCCTGTTAACACGTTTTATGACAACGTCAGTCTCTCGGTGTATCTTCCAGAGGGCTCTCAAGTGGTACAGGTTGAATCCCAAATTCCTTTCCATGCACAGGAGGTTTCGCACAAAAAGTCCTACTTTGACCTGCGTGAGGGGCACACGAAAATCTCAATTCAGTACAAAAATATGGTGGATGATTTGTCGAAGGGACAGCTTCTGGTAGTGTACAAACTATCATCCCAGTCCTTGTACAAAAAGCCTTTATCGATTGGTGCCTACATTTTTTGTGCTTTGATTGCCTTTTTCGTTCTAAAGAGCCAGTAACTTTAGCAGAGGATGCATTTGCAATCTTAAAATCATTTGCCTCCAAAAATATACACTGTACCTAAAATTAAATAAACTTTGTTCTGAAGAAGGATGAATATAATCAAAGACCTCTCCATATGCATTTTTCAAGAGCCTCGTAAGACTTGGAATTGTAAAACTTCAATATGCCAATATGCTGGAATTCGGAGATTGTCTGAAGGCACCAAGCAACAGCAACCTTATCCAAAAAAGCTTCCTTGCCTTCACCTCTCATTTTTTGGAGCTCCTCTATGAGCTCCTCGCTCAGATTTATTTCGTGAGAATCTATAATGGCTGCTAAGCGCTCAAACAGCTCCTCTTGAGGTAAAGTTTCCCTGAAAGCTGTATAGAAATCGAAAACGTTTATCAAAGCACTGCCCTCCCTGTACAGATTAAACAGACGACACATGGGCAGATCAATTAAGTCATCAAGAGACTCTGTGCGTGTCATGGCTTCATCACGTTGCTCCGTACTCGGTGGTAAGATTCGTTCTGAATTGATGAGGTTGTCTTCCAGGTTCGACCTGAAAAGCGGGAAAAGCGATTGTGTGAATAACTCTTTGCTATTAGTTAGGGTAAAAAGTTCTTGGAACATGATGTCCACTGGCTCAAAATTGAAAAACTCGGCGTGCTTGTCGCACGCAGGCCATTTCTTTGCGTACGTAGACAAACTGCCGATCAATAAATGATAATAAAGCTCAATTAAATTGTAATTTGAAATGCCAACGACATTTTCCAGGATGTTAGTCACAATTCTTAGATGACCATTTACAGGATTTTCGCGCACCAAAAACTCCGCGAAAAATTCCTCTAAGCTGGAGTTCTTGTTCTCCAGTAGCGAATGTATCTCTTCGCCTGGAGCATGTTCACCCACTAGTCCATCTATGAAGTTCATGAAAGTAGGACAACGAAGTAAAGGTGACACGTAGCTCTCACTAAAATGGATGACGTTAGTAGGGTCAATGAATACCGAAAAAGGATTCTGGAAAAAATACGACATTAGCGAAAAGTCTAGTATTTTAACCAGGAGTTGTAGATTATGGGTCGTATTATTGCTCATTTTGTCTAGAATAAACTTGACAAAATCTGGAGACAGGTTTAATTTGCCCTCAACTGTGTTCAGGAAACTTAGAAAAACCTCATTGCAGTACTTGAAGCCCTTATTTCGAGAAAGATCCAATTGCTTTAAACTCTTCTTGATTAGCCTAATGGTTGATTGCTTAAGGTTCTTTTCAATGTTGGAAACGTTGGTGTTAATGTTGAAAACCAAACAAATTTCAATAAAATCATGTCGGAGAGCTGAGCTGAGCAGGACTATGAAGTCATCTAGAACTTGAAAGTTGAAAGAGTCAACGTCCTTGAAGTTCAAGATTAGCTTCAATTTGGTTCGAAAAATGGAATAGAAGTTTTCGAGTAGCGACAAGTCGTAAGAAATTCCTAACAACGACAGACCTCCTTTAACATCTGATTCTGGTGGTTCAGAGCCTTCTAGCATTACATCGAGATCTCCTTCCGTCATTTCCTCTTTCTCAACAGAGGCCATTGCGGGTTCCATGGCGGTGAGAAGTTTGAACATGGACCTCCTCAGCATCATTCGAATATTCGGAGACTCTTTCGGAGTCAAATCGATAAGGGCACTTTTGATCGTAGAATCCGTTTCTGGCAGATTTATTGTTGTAGTGCTATCAGAGCCCAACAGAAACAAACACTTGAATGTATTAGAGTTGTTCGTTTCAGAGGTTGTCGTGAGAACCCTACCAATTTCTCCATGTAGATTGATCTCAATCTTTCTTAATATCTCATCCACCTGTAAATGATATTGAGAATGTACTTGGTTGTAAAGTTCCCATCTCTTATGGACCATTTCTTGCGACTCATTACCATTTAAAAGTCTTTGGAAAGGAATTAAATGATCGGTATCATTCTGAGATTTCTCGAACCTGGGGTACACCGTGTGATGAGTCTTCTGAGTTTCGGTGAAGTCATTGAGTCGCATGATTGATCGATCTTCCGCGGCGATCCACGTAGTGCAATGGCTCTATTTGGAGATCAATCACTCTTACCGAGTAGTTTTTCGAAGGGCTCACCATTCTTGAAAAATATAAATTCAATGTGAAAACTGTTGAAAATTGTTTCCATAGGCGTACTTACTAGGAGTTAATGCTTAATTTTAGAAACTTTCAAGCAATGTTGCTAGTGTACCGATCATTGGCTGTTTTTTGACGAGTTTGCGTTCCTAACAAGTGTATGAGATAATTATTTACATGCCACAAGCTAATCCGTCCCAATCCGTCTCGCGGCCAGAGCGGTTGTGTTTTATTTTTTCTGTGGCTAGAACCTAAAGTAATCTGATTGCGTTTATTCGTTTTAGTCCTTGCCCGTTGTCAGTAAGCGGTCTGTTTTTGCAGTAAGTGCACTTGTCGAGAAATCACTCCGAAAACTTTTTCATCACGCCTATGCATATAAATCAGAGACCACACAAGCCCGTCTCCCATTAACTCGCTAAGCGAGGACATGCAAGCCGCTGACAACTTATGAAAGGGTGTAAGGATACCTGCTCGCAGACCTGCCCCTGGCAACTTCTCGTGGGGTAGCTCAACACATTTGGCGATCACCAAACGTTCTCTGACTCGCCTTCTAATCTTGGTACTCTCACGGGTTCCCAGTCCTGTTCTCCCAGCCCTTGTAATCTATAATACTCCTCTTTCAAATCGAATTTCCGACCATTTGAAGCTAATTTGACAAGATCATCTTCATTCAACTCCTGAATCCTTCGATCATGCCGCTGGTACCTCACTTCAGTGAAAGTCGATAGCCAATATGAACCAAGTACTATCATCGAGCAAAACGGAAGTCCAAAATACAGAAAAGGATTTTTCTTTAAAAGTTTCTGATACTTCCCAGCCATAGAGGCCTCAAACGCTAACTGCTCCTTTCTCGATCTGAACTTACGTGTTTCAAACGACATCTTTCTCTCCACGACTCCTGCTTTCAAAGAGAGGGCGGTGTTAAATCTCTTGGTCAAGATGGATAATTTGACCTCATAAATTGATCATTCCATCACGTGAACAGGTTACCCAAAGGTTACAAAACTTAATGTCGTTATAAGATAAAGTGACCACTGATCAACTTCGTTGATATTCAATTAAGTACACAGATGAGACTAAACGACACTTCTGGCGATGATCTGGCGGGTTTACTTTCGAAATATGTTCATTCGTATGCAGATTTAGATGAATCGTCTTCGTTAGTGTTGCTGAAATTTGATGGAACAGAGAACACCTACGATGATCATGTGCATAACTTAACGAGTAAATTGCTAGCGCATTTTTTGAATAGTGCACGAACAGGTTCTGCACATCGGCATGTAGGAATTTCTCCAAAAGCTTTTCTATCGAGTGTATTGCTGGCTTTGATAGTTTGGATATTTCAATTGTTTGCTTTTACGCTTTTGAGGAGAAAAATGCCCAGGATATATCACATTGGAAGATACCTAGAAGAGCTTTTAAGTGAAAAACCTCTGAAAAGACAACCACCCTATTTTGAGTGGATCACATGCACTTGGAAAATGCCTTTGAGCCATTTCAAAGATTCTGCAGGTTTAGATGTGTTTTTTTTCCTTCGATTTCTGAAAGTACTGGCGGTGTTTTTCTTTTCAATAGCGATTGTTAACAACCCGATATTGATACCTGTGCATTGGAGTTCAGGTCCCAACGAAATGACTGCGCAAACAATCAAGCCTGAATTTTTTTCGAATTTTACTAGGCAAGACGCAAATTTTACCACATTTAAAGATGCACGAGCCTTGCCTCCAAGTCATGGGTTAGACAAGCTCTCGATGTCAAACATAGCTCCTCAGCACTCTAAAAGATTAATTCTTCACTTTGTGCTTAGTATCTTTGTTATCATTTGGTTTCACATTATGCTTCTTTCCGAGTTGGAATTCTATGTCCGGCAGAAAAACGTAACCTGGAGTAAGCGCACTTCCCCGTCCGTTCGATTCCATGAAGTTCTTTACGTTGAAAACGTTCCCGCTGCTTGGATCGAAGATCACTCCAATCTATTTAATTATTTCCACGGAATAGTACCGGATTGCATTGACCATATATGTTTCGTTCCGCGAGTCGTTCAAAAGTGTAAACGCTATGAGGCCAAAGTGCAAAAAATTCTGAACAAAGTCGAATCATTACTTGCAGCAGCCGAGGCTGAGGTGGCTATATCAGAGGGCGATCCCCAAAAGCGCATAGCAAACTCACGGGACCCTGCCTCACTACCCGAAGCTGCCCCCTTCCAGCACAGAACACCCTCCACGCTGCATTCTCCGAGAGCGCAGAGAACTACCAGCTTTTCTCGTGAACCCGAAGATCAAAAGCAGTTGGAGTTTGCCTTGTCGGTACAAAGATTTGGAAAACGGTGCAGGCACATCTACCGCATCAAAAACATTACAGCGACAACCAAATCCTTGAAGTTTAGATGCTTGAGGAAAGAGGTCAAAGTGAACCTCTTCAAAAATCATGTCATCGCGCTGACGTTACTGTGGCCAATCTTGTACTTGAGCTCGAGAAAGTATTGCTATTTGCTCAATAAGCAAATCGACACCTTGCTCAAAAATTATAGAAAAACCTGTTCGGACTGGGATCGCCTTGAAATCACCAATTGCTTTCGCCCGCATACTTACGGAACTTTGCGTTCAAATGAGGACATCCGTAATATCGGATCCCAACGAATCCCTCAGAGCTCAAAAACAATATACGGAAAAGTCTTCATTCAATTCAAGGAATGCAACACAGCTAACCTTTTCAGCGAAATACTTCTTCCGGAAAAGGCGCCACGAGTAACTGACAAGATATTAGGTATTAACCCTCAGGACATTCTGTGGCGCAATTTAACTTGTTCGAATTGGTTTTGGGTTTTTTTCCGGGTCTGTATATCTAACGCTATTTCAGTCATTATCACTGTTGGATGGGCTATACCAATAGCATTTGTTGGTCTCGTTTCACAGATCCAATACGCTGTAGCGTTGGTACCCCATCTCAACTGGCTGAACCCAGAAAATTCCATTATATCTGCAGCGACATCGAACCTTTTACCAATTCTGACTTTGATATTTTTGACTGAATTTGCTCCATGGATTTTCAGACAGTTGAGTGTTCTCAAGGGCAGGAGAACGGGAGCAGAGATTGAAAGGGATATTGAACAATGGCTATTCGTATTCTTTTTCATCCACATTTTCCTCGTCGTGACAATATCTTCAGGTGTGCCCATTATGATTGAAAAGATACTATACGATCCTTCTGGTATTCCAAAGCTTCTTGCAAGCAATTTGCCCAAGAGCGCCAATTTTTTCTATTCCTTCATTCTCATCAGAGGCCTGGCAAACTCAGGAGGGAATCTGCTCAAGATTAGCGAGTTGATTTCGGATGCTGTTTATTATCGTTTTAACGACGACACACCCAGAAAGCAGCGTGAAAGGGCTCTTAAGCTCACGGTTTTCAATACAGCCTCAAGATTTTCGTTATTTTCCACATTAGCAAGTGTTACAATCGTTTACAGTGTGATTGCGCCGCTGATTTTGCCTCTGGCGTGCGCGACGTTTGCTTTGCTTTTTTTTTCGTTCAAATGCTCCCTTGAAGGCATGGGATTCTGTTTAAACGCTTCCGATACAATGGGAATGCTTTATCCCCAAGCCTTGTTGCAGCTCTATGCTGGCATCTACTGCTTAGAAATTTGCTTGGTAGGCCTATTTGCTCTATCTGCCGAATATCGTTTATCCGTTGGAATGCTTGTCATGCTACTGTGTACTGCGATAGCCCACGTCCACATCCTAACGATCTATAACAAAAGGATACAACACATGCCAATCCAGCCATTCAAATCCGGCGAGAAAAATGAAACAGATATCTTCAAGACTCCACGGTTTTGGAGATTAGACTGGACACAAATGAACTTGGATAGTACCGTTGAAGGTTTAGTCTAATAACAAAGAAAGATCGCTTCTCCTCACTCTATTCAGTTCATTTCAATTTATGAATCTTGGCCTCATGACGGCATAAAATCCGCAGCTTTTGCAGGTGCATCCTCGCTTTCTGACTTCTCCTCTCTAGTGTTTTTACTCCTGGGCCACATACTTGGTAATCTAACGAATTGAAACCGCGGCTCGACGCACCTCTCGACAAACCACCTTTTGATTTGACTCTCGATAAGGAGACTTATTTTAGGAATGTTTTGAAGCTTAGACCTCGCTCCTATTAAAGATTTTATATCAAAATCCATTTTGTACTCCGGTGAAAAGGAAAACATCAAGAAATATGCGCTCACGCCATCGGAAGAGTCAAACGCGCCATTTGAGGTCGAGGAAAACTCTTCTTCAGTGGTGAGAGACACCGTTAAACACGCCTGAAAACGTACAATTGATACAGTCAATTGCACAGGAAGTGCAGCCGTGAATGCTTTCGGATAGTTCATCAGTAGTTTGGTTTCAAATCCTAGAGTCAGTTTATCACGAAGATCGATGTCGATTTTCGCTTCGAGCCGTTTCTTATTAGAATTGGGAGAATATTGTATGCGACAATTAGAGAATATAGGGAAGTCCTCTCCAATGTCGAGCTCGGTGATTTTAATCGTGTCCAAGTAACGCGGGAACTCTTGAGATTTTCTCGATACCAAATCGTTCAAAAAATGAACAATATTGTCCTTTTGTAATGCTTCCTGTCGAATCTGTTGAATTGCCTGCGCGATGAGTACGTTAAACCAATCTAAGGACTCTGGTGCATGCGTGTCAACATTATAGTAGGTCTTTTCTAGAATCGAATTAATCAGAGAAAACCGCATGTCATTCTCTTCTGCGTTTTTGAACTGACTATCGTCCCTGCGTTTGATGATTGACGACAGAAACTGTGACGTTGTCGTCGAGATCAAGGGGGGAGCACTAAAAGCAGATTTGTTGGAATTTGCGTTTGACATTGAAGCGTCTGATCTTTCGTTTTTCAAAGGACCCTCGCTAAAGATAAAGAATTTGATGAAAAATATGAGAACTAAAATAACGCTAGCTTGTCCCACGATCAAGCCCTCCGCAAATGACCAGGCTGAGAACGACGACTGTTGCGACTGACGCGCATTTCCAGCTTCCGCAATTATTCCATCATTTTTCAAACGATCTAAAATCGTGTCCATTCCAAGATCTCTCGAAAGAATCAATGAAGATGAGTTGGTACTGTGTCCAATATTATTATTACCAAGGGATTGCATGTTTCCCGTGAAAAACTGTTGCATATGTGAAGCCAATGCATTGTTGATATAGTCGTCCAGCGACACTAGCGTTTCGTTCGAGGCAACACTTGTCTCTTTCTCGAATCCATTGGCGCTCGTTGATCCATTATCTTTTGCATGCGTTTCTGTCATATATCTGTTCAGTTACAGGAAAGAACCAGATGAGGAAGAGTTTCTTGAAGGAAGTTCAATTTTCTAATGATCGCCATCATTCCCATTCGATCCCTCTGAGAAGCATGATTTCACTCCATCCGTTGAAAAATTATAATGGACGGTTCACAATTAAAGACGACGACGATAATTATCCGAAATAAAAAAGGCCCAGAGGTTCGACATTGACGGTCACGATGACTGATAAATCTCGGGAGCAGCCAGCAGAGGCGATGCCAAGCGAATATATTTCAAAGCTTTTGGCTTTATTACGAAGCCCTGGTGACAATAGGAAAGTCATTTTGACACTTTATCGGACTCTTTCTCTGTGCAGTCATGACAGTTTGAAAACGTTGTTCACAAGCGATCAGTGGCCCTGGAATGATATTTTTGCGACGTTGGATGGGTTCAATGAGGACGAAGAGGTTTGTGAAGCAGTTTTGTTTTTCTTGGTCAATGGATTTGCCGTATATCTTCCAAATGACTGGCAAAATCAAACAACAAGATTTTGCAGAGCCATTCATGCGCATAAGGCTGTAGAGTTCGTTTCGAGCAAATTTTTGACACAAGCTTTGAACAGTGACTCTTATGCCACTTTTACAAATCTGATCACTGATTATTTGGGTTTTATTCTCAGGCTTGTTGTCACCGAAAGGGAATTCGGAATTTTGATGATGACCGACTTATATGCGTTTTTAAAGCTAAGCGGTGGATTCACAATTCTGTCTTTTTCGTTACAAGAAGAGACAATTAGCGAAAAGGTAAAAGATTGCACAGTTCTGTTGAATGACGTCGAAAAGATTTTGCAAGATGAAAGTGTGGAAAATGTAAGCCTACGGCTAAAATCAAAGCTGGGAGATCTTCTCGATAAGCATTTCAGAATTGATGAAAAGGTAGAATCGCCTTTGTCTATCCAAAGTATAGACAGACTTTCGGTCTTAAACACCATCGATCTACTTTTGTTTCTAAAGGACAACAATTTGGGATTTAGGAAGAAATTTTTGGAAAGGCTTCTTTTCGAAGAAGATCAATTTCCACTAATCGAGGCTTCAGTCATGGTTTCAACCGCGATTGCCCGTTATTGCGGTGCTGCGATTCAAGACGAAGCATCTGTGGAATTTGCTGTGAGCTGCATATTAAACAAAGATCTGCTTATTTATACCATGCTAGACAAGCTGCTTCAATTTTGGATTGAATCTTCTGCTGATGATAAAGATGATCTCGAATCCATTTTCCAACTTTTAAGCATGTTTGTTTTCAATGCAGAAACTAAATCAGGTTTAAACTCAAGCAGCTTATCCGACTCCATACACAATGTCAACACTCTTAATTACAAAGCTTTGAGAAAAGAGCAACTCAAAAAGATTAGAGACGGTCACAATCAAAAATGGAAAAAACAGATCGCCCAATTTGACTCGATGTTGTCCCATCAAGTTGTTGAATATGTCAGACATCAGCGTCTCTTACAACTCCACAAAGGCTCTTGGGTTTATTCCGAAAACCCGCTCGATCCAAACATTAAACAGCCCAAAGTATACTTCATTGTGTTGTCCGACAATCAGATGAACTTGCTAGCGAAAGAATTCCGTTATCGTGTAGAGGATTCGCCACAAGTCTTGGGGAATGAAATTGCGGCGAGTTCGGAAACTCAGTCATCGAAAGGTAAGACGATTGCCATTCCTTTGAAAAAAATCTCGAAGTTCCACAATGTCAGGGTTCAAGCAGAAAACAAGGTCCCCGAAAATGCCAAACTTGTGAATATTTTGAACAAATCGGTTTATACTGAAATTCACTTACTCGCTAGAGACTCGTCACTGCTACTGCGATTCTACCTGGACACGAAAGAAGCATCCTACGTATGGTGGGATGGTTTGCAAATGATTGTATCTTCGCTCACATCGGGTCATGAGAAAATGACTATATCGGAGGATACGCGTTCCCAAATTGACGGTTTAGTGAATTTGAGGAAAAATGTTCAGACAATAGGTCTTGGTGACCTGAACGAACTTGAATCGAATGACGACGATTCTGAAACCGAGGATTATTATTACGACTTAGACCGTTTGAAGGAACTAACAACAAATTTTTACTACGAATGATTGAGAGATTTGAATTAAATCGTGTGTTTCATATTAGCGAGCGATTAGAAGTGATCCAAAAATTACTGCGAATAGACTTTCACAAGTAAAGTTAAACTCCTTCCTTCAAAAGAGTAGGCCTTTATTGGTCCATTAAGTGGATGCAGTGCGATCTTTAATCGTGAAATCCAGAGATTATCCCTCTTTAGTGAGCAGTTTGTCGTTTGATAGACCACTTTGATTATGAAGTGTATTATATTCGTCAGTAATCTACTATAAGATATTAAGTTAGGTGTTTATAGGAACCTTCAGATGCATTCTTTGTACATTCTCGTGCTATTTCCGGCCCTTCTTGCCCTTACCTTTATTCTTCTGGCCCTTTTTGGCAAACGATTTTTCCTGATCTGTTACACGATCTTTTTGAGTCTTTTTATAGCCTCTAGAAGCAGAGTCTTCTAAGGCTTCAGTTCTTTTCCTCTTCTTACTGTTAGGCCCTTTTTTCTGTTTAGCAAAGGCAAGAAGAGTGCGGGAATTCGATTTTTCTGCCTCGCTTTGAAACCAAGTTCTTTTCGGCCTGGATTGGATTTCTTTCTTATGCTTTATTAAGTTTTCACCCTTTTGCAGCTCTAATTCTGCCCTCAAAATCTCCTTCTCTTGTTTTTCCTCGTCTAAAATCTCTTCAATGACATCGGTCTTCGACTCAACTAGTTTATTCAAATCCTCGACCACCTTCCAGTCAATAAATCTACCCACAACGCTACCAGGATTCTTATCTTCCTCGGCGGCTTTGATCGCGCTCTTAACAATAACCCTCTCCTGCGCCGCTTCACCAACAAACGAGACAGACCGACCTTCTCTACCGGCTCTGGCTGTGCGTCCTACTCTATGCAGATAAATTTCGTATGTCTTTGGCATGTCATAGTTGATGACGACTTCGATCTTAGGAATATCAAGACCTCTCGAAGCAAGATCGGTACAGATTAAAACCGGAATCTCAAGTGCTTTGAAGGAATTGACTGACTGAATACGCTGCTCTTGCGAAAGTGAACCATGCAATTCGCCTGCTTTCATACCCAAGAGACCGAGGATAATTCTCAATTTATGCGCGGCTTCCTTTCTAGAAACAAAGACGACTATCCTTTTCTGCTGGGACCCATCCATTTTTCTCAAAAGATGGTATAGTAGAGCCGGCTTCAAGCCATCCTTCTTACGAATCCTAACGAACTCTTGAGTTAGTCGAGCTGCTGCCTTTTTTGGTGGATCGAGCATAATTTTGACGGGTTTTTTCAACGAAAGAGAAACTAACTGATTGATCCTGGCATTCATGGTGGCGGAAAATAGTAATGTTTGTCTTTTGGTTGGAATCAAAGACATGATTTCGCTCAATTCGTCTTGGAACCCTTCTTCCAGCATTCTGTCCGCTTCGTCAATGACAAGTATTTCGACTGATTCAACGGTAAAGCTCGGCGAATTTCTGATATGATCGATTAATCTACCTGGGGTGGCAATGACTATATCAGGTCTTAATTTTAGAGCTTGTTCTTGTTGCCTCAAGTTTAATCCACCAACAGCCAGACCAAAGCTTAGACTACCGGCAAAACGACCAATTTTCCCTCCAACATCTGCGACTTGCATAGCCAGTTCTCTCGTGGGTGTAAGAACTATAACACGTGTCGAGGCAATGTTCGCAGGTTTGTATAAGAGACGTTCAATAATGGGGATCATAAAAGCAGCAGTCTTACCAGAACCGGTGACGGCACCAGCAATGACGTCCTTTCCGAGAAGCGCTATTGGAACGACAGCGCCTTGAATGGGGGATGGTTTCGCATATCCCAATGCTGCCAGTCCTTTGATAACAGGCCTTGACAACGACAAAGAGTTGAAAGTTTCGTGAACGGTCTTCTTAGCGCTGAAACTTTCTTCCTCGGGCGCATAAAATTCAGATTTTTGCTCCGCGGTTTCCTCGTCAGTGTCTTCTTCGTTATCTTCAGAAGGTTCATCAGCACTCTCCATTGCCATGTTTCCATCCACTTCATCACTTTTGGGCGCATCTTCATCAAGGCCATCCTCAGCATTTGATTCGTCCGATTCCTCATATTCCTGATCCACAGCTGCCATTTCAGCTAACCCACCTTTTCTCTTAATTATACCGTCCAAATCCACATTTTTGGCCCTTTCAACATCCTTGTCGCCACCAAAGTCCCATCCTTCAAATTTATGATTTAGTTCAGAGCCCTCAAGGTCAAATACAAAGTCTGGATTCAAATCTGTGTCTTCTTCCTTCGTCACATCCCTCGAGACTTTCGTGCTAGCACGTTTAGTTTCGTTGCCTATATCCAATTCATCCTCGGAAGCTTCCAAATCTGGCACATCCTCTTCGCTATCACTAATGGTTGCAATGAAATTGTCCACGTTATCAAACTGTCTAGCTGACATGACTTATGGATTCTGCAGTCACTCTGTTTATTCTCTATGGCATCTCACCTCATCTCATCTCATCTCATCGCTTAAAATTTTTCGATGAGCTGCCGTATAAATGAAGCTTCAGAATTTGATCATCAAACCCGTACAACGATATCTTGAAATTCGATGATTCCAAATCTCAAAGAGACAATGAACAAGATCAACTTGACACCTGTGTAGCCTTGCAAAACACGTATAAATAGCGAAGTTGAGACTCGCAGAACGGTTCGTTTTTTGGTATTTTTCGGTTGAATGATTATATGATTTCTCTTAGACGATATTTGAGAATTCCACAGGAACTCCGTCCTTCGGAAATATTCAAGCAAGATTCTTTGTCACCACCGAAAATTGCGATCCAGATTGTTCTTTTACAACTTTTTTACTACTGGACCGCTTTTTTCCTGTTCTATGGCGCTTCAAAGATCTGTGGGTATGAGTTAGAAGCGAAAAAGTGGCTTTTCTCGTGGGAATTAATTCAGTTTACGAATTCGCTAGGATTGACTATCTCTTTACTGTGGTTACTGGATTCTTTGATCTGTGTATTTTTCCTCACGGTGATCGTGGGGAGAAGTAAGTTGGCGTGGGATTTTGCCATTACAATTCATGCGATAAATTTGGCGGTTGTCACGCTTTACACTAGGAAATGGCCTTCGTTGGCCTGGTTTTTCTTACAAGTTCTTTCGTCTTTAATTCTCGTGTTTCTAGGAACGTGGACAACGCGATGGAGGGAATTGAGAGATACGTTTTTCGATGGGCTTGTTGACACCCAAATCGCTAGCCATGGTACTAACAATGCTCCTGATGTAGAGCTGAAAGACTTGGAAGCTCAAAAATGAGGCAGAAACTGCACATTCGATGTGCCCTGCTGCATACAGACCAACTTAACGGAAAGGATGACATTTAGAGTCCCGCATGGTGTTTCTTTTCAATGGTCCCCAGCGATCAATATCTGTGTGGTCCGTGTCTATTAGTTGGCCAAGGAAATTAGCATCACCTTATTAATGATTATATTTTACTATATAAGTATGAGCTGCATAAAAGAATCGATGAAGAGATAATAGGCCTTTTCCCTTATCTTCCTGCTTCAGCAAAGAGTTGATCTAACATCTCATAAAGCGTCCTTTCTGGGGTACCATCAGATGCCGTGGGCATTTGAAGACTACCATCCATACGTTGACGGATTTGAAGAATCGCGACAATCGACTCGATTCGCGTGATAATATGATCAAAGAGGCAAATCCTGTCATTTTCGGAAGCAGAGCTCATAACGGCGTTCTTTGTCTTAGTGTCGAAAGTCACGTATGCGCCCATATTGTTTTTCTCCTTCTCAATGAGGCCGCCACTGAGAAGGGAGACCAAGCCTTCCAATCTGTTTGAGAGAGTTCGAAATTGGAACAAAACTTCGTCACTGACCGTACTACTGTCGGCTTGGTTTGAGACAAAATCGTGCCTAGACGCCAAGCTTTTGGGGTAGGCGATGGTGATATATTCTTTAGTTTCCAATCCTTTCAATTTTTGCTCACCTAACTCTCTAAAAACCCATCCAATATTCTCCAGAGATTGCATTTCCCGCTCCAGAATTTCTCCCACGAGATTTTCCCCATAAACCTTTTCAAGAGGTTCGTGATCGTGAGCAACACGCTCATGAAATCCCAAAATTTTGTTGAACTCGGAAAAGAAGTCATTACTCAATGTAATTTGTCCTCCATCTGCAACACCTGACACTCGAGCTGCTTTGTTGACGACCGGGCCTAAATAGTCCATTCTTTGAGTAACAACATCAAGCTCGGGGACGGGACAACCCCAATGGATACCCATTCTAACGCATAAGCCCAAATAAATTTTCTTTCCAAGCTTGTCGGTGATTAGACATCCGCCTTGAATGGAGGTAATTTCTTCCGGCCATTCTGCATCAAGTAATTTGAGCTGAACGCTCAAACACCAGACAAGTGCAGTAATTGGTGTAGGAAAGGCAACCATGAACGCATCACCTTCGGTCTTGACCTCGTATCCCCCGAAAATGCGGAGGTTTCTCCGCATAATATCGTTATGAATTTTTATTGCACTGCGCATAGCATCTGGAAATAGCTCCCAGAGAAAAGTCGAGTTCTTGATATCTGTGAAGACCATTGCAAGATTGCCAGTAGGTGGAGCTATTTCCGGCTGCATCCTTCTCAGAGTTGTGTCTTCGAAGTTGCTTCGGCGAGAAATCAAATCATTTCGATTCAAATTGAAGTTGGTTCTATTGTCCGCGCTTTTGTCAAGAGATAAACATAGGATCGTCATATTGTCTACACATCCATAGGAAATGGAGTAATCCTTGAGTTTTTCAGCGGCCAGCATCGGCTCAGACTTATGTTCCCTGCATATGTCACAAATGATATCGTAATCCAGAAACTCCCAAAGCTTCTTAGTGGCAATGATTATCATCTCATCTGTACTTCTCAGATCAAATGCTGTAATGTCGGGTGATGCGTGAATATGAGGTAACAGGTCAAAAAATCCGACACCGCGCGAGATGTCAGAAACGCCATCCAACTTGCTATTGTTGACATATCCGCCAGAAATTCTGATTCTCTTGTATTCGTCTCGCTTTGTTGGTATATGCAACGTTGTTAAAGGAACAACATCACCGTTATTTCTTGACAAAACGGCCATCGTATCACCAATGTTTGCAGTGTAGAGTTTTTGGCCTTTAATGAACACGACGGTTGCAGATGACCCACTCAAAAGATCAACTGAGGTGAACTCATAGTTTGCATTATCCGCATCTACGGAATTCAGCATCCCATTAATTTCTTTATTCAATTGAAGAAAACTGAACCTCAAGGCCTTCCGTATGCCTTCTTCGTCTTCACCGAATTTTTCGAGCTGCCTGATCAAAATCTTATCGTAGATATCTCTGATAATCTTTGATATCTTGTGGCCTGCATTTACGCCTTCGTTTTTACCGTCGTAAAGACAAATCAAGCATTCGTCTTCCTTGCCTCTAAACCTTTCAAAAGTAACGTCTCTCGTCGTGACGCAATCCTTTTGGCCCAAGGTATCAGCGACACCATACTTCAAACCGTTTATCAAGGAAGCCGTCGTTCTAAGACGTACGTTCACACTTTCGTCAGGTACCCTCGAAGTCTTAATGGTGACATCCATCAAGCCCAGTATACGCATGTCCTTGAGAACAGTTAAATTGGACAAATCTTCTTTACTCTCATGATCGGATGTGGACTTGATTTCGAATCGCTTGTTTCCCGAAAAGTTCAAGTATTTGAGTTCTAGGTTATGAGCCCAATTCCAGTCATATTGATAGTTAGAGATGTTGTATTTCAACTGATTTGATCCGACATCTAGTACCGTCAGTTGCTTCAGGTGAGATAATTCAGATGGTAAAGAAAGTAAATGATTTCCGTTCAAAAGTAAGACTTTCAAAGAGCTTAACTTCAAAACCGTATCTCCCGGAAGAGTTACGAGGTTATTACCGGAGAGATAGAGCTCTGTTAGACCTTCAAGTTTCAAACTTGAGAGATCGGTCAGATTATTATAAGCCAAATTCAAAGTTTTCAGATTCTCATAGAAGTTGAACAGCGTCCAAAATTGATCTCCCATGTTATTGTCCGACATGCTCAAAAAGAGCAAACTTTTGGCTAAAGGTGAATTGTCTCTGTCTAGGAATATCTCTTCAACATTGATCGTATTGCCCAAAAGATTCGATGATACGTTAAAATAAGTTAGCTCCATTCTACCCATACCCCTCACGAGGTTGCTCAAGTTATTCGAATGAACATCTAAGGTTTTCAAATTTTTCAGTTCAGTCAGCTCTTCAGGAAGACCTTCCAATTTATTACGTGCCGCTGAGAGATAGACTAACCGTGAAAGATTCTTTATCTCTGGAGGAATTTGCGTCAGGTTGTTTTCATTTAGTTCCAATTTTTCTAAATTTGGCAATTTGAACAAAATCTCGGGTGCTAAGCTACTAAGTTTGGCTTTGTTGAGAGATAGGGTTGTAAGATTTTCCAAAAGTTCACCTCGGTAGGCTATAGCAGTAATCGGGTTTTCTTGAATTTCTAAAGTGCGGAGCCTGAGCAATTTGTCGTCAAACACACTTATCCGGTTATCAGATAAGAACAGATTCTGCAAATTAGGAGCATTCAATTTGACTGAGTTTATGCGATTGTGTTTTAAATTCAAGGTTCTCAAATTTGTCATGCCAACCAAATCGGCTAATTGGGTAATTCTATTGTTGGAAAGATTCATCTTCGCCAGTTTCACTAGTCCGTTCACCGAGGGTGGGACATTGGGAATCTTGTTGTATGACAGATCGATTTGAAGAAGACTGGTACAGTGACAAATTACTTCGGGAAATTGCGAAAACTTGTTGGAAGAGACATCAAGTAACTGAAGATTTTTCAAGCTTGTGAATCCGTTAGGCAATCTTTCCAGTTCATTGCATTGCAGGTTTAAAATTGTCAGATTCGCCAAATTTGATATCGCGTTGGGTACCCTCTTGATGAAATTGCGTTCGAGGTCCAAAGAAACCAACTTGTAGGCTTCGGTGATATTGGGCGGAAATCTGGATGCTCTGATGTTCACCATGCGCAAACTTGAAAGTTTGATTGCACTTTCTATGAAGTCCAAGGGTAAAAAGATGTTTGCATTGTTTGAAACATCTAAACTCTCAATGTTGGAAGTATACTGGTAAAAAATAATTGGAGGAATGGTAAGATTCATTGTACGCAAATCGACGTGTGCGAAATCTCCACGACTTAATCTTTGTTCTTGCTCATATGTAAGATGAGAGGTGGCAACGGGGTGAAAGATGAACTTAAAAACGAAACTCAAATCCTCTATACCCATAATGTGTAGCGGATCGCTTTTAGAGTATCCACTTAAAAGAAGAAGTCTTCTTTGAATGAGGATGGGACGCGCCTGAGGCCTGAGAATTTTGGGCACTTTGGCAACTTTAAGCGAGACTTGATAATTCCCTTGTCCCACATTAAACTTCCTTTTAAGCTGAGGAATCATCTCCTGAACAGTCTGATTTGCTGTACAAGACAAAGTCGTGAATGTGTCATCCGTATTGAATATTCGAATAGCATATTTCCGGTGTGGATCAACATCACTAAAGTCATTATAGTATTTTTGCAATTCGTAATAGATTCGGTCGTTATCTTCATCATTTTTCAAAACATCAGAATCAAAAGTTTGACTTGAGCCCATTGAATCACTACGCAGGTGATTTATATCACCTTCTTCGTCCTCATAATCGCTTAGAGTTGAAATAGTTTCACTGTGATTTCTGCCTTTGCTCGCCACGCTACTGGTAATGCTAACTGGTGACACGGCTCGTGCAGGCGTATTAGGCGAAACGTCACGCGAATTGCTCTCACCTAATCTTTGAGTGGACGGAATTTTTCGGTGAACCATTCCGAACTCTGACCTGTCTTCTAATTTTGAAAGACTCCTGCTATCAATTTTGGAAAGTGAGCTACTGGGAGAGGTTTCGCGACCTCTTTTACCCGCGTGTGGCGTAGAAGGGTCATTGGTTCTCCGACCGGTAGGGGTGCCAGATCCCTGATTGCCGTGACGGTGATGTCTTCGCTTGCCTTTACCAGGTGTAGGTTTACCGACTTCTTCGTCTATGTCCCAACTCTCGGGCGCAGTCCATTGAGTTCTTGAATAAGCTGGCTCGATAGACTGTTTAACTTCTGGTGTGGCCAGGGCCTGTGTGACTTTAGAGGCTTGTCGGTCACTTGTTTGTTGAGTCTCAATCTTATCGTCTTTTTTGATTGGTGCTGGCGCCGCGTTGGTAATATCCGACAGATTATTGAGATCGGTATCCAAAAGAAAATAGCTGGTGCTTCTGGTGATACCTCTTGGACTGCGTACCGGACTTTCCGAACCATCCGAGCGTCCCTCAGAGAGTCGGCCATCCGCGCGACTCTCTGAACCGCTAGAAGCTTTTTGTAATTGCTGACTATGCGAGAGCGTCTGAGAATTACTACTTCCAGAAGTCGTGATACTTGCAACCGACCCTCGTCTACTTGTACCGCTTGAACCCGCAAATAGGCTCTGCTTGCTGACATTACCGCTTCGAGCATCGCCGGAATTGTGGATGAACGTGCTCATTTTGCGGCGTATACTGGCCGGACCACCGCCACCGCCACTGCCTCCGGCGGCGGCGGCCGGCGTTCGTTCTTTCGTGACTGACTCCTGGCCGTCACTGTTGTTGGTATCACCGCCTCCTACAGAAATCATTTTCATCCCTGCCAATCGCTTGAAAAGAGAACCGGCTCTTGAGCCCTTGCGCTGACTGGTCCCAGAACTGTTTTTCCCACTAACAGAGACATTACTGGTGGTTCTGTGCAGGCCTGGGATTCTTGGTTTTATAGGATGTGTAAAAGGTGGTATGGGGTCATCAGGGGAATGCGTTAGCGCAGGGTTATGGAAACCCTTATGCCTGCGTTGTAGCTGTTTTGCGAACGCACCGTTTTCAAACACGCCAGCGTGCCCCATAGAAGCTTGTTTAGATAAAAAGGGCCGGGATTTCGTGTCATCTCCACTCGCTTCTGACCTTGATGCCTGCAAGTTTGCAGATGATCCAGAGCGTGAGGAATCTAGGGATGTAACTTTCCGAATTCCATTCCCGCTCATAGTAGTGTCCAGCAAAATCAATGTCACTGAGAGGGTGCGTGCTGAGATATTAGCAAGCAGAAACCTGTAATATTTATAAGGGAGGTGTGATTGGCAACAGCATCCAATTTTTTTCACTTTTGATGATGGATGGGACCCAGCAGGCCCTTTGGCAGCTGAACCAGTGTACGTCATATGTGACGAATATGCGGGACCTCATAATAGCAAATAACGTGACCAAACCCCAGTTAACTGTAGCCATGAGCCTTTTCCTCTGAATAGCCTTCGGTATCATTTGAGAAGTTTCCTAGAGATCAACGGTCGGCGTTTGACCGGGACGCGCCTAGAGATTAAGTGAAAATGGCGTTTGTCCGAAGCCAGCGGAAACGGTCATATATTAGAGTAAGGGCCATTTTCTTGCAGTACATTCATCTTGATCGTTCGTTCACCGCTCGAGGGTTAAAGCCTTGACGGCTGCAAAAGAGTTATCTTCGCGTGGTGGAACAAGTTAAAAACCGTGAGTGCCTGTTTGCAGTTTTTGAGCATTAGAGAGAGAAGCAGAACTTCGCTCTCGGCTTCAAATGATCTCGAACACCCCGATATTTGTACTCTTCTGTTCAGAGTATATTTGCATACACTTGTTGGGCGGCTCTTCCTTTTGAGACGCCTTCCTTATATACCTCGAGGCCCCGGCCAGATCATAGCGAACGGATAGCCGCTCATCCTTAGCATTTTTCCTTTATCCCGAAAAAAATGGCGAAGAGTTAACGAGCAAAAAAACAAGCATTTCCATTAAACCGCGCATTGTTTGCCGAGTAGCTATAAACAAGCTTGGACGTCTATAATACAGCTACAAGAATTACAAGTAACAAAAGAAATATCTGTATAGAAAAGTTTTGATCTTGACTTTTGGTACCGCGTAGAAATGTACATTCAAGCTGTTCTGTCTAAGTTTGATGTAGTCGCCTTGTTGAACTGTGAAAACGGTACCATGAGTTTTTATTTGCTGGAATAGTAAAATTTGATAGTCTTTCAAATTGGTCATTCGTTCTAATTCATCTTAGAGCATTGAATATGTCTTTCTTTGAAAACTTATCTCTTACTCAGTGTGTAACCCTCTGAGACTGATCGTATGCTCCGTACATACTTTATGTCATACTATATCCAGAAGTCACTCCGCGACAAGAAGCAAGGAAATATACCTTATCTTACATATCCATCGCATCCATCGTGCTAGGGATGATCTGAGTGTGTGATCTGGACCTGTGATCATGCCATGTCCATCACCGAGACCATCAGACCTCCATGTCATCATGGGTGGGTCGATTCTATCCTTTCGCTAGTTATTCTGTCGTCATCGTCACGTGATCTCAATTGCCAGCTCCTTCATTTGAACCCCAGCCTCAGAACTCAGTAGCTGATCACATGGAATGTGTATCACCAGCGAAAGCGAGTCCAGGCAGTGCCCAGATTGTTGCGACCATGAAGGGTCGGGAAAATGAGTATCATGAGATAGCTACAGAGAGTGCGAGCAATGTTGCGCAATGGTTCAGTATTTTGGGGTTGGCCGTCGTCGGTGAAAAAATTTTTAATTTTCAATTTAAGCTGTTTAGAGTTACCCTGAGGGCGACTACCGTAAATCTGGTCATACCGTCCCTTTTAAACAGTTCTTGCAAAGCCATTTCCACTTATCGGCTATTGCCTACAATAAGGCAAGGTGACGATTTGAAACTTACGCCATTTGTCATACGACTTGTGGCTAGGATAACTTGAACTTTCATGGCTTGGAAATGATTCCTATTCAAACCATCTGTTCGCCTCCTATTCCGTCACCGTGGGCACGTGACGTAGGCACACAATAACCCAACTTTTCCCTCCGACATATACCTCTCCTGTTCGAGACCACAAAACGAAGTTCGATCCTACAGGTCATCGTCTTGTTAACGTTCTATGTTTGTTAAGAGAGAGCGATAACATGAAGCCCTATCTTCAAGCTGCCATCGCACTGTATCAGGGAACGAATGAAACGATGGCACTACGCTGTAACGAAATTGTAAGCACCGAGGGTAAATAATCGTAGAGCGTAATCACCATGGGACACGTCCGATGGCCACGTTATGTGTGCAGTTCTACACGCTACAAGAGACAAGATATTAAGTAATATCACAAATTACGAAAAGTGCGAGACATTGATCAACGATCCGAGAGCTTCAGAAGCGATTCGAGGATGTCAAGAGCTTCAGAAGCGATTGATAATGAACCTCGCGCAGATGATGGAAATTGCCACGGTGAAAAATGTACTTCTTAACAGGGTAAGCATAGTCACGTGTCAATAACTTCCAAGAACGCATACAGAATACCTACTCCCTCAGACGTTTCCCAGTTTTCAAGCTTCAGACATCCTGCTCTAGAGATATGACCTGAAGGTGGAAATCAACGCCCTGCAATTAATCCAAAAGATATAATGATTATGGTCACGTGCGGAGACAATTACAATCGCTATCAACGAACGAGCAAGTTTCACTAGATTATTAATCCCCGGTATATCAACTGTCCAGATCAAAAACGTCAACCCCCCATTAACTCCTCTTCCACCGCATCAGCACAATGTCCGGTCCCACCAAAGCCCCAGAACAAGAATCTAAGCCCAAGCCATGTTGCGTTTGCAAACCCGAAAAGGAGGCCAGAGACGAATGTCTTCTCTTCAACGGACAAGAAGGAGGCAAATGTGAAGAGCTTATTGCGAAGTACAAGAAGTGTATGGCAGGCTATGGTTTTAACGTTTGAGACATGAAAAGAAGTTAGATTGGATTGTGGTGTCGAGAAATCCCATCCCACCTGTAAATATGCGTATTTTTCCAAAAGTTTGCTGTACATATATTATGATTCCTTTGAATATAAACGAGTTGCGACGTGAAACTCTAGGAGATCCCTTAGAGACTTCAAAGAGAATACCAGGAGCCTCTGGACGGGCTCCTGGTATCGATTAGCGTCGCTTGTCGCTGTCGTCTGCATCTACGATGTCCATAAACTGAAAAAATTAATAAGATCGATTCGATGATCGTTCAAGCGGTATGGTCCGTTTCTCCGAGAGTCGTTTCCATTCAATCACAATGTCTTCACACGATCTTCCAGCTTCTTTTACTGGGACAATTGACCTTGGTATCATTGGCGGTACCGGACTTTACAAGCTAGAATGCCTTAAACCCATCGCGGTGTTACCTGCGATGCCAACACCATGGGGGACGACTTCGTCTCCGATAACGGTTTCCAAAGTTGTTGGTGATGCAGATGAGCATTTCCACGTTGCGTTCATTGCAAGACATGGTCTACATCATCAGTTTCCTCCCAGCAAAGTGCCCTTCAGAGCGAACGTCGCTGCATTGAAACATTTAAAATGCAAAGCAGTTCTGTCGTTTAGTGCCGTCGGGTCATTACAACAGCATATCAAGCCCAGAGATTTTGTTTTACCACAGCAAATCATTGACAGAACCAAAGGTATCAGAGAGTCGTCTTTTTTCAACGATATCGGTTTAGTCGGCCATGTGGCCTTCGGTGAGCCCTTCTCGAAGGCCTTTGCCCAATACATCCATCAGTTTGCGCATGTGATCGACAACCCGGAGGCTACCGACGCTTGCGAGTTGCACTTCGATGCTGATACCACCGTTGTTTGCATGGAGGGGCCTCAATTTTCCACTAGAGCCGAATCCAAAATGTACCGTCTTTTGGGGGGCGATGTGATCAACATGAGCGTTTTGCCAGAGGCAAAACTAGCACGCGAGTGTGAATTGCCCTACCAGATGGTTTGTATGTCCACTGACTACGACGCCTGGAGAGACGAAGCAGCGCCTGTTGACGTTGCGACTGTTGTCGGAAATCTAACCAACAATGGTCGTAACGCCAATGCACTAGCTTCTGCAATTATCACCGAGATGGCCAACAAAATGCCTGACTTCATGTTGAGCGGTGACGGATTGAAGGGCTCGGCCAAAGGCGGAATCACTACAAAACCCCATGCACTCTCGACGACTCATCTCGAGCAACTCAAATTTTTGTTTCCTGAGTACTGGTGAGCGCGCTGGCTTATACAGCTTTCAATAACTATCTATTCATAAATCCATGGAGTTCACATTCTTTTACGAGGACTAGGAGAGTCCATCATATACAAGTATTTACTGCTCGGAATGTAGCCTGACCGATTCACGGGTGCCGTGACCGGAACAGTGGCGGCACTCGTGACAGGTACAGGTGTGGAAGTCTGCGCGTCCGATGCCCGCTGAAGGTTTCCAAAAGCGTTAACTTTATCCACAAACGCACTAGCGGACTGTTTATCGTTGTTGACAAGCGAATTTCTAGCCTTTAAAGGCGTGCGCAGAGATTTGAACAAAAATGGATGTGCAGGTGGTTTTTTAACTTCGAGCAACTCTGGCACGGGCCTCGACTCAGAGCTGGAAAGCATTACCCTGGGCAGTATTTTGGAATTGGAAGGCGTGTCGATGAGCCCGAGTAATTGTTTCTGTTTTTGATTCAAATGCAAATCGTCGATCTTGATGCTTTGAGCTTTGATCAACAATTTCCAGAGCGACACAACGATATTGAAGAGCATGACGAGACGTAGCAAGTGTGACACGTTGTCCAGAGTCACATACGCAAGCCATTCGGTAGTATTGAGGTTAATCTGGGGCCCGATACGGACCGTTGCATGTCGAGTGCAAAACGATTCTATTCGGTGCATGATATAGCCCCCTGTGTCGGTACGATACAGGAAAAGTTGGTAATACTTGAGTGCGAGGTTCCATACCAAAAGTCCAATCGCGTTATAGATGATCCTGCGACTTTCGAGTTCTTTATTGACTATTCTGGACGAAAATGAGTCGAGTACAGGGTTTTCGAATTTACCAAGTCGCATTTGTTGTTGGTATAAGTCGGAATCCTCAGCGTGGTCCAATGGCGACACGGTTTCAGTAGCAGCTGCGTTAGCAGCTGGAATTGTTGCTGTCTGCGGAACCGCAGGAGAGAGAGCTGGTGTCCCGCTTCTGCCAAATGCACTAGGCTGTTGCAACCCCACGCTGCCCAATGGACTCGATAGCACCTTATTCTTATACAGAGCTGGTGATTCCTTGACCACTTTCTCACGAAGTGACGCTAATTGTACTGCAGTTACGCTTTTTTGAGGCGTAGAAAAGACCTTGGAAGGCGTCCCATACGTACTCATACTCTGGAAATGCTCCAAATGGTCCAAATTCCGCCTTTTCTGGCCAGAAAGTAACCTTTCTCTTACTTAAAAGAAACCGATTCTCAGTCAGAGATGAGCTTCTTTCAAAGTTCCCGAAACTCGATGGCCCTTCGCATAAAGTGACATCAACACCCGCTGACTCTTTTTTTATCAAGAAGGCCGGGTAACGTCCGACGAACAAGAAACAAGCCAGCTATCATTGGTAAAGGTTTTACTCTCTCAAGTGGCAAACTCATCAAGATCAATAAGCAGTGGCAAAGAGCCAAGGTGAGGCATCTGGATAGGGACGATGGGATTTATTTCGTCGTTGCTGTGTTGCTCTTCTTCTCAAGCCGGCAACCAGAGGCAGAACGAAAAGCCGAAAGACGCTTTAACAGCGCAACAATCGAGAATCCACGCAACATTATCGAGTTCTACGCGCAAAATGGGGCCATCTGGAACGACGCGTTCAACGAATGCGGGCACCAGAAAGAGCCATGGTCATAGAGGTGCAGGTCCGAAAAGTGGGGGTGTTAAAACTGCTGAAGTCGCGCCGGTAGCAGGGGCGCGGGAAGCTCGGAAACCTGAGAAGGACCAGAAACCGTCTGGGCGTAGAAATCATTTGGATGAGGAATCTGAAGATGCAATGGATGTCGACGAGGACGAAATTTCGCAGAAAGAGGACAAATTGGTGACCGTTTACAACGGAGAAACCGAGTCGAGCACTGGGACTGCAGATGAGCACGCGGTAGCGGGGAATCATGCTGCGGTAAGCGGCCCAGCAAGTGGTGTAAGCAGCCAATCGCATATGCATCAGTCCGATATACCTCACAAGCCCAACCACGAAGAAGAAACCAACGAAGTGACCACCGTTGTACATGAGGCAGACCATTCAAGCAGTGCAGAGGAATCAGAAGACAGTGATCAGGAAAATAGTGACGTCGACGTTTCTCCGTCGTATGAGTACGAGGACAACAACGAAGGTGCTGTGATAAACCTGTCATTGTTGCAACCGGATCAAGCACGCGCTCCTGGGTTCAATACGTTACTGGCACCCACCAATCCAAAATTTAGTGGCAAAAAGTGTCTCATTTTGGATTTGGACGAAACTTTGGTGCATTCGTCTTTCAAATACCTGCGATCTGCAGATTTTGTCATCCCCGTTGAAATAGACGATCAAGTTCACAACGTTTACGTTATCAAAAGACCGGGCGTGGACGAATTCTTGAAAATGGTGGGGCAAATTTACGAAGTTGTGGTATTTACCGCTAGTGTTTCTCGCTATGGCGATCCTTTGCTTGACGTACTTGACCGTCATCATTCGATACATCATCGACTTTTCAGAGACTCGTGCTATAACTACGAAGGAAACTACATCAAGAATCTATCACAGATAGGCAGGCCCTTAGCCGAGATCATTATCCTGGACAACTCTCCAGCGTCATACATTTTCCATCCACAGCATGCTATACCAATATCGTCTTGGTTCTCAGACGTACATGACAATGAACTTATGGACATCATGCCCTTGTTGGAAGATCTAGCCCAAGAAAAAGTACCAGATGTTGGGCAGATTTTGGATGTGACCATATAATGATTCCCTTTCAAAACTTGGAGAAAAATCTACGTGGAATCACCGACGAATAATATTTAGCCGATTCCACTTTTTTCCCCTTTTTCATTTTTTGATAGATCAATCGATAAGGAAGCTGGATCTCCCTGTTTGTATTTTCACCACATTTTAACTATTCTGCTGTTGGCATTCTTTTGCAATTGTCCATAATTACATCTTCTAAATAAGACAGGTGCCAACGTCATTTAACTTTTGATAAAAACCATCAAGTTTCTCTATACTTTTAGCCTACTTTTATACACATCACTCTTCATCTGAGTCATTCGTTTTCGATTCGTCTTTCCTATTCTTGTACTCATGTACAAACCCAACAATCTGTTTCTTTCTCTCTGGAACAAACTCCATATCTCTACGTGTTCTCCGTTCGTTGGTTTCTCTTCTTTTTATGCTATTAAGCTCAACTTGCTTGATCTCTTGCGCCTTTTTCACAACCTTAGGAGCATGACGGTGCCGACTAATTCTGCGGATTTCTGGCATAAACTTGAACCTTTCTTTCAATTTCTCATCATACTCTAATTTGTTTTTCTCACGCATGCTCTTGACAGACGATCTTTCCCAAGCTTTAGCTCTCCACAACCGTACGTTGCCATCGTCTGAACCGCTTACAATGTACTTGCTGTCCATTGTGTATTTCACTTGGAAGACGTGTTGCATCCGCTTTGTATGATACAGTTCGCGCGAATGTCCGTGTTTAACTTGATAAATTCTAATAGTTTTGTCGTAAGATCCAGTGACAATTTCATCACCTGTAGGGGAGAAATCAACATCCATGACGGCACTTACATGGTCTTTGAACACATGTAGAGCTCTGGACATATTTCTCATATCATAGTAATAAGCGTTATGATCTTCACTGGCTACAGCAAAATTGAATGGTTCCATTGGGTTCCAACACATGTTGTTGACTCGCATGCTATGAATGATTTTCTGAGTAGCAGAATTGGTACGCAGGTCGTAAAGTACAATCGAATTGTCACTGCCAGCACTTGCTAAGACGTCACCTTCATTTTGATTGAATTTGACGGTAGATACGTTATCTGCACCCCAAGAAAGATCTTCCAAGGGTCTGGATCTGTTCAAATCCCAGAGTTGAATTTTGGCACCTCCGGTCACGAAATTGGCTTTGGTTCTGTGATGATCGATACCTTGGAAAGCGAACTCCCCACGGAAAGTCTTGAGCAAACCGTCACCATTGTTCACATTTGCTTCATCAGTATGTGCGAAATCATCGCTATTGACAGACCAAAGTTTGACCGTACGGTCGTCACCACACGAAAGCATTTGATTAGAATTTTTACTACCTGACAGATGCTGGGGAGTTACACACAGACCCGTTACCAATCCGTAGTGTGCCCTAAACGAAGCCAATTCTTCCCTCGTACCCATGTTCCAATATTTGACAATCCCATCTGCGGAGGCAGTAGCCAGTTTGTTTAGCACGTTGTAATTTTTTGCAATAACGTATACACCGTCGCGATGACCATGACCCATTTGTCCCACAAATGGCTTAGCAAACATTCTTTCCATTTTAGTCGCATTCAACGCCCGCGTATATTCCCGAGCCCTTTCGAACGGATGCAGAGCAGGGTCCAAATTCCGCGGAAGTTGCGATTCTTGAGTACTTTTGACAGGGACATAGTCGTCCGCACTTCTGCTAATTGTCTTGATCTTCATGGTACCCCAGTAAAAGCTCTTGGGAACCGAATTTATAGTGGTTTTCCACAGTTCGATGTCTTGAAGTTGAGGGCGATGAGCTGAAATTTTTCAGTCTGGACAGAGGTAGAGATGAGCTAACTCCAGAAATAAGAACAGTTCGTCGTTAGTGATACATTTAAGCCCTCAGCGATTTGTCAACCCCATTGGCATGAGTCTAAAGCGTGGGTATCCTTAGGTTATCTACCATGGGTTTGCCAATACGTTGGACAACGTCCCGAGCCCATAGGACATCCAGGTGCGAGTATTCGTCGATGTACCAAATCTTGTACAAGGAATGGGACTCATGATCAATAAAATGGTTTATGAGACGTTCACCGTCGACAAGACGGTCCTGACGCGGGATGAAGATCAAAAACCGGGGAAAATCGGTTACGGTGGGTCTTGGAATGTTGAGATGATTTTCAATTTGAATTTTGGGGGGGCCAGATTGCACCGGGAACCAAGTTTTCGAGTCAGGGAAAGTAGTCTCAGCAAAATTCTTGAAACAAGGAGCGTTGCGGCCATCCCCAAGCCACCACCGCATCAATTTGACCGAGATGACCACGGGGGAGAAAAGGAAATGCCGGTCTCGTAGTGGTTTGTCCCATAGAGTGTCGTTCCAATCGAATAAATAGTTGAACATGACATAGGATAGAAACGAAAACAACTTTGAGCCAACCATTAGTTTGCGCATAACGCTCATGAGCGGTAGAAACGATCCGCGACCAAATGCCCATGGTTTAGCGACGTAACGTGACATGAATCGAATGAACCCTTTTTCGTCGAGTAATGGCCCGGGATACACCGCAGGTGCCAATGCGACGAAATTCTCGATTTTGTCAATAAGTCGAAAGGACCCGTCATAGAGTGCTTCACCGTTGACGAGTCCCATGAAAACTTGCGTAGTGCCTTGAGAATGTGCCACAAGCGATATTTTAGGTTTACCAGCTTTAACGAGCACTTCATCGACCAGTGCAGGTAAATCGTATTTGACCATTTCTTTCAAATCCCAGTCCCAATGCGCATCCTTTTCGATATGCGCCCATTTGGGTTTGAAACCACACCTGTTGTTGCCCAGCCAAACGTCAAAACCTTGTTCTTCCAGGTAATATGCCAAAGATTTTCTCCCACTCGAGGCAAACGATCCGCTACTCTGTAACAACCCGTGTAGCAACAGAACCGGATGACGATCTGACTTGTCAGACGACTTGTCTCCGGCAGATTTGGACCTAAGATGCCATAATTCTATAACAAACCCATCTTCAGTAGTGACCTCAAAGGATTCGAAATCCAAATCGTATTGTTCATAATAATAACCAAGTCTCGGTACCAATCGGAAATCCTCAGCCATCAACAAATCGGCGAACGGATTCCCACCTTCAGAACTTCGAGTTCGAGGTAATTCATCTTTGCCGACGGCCTCGCCGCTTGTCACCGTATGATCATATTCGATATTATTAGCTTCATCAAACTCTGTCAAAGCAAACGGTGTTTCCGAATTCACTGACGAAGAACGACGTCGCAGTTCGCGCCGTGGCTTGATTGCCGACTTAGATCCTCTGATATCTCTGGGATCTTTCTTGTGAAACCATGAGATCAGATTATGCCAAAGTGCTAATATAAACAGTACCGTAAGAAAACAAGTTGATATCACACCGGAGCATATATCGTACCAAATCCCGCTCATAAGCGACTGTCAAACCACTTCTACTGCGGTTTTAGTGGCTACCTGAAACTCCAGTCTAGTGTCGAGAACTTGAGTTCTTATATATAAACGTCATACACAATTGTGAAAATTCATCAACTCTTGAACTAACATATCGATGTTTCACAAACGAGTCACCGTGGTCGTTCCAGAAGACCTCAAGCACGGGAATGGACGAGTTTTAGAGATATTTGCCATACATTTCAGTAATAAAATAGTGATTCAAATGGCCTGGAATGGTGAAATGGACAGTACTTACGAAGTGATCAGCAAGGGACTTGCTGAGACGGAAACAGGTCCAAATACGCTGGAATTCAGCGACGAAGACGACGTTTATGGTCCAGATAAATTGGCCAATTTTCAAGTAGTAACGCTTCTTGGAGACGCCAACGACATGAAAACACCTATAGTGTGTACTCAAATTGCAGAGTTGTACCAAAAAGTCGTTTTCCCAGCTCAAATCGATGGACTTGGTGGCAATGAGCGTGATTCCCGGTTTGTCATCAGTTTGAGTCGGAAATTGTGGCAAAATAATGAGTCAAACGCGGACTTTGGACTGTTAGTATTCGTGCTACAAAGTATACGTAAAATGTATGGAATTTGAGGGACGAGCTGATCATTTTGCCTCGTCGATCACGGCCATGTCCAGTACCTGGAGTGTCCCTCTCTTGTCGCACAATGCAACGAGTTCACGATAACTGACTGGGTCTATCAAGGCCGTACAAGACCAAATCGTGGTCGAGGATTCATTATGTACGGATGTGGTGAGCAATCGTTTGACCTGGGCCACGACGGAGTCGTCGACTGCGTCGTCGTGGTCTGCGGTTGGTAACTCGATTTTAACACGCATCTTGGCACGCGTGATTGGTATTATTTGACTGCTCACCAAAATTTTGATTGCTTCGAGCGCCTGAGTCTTGGCAGGCCGATTCAAAACAACACTGAATTTGAGTTCCGTGAGAGCTTTATGGATCATGGTAGGTGGATACCGTTTCTTTGATTTGGGATTGATGCATTTGGCGCTTATAATGGTCAACATTTCGTTATTGATCTTAGTGATCATAAGTTGTCGTTCTTTCTCTGAAAGTTGGATTTCTCCACGATCAAGAATCTCTTTGATAATCACATCGTTTTCTGAGGTGCCGAATGCTTTGATCAGCTCATCTTTTGGAGCTACAAATCCTTTCGAAACGTTTAAAAACACTTGATGGATTTGAAGTACTTCGTCCAGATCTTTCTCGATGCCCTTCCTGTAATCTTGTACTTTGTTCTGATAACATGCGACCTCAAAACGCCGTTTTCCCTTTTTCAATCTAACAAGTGACACATTCGTCAACTTGATTTGACCCGATGGTTGATTTATGGGCATTTTGGCCCCATAAACTAAGTCATCTCACACCAGTAGAACAGAGATTCTTCGACGTGATATAGTTCAAATTGGTTCATCATGTGACACGACTCCCCCAGCCTCATCACCATCACGTAAGATCTGGTAAAACTTCAACATCAGATGCTCACATAAAAGGTACAACACTTATCGTACCATCGGTACGCACAAGTATATATATATATATATATAGCGCAGTAAAACTCAAAAGTAGATATAACAATTATTTTTTTCGTCTTAATTAGGCCAACCACCGTCTTTCGAACATTTCAAGCATGGCTTGGTAGTGTCCAGTGACACCACACATCACAAAAAGATGCCATAACGTATGAGAACAGAAATAGTCGACCCACCACAGGGAAGAGAGGCTTTTGCGCTTTTCTCTGGTTTCGGTTTCGTTTGTGGGCTTGCAGCAGTTGGGATGTTGAGTTGGTTTGGGCCGGAAATGGATATGCTTGTGTTTTGTGATGATGTCGAGATTTGTAGAAAGTTCTTCGTTGGTTGGGATCCGTGCGTCGACAAGCACATCGGTTCTCCAACGTTCTGGAATAAAGGTACCGTAAAATATAACGCCCACCACGTACCACACAAGAGATTTGACCAACACGGGCTTGATCAAAGTCGAAGACGCGACGTTCTCGCCCAATACGGTGGAATGAATATAGGACAACAAGCCCATACTGGCGAGTAAAAGATAAAACGCAATCCGCAATGGTCTGGCCTCTGGTCTATCAAATGCAGGAGCCCAATTCATGAAAACGCCAAATGCACCGAATATGAACGAGGCCGTTGTGTAACATAGTAACGGCAGGGTATATGGAGACGAGGAATCGCCACTGAGCACGGCAAATTCCGTTGTTAAAATCGAAGCGGTGATCAGGATCGTGATCCCGGTGTAATCTGCACACGCGCACCGAGATCGGTCTACCAAGTGGCAGATACCATTGAAGGTGTGCCAGTTCACCGAAAACAAGAAACATTCGAGGCCTGCCGCTAAAAAGAAGTAAGCAATGCATTTGGCCGCAAAGGGTACCTGGGGTGACTGGTAAACCGCCGTTTGTGGGAAACCGTACACCATCAAGTACAAAAAGTACATGGCACCCGCGAGATGAGTCCAAATATTGATAGTTTCATTGTGCCAGCCATACCAGTTGAAAATAGACAGGAAGGATTTGAGATAGGAATGATGGAAACGGTAGCCGTGGATGATGAACCGGTTTTCACGCCAGGGGAAAGGTAGTTCATAGTAGTGAAGATGACGAGTTTTACCAAATTCGAGAGCGGTACTCCAGTTGAAGAAGTTGATAGTGTGTGCTATTTGCGCCGGGTCCTCGATGAGCACGTCTAAACGATGGTCCAGAAAATCCAAGTTGTGAAGGAGTTGGGTTGTCTTTGAGGTATCTTGCGTACGCGTAGTTTCGACAGATTGCAAAGTGGCACTGGAATGAATGCTGTTGGTGGAAGGTGGAGACGATACCAAAGTTGGAGTAGACGCCGTTTCCGCGTTGAAATGCTCGTCCCATATGCGGTTGAACTTGTGGATGCTGTGCACGCCAAGATCTGGCGAAGAGTCCGAAACAAGTGTGACCGCGTCGAGGGCAGAGTCGAAAGGTGTGGACTCGCGGCTGCGGAACTCTTGGGTGGTATTTTTCAAAAAATGGTACAGGTGAAGCACACTGGGGTCGACCTCAGACTCTATGGCCGCGGTTTGTTCGGCAGCAGGGAAAGCTTGCAGCTGCGACGACCCGGTGGGCGAAGAAACAAGCCCCGCGTACGCAAAGGGTGCCTTCATTTTGCGAAGCGCTCCCGAGGGTGATACGGACACCTGAGCGCGCCCCCACTTGACAAACTTCTTGCCCCGATTCTTGATCCGGTCGAGACGAGGCCGGGCTGCAGCAGTGGCTGCCGCAGTGGCCGCTCCGAATGTAGTGGTATCGGTACCGCCAGATTGCTCGGAAACTCGTCCTCCGGGCAGGAGCGCTTCGAGCCGCTCGAGCCGATTGTCGACGGAACCCAAAAACCGCTCGAGCCTGTTGATCGCGGCGACACAGGTGTCGCTACCACCTCCAGCAGTGCTATCAGCGCCGCTGCGGTCACTCATGACCACGTGGACCGTGTTGTGGAGTTCAGTTGCAGCGTCCATGTATCAAAGATCTAATAACGTTGACAGAAAAACCTCAAGACCCGAAAAAACCGAAAATGGAAGGACGGCCTGAGTATGTCTCCGTGTGTCGCTGCTCGACCTGCTTCTCGCTGTGAGAACTCGCGTGAAACTCACTCGCGCTGCGAGATCTGCCGTTCTGGTTCTTGTAATATATGGCGTGCGTTTCTTTAAAACCGCAAGCGCGCCTGCAGGACTCGCTAACGACGGGAACGCGAACAAAAGAAACATGCCGACTGGCCGGGATGGTTCCGCAGGTAGTACAAAGGAATAGATAAAGAGACCTTGCCGGATCTACCCCCACACCCCCACACCCCCCTCTAGTATTAGGGGGGGGGGGTCTCTGAAGTTACGTCATTCCACCCATGCACCCAAAATCGTTGTAGAAACTTATCACGTGATAAGTAATTTCCCCAAGTCACGTGGAGCTGGCGACAAAATCCGTGGGTACCTAGTGCAGGGCGGCAACGGAACAAGCAAGCACATACACACACAAGCGCACCGATACGCGCGCTACGAGACGACGCTAATTGTAACTCTGTAAAAGTACAGAGAGGCGCGGCAGCTGTGTTTCGTAGCGGTAGTAGTGGTGTGGTGTGGTGTGGTGTGTGTTCCGTGGCGTTCCTTCGCTAAGCGCCAGGGGGCTTGAAGTGGTCGCAAGAAGAAAGAAAAAGGGAGGTTACTGTGTGTTCTCTTTATATAGTTGGAAAAAGGGGGGTGGCGTCGTTTTTGTGTCCCACACTCCGCCGCTCGCCGCCTGCGACGTAAATACGTCGCCAACTAATCGGCATCGAAAAAAATAAAATAAAATAAAATAAAATAAAATAAAAATAAAAAATGCCGCCGAGGTCACGTGGAGTAGGGAGAAAGAAGGCGAGAGGGGCAACGTAGTTCCTCGCCGCACCGTCTGCGGGACGTCGTGACGGCTAACCCTGTGCAGTGCTTTAAGAAACCGAAGCTTGTCAGGCTCTGTCGTTGATTGGGCTATGGTCGCGGTGCTTTGTTTGTGTTCTACAGGACAGCTTCTCTAATGGCACTATGCTTGCTGTTCGTTATATGTGACTTCCATACATATTGGCACATGTGAAAAAGAGGTTCTAAGCACGTGACTTCGTGGAACAAAGCCATCGCCCGAAAGAGAGCCATTAGCGACGCGCATAATCTGCATGTAAGGCTACTTAGGCGTGAGGATCTTGCTCAGCCAGAAAAATGTCCTTCGAACTCTGAGTTTGAGTGAGAGAATGTATGTCATTAGTTACGAGATCTGCAGAGCAACTCCTCACAGGAATTCTCGCCGCAATTGTCTCTAGAAGGCACTATCTATATCACAATCCCCTGCCTTTCAATGTGCCCTAGGGTGCCCTATTTACATCCGGCTGATTCTCGTGAGAGCTGTTGCTGGCAATTGTAGTCACCGTTGACGAAAACTCACACGCTACTCATCCACGTCCACAACGATCACCCGATAACTCCACACGGGTGGCAACTGTCGAGCCATCCCGTCCCACTTCGAAAAACTAGTCTCAACACGGGATGAACGAAGCTAGGTTTCATTGGTAACGGATCACGCAGCCCAGAGTCGAAGGCGCATCCCTCCCAGCTGTGTACCGTCTTTGCTCAGGCGTCACGTACACTCTTTGGGCAGGTCCTCACCATCACCAGGTTGAAGCGCGCGTTTACGGGTCACTTCACGCAATCATTAGCGTCCCTGTTCAAGTGACAAGCAAGGGACCACAACTCCACGAAAGGAGAGCTTTTCCGGGGGTTTTTTTACTCTCAATATCATGTCTGCTGCAGATAGCCCACCTGACGCTTACTCTGTTGGCGGTATCAATAATTTAGTGGGTTCCCACGGCGCCCGAAACATGGACTCGGAACTGGCGTCCATTGTGTCGTCGCTTTCCGCGCTTTCGAACGTCTCCGCTCAGCAACAACACGGCCAGATCGGTAGTTTCCGTCGCAGGTCCGTCAACAGTAACAATGGCAGCGAAGTCGATTCCGAAGTGTTTTTCCACGGCGGCCAAAACTCCCCCATACTCAAGCGTACCACGCTCTCAGTTGGCGCAGCGCCCATTGGTTCTGGTACCGGCGCCGCGGGCGCTGCGGGCGCTGGCATTAACAGCAGGCTGAACATGCTTGGCAATTACTCAGCCAGCGTTACGGGCGGCATGTTGCAACACCAAAGCCAACAGGGCGGATTTTTCGAGCGATTTGGCCGCAGTCTTGCCGAGGGAACCCGCGAAGTCGAGCTCAACCTCGGTCGTTCCTCAGGTCGCGCGTCGCGCCGCGAAAGTCTCGGTACCATGGAATCGTTTTCACGCGTGCCGGAGACATCGACATCTTCGTCTGCGCTGCCACTCGCGTACAGCGGCGACGATCGCAGACCATCGGTGTCGTCCGATGCCCTCGAGTCTTTAAGCGAAAACTTGGTTTTGCAGAACGAAATTGCCAGCGCGGGTCCGCAAGCGGGCCCGGGCTCTCAAGCGACGGAACGCACAACTATTTGGAATGTGGCCAGTGCTCCAGTATTCAAGCCGCAGGCCACTGCCGCTGGCATCGCTAGTCCCAGTGGCGGCGCCCCTGACGGTACTTATGCGCCTCAGGACATGATGTTCGAAGATGCGTACGCGTTCCCGTACGTGGGCTTTCAAGGCGCCCAACTCATGTCTATGATGCCTCCGGGCGTCCCGCCTACAGCAGGGCCCATGGGTATGCCACCAGGTGGTGCGTTCATGCCACCACCGCCACATCCGTCGTCAATGGAGAGCGCATCCAACAACCCGAGCGCCCCAATTAGCAGCGATCCTCATCAACCGGGTTTTGGAGCCACGACTATTGACGGTACCCCTCCACCGACTTCTCAGGACCAAGATCAACCTCGTCAACACCGCCAGCAACAATTACCGCCTTTCATTTTTCCCAACAATCCATACCTGTTTTTCCCGCCTAATGCCGCTAACGCGCCAATTCCTTCCGAAGAGGGGCCCCACTCGCGGCCCGGTTCTAAAATGGGCCACAGAAATGGTTCCAAGCCGGACGCAACCAAGTCACACGGTAATCCTTATTTGCACAACTCTCGTGGAACGAAAAATGGTTCGCCGGCAAATTTGAACGGATTACCCGTTTTCAACACACCTCAACCAAGGACAGCTCCTAATTCATCGTCGAATAACACGGGAAGGGGCAAGAAAAACGCCATTCCAAGATCACCTTTACTTGAAGAGTTTCGAAACAACTCCAACAAGAGAAACTACACCATCGAAGATATATTCGGATCCGCATTGGAGTTTTGCAAAGATCAGCATGGGTCCAGGTTTATACAGCAGGAACTTGCGAAGGCTTCTGATACCCAAAAGGAAGTGGTTTTTAATGAAATTAGAGAAGAAGCCATCCCCCTATCGGACGATGTCTTTGGTAATTACGTGATTCAAAAATTCTTTGAGCATGGACTCGAGGTTCAAAAGAACGTGCTTTACAATCAGTTCAAGGGCAAGATGGAAAAATTGTCGATGCAAATGTACGCATGCCGCGTTATTCAACGTGCTTTGGAATGCATAAGAGAAGAACAGAAAATCGCGCTTGTCGATGAACTCATGGATTGTGTTTTGCCCATGATCAAGGATCAGAATGGGAACCATGTGATTCAAAAGGCAATTGAGTGCATTTCGATGGAAAAGCTACCGTTCATCTTGAAGAGTCTACATGGTCAAATTTATCATCTGTCAACGCATGCGTACGGATGTCGCGTCGTACAACGATTATTAGAATACGGTAGGCCTGAAGATCAAGACCAAATTTTAAATGAACTTGATCAGTTCATTCCATATCTTATCGAAGACCAATATGGCAACTACGTCATTCAGCACATTTTACAGCACGGTAGTGTCAAAGCCGATCAAGTTCATATCGCCAAGACCAAGCAAGAGATCGTCGACAATGTTTCGAAAAATGTAGTTGAGTTTTCCAAGCACAAATTTGCGTCTAACGTTGTGGAAAAATCTATTTTGTATGGTACGGCCCCTCAAAAACGTCTGTTGATGGATAAAATCCTACCTCGGAGCACGGAACACGCACAACACCTTGAAGACTCTGCACCCTTGGTTCTCATGATGCGCGATCAATATGCCAATTACGTGGTGCAAAAATTAGTCGGAGTAACGACCGGAGAAGACAAGCGACTCATTGTCATTACAATAAAGTCCTACCTTGACAAACTAAACAAGATCAATTCACAGGGCAGTCGTCATCTGGCATCTGTTGAAAAGCTTGCTGCTCTTGTTGATAAATTATAATTTGACCAAAAATGCCGAAACTGTGGTGACGACCAACGTGCAATATTCATAACCAACATCAATCCTTGTTTTGTATATAATTCATTTCACCTTGTCTATATGATAGTTTATATCGTGCTATTGATATTTTCTTAGTTAGCACCTGTCAATGGGATGTTCGAGCTAAATTGTGGTGCGGTGATGGTGGAATGGTCTTTGGCTAGCCCTTCTTTTCTCGGTTTTTGGATTTCAAGGTTCCTTAAAAGTATCAAGATGAAATCCTACTGAATTTCAAAATTGCTTATATTCACTAAAAGACGAGGAAACCTGAGGAATCTGTCAAAATGGCTTCTAGCAGTTGGAAGCAGTGGCTCCGGCTGAGTAGAAGGCAGCTTAAGCAGTTCAGGGAGACTTTAAATGAGGAAATTGATGAACTTTTGGGTCAACGGCTTCCAAATTATCGGCAATCATTAGTAAGAGTTCCCGTACCAGTGCGAAATGGAGCCAAAGAGACCTTCAAGAGGAACACTGGGCGTAGGAACTACCATAACGTGTCGCAACGTGGATTTAGATCTGAATTTGCTGGTAAAGACGTTTTTCCCGGGCAGAAAACAGGCGTAAACACAGCATTTCAGGGGAAGTCGATTTCATTGGGGTTTGCTGACGTCCAAAGAAGACCCAAGGGAGTTCCACGCGGTCTGTTCACAAACTGGAACATGAACACCGCCAGATTTACTCAGGGAAGATGCTATTCGACTGCCAGTATACGGATAACGCATGACGCTGTGCAAAACATGTCAGTCGGTTTGAGATGCTTTTTTAATATGTGGGACGATTCGTTGATGAACCCGGAAAATGCGAAACACACTGACTTCTTGGGCTACCGTATGCATCAGAAGGACCGCTTGGCGTCTATAAATGTTTCCACTGCGCATGCTGTGGAGGTGTACGATATGATCAAGACTCACAGGCAGATGGTCCCTGGTCTTGCTGATGACGAGCAACTGGGCTGTTTTGTCGAATTCAAGTTTCCAACACTTCACGATGAATCGATGCCTGCTTTTATCTTTGCGTGTGATGGGTCGCTCAGCAGGTGGAATCAGGAAATTTCAAGATTTGAGCTGCAGTTGAGAGAAATTGAGAACTGCGTCCGATGTATACACCAGAATTTCGGTGCGTTACCCGTTGCCTTTGACTCAAACAGCGTGAAAGTGCATTTCCCCAATTTATCAACGCGGGAATTAGAGTTGTTCTTACGTGACTTGGGCATAACGCGAGGTGTGATCAAGACAGACTCAGAGGTTCCACCGGCGAACCCTATGCAGAATGAGTACGTCCGGTACGAAACAGACGTCTCCATTCTCTCCGATTCTGAGACGGAATCAGATTTTACCGTGCTGTCAGATATCTAATATTCTTTCTTCTCATTCATTTGCTACTATCATTATGATTATGTTATTTAGGTTAAGTTATAGGTTCTCATTTTGTTTATCCCAATAACGCATACACAAACGTCCATGCCATTACATAGCCGGCCAATTCTCTGAACAACGAATCGACCAAGATTTCTTGAATTGGGCTTTGATAGTATTTCCCGGGCTTCAATCCGCAATACCACACGACAAAAACTAAAGAAATCGCCAAATAGGACCCGAAAAATGCACCAAACCCTTCCAAATTTTCCAGTTGAAGGATTCCTGCTCCACAACCAAAAACCAAAGACGTTATATCCTGGATATATAACAGTCGTTTTCTATTGAAATTTATGCTCTCTTGAGAGTTGACATTCGCGAAAACTTCCTGTGCATTCATATGGATAGTGACAGTTTCTCTCGGTGGAAAGAAGAAGCGGAAGTGCTAGCTAAAAGGTCTATTCGATGGTGTTATGCTCGACCTAGAGCCAGTCTGTAGTTGTGATTTCCATATTGATATGATGGGTTCTTGATTGAAAATCAATTCATACGAAATCTCCGGATGCGGATGGGTTATTCGAAAACTGAAAAATTTTGGCACTGGCAAGCTCATCGCCAACTACTTCAACGCTTAAACCTGATCATTCTGAAACGTTTATTATTGGCTTAAGGGCTTTAGAGGATGGTTTCTCAACTAGAAGAATTAGTATCTTTCCTGCACTCGCCACAACCGGCGGTGAGACAGATAGCATTGGACAATCTCGTTGGTTTTAGTACCGGAGCCAGTGCTTCTGTCTTCAAATTCAATGGTTTCAAACCCATTGAAGACCTTAAAAACCTGTCGAAAGAAGCTTCTAAGGTCATAGTGCAACAGGCGACGACAATTTTGGCCAATTTGTGCGATGACCTTGAAGTAAGAAAGCTGATCGCTGAGGACATCGAATATGTGAGATATCTCACTTGGAAAATCTGCGATCTACAAAACAGCAGTGCGGATATTATGTGCATTTTACTCTCGAATCTCGCGAAGGAAGACATCATTACCAAAGTTTTTGACTTTAAGAAAAGCCCAGAAGACGGTATTGCTCTGGACCAATCGGTTTTCAACAGTCAGATGGTAATGGACTGTCTTATGGACTGTTTTGTGAAAGGGTACGACCGGAAACTTAACACATTCGCCAATTTTGACTATTTGGCATATTTCTTTGCCGACATCTCGCGGTTCAAGAGAGGTCGCGAGTATTTCGTCCACAGACAGGACTATGACGGTGTCGTGCCCATTTCGAAGCTGTTGGTGTTTACAGAGAAATACGACAATAAGACCAGAAGGGAAGGTGTGGCATCAACCATCAAAAACTCCCTGTTTGACGCTGAACTTCACGACGCGCTATTGACAAACGAAGACGTTAACCTGTTGCCTTACATTTTGTTGCCCATCGTCTGTTCTAAGGACTCGGACTTAGATGACGATGAATTGTTCAACTTGCCAGCGGAATTACAATTGCTACCAGAGGACAAACAGAGAGACCCCAACCCAGAAATTATATGTGTTCATCTAGAGAGTATTCTACTGCTGTGCACAACAAGATCGAGCAGAGAATATTTGAGAGAGAAATCCGTGTACCCGTTGATCAGATCGTTGGAAAAAAATATTGAGAACGAGGATATCACTGATGTTTGCTATCGTATTGTTAACATGTTGATGAGAGGCGAGATTGGTACTACTGAGGTCGAAGAATTGCCTTCCAGGAATGCTGAAAACGAAGATGACACCGCTGAACAAAACGTTAGTAACGAAGACGACGACGACGATGATGAAAATGGCATCGTGGAAGTAATCTAAGAAATATTTGGGCATGAAATCCTGGCACGTAAATTATAGATCGTAAATAAAACCATTGGAGTTTGTTTTTTTTCTTAAAAACTTGATGTTTGGTGCAATTCCTCGCCTTTATTTGTTCAGCTCGAGGTAACCGTTGTTCAACTTGAGAAGCTTTCTGACGTACAGCTTCATTCTATCCTTATTGGAGGGATGCAGGGCCACTTTAGACTTCAAGTCCCTAATCAATTGTTTCAAAGTCATCTTGTTTCCCTGTACTGCCTCTACGATATCCTGTTCTGTCAAAAGAGCAGGATCCTCACCTTGTTCTTCACCTGGAGCAGAGTTCTTAGGCAATTTTTGCGGTTCTTCTGACTTGGGACGCTGCGCACCTGGATTCCAGTTTCCAGGTGGATATTTGCCCAAGATTTTTTTGTCTGCTTTCAAGACAATAACGCAATCCTTAATACTTCTCACATGGATTTGAGGAGTAGACGACGACTCCCTTGATCTCTTTGTGGGAGAAGATTTTCTGCTGTTCTTTTCGTCGTCGTCCTCTTCTTTCTTGACGGCGTTCTCTTCGTTGTTCTCATTTTCCGATTCAGAAAGATATGGGTTGAGCTTCGACTCGTCATCAGATTCGTAAAGTGCTGCCATATCAGATTTCTGTAATGCTTTCATAACTCTCTCACCCTCGTTATCAATTTTCTTTTCCCCTAACAATTCTTCATCATCTATCTCAGTCTCATCGCGGAGACCCATTGCATTTGCTTGCAACATTTCCTTCTTGATACGTTGCTCTGATTCTCGATTTTCCTTTTCATCACCATCTATAATCGGAGCCTCTTCATCGTCGGCAAATTCTTCATCAAAGTCGAGTTCGACTTCTGAATTGTCTGCCCGATCTTCTTCGTCTCCGTGCCTAGCATCTACTGCTCTCAGTCTTCTCTTGGTTCTGTCGTACCGAGTGGTGGTAGTTCCGATATCATCCAAGTGTTTCATTAACCAACGCGGTATACCTTTCCCATTTTTCTCCATGCGCTTTTCAGCCTCATCAATCGTTAATGTAGCATATTTGTTTCTTGCTGTAAACTTGTAAACTTTATCGGCCGGAATCATAGTAAAGGACCCATCGTTTTCAACACTCAAGAGCACATACGAATCTGAATTGCCAGCTTCGTACGACCCAACCCAAGTGTTGAGCCCATCGTAATCTTCCATGACCCAGGGATAAAACTCTTCAAACCTAAGCCGTTTAGCGTTTTCGTCCAAAAGTTTCAATTGACGAGTTTTCCGCTTTGAATTCTGTCTCCTGAACCGTCCGCCGCCGTCTGGTGCTACTTCTGCGAGAACCTCATCTTTCCCTTGCTCGACCTCCATTGGTTTTTCCTTACCATCGTACGTCACAAGGCCAACTTTCGTTGGGTCAGCAGAGGGCCCTGCCTCTTCCAATTTCGTAGACAGTGGTTTATCCTCTACCTTGACAGTGACTGCGTCTTCAGTCTTGACTGCGCGTGTGCCTTCCGTAGTGACTGTGCCCGTGTCTTCACTCTTGACCTGTGTTTCTGAGGCAGAGGCTGGACCAGGAGTCGGAGACGCGTCTGATACCGTTACCACAGCGCCACTCGGCGTCGCATTCATACTTTCATTGGGCTTCCCATCTTCAGTATTACCCATCTCTCGCGCCCGAAATTCTGCAATTTCTTTCTGTCTCTGTACGATTTCGGCCCGTGTCAATTGGAATTGCAAGTTTCGCGTATCTTTACGGTGCAGCCGGATAGGCAAATGGAAATCTTCGACCGGATTGATCTTTTTCTTGCTTTGAAACTTCAAAATATGCGTTCTCACATTATCAAGAGTTTTACTCGTTGCAGCTCTCAGAGGAAACTCGTTGTAATCATTACTGTGCTCTCCCTTAACTCTAACACCCATATCATCGCCCACAAGCCCCCCATCATGTAGAACACGCCCCAAGTTCGCATCTACAACGTCTGGATCCTCTCTTTTAACAAACGGTTTCGGAGTGCTAGACTTCTTCATTCTCGACCGCAGGAAGTCCCTTCGAAGCTGCTCTCGCTTGATAAAAGGTGAAGCTCCTCCTCCCGAAGGCTTTAAGGGATTCGACATGTTCAGATTACTCAATTTCGAGCCCTCTTTTAGGTCTAGTTTTGTCACCAAGGTTCCAATCTTTAAACTTGCTTAGTTCTTTAATTTGCCATCGCCATCATCACTTACTATCATTGTGTACGCAATCGTTAAAACTATAAAATTTCTTGATTATTAGCGTCTAATTTGGCCCCTTCTTGTCAATTTAACAAGTATACAGGACAGTAAGAGCCGTTAATATGGACACTTCCAGGAGTCTATTTGCAGTTTGTTGGAAATTTGATGATGTGTAGAGTCGATTTCGCCGAAGAACGGAGGGCATGGCTTTACTGGTGGTGGAGTTAGTGGAAGGGTATGTGAATTGTGGGATGATGGTAAACCAGAGACGTGAAATCTTCCGAAGGGTGCCTGAACTTTTTTTTGGATATCCGGTAATGTCACTAGTCGGTGGCCTTGCGCGAAGCGGGTTTGCGGGCCTTAGTGATGGAAAAAACTCCGACCTTTGATCGCGGTGGAGGAGCTCCAAACGCTTTTGAAGAAGCCTGAATGCAATTAGAGACACTACAATCCATATTTAGCGTCCCGATCCTTCAAGATACGTTGCTCCGATGCTTTTTTGTGTCGTTTTAGCCCCTTCAAGCACCCTTATCAAAAATTATGAGAAGTCGTTTGAAAAGCCCCGCAAAGCTATTTCAAAATCTCATTCCTTTAGCCGAACGAGCCAGATCAAGTCAAAAAGGCGTTGAAATGCGCGAACTTCCAATCGGTGTCGTCTATATCTCCGGTCACGTGATCAGAATTTAGGCGAGTTTCATTGTACTAAGAAAATTTTATGAGTCAAACTATTCAGAAGTTTAATTCTTCAATACTCAATAGCAGAAGCCTTTATTCAAAAGGCCATGTCTCGAGTTTCATCAACGCCGGTGGATCCCAGTGAAGCGTATGCGCTTATCACAAAGAACTTACAGGAAGTTTTGAATGCGCAAATCATCAAAGACGTTCTGGAGGTTCAAAAGAGACCCCTGAGGTTGTACTGGGGCACTGCTCCAACGGGACGTCCTCACTGTGGTTACTTCGTTCCAATGACCAAATTGGCACATTTCTTGCGTGCCGGTTGTGAAATTAAAGTTTTGCTTGCGGATTTGCACGCCTTTCTCGACAACATGAAAGCGCCGCTAGAAGTGGTGCAATACAGAGCCAAGTACTACGAATTTGTTATCAAAGCTTTGTTGAAAAGTATGAATGTGCCTATCGACAAGCTTATCTTCGTAGTAGGTAGTTCCTATCAACTAAGTGCGAAATACACCATGGACATTTTCAAACTTTCTAACGTTGTTTCGCAAAACGACGCCAAGAGAGCTGGCGCCGACGTTGTTAAGCAAGTGGCCAACCCTCTTCTCAGTGGGCTAATTTACCCGCTCATGCAAGCTCTAGACGAAGAGCATCTCGACGTCGATGCCCAATTTGGTGGTGTGGACCAAAGAAAGATTTTTGTGCTTGCAGAGGAAAACCTTCCAAGTTTGGGTTACAAGAAAAGGGCGCATTTGATGAACCCAATGGTTCCAGGTCTGGCGCAAGGCGGCAAAATGTCAGCTTCTGATCCAAACTCTAAAATCGACATCCTCGAAGAACCTAAAGTTGTCAAGAAAAAGATTAATAGTGCTTACTGTGCTCCGGGTGTTATTGAGGACAATGGTCTCATTGCGTTTATTGAATACGTTGTTGCTCCTATTCAGGAATTGAAGCACGGTGCCAACCACTTCACGTTCCCAATTGATCGTCCCGAGAAGTTTGGTGGCCCCATCGTTTACAGCTCCCTCGAGCAACTCAAGGAAGATTTCAAAGCTGAGAAATTGGCTCCTCCTGATTTAAAGATTGGTGTCAGCGATATCATTAATGAACTGTTGGCTCCAGTCAGAGAAGAGTTCTCCAAGAACCCGGAGTTTCAAGAAGCGCAAGCCAAGGGTTACCCCGTGGTCACAGAAGTGCAGAAGAAGAAGCAGAAGAAGCCGAAGAACAAGGGAAATCGGTATCCTGGTGCTCAAGCGGCAACCGACGCCAAAGTAGATGCCGTTGTGCAAAAGGTTGATGATGTAAAGCTAGAATAAATCGATAAATAATTGTAGTGAATATGGATATTATTTGCCATTTGCTAAATGCTCTTATTCAAATCTTTATGGTACCACTCACATACTTTCCCAACCTCCCAGATCGGTGATATTATCGGTGAGTCTGAACACAAGATGTGGGACCATATTCCCCAGCACGACATCACGGATAAGACTTTCGTAGCGTTCTTTGCTTAGAAAAACTGGAGTGCCATTCCTGTATTCTTCGTCTGTTTCACCATGTTCATTCAGGTATGGAGCCTGATAAAAAGTTCCCCTCTTTCCATAAGACAAGTAAATGGTGTTGCTTCTTACTAACAAAAAACAGCCGTAAGTTGAGCTTACACTACACCCGTTAAAAAGATGATCAGTGCATTCTCCTAACGAAAAGTTCTGCATTGGAACGCCTCTCTGAACAATGACCTCGGCACCACAGAAAAGACAAAGCGCCAATTCTTCCTTCCGGGCGCGGAAGTTTATATGATCTTCCTCGCTCGAATGCAGATCAGAGAGTTGTTGTGGGAATCTAGCGAACCCACCATACCCTGTGTAACGGAACTGCAGGCTTTTGGCAGTTTTCACAAAACGGCTCTCAATTCCATCGCTGGTCTGTTTGCAGACGAGCGATTTGATAATTTCGAGGTCGCAGGATGAAAACTCATATAACAGCTCATCGAGTGAAGGCTGACAGAAGAGCTCCAATAGTGAAACAAGCTCGTTGTCGGCAGTCTTCGACCTTTCGAAGTTAAGGGCGTAATCCGCATGCACTAGAAAGTACAGCCGGCGCATGAATACAGTGAGAGATTCAACCAGATACCCGTAGCAGAACTTGGCCCATGACTTTAAGTCAATTAGTTCACCCATACGCCTTTCAGATATCATGTTACGGTACGCAAGCGTAATTACCATCAACAAGCTCGGAGACTCAAGAATAAGGGCTTCATTCGAAATGTAATCTTCATTGAAAATGGCCCTCTCACTTGGCTCATAAGAATTGTTTTTTTCCAGTAAAAGAGCAAGCCTCAAAAAGTCTTGATGAAGATACTTTTTCAACAAATTTCGTAAGCCGAGCTTCATGTCAAAATCTTGATCTAATTTGGAGGCGCCCACTAAGCTATTGGCTATTTCTAATAAGTTGCCATCTTGGCGACTTTCAATGTACACTTCCCAATCTCTTATGTTGTAAGGATAAGTTTTAATCGGACCAACGACGCCAAGGTTGAATTCACTCAAGTTTTCAACAATAAACCTCTTAAGTTCACTTAAGAGACGTAAAGTTAGTAAACTTTGATTGCTTATGTTACTCTTTGTACATCCCTGTCGACTACGCCTCTTTCCTTGCAGCCGCGATGATAGTTCGGCATTGCATACCGTGCTGGACAATAAGGTGGATATGACATCGATCGGATGTTGCGGGGGACAAGCCTGATCTTCCAGTAATTTGCGTAAGATAGTGACCGCCTTCAGGGCGATGATAATGTGAGCATCTTTAGGAGAACAACGACCGCCAATTTCAGTATTCTGGAAGAAATCCTCTTTGGATCTACAATTCACATCTTGTAGTCGCGGAAGGAAAGAGTTAGTCAGAGAAGAACATAATGGACAAAAAGTGAGAGAAAACCCTAAACTAGAGGGAATGTTTTTTGTGATATGACTGTGAACTGCACGCGTTGAGTGCATGTGATCGTTGAGGCAACCTAGGTGAGAGCCATGCCCGCATGCTCTTAAAACAGGCTGCTGCTGTGTCATTAACTGGTGGTTGGCCGAATCGTTAAAATCTACATTATGACTTTTGAAAACATCTAAAACGTCCTCATATTTCCAAAATTCATCACAAATGTTTCTCTCGAAGTAAGCGAAAAAGACAAAAGTGTCCTGGTCATGCGGCATTTTGCAAAACACACATGACGCTTCGGGATATTTCCACCCATCACTTTCCCTAGATGTTCCACAGTCGGTGAAAACCCTCGAGAAGGGAATCTCGTTGTTGGCCATAAATCTCTTTTGTTGCTTGGCAATTTTGTTCATAAGTTTCTCTCTTCTGGCACGAGCCAGACTTCTCTTTTTCTCGAATTCCTCATCCTGTGTTACCCCATTGGGTTGCGAGTCGAATATGAGGCTTGTGCTAAATCCTTCAATTTGGTTGGCAAGCGTCTCTTCGAGTTTTGGTGAAGGAATTGCACGACGCAAACAGCAGAAAATTTCCCTAATTTTTCCATGTTCGTTCGCAAACTCACTTTTCGATAAGAAAAGATAAAGCATTGAACCGATAGAACGATGATCGTGCGACTCATTGGTTAATTTTTGAAGATTTGCACATAGCACTTCCCAAAACTGAAGGGGGTTGTTCAACACACAAAGGTGTATCAAGTGAACTGTCTTACTGAGTAACGAATCTGAAAAGCGCTTGTTAATGTGGTTCATGGTTGCCTTGAGGAAAAGACCAAAAATTCTCGTGCCGGAAATTTGATAGAGCATTTTATAAGGAGTTGACTTGAGATCACTCAAAACATTTTTGGCTTCAATATACGTGCACTTGTATGGAATGGACTGTTTTGAAGCCATGTGGGTTCTAACTAGCTTTTCCGCCTCAAATCTCCGTGAGGCAGAAAAGCCAATAAAAAAGGGATCCACAGACGACAGGTAAACTTCTTTGAGGGAATAGACGCCCGTGTCCATCAAGCCAGACGGGGGTATAAAAGAAGCCAGCTCTTTTAGGTAGAGATCAAATGCCGGGTTTTTAGTCACATGGTCGGGTATTGTATTAATGATTTGGCCGTAAGATGCATTTTTGAAACATAGGGCATGAATGATTTCCATCTTCATCGTTTTTTCGAAGCCTTCGATAGAGGACTTCATGCTCAGAGCTCTGGTGTCAGTAAGCAGTTGAATCAGAGTCAACAGACATTGATCCACCATCGCTGCGGCCACATCATCATCGTCGTATTCGCCGCTCTTTCCAGCTTCTATCCAATCATTCAGTTTCCATCTAGAAAAAAAAGTTGCCATGAATGCTTGCGGTTCTGCCATGCACATTGCAAATTGGACCATATAAATGTCGCTGAAAAATGTGAATTCTCTCATGCTGTACTTTGTGTACATTCTTAATTGATGCTGAATAGGCGCGCCATTTCTGACCCAATAGCCAACCGATATTTGTGAAGTGAGCACTAAAGTTCGCAGTGCCGAGTCACACAACAGTAGAACTTGCGTTCCGTCCTCAAATATATCTCTGAAGTTGAAACTTTCGTGAAAATTATAGGGCAAGGATTCGTACCTGCCACACTGACTCCATTGTACCATGAACTTAAAGAAATATAGCATGGGATTGAAAAAATTTTGGTGATCCACTCCAACGTTAAAGTCTATCATCAAAGTGGACGAGCCATCGAGTTGAATTGAACGTAGAGGTAGCTTGCAAGATACTGGCTGTTCCATAAAGGTGCTCTTTCGCCCAGCATTAATTTTTTGCCGCAGCAACTCAAACTCTCGATACATTGAAATCTTCAAAAAATGGGAAGCAATTCTTCGCCGTGTCTCGCAGTCCTCGACGAGACATATGTTCCTCGTGAAACCATCGATCATAACCAAAATCGAGGAGAAGAAGAAGAAAAAAGAGGAAAAATCGTAGCTTTCAAATTCCACATGCTCTGTGCTTTCTCTTTTTAAAACCAAACAATTGCTGAAAGCAGAAAATGTGTCCAAAAACACGGATACAATTGATTCCCTTGTGAGCAGCTTTTGGGGGATAGTATTTGTTGACATTACCAGATTAATGTCTTTGAAGCAGATCACAGTCCGCTTGTTCTTTATAGTTTCACTTGGTAACTTCAAATCGTGATAAAGGGGTACTGGAGAACATTCTCTTAGTTCTTCTGGTGTGAAAGACAGAAGTGTGAATGCAAATCTTATGACGCGCTCGATAAAGCCGGACTCTATAACGAGGTTTGCTATACGGGGGTTTTGAAATGTGTATTGTGACATCATGCTCAGCAACGATACGTTATAACCTGAAGGGTCAGAAGCAACCGTGCTGTGAAGTAAGGTTGGGTAGAGATCAAGGTATTGAGCCGCTAAGCAAGACCTTGAATCGTCTATAATGGTAAAAACGGTGCCAAAAACTTTTAGCATGCAGAATTTGGATTTGATGCTTATGCCATGAGTGCCGCCATTCAGGAGATATTGAAAACGAGATCCGTGCAACCCATCAAATCTCGAGACCAAGTTTGGCGAACAAGTTTCGCTAAGACGGCGATCGTAGTCTCGCATAATCGCTTTGACGTAAGGATCGTGACTGAGATCGTTCTCGCGAGGAAAGTTCCAAGGTTGACACCAGGGGAATGTGTCGCGTTGTTCATAGGGCACCACAAATCCTCCCAACAGAGGCAATTTTACCATGAAACGACTCCAAATACCAGGAGTATGTTTTGTTGATAGTAGTCCTGAACGCCAAGCATCGGAAATGGCAAGGCGTAGTGAAGCCTTTGTCGAGAGAGAAGAGCAGTACAAACAGATCTTGAAGAGCCAGCTTACAAGTTCATCGACCATATGTTCTCGGAAGACGTCCCGCTCTGATTTCAACCACACTATTACGTTTTCGTCTTTGAACTCTTTCTGCACTAGTCGTAGTCTCTCCGCATCTGGTGACGATGATAATATCACAAATGGAGCGCCTTGTTGTAATTGTGAAGCCATCATTACACCGTACTCGGAGGGCCTGTGTAAAATGGTGGAAATCTTCGACACGAGGTCCTTTGCATGCATACCGCAGTCGCTCTCATAAAGTTGAATCAATGTGTCTCCGCTTGTCACCAAATCATCACCTCCAAACGCAAAACCGCCAGATGGATCCTCACTGGTTTCCTTGAAATATACCAGAGAATCGATCAAGTAGTCGAGCACATGGGAAAAAGTCTCCGTCATGGACTCTTTGTGAGTTGTGGGGGCGGTAGAACCGGCCCGATTGCTATGCTTGCATTTGAAAGCTGCATCGAGGGACTTGAATCCGCTTGGGTCTCCACAATGGCAAACGCGACCCTCGGGTCGTGTAACGGCTTTCGCCGTGTAGCGATGTCCAACGTGGTTTTGCTTATCGAAACAGGACTCACAGATTTCGTAAAGCGGGTTCTTCGTGCAGTCGAAGCAATGGTACACGGTCTCAGTGAGATAGCATTGTTTGCTACATGCAGAACCCTCATGTGCACTCAAGTGATCGCTTGAGAGGTAGCTCTTGAAAAAGGCGTCGCGCCAACCTTCGGGAAGACTAATATAGTTATAAGAACCGTTGATCCACGCGCTAGACTCGAAAACCGCGATTTCATCTTGCCATTGTGTACCTTGGGGCCCATTCTCTAAACATTTCGACAGGATCTTCCACAGAAAGTATCGAACCCCGTCATGGAATTGAAATTGGGCCAATTCTGGAAGAGACACAAGGAGCTCTCTCAGATTTTTGGGCTTCGGTTTCATGCCATTAATTGCTGTGGTAGGGTTAAAGCGGCAAAGCGCAAATGCAATGGGGCGTGAGTTTAAATCCGGGGGCACAATGGCTCTAGATAGCGGATTAAATAGTGGTATCAAAGGTTTGCCACCCGTAATGACTAGCCGACAACAATGGGAAGTATTGATGTCATTGTCTACGAGTACTCTTCGCAAGCTAAGACCAACGATATTATGACCTCACCCGTAAAAGAATAGCTTAATAACACCGAAGTAGGGAGTTCAAGACGTTCATATATCGAGATTCTTTTTGGCTAACTTCTTCAGCGAATCCGATACTACCGAAGAAGTGTTGATAAGTGTGAGTAACACTTCTGTGTGTTGACGTGGGCGTAGGGGCAACAGTAGGTTGGTGGATAATTAACTAATCCATTGGGTTGGTTCCAAGTTGCTGAAAGGCCCTCAAAGCGGAATATTATCGAGTTCGAGTTTGTGTCACGTGATAGCAATGACAGGAAGGAACCCCGGGGAGCAGTGAACCAGGATGGCCGGAGCTCGCCTCAGCGCCCGAGGGGGGACAACGATAGAAGATATCGTCACGTTTTGTTGTCATTTCAGAGATCGCAGCGACCGAATCGGTACTGGGCACAAATCAACGTAACTTAAATAGTTGAAAGTGCGGCAAGAGACTTAATTAAGTAGCCAGCTATTCCAACTAGTGCTCAATCAGAGTAAGCTGAGGTTACAGGTTTGCCAAATTGCTCGTAGAGCTAATTGCAGGTGATTATAACCGTCGGAAGCGACCTACGTAGTCCAATCATGATAAGAGATACGGGATTTGCTGGACTCATCCCCACAATTCAGCTATTGGAGCCAAGCGTTGGCACACGTGCATAGGATTTGCTTTATCTCAGAGCTACAGCGTCGTTTGAAATCGGACGATATGGCTATTCTTGAAGTGGCTATCTTGTGAAGATGTGTAGGTATATAACTATTCGTAGAGTTAAAAGTACTGGTAGAGGTACAATTAGTGGTAGAAATATAAGCTGTAATTGCAGAGGTGTGTTATTGGGAAGACGGGCGTTGCTGGTCGCTACGTATCTCAATTGTTCGTTTTGTTCATTCACCCCTCATAACGTCCCCTTTATGCAGGTCTTGTAATGGCATTTCACTTTATCAACCGCTACTCTCGATGAGAACGACGACGAATAGTCATCTCGTGTCATCTATCGTATCACTGATGAGCTTATTCGGGGACCATCACTGGGATTGCTTGCGTTTCGCTTTCGTATTTTATTCTGTCATTAAGGTCACGTGATATGTTCACTTAGTTTGACAAGCAGAGCTGAGACGCCTTTCATGACTTCATTAAAACATTAGGAGCTCTCAAAACTTAGTAATAGGAGCTGCCTATTTCTTGGGCTCTGAAGCAATAGTAGTATTTGATTAAAGTCATGCGACAGCACCAGATACACGGCTAGCGGAATTCTAGCTTTTCGCACGGCCTTACTATGTATTCCTAAGTACCAGTGTAAAAATATAAGCAAATTCAGTCTTTTAAATTGGTGAGAAACGCTGGTCTTCTGCCACCATGAACACCCGACAAGTACGGAGACAAAAAGCAAAAAATACACAACTTCATGAAAAATAACCAAATTTAGATGGGAAATTCGCGCTTTAGAGTCAAAATTTCCTCGACACTCCAACAGAAACTGCCATTGTAATTACGTTGCGCCCACACTGCTACAAATCATTCATACTAGGAGTAATCCTCGTTTCCAACTCTTGATCTCGCTTGTCGTACAAAAGTATCAGCCATCGAGGCAGTGAAAAAATTAGTAATTTAGGAGCCTGTTGAGATAAAGTCTCCGGTTGAAAATCGTATTGCGAGGGCAAAGAACAAATCAAGTTGAATGAGCCACCTAGCATGATCAAGGAGATTGATTTCGACCTGAGAGAGCGTCTCAGACATACGCTCCAATCCATCCATGACAACCCTCATTTCAAAACGACCCGAGGGTTTAAGGAAAGAGCCGAAATGGACAAAACGTTACAAGCACTGATATTTCGATACCTTTATTATGTGGTTTCTAATAATGGCAAGTTTCTGTCGTTCTTGTTCCCTGCAACTCCGGCCGATAAGTTTCCGGCGTCGTTAGAGGACTGTCTAGACATTGAAAGCATTGTCATGTCGCGCAACAACCCCTTCTATACGGTCAGCGAGACAGGAACCCATATCAGCCACCGTCATACGGGCCGAAATTGCGGACGCAAATTTCAGACTGGAGAGCCCATCTATCGGTGTAAGGAATGTAGTTACGACGATACTTGCGTGCTTTGTATCCACTGCTTCAATCCAAACGATCACAAAGGCCATCACGTGTACACCAACATCTGCACTCACGTCAATAACGGGATATGTGACTGTGGAGATGCCGAAGCGTGGCATACGACTTTGCACTGTAAGGCTGAAGAGGCGGACGCGGGCGCGGGCGCCGAAGATATGTTCAACTCGGATGATATGGCCGTCCTGTGTGAAGTAGTACTCAGCGAAGTGTTTGACCATCTATTGGACGTTTTCAACCAGAATATTGAACCCCTACCTACCATCCAGAAGAGTATAACGGTTAAGCTGCGGGAGTTACTACAACAGCGAAAAACCACCGAAAAGTTGGATTTTTTAAAGGATCTGGCCTACAAGAACGGTTACATGCAGGAGCAAATGGCGTTTGACGAAGACATTCAAGACGAACTTTTGGACGATTTACCGGATTACGTGGTGATGATTTACAATGACGAATACCACAATTACTCGCAAGCGACTGCGGCGCTTAAACAAGGAATTCCCGATGATAAGCGTACTGACAAACTCACCGAGAGAATTGACGAAGAAGGCAGAGCCATGCTCAAATGTTCGGACAGGCTTTCAACAGTGGTGAACGGATTTTTTGCCGTTCAGACCAATGGCCTAAGCGCAACTTTGACTCCATGGTCGGAATACGTTCATCAGGAGGCTTGTAAATACATTATCATGTGGGTAAACCATTGTTTGACGATTCCCAACCCAGCGTTTCAACAAGTTTTCAGAGAAACTATGGGTAAAGTGCTGTGTTCCGAACATACACGTGCGTCAGAGGATATCGACGTCAGCATGGTTGTCGACAAGTACTTCACCGATAGATTTGCTGACGAGTACGCTTATAAATATGCTGACCTTTCGGTCTTGGGCAAGGGCAACTCGATCCCCATCAGTCATCACAAGAGACTGAAAATCACTGAATTGGATCGCATATCATCCACTTTGAACGGATGCGAACCGGTACTTGACAAGCATTATTGCAATTCCCGGCTGCAACACATTTTATTCTTTGATCACCGATTTTGGAAGAAATTGAGAAAAGACATACAGGATATGATAATTCCAACTTTGGCGTCAAGCATAAAATTCAGATCCATTTTTTGCAATCAGTTAGTTGAGATTTTCAATCATATGTCGCGCTCGCTTGCATTCATGGACAGAGAGCCACAATTAACTGCTTTGAGGGAAAGCGTCGTGCAATTATTCACGTGCCCAACCAACGCGAGACACATTTTGGAAACAAAGAGCTTTTGCGATATAATGTGGTCAGTCATTGACGTGTTTGCCGAATTTTCCAAAGTCGAAGGAGGTCTCCTGATATGGCAGCGTGTTCAGAAAAGCAATCCGACGAAAAGTTACAGTATTTTCTTCAAACAGGGGCTGTACGCGGTCGAAACAATCTTGAGTAAGACGAGAGAGCCAAATCTTCTATTAAATCCCGAAGAATTTATAGCCATTGTCACTCTTTGTAAGCTTTTCAATGGAGCTTGGAAAATACGGCGGAAAGAGGGAGAACATGTGATAAGGGAAGACCAATACTTTATTCCATACCTGGAATATACGACATCCATTTACAGCATCGTCCAAACTATTGACAAAGTTTTTGAACTATCGCAATCAAATCTTGATGCAACTAAAATTGTATCTGCGATTAGATTGCTCGTTACCTATTTGGGTCATCGGACTTTACCCTACAAGATAATAGCAGATACCTATGAGGTTATCAAATTCAAGGTCAGCAAGCAGCGGGTCGCATTCATGAATCCTGTACACACACTCCTCTCTTTTCTGATTGAGAAAGTGCCTTTAGAGACTGCATTGAGCGCCTTTTCGGGCTGTAGGGATATACTCACCATTGCGGAGTTCCCCCTACGCTCCGTCGTGTTGTGCTCTCAGATTGACGTTGGTTTCTGGGTTAGAAACGGTATGTCCGTCCTTCGTCAATCCTCCTATTATAGGAAAAATCCAGAAATGGGTTGTTATATTAGGGACGTTCACCTAAATCAGATAGCGTTTCTGCAAGAAAGAGACGATCCAGTCAGATTAATTTACAATCTACTTGACAGATGGGAATTGGTAGGCTGGTTCAATGGTGAGGAAGAATTTGAAAAAACCGCTTACGAAGACAAAATCGCGTACATCATTCAACAATTCATTGCGTTTGTGTATCAACTTCTCTCGGAGAGGTTAAGTTTTAGGAAGTTCAAGTCCTCTGATGAGAAGGAATTTTACCACATGAAGAACGCTGTCATATATGGTCTTTACATGGAGCCTCTGAGCTATTCGAATCTTTTGAAGGACATTCCAGAATACTTAACCGAAAATACTTCTCACTTCGACAAAGCGCTGGATGAAGTTGCATATTATGTCGAGCCGAGGGGTCTCGAAGATAACGGTGTATTTAAGCTGAAGGCCGAATACTATAAGAAGATCGATCTTCTACAGCTGCTCAACATGGAAAATGATTTTGAGCATAGCGCATCTGTGATAAAGCTTAATATTGCACAAAATGAAGAAGAGGCTTCAAAGGTGATTTTGCAGCCGCAACTGATACCTTATAAATTCCTTGATGAGCGTGCTGTGAATATAGGTGATTTTGCTCGTACTGATGTTTTTGCAAGGCTGGTTTACAAGCTCTTGCAAACAAGCATTGACAGGGAAGAAGGAACATTTCTTTATGGGCTATTACACCTCATTCACGCCATATTTCGGGATGAAGAACTTATTAATGGGAAGCAATCTCTACCGGAAGCGTACTTGTCGAAGCCGATCTGTAGTCTGTTACTGATGATCGTTGACTCTAAGGCAAACGTCTTCTCTGAGAATGCAGTATCGAAAGCAGACTACCTATTGGAGGACATGATATGGAAGAATTCAGCAGTAATATTTGAAACCTTGGATAGCAGTCTAGGACATGCCTATGTCGAAAGATACAAAGCAAGAAAGCTAAATCAGGGTGTAAATTTTGATGAAAGTGAAAAAGAGCGCAAAAAGAGGCTTGCCAAACTCAGACACGAAAAGATTCTGGCAAAGTTTTCGAAGCAGCAGGATAAGTTCATGAAGGACAATGCGTCTGACTTTATGAATGGGGAAGACATAGAAATGGTTGATCAAGTTACAAGGGATAAGGCAGAAGAATTCACATGCGCTCTGTGTCAGGATTCGACATCTTCAGATTTGTTTGTGATGCCCTTGTACCACGAGAACACTCCGGTTTTCAAAAGCGGTCATCTTCACGATTTGCAACAATTTGCTGCTCCATTGAATGGTTTCTTCAATAAAGATGATCACCCCACCATAAACGACGATGAAACTTTGGACAATTATAAACAGGATGGTACAAGGGGATCTCGTAAGGTATTTGTTTCTTGTAATCACTACATTCATTACAAATGTTTCAAGAGGTACGCTCAAAAGAAGCGGTTTTCGACCAACTCATTCATATGCCCATTATGTCAGACGTACTCCAATTGTGTTCTGCCGGTAAGCCGCAAGTCAGGAGCAGAAGATAACTCTGGGTTAGCATGCTTGTTTTCGGAAGAAGACACTAATTGGAATATTGAAAATTTCCCAAGTGAAGACCTTGCAGATTTCAACAGTATATTCAACACATTTGTGGAAATTAATAACAACAATACGAATTACGATAAGGCTTGTTACAACACTCAAGACCTCCAACGGCCTGATGTAATCTACATTTTGACCACGCACTGGGCAAATACGATATCGGTATTTGAGATTGTAAATCGTCTCAGCGCGAGACCTAATTCGACACTTCTTTTGGGCAAGGAGCAAAGATTTAAGACGTTCCGTAATGTGTTAGCCTCCATTGTCTGGATATACAAAGTGTTGGGAAAACCATCGAGTAGCTACCCTTACGTCAATTCGAATGGCATTGTTTGGAATCAAAATCAACTTTTCCAACATATCGTGAAGGAGAGTTTATTCTCAAGCAGGCCATTAAATTTGATCGTAACAGAGGCATTGTCGACATTTGCCGTCCAATTAGTGAGCGATTTTGTCAAGGGATTATCCTCAAACGACATTGAAAAACTGTATGCCGGTGCACAGGAACTAGGTGCAGAAGTGGAAATGGACGAAGAGTGGATGACGATCTTGAGGGGTTTGTGTGATATCGGGATAACTGACAAATCCTTAGCTCACAAGCTTTACAGTGTGACTTTGATTTGCCTATGCAGACACCTTCTGCCAAGTTTGAGGAGGACACTTATCTTTTTGACCGTGGCCAACGGTCTGCTGGCTGGATCCTCTGGCGAAGCATCTGTTGGAGAAAGTAAACTTCAGAATGTCTTGAATGATGATTCCCTATTGGAGAGTCTCGACCAAGCAATCCGGGTTGTCACCCTTAGTGGCTCATTGAAGGAGTTTCTGGCAAGAGCAGGCAAGCAGAGCTACGCGCCAAGTGACCCATATCTCACCAGAATACCATATGAGTACTGCGGGATTGTCAAATTGGCGGATTTGACCAAATACTTGAACACCTACGTCACGAATTCTAAGGAGGTGAAGCTGCGGGACGAGCATCCACAGCACATGAAAAATGTGGACAATCGTTTGGATTTCAAAATTTGTTTGGCATGTGGAGTGAAGATACATGCACGGAAGGATCACACGGAGCTTTTTAAGCATCTCTCTAAAAACTGTTTCAAGCCATTCGGCCTCTTCTTGGTGCCGAACGTCAGTGAAGTTTGTCTGGTCCTCACGAGTCCTCGTTCCACAATATCGATATCTGCGCCTTACTTGAACTCTCACGGAGAGGCGGGCAGGAACGCGATTCAGAGGGGTGATACTACGATCTTAAATCTTCGACGTTACGAGCATCTCAACAAACTATGGTTGAACAACGAGATCCCGGGCTACATAAGCAGGGTCCTCGGTGACGAGTTCCGAGTCTCGATAATTTCCAACGGCGTGGTGTTCAACTTCAACCGCAACGTTATAAGACGGCCCTTGGGTGCCAACACGAACGCCACTGAAGAGAGTACCAGTGACGACGACGACGACGAAGGAATGGACTTCGCGTGGGGGGAATTACGTCCGGCAGAATTTCTCGAAGATCCGGCCTTACGTATGGACGGCACGGCTCCCGTACAAAATACGGATATAAGAGAGTTTTTCCAGTTCATTGCACATCTGAGAAACGACGCTGGAGTCATAAACGCTGTACAAGACGATGACGCTGAGGAACCGTTTGTTCCGCAATTTCAATTCATACCAACCTTCAGACCGCCTGCTACTCAACAACCAAGCGAGGGAGAAGGTGAAGGCGAGGGCGATGGAGACAACAGCAGTGCTGAATCGGATCTCAGCGATGCTTGATCGTCAAAGTGTGAAATGTCCGACGACTTAATCGGTAAAATCCGTCGGAGTTAATCTATGTGTGTTTAAGTCATTTTTGACGGTTTAATTCCGTCCTAAGTATAACGTAGATAATGATAATTTTGTATTTGAAAACTACCATTCGAAAAGCCTGTAATACATTTTTACCATCCAATGAAACGGTCAGAATTGAAGATTAATTTTCAGAAATCTTTCTGAACTACGGGCCAGTTTCTACAACAGAACAGTATCGAACTTTCAGGTGACCAAACAGGGGTGAACTGAGTGCTTTACATAATTATGGTATGTTGAAGTGGGTTTTCGCTCAAGAATTCATGGGCACAGCTTTTTCCTGGAGTGTTTTCCGATAAAATTGAGCCAAAATTGGGTACATGAGCAGTCTGGCAATTAAAGCGGTGTTGTACATCGAGAAAGTGGGTACACCGACAACCTTGATGGCGTCCAGCAGAGCGGGTTGCGTACAGATGTTTCGGGTACAATAAAATGCGATGTTAGTCGAGTCTTGAGAATTGAACACAGACCGATAACGCCGGGAAACCGCTTGGAAAACCACTGAAGAAGCGCGTGGAACTATGAGCAATGATATTCGCGGGTCCAATACTAACAAAAGACAGTCTTTTTCTACCATCTACAACATCTTTTTCAAGAGAAACGCTGTGTTTGTGGGCACGGTTTTTGCCAGTGCGTTCGTCTTTCAGGCCGCGTTTGACACCGCCGTGACTTCCTGGTACGAGGCGCACAACAAGGGCAAACTGTGGAAAGACGTGAAATTGACGTTGGGTGAGTCTGGTGACGACGGCGACGATGAGGACGACGAATAAGCGGGATGACATGTTCCAAACACATAGAAATCATACCATGCACACAGACACAGAGACCCTGGAGACCAAGAAAGTAAGCCAAATTCCAGGTGTAGCAGCGATGTCGATGAGTTGACGTTATTTATCATTTTTTATATTCGTTAAGAAGCGGGATCGCTGCCCGCGATGCCAAAAAAACGACGCAAATTTCTTGCATTATTTCTATATACATGGCACAAGTGCGCCAACGCTGTCGCAAAGACACTCGTATGTACGCTTAAATTAAATCTCGCCCGAGGTGGATGCCTGTTGGATGCGGCCCACGTACGCTTTAGAAATCACGTTCCAGCTTCGCATGTATTTTGCAAGGCACTGGTCGACACAGCCCTCCTGTGCGCTCGTATAGGGACTCTGTAAGCACTTTTCGAAACAATTCTCGGTCACTTTGTTAACGAGCTCACTGGCATTTGCAATGGCAAGTTCTTGGGCGATTTGAGTCTTGAGTTGTTCCTTCACGGACACCCCAGTAGCAGAACCGCTGGCCACGGGCTGTTGTTGTGAGGGCGATCCGCCTCCAAATATGGAAGACAAAGCCATTGAGTGTTGGTTCACTTCAGTTGTCTTCTGCCAGCGAAAGGCTCTTCTGGTCAAGTCGCTGTTAGTTGGTGAAAATGAAAAAGCACGAGTGCTGATTATTTAATCTCCTTATAAAATGTTAAACATGTTTCTGTTTCAAGAAGTGGCGCAAGTGGTTTAGTGGTAAAATCCATCGTTGCCATCGATGGGCCCCCGGTTCGATTCCGGGCTTGCGCATTGTTTTTTGGTAATTTTCCCATGATTTTTGAAAAATTGGAACATAAATGAAATTAAGAACTAGGCATCGTGTACTTCACAGAAACCTGTAACTAGACAAGAGTCGTTCGGTTTGGTGCTTGAAAAGTGTGTGCAGATTATTTTGCGGCAACATTTTAGTTTCGTGAAATTTTCAAGGTCATTTTCATTGGCAGAAATTTGCAATTAAAGGACGATACATGGACCAAGTATGATTCATGCAGTATTGATATGTATGTTGGATGGTAGTGGAGACGATGGACGATTACTGACAGACAATTGCAGTTAACAAAAAAGCGCAGCCGCGGCTGGTAAGGTTCTATACGCCTGTAGACCTTCCGAAACAGATGCTGTTGATTGAACAAGTATACGAGTTGATTTCGCAACGAAACAGTGAAATCCAGAGTTCATTTCTCGTGACGCCTCCCTCGTTGCTCATGGAAGGCACAGAGGCCATGGATAGCGACGAAGGTATCCAGATCATTTACAAAAACTATGCGACGTTGTATTTCACGTTCATCGTCGACGAGCAGGAGTCCGAGCTCGCGATCTTGGACTTGATCCAGACGTTTGTCGAAGCCCTAGACCGGTGTTTTACAGAGGTGAACGAATTGGACCTGATTTTCAACTGGCAAGTGCTCGAGAGCGTCCTGGAAGAGATAATACAAGGTGGAATGGTGATCGAAACGAGTGTACAGAAAATCGTGAGTGCAGTAGACGACCTGAACAAATGTGGAACCCAAAAATCGGGCAAATTCGGCGCAGGTGGGTTTGGGGGGGCCTTGCAGGCGTTTACTCAGGGCGGATTTGCAAGCTGGGCCTCGGGCCAGTGAGACCGCAGTGTTGTTAGCATTGAATATCTTTACTACGTATCTTGACATATAAATAATCGTGATCACCAGGGTTTCCACCAGCTACGCTGTTGGACTTGTTCCTGCGTTTTCTGTACGCTACTCTCGCGGATGTGACCAAGTTCGTCCCGAATCCGCTTAAGTTCGTCCTTTTGGATCTCCGAGGCCTTGACCCTCTGGAATTGATCCCGAGACTCGCCACTCGCGTTTCTCTCCCAAGGCGATTGAATGGGACCCGTATCCCAAATGGGCTTGTCACTTTTAGCCGTTTCCTGCACGATCTTCATGAGTTCCTGTTGTTCTGCCTGCCGTAGCTTCTTTTCACGTTCGTATTGCAGTCGCAGTTCCGGTGACAATGCCTTTATGAGTTCTTCGTCGCTGGGCGTCGTATACTTGAACAACAACAGTCCAGTACCAATTATGGCTCCACCAGTCACATACACCTTGACCCAACGATAAAACAGAGGACTCGGCATCTTAGCTGGGGCTTTGATACTGTGCCAACGGTTTCTGCTCAGCTCGCCCGATGCGCTTCTAGTGTTAGAATAGTATATATCAAAGATATAGAATAAACTAACACGTTTACAATGATTAAGTAGCTAATGAGTAAGTGCTTTCATACGAAATAGGGTATCCATATGGGTATTCGTACGTAATTATGTTTACTTACAATATACTCTTCCATGAAACTAAGCTTTGCCCATTGCCCAGCGAGTAATAGAAGCTGGAACATGGTCGTGAATGAATGGGTAACTGGGTAGTCGCCCATTATTCTCTGGAAACGCGATGAGTCGCGTTTTGCAGGTAAATTTGTTCTGAGTCGAAAACATCCATGAGAGAAAAAGTGGCTATTTCTGCGCGCTAGTTCCTTGAAAGTTGAATAAATCAGAGATAGAGACGGCCGCTAAATAGCTTGAGAGCCTATTGAGGAACGAATGAATTCTGCGCACGTAAATTATTGGTCAAATATGGACTCAAGTGTATCGTCGCTATGTACGCTAACGAGTACTCAACGTGCAACATCAGTGTTAAGCATGCAACGGACATTACTGGTAATTTAATTTCTTGATAGATTTCTTGAATATAATTATAGCGATTGTTGAATTTTTCTATCTCCGTGCTTATGACACAATGACCACGCTACGATTAGTCACATCGTCTCCAATACAATTTTTTTAATGGTTATATAGATGAGAGTGGAAATTGACACCTATCAAACGGTCGTACGCTCTTTTTCATAGTGTAGTCCACCAGCCACCACCAGGATCTCTATCATCGTTTTCTGTAGAGCCTTCAAGCGTTTATTCTGTCGTTGTGGTCACGTGACTTTGGATTTTGCATACGTTATTTAACAAGCCCACGACAGGGTTTGACGATTCCATAGGTGGTGCCCGTCGTACTCGTCAGCCATTCGACGAGAACTTCGCATGTGCAATCTATAGTTTATAGTGTCTTTACTCATTAGTGTACATTGGATTTCCGTGGCGACATGGTTTTCGGCGTCGCGGCGTCCTCAACCAATCAACTCGGCGTATAAATAAGGTGTGAACACTCTTGCCGCGGTGAACACGATGGAGAAGCCCTGTAGTAGCGCAACGGGGAAACCGAGGGCTCCCTTGTCTTCGAAGTTAACGTAAACCGCGTAAAGTGCGACTGCAAAGAAAACTTTGGTGAGTAAAAGTGGGCGGGGCAATACTCCGGACAAAAATTGGACCGGCAATTTGACGCAGTCACCGCCACGTTGGAAGTAACGGAAACATCCTCTTTGCAATGCACGCAAATCTGCGTTGTCCGCTGCAAACAACGAGTAAAGTGCAATGGAAAGCACGTTGATGACAGAGTCATAACTCTTACGTTCGAAATGGTAATCCAGCAATTCGTCAAGCACGGTCTCACGGTCGCTAAAATCGAGGTCGCCAATCTTTTTCATGAGCAGGACCACGTCGTTGAGCCCCACGGTCATACCACCTCCTGTGAGAGGGTGACGCATGTTGAGAGCGTCTCCGATCACACATAGACCCGTGACGTCGTTTTGACGACCGGACAAGAACGAATTGGGCATAGACCGGAATTTGCCCGCCTTGAGAGCTTCGTCAAATGAGGCCCGTAGCGATTTAGGAACAAACGGTTGTACGTCCTTGACAAGCCAAGATTTGATGTCTGTAGGCAATTTGCGCGAGTTGTAAGCACATAGGATCCGAGTCTCAGAGGGAGAAATTTGATATACCAGGATAGGCATGTGCTTGGTACCCAAGATGACGTGGCCATGGTTTGGAGAAGGCATTTTGGCATGAAACAAGGACATTCCAACAAAGGACGATCCAACTTCAGGAACGTGGTCGGGTGACAATTCTCTGCGGAACCTTGAAAAGATTCCGTCACACACGAAAGTGATATGAGCGTGGAAATCTTCTTTGCCACGGCCTGCAATATCGACCTTGGCGCCTACGACTTCGTTTTTGGGGTTTTTAAGCACCTCGATAACATTACCTTGTAACCTGGTGACCTTAGGCTCAGCAGCGACCATGTCGCGCAAATTTTGTAAAAAACGACCGTGCACGAACGCAACACCACGTTCGCGCTCATCGTCTTCAAAATCTTTGACATGTACTGTCGCATCTTCTAAAACTTTGTCATTGCCCTGACGCACCAAATCTGTCAATTTCTCAACTGGTTTGGAGTCCGCTTTGAAAGGATACGGAATCACGACTTTTTCACCATTGTAGAACACGGTGTACCCGGTTACGGGCACCGCTTCGATGTTGTTGATGGATTGAACCATTCCGAGACTTTTCAAGGCTCTCACACCTCCCGGTTGCATCAATTCACCGACAATTCGGTCGGGCATTGACCAATCCCTTTCCACTATCAACACCTTCTTACCCTTTCTCGCCAACCCCACTGCTACACAGGGTCCGATAACTCCGCAACCAACGACGATCGCGTCGTAGGTTATTGAAGCGTCTGCACTGGTCAAAAGGTCTCCATTGATCTCGGAAGTTGTCATTTCTAAAACGTTTGGTAATTCCGGCTAAACTGGCTCAACAAAACCCAAAGAAAAAGGCCAACAATCTGTTCCAATACGCAGTTCGTTTGCAGTCGGCGTAATCCTTATATATTGGCTTCGCTCTTGAACTTTGACGCCCGTTAAACGTCGAAGTCCTTCGAGCGAAGACGAGACTCTCAAATGGTTCGATTTTGACAATTTTTAAACGAGCACGTTACCTTATACGAGGGAGGGTGCGAATCTATACGAAAAATCTCGTATAGAGCAACCTCAAAGCGAGCCGATGAGAAGCGAAGCGAAGCGATGCGATGCGATGCGATGCGATGAGCAAGTGTCTCACGGTGGCGGAGGCGCAGCGAGGCGTAGTGGATTAGTGTTACTGAGTGGGGCTTATAGAGTGCGGAGTTCGCTACAAAATGAGCCTCTGTGGTCCAAAATTGGGCATCAACTGGGAGAGTTGGTTAGGAATAAGTTCAGGGTGGGTATGAGGTACGTAGTTACACGGATTAGAATCGCAGTAACGTTGATTTAAAGATGTCGCAAAGTTCTTGGCCTTCTTGACGAGACGCCAAGGTTCCCTTGGCGATACTGATGGCGATATTTAGGCCGCCTTGGTCCGTGGCACATATGTTAAGCACAAATGCGTTTCTGTTGGCGCCAACGCCTTGTGAAAAGACATGATTCTTAATTGCAAACGCAGTGGGCTGTTCATCGCGCACGTAGCCGACGTTACTGATCAACGTTCCGGAACGACGCTGGTTCAGAATTGTGTCATTGACCACAGCATCGACGTTTTTTTTTTCGTAGATCTCTGGAAGCATTAGAGCACCCAATGCGTACAAGTAATCATTTTTGTCGCGTGCGTCGCTAAGGGCCAGTCGGTAACTCTCCACCAGGGACCAGAATTTCTGGTCGTTGTCGCGGACGTCGAGCGGTGCGATTGGATAATTGTAACGTACCCCTCCCACGTTACTACCGTAACGGTACTGGCGTTGCAATTCCAAATCTTCGGGCAACAGTTGCCGGGTGTTCATAGCGACGAGAACGTCCGTGTATCGTTCGAGCCAGGAGCCGGAAAAAACGCGACCATACTTGAACAGTGACACGAGCCAGCATGCCTGTAAGAATGGCGTCAGCGTGCATTTGTGCGGGACATTTTCGCGCACTTGCGTTTTGATGTGGGCCACACTAGATGTCGGTACGTTTACAAGGTAGCAGTAGTATTGGTGACCTTCTGGGTGCGCCAAATCGGAGGTCGGGGTCGTTGGCGGGGCGGCCGATACGTAGCCGAGTTTTTCACGCACGAACTTGCCGGCCAAAAGTCCCAAAAGGGCCTTCTTGGACGGACGGTAATCGAGTTTTTGGTCAATGGGTGGGGGCAGTTTGGGCAGTGTTGCGGCGTCCTGGGCGTAGTCGAAGATGACGCCGGAGGCCCCCGGGGCCCCGGGGGCCCCGGGGGCCCCCGAGGTGGGGCCGTGCGCGAGCTCCTTTTGCAGGTCCCGAAAGAAGTTCAGACCCGAGAGACCGTCGCTGGAACAATGATTGGATACAAACGCAAACGTGCGCCACCGGTTGGCCTCGCCGTGTGGGAAACACAGCAACCTCCAGCTGGGTCTCGTTTGGGAAGCGTGCGGGATCTCAATCTGGGTCATGAGCTCGAGCAGCTCGCTGGTGACCTGGTTTCCATGCGCTTGGAAAACGTCGACGGCGTCGCGCACGACATGCGCGTGCTCTTTCTGGCCGTTCATCACCACGTCGGCGACGTGGACCTCGCGCAAAACGCGCATGTAGTCGTGCTGGGGCCAGGGTCGGGACAGATATTCGTCGGAGTGGTAGAAGCCGGCGATGTCCGGGTGTTTGGGCTCGACGGTGTGCAGCAGCAGCGGGTTCGAAAGACACACGTTTCGCACAGCGGACGCGAGCTGCGCGAGCGAGCACGCGGTGTCGAACTCGCAGAACACGGCGAAACTGGAATAGATCTGCTGCCGGTGCTGGACGGCGAAGAAGTTCTCCAAATGGCCCAGGCGCCGGGCGTGGCCGGCGAGCTCGAGCTGCGGCAGCTCGAGCTGCGGCAGCCCCGCGGCGGAGCCGCGGGGCGTGGCCTTGTCGTCGCCGCTTGGGTCCTGGATATCCGACATCGAGGGCATGATGCTTGGCCTCTCCGAGAGCTCCGGGTGCGCTGATGTTCCCCTCGCGTCGAGATCACCCATATATACCCGGATCACAGGATCAGGCCTGCTCCGCGACGCGTGCGTCGCGTGCCTCACGGATCAAAACGCGTAAGCGCTTACGCGTCGCGGTCCGCGCCGCGGTCCGCGCCAGGGCCCCTGCTCCCGGCTCCTCGATCACTGTCGTAACGTCGCACAACAAGGAAAAAAAGACCAAAGGGGCCTCTGCCGTCCGCCGAGCTGTCTGGCTCTGATCCAATCCAGTAAAGAAAGAACGGCAAGCGCGCGTGCGCATCGGCGACTAGCCCCAAAAGCGGCGCCGGCGCGGCGCCGCCGGCGGCTTGCTGCGTCGCAGTTCTGATCTCGGAGTTAAGCGCGCGCACGCCGAACGCGAAACCTGCCGGTTTCGCGTCAGCCGTGCCTGGCGTTGCCAGGCACGCGCAGGCACGCCCGTGCCGCAGCGGCCCGCTGCGGCCCGCTGCAGTCCTACCCGCTGCGGCGGTATCCCCGCTCAACAGCGTCGATGCAGCCAGACAGCGCGGCGGGTTCTAGCGCGAACAGCGCGCCCAGACGCTGCAGTGCGGCGCGCTGTACCTCGGCTCGCAATGACGTTGCGTCGGGATGCGATGCAGGCACCGGCGCCGCCTCGGCGGCCGCGTACGCCAGACGCGCTCGCGCCAGTAGCGACGGACCGGCGCCAACGGCTGTGCCGAGGCTGTCAGATCCCTGGGATCTGACGCCGCGGCTGTTGCCGCGGCTGGGGAAAATGCTGTAGAGCTGGCGCCGGGCGATGTTTTGGTCGATGGAGAATGTGTGGGTTGCAGATTGGGCGGTGACGTCAGCGAACGTGGACTCCAGCCAGGCGAGGTAGGCGAGGTCGGCGCCGCGGTCGGCGCCGCGGTCGGAGCCGTACGAGACGCCGAGGTCGGCGCCGTACGAGACGCCGAGGTCGGCGCCGTACGAGACGCGCGTCACGCGGTCCGCGGCGCCGGCCGCGGCGCCGGCCGCACACCACTGCCGGAGCCAGCGCGCGGGGCGGGGTGCACGGGCGGCGTCGCCGGGGGCGTCGCCCGGAACATCCACACACCACCTCAGCGCCAGCAGCAGACATCCCAGCGCACGAAACTCTGGGAACAGGGCCACGTGACCCGAGACGGCAAAGAGGTGTGGGTGGCCGTTCGTGCCCCGCGACAGCGCCCCCGCGTACAAGAACACCTCCGGAGGGAGTCTCAGCTCCAGCAGCATGCGCAAGTAAAACGGGTCCGGCGCCCACGTCGCCGTGAACTGGAGCCGGGTGCTGGTCGCAACGATCTTGTGCGCCAGCTGTTCTGCCGAGGGCGGCTTGCCGCCCTCCAGCAGCTGTAAATAGTAGTTTGGTAGTTTTTCGCACCACGACGCCGGCAACAGCCGCGTCGCCTTGAAGTACGGCAATTGCATCGAGCAGATCCATCTGATGTAGTCACACGTGTACACGGGCAGGCGAAGGTGTACCGTGGCCAGGTACAGCACCGCTATGCTCAGCGGGAGCGACAGGCCCAGCGTTCGCCTGCCGGGCCGCTCTGCGCCGTCTTCCTCGAGCCCCCGCAACCACTTCATCCACAGCCACTTCACCGTGTCCTCGAACACGCTGGGAAACCCGTGTCCCACCAGCCACCCGCACTGCTTCTCCAGCACCCGCTGGAAACTCTTCACCAGCAGCGTTTCTGCTGCCCGCCCATACACTTTCTTCGAGACGCGCTCCTGCTGGCTCAACTGCGACTGCGTGTTCAAACTGGACCGGAAATTGCCCGTCACGTTTGTCGTCAAATTCAGGCGTCGCGTCACTACCCCCAGATTGCTGACGTCCTCGTCGTCGTTAAACTCTACATCGCCCTCCATGACATGTCCGTATTGGCACGTTCTTCTGCCGTCAATAATCCGCCACAGGCGCGACCTGCAATTGTCCGTCCCGCAAATGGGGCCTCTGAAGAACGTAGACATGCCACGCGACCCTTAGATGTCTCTTTCTTGTATCCTTGCGCTGTCTGCTCATCGGCTCTAGTTATTATTTTTTTTCACTATACATAATAAACATTCAAATCGAACCGCTTGCAAAATGGGCATCGCCAGTGTATTCAGCTGTATATTATTTCGGCTTCCGCCATACACAGGTCAACGATCATGACCTCTGTGACGTCTACCACCGTGATAATTCTGTCGAAATCCGGAATTCATCGGTTGAAATTGCATCGATCCCATGTATCCGTATGGGTTGGCCATTTGATGCGGACTTGCGCCTGCAAACATGGGTGTTCCATGTGGCGACGCTGGCGATGGACTGCTGCCGCCACTCATTACGTCTTCTGCACCGGCAGGCGCCATTTGCATCATTGGATGGTACATGGAAGGTTGGGGTTGAAATGGCATGTACATGCCTCCGGCACCACCAGGAGCCCCTACAAATGGACTGTGTGACCCTCCGGGAGCCATCGGCATACCCATCATCATGGCGGGGTATCCCATCATGTGAGGCGCCCCTGCTGCGGCCATGGCGCTCATATTGCGCTGTTGCAATTTCATTTGGGATTTTTGGATCGCAGTGCGTTCATCGGGGAACAGCGCTTTGTAAGAGTGATCCACATTGCTGAACCAAGTGGGTGCCGTCGAATAAGGTCTTTCAATGAAGAAAACAGCAACGACTTGGTTCTTGCCATCTTGCGTGGATTCAAACGCTTCTTTGGACTTCAAGAAAAAATTGAAGTTCTTGGCCAAGTCTTTCTTGGGTCTGTCTGCCGTTGGAGGTTTGCTACCGAAAAACGACGTGGTGTTCGCATTGCGTCTTCTTGCAATAGTCGCATACCTCGACGACGAAGGCGAAGAAACGGGCGACTGCGTCTGGGAACTGAGTCTACTTGAACCTTTTCGCAACTCGACTTTAGTTTGCGACGGGGTCGGTGGTTTGGCGTTTCGAGATTTCTTCGACTGTGTCGATGTCGAAGTCGCAGTCGATTGTGCCGCGTGTTGAGATACAGGTTTCGGTGGCAACGAAGGGTTTACTTTCAAAGACGTTTGCGACTCCTCGGGTTTCTTGAGCAACGATTTCACTTCCTCAGGCATATCGTAAGGAATCTTGAAATTTTCCGAAAACTCCTTGAACTCTTCTAGTCGGTTGTTTCTTTCATTCTTATTGTTTTTCGTCGTTTGAGAGACCTTCTTACTAGGCTCGGCCCGGTCTACAGTCGCGGAGCCGCTGCTGGAACCGCCCGTAGAAGTTACTGACGATATAATTGCTGGATCGTTGTGATGTGGCATGTTTCTGAGCGTTGGTGGCAAGTATTTTTTGGGCGCAGGTGCCGTTTTCTTAGCGCTCGATTTCAAAGACGCCAATAATTCGTCACCTCTCCTGTCCACGCCCGAATATTTGTCCTCTTCATCTAATCCGGAATCGTCCACCACTATACCACGTTCCTCGGCCAAGTGCACATTCCCGGATCCACCTTGTGACTCTATTTCCCTGGCAATCCGATCTGCCTCTTTCAACCTCTGTGCAAAATTGGGATCTTCTTTGTTAACTTTGGTCGTATACAGGTGCTCGTCAAATGTCGACTTGATCCCAAACTTCTGTTCATTGACTGCAAACTGATTCCAGGGAGCCGCCGAATCCTCGAGTTCTTCTCCCACTGCAAACGTCTCGTGATCCTCGGGTACCCATCTTTGCAGTTCACGCTCCTTACCGCGCACTCCACCAGATATGTCACGATCCGTCTTGAATTCTGCGCTATCAACACGTACATCTTTCGCATCGGCATCGCCCACGGGTTTGTGGATTTTATCTTCTTGGTTCATTTTCACACCGTTAAATTTCAGTTCTGCAACATCTTCCGCTTTGATTACCAATTTATCTTTCAAAGTCGCAGCAATGACATCCGCTTCGTCGGGTTCAAAGGACGCATCAACGATTCTGGGACATTGTAGAACAACGTCAATCCCGTTGGAGTTTTCCGGATTACATCCTACCAAAACTCCGCCATATCTCACACCTGATAAAACCGTCACTTCTACCTCAGAGCCCAGTCCATTGACCAACAAATAGTTTAGACGATTATCAAACGATTTTGCGGTATCCTCGGATTCGAAAAAGGCTGTTCCACTAGGTCCACTACTGCGACCGTTGCCATTCCCGCCACCCGTTGAAACGTCGCCGTTTTCTCTGCGTTTGTGGCTAAAATTTCCTCTCATTGCAACGCTAAAAAACGCTGTCACGCAACAGAAACCCCGTTAATTGATCACGATGCCTTGAATTGACCTGCGATTCGAAGGAACGAGTCGATTTGCTCCAGTCTTTTGCGCTAAAGGGACTTCTCCATCTCTCGCGATATCTTTGTTTGGAAATTTGATTGAATGATTGTTACTAAATCACGTGCTTATATCGTGACTACCATGTGATGACCACGTGCTTTATCCGGGAAAGGCCAGCTTTCGCGGTTCAAAGATGTCCAAGAGCGCCTAAGTCGGGGTGTTCTCAAGTCACATTAGGCTCAGCTTCATCCTCCGTATCGGACGGTCTCTTAAGCTCTCTGAACTCTGTCTTTTCGGGACTTATTTTGGACGTTTTTCTGTGAGGATTTTTGAATTCGAAAATTGAGGGTAGGTACTTGCGTAAAAGGTCTGCTTCGTGGCCATTTTTAAATCCCGTAGACACTTCCTTAGTCTCTGTTATACTCAAATTAAGCTCCCTGACGTCTTTTTCGTAGCGAGTTTGATTTGTCGCGGCGTCCGTTATAAGTCCGAATGAATTGACCATTGCTTTCGCCATAGCCGGATGAAGGCCCCCGTTTGTATCGTCGGACATACGTACCAGGCTCTCACTTCTATTCGCAAGTAATTGCTTGTATTTGTCTTGCAATTCTTGCAACTCTCGCTTGTCACGCGCCAGTTGTTGCTCTATAACCTCCGCGTGACTCAATTCTTGAGAATACCGCTCCTGTATGAACTTGCGCTTAGCAAAAATGTACTCTATATCCAACTCTCGGTCCGAAACACGCGACGGGAATTTTGATTTGCGTAGTTTCTGGTATATCTTGTTAATGATGTCGCTTAGAAGTTTTTCCTTGGACGTTACCATGCGTCGACTTGCGCGCGGACCTAAAATTTTGTCACTTTCATCCTGGTATTTTTCGAAAACCGCTTCCACCGCCTCCACAACGTTGTTTTCCAGTACATCCGTGACGGCACGCAGCATCGTCCTGGATGGTCTTTTCCAATTGCGTACTTCTTGATCTGATGGTAATTTTTGCCGAAATTCAGAGCTCACAAGGGCTTGAAAATCCCACGGATGCGGATTCTCTTGTCTCTCATCTTCGCTGAGCGCAAATGTGCCTTGCCCAAACTGAACTCGTCTCTTTTTCGATATGCCTTCTGTCACATTGCGAGCCGGTTGCGGAGATCGTGAACTCAGTTCTAACGAATCATCAGCAACAAACAAGTTCTTCGGTTTCGCATCTCCGTGGAGCTCGAAGGGCTCGTTGCTCTCTCGATCTGTTTGTTTGTCATCGAGCCGAAACTCATCACCATCCACATGCAAAACACTTTCGTTTTCCTCGCTGAAGGAACCTTCTTCAGCAGTCCTTTCAGCCAATAAGCTTGCTACCTCATCCGATCCTATGATATCCTGCAGTACATCTCTACCATGGCTCATACCAGCGTCTCTAGAGTGATGCCTGACAATGTTGATGTTTCTCAAGATTTAATGTTTAGCTCTTTTTGTATGAAATTAGTTTTGCTTCTTCTCCGAGGCATGTGACACCAAAACTAATACATGGAATTTAATAAGAAACACATTGAAAAGGCTTCCAACGGCCACCCGATTTGGTTTTTCGGCGTGATTCTGAAGTGCAATTTCCGCCTGATTTCTAAGCTTCGACTCCTTCAAAAGCGACCCTGAGAAGCGCTTTCAATTTTGGGTTTTTTACGCCTATTGAGAGAGCTGAGAATCTCGTATGTCTGCGTTAAAGATACTGCCGGAGCAGGTTCAAATCTTTGGCAACAACGTCCCAAAGTTTTGCGGTCCTCGAATTCGTGAATATGTCGCAGATAAATTGTGATGTGACAATTACAATAAAACGCAGTAGCATCAGAAAAACATGAGAAGCCAATCTTGTTCGAAGTGGTAGGTCAAAAAATTATAATTGTTAACTATTCTTATTTAGTGTTCTGTATCGTGAAGATCCCGGGTGCTATGGCTTCAATCATGTTTATTTCATTAAAAGCTTTGTAAGGATTTGTATTAGATGTGATCATAAGAACAATACCCGAGGTTAAGTCGTAAGGCCTCTATCTCTATTTCTCCTGTTCGGTGGAAGAGCATGAAGATGTATCCGCTGCGTCAGTTTCTTCTTTCCCGGATTTGTTTTGAGTCTCCGCGTCGGCTACGGTGGATCGGGTAGTGTCAATAACGGGAGAATAAGCATATTTGGACCGCTTTCTGATTCTAGCCCCATAGAAGTAAAACACGTATGGAATAACGCAGCATGCAAGAGAAATGAAAGCCATTAGGGTCGACGCCCATTCGTAGCCCAACTTCCGGTACATTTGTAGTGTGAAAAGTGGGACTGAACCACCCCACATAGAGCGAACAAAAGTTTTAGCTGCTAATCCTGAAGCGGCGTAATGCTGGTAAGAGTCGACAATGTAATTGTTCGCTGGATTATAGAGCATATTAAACCCAAATCCACAAGCAAACCCACTAAAACATGGACCGGCCCAAGAAACGTGGGGGAAAGATGACCACGCATATGCAAACAACCCAATTGGTACAAACCAACATCCAATCATCATTGGAATGAGACGCAGCTCTGCAGGAGGAACTTCGCCTCGCTCAAGGTACCTATTGGCTCTTCTAACGTAATCTTTGTTTAGAAAAGGTGCAGCAATAGTGGACGCAATGACTCCAACTCCCATTGGAATAAACATGAGACTGGTCTTGATAGGCCCCCAGTGTTTTCCCTCTGTGTAAACCATTGGGTATGCGAAGAAGAACATGTACAACAAACCGTAGATGACAGACATGTACAAGGTGATCAAAAAAACGATCATCTCAGTCAAGAGAATCAAAGGTCTTAGAAGTGTCTCCTCAGTTATTTGTTTCAGAGACCTGACTTGAATCTCCGAAATTGCTCTGTAACTTGCGTCACCGGTCAATTTCCTTAACTTTTTGGCTCGCTTCTTAAGTAACGTTTGCTGATGCGTTTCTGGTAGGAAGACAAACAGCACACCGTAAAGACAACTACTTAAGATAAGCATGAACCAGTAAACCCATCTCCAAGAGCATTTAACTGATAGCAAAGAACCCACAATAGGACCCAAGACGGGTCCCAGAAATGGTGCAGCGGAAAAAATCGACATGGCGACTCCACGTTCTTTGCTACGCCACATATCGCTCAGGGACCCGCCAATTAGACACATTGGTGCACTGAAGGCAAGTCCATCTAAAAATCTGAACGCTAACAGTGTTCCTATGTTATATGACGCGGCACAGGGGACAATGAAAATCGTGGCAATGAAAAGAGTGATCTGGTAGACTGGGTTTCTACCGAATTCCTCCGAAAGAGGCGCAAACAAAAGCGGTCCAAGACCAAACCCCCATACCATGAGCGACACACAAAGACATAAGACTTCGATAGAAACTCCAAAATACTTGGCAGGAGAATCAAAATCGCCGGTGATGACCGCTGACATAAGCGCCACGTCCAAACAGATGATACCGAGAAGAGCTGTGTAATTCCATTTTTGTCTGGTAGGCCAACATTGTGGGTTTTCTGGGTCATCCTCGACAAATTCGACAATTCTAAAACCAGTCTCACTGTCAATAGGATATTGCCATTTGTCTTCCTTGTGGTACGTTGTGTCTGGTGCCGGCTGGGTCTCTTGACGCTCACCGTCGAGCTGCGACTCAACGGGGCCAACACCTTGCAAATTCGTCTGGTAACGCGATATGGCTTCGCTGACAGCATCTTCGTGGTTGTGGATCGCGGTTTCTAATTCTTGGCGGTCTTCTTTACCGGAAAGTGCGCTAAGCGATCTTTTCAGCTGTGAAATCCTTGATCTGGTGCGTTCCGCAGGAAAATCCTGTTCCCCCAGTTGAACTATCGACTCTGAATTCTGGCTGCTGTCAAGGTCGACAGAATTTGTATCGAAATGATCGGGCATGAATTATAAATTCGATAAAATTGATGTTCCGAAATCACGGTTTTCACTTCTGATTTAGTCAAAGGCGGTGATTAAACCTGTGGATCGAATACAGGATTCCATTGAATTGATAGTTCCTAAATGGCAATAAATTGTCCTTTATATATGTTTGCAGTACGGCTGAAAACGAACCGCCAGTCGGCTCATAACTCGTCGGTCCCTGCCCCGAAATCGGCTCTTAGCGGATTAAATTGTCATCAGAGTGAGAAAAAAGAAAAGGAGCCAAGATTCTTAAGAGCCGACGATCGGCAGATATTCAATTAGGTAAGCAATCCCATGCAGGGTTCATGCAGCATGCAAGTGCCTTCAGGATAAACCAAGTCCGGGTTAGGCGCTGATCTTGGAACCTTAGAAAGCAGTAGTTAACGATCAACACGAATTAACAATCATAAACAGTACATAGCCTCTATAAAAGAGTCTCCTTATCAAGAGGAGCAGTCTAAGCGGCAAAGTGCTTCAAGATTTCCTCAGCAGCCTTGATACCACTGACGGCCATGGCACCGAAGGTAGGTCCCATTCTGTTGCAACCTTCAAGCTCAGCGACTTCCATACCAGCGAAGTACATGTTCTCAACACCAGAGTAAGAACCAGCGTGCTTGACGACACCGGCTTCGGCGTTGTTCATGTCCAAACCCTTCATTCCGCCCAATTGCTTGTTCTTGTCGATGGAGACTATACGCTTGGCGGAGAAAGCGCCGAATGGACCATCATGACCAGTGGTAGACAAAATGACACCGTGCTTGGTGGAGTGGTCTCTTTCACCATCGTCCTTGTAACCGCTTAGTTCGATAACGTTAGGGTCCATGCAACTTTGTAGGTCGTGGGCCATGGTGACCAAAGTCCAGTTGGTCACAACACCGGCAACACTGACCTGACCGTTTTGGCCAGCTGGTCTCGTGACCAAGTCTTCAACGGCGGTAGCGTTGAACAGTTTGACGTTTGGGAATTCCAGGACTTTGCTCAACACGGTCGAAGTGAACAAAGCGGCGTGCTTGACAACAACGTAGTCACCTTCATCTTCGTAAGAGATGCCGAGGTCCTGCAGAAACAAGTGAGCTGGCTTTCTCATGATCATAGCACTGAACAATTGACCACCGAGCCAGGCACCGCCGCCTGGGGAAACGTTAGACTCAACGAGACAAACCTTTAGGTCTGGCCTATTCTTCGCAATCACGTAAGCGGCAGATAGACCGGCAGAACCAGCACCAACGATGATCACATCGCTCACGGCGTACTTGTCCAAGTCTTGGAAGTAACGAGAAGTCATGGCACGTGACACGGTAGATTCGCGGATTGGCGCGAACTTAAAGTCCGACCAGTCCTCGTTCTTGACAACGTCAGAAAGCGCGTGCTGAATTGGCGCAGCAGAGTTCAATTGCAATTGAGAGGTTTCGGTTTGAGTAGTGGTAGACATTGCTGTTGAAACGGTTAGATGATTGAATCGGGTGTTCGATACAGAGACAGAAGAGAGAAAGGATCGTTATTGAAGCGATTTAACTACCCTTTATATAGAATTTTCGAACGTGTTATCTTGTCCATTATTCAGTTCTGTTGATTACCTTGACGAAGGTCAACTACGAGCAAGGTTAACGAGTTCTCGCCCCATTAACAACGCTTTAACGTCGAGCATAACAGGGGCAAGCTTTGCAATGCGCTTTGAGGAAAACCGCTGCAAATGAAGTATAGTGCCAGCAAGTGATATGCATACATAGAGTTTGGGCCCAGGCTACTTGGACTTAGATCAAACTTCTGGCTATCGGCCGAGAGATAATAAAGGTTTTTTTTAAAAATTCAAAGCGAATCAAAAACCCAGACACAGTTAGATCAGGTGACTCAGGATCAGCCGCACGTGGTTTTAAGTCCGACACCGTCTCCACCCCTTAGAGCCATAGTCCTGCTTGCGGCTGCTGTTAATGGGGCTGATGGTTAGTGTCGCTGTTCGTTGCCGTCTTTAGGGGGTAACGTGCGGTATGCGTTTACGGGGCAGGAGAAATGTATGCGAATAGACGGGATAAGCCAAAAGGGGCATGCGGTTAGGGGGAATCTGGCATAAGAGATGACCTAAGCTTGGGACACGTGACCAAAATGCCGGAATCGGGAGTGTTTCGTACAGTATGCGCTGACGCCGGATATCGTATGCATTATTAAACATGAATGGCAGACTATACAACGTGGCTAGAGTTGAAGCATGGCGTGCGCCAGAGATTGCCGAAGCGGTGCAGTAAGCCCGCTTGCCGCTGTAAAAAAGGTAAAAGACAAATATAGTGAGGCGACGACGGCATTTGTGAGGGCCGGAACTAGAATCGCGCAGCGGTTTAAAAGTCCTCGTCGAAAGTGAAGGCACCGGCTTCAGCTTCCGTTCCGGAGGATTTGGCCATGACGCCGGCCTTCTGGTAGTCGGAGACTCTTTTCTCGAAAAAGTTGGTCTTGCCGGCAAGAGAGATGTTTTCCATAAAGTCGAAAGGATTGGTCACGTTGAAAACCTTTTGGCTTCCGAGCGCCACGAGCAATCTGTCAGCGACAAATTCCACATACTGGTTCATGAGGTCTGCGTTCATACCGAGTAACGAGACCGGCAGCGCGTCGATGAAGTATCTTTTTTCGATCTCGACAGCCTCCGTGATGATTCGTTCGACGATCTTGGGATCTGGCTTGTTTTTCAAGTGCGCAAACAACAAGCACGCGAAGTCTGTGTGCAAACCTTCGTCTCTGCAAATAAGCTCGTTCGAGAACGTGAGTCCGGGCATAAGACCCTTCTTTTTCAACCAGAAAATGGCCGCAAACGAACCTGAGAAAAACACACCTTCGACAGCGGCGAACGCTACGAGCCGTTCCGCGAACAACGCTTCGTCGTCCTGAATCCATCTGATCGCCCATTCGGCCTTCTCTTTTATCTGGGGGATGTTCTCAATCGCATTGAACAAAAATTCGTTCTCCTTAGGGTCCTTGATGTAGGTATCGATGAGCAACGAGTACGTTTCGGAGTGGATGTTCTCCATCATGATCTGGAACCCGTAGAAACATTTGGCCTCTGGAATTTGCACTTCTGCGGAGAAGTTTTCCACGAGATTTTCGTTCACAATACCGTCCGAAGCAGCGAAAAACGCAAGCACACGTGAAAGGAAGAACCGCTCGTTCTCGTTCATACGGTTGTTCCAGTCGTGCAAGTCCTTGGACAAATCGATCTCCTCTGCCGTCCAGAACGACGCCTCTGCCCGCTTGTACGCCTGCCAGATCTCGTGATATTTGATCGGGAACAACACGAACCGACGTTTGTTCTCTACCAGCAAAGGCTCGTCCTTTTCCAGTTCTTTGAGCTTGTGTCTGTGCACTTGGTGCAACTTCATGAATCTGCGGTGCTCCTCGGCCGCCTTACTGAGCCCCGGGGTTTCTTGCGTGGTAGTCTCATTTACAGTGTCCAGTTTCCCAGTCAAGTTGGCCTGCGCGTCTTTTAGTTCTAGGTCCGACAGCGCACTAGCTGCCATCTTGGAAGGTGTCTCCTTGGGTTGTGCCATCTCGAGTATATCTAGAGTTGGAGTAGTTACTGTCACAGTGATGTGGTTTGCGAAAGTAGCGTAACGTTTTGATTCTCACGCTTTTTTTTCACTACCCCTAGGAGCTGCACTACCTATGCTCACCTGAGCCCTGCTGCTTCTGCTGATTTATACGGGCCACCTCTTCACACACGATGCAGGTGTAGGGCCAAACGCGTAAATTATGAAAAATTTTCGCGTTACGCGTTGCAACGACAATGCTTTTTGTGGGCGATGAGCTGGATATACATTTGTACGGCGTGACGCTAAACGAGCCGATCCTTGATAATTTCAAAAAAAGATGGTTGCTAAGAGATTCGAACTCTTGCATCTTACGATACCTGAGTGTTCCACTGTTAAACAGCGTTAAGAAGCGAACTTCTTGAATCAGGCGCCTTAGACCGCTCGGCCAAACAACCAGTCGATGCATGGGGAACAACTATAGGACAATATACCTGACAGACATGTCACACCTCTGCCAGAATATAGACAACACTATATGCCCGGTAACAGCTCCAACAGTCCTAACAGAATGGATTCAAGCTGCGGGCCGCCTCTTTTGAGAATCCCTACCGAAAATTACACATCCTATCCTCTCCGGAATCTCAAAAATGCATGCTCAAGACATTCTGATTTCCTAAGATTATATACTGGTATTCTATATCATTATCAACAATTAAACCATTCAATAAGGGTATAAATTAAAGTGTAGATTAGTCGTATGGGTATGTCATTTAAGGAAAGTTCGTATTTGAAGGCATTTAATACCTGGCCATATAAAGAACAGACGGGTAACTTTTTTTTATCTTTTCTACAGTGCATATGAAGAATATGATGCAAACAGTATAGATCCACAAGAAACATTCTTTATGATACTACCAATAGATAAACCGTAGGTCAGTTTGGTCTGATCCTTGCACTAAAAATGAGACTTATTTTCAGTTATAGCTTAACAGTCGAATGTCAGGAAATCGGCTACCTCTCCTAGGCGTCTTTACACAATCAAGACCAGGCTGCCAGCATCCGGGTCTCGGTGGCCCCGAGGCCGGGTAAGCCACCAGTGAGTCACTAGATACGTTAGTAACTCACTGGCAGTTATTGCCATTTCATACGAAACTGTTACCCGCTTCGTCGAAGTCCAAACCCGGGTAACACCCGTATGGAGCCACTTGGCACGTGTCAAACTAAAACCCACACACAAACACACGATTATGTAATTTCAATAATGTCTTACGACTCAAAAGATCACTATTGACGTAGGATGGTCTTTCGGAGTTTAGTGGTTGGTTCTTTCTCGTACAATATGACCGCGACAACTGACTCTTCCCTGCCTTTATAGAAGCTCTGCTGGTTATCATAGCCAGAAGAGTAGTGTATCTGCCAGCGGTGAAGCCTCAGTCATCTCTCGAAATCATAGCATAGTTCATACAGTTCATATTTATGTTTTCTACAGCCTTAAGCTAAGTATCGACAGGCGGCGCGGTGTGTGGATTGTTGCGTTCTTTCTTCCAAATTTGTTCCACTTTGCTGTCACGGTAGGACAGCTTCACCGCCACGGCAGCGGCCGCCAGGAAAGCTGCTGTAAACCCGAAAAAGCGTAGTTGTTCGCTGGTCTTGGGTCTTATGTCTTGCAATTCTCCACCGGGACGATCGATCGACGTGAAAAGTCTTTGAATGGCGCGTCGCAGGCCCGACGTGACTGGGGGTCTCATTGTCGGCACTGTACTGACGAGGAAATTAACAGTAGGCCTCCAAAGCAACGAGGGGCCTCCACGGCATGGCCCCGACAGCAAGGCGGCGCATTTATACAGGTACAGGGTCGCAACCCACCGCAAACTGAGGGGTTGTCTGCTTACGCTGCGGTGATCGGGTCTTCGATACCCTTAAACCTGGAAAAGAAAGCTCACGTTGGAATATGTAAAGGTGTATGTACTGTACATCGCTGTAGCTTTACTCGTAGATCCAGGACAGTTGCGTTAGTTTCCAGTCAACCAGTTCTTCTGGTTTGAACCAAAGCCCGATTTCACGTTGTGCGGATTCGACAGAGTCCGAACCGTGGCACACGTTCCTGCCCATATCGATAGCAAAATCGCCCCTAATAGTACCGGGAGCGGAGTTTAAGGGGTTAGTAGCACCCAAAATGGCCCGTCCTTGCTTGATAACGTCTTTGCCTTCCCACACAGTAGCCAAAATTGGACCCGACGTCATGTGGCCCAACATCTTGGGGAAAAACGGTTTGTCGACGTGTTCCGCGTAGTGTTGCTTGAGCAAGTTTTCCGTAGGTGTCACCAGCTTGATGCCGACCAATTTGTAACCGCGATCTTCGAAACGAGCCAGGATCTTGGAAATCAGACCTCTTTGGACCCCATCGGGCTTGATGGCAATGAACGTTCTTTCGTTTTGGGACATTGGAAGAGGCAGTTAAAGTGAAACTGTTACATCAAAAAAAGTGGTGAAAATTTAACCAAAATGGATATCGTATATCAAATTTCCCCAGATTTCAACTCATCATGGCTATGGAGCGAGCGGTGCCGTTTCGGGGGGTAACGCGAAAAATTTTCGATTTTCCAATTTGCCAGCTCATCGCGAGACGCGTAAACGCGTAAACTGGAAAACTACGAGACCCGACCCTTCAAAAAGTAAAAGTTGCAGACCAAGTAGAGTGTTTGCCATGTCAATGACCGGTCGTTTGCGATTGGATAGTTACAAGTATTCTAACGTAATCTGCGCGATCTTCTGCGATGATTTTGAGCTGTTTTATGGCTAATGAAGGCTGAGCTTGTGGATTTGATGCGCTTTCGTTTCTGCCGGGTGTTTTTGCCCCAGCTGGACGCTTGAGGCTTTTTTTGGTGGTCTAACTTTAAAAGTAGAATACGGTGTGTACATAGTGTGTACATGGTTAGTTGGACGCCCGGCTGGCAAGTAGCTCAGGTATCGAGCCAGGAGTCCTCGCCGTTGAGGGGGAACAACGCAGTAAGTTTCTCGTTCACTGGTGGGAAAATGCTGGATATGTTAGTGGTCTTGGAAAAGACGCACTGGTTGCTCAAGGGGAAGCAATTGGCCCGGAACAATGTCAAATTCACCAATGTTTCCAGCACGTTTTCGACGTTTGCTGGATCGTGTACCGCAGTGTATATGAGTGGAAGCTGAGGCTCACCCAGGCGCCGTCGCAACGAGACTTCTAAAATGTTCTGAACTACGCCGTAGGGCAGTTTGTTCGAATTCTGTGGAATGCAAAGTTCTCGAACGATTCGTCGCACAAGGTTTCTGTACAACAATACGGGTATTTTCTCCAAAAGTAGGAGCAACAGACAATCGGATCGCAGTTGCAATTCATGCTCGTAAAGCCATTGGTAAAACGAATCGAAATGACCGGATTTGATCGCGTGTATGAGACCCACGTACATGTGTGCTAGCGCAGGATCGATTTCTGCCACCAATTGTGTAGATGGCAATTTGCCGAACATCATACTTGCAGGCACGAGAAATTTGAGTACACGACGCATGTTTCTGCGCAGTGGATCCGACATGGTACGTTGCGTCGCTAGAAGCGAAAATGCAGAATTTAACTGATGGAATGCGTTCGATACGCGATGATTCAATAAATAGTATCTGCCGAGCAAATAGCGGTACTCGACACGTTCGCGAAGTGGGAATTCCGAGAATTGTGAAAGGGCAGATTTGGGTTTAACGTTTTTGAAAATGTTGGCACATGACGATGACGAGCCCATCAAAATGTAACAGTTGTTCAATTTATTCGCAAGATACAACAGGATTTGCTGTTTCTGGGACAAATCTTCAAAACTCACGAATGCTTCATCGTGATGCGGTTTGACACTGTTGAAAACTTTAGAGATCACTGCAGTTGTGATGGTAAGAAACTGATGTTTTCTGGTCCCCAAATGACAATAATGCGAATCCAAACGACGTGACATCTTAACCACGTATTCTGTCATCGTGCAATACAGCTGTACCAACTCCTGGACGGGATAAGTATCATTTAGAAGACAATTCCCCAGCCCTTGGTATAATTCAAATATCAAATCTGCGCTTTCTGACACGGACCACGGATTCACATCGCGACAGAATTTCAAAAACGATACTACAAGCATATTGAACCGTGTCCAGGACCCATTATGGAAATTTTCAGCTTCGACCATTTGTTCTATCGATTTGTCGTCTTTAAATCTCTGGATCTCTTTCTGAACTTGTGCAATTAATTGTCCATTTGCTTCCAGGTCAATGTTTAATACCGAAGCATCTCCATCATGCAATGATCCAAATACTTGTTGAAGACCCGATTGACCTCCATGACCCACCATATCACCAGTCTTTATATATACCTGGTTCCCGCCTTTAAATGTTCATGATGATACTCATCTCTAGAAACCTGAAAAATTTTTGAATTTCTCTTGGCTATATCAGACATACTTCATATACCGTGAAGGACATGGATGGAGACCCTGCGAGAACCCCTAAAGAGGATCTGAAAAGAGCGTCACCGCACAAGAACTTTGATAAAAAGACTGGGTCAACAAGGAGGCCAAATCAAGAAGATACGACGGTTTTAAGTGGCAAACCGGGCAAAAAACATGGATCTGGTAAAAAATCCGTAAAAACAACGGTAGCACGTCACAAATTGATTATAAGACTTTTACCACCGAATTTGACGCAACAGGAGTTTCTAGAATGTATTTCTAGTGTGGTGGAGGACGGGTTTTTGTCCAGAAATGTCGAAGATCAATACTACATGCAAGGCCATTACTCGAAGAAACCGTTTAAACAACCCGTTTATTCAAGAGCATATTTCACGTTTTACGGGAACGAGCAATTAGAAGGTTTCGCGAGAAAAGTGGCCAATGTCAAGTTCGTGGACGATACGGACAATGCAATGGTACCGACGTTCACCGTCAGTGCATTCGTTAAAAAAATGAGAACAGAAGAGACCAAAGCAATACAGAAGGCCAACGCCAAGCTCGAGGGTACTATCAGGCAGGATAAGGTGTTCCAACAGTTTTTGAATTCTGTGAAATTCATTGAGACAAACGCCAACGAGTTTCAATACTCAGATTTGAGTATAATCAGTCCAATTGCGAAAGTCGTTGAGCGTAGGAGGAAAGAACAGCAGAGGATCCGGGAACAAGGTGAAAAAGCGATTACAGAGCTTGCAGGAGATATGCAGAAGGATAGGAAAGTGAAGAAAAAGAAGAACAAAGCGACGAATGAGAAAAAGGAGAAGGGGAAGAAAAAAGACTCGAAGGATCCAGAACCCACGGCACCTCGGAGGAGATCCAAGAAACAGAAAAAGGGTTCTGGCGCTGAACCGCAGGACAAAAATAACATGGTGATCATCGAAGCGGCCGGGATGCGAGAATTGCAGAGGCGTGAACGGCTCAAGAAGAAAGCTCAGAAGAAAATTGCGCTGCAAGCGGGTGACCCCTCGCAGAAGGCTGTCGAGTCCGTGACAACCCCGAAGAAACAACGTTCAAAAGAGTCGAAAAAGGCTAAAGCGGCAAAATCCAAGAAACGAGATGAGCAATCTGGCAAGCCCCAAATTCTACAAAAGGACAACGATCAAGGTGATTCAAATGTCGGTTAAAAGTATACATGCTATGTCTTGCCTTTCGATGATTTCATCTTCATGTAAACGTTCTGACCAGTATTGAGAAACGCGTAAGCAAAACTCAAGAACAAAGACCATTTTTCAGGCGAAATGCACTGCTGTGCGATCGAAACGAAGACAGATGAACTGATTATCCCACTAGAAAGCATAGGCAGGTACCGGTGCTTAATATTTTGAAGGATTTTAGCACGCAATTCTTTGAAATCGGCCGCCGAATTTTGTAGGTTCGATACCGTGAGCGCAGTGATCAGAAATAAAACTTGAATTGGACTTACAATAAACCAGGATCCACACAACTGTGAAAGACGCCTCCATCTAACCGTGGTCACGTGTTTCGTCGTTACCTTGGTTATCCATTGATAACAGAAATGGTTTATAGGAGCGTTTACAAGTCCTCCATACAGGAACATCAACAGAATCTTTCGGTACTGTGGCTTAAGAACCAATTCTTTGAGCCGTTGACCAAGACTGCGTTTTGCAGATACAGGATCACCATCCCTAGACGTGATTACCTGACTGATCAATTCACCTAGCGCTGCTAGCAACGCTCCAGTGACCGATTTGGTCAATAATGGATATTTCTTTAGCAAATCATTGTAGTGTCCCACAGGATTATTAAGGGGCTTTAAACTCATGTTGGTGTCGGGATCGGTACTGGGATCTACGAGAAGTTCAAGATTACTTAGGTTACATATAGCGATGTTGCCGGGTTTTTATCTTGTGCAGCCATTACTTATCGCTGATCTCCGGTAGCGATGAGTATCGATTAAGGTCGCTTGAAGTGAAAAATTGATGTATTTCAGACGAAACGAGCATTGTTTGAAAATTATGGGTTGATGGTAAAGAGCTTAACTACCTGGAGTTTACTGAGCTAGCGACTTTATCTGAACTAGAGCTATGTATTAATTTATTGAGGTCGTGGCAATGTAGAAGTAATTTAGAAGATTTCGGAGATACCCGAGATTTACTAACCAAAAAGCCGTGGTTCCATCTGAATTTTGTCTAGATGGGCGTGAACTTCCAGCCAGCACTGAAGACGAACTAGGCGAGTCCAGAGGACATCCTTATGACGGTTTTCGGCAGTAGTGTGACATTGCGAAGCAGATGGGAAAAGGTGTAAAACGTCAATTGAGCTCCAATAGCTCCCTGACCCCGTGGTTCCTTAACTTCTGAATCTTTTTCGAAATATTGTGGTCTCGGAACTCCCGCACCCTCATAGCTTGCCGCTCACAGCTCACAGCTCACACAGCTTCTGTAATGTGTAGGTCTCTTGCTTCCATATTTTCACCGACGCATCACGTTAAAGGTTACGCAATGGACAATAAAACCTGAAAATTCACAACTATACAGGCAGAGATGTTCCCAAATTGAAGATTTTGGACCTCGTCGTTGTTCAAGGCTCGAAATAATGACTTCCGCCCATTTTTGAGCTTGAAATCCCCGGAAAAAAATGGCTGAAAAGAGAAGTATGGGTGAACAACAAACCGACCATCTGCTCGTGGCCAATTCCTTCTGCCAACTAGAAACCTTATCGCTCCAAAAAGCTCTTGAAATCGCTCGACTTTATCCGTCAAATGTGATCACGTGATGTCTTTTCAACAAACTCTCTGAAAACAGAGATCCTTACAAGCTGATTCTTGTTTCTTCATAGAAATTCACTCGATTCAACACTCAACACCCAATTGATCATGAAACTCGTTCATTTCCTAATGAAACTGCGTAACGAGCAGGTTTCTGTAGAGCTCAAAAACGGTACCACTGTATGGGGCACGCTCCAGACGGTTTCCCCACAAATGAATGCGACGCTGACGGACGTAAAACTCTCGTTGCCAAACAAAGCAGGTAACAGTGCGATGGCCGGGATGTATCTGGTCGGCGGTCAACAGAACGAAGAGCGTGGCACGACTTCGCTGCAATACATCAACATCCGTGGTAACACCATAAGACAAATAATTTTGCCCAACTCGCTGAACTTAGATTCGCTTTTGGTCGACGAAAGACAACTCAACAGACTGAGAAGAAGCGGAAAGTTGGGCGACGATTCCAATAGGAAAAGAAGGCTGGACCACAATGGAAATTCCACGAAAAGAGTGAAACGAGCCATATGAACAGTTGTCGCTCACCCCGAAACCTCTGGATCCTCATCTGATTCCTCACTCGAGCTCTCACTGCTACTGTAGTCTGCAAAAATGTCACACCAACGACATTTACCCAGGGGCAACCCCCATATGGACTCTTCTGTACACAGCCAGTCCAAAATCTCATCTACATGAAGCACCACGGCCTGTTTGTCGAACGAATTCGACCAGAAATCCTGGTCGAGCGGAAGCGATTTGATTTTGCGATAGTCTCGAATGAAAAATCGGAACACATTTACCAGTTTCTCCGCGGTCACATCGCCTTGACTGTCAAGATCTGCCAATGTGTTTATGGCCCGTCGTTCTTCGTTGTCGTTCCAGGTCAAATAGAAATATTGCACTCGTAAATACACCAAAAGCAAAACAACCAAATACTTGTTATCGAATTTAGATTTCTCCGGGTGTCCTCTTTTCAAAAGTAAGACTATTTCAGACCAAGTCGGTCTTAATTGTACCAATTTCATGAGTAAGCACTTAAATTCAACACCACCGCATGCAAGCCTAAAGTTTCTCACACCTGAGCGAACTGTACCCAAATTCTGAACCAAAGTTTTGGACAATTGCTTCATGTTCAGGCCTCTCTGGGCGCATGGATCCAGATTTATCTTGTAATACATAGAGTTCTGTATTCTGACCCGGGTCAATTGCGGAATCACGAGAGAGGTCGACTGACGGTTCAATTGCTTATGAGAAAGCGTCTCATCGTTTTGAAACTCACGTGGCATACTCAAGAGACGATCTACTTGGCACTGTCGAGAGTGTTGATCCCATTATAGCCAACCTCTTCATTATGAAGAACTCTCTTAGCACCAGTCACGTGATCCTATATACGAAGACCTCAATCACTAGCCGTAGCTGGTTGATTTCTCCTACTTATGTTGCGATATATGCTATTTACAAGTCAACCGCTATTTGCACACCATCAGAACCATGATGGACGAGACTTGTTCCGTTTCTCGAGTTTTTTCAAGTATTTTTTGCCCTTAACTTCCAAAATGTACTGGTCAGCGTTCTTGATGGCTTCTTGCATTTTCTGCAGTCTGCTGTCGTGACTGAGTTCGTGCTTGTGGCCCTTGGGTAGTAGAACACCGCGCATGAGCTTCTTTTGCTCGTACTTCTCTTCGAAGAACAGTTTTTTAGAAGGTGGAAGCAGCTGTTGTACGCCATACTGAGCCGCAAGTTTGTAAAGATCGCTCGAACGCCTTAAAGAGTACTTGGCATTGTGATAGCGTCCGGTTTCCGGATGTTTGTTGGGCAGAAACGGATTCGCGTCGATCGCATGCGTAGACGTTGGTTTGTCACTGTATTTCACGTTTGGTGGATACTTTCTGAAAAAAGTTTTCAACTTGTCTGGTAGAAGGTGGAAAAACTGCCTTGAAGCTGGTTGTGACATTGTGTGATATCGAGTTTCTGCGAAGAAGCAACAAGAGCGCCGAGGAGTTCCCACACGGTATCAGTGATTTTTGAATGTCAAGTTTGCCAACATCAAACCTTTCACCAGGTGGAACCTTTCTTTCTAGCAGTGAAAGAAGAAAAATCACGTGACAGGGTATCAAGGAACATAACCCCATGGTAGTCCACGGCGGGAGCCCAAATTAACTGCCTCCACGGCCGTCGAACTGGCTTCTCTCTCGGGCTACAATCTCTGCAAGAATCCCTGTTGAATAAGTCGTTCTACGTCTGCTTGACGTGCGAAAAACTGGGAATCCTTGATAAGATTGAATACACCATATTCGGTCTGAATCTCACCTGCGTCCTTGAGCACCCGCACGTCAATGAACACATCGCTGGGAGGCGTCAAACTGCCGGACAAATCGATATCAGTAAACTCTCCACTTTTCATATCGGCAATTATTTGCGTGTAGTCCTTCAAATACTCTTCTTCCTGATGCGACAGAGACGCGTCTGCACCTTCCCCCGCGGCTAGTGCTGTGACAGAGTCCAAACCATGTTTATTCCAAGCCATTGCATCCAAAGTGTCACTTCGCAGTTTTTGATATGCCAATAAGCCTCTCTTGTTACGTTCCATGCAAAGAAGCGTCACGAAATGTTGACACCGTGCAACCTTGTCTTCCACTTGATTCAGTTCCTGTTGACTTTTCAACAACTCTGCGTCTCTCTTCAATTGCTCAATTTCCCTTAATGTGTTTCGAACTAAATCGTCCTGATACATCGGTAAATGCTCAGATTTTGAGCTTTCGTTCAATTGTTGAGCCCGCTTGGCTTCGAGTACCAGCTTGTTGACCAAATCTCCATACATTTCGGGGCTTTGGTTACCTCTTTTGTAGCTAACTTTAACGTCTTTTTGCGAGGCGTGAACTTGATTTATTTAAAACCTTATGTGATCATCACCACGTATCAGATAAACCAGGACAATGAAGGTTTACGGTAAAGCAGGACGAATTAAGGGTCAAATCGTTCGGGATAATACAGAGCATGTTGAACTTAGTGATGATGATGAATCCCTGGCGAGTTTGACGTCGCAGACGTCTACAATAAACAGTTCTTTTACGTTGAGAAGCGATGAGCTGAGTTACTTGGGTAATGAGAAACCTGTTATACCGCAAAATTCGGTGAAGAAAAGCGAAACGAATCAATCTGGTATCTCCAAAGCAGTTGAGATGTTTGAGTTCTTGGATTCGATAGATCGTAAAGTTTCGCGCGCCAAAAGACGAAGAACTAAAGATTTGGCAAGAGAGTCTGGCGAAAAATCTTCCGCGAACGAGCAACACCCCAATTTTCGAGATTCGGGCCTTGAAGCCACTCTGATCGACGTAAACAAAATGCTTTCGAATGTAAAACCGGTTTCTGTCGTTTCCGCTATGACAGAAACCTTTGAACCTGACATTTCGAACACCGATCGCGTCGACGGCAAGAAAATCGTCTATGGGAAAAATACGTCGATCCTTTACTCTCAAGAAGATTTGGAGTATTCTCAGGCCTACGAGAATTCGGTTGAGGCGATCGGATCTCCTACGCGTCACGACGGAGCCGTGTCTAACACTATTGTACGGCTCAAGTCCTTCGGAAAGACACTTAAATTTGACGACGATCTTCTGTTTATTGAGTCACCGCTGGAGAAACTGTCGCAGGGCAACCAAATCTCGAAGCTTTTGAATTTCGCGCTCGATCTTTCTAATAACAGTGAACTTCACGCCCATATATCCAAATACCGTCTTGCAGACGTTTGGAATTGGTGTTTTGGCCCACGTCCGGTTGATATGTGCTACACGCTGAAGTATTTGAAGTTATTCATTGCCCATACTTTGCAACCGAACCAGGATGACCAACTATGGGCCGTGTTCCCTTTTGAGAGCCTTATCCTTGATATTGACCGTCAAGATGGGCTCCGTTCGGATAAAAGCTTGAAGCGGATCGCACAGATGAATTTCAACGACCTCGTTTCCCGCAACAACAGTGCTTCAGCATTCTATTACGCCCAGAAACTTTGGCCCCTGGCTTATCGAGAAGGCATTCATTTGTCCGCAAGGGTTTTGGAAACGCTCATAGATGTATGCCAGAATCCGGCAAATATTCCCGACTTGTGCTTTCGAGCAGTCGAAAGCGTTGTCGCTAGTGGGGTTAGAGAGGATCTTTTGACCCAGTACCAGGATTTGACAATCGTCTTACTAGCTCAACTGGAAGGTCATTCTGCAAGCGAAAGTATGCTGAAATCACTCATAAAATTGACTAATGATCGTATCATAACCGCCTGTTTGTCGCCTGATCATTTTGCCATGATATTAAAGGCATCTACAAAATACGTTATTGAAGATGCAGCTGCCTTCAATTCAATACCTACCAAAAGTGACGTTTTGGTTCTACATCTGGGGCTTCTGGTCAATATACTGACGACCTGTGCGGAAAGGATACCTGCATTAGACGATAAAGCGTTTAAATGCTTTTTCGACATATTTCGCTCCCTTAAAGAGGATCAGGACGCCCAAGATTTTAATTCGAACATGTTTTATCTCGTGTTAGCATGTTTATGCATTCACCAAGGCAAAGACTGCTCCCGCACGGATATGAAATATCTGAGAGAGCGACTGACTGAATTTGCACAAGAGATCAAAGTTTACAATGCAAGCATTTATGAAGGAACTCAAGCCGCTCTGGAAAAGCTCTAAAGAGGTCTTTCTTTAAATACTATATGAGCTTTCTAAATGTCTCATGGCGCAATTCTCAGAACATTCCATTCGTCTTTTTCAGATTCACGTTGGAAAACGATTCTGTCGTGAAGACGACTAGAACGTCCTTGCCAGAATTCAATCATCAAGGGAACAACTCTAAGACCGCCCCAATACTCTGGACATGGCACATCGTCGACACCTTCAAATTTGGCTTCGTTTTCAGCAACCAATTTTTCAAGTTCTGCACGATTTTTGATGACTGCGGACTGCGGTGAGGACCATGCACCAACTTTCGATCCACGGGGTCTGGTCTTGAAATACCGCTCGGAGGTTTCTCTATTAACATGTTCCACTTTACCTTCAATCCGTACTTGTCTTTGAAGGTTTTTCCAAAAAAACGTCAAAGCCGCCTGAGGATTGGTTTGAATATCGTGCGCCTTCCGCGAAGTGCCCCAATTGGAATAAATCGTGAACCCGCGGTCGTCCAATTCCTTAAAAAGTAGGACTCTAGACGAAACTCTTCCACTTGGCAATTCCGCAGACGAAAAATTCACCGCTTCTGGAATACTCTCACTTGGATCAGCCTTGGCTTCTTTGAACCATTTGGTGAATTGCACAATGGGATCCGACTCGACCTGATTCACATCAAGCGAATTCTTGTCGTACTGGTAAGTTTCCGGAGCGACTGAAAAGTTAGTAAAGTGGAGCTACAAATAGAAAAGAGCATTAAAGGCACCGACCATGTCAACACTTACAAATGATTGGATTTCTGATCTGATTATCAGCCATTGTGTATGCTTTATGATGGCTTTACGGTTTACCAAGAGATGAAGAGTCATTACTCACATATGGCTCATAATATTGGATATCACCAGATCGAGTTTACTAGAGCCCGTGACTTATGATGAAGATCAACCGGAGTGATCAGTTGACACCTCATGCGCCATGGATCCATGGCTAGGCATGGTTAGGGGCCAAGACTGTGTTACATCTGGGGCAATTCGTCTAATTAAGACTGAGTAAGTGAAATCTGGGCCTTGTGGCATGACATTAGACCAAAAATCGCAGGAGCGATACTTGAACATCGAATTTAACAAAGGGTGTATCCTCCAAGAGCTTCGAGTGGTAGGATAGGAATTTCCAAAAATTTTTGACACAGACCATCAATGCTAACGTTCTGACACGGGAATCCAAGAGCTGAGAAAAGGCAAAGGTTTTGAGAAAGTGGGATGAATATTAATTTGGGATCTTTGATGGTCTGCTTTTGCAAAGAATGACACACGATTTCGTCGGGCGCGTACCGAAGAACATGGCATTAGCCCAATGATCGTTTTCTCGACATGGAGTAAAACTGGGGCCCCTTCTTGCAAAAGGAAAGAGAAAATAGGTGATCAGCAAACTCGCCTTATGGGAGACCTTTTGGCATCAAATGACTTATTTTTTGTTTGCCGCGAGGGGCCATGGTGAAAAATCAATGAAAAAACCGGTTAGCTTCGACTTGCGATTTTACACTGGCGTCAGCACTGGCATGCCTTGATGGATGTATGAGATGCTTGTCAAGACGAGACGTGGTCTGGCGATGCAAAGAAAACAGCAACAATGGCCCTCGAGTCTAATCGAAAGCGCTGGCGCGGAGAGCATCTGGGATTAACGATGAGAAAAAACGATATTTGAACAAAGCGCCAATTGTGCTAGCTTTTCTCAAATCCAGGTCAAATCCGCGACAAAACCGTTGCGCGAGTTTCTTCCCGAGCTACAGGACGGTCGTGGAAAGCTCTGCGAGTTGCAATGCTGGCAGACCATTCACCACCAGACGGACCTTTGCCAATTCTTGAATCATCAAGCAAATCATGGACATCCTCCGAGCAGCCTTATACCGCGCTTGGGTGTTGGGGTGTAGTATGCGAGCTTGGCGGAAACAAGCAGGTTCCTCAGTCGTATCTGGTAGTCACAGAGACCAATTGCAAGGTTTGTGTATCTTCACGCTCAGGCGGATAGCCAACCTATAAACGCAAATTGACTGATACATAGACCAAAGCAAAAAATCGTAACTAACCCGAAACTTCCTTTCCAAGCTCTGACGCGTCCACATCTCCCAGCTATTGTTTGTAGATCACCAGTGATCACAGTTGAATAAAAGAACGCAAAATTCATTCTAAAAACTTGAAATATCACCATTTTTCACTATTTTAAGACGCCCAAAAAACACCTAACAATCTACAAATCCAGTTTGAACCCTTTAAGTCCTTGGCGTGTCATGATAGCAACGTGCTTGGCCAGTAATCGTCACCAGTCATGCTTGTATATGTGTGGCTAACAGTGGGTTTTCATCGAGGCGAATCCTTCGAAAATATCGAATTCTTCAGAATATCACTAATAACGAAAATCGATGAACATCAAAATTAACCGCCGAGATAAAAGTCAAGCTTGAGCCTTCCACTATTTGCAGCTACCAAACACTATAAAAGAAGCAGTTCAAGATGGTTCAAAGGTCGCGCTCAGAGGAGCTTCTGCTGAAGAAGACGAACGACGGGAAACGAGACTGTCGAAGATACAGTCGTACTGTGGGGACGACGAGTTTTCAAAATACGGTTTCTACAGAGAAAATTCCTGAAATTCAGGACAAATGGGTGCCTTTGGGGCTAAGAAGGCAATTGGAAAGAAGTTGCACCGAGACTGGCTCTTTCACAGCTTCGAATTTGCTTGTAGAACGGTCAAAAACGAGTTGTGTTGGCTTCTGCGTAGGGAACCACGAAAATCCTCAGTTTGTAGACGAGGTATTGTCACAAGCGAGCTCTGAGGGAATCGAAAACAGTCGGTTGGGGTTGACCACTGTAATTAGTGTTGAAAGTTCACAGGACGACGTGGAGAACCGTACGGAGAAAGAAATTGAACAGGCGCAAGTGACTATTAAGCACGAAAATGAGGGTTTTGGTGACTTGATTTTGGGTATGGAGTGCCAAGAAGATAGGTCAGATTTGAATTTGGCTGCGCCAGAAGCGCCAGAAGCGCCAGACGTACCAGCAAGTGCTATCCTTGACTCAACATGCACACAACCTGAGAATGATATATCTGAGAGGGTAAACTTCTCACTGGCACCAGATCTCGACAACGAGAACAGCAACCATGTGAGCGTTCTTACTTTAGCTCACGAACAACTTGTACACAAACCTTTGAAGGCCTTGATTAATCAAACCAACATGGATTGCTACTGCGTTGATTCCAGTCGCATAAAACACAAGGCAGGGCTGTCGAAACGACACGCTTTGGCGATTCCACATCTACATGCTCGGTTCCAAAAAGACTGAGGGTTGCGATCCTCGAGCCAAAAAATGGTCTCTAGCGGGATCGAACCGCTGATCCCCGCGTTATTAGCACGGTGCCTTAACCAACTGGGCCAAGAGACCAACAATGAGAAACCAAGCTGATCGTTGCTCTTCACCACCTTTCGATGTTCCTGTAAGAGCTCATTCTACCTAACTGTGCTACTTAGGCTCTACATGTTGCTCAGCTGATGTGCTTCTCCACAGAATCCGAAAACGGTACTAGTATTTTGCAGCACAAGCACTTCAACGCATATTTTGCAATACTTGACGCTGCCTCGCTAGATGATCCTTCACCTAAAAAGCGGCTGCTCGCACTTATTTACAACTGCTCAATCGGTCGCACCTGCTCGCATCTCAATCCGCATTGCTCCCGGTTTCCTCGATATCTTTCGCTGGGGCTGCCGAACCATCAGTACCACTCAATCCAGCATAAAACGTCTTCCACAACTCCGAAACACTCTCAAACTCTTTACCAACAGCTATGAAATTCTCCAAAGATATGTTCAAACCGTTCAAGTTGTTCAAAATAGAGTCCAAAGTTTGATTAATGTCCTGTACAACAAGATCTCTTTGCTCCAAAAAGTACCGATCCGATTCCTGCAATTCACCAGAGAGCTCATTGTCTCTATCCAAAGGCTCTGACATGGCTCATAAATGTCAAACCGTCGCTTCAATTCTTATAAGAGACGCACTCTCAAAGACAGAGACCTATATGTTGACGTCTGGAAGTAGTTCATCATCAGTGTTACCCGGAAATATATGCTTTTATATAAGAACCGCAAGCTTTGAGATCACGAACATAGGTTCAGACCCTCTTTTTGGAAGCAAAGTAAAAATTACCAGTATCATTGGCTGTCTATATTTCTCCAACATGTGGACGGTCTCTCTAAGCTGGAAGAATGAGTAGAACGACTTAAGTTCTGTTGTGAAATGGTTTTTTTAGTAATTTCGTGACACTATTGTGGTTCTTACAAAATTAATCTAGTCTTGGATAAATTTGACCAAATGAAGATCTTTCCGTTCTCCGTGGTCAGAATCATCACATTAGCATCGGTTGATTATGAGTATATAGTCAGAATCTTAATGTTTGGGGGTTTGTTGCATGACGCTGAGCGATGGTACTTTGACGGGTAAATCAAGTGCTTGCCTAGTTTATTCACTCATTTCATCATCGTCTATGTAACGAGGTTCAACGTCAAAAATTAATTCATATTTCCTCCATTTTTTGCGCAGCTCACTGTCCGTAGCATTGAACTCGCCTTCCTGTTCTTTATCGAAATCATCTAGCCAATCCCATGGTCTATCAAAATTCTGCATCTCCTTCTCAAGGAAAGCAGATAGATCGTTATCAAAGTAAATAGGTGCGTGATTAGTCAAATGGTTCCAAATGGTTTGAAGGTAGAATTTCAAACTTCGTATTCCACGTAGAAAGCCACGATCTTCCATTTCAGGTGCCTTAGGAGGTACTCTGAAAGTATTATAACTCAACGCCATGTCCGCGCTTGTGATACATTGCGCAAAATCGATTAAGTTTACCTTAACACGGCTGCGTTTATTATGTGGATTGTTCCCATCGTACATCAGAAGCAGTGAAGACCCATATAATCGATAACCCTTGAGTTTGCTCACTTCTGCATACAATTGATCAAGTTGTGTGATCAGACGTGGAATCTGTTTCAAAATGCTCGATGTCTGATGACCATCGTAAAGAAATCTTGCCAATAAACGTGCGAATTGCCAGCCTATTTTAATACGCCGTCCAAAATACTTGTCCCTAGTGATATAATAAGAGCTATTCCATACCTTAAGACCACATATCCTAACCCCCAGTTTCCTTGACGTAGTTTTCAGGCATTTTTCGCGCTGCGAAAGTTGCTTAGTCTTTTTAGCGTCCACGCCATACTGCCGTGTACCCATCTTGAGGTCCAGCACACAGGGTTTATTTAATTTCCGAGTAAGATCCTCTAGTAGGATAAACTTGGAAACTATCGTGTGTGAATTCTCCTCGATGGATACGGAATCATTCGAACGACCTTCTTCTGCTTGATGTACTGGGTCGTGTTCCATTGGGAATAATTCATCGTCTGTGAGTTGCTCAGTTGAGGGCCTTCGAGAATCGCTGATACTGGATTTGACTTTTTCGTTATCTATCATCTCTTGTGCCATCTTTCGCATATGGAATTGCTTTAAATCTAGCACTGAACTGTGTGAGTCTAAAGCGTTTACGATACCCTTCTTTATTGCCTTGTTGAGAGCCAAAGATGATGAAATGGGTGCTTTAGATGTCGACTCTTCGGAATTTCTTCTCAAGGACTTAACTCCTGGACGTTCGGCAGACAAAGATGCTATGCGAGGATTTTCTTTGATAATCTTCTGGGAGAGCCGTTCGCTTATCTTTCGCCGGGCTGGTGCAAATACCTCCTGCAGTACCAACTCTTGCAGTTTGGTATTCACCACTGTGGAGCCCGAATCCATTGTAGCATTTCTTTCGAGTCCTGGCCTATTTGAGGCATAATTAGAATCAGGAGGTGCCGAATCGGGAGATTTGGAGTATTTATACCACAATGAGTCGGGGATTATGTGTTTATTATCGTTGAGGACTACCTCGGGATATTTGGGCTCCAGTTTTAGACTAGAGACGGGGAGTGATTGTACTTTAGATAACTGCAGCTCTTCTTCATTTCTCTGAGATCCACTAGCATTGCTCATGGGCTTCCTCGTTTGTCCAGGGACCATTTGTTGCAAAGGTTGCTCTTTGTCATCGAAATGCTGCCTGACATTTAAAACACCGATATAGCGAGGCATGAACCTCAATAATTCCTTGTGTTGTTGTTCGATGTTCTCATACCACTGATTTTCCCTTTTTACCAGTGATTTACAAACAGCTCTTTCAGAAAATCTGAAAATAGCAGTATGTCCTCCCACTTTGTTCGTAAACGGTTGCAATTCTACTGCAAGAGGATACTCTTGATCCACGATTGCACTACCAGCATCAGTATCACTTTCATCACTTTTGCCTATGCTACTGCTGCGCATACTCGTGTGGTGTAGAAGAGGGGGTGGATGTGAGTCGTGATTCTTTTGCGCTTTGGACTCCAAAGCTGGAGCAGTTGTGAAGGAATTTGCACGTTCTCTTGATTCTCTGTTATCGTCGGTAGCACTCTTATGCGGGTAGTAAGTAGCCGAGGAAATGGGTTTGAGTGTAAGCGGTTGGTCGGTAACTACAGCCCCATTTTCTTCATCAAGGGAGACTTCTTTGGACAGAGATTCATCTTGAGTAGTACCTCGTCCACCAGATGCCTTACGAGAATGCTTCCCGTCCAATAACGGCAACTCGTCAGCACAGCTCGAATACGATGGACGTCTTGAAGAACTCTTTTTACTTGCATATTTGAAAGACCTCTTACACGAAGGAGCCGTGCCAACCGCATGTGGCGCGATATGACTTGAATTGCGTCGTCTACGCGATAGAGTATCATAAATAGACGAAGAATGCCGCCTTGGAGGTTTAGCACGAATTGAAGGTGAGCTTAAGCTTCCAAAAGCACTAGTCGTTGAATCAATAGCTGGTTTTTCAAAAGTTTCACGCCATGAGACGGTTTCATGATCATTGGACCCAGGGATAGCCATTGCACCTGCATGTCCTGGACCATTTTCAAGCTCATCGCCTTGGAAAATTCGAAGATAAGTGCTTGCTTTACGCCCATGAATAACGGAAGGAGATTTTTTCTTGTCGAACACATTCAGATCTTTCAAATGCGTTGCAATAGCATGTATTGAATGAGTGTCGCCTTTCTTGCCGTGCTTATCGACTTTGTCCGGGGGACACATGGTTATGGCGGTTTATTAATAGGAAAAGAGGGTAAATGTATGCTTCGAACGCGCTTTTCAAACGGTATCTCAGTGTAGAGCCTTCCTTAGTCGAGAAATCAGTTCCCAGTAATGATATGCCTTCCTTTCTTAAGTAGATTTGTTGTAAAGCGGGTTATGTAATTGTCAGGAAAACAAGCTTTGATTTCATCAACGTGCAAATTTGATTCTAATTATGATAAACTTCGATGACCTGAGATAAAAAAAAAGAGGAAAATGGAAGGAAGAGGAGTATAGGGGCTGGAAAGATGGAAACCTGGAAGTGGTGGGGTGTGAAACAGGATTAGATTGTCGAAACACGACGTTTCCGGTTCAAATGCGGTTATTTTTGACTAAGAAAAAGGTAGTAATATGCTACAAGGAAGAAGGTGACAGAATGAGCATCAAGCGGAGGTTCTTTCATGATAAAAGGGTATGAGAAGCTAAGACATTGCAGATGGTGTATGGTGGGCTTTGATCGCGTTTCCTCGGTCGTTTAGGCCATTTTAAGCGATGTTCAAGGCAAAACGTACTTCCTTGCACACGAGCGTTAAAGAAAATGCGCGCCTCGAACACAACAATAGGGCATTAAATTCCCAGACTTCTAATTTCCCCTCTCAGAGGCACTTTTGGGTCGTCATGATATATTTAGTTGTAAAAACTTGATAAAACTCGCCAAATTACTCGTAATTGCGCCAATTTCGCAAGGGGAGAATCTAAGACGTCTATCAGGAGGATCAAGAGGCTTAAATCGCGTCGTAAAGGTAAGATATGCGGGCTCATCGTCCGCCTTCACATCCTATACGGAAAACGCTTTTTTCAAATTTCGACCGTCGCTCCCTGACCCTCGATGGACTGACGGTATCAGCCTTGCAGAAAGGTCACTCTGTACGTAAAGAGCAGTCTGCGAGTCTGTGGTTCGAATCCGCCGAGAAGGAATGAAAATCAAAACAAAAATAAAAATGCCAAAGACGCGGCCAAAGGTATCAGAAACACGTCGATATTCACGTTATGTGTTTTCGGGTTATTTGCTCCTGGATTTGATTACTTTTTGATCCCTTTTGAATCTGACCAATAATATCCCAGTATTTGATATGTTTTTGGATTTATTAGTACCTGACTCCGTACATAACGATTATACATGCAAAATTTTCTCAATTCACAGTAAAGGAGACATTGTAGAAACCAACATATAGGGTTCAATTGACAAGCTGCCGCTAAGTTAGGTCATTATTGGTGGATTCTTACAATAGAATCAAATATTACGGACGGACGTTTGTGACCAAAACCACTTTCTTGCCAGGCTTCGATTTTCATTAAAAAAAGACCAAATATAAGCAATGTTTGTCAGGTTGGGTGCGCAAACTGCTCGTAATGGTGTCGCCGTGACGAGAAACTACGCGACGCTTAGAGAGATCGAAATGCGTTTGAAATCGATCAAGAACATTGAGAAAATCACCAAGACTATGAAAATTGTCGCGTCGACGCGTTTGGCCAAGGCTGAACGTGCTAAGGCCAGTGCTAGAGAGTATTCTGCAGCTGAGCGTGAATTCTACAAGAGTGCCGGTACCAAAGAACTAGAAGCCGGTGAGACCTCCCCTCCAAAGAGTTTGATCATTGCTGTTACGTCCGACAAAGGTTTGTGTGGTTCGATTCATTCGCAATTGGCCAAAGCAGTGCGTAATGAACTTAAAACCACCCCTGACGCCGATGTGGTCGCTATCGGTGACAAAGTCAAGACGCAATTGCTAAGAACTCACGGCAAAAACGTCAAACTCGCTTTCAGTGGTGTCGGGAAAGAGGCTCCTACTTTTGAAGAATCCGCTTTGATCGCCAACAAGATTTTGGCAAATGGTGGCGCCAATTACTCTAAGATCAGTATTCTCTACAACGACCCTATTTCTTCGATTTCTTTTGAACCCAGAGCCAAAGACGTGTTTCCAGCTGAAACCATTGCGCAATCTCCCTCTTACGCCAAATTCGAAATTGACTCTGATGCCAAAGTACCTACAGATCTTTTCGAATTCACCTTGGCTAACCAGATTTTGGCTGCTATGGCCGACGGTTATGCTGCCGAGGTTTCGGCTAGAAGAAACGCTATGGACAATGCTTCCAAGAATGCTGGTGACATGATTAACAAGTACTCTATCTTATACAATAGAACCAGACAGGCCGTCATCACCAACGAATTGGTTGATATCATTACGGGTGCCTCTTCCTTGGGTTGATCGCTCTGCGACTTTATGCTACGATGTCCTTTCTAGATTCATGATTACTTCATTTTAAGATTTCGGCAGACAAGGGCGTTGCGTGTGCGTCGGCTTGAAACGTACACATTGCCGCAAGCTTCTGCAAGCCGATATAGATGAGCAAATAATATATATACTATTCCAATTACAATATATTCTCAATCAAACTTTTTACAAGATGGGAAGTGTCAGTTTGTATCACAACATCTGGGTTTCATAGTTGTTCCGAGTTTTCGACCAATACAACTGAAAAAAAAGTATTTAACCGTAACAAACAAACCAGACTCCTAGTCTGAATTCTAGTTTTACAGTTATCAAGCTAGCCTTCTATTATTTTGCAAACGATATGCTTTCTCTTACAGTCTTGTTTTACTGCGTCAAGAAAATGCCCCGAGTGATCGTGGGAATTCTCAACGTCATTACCATTTTTTTACTGGTTTTTCTCCTGCTGGGCACTTACAATACGTCTCACACTTCGACTTATTTGACCCGCTTCAAATTCAATCCAGAATCCCCGTTATTTAATGTGATAACCTCTTCTCTAGAGTCGTCAAATTCCACCCGAAACCTACAAAACGTCGAAATCACTTCCGGATATCTGGGCGTCTGCATCCAAAACTTGCCCAAGAGTTACAGCACCGAATCTAGTGTATGCTTTAATCGCAAAAAGATCTCTACAGTCGACCTTTACGATCAACTCGCAGTTAAAGTGTTCAATTTCAAATCTACAAATTCCACTGATAACTCCCAATCCTCGGCTCTCAACATCCTGGACTTGGCACAAACGCTCTCTGTGAACACCAACCATCCTTATCTCCTCATGGCGACAATCATAATGTCTATCGCCATGTTTGGACTCACACTCTACGCTACAATCCCTAAATTACCTGCCAAATTCTACATTAACCGATTTTTACTACTTTTGAGTCCACTGTTGGCCCTCATTTGGGGGTTAGGTTCCATGTGGGCACACGTCGCAATGCATTCTGCTACTGAGCTTATTCCAAGGGCTTCAATGGGAATTATCAACGCCAATTCGAGCCCGAAAGCATCTTCAATGGCCTGGTGTTCGTTCGCATTTATGTGCATAAACTGCCTCATAATTTGGGCAATCTATTTCAGAGACAGAGCATCACTGAGTCGTAAGGTCGACGATGTCAATAGTCGATCCACATGCTCCCACAAGTATCCAAGCGATAACTCACTGTCGTCTTATTCGGTTTAATGTTTCGTATAACGCGCGCTGACGCTTGCGGATCTCGTGATGGGCCAAGTGTTAAGATGAGAGATTTACAAACTAAAAACCGCCACAATGATGGGACGGGAGGCTCTTATTACATCAAGCAGCTCTAGATGACGGTTTCGGTTACCGGCCAAGTTGTTTGGAGGCTTTTAAGACTTCTTTTGAAGCTTGTACTTGTACCACTTCTTTTGATCGGTAGACTTTTAGGTCCTGCAGCCAGGAGATTAGTTGATAAGCTTGATGAGAAATACCGGGTCAAAGAGGATTGGTATATTGCGCCATATTTTCTAGCAGCAGTGCCCAAATATGCTTGGAACGCTTACCACCAGAGGTTCCAGTACTGGTACCTTTTCGAGAAGCAAGTTCGAAAACACGGAAACTCACTTTGTATCACTTATCCACGGCCACTCGGGCGAAAAGGACAGTTCGAAGTCGAACGGTTTACTTACCAGGAAACTTACGAAGTCGTTCTTCGACTCTCGCACATTTTGTACTTTGAGTACGGGATACGTGAGGGAGAATGCGTTGCCATGGATGTGACAAACAAACCTATGTTCATATTTCTATGGTTTGCACTATGGAATATTGGAGCGATCCCATCATTTCTCAACTATAACAGTATTGGAACCCCACTTGTGCATTCTATCAAGATAGCAAATGTCAAAACTGTGTTGATCGATCCTCAAGCTGCCAAACCGATTCAACAAACGCAAGCGGAGATAGAACGCGAGTTACCAGACTGTAAGCTACGATATCTAGCCGAGAATGAACTTTTAGCTAGAATACTGGACACAAATTCCCCCAAGTTTCTACAAGACGTGGCTCTGAGATCTCCGTCCACGTTGTCCGATTTTAGCCCGGCATGCTTGATATACACCTCAGGTACAACTGGCTTACCCAAGTCAGCGATCATGTCGTGGAGAAAAGCGGTAATTGGCTGCTCTCTGTTTGGACATGTACTACGGATCAAGAACAATTCGATAGTTTTCACTGCCATGCCATTGTACCATTCTACAGCCGCTTTGCTAGGCGTCTGTGCAGTTTTCTCACAAGGGGGTTGTGTCGCAATGAGTAACAAGTTCTCAGCGAGTACGTTTTGGGAACAAGTTTATCTCACCGAATCCACGCACATCCAATACGTTGGTGAAATTTGCAGATACCTCTTGCACTCACCTTTGTCGGAATATGAGTCCAAACACAAGGTTAAAGTTGCTTATGGAAATGGTTTGAGGGCAGATATATGGCAAGAGTTCAGATCCAGATTTAACATAGAGGTCATTGGAGAATTTTACGCATCCACTGAGGCACCATTTGCGACAACGACGTTCCAAAGAGGCTCGTTTGGAATTGGTGCATGCAGAAGTTATGGCACTTTCATCAATTTCATACTTTCTTACCAACAAACTTTGGTTAAAATGGATCCGGAGGACGATAGCACTGTTTACAGGAACGACAAAGGTTTATGCGAAGTAGCACCTGTCGGTGAACCCGGTGAGATGCTCATGAGGATTTTCATGCCAAGGAAACCCGAAGCGACTTTCCAAGGTTACCTCGGCAATAAGAAAGCCACCGAATCGAAAGTATTACGTGACGTTTTCCGGAAAGGCGACGCATGGTACAGATCTGGAGATTTATTAAAAGCCGATAGTCATGGACTTTGGTATTTTGTCGATAGAATGGGTGATACTTTCAGATGGAAGTCCGAAAACGTTTCTGCCAACGAAGTCGAAGACCAAATAATGTCCTTCGACAATCAAGCATTCAGCGCTGTGGCTGTGGTAGGTCTCAAAATCCCGAACCACGAAGGTCGAGCGGGATTCGCAGTACTAGAATTATCCCACAAGAGCAAATACATGGAGGGAAACGTCGATTTCTTGAACGATATGCTGAAGTATCTGACTGGTAAATTACCCAAATATGCACTACCGGTGTTTCTGAAGTTCGTCGACGTTATCGACCATACTGATAATCATAAGATCAGTAAGAAAAACTACCGAAACCAGAATCTACCGCATGGTCGTGCTGGTAATGAAATTTTTTACTGGCTCAAGGGTGGTAAATCATACGTAGCGCTCACCAACGCAGATTGGAACGATATTCAATCGGGTGTTGCCAGGCTGTGAGTGGAATGTAGTAGTAGTATACTTACATTTACTAGATATATCTTGCATTCATGTGAAAATCCTTAAAAAGTGTTTGGAAATGGAATACACTACCATAAAGGCCAATAAAAGAGGCAATGTCACTATTAGAAGCATTTCGCTTGTCTTTATGGTACACCATCCCACGACAGTATGATTGAGATCAGGGTCAAGGTCGAAAGATCCCTTAGCGTAAAATGTGTCAAGAAGTTCATCTTTTTCACGCCAAACTCTGAATAACCATTCTGTGAACATTTCATCATCATCGATGGGGATTTCAGATAATTTGAAAGCACGTAAATGGATGTCGACTATCTTTGGAGCTTGTCCCCTGAGGAAGATGTTACCGAGCCTGTAAATGTCTTGACCATATTCGTCCTTCTTTACGCCAGAATACCCAATGGTAGCGTCATAGACAACTTCGCAACTTTCACGCAAACACAGCAGGGAGAAGCGAAGGCCAGTAATTCTTGGTAAAAGAACGTTCTTCAGAAAAGTGCGATTGATTTTTTCGGCGTAGAAATCGCTCTTACTGCGCGTATTGGCACTTAAATTGGTTCCCTCTGGAAACAAAATAAGGGAATAGGGCCAATGTATTTGAGAAATTTCGGAGTTGGTCTTTTGCGCCAGAGAACCAATGCCCCGGGCGTTGAGATCCATTTCTTCAAATCGATTGGCCATGTTCACTTTGTCCTTTTCCCATCGTCTGTTCATGAATATGAACTTGTAATTCTTCATTCCATAACCCATAATTGGTATACTTTCAAGCGACTTCTTCAGCATAATATACACATTTCCCGCTAAATTTCCTGTGTATGTCAACCACCATAAAAATACCCAATCTGTGTATATTTGATGGTTCGATATTATCACCGAGTTTCTTGCGAGTTTCGAAGTGATCCCGCCAGTTTGTACATCTCTCATAAACGTTCCCTTAGCAATACTTTTATTCTCAGTCGTAATGCGAATCCTAGATGGTGCTACAATTCTCAGAATTGTAACCAGCAGCAGGATAAAAATCTTCTTACTACGATCTAGATGCGTTTGTCGTCTCACAACTTCATCCTTCCATACAATGTTGGCTATAAACTGGTATCCCACAATTGATAGCGAACTGAGAATAAAGATGATAACTGAAGCTATCGTGATAGCCAGCTTTATAAAGCGGTGCAATACCAGGCCCAGCATATTGGTCAGAGAGTTCCTTCTAACTAACCGAGGATCAAATGGTTCAGATGGGTTCCCAAAGGAACTGTATATCTTGTATTTTGAAGGGAAGGGCTTTTCGAATTGCCTTTCGAGTTGATTGTCAATTTCCTAATTCCCTAATATTTCAGTTGCCCATGAAAACCATCACCATCTTGAACAGTGACAACCTTCGAGTGAGACCAATAAATTGGTTATTTTGAATATTGATTTACGAGCGACTGGGGTATCGCTTCAGTATGTAATGCTATAATGCTGTTTATTTTGGTTAGCGTAGAGTGGGTTGAGCATCCGTCCTTGAGTAATTTATTCCAAAAGATCATAAAGCCTTTGCAGATCAAAGCTCTCTCTCCAATGATCACCGCGCCATTTCAACACTACCAAGACGGAGCTGGCCGCTATGACAATGAAGGCAAGCATCGTGAACGCCCAACCGGTTCCCATGCCTTCGAGCATTGGTTCTGTGGTGAAAACTGCCGTGGCAGCGAAAATTTGACGAATTAAGTTGTTTAATGCAACACCTGTGGCACCTTTCCCAGGTAAAGAGTCGACTAAGTACGCCACCGTAGCGCCAATTGTCATCATGGAAGCGAATCCGAAAAGTGCGGTACCTACAAGTGGTGTCTCCCAATGATTATCCTTTTCAAGGCACCAGCCGAAAATGAGCAAGGCAGCAGGGAAACTGATGACAGCGGTGACCACATTCCAGGAGATTCTCGCTTCAGGAGCTGAGGTGCCATGTTTCTCTTGGTATTGTTTTAACAAGTTATCGACCCACCTCCCACCATAAATGGACGCAATGATGTATGTCACGGAATTTGGGATATAAAGTAAACCCACGTAAAGTGGCTTGAAGTTGTAAGGAGGTCGCGAGTATTTGTACTCAATCGTTATATTGACGAAGTACAAGATTCCAAACGATATCGCAGAAAAAGTTATTGCCAAAGAGACGGGTGGATACCTGAGAAAAACCAATGATTTCAAGGGTCTAAAAAGGTAAAGATAGCATGCCCTTTTGAATCGCTCACCGAGAGGGGTTTGCCTTCCATACGCAGCACTGCCCGCAGTCTTAGCAGTTTGTAATTTTTCAAGTTCATTTTCCACATTTGATCTCCAACGTCTTAACTCACCTTGACGCATTCTCCGATCGAAATCAGGATCCCTGGACTGAATGCGCGACGCTTGTGGGGCCATCGCGTCGACGTAAACGTCATCGTTTTCACCTGGATATTGTGAAACCTCGCTTGCAAGCGTTATCGCTCTGGTAAGCTCTTGCTCTTGCTCATCCTCCGACTCATTTTGGCCATCATCTTGGCTCTTATCGCTCTCAGGACTGGTACTCTCTTTGGCTCTCATTTGTTTTCTCTCTGCCAGGATCGCTGCAATCGCATTCTTATCCTCTTGCGTTCGCAGAGTCTCTGGAAGTAACAGACTCAACAAAAGCACAGTGACTCCTGCCAAAATGACCATAAACCACTGCGTCGATCTCCACGACCACCTATTCACCAGAAGCGAACCGATGATGGGAGCAAACAAAGGCGCCATCAAGGAGCCAAGATAATAATACCCTAAATTTTTACCTCTCTCTTCAGGCTTGAACAAATCTGCTACAGTTCCTGCGCCAACGCTTTGAACGCTGGCGGATGACGCTCCACAGAGCATTCGAAAGACGATAAAAGCATTAATATTGGGAGCCAACGCGCTTCCGATGGAAAAAGCAAACAATAGACTGAAAGATATCACGTAAACGGTCCGGCGTCCACGCATTTCAGAAAGTGACGACCACCACAACGGAAAGACTCCTAAACTAAGCAGATATATCCCTACCGAAACATTAACCATGATCGTTTTGGTATTGTAATCTTTGGCAATTTCGTTGATCGCTGGGAAGATGATAGATGTACCCATCGGGCCCATCATGGCTGCCATGGCAATAAGTAAAATGACTAAACTCTTAATTTTTTGCGGGTAATCTCGTGCATCTTTGTATTCGGGAAGTATAGCCAAAGTTGCCAGAATTCCGCGCCTGTCCTTTCTAGGTACCATGATGCTTTTATCATGCAGCGACGTTTTTCTCGAAACGCCCTCCTCTTCCACTATTTCCTCATCTTCAGGATACACAACAGAAGGTTGGACGGATTGCAATGTTCGCGGATTATGCAATTGATTGCCATAATATGATTCACACGAATCATGACTGCTTAAAGAATGTCTTTCGGTATCGTCATCCGCTCCAAGATAAGTTTTCGACATTTTGAGTTCCGATTTTTTAACCTTAAATCGCGAAGATAAAAGGTGAAATAACACAGACCAAGAGCTTCACAAATTCAATCTCGATTCGAAAAGAATTTATTAAACTCTGGACGGGCTCACTTCATCGACTTCTCGTGCACTCCAAATATTCATATTGTTGTCACTATAAGTAAGGCTTCACTCGATAGATTACGATTCCGATTTGTTCCGACAAGTCATCACTTCCAACGCCGATGATTCATGAGGCTGCAAGCCGTTTCCATAAACCCAACGGAATTACGAGCCGACCGATGACGAGGTTCTTTAGAGTCTTTATGGCTCAATCGGCTTATTCCAAGCCTGCCAAAGCGGTAAAGCGTAGTGTTTTATGCGGACTTTCCGGGTCTTTGTAGATCGTTTTCTGCCAAGAAAACGAACTATCAGAAAACTTGAAAATTGTAGCATAAGTGCCTCGTACGTTATCGCATAAAAGTTCCAGTTTGCTTTTATTTGATATATCATGGTCCATTGACTTTTGCTCTCTAGATTTTAGCTTCTTTTGTTGTTTCTGGCGTTTAATTAATCACCTCAGTAGTTGAGCATTATACCAACAGATAGCTGGCTTTCGGAATTCAAATTCATCGGCTGGTGAAGGTAGGAACAAGGCGAAATACCTCGACGACGACATTTCTAAGGACTTCTCGGTAAAAGAGTTTTTCTTGTGGGTTTTGGGCTCTCGAGAGTAAGAGACCCCTTCAAACTGAGCTCATCGTGAGGCATATGATTGAGTAAGTAAGTGATTTCTCGTTTCAGGTTGACTAAAAGCCTTGCCGAGGCATAGCGTGGCTGATCCAAAGGATACCGCAATGGCGACTTTTCAGAAAGCCAAAATTCCGGCGGCAGCGACTGATCTTCGCGGTTTACAAAATTGTGAAGTTTCTGCCATTGTTCATATGAGAGGTCAAACGAGTCATCAAGATCCGATATTTCTTGAAGCCATTCCACGGCTTCAAGTACAGTAGTTAAGCGCGTAATTATTTCTGGCATATCGAGTGTGTGCTTAAAACTCTCCATACTCCGAGCACTGATGGTATCCGGATTGTTAGTTTCGGAGCGGATGTTCGAGGTATTGGAAGCCTTGGGACCGAAAATCTCATGATCATTATTTTTGTTGAGTGGTTGCAGATCAGTGGCTTCCTCTGGGATGGCTTCTAAATCATCAAACTTATCTCGAACCAAGGAGTACAGCGACATAATTGGCTTCCGAACAAGCTGCGTTTGCTGCACAAAATTTATTTTCAGACTATCAGCCATCGAAAACAAAGTCTCACCCATGGTTGATATGATAGCCGTCATGACTGGTACAGCTCCAACTCCCCACATCACCATAAACGCCCTTCCAGGGCCCGTTGACGGAGCAAAATCACCATATCCAATCGTGATTAAGCAAAGAAAGCAAAAATAAATGCTTTCAAAATAGTTCCAGCCTTCGCATGCGAGGAATACGACGCCGCCAATTAGCCAAAAGCAAGAAAACAGGACCGCGGTTATGGCGACTCGCACGTAAGTCTGGCGACGATCAGTTGTCCTCCTGATGTGTCTAGCCATTTGGAACACTTCTTCACCCGTTGGCTGACTATCATCTGCAAGTAGTCGTTCGTAAGCCTTAATTCTCGCCATCTCGACGCCGTGAAAGAACAACACAGGTCCTGACGAGCCCTGAATAATGGCTCGAGTCATGGCTACGATAAGACCCAAAATGATTAGACCTGTCATAGCGAAAATTAGGGTCATAATTCGACCAGCCACTGTCAACGGCACAACATCCCCAAGGCCAATTGTCAGTACCGTAATGGTACAGAAATACATGGCTTCGCCGAAAGAAATATTCATTAGCTGCGAAAACATGGCAGACCCCCACATAAACCATACAGAAAGCGTGAACGTGAAAATCATTACGTTCCGCTCACTATCGGAAAGATTGAAGGTAGCAGGATACTTGCTTAATTTATAGCCAATAAAATGTACCAATAACATGAAAACGCATCCGCCGTACATTATCACGGTAAAAACGGCGTACCAAAACCCTATAGTTCTCGATATACCCGTCTCAAAATATCTCTTGCTGCAAAACACCAAATCACATAGAAGTAGCAAACAAGCAAGAGACCAGCCGGTAATGTTCAAAATCTGGGCCTTCACGTAACTAACTTTTCTCGCAAAATGTACTAGCAATATCAAATTCGAAGCGCACCCCAGCACTAGTGAGATGACGTTCATCGCGAACACACCCGGGGGATCAGGAAGAAATCCGTTTTCATTGATTCTCCACTTGTCTGCTGTTCCTGCAATGGCAATCATATTAGCAATGGGACCCAAGCATGCTGCTATCACTGGAAAATAACCCGAAATTACAAACCATAGCACGAAAGATACTTGCGATGGATCTGCATTCAAAATAACAATTTTTTCTCTCCGAAACTTCAGAGCATTATCTAAAACTTCTTGTGCTTGGGCAGCTTTCTTCCTAGTCGTTTTATCACCCATTTGACTTCCAACATCCCCATAAAGTCCCTGATTCGTCCTTATTCCTATGGCTTTTGAACTGACCGACTCTCACTCACTTGAGGTTTGATTTTGTCAGTAGTATGTTAATACAATGAGCCACGTGAAATCGCGTGACGCGAAAATCCACGTAAACGGGTTCATTTGATCAGATCCTCTGAAACCATGGCCTTGTATATCGCCATTTGTGTGATTAATATTTGCCCCGCTCGTGGTTATTATGAGGTTTGTATCTTTAGTAATCAATTTCATGTAGTCTCTACTTTCTGAAAAGTACAGCCGCCGATCTGCCACCCTTCTCAAAATTTCCACTTGCCCCATACGTATATGAAAGACGTGTAACTCCTGTAGAATTCTTGTTAACATCCTAGCATCCCTCTTCTTGAAATTGTCAAATCAACTGTCTTTCAGATCATCACGTTAAATATTGAAACGAGGATTTTTGGCCAATTCACGGGCCCAACTATTCGCATACAATTCAAGAGGTTCTCGACACTACAATTGACCGTTATTCCCTGTAAATAACCGCTTGCAGTTCGAACTTATCTCAAACTTGAATCAATAATCTCAACACCAAAACTAGCTCATATTTAACCGCCTAAATTGCTCTAAAATCTTCGAGAAAAGGGCAATCTACCAATTAACAGTTGCCACGATGAATCAGCCCATATCACTTCTATTGTATAGTTTCATTCTATGACTTTCTCATTTGAGCCTTGCAATGAATTAAATCTCGAAATATCAATACCTGATTTCTTATTACTTACATATGTTTACCACTCAACAAGATCACCAACAACACGAAAAGGTCGAAGCACCACAAGAGACTTTGGGATCTCTATCATCTCACAAGCACGACGACATAGTGTGGGCGAAATAATGGAGGGCCTTTTGTCTTCTCTTAATGAAAAGCAGAAAGAGTCTGTTGTTTTCGACCACACACAAGCTTTGCAAGTCGTTGCCGGACCGGGGACTGGCAAAACGAAGGTTCTTACCACAAGAGTGGCATTTTTGTTATTAGAAAAGCAAATATCGCCTGGTAGCATTATAATCACTACTTTCACGAAAAAGGCCACCACAGAAATGTACGATAGGCTCACGAAAGTGTTAGAAGGTACTAGTATTAATCCGAACGCACTATGGATCGGTACTTTCCATTCGATTTGTGCGCGTATTTTAAGACAACATGGCTGGAAGGTAGGTCTGCCTAAAGATTGGCGAACGTTCTCGGATAGTGATACGGATCCAATTGTTCAAAAAGTGATCCAAAACGTTCCGGATCAAGTACGGGATTACGCGTATAGCTATACGCGGAAAGTGAATTTACTGAGACCTACAAATAAGGGAAACTGGGAGATCCACCCTAATATCGTGAAACGAATGATTTCATGGTTGAAATCGCAAGCCACCCTGGTGGACGAGTACAAATTACAGGATGATCACGACGCGGCGTTACTACATTTTTACGAATTGTACCAGGCGGAACTCACGTCACAACATGCACTTGACTTTGACGATTTGTTATTGCACGCTTTCAAATTGTTGTCGCAACAGCGTTGTCTCCCGCATATTCAGCACGTTTTGGTCGATGAGTTCCAGGATACAAGCAGTATTCAGCTGGATCTGATGTATCTTTTCGCTAGAGGCAATTCGGCGCAATCAAGGGGAATCACGGTTGTTGGGGATCCAGATCAAAGCATTTACGCCTTTCGAAATGCCCTTGCTCGAAATTTCGATGACATGTCTGCCAAGTGTCCACTACCTTGCTCCAAAATTGTACTGGTCGAGAATTACAGATCGTCACAGCGAATTCTAACTACAAGCGAAAAGCTTATTCAACAACAACAAACTGGTCGCGAGAACAGACTACCTTTGAGAGCACAATTCGATTGTCAATTCCCCCCTGTTTATATTGAATTTCCGGCAAAATTCCTAGAAGCAACGGCTTTGGCTCGCGAAATCGTTTATTTACGATCTCTACCCGACTTATGGACTTATAATGATTTTGCGCTGCTGGTTCGGCACAGAAGACAAATTGGTCCCATCGAGAAAGCCCTGATCGGGCATCGCATACCTTATCGAATTGTCAAAGGTCGTGCCTTTTGGCAATTAAAAGAAATTAATGGCATGATGGACCTTCTGAAATGTGTTTACTCGGACTACGAGAAAAATGCAATGACTAGAGCGTTACAATATCCGGCTCGAGGTGCTGGACCGGCCACGATTACCAAGATCGAGACGATATTCCCAGAATATGAATCACCTTTCGAAGCTTTAGAGGCAATTCTTAATGAACCACAGAAATATCAGTTCCCATCTAAGATAAGAAGCGTTATCTCAGATTTCATCACGTTAATCAAGGATTGCAGAACATTATGCTTAAACGCTACGGATTACACTGTATTGGAAGAAGTTTTTGACAAATTATATGAGGGATCAGGCCTGCGCTACGAATATCTGTTTGTGGATGGCAAGAAGAAAACCGAGGTTATTGCTAGTGATAAGCCAAATGAATTGAACAAGAAACATCTGAATATTAAGGTTTTGCGAGAACATTTGACCACATTCCAGCCATCGGAAGAGGATTTGAAACATTATCATGGCCCAGAGAGCGCTTCTACCGACCCTTCCCAGCCAATCCTAAATATACACGACGTGCTTCGAGAGTTTATCAATTCCGTTAACCTGTACTCTACTGAAACGGCAATCGATGAGAGTCAAATGACAGAGAAAGAATTAAGAGCCAAGAAAGAGAGGGAAAAAGATGGGTTTGTCACTATATCAACAATACATGGAGCTAAGGGACTCGAATGGCCGGTGGTGATGATTCCCGGGTGTGTGGAGGGCGTGATACCATGCATATTTGGCGGTCGAGATGATGCAGATGGGTCTGAAAGCGATTCTGATGACTCCGAAGCCATTAAACCCACTACCAATAGTCCCAAAAAAAGCAAAATGAAGAAAAACGATACTTCTGTTGATGAAGAGAGACGCATGTTTTTTGTTGCACAAACAAGAGCGAAATTCTTGCTTTACTTGACCGCCACGAATTCAAGCGACGCCGAATCGCGGTATGATGCATCTGTACCGAGTCGCTTCTTCACCACAGATTTAGTAAGTACCATGTGTGAAGACCAAAAAGCCTTTTCGAGTGTGGACGCGATAAACGAGCTTTATCGTTGTATGAACAAGATTCCTCCCACGAAGGAAAGTTTCTCATTCAAAACGCTTGTGAGCGATTACAAACGCTTTTTCGAAGAACACCGAGAGAGATTCATTTGGAAAGGCACAACAGTCTATGACACAACTCGCCTCAAGTTTTCGGAAAATACTGATTGCGGACCCGCAAAATTTGGCATTACAACTGCGTCAGCTCAATTGAGATCAATTTCACCACAGCGCAATACGACTAGGCTGGTGACTGCGCCTTCATTTTCTCGCCAAAATTCTGCAGACGTTGCCCGTGCTGTAAACGAAGGATCAAAAAGCGCGGCGCCTGTATATCGTCCATCCAGAATGACTTCCAACTGCATTCGTTCAACTTCAAGAGTGTTTGCACCTAAGACAATGCCCTCCGCAAGCTCTAGTTTGACGGGTAAGACTTTTGCGCCTAACAAACCAAAAATTAATGTCAAGAGAGAGTATTCTAGCTCGAATAACGCAATTGCTAAGGCACCCAAATCTTTTATTACTAACACAAGTGAAACAAAAGTAGAATCAACTAGTCCTCGCAGGCGACAACAATCAAGAGCGAGAAGAACTATTGTTGCGGATTCTATAAATTTGCAAGACGAAGAATTTGAGGACTGCGATTCGTTTTCGGATACCGAGCCGACGGAAACTCAAAGCTTCAAAACTGAAGACTCAAAGAATATAATGGATAAGACCGCTGCTGAGCTTCTGCATGATCCGAGAAACTTGACTAATGATAACAGGCCAATCTTGACAAACGCAAGGACGTTAGCCGAATCCATTCGAAGCTCTTCGCAAAGACGGTCTCCTGGAATTCAGGCCAATACAAAGAAAAAGCCTAAACTCGACGCTTCTGAGGGATTTGATATTATGTCGAGGCTAAGCAAGGCGAAAAGAAGGGCTGACGATGCTAAGGATACAGTTATTGTCATTGATTGATTGAACGAAACTTTAATGCGCGCAACGCTCATAATTTTATAGATATATGTCTTTTAAGCATTAACATTGAAAGGCTTGCCAAGATGCATGCATATAATATCAAAATGGCGAGAGCCTGGTGACATTCCAAGTCAATTGTTGGTACGTTCATGTTAATAAAGCCGGTTAAAATGTTAGCAAGAAGAAACATGATGAGTCCATTTTGATTCATGGCTTTTAAAGATAAAGATTCTTTAGGCCATGAATTGTTGGTTTTGAAAAGCCTATCAACTGAGCAATAAACCATCAAAGCACCGAGATTATAAGTCGTTACCCACATCACGTAAGGCAAGTTACCAAATCTTCTAGAAACTCCGAGCGGATGCAATTCTCTAATCAAGCCATTGAAAACAAGAGTAATTGTGAACCAAATAGCAAGACCGTACAACGGACTCTTGCTTGTTAGATAATCCCATCGAGTCGAGTTTTTTAATGGTTTAAACGGGGAAACACTTGGGTTGTACATATTGTTCTTGGTCTTGATATTGCCCAAAGTATAGAACCCAGTAGTTTGGCCCCAAAGAAATATAGCGCAGTAACCCAGAAACGAGAAAATGCCCTCCCTGTTAGCATTAATAAGTCCAATACGATCCGCCGCAACCAAATATTCTAGAAACCCATCTTGGTACAGCATAAAATATTCGTAGACACCGGATATCATCAGAGCCAAGATAAACCGTGGCACATACGCGGCAATGTAATCGATTGGGATCAAAGCCAGGGGGAGGAACGCTAAAGTCATAAAGAAATTCCAATGAACACCATATTCAGTGACATGCTCTTGGTAATCAAGACTTTTCACGAAATATAATCGAAGTAAACCCAATAATAACACGGCAGCACTGGATCTAATGGATCTCACGATTTTGCGGGAAAACCCAGGTCTCAAACCCCCCATCTCATCTTTTAACAAAGTTCTAGCAGAAACGAGTCCACCGCTAAACACGAACGAACCGACACCTAGATCCATCAATGATGTGCCCCAAGTCTCAACTTTCGCGAAACGGCGAGGGAAAATCTTGAAATCCACCGCCAAAATGGCCAATGCCGTGATTATCAGCATCCCACCGCGGTAAGCGGTGATAAATGGCTTTTTATCCAAATAAAACTTGTCTTTAAGAGCATTTTCACCTGGCACCTTAACGCGCTTTCTGGTAAAAGACCAGTAAACGAAACACGGCACTACCAGCATGCAATTGAGCACAATTGGGTTATCTGAATACGTGGTAATAGATAGAAGCATACCAATCCAATTGATCAAGAAATCTACCACCAAATAGGTTTCCTGGGTTTGATCTCTTGAAGCTAATAACATAGTACAAAAGTAACCAACTACGCTTATAGCAGTCACATAATTGATCTCGGAGATACTACCACCAATTAATCCTGTCACGAATTGTTCTCGGCGTTCTTTCAACTCACTCATGTTCTCAATCAGATAGGGAAGAATCAAATCACAGCGTTGATCCAATTTTCAATTTCATCATGACAACTGCTACAAGAACTTAACAAATGACGAAAAACTTCGTTTTGGTTTATACACCTATTTGTCTAATTACTTGCCTTGTTAATCTTTTTGAAGAAGCCACGGGCGATGATTTACCATTGTTCCCGTCTTTTTGTATGCCGTATGTCACTTGCGTATGCAAGTTATCTTCAGGTTCAGTTTCCGATTCCGACGCTGAATTTTGCAGTTCATTTACTTTGCAGACTTGTTCTGACATCATTTTCCCCCAGCTGACTGACCTCTTTACAGGTTCAATGTTTCCTTCAGGTTGAAGTCGTGGAATTTTATGATTTGAGAGCTGTTGTTCAGCATGGAAATCGGGAATTTTTCTCTTGGCGGGTTTCTCGAGTGAACTCGTTTCCATGCTACTTGTAGCACGTATTTCGCACTTGTAATCATCTTTATTTCCCTTTGGACAAAGGACGCTCCAGTTTATGTCATTCATATAAATGTTTGTGACAGAATTTAAAACTGAAGCTTCTTTGAGTTTTGACGCTCTAGCGAAAAGTTCCAAGAGAAACCCGGGAGTCATTACTGGGATGTTATGCTTCTGCTTGATGAACTCGATTTTCCTTTTCATGGAATTTCGAAACACTTGATTCACCTTGACTTTTTGACTCTCGACGAAGAGGGACGCATATTTGTTATGTCTCAAAGTATGGGTCTCAGGAATGCTTGACAAGGACCCTAGATTAATCAGTAAGGTGTCAGTTTGTCTATTCAAGTTTTCACAAAATGTTATCCCCATACCCGAAAGGTATTCCAAAATTTTGGATATGTGTAGGAGTTCTACTCCTTGGAAACCAGTGATGGCTACATTTAAATTCGTCTGTTCTGAGCCAGCTCTGACTAAACGGTGAGGAAAATTTAACTGGAATCTTGTGAAAAAAGGCTCGGACCAACTGTCAACTGGTAGAGCAGTCTTATAATGCAAACATCTTTCGATGTAAAATTCAGTGACGACTTGACCAAATGCTGTCGTGTCACCTAGTGCTTCCTTTGGTCTATTACTTGGGACCAAAAGGTACGTGGATCCAGTTGAACTCGTTGAATCTGTTTTGTCTGTGCATCCGCCACCATTTCGAGTAATGATTTTGCTCAATATGAGACTATGCCTTTCGGTAAAATATGCGATACAAAAGTTCATGTCTTGAAAAATCATATCCTCTTCAGCGACAGATTTGGCAGCGGGTTCAGGTGTTTCCAATGATTCTGATGCTTTGGGCTCTCTGTGCAAAACGTTGTTCCACAGTTTGACACCATGCGACCCGTACTTACCTAAGATGGAACGTTGACTCAAATTTTGTGGTTTACCATCCCCATTTCCCGACACCGCATTTTTGTCAATACGTTGCTCGACGTCTGACCAGCAAAAACATGCTCCTGCACCAATCGACTCCCACGCTTCGCCAAGTACGTCGTCGATCTGATAGAAACTGAACTCCAACAACGCACCTCGCCTCTCGCAGTCCAAAATCCACTTGGGATGTATTATCGGCAAACCTTGATCCCGAGCAGCCTCTACACGGGCACCATGCGGATAATCAGTCACGAAAACAGTAGGTTTGTCCCAATGCGGTTCTTTGACGAAATGTCGCGAATTACAGCTCTGTACACCGCATCTATTACACGCCTTCTCGAGCTGTGCCACGTCCACTCGGCCGCCACAATCATCTGTAATACGACCAATAAACACACAAAAATTCTTGAGAGGCTTAAGCCGATATCTTTCAGAGAGAACTTCCAGCATTCGATCTTTTGACCCGCTTATCACAGCAAAATGAGAATGAGATTCCATTGTCACGTCTTCACCAGAAAGCCACAATTCATAAATGGCATCTAACGCATCTGAATCCACCATAACAAGGTCATCGCGATGTTGAACGGCAAAACGATATTTGTTTGTTGCAACGCTTCCAACAACCAGAACATTCACGAATTTGGTAAGATCTTTGGAGAATGTACCACCTAATTTGATGATTTTCCTAGATACAGATCTCGACAATTCCTCGGGCAAAGCCGTGGGACAGAAAGTAATGCCCTCAAAGGGTTTTTGCATTAAGGTTTCCGTAATGCGATGACTTGTAAACTGGATTCTAATTATCTTGAACATATCACGAGAAGATCAAGAAGCTTGCACGTGATCATGAAGATAACAGATGCATTCTCTCTGATGAATAGAACGGATTTTATCACTACCATTCACCATGTCGCTAATACCATCGAGACGATCCGATGAATATAATTAATGCATTGCGAGTTTTTAAAAGCTTTTATGTATATTTTGAGGAATTTCGGCTGAGATTCTTGACATTTTGTAATGATATACTGAAGGTGCGAATTGCGGAAAAATGCGTGGTATCGATCATTGAGAACTGTTTCTGAGTTTGCTCGAATTGACTTTGTCATTGGATTTAATGAATCTCGCGAGTTTTGTTTCCTTGAAATCAAAATCGTTATCCACAACGCAGAATTTATGTTCTAGCAACTTATCTGCCGTTGGTCTTCTTTCAGGATCGATCTCAAAGCAGGCATCAAGAAAGTCTCGTCCTTGCTCAGATATGAGAGGTAGAGTATCTTCCGGAATGGGTGGTGCTGATTTAGATTTCCCGATTTGGAACATTGCAGCGACGACTTCGAGGTTTGACCACGGGCGCTTCCCAGCGAACATTTCTAGTACCACACACCCTAGTGACCAAATGTCCACCTTAGCACTATAACCTTGCTTTGTATCGACCATCTCGGGAGCCATCCAGAAAACGGTTCCTCTCATAGTCATATCGGAATTAGTGTAAATATTGCTGGATTTTTTAGAGATACCAAAATCGCTGATCTTACAAACCCCATCGGAGTCTATCAGTATGTTATCAGCCTTCATATCCCGATGCAGAATTCCACGTGAATGTAGGTATGACAGGCCCGCTAGTACCTGAACTGTTAAAAATCGAATGAGTTTTTCATCAAAGTGACCCAGAAACCTAATAAGTGAGCCAACTGAACCACCAGCCACATACTCCAAAAACAAGCTGTATATATTGCCCTTGTTTTCAAACCCCAGATATTGCACGATATTAAGATGGTCAAGATCTTGTAAAGTCGAAACTTCAGATTTGAGTGCCTCCAAAACGTTGTGTGCTTGTTCATCTTGGGCACTAAAGCGAGGTACTTCGACTTGCTTGACAGCAATCATTTCACCGGTCGTCACATTCAAACCCAGATACACCGAACCAAACGAACCTTTGCCAATCATTTCACCCTTGATCCAAGCAAACTCTTTGTAGTCACCATTCGAATTCTTGGTCTTGTTGATAGCTACTGTTCCTTTGTCAGTGACTTCTACAACACGGGTTCCCCACATTTTAGTATTCTTGCGCTTGAGACTTCTTCCCTTTGGGCTTTGACGTGCCTCGCTTGCTTCCCTTGCAATTATTCTCAGGGTCTTGGCTCTTTTAGGTACTTTTAAATGTGTGGCTTCGTGTAAAGCCGTGGCCATTCGGTCTGTCACCGGCGGCGATGTTATCATGGTTTGCGGCGTACCAGACCTGGAATTAATAGGAGAAGCATTCGGGGTGGGAATCGATTTGCTCTTTTTCTCAGAGCTTGTAAAACTCGCCACAGCCTGGTAACCGTTGGCATTAGGAGGAGGAGACGGAGGAGGTGTTGAGCCTTCAACAATGGGCTTATCAAGATCGGTGCCAGGAAAAAACTTTTCAAGATTCTGGTAAACTACCTCAGCAGAGGGTCTGAGAGTCATTTTGCGCCCAAGTCCAGTAGGATCATGTGCTAGAATTGACGCTTTCCTATCAGACCCCAAGGTCCCGGAAGGACCTGAAGTTTCAAGCGGTTCAGGTTTCGAGGATTCTTTCGGTTTGCTAAGTAGGTTTTTCGGTGCAGACGTTGACCAAATGATATCATTTGAAGAATCACTGTCATCTGAACCATCTCCAGAATCCGATAGCGCTGGCGCATCATTAAACGTAATGTCATTCTCTTCGAAATTATCGGCTGCCGATGCTGAAGAAACAACCCGTTTGGAGCTCATGCGCGTTAGTAATCTCGGTGGAGATGAAATGGTGGATGCCGTAACTGAATGCAAAGACCCTGATCGATTCGATCTCTGACGAGACAAGTAAGCTGTCACGGAATTGTCTTCTGTTCGATTAAGGTTCAATCCATCCGACGCTCCGCGATATGGTTGCGGAACAAGAACGTGTGAAGATGCAGGTGTATATGACTTCACAACCGAATCTTCAGAGCTTTTATGGTGCTGAGGGGATGACGTGGTAGAGGACACACTTGATGGCTGAAGATTTGCCGTAGGAGGGGGTGGTCTTTTGGTTTTTCTGGTTAGGCGCCTTTTATGAAGACTCGAAGGCGCATTACTCATGTACAAAGTCTGACCCCCAGCAAAAGGTCCGGAAGATACCGATGTACCACCCGGAGGCTTGGGAGCTTCCCTTCGTGGTGCAAAATCTGCCTTGTTGTATGGTGAGTCTCGCCTTTTGTCAAAATTTATTTCGTTATCGCTTGGCTTTCTGATGACCTTAAAAGTGGTATCGCTTCCTTCTTGAAGAGGAGTGCCAACTTTTGAACCACTTCTCGAAGCGATGCGAGGTACTTCTGTTGGAGGCGTTCCTTCTCTTACGGCGGACTTAACATTCCAATAATCAACCTCTGGAAGATTACTGGAAGAAACGTTTTCATAATAGTAGCTCGGAGTTTGTGGGTATATGGCGGCATCAGGGCCATTAGAGCTTTCGTCATAGGATGTGACGTCAGAGTTTGAAGTGACCAAAGAATTCCCATCGTTAGAATAGGCCATGCTGCTAGCAGTTGATTTTAGAGAGCCCTTGCTTTTCGCAGGCCGCAATGAAGGGCCCATTTCCTGACCCGCAGGAACAGCGCGAGGTTTTAATTGCACTTTCAATTGGTCTTTTATAAAAAACCTTTTTGGAACACCATAAAACATGTTAAGGCGTAAGTTCTCTAACAATTGATCGGGAATTGAGCATCCTATTTCACAACCAAAATCCGTCAAATGCACAGTGAAGTTTTGATGCGAAATTCCAAGGGTTATAGCCATAGATTCTTTAAGTTCATTGATATTAGACACCATGTTAACGTTAATTGGGATGAAAGTTCTATTGTCTTTCGTTACCATAACATAGTTATCCTGACCATTGTCAGATTTTAATGGATAAAACTTCTTTTCGAGAACGAAATCTTTCAGTTCGAAGTTTGGCTGAGTTTTTTGAAGTTGGGGATTCTCTGACTCAAATTCGGTTGCGTCGTCCTCTTTAGAGCCCTCGGTGGGCTTCAAAACCGGAGTAGTATCTGAGGAAATGACGGGATCAGGTATTAGACTTGATAAATTTTCAGCATTCCAAGAATTTTGTCTTAGGGGAGAAGATGCAGAAGCTTCTGGGCTTTTAGAGGCAGGCAGATTCTCAGACGAGTAACTCCGACCAGTTTGTACAGCGGGCTTTTCAGTAGGAACCACTGGTTGCCCCGAATTGCTACCAAATAAGATATTAAAGATCGAGGATTCTGAGGAACTACTCTTGTGCTGTCTTCTGAAAATGTTTGTGTAATTCGGTGACAACGGAGACGATGAAGGTTGAGTAGCAGATTCCGTGATGACGGGTGCATTACTATCAATTGTAGATATTGGGCGTGGTAAAGTGGGTTTAGTCATGCTTTCGGTTTTGCCAGGGGAGTAATAGCTATTGGAACTTCTTAGAGAAATCAGACTGCGGCGGTACAATGAACTGGCGCTATTACCCTTTTGATATCCTTTGGTTTGCGGCCTCTCCTCGACTCCCTCAGCAGATACCTTTCGGCCGCTAGAAGGTATTGAGTCTGACGCCGACCGAGAGTGTTCTGAGCTCAAATAACTTCGGTTTCTGAGTTTTGTTGTCGAGTCGCTTGAGCTTCTTGAAGTTACGGACTTGTCGCTCTTGTTTCTAATATGTCCATTCACCACGTTTTGTTCCAACGTTCTTTTCAGTAGAAATTGAAAGCGATTGTAAGAGGAGTTTTCGGTTTGAGGGAGATTTTTGGCATGCTTTAAAAAGTTCTCATGGGCCAACAGTCCCAAGAACTTATCGCCGTAAAGTTGATGCTTTCTGAAGTATAATATCCATTGATCACTGAAGTCGTTTGATTTGAAAAACGATAGCACCCGTCCTTTCGTCCATTCATGAGGATCTGTAACGTCCCAAGTGCATAGAAGACGGTCCAAAGACAGTGAAGAGATACTCCCACCAGACGAATGTCTTGATTCGTTACGTTTGAGTTCTTCGCTGTATGTTTGCTGTGTATTGATAGATTGAGGCGTCTGGGATGTCTGGGGCGTCTGCGAACCGCCAGGAGAATTGAAACTATCGAATTGCTTGTTTTCAGGAGAGCGAATCCAAGCTTGGTCTTCGAAACTAAAGCTGGAGTCAGCCGCAGAATCGTGTTCTACAAACGGGTTTCGCGACGAATTTTTGAAATTTGAAACTTTCTCAGACGGAAGTTCCACTGTTTGGCTTTGAATCAATCGTTCATCTGGTCTTTTCGCCCCATAAACGGATCTTCGGCTTGCACCTGATCTAGACGGTAAACGGGGCGTTTGTTGGCCCTTTGGGGAGCTTGAAACGATGTCTAAATCGGAAAGCCCACCATGACCAGCACTGACTCTTTTTTTCTTCAGAAACGCCATCGCACCTCGCGGTGCATGTGTTTTTTTAACGTATCTTGCAATGCGATGATCATGTCTAATTTTCAGTTGTTTAATAGCGAGATTGATATATATATATATATATATCGCCAAACGACAAGACGACACCAAGATGATGGCACAGCGTCTATTAGCATACGTTCTATTTACAGTAAGGCATTGAATTCATGTTATTTCACGCTCAATTCAGAAATTCGAAGTACAGTAAGATCTGCTTTTGTCTCAGCATGACGAACTTTTCTGTTTCTTCTTTTGGTCACTTCTCTAACCTTCATGGGCCTTTTGGTTTTCTCGATAACCGTGGCTTTGACGGTATACAGCGATGGATCTATAGGATAACCTACTACTTGGTAGTTTCTGGATGCAATAGTCGTTACGTCGTTAAGGTTCAAAACATCACCAACTTCGGCCTGTTTCATTCTGAACGGCAAGTAAACTTTGTCGCCCTTAGTCACCAAGTAGGGACGGTTATGGATACGAAAAGTGGCGAACAGTTCGTTGGACAGTTTGAGTGGTGTAGTGTCAATGTTTTGGGCAAGAGACACCGAAGTAGAAAAACTTCTAGTTGTGAGAGAAGAAATGACGGATTCTGTGAGGCATTGGTTCAATCCACTTGGAAATCGTACACCGAATCTTAGCTGTGCCAAGAAACCCACCATTATGCCCAAAAAATGGTGCTTAAGGCGCTTCAAATTGATGATTTCGGTTGATCTTCTGATAGTGTTGGTAGTTGTTCTTGAAAATTTTTGGTCTAGAAATAAGTCACGTGATAAATGACTGGGCGATGAGAGGCGATGAGAAACATGCCCGGTGTATCGGAAAAGCCCATACTCCTGGTATTGCTGGGGTTGCTAGCCTGAACTATATATGGCCTTGCAAGGGTGTCTCTTCCTCTAGTCAGCCTTTTCGGTACGTTTCTTCTTTTGCGAGAAAAGAGCCTTCATGGTTTTCTTTCTCTGGACCATCATGTGTGTGAATAGCATGGGGAAGCCCGGGATGTACGTGAGCATTGCCACGATAAGTAAACGGTGGTAGACAATGCCAAATCTTGTTTCGACGAGGGGCAACGCGGAATAAATGATCAAAAGTTCAGACAAAACGCCCAGGGGGTACAGGACCCAGAACATATTGTAGCGCAAGATCTGCAGAAAAACCGGTGCACCGGAACTAGAGGTCAAATTAAAGTAGTAAAACAAGTATCTCACAACTTCTGTAGCAGACCATGCAGAAATCAAGGACACATAGGGCCATGCGCGTGCGTTTGGAGCGTCTGGAACATATTGAAAAATTCCAACCGCAATGAGAAGTCTGGAAGCGACTTGAGCCAGGGTAGTGAGCAATGGTGCACGTACAATGCCTAACAACGAGTTCAGAATCTCAATCAGAGCTCCCAATTGAACATAGGTTAGTGAATTCTTGGTCGATTCGTAAAACGCAGGTTGCCCCAATTTCGAGTATTCAAAAATGACTTTGAAGAGCAGGTACCCCCACAATCCAGCGGAAAACAGATTGTACAGAGCCAGAGGGTTGAAATGTGACACTTGTTTAGCCATTTTGGACCTTTCTTTGTGTTGTTGCTGTTGTTGTTGATGTTATTTTCTTCAGAGATGCTTCAACTAGTTCTAACCATAGCTCGCTTTAGTTGGCTACCCTATATATGTTGAACAGAGGGAAAAATGACTATGTAGGCAGAAAACTCTATAATACATCAAACTATCATCATTGGGGAACCGAAACCCAGCGAGCACGATGCCATGCGATACGCGTACATTAGCCATCATTTTGGTCCCGTTGGGACTGCCTGTAGTTGGCGATATCTATTATGTTGTTTTTTTTATCGTCGTTCCATGACATGTTATCTTTGCTGGAGGTTCGACACAACGAGTATTCGTCATCATCATCGTCGGGGTAATCTTCTTCTTCTTCTTCCTCTTCTTCTTCTTCTTGTTCGGCTGAGGGGTCGTCATTATCGCTGTCGTCACTGTCGTTCATGAGATCTACCTCCTGTTGATCAAAATAAGACGGTGCCGAGCGATTGGTTAAGATGCTGTTGTAAAGAGGGTGGTTGGGCTTTGCATAGGATTGTCCATCGTCGTTTGGGTCCATGTAGTCATCATCGTCGTCCTGGAGTTCGAACTGTGGTGCTTGGAAACTGTTGGACCCAGTCGCTGTCCTGTTTCTAGGGCCCTCGCTTTCGGGCGACGCGCCTTGGAAAGCACCAGGGCTCGCAGACATGCTCGTGCCCCACGCGTCTTCTTCGTCATCGTCTGAAGAAGAAGATGTGCTGTAGTCCTTTGAAAGTTGATGCGACATGTAACTACTAAATTTGTCCTTTTGCTCTCTGCCTTGGTCCTCGTCGACTTCTTCCTGATCGTAACCAGGAGACAGCGTGTGTGAACCCTCGCTGCGACCTGCGTTCGGATTCAAATGCACAGTTGCCTTGTTGCCTTGATTATCATCATATTCGTAGTATCTAGGAGAATCCAAATCGCTGTACTCAGCGTATTCTTCCTCATTGGCACGATCCGGCTCGAAAGTAACATACGACCCCAAATCGTTGTCTGCAACGGAATCCTTGGGCTCGAATTTCCCTTCGTCTTCCAAATCCTCTCTCTCTTCTTCATCGTCATCATCACCAAAATCACCTAGCACTGTGCTGTAATTTTCACGAGTATCCGCAAGAACCGTTTCTGTATATTCTTTCCAAGATGGCTTGTTCAAACTGTCGGCAATGTCCTGATTGCTGAAACTGATTTTCATCTCGTCGATATATGCGGCGAACTTCGCCACTTCTTCCGCGATCAAGGTTAAATGGCCCATGTATCCCAGCCTCAATCCAGTCTCATTATCAAAGTCTTCACATTTTTTGTCTCCTTCAATGATCATTTCTGTGATATGGGCTTCGGCAAACAAGCTTCCAATGAGAAAGCGATTAAACCCGTTTTTCAATGGGCCATTAAAAATCTGTTGTACAATGTCAAAAACAACATTATGCAAAAAGTTATTCCAAGGGAATTTGAAAAACATTTGTAATATCGTGGTTATGATGTGTGTGTCTTGCAGCGTGATCTTCAGTTGATCTCCCACCACTGGACTATCCCTCAAAATTTTTTCAGGTACTTCAGAGTCCGAAGAGTCTTCAGAATGTATTTCTCTCGCGGAATTTTCTTCACCTTCAATGCCCTTTAAGCCCTCATCATTCTGATTTGATTCGCTAGCAGCCAACGCCAGCTCCGCCATTCTTTCATTCAAATTTTCATCATCCACTTGAAAGTGATCAAGAGGTTTGGCTTCTTCTGTCTTGTCTTGCTCAGAGCTTCTTTCGCGCACTCTATCCCTCTCTGTCACAATTTGTTCACCATTGGCCTCATTGAGTAGCGTCATATTGGAACAATGCAGCAACTCCGCGACTAACTCACAGATTTTGAATCTTTCAAAGCCAAGCGGCTCAATCGACCCAAACGGGGTCTCAAGGGGAGGTAGCTTGGTTTCCAAAAGCATTCGATTAAAATCAGGAAGGTGTTGGGCGGCCGATTTTACTAGGTACCCCAAGTAAATTGGATCCCGACTGCAAGGTGGATGAGTTTCCAAAGAGGTGTACATCACCTGCACAAAATCATAGTCTGAATTGTTCTTCCGTATTAATTCAATTATTATGCCCACCCCATTACTAAGGGAAGTACCACCATTCAACATGATATTTATCAATTTTTCCACCATTTTAGGTGAAACCAGCTCCCTTGTAAGTTCATTAGGTCCGATGGCAGATGCTATTTCATTATTGGAATTTGCACTGATTGTTATCAATGCTTTGAGAAAATCACCTGCAGCCGATTTTGTTGACGAAGAATGCTCCGGTGACAGGTAATCCAGAAGCTTGGATATGAGATTTTGAAATTTCAGTTTATCAATGACACCGGTAGAATTATCCGGTTTATCCGTCGAAATGACTTTCAACAAAAAATCCATTAAAGGTGGGTTGTCAATATGCCTTAAAAATCTATCAACCAATGCGTCTTGTGATAAAATGAAATGCAACATGCCAGCAATGTCCATATCCAACAAACGTTCGTTAATTTTCATGAAATAAGTAGACGCCACGATGGAAAGAGGCGATGAATGATCCAACATGGCCCATAGTCTACTGAGTAGGTCCTCGTGATCCATGAATGCAGAAGAGATGGGCCAGACGTCCGCAGACAGGATTTCGGCCGCCATGCGAGCACGACGCGATTCAACTTGTTCCTCGGATTCCGGTGGCAGTGTGATACCCGTCTCGTTTGAAGATTCTGACAACTGATCTGAAATCGCTTCTTTCTCTGAGCTGTATTTGTCTACAACCGCGGCTTCAGACTTCTGGCTCTGGTCAACATCCTTATCAGTCGTGCCATGCCCGTTCTGGAGAGCCTCTTGAGAACTGTTTTCCACTTCTTTGTCTGTCTCTTCTTTTTCTTCATTATTGTTCGCGTCGTCGCTCGCGTCGTCTAGCCCCTCGTTCATAACGTGTTCGTTAGTCACGTAATCGACTAGTTTTGCCAGCACCTCAGGATACTTGAAATATATCAGTAGCTTGAAATTAGAGCACATAAGCTCTGTGTACAATTCTTCATCGTCCAGAAGTTCATCTAACACACCTAAATTAGGTGCGTAATCTTTGTAATCCGATTCTGAATCAGGCAACGATCCTATCGAGTTATCCGGTTCTCTTTCAATGAGATCATCTCGATGTGTACTTGTCACATCCCACTCGTCCTCTTTAGCTCTTGTATTTATATCTCTATCCTGATTTTCCTGTTTCTCACTTGTATCGCTTCCTTTTACCTTAAGAAACGCCTGATTCAGAAGCTTGGACAACGGTGATTCAGCGGTATTATTCTGCCCAAACTTCCAAAATGAGCCTGACATCCTGCATTCAACCAAATCTCCTACCGAATTGACGTTATTCTTTTAATGTTGGGTCTCCAACGATTTTTTTTTTGTCAATCTTTATTTCCCCCCTGTTACACCAAAAAAAGCTCTCAAAAAAAGATTTTTTTTTAATACAGTCTTGTTACTATTGAAGCTTTTCTTGAAGTCAGCTGGAGCTAATCCAAAGCTCCCTCTCTCTTATAAGGATCTGTTGATTTTATTTCAACCTCACTGTCACTCTCCCTCTCAACATATTTCGAAATATCTGTTATTGTTCATTGAATGGAAAAATTTTTAGATCCGGGTAAACTGACCATGCCATGGAAGGTAGACCTCATCACCATCTTGACGAGGATTTAAACCTGAGAGAACTGGTATATGTAGTCGAGAAATTGATCCGTTAGCGCCACGATACCGGACTCGGCTCTTGGTAGCACGTGGAGTTGATGCCTTATCGCGTCGACGTCTTGAAAAGTAGCCAATTTGGCGAGTAGTTGTAAATTGGAAATTTGGAAATAGTTGTAGAATCTGCTCTCGTAGGATAGCTTTTGCAGAAGTATGTCGAGCATGATCTCAGTGTCAGGCAGCTCGGTGGGTTCAAGGTCGTCTCTGAGATATATTTGTACCAGTTCCTCTGCGCTGACGATATCGAAACGGGCAACAATGCTGGTTCTCAGACATGCGATGGCTTCGGACCAATGATGAGTCCGTGCCAGCGTAAGTCCTAGTAGCTCCCACTCGAGTCCGCTCAGCATATTGTTTTTCCGCTCCGAGGCGTGTTTGGCGATCTTCAGGTCGCTGTAAAGGTCCAGAAACAGAGTGTCGAGCCATCGCTCACACAGTCTTTTCTGCCGCAGTTGGTAAACTGTTGCTGTTGAGGTGGCAGATACCTGGTATTCGCGCTGCATAACAAATATGGTGGAGCGCAGGTCTAGAAGCGTGTTCCAGCCTATTTTCTCTGTGATTGTCATGAGTAAGTCGTAGACACGTCGCAGAGACCACGACAGTTGGTTGGCAATGGTATTGCGCGCCAGCAGCTCTGTGTCCTTGAGCGAGTTGATCTCTTGCATAGAAACAAAATTTGCGAGCGTACACGATTGAGGGCCGTATACGGGGCCTATAAGAGCGCAAGCCTCCGTCCAGAGCTCATTGATCGAGCCGCGGTTTTCGACGCGAGGCATCACTATGCGACCGAAAACCAGTTCTGCGATGTCTCTGTCCTTCAATTTCAAATTAGTCGCAACGTAATCTAGCTCTGCCGCTTGCAATTGTGGGGAGGGACCTCTGCCTAACGGGCGCTGATAATAGTAATTTTCTAATTTCTCCGCGAGTAATTCTGCCTTGCAGTCGTCTGATGCTGGTAACTGTGGCATAGCGTTAACCGCAATGAGTGCCTGTTCATAATTCCGAAGTCCAATATAGCATTTTGCCAAGCACTCCCACGCTTCGAAACTGTCCGACGATAGACGAGTAGCTTTCTGAGCGACGGGTAGAGCAAGATCAAAATCGTTTTTTGAGAGCAGAAATGCAGCTTGCATACAAAGAACATCGGTAAGCGGATCAATCATACGCTGTTCTATCCTAAGATCGGCTTGTTTGAAAAACAGGCTCATCGTTTCGTTGATATTTTCAACAGCAAGCTGATCGAAGCTCTCGCTCTGGGTTACTACGGCTATGAGCACAGTGCGGTAGCAAAGCTCATTATCGGGGTCCTCTTTAATGAGATTGTCTAAAAGTCGCACCGCATGCGGTACTAACGTTTTGGCAAGGCCGAGAAATATGAGAATCGCTTCCGTCAGATAATTATTCCTGTATGTCGCATGGCTACCCTTGGTGACGTCGTGACCTATACTGACGCCACGCGGTAAAAACCTGAAAAGCTTGGTAAGTAACTTGTGACAGTAGGAGATTCCGTTGCCCATTCCAGGTGCCACTTCGACCAGGCCCGGCAGTTTGCGGTCCGGCTCCGACCCTATAATCATCGAGCGTATGAATGCACTCACCAATGTCTCGTCCCAGAGCTCCTCGCTCAGATTCACGTTCGTGGTCCCAGACATACACTCGATCGCATTGACCAGATAGTGTTTTTCGGACTCGTAGCGTATCTTTATATCCACTTTGCTGAAAATGTTCATAGAGCAGTAGCAAGACACCAGTCCATCGTTCCGGAACCCTGTACCGGTCAATTTCAATGCATTCAAATAAGCAATCGGTGCTGCTTCCGAGGAAACATCCAGCCCGATGATGTAGTGAAATTCACCGATTTCTTTATGGCGAAGTCCATCGTACTGCGTAGTGTGAACCAAATCGGGAGGACCGATCCCTAAACATCCGCTGCGCACCAGTTTTTGCAAAACACGCGTCCTCAGACCCAAACTCTCACCAAATTGACTCTCAATGGCTCTGGGGGAGTCCTTTAATGGCACTTTTTTTGAACCTTTCACTGAATTTCTTTGTCCAGCATTTGCATCGGTTGCAGCATCAGAGCTAGACAAAGTTGCGGGCCGCTTCTTACTCCAGCCCCAAAGACTCATATTTCAATAGCAGTCTGCTCTTAAAGCAAGCTTTTGAAGCAAGCTTTTACCGAGTATTTGGATCAAGATCTTGATCGATGAGTTTCTTGAGAGTTCATGATTTTCTAACCTGATCACGTGATCACATTTGGGCTTGTCCTATGTTACAACCGAGGAAGTTTAGTCAAGATATCTACATGATTCATGGAAAAGAACGAAGAACTATGAAAAAAGTCGATTTTGAGGCTATGTTTGGATTTTGAATGTTTAGGAATTTAATCTAAGTGAAATGTACCGTAGTGGGCTCTTTGGTCGCTTTTCTTGCACCAAAATCAAACTGGACGTTCTTTTATTAGTAAATTCAGATCTTGGGCAACGGATGCCCTGTCAAAGTAAGGAAAGGATTGCAAGAGTCGCTAGATGTGAATTTTATGGCGCGGGGTTTTGAATTTAGGTAGACTTGGTGGGGTTAGCGAGCTTTTCGGGTCCAGGTTGCCCTTAATTTCACGTTTTGGCTCTGGGCGGCTAAACTGTTTCAGGGGCTATAGACAAGTTCGGCGTTCAAAATCGTAAGAAGCTGTCCAAAAAGGCGTCATAATTAAACTTTACAAAGTTAGACGGCGGTACTAGTAAGATTATACATTCTTTTCTGAGATTTTAATCGTGTGAGCCCGTTCGGGTAGAGAATCCAAAAAAGGAGGAGAAAAGCAAGGTAAGCGGTTGTCATCAATGGGAGCTGGTGGCAACCGGTAAGAAGCGACTACAAATGTGCCTCCTCCCCAACGTTCGGAGATAATCATGATTATTTTCAACTTTGTCAGTTCATCGGCAACTCACAATAGCTCTGAACTACACTTTACGGTACTACAGCGACGCGAAATCCATGCAGAGCAACCCCGAGGTGGTACGTCCTCAAGGCACTGATAGATAACGGGGATGCAACGCCTAATCTAAGCATAGAATCAAGCCTAACAATGTCGCTTGAAATCTCGTTCCGCTTCGGTCTTTAAGTCTCGGAATTCTTACTAAGCTCTCCGGCCCGGGGAAACCAAGCGGATTTTTAATTTGCGTCACGCCCCGTGACATTTGCGTGAAAATCTCGACAGGCCCACATAACTAAAGTGTGCGCATTCAACCTCCTATTGGCGAGCGATTACCAGATCACAACCACTCCTATCCCAATGAAAGTCACAGCTGTAGATGTCAAGCAATCACCCATGTTGCAGAGAACCATCACGTATGAAATTTCGAAGTTTAAGCTTTTCTCGTAGGTTGCTAGCCGCAGTCTTGGTACCGTAAGTCCCACGGGAAAAAAAAAGAATTTCATTTTCCGAGAGCTATGGCTGCTGCCACTGCTTATCAATCAATCAGGGTAGCGCAAACATATGTCAGGTGCTTATAAGAGAAGGGTTTTTAACGCCCATGACCCGATTGAAACTGATTTCAACGACGAGCGATGGGTCTTTTGTCGTTGGGGACGCCGCTTCCGTGGCTGGAGTCGAGACAGTACAATGAACATGTTCGTGACAATGGTGTCCAACAGTTATTGTACTCTTTCAAAGCGGCATATGGACGTAAAAACGACATTTTTTACTGGGGTGACGAACTCGAGTTCATAATGTTTAAATTTCAAAACCACGACGGCGAGGGTCAAAATGCGGTTTTGACGCTTGAAAGTGACGACGTTTTAACGTCATTGAACAATGAAGATATCAGTATATGCGAGGCCAATGACGTGTTATTTCACCCGGAATACGGGCGGTATATGATCGAAGCAACTCCTGCATCGCCCTACGAGGGTTTAAACACAGAATATGTTGAAAACAACATGCAGATCAGAAGAAAATTGGTCGAGCAAAGACTTGCTGGACGTGGCTGCCGTCTCGCTGCCATGGCAGTGTTTCCCAGAATGGGATGTGAAGATTTCAGTGATATCAAAAACGTTTGGGATCACCACAACAATGCGTCGAAATCGCTTTATTTGCCCGACGAAGTGACCAACAGGCATGCGCGGTTCCCGACTTTAACTGCTAACATTCGTACTAGACGTGGAGAGAAAGTGAACATACAAGTGCCGATGTACAAGGACAAATTCACACCTTACAGAGATGATTCCGTATACAAACGGGACTGGTTTGAACCAGAAGACTCCGAAAGCGTCTTAGCGGCGAAACCAGGCTATATTTACATGGATGCCATGGGGTTTGGTATGGGCTGCTGCTGCTTGCAAATCACCCTTCAGGCTCCAGATATTTCAAAGGCAAGATATGTATACGACTCGCTGGCGAACATTGCCACCATCATGCTCGCGGCTACTGCTGCGTCCCCCTTTTTCAAAGGTTGGCTTGCAGATCAAGATGTGCGCTGGAACGTCATTTCAAGTGCTGTGGATGACCGAACCCCCTACGAGCGTGGAGTAGCCCCGCTCTTGCCTCAATCGAATAATGGTCATGGAAGTTCGATCAAAGCTAACCCGCAGCGTATACCCAAATCTCGTTACAGTGTCGTAGATCTATTTCTGGGGGGTAACGAATTTTTCGATCGCAGTTTCAATGACACTGACGTGCCTCTTAATGAGAAAGTACTTGAAACTTTACAATCAAACGACATTTTCGAACTAGACTATGACTTGGCGCGTCATTTTTCGCATTTGTTCATCAGAGATCCCCTTGTGATTTTTCAAGAACGCATCAACCAGGACAATCTCACGTCCACGGATCATTTCGAAAACATTCAAAGCACCAACTGGCAATCGCTTCGGTTCAAACCTCCTAACCAAAAGGCAACCCCTGACCAAAAAGACGCCCCGGGTTGGCGTGTCGAATTCCGTACCATGGAATTGCAAATGACCGAATTTGAGAACGCCGCGTATTCGTGCTTCATTCACATTATCACCGAATGCCTCCTAACGTTCAGTCATGAAATTAACCCTTACATGCCTATGTCCAAAATATGGGAAAATATGGAGATTGCGCATCGCAGGGATGCCGTGCTAGAACAACAATTTCATTGGAAAGATGACTTGCATGGCGGGCGCACAAGCTTGAGCAACATGGACCACGTCTTTCACAATGTTAAAAGTGGCTTATTCCCACAATTCATCGACCGTCTGTTGAAGTACAAGTCGATGGTCACTGAATCCTGGCGCGAGCTTGTCAAATCTAAGGATTCTTCCAATGTTCGCCTGTTCTATTATTTGAAGCTAATATCAGACAGAGCTACTGGAAACCTACCGACGGCAGCCAAATTCTTAAGACAGTATGTGCTAAGCCACCCCGACTATTCACAGGACTCCCGTGTCACAAAAGAAATCAATTACGATACGCTAAAAGTCGCCGACAGAATCACTCACCTGGACGACTCGAACGGGGAGTTGACGAAATTTTTCGGTGGCGAGATTGCAAACTACATCAAAAGCTGTACAAAGTAAATAAATTACAAGATAGAAAGAATATACAATAGCGGCTTAATTAACGGTTTCTGCAAGCAATAAAGCTTGGAACTAAGCGAAGACCAACTTTGTATCGACTCCTCGGATAATCTTCACTTAAAATTCCAAAAAGGTAAGTCTTCCCCGCCAGGACTCGAACCTGGAATCTTCTGGTTTCAGAAGTGGATACTATCGTAGCCAGACGCCGTGACCATTGGGCCACGAGGAATAAGACTTTAAGAGCAATAGTTCAGGTTTGCATTATATGCCTAGTATGCTTCTAACCACGACCCACTGGCACAGTTTCACCAATCCATATATTCAAACCATTGCAACAAGTATTCCTTAATTGTGGTTTGAACCATTGCAATTATCCTGCAATCAGATCCCTAAAACATCCTTATGTCCTTTTCTCATGTTTATGGTACTGAACTTACCATTCAAAGTCCGACCGATCTTTCCCAAAAATTCTATTTGTCTCTACTTGCAATTTTATATACAGGCGAGTTTAAAATGAGAGCATGCATAAACTCCATCTCGTCTTGATCTGATTACTTTTCTTGAACGTTTTCTTGAGTATACAAGTCAGCGAAATATCGCATCAGAGATTTCTGGACTGGCGATAATCGATTTCCCGACGAGGTTTAGTCGTCTAGGATCGTGGGTAGACGATCTGATGTGACTTTACTCATACCGTGAAATTCCATATGAAAACTGCCTCTGCCTTGCGTTAAGCTCCTTAACTTACTCATGTACGACACCATTTCTTTCAACGGTACATGCGCCTTTATAATTTTACTCGAGCTACCCGCGTTCTGGACGTTAGCATTTTTCAACGTCGGGTCCTTTGGTAAGTATTGACATTCTGCAAGTTTTTCAAATTCTAGGGACAAATTGGTTCCCCCCATGTACTCATCTTCTTCCTCGATAGAATCTATTATTGCTTTTCTGGCGCCACTGAGATCTTGCACTACCCCTCCAAGGTCTTGTTGTTGTGCTGAGATGGTGATGGCCATGATAGGTTCAAGAACAGAGAATCCGGCCTCCGGATGGTTTTGTAAACATTTTCCTATGAGTTTCCGGCTCATGACTAAAATATTAGTGGCAGATGTCGCATCTATTGGCATGCGCCAGTCTCGTTTGACTCTCACAACGCAGGAGTGCAGTGGGAAATTCGAAAGTTTGCTTCCTCTGTTTAACGCAACAATACAGCTTGACATTATGGCGTTAGTCATGGATTCTTTGCTGATTTGGTAAGGCCATTCTGCTGGCGTAGATGATTTCTCAATTACAAGAAAATTATTATCCGTATTCAAATCATGCCATTCTTCAAGGGCTGCATCCTGTTTCCGACCCACATAAGGTTCAACACTCACGGAGAAATGATATCCGCTTTCCGTGCTTGCAGTTTCAAATTTTGTGGGTTCATTGATGGTTTCCTTATATGACACCATCACTTTACCGACATTGACCTTAGCGTTTAAATCATTTAGGAGTCTATCCTGGGCAATTTCAAGATGTAATTCACCCATCCCGCTAAGTAAAGTTTGCCCTGAATCCTCATCCAAAGTGACATGTAAACTGGGATCCTCACAGACCAGGGTTTCCAAAGCTTGTTCCATATCTTTTTTATTCCCAAGAGTGCGAGGTTCGATTGCGACGCTGAACACGGGAGGTGGTACCGCGATTGGATTAATTTTCAATGCTAATTCTTGCTTGTTCAAAGATCGCAATCCGGTTTTTTTACCGGCATGAGATATCAGAGTGTCGCCTGTCTTGACCTTCTTTTCAACAGAAGCGCCATAAAGCACACCAATTTCACCAGCCTCGAGTTGTTTGACATCCTCGGTAACATTTGCATGCATTATGAGTAAATTGCCGATTTTGAACGTTTCTCCTGTAGAAGAGTTGTGAATAGTGCTACCACTGTTCAATTTGCCCGAATAAACCCTCACGTAGGTCATCAAACCTCTAATTGGGTCCGAAACCACTTTGAATGCAAACGCAAGACACAAGTTTTTGTTCCCATTGACTACGATGCCATTGTTCTTGTCCTGGGTGAAAATCACGGGTATATTAGTATCTGGTTGATGGGCTTCGAATGGTGACGGCAAATACCGCGTCACTGCGTCGAGTATTGGTTGAACACCAATATTCTTAAAAGCAGAACCACATAGCACTGGCACAGCAAATTGGTTGATAGTGGCTTTTCGAATAGATTCATGTAGCAAATCGGCTGGAATTTGCATATAATCGCCCTCGGCCTTGTCCAAAAAATACTCCACAAGTTGTTCATCAAACTCCCCCAAAGTCTCAACGAGGGACTCCCTACATTTCATAAGTTCATCCCTATATTCGTTTCCCACATCTGAGTCGCCGACAAGAATTTTGTCTGGGTCGTCTGGGCTCCATTTCAACACTTTCTGGTTCAAAACGTCAAGGACTCCTTCAAAAACCGAAATCTTCGCTGCCGCGTCAAACCTAAATACAGGTACATTTAACAACAGCACCCTGGTACTCATTTTAACCATCAATTCTTTAACAGTCCGACTAAACCCCGCACCAATTCTGTCCATCTTGTTAATAAAACAAATTTTGGGAATATTTCTCGCTTGTTTCCAAACTTTCTCCGTCTGCGCCTCAACACCTGCGACTGCATCAAATATCGTTATACAACCGTCCAACACTTTGAGCGATCGTATGACTTCAAAGGTAAAATCTGCGTGGCCCGGTGTATCAATTAAATTAATCTTATTGTTTGCATGCCAATTAAAAGAAACTGCAGCACTTTGAATTGTAATTCCTCGTTGTTTCTCCTGCGGTAAAAAATCCGTCGTAGTATCGCCCTCATCAACGTTCCCGATCCTTTTAATTTTGCCTGAGTAATAAAGCATTCTTTCAGTTGTAGTCGTCTTTCCGGCATCTATATGGGCTATAATCCCCACGTTTTTCACTCTAGAAATCGCTGACTGCGATGAATAGCCTCGCTTCCATTTGAGAACGTGTTTAAACACCATTCCAGCATCCCAATCGACCTTGTTTAATGGTGTCTTATGTTGGTAATCAAGCTCATCGCATGGTCCTTTTCTATAGTGAAAAATTTTGATGATCTTGACTCTTGGTTAATCGTGAAGATACCTCCCTGAACTAGATAAAAGAGACTCAAATCAAGGCCAAAATGGGGGATTTCAATATCACGGACACGTATTTGAATTTTCTAAAAGAAGATGCTGAAATGACGATGCCAATCGCGGCGATTGAAGCCTTGGTGACGATGCTGAGAGTGAAGAATCCAAAAACTTCAGCAGAGATGATCAATACCATAAAAGCTGCCGCAGAGGAATTGACGGAGTCGATCCCTAATTCGATCTCTTTAAGGGCGGGATGCGACATTTTCATGCGATTTGTATTGAAAAATACGCATTTGTATGGCGATTGGGAAAACTGCAAGCAGCATTTGATAGAAAATGGACAACTATTTGTGTCGCGAGCTAAGAAATCAAGGGATAAGATAGGTCAAATTGGTGTGGACTTTATCAGTGATGACGACGTGATCTTGGTACATGGGTTTTCCAGGGCGGTCTATTCGTTGTTGAGTTACGCAGCCGAGAAATTCATACGATTCCGTTGCGTAGTGACGGAATCAAGGCCAACGCAACAGGGCCAACAATTGGCCAAACTGTTGGCAAACAAGAAGATCCCCGTTAAGGTCATTGTTGATAGTGCTGTCGGAAGTATAATCCATAAAGTGGACAAGGTCATTGTCGGAGCAGAAGGTGTCGCCGAATCGGGCGGAATTATCAATTTGATTGGTACTTACTCTATCGGTGTCTTAGCGCAAAACAGCAATAGACCCTTCTACGTGGTCAGTGAGTCTCACAAGTTTGTGCGGATGTTCCCGCTGTCACCAGACGATTTGCCGTTGCAAAGCGGACCACTGGATTTCACACGGTCCGACGAAGCGAAGGAAGATCTCAATTTTGAACCTATCATCGATTACACGTCTCATGAGTACATTACAGCATTAATCACAGATCTCGGAGTGTTGACACCGAGTGCAGTTTCCGAAGAACTCATCAAAATGTGGTATGAATAATGATCTAAAGTATATTAGTTGAGCTCACATCGCCCTCTCGACGTATTCCTGAGCACCTCCAGAAGCTTTTAAGGGCGTACGGGCCTTTTCTGTCGTGACACTTTCTTTAAAACTTTGAAACGTGCCCTCTACCCAGGTCAATTCCAAAGTCTCTTCTTCATCTGCAACCTTGTGTGCCAACAACGACCCTCCAAGACGAGGTTGATTGGCTTCACTACTACTTTTCACGGACATTGTGACAACCTGTGCCTTCTTCGCTCCATTGCCATTCTGTTGCTGTGGGTTTCTCGTCTCCTCCCTCGTATGTGATCCACCGTCTATATATGTGAAATAAGGCCTCATCTGTGCGACAGCATCAACAGGTAACAAATATATCTGATCATCAGCGAAAAGGCCCGCGTAGAGTCCCTCGTTGTATACACCAACACCCTTCACCGTCTGTTGGGCCACAGAATCCCACTCATCTTCTGCTCTATTCTTATCGTAAAACACATCAGTGTTCAATGGCATATCCAGCTGCCAAAGGTTCGATTTCTGTTTGTATCTGGCTTGCGTCACGGGCGGATGCAAGACTCGATTTTGACCTGTCTTTTTAGGCTTATTAGGATACTGTAAGAGATGCAATGCAAATGGTGCTTGGGACAGGTTTAACGGTATTTCCTTGACTATTGGATCTTCATCGTTTTTTGCCGATTTCTCGTCTTCTAGACTAGCTAAACCGACGGGGATCTCATCGGTGTCAACGTTCTTCATCATTATATCGTCGTCTTCTTCAGCGACGAATAATTGATCAGTATGGGACATCTCTGGCTCGTTTTATGGGTTCACCAATGATCGATGGTTTTTAATGCAGAGATCAATTTTCTTTAATGAGATGAGAACTGAAAAATTTTAGGTGATGAGCTTAGGATCGAGCTCATCGCATGCTATAAGCACGGGACAAAACGGCAACGAAACCAAGTTTAAAGAGTCATCTTAAGTATTTTAAATGGCTGAAGATGGTGATTTAATGTTAATGAACATAGATATAGCCGATTACGGCGACCAAATTGAGCCAGAGACTGCCAAGATAACGGGTGGACGATGGAAAGACAGAAGAAAGATAAAAAAAATGATTAATGGGAAGAAAGAGGGTCCTAAGCGGGCTTCGGTGGATGAGGGCATTGTTGCAGAGGCTAAAAAGGTACTTGACTTTGATTTCGGGCGGAAACGGGCCAAAATTGACGAGAAAACCAGTACTAAAACACAGCAAAATGGTGGAAAGACGTCTACAGAGAATGAAAGGCCTGTGACTTTGAATAAACAAATCGTATCGTCTTTGTTCACGTCGCGACGCGAAATAACGACCAATTTCGACGACAATAAACACTCGAACCAGGATTCCATCGACCCTTCGAACGCACCGTTGCAACAGGACTCATTCTCGGCCATGGATATTCCAGAACCGCTTTTAACGCATATTACGGACTCCATGAAGCTTGAAAAACCGACGCGAATTCAGAAAATGAGCATTCCGACCTTGATGTCCAAGGATAACGATTTGTTTTTGCATGCGCAAACCGGATCAGGCAAAACACTTGCGTTTTTGGTGCCAATAGTAGCACGAATCTTGCGTATTGAGGGCCGGAAAGATCGTAAATCCGGCTGCATGGCAATGATCATTGCTCCGACAAGAGAACTTGCCTCGCAGATTTACTCTGTGCTGTGCCATTTAACGCGCTGCTGTCACTACTTGGTGCCGTGCCTGCTCATTGGCGGTGAGAGAAAGAAATCTGAGAAAGCAAGGCTGCGCAAAGGTTGCAATTTCATAGTTGGCACGCCGGGCCGTATTTTGGACCACCTAAAGAATACCCAGGTTATTAAGGAACAATTTGCGTCTTCTTTAAGATATCTGGTTTTCGATGAGGGTGATAAACTGATGGAACTTGGTTTCGAAGAAACTATCAATGAGATATTGCAATTTCTTTATTCGATAAAGTTGGACACTAGTAATTTCCCCAATTTGCCCTCTCGGCTGGTGCACGTCCTGTGTAGTGCCACTTTGAAAGGTGGTGCCAACAAACTTGGAAAGCTGGCGCTCAAGAACTATCAACTAATAAGCAGCGGACAGAAGCAACAAGAAGTCAACTCCGTACCTGACCAGTTAGTACAGATGGTTGCCATTGTACCGCCTAAATTGAGGCTAGTGACATTAGCGGGCTTTTTGAACAACGTCACGGCTAGTCATTTGCAGGCCACGGACGGCAATCGCAAGACAATGAGAACCATCGTGTTTCTGTCCTGCTCCGACAGTGTCGATTTCCACTACGAGGTCTTCTCATCAAGCGATGAAAACCACACGGGGCTTGTCGGGGATACTGTACGGATGCTGAACAGGAACAACACAATTTTGCCCTGTTTGAAAAACGCTGAAGAAAAGCCAGAAGTGATCTTTTACAAGCTCCACGGTTCCCTGTCGCAACAAACGCGTACTGCGACGTTACATAATTTCGCCAGCGACTCCGAAACGACCCGTGGCAAGCATCTCGTCATGTTCTGCACCGATGTCGCGAGCAGAGGTTTGGATTTGCCCAGTGTTAGCACCGTTATCGAGTTGGATCCGCCGTTCACCGTTGAGGACCATTTGCACCGCATCGGCCGTTCCGCTCGTGCAGGTGTGCGTGGTGAAGCGCTCTTGTTCTTGCTACCGGGTGAAGAAGAGCAGTACCTAGAACGTATCAAGCCGTTCCATCCGCTCGGATGGAAAATGCTCAAATTCGATCAGGATATTTTAATCCCAGCGTTCAAAGGGGCTGTTATAAAGAGGAGCGATGGTCCAGCGACCGATGAGGTTACCGACTGGGACAGCAACGCCACCACTTGGCATTTGAACGTCGAACGTCGTGTGCTCGAAGACACGCCCTTCAAAGAAGCCGCTGCAAAAGGGTACACCAGCCACATTAAAGCCTACGCTACCCATTTGTCGCAAGAGAAAAAATACTTCAGTCTCAAGAATCTTCATCTGGGCCATCTCGCCAAGAGTTTTGCACTTCGGGAAAGACCCAAAGCTCTGGGAGCTGCTGGTACCAAGAGAAAGCCCGATCAAACGTCGGATATAAAACCTAAGGAAACCGCAAAGGCCAAAATGATGAGAATGGCACGGAATGCGCTAGACCAAGGAAGCAGTGAATTCAATTACTAGAGCTCACACTGTGGAGTCGATGGCCGGAGTCCGGCGAAGTGCAATGGAATTTGTCAATCACGATGACGAAAACCATTTGATGCATGTGATAGTCACGTGCTATGCTTACCCCGGATTTATTTTATAAAACGTAGTTTAGCATCAAAGGATAAGAATTTGACACCATTTGAAGATTTAAAGGACTTAGAAATCTGAGCCAAAGGATCGACCATTTGTTGGCTTATGTGAGAGCATGACCAAGCGGCTACAACCAGACCAAAAACGAATCAGAAAACCGATTTCCCGAGCGTGTGTTTTCTGTCATGAAAAACATCTTCAATGCGACGTGGGACGACCTTGTCAGAACTGTTTAAAACGAAATATCGGCGGTATGTGCACTGACAAATTGCGGAAAAAGCGACGACGCGACGCAAAAATGGATATTCGAGCCTCCGAGAGTCCGGCTTCGAGCGAGTCGCCGCGGGGGGACGGGAAACGATCAGCATTGATGAGGTCGGGATCCGAGCCTGAGATTTCGTCGCTAAGAAACCCGGTCGAAAACAGTGACGGATACGGTTCAGAATTGGGTCGTGAGCTTGGAAATTCAGAAAATTCCAGCTTGAGTGGGTTCTTCGAAGCTGCTCCTACTCCAGTCGTGAATTCGGGCTCAGATGGGGCTCCAAATCGACCAGCTAACAAAGTGTTGCCCTCTGACGCGAATTTCGACAGTATATGGGCCAACGACGAATACGTCAAACTTAACGATATCCTGAACGAGTCTCGACTTAGTGACACCGAATCTACCGCGTACAAGGGCAAAAGTGATCTTACTCCCGTGGTTGACAAGTTGTGGCCCGATTCTGGCACTCTTTTTGATGATCCGACGTTTTCTGACAAGAGTAAAGGTTCCCCCATGTCCAAATTCAGAGCTCACATTTCATTAGAAACACAGCCTTATCCAGGTGCGAATAACTCCGCTTGCAATTCACCCACACCCGAACTATCTGGCAAGGAGTTACTCCCTATAGAATTTCGACAATTGATAAAAACTCCCAAAGACTTGTACGATAAAAAAAGTCTCGTGAGGCCTCATAATTACCGCGGTGCATATGAGAACTTACTTGCCTATTTGAAGGCTCGCTACTCAGAACGCGAGAAAAGGGAATCCAAATCTTTGCAAATAATAGCCAATTCCATGGCAATTTTTTATTCTCCGATTTTCGTGACTATGACTACCAATTTAATTGAAAGCGATTTGGAACTTCAGGAATTTGTCTTACAAAGAACACTGCTCGAGTACGAAAGTATGGCTAATCTTTCAAATTGCACTCCCATGTGTATATGGAGACGTTCATGCGAGCTTTGTTTTGTGAGTAACGAATTCTTGTCCATGACAGGGTTTTCTCGCGAGGAAGTACTAGCCAAAAATCGCTTCATAATTGAGTTTATGGATGATGAAAGCGTTGTGAGGTATTTCCGAATCTTCAACGAAAATTTGGCATTTGGAGCCAAGGACGACAAGGAAAATACTTGCGATAGTCAGGCAGTTTTTAGTGAATGCAATTTGCTGCTTAAAAATCAAAACTTTCTCAGGTGTGCATCAGTTTGGACCGTCAAGCGAGATCATTTTAATATACCCTTACTCGTCATGGGTCAATTTCTCCCGATTCACTAAAGAAAAGAACAACAAAAATTTAAACATATTGCCATTGCATCATCTTATTATGCTCGTCACTTTTTTCATTAATGCATGTATTAATCAACGTACGATGGCTTGGTTCAAGCCAACAAGTAATCACAACACCGCCAAGATATTTTGCTCCAGGGAAGTATCGTTTCCTTTCTCCATTTGTATACGAGAATGCTCGTTCTTGTTCTTGGTTTGGGTTTCCAGGTTTTTGTCCTCTGCATCCGCGTGGCCCACATAAACTGGTTTTTGAAATTGATACTTGTCAGTCTTATAATCCCAGATTTTGGACTGAAGTTTGGTCTGCTCCCTCTTTTGATCAGAAGATAGTTTGCCCTTGATATCCTTGATCTCTTTCAAATCTGCAGCGTCATCTTCATCGCTTATTTGATCTGCGTCGTCGTCACTCATCGCACGACCTTTGCTATCTTCAGCAGGTATTTCCACCATATGAACTTTGCCGTTTCGGTCGACCGATATATCGACTCGAATTCCATTGCGATGTCCCTCGCGTGCTCGTTCTGCTTTTTCCCATTTTCTCAAATTTCGTTGCTGTTTTTTAAGCAACAATGCTTGATCATATGCACTGCCCCAAACACCCACGTTATTGTCCATGCTAAAATCACTGGCTGTGTCAATAATCTTCGTTCTCTCTGCAGATGTGTCTTGAAAATGCAGTAAATTATGCAAACGTTCTTCAGCCGCAGCCAATTCAGGATCTGAAGTATCCGCCCTGCTTTTAAGGCGTTGCTCTTTTTGCTGGGCTTGCTCTTTTTCCTCTTGCTCCTTTTGAATTTCCATATTCTTTTGCGCCTCTTGCTCAATCTTCTTGAATAACTTGTCTTGGTCTGAAAACAAGTTTCTGCCACCACCCGAAGTGATCTTATAAGTTTTAAATTTAGTTGGTTTGGCGGCCTGTTCAAGGGTCTTATCTGGATTATTTAGTTCATCCTTTTCATGCTTTAAGGCTTGGATAATCATTTCTCGCTCTGCACCCGGAATAAGCTCTTTCCCGCAAAACGAACAATTGGCCAGATGCAAACCCTCTCGAACGCAAATGATTTTCCCACAGGATGTACAATTAGGACACACTTCAAACAAAGGATGCCTGTTACCTTGGCAGTAGCAAACATAGCTGGCAGCGTCTCTTTCAGCAATGTCAACTTCAAGATTTTCCAGAACGTCATCAATTTCACGAATATTTCGAAGTTTCTTGGTTTTTGATGGTTTTTTTGAGGTTTTGACAGGCTTCGTAGTGTCTGAAATGCCTTTTAAGCCTGGCATTAGCTTACGTACTGGAACGTCTTTCCTCGCCTCTTTGGAAGCTTTATCAGATAGGGGTACGAGATCTTGTTTAAATGGCTCGGTTTTGGCATTGACGCCAGATTTCACGGAAGTCGCTGTTCGCTGCGGCTTCACGAACTTCACGGGCTTCACAAGTGTCTCTGCTTGCCGCGGTCTCGTTGACTTCGCCGACTCCACCGACTCGTCGCCTTCATTCAACTTCTCATTGAATTGAAGAGCGAATATCAATGACGATTCTTCATGACCCAATATATCGATCAATTTCCCAGCTATTAAATCCGGGTTTTCTCCACTATTTGCCAAGATTTCTTCGCACAACTGTCTGACTTCATCTTTCTGCAATGGGATTATCAGCGGAATGCTCTCTTCAGCAAACTCAAGTGCTTCTCTAACGCCCATGTCCGCCTTGATTTTTATTAAATTTCGAAGTAAAGATGGTTAGTGATATTTCATCAAAATCTTAATCCATCATACAGAATAAGACATCAACATCTTGAAAACAATACAACAGAGAAGCTCAATGTTGAGCGATTAAGCGCTGTAATCTGGTCTTTTACATGTCAAAAGACACGTTACTCTCCAAAATAGCTTTTCTCTGCGATCAAATTGATGAATATTTTGATTTAGATTTGAGTTCTGCACATGAGAAATACCAGCTTCAAAATCGTGGGAACAGTACTGTATTGATCAACGCTGCAGCGATCGCAAAGGAAAAGCGGGTTAAATGGTTAAGAGGGATTCATGTGAGTTATGACGCTGCAGAGAGACAATTTTTTCGGTGTTGGGATCTTCTACAAAATAATCCGGAATTAGACATTTGTTTAGTGAAGGATTCCTTGGGCAATGCGAGACTTTTTCAAATCCATAAACTTGGATCGCAATTGGAATGTGTTTGCTTGACCCAGAATGAATTGGGTTGTCTTAGGAATGGGTATACTGGGTTTCTGACAGCGTTGGAAAAACGTCGCATTGCACCAGAGAGTTTTGAGAATTTCGTGTTATGGCAAGACACCTTGGCTAGTGGTGGAGTCGAATATACTGAACAAATTCCGAGGCTTTTCTGGAACAAAACCGGATATCGTTTGGAAGAACATTGCTATAGGGTCGCCTCTGCGAATGCCAAGAGATTGAAAAATTTCGCCGTTTATTGCAAGTTTTTTACTCGAAGAGGGTTCTGTTCGAACACACGTTGCCAGTTCGTGCACGATCCGCGAACCATTAGCGTTTGTCAGGATTTTTACACTTCGGGTTCGTGTCCGTTCGGCGACAAATGTCGTTTATCACACTCCGAGCCGGGCACTGAGAATACTGTGCCGCATTGCAAAGAGTTTTTAGAGGGTCGGTGTAAGTATGATGTGGGCTTAGAGGGCGGTAGCGCATGCTGCCGGTTTTTGCACTCGACGCATGTCAAGCGCGATTACCCAATTTGCCGTCTTTTTGCCTTCAGTGGCTTTTGCTACCGGGGCGCTCATTGCCCGTTTCGGCACCTGTGGGAATGCCCCGATTTTTCAAATAGTGGAGTCTGTTTCCTAGAACTTTGTCGTTACGAGCACACCCAACGTGCGTCGTACTTGACACCCTTGCTGCGCATCGACGCACGCGAGTACCTCCTGCCACATCTGACCGCAGGCAAAAGCCATGAAGGTTCCTGGTACGGTCTTCGCACCAAACAACAAAGCATTGACGTGAAATCTCGCATGTCTAACTCAACAACGTCTCCACTCGAAAAGGAGTCCTCTCATGTCGTACTACCTGTTGAAAACTCATCAGACGAACAGGACTCCGGTTCTGAAACTGAAACCGATTTTGACGAGTTTTCAGACAACGAACTCGATGCTGATTTCATCAAGATCTGAGGTCGATGGAATTTCTACGTTCTTGCACCTATTTAAGCCAAATTCGGACCAAAAAACTTCCGGAAAATTTCCCAGAAATCTCTAAAAATCCTAGCTACAATGCTACAACTGCTCAAGCTCTTCTCGCACTTTTCAAACACTCCTAGTCGCATCTTTCTCATCCTCATCTTCGCGGCCGTCCTAGTAACTGTATACCCTACTGTCTTATTTATACGCCGGGTAACCACTGTCAAAAATTTTCATAAGTATATAAAGAGTGCAGGCCTCGATGAGATTTCGTCCTTCATTCTTGTTAGAGAAACCAATCATCAGTAGTGGTTAATACTATCTCAAGATAATATTAATTACCAAAATTTCATAGAAACCGAATGCTCCGTCCTTTTGATATTTAAAGCTTTGACGTGGTTTCTCTGGTGTGTCTTTCCGGGCGCAACAGACGCGTCAAAGCTGAGTTAATACTGATACCGGATGGACGGAGCAGACTATTCAACCCATAGCTGAATGAACGTTGACCGGCCCCAAACAAGCCGGGCACAATGGTCATTTCGTTTCCGGTTTCTTAGATCAAAATTTTTGCCAAGAAGAAGTCTGAGCCCTGGATTCCGGGGCTCTGGTGAGCATGTTTCCAGAGAGACGTATAATGCGTCTTGAGAGTTTGGAGTCTCTAAAGTGCCCTTCTTCTTGGTAAGACAGTCATAAAGCTTGGCGTAGGATGTAGGACGTACGAGCGTGCGTTAACTTTCGGTAACGTATGCTATTCTAGACGACTTTTGCAGCAGAAAAAGGCCCTGGAATGACATTTTCATCAGCCTGGTCCTCTGCTATACACACTGTCAATGCAGAGGCCGTAAAGAGGCTATATACTGATGCTTCTGCCGGTTCTTGTCTTGAAGTAGGGCTAGACGCGTCTTTATATGGTGTTTCATTATCGACGGTGTATTTCTGTACGGTTCTCTTCTACATGCGTATATATATAAATCAATTTGAAAATCAAGTCGAAATCGCTTTATCGATATCAACAACTTCTGAAACGACCTCCAAACTTAGCTTTTCAAGAGACTTTGAACGATGGCGATTCGTGTCAGTAAGCGGATCCTTCGGTACGCGTTGCTTGCCGGTCTTTTGGTCTTTTTTGGCTGGGGATTTTCGAATCACGAAGCCGTAACGAGCGTATCCCCGAAGGCAATTCTAGACAACTTCCAAGCGCCTTTAGCGGGTTTCAAAGGGTTACAAACCAGTGGGGATTCAAGTTCAGCCGAGAAAATGGAAGAAGAAACGCGTAAAAAGGCAGAAAGTGCGCAAGAAGCCGGTGAAAAATATGAAGAAGTGGCTCCGAACCAAGAAGCGTTGGAACTGTTGAAAGCAGCAGGCGGTGAGAATGTCACCATGGACCAGAATGGACTGGCTGGCTACGGCAGCGGCGACGTGAAGGCGTGTTTTGTCAGTTTGGTCAGAAACAGCGACCTGTGGTCTATTGTTGAGTCGATCCGTCACGTCGAAGACCGTTTTAACAACAAGTTCAAGTACACATGGGTATTTTTGAACGACGAAGAATTCAGCGACGAATTCAAGACTACGGTGTCGCGTACTGTAAGCGGTGACGCGAAATTCGGCGTTATCCCCGAGGAACATTGGTCGTACCCATCTTGGATCGACCAGGGTAAAGCGGCGCAGACCAGGATCGATATGAAGGGAATCATCTATGGGGACTCTGAAAGTTACCGTCACATGTGTCGTTTCGAGTCTGGGTTTTTCTGGAGACACCCTCTTTTGGACGAGTTTGACTGGTACTGGCGTGTCGAACCCGATATCAAGATCCACTGCGATATCGATTACGATGTGTTCAAGTGGATGCGTGACAACAACAAAGTTTACGGGTTCACGATTTCGATCCACGAGTACGAGGCCACTATCAAGACGCTCTGGAAGACCACCAAGGACTTCATCAAACTTCACCCCGAATACGTGCACGACAACAACATGATGGACTTCGTTTCCGACGACAAGGGCAAAACTTATAACTTATGTCACTTCTGGTCCAACTTTGAAGTCGCTAACCTCAATTTTTGGAGATCTCAGCCGTACCGCGACTACTTTGACTACTTGGACAAATCCGGTGGCTTCTTCTACGAACGTTGGGGCGATGCTCCCGTCCACTCCATCGCAGCAGCATTGTTCTTGCCCAGAGACCAGATCCACTATTTCCCTGACATTGGCTATTACCACCCTCCTTACAACAACTGCCCACTAGACAAAGACCTTTGGACCAAGAACAAGTGCGCATGCGACCAGAACAACGACTTCACTTTCCAGGGCTATTCTTGTGGTAACAAGTACTTCGAAGTGAACAAAATGGTAAAGCCTGCTGGTTGGGATGCGCTTCACTAATGAACAATGACCATATGAGCTCGTTTTAGGCTCACTTTGATGGGCTTATCGCGATGAGCCGTCGATAATGATCTCAAATTTTTCAAAGTTCCATTACGCATTCCTGGACAAGTGAGTCGAACCAACTCTTCCAATGAATCAACTCTTACATAGGTCACGAAGCAGCGACTTGCGGGCTTGTGAATTACTTACAAATGTCGAAATACGAGAAACCAAAAAGGTACGTTCCAGGCCCGGGACAGCCCGCATTGCCTCCGCAGCTGACGGAATTCCAAAATAAAAGTGCCGATGACGTGCTAGAAGAGCTGAATAGGATGCCATTTTTCATGACCCGTTTGGACGATACAGATGGAGAAGGGGGGCAGAACATGGAACTCCAAGCGCTTAAGGCTCTGGCTTATGAAGGTGAACCTCACGAGATCGCCGAAAATTTTAAAAATCAAGGCAATGGTCTTTATAAGGTCGGGCGTTACAAGGATGCCCGGGAGATTTATAGTAAGGGCATCGAAATTAAGTGCGGTGATTCCAGTATAAATGAGTCCCTGTTTGCGAATACCGCGGCATGTGAATTCCAATTGAAGAATTACAGAAAGTGTATCAATAATTGCAAAAATGCTCTGAAACTTAACCCGAAAAACGTCAAATGCTACTACCGTATGGCCAATTCTTTTTTGAAGCTCGATAAGCTTGACGGAGCAGAACAGGCTTGCAATTTTGGGTTGCAATTCGATCATGAAAACAAACCATTTCAATTACTTGCTGCAACTATTGCGAGACGGAAAGACGAATTGACAGCTAAACAAGAGAAATTGGAGAAAGAAGCCAAGGAACGCGAGCAGACAGAGGTCTTATTGAACGCCGCTGTCCTCTTAAGGGGCTACAAGTCTATTACGACGCGAAGTTCACCAACTCTATTGGACGAAGCTAGAATGCATCTTGAGGACAAGGCCGATATCGAATCACAACTGATTTTTCCTGCTACTGCGATGTATCCAACCACCGATGAATTTGATTTCATTGCTGCTGTGGGTGAATTAAGCTCACCAGAAGATTTGCTCGCTGTTTTGTTGCAGAGACCTCAAGAATGGTTCGAGTTCCCTGGCCATGAAAATTTTACTCTAAAGAAGCTGATTGCATACATGGAAACCGAGTCTGGCGGTTTGATAAAGATTGGGAAGAAAGTCAGCTTTCATGACGTACTCAAAATGGAGAAACCTTCGGTACCTTTATTCGATCAAGCATTGAGAATATACTTCGTGCCGAAGGCAGAAAGTGAGGACTGGTTAAGGAAATGGAATAAAACGGACGCTTTGAAGAAAAGAGTTTGAGGTTTTCAAGAAGATTTTAAGTAATCTGTATTTAGATAATTGTTAGCCATTAAAGCTTGCTCGGTTTTATATGCGAAAAAGTAGTTTGTTAGGACGTATGCTTCAAAAAAAGATTGAAACATCTTTAAAGCTTTCTGACCTCTCCAAAATGTCCTGGGCTTGCCTGGTTAGTAGATTGGCGTGATTTGAGTTTAGAAAGCCTTGAAATCTGGAAGATTTCATCGATATGAAGTGGTGGTATGGGACCGAATATCGACTCCGGCTTCCAATTTTGTTGCGCTAAAAGCTGCTCGCAAAGTTGTGGGTTCTCAGCCCAAGAGGCCAGAACTTGGATGTCTTCAGCATCGGAGTCTGAAAGTATCTCTGGTAATGTCAGGTCATCGCCGGCAAAATCTTCATTCATGCTATGGTTAATGAATTCCCTATGATCTGTTGTGTTAACATCATGCAGAAAAACACCTCCGTTCACGAAAGGTGCTACGTTGTCGTTCTGGGCACCGACTTGTGTCAGTAAGCGATTTGTGCGAGTGGAGCCACTAAGAATTTTCGTTCTGCGCTTTTTGACGTCATGCTCAATTTGTGATTTACGCCTTTGCAGCCGCTGTTCTTGCTTCCTCTTTTGTAGCTCCTTTTGAGTTCTCATTACTTCAGATAATCTTTTGTCTAGCTTCTTCTTCACGTCCTGTTTTTCACTGGGACCCTGCGGAAGTAGCTGGAATTTAGTCAGCCTATCGTTCGACACTTTAATTCTTTTCCTCACTTGTGTGCCTGTGGGGTTCGAATCGCTTTCTTGCAATGGGGTGTCCGCAGTCAATGAGTGTGCAAAGTTTCTTTTCTCCCGATCTTTCGCAGATGTTTTCAAGTCCTTTTGGATCCTAGAAATGGAATGCTTGTCGGCACCCACAAAATTATCCGACCCGTTATCGAATGAAACCTTTCTTTCGAAAATTGATTCTCTCGAGCGGAAGGTGGATAAAGGTTTTGTCGCGGTCTTTCGCGGGTTAGCAGGACTTTCACCGACAAAGTGATGAGCCGGTAAAGTTTTAAAATGATCAGGGCTGCTCAAGACCAATTTGGATCTCGGAGACTTGTTCCGATGTAAAAGTGGAGACCCAACCATGGTTTTACCACTCAATTTAGGAATCAAGGAAGTTCTCTTACCATCTTGTCTTACTCTATGAGATTTCTCTGAGTTTTCGGTCAACTTAGAAGTCGGAATTGACAGTTTGGGGATCTCTGTGCTGAAAATGGTCTTCAGAGTTTCCTGAATTTCTTGATTAGAATCATCGATAGATTTAGCAGGACTTCGGCGGTTCAAGGTATTAGTGCTGCCTCGAGAATGGTCAACTTTTAATTGAATATCTCGCCTTGGACTTCGAGATCTAGCCTTTTTCTCGAATGATTTTGTCGAAGTAGAAGTCAATCTATCAAAAACATTGGATCGTGGTGAAGTTTGTGCAGCTTTTGCCTTGGGAAGAGATGGACTGGTTTTGAAATGCAAATTAGTTGCCGATATCCTTCGAGTTCCAGCCTCGAGAGGATTAGTGTCAATTGTAATTGATTCCCTATTCTTATGAAACACAACCAAGGGATCTTTGCTCGGGAGAGGTACAAACATATCAGGTCGTCGTTGAGATTTGGTAGTAGTTATTTGTGTATTGCCTCGAGACCGATCAGTACCATAACCAGGTACCGGTTTGCTCAGGGTAGGATTCGCGACATCTTTAGACTGTCCGCCTTTTTCAGACTCATGGGGTTGTGGGGACTCCTGTCGACTAGTTGTCTGCAGCTGTTGAGATTTAACATTTTCGCGATATTTTGATTCAACGTTTCCAGTAGAATGCGTCCCACTGCGAGAGCCATTTTCTGTACCGGCATAAGTCGATTCTGACTTTTTATATGGAGACCAGGGGTTTTCAGAGGGTCTTGTACTATAATTTTCCAGATTTTCTTTGGTTTCATCACATTTCCTGTCGTCGTTGTCGTCGCCTTTCTCATCCACAACGTCATATTCTGTAACAGGAGACTGTGTCCGCCTACCATTTATATCAATTTCTTCTTCAACGGCGTTCGATTCGGGAACTGCACTTTCGTGTGTCCTATTACCGTTTTCAAAAACACTAGGACCTGCTGGTGACCTTGTTTTTGTATCTGTTATATCATCCTGTCTGTGGAGTTCTAAACCAATCTCACTCTTACGACCTTGCTCGCCTGAAATTCTGTCATTTTGACCACTCAATTCCTTCTTCTGATAGAATCTATGCATTTCATTATCAAGCCAAACTAAGCTTCTTTGACACACGGTATTGATCTTTTCTTGGCCCTCAGATATCGCCTCATTATACTTGTTTAATGACTCGATTATTGAGCGCGATCCGCCCTGAATATAGTAAGCTTTCCGTCTGGCGATTCGGACCGCCCATTCCATACCTATCAATAGCTCCTATTGTTATTGATGAAGATCAAGATATCCTTGGCGATGATCTTGTCTTTTGGTGAAGATGGTAATGTCATTTGTAACGAGGATCTTTTTCGTTATCAAGCTTCGGCAACTTGAGATCTAATGGACGATAACCACGAGCTGAGATCACAAAATTCAAGCTGAACGAGGCTCGTGGGGTACCTATAAAGGACTAGAAATCTGGATTTTTAGGATGGCTGGTAGTTCGGGGCACAATAGTGCGGCGCCCGGACTTTTTCCCAGCCTTCCAATCGAAGAACTTTCAGATGCAGTTACTGTCGATTCCGGGACATTCACACGAGTCGTGAATGTACTTCCGGATGATTACAAAGATCAGATGGCAGACGACAAATTTTATTTGACGCGATTGTACCGGCGCATGCAGGGTGATATGCATGAACAAGGGCTGCTTTACCAGACGTTTAATGAGTACGATAGGGCACTGAATAAAGAACTAAAAATGCGAGATAAATTGAAAGATACGGAAAAATTAAGTTCCGAAAGTGGCATTAGGCTTGGTACCGCAGAAGACATTTATACTACGTTTACAAGAGGAATCACATCGCCGGCGAAAGTGCATTCTTCATCATCTAAGCGCTTCAAATCGCTTTTCCACCGACAAAGAACTGAAATGTCACTTTACAGAGAGAAAAATTTGATCTTGGATGCAAAATCTAACCAAACTGCTGTTATTGATGAGGAGATTCTGGAGAATGATTATATTGACTGCCGATTTGAAAAAAATAAGCATCTGGTATGCGAAGAAATCGAGGCCTCAACGTCTCGAAGCTCGTCGGATTTGATTTTCCAAGCGAATCGCATGCATGCTGAAAGACCCACTATACAGCGGAAGTTGAAAGTCCGGCATCTACAAATGATATCACTGGGCGCAACGATTGGTGTCGGGGTGGTCTTGAATTCTGGAAAAGCTTTCTCAATTGCTGGACCTTTGGGAGCTTTGATTGGATATGCTATAGGTGGTTCTATAATATTAGCGACTCTTCTTTCGTTTGCAGAAGTCGTGGCACTCATTCCACTGATCAGTGGCATTTCAGGGTTTTGTTCTCGGTTTGTTGGGGAAGCATTCGGGTTTAGTGTAGGCTGGTGTCATTGGCTGTCCTATGCGGTAGCATTTCCGTCCGAGCTTATCGCCTCGACCATCATACTTTCCTACTACCCGGTATTTGCACCACTTTCCACAGACAAAGCTTGGACAGCAACTACAATCACGGTGATGGTAGTAGTCCTCACGTCGCTCAATTTAAGCGACGTGCGGTTTTACGGAGAATTCGAATATCTTGCAAGTGCTCTCAAGCTACTGGTAGTTTTGACACTTATTCTTTTAATGATAATACAAAATGTGGGGGCCCTGGGAGGCCCTTTTATCGGTTTTAAATTCTGGAATTCAAGCAAATCTCCATCCGCTGATATCACTTTTGGACCGTTTCGACCCACTTTCGATCTTCTCGATACGGGCTATGGCTCGAAAAACGGCGTCCCGGGATTTGGCGGCGGTATTTGCAGCTGCATCGCTTCGTCCTTGGTGGCAGTATTCTCGTACGTTGGCTCCGAGATAGGATTTGTGGCGGCAAGTGAAGCTCAAAATCCCCGCAAAGCAGTCCCCACAGTTACCAAGAGAATATTCACACGTGTGATCGTATTTTACATTCTGTCCATATTCGTGGTTGGTCTCAATTTTTATTCTGGTGATCCAAGACTGTTACGTTACTACTCGCCAAATAATGTATCCGCGGCGTCCCAGACAAACTATAGCAATTTTGATGGTGTCATAAACTTACTAGGGGGACTTAATTGCTATACTGCGTCTAATCCAAACTTCTTATTGCACGAAAGCTCAAGTCAATCTCCTTGGGTAATTGCGTTACAGTCTATCAAGAGATGCCGTTTATCGTCTGCTGTGAACGGACTTTTCGTTGGGATCGGTATTTCCGCTGCCAGTTCACAGCTCTACGCTTCAAGCCGAACACTGTACTCAATGGCAACTCAACGAAAGGCACCATCCTTTTTTCTAAGGTGCACCAAAGCAGGCGTTCCGTATGCGTGTGTCATTTTTTGTGGGCTCTTCGGGTTTTTGAGCTTACTGTGTCTGAATCTGAACAGTACGGAGACTTTTGTTGTTTTCGTGAATATTGGCACAATGGGCAGCGTTATCATGTGGAGTGCCATGAATTTTGCATTTTTAAGATTCTATCTCGCGTTGAAGAGAAGACCCGACATTATCTCAAGACATCTCAGAGAGTACCCGTACAAATCGCCACTACAACCGTATCTTGCTTGTTACGGGTTAGTCATGACGCTGCTGCTGTTGCTGCTGAACGGGTTCCAGAATTTTTTCTATTGGCAAACCCAGAATTTCATTTCAAGCTACCTTACAATCGTTGTGTTTCTCGTGTTGTTTGTTGGGTACGGTTGGCGGAAGGGATACGCGATTTACAGGCTGGACCAGATAGATTTGGATTTAGGGAGACGCGAGCTCGACAGAGTCATCTGGAAAGAAAAGATTAATTATTCTTTGAGCATGAAGGAACTGTTTAATAGATTTATAAGTTACCTATAATAAATGGGATGGGGAATATTGTTTCACAAGCGTTTTTCTGATCCAGCAGCTGCCTCGATATCAGGGGGTTCAACCCCACTGAGGAACTCCTTCAAGCTAAGCAATTTTGATTCGTCAGCTCCATGGGTCTGATTTTGACAGGCATGGTCCGTCTCTACTTCGATGGGTGTGGGCAAAGTTGCTCTTCGAAGCTGTGGCATCGATGTGCGCCGGCTGGGAAAACTTCTGGGAGCCGTACAAACTTGTGGATGTGGTAATGCACTTGAATGCGTAGCATTCAAATCGATCGGGGTCGGTAATGTGTCGTTGAGCTCGGGGAAACCCGCAAAAACTGGGTAATTCTTGTCGGGCCGACAGATGCGACTGACCATCATGTGTTTCTGGAAATTGATGTCCGAGTTTCTACGGATCTGGCGCGACGTATCAGCAATGACGGATTCTGGCGGCAGTCCGTCGCCGTCGCCGTCGCCGTGGCGATCGTTGTCGCGATCACTGAACGCTCTAACACGCGAAGGATCGTGGAAGTCCGGGTACGAACCTTCGAACGAAATGGCACTGGTGCGACGATGCGATTGTCTAGGAGTCGAAGGCGATGCAGGAGCTGACGTCTTCGGACTGTCCAGCGTAAAACTGCTGGTTGAACCCATCGAACTGGCAGATCCAGCAGACCCCGCGCTCACGGCCCTGGCGTCAGCTGGACCCACAGGCCCACCACCACCTCTGCGCCATGTATAATGCGCTTTACGCTCAAACCGTTCTGGACCACTGTAGGCACCGCTAGTGCCGCTAGCGGTGCCCGCGTCGCTTGCGACGTTCCAAGGATTATTGAACCGTGGATACCGTGGGTATCCAAGTCCTTCGAGCCGTTGGGCCTTATGTGGTGCGTGCGGTGTGTCGGGTGTACGCGTGGTGTGCTGGGCCAAGCCCTGGTGCTGTGGATCCCGCATACTGACTTATTACAACCAAACTGATACAGTCGGCCCTCAATCTCAGTTGCCGAGACTTGGTTCTAATTTATATCCTACAGGAGCCTTATCGATCTTCCGATGTCGCTTGATCAGCTTCGGAGCTTCAACTTTAAGTGCACTGTGCAAAAATTGGCCCCTGTTGCAACGCCGCTGCTGCTGTTAGAGTGTCCCGCTTACTACCACGTTAATCCCCCACTATCATGCACCTTTACTTATACAACTTGCTAAACTACTACTGAGATATTGACTCCACAACCTTTCAGGCACCCGAAAATCCGAGGGTCCACAGTTGGGCGCGGCCGTTTTCAGACGGCAGCTGTTCCAGACGTTGTCAATAACGAGAGTCAAATGGTTGATTTCCAGCCTAATTACTTAGATTGCAGCTTAGAACAATGCCAGTCAATTATCACAAACGCAGATCCTTGCCTGTAGGCACGTAGTGCATGCATTCATGCAGAGTAGCCATGCACGAAAAACGGCTGAAACATGAGGCTGCTGCAAAGGGTTCTTTAGACCCGGCAGTGTGACATTAGCCAGCAGGCGCCAGGCGGGCACCGCGCGGGCACCACGCAGGAACAGTTCTCCAGAGTTGTTGTAAACCCAAATGGAGGGTTACCAGTAGAGAATAGCGGCGCTGCGGGGCTGCGGGTACAAGTACCGAGGAAAAACGGAATTTGCGCTTTATAGTTGTTTTGCACGGGCAGTTGGCAAGGCAGCTCGCTTAGGTGATCGGGCATGACAGCAGGCCAAATGGAAGATCGCGCCGGAACAGAACCCCAGGCACGTGCGGATCCTCTGACACGTGCAAACGGAGTAACGGGCGAGATAAAAGTACGTATCGTCAAAAACGAGGAGAGGACGCAAAATTTCGAATTCTGTTTCTGAGCATGCGTTGTAGAAACACTGGAAGTGCGAAACAAATCGGAAACAAACGGGAAAAGAGTGCTGGATCACGTGACCTCGGCGTCGTTTTTGCCAAGCCATTTGGAGCACTGCGGTTGCTGCTGCGGTTGCCGCTGCTACCTGTTAAGGTCCTGGCGGATTACAATTGGGCGAGCTAAGCATGAGCACTGGGGCGCGAGTCGGAGGAACCCTGTCTCTTTGCACGGATTTGGATTTTGCAGTCTGCTGCTTGAAATTTATCATGCTGACGGATAGACATGGTTTCCATCAACCAACCTGATGTATCAGTGGATCTGGCGTCTGTTCACGCGGCAGAGGTCGTCGTATTTACGTCTTGTAGTCGTCTACTTCAAGTAGTTTCCTACGAAACGGCCGGGATCCAAGAGCACTCTCGACGTGCGTCTCCAGTGCGGGTAACAAGAAACCGCTGACTGGCCGCAAGCGACGATACCTTCAAGAGGTTGTTCTCGTCGTCGTCGGCGCCGATGTACCGATATTGATAAGACTTTTCCGAGTTACGTAAAAGTATTGAACGAAACGCTCGAACCCGATCAGATGTATAAACGTGGGACGCTAAGAGGCGCCCGGGAGGGCACCCAGGCCCTTGATAAAAAAGAGAATGTTTTCAAAAAGTATGAGAAAAGCAAATTAAACCATAATTGTCCAGGGGCAGGGAGCGTCGGACCCACTCCACAAACGTCTCCCTGCATTTTTTATTTGTATTTTTGTCCCGTAGCTGAATTTTTTTTCAATATTGTCAGTATTTGATGTGAACCCACCGGGAGCTCCAATTCCGAAAGTGTATTCTACCAGATCTCCCCCTGGAGATCGTCTAATATGAATTGTGTGTCGTGATGGCCAGCATCGTCGACTTGGTATCCCGTAAGCGCGGCGGCAGCCGCGATATCTGCTGGATCAGAACCCCCCCTGTTGTCGTCCAGAAGTTTCAAATTCTGCAAATCCTCCTCGAGCCTGAACAAAGCCCGCTGGGTCGTTTTCTGTACCTGTGTAGACGCTGTCGTTGCCGGGTCCGTGGTCCACATCGCCCCGTTCATGATATCTCGCTGTTCCTGTTGGTACGTGTAATTCAAAGTTGGCAATGTGAAAACTTGCGCGTTGGTAGGAGAGTAGTTGGTGGACGCGTACGAGACTCCCGAAGCGGTACGCTGTTGTGACGCACTAGGCAAAGGAGCAGGTGCCAAGTAGGAATCTGCCATTGATCCCAATAAAGTGCTAGACGTAGAAGGCAGACTTCCGTTTTCTCCAAATCCGCCAAACTTACCAGTGAAAGAAGACCTAGAATGACGACGTTTGAGTTCTGATGGGGTAAGCAACTCCGACAACTCACCTGGTAAAAATTCCTCGCCGTCGCAGTCGTCGATCGCATGTTCTGAGTCCATATCGTTCCAGGTTCCACTGAAATGGTCTGCTAAGGGCAGATCCGAGCCTGCGGAAAAATTCCTAGACCCGGAAGTGACGCGCGCAGAAGCGAGGGGCACAAAGGGGCTTTCTAGAGAGTTTTGGTAGCTGGGCGTCGCGATTTGATGGTAATTGCTGGGGTAAACATGTCTTGGAGGAGCCGTTGGGGTCAAGGGAATGGGTACCGATGCAGCGGTACCAGCGTCACCCGCACGGGGAGCATGGTGATGGTACATCTGTTTCGGTGGGTTCACACGAGTTCCGTCTGGCAAGATATGTGCGTTGGCACATTTACTGCCAAAACGACAGTTCCCACGACGGAAATACTTACAGGGCGTCTGGTCCGCAGTCGACACATTCAAAGAATGCGAAAACGGACACGAGTCACCAGCCTGGCACGTACCTTGCCGGAAAAATTTGCAAGGAACATGCGAATAATTCTTGTGAGAAGCAGAATTTTTCGTGATCAAAAGATGCTCGATAATGGTTTTCTGCTGTTGCGAACTGAATCCGGGATCTTGGCTACCGGCTTTACCCTCGCGTGGTTTGCGGGTCTTGAAATCGGACTGCTGCGGCTGCTGCTGTTGCTGTTGACCCCGGGACTTGTTTCGACCGGATGTCGCTGTCCCCGTCGACGTAGCCATTGGCGTCGTGCCACCGTGGAAGACGAACTGTTTGCTCGGAGATTTACTTTTGGACGACCCCATCACACCGGTTGCTACTCCACACTCGTCGGTTTGTCTGTTCGCTTCGATTTAAAGATTTAACCACTTTTGATTCGGGAATCGCCCCTTTTCTTGCGCGATTCCTTTAGCTTCTCGGGACGTTTGTGAGCTCAAGCTGCAGATCGTGACCACTTTTATTGCTTGTATGAAATCGGTCGGTCGCCAACAACGCTCTGGCTTTTACGATCCGGTACTGACGCTCTGGGGGGTGTGGTGGGTCTTGATCTCTTCGGTGTCTCCGTCGTCGAGCCCAGGCTTCGAAGGGGCAAGGGGGGTCGCTGTGTACGAAAGAGTCGATCCAGAACCGTTATCGCATTATATAAGCGAACCGATGATCTTTATCAGTACAATCTCCCGTGCTAAATGATTTAAAAACGCACGCAAAGAACGAAGACCAAGAACAAACCAAAGGAGCAGGTTTTGCAGAAGCAAAGCGAGCGGTGTTCTTCCCAGAGTGAGTAGGTGGCCTAAATAGCTTTGTTCCTACTGTGCTTATTCAGGGGACTCGTAGATGTACCGCCTGTGCCGAAGATCCAAGGTGGTAAGAGCTGTGAGGGGCAGCGGGATCCGGGCATGCGCGCTTTACGCTAGTACCTTTATGGATAACCATGTGTCTCAAGCGCTTTGATTTCGCCGAATTGTCGTCCGTTCCGTGAGCGGTAGATTCTTCGGTGCCCCGCTGTTGTCGCGCTTCTCTGCAGGTATACCGAATGCAACCCTCGGCTCTGCGCGTGTGGTTGCCTATGGAGACGCGCTACAGCTTGATCTGCCACTGACATGCAATGGCAACAGTTTCTTTTTTTCTTGATCTGTGGAGCCCTAATGTAAGGCACGCTGCAAGTGCGCGATCCTCACGTGTCGGTAGCTTGTAGGCACTCTCCCAGGCAAGCTTCTTGCATTCCGAGGGTACCGAGTTTTTCCAGTTTTTCCGCGCGATGTCACTTTGTACTGGTGTGGCGCTCGTGAATGGCTGCGCCTATAGTGCTAATTGGCTACATCAAGAAACCAACCTTAAATTCTGGCAGTAGTATATCTTAGAGGTGTATAGAATTCCGCGTGTAGAGTACAATAGAGCCCTGCTGTAAAAAATGACGTTTATGGGTACCGCGGAATTATTAAGCTTTTTGTGTACTAAGTGAGAATTTAGCGAGCAGCTTGTAGCCCACGGAGAATCACCGCTGTGATTCTTTCTATTACAAGTTATTAAGTCCAGCGTGTACCCTACGCATATTTTGGGCTGCGAGGGCGGTCTGTGGAATAAGGCGTTATGGCTAACAGTTTTGTGCCAAATGTCACTGCGGGCGTATACAGTGACTGAGTAGAAAGTGAGTATCCGTAGCGTGCTGGCTACTAGATAAACAAAGGAAGATAATCCTCTACGAGCCCTCAACTGGAAAAAAACCCAAAACAAACACAGAAACACAAAACCAAGCAAAATACCAGCCACTCGGGGAAAACGAACAACGTTCCATTCCTCATCAGTGACATGGAAATGCAAGGCTGGGCCGCGGCGGCTCGGCGGGTTTTTAGTATTTAGCTCCTTTTGGAAGTTTTTAGATGTATAGTTTTGTGCAGGGGTGTGATTGGGCAGAAGCGTTATCATGCGGCGATCCATGCGAGGTTCACCATGCCAACGCGCATCTGCTGCAAGGCACTTCGCTGGCTGCCGCTGGAATTTACGGTCTGCATGGCTCGGCAAGCACTCCCAGAGCAGCGTTGACACTGGAAACAGGACGGTAAATGAGTCGGATAAACAGGCCGCGACGTTGCAGATGCTGGTATGGACAAGTCGGCAGGCGGAATTCCAGCACAAACGATGCGACTCTGGCCTATATAACCCGGCAGTGGAACCGTGAGAACGGTCGTCCCTTTTCCCCCGGTCCGCGTTTCCAAGCCGATTGGTGTCAGAGCAGCAGCCTGAAACACACGAAACGGGCGAATCCCGAAGGAGCCCACAGCGAAGTTTCCGCTGAGGGTCATTTAAGGTTGAGCATCCAAACGTTTTATAAGCGTCGTTTCAGAAGCTCAAGAACAGAAGCTCCGTTTCAGCTTTGTCTGGGTGCCAGAGCCTTCATATAAGAAGAGCAGTGCAACAAGCACAGGCTCGTTCTATTGTCAACGCCACCTACGCCCGCGTTTGACGTCCGTTCCTTACTATATCCCCGAGCTGGGCACGGCCTATGACGAATTCGCACATCGCCGGCGATGCGTCTTCTAAGCGACATCGCGAGCACATCGAACAGCCTGGATCGCCCATGAGTACGCGGCCGACCAAAAAATGTTCTACGTTCTCTTCATTGCACGTATTTCGCACACCTGTCAAGTCTCATACCGAACATTCCCCGTCTCGCAGCGCCAAACATGTTTTGAGCTGCTGGCGATCACGTTTGGGTTGTTCCAAATACGCAGCGTCGCAAGTCGACGCTGCTGTCCCGACGCTCAAATACGAAAAACTCGAAAACTCTTTCTCGCATCTGAAGCTACGAAGCCCCGAGCCCATCGGCTTCACGCACGTTGATGCTACTGACAGCAACACACATGCCATATTTTCCATGCCCGAAATCGTCGCTAAAATCCTCAAGTTTCTGGACGCCGACATGGCCCTTCCACAAGAAATAGTTCCATTACGTAGAAGACCTCAGTCTCTTGCACACGCAGTTCTCAAGTGCAACGGTGACACTACGAAAGGTTTTCAGTTGTGGAATCAAACCGTTGCGCAGCTGAAAACGGAAACAGGCCAAAAGTCGAGGTTTGAGCAACCGGTTTCAGGCAACTTGCATAGTTGCATGCTCGTCAACAAATTATGGCATGAACTTGCACTTCAAATTGTGCTCGAAAAATTGCATTTCAACGATCACCGTAAGTTCCGGAAATTCCTGGAGTCGAGTTCTCACTGGCCACGCGATTCTAGTCCCTCTGCGACTAAGCCTTCCATTCTGATCTTGCATAAGCTGAGCAAATTGTCACAACAGGATCTAGATGACCTTGCGTCCAGAGTCGCAACAGAAAAACTCAAATGGTTTGAACTTTACATCTGTCCGACGGTTGCGTTGTCTCCCGACATTTTCCACATTTCCTGCAACGTGGAAAAACTGATTTTACCGGGAAACCGGTTTGTCTCGGACCAATTCCTCATGAGTATTGCACGCTCTCTGCCTAAATTGAAAGAGCTGGATTTGCGTGCGTGTGACGAGGTCAGCGATAGCGGCGTTGTCGCGATCGCGACTAGTTGTCCACAGCTCGAAATCTGTAATCTGGGTAGACATCGCAACGGCCATCGTATAACAAGCGTCTCGCTTGTGGCGCTTGCGCGCCATACTCAAATTCAGACCGTTGGAGCAGCAGGCTGCGAAATCACAGACGCTGGCGTTTGGGAGCTCGCTATGCTGAGAGGCCAAGGTATCACGAGGCTTTCGTTCAACAATTGTAGACTTTTAACCAATAATTCGCTTCCAGCATTATTGGCACTCAATTACTTACCTCATCTGGTGGTCATGGAAGTGCGTAACATTGTCAATATCACCCAGGTTAGACCTTTCATCATTTACAAACGTTGGAAGAAGTCTATGGGTGTGCCAGTCTTGATTGAAGGCTGTGAACGAATCGAACTTTTGATGATCGAAGAAAAGGGTCGGCTCGATGCCGAAAACAGAGCCCGTATCTTGGCAGATCTCACTAAATGGGTCAATTGTGAGGACTTTTGAGCCCAGGTCAGTTACATTAGCATATAGAGAATAATTAATCGTTTAGCATGAATTTTGGTTTGACAACCCAGAAAGCTCTGATTCACGCACTTGCGCTTGACAGACTCGATATCACTGAATACTATAGGAATACTATAGATAATACAAAGGCATCTGCAAGGCGAAGAGTTAATAGAGGCTAGCGAATCTCAACGTTTCCGGTTGAATTATGAAAGAGTCTATGGTTGAGGCCATGTGACTTCAATTGATGTACACATCACCTGATTTTCGTAATATATGATCTTTCGTGTATTGTGATAAGTATTTCACGTGATGATATCGTACAAGACGATCAATATCTTGATGTTCCAAGCTTTGGTGATAAACTCTATGGACCAGAAGACACTACATTGAAGAACAAGAACAACTTTCTAAACAACCACACGACAGATGAACTACTCTGGTGAGCAGTATGTGATTACATGTATCAAATACATGCGTTCGGAGATTTATCGCTTGCGAATTCCCCCCCAATTTGACGACTACTAACACGAATTTCCGTTTTATTATCAGTCCTGGAAGTCGAAACTATTACAGCGGTTATCGCGGCTCTTACAGGGGTAAATCGTACCGTGGAGGCCGCGGGGGTTACAAAGGCAATTCGAGCCGATTCAACCAGAGTTATCCAGACCCCGCTTCTAATGTCACGGGCTACCGCGACAATTACCGAGACAACTACCGCGAAGGCTACTACCAGCGAAGTGCGTACTATCAGCGGCAAAATAGACAACCGTACAATGAACCCCCCTCACGCCAGCGCAAATCTAGCGGTGCATCACAGGGAACAGAAGCAATGCCAGAATCACGGCACAAATCCGCTGGAGATGAACCAGAAAGCACGTCCTCATCGATAGAACCGCCTGTTGTCGTTGCGACGTCGACGCATAAACCACTGAGATTCTCAGAATGGCCTTTCGTCTATTTGACGGGACTTGATCAAACCATGATAGGAAACGAACCGGAAACTTCAAAAGTACGAGACATTTTCCGGCAAAACGACAGCATTGACGCTAAACTAGAGGAGCAAAAATTGCAACTTTGGAAAAGCGAATTGGAATTGGGACTTCTGAGTACCCAATGTGAAAAGGATATCCTGAATGTACGATTAACCCAGGAAAACCTGGATGCGCTGTTGCTGATGTGACGGAATCGTCCGACAGGGAGAAGTCGGGAGAAAAGTTTCCACGAGGTTAGTGCGATGAGTACGGTAAATGCCAGTGTCACTATTTAAATACTCATTTGTAATTGTACGGTTTCTATAAGTCAGCCAAGTTTTGGTGTTTTGGCGGGATCTTTACATGCTGCTTTCACTGAAGAAAACTCGGTTAAAAAACTTGGATTCCCATCTTGATGAAAAACAGGTAATACAAGGAACCATCAAGATGAGTTTTACTAGACAATTCAATGCTTTGAGATCAGAAAATAAAGTGACGGATGTGTTGTTATGGTCCGTTTTCGCGCTTGGTGTTTTGAAAGCCACAACTTTGGTGCTGAGTCTTGCGAGTTTGATTGCAGATTTGTTTGTTCTTCCTGGTGTCAGTTTCAAGAAATATGGAGCCTATAAGGGTAAATACGGTGTGGTTACCGGTGCAAGTGATGGGATTGGTAAAGAATACGCGCGTCAATTGGCGAAACGTGGATTTAACTTGGTTTTGATTTCCAGGACTTTATCCAAGTTGGAAGCCCTTAAGGAAGAATTGGTCGGGAAATACAAAATTGAGGTTTCCGTTCTTGCCTTGGATATCGCTGACGACTCCGAGAGCAACTACAAGGCTATTCAGGAGACCTGTGAGGGATTGCCCGTTACAATTCTGGTAAACAACGTTGGTCAAAGTCACAGTATTCCGGTTCCGTTCTTGGAAACCGAAGAAAAAGAACTGCGCGACATCATCACCATCAACACTACTGCTACTTTGAGAATCACGCAAGTCGTGGCTCCCTTGATCGTCAAGACCGCTCGTGAGTCTCACTGTAGAGGTCTCATCTTGAGTATGGGCTCTTTCGGTGGATTGTTGCCCACACCACTCTTGGCCACTTACTCAGGATCCAAAGCGTTCCTACAAGGCTGGTCCGCTGCTCTTGCCGGTGAACTCAAGAGCCAGAACGTTGACGTTGAGCTTGTATTGTCATACCTCGTCACCAGCGCTATGTCCAAAATTCGGCGCACGTCCATGATGATTCCAAACCCAGCTCAATTCGTTGCAGCTACGCTCAAGAACGTCGGTAGACGTTGTGGCGCCCAGGAAAGATACGCTACCATCACACCTTACTGGTCTCACGCCTTGTACCATTTTGTCATTGAAAACACCGTGGGTGTCTACAGCAAGCTGGCAAACGGAATCAATTATTCGTTCCACAAGAGCATTCGTGTCAGAGCTTTGAAAAAGGCCGAAAGACAAGCCAAGAAGCAGTGAAGCTGCCATCTGTCCTCTCGCCCGGCGGGGCAGTTCATATGATGTATATCGTTTTCTACGAAGGGCCTCGAACTTTGTTCAAGTTCTTAGATTTGCGGAGGTCTCGAATTTTTTGATAGCTATGTATGTAGATCCAAATTCAACGGTAACAGTTGATTAATTTCAAGGCCAACGGTGTGTTTGTAAGGTAATTGGAATTCTCGCGATTGTTAGCGATATATCAATCAATCCTCTCGAACAACATGGCGGATCTGGCAAACTACAAAAGACTCGAAAAAGTCGGGGAAGGTACCTATGGTGTTGTTTATAAGGCCCTTGATCTGAGACACGGGCAACGAATCGTGGCATTGAAGAAAATCCGACTAGAGAGTGAAGACGAAGGTGTTCCCAGTACTGCTATTCGGGAAATTTCCTTGCTCAAAGAGCTTAAAGATGACAATATCGTGAGACTATACGACATCGTTCACTCTGACGCGCACAAGCTGTATTTGGTTTTCGAGTTTTTGGACTTGGATCTGAAACGGTATATGGAATCGATACCCAAGGAACAACCGCTTGGTGAGGGAATCATCAAAAAATTCATGATGCAATTGTGCAAAGGGATCGCGTATTGTCATTCGCATCGTATTTTGCATCGAGATCTGAAACCTCAGAACTTGTTGATCAACAGAGACGGGAACTTGAAACTGGGCGATTTCGGGCTCGCACGCGCGTTTGGTGTTCCATTGCGTGCTTACACGCATGAGATCGTGACATTGTGGTATCGGGCACCAGAAGTGTTGCTGGGTGGAAAACAGTATTCGACAGGCGTCGATATATGGTCGATCGGATGCATTTTCGCAGAGATGTGTAACAGAAGACCCATTTTCAGCGGCGACAGTGAGATTGATCAGATTTTCAAGATATTTAGGGTCCTGGGAACCCCGAATGAAACTGTGTGGCCCGATATCGTGTATTTGCCGGATTTTAAACCCAAATTCCCGAAATGGCACCCTAAGGAATTGCAACAAGTTGTGCCGTCATTAGACGCGGTTGGAATAGACCTGTTGCAAAAACTACTCACTTACGACCCGATCAACAGAATTAGTGCCAAACGCGCGGTCGATCACGCGTATTTCCAGGACGCAAGTCTTCTCATATAGGATCGAAAATATGTAAGTTCTGCACTACTCATCGCGCGTATCCGACGATTTGATACGGTTCCATACGTTTTTTGGATTTCTGTAAGCGCTCGCGCAGGTTCGCGTGCGACGCAAGCCGTGTCACCTGGTAACACGCGGTAGCAGTAGTGTCACGGCTTATGATCTTTATGAGTTGTGGGATCAATTCCGTGCTGCCCGTCAGCGCGTAGGAGACTGGGCCCAACGATCGTTGTTGTTGCGAGAACCGGGACCTTGACCATTTGGAGAATACGAGCGGGAATTGGAACTCAAGTTGCGACAAGAATAGCGATACTAGGTACTCGTTGCAATGCCTGAGCACAGCGCTGGAACCCGCGGAGTCTACTCCGGCAAAGAGGCACGCAATATGCAGCGCGTCGACGGAGGCGACGCTCACGTGATGCGCCGCGTGACTCGCGTGTGCGAGCGGCTGTTCGAGCAGCGCACGCACTTTCATGACGCCGAACACGCGGCACTCGAGCCTAATATCGATGCCGTGGCTCGCGGTCCGGATCTGAACGTCGTACCCCATATCGCTCCAGAACACACCGCATTGCGTGAGCCCCGCGCGTATGCGCTCTAGGAGCAGTTGCTCGAGGAGCGGTGCCGCGACCCCAAAGTCAAACGTAATGCATATCTGTGCGTTGCGGGGCGCATTGCGGTTAGTACCTGGACGTCTGTCTTGCGGTGGATCGCACATACCTTGAGCGGCTTTTGCAGCGGCGGCAGATACACGGGATCGCTGCTGTCGTCGTCGTCCTTGCCTCTGCCGGATACACACGCTATACACGTCCATTTGGACAAGAGAGTCTCGTTCTCGTCTGCTAAATATACATCGTTATACACAAAGGACATGGGCGGTGGTGGGCAAAAGTGGTCTCGAGAAGAACGGGGTCCCCGACGAAAACACCGCGCTTATATACGATTTAGGGGGCCCGCGAGGGGGCGGGGAGGCTAAGCGCCACAAAAACCTCGGCGGCTCCCCACAACGCCCAGACCCCCACGGCCGATGACACTAACGCCGAAACTCTCCACCCATACACTATCGAAACAGGCACCCACGTCATCATGATCAAAACACCCAGAACTTTACGTGTGTTCCCCCTTGATCATCTCTGTAAAGACTCCGCCCACACATCTATCAACCCAATTAAACTCTTCCCGGTGCCCACTGCGCGCTCTCCGCCTGTAAGGCCCTCCCTGTCTCTGAGCTCTCCTACAGCGCTCTCTCTCGCCTGCGCGACGCGAATTGCCAAAATTAAATCCCGCCTATTTCGCCCGAGTTTCGCCTTGAAATCCGCTCCTGCTCGCGACCGCTCGCGACCACGAAAATCGAAAAAGGAAACTCGCCCTCTGGGCTCCAATAGATACCCACCACATCCGCTCCTTTCACGGCCGTGGAGGCGACGTCAGTCGGCTGCGCTAAGACCGTCCACCAATTGCTTTTGTTGCCAGGCGTAGCAGAGACAAACAGACCACGATACCGGCACACAGGTTCTCAGCCTCCCGGGCTGTGTGGGCCCGCGCCATGCGGGCCCACACTGTTCCCCAGTACGCGGGGGGCAGGTATGCTCACAGCCAAGCCCAATAAACAAGGTGACGGAATTATCAGCATCTATTTCTATCTCTGAGTTCTTGCATATATACTAAAGCCCCAACGTCTCGAGTCGACAACGACGATAACGACAACGACAACGACGGGAAGACAGAAAACAGGACAGAGCACAGACGCATAAGAAGCGGACCGCAGCACAGTAAAGCTTTTCTCCGTCTTGTTTCTCGCACCAGAGCTAAGAATTTAGAGCCCAAAACACTACAGATAGAGACACACAATTTGATAGTAGCCTCCCGAGATGCGGAAAGAGTTCAAGTTCATGCTGTACTCGCACCTCGCGATCGTGGTGGTGCTCGTGTACCTCACGTTCGACCTGCTCACACTCGCGATCGACGACACGAACCAAGACGCTCTCCAGAACAGCGAGTTGAATCCCAGCCCAGACAGCGACCACAGACCGCTACTGATCCCCAAGATCATCCACCAGACCTACAAGACAGAAGAGATTCCAGAACACTGGCGTGCGGGCCAGCAGCGCTGCATCGACCTTCACCCCGACTACGAGTACAAGCTATGGACCGATGCTACGGCACGTGACTTCATCCAGGAGTATTACCCGGAGTTCCTCGACACGTTCGACGGGTACCGGTACCCGATCGAGCGCGCAGATGCGCTTCGGTATTTCGTGCTCGCCCACTATGGTGGCGTGTACATCGACCTGGACGACGGGTGTGAGCGGCGGTTGGATCCACTGCTCACGGTGCCCGCTTTCGTTCGGAAGACTTCGCCTACGGGCGTCTCCAATGACGTGATGGGTTCCGTACCACGTCACCCGTTCTTCCTGAAACTGATGGCCTCGCTCAAACACTACGATCGGAACTGGCTCGTGCCTTACATTACCATCATGTTCTCTACGGGCCCGTTGTTCGTTAGCGTGGTGTGGAAACAATACAAGCGCTGGGGTGTCCCCGCAGACGGCGTTGTGCGGATCCTCCAGCCCGCCGACTACAAGAAACACACTTACTCGTTCTTCTCGATCTCGCAGGGCTCCTCCTGGCACCTTGACGACGCCAATTTCATCAAGTCCCTCGCTAATCACATCCTGGCGTGCGTAGTGCTGGGATTCGTGGTTGCGTTCGTCATCTTGTACGGCGAATATTGTTTCTACTGTTGGCTAGTGTCGGGCGGTGGCGCCCGCAAAATCAGCAACGCGATGCGTCGCTGCTTCGCGTGGACTGGACTGGTACAGCGTAATCTGCTGGACCCAACGGAGGCGGGTCTCCGTTACCGGAGACTCAGAAAGGATTCCAATTTGCCCGCCGATATCGTGATCCCAGACCTCGAGGACCAGATGGCGCAGGTCACGTATATGAGCGGCAAATGAGCGAGATCCGGACGTGTGCGCGCTTGCCAGATGTCTTGCATTTGACACCGCTCGAGAAATCACTTAAAAAAAAAAGACGAAGCTCGGAGACTCATGTTAACGCCGCTTTGATGAACCAGAAGAAGCCTGCGTGGGACGTTCGAAACAAACCATTTTTTTCGCGGCATACCTTGCATTTATGGACACTCAATTTATCTGATTTTCCTACTCGATTTTATTACCTTTATTTTTGTTTCCCAAATCCCCATTCTTTCGCTACAACCGTGCAGGTGGTTTTATTTTTTGCGACTTTTCTACTCTCCCGAACTTGCTGTCGCTGTACTATCTATTTTCCATTGTATCACTTCTCCTTTTTTTCGAGTCATGACCCGACGCTGCCGTTTCTGCTTTTAAGTTGAACGCCGCCCTTGTGCTTTTAGTTGACTTTCGACGATGTTATTGTATATTAAATGTCATTTTTTGTTCTAAAATTTGTTAGTGGTAGCACATTAAAGATTTCCAGATATATCTGGACTTCTAGTCTCAATTCATAAAAAACTTTCTGCTGTAAGTTTGGATGCTTGAGACGAATTAGATAAGTCAGTTGTCAAGGTCAATGCTGAGAATAACTGACACCTTATATGGAACTTCGGCTTGCTTCATACGCCACGCGTCTCGTGCGAGTTACAGTCTTGTTGGAAATGGATTATAAACAACTAAACTCTCGAAAACTTCACATTATTGGTTCTATAGTGTAGTGGTTATCACTTTCGGTTTTGATCCGAACAACCCCGGTTCGAATCCGGGTAGGACCTTTTTATGTTAATCATAATAAAAATCTTTTTACATTTGACTAAAAGTACATTTTTCGATTATACACCGCTTACACACAAAATTCCGAGGTCTCGATAAAAAAAATCAAACAATCTTAATGGCAAGAATGTCTTTGCCCAATTACTGTTGAAACATGCTATGCATTTTGTGATTAATATTTTGCTTTTTTTCGTCTCCTTTATTTTCGCAGAGACTCATTGTTCTTAGGCGGTTTCTGGGAGGTTCTGTCGGCCCCTGGCGCACGCTTCCGACGACAGGACCCCGTGCGATTATTCACCTGATTTTCTCCCAGCTAACTGCGGATTTGAACACTCTTGGTCCTTGGGTTGTGGTCCCCCATTACTTTTACACTAATGCCGATAACATTTTGTAGGAGCGTTAAAAAATACGTGACTTCACAGCTCAGTTCAAAAATTGAATAATTTGCTGAGTGATATTGTAGAGTTCGAGCCCTGCATCATCATATTGTTCAGAGGTCTGGGATGTAGGTGAACTCATGGCAGCCGATGCCCGTTGTGCGCTTTCATAATTCAACTCGGACAGTTTCCGTATTCTCTTCACAATCTCTTTGTTTCCCTTGATTAGGCCCAAGACGGTCTCGTCACGGCTTTCTAAGAGTTGCAAAATGGTCCATAGCGCAATGTGCTCGAACGTAGCGTACTTGCTTTCCAAAAATCTGATCAAAAACCCACGTACTCCATCGCCAGGAGCTTCCCATGATTCGATAATCTTAGTGTAGTTGTTGATCCGCGAACAGAGATTCGCCAATGCTGCAGCGGCGTTGCCCGACACTTCTTGATTGGTTGAAAACGTCATCGGAATCAAAGCCTCCAAAATGTCTGCATCCAGAAGCTCAATTTTCGAATTGTCGGCTAAGGCAAGTATCGCAAAGCAAGCCGAAATTTCGCTCTGGACACTGACGGGCGAATTCAAAGCCATCTCTTTACATTTCTCGACCGCTCCGCTCTCGAAAAAGTCTTGTCTGTTCTTTTCCGAAGACGCAGCCAAGTTTCTCAAAGTCGAGACCGCGTGGCATTGAATCTCTTCAGAGTTCTTAAGGTCGAGAAGTTTAACCAAGGGCTCCAGAAAGCCAGCATCCACAATGAGACCTTCGTTGAGAGGATGGATAGATATGTTCCGAATACAGGCGACACTCGCGAGCACTAAGGGCATCGAGTCACTCTGTATCAAGTTTACGAGATGGGGCAGTCCGCCGGCGCGCACTATCTCGAGTTGATACCCAGTATCGGAGGCCAGATTTCTCAGAGCCAACGTAGCCTGGCACTTGACCCTTGCGGACGGTGAGTCCATCAACGCCACAAGCTTGGACACAAGTCTGGGTTCCGTTTGCGAGAGTTTCTTCCGGTTAGACTCATCAACCGCTATATTCGATAGCGCCGTCGTGCAATAGTATTGGACATCGGCATCCGTTGAGGACAACAACGACACAAGCACTGGAACAGCACCCGCGTTCACGAGTTCCTTGCGGTTCTCACCGGAATGGGTCATATTCAGTAACGCGCCCGTGGCGTTTCTTTGAACCCGTATATTCTTCGATTTGGCAAGCTTTGTCAGAGGCACCAGCGCCCCGGATTGTGCTATTCTGGCCTTATTGTCGTCTTGCGTCGCCAGATTCGTAATGCACCCCACAGCGTTGCACTGCACTTCCACGTTGTTGCTCATCATCTGGCTTATGAGAGGCTCCAGCCCTCCCAGGTTGACTATCAAAATCTTGTTTTCGTTGTTAACAGCGAGGTTTCCAAGCGCAGCGCACGCTGCAACTTGAATCTGTGGGTCACTGCTCTGTAACAGTATCAGAATCGGCTCCAAAGCCTCTCTGCTCACGGGACGCACGTATTTCTCAGTGATTTCTGCAAAAGCGAGGGCTGCACTTCTTTGCAAATTTAGATTGTCGGAATACACCAATGTGGTCAGCGCTTTCAAAGGACCCCCCGTGTAAAAGTCAAACCGGTCCTTGTCCTCCAGATACCCTAGCAACGAAGTAACTGCTTCCCTTTCATTTTCAGCTATTGGCATCACACTGGCATCGTCTCGAGAGTCGCTAGCACAGCTGCAACACGCTCCCATGGTTTCGATATGACTGCGTCGACAAACCGCTCCTTAACAAAACAGGATCAAAAATATCTTCGGAAATTTCGGGCGTTCCACACTTTGACAAGTCTTCTTGAACCAAGCTTTATCGGATTATTGAACTGGGTTCTTGATGACTTCAGGTTGAAGCTTTAGGGGATACAATAATGGCAGCTGATTGCCTTAATGAAATTCGATAATTCGAAAAATTTTATGGATACAGAGGGTTCTTGTTGGTCGCCATGTACGAAGGACCCGAAAAACAGAGTAATTTGAAGCGGCTTCATTCCGGGTTGAAAAATCGACTTGAGGAAATTTTCGTTACCGTCAATAATGACTCAAGGAAAGGCCCCGTGAATAGTGCTCAATCGCCAGACTTGTTTCGTAGGATGCTACTGAGAGTGCACCTGCTACTCGAATATACGATGTGACAGTGGGATTTGAGTAATCCATAACAGCAAATTGATGCTATAGCTTCACAAATATGTGGTGGCATTCTTGCTACAGCCAAATCACCGTTAAAACGATAAACACGAGTCGCTCACTGCACGTGACCGGGTAATGAATGAGTCCAATCCAAATTATCGCTGGATACGAATGAGTACTCAGTGAGTAACGTCAGTTCGTAGCAATGGCGTTAGCACTTAGCAATACGGTTTACTATGACAGCTGCTTCGCGAAGCAACAGAGACCTGTATATTGCCGCCATATGTAGCCCTTGAGACCTCAAATTACACAACGGCTAGCCGACTTATCATCAATTGCGATACTCTACGTGCTTGAAGCGTATCGCATTGGAGCACCTTCAATAGCTCGACTTTTTTGGAACAGTCACAAAGCTCTTTCAGTGCCGATGAGTCGTGTTTTTGGGTAAAGGAATGTGAGTTGGGCCATAGTTCATAATGACTACCTGCTATCAAAGTATGTCACCAAGCACGTCAAGCACTATAAATCCATCTCCGACTAAATGAGAGATGATTTCTTGAAGGCCGACAAGGTTCATATTTGAAATCCCGTAATTTTAAAGTTGTAGAAAGCTCTACTTCATGGTCTTGAGTTTTTGTTGAGTAGTATCAACGTCCGTAGTGGGCAATTTTTCAAGAGTTCAACTCTAGTTCTTGGTGAAAAAATATGTCAGTTCAAGAGCTTACGTCCCAAAGTAATATCAACTTTTTAAATACCTTCTTTGCTCAGCTTATTACTAGTGGCTCAATTGCAGTAGCGTGGCGATATCATGGTCACAACTTGGATTATTTGCCTTCTATGGCTTCCCAGTGTATCAGATTCAAATGATCCATTATATTATCTCATTGGATTTTGTCACTACGACCACGTGACGACAACATTCACCGTAAGTTCGTTCTATCAAGATCTGTTAAACAAGAAATAAAGTGGTCAGCACCGGATCTGGTTGATTGCAGACTCAGCCGCTAGGATGCGTCGGTTTTCGAACACTTTATCAACTAAAGTTTCCTGTAGAGCAGTCTTTGTTTGCCTTACATTATCGCATATCAATTTTTCACGTGAAACGGGTTTAATACCTTTTAAAAATCTATTGCTCAAACCAGTGGGATTCTGGCACCCTGAGCATTGAATAATACCCCAGCTCGCAACTGATATCTACCGTTGTTCAGGTTGACTGTAATAATTATCTGAATCACTTGACACGATGGGTACACTCTCCGTGGCTTCAACCCGTTAACCACTGCTCGTGCTTGGATCACTAGCCTGGGATAACGACACCACGTTCAAACCTGTTCAAGTACCAGCACTTTCTGAACGGATCGCCTGAGATTCTGCAGAGAGTCCTGCAGAGGTCTTTTGTAGCCCAAGACACAGAATTGTATTTGTAATTTTACATGTAGTTAGACGTACTTTTTATTCCAGTTGAATAACGCCTTCCGTCGTGAACAAATCAGGAATTTGAAACTTCCGTAGAGCACTACGCTGTGCGTAAACCGCTTGAGGAACTCCGACGTCGACGAGGTACAATTCTATGCTGTTCTCGGGTTGCTGGCTCACGTAATTGAACAGGCCGGCCAAGGGCCAGCACATCGAAATGACCATCGAGGGCTTTACCTGGACTGGGAACGCGGGCAGCGCACTGCCAGCGTCGTAACCGCTTGGAATGTCCAAGGAGTATACGGATTGTTGTTCGTTACACCAGCGAATCATTTTGTCGACACGACGTTCATCGCCCGACGCAGAACACAGGTCCTGCAAGCTGCAGTCGAATCCCTGCATGGCGTCAATGACGATCTCAACCGGAGAGTTCAGTTTGTCCAGCATGGCATTCAGTCCCGAGACGGAGTCAACCACTTTACCACCGCACAACTGAAAAAGAGCGACTTGGTCGCGAAGTTCTGAGTCCTCGGGTTCGTTTGTGAAAAGCGCAATGGTTCGCACAAGCGACGACTGGCACAGCAGGCGTGCCAACGCGACCCCGCGCGTACCACACCTGTTGTCACCAGCCAGCACCACGACTAGCGGTTCGGGATTTGTATTGCACGCGTGCAAACGCACGCGACCGCCCAGTCTCTGTTTTACAAAGCGAGACATGTGAACGGCCCAATGTTCCAAGGAGAGCTTAGGCGAGAAACAGAACCTTTCGGCACACAAACGCTCGATTTCCAAAAGTTGCACAGGTGTAGCGCAAGGTACAGGTGACTTGGTTCCCTCAACGGTAAACTCTGCGGGCCGTGACACGGATCCCGTACGTGAAAGCGCTTTCTGCAATTGCGAAAGTACATGGTCTTCGACTGCTGCTCCATTTGATTCAGCTTTGTTATTTGCAGCGGCACCTTGCAACAAATGTGTTATGTTGATGGACTTCGTTATAGGTAAATATTCCGACTGCGCCGATTCTTCTTCCAAATTGTCCCAGTTGTCCTGCTTTGCATTGGGCAAAACCAGCTCGTCCGGTTGTAGCTTGGACTCTGGATCACGTTCCCGTTTGTTATGGGACACGAGCCGATCGCTTACTTCGGTTTCGTCCTGCGCTCGTAGTTGCGCGAAAACGTCTTGTTTGTTGAACATGCGTAGATTGCCCTCAAAGTCAAAATCAGTTTGTTGCTTGATCTGGGCCGCATCATCATCTTGCCAGTCTCCCTGGGGCGGGCTGGGATTGTTTTGCTTTTTACGATTCTCTTTACGAGGCGTGCTCACAACTTTTAAGTCTCTCAGACGTGAAGCTTTTACTTTGAAAACCTGAGAAACGCCTCCGTCGCTGAATACAACATCCGACAGCGTCAAAGACTTGCTATTGGCCTTTGCCACCTTACCACTTATGACTTTCCCATCTTTAAGCTCGACTTCAACGCCAAAACCTGTGAATTGCGACATACCCGTCTTGAATATATGCGAAAAGTGTCCTTGCCCTCAGATTTAAATATCTAATCTCACTCAAACACAGAGTGCTAAGTGTTTAGACGTGGTCTGAACTCAATTGAGGCACCAAAGCTCCTTGTTTCGCTAGACAAAGCCAGTAGGACTAGTCGAATAACTTCACAAAAAAACTCCCAAAAATGCTCAGATTTGAACCCTGAAAGAAGCTATTGCAACGTCCAAGTGTGTTCTGCAGATCCCAAAGGTTAATTGACGTGCCCAAACCAACGGTTTAACGCTTTTATTGTTCTTTTTCTGGTCAAAATCTTTAGCAGGTATTCAACTCGCAGAACTCTAGTAGTAGAAATTTGAAAAATTTTAGAAATGCTAAAATCTTCAATGATCGATCTTTAAGACAGTAAACGCTAGAATACTCCGAACAACGTCGAGTATATAACATGGAAGACTCGACACGACGCGGAGGTCGATACTGTAAGATCGCCGTGTTGGGAGCGCGCAATGTGGGGAAAACGTCGCTCACGGTCCAATTCGTGGAATCGCATTTCGTGGAGTCGTACTACCCTACGACGGAGAACCAGTTCAGCAAACAGTTGAGAGTCGGTAAACTAAACTATTCGCTCGAGATATGCGACACAGCGGGTCAGGACGACGTTTCGGTGCTGAATAACAAGAGCTTGAACGGGATTCAGGGGATCATGATAGTTTACAGTTGCGTGAACCGGGCGAGCTTTGATGTAGTGAGTGTGATACGAGATAAAGTGAACGATCAGTTGGAGTTCAGAGACATTGCCACGTTGGTGGTGGCCAACAAGATCGATTTGCGTGACGCCAAGAGCGGCGGCTGGTCCGGCGGCAACGAACGTGTCACGGAACAAGAGGGTCGAAGGTTGGCCGAAAGACTCGGTGCCGGGTTCGTGGAATGTAGTGCGAAATACGACACCGGCGTTGACAAAGCGTTTGAAAAAATGGTACGACGCGTCGAGGCACTCGCGCCTGCGGGCGTCGACGACGGGTGCAGCGTGATGTAGTGATGGCGATTAAATCTTGGGAGTTATACAAAAAATCGTGGGAAATGTTCTATACTAGTTGCTAATTTACAATGAGCGTGGGAAGCGCAAGTGGATGCCGATGCGGGGTTCACCAGCACACGTAGCCGCCGTCGATGACCATGTTCTCGCCGGTAGTGTAACTGGAGGCGGTGCTGCTCAGGAGGTAGAGCATGGCACCGACAAACTCGCGGGGCTCGGCCATGCGGCCCATGGGCACGCGGCTGGTCCATTCCTGCTGCAACGCAGCACCCTCTTGGGACCCCGAGATGACTTTCTTGGTCAACGCCGTGGCGATGTAGCCGGGCGAGATGGAGTTGACGCGGATCCCGTAGCGGGCCCACTCGCAGGCGAGCGAGCGGACCATGTGGATGACGCCCGCTTTGGACATGTTGTAGGCGACCTGGGGCTGCGGCGTGTTGACGATGCACCCGGACATCGACCCGATGAGCACGAACGAGGCGTTGGGCAGCTGGGGCAGCGCTTCGCCGGCCTCACGCGACTCCGACGACACGGACCGTCTGCGCCGGCATTTCGCGAGCAACTGCTTCGTCATGGACTGGCAGATGTACAGCGAGCCCATGAGGTTGACGCGGACCAGGTTTTCCGCGGCCTTGGGGTCGTACTCGTGTGCGGGCACGTTCTGGCAGAACCCGGCGGTGTGCACGAGCTTGTCGGGCACGATTCCGTCGTGCTTGAGAGGGATCGCGTGCACGACCTCATCGACGATGGCCGCGTCTCCGATGTCGCAGGGCCACGTGGAGACCCGGACTTCGCCGAGCTTGTTACAGCGCGCAAACTCTTCCAGCTCGAGCCTCGCGTACTCGAGTCTGTCGACGGAGATATCCAGCAGCGCGAGCTCAGAGCCCTGCGCGAGCAGCGCCTGGCACAGGGTGTGCGCGAGACCGCCGGACCCGCCGGTGACGACGGTCACGTGACCGTCGAGCCGGAACGAGGGGAGTACGTCAGCGAGGCTTGGCATCGACGCTCTGTCGGGCTCAGCACTTTCGACGATTGCGTTTGTCATTGTTGCGGCGGGACGGAATGGAACGAAGTGGAACGAAATGGACCGACCAGGGGGTTTCGTGCGGCTGGCGGGCAAAGTATGCAGGACCTGCTCTCTTGTGAGCTTGTAGAGTTTGTACACGGGCGAAACTAGCGAAACTAGCGAAACCAGCGAAACGTAGCGAGACGTAGAGAAACTGACCGTGTGTGTCTTGTGGACCAGCACGGGTCGTCGTCGGCGTGCGACGCGCCCTTTTATACAGCGCGGGAAGCGCGCCGAGCGAAAAAGAAACCGCCACAATGCATATTGAGCAGTGCGTTATGCGCTCGGTTCTTCTTCGAGTTGCGGACTATTGCGTAAGTTGCTTTCTTTCTTGTTCCAGCGGTCGCTTTGCTTATTCGAGATAGCCGTGCCAGAAGAAGAAAGAAGAGAGGTCGTGCAGCACGTAAGAGCGGCGCGGGAAGGCTACGTGGGAGATCGTAATACGTTGCTTCGAAGAGAACCGAGAGGGTACTAGCGATGGAAGACGAGGACGAGCATTTTGACGTAGACGAGCGGTTTGACGTAGACGAGTGGGATTTTGCGAACGGGGCCGGAGCGGGCCGAGGCGCCGGGTGGTGGGGCCGGCAGCGGAGACGGGTGCGTCTGTGGTGGTTCCGGCGAGGGGTGGGCGTGGGGAGGGACGAAACCGCGGCGGGGATCGAACTGCAGCAGTGGCGAGCGGGGGGAGCCCCCGGGGGCCCCGAGGCCCCCGGGGGCGAACTGCCCGAGTGGCGGGAGCTGACGCAGGGGGGCAAGGACTGGGGCCGGGTCGCGAAGCGGGTCGCGAAGCGGGCCGCCGTAGTGGCCCTGGTGGGAGCAGGCGCCACCGTGCTCACGGTGCGGGCGGTGTCCGGGCGGGGACCCGCAGTAGGACCCCTAGGGGCGCCCGTTGGGGAGCCCCTTGAGGAGCCCCCGGGGCCGCCCCCGGGCGGCGCCCCGGGCTCCGGCGCCCCCCCGCTCACCGTGTTGGTTTCGTTGGACGGGTTCCACCCGGCGTACGTAAGCGCGGAGACGACGCCGTGGCTGTGCGCGCTCTACAGCGGCAACGGCTCCGCGGCCGAGGACGGCCCCGGCCCCGGCCCCGGCCCCGGCGCCGCGCTCACGGCCCCGTACATGCTGCCCCAGTTCCCGTCGCAGACGTTCCCCAACCATTGGTCCCTGGTGACAGGCCTGTACCCGAGCGAGCACGGGATCGTGAGCAACGGGTTCTGGGACCCGGAGCTACAGCGCGCGTTCGCGCACACAGACACCCCGCAGGACCCGGCGTTTTGGCGCGGCGGCACGCCTTTGTGGCAGACCGTGCAGCAGTCGCTCGGCGGCAACGCCGGCGGCAACGCCACCGCGGCCACGCACATGTGGCCCGGCAGCGAAACCGTGTACCCGGACGAATGGAACCCAGACGGGACGCGGGAGCCCGCGTACCGCGCGCGGTTCTGGCTCCAAGAGCCCCTCGAGGACAAGCTCGACCGCGTCCTGGCGTACCTAGACATGCCCGCGCCGCCCGCGCTGCTGCTCGCGTACGTGCCTGCCGCGGACACGTTTGCGCACGCGCACGGAGCACAGATGTCGCCGCAGCTGGTCGCGGAGTTGCAGCGGATCGACCGGTTTCTGGAACAGCTGTGGCGGGGTGTACGGGCGCGGGCGCGCGGCGTGCGCGGCAATCTGGTCGTTGTCAGCGACCACGGCATGTCCACCGTCGACGTCGCGGACGCGGCTTCCGGCCGGTACGTGGTGTGGGAAGAGCTGCTAGACGAGACCGTGCGGGGCGGCGACCTCAGCTACGTGGTGCACGGGGTCAACTACGCGATCCGGGTCTCGGACCCTGCGCGGGTTGCCGCGGTGCACGCCGCGCTGCAGGCCGCGCTGCGCGGCTCCCGGGGGTTCCGGGTGTATCTCCGGGACGAGATGCCGCGGGAGTGGCAGTTCCGCGGATCGGAAGCTCACACGTACGGGTACCGGATTGCGCCGCTGTGGATTGTGCCGGAGCCGGGCTACTACGTCGTTACGCGACGCGAGCTGGCCCTGCTGCGCGCACAGGGCAGATCCCAGTTCGGCATGCACGGCTACAACAACACGCACCCAGACATGCGGGCGTTCTTCCTGGGACTCGGGCCGTACTTCGAGGAAGCGGTTGCCCGACTGCCCGCGCACGCGGTGCGCGGCCGGACCGGGTATCTTGCGCCGTTCTCGAACCTGGAAGTGTACCAGCTGGTGTGCGATACGTTGCAGGTAGCTACCGTGGCCGCCAACAACGGGTCGTGGCAGTACCCGGTTGGGGCTGGAGACGACGCGTGGGCGCAACGCGCGCTGCCGCGCGCGTGGCACGAGTCCGTGCCGGCTTTGAGGGAGCGCTACCCCGACAGCGCCTACAACGAGCTGTGGAATTGGGCGGAAGCGGGGGCGGAAGCGGGGGCGCAGACGACGTCGACGTTGTCGGCGTCAGCACGATTGTCACTGCAGACGGACCCGTCGCCCCCCTCGATGACGTCACCGCCCAAGCCGGACTGGTTCCATTCGATTCTGGACGGGGCCCACGACATCGCGCACTCGATCCTCGCCGAGGCCGAGGATCTGGTGGACGAGTTGCGAGACGATCTGGGTGTGGGTGCTTCTGAGGAGGGGCGCGTCACGTGACCGCCACGTCAGAATCACACCCAATCTTTAATGTTACTTGCGCTCGCATGCGTTCGCATGCGCTCGCGACACGTTACACTAATCTACATAATATCACAACACGTAAAGGCACAGGGCACAACCTGCCACGGCCAATACAAAGGGCAAAAGTCCAAGCTGCAGCTTCCATTCGATGAGTGCGAACCGGAACCAATGTGCGGCAACGTCCGCAGCGGAAACGTTACCCGAAACGTCCTTGACCGTGTACGCGGCTTCGTTCGCAAACGAGGGCTGCCATTTGGACACCAACAACGCCAAAAGCGCTTTGGTCACGTGAAACACCATCGGGTCCACGTTCATGTCGGGCAGATCGTAGCGGATGAAATTCACGTAGTAAGCGACCAAAGCCGGTACCGCGACGGACCAGCCGGCCCAAAACAAGATCAACGACGCAAATTCGCGCCATCCAACGGAAAATACCACCTGGGGCGCGTGTGAAAAAGGCGCCAGCTTGACATGTGGCGCGACCACGTACACGTAGAACTCGATCGCCATAAAAACGGCATCGACCGCTGGGATGGTCGAAAGTGCGTCCTGCAAGTTTTCGTTGGCTTCCCGCGCACGTTCCTGCACGTCCTGCAAAAACTCGTGGAACTTGAACGCAAACGGGCTTTCGGCTGGGGTTATGCGGCTGAAATCGAGCGACGAAGTCCATGCAAACCCAGTTTTGCCCTCGCCGGCTTCTCCGTCGTCTTCATTATCGTTCTCGGCCTCCTCTTCTTCGTCATCGTTTTCGGCTTCTTCTTCACTGGTCTCCAACTTCGCAGACACAATTGTGTCTGCGATCTTGTTGTTGTCGTCGTCGTCGTCGCTCGTGCTCACGCTCTCGTAGTACGTGGCGAGCTCCGGATACTCCTGGAGGTCCAGAGGCGTTTCGAGTAACTCCAGGTACTCTTGGATCTTGTCTGCGATCTTGGCCTTGGTCGAGGACTGCGACACGTAGATGTCGAGCTTGTCTGCGAGGTCCAAAAGTTCGATTTTTTTCCACTTTTTCAGCGACATGGCACCGTGTGGGTTGTCTTTTCACGTTTCTCGGGTTGAAAAACAAGCAATAGTAGCGGGATCAAACGCTTGACGTGAAATCCGCTTGACTTTCGTGAACTGAGAAGTGCTTGTGGTTATGTGTTGTTGTTGTTGTTGTGGGAAGGGGCCCACCCTTACTGTTTGCAGAAAAGATGAAAAACAAAACTGGGACGCGATGTCTCGTGCGAGATGACTTAAAGCGCGGGACACCACGTGCACAGATAAAACCACAAGCACGTGACTCGGCAACTTTAGAGTAACTTCACACGGTTGAGCAAGACCACGTGTCACGTTCTGCCCCGCTTGCTACAGCACGTGACCTGCCTATGGTTACCCGTCCTCCTCATTTCTCACTTCGCAACACCCGAACACCCCCTTACGTCTGCCGCCCTGCGGCCGCTTCGGCCCGCACGGAGACGGCCCTTAGTATTCGCTGCGGCAAACGGAACTCCCGCATCTGTTAATCAGCTGGCTCCGGGTCCCAATCAGGTGCCTGCCACGCATCCGTCAGGCGCAGAAAGCCACGCAGGCGGCGCGGCTTGCCAAGCAGCGCTGCGCTTCATTCTGAGCTAATGGCAACCATTCGGGCAACATGCGTGCTCCGACTCTGTCTGGGAAACGTAAACAACCCCTCTCACGACATTGTCTAGGAGCTTCCGAGCGAATATTTGTAACCAGGCAGAAATCTATCCTCGTATGTTTGTTTTCCTCGGGGTGCCCATTGGGCAATTTACCTAGACTGAGTCGCAGGGACGTCGTCCAGTCAGGCCCAAATAAGTCTCAAATAGGTATGGGAAAGTCTTGAGAAGGTTTTTCATCCCTGGTCTGGTATATAAAAGACGAAGAAACCCGGAAATTCAGGTTACACCTATAAGGCTTTTTACAGTTGACCGGAACACCTAGAACTCGAAAAGGATTCTAATCGCGGTTGTACTCGACACACATACTCATACAAATGTTGCCAGGTGGAGTTATCTTAGTCTTTATTCTTGTTGGTTTGACTGCCATCGCCATCATTGTCCTAATGCTATACAAGAAGTGGATGGCGAGACAAAAGGGTCTGCAGAAGTTCTAAAGAGCTTCGCAGAGCCGCCTTTGCAGCGTTACGTTGATCTAGGAGCGAAGACGCGGGGCTTACACGTGTGCGAGTGAGCGCGGGATTAGACGGGTATAAGGGGCGGAGTTTACATCGATCGATCACGTGACCGACAGCGGTCACGTGCTGCTACGTACCCGTGTGTGGGTTTTTTGGTTTTTTCCCGTTCAAACCTACTGCTGGCTCGGTGTGTGTGTCCGAGCTAGCGGTGGATTTAAGAGAAAAGGAAGTACCCCGTACGTTATCGTACGCTCCCGAAAAGTTCTTTCCCGCCTCACCCTCATCGGTTGTCCTCCAATTTTTATTTTCCGTTCGTGTTTGTCCCGTTGGGCTTGATTACTACTTGTGCTGGCGTGTGTGAGTGTGTGTGTGTGTTCGTGTGTTTGTGAGTGTCTCAGTGCGTGTGCCGTGCTACTCGCGTGTGTGTTGCGTGTGCCGGCTTTTTATACGTATAATGTGTACCTAATTAATCGTGTGTGTCCCAACTGTATGCCCGTTACTGGTATGCCTCTTACCGCTGGTGCTACGCTTGTGCTGTCGTCACTCGAGCACGCTCCTTACAAAAGCAATCGTCTCTTCAAGTTCCTTTTGGCTTGCACGCGCCGCTTTCCACCCCGGCGACCCAGTGCGATGTAATAAAGTCGTATTTGCGACGCATAACTGAAGCCATGCCTGTAATTCCAGAATGCTTGTTGGCGTCTGCGTCCGAATTCCATCAAGGTTTAACGGTTGCTTAATAGCGCTGTTTTCGACAAGTTCCTCGTAGATGGCCGCGTGCCCATGGTCCTGGAATTTGTTCAACAAAGTGTCACGACACAACTCCAGCAATCGGGTACGTTGTGACGTCGCTTTGTGTTCCAACAACGGGTCTATTCGAGTCTCGAGCGCGTGAATCTCGTTTTGTAGGCGTTTTCGGCTAGCATGGTACATCTCGAACAACATCTCTCGCAGTTCTGCGAGTTGTAAATTGTAGAACGTAATTTGGCCCTCTGTGAGTGAGGTTTGCTTCGGGAACAATCGTTTGATCGTCTCTAAGATATCGTGTACTGAAAGCACTTGATTTCCAGTACTTGGCACCAATCTGCTCAATAGATGGTTTTCATTAATTTCCGTCTGGAGTCGCACCAGCGACACCCTACTTGATTTATTTTGCAATAACAGAGCGTACAGCGCTTGTAGCACTATTATTTCGTCCATACCACCTTCCAGTTGGCCCTTGTATATCTAATTGAACCTGTGTTTTCGCTATGGTGCAGTTGGTGATGATCTGAAATTTCACCAGCGATGCCCAAACACGTAGAAGTCAAACCAAGAACTTAAACCAAAATCAAGGCACGCACCGCCCCAATGACTCAAGACTTCGATTCTGCGCTACCAGACACACTGCCACTACATCCGCAAACCTCTTTACAGCGCTGGAGACCTGTAAGCCATTCGTCGATGTTCGATATCGTGCAATCTGAATTTTACGAAGTGATCAAAGAAATCGCGATGCTGGGCCAACCGATCGACTTGAGACCTTTGCAAAACGCGTACGATGAATTGATAAGGGCGCAATCGCGAGAACTGCGACAAGCCACTCTCATCCACGATACTAAAGAATCTTACAAGAACCAAAACTCCGAAATTGAACCTTTGACATTGGAAAATTGGGACGACTACAGAAACGGTACTCTTAAAGCTCCTAAACTCGCTAACGTGTATTCAGAGACTAAACAACTTCTTGAGCAAGACCCTGCCGCGTTTATGCCGCCTGTTAATGATTTGAAAAAGCTTATCACGGCGTTACCTTTCATTTTGCAAGACCCTCAGAGTGTGATCCCAGACGACAACAATACAAACGATGAAATTAAAGTCGAGGGTGGCCAAATAGAGCTCAAATGCCCTATCAGCCAGGACTTCTTTCGGCAACCTTTGATCTCCCGTAAATGTGGCCATGTTGTCGATGCGGAACCACTACGCATGCATTTTGAAAGATTAAGAAGTGCAGGTCGACCGGTCGAATGTCCACAGGGATGTCAAAGAACGATATCAGAGTCCGAATTTATACCAGACAAGCTCATGGAACTACGGTTACATATCTACAAAGCTCGAAAACGTCCTCATCCTGAACACAGCAATGCCGTTACCTTGTAGTCGAGTCTCGTGATTTGGTGATAATTTTCAGTAACGTATCTGGCTGGTTTTTCTTATTCTGAAAGAAGAACCACAACGTCATAACAAGATCAATGCATGGGCCCCTCACCGTCAAGAATCTGTTACGCTATGCGAAAAGCCCTTCTGCCACTGTTAAAGAGGTTCAGGGCTGGATCAAGTCCGTTAGGATATTGAAGAAAATGGCATTTATCGATCTGAGCGACGGGACGTCATCGCAGACATTGAAAATCGTTGTCCCGCGCCAAGACGGCACCATACTCAAACAGTTGAGAACTGGCCAATCGTTAAAAATTGCAGAGGCAATTTGGAAACCGACACCAACCCGTGAACAACCGTTCGAACTCGAAGCGAAAGCTGATGATTTGAAAATCTTGGGCTCTGTTCCTGAAAATTATCCACTACAGAAGAAATATCACACTTTAGCATTCTTGCGAACGTTGCCTACGTTGAAGCACCGATCCAACTACTTAGGCGCCTTGCTGCGGTTTCGCAGTATAGTGGAAAATTCACTTTCTGAATTCTTTACATCTCGAGATTTTACTAAGACGAACCCACCAATTTTAACTGCGGCAGACTGTGAGGGCGCAGGGGAACTGTTTTCCGTCAATGCTCAAAGCTCGAAGGGGAACTCGGACGTCAATTCGTATTTTGGGAAATCCACGTATTTGACGGTCTCGGGCCAGCTGCATCTCGAAGTCTTGGCCCTAGCCTTGGGGCGATGTTGGTCACTCATACCGTGTTTCCGTGCCGAAGAAAGCGACACGAATCGACACCTGTCCGAGTTTTGGATGCTCGAGGCGGAAATCAGTTTTGTTGACGACGTGCGCGTTCTGACGTCGCTGGTGGAAGATGGTATCAAACATGTGGTTCAGTCCTGTCTGGCACAGAAAACCTCGATATTCCCCACAATAGTGCCCCAGGAAGGCGCAGAATCGCCCGAAATGGCAATCAAACTGTGGGAAGATATCGTCAACAAAAGTTGGCCTGTACTGACCTACACTGAAGCCATTTCCTTGCTGGAAAAACAGCACGATTCGATTCAAAAATTCACATTCCCACCCCAGTGGGGCCAAGCACTACAATCGGAGCACGAAAAATGGCTAGCTTCATACTTCAATGCTCCCGTATTCGTCATCGACTACCCAAGAGATTGTAAAGCTTTCTACATGAAGCAAAACAGCGACGGCAAGACCGTAGCATGTTTCGATCTCGTTGTTCCAAAAATGGGCGAAATAGTTGGCGGAAGTATCCGTGAGGATAACTATGAACTACTAGTACAAGAAATGGAGAGAAGAAACATGAACATGCCGTCGATGGAATGGTATCTGTCACTTCGTCAAAACGGAAGCGCTCCTCACGGAGGCTTCGGGCTAGGCCTGGAAAGACTTGTCGCATGGCTATTTGGAGCCCAAAACGTAAGAGATGGCGTGCCTTTTTATAGAAGCGCAAATGGCTCTATTGAGCTTTAAACGGGTCAGCGGACTCTCCTCGGTCTTTGTTTTTCGGAAGCTCGGTCCGAGATTCCGATGCCATTCCGAAAAGTATAGATCACTGTATAAAGATAAATCAAGGATAGCACATCATCGTTCAGGATCTCATCGCCCATGATCTCATCAGGTTGGGCGAGAGGAGAATTAAACCCCGCCTGTATGGTCGATCATCCTCGTCAAACCACGATCAGTTTCCCGAGATACCTGACTAGGCTTCTGAAGGAATATGATGTCGATACTGTCTTCGGCATAGTAGGAATACCAATCGTTGAAATAGCTGATGCTTTTATAGCGGATGGTGGGATTAAATTCATTGGGTTCAGGAACGAGCAAGCGGCATCTTATGCTGCGTCCGCGTATGGTTATCTCACTGGAAAGCCTGGCGTTCTTTTGGTGGTCGGAGGCCCAGGGGTTGTTCATGCCTTGGCAGGCATATACAATGCGATGTCAAACAGGTGGCCCTTGATAGTGTTTGCAGGGAGCAGTGAGGATCAGTACAAGGGTGGGTTTCAAGAATTGGACCAAGTGAGCCTACTAAAACCTTATGTCAAGTTTGCAGCCAAATTGAACTCTAGAAACATCGATTCAGTTATCTACGAGGCCACACGAAGGTCGCTACTGGGTTCCAAAGGTGTTTCCTACGTCGATATCGCTGGAGATCTTATTTCTGAGGAACTTGAGGACAAAAATCCTATTGCAAAGGCGATACCGAATATTCGGTACTCTCCCGATCCCTTAGTAGTGGATAAAGTTGTTCGTTATTTGCGTCAAAGTTTGAATAAGCGTATACTTTGCGTCTTTGGGAAGGGATGCGTTGACGCCTCAGCATCCTTGCGTGAATTCGTAACGAAGTTTCAAATTCCGTTTCTTCCAACTCCCATGGCAAAGGGCATTATACCGGACTCTCACTACCTCAACGTATCGTCTGCGAGGTCATTGGCCTTACGCACTGCCGACGTTGTCCTCGTCTTTGGCGCGAGATTGAACTGGATTTTGCACTTTGGGGAAACGCCTAAATGGAAATCAGACGCAACATTCATTCAGATTGATACTTCGCCTGAAGAATTGGGCCACAACAATATCCGAGGAATTGATTTCGCATTGTGTGGTGATATTGGGTTGACGGTTCAGGCTCTTACAAAGGGGCTACGGGGTTACAGATACTCTGGACTTTCCAAAGAGCTGGAGTCAAAGGTGATGCTGAATGAGCGGCGATTGCGCGATAGAGAGGAGAAATCGTTGTCCTTGAAAGGCAGAGAGCTCAATTACAACCAAGTGTACGCGCTCATGCGGATGCATATAAACGACAAAGATACAGTGATGGTGACGGAGGGCGCAAATACAATGGACGTGGCGCGCATTTCTTTCCCAGAAACCCACCCTCGATCGAAACTCGATGCAGGTACGAACGCAACGATGGGGGTTGGTCTGGGCTACGCGATTGCCGCCAAAATTGCAAATCCAAGCAAAACTGTCATTTGCATAGAAGGAGATTCTGCGTTTGGCTTTTCTGCAATGGAACTTGAAACTGCTTCAAGGTACAAGCTTGGCATTGTGTTCGTGGTGATGAACAACAGTGGGATATACCACGGTGTGCCTCATGATTCAAAGGGCTTCTTGCCTTCGACGGCTCTCAGCGTTGAATGCAGGTATGATTTGTTGGCTCAGGGATTAGGATGTCGAGGAATTCTCATAAACACGCTAGACGAGCTGCAAGACACATTTCCGCAAGCGCTGAAAAGCTCTTACGAGGGCATTTCGACCGTGTTCAACGTGATAATCGAACCCGGTGAGCAGAAGAAAATATCTTTCGGTTGGCAAAACAAACCCAAGTTATAGTTTTCCGATCAACGGCTTCTATTATGACATATATGCCTGTTCTCAGCATAAAGTACAAGGTATAGAAGAATTGTTATGTACAAGAACATTTTGCTCAAGATACCGTGGCCAAATATCTTTGATTAACCGATTATGCATTGAAATACCCGACAGCATACTGCTCGAGTTGTGCGTTTACGATTTATCTTGTGACTGCTCTATAATTGAATATAGTCTGCCGATACATACCATTACCGATTGCTTACCTAGTGCTCTGCGTAGCCTTGCGGTTGGCTAGCGCGAAGTTGCCCGGTGATCGAACCTTCGAAACACCAGCATTTCTACATTTTACCTGCTGGCAGAAACGCTTAAATTGCGCATCAAAGCAGGTGGGAAATTCGGTGAAACGTTGCGAAGCCCTTGAATGCCAAGGCACCCAATTTAGGTTGCCGACCTCCGTGAGGAGAGCCATTGGAAAATGGTTGTGGGTGCTGTTATCAGAAATTTACAAATCGTAAGATTTGATGGGAATGACAGTGGACGCTTCGCTTGACACGAATCCGCAACGGGTTCGAAGTCTGTTGAGTGCAATTGTAGGACACTGCTATTGCGGTGAACGCGATACCGATTACTGTTGGTGTTTCGATTTTTTGCAGTGAGTACAAGACGGCTATCTATTTTCAAATCAAATGCGAGATTAAAGCTTTACATACACTTTATTTACAAGAACCCGCGCTGTTCAACAGCCCCGTAAGACATTAGCGGCCCAAACTTTGACTCAATGCCGCGTTTTGTTCTTGGAATCGTTGGCCTACCCTTTCGCTGTGCTTCAAAAATTTTTCGGAACATTTCATGATACAAGTCTGTTCTTTGCTAGTGAGCTTAGACGACGTGAAATCGTTGACACAGTCGCTGAAACATCTTTCGACTAAGTTCGAATATAGGCGCATGAAGTCTTTCATTTGCTTTTGTTCAACAATCTTTTGAAATTCTTGTTGTTCCCTCGAGTTTAAAGCATCCATTTTGTGTAGTTTTTGGCGGGGATTTGATAGAGTTGTTGTGAGCTCAAATGTAGTCTTTCGAGATATTTAGAAGCTCAACAGATGACTACTTATATGGTTTGGTTTGTTAAGTTTATAGCTTGAGGTTGGTTAAATGAAAATTATTTGAAGTGGGAACTAGAAAATGACTTCGTACAAAGATACAAACAGAAGTCGACTTCACCATACATCAAAGCCGACCTAAAGTAGGAAGATTAGCAGCGTTTTAGCCACATTGTTAATCATTAATTACTAGCGCTTGTGGTGTACGATCCTTTTTTAATCTTTGATCTTTCGATGCGTCTTTTGTAGATTTATGGCATTTGAACATATTTAAATATCGTATGCCAAGAACTCGATCAAGTGCTTTTTGATAACTTGATCAAGGTTCTGGCTCACCAATTGTAGTCTTGATTCTCTGAGGAGGGCTCACCACAAAATCAGCTGAACTAGGCTTCTCAAATCCTAACCAGAAGAAGTGAGATCTATAGTTCGCCAGAATTACATTGTAAATCAAATTGCTTGTCAAAAGGGCGTGCTGTATAAATGAGCAACTACATTTCGTGCAGCTGACTTCGTCCTTAGAGACCCACTCTCCTGCTGTAGGCCTCCCAACCGGCTTTCCGGTAGCGAGCACCTTCGACGGCAGGATCTCTGCCCTTGCCAAAAAGACCTCTTCCTACAATGATTATGTCTGAGCCGCCTTGGATGACTTCGTCCACGCTTCTGTATTGTTGACCCAAACTGTCACCTTTGTCGTCGAGCCCGACCCCGGGTGTCATGATAAGCCAATCGAAACCTTCGTCCCGTCCTCCCATATCCCTTTGCGCAATGAAACCGATCACAAAATCCTTGTCGCTCTTAGCAATCTCAACAGTTCCAGCAGTATATTCTCCGTGTGCAAGAGAACCCTTAGACGAAAGTTCTGCTAGCATGAGCAACCCTCTTGGTTCATTTGTCGATTCTTGTGCAGCCTGTTTCAAGCCTTGAACAATACCCGCACCCGTCACACCGTGCGCATTTGTTATATCGGCCCATTCCGCAATTTTATGTACACCTGAAGAGTATTGTAGCTTGACCGTGTTACCGATATCGGCAAACTTTCGGTCTTCAAAGATCATAAAATTGTGCTTCTTCGCTAGCTCTTTCAAGGGCTTGACAGTGCCATCCATTGTAAAATCGGGCAAAATGTCAATATGGGTTTTTAAAAGACAGATATATGGGCCCAGAATGTCAGCAAGTTTCAAGAGTTCCTCGGTGGTCAGAACATCCAACGATGCGCATAAATTGGTTTTCTTCTCGTCCATAAGTCGCAGAAGCTTCGAAGCAACGGGACTGGGGTGTTTAGCTGCTCTTTCAGTGTAATTCGCAGTCATAGCTTTACCGTGGTGCTGTTGCGAGGCAGCTGTGATACTATATGCCTTGTGATATGCTTATAACAACTGGAGTGAGCTTCTCATCAATTGATTGTTCAAGCCTTGAAAATTTTTGAAGTCACATGGTTCATCTTTAAAGCCCATCAGATATCAATTGAAGCTCTGAAAACAACAATCTGGAACAGACTGACCCGTTTCAGAGCTTCTAATTGGAAGCTCTGCGACGCTCACTATTGATATTTGGAAACCAGGAAGAATTGAGAGACCCAAGCTGCCAAAAGTGGTTGAGAGTTGCGGTTTTTGAAGTAAACTATTCAGAAAACCTATGGGCTCACGACCAATAGAGCAATTGGGAACGTATGGTCGATAACATAGAGACATTAGAGAGTAATGAGGGGGAAAATGTGACGGATACGTCAGCGGATTCAATTGCCAAAAAAAATGCGGGTCAAAGCTCTTTCATTGGAGCGTTGAGTGCTGGTGGGAGGTCAATGGTGTACCAAGCGACGTCTTTTTACTTGAGAACACCAATGAAACTATTTAGACCTGCACGATTCGATTACCTTCATTATCTGCGAGTCCTTCTCACCGGTGAGAGTAATGACGGCGACTCAGCCAAGCGGGTGGGCTCGAGATATGCACGTTGGCCCTGGATTCCGCGATATACTTATTACATCGAAAACTCCTCTCTCGGTTTGTTGGGTAAAGGTCTTGACAAGTACGGCTGGCGAGTGATTCCGGATCGTATTTTACCACCCTTAGTCGCTAATTCTGCAGCTGGTGTCGTGCTGTACACCACCTATCTGAGTACATTAAACAAACTGTCTTCAGACAAGAATTCTAGACATCCTCGGCCCTGGGATGTCATACGAGCAGGGTTTGCAGCTGGTGCTGCACAAGCCATTGTTTCAGCGCCCATTGATGCCATCTACACAAGATCCTCAACTAACGAACTACTGCTGAGTGCCAAGACTCACAATAATCTTTGGGTTTATGGTTTAAATAAACTGAAGGAAATTGGGCTTGTCGGCTGTTTCGGAGGGTTCGGCCTTTCTCTGGTCAAGGAATGTCTCGGATTTGCGGCGTACTTCTCGGCATTTGAGCTGTTGCGAGGCCAAGTAAGCAACGGCTTCATCAATTTTCTGGAAAGGTATCGCGAACTCAAATTCTCTGTTGACAACTCCAAAATCAGTCGGTTTTTTGACGATGATGAGAGTGAAGATGCGGTTAATAAAGCTTCAATACCACCAACAACTTTCGTGAGTATGCGAGAGGAAGCATGGATTCACAAAGCTTTTGTGTTTGTTGGAGGTATTACAGCTGCGTTCTTACTTCAAGTTGTCCAGTTTCCCTTTCACAAAATTCAGCGAATTCACTTCTCCAGGTTAGAGGCGTTTGACATGTCGAACATGGGTCAACGTGGCGAAAGAACCCAACCTGTTCCATTGATTTCTGAGACAAGAGCGCAACCATTAACTCGCATTACGGTGTTTCCAAAGCATAGGCGCCTTTTCCGCATTTATTACCACTCTTATTTGGACACATTCCAGCACATTTATTTTATTCATAAAAACACTGATGCAACCTATCGATGGTTGTATAGAGGATTTTTGAGAAACACTATTGCCCTTATACCAGGAACCACTGCCGGCTTATTGTTGCTCGAATATTTGAGGAGCAGTTTAAGTAACAATATGGCGGCAATACCTTAGAAGAAACAAGGGTGGCATTTACTCGGCCAAAAACTACAACAATATTCCGTATGCTTGCTTTAGTCAAATTCATGCACTAAATATAAAAACTATGCAGAAATATTGAAGTTTAATTTGTGTTCGTTAAAAGCTAACGGGCAAGGAGTTTTTGGACACTTCAGACACTTTGAGCAATTGGAGGCGGTGAGTCCTGCTTTTGGATCGCTTTTTTTCGGTTATCATTTCTTGCAAGCGCTTTTCGACACCTGCGTCATCAACGTGTTTATTGAAAACTTCCAAAACCTTGAGAAAATCTTCGTTTGACGCTTTCCCGGATTTCAAGTAGCTCAAATAGACATTAGACAGCAATTCCAAAATCCTTTTGACAGTTTCAGAGTTTTTAGACTCTTTGTTATCATCGTTCATTATAGTCACCATACCATTTTCAATCAAGTCTTCTAGGGTTAAGTCGCTGGACGACTTATCAATGTTTTTCACAAGCGTAGATTCCAATGATATTAGAGCAAATGACTTTAACTGGTCGCAAGGATTCAAACATTGATGTGTGAGGGCTTGGACAAGGGCGATGGTCTCTGCTTTTTTAATCGACCCTTGCGTCTGCAGCTCAAATAATCTAGTGGTTAACTTGATGGCTTTTAACGACAAATCAATGGTTTCCTGGTACGGATTTTCCTGATCGACTTTGTGGCCTGTCTTGACAAGACGATCGTACTTCTGTTCCCACTGGCCACCAATAGCACCAATTGACGAGATCTCGTCGAGCAGATTTAGAAGCCACATGAAGTTTTGCCCGTTTATTTTATCAGGCTTTGCTGATACCAAGGATTCGACGTACTGGAAGATGACGAAGGCCCGCTTCCGATCGGCTGCATATACCTGCAGGAGCTTCCAAAATCCTTCATTTTGCAAAAGGACATCTGCGTATGCTTCAATATCCGTCAATGATAAAAGCATTTGAATAAACTCACGACCCTGATCGCTGGACCAGTATGTTTGATCATACACCTCGTTCAATACTAAGACTTCTTCATTAACAAGACGAATGAGACACTCTTTTTCTTGTAGGATCGATATCAACAAAGCTTTATAAGCAAGTAAGCGGCGCACAAAAACCTTACTCGCGCCATCTAAGAACGTCAGATCAAATAGCTTTTTCAATACCAACTGTCCTATTTTCTCTTGATCTTTGCAAAAGAGGAATGATGCGACGGCCAATTCGCAAAGGAATAATATCTCAGCCTCAAAGTATCTCCCGTTTTCGTCCGTCTTTTCAACCTGAATGGAGTCGAGCAAACTGCTAACCAAAGCCGCATTAACATTGTATTCATTACCAAAGATAGAAGAGGGAACGCGACAAGTTCGAATGCACTCGTATGAAGTCGCAGTAGCATTAAATTCTTCCTCTGAAGGTTCTTCATCTCCTTTTAAATATGACGCAAATGTTGATAACAGTCCTTTATTTACCCTTGATTTGTTGATTTCGTATTCTGGGGTAGGGCGTGGCAAATTTCCTATCTTAAGTCTATTCTGCAAATCTGGAAAGACGTCGGGTAGTATGAGCGCATTCTCGAATAAGTTCAACAACACTTGAAGAATTATCTTCCATAGATTAGCGGTAATTAGTTTTGGATTCTCGTTTTTCTGCAAAAATCGGAAAAGTACCACTGTGCACAACTGACCTTTGAAAGATCGGCCCAGCCGTGCCGAGACATTACTCACAGTGAGAACTTCTTGGGTTTCCTCAAATGTAATTTGAACAACAGGAGTGTCATGATCTTCATAATCGAAATGGTTCTGGGAATCCAGCTGGTCATCCAAGGTAGTCAATTTAATGACCTCGTTGATGACATACTCAAAAATATCGTTTTGCTGCAAGAAGGCTGCTATCGATGCACATTTATCAATGGTGGACAAAATTCGCGTCGTTATGTGATCATCGGTGGCAACTTTGAATATTTTGAGCAATGTTTGCGCAATGTCACGACCGACACTTTCGAAGATGGCAGAATCAAACTGTATGGAATCTTTGAGCTCGAAGTTAGGGGGAAAGTGAGATGTGCCACCTTTCTGGGTCATGACAGTTGATGAAGAAACCAGGTTATTCCAAGCATCGTCAAACCAGCGCTCGTTGCCGTGGTGTTCTTCCGGCATGACGATCTCTTTATCACGTATGGAACAATAAACCTTGTCCAGGTACCACAACGGAAAATCTCTTTGATTATTACAGCCTTTCAAATTGTAAATGTAGTCATCGAAAGTCATGTGTTTCTTCACCTGAGGATTATGGATGTCCGTGTTGAGCATGATAACAGAAAAACTCAAGATGAAAACTGAGTCAGGATCTGGCTGAACAGTTGAGTAATCATTTTCGACATCTTGGTTGGCTTTCTCAGGGTCGTATTCCTGGTCGGCGACATAACTGGCCGAGAAAACTTCGACGATTCGCTCAATTTGCTGCGACTCACCCGGTAGTCGAAATTTTGTCAGGAGTACTCTAAGAGCTTCGTCAATTCTCAATCCCTTGAAATCAAACAGTTCAACAAACTCTCGCAGAAGAGACAACCTTTCCGGATGTGCTATGTACTCTCCTATTGTTTTCTTGTTCAAGCGCCCATTCTTTTCAAATAGAAACTCAGCAATATGCTTTTCATCATTGGAGCTGATGAATTTGTTTTCTATCAACAAAGGTATACCCTTCTTGGGCTTACGATTAAACTCTTCTGCGCACCTAATGAACTCCTTCTTGTGTGCTCGCTCTTTCAACAAAGGATGCAAGTCACCCTTTTGCCAGATCGGAGCTTTGGCTTCTTTTACTCTGTCATACATGCTATCCAAGAGTGAGATAAGGCCCTCTAAACAGGTTGGAGGAACACTCTCCGCGGAAGTAACAGCAGATTCAGGCAATGCCAATTTCACCAGACTTCTCAGAGTTGTAATTGATAGATCAGTTCGATTTAGATCGCAATCATACGCCATAAACGTCTTGATGAAAAAGGAAGGAGATCTTGTCCATAAAATCGATATCTGCTCGATGAGCAATTCTTTTACACCTGCGGAGCGCTTTTTGACGTTTTCCCTCTGGTTATTTAGAAGAACATCAAAGACTGTCTGTAATGTCAATTCAACCTGTTTTTCTAGATGCTCCCCTAAGATTATTGTGATGGTTGTGAAGAGTTGCAGCGCTGATTGAAGTAAAGAGAGTTTATCTGTGTTTTGAATAATGAAGAGCACATTTTTGAAAACTGGATCGGAAATTAAGTTGAACAGGCGCGGATGAGAGGAAAATTCATCACCTGCAATCTCAACCGCCAGATTCAAAAGATTGAGGGCAAAAACTTTAGTGGAATTGTTGTGCTTGAACTGATTTTGAGGCATAAGCACGTTAACGAGAAGGAGGCAATAATCCTTAACGACCGAAATCCCATAGTTTTCTTCTGGTTCATTTACGATCGTCGTTTGCTTCTCATTGAGTGGTGTCTCTGGAACCTCGTTATCATTATTCGGCTCTGGAGAATTTCCATGGCCTGCGTTACCGGCGCCCATCATGTCATCCTTGAGCGTTTTATTAGAAATATCCTCATCATTGATATATTTTTGACTCTCCGAAACTTCTAAGCATCGTAACCTTTGGAAAATTATCGCTGTTATCGACATCATGGTCAATTCTGCACCACCTCGTAAGACTTCGGTTCTTTTCTTGTTGCATGCCAGAGACATGACCGTTTGCAAGACCTCATACATGATGGAATCAGAAAGGAAAATGCTATGCTCAGAATTGATCAGTTTCTCCAAAAGAACCAGAACTTTGAGAAGAACAGAATCATCAGATGTCTGCTCCGATCCTTCAAATCTGCAATGCGTCAGTGAGTTCACGGTCTCACGGTACGCAGCAACGTAGTTAGGCGAAGATTTGCTGATAATTCCGAATGTTAAAAACTTTCGAAGCGACTCGAGCGCCATGGATGTTATGTATCCTGAAACCGAACCTGTGCTGACTATCAAAAGAAAGGGCTGAAAAACCGTAAGTAAGTCTGTATCATCCAGTCTCTTCACATTGTTGAGCATCAGCCTCAATTGAATCAATCCAGAAAGTAGCGGATCGTTGTTCCTGGAAGCGGTCAAATTCGTGAATCGATCAGCTAGCGATTCGTCCTGATTACTAAAAATCTCGCTGCTGCCACTTAAAAGTGCCACCACTCCCGACTGCGACGTATATTTGGTATACTTCCGCATAGCAGAAGATAGAGTTATGCATTCTTTGATCACGACAGTAACAGCATCCACTGCATGTCTACGATCTGCCATGACTGAAACTCTAACGCTTTTAATACTTTAAAAACCGAGAGAAAAGCGTCAATTCGCTAATTAAATCAATGTCTCCCAAATTTCTTCGAACTTGTCGAGCTCGACTCACCAGGAAGTCGAATTTGATCTCTTCTAGTCAATCGTGGGTTTGCCATCCGGTTCTAGTATTATGATCTTGTCGTTGTTTACTTCCTGGTCCGGGTAAACGTTTAATGGCTGAAATTTCTAAGATTGAGTTTAGTTAATATCTCGAGCGATGAGGTAGGAGTAAGCAGATTTCATGGGAGAAAGACAGGTCTACCTGGATATTCAGATTGCCGATCAGAAGATTGGTAGAATTGTCATTGAACTATTCGATGAAAGGGCTCCTAAGACGACGGAAAATTTCTACCGCTTGTGCGTAGGAGATATTAAAGATGCAATCGGCGCTCCTTTGACTTACAGAAACAATTTCTTCCATCGTGTTATTAAAAACTTTATGGTCCAGGCGGGTGATATTACGCATGGATCAGTTGATGGTGAAAAATCTGACGAAATTGGGCTTGGTGGACATTCCATTTATTTTGACAAGAAAAGTGGTAAATATATGAATACCAATTTTAAGGACAACACGACTTTTTTCGAAGATGAGAATTTGGGGGATTTTGATAAACCATTTTTGGTTGGTATGGCAAATTTGGGACAGTCTAATACAAATAGCTCCCAATTTTTCATTACAACATGCATTTCACCTCATCTGAACAACAATCATAGCATTTTAGGCCGCGTCCTGTATGGAAAATCAGTAGTACGAACAATTGAGCTCACAGAGGTCGACGCTGACGGTTTCCCCCTTCATCCCATTAAAATCGAGAATTGTGGTGCGTGGAAGCCAGTGCTTGGTCTACCCGTTTACAACACCTCTAACGCAACCATTGGAGGTGATATCTACGAAGAATACCCAGACGACGACGAAAATTTCGATAAAGATGTCTCCAAGGATTCGTTTGCTGCTGCTGAGACGATCAAGGGCTCTGGAACTGCCCTTTTGAAACAAGGCGACTTTCAAAATGCGTTGTTCAAATATAAAAAGGCCTTGAGGTATGTCAACGAGCTTGTTCCGGACATAGATTCAGACGCTAAATCTTACGCGGATTTCATGCAGCTAAAAGCGAAGCTTTACTTAAATCTGTCGCTGACATTCTTGAAGCTCAAAAACTATGAGGATAGTATAACGTACGCTGGATTCCTGTTGGATATGAACAAGGCGGAAGAGCAAGATAAAGCAAAAGCTTTTTATAGACGTGGCGTTTGCCATAAATTGAAAGGCCGTAATGAACTTGCATTGAGCGATTTTAAAAACTGTCACTCGCTCAATCCTAATGACAATGTCGTTGTTGAGAGAATCAAGGAAATCGAGACAAAAATCGAGGAAGAGAAGGAGAGAACCAGAAAGAATCTGGCCAAATTCTTTATGTAAACCTGCAGTAGATAGCATTTACATAAAGGCATCGAGTAAATTTGGGGGCTTTTTGAATGATTTGGCAGGGGAACTCTTCCCGGCCTTTTCAAAGTGATCTGAGACACGCGGCACTTCTGGAGACTCATTCGATGAAGAATTGATGAAGGAGCTTTTGGGTGCGCTCTTGGGCGATTGAGGGCCGAAAAACTCGTCTAAGATGTTCCGAGGTTGAGCCTGGTGCTTTACATCGGATGGCCCAGGCTTTGATTGCATGTTCGAAACCTCTGCGTTCTCTTTATTCATAAAACCGTCAGCGTAAGCCTCCTTATCTGCTTTGTTGCGACTTGCCCAATCGACGTCACAAAATACCCAATTTTTCACTACTGATAGGCCAAGATAATCGCAGCCCATTCTTGAATAGATACCGACCACTCTCGCTAATGTATCGTATTCTAGACTTCCATTCATATGAGCTTCTTTTTTGCTGTTGCATGGAGACCTATCGCGAACGATTCTGTACAAATGAAGCAAGGCCGGATCTTCCACCAGAAAAGATTGATTCACGACATTATAGTTTTCAACAACTTTTTCGTTCTCTTCTATGCAAGCAGGCGCCTTCAGTAGCGCCTCATTGGCCAGTGCTGGATTACCTGTTACCGAATAAAAGAAGCTCGCGACCCAACGATCGCTGTTTTCGATGGCACCAGGAAGCACATTTCTGAGAAGGAGTTCCCGGAGAACTGGCCCACTGTCGCCTTCGTACACTCTGCAAACACCGACAGCAAGGCATATGTCATCGCACTGCTTCATAAGGACACTAGCTGCATCCTTTAAAGAGCCAGCAAGTAAGAAAAAACAAGCAGCGTCCATATAGCGGTGTTTGCTCAACAATACGAAGGCGTTTTTGAATGCTGCAGTCTTCCATCTTCGCTCGTTGAAATCATTATTCAAAAACTTGAGTATTTTCTGCTGCTCGGGATGAGCAGCGCTGACGCGCCATAAACCCATTAAAATGTGCTTCTTTTTCAGTGCGTAGTAAAAAATAGCACAATTAGTCGGATCGCGACGACCATCTTTGTTGAACTCATATTTGGCAATATCCTCGAAGGTTTTCACAAGATCTCTGTTCTCTAGCCAAAACGATACCCGCGATTCCCGCGCGTGGTCCCAAGAAGTCAGAGAGGGCTTTAAGGATAGAAATAGAATGTTTTTGTTGGCCGAGTGTATCGCCCATAAAACATCTCGCATCGAAATGCTTTTCTGGGTCGCTTTATGCGAGTTCAACAATTTTAAGCCTAAAATGAACATAAGGCCGCAGTAATCGACGGCCTTTTCATTTTGATCAATGTCCTCAATTGCTTCAATGATCGTTATTAGAGTAACTTGTTGATGCCGAGTTAGAAATGGAAGTGCTATTTCCATCAGCTTTTGTCGCAAGGCTTCGGCAACCTTTGGGGTGAATGCAGTGTAGGGCTCTGGATATAAATCGTATTTGTAAGATTTGTCGCCATCATGGAGAAACTTGGCAGAAGAGAATTCGAGATCCGATCCTAGTGTCGCAATATCAAATGAATTGAATTCAAAATCTCTTAGCTTTAGAAAAAGCTTTAAAAGAATCTCCCTGACAAGGCAAACTTTTTGCGCGTAAAGTGCTTGAATTAAAAATTGCGGATGGTACACAGGCAAAGGACCATTTAAAACACCGCTCAGATGCAGGATATCATTTGATAGGATTTTTCTCGAGCCAATGGACTGACTGGTAAACGGATCATCCAGGTCCAATGACTTGTCCTTGACGAAAAGCTGATTCCCAGAAGCAATCACAAGAGTCCCGTCAGTCAACCAAACGGAATCGCCAATAGCGTGGGAGGTATGTTGGCTTATGTCTATTTTCTCGACAGGAAGAAAACTAGGGTTTTTAGTGGTATAGTCGTATCTTAACTGAGTATACAAAAGAACCTCGGTTTCAAAGCCCACGGAAAGAACACTCTGCGAAAATTTTGTACTCGTCCAGTCGATATCAACAATTTTATCATCAAAGGTATGACGATATTCGAGAAAACTTCTCTTCATGTCCCATAGTGTGAGAGTCTTTTGTGTTTTATCAACAATGCACATTTTGTTTATGGAAGAGCCACTAATGTGGGCACTATCGATCAATCCAGTGTTCACCTCATTAGTTTTAACCCAATCTATCCCTTTGTTTTTATCGAGCTGTACAATAGCTTTGTAAGCCCGAACGATCCCCTTCCGATTGATTACGGATATTAAAGATCTATCGGCAAGAAATCCGTAATTCACGGGGTCTATTGCCGACAACTTGTAAATTTCATTGTCGCCCTCAAGCTCTATGCGACCGGAGGCCACAGGTAATATTCCCTTTTGGAATGTGATCTCAAATCCCTTCGTTTGGCCCGTACTATAAACAACGGCAATGTAATGAACATTATGCCTGTGTTTTTTTTCAGGGGTGTTCAGAAGTAGCATTGGAAGCCCGTCAGAAGCTTCTAAACTAAACTCTCCTTGTGGCACTGAGTTCTTACTACCACGCACGTCAGGACACTTCCAAAGGACTAGTTTTAGATTTTCTAGCAGACCCACAACTAAACTACCTTTCTCGAGGACAACAACTTCTCTCACCGGCACTTCTGAATGAATGATGTTTTTCTTTCGGAGATGCATACCCTCTGCAAGCCTTTCTGGCACCCAAACGCTGTTCTCCGTAAACCTAGAGAGCGTCACAAGTGATTCTCCGTCACTGCTGCGTGCCAACTTTTGTATGGACTTTTCGTGCCCAGTAAACTTGTGTTCTAACTCAAAGCAAGTGCCATCATTCGCTGATGAAAGTAACAACGGAAGGTCTATAAGTTCGTGTCGTACTACACCGCGAATGTCATGAACGATTAGCGAAATTTCAGTCTTTTGTTTAGTGTACGCCTGAGGCTCCGCAAAATAGAGAATGTATGGTTTGAAAACGTGGAAAGGTGCTTGAACAGACGTTGTTTTTAACCTTCTTGTAGCCATTAACTTTGGCGGATCGTGAGACAGATTATCTAAGGCATACAGTACAATGTTACCTTCAGCGTCCCCGGTAGCAACAATATCAGGAACATTTGTTGAGAAAAATAGGTTAGTGCTCGTTTTAACGCCAGCAAACACTATTTCGACAAGCCAGCTGTCCAAAATGGCGCAGAAATTAATCGTTTCACTCCCCAAAGAAAGAACTCCCCACTGCTGAACATTTCGACGAGTATCCAGTTCGTAATACGTCCAAAGTCGCAGTTTTCTGTCTTGACATAACGTGTACAGTATATGCGAGTTCCTTTGAAGACTGCAGGAAGTGTGAGTCCTTCTCCACCTTAATGTCGTGACGAAATCAGGATGGGATATTATAGTCAAATCAAAGACATCCTCGTCCCCCCCAATTGATATGCGTTTCCAAAGTTTAACAATTTTGCTGTACTTGTGCATACTGGCAATAATCTGCGAATCATCTGATATTTTGCATAGGTACACAGGCTTGAACTGTTTTTTGGTCCAAAGAAGATATGGTTTGTATTTCCCAAATTCATCACGTATTTTCCAAAAAGACAAATAATCAGAGCCAATTACCAACTCTCCAGTGGCACCCCAACTCAAAGTGTTGACTTGAGAATTATCATGGAAAATTTCGGTGCCGAGAACCCACTTCGGGCTTTTCATCACTTGATAAAGAGGCTTGTAAACGTGAACCAAGTTTCCAAAGGCCACCGCTATCCAGCCATTTTCTGAGTCTATGTCAACGGCCACACAATCAGACGGTAGGTACAATGTTTGTAATTTACTAAAATCATCTGATAGAATAATGAGGTTGTTTCCAGAACAATAAGCTAGGATTGGGTGTCCGCACCAGGTGCTTTGACACGCAGTTTGCTGTGTCACATTCGGTTGCCCTGGTAGAAAACTGAGAGTCATAGGCTCTTATAAGGCCAAAAGATACCTATAATATGATGAGCCTGGTTTACGATTCGTTGATATTTTAATGGCCAATTGGGCCCTTTCTCTATTGACATGTGACTTATCGGATCATACGTACACAGTGATAATGTCTAAGGTAATTGAATATGCCAAGGCAGTGCTCTACGAATGCTCACATCCGGTCAGCTCAAGTCAAAGAGTCCGGTTTATAAGCCCCATATCTGTCATTGTTCAAATCAATGGGAGCCAGTTGTAAAGATCAAAAAAAAGCTGTCGCAGTATGCTTACAGAGATCGCCTTGCGTCATGATTCAAAGAAATAGTCCTCAAAAATGTCTTGATGATCCGGAACTGAAGAAAGAACTCCCTGAACTATGCCTAGCTCAGATGAAGGCGTTTTTAGAATGTAAACGAGGCATGGTCGATATGACAAAAAGATTTAGAGGAAACGGGGCACTTTCAACAGGGAAGTATGATCAACAGTTTGAAAACCTGTCAAGTGGGAATTTTGACCCCAGGGAAGAACTGCGAAAACTGGATGTTTTGAGCGGTAAAGACAATAGAGGCTAGGCTGAACTTAATTTGAGAATAGAAAGTAGAGGCAGGACTCATGTCTCTCTGAAGACATGCTGGCATAACGTTTATCTGTACATAGTTGTTGGCTCACTTCTGGAATAAATTGCATTTAAGAATGCTTCATAGCGAGGGCGTAATGTTCAAAAAAGCTCTAGTTACGATGGATTTCTCCTGCTGCTTTTACCGTTAGGGTTTCTCATAGCTAGTTTATCGTCAAAAACAGATAAATTGATGAAAGAACTTGAACCATTAAATTTAAGCCATCCGACCACCTTGAACCTAATGGAAGAAAATGAACAAAAGCTTCATGAGTTGGGAGTTCACCTTGTTTCTCAAAGCTCTTTAGAGAATCGAATCGAGTCAAATGCGCAACACCTTATTGATCAGCAGTCTATTGAGCAAGAGCGCAAACGACTGGACAAATGCAACGATGCGCTACAGAGACTGTTGAAGAAAAGAAGTGTGCTAGAACACAAGATAAGGAATACATCACGAATCAGTGTCAGGAATAAGTTTCAAGAGCAAATTGTGAGCTTAGAAAATGATGAGATAGCGCCTTTGAAGGCTGATGTTCGTCAAATCGAAGCTCGACTAAATGAGTTAACTGAGCAAAATCATACCAATAACGGAAAATCACAAGATCTTGATTCATCAGAAAGGCACCCAGATGAGTCAGAAAAGGATTTCTTGATCAGAACGGGTAAAATAACGGCGTTCGGGACCGCAGCTACTTTCCAGATGGAAGCAGACAATAATAACTTAAAAACAGATCTCGCGGCACAGGAAGACGACGAAGATGACATGGACGAAGACTATCCGGGCTCCGATGCGAAAGATCTGGAATTATCGGATTTCGAAAAGGACAGCGAGCCTGATTTTGAATCTTCAGTTTCAAAAGACGACGGCGACGAGCTTTACTACCAGGTGAGGTTGAGGAAATGGATCGTGGATCGTAGTTCTCAAAGAACGACAGATTCGAACCCTGAAGATCCAGAATGGCTCAAGCCCCATCCACTTCTGCCAGATGCCAAGCTAAACGACGACTTCAAGATTCCAGGAGATATTTTCTCGCTGCTATTTAATTATCAGAAAACTTGTGTCCAGTGGTTATATGAACTCCACCAGCAACACTGTGGTGGTATAATTGGGGATGAAATGGGTCTAGGGAAAACAATTCAGGTGATTGCATTCCTGGCATCGCTTCACCATTCAGGAAAGTTAAATGGGCCTGTTATCGTTGTCTGTCCTGCTACCGTCATGAGGCAATGGTGCAAAGAGTTTCATACTTGGTGGCCATCCTTCAGAGTAGTAATATTGCATTCAATTGGAGCTGGAATGGTTCAGCGCGACAAGCTGAGTGAAGAGGAACTCGAAGAAATGTTCATGACTGCCGCACCAGGAAAAGTGACGTTTGAAGATTACACCGATTCCCGCAAAGCCAAAGCATCAGTGGAAGGTTCGCTAGCCAGAGAAAATCTTATAAACAAAGTGGTTCAAGACGGCCACATTTTAATTACAACTTATGTGGGACTCAGATTGCATAGCGGTAAGCTGTTGAATGTAAACTGGGCGTATGCCGTCTTAGATGAAGGCCACAAAATTAGAAATCCTGATTCTGAGATAGCTCTGATTTGCAAGCAGCTAAAAACCAAGAACAGAATTATTCTTTCTGGAACCCCAATCCAAAACAACTTGGTAGAACTTTGGAGTCTTTTCGATTTCATTTTTCCTGGTAGACTAGGTACTCTACCTATTTTCCAGCAGCAGTTTGCTGTCCCTATTAACATGGGTGGGTATGCAAATGCGACGAACATACAAGTACAAACAGGATACAAGTGTGCGGTGGCCCTACGAAATCTCATCGCACCTTTTCTTTTGAGAAGAATAAAGGCTGACGTTGCAAAGGATTTGCCTAAAAAGAATGAAATGGTTCTTTTTTGTAAATTAACAGAGTATCAACGAAAGAAATACGTCCAGTTCTTAAACTCTGACGAACTGGTTAAAATTAAAAATGGGAAAAGACAGGTTCTGTACGGCATTGACATTTTGCGAAAAATCTGTAACCATCCAGACCTGCTAGATAAGAATCTAGCGAGAACAAGTTCCTCCTATGGAGAAAGTAAGAGATCGGGTAAAATGCAAGTTGTGAAGCAGCTTCTGAAATTATGGCACTCAGAAGGACACAAGACTTTACTTTTTGCTCAATCTCGACAAATGCTTGATATTCTGGAGCAATTTATTTCTCAGAGAGATGAGGTAGAACATCAATTAAAATACCTGAGAATGGATGGCACAACTAAAATAGGCGTCCGCCAAAGTCTCGTGGACAGCTTTAATCGAGGTGATTACGATGTATTTCTCTTGACCACCCGTGTGGGTGGGCTTGGTGTGAATCTGACAGGTGCAAATCGCATTATCATCTTTGATCCTGACTGGAATCCTTCCACAGACATGCAGGCTCGTGAGCGGGCATGGAGAATAGGCCAGAAAAGAGAAGTGACAATTTATAGACTTCTGGTGGCCGGATCAATTGAGGAGAAGATATATCATCGTCAAATTTTCAAGCAATTTTTGACAAGCAGGATCTTGAATGATCCTAAACAGAAACGTTTTTTTAAAATGAACGAACTACACGATTTATTTACTCTGGGCGGTGAAAGTGCCTTAGCAAGCGAAGAATTTGAAGAAGAGATTTCCAGAAACACCCGAAACATCAAGCAATCAACATCAACTGAAAGTGATGATTTCGACAAAGTGGGCCAACTTACCGGCGTTTCGAAATTAGAAGGCTTTTATAGCGGGAAAGAAAAAGAAGAGGGTTCAAAAAATGATGAAGAGAGATTAATACAAGGCCTATTTGGTGGTAATATAGAGAACGCGCAGAGTCATAATTCAGTTGTTCAGTCCCACTCCAGACCTTCTTCAGACATAATTTCTAAGGAGGCCTCCAAAATTGCAGAAAAAGCTGTTGCAGCTCTGCGCAAATCCCGGATGATCACGAAAAGAGCCGAAGTTGGTACTCCGACTTGGACTGGAAGATTTGGATCCGCAGGCCGAGTACGAAAGAAAACAACTTCAGCGGCTGCAGGCTCAGCTGCCATTTTATCATCTATCAAGAAAATGAGCAAAGATGAAAAGAAACCAGGTCCTATTCCACAAACTCCTTCCCAAGGTTTTCAGAGCCTCATAAGTCGAATGCAAATGGTTTTAAATTCTAGTGCAGAATACAGAATGAAATCATCTGAAATTATGGAAAATTGCGGTGTATCTCTAAAAACTCAGGAGGACATTGCCAATGTTCGCGCCTTGTTGAGAGGAATTGCAGTATTCGACAAGGAGAATAAAACTTGGGTTTTAAAAGAAGAATTTAGAGACAAAGAGTGACTTGGAGAGTTTCTGAATTTCACAGTTTAGTGTTCCTGTTACAGAAGGGGATCAACCCATAAAATGATCATGGCACCGTCACCTCGCTATTCCTTTTAATTTGACTGAGAATAGGCTCACCAAACTTTAAAGACATTTAATGTTCTAGAGTTGTGAAGAGAAAATTGTGGCACTTGATATTTTGCATGCATGTTTCATTAATTAATTGGTACACTTCGAATTTTTAAAATACTTCAAAATGAGAGCATCGCGACGTCCATACAAAGCCTAACCTTCGCATGTAGTATTTGCGAATTGCGAAGGTCGAGCGAGACACAAGTTCATAAAATCTAGGTTCTTCATTTACGTAAAATCGAGGAGGCCAAGTTGAAGGAGCGGCTTCAAGTCCCCCCATACCCTCTTCTCATGGGAAGTGAAATTATATAAACAATTTGGAAGAGCTAAGGCCGTGCATGGTACAGGGAAGAAAAGGGTAAACGTGGGCGAAGCAGAGCACTAGTATGATAAATAGATGTTTTCTTATGGAATATGGTCGTTCATTGTAATTTTTGAATCAATTTGGATTTCCAGCGCCACCACCGCTCTAACCGACAATCAATTTTTGGTCGTCGAACTCGTATTGAGGAATTTCCAAGTTTAGAGGAGCGGGACCTCTTCTAATTCTACCAGAGATGTCGTAGTGGGAACCGTGACAAGGACAGAACCAGCCCCCGAAATCACCGGATTCACCGATAGGAACACAACCCAAATGGGTGCAAATACCCAACATAACCAACCATTCCGGCTTCTTGACTCTGTCGGCATCCGTTTGAGGGTCCTTGAGTTGCGAAAGGTCTACGGAGTTCGCCTCATTGATTTCTGCTTGTGTTCTGTGCCTAATGAACACTGGTTTACCTTGCCACTTGACGACAACGTTCTTACCCTCGGGAATAGCCGCAAGGTCCACTTCCACCTTGGCCATGGCCAGCACATCTGCAGACGCCGTCATAGATGAGATGAAAGTTTCCACGGTCGACTTGGCACCAGCAGACGAAAGAAGACCTAAAGAGCCAACCATAAAGTACGCGTAAGTACGGCTCTTGTCCGCATTGTTGTTTTCCTTCAAATAGTCACCGAAGTCTGGCGTTCTGTATGTAGATTTGGCTGCCACCGCGGAAGAAGAGACAAATCTGGATTGCAGGTTCATGCCTCTCAGAGAGGTTTTCAAGGAGGATCTGAGGCCGAGCATTTTGTTCTGTTTTAGGTGCTTAATCGAAATGCAAACAATGAGGCTATTCCAGAGTGCTTTATCACTCCTTATTGTTCTGTTTTATCTCTTGCTTGAAAGCGTTGATTACAACGATTTGACTAGTTTTAATCCTTAGGTTTCTTCATTATGTTCACTTAGAGCCGAAAACAGCGACGAAAACAGTCTTGAAATCGTGGAGTGTGTGGGTGGAAAATTATGAGTACCTTTTTACGAGGCTTTCATTATTTCTTGCATTTTGATTGGTTTGTTGTTTTGATGATTATGTACGGTTTGTCGGACTCTATCACGTTGGTGTCACATGCTCTGAATAAGTGTCCTGTGAGTCCCCCTACGTGCAGGACGCATTCAGTATAGCTATTTCCTTCTCGGTTTACCCTTTCAAATACTTTTTGGAATTCCAACGGACATTGAGTTGAAGGGTTTCGTAAAGGAACGGAACTGTCTCTTAAAACTTACCAAAAACTGTCACTTGGGTCACGTGATTCAATTTCAAAGAAAGCCGGTACCATTCGAAAAGCTTCATTCGTGAAAACATCACATCTATGCTTGTCTTATGTATTCAGTGGTCATATGGGGGTAATTACCTTATGTGAAGGTTGCTGTTCTTTGTTTTCCTATTTTTTCTAAATATCGCAAAACTCGATGTACACTTGAATTTGAATCCAATTAATGTCTCTATTATACCGTATCAGCTATAGAATCCCCGATGAACAACTTAAGTACTATGACGACTTACGTAATAGAGGTCACACTGATAGCTCCTCTTCATTTAAACCCGTAGCCCTCAGATTCGGTTATCGCTTGCAACAACTTCTGCTTCAAAATTTGTCTCGATTGATAATCATACAAGCTCAATTCATTGAAACAGGTGTGAGCCAATGGCAATTTCTCTTTGTCAGCTCCAGCCCTCGTAATTTTAAAAGGAATTGTGGATATACCAGTTGCAGGTATGCGATCCGATCCAGTAACGAATGCCAACAGTTTCCGTCTTTCCAAGCTTGTAAACTCTGAAAAAACGGCCCAAAACCAAACAATCACCTTCGAGTTTTCGGCAAACCCAGATCCATATTTTGTAACGCTCCTGAGCATTTCAACGTCCACAAGCTTTTCATGGCCCCCGCAAAGAAGCTGTTCAACTTCTTCTGGAGAGAATAAATCAAACGCAGAGTTGTCGATGACACGCCCAAAGCCCCTGGTGAAGTGGCCAAAACTGGTTTTCACTGAGGTGTTAAGATAAAAATCCATCCACAATTCAACATATCTGCGCCGATTTTGAAGTGTCACGGGAATAAGGGCACCTCTTTCGCACAATTCATGCTGGCAGACCTTTGAAATATTACTATCGTAGTAACTTATCTCAAACGTTAGACCAAAGACCTCTTCAAAGTCCTCCTCTTTGTAATCCAATAGTACTTGCAAATTTTTTCCCGTTACAGGAAAAAGCTCGTTGAAGTCTTGACGTGTTAAAGTAACCCGACATAGTTTTTTATAAAGAGCCATCGGGAAACATAGGTCAAGAATCGTACCATTGTAAATTGCAAGACCAAGCACTACCCCAAGAAGAAAATACAATTTATTCGTGTTTTCCATGTCATTTCTCTTCTGCTGAGATGAAATGCCGAACCAAGAAAGCCTGCTTTCTTCATTGATGACGAAAAGGCCTTTCTTGGAACTGAAGATCTCTCTAGTAAGTAACAAAAACCATTCTTTTTTCAGGCCACCTGCATCAATACCAGGTTCATTGATAAATTCCACTCTCAAAGATTTCTTCAAATGAGCCTCTTGTGATTTGATGCACGTAAGGGAATCTTCCGATATGTGCTCCCGTCTAATCCTGATGCGCAAGTAAACATCAACTATCTTTTTCTTATTGAGAGCACTCAAAAAAGCCTGCTCCGCATTGTACTCCATAATTCTTTTGATCTCGAAATCCATAATACTGATTTTTGAACCTAGTGTCAATAAATATGGGAAGTCACACATGTTGAATTGGGTCTTCTTATGTTTCAAAGGATAAGCATAGAATGGATACAAAACTGCTTCTTCTAAGGTAGGAACATATCCCTCAGAATTAGACTGATCTCGGAGCATGTGGCCCTTTTTCCATTGTTCATAGTCTGCCTTATGATCTATGAAATCCAGCATCGTATTGTAGAAGCGGCCAATATCTGTAAAACTTCTGTATTGATTTGCGATGAAAAAAAATAGAAGCAGTCGGGAGGCTGTCCGAATATGCCAGTCGTTCCCGTATTCCGTCACGCCAAATTTAAAACTTCCAGGAAGGTAATTACCTGCGGGATGGCCACTCGACCACATTATACCTGTCGCATAGGTCGTTTCCTGTTGATTTAACTTGCCCGATTCTTCGAATTCATGAAGGTTTGGACTTTTTGGTGGAGTGGAGGCGCCCGCGCCTTGATTGTGAAGAATTCGCGAAAAATGGAATGTTATATAGAGATTTATCAAATCAACACATCGCAGGTAATGCACAGCATCCATGTGTTTGAGTTGATAAATAAATTCTCTACCCGCTGCAGTATCAAGACATGACAGATAACCAATGGCTCTCTTAAGGGTCTCATACAGCAAAAATTTAACAGGAGGCGCCATAAATCTCTCATATTTCGGTTTGTTGACATTTTTCAAGCACTGTTCATAAAGCGGATTGGCCAGTATTATCAGGACCCAGCGTAACTCGGAAAGCTTAAAAGCTATGCCATTGCTGGGTCCATAACCTGGCTTCTTTAAGATTTGATTGAGCAAATGAAGTAATTTGTAAAAAGGTTTCTTGGTTGGCAGTGAAATTAAATCGCGGTAAAAATTGTCAACATCCGAATAGTTAATCATGTGTTGCTTACTGCCAGTGGTAAATGATTGGTTTATTAATTTCGCACTTTTAAGTCTTTGGCCTAAATACGCTTCAATCGGAGCAAAAGCGTCATGTTTACAGACCCGATTATTCTGGCATCGATTTTGGGAGTAAATCAAGCGACATTTTTCGATCACGGTCAGGAATTCTTCTGAGGAAAATGGTTTCAATTCGTCGTCGCTGTTTAATTTCTCACTTCTCCTCAAATCCAGGCTGCAATGACATCGGTAGCATTTGAATTTTGTAACGTCTTCAGGATGCTTCAAAAGTATCCCACAACACAAGCAACTCGTAGCAACGTCTCTTTTCGTTTTTAGATTAGGAGTAACCCCATGATTTGGGTATGTCACCACTATAGACGTTTCTAGGACTTTCTTGCTTCCTCTGTGAGCGAAAAAGGGTGCCATGTTGTTCTCACAATCAAGACACTACTTTCGATGGCCCAATTGCTGTCTAGGTAGAGTCTAACAACTAATTCAAAACCAATCGTCAGACACAAAATGCTTATGCAACTTTTCTTCAGCAAATCACAAATCTCTTTAAAAGCCACTGACACATAGGTTTTACTAGCCACAAAGCAGAAAGCAAATAGAACAAAGCTGTGAATTTCAACGCGCCAAATGCGTGAGTAATAAAGTGGTGCTAATAATTACAAATTCAGTCTAACCTCAAGAACAATATCGAGGATCCGAATCCTTGCCGGTTTGCAAACGAGCTCGTTATAAAGGATAAGGATCAAGTTCTCATATAACAATCTCATTAGTGAGCGTTAATGTCAGTAAAGCTCATCATTCGAACAAGCAATATGAACTGAATGAGGGATTATAGGACAATATAAAGCCATAATTCAAACTTACATGGGTCAATTCCAGGATATTCCGAATTTTGTCGTGAGCGAATTACGATCTTCATCAGAAATTGTCAATCTTTTTTTAACAGATGATCGTCAAACACTCAATGTCTTAAGGTGCTATGGAGTCGAGCAGTACTCATGGGATGGCTCATGGGATGGTGATGCTAGTCCCAAATTGACTGGACGATTTAGATTTGGTAATAAAATCGTGGCTGCTCGTGCCATGAGGAATAGGATTTCTGGAAAATTTCATTATTTGGTGCTTTTGGAAGAAGCAGATGCTATTATTGTTCAAATTCGGAATGATCTATTCGAACTGGAAGACGAAGTTGAATTTAAATCAAAATTCGGAAAGCCAGATCGCGTTTTGTCGGAAATCATTTGCTATGACGAACGATTCAATCGCCATTTCATGTGTGTGGAAGACGGGCGCGTCGTCAAAATCAATCTCGACACCACAACCACGATTAGGTTCAATCCAAAGGCGCCCTTCAGCGTTGTGTTTGAAACATGCCATGAGATTGTCAATTTTGAAGTATGCTGGCATATGGACAATAGTCTGGGCGAATGCATGAGCATGGCTATAATAACGCGACATCGGACAAATACTCATTATCGTATCAATTTCATACAGGAACTGAATCCTGCAACAGACAAGTGGAGGGTCGCAGGTGGCGAAGAGATGCATTTAGACTTGGGTCAAGGCAGCTGGGATTCGCCAAAAATTCTAGGTTTATCCTCATGCGGATACCTCTTCATTTCGCCTGTCAAAGTAGGATTTTTAGGCTTAGAAGACGCAGGAGATGGTTTTGGATTAAAGGTTACGAAATGGCGGGAATCTAGTGGACCATGCATTTTCGAACAAAATCCCAATCTCCAAATTTTGGGGAATCCTATTGTTACTAAGTCGCAAGAGGAGACGTTAATGCACATTTTCACCAATTACGGCCATATATTCAGTTCTTCGCTAGGAAACTTGATTTTGAAATTGAATGATGACTCCCGATCTTTTGACGTGGGATTTGTGTCTCCCAACGTCAATAAATTTGGACCCAAAGCAATCCAGTTTGTAGATTATGCTTTCCCACTACAGAACAATTTAGTTATTCTAACCACTCTAACGAGTGGAATGGTTTTGTTGAATTTGGATTCGAAGCTCACACGCACTTTGTTGCCCTTCGAAAAATTTTCGATTTTTGACTCTACGACAGTAGGTGTGGACTCTGCTAGTCGAAAGCTCGTGCTATGCGGGGGCTCTCACGCAAATCGAGGTTTTCTAGAGGTCACTCAACTGGAATTTAGGGGCAAAGTCCACGTTAAACGCATTCGAAGACTCGAGACAGGTGGGGCGAGGATTTGCCATGCATGGTTTAGGGATAACAGTATTTTTTGGACCGACGATAACGCGCATCTCTTTAAAGATGAGATGCTTGTTGACGCTGCTGGTAGAGAAACGATTTTCGTTACTGCTGGAAGGACCATCATTCACACAGACGAAAAAATCGCTTATGCACAGATACATGCCTTTCACGGAGAAAGCTTTGTATATGCCACTGATAAAGGACAAATCTGCTGGACAGACGATTTAAAATCTTTGTGGGTTCCTGGTTTCAAGAAAAATGAAGAAGCCATCTATACTATATCTGCATCGATATTGAAATCCAATTCAATACTTACTGTGTTAGCATGGAGGTCTCATTGCGTATGGGTAACCGGATCTAAACTTACAATGTCCAAGGTTAACAAGATTGAAGAGATAGCCGACTGTCTAGTTAAAAGAGGAGCGAGTTTCGAGGGTGTTGTATTTACTGGGAAAGCTGGAGAATTCTTGACGTACAGTACCGAAGGAACAATGCTTCACTTTCTCAATCTTTGCAATCATCCACTCCGAGTTGTGGATATTCCTGGCTCCGACTTTGTAATAACTTATTGCAAAGAAGTTGCTTTTCTTCTTAAGCTTGTAAGCAACACAGGCGTTGGCCTTGCGGAACTATCGATTCCCTTTGCTGTACGACATTTGTGCCATCGCGGAGTGACAACTTTCCATGCAATATCTTTCGATAATGATGTGTTTGAGATTGATTTGAGGGAGCTACTCCTAGACGATATGCGAATAACGAGCAAGAAAATTGTATGCCGTACTCATTCCTTAACTGATGTAATATCCTTCGAATCTTCTCGAAGATACATCCTTGCGTTGGCGCTTGCAAGCAATTTTGATAACAAAACAAATAGAACCATAACCAACACCCAGATCCATTGCTATGACATTATCAAAGGAGAATTAGTATCAAGCTGCGATATATCTAAGGATTTTCCACAGGCTCTTGTTTCTAGCATTACAAAAGTCCCTGTCCAAAAGATGTTATTGAGTGCCCAGTATATCGACAACGAAACCTCTTACGCGAAACAATTGATCCTAGGTAGGTGTTTCTTGCTTTCGCTAAATTATGAATTAGCGGATGATGAAAGACTAGACAATTTATTGCTGTTTACGCTTGATGACCTTAATGGTGAAATTGAGTTGCAACTGACGTTTAATACTCAATTCTCGGTGACCTGTTTGTCCGGCTACTATAACCGGATTATCTTTGCATCCGGAGAAAGGCTACAGGCATTCCAATTAGACTACTCTGTCAAAGAAAACGAGTTTAGACTTTTGCCTGTGTCCAATGCTATGATGCCCTTTCATGGATTTCCTAAACGTCACTTCGCAATACCTTGTTTGCATAAAGCTTTCACGGCATTAAAGCCATCAAAGAAACAAAAGACAGAAGCGAGCAGTCTCACACAAGTCCTAGGAGTTTTCGATGTGTCGAAAGGACTTCAGTTTTATTCTGTGGATGTTTCTTCTGTAATTCAAAAGAAGACAGAGCTTATGACTTCCGTTCTACAATCTGTGAGTCTGAGCCCAGTAAAAGCTTCTTTCCAGCTTGATTACTCGGCTTTGGTGCGGGACTTGGATTTTATGTGCGATATGTTTTTTCAAGACTGTGGGGGACATGTCGATAAGAACGCGGAGGATCTACACTTGGAAAGTAAATTCGCTGCTATTGGTCTCAGAAATACTATTGCTGTAGCATACAAGCTATGCTCTCACCCTGGTTCCTCGTCAGATCATACAAAATCTACTGTCCAGGGCTCTTCAAGTGCAATAATGAAACTCCCATACCATGCAAATGGGTTGTCGTCCGTCGAAACGAGAAGCGACACAAATACGTCTGTGAACGAGAACGCTTTACCTTACGCCAAAAGCTTTAATCCTTTGTTTGTCGTCCATACAGCTGAAGGATTCGCATTTCTGGTGAGCACGATAGTCAACCAGCAAGTATTTGAAGAATATGCAGTCGCGTGGGAGAAAACCACGAACGTCAAACCGCGCTTCACGGCTGATTTCGAACAAGATTCAGAGGAAGCACGTATTTTTGACGAAAAACTATTGAAACGATCTCACGCATTAGAGTCGCTTCTGTAAAAAGCTGGCCCTGGAGTTCAAAGCATTGTAAATAAATACAACTCTAATATCTTATATTTCTCTAGTTTTTGTTTATTATATACACAGCAGAACGTTAGGCCAACAAAACCGCTGTTTAGATCAGCAAAGTTTCGATCTTGTCCTTGACGGCGTAAATCTGGCTCTTAATGGCAGAAGCGTCATTGGTGGTGATAGATGCAGCAATAACTGGTCTGGAAACACCACAAGCTCTGCCTAAGGCAACTCTAGAGGGAACGAAAACGTATGGAACGTTCTTGTCTTCGCACAACAATGGCAAGTGCAACAAGATTTCAATAGGCTCACAGTCGGCAGCCATGATAATGAATTCGGAAATACCACGGTTCAAAGTCTTAGTAGCTTCGTTGGCACCTTTCTTCAACTGTCTCATGCTGGAAGCTTGTTGAACGACATCCAAGATTTGCTGAGTTAGACCGGAGTCAGCGAGTGGGAAAGCCTTTGGATTAGGGATTGCAGACATCACGACTAGTATGGTTCTTCAAGTTCCTTGCAAATGAAGCTCGCTTGAATACTTTATCGAAACGAAATGAAGGTAGTTTTGAAGATCAGAGAACGCGATGAGCTTGAATTTTTCAACTCTAAAAATTTTCCCATGTCAGGACAAAAAAGAAAAGGCATATTGTCATTTCCATCACGTGTATTTTTTGAATTCATCCAATGAACGACTGCGAATTTTAACTACGCGAGAGTTGTTTTGGAAGATCATATTTCAATACATGATTGAGTTAACCAAGTTTGTGAGTTTCCTCTACTGTCTTCTGTTTATTCTTGCCATAATTGATGCACTTGGTTAGAAAGTGAATAGTCATTGTGTACAGCAATTTCCTTCAGTATACTTTCTACTCATTGCTGCTAATCGGTAACGGAAGCCAAAAACTTTATTAACTTCAGCTATTGTCGGCATTCTACTGCTAATAATCGCAAATATGTTAAGGAGTTACGATATGTGATGATCGTCAAATTTTGTTACAGATTAATTGATATCACGTGATAACAATGACAGAATAAGCTACTAAAGGCTCGAACAGATGATTAGAATTTGGCTCAACAGGAAGCCACAGAAGCCCAATGATCCCGACAAGGATTATGAGATTGTCAATCCACTTGAAAAGAACATTGATAATAAAAGTAACAGCATGAGGTGACAATTTTCGACACCCGTCTTGCCGGAAGTAATGAGCGACAAATAAATATAATATTGCAAGAACAAGAATGATATAAAAGGGACGATACGAGTATTCTTCCGGCGTCATATAGCCAAAGTAGAATCTCGGAGCGTTATAAGTTCCCAATTTTTGATGTATTTAAAAAGTTGCGAATCGAGTAACCCAGTTGAAGGATATCTTTCTACGCTAATAAGTCCTGTTGTTTAAAGTACATATGGTGTTGTTCGCAATTAATGTTTGATTGCTCACGAACAACTGTTTGACCCCGTATTGCGAACTATCTTCGCTATCGCGGGGCTCATACGCATACAACGACGACCCATCACAACACTGGGTAGCCCATGTACTCGCTATCGATGTCCATTATTTCGTACGAAAGATTTAAAATGAAGAGTAGTATCAGATTATCACCGATGGAAACTCCAAACCTGAAGGACCGATAGTTGTGCTCGTAGTAAGGTGTCAACTCACCGATGTTGCGGTTTCCTGTTAAAAACGGTTCAGAAGATTCAATTTCTGCAAAGAAAATCCCGGAAATCCGTGCATTTGACGATTTCGTGACCGTCGACTGGGTTGAAGAGGACGAGGTGCAGATCGATAGCGACAGACAGCAGATCCTCTTCAGATCAAACTATGTGCGTTACACGCAAAAAATATGGGCGCACGTGAGAGAAATTGCGACGTTAGCGCTTGTTGCGATCGTTTTGGGCCTAGTAGCGGGCACTTTGCAAATAGGCACCGAGACGCTTGTGAATTGGAAATCGGGCCATTGCGCTAGGAATTGGTTTTTAAACAGGTCCTTTTGCTGTGCTGCTGTGAAAGATGACACCAAGGGCCGCCTTGTCGTACGCGATGAACTGGAATGTGTCGAGCAAGGAATTTGGGTTGCGTGGCAGAATCCTTTCGGCGCATTTTTGCTCTTTATGACGCTTTCACTGGTGTTTGGTCTACTGAGTGCCATTCTGGTACGATATGTGGCTCCAATGGCGGGAGGTTCGGGCATATCTGAGATCAAAGTCTGGGTTTCGGGTTTCAAGTACAAGGATGAGTTTCTTGGCTTGAAGACCTTGATTATCAAAAGTATTGCCCTCCCTCTAGCAATATCCTCCGGTCTGAGTGTCGGCAAAGAGGGTCCTTCTGTGCATTACGCCACATGTATCGGTTTCGTCGTGACAAATCTTTTGTCGAGCAGGAGCATGCATTTCTCCGAGCAGACAGAGTACCTTATAGCTGCCTCGGCCGGAGGTGTTAGTGTTGCTTTCGGTTCTCCAATTGGCGGTGTTCTGTTTGCGCTCGAAGAGATGTGCACGAATAGAGCGTTCAACCTTTCGATAATGTGGAAGTCGTATTTCATCGCCCTGGCTGCGGTGACAACTCTGCAATACATGGATCCCTTCAGAAATGGTAAAATCGTGTTATTTGAAGTGACTTACGACAACCAGTGGCTCTTCAGCGAAATTCCAGTATTCGTTCTTTTGGGAGTTTTTGGGGGTTTGTATGGCCATTTCATAAGCAATTGGAACATCCATTTTGTTTCCTTCCGTCGCAAATACCTTTCAAATTCAAAAATACGTGAGGTGCTTATCCTCATAATCATGACGGCATTAGTTTCGTACTTCAATGAGTTCTTGAAACTAGACATGACCGAAAGTATGGGTGTACTATTCCATGAATGTTCTGTGAACGGCGGCGAATCTGCTTGGTCGCATGAAATATGCCAATTGGATGCTGATACGCACGTCGCTGTCTTCTTAAAGATTTTTCTCTCTCTATGTGCCGCAACGATTATCAGATCGATTTTGATCGTATTCTCCTATGGTGCGTGCGTACCAGCTGGAATTTTTGTTCCATCAATGGCAGTGGGAGCCACTTTTGGACGAGCAGTTAGCCTTTTCGTCGAGCGCTTCATTACGGGAGCGAACGTCATAACTCCTGGAACTTACGCTTTCCTTGGAGCTGCTGCAACCTTGAGTGGTATCACAAATTTAACTTTGACGGTAGTTGTTATTATGGTAGAACTTACCGGCGCGTTTTCTTACGTTATCCCGCTAATGATAGTCGCTGCTGTTACCACAGTAATATTGTCTTCGCTGGGATCTAAGGCCGGAATCGCAGACAAAATGATTCTTTTCAATGGGTTTCCTCTATTAGAGAAACCAAAGCACGACATGACTTGGTTAAGAGAGTATACAGCTGCAGACGTGATGACCACGTCAGTTGTTACCATGAATGAAATTATAAGCACAAGCGCTCTGAAAGCACTTTTGGAAACTTATCCAAATTTTAGTGGGTTCCCGGTGGTCGCTGATGGGACCCGACAGAAACTTCGAGGTTACGCATCCAGGAGCCGACTTATGATTACCCTTATCACCAATGAAAATGATGGACCATCTGTAGACATTTTACGTGATACTAAAACCCTTGGAACTCAGGATGACGAGTCGAGATTAACAGAATTCCGAAAAACTGTTAACGAGCTTCCTTTGACCGTTAAACCTGCAACACCATTTTCACAGCTCTTCCGGGTCTTTGAAAAACTTGGAAGTAACGTAGTTTTAGTTGAAGAGGAGGGCTCATTTCTCGGACTCATATCAACAAAGGACTTGATGAAATTCCAAAGACTCAAAGAAAGAGAGATGAATGGACAACTTTTTAATTTCAATGAAGAGCGGGATGAAAAATTGTGGTCTTTTATACGCCTTATCTTTTGACTAGAGACATAATGTGATGCTGGTCGCCACTGTCATACCTCATGGATCGCCTTGTTATATATACTTTAGGGCATCGAACTTTAATCAATTCTCGCGCCATTTACCAGCTTTCTTGTACTCCGAATAAATGCCCCGCAAATATGTTCTGCCAGAGTTGTCCAAATTTGCACTGATGAAAGTTAGTTCTCTCTCAGAAAAGATGTCGAAAATTGAATTGATTGCTGGTAAAAGCTCTTTTCTAATCGCCTGCCGGAAAGGCTGAGAAATGGATAACGTAATGTATTTCATAAGGAAAACGGGAAGAAACTTCCTCAACAGCCCCTTGACATGCGTAACTTTGGAATCAACTTCGCTCCTTGATTTGCCGCTTTTCGAAATATTTGAGGACTCACATAAGTTGGAAACTAGTCTTCCTAGCTCCCTTGCAGATGACGAATTCAAAAACTCATCGGAGATAGTTGCAAGATATTCAAGCGAAGGACAGAGAAATGAAAGAATGAGATGATGCCTGTTGAAAAGCTTGAAGCGATGAAACAAAACAATCGACGAAATGAGTTGGCATGTTGAAGACATAACGTCATCATTGTGAGTGTTCTCTGCTTTTATGAATTTGAAATTAACCAACGAGCATAGGGGGAACAAAGAGTCTGTAAGATACTGTGAAAATAGCCACGACTCTGTGATGAGTAATCTTTTTATAGTTTCCAGCAGCATCAATACCGGTCGATGATTTTCGATACTTTTCAATTGCAATGTAGTTCGAAGGGCAGATTGGAATTTGGCATAAAGGATTTGAGATTCGATGTTCTTCCTGTTAAGGCGGGAGAGGAAATATTGGGAAATCTCACAGATCGCCTCACCATATGATGATCCCAGCTCGTTCAATGAGTTTAAGATGCAAGCGAATGCGATATTGAAGTCCTTGAAGCCCTTTTGCAAACTTTCACTAACTGCGAATTCAACCGCAGGGAAAAGATCAGTTTTATTTAGACCACACTCACGCAAAGCGATGTAGTGTGCCAAAATAATGTTAAGCTCGTTCTTGTAAGCAGCACTGAAAAGCAGGAAAAAGCTGCAGCCAACTTTTAGAAGGACGGACTTTCCTGAGAGTTTGCTATGCAAGCAGCCGATGACGCGCAGGATGTCGCTCGCTGTTTTCTCATTTCTCCTCCTCAGAAAAAGGGTGAAAAGGGCTTGAGAATAAAATGCGAAGGCTTCACTATTCTCGATTAATATGTCGGCTAAGAGAATCAGCTGTTCGGATAAAATTCCAGTAAGAATTGTCGTCAACTCATTACATTCTTCTGACAAAGCTTGCTCTTGAATTATGAAGTAATATGCCATTTTCACGATCTCATCTGCTGCACTTTCTGACAGGCGCATTCGCAGAACCCTGATTAAATCCTCCAAGAAGGCTGCACTTACGCTCTCACTAGATTGGCAGATATGGTTTTTGAGAACAATCTCGAAGACGGGATTTTCTAGCAGAAATTTGTCACTACGTCCCGCGACAACGCTCTGCAATCGTTCAACACTAGTTTCTAATTCGGAGCGGTATGTGGGATACTGAAGCAAGTGACACAACACCTCGTAGTCCAATGACGTCAAATCATTCTTCGCGCTTAAGTCGTTTATTGTTTTTATGCGAACCGACTTATTGATACATTGAATTGGAACTTCGCATAATGCTCGCAAGCAAAAATCGTCTGATAATCTTTCGGATAACACCGATGTCACAGAATGCATGATATTTGTTTCCTCAAAAACATCATCCGACAAGATTGCAACAGTGAATAGACTTTGATAGTCTACTTTGAAGAGACACTCTGCAAAAAGTGAGAGACTTTCTTTGGAAAAACATTTGTCTGAAAGGGTTGGAAAGCCACAGAAAACAATCTCCAGCATCTTCCGTCTTTCTTCAATTTCCGCCGAAGTGAAGTATTGGACAAAAGATTGCGCTGTCGACTCGAGGCTAAAATCTCGTAATTCACGCAATTTAAAGATAAATGCAAACATTTCAGCACATTTCCCTCGTTGTTGGAGGAGATTTGAAACGATAGTCTCTATCTCAAGAAATTTGTCTTCAGGATAAATGTCATCGTAGACATTTAGTATATTATAAAACAGATTCCACAAAGCATACGTCTGGTCTCCTTCTAGTTCGAATAGTTTTGATAAGGGCAGCTTGAGTTGCATCATATTAGCGTCAGAAATTTTGGGAAACCCTCTCAAAAGGATCATGAGAAGCTGCACCGGAACGGCAGCTCTTTGAGGGTTTACTATTATTTCGTCGACCAGGCCTGATAAGTGTTCAAAAATAGTATTATTCGCCATTTCCGCGACGCGATTTGCCACTACTTCAATAAATGGCTCATCATAGATGTATGATGGTGCATCTTCTCGGGTACATTCATAATCTTCTAAAAGTTTGAGAAACTTGTGCAGGTCTCTACCATTAGCAAAACATTCAACGAGAGTCTTAAACGTCATAACTTTTAGATTGAGGTCGGAAACGAATGCTAGTCTGTTCATTATTTTGGATGCCTGCCTGATTCCGACCTCTATGTCAAGTTGTAGAATTCTAGTGATCAAATACCAGGTAGTACTGTCGTCTCTGGTAGAAATTGATTTGAATAATTTTTCGAAGAGGTTTTCCAGAAAAGTCTGTGACATTGTTTTCCTAGTTTCTGACAAAATCCGCAAGAGATGTGGCATGGCCGTAAAATCATGGGCTACAATCGCCGTGAATAAGCGCTCTAGCGTTGTGAAATCGCTTTTTGACAGGTTATGAGCAGCAATCTCGAAAAGCGTGCAATGTTCGCGAGCATTTAAGCTCTGAGTTTCGCATGACAACGAACTTATTAGGTGACCGATGACCGCGTTGTCGCCAGTGAAAACATGTCGATGCAGTAACCGCAGAGTTTGTTTCACAGGAGGACCATTCAAATTTTCGAGAAGGCTAATGTATCGTACTAGCCTGAAAAGCACAATGTCGATGAATGATTTACAGGTTTTCAATGTAGGCTCATAGTTCAGACCGGACTGTAAGAGATTGAAAACTTCCATCAGAAGACCACTTCTAGCATCTGCGTCCATGTTGTAGGATTCGACAATCAGTTGAAAAACACCACTTATGATATGCTGGCTTTGTTCTGCCGTCGTTTCGACAACAAAATTCGCATTTATTAGCTCCAACGTTCCTTGAAGAGCAGAAGCAAACAAGGGCACCTCGGAAGGCTCATGTACAACATTTTGAAGTCCCTGAATCAACGTTTCTGGAAATTTAAGTGTCTTAAATATCATTTTTCGCAGTTCATCATTATTCACATTTCTCCAACACCGATTAAAAAGCGCCCAAATTCGATAATTGCTCTTGAACTTCAATTCTCTCTGATCAATCCAACGATTTGCTATCAACTCGAGCACAAAAGTTTCGGCGTTAGGGAAATAGACGTCAATATCACCATCGATGAGTTTGTTAGAGAATTCAGATATCTCCTTTACCGAGATCTCCTTTGACCTCAAATACTTTGAAGTTTGTTCTGCTGTAGACGCCATTGCAAAGCAAACGCGCGTTGGGTCTGATAAGCTATCGGGGCTGACAGTGATCCTGCCGAGATGCCGGCGATGAGCATCGGCAAGATTCAAAATTTTCCAAACTTCAGGTTTTGCGTCCAAAGTGATATTACGAAAATTGTTTATGGAGAATTAAGCCAATCTACATGTTTGATAGTATTGGAAATGTGTTAAGATCGTTGTCCGCAGGCCAGAGTTGAGGCCCAAATTGAGATCCAAACAGTGGCGATAGGTTTTGTGATGATACATAACGGCTTAGACCAGTCACGGGACCTTTTAATTGATGTGAAAACGCTGAATTTCGCCAAGGAAACGGTGAATTCCGAGACTGATGATTCAATGACAATGGATACCACGGGAAATGATAACTATTTTCCAGAAAAGGTTCCAGACAACGTATTTTTATATGAAGTTCCAATCAAAGAATCCCTCGAAAAGTTTAAGGAGGCAGGAAAAGCGCTGAAGTTCAAAGTATGCCCAATATTCCCGCTGAGTGTTGCTTTCGTGACGGGGAAGGGGAATGATTATAACAAGCTGCACACACCAGCGCTTAGCAGCTTAGACCACTCAAAAATCTACAAGATCTATGTTAACAAACTTTTTCAAATCTATCAGGATTTGGGGGATGACAGATATTTTTCCATTCCCACGATTGGACTTGTTAGTTCAAAGTCGCGGCGTCAGCATTTCGAAACAGTCAATCTGGCTGTGGATGCCCTTATTGACGAACTCGAGTTATGCATTCAACAAATGGCCGAAAACGGCGATTTCGAGCCAGTGGCAGACTTCGAAGATTGTGCCACGATAATAAATTGCTTGCGTGCGGTCCATTGCACACTGGACTCAGGAGAAGAAGACTCACGTGCGGCCTTTTTCGCAAATCTGGAGCATTGGGTAAATAGGGCTGACGGTGAACCGGATGAAACGACAATAAATCAAGTGCTACTGGGCAACGTTAATATGCCCGTCTACAACAGCTACTCATTCTGGAGTTTACTGGGTCGACTCTTAATGCGGGGGCTTTTTGACCAAGCTATTGGTGTAGTCGAGAAATCGGGCCTTTTAGACCACTTGAAAGGAAATTGTGAAACCTCCCATAGCGCCATAACGGAATTGATCTTGATGGTTCAACAATATCCTTACGAATCCGAAGAGCAATTCCGCGCATGGAAAGCCACTCTTTTACAGCTCACACAAACTTATGCTGATTCGCTGACACAGGTTGATCAAGAACTACGCATATTTATTTTGGACATTCTTTCACTTGTAAGTGGCAACCGTGCAAACATTCTACGTTATTCGAAAGAGTGGTTCGAGGCCTTTTGCGGAATGATAATGTTTTACATCCCAACGTTGGAGCTTGCTGAAGAGTACTTGGACGCTGCACTCTCGGAACATCCTTTAAATGTATGCAATGTTTGGGAACAACCATGCGTTGATATCATAAGGGGAAAAATACATTTCATTTTGCCCACACTCGAATCCTTAGAAAATGCAACGGCTGCTTTCGTTGCTGCCTTTTGTGAGGCTAAGGGCTTACTACAAAGTCCTCCGCAACTCAGGCACTTGGAAAACTCTCAACTGTTTTCTGAGGCGGATGATCTTTTCTCTCCACGTAATAGCATGGCAACATATCTTCTGAACACCTTGGCCATGGAGTTATGTTGTCAAGGGGATCGCGAACTTTGGGCAGTCTCAATTGGTCTGATTTCTTTGTCACCAAGCGACAACGAAAGTGCCAAGAGACTCGCCATTGCAGAACTTTTACCGCATTTCCCATTCCAGACTAACGACGATGTGGAATGGCTTCTGAGCATTTGTGCCGAATGGCATTTGCCTGACGTTGCCCGGACGATTCACCGCATTTTGGGCAACAGCTTGTTATATGATAACAACGTTGTGGAGGCAATGTCCAATTTCAGCAAAGCGGGCGAATTCGAATGGGTTAAGCATTATGCGTGGATGATATTCGAAGCCTCTGCCCTTCAAGGCGCTCCTTTGGAAGATCTAGTAGTTAACACCATTGTCGATGGCGATACCGAGAGACAGGTTCCGCGCGAGTTGCTACGGTCTGTTGCCACGGATGCGATGAGGCAAGCCCTGGCACCGTACGCGGTGTTGTATCAGGTGTATCACCAACAAAGAAACGAGGAATGGACTCAAGCCTTAAACAGTCTATTGGCGCTCATGGAGTTCAAATCTCTGCCAAAACATTACTTTGTGCTCTTGGTTGCCAAGTTTCTTTATGGCACCTATGTCAAGGACGACGAGAAAGAAATGTCAGAGGAAGCGATAGTGCGGGTTCTCAAAGTTCTCGACCACTTAGAATTAGACGAGAAATGCTACACGCTATACGAAGTATGCTTGTCAACCGACACACAAATGAAGTACCCGGAGTCACTTGATGAACTGATACGTGGAGTTAGGCGTGAACTCGGATTCAAGATATGTCGAGAGTTCATCGTTCGCTAGATGAAGTTGTCCCTCCACAAGGCGACGCGTCGAAAAGCGGCAGCAGGAGCAGTAGTAATATTGATAGTTTCCGTTCCGGGGACGTAAGAAAATATAGAAGCGAAATCAATGTGCATTGTATATACGGTTCTCAGGAGGAGTCGATAAAAACAAAAAGATCCAGCAAACTGTTTTTTTTTAATTTTATTTCCCTTCTATTCTCAAAATTGGGGGTGGGGGGTGACGCGTGTGTTTTTGCTTATTTCTCTCTAGTCTTTCCGTCTCTCTATGAACACTCAATCGCAGAAATGGTCTGCCGTGTCTAATCCACGCACGCTCGAATAAGGAAAAAAAACCGGTAAAAAAGGACGCGCAGTATATTAGAACACGCCAGCCCAGGACACGTGCGCGATTCAGCACACAACGTCCTGGGTGGCTCTGGAGTTCAATAGTAGCGCGACGATGAGTCCGTAAAGACCCAAAACTTCGGCGAAAATCAAAATCAAAATCATACCGACGAAAAGTCTAGGTTGCTGGGCGGTACCTCTGACCCCGGCGTCACCGACAATGCCGATAGCGAAGCCGGCAGCAAGTCCACTGAGTCCGACGGAAAGGCCGGCACCGAGTTGAATGAACCCGGTGTAAAGTGCCTGTTTCTGGCCCAGGGAGTAACACACCAACACGGACACGACCAGACCGTAAATGGCAATGATACCGGCCATGACCACAGGAACGATGTTTTTGAAAAGCAGGTCAGGTCTCAAGACACAGGTCGCGCACACACCGACACCTGACTTGGCCGTACCGTACGCCGCACCGAACGACGAGAAAATGATCGCTGCGGCACAGCCGATGGCACCAAAAAAGGGAGCGTACACTGGACACAATTCACTCATGATGTGGTGATCTTAAAGAGGGAGCAATAAGCGGTTCTCAATTAGTTGTTTGTGAAAACCAAACCTTGGGTCAACAACTTAAGATCTCAGTAGTGGGAAGGATAAAATTTGATATGTGTTAAAGGTGGTGGGTGGGTCCCCCTTTAATTTTTGCAACCAGAGTGTTACCCGGATATAAGTTCGTAACGTATGATTACTATACATTACACTCAAAGTCCGTACATGACGATGCGGAAACAATCCTCGTATTAAGTGACACAAAGTGTGCAGACGCCTTTCTTGGAAGAAGCGATGCATGCGGCGGCCAAGGAAGTAGATAACTGCGGTTTTGGCCAGCGTGGTGATTGCGGGATGAGATGTAGTAAATGGGCTCAAATCCTTTGTTGAAAAGAGTCCTCAAGCTGCGTCGGAAAAACGTCGACAAAATTCAATTTCGTTATCCTTGAATGTATGCAGAGTGGTACTATAGCCTATGCAGGCGCAGTCAACGCCTTGGATACGGACAAGCTCCCTGCAAAAGACCTACTGCCACAGCGATGCAGATACTAAAGAACGTGATCGACAGAATGTCAACATCTTTCACAGACATCGTAAGCTACGAAGGGGTCGTGTGACCCCTTCGTATACCCCTACCTACTACCTACCTAGTTTCTCTCTCTCTTCTGCATTTTCCAATTCGACCCCTGCTGGAAACAACGGACACGCGAAACAAACGCGAAACAAACGCGAAAAGCATACCAATGACGTAATATATGCAGGGTATTGTTCCATGCATATTTAGGCACCCAGGCACTTGCCTGGGTGCCTAAATATGCATAAATATGTCTACCTCGGCACTTTGTCACATGACATGCACATGCCCTTTTTTTAATTTACATTTCTTTTTTTATCACCCCCCAATTCTGGACAGGGCCTAGAACAGGCCTTATTTTTAGCGCTCACAGACGCCTTCTCCTTCGCCCCGCCCCGCTCTACAGTTGCTTTTTCTTTGCTCTACGCCGCTTTGCGCGGGTCCCCACCAGCGACGAAGTTCCGCCCCGTCCACCATGACTGCTCGCATCACAGGCTGAATCAAATCCCAGGCTTAGGCCGGGCTTTCCCGGTGCGCGCCCTGCTGATCCGTTCTTCCTTCCGCTATTGAACACCGGACCAAAATCCTTCTCTCGAGTCCACAAAAGTACGTCGTTGGCGCTCTGCACACCGAAATAGACACAAAAAGAGCTCGTTCGCCAGTTACATCCGCGGACCACCACACAAATCAGCATTTCTCATGGTCTCGTCGGATACGCTCGCGAGCCGAAGGTTCCTCATGAACGAACCTGGTATCGCGGGCCCAGGGCGTACAAGCTCGGCGTGCGCCGGTGGGCGTAATGTCGCGTACGCCAACGTCGACTTGACAGAGCCCTGCCACAAAGTGGCAGGTCTTCAGGCGGCGGTCGACGTCGAAGATGCACGGAAGTTTAGAGCAAAAGACGTGCTTGTGCTCGATATTTCGCAGCGTGGCAGCAGCAGCAGTAGCAGTGGCGGCTGCGCCGCCACTGCGACGCCTCTGCCGTCGCCGTTGAAGGACTGTGCACAACTGCATCTGTGCTTCCCAAGCACTTTACTCCGGCGACCCAATTTCCAGTTTTCGCAGCTCGTACACACTCTCGACAAACAGACCGAAACGCGGCTCGAACGCGAAGTACAGCGCTGCTCCAAGTTTGTTTTCTACGACCAAACCTCTACGATGAAAGAGTGCTCTCTTAACACGTACCGAATCATGTCCAAGTTTATACCCTATTTGATGCAAGAGAAAAACTGGAACGCCGAGTTCTGGCTGTTGCAGCATGCCGAGAACGACCAGACGGATCGACCGGTGCCGTCAGCAATGGCTGCCGTCGCGACGTCTGACGTTCCGTCGCCGGAAGAATTTGCAAAGTCTTCCAGCAAGACCCCACGTGGATCTCCCTCGACAGCCGCGGTGGCCGCGGCAGCGGCCACTGCGGCAGCAGCAAAACAGCGGTGTGATCGTAACCCGAATAAACGCAAGATCAACCTTAAAATCACGATCCCCTCGAGCGGCTCTGGCCAAGATACCAACAGCTTTGTACAGTCTTTTAAGAAGGATTCCATCCATTACTCGCCCAACAGTTTGCGCAAATACTTTAGCTTCCACATTCCTGGAGCCCTCAAAGCTGACGATGCCTTGTTACCTCGCTGGCTAAGACCGTTCACGAACGATGCCGACCAAAATTTGTTACGAATTTTACACTCTTTCGAACTTCTCGAAAAGCACGAGGTTTTGCGTCTTGAACGCTGCCTACAGATGTCACGGTCCGACACGTCTGGCCGATTGGATACTGCAAGCAATGGGAGCCCCTCCAGGCCCAAAAAACTTTATTCGTTCCGGCAATTGCAACGCGAGTATAGACCTAACAGGCATGACTACGACTCCGATAACGACGCGTACACCGAGACCAAGGATCTCAAACTTAGAATGGACATTCATGAGGAATTGAACGACGGCGAAAATAGAGAGATTTTGGCCAAGCTGAAGCAACTTCGAAGTGATTTGCCACACGAAGATTCGGAGAAAAACGCTAAACCGATCCCTAGTACCGGGGCACTCAAAGCCTCAGAAACGGAAGACGAAGATGTCGTAGAGACCCCCATGGACAACTACTTGATGACTCGCGGAATTCAATCCTTTACCAAAAACAGATACTCCAACATTCTTCCCTACGAACATTCGCGCGTCAAACTTGAGCCCTCCCCCGTGTGGCCAGAGAATAATTCCAACAAATTTGATACACCTCTCACGGGCTCGAATTCTCCTGCTACGCCTCTTGTAGATGTCATCAGAAAGAGACGAAATTCTTACTTCAATCAGGACTTTCATGCCAGAGAAAAAAATTTGGAGTCTTCAGAAGGTAAAGGTGCCGAAATCAGTAGCAATGGCAGGCTTATGGCCACACCTCACGCCGATTCAGAGTCTGATGGTTTCAATGACTATTTCAACGCAAATTATCTCAAGATTCCTCAGATCAATGTCAAATGCAATTATATTGCCACTCAAGCGCCTTTGCCATCCACCCTTGACGATTTCTGGAAAGTCGTTTTGTCTAACAAGGTCAAGGTCATTATCTCTCTAAACTCTGACGACGAACTTGTTATGAGAAAATGGGATATTTACTGGAATGGGAAAGCGTTGAAAAAATATGACGTGAGGATCAGTAAATCTTTCGATAACGTTGCTGGAGTTAAGGGTTGTATTATGCGGGTGTTTGAGGTATCTCGTCCGCATAACCGTTCAAACGACTGCGGAGACAAAGAGGATCATGAGCGCGACAGCGGTGAGGAGAAGGATTTGGGCAATCTGAAAAAATTTAAAGCTAATGGCCTGAAGGAAGATTCTAGTAATTTCCCAAAGCATTCTGCACTCGACTGTTCAACCTACACGGTATACCAATTACAGTATACAAAATGGTTGGACTCATGTGGCATTGTCATGGACGATGTCATCAGATTGCACCGCATGAAAAATCTAATTGTTGCAAACCCTGTCGAATTTGTACACAACTTGGAGCAAGGAATTTCATATGACCAGTTAGTAGATATGGAACGTGTTGTTAAGTTGGACAATGACGACAACGAGTCAAGTCCCAGCTCCCGAGATATTCAAGAATCTCCAACCTTAGTGCACTGCTCAGCTGGCTGTGGAAGAACTGGAGTCTTTATAACCTTGGACATTCTTCTCAATATACTGGAGCCGCCTTGCCGGCGATTTAATCGGATTGATGTCTGGAACATGTCACAAGATCTGATATTTATTGTGGTGAATGAACTTCGAAAGCAGCGGATATCTATGGTACAGAATTTGACTCAGTACATCACTTGTTATGAGGGAATCCTTGATTACTTCGCATCAAACATCAATTCGGAATGTATTGACAATTAAATTGGTTTTCAAGACTTATACAATTTGATGAGCCATATACATACTTACATAGATACATACATTCAGGGCTCGGGAAAAAAACCGTATGCCCAAGCTAACGGCATGCATGCATTAAATGACTGTAAAGTATCGTTCATTAGGCTTAAGGACCCATGTTCAAAAATTGTTGAAGATTTTCGATCGTGGTGGGATGAACGGAGGCCAATAGAGACTCAAAATCGGTTCCTAATTCTTGTTGAAGGAGATCCAGAATTGATTTAATAAACCGCTTCAAACTGATGTTGTGTACCGGATCCTGAGCCTTGATAAGGCGGTGAAGACGCAGTTGTTCACACGACGGTATATAATTTTCGTCATTTTCCGCACTCAAATCTTCGCTTAAATGGTACTTTTCGCAGTCTCCCTCGGTAGTTTCGTTCACCTCCTCTAATGCAGTGACCCAAATCGAGGCTATATTTTGAAAGTTGGAAAGGACTGCACCAAGCCCTGTTTTTAGCAAACTAGAGAGGCCAAGGATGTGCGCCTTTTTCCACCTCGGATCATAAACTTCATTAAGCGCCAAAATCCAAATGGTGATAAACTTGTTCAGAACTTCATCTAATGGCATATCAGAGCTAATACTTTTTCGGTCTATTGCAGGAAGTTGCGAATTCTCCCTTGACGTAGGCTGTCGGGAATGATAGTCTGCTATGAAATTGGTAACAGACAGTGGAGTAATAAATGCGATGCGACTGATAGATTGAAGTAATTGGGCATTTTGAAATGAAGACAGAGACTCCTCTCTAAACAACCCGCCCATGAAAGCATCCAAAAGTCCGCATGAAAAGAAAAACTCTAGCAATTGGCCTTCAGAATTCTGCTCGTTGACTAAAGTTAGTATGTCCGCGATTGAGAGTAAGATCTCGAGGGAATCGTCCCGCAACTTAAGAATAAATCTGGCAAGATGACCTAAAATGAATCTGAATTCCGGGTGAGACAAAAAGGCTTTAGGCGAACAGAGTAAGCTATAGCTCTTGACAATTTCCAGAAGAGTAGGGAGTATTTCTGTTTGATGCTGAACTCCGTATTGAAGTGAGCTAACCAACGCGTAAAATCTTGGATCTAGCTCATTTGCTTCCAGTTCGCAATTTTGAAGTAAAGCCAACCAAAGGTCAAATCCATCCTCATAAAGAAGAGAATATTGGGAGGTAGATGGATCGCAAGCGATACCAACAATAGGCAGCGTAATGTCCCATGTTGTTCCTGAAAACTTCCCCAAAGAGTCTATCGAATGCTTCAAGAGCCTCAAAAGAGCATTAGCCAAAATAGACTCAGATGGGTCACTCATTGAAAGATCCCAGAGCTTTGGAACAATTTGTAAAATTTCAAACAAGAGTTCACGACTGAAAAACGGCTTAGTTTGTACAATCATGTCGCTCAGTGTCTTGAACACGAATAATCTCGTCTCGGTAAGTGAAACAGAAGGCAATATTTTCCGTAGAAGCAAGCCGGCGAAATCATCCAGATATGGCTGAAAACTTTTTTTATCAAAATTCCAGTCGTCAATGAGGGTTCGAAGCGCTTCGATTGCAGTCAACTGAACAACTTTATCGGTCTCTTCGCCGAGCAGTTTCCGCAAAAGCTGATAACAATACTGCTTACTTTGAGTAGAACATCTTACCGTACCCCATTCATTAATAACAAGACAAACTCTTCTCTTGATTATCTTCGCCTGGTAAGCAGATTCATAGGCTGCATTCGCTTGAGGCAGGAAAACTTGAACAAGAATGGAATCGAAGTCGACCATTTCACTAGTTGCAGCGGCGCTCAATTGGAAAGCGGCAAAAACGGAATCCTTTTGAAGAAAACTCTCAATTGTATCATCTTGTGGTGATCCCTCATTTTCAATTTTGCGAAGTAAATAAGGAACCAATAGCTCACGAAAGCCATTTACTAGATCCTGAAAAAAATTTTCAGCACATGGTCTAATCTGATATTCATAGCTTGCAACTAACTGCTCATTTATCCATTCTTCGGGATCGATGTCCCAATTCTCCAGCTCAGCTGGCCTCAATTTTAAGTACCATTGCATTAGAACGTCGACTAACTTTGTCACGAGCCCCTCATTAAAAAACTCCGTGGAAATTTTTTGAATTGCTAATTGAACCTCATTCTTGTCGTTCCTAGCCTTTATCGTAACTGTTCCCTTTTTCTGTAGGAAATTCACGATCTTTTTCAGAATCAAGAATCCTCGGATGGCAACTTGCTCCCAAAAATCGCCCGTAATTTCAGCATTTTCATTATAAACGTCGTTGGCTCTGTCGAATAAAATTCTGGTTATTGCCATTAGGGCGTTTGACGCACATGGCAGAAGTAAGAAATTTGCTGGCGAAGCGAGGATCATGTAGTAAAACAGCTTGCCGTAGCATTTAACAAATTTCTCGATGTAATTAAACTTCCTCAAACTGTCATAGTTGGAAGTCAACATTTCGAAATGAGATACTATCATCTGCATAAATTCAACAACAGCCTTATCTCTGTGTGGGAAGTCATATCCTTCGATGACAACTCTTCGCAAAACTTTAAGCGCCAAATACGAAACTTGAATGTGCGACAGACTTTCGTCGTCGACAATTGTAGCCTCAGTCCAAATTCGAAAGCTCTCAACGTAAACGCGAACGAGCAAGGGAAATACCAAAGGAACTTTACTTTGCATGGCTGGTCTGCAGCGTCCGATTCTGGCAGTGGCCAGAATCTTGATTATCTGGTTAGACATTAACAGCAGGTTATAAATCTTGACTTCATCTTTCCAGATATTTTCATTGTTCAACATATTTTCCAGCGTCTCGAAAACATTAGGCCATTCAGCGGGAAAATCGAGCCGGGCAATCCGAGCCGTGGCCTGTGCATTCTGTATACAGAGCTGATTATTTCTTTCAGCAATCAAATCAAACAGTCGTACCCTAATCATATTTTTTTCGTCTTTGGAAATTGCATTGTTCCTCGTTGAACGCCAATACTTTTCCACACCGTTTTTGAACTGTATAATGGCAAGCCATCTGACCTGCAAAGCGTTGGAAAGGTCCAAATACACTGATTGAAGCGTATAATGATAACCTCCTTGAACTTCCCAGCTTTTAAGCTGTTGTTCAGCTTGCTTTTGCAAATCTGATCCAACATGTTGAGGGTCACTCGCTTTCTGCAAAACCTCGACAAGGTTTAATTCACTGAGATTAGAACCATTGGCCATCATTTCAATGCTTCAAAATTAATGAATGGTTACAGACCCCTGCTAATTTGTCGACACCGGGAAACATGCGATACACGGCTCTAAGCGCTTACTTGTGGGTTGAAATCGGAGGAAGTCATCGCATCAACTAAGGGAGATTTCAATTCTTGAAAAATTATAGGCTTGTATCACGTTCAACGTACTTGAGTATTCTATTCTATTAGTATAACGGCCATAACAACGGTCTGAGCCCACACCGTGGTTGATACACCTGTCGGGACTCTTTCAGGATGCCCATCTGTGGGCTTCGTTATCACCTATCCAGCTCTTTTCGGTGTAGCCCAATTTCTCTTTGACCTTTTCAACGGTTTTCGGATCACCCATGTTCTTGCCGAGATTATCCGAGATTTTGATGGAATGGTTGCCGTTCACCTCGAGAAGCTTTATAACAATGTTCAGAGGTTCGCTTTTTCTTTCAGGGTTAGACTTGCTTTTGAAATCATTGGTAAAATTTGTACCTATCCCGAAAGTAGGTTTGAGTCCATAGTCATAAGCCACGTTCGCATATCTGATGGCTTTTTCAGGATTCAGCGAGTCTGAGTAGCATATGATTTTGGAAAGAGGCTTTAGTTTGAGAACGTCAAGATAATGATGTGAGATCTTTTTCGTATACTCAACCGGGTCACCAGAGTCCTGTCTCACACCAATGTAACAATCCGAATAAGGTGGATGAAAGCTTCTCAAAAAATCGTCGGTACCGAAAGTGTCGGTCAAAGCAAGGCCTGCATTTTGAGGGCCAAAAGTACCAATCCAACAATCCATGGCTTTTTGATTGGCGTGTAGGTAGTCACCGGTAATGGATGCTATACCCATCATCCATTCGTGCGCCACTGTCCCGATTGGCTTAACACCGTATTTTTTGGCAAAAAGCACGTTAGAAGTGCCCAGAAAAAGTCCGCTCGGCCGCTCGCTGCGGCTCTCAGTGGCTTTCATGATACCTTGCATGACGAGATCTTGCGTCTTAAAAGATCTACGCCTCCGGGTCCCAAATTCGCTAAATAGAATGTTGTGCTCAAGGAGTTGTTCAGCCTTTCTGAAAGCACTTTCAATTTGGCCGTCGTAGCTCCAGTCGGTGTCAACAAATTTGAAATACGCTTCCGAAACCAACGCTAGAATCGGAATCTCGTACAAGATTGTATCTTTCCAGAGGCCGTTTATATTGATTTCCAAGTCGTAATGTCCTTCCTGATTCGTCTCAAGAACGTTAAATTCAATCTGCTCACTGGGGTTCATTTTCACTTCGTCACTCGCCAGGTAATTAAGATAGTCTTTAGAAAGATAAGGGATTGCATTTCTCAAATACTCGATCTCGTCTTCAAGGAATCTGAGGCTACTTAGGCTCTGGAATTGAAATTTGAGCCACTGTATCGCTTCCTGATTGAACTTCATATCTTCACTTCTGTTGGTGTATTTATAGGTAACCTCAGCAGTCGGGAAATTCTTATAAACCGCCGCATGCATTGTCAATTTATACATGTCCGTATCCAAGAATGACGTAATAACGGGCTCCGTCATGTCTCCAGTTGAGTTCTTCAGGCTTGGCTATCAATCCCTTCCACTCAGATAAGTGAAGTAAATTTATTTTTTTATCATATTTCTTCACAACGACAATCATGGATGTCAGAATCAGATGATGACGATGAGCCTCCAAGCATTGAATAAGAGGAGAAATGGGTCAAGAGCAGTGAGTCACAGAAAGCACTGTTAAACTCGCTTTGATTGGAGAACTGATCAGATTCGAAGCGTATTTTGGGTGGATTCTGCATAGTATTTTAAAATCGCTAGATTTTGAGAAACCGGTGACTTGAAAAATTGTAGGCAATCATTCAAATAAATTATGGAGAAAAACTATATCTGGCAATGTCACTAAGACTTCTTTTTGGTGTACCTCCGATGACCTTCAGTGCTAAAATTTTAAAATGCTTGGGAACGATGTATATTATCATTCGAATCTAGTTTACAACTCTCATGACAGCGTCGAAAAAGGTATCTAACTGGACGTTGTCTATGCTCTCGAACAAACTCGTAAAACTGTTCATATTTATCACTTTTGTTTTCTGGTTTCCTTGTAGAATCTCGAACTGAATGTCAGAGTTACCATCGGACGTGCGCTCCGCCAGTTTCCTTTGGCGATCACTTTTCAGATTTTGCAGTTGAATTTCGAACTCGTTGTGGGCCAACGAATCAAAAATGGAATCTGACGCTTTTTCGCTCAATATCTCAGCGCTAGTAATCGTGCTGACAACACCAAGTCTTCCCTGGATGTCAAAGAAAATAAAGTCGCTTCCGTGATTCCAGCGTAGGCCAGCGATGTAGTCATCGTGGTGAAAAGATCCCACTTGTTTCGAGAGATCGCCGTCAAATACGAAAACTTCCGCCGAGTAGCAGACTTCGTCGCCCTTGGCGTGCTGTTGGTTGACTGCTACAGCAATCCGGCCAGAACGTTCATCTAGTGCCATTAATCTTCCGAAATGTCCGTTCTTGTAAGTGCCATTCAAGTATGGGTACAAGTCGAAACTGTTCTTAGTTAAGCCTGTTAAAAGATCCATGCAGCATAAAGTGGTCTGGGTTGCAATTACCAGATTGATATCATTGACCAAGACCATATTCTGAACTGCAGAGTCCATAATGAACTCATTCAAAAATTCTCGAGATTCTTCCTCGAATTTTTGAAATTCTTCAAAATCTATGACGGTAACTCTGTCGTCGAACGCTTGGAAAATCAAACTTCCGTCTAGTGACCACGCTAGAGACACCGAGTTGCTAAAATTGTTGACATTAGGAACCATAACCTTGGTCAAAGACCAAGATCCAAGATCTTTGTTAAATGACCAGTATTTCAAACCGCCATTGTTATCACTCGTCAAACAACCCTCAGAGTAATCAATTGATGAAGGAGCCACAAGGATATTGGTAATGGTAGGATGAGGATTCAGAACCTTTGTGTTTAGGACCCATTTAGAATTTTCTCCTTGGCACCAAAACTTGAGGGTATGTGACTTGTCATCAGAAGAAAGAAGACCATCAGAAGGGTATTCTATTTCATGCGTTATCATCCATTTCCCATTTTTAGTGAACTTTACCTTGGATATCTCAGGGTCTCTTAAGTTTAATTCAAACCGGACTTTACCCATAGTATTATTAATTCCGGACGCCAAATATTGGTATGAGACCTGCTCGTTCTTATAGAAATCGAACGTTTGAACAGCTGAGACATGGGGCAAAAATAAGTGTTTCGTAACAGGGTGAATTTCGAGCTCAGCTGTGAAATCTTGCCTCTTACTTTTTGAAAGTTTGCGACTCCGCTTCTTCTTTGACTTGGCGATTGAGCTCGTTGATATAGAGGATTTCGTCGTCAGCAAGGAAACTGGTTGAACAACTCCTTTGACCATCGAATTGAAAACACCAAGAGGACCATTAACAGCCACCCTGGAGTTAAGATCCGTGGAATTGAGTAAGATTATTTGGTAATCTGAGCTTGACTCGTTGTTGAGTCGAAGTCCTAGAACGTAATATTTGTCTCCAAGAATTACACAGTCAACAATAACACCGTTTAGTCTGGGTAAGAATTGCTGCAAATTCGTAGAGAGTTGCCACAGGCTGAGTACTTTTTCCCAACCACCGGAAAGTAAGTAGGATCCATCTTGTGTAAAACCCAGAGACAAAACAGAATCTATGTGCCATTTCAATTGGCGGCTCGTCTGGTCTGCGATCTCAATCACACATATTACGCCTGAAGCATGTCCCACGGCAACCCTGGCTCCTTGATTGTCGACCGCCATCACAGTAGCAAACTGGGATTGAGAAGATGTGGCTGCCGAGCTTGTGGGCAGCGGTATTTCTTTCTCAAGACTGTCGTCAAAAATAGATCTCACAACAACAACTCTCTTTGATTCGTCATTTTTCCGAATGAGACTCAAAAATTCATCATTCGAAGACCAAGCAGAAAGTAGAATAGCGGAGAATTCATGCAAAAGATTAAGTACATCTTTTTCATAAGCGTAAAGCTTGTATTTGTATGAAAGAGTACGTTCCTCAGTGCATGTAAGTACCCGTAAACGACCATCTTTTTCAAAGATCTTCACCACTTGTTCAACAGCTTCGAGCTTGCCCAATTTCACAATTTTGGGGCTTTCGATCAGTTTGCCACGGTAATTTAAAACAACTGCATTCCCGTCGCTTGTAAAAATCGTGATACATTCAACTTCGGTTTCTTCTCGCCTAAATGCATCTCCCAAAGTTATGTGCACAATCGCTTGTTCGTTCGATATCAAGACTTCTCGTAAAGTTTCGTTATTTCCAAACTTGATGGTTTTCACACAGTTTCTGGTGTCTATAGACATGATTTTGATCTGATTGTTGAATGGTATTATGACATTGGCTCCGTCATGCGTTAGACATGTAACCGTCTTATTACTACACGACCGATTGCAAATGCGCGGTAGAACGGGCCTGCCACCGGACACAACGGCCAGATTGTACGTCTCCCCCAAAGCAGGTGATATTACAGTCATTAAAAAACGTTGACCTTTTCCAAGAAGGTTATTCTATAGCCAGCCGATGCCTGCTCATCTCGTCAAATTTCAAAAATTTTTCAAATTTTTCAGATCTTCAATTTCACAACATCTTGGCTCACGAAAATTATTTCAAGATCAAGCTCAAAAATTTTCCAGAAGTCCTATAATCAACCCATCAAAGCCATTATTATTAAAACTCACAGAAGGACAATTTCGGGCAAAATTAAGTCGCAAGAACAATGATTGTTCCAGTTAGGTGTTTCTCCTGTGGTAAAGTTGTTGGTGACAAATGGGAGGCTTACTTGAATATGCTACAGGAGGACGAGTTGGACGAAGGAACTGCGCTGTCGAGACTTGGACTCAAGAGATATTGTTGCAGAAGAATGATCCTGACGCATGTAGACCTCATAGAGAAATTCTTGAGATACAATCCGCTAGAGAAAAGAGATTGATTTTGCATCCAGAAACACTGAAAGAGGAGGAGATGAGCTGTAACTTTTGTAATCACAAGCATAAACATATATTTACTGTAAAGTACGTAAAATACAAGATATTCAGTTTTGAAAAATACTCAATGTTGTTTTACATACAGGTCTTCAGTTTTGTCCAGACGGGTTATGAACGCCTTTGTAACTCTTTCGAAATACCAGAATCGAATCGATTTTGTCGAGCGCAAGTTCTAATAACTCTTTCCGCTTTTGAAGCTCAATGTGACGAGCGATTCGTGGGTCTTCCTTGGCAAATAGCTCCACTTGGTCGTCCGTGAGGGCGCTGAGCTTCTTGTCCAATTCGATAGGGAAGGAGTAGAAGAAATCACTTAACAGCTCCACATTTAGAAACAAAACCGCGGTGGAAGTGAGTTTATCGCCCACCGCATTTAAAAACACCTCGGGGCACATATCCTTATCGGCAGTAGTTTGACATTTCCCCTTCAACGTTTTCAGCCTGAAATTCAGTAAGTAAGAACGTTTCTCTAAGAAAAGCGCTTCACGTCCACGCTCCAGCAGCATCGCCGAAAATCCGAGCGTTTCCTCCCTGCTTGGATCCTTCTGCAAATAAGTCATCACCTGCTGAAGTTTCCGGCCTCCTGTCGCATGCTTGATTGTTTGGATACGATCATTGCATTGGCGTAATTCTTCTTTTATTAGCCTTACCGAATGTTCGTGAGCAACCGTCCAATCCCGATCCTCTAGGTCGATTTCGTACTTGAACGGTTTAATACAGTTTTCAACTTGATCAGCAGTAGCATAATACTTAGAATTTAGTACGTTTATTGCTGTGTTGTTAACAAGCTCTTTGATCAGGTCGTGATTTTTCAATTGCGTCGAATCCAAAATATTCTCCAGCTCACGCAGAATTGCATTTGTCACTAAAGTGGTTGAGAGTCTTCCAACCCCGACTTTAGTCAAACTGGAAGAACAAAGTTCAAGTTTTTTATGCCAGTACAAGGCCGTGGAGTCATCTTTTTCGGCTTTCCTGGACGAGAGCTCGAGCAAATGATCGTCTTTCCAATATCTTGAGGCTAAAAGATCCAGCACTCGTTGGTCAATATCAGCTTTGAGTATCGATTTGAGTTCATATCGATTGAATCGCTCTTGAAACTCTTTGATTGCTAATTTGAGAACGTCGACATTGTTGAGCAGGTAAGATTTTGGTGTTAGCTGCCTGTCATTAAATTCAACCTTAAAAAGGTAAGAGGTATCGTCAAGTTCCTGTTGAATCAAGCGCGAGGTGGGCTCTAAAGCACTAGACATCGATGTTTCTAATATTTTGATCAGCTTTTGCCTAAGTTTTTTAGTTGACACTTGGCAGTTTGTGAAGAATTGTCTGTTGTCTGCAAAGAACTTTCTTTCAAAACCGCGAGATGCATCTTCCTCTTTATCGCCACTTGACTTTGAAAAAAAGCCATGGCCATTGCTGTTCTTCTCGAATAATCGAGATTGTCTTCCTGGGGCTTTCGTTATAACGCCAACATAGCCCATCTTGAGAGGGTACTTCTTGCTGTTCAGCATTGAACGAGCTTTGGCGGGTTCGACAAGATCTAACTTGGTAATGACGCCAATAGTCCGAAGACCTTTCGGATCAGCAGCTCGGCTGGCTCGAAGAGCACTGCTATTAGCGAGGTCCACATCTGCAGCTGATATGGCCAAAATAATGTTAGGTTCTGCAAGATATCTTTCACACAGTAATCTAATTTTGTTCTTAAGCTCCATTGGTTGATCAGCGGCTTCAACTTGGATATAACCAGGTAAATCGACCATGGAAAGATCCGGAACACGGGAGGACTTGATGGTCAATTGGATAGGTTCAGCCGAAACCGCCTCGGTTGATGGTACGGCCATATTCTGGTCAGTCAATACTCTTTTAACTTCTTGAAAATCCTTCAGGTTATAAAGACGTAATGAAGGGAAATCTGCAGTGGCCTCATTGCTGCCAGGCGTATTTACCAGAGTGAGTTCTATTGGCCGCCTCGTGACCATGTTAGAGCCTTTTGGCAAAAAATCTCTGCCCACTATCGCTTCCAACACAGACGATTTGCCTGAAGATTGAGAGCCGATGACGACGATTGAAGGTAGAGTCAGATTTGCGGATGATGAGTCCACTCTATTAAGCAAAGATCTGATTTCTATCATCTGCTTTGTCAAGTTAAGCATCTCATCCTCGGTGCGATCCTCCTCCTCATCTTCTTCTTCATCTTCTCTTCCTTGCTGATCCTCTTTGTCTCGTTCGGCACCAGTAGAAGCGAGGAGTGCCGCAGCAACTGCGGCGTCCTCTCCTCCACGATCTCCTTTCTTGTTGGGGTCTTTTTCTCCGTCGCCACCTGAAACGCCAAATAATCTGGCCCTTAAATGGTCTGAAAAATCTTTCAGCTGTGTTAGCTTGTCCCTTGTAAAGTTCCCTGCTTCCTCTACTTTGTACGCCATGTAGGATGTTAGAGCAGCAGCCCCGCCCCCAACGTAAGCAGGAAGCCTAACGACACGTCCGACGAACTTTGGAAAAAACGACGCGAAACGTTTGGACGCAACCGGATGAATCATGTAGTTACTCACAAACACGAATGGCGAGGGTCGCACCAAGGAATGATAGTATGATGTGTTTCGGAAAAATTGGGCGGATCCGTAATGATAACATCTTTTAGGCAGAGGAGATCGCCTATTCAAGGCATAATAGAAAAAACTCAGTGATCGGCAGCTTTTTGGCTCGCATCTGAGCATTTCAAAAAGCTATTTCTGTGTTATATTTCCACTATTTCGTGGGGGTCCTTGTGCGAGAGAGATGAGATTGGTTTGTAGGTTAATTCTTGTGATCACTCTGTACGTGTTTCGACTTAAAATCACCCCCATTTAACCCTTATTGGTGCAAAGACGAGAACCTCGTTATCATGATGAGAGTCTAAATGCTCTCTTTGGCCACATGTCACCTCTTAATTATTCCCTTCAAACAAAATCTGCCTTGATTTTGCGGAAGAAACTTTATTACTTAATTGTTGTATTCTATGCGCAAAAGCTGTTCGAAGCTGGTTTCGATAGAAAAGCAACCGCCGGAATTAAAGCTGACGGACCAATTAGACTTTTAATCATTTTACTCAATTGCTTAAAGTATCAAGTTTCTTACTCTACATCCTGTTGCCGATAAACAGATTTGAGTAAGCCAGGAAAAATTATACAGCTACATAGCTTGCGTCAACTAATAATGGAAAACCAAGATTTCATTTGACGGAAACTCATCCATTGTCATATGTGACAGGAAAGGCAACGTCGCCAATGCCGAGCATACAACATTGCTAGAATTTACTTCAAACACAAAGATAGCCTTGCCAAATTTATAAAGTGAGACTGTGTATTCTTAACTTATGCAAGATCTACTAGACTGATGTCCTGTGAATCATTAAGATTCGTTCTCTGGGGCTGAAGGCTTTAATTCTTCTAGAGTATTTTGCGCAAGCACTGTGGTCAGTCGTAACTTCAAAGTGGTCCAGCAAGCAGAAAGTGTGTTAAGTTTGCCTGGGCGCTGACGGTAGCCATCACATGACTATTCCTGATGCTGTCAATTTCCTGATAAGATGATTAATAGTGCCCTCTTAGTAAAGGCTTACCATTTATTCTCCTTAGGCTCGATCAGAGATTGTTGGAGGGAGATAGCGAGAAGGTGATATCGTTCAATTGTATCATCACGTGATCGAGGTGACAGGATAAAGTTAGAGAAATGGACAGACGGTTCGCTTTCCACGAAAGAACTAGAAGCTAAAACAGGTCCATTCACGGTTCTCGAATCTCCAGAACATCTCAATCAGATCAAATGTGGTTTGATAAACGATGTATGATGGGAATCCACCGTCTAGTATGAAAAAAGTAACGGATTCTAAAGTTAGAACAGTGTTACGAAAATGGTATAAAAGGAGACATTTTTTTGTTGAGGTTTATCATTGTCGGTGGTTGATAGATTGCTGAACTGTTCATTTAATTCGTTCATAATTTATCTAAATAATTGGTGAGGTTTATCATTATCGGTGGTTGATAGATTTCTAAATTGTTCATTTAATTCGTTCATAATTGATCTAAATAATAAAGCGGATTAGGAATTGAGTACTTATATCTCTCCGTGGCTATTTTACGACCATGACCACTACGATCTTGGTTATACCAGCTCCTTTTATACAATTTCTGTAACATTGATCCAAATTTGGAATGCGTTACTTTCTTCAAACTAGACGGTGAATTCTCATCATACGTCATTCATCATACCACATATAATCTGATCACAGTGTTATGAAGATTCTAGAACTGCCAATGGACCTGTTTTAGCTTCCAGCTCTTTCGCGGAATGCCAACCGTCTGTCTAATTCTCTAACTTTATTCTGTCATATTGATCACGTGATGATGCAATTGAACGATATCATCTTCTCGCCAGCTCCTTCCAACACTTATGTATGGAGTGTTTAGGTCGTCGACAAGTCGCCTGAAGGTAAATCTTTAGCACCCTGTTTCGGTTTTTATAAATCAGTTTATCTGTAGCGGGCATGTTTCATTTCATTTTAATCGTAACATGTATTGTAACCACGGTAATGTATTAAAGCTGCTTTTCGAAACTTATATCCGTACCACGACAACAAGCAGATGGAAATTTGCGTGTGAATCTTGATCTTCATGCACACTTTTAAGAATGGGTTATCCAAAGTTGCTTTTTTCGGTAAGGACAGCTATGTTGTTTTCACTTAAAAACAAGTCAGCTTATGCAAGAGGGGTAATCGAAATAAGTCAGTGTCCTCTGCCATTTATTTTTATACAGTAGATGCAAAATAAACCGTTGCAACGTGAGCGTGAAGGAATATCGTCGTCCTGATAACGATTTTTCCTTCTCCGCTATTCTCAAAGCGATAACAAGTGGTGACGACAGTTTCCGGATCGAGAAAAAATGACAACTTGCTGATATATCAAGGAGCATAGGATAGGACCCTAGTACCTTCAGCAAGGGGTTCCGTTCTGGAAGGAGTCGTTTACATCGATTTGATAGCTCAACACTAATGCCTACAAGAACCAGGGCCAAACCACCGACTGATAACGCTGTAGCAATTCTCAAAAAGAAGACTGCAGCAAGAGCAAAGGAGAAGAAAGAACTCGCACAACATGTAAAGGAGACTTCCAAAGAAAGTGAACTTCCCACTTACAAAGGTATGAGTTATTTGTGCATATTTCATTACGCCCAATCCGTTATAAGGCTTTTCCTAGAAGTGCTTATGTCTGCTGGAGTGCTGGTTAACTAACACATACGAACAAATGTCAACAGATATGATTATTGAAGGAATAACGTCGTTGAGTGAAAAGAATGGATCCAGCCGTCAAGCGCTGAAGAAATACATTTCAACGAAATATTCAATGCGCGATGGATTTGAAGCACGTCTAAATTTGGCCATTCGACGTGGAATTGAGACTGGGGCGTTTACACAACCAAAGGGACCCTCAGGTCCCATCAAAGTTAACAAAAGCAACAAAGTTGAAAAACCTTTGACAGAAAAGACTGCAGGCACCAAGACGTCGACAAAGTTGAAGCAGGAATCGAAACCGGCCGAGGATTTCAAGAAACCTAAATCCAAAGGAAAAGTGGTCAAAACTGTTGAAGCCAAACCTGTCGCGAAAGAAGCGAAACAAACCAAGGCTCTTAGAGACAAGAAAGAAATGCCATCTGCTAGCACGAGAGGGAAAACTTTATCAGCGAAGGAGTCCAAAGACCGTGTGACACCTAGTGCTACCCGCGGTGCGGGTAGACTACGCTCAAGCAACGTTCCAAGAGCTCAAAAACTCAAAACTTAACAAGTGCGTAACATGCAAATGTCTGATCAATTTATTTTCGCTCACACCGTCTTTTTTAAACATTGGGCTTTTGGTTAAGGTGCTTCATCAACTAACTAGAAGATTAGTGCGCCTGTGAAAAGTCCAATTTTCTTCACGCGATTTCACACCATATGGCCGGGAAACATTCCTGTTCTGTTGCGTCCTGGTTTTGTTTGAATCGCTTTGCCCTTGGTAAATTCATTTTCTAAAATTAGCCAAACATTAAGAGGAAAAGGGTACCTCTGTTGTTTTATTGATTTACTGAAGTATCTCGCTATAGTTTTTTTGAATCTTTTAAGGCGAAGCTTATCGTCTCCAGAGCTTAATGTCGTTGTCATTCACTAAGGAGATTTAATTGATTAGAGATACTGATACAAACGCCAATATTCCGTGAAAGTGTAGTATGAATTAGAGTCTGTTGTAAATGTAAAGGTCAATAAGTCCCTCGTCTTAAATTTTCTTAACGAGTACTAATGTAATAATATTTGATTATGTTCTTCGATCAGAACTCATCGGCGTCTTTCAAAAAAATTTGATCTGGAAGTTCTACGTTGAACTGATCTAGATAAGCAAGAGAACGCACCCCATGGAGGCAAAACCTGCATCAGAGCCTATTAGTGCTTCAGCGGAAACGACGCTTACCTCATCACGTTTTGGAAGGGCGGTCGCGGGTTTACCATTGAAAACACAATTAACTGTGAACTCTACTGAAATATTGGATAATGTGGCAACACAGTTGCTAAGGCTATTGATAAATGGTACCTCAGAGAAACTCATATTGTTAACTTCATCGGATGCCAATGCTAAAGACAGTGTTTTCCAAGCTTTATTTTCACTGTTTAAACAAGTGAGATTGCTGTACACAGACAAACCTCTTTTATCTGTGGAAAACGTCGCTCCAGGGCTTTGGTTTAAAGGCGGTCATCCACCCAGCATATTAAAGGGGCACGACGCTTTCATTATGCGTGCACTTCACAAGGCCAACTTGTTAACTTACCTGCTTACCATTACAGGATGCTTCCATTACGGATTCTCATTTCTAGATGATGCGTTTATCGAAATTTTCTGCCCGTCTTTTGTGAATTCCCATGAAGAAGCGGAGATCGCGGGGTCCGTGGGTGGTGGCAGATTACTCAAATTGCAAACAGTCCTGTATTTGGATTTGAAAACACAGGCATACATATCTGCTCTTGAAGAAGCAAATTCAAATGAGGGCTTGACCGAGGAACTGCGTAAACGACTGCTGAACAAAATTTTCCCGGATGCCATGCGTGAGTTTCTCATTTCCAAACGGGCAAACAAGAACGTACGGCTCTCTCCGTCAGAAGAAGATTTCGTTGCGCGAAGCGCCCGGCGCAGAGAAAAGCTGATGAAGCAAGAAAATCTTGAAGACCTGATTAAAGAATACGACTGGATGGATTTTTTCAAGGAGCTTTTTTTCCACGTTCAAAAGAGTTGCATTGGCATTATATGGGATCGGCAAGACAGTGCCTCTAAAATGACAAGCTTGACACCGAACGTCAACACTCCGACGCCAAAATCAGGATCCGAAATTGTGAGCAGCAGCATTAACGCACGGTTTGAAATTGCAAGACAAAGAACCCCGGAACGTGAGGTTACTCCAGGTCCAGCGGTGAAAAAGCCAAAAGAAAAGAGACTTTGGCTTAAAAGTGAAGAAGAAGCGCTTGTCACTGCTTTGAAAACGCATGGACCTGCCTGGTCGAAGATATTAGAACAACATGGTGCCGGTGGCAGCATCTCGGAGGCCCTCAGAAATCGAACCCAGGTCCAACTCAAAGACAAAGCTCGAAACTGGAAAATGTATTTTTTGAAAAGTGGGTTACCAGTGCCTGACTATCTTTCTAAAGTTACTGGCGATCTAGAGAGAGACGAAAAATCAAGGAAGCGCTCCAAAGCCAGGAAAAATTCTTCTGGCAACAAAGACAATAGAACAACTACTACAAGATCACCATGTAGTTCTCCAAAGGCGAGAAAAATTGCGAGAGTTCTCGAAGTTTCTTCAGAAAATGGATTAAGTCCTGAACTTGTCAGCTGATTGGCAAACTCCTTATTCAAATACATTGATGGAACTGGGTGGTCTTTGACAGATTTCATTGACTTTACCTATTTCACCTGAATCCAGGTTGACCGCGTTTTTCGTACAAGCTAATTTGACATTTGATTTCCAGGTCAGCTGCAACCCTCCAAGAAGGAAAGCTTACAACGCGGATCTTTTGAGGCTCAATCATAGCCAACGGGGTATGGCTTCCGACATCAATTAGGGAAGTATAGAGTCTTTCAGGATGGGGAATGGATGCAAATTTGATCACCCTTGTTGATATTGGACAGAAGATTCCAGAAAACCAACCTGATGGCCAGTGTATGTCACGGCTCTTGAACTTCAATTGAGGAGCAGTCTCGATAAAGACGATTACAGAGCGAATTGTTAATTTGTACCTGAAATGGTGAATCTTGGCTGGGATTATGGCCCAAGATCAAGTGATCTTATACATCTTAAAGAAATGCGAGGTAATCCAGGTGATGTTGAAGTTGAAATCAAAAGGAAAATTGCACAGGCTCGAGAAGAGACGCATCAGTTACAAATTGTTATTGAACGGACCAAGAAAAAAGTGCAAGATGCAAATTTAGCCCAGATGTCACTCAACGTAGCGTCGATTGGAAAAGAGGACATTAATTTGAAGTCGCAGTTGGTCTTGGGAGGGCATAATAACAAAATATCGGATTTTCGTTGGACATCTGACTCTCAGCATATTTTGAGTGCAAGTCAGGATGGATTCATGATACTGTGGGATGCGTTTTCGGGGTTTAAAAAAAATGCAATACCACTAGATTCACAATGGGTCTTGACGTGTGCAATAAGCGATAGTGGGATATTGGCAGCGAGTGCAGGGCTCACGAACAACTGCACCATATATCGCTTGTCTGAAGAAAATCGAGTACAGCAGCAAATAGTATCCATTTTCAAGGGCCACACCTGCTATATATCGTGTGTGGAGTTTCTGGGAAACAGTAATGTACTCACGGCGAGCGGTGACATGACCTGCGCCCTTTGGGACATTCCGAAAACCAAAAAAGTCATGGAGTTTGCCGATCATTTGGGTGATGTGCTTACCATGGCGATACCCCCAAAAAACGGAGCCGATGCAAACGCGAATATTTTCGCGAGTGGGGGCAGTGATGGATACGTGTACATTTGGGACACCCGGATGGTGTCCCCTGTCCAAGCATTTTACGCTTGCGACAGCGATATTAGTACGCTCCGTTTCCTCAATGGAGGTGAGACAATTGTAGCTGGTGCCGATGATGGCGTAGCGAGAATGTTTGACATGAGATGTGATTGCGAAATTGCGACTTATTCACTTGCTCAGAACTCCCAACATCTCTCTGGTCTCAAACCGGTTAAGTTCCATCCGAGATCGCCATCTAGCTATGTGACTAATATTCCGGTATCTCCTGCTACGCAGTCGGTCGGCTCGAGCTTTTTTGACAACCAAGGGATTGTTTCGCTCGACTTTAGTGGGTCCAGAAGGCTCATGTATGTGTGTTATACTGACTATGGCTGTGTGATATGGGACACATTAAAAGCAGAGATTGTAGGACGACTAGATGGACACACTAGTCGCACCTCAGGCGTTAGGACCAGTCCCGATGGAATGGCAGTTTGTACTGGCTCTTGGGATTGTACACTCAGAGTTCGTTCGCCTATGTCTCTTTAAACTTGGTCTTTTTTGGGTAGTCTACTCGATGAAGCATTTACAACCCACGAGTTTGGCTGTGATCGAAATGAAAAACGTGGCCAAAGTAGCACTCCGTCTCTTTGGCTGCTAGATCGGTTACTATTTCAATTCACGATATAAAAACCATCATTAAACAAGCGGTCTGGGAAAGGTGCAAGATCAAAGCTTTAGTCTTGCGAGCCTTTTGCTCTAAAATGTGGTAATTACAGTTTTGATTGAATTTCTGCGTTTATCAATAAAGCTGCTTCTGCATTGGTTAACGCTGCTTCTTTTTTGTTCAAGTGTTTGATTCCATGTTGTCACTCAGCAAAAGGCGCTTATTTGGCGGTCTGATCACACATGCAGTTCTCTCCATTTAAGCCGTAACCTTATCACTTTGCGAGACCCTGGTGTTCATCTGATGCAAAGCTTATCGCACCAACAGCATCATAATTTCTGACGCTCTTACCTTTAAAACTACATGCCTTGTATTTGACTACTTAGTGCGACCGGTGATTGTGGCCTGCTAAACTCAAATCATTCCGTATTTTTCTTGACGTATTCCCACAGACTCTTCAACAAACCTTCTGGTAAACTGTATAAATCGATAATGAATTCGCCATCTTCGATATTGTTGGTAATATTCATTTCTGGAGTCTTATTATCAGTCACCATCTGCACTACACCCACCAGATCATCCTCATTCAATTTCGTCAACCCAAACGCTAATTTTTCCAAATCCACGCTGCCTTTTACAGCGTTTGCACTCGCCGTCTTGGCTTTCTTAGATTTGGGTTCTCCATTCGAAGTCGCCTTTCTTTTCTCCACAGAACCCCCTGGTGTAGCAGCAGCGGAAACAGCTGCTTCATCGACAGATCCGCTTTTCAGCAATTCCTCTTTTAAGAGTGGTTTGTTCAGAGGAACTTGAATGACATGGTCTACCTCATAGGAGTCCTTCATGAAATGTAAATCGTGAGTCAATTTTCTTTCACCACCCTTCTCCAAAAGGTGGCAACTGATGAGAAGCTCGAAGCCACCCCAGCCTTGCTCGTCGATCCGAAACGGTGGTTCAGTGAAAGTCCTCGTTGGATTAGCAAACGTAGGATGTAAATGATACACTACTTTATCGAACAAACTGGCTGAAATCTCATTGCCTTGCTCGTCGAGCAAGTATATTTCAATATTCCATTTTCGCATGGGAAAATTTTCCACCGGAGGAGGAACATCAGGTATGATTGCCTGTTGAGTCTTAATCCTCACAGTCCGCTTTACGGTCTAAAGTCATTAGTTAGCCACATATTCAAGCCTGAAAAGAGCGATTAGGTATAGTCCACAACAATACTTACAGCAACCATCACTTAAAACCTAGAAGTGACTTGTCAAAGATGAATTGGGACGCTCTGAAAAGGTGTCGAGGTTGTTAACATCTCAACTGTTGTTAACATTCGATCTCTGAAAAATTAATTTCGTCGATAGTGATGTATGTAGTTCAAATCAAGATTTTTGACGGCTGTTTAGCCAAAGGATCCTACCTTGCTGTCAGAAATCTCGGCGGCATTCTTTGTCATCTATGGTGCTTCCCCTTTGTTTTAACGCGTTTCCACGGTAAAGACATATTCATTGGGCGATTTGGAGATATTTGACTGATGAAAACGCATAGACTTGTTTAGTCTTCGACATTCCGCCGAAACTGGTTCAATTACTTACAATCATTGTTCAGCAAGCTCGAAAGCTCTGAAGGTTAGTTTGTTATTTACAGGTTCCCGCTTTTTTATTAATGCTTTCGGGCCCTCATCTCTCATGTAAAGACCTTTTTGAACTGGGCGGCAATACTGCTACGAATCGTTGCAGCAGATGCTTTCCACTCGGAGGGCATAGACTGCCAGTCAATTTTACCAAATATTTGCTTCAGTTGCATATCTGGAGTTTGCAACTTCAAGTCTTGAAGAAGGCTAAAAACTTTGGTATCAATCTCCTCACGAGACGCGATCGGTAAAGCACGTAAATATTTTTCAATGACTTGAGTTTCAAACCTCTCTCTTTGAGCTAGATCCTCACGGTTATTTTGTAGAAAATGGTTGATCGACTCTTTTCTTTGATTGAGAAGTCTAGTGTACAGGTCGGCCAATGCAAATTCATCTAGAGTTTTGCCTTTAGCATCTATTTCAGAGTTTTTCACACTAGAAAGGACACTTCTGATCGTGGTCTTAGATGCATCATCTTTGGCCTGCATCGCTTTTTTGAGATCGGCTTTAAGGTGCGCAATTGAGCTATCATAAGCAGCTGTGTTCAACAGTCTTGCTGATCCAAATGAGCGACCATAAAGACAAATTCTAAACTTCGACATCTGGCTCCCGCGGTTCATAAGGTTCTTCTCGGCTTTCTTGATAAATGTCTAATGTTAATAGCTCCGGAAACTGGGACGAAATTTGGTAACGTGACAATTAGTTTGAGCTCACGACGAACGGACCGGAATCGTGAAGGAATAATCTTAAACCCACAGGGCTTACTGAGAGTCCTTCAACCAAATCATTGGTTTGTATTATTCTATTATTCTGTTTTGATCAAAATGCTTTTATTTTGTGCGCCACGATAGACAGTGAATATGTAGTAATGTGCGGAAGAATTAAATCGGCACACTTACTTCTCGCTTTCTTTCTCGAGAAACTCAGTCCACATTGAAACAAAGCTTTCAGTTCTAGATCCCGATTTGACATCGTTTAGCCCATTCGCAGTACGGAGAAGACCAGCTTGACGTTTTTTGTCGTTATCCCAGCTTAAAAAACTGGAAATCAATTCTAAGACTTCAAACTTTTTGGAATCTCCGCGAGGAATTGCCACAAATGATATGAGAAGATTGGAAATAAGCTCTTTGTCGACACTTTCGGAATCATTACTTGTCTTGAGCATCGCGAGCGCCTTAGTTAGGTGCTCATTGAGAATGATAGCTTCGTGGCGCAACTTCCCAATCTGGAGCGTTTTTTCCTTACATTCTTGTTGTAATTGTTCCTTGGCTTGAGATTCTGGTTTCAGCTTTTCGATGGTCGATTTTAATTCCGCGTTCTGTTTCTCTAATTTGGCAATTGTGTCGGTCAAGGAATTAATTTGCCGCGACAATCCATCTGCTTCTGCGTCTTTGGAACTGAATTCCCTGGTTCTCAGTTCTTTTTCTTGCACTAACAGGGTCTCCGTTTCGCGTAATTTCGTCTCCAAAGTCTTACGCGCTTCGACGGCGGCATCACGCGTAATTTTCACGCTCTCAAGCTCCTGCGAAAGCGTACGTACGTCTTGATTCTTATTTGCCAGTAAGAGTTCCATTTCTTGCATTTTTCCAATTAGTTGTTGCTTACCTCGTTTGGCCTCCTCTAATTGTGTAGAAGTTTCGGAACGCGACCCTTCAAGGTCTTTCTTCAAAGCTTTGGTCAGCTCGCGCAAATCATCTGAATCTTTTGTTAGCGACTCACATTCGTCATTCAAATCCAAAACCTCTTTATTTAATGACGAAATCGTTTTCGTCAGTTCAGAGTTGTCTCTCAGCGCATTGTCCAATTTATTTTTCAAGCTAAGGTTCTGCGTTTCGTATTCTCGCAGCTGATCCTGGCATGTCTCTAACTCTTCTTGAGCCTCCTTCATCTTGCTAAATACCGTTTTCATAGATGATAACCGGTTAAGTAGGGTATTGTATTGGTGCTCAAAGTGATTGCGCTCTTCGGTCAATTTGCTCAACTCCTTGGAGCGATTATCATCGTTTTCATTACTCTCTCCACTAGAAACTATTTGGGACTTCAATTCCTCAATCTGTTGGCGTAATTCCTTTATTTCATTATCGTTAGATTTTTCAGCTTCATTTTGATCAATGTCCGTCAATTTTGAAGTGACGGAGCTCTCTTCTTCGGGTAAAGCATTGTCAGAAACATTCCCGTGAGGCTTGGAAATCACCACAACATTGTTCCTATTATTAGCTGCCTTCTTCTTGTTTTTACCCATCTTTCTTTATGTATTTAGCCTACAAGCGTGGTGAAGTAGAATCTTCATCGCCGTTTTTCAATTAGCGAAAATCTCGAATCAGCCAAACAGGCCTTTAAAGATAACCGATGGTGGACATCACGGAGTTCTTTGGCAAGGATCAGTCCTCCAAAAGGTCCGTTGGCCAACGATCTGTAAATAAGCGAGTTTCAGCTCGTTCATCGAAGCATAACTCACAGCAACAAGTAGACGTGATCAAAATTGATGACGATGATGCAGATTTAGATTTGGCTTCGAATCTTCAACATGACGAACCCTTGGAAATGATTGAAAAGCCTCCTCAAGCTATGAAGACGGCTAACACGAGAATTAGCGCTCCAAAGAAGAACCCTGTCGAAAAAACGACTGGCACTAATAAGGGGATCAAGAGACAAGAAGAAGCCGAAGCAACAAGTAAATCCAGTGGGCCAAAACTATCAGCAGAAGATGTTTTGGCATCAATTCCAGGTGTAGACCTTTCAGAGGTCCATGTTAAAGAAAATGTAGGTTTTGATTTCCGTGCGAAGCCTCAAGAAAATGCATCTGCCGATTTGGAAAGCATTGATATTCCTGAGGGCGAACCAAATTGTCTTCTGGGACTTACAATTGTTTTTACTGGGGTTTTACCTAGTCTGGAGCGTGGTGCTGCCGAAGCTGTAGCTAAAAGGTATGGAGCCAGGGTCACGAAGTCCATTTCAAGCAAAACCTCTGTTGTGGTGCTTGGAGATGAAGCTGGCCCTAAAAAGATCGAGAAGATCAAGCAATTGAACATTAAAGCTATTGATGAAGATGGGTTTAAGGCTCTAATCAGTGGGATGCCAAAAGAAGGCGGTGATGGCGCTAGAGCTCAGCGAGAACTTAAAAAACTGAAAGATCAAGAGGCTCAAGCAAAATCAGATGCTGCTGAAATGATTAGACAAGATAATGAGCGCTTGGAAAAATTAAAATCAACAGCACCGGAGAATAACTCAGGGAATAAACGAGTATTGGCAGCTGGAGATTTGTTATGGACTACAAAATATGCACCTAGCAGTCTACAACAAATATGTGGTAACAAAACGAGTGTGACCAAATTGAAAAACTGGTTAGCAAATTGGCGTAACGCTCAAAAAAATGGATTTAAAGTCGCTGGAAAAGATGGCTCGGGCGTGTTTAGGGCAGCCATGCTCTATGGGCCTCCAGGCATTGGTAAAACCACAGCAGCGCAGCTTGTTGCAAGAGAGTTAGGATTTGATGTCTTGGAGCAAAATGCATCAGATGTACGCTCTAAGTCGTTGTTAGATGCCACTGTTAAAAATGCTCTGGATAACACGTCTATCGTTGGACTTTTCAAGCACAAGCAGGATACCAACGCGAACGGCCGAAAATTCGTAATAATAATGGACGAAGTTGACGGAATGAGCGGTGGTGACCGAGGTGGTGTTGGTAAAATGGCCCAATTTTGTCGCACGACCTCGATGCCAATGATTTTGATTTGCAACGAACGGAACTTACCCAAGATGCGACCCTTTGATAGAACATGTCTTGATATTCAGTTTCGCCGGCCTGATGCCAACAGTATCAAAGCAAGGTTGATGACTATCGCCGTGAGAGAAAAATTTAAATTGGACCCCAACGTCGTCGACCGCTTGGTTCAGGCAACCCGTGGAGATATAAGACAAATGATTAATTTGTTTTCCACAATTTCGACAACCACGAAGCATATCGGGCACGACAACGCTCAGGAAATAGCAAGGGCCTGGGAAAAAAACATTGCTTTGAAACCCTTTGACATAACGCACAAGCTTTTCGATGGCAGACACTATTCCGAGATTGGGGCGAGACAGTTCCCTCTTTACAAGAAGATGGAGTTGTATTTTGACGACTTTGACTTTACTCCACTTATGGTTCAAGAGAATTATCTAAGTACCAAGCCCTCAGTTCTTGGTCCTGAGGAGACACACCTGCAGGCAGTCTGTGAGGCCGCGGATTGTATTTCAGAAGGAGACCTCGTTGAACGGAAAATTAGAAGCAGCGAGCAACTGTGGAGTCTTTTACCATTTCATGCTATCATGTCTGCGGTCCGGCCATCGTCAATGATCGCGGGTCACATAACAGGTCGAATAAACTTTACGGCATGGTTAGGTCAAAATTCGAAGATGGGCAAGTACTATAGGCTTTTACAAGAGCTCCAATATCATACTCGCCTCACAACCTCGACAAACAAAATTGGTTTGCGTCTCGAATATATGTCAACGTTAAAGCGAAGGCTCCTGGATCCATTAGTAAAGCAGGGAAGCGATGGTATTTCTGGCGTCATAGAGCTAATGGATGACTACTATTTATCAAAGGAAGACTGGGACTCTGTTATGGATTTCATGATAGGCAGTGACAAGACGGATATGATAATAAAGAAAATACCAACTGCAGTTAAGAGTGGTTTCACTAGAAGCTACAACGCTTCGACGCACCCTGTTGCCATATACAGAACTGGATCAACCACATCGATAGGGGGCAAATCAAAAGCAACGCCAGATTTTGAAGACGTTGTTGATGCAGACGATGAATTACCTCCTGCGGACGAAGAGCCCAAGGAGGATACGGACTTTAAAAAAGACAAACTCATCAAGCAGGGTAGACCCAAGACTGCAAAAAAAAGAGCAGCTTCGGCAACGAAAAAAGCCCCAGCCAAGAAGAGAAAAGCGTAAGAGGCGCGCTTCTCGCGCTCTCTCTTCAAAATTCCTTGACCAAACGTTTCTTTTCGCACTTGAAGTCGTACACTTGGCCCTTAACATCTCAAGCTTTATCCAAAAGAGTTGCAGAGCTACCTGAAGATGGTATTTACATTGTTTGTATATCTCACAAGAAATGTAGCTTCGATTTAATTGTCGAAGAGATTGCTTACTTCTAGAACGAAACTTAGTATATGCACATGAGGAAAAGATCAGTTTAAAATAAGCGCTTAATAATTTGCTGTTTATTGTCACTTCAAGATAGAGTACGCTAATTGAGAGTTGGGATTATGGTAAAAAAAGCGAGATATGCTACATGATATGGTCATGGCAAACCGGTCTGCTTCCAGCATCAGAACCTAACGGCTTGCTCTTGGATGGTATACCCCTTGAGACGACAAGGGAAATGGCTAACGTACCGCTTCTTGGAAAACACAAACTGCATCGTAAAGTGGCTTTAGAAATGTTGGGAATCGAATTGCCCTGAAAAAGCGTCCATTAGCCAGGAATAAATCTTTTCATACACAATCCGCCCCGCATTATGGAAAACGATTGAGTGATCAGAATCAGGATAAATTTGCCAATCATAATTTGTGACGGAGTTCAAGTTGAACTGGTCAATCAAATTGAGAGTGTTTTGAAGATGAACGTTGTCATCGGCAGTACCATGCACGAGGAAGAAGCGTTTTACCTTATTGAAGTTTTCAACGTCCTTGATGAGAGAATGCTCGCTGTAACCCACATCATTTTCGTCTGGCTTCCCCATGATACGCTCTGTGTAGATCGAATTGTAAAATTTCCAGTTCGTTACGGGAGCGACTGCGACACCATACTTAAAAATCTGTCCTGCGTCGACCTCCAAAGTTTTTAAGGCCAGAAAGGCGCCATACGACCATCCCCAAATGGCAATGCGGTTTTCATCAATGAGATGTGACTTGGCTTTTATGACAGCTTTCGTTACTTCCCGCAAATCATTCACTTCCCAGTAACCTATTTTCCCCTTGACCCATCTCTTGAAACTCCATCCTCGGCCTCCTGTGCCCCTGGGCTCAATCTTCAAAACTATAGCATCCAGCCCGCTGGACACGCTTTCCTCAAGCCCTACATCAAATCTTGCTGTGACAGTTTGCGATCCCGGACCACCGTAAACTTGTACTAATAATGGATGTTTTCGTTCTTCATCTATTCCTTTTGGCTGGATGAGGGTGTACAGAATCTCTACGCCGTCACTCAATTTAATAACATGATGTGAAGTTTCAGGCATGTCGAACTTCTGCAATGTAGTCTTGAGATTTTCTGAGTTTGTTAGCGGTGTGATTGACCTTGAATGATCATCGCTTAAAATTAAAGTCAAAGGTCCAGCGGTGGTTACAGGAATATTGGGACCCAAGTATTGCCGGATGGCAAATCTACAACTTGCACTTAACTCAAAGGCGTTAAAGCTTCCTTCCTCGGGATTTTGCAAGACCTTTACGCCACTTGTATCTCCAGTGACAGCAATTACTGAATAAATGTGTCGAAATATACTTCCCCTTTCATTTGCAAGAAAGAAAACGGTGTCAGTTTCAAATTCGTACCCAATAATTCCATTCCCAGTCACTTCCCAATCTCCATGGGTTAACTGGTGACCCTCAATGGATTTTCCTCCAGGATAATAAAATAAATGCAAAAATCCTTTTGAATCGGTTTCGACGTCAACATAGCCAAATTGTTTCCTTCCTAAAGACTCTTTAGGTGGGATTACCATAACTTTCTTTTGCTTCTCAATCCATCCGTTATAGGTATTGGAGTAAACAGTTCTCACAGGAGAAACCATTGCGGTATCACAATCGTATAGATTAATTGTCAATTCTTTTGATTCTCGGTCGCTTTCTTTGAAAAGGAATTGGTTTGGTCCAATCCATTGGCCAAAATACAGAATCTTCTCGTGAGACTGCTTTTGACTTTGTAACTCGTAAAGAACTCCTTCTGACATACTCAACGTGAAAAGTTTCACGGAGGGATTTGGGGTGCCTGGTTTGGGGTATTTGACCTGCTTTTGGGAATTGTAGGGTCCATTGCCGGAAAATGACATATAATCAAACGTTTGAACATCAGAATCATCGAATTTAGCAAAAACTAGTTTAGAATCGTCCTCTGCCCACCATACGGCCTCATCGGATGAGAAAATCTCTTCTTCGTACACCCAGTCTGGCTTGCCATTGAATACGGAATGCGAGCCATCAGTAGTGAGCCGCTGCGGTGTCGAACCGAATTCTGTTTGCTGGACGAAAAGGTCGTTTTCGTAAACAAAGTAGATAAAATTGTAGGAAGGTGAGAACTTGGCATAAGACAATTTGTAGAGGGCACCCTCATCTGGAAACGGTGTTATGGGAAGGTAGATATTAGTCGTAACGTCTTTGAGCCAGTAATAGGCCCTGGAGGAATGCCGATATTCTTTTTCGTGACCTGTGGATAGTATCGCCTTGTCGAGACGGTAGGACGGTATAAGATCCTCTATTTCAAACTCCTCGCCTCCATACGAGAAGGTTGTTTTACTCAGCTCAAAATAAAAATGATTGTCTACCATCTGCTTGGCAACATATCGAGAGATTCCATTTGGGGCCTCTACGGAAAGATAAAGACCTGGATCCTCTTCCTGTAACTTATAGCGAGAGCTAGGTCTGATAAATCTCCAATCAAATTCTTGATATGCAAATTCCTTATTGAGAACGTGTTCTATGGAGAATCTTTTGACGTGACTGTCACCAATTGTCAATCGAAGAGGCTTGACTCCCCAGTCGTTCCATTCACGTCTCAGTACCAAAAACTCCACACAAGCGTAGCAAGCTAGCAAGCCAATGATCGCCAAAGCAATTCTTTTCGGTCTCGATTTAACCCAACTCTTAAGTTTCCACCATAATGAATATGATGGACTCTGGGTTTGAATACCTTGGTTTTCTATATCATGCCTAAAATTGGCTGAACTTTCTTGAACTGAATGGAGCTCGTAGTCATGCTCGCTCATGCTAAGTATACTGGAATTTGCTTTCCTGAGGTAAAAAGAGGAGTTCCTCTTTTTAGAGGACAATTCCATATATCAATGGGAATCTCTTTTGAGGCTCCTGCTTTCGAGATGCCAAATAAGGTCACCGGTTGTCGGTTATCGGATGTAAATGAAATCGCACCGACAAGAATAATTGTTCACGTGACAGGCTCTAATGGCAGACATGCGCAATGAGTAAAAAAAAACCGAGTATTCTACGGGTAATCTGTCACATGCCACGCGGGTTACTCATGAGCATGTGCCGACAGACGGAAATGGTTCTTGAGTAACTCATCATCAATTACGTACGTTACCTGTTGCTTACTCATGAATTCTGGTCACCTTAAATGTACTAAATGTATTGTCTGCTAGAATGAAGCATTAGATGTCTCCTGTGAAGTCAAGCTCTGCTCAATTGTATTGCTTTAGTATATCTACGATGTTTTAAGCTGCTCAAAGTAACATTAATTGACATAATATTAAATTTCAGTCATTCATTAGCTCACGCGTCAACTTTCCCATTTTGGTTTGAATTAATTCAAGTACGCGTGAAGTCGAAAATTGTGAAGTTTTTAAAAACATGATGAGAAAACTTGGTGACTATAATCAGAAACATCGATTATAAGAGAGCCTAATATCTACAGTTTGAGGGAGATCGAGATGTCGGAAGCAAGTCCTCGCGTCATTGAGCAGGAAACGTCAAACCAAGCTGGAGTGGCCTATCAGCGGCTACAGGGAGCCGAAGCAAGCCCAAGACCGGAAGATGAAGACAGGAATGTAGAAGCTGCCAGTACCAGCAGCACCCCCTGTGGAAACTCTAAGGCTACACAGGGATGGATGGTAAAATCTTCCCTGTTAAACTTCTTCGACGTAAAGTTCAAGGACGGCAAGAAAACTGCTAACTGTAAACATTGCGGAAAATGTTACAAAGAAGGTGAGTCCACCGGAAATTTGAGCAAGCATGTTCGAGCCTTACACCCGGCAGCTTTTAGAGCCCAGAATGGAAAGATCAGCAAAACGACGGTATTAGATGCTTTGTTGAAGAAAAGAAAGTCACTTCAAATCTCTCAGTCTATATCCAGTGAGTTCAGAAAAAACCCACATACCTTCAGAACGGCTCTAATTGTTGCAGAGGGGTTTTTGCCGCTAAACTTTGTTGAGCTCACAATGTGGAGTACCTTTGGCGACGAGAACTGTCCAGCTCCCATTCGATCTAGAGCGACGTTTGCAAAAAAGCTTCAGAGTTATTCTGCCATGTTAGACGAAACATTGTCTCTCAACTTTCACAATACGCATCTTGTAAACATCCAATTAGACATCTGGACTGCAAGAAGTGGCGAATCTTATATGGGGCTGTTAGTCTCGTTTGCACCTAATGTATGGAATAGAAAGCTGCTGGACGACATGGAAGATCACAGAATTTTACTTAGCGATGATCGCACCGCTCAAAATACCCATCTGCTTGATTTTGTTTCCTTGGGTCAAAAGAAGCACACTGGCAAGAGCATTCTGAGTATTTTTTCAGACCTTTTGAAAAAGCATAATCTCACAGACAAAGTCGCCACGATAACGATGGACAACGCCAGTAACAATGTTCTAATGTACCAATCGTTCATTTTCTCGCGTTTTAACGATAAGCAACCCCTGGCTGGCCGTCTCCTCGGTAAGACGCGCTATATTCGGTGCGCAAGCCATGTATTGAACATACATTTCAAGGCGATAGTTTCAGAGTTATTCAGAAATCCTGACTTTGCTGAAGCACTGCGTAGAATAAAAGTTTTAGCCAAAACTATGAGGAGGTCTCCTCGAATATGCGCCAGTTTGAAAGAAGCTGGTATACCATTAATTCCGCTTGAAGCGCCTACCCGGTGGATGTATACTTGGCGTCAACTAAAACTGTTCCTGGAAAATTATGTTAGCTACAAGTTATGGTTCGAGGGGCATGAGGACGGCGGTGACACGGACATCATCTACATGCTTCGAGGCTACATTTATTTTGATGAGAGAACTTTGAGCATGTTGGATTATTTTGTCAAAAGTCTTCAGGTTTTCAATGACTTTTCGATGAAATTTCAAAACGATTCTTACAACCATCTGTCCAACGGGATACCGTTCTACTACTTGATAGACAGTTTCTATTCTTATTGCAAAGGTGCTCTTCAGGGGCACGAGCTCCCGAAAAAGAGGGCTGGTTCCGATTTTTCATGCTTAAATGGAACGTCAGAGCTCCTTCGCAGCGATAAACGGCTCGTTTTAGAAGCGATTCTAGCATCAAAAAAAAGCCACCAAAAGTATTTGACTTGGGTCCGGCAGGAACCACTGTATTATGTGGCAGTGATATTAGATCCAGGCGCTAAGGCGGGTGCCTTGTACAGAATGATGTCAAACGAAGAGGCCGACGAGCGCATGAAAGAAGCTCTCCAATTCATTCAAAGCTATCTCAAGGAATACGACAGCTGTGTTGATCTGCGAGCCTCAAAACTTGTTGAGAAGCAAGCCACACATGGATCCGGCGATCTCATATTCGACAGGGAGGACTTTCGGGAGACATCTGAGAATTCGCAGGCTTTAAATGATGCGGATACACTAATCCCAGATGATGAGGAGCTTATGGAGGAGTATTACACTTACCTGCGAGAGCCGTTGTTGAAAAATAGGTCTACTGAAACCGCGGTTGCTTGGTGGTACCAACAACGGAGCAGATTTCCGAGGCTCTTGCCACTTGCCATATCCTTATTCTACACTAAATTAAGCTCATGTGAAGTGGAGAGAACGTTTTCATTGGCCTCGAGGGTCATGAGAAAGGATAGAACCCGACTTTCAGCAAGAAACTTCAAATCCCTAATGTTGCTGCGAGACAGATTTGATAGGTTTGGCTTTTATAAGCGTGGCCCCTCTGCGCTCCGTGATGTTTGCAACGAAAAGTATGACATATACGAAGCCAACGATGAGGAGTTAGACCCGTTCGAACTTCACCCTGCCTCTGATGACACTCTTTGCGGCAGTGACAGAGAATTAGATGATGATGATTTAGAACAGGAGGCAGCCGAGGAAGATGAAGAAATCATGCGTTTAGTTGAACAAGATGGTGTGTAATTAATGCTTATAACTTTGGCGCTAGCCGCCTACTGAATCACACCGTACGTAAATTGTCATTAGGTTACTCGTGACGTACAAAGTCATTTACTCATTGCTTACTCAATTTTTCACGCGAGTGAGTAAAAGTCGATGTTGCTTACTTACCTGCAATTACCGGGTAATGGCTACCACTTACTCGAGTTACTCATTGCGCATGTCTGCTCTAATGGCAGGTTTATCGAGTTGCTTGAAGAGCATTTGCGTCTAAAATGGTCTTACTGCAAGTCCCTGACATCGACGTTCGATTGCTAAGACTAAAGGGGTTTTCTTCAATATGTACTTGGTATATAAAGCAAAATTAAAATACGCCTTTAAATAGAGTGAATCGTTTATTGAGCCAAAGCAGCGATTTTGGCAGCAACACGAGCCTTTCTCTCGTCCTTGGACAACTTGTATTGCTTGTACTTCTTGGACTCAGCAGCGTATTGTTCCTTGGTGAACTTCTTCTCGGTTGGCTTGAAAGATGGGTCCTCTCTAATTTTTTCGTGAGCCTCCATGTAGACGTCTTCGACAGCGTCAGCGTCAATGTCGTCAGCCAAGTAACCCTTGAACAATTCTCTGAATCTTTCTTCATCGTCGTCAGCCAGTTCTTCCATGTATTGGGAAACGTGACCAGCGAAGATGTAAGTTCTCAACATCTCAGCGTCCAATTCCTCGGCTTCGTAGTCCCAGCCTGGGAATCTGTTGTCAGAGTGAGGAATGTAAAGACCACCGTCGGAAGCACCCTTGAGAGCACCGAAGACACGGGCACCAGTGGTGGTTCTTTGCAAACCAATGTCCAAAAAGACCTTGAAAGGACGAGGACCGTCTTCGACAGCCTCGGTCAATTGATATTCACCCTCAACCTCTTCGACACCAGGATAGGTCTCGTCAAGACCAAGCTTTTGCAAGGTTCTTCTGGCGACCAACAAACCGGTAGCGTAAGCGGCAGCCCAGTTGGTCAAACCGTGGGTGATACCGTATCTTGGCAACTCATGGGAGTAGGCAGCGGCTAGAACAATGTCACCGGTGATGGTAGAAGACACAATTTGGGTGATGATGTCCTTGTTGGTGAATCTGACCACCAATCTGTACTTTGGGGTGTTGTACTTAGCCTTGTGTTGAGCGACCAATCTCTTTCTTTGGTAATAATCGGTCTTACCTTCTCTTCTTCTTCTGAAGGGAGTTTGGAAACGGGAGTGGTACGCGGAGCTCTTAACTTCCTTTTGGAAAACCATTTTGCTACTGATTTGTGATATTCGATAGGATGTAGCAGTAGATGGTCGGATGGCCTTCAATTTCAAGTATATCTCGTTATTCCTTGAGATGGTCGATGCGCTGATTGTTCGCGTGGGTAGGAATTTTTCAGCGGCTGCTATCGTACGTCATGAGACTGTTGCCATAAAAATTTTATTATCGACGATTTTCATATTCATAAGGTGTGGGTTTGCACTACGTATGGCTTAAATATTTTAGCACCCATACACTTCTGAATAGCAGTCACACTTTTAGCGATGTGATAAATAATATGTAAAAACCCAATCATTTTGTGTATGCAAATGCACAAAGGTGCCTATTGAATTAGGGTGTTCTATGCATATGGAGAGTTCCCTTGCAGACAAGGACCCATGGGAAATCTGACTTGGTGGCGCGTACATTAAGAATAAAACTATGAAGCATGCCCGCGCTTTATACCTGCTGCTCTCTTCTGGGGTAAAGTCACGCTCTTGTTTTCTGAGTAAGCCCTTTGTTACTACCTGTGGGTGCGATGAAAAGCAAGGTCACGTGCCGTGAATGACAGAATAGCTTCAGCTCGGGGGTGTGCTAAGAGACATTGACATACCCGTATAACGGTGCCCGCTATACTCCGCAGCAGCGCTCCGGCTCTGAAAAATGCAGGCTGGAAACCAAATCCAATTCAACGTAAATCATATCTCTCAATAGCACTATCATGTTTGCCATGCAGAGCCGTAACAGCGTACAAGAGCCCTGCCAATTGTCGCTTCCTTTCGTGTGTCTGCTGCAATGCTACCCTTCGTTTCATATGAATATATCTTCGGACCCGTATGGTCGTCTAGAATCATCTTCAACACCGTATGAGAACACGAAAGAACAAGAAAACGAGACACTGACACTACCAGAGCTCAACAAAAATACGTCCAACAGGTAATATATGCAATAGCAATGCAGTTATATGTAATGAAATGCCTCATGTCTGCAAGATTAGCATTCTTCCTCTCGTTTGCCATATAGAACGCTCGGCGTTATGTATCGTTGAGTTTGCAATTTCGATGTATAACTTACTTTCTTTGCGAAATGATAATCACCGGGTCGTTTACGGGGCTTAATGGTGGTATACCAGGTTAGGCAGCTGATGGGCTTTGTCAGGCTGATTTTCTAACGAGGCTTGCACGAAATCAAGGCTAATGGGACTGAAGATGTACTTATAGTATCATTCGTTCGTAAGGAGGTACTGGGGCTTAGTTAGGGTTTCCGATTGAGTAGGAGCCCTCTGTTCACATGTTACAATATAAAAAATACGGCCACGCATAACCCACGTTTAAGATCTGTCTCACAGTTTTCTCTCGGTGTCTTGATTCTGAGTTTTCTGACACTCAATCAAACGTTGGGTAGTGGACTAGTTAGCCTACACACACACGCACATCAAAAGCAGTATAATCTGATCTTCTGCTTCATGTCGATCCCAGGCCATCCCAAAACGCAGATTCTGATCACAGACGTATCGAAGGCCCAGTTCACTAAGGAATGGCCTAAAGCACTTGAGGAGCAATTGTTCAAGACACAGTTCCCGGAACTGAAAAAACACTGCACATACTACACACCATTAGCATTTTTGAATCGGATTGTCATAATATTTGACGACGAACAGGCTACGCTGAAAGTGTACGAGTATCTGGACAAAAATTTCGCCACTGACGGTATCAAGCTATATCTCACCGAGTCTTTGCTGGGCAAGCCCCGTGCCAGAAGTCACGAGGACCTATCGCACGCTTTGCATGAACCTGCTAATGTCGAACCGGCAGCCGATTTCAGCTCCCCTTGCGGATCGCCTTCTTTGTCACCTGAGTCTGTTGACGTGTCGTCTCCGACCGCATTGAAATTCCCTGGCGACGAAAAAATGCGTCTTTACAAGGAACCACCGCCAAAATCGGATGCGCATCATCACGATTCGACTTCGAACTCTTTTGCTGGTGAAACTCAGCTTTTGCACAAACCTCAGCTTTCATTAGACGTTTCCAGCGTCAAGGACTCAAGGGCAGGTCCCTCCACTCCTGTCAGCCCCTCGATAACTCTAAACGAATTCGATCTTTGAGTCTCGTCGGTCTCGTTGCATCTCACCTATTTACATGAGTGAACAACATTCAGCTTGGCATTAAGTGCAGCTGTGTGCTCAGGAATATGTACATATAGCTCAAAATGATTTGGCTCCGTCTTCAGCATCTGATGTGCCAGAGGCCATCACTTGCGGGGAAAGTAGTGGGTCGTTCGTGTTTTCGCCATTCGCATAGTGCGCTTTGAAAAACGTATAGTGCAATATCAGATCGTCAATATTCCGCATTGCCGGATCAGAGGCGAAGTCCGGGTCGATAAAGAAAAAAACGGGCATGTCCACTTCTTCACCTGCGGCAAGCCGTTGTTCCTCGAAACAGAAGCACTGGATCTTGTTGAAATACTGTGCCGCTTCTCCGGGAGTAATACTGTAAGTAGCCATCCCAATGATATCTTTGTCGCTGGTGTTCTTAGCTTTGTAAAACGCAAGGGCCGTCTCGCCCGGCAGCACGTGTACTTCTCTTTGTTGAGGCGTAAATTTCCAGGGCAAAATCTGCGAAACTTCACTTGTGAATGCGACCCTGATTCTTTTCTCTGTGTCTACTGGTACTAGTTTATCATTCGTAAACTTACGTCTATCTGTTATTGGAATACCACCAAACCCAGTTCTGGCGCAAATGGCTCGATATAACGGCACTGCCGCATACGCAAGTCCTAGAAACACAACTGCCAGGCTACTGAAATAAAACGCTGCCGTTTTGTCTTTGAGCTGTCTTTGACGTTGTATATTAACGTCTCGTAAAGCCTTTATTTCTGCCTGTGTTAGTTTGGAAAGATCTATACGGTTCTTGCCTGGCGAATAAAGCCGAGAGAAACAGAGTCGCGGAGCTCGAGGAACCCATGGCTTCGCGAAAGCTATTCTAAACAGCATTCTATTATTGCTGGTTATAATGTTTGGTGATGTTAACGAATAGTCAGTCGAATCTAATTAAACCGGTTGTTTTTTTCATTACCCATAGATGTAAGATCGTCGATAATCGGCAAGACAGAGATGAGACCATATGAAATGTTGATTACCTGACAAGAGGATTAGATCGATATGAGTGAAGGATCAATGCGCAAGCGCAAGAAGGCTGTTAAAGCATGTGTTTACTGTAGGAGATCGCACATGATCTGCAATGATAAAAGGCCCTGTTCAAGATGCGTGAAAAGAGATATCGCACATTTATGCCACGACGAAGATCAGAAAACTCAGCTTGAAGTTCCAGGTTTTAATGATTATTTGGACGGAGTTCCATCGGAAAGCGCGCCGAAGGAATTGATTGCCACAGGTAGTAAAAGGTCCAGTTTCCTTGCCCAGCATCCTACGTTTGTCTCTGAACATGTGGGCTCGGAGTTTTCGTCACTTAACGAATTTTTAACCATGCTCGAAGATCCCTTGGTATTGGACACTGCCGAGTCGTTTAAGGCCAAAAACGTTGTGAATGAGACCAAAGAAGGCCATGATCAGCCTACGTTGAAAGAGAATTTTTTTTTGACGGCCGCTGACCCATCAACTGAGATGACACCGGAAGATAGGCTTAAATCTGTTATCAATGCGAAACTGGAAGCAGGCCTTCTTCAGCCGTACAACTACGCGCAGGGTTATGCTCGTTTGCAGACTTATATGGACAAATTCATGAACGCCTCATCGAAACAGCGAATCTTAAAGCCGTTATCTATCATCCGGCCGGAGTTTCGAGCGATTGCCAGATCATTGAAAGACGTGGATCTTGTCCTCGTCGAAGAGAGCTTCGAGCGTATGCTTCTTTCGTACGATCGAGTCTTCACGTCCATGAGCATGCCTGCGTGTCTATGGAGACGAACAGGTGAAATTTACCGTGGTAACAAAGAGTTTGCATCACTTGTGGATTGCAAAGTAGACGATCTACGTGATGGGAAGTTGGCTATTTACGAATTAATGACGGAGGAAAGTGCAGTGAATTTTTGGGAAAAATACGGCTCGATTGCATTTGATAAAGGTCAAAAGGCAGTTTTGACCAGCTGCAATTTGCGTACACGAGACGGCTTGAAAAAAAGGCCATGCTGTTTCAGTTTCACGATACGCAGGGACCGTTACAACATACCCATATGCATTGTTGGTAATTTTATACCAATACCTTGAAAAAGACGTCAACTCCAGTCGAAGTTGGCGCCTATGCCGCAATTTCTCTTCACCAAAACGCCAACTACGTTGCCCGGTCCAATATTAGCCGATGTTGAAATTTCAAGTGCGTCTATGGTCTCGCAGCAACTAATGAACTCGACTGTTTTCGTGCTTCCAGAGACGAAATTCGAAATAGCAGTATCTACGTCTGTTTCGCAGCAGCCGCTGACATTTGAGATGATCGGATGATCTAATTTACGCTTGGTGTGAGAACCGGTTCTTTTAAGCTTTTTCCACATAAAATCTTTCAGGGGTTCAATAATCGGTGAAAGAACTTCACTGTTGTGAAACGGGATACCATCAGGGTTGGCGAGAGGTATGCTTTTGAAACGAATGGCGTTGCCTTGCGCGAGAACTTGCTTCAATGCTTCCAAATCTTGTTCAAAGCCCGTGACAACACATTGTGTCTTTGCGTTGACGTTTGCCAGTTGCAAGGATTTTGCCCCAAGAGATTGCATCTTAGATATTATTCGCTCCAAATCTCTGCGAAGATCGGTACTTTTGGGTGCTGTGATGGCCCACATTGCGAATTGCATATCCTCGAGTCCCCTTGTGACCTTGTATTGCCTTGTTGTGGCTACCATGAGCTCATGTCTTTTTCTGGCGATATTCATCGTAGTGGGGATATCGTACAAGTGATTTCCCGCTGCAAGACATGACAATTCGCCCAGCGAATGTCCCAAAAAGCACAATTGCTCCTGTGTCCCATTTTCCAGCTGGTAAGCCTCGAACAGAAGCCCTGAACAACCTACAATAGAGTCGGCGCTCGTCTTGCGAGCACCAATGGATTTAACGATATCTGCATACTTAGAGGCCTGAAAAACTCGATTAAACCCATTAAAATTCCGTGTCAAATACGATTCAAACGCGTCGAGGCCAATTGGTGATCCCTGCCCTGGAAAAGTGATCAATTTCATTGTATCGCTTCATTTCTTATCAGTTGAGAGTCATCTCTAATTCGAAAATTTTTCATGAAATGACTTGTAATATAAAAAGGTTTTGATATTTCGATAACAAAATAAAACTAGGGACAAGGACAAGGACAAATCGTACAGGAGAGCCCCTTTAAGAACGAGATGACTGACGCCAAGCCACTGCCTTTCGTGTACCAATTTGCGGCCGGTGCCGTAGCAGGCATTTCGGAGATCCTTGTCATGTATCCGCTGGATGTGGTCAAGACGAGAATGCAATTGCAAGTTTCTGGAGGTAGCGGACCTCAATATAACGGAGTGGTCGATTGTTTGAAACAAATTGTGGCGAAGGACGGATTTTCGAGGCTCTACAAAGGTATTTCGTCGCCCGTGGTGATGGAGGCTCCGAAGAGAGCAACTAAATTCGCGTGCAACGATGAATTCCAGAAAATATACAAGCGGGAATTTGGCGTTGAGAAGTTGACGCAGGGTCTCAGTATTTTGAGTGGTGCATCCGCCGGTTGTTGTGAAGCGTTTGTCGTAGTCCCATTCGAATTGGTTAAGATCCGCTTGCAAGACGCATCGTCGACTTACGCGGGCCCCATCGATGTGGTTCGCAAAATCATCCAAAAGGAAGGTGTCTTGGCAATGTACAATGGGCTAGAATCGACACTGTGGAGACACGGTGTGTGGAACGCGGGTTATTTCGGGATTATCTTCCAAGTGCGTAGCTTACTGCCCGAAGCCAAGACCAAATCCAAGCAGACCGCCAACGATCTGCTCGCGGGTACCATCGGCGGAACCATTGGGTCGCTGATGAGCACTCCGTTTGACGTCGTGAAGTCCAGAGTCCAAAACACGGCGGTCGTCGCGGGGCAGGCTCGGAAATACAACTGGAGTTGGCCCTCGCTTTTCACCATTTACAACGAAGAAGGATTTCGCGCTTTGTACAAGGGTTTCGTACCTAAAGTACTCAGACTCGGACCCGGAGGTGGTATTTTACTTGTTGTTTTCACCGGCGTCATGGACTTTTTCAGATCTGTCCACTACAAAGATTGATCGCATAACGCGCTCGCGACCACGGTTTGTCTTGCTTGTAATACTCATTCGGGATATAGTTACTCATACATTTTCAATTTTTACCAAGAAAACTATCTGTACGTTCTACCAGCCCTCGTCTAAAGGTGAGATTTTGACTTTACACAAAAGGGCACTAAGATGAACGAGAATGGTCTCTCCGATGGACTTGACGCTAAGTGCACCATAAAAGACGGTATACTAGCAACACGGTTTTATAGTCCTGGTTTTTATAATCCGCACGATTATTGGTTTTCTAAGAAGACTTAGACAGATATCTTAAAACGATTCGCAGCCTTTTATAAATGAAATTTTGTTTACCCGGATTTGGTGATAACTTTTTGATACCTCTAAAGGGCACTTTGGCCAAGAGCTGGCTAGGGGACAAATCGCTGGAAAGCAGTAGACGAAGTTACCTAAAAGCTATATTCGATGGCTCCTGATGCGCTCCCTACTAATGAGACAGGCGAATCGTCCGTTGTTGTTCGCTTTTCTGACGTTGAAATTCCAGACCTATCATTAAATGTTAATAATATCCCATTGCAAGAGATCAATACCAAATGGCTTCGAACGATGTGCAGGCAGCTGCGTGGGCGTTTCACAAATGGACGACGTCTCAAATTTATTAGGAACGGGAGAATGCTGAATAGCCATTCTGATTTGCGTCTAGAAGAGTACTTTGATGCGGGAAGTCCACAATTTTACGTACATTGCATAGTCGGACAAGAATTGTCACGAGATGAGTTGTCGCGTGAAGACGCTCTGGATGACGCTGTTCAGAACACGGAGGGCACTACGACACAAGCGATCGGTTTCGATCGTCTGCGCTCCGTAGGGTTCAGCGATGAGGAAATAGAGCTGCTCAGACAGCAGTTTCGTACGACGTATGGAGACCTGGACGAGTTGTCGCGCACCAACGGTAACGAAGCCCGGGACATACGTCAATTAGAAGAGCAATGGATGGAAACGGGGGCCAACGAAGAAGACTCCCGGATCAGTTCGGTCACAATAGCGGATTATAAACATAATGTGGATCTTTTGATCGGACTTACAGTGGGATGCGTCTTGGGGGTTTTCAGCCTGTTGCTGTTCAAGCAAGAGGGTCTGTTCAATAAACGCCAGAAAATGGCCATAATCGGTGGGCTTCTATTTAACTTTATGTTCGGAATTTTACGCAGGTATTAATGAAACGGTTGAAACGTCTATTCCTTTTTCTGATGGTTCTGCGCATCGCCCTGCGGATGGAAAACCCTGTCGAGCAAATGTTCGATGGGTTTATCAAACACGTATGGTAGTGCTGGCACGACACTAAGACCCAATCCAATAGGGCCCCACGTTCTCAGCGCAGCGCTTTTGGGAAACTGTTTGTTGATCCATTTTCCTGAGTATTTCACAGCAGAATGGATCGTGAACGCGGGGAGTCCCATAGAGGCCACGCTTTGAAATATCATTCTTTCCAAACCTGCCATCTTCCAGTCTGGAAGCGATTTTGCGTGCGCGGAATCGGCGAGTTCCTTGTCCACGGAAGGTAACGGATCCCAGGGCTTCAAGCCGGGCCTATATCTCCCCTCTTTCTGCAGTTTTGTCACCCACGCCACGTAAGAAACATCTCCCAAGATATATAGCCAGGAAATACCATATCCCAGAGTCACTGCTGCTGGTGGGAACACGGGTCTGAAAGATTCGCCGATATCGGAAGTGTATGCGACGTATCTATGAGATGCCAGTGCGATTGTTCTCAAACGGCTAGCGTAAGCGGCGTAACGGACACTAGAGTCGGTGCTATCCGGAACACGATCCGTTGTGGAATCTTGTGGCACGCTAGACATGGTAATTACAACGTTGTTTCTGGTTTGTTCTGGTATAGGCTGGTTTTTAAGATATAACGATTTCCACATGTCAATTCACTTTAGCAGTAGACGGCTGTGGAAACCCGTCGACTAGGATAATCGTGGAAACAGTAGAAGTCCTGGAAACGTGAGCGTAAGATACCCGAAAATTTGTAGCAAATGCTTAATATACAGTATTTAATGCAGTAGCGCTGTTTAGCGACGAATTAGCAAATATGCGTTTTCCTGCTTGAGATTGCTTAATCCACGGTAATTGCCTTCGAGGCGCATCAATAGTCCACCAAACGAGTAGTACACAGCGATCAGGTCTTTCTTCCCGGCTACTTCTTCAAATCTGTATGCGGTTCCGTACATGACGTAGTCGTAGTCGTCTGCAAGTGTTCTTTCACCTGGACGAGGCGCTCTCCAAGACGTTTGGGTCATTTCCACGCCCTCTGGAGATAATGTAGACGAAAGCATCACCGTGAGGGAGTCGTTGACCTGTACAGGGAACAACTCCGTATTGACGTCGACGGTGAGCTTGAATTCTTGCGACGTCGATTGTGCCTCGATACGTGACACTTTGTTGTAGCGACCTTGGTCTACATCAATGACCTGGAAAATGTCGTCGAAAAGCGTCGTGGACATGATGGTTGGGCACTTACAGTTGGTCAGCTAGTTGGTGATTCTCTTACGATCTAGTTGGGTTCAAGTGCTCATCTCGAGTTCTTGAAAATTTTCTAGTATGTAATGACTAGGAAGAGAAAGCGAACAGACGACCTACAAGCATGCAAGCAAGCGTATGCCGTGGTTGATACTTCCGACTTCCGGACAGCGTACCAGCTCAAATCGAACTCTAATGAAAAGCGGGAAATTACAACTATATACCAATATTTCTGCGGAATGTGTAAGAGCGCATGCGTTCAACGACCAGCGCTATGCGAGAGCGGCGCACGAGAGCTGCGCGCGCACTATTTCAACACCGTAGCCTTTCTCTTGGACCTGTAGTCCTTGATCGCGGCTTTTATGGCGTCTTCGGCGAGCATACTGCAGTGCAGTTTGACCGGAGGCAGACTCAGTTCGCGTGCGATCTCTGTGTTTTTGATCTTGGCGGCGTCTTCCAGCGTCATCCCGCGTACCAGTTCCGTCATGTACGAACTGGACGCGATTGCGGACCCGCATCCAAAAGTCTTGAATTTCACGTTCTTGATCACGCCAGTCTTGTCGTCCACCTGGATCTGCAGTTTCATCACGTCGCCGCACGCAGGCGCACCGACAAGTCCCGTGCCCACGTCTTGGAGTTTCTTGTCGAAGGAGCCCACGTTCCTGGGATTTGTGTAGTGATCGATGACTTTTGGATGATACATCCTTCTGGAGCCTGCAGCGAGCCCAAACGGCAAGCCACTTCTGGAAAAGGAGCTCCTAATACTCGCAGGTTCCATGCCTGCTACTATGCCTGGTCCTCTGCGCACAAATACGTTTCCAAACATTGCTGGTTATTTGCCTATTGGGGATGACAGTGGAGCTTTGCAGAGTTTGAAATCGATTGTTCTCAAATACCAACTGTTAAAGATTACTTATATAATACGGGGTGTAGCTGCAAACCTAGACACCTATTCCAGAGTCGGAGATGGCTGGAGTTAAACCAATGGGTGCATGAGGGGCAGAAAACTGCACCCGAGGCCGGGTAACGGAACTGCGATGTAGTCACCGTTACTCATCGGAGCGAGAAAAGAAACGAGGGAGAGCAACCGGAGATAAACAAGGAAACACCGTTTGTCCATTTTATCTCCGTTCATCGCGTGACCATCTTGTCTAGCCGGGTAACTGTTTCGTATAACGCGATACCCGGAATCGTGTGTATGGGTTTTGTGTCGCTTTTGACGGTCTTCTGGTGTGTATCTTTGTACGAATAATCACGTGCCGGACGCCCGCACGCTTTCGTCCTTTCGTCCGGCGGCGGTCTCCGCCAGCGGCCTCTCCTTAGGAAAACAAACCAAAACAAAGTCGTTCTTTCCCTTCTACATGTCCCTCCGCGGCCAAACACAACAAACAACAAACAACAAAACCGACAAGAAACCCCGATGCAGGGCACAACAAGAGTGATTGTGAACATTTACAAGTGAATGTGCCCTTCCCGACGAGTATCGGCCACCCTTTCTTATGTACTCGTAGGTATCATCAACGGTCCGCGGCAGACGTTCCTCCCGAGACGTGAACCCCTTACTTTTGTGGGCAGCCCAGAAAGCAGTTCAAGAATCGAAAAGCTGGCCTGCGGAAACAGGGGAGTCTCGTTTCGTTAGCAGTGCGTTTGTGGCAGCGCTAGGGGTGCGGACGTGCCGCCGAGGGGACCAAAGGAAAACGGAACGGAAGCCCCGCGGGCGAGACGGCCCGCGGGTGTAGCGCGGCATGCCGGGCTACACCCGCTACACCCGCTACGCCCGTTGCGGGTGAAGCGGGTTAAAGCGGGTTGAACGGCGGAGTTGGATATACGCGCCGTCCGCGCCGAGCCTTTTGGCACCAAATTCTCGAGGAAGCCACTGGGAAGATGAGGTGCAAGGAGGGGAGCGAAGGAGAGGGGAAGAGCGGGGAGGGTTGTGGGTGTAGGTTGTCCTTACTCATCCGCACAGAAAAGCAAGCAGGGGTCGAGAGAACAGAAAAAAAAAGGGGGTGGGCACCCGCGCGATCACATGACCAAAGACGTGAGAACTTTTTGAAGTTTCTCAGATAGGGCGGGTAACACCGCTCGCTGTTCGCATATGGGTCGTCTGAAGTTGTCCCAGAGTTCCATTAGGTGAGATCCCTTTTAGCATCTCGGGCTTACAATTCAGACTGGACGATCGCGGTAGTGGTCACACCAGTGTTTTAGAGCATCCAGACGGATGGGGAACTTTTTGGACGTTGACGTCGACGTAGACTGGCTATACAAGGGCAAGCGGAAACACAAAGAGCCCCGAAAAGATGTGCGGAAAGAAGTACGGAAACCGCGGTCATCGTCGGTGTCCAATGGCTCTCTGAGCCATTCGAACATTTCTGCCGCGTCTGTGGGAGATACCAAGGTGCCAGCTGCTGCTGCAGTACCGGTTCAACCTGCAACAACAGCCGCGGCGGCTGCGGCTGCGCCGCCGCCGCGGCAGACGCAAGCCCAAGCCCAAACTCAGATCCTACCACAGACTCCAGCGCGAAAATCAAGCGGAAGTGTGCGAACGAGCGTCGACGGTGAAGCCGAGGGATCAGGACTGCGGCGCTCTGTCTCGAACGGCGAGAAAGCACGCAAGTCCCTGTTCGGGTCGTTGTTTCGCCGTAACAGCAACAGCGCAGCGGACAAAATAACGCCCAGTCTCGGTTTGAAGGGCGACAAAAAAGACGGCGGCAGCGAGAAACCCGAAAAATCGGCTGCAATGTCGATTCCTAAAGTGCGGTCTCGCTCGGCGTCCAACTCGAGCGGCACGCAACCACTGGCAGCCGCGATGGCGCATTATCTAAAGGAACCTTCGTCGCCCGAAGTGCGAGACCCACCACCCATACACGAAGAGCGTGTCGTTTTGAATCGCAACACGCGCAGAGAGTCCACACCCATCGAGTCTCTGTCCAAGATAAACCTCGGCCGCGTGCGGTTTGCCGTCGACCAGTTTGGAATGGACCCACCACAACAGATTCCTAGCCGCAAGCCTCGAAGAGGTAACGTGCTTGTGCCGGAAGACATGATAAGTTCTACTCCTTCGATCTCGGTAGGTATCACCAACACACAAGGCAGCATCGAACAAGCCTCGTCCCAGTATTCGAAGGATTCGCGGGATTACAAAATAGCGCTGGACGCCCACCGTCGCGCCTTACAAGAGTCCAACAAACATCAACAAGAGGCTCACTACGCAGCTCAACGGATAGCCACCGAAGTGAGCAATTTCAAAACCAAGGCAGGTAGCGGCGCACCGGCGACTGCGTCAACCTCGGCCGCAGCCAATGCCGCTACCGCTGTCCCTGTAATTGATGAAAAAATGCGGAATCTAGAAATTGACAAACCAATTCATATGCATGAAAACCATTTTCAAGAGGACATCGACTCTCACGCTTCAAGCGCAGATGACAAACTGACATTAGACAGAATATACACCAGATGTTGTCATCTCCGCGAAATATTACCCATTCCCTCGACCTTGAGACAGGTAAAGAACAGAACTGCACCATTGCAAACGCTCAAATTTTTAAATCCTCGACCTACACTCATAGACATTCTATCCTTCTGCGATTTCATTTCCATTGTTCCCATTCACAACATAATATTTGACAACGTATATCTGTCTCCGGAGATGTTCAGAATTGTCATGTCTTCGCTCGTGAACTCCAAATTTGTCGAGAAGGTTGGACTTAGAAACGTCACAATCGATGCCGCTGGCTGGAAACTCTTATGCAAATTCCTTTTGATGAATGAATCAATTGTGAAATTAGATATCTCTCAAACTAAGATCAAGTCCGACACTCGCGAAGAACTATTACGGTCAAACATGGATTGGCAACTCTTCATCAACATTTTACAGTTAAGGCGAGGGAGACCTCTGGAAGAGTTACTAATCAACGGCATCAAGTTTGAAAGCTTAGACACTTTCATACATCTTTTGAACGCTTACGCTATGGCAGGTGTTGGAAACAAGAAACGCCTGGGGCTTGCCCAGTGTGACCTTAATGCGCAACAGCTCAAGTTCATCTTTACATGGGCCAGTGATTATAAGGTTCAAGGCGTGGACTTAGCATTTAATGATTTGAGCGACTTTATCAAGCCGCTGGTGGGTAAATTGAGTACCCTGAGCTTCCCAGATCTTCAGTATTTCACTCTTAACAACACCAACATACAGAGTGCCTATGACGCTGCTTTAGTTCTTCGATCTCTGTCAAAACTGCCCAATCTTTACTTTTTGGATTTAAGCAGCTTGCCACAGATCTTTCCGGACATCCTTCCCTATCTGAACAAGTATCTTCCTCGGTTTGCCAATCTTAAGCGGCTTCATATCGACAATGAAGATTTTTCAGGTCGAGAATTGGCAATGATGGCCAGCATCCTAACCAAATGCAAGGAACTTTTGCACGTTTCGATTCTGAATTTACCAAAAGAAGCTTTGAGTACGGGTGCTTGCGCAGGTTTGTACGATTTTGTCAGGCAATCGAGCAAAGTTACAAACTTGGATGTTGACTACGCGAATATTCCAGATGAAATTTCTTCACGTATTGCCCTGAGTCTCATGCGTAGAATGCAACATGACTTTGAATTCGATGAAGTGGCGAGTCAAGACGATTTACTCTTTGATGGCACTTTACTCGCAGAAACAGCGGAAAACATGTTTGAAAAATTTAACAATTTCGAGGGTATAGAGACAGATGCCACCAGAAGGTATCTACTCAAGAGGTATTGGGAGAAATTTACTCGGGTTGACCATAATGTGCAGAACACCATTGACCAACTGTTTGAAAAGAGAAGTAAAGGTGAATTAAATCTTCAAGGGAAGGAAAACTTGCTCAGATTGCTTTTGCTAGAGAATAGTCTTTCGAATATTCTGGATGTTTTGAAATCGCATCCTCAAGTTGCCGAAATGGTAGGGATTGAGACCACTGCTGGTCAAACACTGACCGATAGCGATCCAATGACTGCCAGTGTTGACACTGAAAATGGCGCCCAAGTCAGACCTCACTTGATGGCTACGGACTCTGGAAGAACCATAGATTTAACGACTGGAAGGCCGATCTTATCGAAAACCTCTTCGCATGTGTCGTTAGTTGGCAAAAAGCAAGAGGAAGAAGAAGGTGAATTCCATAAATGGGGTTTCTTTGTCCAGCAACAACGGTCGATTTATCCCGACAATCCCCCCGAAAAACCGGCACACATCAAAGAAGTCACCAAGACAAATGATGAACAGGTTTTTAAGTCTTCTTCAAGCTCTCCTGGACCAACTCAACAACCACCTCAAGCTCTGGTAGGAAGAGTCCCCACGGGAGCCGAGCTCAAAGATGCGGTGATGAGAGCCAAAGGTATCAAATCGATAGAAGAACTGATACAAAATGTAAATCACAACCGCGTTACATTAGACAACATTTATGGACATCCGGTCCACCCCATGTCCTCGCATTCTGATGAATCTGCCCAAAAGGCTTCGATAATTAGCGCAGCTTTCAAATCTAGTGAAAGCGGTTCTGATATTTCATCGGATGAGGAAAAAAATGAGAAAGTGGATGAAACTTATGACATAGTTCTCAACAATTTGAGCCGCACTAGGTCGAACAAGTAGTTCGTAGCGTTTCTTTATTACATCATTTCGATCGCTTGGCGCTTGCATCTTATCAAATCGCCCGCTATTTTACAGATAATCAATGAATTTTCACTGGTTTTTTACTGGTCTTGCAAGATAAACTTGGTAGCCGACTGCATTGTGATAACCCCAAAGAATTTAAATATGTATTCTGATATGTAGTTTAGCCTTGATTGACAAAATGGTGAAGACAAAATCAGTGGAAGTCATAATAATTTGTTCGTGATGGCGCCGTAAAATTGATGACCCAAGCTAGGGCTGCTAGATGATGCAAGTCTGTAAATGGACGCAAATCCGAGACCAACGAGTGCTAGAAAAACAGATGTGAACCTTTTTCTAGCCTCTAGTCGCCAGATGTTCGCATATTGGCAAGTCCCGGCCACTATGTGGTATGCGCCTGTTGAAATAAGAAGCGAGAGAGGTATTATACCAGCGGCCCATTTTATAGTTGAACTGTTGTGCTGGAGAAGCCATTTAACAAAATCAAAGTCGATGTCGATATCTAAGCTTGCCGGTATCCATTTCATGAGTCTCATATGATAGATAATCACGGGAATCAGAATATAGCCCGATAACGCTTGTGGAGAATATGCCAATTGACGGTAAGATCCGACAAAATACCCAGAGAGTCCACCAACTAACCCAATATTTCTTTGAGAAGTTCGCTCTCTCTCGTCACTGATGGTGTATCCCTTTCTGCGGCGATGCAATTTTCTGGTTATAATTGACCAAACTCGCAATACCAATCCGCTACAAACGTGAACGCCCATAGATGCTAGTAAGAGTTTAGAGGTAAATGAGGGCAAAATCTCCCTTATCATCATCAGAACATCATTTGGGGCGCTTTCAGGCGAAATACCGGGTATAATCAAGGTATTTGTTGCGTGAAGCGGGAAATACATCATCACGGGCCATACCGAATATTTCTGTATTCTGTGCAAGCAGCGTCTGATGAAAGCGGGTTCAAATATCAACGGCAACTTCCTGGTGCCTTTCTCATCATCTGAAGGACGGTAATCCGTTAGGGGCTCGGGTGTTATTTCTTGTAAAGCCATCTTAGTGATTTTCGGACTCATCTCATAAACTTTCAAGGTGACTGGAATTTTTCGAAAGGTATATGACGGATCGCGTTGAAGCTTGAAAAACTAAACAAGCCAAAGATCACATTGCCTGATAGCTTGGCCTCCTTCTAATAGGTGGTCCGTTGGATTCTAGGCCTTTGAGCATGGTTCCTCTTCCAGAATGGTGTCCTCCTCTTGATACTACAAAATACGATCCGAACACCTGCGAAGAGCTGTTCTGCATTTGTAAAAAACCCGATTCTGGCGAATTAATGGTAGGATGTGATGGATGTGATGATTGGTTTCATTTCAAATGCTTGAGAATTCCATTAGAGTATAAGGAGTTGGTGTTTTCGTTCTATTGTCCATATTGTCAAGCTGGTGTCACAGGACCTGGAGCAATTACTGGGAAGCTTCCGAAAACCGTTTGGAGACGCAAATGTCGAGTGTCTGATTGTTACAGGAGTTGTGACGAAAATAGCAAATACTGCAGTAAAGAGCATGGAATTGAATACCTTCGTGGAATTTCGCGACGCTTAGACTGTGGACGGTATGGGTCGCGGGAGGTAATTCACAAAATGACAAGTGGACGGAGTTTCAAACAATTTCGAGAAATTGGGTCCCTTGGCTTGGCACCGGCTTCACGAGACCTCGATCCAGACACGTACGATGCCATTTTTGGCAGTGGCGTTTTCAAAGATGACTTGGACGTCAAAATGTCAAGATTGATTGAAGCCCAAAGACTAATTACTGAGGGCACGCTTCCGACACTTGACAGGTATATCGCATGGATCAAGGTCGTCAACGAGCTTCTTTTCAGTAATGGTGGTGCCGAGGAGAAAGGTGATGGTAGAACTCGCAAGAAGGCTCGTGCCCCGCGGGGCATTTGCGGATTCAGCGTCGACAAAAAAATTCCACGCGATGCTGCTGATTTCGTGCGACAATTTCACGAAGAGAAGGAGACCGTTGAAGATTTGCATGGAGTGTGTTGTAAAGTGCGGTGCAGCAAGCATCTAGACTGGACAGGCATTGAGCAACGGACGCTACAGTATGAACAGGAATCCGTCCAAACGTCGTTACAACGTATAGATTTGCTGAAAAAACAACGAAACGAAGAATTGACGCTGCAATTCCACGAAATGCTATTGCGAAAGCATAAGATATGTAACAAAGTTGGAGGCGGGGCTATACAAGATACAACGCGCTGACGCTACTTTAACGCCACTTTCACTAGAAAGATTTATTACCGCAAAGTGAGGAACTATAAAGGGTACCATATTTTGACGTAGCTGGCACTCTCATAGAGTCAAGGAGATAGATGGTGGGCTTCGAACACCTTACCCATGCATACTCAAACTCCATCTCACAGTGCGGAGTGATAACTTGTATATACTCAAATGCTTGTTAACGACACCGTTACCAAGAACGATGAAAAACAAAGACTGGTGAAGATTGAAATGCTGAACTCTCAGTCTAAAAGCATTGGTTCAATTAGCATGTTTCTCATCCAGTAACCGTACTTGCCGAACCGGAGTTCAAAGTTGAATATGAAAGTTATATTGGTGGACCCGAAGAACTCAAAGAAAACGCGTGCCAGGGACACTGAAGCATCGCAAGAGTCGAAAGTGGGTAACAAAAGTAGTGGCACAGGCGATAGTTTGCCGGTGGTTTTGCATAAGTTTGAGGGTGGGAAGATAGAGAAGATTGTACTAGGTCAGAAGAAAGGATCCCGACAACAACAAACTAACAACGAACGATGTGATCTCGTCATCAAACAGCATTCGAAATTTCAGAACTGGGAAAAGCAAACACATGTGGCAAACCATGGCAAAGCAGGTGTTTCTGCTCCTGGTCCCCTGACTTTTGTTTCGCCCGTGGACGGCATGTGCTCGCTAGAGTACGCTAATGCATGGCAAACGTCATTTGACTTTGATGGCCAAAAACCGCTGAGGCCACTGTTTCGCATACAAAATTTCAAGAAACCTAAAAGACCTCGACGTGGCGTGGCGGGCTTGGGCACCGTCCGTCTTGAGAATTCTACCAAAAATATCATGAATCAGAATTTCAACCCCGAAGCATCGTCCAAGGGTGAGTAATTGACGACCTTGCGCCAATCGGGGAACCATTTACCGACTTCAGCAATGCTATTAACAAATTCTTTCTTCTGCAACGCCCTGTCCCTGACGTCGATTACATAAGACAACCCAGCTCGTCGTTCATTTTCACGACCAAGAACGATCAAAAAGCCGGCAATCTTGCTACTCTCGCCTTAACCGTTGAAACGTCCACGTCATTATGCTACGCAAACCACCGGCCTTTTCTGGGGGGAGGCCATCTGTGGGTTACCACCCGATGCGACTGCTGCTTGTGCGGCGAAGCCACGAGATATGATCGAGGAAGCCGGGTAAGCATTTTAATGATCCCATTTTCTCAGGTGGTATAATATAGGTAGAGATCAACTTGATACTGTCTCCTAATTTGGCCTAAACGATGCGGGAAGTTCGCGCAAAGGACAAGAGATCATTGCCATGAGTGGTATGTGTTAGGTCAATCGGGAAGTGTCAATGAAATGCATTGAAATGAATTGAGATTTGCAATTGCAATTTGCCGAACAGCTTCTAACTAGGAAACATTTCAGAGCCAAGAAAGAATAAAGTTCGGAACGAGGAATTTAAGATTTGGAAGAAATCAATTCCCTCGCTTTATCAGCATATATCAAGCTTCAAACCGGCGTTTACCACACTGTTTGACAATAGCGATAAAATTCCGAAAGCGGTGACGTTTTCGCATAAAATTGAGCCTGACAGAGAAAAAGGTATATTGAATGCTTCACTTCTTTGTTCTCAAGGGAGTGAAGTGTTTGAAGTTGAATTTCAACTTCCACTTGGGCTGCACACGGTAACAGGAGATCTTCCAGAGCCTCAATTCGATCCTAACCTTGCAAGTATGGCGGGCCCCGTTTCGCCAAGGTGGATCTATCAGGGTGAAACAATTATCAAGTTGGAGTATATCGGAGGTCCCGACGCGGATTTCATCGCAATGGCCTCAAATGGATCGTTGGCGTGGTTCAAGGAGGAATGCAAAGTTCCTGTCTACGTGATGGCCGAAATGATGGGCCCCTCGACGAGTTACTCCATGATACACACTCAGAAAGCCCGGAACGAGATTGTCGTGGATTTTGCCTCCTCGGTCGACGGAGAAACCGTAGTCAAGTCCCAGCAAAGCATGACCAACGGTGGACGCGACGAACACAGCATTCTCAAACTAGTAGACAACTCCCAGTCGCCTGGTGAACTCTTGCGGACCATTCACATCAAGGACACCACCGTGACTCACACGGTCAAGTTCCACGACAACCATTTATTCAGCGTGTGTTCGGATGACAACCGAGTGCGCTTTTATGACACGCGTGGCGACGGGCTCCCATTGTGGAGTTTGACCGACGTGAACAGTGGGAAACTGACCTGTTTCGATGTTTCGCATGTGGTTCAGACCTTGTTTATCACGGGTTCGAGTACTGGTGTGCTGAAGCTCTGGGATTTGCGGACTATAGCATCTGCGATGCACGCGAAAACGGAACCCATGGAAATCGTGAGTCTATACCACTCGGGTGGAGATTCTGTTGCTGACGTCCAATTCAACCCTTCTTCACCTAGCGAGTTTATTTCTGTTGGAGGCAGTGGAAACGTTTACCACTGGGATTTAGAATACGTTTTCGCACGCGATGGAGAACATAATGGTGACGAACTCATGAATTCAGAAGAATTGCAACAACAATGTCTCAAATTTTTACACACAGGTGGTGGCAGAAGGTCCATTGGGAGTTTGAACAAAAGAGGTACTGTAGCTGTTCATCCTATCGTTGACGGTGTTGTTGGCTGTGTCGATGCCGATGGCCTACTCACGGTGTACAAGCCTTTCATCGGTAGAGATGGCAGCGACGAGGAAGAAAGTGAGGTGGACGCTGACGCTGATGCTGATCTTGACGCTGCCGAGTAGATCAAGAACCATGGAATTCGGTCTTTCTTAATTTTTTGTCTTTTTTAATATATATATATACATTGACCTTACGATGTAGCATGCATTTAATGAATTCCATTGATTCCACCACTTTCACAATATTATAACGACACTAACATCAAAAAGTGAATTAAAGCCGGACTAACCACAACTCTCATAAACGCAATCATTAAGCTTATATGTGGTGGACCCCATTCCCACCGTTTGAATCAAATGAACCGTAGTATTCTACCTAGTTAATCTATATACCCTGAGTTCATATTAGCGGTAGCTTCTCAAGTAATTAGCTTCTAGTTAGTGCTATAAGCCGTGAGCTTCTGGACGAAATCACCGCTTTTATACTCATTTGACGCAAGGCCAAGAGTCGGGTTTACCCTCAGTGTCTCCAGACGAGTTTCTGCTTTTATAGTGAAGCGTGGTCTTAATATCAAAAGTTTCAAGAAATTAAAATCATTCCAACTTTCTCACAAGAACACCAAGAAAAACAACTGGCGGTGAAGGATACGGCGCCGCCGAAAGGTTAGGCTTTGGAAGGTGGTGAGTCGAAAATAAAATATTATCTGTGCGTTTCTTAAACTTGGCCCATTTTTATCGCATTGTTGCACAGATATTGGTAACAAAAGTTGAGTGCAGCTTGGCATTATGGCATCTCTTTTCAAGCCTCCGGAATCTTTCAGAAGGAATTCTAAATCTCCCAAACTTAAACTGCCGCCGGCTTTGAAATACACTACAAATGATATAGAGGCTCAGGCCTCGGGAAGTACACCCAATATTATGACCCCAATTTCGTCGACTTCTTCGAAAACGATAACGATACCCTATAGCAACAAGTCATCTTCGTCTTCGTCCTCGATAACAACGTTGAAGAAAAGACCAGTACCTCCTCCGATTCCACAACTTTGTGTCAATGGTGAAAGTACGCCTGTGGATTCAAAGACAGATGTCGAAGCCGTGAGAAGTTCGATCAGTAATCTGTATCTCGACAAAGCTCATTTGAGCCATAACAACGGCTCTGCATCTTCTATAGACTCATATCCGTCAGCTGTGGTCCAGATCTATGACAGTGCGAGCAGTGAGGTGGACTCACCTCGTATGTCACCTCTACGCGAGTCCAAGACAAGGTCTGCTGATATTGATGAACTTGAAGACGAAAGCTGGCAAAACATAAATTTAGAAGACCAGATATGCGAACTCGGAGTACTTGGCGAAGGCGCGGGCGGATCGGTTTCGAAATGCAGGTTAAAAAATGGCAAAACAATTTTCGCGCTAAAAACTATAACGACACTGAACTCAGAGCCGGATATTCAAAAACAGATTTTTAGAGAACTTCAGTTCAACAAAAGTTGTAAATCTGACTACATCGTACGGTACTACGGCATGTTCGTTGACGAAAGTACCTCTTCCATATACATTGCAATGGAGTACATGGGGGGACGCTCCCTGGATGCGGTCTATAAACATCTCTTGAAACGTGGGGGCAGGATAAGCGAAAAAGTACTGGGTAAAATTGCAGAATACGTTCTTCGTGGTTTGTCCTACTTACACGAGCGCAAAATCATTCATCGCGACATCAAACCTCAAAATATCCTGCTGAACATGCGTGGGCAGGTGAAACTATGTGATTTTGGCGTGAGTGGTGAGGCTGTCAATTCGCTGGCGACTACGTTCACCGGGACATCCTATTACATGGCTCCAGAGAGGATACAGGGGCAACCTTACAGTGTTACAAGTGACGTATGGTCGTTAGGGTTGACGCTTCTAGAGGTTGCTCAAGGTCGATTTCCATTTGGTGGTGATAAAATCGTTTCTGATATGCCTCCCATCGAGCTTTTAATGCTCATACTGACATTTCATCCGCAACTGAGGGACGAAGAAGACTCAACTATCGTCTGGAGCAGCGCTTTCAAGTCGTTTATCGAATACTGTCTGAAAAAAGAGTCGCGGGAAAGACCATCACCAAGACAGATACTTCAACATCCTTGGATACTTGGTCAAATGAAAAAAAAGGTTAACATGGAAAAGTTTATAGCACGTTGCTGGGAGCAGTGAAAACACAAGGCGTAGGCATTATATATGGGACTCAATGATGATATCAATTAGAACTCGTTCCTTCACTATCTTTCCTTACTTGATCATCTGATACATCACTTGATGATCACTCTGACCGAAAAATTTTAATAATATCGTAAACTACTCGTTAAGTTTCAAGAAACTATCCAGTCAACGGAAGAATCGTAATTATCCTGGCCATTTCAGTCGATAATGCAAACATTCATGAGAATCTCCGCTCGCCCTTTTCCTCGTGCAGGTTTTGCGGCTTTGAAAATGCCTTCGCGTATTGGTTTGAGACCATTGAAACCAAGAACAAACCTGAGATTCTACTCTGAGCCAGCTGCTGCCAAAGGGGATTCCACCAAGTCTGGTTCCGCTGAAACAGAGCAAAAATTAGAAAACACTGCTGGTACTCAAGAAAATGCGTCAACTAGCGAAGTTGCGGATTTGAAAACCCAACTAGCTGCCAAGGACAAAGAAGTTGCCGAATATAAAGACCGCCTTTTAAGGTCGGTGGCGGATTTCAGAAACCTACAGGAAGTGACAAGAAAGGACGTTCAAAAGGCCAAAGATTTTGCGTTGCAAAAATTCGCCAAAGATCTTTTGGACTCTGTGGACAATTTTGAGCGTGCACTGGGAGCATTCAAAGACGAAACCGTGCAGCAATCGCATGAAATCGCCGAATTGTATACCGGTGTGAAAATGACTCGCGACGTTTTTGAAAAAACGTTGAAGAAACACGGAATCGAGAAACTTGACCCAATGGGCGAAGAATTCGATCCAAACATGCACGAAGCCACTTTCGAGCTTCCAGACCCTAAGAAGGAGCCAGGTACTGTGTTCCATGTGCAACAAATCGGATTTACGTTGAACAACAGAGTAATCAGGCCTGCAAAAGTTGGGATTGTCAAGGACCCTGAAAACTAAGTTCACATAAACTCTCTGTATGAAACTGATGCCCTGACTTTTCCTATAACTATGATGAATAACGTTTTTAATCTGCGAGGTTTTTCATGTACATAAAAATGTTCTTTGTATTTTCGTCCCACTCTAGCTTGCTGGATAATTAAGCTTTCTTTACATCGCCAGACATTGATCTGAAAAACGCGCTACTCGGTGAACATTTGTCACTTCATTTCAGTTAGGTAGGGACTCTTGCTATCTATTATTGATATACTTGCGTGTGGGTGTAGTTCTTATTGCAAGTGACTTATAAAAGGCTCCCCAAGTTCTCAAAGCTTAGGTCCCTTTCGTACATTGAGACATCAACAACATCGAATCTTGAAACATTGAAATGTAAACAATCGAGATGGTCTTCGTTTACATTTAACGTTCAGGAGAAAAATCGGGAATTAGCTTCAGGTACTAGGTTTTTGAGATCAATACAATTAGAGTCGAGGAAGCTCAAGTTGATTGGATTGAGTGTGAACGTCTCCTCGTGAGTAAAACTTGGTAATTCGAGTTGTACACTAAATATAGACCGGAAGCTAAAGAGGGGATAATTTGATTAGAATAAGACGGTTTTTTCGGCTCTTAGGCCCGAAAAGAACTACGTTGAAGCAGAAGTTATGACTACTCTGCCAAAGCGTCACACGTATTATGGGGGGTCGACCTCTGAAGCGTTTAATCCAGCTTTGGGTTCGGGATCTTTTCCTCGACGTAAAAAGAACGTTACATTTGGCCCGTACATCGTGGGTTCGACGTTAGGAGAAGGTGAGTTTGGTAAAGTAAAACTTGGCTGGTCCAAAAGTACAGCGTCTGCCAATGAGGTTCCCAAACAAGTAGCCATAAAACTCATCAGAAGAGATAGCATTCCCAAGCATTCCGAGAAAGAAATCAAAGTTTATCGCGAAATTAACGCACTCAAGCACTTGAACCATCCAAATATTGTAAGACTCGAGGAAGTTCTTCAAAACTCGAAGTATATTGGCATTGTGCTCGAGTATGCGTCCGGTGGCGAGTTCTACAAATACATTCAGAAGAAACGCCGGCTGAAAGAGCCTACGGCTTGTCGTCTGTTTGCCCAACTGGTAAGTGGAGTCAATTACATGCACTCTAAGGGTCTTGTTCATAGAGATTTGAAGTTGGAGAACCTGTTATTGGACAAGCACGAGAACCTACTCATAACTGATTTCGGTTTCGTAAACGAATTTTCGTTAAAAAATGAATTGATGAAAACCTCTTGTGGATCTCCTTGCTATGCGGCCCCAGAACTTGTTATAACTACCAATCCTTATGAAGCTCGAAAAGCCGACATATGGTCATGCGGTGTCATAATGTATGCAATGTTGGCAGGTTACTTGCCCTGGGACGATGACGCCGACAATCCGGATGGGGATGATATCGCAAAACTCTATCGCTACATTACGCGATCCCCGCTGAAATTTCCAGAGTATATAACACCACTGCCGCGGGATCTGTTGAGAAAAATTCTGGTTTCTGATCCGCGCAAGAGGCTAACATTAGAGAAAATTCAATTGCACGGCTGGTTGCAACCACATTCGCCATTTCTTTCGGTCACAGTTGAGGAGTGGGATCGTACTGTCAGGCATAATGAGCTCTTCAGATTTCCACCTCAAAGAAGGAACGCTGACTCAGTTAGGCCGCGATCGACTTGCTCGATATCGTCAGCAAACTCAAAGGGCGACAAACGCAATTCCTTAATAATGGACTCAAATCTCTATCCAGTTCCCGTGCCACCACAAGAATCGCAGTCTCACGTCATGGCAAAACCTTCTTCACCCTCGTCAGAGATGCGGCAGTCGCCCATTAAAGGTATGCGCAACCATAGCAGGAGAAACTCCGCTGCTTCGATCGCATTACAAACTGTTGTTGATGCAGAGAGGGACTTCCAGGCACACCATGGCTCGTCTGTTGGATCGCGCTCGACAGCGGCGCTCAACACAGAAAATTTGTCCCATTCTTCTTCGTTTTCGTCAAGATATTATTCCCAATCTCCTACAAAGAGCGCAGGTGCTAATGGTCTTTCATTGAGGGAAAGCGTAATTATTGAAGTGAGCCCACAAAAGGGCCCGATAGCACTGAGTTACAATGGCTATCAAAGGGAACCTTTTGTTGGATTAGTTACGTCAACACATGTTAACATGTCGCCACCTTTACAGAATAACGTTATGAAAATCCAGAACATTGCATCCGCTCACTCATTGAAGCATACAAGTGATCCGTCTCACCAGAGAAAAATGAGGCCAACTTCATACCACCCAGTTTCTTACTCACACCAAAGTAATGTTAATGAAGCGAAGCTATCATCCGACCCTTTGTCAGATGGTGTACAAATTGCCTTGGATGAGACTATAGAAGGATCGGGAAATGCCCGAGATCGTCGTTCTCTTGGAGAAGACCAGCACCATAATACCCCTGGCTTGCCTCGAGGATCTGATCCAAGTAGTTTCGTGAATACAGAGAGTGAGAAGGTGTCAGATTTACCAAGTCCGGGAACTGATACCTTGATGAATAACTCTGACATGACAATTATGGCCGACGACGTCCATAAAGCATCACGGTCGCCTCTAGGTGATATTCCAACCATCAAGAAAATGAGCGAAAACAATGCCAGTATTGTAACGGATGAGAACAAGACGACCAGCTCTGGCGTTTGTAAAGGTGAAGCGAAGGAAAAAGTACCAGAGCCGAGGCAATACACTCTTCCTGAGAAACGTGGTCCAAAAAGATTTAGCATTCTTTCATTTTATTCTAATTACACCAGCTCAAAGTCGAATTTGGAGGTAACGTCCGGAGAAATGGGCGGCAAAACTAGCGCCGAAGAAAAATCCCGCTCTCAAGCTGGCGTAAAACTTGGTTTCGAAACCAAAGAAATTCTCGCGGCAAAGGAAAAGACGGCTTCGAGAGCCCCCTCTGCGGATCATTCGAGTCAGCGGAGGATTCCGAGTGGCCCCAAGAACCCTGTAGCGGAAACAACAAGCTCTCGACAGGTCTCTTCGGGCAGCACCTATCAGGAATCGAGAACTAAGCGGAACAACCGCATGTCCGTGGCGGTCTCATCACTACAACAGCCACAAGTTCGTCCTCGCGAACAATCGACAGCGAAAAGGGTGATGGATTTTTTCAAACGCAGAAGCATGAGGCTATGATAATGTTTAGACGACTATGCATACATAAACACTGAGTCAATATCATAGGGTTTTCACAAAAACCAGGTTGATTTTATATTTGCATTACTTATAAAATGAGTACTTAACCAGAGCTTTAACATGCTTAAATGTTAGATGGGTACAAGAAGATTCTGACGGAGGCACCGAAAGTCTTGGCTGGCAAGTTGGATTTGAAGGTAGCTCTAACAACACCGGAGTTACCGTGAGTTCTGGTGACCTTACCCCAGATAACTCTGATCTTGGAACCTCTCACTTCCTTGGAGGCTCTGTAGACGTAGGCAACACGCTTACCCAAGTAGAATTTAGCATCATCTGGGGTAGCGACGTTTTCGATCTTGACCAAAGACACGTTTGGGTTGTTGGTCTTCTTAGATCTCTGGTAGGACAAGTGCTTACCTTTGACGTACACTGTTGATAATAAGTTAGTAAATCTGCATCAATTTTCTGGATCAGTTGCGTCTTGCGAAAGCCAGAGCATCGGAAGCGAGGGAATTGTGGACAGGCCCCTTTAGCTCATCCAAACCCGCCTTTCTAGTAAGCTGGATACTTCGTGTACTTGGGGCCATATATTGCCAACCGCTATTCCCATCAACCGGCATTCGGGGATGGGTAAAGCAAATCGTCATAAAACTACTCAACAGTAGTCTTCGCATTTATCTCTGGGACACACATCGCTCAATCCGCTCCTCCTTTCAAAGATCAACAGCTTCAGCGGAGGCCCTAAGAGCCGTGCTCTGCTTGCAACGTTATTATCGCATTTAATTTCAGTTCGTTTCTCACATACATCTGTGGGATTCAGCCATTGTTGTGTTCTTGGTTTAGCTCCTCTAACGGATCCTGGAATAGCATCAAGCCAAGTAAGCTTTTCTTGAAAGTTGAGAACACTTCTTCCGACAGATACCGCCAGTGGCAATCGTGAGCGGGCTGTCGGCGCGCTAGGCAGAGGCTCAGTGCGAGACCACCATGGTGGCCGTCCACTGGCGACCCCCGAGCTCGGCAGCACCGCCCCAGCAGCTCGCCGTCGGGAGGGAAAGGCCGGTGCCCCCTCTGGGGGCGCAAGCGCATATCCCCTTCCGCGTGCCGTTTGTGACCCAAGACCGGATGGCCCGCATACAATCCGGCCCACTCACACACTCGTCTCTTGCTATTTTTCAAAGCAAACATTTTTATTTTCCACGAGTCACATGTTTGGGTGTGACAAGCTTGATAGGAAAATGTACGGATGAAGCAGTCGTATAAGGGATTTTTATTTTTCAACTTGGTTTAGGGCTTCTGAATTTAGCCCTATGGCCTCTCGACGTCAGATTGACGATTCTCAGAATCGCTGACATGAGCTCTGATTTCACTCTGAGTCAGACTCAGATCTTGAACCCGCAGAAATAGCCCTAACACTCGGCCACTAAAACAAGCTACCGTGCACTCACCAGAGCCAAACTACATAACGAAAACACATCAAGTAAATTTCTTAAATATTTCAAATCACGGGGAAACCTACCAAAGTGAAATGTGCGCCAACCCTCATCTCCCAACTTCTGATTATTCTCTTCTTCTCTGCCACGCTTATGGCCCCAAAACCTATGACTAGCAAAGTAACCGTCCTATCTTTTGGTACGAAAAGGACAGCAGGACGAAATGGTGCCCTTACGGTTACCCGGCACTCATTGCACTTTTCTTTTCTATGTTTTCCGTCGAGAACGATTGCAAATTTGTTCAGCTGGAAAAAGTATATAAGGGCAGCATTGATCTTAACTTTGAATCTGTTCGTATTTTTAAAAAAGTGTCGACGTACTTCAGTATGTTTTAACCTATAGGTTTTGAATGCCCTTCCCAGCATGGTGGAATTTCCCAGGGAGGGCTGGATTCAGTGTCAAAGACATCAACTAACACCCGGAACAGTAGGATCATTTCTATAGGAATCGTCACTCTTTGACTCTTCAAAAGAGCCACTGAATCCAACTTGGTTGATGAGTCTGAGAACCTTCGCACCCAAGAGTGAGACTCAACATGTTATTAGCTTGGTCCACAATCCTTAGCGGTTTGGCCATCTACTTTTTTGTTTTGCCTTTTGCTTGAGAACTGTTAAACCTTTTGGTTTTTCGGAACTCGTTTTAAAAAGGCGCGATGATCTTTGCCCAGCTAATGTCCTTCTTCGTGAGGGGCTGAGCATATTGGGTGGGTGCGAATGGCAGTCTGACAAGTTTTTTTTTTTCTAGTTTCATTTCCAAAGGCTTGGAAATGGGGGGTAGAATAATAAAAATTTTCGAATGTTCAACTCATGATATCATTACATAAAATAAATATTGCAAGCTGGTTAGTACTGCAGCTTTTTCTCCTGGGCAACTATGCGAAGTGCAAGACGCTTGGAGTAGTATCGTGAAATAGCAAGGTTTCCACCCATGTACCAGAAATTTGGGTGACCCGAATCTCTCCAGATGGTGCGGAACTCACCCTCGTGGTCAAGTCCCCAGACTTCTTTCAACCGATCAGCTACTTTGTCTCCAAAAAGCCTGCGTGCGGTCTCTTTCATATTTGTAAAACCAGTGGCCAGCACTACGACGTCCAATCCTTCCAATTTGGACCCATCCGTGAACTCGACCCCAGTGGGTAAAAACCGCTTAATGCCTTGGCCCTGTTTAACTTTGACCTTCCGCTCCGCTATCAATTTGGAACATCCAACGTCTATATAGTAACCTGAACCTTGGCGGAAATACAACCCAAACAGACCGGTTCCGTCGTAGCCTGCGTTGGTCTTGAAGCCAACTTTTTCGAGCGCACTGAGCAACTCTTTATCCTCGCGGCACGATTTGCGGTACTGCTGCTGCATGACTGCATTCAATAAAGAGAGCGGCATCGAGTGGAAAATGTGATCCGCGGTCTCGGTCTTGGGACCCGTTTCGTCGTACAAACCAGCAATATTGTTCACGGTACCATGGTCAGAGGTGATAACGCATGTCGACGAACGTTGCAACATGGTCACTTCAACGCCTTGCTCGTAGAAATCTTGACAAATATCGTGTGCCGAATTACATCCTCCGACCACCAGCGCTTTCCCGCCGGTGAAATCGGAGCCAGAGGTGTGCCAAGATGAGTGAACGATCTTACCTTGGAAAGCGTTTTGATTTTCGAATTGCGGGACGCGTGGCTCGCCGGAATGGCCCGTGGCCATGACCAGGTGGTTGGGCGTGTACACGACTTTTTCGCCGGTGGCATTGTCGACCACGGTGACGCTCCAGCGGCCTGCGGCGTCGTCGAACGCCGCGTCTGTGACAACGGCATCGCTTTGGACGTTGAGGTCCAGCGTCTTAGCGTATGACTCGAACCAGTCGCCCAGCTTGTCCTTGGGCGTGTACACGGGCCACGTTGGTGGGAAATTGAGGTATGGCAGATGGTCGTACCAGACCGGATCGTGCAACACCAGGAACTTGTACCGGTTTCTCCAGTTGTCGCCGATTTTTTTGTTTTTCTCGACGATCAGGGAGTCGACGCCGAACTGACGCAGTCTTGCAGCAACAGTGAGGCCGCCCTGTCCACCGCCAACAATCAGCACAGTGGGTTGGCGACCGTATTTCTCGCCAAAGTGCGACTCACGCGCCCGTTTCTCGGCCCACGACTCACGCTGGATATGCTGGCCGTGGTTGACACCCTCGGGCCGGTTCCCAAAAACGGTCTCTGGGCTCGCGTGCAGGTCCTCGAGCACCGTGTAGAACGTGAAGCACTTGAGCGAGGCCGGGTGTTGCACCGCGCAGAGCCTCGCGACGCCCTTCCCGCTCCCGACCTTGTTGTCGAACTCGAAGTACACCTGGATCCACTCGATGGGCGCGGCGTCGTGCGCGACGGGGTCCTCGGGCGCGTCGTGGAACTGCACTTTGCCGAACCCGGCCGGGTACCGGTAGTCGGCGAGGGGGTCGATTCTGACGTTGCGGACACGTGACTTCTGCGCCAGTGGGCCCGCGCTCTGCGCAATGCGATCGAGCCCGATGTACGAATGCAGGTCCCATGACAGCGCCAGATGGTCTCTCCACGCGGCGTGCTCTGAGAACAAGTCCTGCCATTGCGGCGAGTCGCTCTCTAGCAGCGCGTTGAGATCGCGAATCCACTTGGTGACGAGTTTTGAAGCCTGCGAGTCGTTGCTGATGAGCTGCGGATGCGGCGCGTGGTTACCGTACACTTTTGCCGGAGGCAAGTCCGACGCGACTGGTGCGTACGCGATGGGCGGGTACACTTCCGACTCGAAAAAGGTTTCTTCTGCGCCTAGCAGAACTGGGTTTTCTGTTGCGACAGGAGACATGTTTGAAAAAATAAATATGGATATAACGTCGGAGCAGTATAAGACCTGACGTTTGGCTGGGGAAAGAAAGAGAGGGAGCCGAGCCGTCAAGCCCAAAAACCACAATCCGCAGTGTGAATTTATACATTTGGGTTGCACAGCTCGGGGGTTTCTTGAGATGGTACGTGCCCCGCCCAACACGCCCAACTACTATTTTTCTCCGCCCTCGCATTCCACCCGCTCTGCCAGCTCTGCCAGCTCTGCCAGCTCTGCCAGCTCTTCCAGCTCTTCCAGCTCTGCTAGCTCCTCTGGTCCCCTCAGCGCCAGTAACACAAACCTGTCACCGCTTAAGCTTTTTCCGCTCTTGCGTTGGCCCTCCGCTTGACAGATACGTCTCCGCTTTTCTGCAGCGGTTGCAAATGGCAACCGCTGCGCGCCGTTGCAGGGACCCCTAAAAAATTCCGCACGTCGCTACGCACGGAGATCGCCTCCGTGTGTCCCCATTGTTTTCTCCCCTGGGGAAAATCCCTGGGCTTCGCTTGGGTACCGCCTGTGTACCGCCTGTGTACCGTCTGCCAACCGATAGCCGGCAGGGGCATCATGAGGCGGAATTTTGTGCGGGGATGCGTGCCTGTTGAGTGACCGTCGTCAGGGGTATCAGAGGCGCCGAGCCGTGGGCGGCGGACGCGCGGAGTCTCTGTGTATTCGTTATGTAGATGCATAAGGATGTTTGGGCCGAGGCCGAGGCGGAGACGGGGCTGGCCCCGCGTGGGTGTGTGGGTCTGAGGATAGGGGTCACGTGCTGGCAGAGCGGTCGCCGTCGTTCACGACTTTGACGCACTCCTGGCATATGAGAGCCGAGTCCCAGGGTGTCGATGCGGCTGAGAGCGCAACGTAGCAGGGACGGCCGAATCTGCGGGCGCACAGCAGAGCCACGCGGTTGGCCGTCTCGTGCGCGAGATCGTCTTCTGACCCAGACAGGACGGTCGCAAATGCCTCTTTGCCGCGTGGGACCGCGTACACGTACGCGGCGAGCGGTAGCGGAGGCGATGCGGCTGCGTGGGACCCGGCTGCAATGGCGAACGTGATGGGCGTTTTGGCCGCGGTTTTCGCGGCCTCGGTCGGCACGCTGGCGATCACGTGGAAGAGCTCGCCCCAGGGCGACTGTGAATCGCGGCAGAGCGTGCGTGTCAGGTCCATGCCGTCGCTGTGTCGTTGCTGTGTCGCAAGCGAGCCGGGCTGGAAATTGAAATTCGCAGTGAGGGCAACAACGGTCGCTTTCCACGAAATTGGACCTCGCCTCGATAAAGTGCCTTGGGCTAACTACCACTGCGAATCGCCCTCTTTCCTTTAGCCATGTGTTACATGCAATCGCGGTTAACTTTCGCCTTGCTCAACTCGGTACTACGTTCATTTTCGAACAGGCGCGAAAAGAGATTATAGGGAGCTGAATGGGTGTTTTGAGAAAGAAGCAATGCGTGGAAACCAACTAAGAAGACTTGCGCGATGGCATGTCTGTGAGTGATAGCGCGTCTGATGAAGCTGCTAGTCCTGGGGTTACCCAAAGGAGCTCCCCGGAAGCTTACGAGGGGGTTATTGGGGTCCCTCGATCGGTGTCAACAGGCAGACGGAGCTTCAGCCGTGGTTCAAACAGTGCAAATTCCTGCTGCAGGCAGTCAGGAGAAGCCGATTGTCTCTCCAGAAGTGGCCGGTCGCACTCTTCAAAGAATCGGAACAGCTACTCTTGGCCAGTTGACTACGCTACCCGCTCAGAATCGGACCATGCCAGCCCGTTCAAGAAAGAAGCCACACGACGGTTCTCCGACCTAGTCACTATCATCATTACAGCAGCTCTGGTGAATCAAATGCTGATAACAGCGACTTAGAGGGTCGAACCAGGGCTAGAAAAGGGAAAGGAGGAAGAGCGTTCCCTGATTCCGAGTAAGCTTTTGAAAAAGATTTGGTTTCAGTTTTGAAAGGTTTTCATGGAATCCTTTCAGCAAATTCTCTTCCTATCTTGCATTCAAATCTTAACGATGCAGCAAGTCATTAAAAGATTTAATGCTTGGCTGTCATTGTTCCCGTTTGGGATTTGGGTCACGAACGTGGAGGATAACCGACCTTATGCTGTCTGCAAATTCGACAACTGTAAACACAATTTTACGTTGCATGGCAATCCTGCTTCGTCTTACATTGTAAGGCGTTTAAAGCCGCAACCTAAAGCTGATTATGAGCTGTACCAGAAAAATTGAGATGCAACCAAAGAATTCTAGAAGCCTTCCCCTCTGTTTCTTCGAGTTACCAAGGGCCATTCTCGTTTTACTAGGAGATTCCTTCAATTCCTATCCCTCAATTAGCCAAGGCTTAGTCAATTTAATATTTTCATTGAAGGCTTTATGCCGTTCGGCTTGGTTGAATCATACGCTATGAAAACGTTTCTGAACTCTCTCAACGCATCCGGCTGCCCGATTTTATTGTCAAGAACA